TGTGATCTCGACATAGCTGGACTTCAGTTTGTGCCAATGCAATCCACTCTAAGTACATATGCTCATGGGGAGAATTGCCAGAAAGCTTTGGGTCAAGCACGAAGCTGATGCATTCTGACCTGGCCAACTATTTGTCTTAATCTTCAGAGTCTAACCTATGCCTCATTAATGTTTTACAGGTTGATGTTTATGTTAAAAGGCTTATAGATGTCAAAAGTTGATAGAACCTGATGTGTAGTTCAAGTCTGCAGAACAAGCTGTTGCATTGCAGATAGTGTCGCAATAGTGGAATGATCTTCTTGTCATTATGAGAACCAGTGCAGGAAAGTTGCTGCTGTTCATAGTGCCTTTCATAAATTCAGCTGAGTGGGGACTGTCAGCCATGAGAGTCTTTCTCCTTGTCACTCTGTTAGATGAACAGTGCTCAAATATAAGAGCTCATGATATAAAAATGATAATATAAACTTTTAGACAAAGCTGCTATGATGCAGATGTAGTTGTAGTATATGCCAAACATGCTGCCTCAAACGATTTTCTGCAGTATATAATGGCAGGCATATAGGAGAAGAAACTGTGTTGCATTGTTGTAGATGAGATCCATTACATTTTGACATTAACTCACTATCACCCTCTACTAGGAATGCTCAACCAGTTGCACCAGCTTTGTATTCCCTTTATCTTATTGACTGCAACTCTTCCTCTAGCAGCTACCAACAAATTAGTCGAAAAGCTGCAGTTACTAACATACATAATGCAACTCATCAGAACTTTGAGAATGTAATTGAAAATTGTTTACTCTGTCTTCGAGCTTTATAAGTGCTCAGAGCAACACCCTCTTACCTCAGCCAGAATGATGCAACATACTCTATGGAGAGCTATATCTCTAAAGTGTTAGCCCAATTTGAGGCAGATAACAGAACCTTAGTGTTTTGCCTATTAAAGTGCAAAGCCAAGAGAATCGCTGCTTTGCTCCAGTGTGTTTTATCATGTGAATGTGCCTTGCCCACGTAGATAGAGACACTAGGTTCCTGGTGTAGTACCACTACTGCACCCTGATGTGTATTAGCTCTCTAAGTGCTGATTTTGATTATAAATCTGTAAGGCTCATTATGCACTACAGATGTCCTAGAAGCATCATTAATTATGGTTAAAAATCTGGTTAAATGTGTGAAATGATCATAAAGGCTACATAACTATTTTTTATGACACAGAGGCATAATATCAGTGCTTGTAAGATGGTCAGGATGACACAGGAATGACTGAGATCGAAGACATGATATTAAAGTACTAATGCAGATAGATCATTTGAGGTCAATCTCTGGATGGACAAGGGAGATTGTGCTTTCAACTCTCTGCCATTGAGCTGTGCGACATTTGCACCTCTCATTTTCAGCACTTTTGCAGGGTAAGCCAAAAGTTCATTATTTCTGAGATTTGACCTTTGTTAGGCATTCTGCCTCCCTCTAATCTAGTTTGTGAATGAATGACACTCAGAGTGTGCTTTCTGGAGCACCATCATTCAGTAATAGCAGTTTATCAAGTTCAAGTTGCTGAACAGAAGAGATCAAAATGTTTCACCAGTCTCAGGGGGGTTGTAAATATATCAGCTTTCAATAACAGTCCAGTAAGCTGACAATCATCTGCCAACTGTGATCATCACAGCAAGCCCAGACACTGCTTGGTAAAAGCCTTCCAGATTTTTACTCACCTTTCATTATTTTCATACAGCTCACTGTCTGCACAATATGAGTCTACTATCTGGTGAGCTCTGTAGCAGCCTTAGTTCACTGTGAAAAACTGTGGAGTTTATTGCCTTGATGCATATTCTGACTTTGACATCTAACAGTTAATTTGCAAAGTTTTGAAGCATAGTGAGGAGCAACCAGCAGTATTTCTTGTGATAGAGCAGGTTTTTGGATAAGAGTGGGCTCTGCTACAGACAATGTAGGAGGCAGTGTATTTCTAGTATTCTTTGCAAGAGTCAGTAGTAGTGCATTTTTACTTTGTGAGCCTGCTCATGATGCAGGCCAGGTGCGAATTAACAAAATTATAAGAAATGTGATATCTATAAATCGAGAGTGCCAAATAAAAGAGCACATAGTAAATACGAGAGTAAGGTGAGGGAAGGGTGGTGAAAATGTAGGTGTGTCATCGAGATCTGGCCCAAAATTTTATATGGTGCACTTTCAAATAACCACTATATTATAAAAATGTAAAAAGAATGTCAATATATTTTTTAGCTCTAGAGATATAGCCTATCCACCATAATACAGGCCCAATCTCTAGCTTGCCATCCATCCATAGTAAACTAAACTTCTAGTCATAGGATAAGTAGCACTAACAGTTAGTACAATAGCAAATGCAATATAGTGTGCACCTTTATCAATAATCATGTCTCCCCTGACAGAAGCAGTGGTATTCAGGTCGGCAATGCCCCCTTTAAGGTCAACAGGATTCTTGAGACTATGAATGCAGACCCTTCCAACCTTTATGCATATTGAAGGTCCTATTAAAGAGACAGGTGCTAATAGTTTGCAAAGCAGATGTGAGATGAACAAATCTAATAAAGCTAGAGGGAAACTGATAATGGAGAGAGTAAATGAATGATGTGCTGCATATGAGGACTCCAGGCAAATTTAGAGCTGGACTAAAAGACTTTGAGCTTCCATGCATAGCAGAGAGACATCTTTGTCAGTTATGAAAAATAATTTTTTTATTTATAAGTAGCAAATTTTCAAGAGAATTGCTACTTTTAAGTAGACCTATTTGTAGGTGCATAGATTAACTCACAATAATCTTTCAGATAATGTTAAAATAATCTCAATATAATCTTCAGGATAATCTGAGGATAATCTGAAGATTAGCAGTAAAATACAATTTTAACTTTGACACCAGCCAGAATTGAACTATGGACCTTAGGTTGATTTTATAGAATATAATTTCAACTGACACTTTAGACAACTTAACCATTAGGCCACATATTGCATTTATCTTACCTTAAATAAGACATTTTTTTTTCACTTCAGGGTACCCTTCCGACATAGCTCTTAGCTTCAACATAATCTATATTGTGTTGTAGCTAAGAGTCTCTCAGATGTCAGACAGACCATGATACCAATATATGTCCCAGGGCATTATATGGGATTACTCAGAGTAAAGGCAGGGTATAGGCTGATCCAATGGCACAATTATCATATGGGATATCCTATAGTACTAGAGCATTGATATTTATATCCCAGTATTACTGGTTGTCCCATAGTGCCAGGGGTACATAGGGATGTCCCACTATTAGTGAAAGATACATTTTCAGGCAATTGTATGTGTAGTTTTTTATCTTATTCTACTATCATATTGTCTAAGCCTTAATTATAAACACAGTAACTATAGTGACATAAACAAGCACTTTATTTGCATATTATATAAGGTGAGATCTTCCATTTTAATGACATCCTGAGATGTGATTTATAGATTCACAGATACTTAGTCTCTTCTTTAGCCTGAAGTTTCTATTAAACTACTATCTAGATATTTATACTAACAGTTGAATTAGTAAGGTTTAAAAGTGACAGGTCCTTACATGAGATATCCCATAATAGAAAGGTGTCATTCAGTGAATGCATTTCTGAGTGCAACTTGACTGAAGTCTTAGGTCAAATGCCTTTCTTTTTTCATTCAAATACAGTATATGATAGGAGACATGACAATAATATATCTCCTTTGCTAGTATATAAGTAGACTGAGTTGTTCTATTTCTTGAGACACTTAGTGAAAGTTGTAGTATAGCTATGATACATACTACATGCCAAAGATTATATCATGTTAGTCTGAACATTATGTCAGAAAATGTAAAATTGATTTTAAAACACGAGAATAAACATTGTTGTTTGACCTGTTTTAGTTGTTATATGAGCTAATGAAGTTGTTGTACATGCTACCAATAGTAATATAGTCTTTATAACATTACAAATGCATATGTACAACTTGATATGGGATATCCTGCTTTCTATAAATAGTTCACATTATATAAAGTGCAAATAAGGCACTTATTTACAGTATTCTAGTCACTGTTTTAATACTATAGTCACTGTTTTTATAATTAAGGCTTATACAATATGATCGTAAAACAAAGGATTAAAAAACTACCATACAATAGCCTGAAAATGCACCTTTTACTAATAGTGGGACATCCCTATGTACCCCTGGCACCATGGGACAACCAGTAATACTGGGATATAAATATCAATGCCCTAGTACTGTACTCAGTTAACTGACCAATCGGGTTACAGCTTTGTCTCCCCTTGTCTCTTGTAGTATAGATAAATGTTGTCAGACACCGGTGATGTCCAATTCATGTGCCTCGAACGTCGGGATCCTCGCCAAGAACTGTTAGATTAGACCTCTCTCTCACCCATACCGCAACGCCGATGGCCAGTACCTCTTTCTCTTCCTCGCAATCGCTCACGCCCCAGACGATCGCTCGCAAGCGTATCATCTACGCCCACGCCGACTTCAGTCGACGTTCTCGATGAATTTCCAATTCAAGATCTCACGTGTGACGAGGGAATCTGCAAGGCCGCGTCAACGGGATGGAATCAAGGACCAGCGAGGTGGCGACTTCTGAACCGCTCTCTGGGGCGAGCGTCTCGAAATGTGCGTCGTGCATTTATGTGATTTCACCCTTGCACGCAGACGCTGCTGGAGGCGCGATGGCCTTGGCGCAGCGCGGTCAGGACGAGAGTTAGGTGTACTTCTGTCATTCTCAGCACTGCCCTTCTGGCGCCATGTCAACCGGCCCAAGGACCTCAAGAACATCCGATTCCACTACAAATTGAAGGAAATTTCGAGCCGATTCCATTGGGGAACGGCATCCGTATGATACAACACGTTGTCGTATGAGACATGCCACTGCGCGAGCACTACGAACGAGGAAATCAGAGAAAATACATATAAATATTTACAACAAATACATATGTAGCGAGGACGAAGCGATAGCACCGCGATCAAATCAGCTCAGCTGCATTTACTGGCATTTCGTCCTGCGCAAGGAGGCATCAGTCGTGAGCAGAGCACGAGCAGGAAGAGAACTCACGATTTGTGTGCTGTAAAATTGTTCTGGAGATTGCAGGTTTTGCGTTAGTAGGATCGACGCGAACAAAACAGTCTACATTACCGATATCGCGGAGGATTCGGACATCGTCAACTGTCACGAACTGCGAGGAAGATCAGCACGCGTCGTTGTCGAAGACGAGAAGTGTACGCACATTAATCGCGACACCCTTCCGGCCGAAACGACCTGACCGACCAATGCGGTGGATGTAGTTTTCACGATTTCTGTAAACGGATCAATAAGCGTCGTCAAGAAGAAGCATACAGTTCAAGATACGTACGCAGGCAAGTCGTAGTTGATGACCAGCGAGACTTGTTGCACATCGATGCCCCGCGCCCAGACGTCTGTTGTGATCAGAACTCGGCTGAAAAGTTTTTTAGTTCGATGGAGGGCCGGGCAAAGATTCGATACACTCACGATGTCCCACTCCGGAACTCCGCCATGATCGCATCTCGCTCCTTCTGCACCATTTCGCCATGCATTGACGACACTGTGAAGTTTGCCGCACGCATTTTTTCCGTTAGCCAGTCAACCTGAAGAAATCAATCAATCAAAATAAATGTAGACATGACTCAACCGCGCAGGCGCACCTTTCTCCTCGTGTTGCAGAAGATGACGGCCTGTGTGATGGTAAGAGTGTCGTACAGGTCGCACAGCGTATCGAACTTCCAGTCCTCCTTCTCAACCGCAACGAAAAATTGCTTGATGCCCTCGAGCGTCAATTCGTCACGCTTGACGAGGATGCGGATCGGGTCCGTCATGAACTTGGTCGTCATCTCGAGCACGTCGTACGGCAGCGTCGCGCTAAGGAGTACGACCTGCGTCGCGGGGGGGAGGTACCGGTACACGTCGTAGATCTGGTCTTTGAACCCCTTATTGAGCAGCTCGTCCGCCTCGTCGAGCACGAGCATCTTGATGTTGCGCGTGCGCAGGCTCCGGCGGCGGATCATGTCGAACACGCGGCCGGGCGTGCCCGACACGACGTGCTGGCCGTACTCGAGCTTGCGAATGTCCTCCCCGATGGACGTACCCCCAATGCACGCATGGCACTGCACATTCATGTAGTCCCCAAGCGCGAGCACGACCGACTGGATCTGCGTCGCGAGCTCGCGCGTTGGCGAGAGCACCAACGCCTGCGTCTCCCGCACCGTCACGTCGATCGACTGCAGGATGGAGATGGAGAAGGTCGCAGTTTTGCCGGTGCCCGATTGCGCCTGCGCGATCACGTCCCGACCCTGAATTATAGGCAGGATCGCACGCTGCTGAATTGCGGAGGGCTTTTCAAAGTCTGCGGCGATGTGAGCGGGAAGAAATAGTCTTCAAAGGTAGGGGCAAAACGCACTGTATGCATAGATGCCTCGCAAAAGATCCTCCTTCAAGCCGAGGTCGTCAAAGGTTGAGATTACCGAGACCGCCTCGGAAGACTCAAAAATCAGTTTCTGACACCCAGAAAAAAACTAGTGAGCCTCCGATAGCTATATACTGTGTATTTTGAACGCACCTCATCGCCGAGGTTGATGCCAGACATGTCGAGGAGGAGGATGAGCAGCTGGTGGAAGTGGAAAGAGAAGTTGTCGGAGTATGAAATTCTCAAGTTCTCAGCTCAGCGCGCCCGCTGCAGCGTTGCCAGAGCCCGTCGTCCCTGCAGTCCCCGCCATCGCCAGCCAAACATCGCATCGTCGTGCACGCCATGGACTCCATCATCGAAGTGCAGCGGCACACCCACGAGGAGATGGAATACTTCGAGCGCGCTCTCTACACCATCCTCTCGCGCCCCCAGCCGACGCAGGAGGCCCGCCTCCAGACCGAGCACAAGGCCGCGCAGCTGCTCGACCGCCTCTCAACGAGGGCCACCGAGCTGTACAACCTGTACGAGGACCGCGACGCGCACAAGACTGAAATTGACTCCCTCACCTCCGCGCAGCCCCAAGACCTCTCCGCGTTCTACAACCGCCTCGGGCGCATCCAGGAACACTACGCCAAGTATCCCGACGCGGTCGTAGCGGGCTTCGACCCCGAGTTGTCTGTGTTCCTTGAGGAGACCACCGAGGATGTCGGGGATGAGGAGTACGAGGAAGACGACCGTGCGTGCTGCTGCTTCGTCGGCATGTCCTGGGCAACTGACACACGGATGTAGCTATTGCGTTGCTCTTTTCGGGTGAAGAGGGCTATGGAAAATATCTTGACTTGTACGCTAACCATACTGCTTATAACAATCTCAAGAACATCGGCAAGCGGCTGGGCTATCTCCAGTACCTCGACGTTCTCCTCGGTGCCCAGTCTGCACCACTACACTCGGACTTGTCGAAAGACTGTAGATTGACAAGAGATTACGAGTTGTATGTATCAGCATTCTGTAAATCGCTCTGCCTCTGATAGCATGGACTAATTATCCTGCAGGTACATTAAAGCGCTCCACGCCTACCTCATATCATTCACGAAACGCGCACAACCGTTAGTTGATGTTGAGTCACGGCAGCGTGAAGCAGAAGCTCAGTTCTCTAAGCAGTGGGATGCAGACGAGATCGAAGGTTGGGAAGAGTCGCGCCAGAGCAAGCCCACCACAAACGGCAACAATGCAGAGGGCATCTGGTGCTCAGCTTGTGAGCGACCCTCCCTTTCCTATATCGAGCATTTTTTTCACCGCCATTACACGCAAAAGGCCAGAAAATGTACTCCAAGCAGACTGTGTATGATGCGCATCTCACATCCAAGAAGCATGTCAAAGCGACCGCAAAACAGGCAACCTCCGAGCCCCCACCCACAAATCCCAACGGGCCTGCCGCTGCCATTCACACGACGAATGGAACGTCCACACCCCCCGCCAAGTCCAAACATCGGACCGCCGCGCTACTCACTCACTTGACCACACAGCTACTGGTCTCGCTCAGCCCTGTTCTCACCGAGACTAAGTCTAACGTCGAGCGGCGCTTCTCCCTCACTGCACGTGAGCGTGAGCAGGAGCTTCTCGAGCAGGCCCAGCCGCCCCAGGTGCCCGCAGCTGCAGCCGGCGAAGCGGGCGCAGAGGAGGAGGAAGAGGAGGAGCGGATCTACAACCCGCTTAAGCTGCCGCTCGGCTGGGACGGGAAGCCCATCCCTTACTGGCTGTACAAGCTCCACGGGCTCGGGGTCGAGTACCGCTGCGAGATTTGCTCCGACCACGTTTACATGGGAAGGTAAGCGATGATGCGAGTCGAACCGCCGATGGTTATTCTAACTTTCGTCTCATCAGGAAAAACTTTGACCGGCATTTCCAAGTTAGTACTTTTGTCTTCCAGTAGGGGCCTCTTCTGATGCTTGTCGATCCAGGAATCAAGGCATGCATTTGGCATGCGGGCTCTTGGTTTGCCTAACACGAAGCATTTCCATGAGATCACTCGGATCGAAGATGCTCTTGCGCGTGAGTCCTTCGCTCTGACGATCGTGAAATGCTTCTGATGCTCATCATCCCTTTGCAGTTGCCGAAAAGCTGAAGCGCGAAGGCAGGAACGAGATTTTCGAGCAGGAGACCATGGAGGAGCTGGAGGACGAGGAGGGCAACGTATACAACCGGAAGACATACGAAGACCTGAAGAAGCAGGGTTTGATCTAGCTTTCGACTGTATTTTTATTTTTATCTCCAGTTTGTGTTCGTCACATTACTGCAAGTTGAAGCGTCTTGAGCTCTCTTTCTTGCACTTTTGACAAAAACATCTCGGCCAAACCTCAGGTGTCATGCCTGCTTCAATTCGCGTGGTTAGAATGTATTCCTGTCGAATGTCCCAAGCGTGAATATACAGGTACTTAAGTACTATTATTGTGTGCTGGTTTATGACTGCGTGGCGGCGGCGGCGGAGGTGGTCTACGTGCTGCCTGCACGGGCGCCATGGGAGCTTGCAGTGCTAAGGTATGATATATCTCCTCTTCCGACGACGATGGAGAAGACGATAGCGGAGAATTGCTCGGAGAGTCGAACGGATTCGCGAGGCATTTCCGCGATGCTTCACGCGGGCCAGACGGAACGAAAATCCCGTCAGGGTGCTCTGCCGGAGAGCAAATCGTTACGATGAACGTGGACAATCGCGATAACACCAGAAGCGCACCCGGGTCGTTCCACCACACTGCGTCGTCTGAGCTCGGAGGCGGGACTTGAGAAGGCGCGTAAGGTAAATTAGACGTCCGCAGGCTTCTAGCAGACGGGAACTCACGCCGCGATGCGTCACTTGGGAGGGTCATTTTAGCCAGTTTCTCATCCAGCTTCTCCCCAGGCGCGGTTGATGTGACGCTCTCGAAGAGTAGACGAGATAGTGCCGCTCGTTTGACGTGGTCGATGATACGAACATCCGCATGGAAGAGAGCAAATACTACCAGCAGATAATTAGCAGTGTTCACATGGAACAATTGTCAGGGCCAAACCAGGTCGATGGTCGGACCCTTTCAGTTCAGCTCTGGAGTAAACTGAAAGATCCAGCTGATTGCCTTTGAATAGGATACGATCTGTAAAGGGATATATGATCTGCACGTCAGGAATCGGTGCCAACAAGTCGCACCTGTCCATGCTGGAATTCGCATCTTTTCTCCGGTATCATAGTTATCGGTTCCAAAGTCGTACTTGTATGTAGGACGGAAAAGTATGGGTCCCTCCTGATAGCCCACGAATACGGTGCGATCGTCCATCGATTGCTTGAGCTGTCCAAAAATTGTCGGAAAAAATGGAACGTCAGAAGTTCCACGACACTTACCTGATCAGCCGCAAGCAGGGCATCGAAGTCATCAGACAGCGCGAGATGTCGCACACGTTCGTTCTCGAGGTCAATTCGATAATTTGTGTCTGCAAGCCAGATGACGTTGCTGGATGCCACCTCAGCTGAGCGAAGTTCGACAGATACACGCATGGAAAAGCGTACTCGTGACTGTCAATGGTCTTTCCCTTCAAGAAGTGCAGACCTCTGGCAATGGTCCGATAGTCGGCATTACGTTCGTCGACATTGGCATGGCCCGCAGCAAGATGGGCAGTAATGAAGCAAAAGCTGGTGTCGTGGTAGTCGAGCCGTATGCCAACGGCCCCCTTATTGCCAGACATGCCCCGGAGACCTGTCTGTAATGAACCATCAGTAAATGTACAGAGAAGCGGTATACCCACACACGTACCTTGTGGGTTGCTGCCTCGACGTTGCGTATCACTGCGGCCAGTTCTGACTTGACTAGTACCAGCAGAGCCGTTCCCACTAACTTTATAATGAACGTTCGTTCAGTGATACTGACATTGCAGTATGAAATGGAAACCTACCTGATGACTCCGGAGGAGCACATAATCGGTCTTTTTGTCCGGACGTTTATCGAGAGTGTCCGTGATTTTTGCCTCCCATATTCGTCTGCGTTGGCATTCGTCAGTCGCAACACACAATATTATGTGCAGCGTGCTACCTCTTCTCAGGATCGGCTTGCACAATTTGTTGAGCAGTAAGAGGCACGATCTCCTGGAAACCCAAAACCAACATATCTGGACTGCGCTGGGTCAGTTGTCAACCATTGTGCATCACTATGATTTGCATACTCGGGGTTACCTAGGGATAGTCAATTACTTTGGGGTCACAAACGAGTCAGAAGAGGCTCACTTGGTCTGGGAAACAGCCACGGGAGAAGAGATTCAGACGACGGCGACTGAGAGTATGCAGGCGCGCTAGTTAGCTAGGGTATCCCCTACGACAGAATTCACTCACTCTTCCATTTAAATTCCAAGTACCGACAAAAATATTACACTGCTTAGTAGTGGAATACTCCGAGATCCTATACGCGAGCATCAGATCGATTTGTTCGCTCCTAACAGTTGGACCTACCGATGTGCTAGCGCCGCACGGACGGAATCGTGGATTGGGTCGAATATTGTGACCTGCATTTGGTTGCTCATATTCCCCTGATATAGTATGAACAATCATAGCGATGACAAGACACACTAACGAAAGCACGTACCACAAATATATCAATGGCTATTTGCTTTCCCTTGTCCTGGAAGTTGTTAATATATGCCCTCGATACGCTCTTTGTGGCATCGGAAAGGACACCTTCGCTCATCGTTAGATGCAATTGTCCGCAGGTAGCCTGAGCTTCTCCTTACCTGCTAAAGTGCGTTTCCCACTGCGGGTAAAACTGGTGTTGAGGGCTCCAGTACCAGCGTATATTCTAGACAGCGCATCGCCATTTTCTGCCCACAGCTCGCGATGGTAAGACCAGAGGGTGCCAGACTTGAGCCACTCTATGCGACTGAGCATCAGATATTGCTCTAATGTTGTACGAGATAAAATATCCTGCACGAAATTGGTGCGGTCCAAGCTATGAACGGACATGTCATTACAGGCAGACCAGAGGGTAAAGTCTATCGCAGTTTACCAGTCAAGACAGTTGGCTCTGAATATGCCCTTTTGGTCCGTAATAATCTCGTCAGAGGACGAATCAACCATTGTAAATCCGAATTTATCCATGTTCTCTCTCAACAAATCTAGGCGCCTGAAAGGGGCCAGCGGTATTAGCACTCAAACGACAGACGAACGAGATTTAGGGCTGTAGCAAATTGGGGCAGGCACAGAAATCGAAATGTGAAAGAAAGTGAAGTCATGCGACTCACCTAATTTCTCTGAAGACACTCTCATGTCCACCAATCTTCACAGCACTGTGGAAGTCGAAGTGGGTGATACCGATGGTGTCGCCCAAGACACCCTGCGCGAGCTGGAGATGTCGCGCATACGCGGCAGTCAGCGTCGCTTCATTCTCCTTGTTTCCAAGAAGGTTGATCGCGTGCACATTGCCGTACTCTTCGGTGAGCTGCGCAAAATGGCGGTCAAAAGCAGGTTGGGATGCCTGCGGACGGGTTATCTGAATGCGCTGGCCGAACGTCTGCAAACCCTGTTGTTCCCAGAATACTGTCCGGAAGGAGGGTGCGAGTAAAAGGAGTAGAAGAAACGAGGTGAAGACCGAGTATATTGGATGCGACGAAATACATACATGGTACGCTGCCACGAACTTGTACGTAACTAAAGCAGTGCTGGTCGGTGCTGAACATTGTCTCAGTCTACAGGATAGGTGAGCCTCGCATGTCACTATACATACTACATGACTACACATACCTCAACGAAGTTGGCACAATTCCCGTCGTCGTCGACACCGCGGGTGTTAAAACGAGTACCGGAGCGTTTCCACCCTAGGCGGGAAATGAGGGAGAGCGTCGCAAGAGTAGGAGATCCATTCGTCGGGGGAGCGGGTAAAGGCAACCTGAAGAGGCCTACGTATCCTTGTATTGCCAGAACCTGCACATCGCAACAGGTTCACACGTAAGACCAAACTTTACGAGGCATTAGACTCACAATGAACTGACATCGATCCAGCTCCTCTCTCTCATGCGGATCCAATCGCTCTCGGAAATCAAGAAGACTGCGCACGACGTATTCATTCCAGACAAATCTTTCATCGTATGTTCCTAGGTCCCGTCTGCCGTCATTACCGTCTGAACGCCCAAGCCGCGATGATAGGCGTGATGACAAGTCCCACTGTGGCTCGAGGGCATAGTAAAACGTCCCAGAGGAAATAATCTTGGTGAGCGGCGCGCACGGGTGCTCGAAGACGGGGGTGGCGCTCCCACTCGCAGAGTACTGGTCGCGTAAAATACTGTCAGTTTGCTCCAGCAAGGCAGTGTTAGAGACGGAATCGGTCGTCCAGGACAAGTCGTCCCATGTGCAGGAGGTCAAGCTGAAGAACGCGACCTCGTTTATTCGCACGACAGTTTCCGCGCTCGAAGCAGATGGGCGTGCGTTGCCGAGCTCGGTAGCAGCAGTTACAACCGCAAGGAAGATATCTATCACAGCAAGCGTGTTGCCAGACGGCAGTCTTCTGCATGAAGTACGAGATAACACCAGCGAGAAATGCGCTCACCATTCGAGACAGAGATCAACCCCAAACACCCCTTCACCACTCTCGTAGTCAAACGCACGGCATTAAGGAGATCAACCTGATCCTTGGGCAGAAACTCGACAACGGCTTGCGACGGACTGTTCTCAGCGGCACGAAAGACGAGTACTCTATGCGGACGTCCATGTCGTTCCTCTTGCGAACTGGTGACCAGGTACAGCGTCCGCGGACTTTCTGTCAAATACAAGTGCATTTTACCACAAGGCAAGGCAGTTCGAAATATCTAGCAGTGCCCCGGTCATATATGCCTGCGCACAAGACACAAGGGAGCTTTGCGTCGACTGACAATGGCTACTTTGTTCTACCAGAGATTTCCTCGGACTGCTCTCCACAGTTGGCACTGACAAAAGCAAATAGCAATCGTGGTCAAGAAATGACGGTCAGGTTGACAGTAGAGGGAGTTGACAGTAATTAGAACGAAGCAGCGGAGCGGTTGGTGGCGGGGGATCCGGAGAGATCCATCACAGTCCGTTTCGGGAACTCGCTCTCTACGGCGCCGAACCTTAACCTGAACATGGCAATATATATCATCATTATCACCGCATATAGGAATGGAGGAAGATGATGAGTGCATGCCAGGTACGAACTAATAGCGATACATCCATAACAACACAAGAATGGTCCAATAATCCTGAAATGATCCCGTCGGACAAGTTCTGCGCCCTAAAAAACCTCAAGTGGATCCGGCATATGCACTCGTAGCTCTCCTCATCTCCAAACGTCTGTCATCCAATGGCCTCCCCGTCACTCTCCTTGGTGGCGAACCCAACGCGAATTTGGTCAATCGGTCTGATGGCTGGGGCGAGTCAAATACCGTGTCGCCGGCGGCTAACATTCCTGGAGATGGTGGGTGTGCATAACTGTCACTTGATAACCTCCTCAAGGGAGGTGTGGGGGAGAGAAGGGGAGGAGGGAGGCTATTCATGGAGGGCACTCTCTGCAGACCAATAGAGGACTGGCCAGGAGTTGGGGAAGACGGCACACGCACAAGGCTCGGCGAGCGTGGCGCTATGATGCCCTCGGATGTGTCGCGCCGCCGTTGCTTTGGCCGCAAACGCGGCATTCTGTCGTATAAGGACTTGAAAAGCGAAGCACGAGGGCGAGTCATGATGGGTTTGGATGGTGATGTGGGAGTGGCGGGTATGATGTTGTTCTCTTCGATATTCCGAAATAAAGCATTCAGTCGGTGCACCGAAATTGGGGTAGCTGTACATACCTGCACTCAGTGGGAGGGCATTATCGTTTGCACTGAGACTGAGGAAGAGAAAGAGGGGAACAAACCAGACACAGATCCCGAAGAAAGTCGCGATCTCCGCAAATCCTGGAGCCGCCTGAGAATCTTGGGGACTACGATACGTGCGTTGAGAGCGATGTCGCGTCTCCTGCGTGATTCGTGAAAAGTAGAAGAACCAGAAGAAATGGTCCAATACGACAAGAACACACGATGCGACGAAACCGAGCGAAGAAAGGGATATGAACGGCCAACTGGCAGTGAAATTTTGGAGGTAGACGATGTGGCAGAATATGGAGAACATGATGAGCTTTAAAGGCAGAGAGTCTGATAGATACAGGAGTATATGGAGGATGATGATCCCCTGTAAAAACTTCTGTAAGCTCTACGTGACTGAAGAGGGACTGAGAATATATACATATGTGCTTCTCTGGCCAACTGCCTTGGATGTGCGCGAATGTTCTTCGATTAGTTCGGACAGCCATAATAGACCGCTCGCTGATGAAACACGAATGATGAAGTCCACAATAGCGCAAGTTGAACACAATGTATTTACCTAAAGATAGTATCACGAATATGAAGGCCATCGCAGCGCCAACGTAGCTATGAAGATAGTTAGAATTGTGCTAGCAGGACAAGCGGAAAAGTCTCACCTAAGGCTATGGAGTAGTGTCATGCCGCAAATCACTCACACAGGTAGTAAATCTGTTGGGAATTACTGTAAACTAAGGCATCCAAGCGGCAATAATGCTGGGGTGCTTGAGTCACAAGAGCAGGAGCGCGATGGGCGCTTCACCCTGACGCGTCCCACGTGGAAAGTGGAGACGTTCCTTCTTCGGAACACCGCCACCGTTCAGCACGACGACCTCTATCCAAGTACTTCCACTCCGCATATACCACTATCATGAGCAACCTCGAGAGTGAGTTATGTCATGTGTATTGTAATTTACATGATCTGATACTCCTTAGAGACTCTATTCCAACTTAAAGTTCGCTATACCTCGTCTGACTGCCAGGAGTCTATCTGACATCATTACTAGTTCACCGCCAAGTCTTTGAATCGACAAGCGAAGAAAGCACAGAAAGACGAAGGATCGGAGAAAGCCCGTTTGAAGAAGGTGGATATTCAAAGCCATAGTCAGTATGTAGATAGTTGACGTCTGTGCAGGCACTCCAGCAGGGCAACACAGACGGTGCGCGGATATACGCCGCGAATGCCATTCGGAAGAAGAACGAGTCACTCAATCTCTTGAGGCTATCAAGCCGTGTGGACGCCGTCGCGAGCCGCGTAGAGACCGCGGTGACGATGCGCCAGGTGTCAGGCAACATGACTTCTGTTGTACGAGGCATGGACAAAGCCATGGAGAGCATGAACCTCGAGCGTGTGCGTCTGATGATTCCTACCTCGCATATGACTATTAACCTGAATTTTCTGCTATCGAAGATCTCCCTTGTGATGGAGAAGTTTGAATCGCAGTTTTCCGATCTGGACGTCCAAACATCCTACATGGAAGAGACTATGTCCAATACCACTGCTGTTTCCACACCGCAGGACGAAGTTGAAGCCTTGATGAAGCAGACCGCGGAAGAGGCGAACATTGAACTGCAACAAGATCTCGCTTCGAAGGAATTTGCGTCTGTGCCAGATCTCACCCAGAAGGAGAAGATCGGTGAGGAGGACGACAAGTTGGCGGCGCGGTTGCGGGCACTGCGGCCCGCTACATGATGTCGCCGCGTTCGTTGCCGCGGACTAGCTGTGTATGTCAGGCTGTAGAAGTTGTGGGATGGGTTTTGGATAGTTGTCGACGTCGCAAGTTTATTATGTATTTCATCTACGTGTAATATCCGCATCGCTGACCGCGTTTTAGAGTGCATTCTGTATGGACAAATGGTATCTCGCTGCTGGAGGCGAGGGGAGTCTCCTTATAGTGGTAGGGGAGTTAGGTCCTAGCGGAGTTTGAAAAACCTAACCTACCGGCGCGGGCGGCCCCGCGTCATGTGCCCACTCAATGCGGCAGGCAACCTGCCCCAAATGGCATTTCTGATGTAAGCACATACCTAAGGTTGGGCACTGCACTACAGCTATTCAAATTACACACTCTGCGGCATGTTTTAATAAAAATTAGTGTCCATAACTGAGTGCTCTATATGCTCTCTAAACATGAAAAAATACTGCCTATGTACAGTTCCAGATGAGGACCACAACCATGATAACACTTATGTGCAGCCAAACCTGCACACTGGGACTTTTCTCATATTCAATGCATGTCCTGCCAGTAAAAATTACAACTGGCAGTCCTTGTGATATCATGGAAATTTCTTAAGGTTGCAGGAGAAACTCAGTGCATTCAGATGGCTACAGTGAATGCAACTGCACTGGGCCAAAGTTTTATTGTGCTACAAGAGGGACATACACTCTTGCCCGAAGGGCGAGCAGAAAATTTAAAGGATTTCTGCATGCCGTGAATGTGTAAAATTTACAGGACCTAAGCTTCATTAGTTGCCTCACAAGAAGAGTCATCCCTGCAGTTGTGTTCCTATGTCTGACTGTACTGCATGATTTGAATATAACTCTGGAAAATCATCATGGATTATGTGTAAGTGGCATGAAACCCGATATTCATACACCAAGGCACTTTGCGCAGGAGTTGAGGACATGCTGGGCATCACACAAAGATACAGAGTGAATACCTTCTCGCTCGCTCGAATTAATTTCATTTAATTTATTTAATTTCCGGCCAACCCTACCACTATAAGGAGACTGCCGGCGAGGGGAGTCTCCTTATAGTGGTAGGGGAGTTAGGTCCTAGCGGAGTTTGAAAAACCTAACCTACCGGCGCGGGCGGCCCCGCGTCATGTGCCCACTCAATGCGGCAGGCAACCTGCCCCAAATGGCATTTCTGATGTAAGCACATACCTAAGGTTGGGCACTGCACTACAGCTATTCAAATTACACACTCTGCGGCATGTTTTAATAAAAATTAGTGTCCATAACTGAGTGCTCTATATGCTCTCTAAACATGAAAAAATACTGCCTATGTACAGTTCCAGATGAGGACCACAACCATGATAACACTTATGTGCAGCCAAACCTGCACACTGGGACTTTTCTCATATTCAATGCATGTCCTGCCAGTAAAAATTACAACTGGCAGTCCTTGTGATATCATGGAAATTTCTTAAGGTTGCAGGAGAAACTCAGTGCATTCAGATGGCTACAGTGAATGCAACTGCACTGGGCCAAAGTTTTATTGTGCTACAAGAGGGACATACACTCTTGCCCGAAGGGCGAGCAGAAAATTTAAAGGATTTCTGCATGCCGTGAATGTGTAAAATTTACAGGACCTAAGCTTCATTAGTTGCCTCACAAGAAGAGTCATCCCTGCAGTTGTGTTCCTATGTCTGACTGTACTGCATGATTTGAATATAACTCTGGAAAATCATCATGGATTATGTGTAAGTGGCATGAAACCCGATATTCATACACCAAGGCACTTTGCGCAGGAGTTGAGGACATGCTGGGCATCACACAAAGATACAGAGTGAATACCTTCTCGCTCGCTCGAATTAATTTCATTTAATTTATTTAATTTCCGGCCAACCCTACCACTATAAGGAGACTGCCGGCGAGGCGAGCTATCACCGAGTGACGATAGGCGCCCTGTCCTTCCCACGTGATCCTGGTTACCCCGTCGCCGGCGACCCGTTCTTCGCACCTTGCATTTCTCGCCCCCCACGGTCGTTGCTATGTTCCTGCGAACCTTTCCCTGGGAGACTCCGGATTTTGTTCCTTCGGATTAAGCGTGAACTACCTGAGTGCTGGACATTGGCCGCCATGCAGGCATGGGTCGCACTGTACGCGTATCACACCGATTTCCGTTCATGCAGTTGAGAATGGGCGATCCCAACACTACCGTCAGGATGTTCATGATCTTCGAATCTATTCTCTATCGCCATCTTCGGGCACTTTCCATCAGCTCCCGGTTTTCGGTTGTGGGAATCCCCAGCAAGTTACGGCAGGGTCCCAGTTCGCCACCTCAGCGGAATTTGACATCAGCGCATGCATGGCAACGACCGTCGCCTGCTAGCTGCAGACTGCCCTTGTTTCTTTCTTATCAGCTTCGAGCTACGCAAGCGTCTGGATGCCTCGCCCACCCTTTGCCTTCTAACATTGCGGCCCCAGCTCCACCGCGATCGCTCTTTTTCGCAGGAGTACGGTACAATGTTCGTGCTCCATTTCGCCCTAGTCGGCGTTTTTCTACTTGTATTGGGACCGCAGGCCGTATTTTCGCTCTTCAACTCTATCACGTTTTCAGCCGTCGAGCAGTGCGGTAATTTTTCCATCTACTTTTCAGGAGGCAAGTTACCAGCTGCGCTTCCCTTGACATTGACTGTCGTGCCCTTCGACTCTACCCCAATTTCCATCGTTTTACCTGCGTCGGCGTGGGACAACTCAACTGCGACCGGTGCGGCGGTCAACTTCCTTCCTCTCGCTGCGGGTGTCGAGTTTGTAGCATCCTTGGACGATGCTCGTGGTGTGGGCACCGGGCTGGTTTCTGATGTGATACAGGTGCAGTCATCGAACGACAGCACATGTCTGCATCAGAACGAGACGACAAGACATTACGTGGTTGGAGACGACTTGCAACAGTGTGCTCCATTCAATGTCACGTATAACTCGACGGTTGACAGTGTGCCGACTATTCGTGGATTTGTCCCTCGAGGAGCTTCGTTCGCCGTAAATCAGACCGAGTCCGACGATCAGGCGGGTACTGCCATCTACATTATGGACGTCTTCCGCGAATTGCAGACAGTTCTACTGCTCAGTAACAATGCAACCGGATACCGCGAGACGACTGCTCTTCTAGCCATAGGCGGGGACTCGATGAGCTCAACCTCGTGCATCCCGTTGTTTGTGCCGAATGCGACGACTACCGCATCATCTATGGAAGCAATCAAGTCGAAATCTAAGGGTTTGACAAAGTCAGTGACTGGATTCATTTGGAATATGCCCGGGGAGCTCATCCTCTCGTATTTATCAGAGGTGATATCATCGCGATTGCAGTGGTTCCTGGGACTATCGCTTTGGCAATCATAGTTGTCGTCGCAGTGTTACTCTACCGTCGCCGCAAAGCACGGATGACCCGCATGGCGAATATGAGGAACGGCTCTTGGGAAATAGTCGAGTCACCTGATGTGGAAGGGCCTCCCGTATCCTTCGCCCGTGGTGATGCGGAAGACCTTCAAGACCTTCCCTCTTCGACTGCTTGGGACCAAAAGGAGTCACCCCAGCTGTTTACACCAATGGCAGATATTCGTGAGGATGGCGCAGATACTGCACGCTTCGTCAAAAACCCGCTGTACACCGACCCAGACATGAGCTTTGTCTCAATGTCCTCGTTTTCTCCATCCAACTCCATCTCGAGCAGTCTAGTTCTGAGTGTGCACAGTAGCAGCAGTAGCGCGCGGGGGTGCTTGGCCTCGTCCGCTCCTTTCGCCGTCTCGCTCCCATCAAACCCTAGAGCCTTCCGCCATTCAGACGGTGTCAAGCGTAGCCTGTCCAGGAGGCGCTCGAGCCGCTCACGCGTAGTGCCCACATCGCCCACATCTTCCATTTCCACAACAGACATAGAGCACATCCTTGACATGGCAACCATGTATTCCGCGGACGCGATCGAAAATCCCAACCTGCCTCTCCCGCCTCCACTCCCGGTGCAAGATACGGCACGGACGAGTGCCTACTTTGCAGGTAGACAATCCATCCCGGTGTCGTTCAGCTTCAGTGTCGAGCGCGACTCGCTGCAGCAACCCGCGATGCCCACGCTTCATCAGCCTACTGGCCCTTCTCCCTTAGCTAATACGATTCCGGAGTCCGCTGCCTCTCCCGTGCGCTCTACCCAGTTGGTCACCGTGCACACTAGGCGTGCCAGTACTCCACTGACTTACCGCGAACCTCCCACTGCGCCTCTCCCGACGTCTCCACTTCCGTCGCCGATGCTATCACCACTGCATGGCGGGCTTCGCCCGCCCAATGACTCAGATGGAGATTTGCGACTGTCTACCAGTTCTGCGATGTACTCGGTGGACTTTGCGCCGGGGACACTGCAGAGCTTCCAGCTGGTCAGTCCGCCGGGCGGCCCGCAGAGGGATAGCTTGCAAGTATGAAATGGTGGTTCATATGGACAAAGTATCTCGAGCGGGCTCTTGTTGTTTTACTATAAACTTATCCACTCACCTTCTGGCACAATACTCACTGCTCGCGCTCTGTTCGTTTATCCTGTTCGACTTCTTCTTGTGCCCCACTGGCAAACTACGTACTTTTTCCTGGCTACTCGGAGGAGTGGTCGGCCTTCGCTTTGTTGTGCCCACCTCGACGTTACGTAGTTATTGCAGTGTATCGAATCCTGCGTGTACAAGTTATGGCGTAGTATCCAAGCAACGTTCCTGTCCGTGTGCACCCAGTGCAAGCGAATATCAACTGCATAATCGTACAGTCAAGCGATGAAATCCAAACATTCCAAGGTATTATGCGATTGCAAGAACATCTACCACATGGTAACTCGTACGGAGCAAATTCGTAGTCGTAAAACGTGAGGAGTGGGCAGGTCATCAACAGCCGAGGGTTACAGCCCATGTGTAAGTAATGCCAGGAATTCGAAGTGACAAAGATTGCTGAGTATACATGACGGAATGATTGATATCCAGTAGATGGGGAATACAGAACGTATGATAGATGGCGCAGCAGATCATATTGCATAACATTGTGTCGTGCAAAACCCAAACAGTGCAACAGCGAGGCCAGCATAACGGAAGCAAATAGCTGATATGATAGAGTAGATGCGCAAGAGGAGCAGAAAAAGAATCAAACGAATGACTGCGAAGGATGGGTCGACATACGTAGTCAGTGGTTCTCCTGGACAACATGGACGAATCTGTCCAGGAGAACCCGCTTTCCTCGCTCGTCAAGGCCAGGAGCAGAGTCAAGAAGCCTTTGTACGTGCAAAAGAAGACCGAATGGACCGTCTAGCGGTATGGCATGAGCATCGAACCGATGAACAACTGTCAATACGACGTCAGCGACTCCACGAACGAGAGTTAGCGGTGATTCAAACTCACAGGTTTTGAATGTCGCATACGCCGCGTCCCCCAGCGCCTCGCGAAACGCTGCAGCCACATCTGCGGCGGCGACGGACCCATCTGCGCTCAATCGGCCCTCTTCATCAACGGTAGCGCCCCTCCATCTCGCCCGGGCCCTTACTGCCGCAGCCGTACTCCCACCTACAGTCGTTCCCACACCCCCAATCTGCAGCAGTGCGTTCTCGCGCAGGCGCGTCGGTGCCCACGACAGGCCCAGGCCCAGGTCCAGCGAGCGACCTTTGCCTGCAACCCGAGGATGGCGAGACTGCGCTTCCTGAGAGCTCACGCCGCGGGGGCCATTCGGGACAACGGGGCGTTTCCGCTCGTCAGCGGGAGAACCGGGGATGGGAGGCACCGCGGGCTCAAACTTGAACGGTCCATGAGTCGGCCGCGCCATGCGTTTGCCCGCACTCCGGCCCCAACTGGAGTTCTTCCCAGATGAATGCGATGAGGTGGGCGAAATAGGTTCCTTGTCGGAGTCATTGTGATGGCTGTTACCGCGAGAGTGGTGTACCTGGTGTGAGCGGGGAGGATTAGACGTCGCAGTTGAGCTCCCGGTTACGCGTCGTGTGAGGAAGTAGCTGGACGTGTTGACGTCCAGTTTTGGTTTTGTCTTGGTTTTGTCCTGTGAAGAAGCCAGCGCTGCTGCCTGATGAGACTTCGTACCTGCCTCATCTTTGGCAGCAAGCTCCCGGCGAGACGTACCCCTTGTACTGTGGCTGCGCTGCATGGCGTGAGGCTTGTCCGTATCCCCAATGCCCATTTGGGTCAACGCGGCCTTCATATCGCTGGTCACGACTGCATTAGCTGACAGAGGGCGTTCGAAGTCGAAGCTGCCATGTTTGGTCCGGTTTGCCCTAGCAGCTATCGCGGCGGCATTCCCATTAGCGCCGGGTAAAGCGTCCCGGGTTCTGCTCTGCTTGCTGGTCCCACTCCCACTGGCGACCTTCTCCACGGGCACCGGGCCAACGGTTGATCTGGATTCTCGCTCACGCTCCCGGAGAGCGGGTGAACCAACTCTGCGGGGGTGCGTGATGTGTTCGCGATCCCTCTCCCTCTCTTTCTCCTTCCACCGAATCCCCTCCCGCTCCTTCTCTCGCGATCGTTCACGCGAACCCCACATTGCCTCCTTCTCCCTGTCAGAGGGCGCACCGGTAAGCCTCGGTGTTCGCAACCCACACAGCGGAGAGCACCTCCCTCCCAGGTCAATTGTCTCTGTATCGGTGTCGTGGTTTCGTTCCAGATACTCGCCGCGGGTGGTCAGTAGATGGATTGGGGGAGGGCGCGCGGCAGGCGCAACGACGTTGGGGCGAGAAGGCTTGCCGGAATCTAACCGACGGTCCTTGATCGTTCTCTCGATGTCCAATGACGGACGCTTGTTCGATTCCTCATGGGACTTATGAGAGGTGGATCCTGAACCGGAATGTGAGCCCCAGAGAGGATGGTTGCTGGTTACGCTACTGGGGAGTAAGGCAGCGGGCGCTGATCCAGGAGTAGGAGGTCGAGACTTGGGCTTTCCGCTGTCCTCGAAGGACGCCTTCCGCGGACTGGAGATGGAAAGCCCGAAGAGGTTCATCTTCTTTCCCTTAGAAGACAGAGAGGTGGGTTCAATGACTGTGTTTTTGTAGACTGGGGTGGAACGAGGTTTTGGAAGTGCCGTAGCACGAGGGTCAGCTGGTGTCGGTGTCCTGGGTAGCGGCTTGACAGTAGTGTTCGTTGCGGAAGACAAGGGTCGGGAAACGCTGCGTGTAGTCGGCCGTGGAGCGGAAGACGATGCACCTGTATACTCATCCTCGTCCTCTATGCTTGCACGGCGCGCATGCGCGGCAATAGGTTCCCTGGCTAGAGGCATCGGCATGTGGCTGACGGCGGCGTCGAGGGAGCGCGACCGACGTTTCTTTGAGCGAGAACGCGAACGCGATCGACTCAAAAAATTAACGATCTAAACATTCCAACACGTAACGCGTCGGAGTCGCGTGAAGCACGCGTTGTCGGCACTGAAATACCAAAGACAGATGGAGAGGACTCACCCTCGTTCCCAATCCCCTTCCCTGCCTCTCTTCTGGTAGGAGCTCCATCATTTGTGTATCCAAGTTTGCGAGCCGTGTGTTCAGGTTTTTGTCACTACCCCGGAAGGCGAATCTGGGATCTTCAGGCGCTCGCGTCTACGGTAAGCCGTTGGAGTAATGTTAGCACAGGCTGATGCTGCTGGGGACGGCGGGAACGGACCTGGACAGACAAGAGGGTATGGACACGCTGGGGCTTGCTGTTGGAGCGAACGAGAGACTGAAACTGAAGAGGAGAACGGAACCCAACACGTGTTAGGCACGTCTCGAGACCGTCATTTGGGTGAGGCGTGTTGAAGAACTCACATCTCTGGTGAACCTCACACGAGCAGCGTCAATCAAACCTAAGCTCCGTCTTCTGTCGTGCTGTTCAGAAGGAGCCAATGCATGAGCGAGGTGCACGGCGGAGTCGAGTAACGAAGTGGACGTCGTGGACGGTGGTGCTAAGGACGACCCGGAGAGACAAGAGTTGTCTGACTGCACGTCTGACGATTCTCCAGGCGACATTGGGTGTTCCAGGGGCGACAAGGGGACATATAACGATGCGTGTGTCGAGCGAGGGTGTGCGGTATATATCCAACAGTAGCACTATTAGCAGATCTATGTGGGAGAGGTTCGTAGCAGGCGTGAGAAAAACATATCGCCTCTCTCCGCTGTTGCCGTTTGTCATTTCGACCACTGCAGCCATGCGACAGCCTCCCCCAGCCGCCACGTAAATCTTCCTACCTTCATTACGGTCGCTTCCATCTTCTCCAACTTCCAGCTCTGGTACAACCGTCACGCAATACGGCATGGGGTCATATGCTCTCCCAGGACGTGTGCACGATCAGTCAGTCAGACTCAGTCTCGCCGTGTCTCGCTACACTTTCGCCCCGTATCTCCATCCTCGAGGACGAGTTCGTTCTACCTTCCTCTATTTATGACGGTCCAATCAGCCACGCGTCCTCTAACGATTGATACGACTTGGGTCCGAAGCTCTAACTGGCAGATATTCCTACTGGTTCCCAGGTACTTTGCTTCGTTCTTTTTCTAGAGAGGGTTTTTCCTTCCGGTCCAAAAATTCCCTCATGGCCTAACTTCTCGTGAATACTTCAGCAGCTCCGACCGTGGGTGCAGGTGACTGGATACTCTATCTAGTTGTCGCTCCCAGCTTAAACTATCCGTGACCAGAACAACAGTTATGTAGGACCAGTCACGCGTAGTGGGGTGAGCACCTATCAGCGTCTACTCTGGGAACTTCAAACTCGCTCGGCGCCAGCGCAACTCCAGCTATTAAGCTTGCACTGGTGTTGCGCTGACTCTGATAACGATGTCTGATTGTCGTCCTAGTACCAACAGCTGACGTCATTTGGCACCCAAAACTTTGATACATGTGGCGTGTCCTCTTGAAAGGCAGGACACCTCTTCCGCCGGCCCGTCCTGCGACACATTGGTCTCGATCGTGGTAGCTGGCACGTCCCTTCGCGTGTGTCGCGTCCGCACTGAGCCACGGTCCATGCATGGATTCATACTCTGAAAGTTTCAGGCACTAGTCCATACAGCTGCAGCAAGGCTCCAGAGGTTCCTGAACGTTGGAGCAATGCGGGGAAAACACCTCTACGGTGCCGGCAACACACCATACAAACAACTCGATCATTGGGATCGACCGGAAAGTAGTGCCTGGCCATGTTCTTGACTTCTCTCCGCTCGCGTGACAGTCGCGAGGTCGACCTTGAGGGTCGCGATGCCATTGATGCAGGGTTGCAACGTTTCTGCCTCAGGATACCTGCATATATATGTAGCGACTGTGGCGATCGTCTTGTCTGCGGTCGCAGTTCTGTATACTGTTTGTGCAGGGAGTACGTGTTTGGGGCAACTTCTGTATGGTTTTTGTCAAATTCGAATTGCTCCTTCTGACTCACTTATGAAGATGTTTACATGTGTGCTCGTACTCAGAATATGCCACAATGTGATGAAAAGGTGTGTATTCGACTATAAACCCCAGAAATAATTTATGCGAGACTAGCAAAGCCCACACGAGTGTTTCCAACATCGAAAGCAGTATAAACGTTCTGCAAAAACACATCTCCCAAAATCCAGAAACCTGCACGAGGAAAGGAGTTCACATGCGTTAGCACAGCTCTAACTGGTTGGCAGCTTCCTACTCACCAAGAGACGGCTGACCCATAAGCCCACCCAGGCAGTTATTCGACCCATCGTTCAGCGGGCCCTTGTTAAACGTCTCAGGGCTAACGGTGAACACGGTCCCACTGATGGTAATGTTAAGCGGCGAGACCGCGTCGCACGGGATCGAGTATGTCTCCTGCCCGTCCGTGCCCAGCTTCTGCGAGCCCGGAATCGTCGCGTACAGTTGCTCGACTGACTGCGTGTCGCCGACGATGAGCGTCGTGCCCGTGTCGACGATGCCGGTAATGTTCGTGACCGCAGAGCCGTTGAACGCCATGGCATCCACACCGATCATCCAGAAGCCCTGTGCCCAACACGAGCGCGTCAGCACGACTTCAGCTGAAGCCCGGGAGCAGGATACTCACGTCGCCGGTGAGGTCCGCGTACGTGAAGTCGCCCGTGTACAGTGCGGGATTCACGCCACCGAGGAAGAGCTCGGACCCGTTCTGCGCGAGCTTAAATGCGAAGACGGGCTCGTCGGTCGCGTTCTCGGCGATTAGCGACTGGAAAAGCGGGTCCGCGTTGTATGCCGAGAGGCTTTTGAACGCCATGCCCAGCAGGCCGTCCGAAGGCCTGTTGGGCGCCGCGAAATTATTGGACAGCTGCGTCGCGGCCCCGAGCGTCTGGTTCGTGACCTGCAGCAACACGCAACGCAAGTGTGAGTTCATCTCCGTGCACTGCGCCGCAAGCGGGACTCACGGTGAAGCCGCTCAGGGATACTGTGTCGGTGTACTCCGCGCCTTGCACGGTCGAGCCGTCGCCGTACTGGAGCGTGAAACCCGTGTGGAGGTCGACGGCGGTCGTGCTCTGGTTCGGGTTGTAGAGCGTGTGCCCGGAACACGACGGTCCGCATGCGGACCCGGGCACGAAGAGGTCGCTGCTGCCCGTGTCGAAGTCGACCATGAACGCCACTGGAGGCGTGCCGACGGTGATATTGCCGTACCACATCTGCCCGCTCTGGACGCCGATGAGCTCGTCGGCGCCTGTGGCGCGCTTATTGGCGGTGGTGCCCGCCCCGGTTTGCCCGGCGAGCGGGTGCGCAGTGCCTGTGTTGTGTTCATAGGCTGCCATGCCTGCGCGGTATTTCCTGTGTGGTGCGAAGTGAGTAGACAGACAGACAAGAGGGAGACGGTGGGTGCATACGCAACGGCAGACGCAGCATGATTTTTGAGACCTTCTACATCAGCAATTCCACTGTTGTTGAAGGTTGACCGTTTGTTCAATGCGATGCGCATATTACGAGGTTTAGCCGGCTGAAACTCGACGGGATGGGAAAAAGATAGCACGGGAAGGAGCGTAGCGACGAGACCGGCCGTCAAAATCATGGTGTCGATGAGCAGGCGAAGTGCGAAAGATATGTTGTGTAGGATTGTGCCAGACAATGCAGGTCAGCGGTGAAAACATCATGCTTATATACACAGAAAGGTCGGAAAGGGAAGAACGGGATCGCAGCAGACGGAAGGATATGGCGGACGCGTCGGGAGGATGTGCGGGGCGGGATGCGCTGCTGGTTAGTATTGCAATCCCATCCGGGCCTCTGCCCGCGCTCAGCGCCGCAGTTACAATCCAGCAATTGTGATCCTGTTGTCAGAAACAGACTTCGAGTGGGACTGTAAGGCGCACACTGCAGTGAATAAACACCAGGAACAAGAGCAACTTTCGGTCATAATCCCACAACACTCAGATATCGGAGTAGCAGGCGCACACGAGGTTCTAGAGAGGCGAGAGGCAGCCTCAGGGCAACGGTCAAAATCGCAATCTCATCCATGCCGCACGCCCATCGCCGAGAATCTGTCGGGATGGCACTTGCGGGACACGAACGGTAAAGTATGGCGGCCCACTAGCTGCGCATCCATACGGAGCCGTTCCAATTTGATAACGGAAAGCTTCTTCCTCGCAGCCGGACACTGCGAGGAGCGCACCACCAGAGAATGCTCCTCACTTAGCCGCCCAGCTTGGGAGAACCACGATACTCATCACCTAGGAAAAATGAGACCTTGCATGATGAGAAGTCCACGAAGACATGAGAGTTGCATGCGAAATAATGGGCGCCTTGCCGGTCAATGCGAACATCGCCATTACGCGCATAGCTCGCTCCCCAACCAGGATGGCATTTTCTGTCTAGCATTCAAAAGATCGACGAAGGAGGGTATAACGGTTCTCGATGTTTGTGGGCACCAGCTGGAGGACATGGTATGTAAATAACGAAGCCAATGAATGGTTTCTTTGACTACTCACCCACTCGAATGCCAATTGTAGGATCTCCGGCATGGTCTGAGTGCTCAACTTCCTTTTTTCTGAGGGTACGTCCCCAAAGTCAGCTTGAGAGACTCAGGCCGAGCAATATTGACCTCAGTGTAACTGCAGTCCGCTGAGCCCAGACAACCGGGATTGACCGCAGGATTCGCTGCCGCCGCTGTGCGAGATCGAGGTTACGATTATTATGTGAGAAGCGTGGGTGGTGTAATTACTGAACTGCACAATCAATCCATAACAGCGACAGTGCGACAAGTAGGGTCCTGCTGCCGGATACAGAAATCGAGTGAGATTGTTAGGCCGAATCGCAGTTTAGTAATACTAGTAGCAACAACAGAAGCAGCATTTAGTCGAAGTTTCATAGAATGCTCGGGTGTTGGAGACAAAGCGGGAGGCATTCATGAGGTCGTGGTAACAAGAGGCGGCCTCAGAGCACCGGTCAAGGTCATATCGTCCGTGCTGACGTTCATAGCCGAGAATGTGTCGGGATAGCGCGTGGGGGACATAGGCCGTAAAAACAGGCGGCAATGTGGGTCTGCGTTTCTATCGAAATCTGACAACAGGAACTTTCTTCCTCGCAGTCGCGGCACCAGCAGGGTAATTCTCCCGGCTTAGCCATACAGCCTGCAAGAACCACGAAGCTCGTCAGCTGGAAAAAAAATGAGACCTCACATGATGAGACGAGTCCACGAAGACATAGAGCTGAATGCGAATAACGGGCGCCTCGTCGGGCAACGTGAATGTCGCGTAAGCCTTGCTGTTACGCACAGATCGCGCCCGCATCAGGTTCTTTCCTGTCGTGCATCAAATTCAAAAACCCAAAAAGGTGACCCGTTCTGAAGCGATATCTTTCTAAGCGACCCCGGATGCGCCTGAGCATGACGTATTCACGAGCTGTGCTCTGAGCTTTCAGTGGACTTGTAACAGAGAAGAGAGTCGAGCACGCACCTGCCTATTCTGCAGGCAGTCCAAGTGGCATATCAGGCACTAGACGCGTACACCTCAACGCGTCACCTCGTGACCTGCTAGGATCCGTACGCGTCTCGACCGCCAATGCGGATCGGACCTGATGGCCGCTATCGCGTAGCTGTCCAACAGACACATCCCTGTGAACGCAATTGCTCATCTCAGGGCTAGAGAATGAGAAATTCGAATTCAGAGTGCTGCCTTATAGAGGCTGTGGGAGCCCGTCCGCCTACGACATTGCACACCCTCTCTCACCTACCCTGAGCTGCGGGGAATACGAGCGACTTCCTCGTCATCGGCCAAGCAAGGGAGTGTAGCGCAAGATAGGCAAAATTCACGGTAAAAAGCCACAGCTATGGCGGCGTATCTTTCAAGAACCAATTGTAAAGCCTCCGGTGCAGATCGGGAACTAATTGGCTGGGCTTTTGGGCGTCATTACGGTCTTTTCTTGGGATGTATTTTGGGCCAGTTGGCAATCCTTCCGCGTCTCGGGAATTCTCGGTGACCATGTATGACCCAAAGATGAATTTCATGGTACAGCGTGACGGAGGAACTCATGGCAAGAATCGAACTAATTGGCGGATCGACAGAGTAGGGTCATGGCATCGCCGCAGGGACCGCACTGGGACCGCCAAGCAGACACCTTAAGCATCCAGCAGGCCGTTTCAGTGCAGGTGCGTCCTCCACATATTGTATGTGCTGTCAACTAAGCGGGGCAAGAAGGTCAGTAATATCCACGAAAGCAAAGCCAAGAGGACTTGCGGATACCTGTCAGCTTCCTGGACCTTAAGTATTATATTCGAACGGGATTTCTCGGATGCGCCTGTCTTGTCACTTCCGACAGTATGCACCGAAGGTGGTTTCAAATCCGAATAGCTGGAGTAGCCGAAGACAACTCATCATGGCGTGCGCACCAAGTCAGGGTCTTCCCAACTCGCATGGAGAGCAAATGTTCAACAAGATTCTCCTCTGAGAAAGTGCGCCACGCGCGCTGATTTTTTCGAAGAGAATTTGCTGAACAACGTATGTTGGCTACCAGAGATGAAGGCGGTGGACGCGACGCGCCGACTTGGGCGCACGCGTCGGCGGAGCGGCGCTGAAGTCACGTGGAGGTAGGTGCAATAGTGTCGCCATCGGTCTTGCAGGGTGAATTACGACGAGCTGCACGCAACATGGCGCCGACAACAGACATCTCCTCTCCGCCCCTTCTTCCCTGCGTGACTTCTGCACGTCACCCACGCTGCGCTGTCGCCAGGCTTAAGAACCCTTCTCTCCGCATATCCCCGACTTCTTATCCTTGCCCGCAGCAAAATTTTCTACCTACCTGACCATCTGCCTCTCTCCAATTTCTCTGCAATGAGTTTCGCAAAAGTAGGCGCGAGACGCATCAAGTTACCTGGTCGCAGGCCCACAAATCGATCTGCAACAGTCCAGGCAGCGTCGCCATGCGCGAACCCGCCCCCGCGCACTGGCGATCGCCCGTTCTTTCCGTGCGTCGAAGCTCATGCCGCTCGCGAGTCTCGCATTCGCAGCAGCATATTGGGATCCCCTCTCTCTATTTCCTCGTCCTCCATGTCCAAGTCGGGGGGCCCAGAGGTTCCCTACGCCCGCCCTAGTCCCACATCATACAAGATCTACCACCACGAGTCTCCTTTCCCGCTCACCTATGCAGACCCCCTTCCGTCGTTTGATATCGCCTATGAGACCTGGGGTACCCTTTCTCCTGCAAAGGACAACGTCATCCTCCTCCACACTGGCCTCTCTGCTTCTTCGCATGCTGCATCGACCGAAGCCAATCCGTCCGATGGCTGGTGGGAAAAATTCATCGGCCCAGGACGTGCACTTGATACAAACCAATTCTTCATAATATGCACGAACGTCTTGGGCGGATGCTACGGCTCAACGGGTCCGTCGTCGTTAGACCCTACTTCGGACCAGATATACGGTACCCGATTTCCCGTCGTCTCCATCTTGGACATGGTGCGCGCGCAGTTCTGTCTCTTGGATCATCTAGGCATCGAGAATCTCTATGCGAGCGTTGGTTCGTCGATGGGTGCGATGCAAAGCCTAGCAGCAGGATGGCTATACCCAAAACGAGTGGAGAAAGTGGTCAGCATTAGTGGGACAGCGAGGAGCAGCCCAAGCGCCATTGCGATGCGATTCGCACAGCGGAGTGGTAGGAGCATTCATGTATGCCTTGTGTACTGCATGTGCTCATATCTTCGCAGTGCTAATGGCAGATCCGAATTGGAACAATGGATTCTACTATGACGGGCTCCCACCACACACTGGCATGAAGCTTGCACGACGTACGATTTTTGTCGTTATACCACTTGCGCATTCGTTGACGACTGTTTCTCCAGAAATTGCGACTATCACATATCGATCCGGTCCCGAGTGGGATATCCGATTTGGGCGCAAACTGAGACCGCTACAAGAAGTCCAGGAACTGGGACATGAACTCGAACATCCACGCAGGCATCCATCAAAACCGCGCATGCCTGCATTGTGTCCGGATTACATGATAGAGACTTATCTCGACTACCAGGTATGGCCAATGTGCACACAGTGCGCTCTGCCACCGCAGCTGACCTCCTTCCTTACAGGGCGAGCAGTTCTGTCTCAAGTACGACGCGAACTCGCTCATCTACATCTCGAAGGCGATGGACGTGTTCGACTTGACGCTCCCCGCGCTCACTGAGCTGCAACTGGCTCCGGCCCCCCCACGCCCGCTCGGGCCCGAGTCGTCCGGGCACGCGCATCAGCACTCGTACCACTACGCGCAGCGCGGACACTCTCGCTCGCACCCGCCGCCGCCGAACCCGCCGCCGCACCTGAACGCGCTCGCGGAAGGCCTCCGCCCGCTCGCACACACGCCAATGCTCATCCTCGGCGTGCAGAGCGACATCCTTTTCCCGGTCGAGCAGCAACGCGAGGTCGCGGACGCGCTGCACATCGCGGGGAACAATATGGTCAGCTATTACGAGCTCGGCGGTGTGTGGGGCCATGATACGTTCTTGTGAGCATGCCGTTATTCTACTCATGCAAGTTGGTTGCGGGTGCTGATCTTCTTTTAGGCTGGACGTGCAGAATGTGGGAGGCGCGATTCGTGGATTCTTGTCTTAGGACGTCTATGCTACGGCTTGGTTGAAGACGGCATTCGGTCTAGTTGCATCAGCGCTCTCTTCACCCCCCGCTCTGTCCAGCTATGTTATCGCTCCGAGAGTCGCACCTTGCGTATTGGTACACGATTGCCGGGACGTCAATGCGAAGTTTTGGAATCGGGATCACGAACTATCTATGGTTGCACGATTACGACTGCGCGCTCGGTGTGGGCGCATCTGATATGATGTCAATTGGTGATACCTTTGGCTTTGTTTGACTCGGGCTGATACTTTGACGGATCGTGGTAACATGTGTACGTAGCAGTCTTGGTAGGCATGCTCATGTGAAGAACGCAGTTTACGCGCGGTGGAGTTGTTTGGCTAGATCTATTTCAAAACTCTGCTGCTGCTGAGCACTGGCAGGTAACTTGTTACATGTTATTTCCGATATCTATCGGGAGGTGTCTAGCACTGGTTACAGCGATACATGTGGGGAGACATAGCATAGACAAAGCACGGACAAAGCAAGGGATAGAACATGTACAGTACGTTAGGAGGATAATGAATATCATACGTATTGCATCGACAGAACGCCTCACTCAGATCTATAGGACTGTCGCATCGTTTTACGACTCCCAGCAGATACGCCTCCGTTTCTTCCGAGACCGTTCGCCAGCGTGACAAAGCCAGCCTAGTTTTCATAGTCCCCTGATGATGGCAGAGGCGGCGGCGCAAGTTCATTGGGATAAGCGGCACGACGTTGTTCCCCGTCTCTCTTCATAAACTCCTCGAATTTCATCACCGCCTCCACCATCCCAGGCGGCGGCATAGTGTAGTATGAGCGGTACGGCTGATCGGCCTCGTGGATCTGATATTGGCATGGAGCTAGGGGTTGCAGCAGTAGAGACCTCGCCGGGTCAGGCGGGGGCTGGCTAGCCACCACCTGAGGATGCGATCGTCCACCGACGATCCTCCCCAACGCCAACGCTTGATCCGCCTGCTCACGAGTTAACAGCGGATATTGAGGATATATGTTACGCGGCGAGCGGACTGGGGCCGGAGCAGGGGGTTGCAACAGCAGAGGCAAGGCCAGGTCAGACAGCGGGGGTCCGCCGTCCGGTACAAGCGGGGCAAATAGCGTGCTCCGGGGATCCAAGTCGTCGGGGATAGCTATGTGCTCGATGTGATCTGGGAGCGTGACAGGAAAAGGGATGTCCGGGCGCGCCTTCTCCCATCGCGCCTTGATATGGCGGAGCGCCATCTCCAGCCCGTCGCGGCACATCCAGTGGGCATTGAGACACTGCTCGAAGTAGCGCTCCATCTCCCCATACGCGTACGCGAACACCCAGTCGCGCGAGGCCGCCTTCATCAGGCGGTACAGCATCCGGGACATCTTCTCCTGCTGCTTCACCGTGATGGGCAGCGGGGTCCGCTGTCGCGCTTTGGGTTGCATCCAGGTCGGGATACGTGCGCAAGACCACAGCGGTGCGAAGTAGACGTGTTCCCATCCCGTAATGTAGATCTTAGGCCTCGAGCCGGACATATCCACCACGATACGCGACATCGAGAGGTCGCTGTGGCATAATCCGAACGTCTTGCTCTGCAGAATTGTCATGAGATGCTCGTGCGCCTCGGGAGACAGGGAGGCCGGCACGTAGAATCCACCGGTGTGGTAAGGGATCAGCGCCTTGAGGCGAGCCCAGGTCTCACGGATAAGTCGCCGTTCATCAAGGGTGGGGTCTGGCTTGCCAGGCCAGCCGGTTCCTTCGTCATCATCCCCGGCTGATGGTCTGCTGAATATAAGATCAACACGCTGCGCCAGCGCATAGAAGTACTCCAACACAGTGTCCTTGTAACGCTGGGGTGCCATCCAGAGTAAGGGTCCTTGATCAAACGCGGGTGTAAGAAGCAATGGGTCCGGGTAATGTACGTTGTAGGGAGGATATTCGAATCGGAAGGGGGTCCTTCGACTGTGAATATATTCAGAGCGGAAGTTGAACATCTTGACTAGCACCTTCACGATTTCCTCGCAAATCGCCTCGTGTTGTTCGTCTGAAAGAATCGGCCACAGAACATCCAGCGATTGCCCGTTAATCTATCGCAAATGAGCAATTGCTGAAGGAAACATTATCAACTTCTTACCATCTCCAAGATTATCATCTCTGTGCCAAGACCCAGGGAATTTGAGGCCATCTCTAATAAGTTGACCACTCTTGGATGCGGGACACCGATTCCCTGCGCAGTTTCTGACATATCAGCCTGCGTCAAGAGAAACAATGAAAATTAATGGGAAGAGCCAAGAGCGTGGTGAGAACAGCGCACATATAATTCTGACATGAAAAATGGCCGACCGCTAGGAAAACAGACACGGAAACCGGGTGGTCCTTTTGGAACCGATAACGGCTTGAATTTCACTTCAAGCATCTTGCATGAAGTGAAGTCGTGAACAAGCGATGTCATGTCTTAGAATTCAGAACGCATACCTTCTCTCCCGCCCATGTGACCTCCTGGAGAGATTCCACTACAGGTCTAGGGCATACGAAGTCTTCGGATTGTGACTCTGGAAGTAACACGGTATGCGCGAACCGCGCCGCGGTGTTCTCGATGGCGCCACAAAACTTTCTAAGATTCTGCACGTATCCATGTCAGAGCAGCTACATCAGGCCTCCATAAATTCGCATACGATCTTGGGTAATGATGCAGACATTGGATCAGTGGCAGACGGTCAATGTGGAAAGGAGGAATGTTATGGCGCAGAGTGAACAAGTCATTTATCGGTGGATTGACAATAACAAATACATGACAATGCTTCCGTCATGGTCGCTACGAGGGCATGGTCAAACGTAAGCAGCATCCGTCGGCGCTGAACACGCTGACCTACATCTAGACAACCTGGAGGAAGTTCAAATCTCACTGAAATAAGTCTCTCAGAGGGTGCATCTCGAGCACCAGCATCATAGTTAGTATTGAAGAGACACAAAGTGAAACAACGCACAGCGATAAGCGAATACTATCCAGGTCATAGAGGTCACAATAGCGGCATTGACAGCAGCCACGTTGAAACCTCAAGGTAACACCGTCGAGACCATAAACAAGACTTGCCATTCTGGGCCATGGAACTTCCCGATCGGTTATCAAATGGAGTGCCGAGCACGTGCTGTGATGTTCTCCAGTGTACGAAATCGTTTCCACTCTGAGTAGCTACAGTTTACTGCGATGAGATACCTACCTATACATCGAGCGGTCAGTAGTTCAATATTGACAACCCATGGATCTGTGAATCTTCTCGTATTCATTTAGGCAGGGATACCGCAACGAAGTCGCTATGGTCCCTATGCACTCCATATGATTCTGGAGCGCACCAATATGGACCCTACAGACCGTGAAGAGTGGGTATGACGCGCCATGTTTTTTTCAATCATCACCTTACGCACTTTTAGAATGATTCTGCAAAATCCGGCAACTGGGGAAGACATCTCCAAGTACGTGTCATTCGCCTGCACCTCAGCTCTTGCTGAATTGCTGACTCACTATTCTAGAATTGTTATGGCAAACCAGAATGACGTAGAAACAGCTATATTTACAGCAGACGAAATTTTTCAGTCGGGTGTCTGGTCAAGGGCCCCAGCTATCCAACGCTCCGGAGTACTGTCGAATCTAGCAAGGAGGCTCCAGGACAGTTTGAAGCAGATGGCGCGAATCGAGTCTATCCAAACAGGCAGAGCGATACGCGAGATGGATGCTCAGCTTGGGCGTCTCCCAGAATGGTTGTAAGCCGTTTGCTCGTCTTTCTACCGGCACTACGATGGTATGACCTACTACCAGCGATTATTACGCAGCCTTACTTCGCACCCATCAAGCATTTATCGCCCCTACTCAGGGTAAACTGCTGAACTATGTACAACGTGTTCCTCTGGGTGTGGTTGCTCAGATCACGGTCAGTCATTCGAGCATGTTCCTGGTGTCTCGGACAATTGAGATCACTAATTTTCAGCCTTTCAATCACCCACTGTTGATTGCAGTGAAGAAGATAGCACCGGCCTTGGCTGCGGGGAATTCTGTTATTGTCAAACCCAGCGAGCTCGCGCCAATATCGCTCCTCCACTTCGCAGAGATGGCCACCGCCGCCGGTCGTGAGTTCCTCATGACCAATTCACCAAGTTCCTCCCTTATATAATTTGACGGGTCGACAGTTCCGCCTGGTATCTTAACGGTACTTCCTGGAAATGGGAAAACAATTGGTAAAGCAATTGCGTCGAATCCCTTGGTAAGGAAAGTGGATATCACGGTGAGCTTCATCACAATACCCCCCAGATCCGCACATGACCCAAAATTTTCAGGCGGGCACCGCCACTGGGCGTGCCCTTGGAAGTCTCGTCGGGTCCAACTTGGCCGCCTTCACGGCGGAGTTGGGTGGGAAGGTCTGTTTCCAAATTTACCAGCTGGAAATGAAGTCTATATTCTTTTCTGCAGACGCCAATCGTCGTCTTCAACGACGCAGATCCAGTAGCTGCCGCGAATGGCGCAGCGTTCGCATGTTTCGTCGCTTCCGGACAAACATGTGTTTCTGGTACACGCCTGATTGTCCAAGATGAGATCTATGAGACGTTCATGGAACTTTTCATGCAGAAAGTGCATCTGATCACTTCCAGAATGGGTGACCGTACGTCGCAATTTCTCAGCGACTGAGCAATTTTGTGCTGAAAATTTGTTCTTTTGTTTTCGTTTAGCACTGAACTACCGTACGATGATGGGTTCTGTAATATCACATCGTCAGCTTGTACGCATAGAGAAGCTGGTGCAGCGTAAGGGCGTTGGGAATATCCTTACCGGAGGACGACGCATGACTGGAAAGTCACCCATGGACGACTTTGATTTCTCCAAGGGGAATTTCTTCCCTCCCACCGTAATCACTGACGTCTCCACCGATGACGACCTTTGGAGAGAGGAGATATTTGGTCCTGTAGTGGTTGTAAAGCGTTTCTCAGCGAGTATCGTGTCCTGAACCTCGATTAATGTGCTGACTAATTGTTTTATAGGATGAACGAGAAGGCGTCGTTCTTGCGAATGCTTCCAAGTATGGTCTTGGTGCAGGCATTTGGACAAATGATGTGTCCAGAGCCCATAGGGTAGCCGCTGATATTCAGGCCGGTCTGGTGTGGGTGAACACGCATCATCGCAATGATCCCAGTTCGCCTTGGTGAGTGATTGACCTTGGATTTTACACACGTGATACTCATCTCGGTTCTTGCAGGGGTGGCATGAAGGAAAGCGGTATAGGCAGAGAAAATGGGGTTGAGGCGTTCGAAGCTTGTACGTTAAACCCTCCTTGCCTGGAAGCCAACCATTTCACACTGGTGTCAGACTCGCAAAGCAAATCAACAGTCCTCAACATCGCTTCACCAGAGGAGACAAGAGAGACACAAGACTGGTTCGCTGACAACGATGCTGAGAAGCGGTACGGATGAATGGACGTTCTTGCAGTGGTTCGATTTCTATGCACCGGTACCGCCTAGTACATGCATTCCTAGGAATGTACTTTTACTAACCGTCGGAGATAATGGTAATACCGACCCTTGTGCGCAATGGTGAGCCGCGTTCCTTTTCTCATTAGAGGTCACAAATGACCCACTTTACTTCCAGCAGAATGTCCCTGAGTCCATGCATGAAAAAAGAATATGTCGCATGACATGACGAGGCTAATTCCTTCGTCTTCCCGCCACACTATTTCCACGCCGCAAATACATAGGCGTCGCGATTCTGCGCCGTTTTCCGTCGCGGCGACCAGAACACGTGGGAAACTCGCGAGATCATGCGATGGAAGCTAGGCACCCAGGATTACGGAAACCTGTCGGTAACTGTCAACAGGGCGGAGCACTATTTCGCGGCTAGCATCAAATGGGGTGACGAGGCATGCGGGAGTGTGCACAATACATAGGGGCCCCTCATTGACAGTGCGGGCCCGCATGGATCCTGTCGCTCCTTCGCTCGTGTGGTCAGACTCGAAATCAGTCCCGATGGAAATTGTAGGTTCATGTCAGGCATGATGTCGGTCTCGACTGATATGGCTATGCTCCGCAGGTTTCGCGGGAGCGCCGATCATCGTCGCTGGTCAGGGCAACCGACAGCGTGAGTGGTTTGTTCAGTCCCGCTGAGGTCCACTCATCGGTTTGTAGAGCCCCGAATTCGACCGCGGTGCATCGAGATACAACATTGGTCCATACTGTGACGTTGAGTGTACCGCGACCCCGTCTACGGCGAAGGGTAAAGTAGACAAGCTGCCGTTTCTGGGTCCACCAGACCCTTCCTACTCACCTCCCGAGAAGTGGCTGTTCCTGGCCGGATTCTTGTTTTTCCCTTTGTGGATCATTGGTGGGTTCTGGAGGTGGAGGGAACAATACGACAGTTGTAGGTGTCATATGAATGAATGCTGATTTGTCTGACTTGGCCTTGGGTTAGTCGCAGAACTATTCAGATGGCGATGCCAGGTCATGACCATGCTGGTGTTCGTTATTACCATTGGATTAATCTTCGTCGAAGTGATCTTCAGAGGCAAGTGATGGAAGTGTGTGGATGCTCGTGACAGGTCCTTCGATACTGTCCTCGCTCACCAATATTGTGGTAGCTATTACAGTTAAGGTCTAGCGAATGTAACGATACAGTGCAGGAGGGATGTAAGTATTAATGTACACACACATTCGTAAAACTGATACAATCGGAATGGGTATATGCCGCTAAATATTGATGGAGCACTACCCCGATGCCTACGCTGTTGTCTTCACGGCCTCCTTGTTTTCCATCTGTGGCAATCATGAGCATGGATACACTGGCAACGAATAGATATATACGGACCTCTCCAACCTCTTGAGGTGCCTCGTCGATAAAATCCGGTGCTTTGTCAAGATCTGCCAGGTATGATGGGCCCTCCGTTTCTTCCTCTAGTTCCAGGGCATCCAATTCTGCGCCGGGTCTCTCAACGACAAGCTTATTTAAACAATCATGGTCCATTCTCACCAGCCTGAAGGTCTGCCTCATCGACCTCGTCCGGTACCGCGTACGACCGGCCTAATGACTCTTGGATTTCGTTCGCTTGTTCCAGTAGATCCTCCATGTCGTAATGGATGCTCTACAATGCACACGCATCAACCTTCCCATCGAGCAAACACAACGCAAAATAAGCACCTCTATTTTGTCGATGTCAAATTTTCCGTACTGCTTTCTGAGCTCCTTGTTTGCTTGCTTCATAGCATCCACCGTCGCCATTGTGTTCCGCAAGTTCTCGGTCGCGAGCGCAGCAGACTCCATGTTGAAGGTTTGCTGCGTCAGCTGGGCAAGCTGGGATTCATACATGCGTTTCTGCTTCAGTATTCTGAGCGCACGTTCCTGTATGGCGTTCTGTCAAACGCGAACGTACGGCGCCCGCAGGTCAACTAAGGGAAATGAAGACATGAACGTAACATGCACGCACCTTGCCAGGCCCGTTACGCAGCTTGCTCATCTGCTCCTTGTATCTTGCCAGCTCGCCATCCAGTTTCTTGATCTTTACCTCGATGGAGGCCATCCGCGTATCTGTCTGGCATTGTGGAACTTTGTCAGCTAGGCTCGGACTGCGGCAGCAACCTGTGAGTGCGACGACTGACGGATGAGATCGCATCTTGCAATGATGGCTTTGGCTTCTTGCTTGCAGACGTGCCAAATATGCGGTTCATAGGGACAACGGGACGAAGGGGTAGATGGTGGATGAGGTGAAGACTGAAGAGGTAGCAGGTCCCGTAACAGAGTGCCAAGTGACGCTCCATATCTGGCAACTGTTATACTGAACGCCCTCGCGGTGGCGCGTCCCCCGGAAGCGGACGAAAGGTCAGCTTTCATGCTTATACAGTGTTTCTGAGGTGTGTTCGCCCTTGAGGCGGCTCGTGTGGTTTCGTTTCCATATCGTAAGACGCTACCGTAGTAGTAATCCGATCTTGAACGTCGTGGAACAGAGCGAGCGACTGGAACGACAACAATATTGCAACAAAACGGTAAAAGCACGATTAAACCTTGACATCCAATGCTTCAGTCGTCTTTCCGGTGCTTCAATGTGGTGGTGGAATGCAGAGGATTGCGGCGTTCTGCCTTCGGTCATTCTGAGCGTCTTTGCACGCGTCACGCTGAGCGCTTTTTGCCTTTCGTCCGTGACACATGTCCACATCTTTTGTCTGGGACTTCAACTGAAGATGGCTGAACATCTCCGACAATCCAACTCTCGCATGAGCTCTGCTGCGGGATCTCCAAGTCGTCCCTCTCCCCTCTCGCGTCCACACTGGCCTTGGTCCACATACACCCATAGATCTTCTTCCTCATCTGTCTTCTCCACTAGCAGCTCTTCTCTCGCTTCACAGAGTATGTCCGACTCGAGACACTCTGCCGCCAGTACTGTCTTACTTCCCGTTGCCACCGCTGCTAAAGGTGGCCCAGGCATCCCGGACAACGCTGCTAATGAGGAATCGACGACGAGGCAATGGTCTTTTGCAGTGAGTGGCATACCATGCGTGCTGCTAGTCACTAATTTCTGACCTGGGAACACGGCGTTCAGGCATTTGAGTGGGTTGTGCGGGACGTACATAGACTGAGAGACTTCGTTGAAGGTCCTGAAACAACGGACGCTTCAGATACCACTCCAGAGAATCAAACTGAATCAGAAGGCGGTCCCGAGGCCGATGATTTTGAGATCCTAAGAGAGTCGCCCATGCTCGGAGACAGCAAGTTCAAACTTGAGATAGGCATGTTAACTGTGCATCATCGGTCGCTGTCGAGAGTCTGACGACCATGCAATAGCTAAAACTATACATTTCCAACAGACGGATCGATCCACAACACCAGTGATTAAGACTGGACCTCAAACATTATCGGTGTATATCACTTCGCTCATGGTCGACTTTGCGCATGCGGACTACGAAATGTGCACGTCCATGTTTGCAGCAATCAAGTGTCAGGATGACCGAATAGGTGAGCGCGGAGCCCGAGCTCAATGGGTTTGGGAATACTGGCAGAATGGCTGGGTTTTCCGGCAAGAGAGCGAAGTATGGGGTAAGTCATCCAGGAACATGTCAGACGCCACATCCTTATGTCGTTCTCTATAGCATGTCCACTACCCTCACTATCATCTCTATTGGAAAACCCAAGAATCAGGGAGACAGACTCCTTCGTTATATGCGTTCAAATTCACTCGCCAATAGGCCCTTTCTTCCCTCAACAGCCTTCCGCCTACTATGTTCCTCGGGATCTCCTTGACGGTCTGGAGGCATCTCTGGACAATCCAAGTATGTGTAGTATCTCAAGGCTAGCGCAGGTTCATTGACTAACATTGTCAGACACTGGTGATGTCCAATTCATATGCCTCGAACGTCGGGATGCCCATCAGGAACTGTCAGACTCGACCTCGCTCTCACCCATTACAGCGACGCCTATGGCCAGTCCCTCTTCCTCGTCCTCGCAGTCGTTCACGCCCCAAACGGTCGCCCGCAAGCGCATCATCTACGCCCACGCCGACATTCTCACCCGCCGATCGGAGTACTTCACGACAATGTTCAGTTCTTCTTTTGCGGAGGTACCGGGGATACACTATCCTGGTGGGCGCAAAATATACACCGTGACCGTTGAGGAAGCCGATTTCGTCACGATATACTGGTTGCTGAAGTGGGTGTATGCGAACTGGCTACTGTTCAGGAAGGAGGACGATCCGAGGGAAGCAGTAAACGGTATGGGTGCGGGTTGGAGCGCACGGGGCTTCGGCATACGCGGCGCAGCCGACGAATGGGAGTGGAAGGCATTCTCGAAGAACATATCTACCGAAGGCCACACTCCAGGTGGTGTCAGCGATGCGCGGAGTGTAACAAGCGCTGAAAGCGCCGTATCGGGCAGTGCCACTTCGAAGGACAAGGGAAAGTACGTCCCAGACCAGAGCCAAGCCGTGGCAGCGACAACTACCCGGATCGCGTCCACCTCCAAGGCTGTACCGCCGCCTCCCTCGCCTTCTCGTCCGTCTACGACCAACGCGCGTCGCCCTTCAGTACCCGCCTCAACAAACACGTCTGGACTTACAGTCCCCAATGTGCCGGGATCCGCTGCATCTCGCGGAACCAAGCCCGTCCCTGTCCCCATTTCGCCCTCGAAGGCCAACTACACCGCTCCGCCACGTTACCCCCTCTCTCCGCACCAGCAGCGCCAGCGCTCGCACCCGTCGGCGCCGTCGACGGATCCGCATCCGCATCCTACGGCCCCGCCGCCCCCGGCGTCCGCGCTGTCGATGTACCAGATTGCGCACCGGTACGCGATGCCCGGCCTCGCTTCGCTCGCGCTAGAGCATATCCTATCGACGATCACACCGCAAGCGGGCTTCCCGGTACTTCTCGCGACGTCGGCGTGGGAGGAGCTGCATTCTCTCGTTGAGGTGCGTCTGCCGCTTAGTGTAGCCCACGTCGTTCTCATTCTCTGACACTTATCTTGTAGGACTATGTCGTTGAAAAGTGGGATGAGGTCTCGGTTTCGGACGAGTTTGAACGCTGCTGCCAGGAGGTGGCTGCTGGAGAGTATGTCGATCATTCCTCACATTTATTTTTTTGCTGACGATCGGATTCAGGTGGGGCCCTGAAGGTGGAACGACACTCATGGCTCTCTTTAGACGATTGCGGTCCCCGAATGCGATGGCCTACGCCAGAAACTGATGATGGTCCTCGCTCCAACATGAATCTATCGTGCACACATCTGTTGGTTTTCAGACTGATCAGTACTCATATCTCTTTCTTTACTCGTAACTGCCAACGATCTCCCAAAGGGATTCACGTATATAGAGTAGAGCGCATATTCCACGATATCAAGTGTACAACAATAACAACACGACGAGTAAAGAATTCTTTCAATTGGTGGTACATCAAGTGTCATCAACGCAAAGGCAAGTAGCATGACAAAACGCGCACAGCAGGACAACAGAAACTCTACAACAGCCTGATTGATGGGTGTACAGGTTAAAAAGAAAAAGAAAACGGAGTCAATCACAACGAACAACCTCGGACCAACTTTGCATCCATGTGCCATTCTGTGCTCACGACTTCACCCTTCACCTACATCTATTGTCCAATTGGTCCCACATACCGACCATACCGTAGAAGGCGCCCTGCAGCAGACTGAAGGTGAGAAGACGCAGAATTTTTACATCGCAAGTGCACCCACCCTGTACTCGCAATACGTGGGCTTCGCATGATGCACACCGTGGATCACGGCGGGTGTCGTGCCGCACATGTTCGTCCAGTCGTCATCCTTTTGCAAGTTCCAAAGACGGGCTTCAAAGCGCTGTGGAAGTCGCAACAATCTTTACCAGCGATCGTCGAGAATGTACAGAAAGTTGATAGGACGTACATGTAGGCGCGTACCATACCCAACGCAGCCCTGGACGAATGGTTTAATTCATGTTCTCTCAATAATTCCAAATTGAACTCGAAAACATACCTTATCATACAAGCCGCCCCAGTAAGGCACACAAGCGGGCTCTTCAAAGTCAACCTGCCAATGCCCAAATATCCCCGAAGCACCCTATATGCACCACAAATGAGCACCAAATTTCGTGATCAGTGAAAAAAGAAAACTAACCGCATCTTCGCATCTGCTTGGCGTGTCAATAGTACGGTTGTGAATCTCGATGGACATTTCCTCGCAGGCCTGTACCCAATTATAGCCAGAGGAAATATTCCGGAGGCGGGCGGTGTGCTCCCTGGTCCCGTACGACACGCAATTCTTTGCTTGAGGTTCATCCCAGTAAAGCCCCAACCGCCTTCGCTCTTCCTCCCGACGCCGCCTCTCATCCTCTCTCTTCTCCCTCTCCCATTGCTGTCTTTCCTCCTCTCTCTGGCGCTCGAGGTCTTTGCGCTCGCGCTCCCACTGCTCGAGCTCCTCCTCCCTCTGGCGCTCGAGGTCTTTGCGCTCGCGCTCCCACCGCTCGAGCTCCCGCCGATGCTCTTCACGCTCCTTCTCCCAGGCTCGCTCGAGCCGCTCCCACTCGTGCTGGCGGTTCTCGCGCTGCTGCTCTAGCTCCCGCTCCCGCTGCAAGTCGCGCTCCCATATCTCGTGCTCTAGCTGATGGGATAGGCGCTCCTTCTCCCACTTCTCGCGAATCGCTGCTCTGGTCGCCGGTTTGAGGTAGTCCGGATAGTTCACCACGATCCATATGTTCTCGACGATGGACGCCGTCACTATGAGCAGGAGGACTGCGTAGAGCAGCGAACGGCCTAATGTCCTGGTCGCAGTAGGCTTTGTTGGGATCACAATTAGCTCTGTTGTGTTAATGGTTTGCCAATACATCCGATTATTCCGGGAACCTGCCGCTCTCCTTGTATTATTCCCTGGATTGAGCGGAGTGCGCTCGTCACTATCGATGAACCGATAAGGCTCGACTCTCGTGCACTTTGGAAGACAGTACTCACAGAGCCGGCTGGGGGAAGCTGTTAGGAGTACACGTAGGTCTGTACCCTGGAGGCGGACTCGCCGTGGACGAGTACGACGTGCGAGCCATCTTGCCAGTGGCAGGTAGACTCTTAACTTTGTTCCTCCGAGAGATCTGAACGACGACGGGAGAATCTGGGAAGGCGAACAGTCAGTGCTAGATCACAACTTCCAGGAAAGCTTGAGTGGTATGAAAATAAATTACCTCTGGCGACGTAGTTTGACGGACGGCTCGACGAGAGGGAGGAGACACAGCACAGCCAGCCTGAGTACCGTGAGTAGACGATCTCGGTGAGATACGATCGGATATTGCCGCTGGGTTTGTGTGGCACCGTAGCGCTGGGTTGATAACCCAGGTCTCGCCGTGGTGCACACGGGCCGTCTCGTAGCAGCTTGTGGCTCGATAACGATTGTTCTTTGTCTGTCGTTTTGAGGTTGTAGACAGATGCCCGCCATGATTCGTGTCTTGAAGCCGGCGACATTAACCGGGAGAAACCCCCACTTTGCCGCGTACATACTTATCCCGCGAGGTCTTGCGCCATTGGCTGAGATGTGTTCTGCGCCGCATATTGAGGGCGGAGTGCTAAAAATTGAGCACGTAAGATACAAAGGCCGAATTATCCTTCCGCATTTCTCTCATTGACTTCAGCAAGTTTCGTGCGGCAACATCGCTATCGGAGAAGCGGCAAACCGCCGACAGGTCGTTAAACAATAACAACACGACGAGTAAAGAATTCTTTCAACTAGTGGTACATCAAGTGTCATCAACACAAAGCAAGTAGCATGACAAAACGCGCACAGCAGGACAACAGAAACTCTACAACTGCCTGATCAATGGGTGTACAACAGGTTTAAAATAAATAAAAAGGAGTCAATCACAACGAACAATGGCCATTCTGTGCTCACGTTTTCACCCTTCACCTACATCTGAGGTCCGATTGGTCCCACATACCGACCATACCGTAGAAGGCGCCCTGCAGCAGACTGAAGGTGAGAAGACGCATAATATATTTACATCGCAAGTGCACCCACCCTGTACTCGCAATACGTGGGCTTCGCATGATGCACACCGTGGATCACGGCGGGTGTCGTACCGCACATGTTCGTCCAGTCGTCATCCTTTTGCAAGTTCCAAAGACGGGCTTCAAAGCGCTGTGGAAGTCGCAACAATCTTTATCAGCGATCGTCGAGAATGCACAGAAAGTTGATAGGACGTACATGTAGGCGCGTACCATACCCAACGCAGCCCTGGACGAATGGTTTAATTCATGTTCTCTCAATAATTCCAAATTGAACTCGAAAACATACCTTATCATACAAGTCGCCCCAGTAAGGCACACAAGCGGGCTCTTCGAAGCCAACCTGCCAATGCCCAAATATTCCCGAAGCACCCTGTATGCACCACAAATGAGCATCAAATTTCGTGATCAGTGAAAAAAGAAAACTAACCGCATCTTCGCATCTGCTTGGCGTGTCAATAGTACGGTTGTGAATCTCGATGGACATTTCCTCGCAGGCCTGTACCCAATTATAGCCAGAGGGGATATTCCGGAGGCGGGCGGTGTGCTCCCTGGTCCCGTACGACACGCAATTCTTTGCTTGAGGTTCATCCCAGTAAAGCCCCAACCGCCTTCGCTCTTCCTCCCGACGCCGCCTCTCATCCTCTCTCTTCTCCCTCTCCCATTGCTGTCTTTCCTCCTCTCTCTGGCGCTCGAGGTCTTTGCGCTCGCGCTCCCACCGCTCGAGCTCCTGCCGATGCTCCGCACAGTTCGTAGCGATCCATGTGTTCTCGACGATGAACGCCGCTACTATGAGCAGGAGGACCGTGTAGAGCAGCGAACGGCCTAATGTCCTGGTCGCAGTTGGCTCTGTTGGGATCACAATTAGCTCTGTTGTGTTAATGGTTTGCCAGTACATCCGATTATTCCGGGGACCTGCCGCTCTCCTCGTGTTCCCTGGATTGAGCGGAGTGCGCTCGTCACTATCGATGACCTGATAAGCCTCGACTCTCTCGTGCACTTTCGAAGACGGTACTCACGCAACCGGCTGGGAGTAGAAGTTAGGAGGGTCGTACGTAGAGCTGTACTCTGGAGGCGGACTCGCTGTGGACGAGTACGTCGTGCGAACCATCTTGGCTGGTAGACTCGTTCCTGCGAGTGATTTGAACGACGATGGGAGAATCTGGGGAGGCGAACAGTCAGTGCATGATGACAACTTCCAGAAAAACTCAAGTGGTATAAATTAAGTTACCTCTGGCGACGTATTTGACGGACGGCTCGACGAGAGGGAGGAGACTGAAGCCGCCACCACCGTGACAGCACAGCCAGTAGACGATCTTGATGAGATACGATCGGATATTGCCGCTGGGTTTGTACTGTGGCGCCGGAGCGCTGGGTTGATAACCCAGGTCTCGCCGTGGTGCACACGGGCCGCCTCGTAGCAGCTTGTCGTTCGATAACGATTGTTCTTTGTCTGTCGTTTTGAGGTTGTAGACAGATGTCCGCCATGATTCGTGTCTTGAAGCCGGCCGCATTAACCAGGAGAAAACCCCACTTTGCCGCGTCCCGCTCTGCCCCGCGAGGTCTTGCGACATTGGCTGAGGTGTGTTCTGCGCCGTATGTTGAGAACGGAGTGCTAAAAATCGAGTACGTAGAATACAAAGCCAGAATTATCCTTCCAGATTCCTCTCATTGACTTCAGCAAGTTTCGTGCGGCAACATCGCTATCGGAGAAGCGGCAAACCGCCGACGAGGTCGTTAAAGGGTTCAAGGAAGTGGGGTTTATATACCTCGATAAGCACGGTATCTCAGACGATGTCGTGAAACATACGTTCAAGAAGGCAAGAGCGACGCTCATACTGTTGTGGACACATTAACATACTAGGAAAACCAGAGCGCAGAGTTCTTCAGTCTTCCCATGGAATTGAAGGTATGTAGAATACCGGACACTCTATCAGATGTCTGTTGACCTCCTATCTCAGTCGAAATTGGCATGGGAAGACCCGCGCTCGAACCGAGGCTACGTCCAGATCGGCAGGGAGCGCGTCACCCAGTCCACCGACACGTCTGAGATCGCCCGACTGCGGGAGAAGGCGCCAGATTTCAAGGAATCCATGGAAATAGGGCGTGACTGGGACAAGACGTGGAAGAACCAGTGGCCCCAGGAGAGCGATGCACCCAGGTTCAAGGAGACGATGCTGCAATTCTTCCAAACATGCCATGAATTGCACGTCCTGGTCATGCGCGCTATCGCGATTGGGCTTGATCTTGATGAGACATTCTTCGACGATAAGATACATGAGCAGTACCACAACTTGCGGCTGCTTTCATATCCTCCTATTAGGACGCACCTCCTGCAGAAGGAGGGTCAGGCGCGTGCAGGAGCACACTCAGGTAGCTTTCTCCACCTGAGCGATCTATATGCCACTGATGCGTCTCTCAGACTATGGTACTTTGACCCTACTGTTCCAAGATTCTGTGGGTCACAAGCACCCTTCCTGTTATTTCATGTATGATACTCATTCTTCGTCCGCCGTCAGGTCGGTGGCCTGGAAGTCCAGAACCCACACACTAAGCAGTATCAGCCGGCTACCCCTATGGTGCGTTGGAGGCGTACTCACCGTTGCTGCTTCTGACATGATTGCGCCTGTAGCCCGGGACGATCGTCGTGAATGCAGGTGACCTCCTGTCTCGCTGGAGCAATGACGTTCTACGCTCGACCCTTCACCGAGTTGTCGCACCACCTGCTAAGAAGATCAGTGACACCGAGAGCATCACACCCGCTCGGCAGTCGATTGCGTTCTTTTGCAACCCGAACGGTGGTGCGGAGATTTCGTGCTTGCCGAATTGCTACGGACAGGGACGAGAGAAGAAGTACGCGCCTGTGACGACAGAACAGTATATTGTTGGAAGGCTGTCTGCGACGTATATGTGAAGACGATTGTTGTTGTACCTTTCTTTGAGGACGTCGGGCATTAGGTTTTGGTGATGCATTACTGTGCGCACGGGCTTGTGAGGTATGAATGGGTGTCGTTCTTGTCCGGACTAGTGGGATTGCGTGGTGGAGACTGAAGGAATATTCGTCTTGACACACGCGACGCGACGCGACTCGACTCTCGCGACGCGTCTGTCACGTTCTGAGGTATATCACGTGTAACGCGTCACACCGGCGCTACTATGCAGTTGGCACGTGGCTCTGTTGAAGACCCGGCTTAGAAAATCGCTCTCCACACGCACTCTGTCAGCGTTCTCTCTTCCTAGCCACCACCACCTCTTGTCGAGTCTCCCAGGGACTACAATTCCTCCATTATTCCTCGTGAGGAGAACACTACCATATTCCACGCGGCAGGGCTACAATCCAGGATGTCGCTTCGGAGATCTACCCGATCATCCTCTATAAAGCCAAAGCCAGCAGAGAAATCCACTACAAAGCCTGCTACAAGGGCTTCCTCGAAGCCTCTCCCAAAGGCTACAGCGAAGGCGGCTCCCAAGCCTGCTACCAAGACTTCCGGACGAAAGGCCGCCACGAAGCGCCCTGCATCGCCCGAGAATGCGCCCCCGCCCACTAAGCGGGCCCGTACAGCACCCAAGGCGGTGGAGAACGGCGTGCCACATGTGAATGGCAAGGCGGAGGTTCCTCCTCTACGCTCGCGGTCAAGGACACGGAAGACGTCCGTCCCGCCAGCGAAGAAGGTAGTGCCGCAGGCGAAGCCGTATTTTAATCCCCTCCCTAATCCGCCCGAGCACCTCCGCCCCGCACCACTGCTATGGGCCTGGGGCGCTGGCAACTTCGGCCAGTTTGGCATGGGCTCTGACTTCCTTGGGGACTTTGAGAAGCCGAAGAAGAATGCGTTGGTCGAGGAGAGGATACATGAAGGCGTGTTCGGTAGCCCAGAAGCGGGCCTGGAGGCGATCGCGGCAGGCGGTCTGCATTCCTTATTTGTTGATGAGAAGGGAACTGTAAGTGTTGTTTGCCGTCTGTCGCGCTTCATGGTTCTCATGCTGTTTTCAGGTGTGGTCGTGCGGTGTGAATGATGACGCTGCATTGGGCCGAATTACGGCAGAAGTTCCGAATCCGGAGAAGGAAGGAGAGTTCCTTGACGTTGACGTGCTGACTGCAGAGCCACATCCTCTGCAATCGCTGGTGGAAGAGAAGTTCCGTGCCGTGCGAGTAGCGGCTGGCGACACTATCTCTGCTGCCATCAGCTCAGAAGGTGACCTACGGGTATGGGGCTCATTCCGAGTGAGCATATAATTTGGCCGTGGTGTTGACTGGGCACGGTAATTAATGCATGTATCAGGGAGTTGAGGGCATCCTTGGCTTCTCAAGCGGGCATAGGCACCAGTTCCTACCAGCGGCTATATCAGAACTGCCGCTCAAGTCGAAGCCGGGGGATGTCGAGAAATTTGCTGCCGTTGTCGCAGGCAACAACCACTTGCTGGTGTTGACCACGCATGGAAATTTGTTCACATGGGGTGCAGGTGAGCAGGGCCAACTCGGGCGAAAGGTACTTGAGCGGCGCAAGATCCACGGGACGGTACCCGAGAAGATTGTGCTGGGCGCGCGATCTCATAAGGCCGTCGTCATTGGGGCAGGCAGCTACACGTCGTTCGCAGTCGATGAGCACGGCGACGTGTGGGCGTGGGGCCTAAATAACAGGGGCCAGACAGGTACAGGCTTCAGGAGCGCCGAGGCAGACGGGGATGTGCAGCTCCCCAAGAAGGTTTTGGGACTTAGCAAGGCGGAACTGGGCAGCGACATCGTGGTCACACAGATCGTGGGCGGGGAGCACCACACGCTCTTCCTCACGTCGGATGGCAAGGTGTATTCGTGCGGGCGCTCTGACGCTGGGCAGCTCGGCCTCGCCGATGACGACAAGGCGTTCCAGGACCGCGTCCATCCCGATATGCTTGCGGAGCCCGTGCTGGTGACGTTCCCGGATCTAGAGGACCCCGTAGTGCAAATCTCTGTAGGCATCCACAACAATGCTGCCGTCACGCGCGGTGGCGCGCTTTACACTTGGGGGACGGGCGTGCAGGGTGAGCTTGGTTTGGGCGAGGACGTGGAGGTACGCACCCCAAGGGTCGTCGTGCGCAAGGAGGGCGGCTCATGGGCGGCTCTTGCGGTATCGTGCGGCGGACAACATACGCTCGCGTTGTTCAAGAAGAAGACGTTTTCATGAGGCTGCATAGGCGCTGTAGCTTTGAACTCTGCATATTGGTTGGTTCAGCATCTACATTTGCATTTGTGTTGTGATGGACGCACGCATTACTCGTATTCTTGGTCTGCTAATATAGTTATTTCGCGCCCGGGCAGGCTTGACGACGTCCTCATTCACCCTCTGTTGCATGCTCAGTGTTCAGAGTAACCTTCGCATGTTGCAATCGTCTTCGCGAGAATCGCATGAATATCGGTACAGATACGTATACAATGACATATTGGCACACAATCCAAGGCAAATCCATTTCAATCAGTTCATAATTCAAAGGGTCATTCTTCTGCCCTCTATGTCGATAGTAATGGTCAAGCTTCAAGCTTCAAGTCCAAGTCTGACCATTCATCGAGAAGAGCCGGTGGAGTCCATGGATGGGCACGGGGATACAGGGGTATGGTGCAGCGGCTGTGGTTGTCCTTGCGGATGAGTATTCGGCGATTAATGCGATAAATTCTCGGATGTGGTCAGTGTGATCTCGAAGAGATATCTCATACAGCATTTCCATAATGGCCTTAGTGGAGTATTCCGCTCTGGTGTCAGGGTCGGGCTACACCAGAAGGGTTTTGTGGGAGTCTTTGTCCATGTCCATCCCCTGGGCAAATCTGACGGCCTTCATGAGACCCGCATAATCCATGCGAACAACGGCCATCTCCACGGATGACCTGTGGGACACGATGCTATTGGGTGAAGCAAAATCAAAGGTGTCACGATCGGGGTGATGGCCAAACCTCTGATAAAATTCGTACAACTCTGCTTTTGCAGCCATAGCTTTGTTCTGGTATGGATGACTAGCAAAGCGGTAAGTTGCATTGGTTAAAGCAGATAGCCATACGATCATGCCAACTCTCCGCTAACGCGGCGTAAGTAGATGCTTGCGGTAGTCGCTGCAGTTCAATCTTGGCCATCGTAAATACTTCAGTTAGGAAGAGTAAATAGTACATCCTGCCGAAAGAGGCATCATAGGAGGGTTCACGCTGGAAGAAATTAACGACGGATACATCGGGAGGGGAAAATGCGTAGTCTATGTGATAGCCATCAAATAAAGCTGGGAGACCGCAGATCCGATACTTACGATTACTTTCGATCACAGGGCGTAAGTTAGCGTGAAGACCAAGTTTGATAGCTCGAGTGCTCACGGACCATTCGACATTTCCCACTTCCAGAGCTCTGGAGAATGACGATAGAATTCATAAAGTATTCGTCGCAGATCAGGGCATTATATATGTTCGGCAAGAGGCGCTATGGTTACAGTGAGGAAACGCTACATACCTGACGTTAAACCTGCAGCTCAGACACGACAAGAAACCACAATTGGACGATAGAAACTCACCCCCACTGAAAGTCTATTGCGTCGGTGATACGAAAGATGACTTCTTGATTTGATGTTCTTGAAGGCCAGCTACTGCGCACAACCAATCTGGTTCAGCGCATCGCAGTAGACGAGGAAAATCCAAGGAAAGTCATGTTCGTACATCCCTGAAAGATGCCTTCTCGTGGGCAGTGCATAACATCCCACTATAACACCGGATTGTCCTCTACTATGATGCGTGCTTCGGTTTTGTCCATTGGCCGCAGGTTCACTTAAACCATCCGAATTCAACGTGATGGTAGTAGTAATGGGAGCAAGTAGTTTTTATATATGTTGCATTGGATGTTCGGGGGATCTCAGCTGTAGGCCCCATCTCGGACATTACACATTCATCAAGCTCCCTCAGGCTGTGAAAGGCCGAGTGATGCTCATCTATGACTTGTTCGAAGAAGGAACTTCGTTGTGATGCTGTTAAAGACGCAAATTAGTTCAGTAATGTGTGGACCAAGAAGGTAGGGATTGACTGACCTATAATTACAAGCAACGCGACAGGTAGAAACAAGTTACTGCGGTCAGGGGTAATTATCCGGACATATCGCTTTCTGCATACCTATGTCTTCCTCGAGCTTCCGACACTTACTTTTGAACATTTCGGGAGTGATACAGGTTAATCTAGTTCAGGTTACATCCTAGTACAAGAACGATCGTACAATATTTTGAATCTCACGGCTTTAACTCATCTGCAAGCTTATCAATCAAATTCTTCAACCTGGCTGCCTCGTACTGGGCCAAAGTTGCATTCTTCTCGATCGTAATCGACTCTGTGAGCGCAGGTAGCGTAGTTGCACCATAACCTGTATTCTCGATTCAGCTTCCCAACTCATCTACCGTTGAGAGAGTAAACTCACCAAGCCATTTGCCAGGGGCAACACCCAAATGGCGGTACCACTCGCGATCCTTGATCCCGTCCTCGTGGATAAGGCCCTTCTCAAACGCGACCAACTTCTTGTTCGCCTTGTGCACGCGGTGCACCGCTTTCTTGACCTTTTTGTGCAGGGATCCGCTCTTCATATGGCAGGTGCCCGCGCGTTCTCGCGCGCGCTGCTCCTTGAGCCACGCCGGATAGCGCCCAATACGCGGCTTAATCAACTTGCTGGTTTCCGGCTCGAACGCGACGACGCGGTCTTGAGCCTCGCTGTTGGGCTCGTCAGGCTTGTGTGGGTCGTGGTGGTGACACTTCTTGCCCAAGAGCTTCTTGACCTTGCAGAGGACAGCGTGGACTCTATGCCGCCACTTCTTTCCGGGCTTGTGTAGCACGGCCTCGGATGCAACGTTTGCATCGGCATCAAGGTGCATCTCCTTCACGCGCTCGTCCTTCCCACACTTCTTACCGAACAACTTCTTGAGCTTGCACAGGGCCTGGCGGAGCTTGCGCCTGATCAGGTTGCGCTTGGCGACCCGCCAGATGATGTGCTTGAGGCTCTCTTCCGCGTCCTCTTTCTCTTCGTCTAGCTCAATGCTCGCGGCGCGGAGGGAGTGGATGGACTCCCGCAGCGACGAGAAGTCCACTTCGAGCGCCGATGTCAGGGCGAGCTCCTCGACGCTACATGCAACGAGGATGTGTGAGTACCAGCTGGCTAGGCAGAAAAGCGGATGTTACACGTACTTATCGACGTACGCCTCCAGCTGGCTGGCATAATAAGTAGTGTTGAGGGGAAGGATGATGGCGTCGGCAAGGCGGAGAGTCTGAAGCCCGAGGTACTGGGCTACCGCGGTCTGCACAAATGATCAGAACAAAGATTGACTACAAGCATTTATTTGGATATCGCTTACATGGCGCAAGAAGCCGGGGTCGGCGTAGATCTCCTGCCACCTCTGGGAGTCATACACGGAGTGGTAGTGATACACAGGGTCGGACAGGGTGGACGTGAAGCCGTTATTCGTGCTGGCAATCTGATCGACATAAAAGTAGTGTGAGAGATGAGCAAGCACGCGCGTTGTCAACTTACCCCGATATGCTGCAAGAAGACAGTATAGTCGCTGCCAGAGCCGAGGACGCCTACACCGAGGGCATCCGCCTTCTGAATTTCCTCCTCGTACATCGCGAGCGCCTCATCATCTACGTGGTCGCCAAGAAGCACGCCGGAGTCCTTGGTAGCATCCCATAGCGTGAGGCCCGGCTTAGTAGGGTGCGGAAGGTCCTGAGCAGTGTTGCGCAGGAAGTGCGCTAGTGAGGGAGACCCAGAGGCACCGAAGCGAGAACCGGAGACAGACGAATCTGCAGAGCACAGGCAAGTCAGTTTCCGAAACACTGGAACGATTTGGCGACGCACCCAGATTGAGGTATGCGACGACGTGCTCGCCGATCCAGTCCGCAAAGTCTTCGCCCCATTCGGTGCTTCCGATTAGGCCGTACTATCGGAACATCAGAATTTGGTGGAGGCAAACAACGAAATGACACACCTCCTCAGCATCCCAGCTAGCAAGCACAATTGTCCGCAGAGGCTTCCACCCGGCTTTGAGGAGGGCACCAAGCCCTCGGATAAGCTCGTGCATAGAGGCAGTCCCAGACGAGGGATCCGATGCGCCCATGACCTGCGTAAATCCTTGTTAATATTCACATCATACCTCGAATACTAGCCAGACGTACCCATGCTATTAAAAATATGAGTAACTGCAAGGTTCGCTATAACGAAGAGGACGCACCATCTCGGTGGTTTCCAACGACGATAACCTCGTGTTTGTTATGGCCCGGGATGACACCCATGGTGTTCCAGATGGGGATGACGCGGTTGTCGACTACATGTGTTCAACTCAGCCTTCTCCAGCCGTGTTCCTTCAGCACCGCAATGAGAGCACTCACCGTGGTTCACCAGGGACACAGTGCGCGTGCCATTATCCGGGTGGGTGATCAACTCCAATAGTACCTGTGCATTCGCCCACGAGATCGGCAGACTAGGGATGCCCGGAATATTCAAGCCCTCTGTGCGAGTGCTGTTCTCGTATGAAGGGTATCCCGGTGTCGTGGGATCACTGCAAACGCCAAGTGTTAAACATTTGACAAGATGCAGTGGTGGGGACCGCATACCCAGGATATATGGAGAGGTACTGCACGCTACCACGCTGGACAGATGTCGGGTTGCGGGCAGGCCCATAGGGATACCTGTCGGGAAAGGTCAGACATGCATAGAGAAGAACATTATGCAAAGACGTACGGGATGTAGCCGTTCTTCTCTGTGACGGTGCCGTCGTCGCGGGGATCGGAGTAAATCAGCACGCCGGCTGCACCCAGCTCCTGCGCACCCTTAACCTACATACATTTGACTGATGTCAAAGTATTGATTCTGTCATGCGGGTATAACAACCCACCTTTAAGCCACGAAAGACGCCACCGTAACGAACGATGACAATGGAGCCAGTGAAGTTCACACCTGACACAGCACCGTCAGTCTGCAGCACTGCACACACAGACAACAACGCACCTCGCTCTACCAGTTCGTCATAGTCCTGCTTTCTCCCGTAGTTCGCATAGATAAGCTTGCCCTGGACCTCCCCTCCACGGCTCAGCCCGTGAAACGTAGGAACCGCGTCCTTGTATTCTCCCGCCTCGGGGTCCGTCTCGTCAGCAACCTCCTCCAGATCGGCATTCCACACAACAGACCCATCCTCCTCGAGGATCTGTAGGCTGCGATCGAGCGGGGTGTTCATCACGGGGTAGTAGACGTCGATCCATGCCGTCGGAGCGCTCAAAGACGTGATCGACAGCGTCGCGTTGCGTGACGCCTGCGTGCCCGCAGAGTAGATGGGCTCCGATTCGGGCACGGCAGCATCCAGCTCCTCCTGCAGGAGGGTGAGAACGTCCTTAGCGGTGGTTAGGTCGCCGGGGCTGCCCGCGAGGTGGGGCTTCGTCGCATACTGGCGGGATGCAGCGAGGGCGCTCGCCGGATTCGGGACAGTCCTGCGGATCCGGAACAATCGGTGGGCCTTGTCAGTCCTGCAGGCATCCATGCACGACTGAGACTCGCACTACGCACAAGAACAACTTCTCTGCCACCTTTCCGTAGGGGACGACCTTCAGGGGTCTCTTCTTGGCATCTACAAACGCACTGGCGATCCACTGTCCCTCACGGCCTTCGAGCTCCTTCCTCAGGGACCGATGGATGGAACGATGTAGATAGACAAACACCAAGAAGACCGAGAGCAAGAGGATAAGTACAGAGACGAGACGAGAGCGGCGCCGGATGCGAGTCGACGGCGCAGCCGCGACGGGGACAGGAATGGTCCCAGGCTCGGGTTTGTTGTGCTTGATATTTTTTTCGTCCGCCATGGCGGGGGTAGATGAGAGCCTAGGGAGAGAAGGGAATCATGCAGAACGTTTTGTATGTACATGTGCCGCCGCGATTGCTCGTGCGCAGCAGCCAGGGGCTCCTGTACATAGCTCTCCGAGTCGTCCTATCGATATCGAACTTGCAAGTAGAATGTTCTGCTGTCAAAAATCAGATATGCGTATGGACGACCTTCGTTCCATCGCCATGATATGTATTCCACGCTGCGATAAAGTCATCGCACGGCTGCTGCGCTATTGACGATGTGCTTGAAATTCTACCGACCCGGACGAGCAGGTGCTACTGGTGTAACTTGAATCGGTATCATTATTGCAGAATCTCGTATCCATTAGTTGCAAGTAAACACGTACAACATGTGGGTAATCTACAGGATGCAAACAGAGTCGTCAAGTGAATGCCATCTACTAGTCGTACAGCACACGGTGGAAGCCAGCTGCAGAGTCCCGAGACACCAAATCAATATGTCTCCCAAAAGACGTCAGGCAGGACCTCGCGCATGATCTTCCAGTGCTCAAGCGCACGTTGCTCCTGCCATTTCACCAGCGCATTCTGCATGTCTGTCAACAGGTACGTCGATCGTGTCTTCTCTGGTAGCTCCCTGATCGGTGCAAGGTCCAACTCGCGTCCGGAGAAAGTCGACAGGATGTACGCGCGGAGCGGAGAGCCGAGGAAATCCGACACGCACGACGCACGGAATGTGAGCGGGTTACTAGATGGGGAGCAGAAGAACACCTGCGGCGAGGTCAGCAGGTGCAACGGCCAGTCCGAGCCAAGGATAATGTGCGCACCCAGTTGAGGGCATCAGTGTACAGCGTGGATGTCGCTGTCGGATCGTTGGAGTCGCTGAATGCACGGCAATGCCCAAACACGCTCTCGAGAGTGTGCAAGATCGCGCGGGACGAGTCAGATTCTAGTTGACCGAAGAAGTCCTGAGCACCATAATTCGGTCAGATATTGTACAAGGCAAAACAGATGAACCATACCACAGCGAGGACACCATCGGGGTGCATGATAGCTTTCGTATCGTCCCAGAAGCTCTCTGTATAGAGGTATGCCGGTACGCTTCCGCCAGAGAAGCAGTCGTGCACTATCACGTCGTAGCGCTCTACCTCCTTTGTCTGCACTTCAACCTGTTCTCCAGTCTCGCTTCTTGTTGCAGTTGCGTTCTCGAGCCGAGCGCGGTGCATACGGACCCAGTTGCGCGCGTCTTTGATGAACAATTTGCCAGGTTCGGGCTCCGGGAGCGCGAAGAAACGCTTCGCAGCATCATACACGTTGCCGTCAATCTCAACAATCGTAGTCGACATGTTATGTCGCATGAACGCAGACGCCGAGATTCCCGTACCCAGTCCACTGCGTTGATACCATACGTCAACGAATCACTACGGAACTCGCGACACAGAAATGAACGCACATGACAAGTGCATTCGCTTCCTCTTCCCTCTCAGGCTTCAAAAAGAGTCGCGCCGCCTCCTGTAGCACGAACGCGTTGTACACCGACTCCCCAAGCGGCTCGCCCTCCTCATCCAGTGCGGTCGGCATCTTGCCCGCCAACGGGCCGATCCACATGCCGCCGAGCAACGAATGGCCTGCACGAAGGTAGCGCACAGAGTGCAGCATGCTGTTCGCCCGTGCGTCGCCTGGTGCCAGCGGGAGCGCCTCGCCAACGACGACGACGCCCGAGTACGGCGAGTTGACCGTGGAGAGGACGCGCATGGGGTAACTCGGGTGGATGTACGGCTCCAAGAGCGGCTTCAGAAGCGTGGGCGAACGGAGGATGGTCGCAGTTAGGACCGGCACAACCGGGAGGACAGCGAGGCGTAGGAGATTCGTGCTCTTCGCATTTACCTGCGGGGCTTTCGTGGCCGGAGCAGGGGCTGTAGCCTTCTTGCGCTGTGACTTGGTTTTTGAAGCCAGTGCTACTCGTGCCACCGGTGTAGGTCTAGAAGATGCAGCCACGAAAATGGTAGGGAGTAACGGTGTGATTGCCCACACTAGGAGCATGAAAGCACCCAGACCTAGGAACTAGTATAATATTAGTTCTGGCTCCTGTAGGAGCATGACCTAGTAAGTACAATTTGTTCCGTCGGAAACTCCTTCACGCGCGGAATAACTGGCCATAACTCTTGTACGGACATAATGGATGTTTGGCATATGGGAAGAGTGATGAGCTGCTGGGGCGCGCCCTGAGAATCTTCCATGGTAGGAAGTTCCTAGTTCAGTAACACGGGTACATGAATATGCAGTTCGTGAAGAGCAAACTGCATAGGGAGTGTGTTGCTTGCGTATGCTGCGGAAATGAACTCACCTGCAAAGCCTTGACTATGGCGACACCCAGATATAATATGGGAACTATTACGACCATATGCGTTGCAACAGGTCCCCACACGGGGTCGCCCATCCTCGCTGTGTGCACCGCGACCCAATACGCGGTATTCGGGAGAAGAGAGAGTAAGACTCCGCCAGCAAATACGGCATAGGAGAGTGGAAGCGTCGGTAGGAAGCTGCCCAAACTACATGCAAGCCATACAATCTTGTTCAGATGGAGATTCGTTGGCGCGACGCCGTATATCGGTTCAAGCTCGTGTCGGTACGCGAAGACAGTAAGGGAGAGAGAAATAAGGACTACGATGGAGATCGCTTTCGACAAGACAGCGGCCAGAACGTTCGTCCGTTGTGGACCTGGTGGGCGAGCTGGAGTCGACATAGTGGAAAAGAAACAGGTGTATGTGCATGAACGACGAGACGAAAGGCAATATTGAGACTTAAGCTGCCCGGCCTGGAGATCTGGATCTGGCTACAACATCAATACTTCCGAGGATCTTCCTCATTCTCGGTCACGTGACTGTGTCACACTGCGTCACAAATGGCAGAGTCATGTGATGTGACGTCACGACGCGTCTGTAGCTCTGGCCCATCCCAGTCCGCGCAAACTCCAAGTCCGTCTCTTCTTCCTTCCACTACAACCACTGCCACCATGACAGAACCTCTCAAACCACAGACCGTGCTCGATGTTGACCCGTGGCTCGAACCCAATGTTCCCGCCGTCATCCACCGCCATGACCTCTTCAGGAAGTGGAAGGACAACATCCAGCAAGCAGAAGGTGGATACGATGCATTCACCAAGGGATATCTCAAGTTCGGCCTGAATGTGGGTCAGAATGGAGAGGTTGTGTATAGAGAATGGGCACCGAACGCGAAGGAGGCTGCTTTGATCGGCGACTTCAGTAAGTGTCGCGTCGATGAGCAGTACCCGGTACTGATCGCCATACCATGCAAGACGAGTGGAACAGGAATAGCCATCTCATGAAGAAGAACGAATATGGCATCTGGGAGATTACTGTACCCCCCACTTCGCCGGGCGTATGCGCTATCCCCCACGATTCGAAGATTAAAGTGTGCTCGCTCTGTATTTTGCTGTTGTACAATCTCATCGACGCCTGCAGATATCGATGGTTCTGCCTTCCGGAGAACGGATTGAACGTCTCCCCACGTGGATCACTCGCGTCACCCAGGAACTGGCAGTGTCACCCGTGTACGACGCACGATTTTGGAACCCTCCGCCGGAACAGCGGTACAAGTTCAAGAACCAACGTCCGCCGCAGCCCAAAAGCGTCCGTATTTACGAGGCTCATGTTGGTATTTCCACTACCGAATATAGGGTCGGAACGTACAAAGAGTTCACGACGAACACCCTTCCGAGGATCAGAGACCTGGGATACAACACCATCCAGCTCATGGCTATCATGGAACACGCTTACTACGCCTGTGAGTGCTTCTTCCTCGCACTTTTCCGTGCTCCAACTAGGCACGTCCAGCGTTCGGCTACCAGGTGACGAGCTTCTTCGCGGCGAGTTCGCGCTACGGCTCCCCGGAGGAGCTAAAAGAGCTGATCGACACTGCGCACGGGATGGGGATCACCGTGCTCCTGGATATCGTGCATTCACACGCGTGCAAGAACGTGCTCGACGGAATCAACCTCTTCGATGGCACAGACCATCTTTACTTCCACGAGGGCGGTAAGGGGCGGCATGACCTCTGGGACAGCCGCCTGTTTAACTACGGAAGCCATGAAGTGCTCCGCTTCTTACTGAGCAACCTACGCTTCTGGATAGAAGAGTACCAGTTCGACGGGTTCCGGTTCGACGGCGTTACAAGCATGATGTATATTCACCACGGGATCGGGACTGGCTTCTCTGGCGGGTACCATGAATATTTTGGTGACTCGGCTGATCTCGAGGCGATTGTGTATCTCATGCTCGTATGTACCTTCCTATGTTGTGTGGAGGTAATACTGAATATCGCTACACAGGCAAATGATGCGATGCACTCGCTCTACCCATTCTGTATCACCATCGCAGAAGACGTGTCTGGGATGCCGCTGCTTTGCGTGCCAGTATCGAAGGGTGGGGTGGGGTTCGACTACCGCCTGTCGATGGCGATCCCCGACATGTGGATTAAGCTGCTCAAGCACAAGAGTGACGACGATTGGGAGATGAGCAACATCGTGCACACGCTAACCAACCGCAGATACCGCGAGAAGAGCATTGCTTACGCGGAGAGCCACGACCAGGCGCTCGTCGGTGACAAAACGCTCGCGTTCTGGCTCATGGATAAGGAGATGTACACAAACATGTCGGACCTGACGGAGTATACACCAATTATCTCGCGTGGAATCGCGCTGCACAAGATGATCCGGTACGTGCGCGTAGATTAAAGGAAAAGTGTGAGTATATTCATTCTGTTCTGCAGTCTGCTCGTGCACTCCCTCGGTGGGGAGGGTTATCTGAACTTTGAAGGCAACGAATTCGGTCACCCTGAGGTACGTCCATTGCAGATCTCACATTGTGCACTCACCGGAAGGCGCGATACAGTGGCTCGACTTCCCTCGCGAGGGCAACGGCAACTCGTTCCACTACGCCCGACGTCAGTGGAACGTCGTTGATGACAAGCTGCTTCGGTACAGATACCTGAATGAGTGGGACAAGGCGATGAACCACACGGAGGAGAAGTACGGCTGGCTCGCCGCAGAGCCCGCGTACGTCTCGCTGAAGCATGAGGTCGACAAGGTGATCGTGTTCGAGCGCGCGGGACTGCTCTTCGCGTTCAACTTCCACTCGACGAAGTCGTTCACGGACTACCGCGTCGGCGTGGAAGAGCCCGGCGAGTACCACATCGTGCTGACGAGCGACGAGAAGCGCTTCGGCGGGTTCGATAACGTGCACCTTGGCGGGCAGTACTTCACGACGCCGCTGGAGTGGAATGGACGTAAGAATTGGCTGCAGGTGGGTACTACTTCTCCCATCGCGTCCGGGTAGCCCCTAATTCGTCTGTACTTCTGCAGGTTTATATCCCGACGCGCACCTGCATTGTTCTTGCGAAGAACTGATTAGATGTGAAAGACCAATGAGAGTTGCGGCATTCAAGAGGGGAAGGCGATAATTGCAGTGGACGAGCAGTCGACATCGTTGTACTGGTGATATCTAGGGCTTATAAAGAACACAAAGAAAGACAAGTAGCTCTTTGCTTAGTGCATGCCCGCGTGGGCGGGAGTGATGAAATCGTTACAATCTATAGGCCACGGCCAGAGAAAAACATACACGAGTGATGAAGGCCATGTACAAGAGGATACATACACATCTATTAAAAACGTGGGAGACAAATTAAAATGTTAACCTCGTAAAACACGCGTCCATCCCCATGTCATGCGTCTTTATTCGGGACCCATGCTAGTGATCCAGGTCGCGCATCCACACCCGGACCCGCTTCAGACCTGCCAGTCGGTTCCACGAAACTGGGCACGCCAGCTCCTCTGCGGGCGTCGTGAGCTTCTTCCAGTCGCGTGAGTGCCACTGCAAGAGCTTCTGAACCCGCCGGCGGAGGGAGCACGAAGTCCTTGTTCCCAAAACTGCTCCTAGGATAAATATGCTGCTTAGCGACACCCTGCTGAGCGGATCGTCCACCACCCTCAGAACTTCTCCGTCCGCGAGCTGCTGCCTCGGTAGATGTCGGACTTGAAGGAGGCGAGACCTGGCGGGTTGTCTGGCGCCCGTTAGGCTGCATCCACGCGTGTTCGTCCGGGGCAGGCATCCACTGCGTGCCAATAACGGGTCGGGAAGCTACAGGAGCAGCAGGGAGAGTAACAGTCGCAGCGGGGAACCGATTGTGTTCAGCAGCAGACGATGCAGACACAGTATCTTGGCCCGGCATGGGGATCCAGCCCCATTCCCAGTCCCGACGCAGTATGCCATCCTCTCCCATTCGCCATCCCGCGGACACAGGTCCTGGTTGCGCCGCAGCCACCGCAGCGGGGACATCGCCTGCTTTCGGACCTGTCTTGGTACTGGTCTTCTCCATCTCTTGCCCGCGGACTTCTGGCTTGGGGACTCTCATATCCTGATGGAAGTTCCCGCTGGAAACCTTACCCAAGTGGTGTAGGATAATCCGCTGTTGTTGTTGCGAGACGCCGGAGCGGCTCGGAGGACGCGAGGGTGGAAGAGAGGATGCAGGAGACAAAGACTGGCTTCGCATGCCGGTCGAGTTAAGGTTATCCATGCGCCCGGGGACGAACTCTGTAGCGAAAGGGTTGGGCTCGAATATGCCATCCGGTTCGCGGTTCGCGTCTCCAGACGCCATCGGAGCACTTCCAGGAGTAGACATGGTCAAGCTACGATCTAGGTATTCTGCCAGGGAGGGCATGCCGCCAGCCGATGCGGCTGGTGCGGACTTCCGAGAACCTGAGGTTAAAGCGCCTGCATCTATAGCGGCTCCAGTCCAGTTCATCGTCGCAGAGATCATGGCGGGCATGTCGTGGACGCGTTCTGCAATTTTGTTGGGAGTGGAACGTGCATCACGTCGGTTTCCGCGAGAGTTTCCTCGAGAGCGTTCCCTTCCACGCCCACTAGATGAACGAGATATCGGAGATGTCTTATAATCGGCTGACGCCAGTGCCCAATTTGGCGTGACCGATGTCCCAGTGGTTCTGGACCGTTCAGCCGCCCGTGCCCAGTTCGGAGTCTCCGAAATATGCGATGGTCCTGCGCTGGAAGAACTAGGAATACCAGAAATCGGCGTGTTCGTTGGACGAGCTGCTGGTTCCACAGTAGTGTGCGAGACTGGCCTTGTCGGGGATGTCCGCACATCATCGACTGCAGTAACGCTGGCCAGAGGGAGCTTCAAAATCTGTTGGGACAGCTCAGGGTATTTTATAGCGAGCTAAAAAACGGACGAGAGAACATACGCGTGAATAACAGACTGGACATCGCAAAGGATCACTCACGTTCGTTGCGTCGGCGTACGTCTTGGGGAGAGGAATTCCCAGAGGTTCAATCGCAGCCTCTCCAATTCGTAGAGCGCCCGAGCTACTATCAACAAGTGGACCAAGTGAATGGGACGACACGCTTGGTTGGACAGACCGGCATTTATAGTCTGCTGCTTCAGTGGCGACATTCCCTTTGACTGGAGTGCCCGAATCAGGCTCAAGAACTGAAGGGGAAGAGCGAGGCGCAGACTGAACAGGATTGTCATTCGCTGAGTCAATGATGGCACCCTCATCTAATACAGCGCCTAATTCGGCATCAAGAGCAGGTGCAAGGGAATTTGAAGAAGGCGAGAGTGTCGGCTGGGCAAAGCTGCAGGCGTTCTCTCCCAAGTAAGCATCCACAGAATCAGGAGAACCATCAGACGCATCCAACTCCGCTCGTGACGGCACCTCGGGGATGATAGAAAGCACATCCAAGGCATCAGAGATAGGTTCAGCAAGGATCTCCGAACTTTCACCAGTACCTGCAGATTCACCCGACACAAATGCATTGGACTGCACGGGCACCGGGCTACTGAGTGCGGAGAAGAAAACATCAGACAGTATAGGCGCTGGGCTGCCAACTTCAGAGATGACGACCGCAGACCGAGAGGGCGTCGAGCTGTTGACAGCAGCAACACTGTTATTTCCGGGGGCAGAGTCGTAGGAAGACCCGAAAGAAGCGAACGAGAGACTGGTAGGGGGGTCTTCTTTCTCTGCTACTGCGTCAGATGAAGGAACGTCAAGCATAGAAGCATCCTTTTTGACATCTAGCATAGATGCGGCTGGTATCTCCTCCGGTGTCGGGACAGACATAGTTTCAATGTGCCGAAATGAAGGGACTGAAACAGTGACCGAAGAAAATGCTGGTGTAATGGTCGGGCATGGCGTCTCGGATTGCTCAACACTGGAAACGATTTGTTCGTATTCTCGCACGCTGGTGCTGCCATCATCTTTCGGTGCTTCATCCGCGACTTCGTGCTCAGCCGTGGAGATGGCCTTCTCCGTAACAGCGGGTTCAGCAGTACTTCCTTCCGAAGACTTGGAGAGTGTTTCGCGTAACACATCGTTGTCCGCGTTTGTAGGAGAGCCATCCTAAACGGAGAATCGCAACGTCAGATTATGTCAGACGGTGTTAAGAGACCAGATAAACTGACGGTCTCTCGAGCTCTACTGGAAGACTCCTTCCGCACCTGACATTAACTACTTAGCCTAGCTCTGACACCCTTGCACGCAAAACTACTGACATGACGGTCGATCTCCGCACCCTGGTTTTCGACTCGGGTGCTTCTCTGCAATACTGACACGTCCTTTGGCGGCTCGAGAAGAGAGGATGAACGTCTGGAGAACTTCAGAGGATTGCGAGAGAACACGTTGATGACCGCCTGAGGAATCATGGTGAGGACTACCGACGCTGCTCCCTAGGAGATGCAGCGGGGAGGTGGTAGTAGGAGACAAAGCTGGACTCGAACGAAGTTGAACTTGACGTGAAGAGCATTTGGACGCGTGAAGAGTGGTGCCGAGTAGCCGTCTGTCAATTGACAGCCAACGACGTGACGGTGCACGACCTCGCACATGTGCGTCCAGTTCGCAGGGCGCCTCACCTTTACACTGGTTCATTCCGGAATCCAGGCGAGACTGACAGGAACGGAGGACAATACAGTGTCCGGACTCAGATATGGCCCGACTGGTGAGATAACTACGCACGGAGACAACAGACCTTTGCAGTCTAGTACGTCGAAGCATGAGGAACAAATCTGCATAAATATGCGATAAGGAAGCTTCACGTACTCCAAGAGATACCTTGTGTCACGCAGTGAGGTAGGGAAGCGAGACAAACACAGCACAGCGCAAGAGAAAGGTCACTCTTAGCACACGCCGGGTTATTTAGAAAACCTCCAAGGATCAATGCAAATCATGGAAGAGTTACACCCTTGTACAAAGGAAGCCACATGTTAGTAAATAGCAAGGGTCACCAGGCCCTGCTTGAGTTCAACCGCGTTTGGTAGAAGCCTCGGACTCCGCGCCAGCAGGGGGCACTTCCTCTGACCGGCGACTGTTCACTTTCACGAAATCGTCCATAGCATAGTCGCACCCAGAGACCTGCCGGAAAGAATTACAAGAAACCGCGTAAATACCCCGTAGTGGACCAAATCTATGTTAAAAGGTGCTTACCCATTGCGCAAGGTCTCTCAGGAAACTTGGAAAAAGTGGGAACAAAGGAGTGAAGTTAGCGAAGAAAGGCAGATATATGGTGCGCGAGTGCTGTTCATCCAGAGCCGTTATCACCGCTTTCACCACGGTGACGGGAGCAAGGCTTGGGAAGAAGAATCGGTGCAGCGGTGAGACAGGGAGTTGGACGGTGGAGAATAGTCCAGTCACGACATGGCCAGGAATCATGAGGGTAGTGCGCACGGACGGGGCGTGGTACTTGTGGTCAAGCTCATAACGCAGGGACTCGTGCAGAGAGATCAACGCCGCCTTGGACGCGTTGTAATCAGCTAGGCAGAGGATTATCAGTATGATTACGAGCGCAGTACCGGTGAGCTCACTCATTTTCGCCATGCCTACCAAGCCTGTTACGGATGCCATATTAATCTATGGAGAATTGAGTGCCGTCAACAACAGCGTGTATTACGTGACTCTCACGATGTGACCCGAATTTTGTTTAATCATGTGCGGGAGGAACGCTTTCAGCGTCCAAAAATGCGCCAAGGTGTTAACCGAGAATGTTCTAGTTGGGGGAAGAAACATCGTCAGAGAACAGGGAGAACAAAAGTAGATGTAATTGCATACTGTTGAATGTCCGCGGCGGTAAGATCAACTAAGAGCTTTCCCTGAACAACACCGGCGTTATTGATGAGTATGGTCGGGTGACCAATCTACAGGTAAAGTAGAGTTCAGCCCGGTTCCAAAGCCGATCGCAGACGACTAACTTCATCCGTTATCTTCTTGGACACAGCTTCCACCTCTTCCCATTTTGACACATCACACTTGTAATACGTTATGTTGACTGTATCAAACACATATTGGATAAGATGAAGCAATTATTTTGAACGCCACGAGTGCACCTACAATTCTCAGTGATGATGGGCTTGATGTCCAGCACAATAACAGTGACATTGCGCACCGCTAGGGTGTTCGCAATGAGTTCTCCGATACCCGAAGAACCTGTGCACGAAACTTTGATCAGAACGCATATAAGATCAAATAGCACAACACGCGCCTCCGGTAATGACGACAACCTGTTCGCCCCAGTCCAAAGGTGGCTGCCCGAAGAGAAGACTTCCTTGATTCCGATACAACCGAGAGCACCACTTCAAAAACCCTACACGACACCGTATCAGGGGGCTGATATCAGTGAATCCACGTAAAACATGAAGACTCACAGAAGGCGCAGAGAACCAAATTATAACCGACCGTGGCTAGAACAGCCGGATCGGACCAGTGTAATCCCTGAAACAAGAAGAAAACCGGGAACAAGAACGTGAAGAATGGACCTCGAAGCGTTTACTCGGCATTGAGCTCAGAACTGCAATCCCGTAGACAAATATACTCACTGAAAACAGTATGCGAGAGGTGCTTGACAACAAGATCGATGTCAAACGAGTCAAAAATCGGAGATGTGTCGTATTGCTGTTCGCCTTCCATGCTGAAGACCTCTCTTAAACGGTTTCTTGGCAAACGCACTGCGGGTGGCAATAAAATGAAACAGGCTCAACCTGTGGTGGTAAAGAGTGAAGAAGGCTGTGCCGCAGATGTGGTCGACTGTTGACGTGGAATCAAGTCACAAAGTCGCGTCTGACAGTACGCATCGATGCTTCTTTCCTCAGCCTCCCACGTTGTGTGATGATATTTTAACACCGACTCAGTTTTTCGCGGCGTGGAATCGAAACGACACGCTACAGGCGATTTTGACGGAGCGCTCATTTTAATTGTCAATGCTGGCGCTTAAATTGGTATATCTAGCGCATTTCTCGGGAATAATTTTACGGAGACTTCGTAGAAGGTCGAACACACTTTCAACCCGGGTTCCAGTGCCAGTGGCACGTGCAGTGGTAAGCTCTCTCCATCATGCATAATGCATCATGATTGAAGCAACTGATATGGATTACTCTTATTATCCGGGCTTAGGCTTAGCCTGGTGAAGTGAACTTGACGTGACGAACGGCTGCAGATATCTAGTAGCCTACTATCACAGGCAGAAACTGGCACCATCGCGCGCGCGACTTCCCCACGAGATCCACTTCCTCACTCCGCCGTTCTTTCAGTTCTGCTTCTGCTCCACGATGGCCCACATATAGATACTTCTTCCTCCATAATAAAGCTGTTAGCTAGCGATCTGAAGACGCTTCACGCTACCTCGACGTACCCAACGCCTACCTCCCTTCGTGACGTCTCCTCTTGCATTTCATATTTCACGCTCATAACGAACCAGCTGTACGTCCGGATTGTGTACATGGGTATATCTGACATGTCTCACTGGTTCCCCAGGACACTATACTCACCCCTTTAATAATCTCGACCGAGACTGCACCTATGCTCAAACTCTTCAAGCAATTCAGTATGACGAACTTTGCAGTGGGGAGAACACCTTCTGCTTCCGATCGCTTCAAGATCATCGTCGTTCACCGGCACCCTCAGCGCCTCCCGGAACTGCCAATTGAAATTATCATAGAGATTTTCGAGATTGCCGTCTATCTCTCGAATGAATCTGCTGCAACGATCTCGCTCGTCTCGTCTTGGGCACGAAAGATAGCAGTACCGCATCTCTTCTCGACAATCGTTAGCCACGCTGCTCCTCTCACTCCCGAAGAAGTCGCGAATGCGTCCAAGTCATCCCAAGCACCCACGTCGCGCACAAAGCTTTCCCCCTATCTCGGAGGATTCGTGCAGCATCTCTGGACCGAGAGGACTGGCATATCTAATATAGCCAACGAGGTGGACCTGTTTCGGGCATGCCCTAACGTGGAACATCTTGCACTTTCATCTCCGTCTCTCCAATCGCTTTCGATGGCATGTCGCATGCACCGCAAAACCAGCATCGTCCCTGCGTTTCCTTCGTCCCTTCGTTCTATCACCATGATTACACCCACGTACCGTTACGAATGGCACATTCTCGTGGGAGTCCGGGTGCCGAACGGAGGGCTGCTCCTGCACAACATCACGCACTTGCGCTTGCTCGAGATGGGAGCCGCGGCATACGCGCCGCACGCGCACCTCCCCAACCTCACACCTAGCCGTGCCCCATCTCGGCGATCAAACTCTCGCTCACGATCCCGTCCGCCTCCCTGACGGCGTGCTGCAGCACCGCAGAATCCAGATGATCGTGCTCACCATGGACGAGCGGAACTACTTGACCACACCGTGGTACGAGATCCGTCGTCTTTCTTGGACGAGCTCAGGCTCGAGCTCGAGCAGGAAATCTTACGGCCTTCCCCGCGATGGCTTCCGCGAGCTCGTGCGACGCGCGCGACAGGTGGACGAGAGGCTGTACGTCGTGCTTTCGCCACGGGTAGACCAGGATGCTTGCGCTGAGTGGGAGGCTGCCGCCAGGGGTGGAGAGAGTATTTGGGAGACCGCTCTCAAAGCGAGGGAAGACGAAACATATGGAATGGACCTTCCTAGGAAGTCCACTGGTTCGAGAAATCGGTAAGAATTTCAGGTCTGGCATAACGATTCACGGACCCCTTCTTGGTAAACGCTCGCTTTCGTTCCCTCTGATTAACTTCTTGTCAAACATCATACCCATTGTAAGTAACGCAAATATGTAGCTCATACTTTATGACGGTGTGTATCATCGCAGTTTTTCTTTCTTCCTGTATAGTATTGCACAGTATATCAATTGCAGTTGAAGAATAGGCGTGTCGGCATGATCAGATCACCTCATGTCTCCTCGTAGTCAAGATCAACATATTTGGTACAGGTGCGCCTTCCTCCTTTCGTCGTCACTTCGTACAGTCTCACCGGCATGCACAGGTGCATACGGAGAGTGCGAGCCCATATTTGCACGCGCAGGTCGATCAAGGTAATCACGATCACGGGACTCATCATTATTGTCCTCGACCTGGGTGGCGGCCCGAACCACGACCGCATTGGATTCCGCTACTGGAAGCCCCCGGGCACATTTATGACCACATCTCGGCGCCAAGGGGAGCTGGATAGGCACTTTCATTCTCAACCAGAACCTACCATCCACATGGCGTGAATCAGTACCACCTCTGAAGTTGATATCGCATGCAAATATACCTCGACTGCACACTTCTGCAATTACTCGCAAGCGCGATCAGTATATGCTATGATGCGAATAAGCGGCACATTTGCTCCGTTTGGAGGGTCCGGGACAGGAACTATGTTGCCGTTTTTGTTCAAGCCAGGCTGTCATATGAGTAGCGTATCTTGGATCAGAGAACGTCAGCATGTGAATTTGTCTTGCTTGCCACGGGGATACAGTAGGTCCTATAACGAAGTCTGGATCGCCACGCTCTGGGGATCGCACTCTGATATAGCGTCGCTCGAGGCAATCAATGTAGTACTGAAGCATGCATCAGTATTCGTTTCGCCATCTCATGTAACACATAGACTGACCTTCCACCATTCCTCGTTTGCGTCTTCGAACCACTTCCTTACGAACGGCTCCTTCTCTCCCGGGGCTATCTTTTTTCTTTGGAGAACAGCTGGTAAATGTGCTGCATTAAGATGGTCTACTGGGGAGGACATCCAGAATATGATCTAGTGAGACCCACTCAACCACAGCCAGGAAGGGCGGCACTGCATTACCGGATTTTTCACTTCCAACTGACAGCTCTGGATATCATTCCCAGGGTGACCAGGCTATTGCAACCATGCCCATACCTTGCGGCCTGGCGCAACCAGTACGACAACGTTAGAGCACAATTTCCAGTGTTGGGAGGCAGTCAGAACCTGTAAAGACACTGGTTCAATGTACAGGCCTAAGTAATATTCATCGAAGTCAGCACCTGGTCAGGAGGACTAGATCCTAGGACCAATATTCACGGATCACTCCGCATGGAGATGAACGCCTATTCCACCGACGGAAAGTGTGGTACACAGGCAGGCTTGTATTGCATCCAGGTTTCGAATATGGGTGGACGTAGTAGGATGGATAGAAGGATAGCTCGAGTGGGAAATGACGCCCGCGGTGGCAACGAACAAATATCGGGTTGACAAAGGACAATGAATGCTGTCCAAACTATCATCTCCCTCTCAGCTCTCCATGGCACAAAAGCATATGGACTAAGTAATCCTCCTGTCTTCACACTCTCAGTACCCCTCTACAACGACGTTTTTGCCCTCGCGAATTCTAACTGTGCTAATTATCCTCTGTCCTGGCGGCGACCTTGGACTCGGATGGCGACGAGAGTGCTGTGCAGCATCTCTACTTCCCACCACCTGAACTTCTTCGACCAGCTATCGGATGGCTACTATTCTGCCAACCCCTCTCCTTGCCTGGATCAACGATTGAGAGAGAACACATCGCGACCGTCTACCGCTGAGATCCCAGTGACACGTGCCCAGCCCGACGCGCTGGTGGCTGAACGTTCCAGTCCTTGTTCTCTGGATAAATGCGACCGAGGTTGTGTCCAGGTTACCTTCAAATTGTCCGTGACCACCTCAACGCCGGATAGGTTAAGGCGTTGCTCCAGAGTAGGGGAGGGGGCCCTCTGCAAAGTATGTCCTCTCACCTAGCCTTGCGACTCCTCCTGCGTATACCCAAATCCCAAGGCTGGAGGAGATCTCTTACATATAAGCTCACGAATCCCACTCTCCTCCAGCAAAACAGATGGGGCCAGGGCTCCGAACCAGACTCAGACGCAGGGGAACAGAGGCATGCCAAGAGAGCAGACGACGGCGATTACTGCGGGCACGCTGCTTGTGGGCACAGTGCGATTCCTCATAGGACAGACAACGGGCCCTTACCTCACACAAGAGGTGAGGCATACAGATTCCCAAGCTTGGAACTTATTCCGGAAGCATGTGAGGAGGAGGATCCGTCCGAACTTGATGTGAGTCCACCAGCTGGTTCTGCTAACATACGCTGACACCGTCCAGAACTGCCTCCAAAATGATTCAGCGGAGATGGCTGACATTCTGGTTTGTTCTTCTCGTCATCTTCGTCCCTCCCGTACTGACATGCTTTAACAGACAGTCGAGGTGGCTAGGGCCCATTCAACTCATATTCCGGAGTCGCCGCCTGTGTTGGAGCGGAATGTCAGTCAGTCTTTCCGGAATGCATTGTACGGGCTGTTTAACTCTCTTTCAGAGTCTCCTACTGGCGCTTCAGCGTGACCGAAGAAATCTAGTCCTAGATTCTCTGGATCCGGATCATGTCCCACACATCGTGATTTCTCCTCCAGACGACATATGGGACCTATACTGGGCAGCTTGGATTAACAGGGTTGATCCTCAGTCGACAAATCACTTGATTGTACCACCCCAAGACGTTTCCACTCCCTTAGCATTTCTACCTCCTTTTGCTGGAGTTCCAAAAGGTCGCGATGGGAGTGTGGAGTGTGGAGTATCTCGACATTCAGATATTTTATCTGGTACGGACAGCCGGACAGTGCTCCCCCACCCACCAAGAGTATTCAGTCTCTCAAGATTCCGACAAACTGTACGTCCGCTGGCTCAGCATCACAGCTTAACACGCTTATCATCCCAGATCGCCTCCGCGTCGCAGGAGCGGCAGGTTTTGTTCTTTGACTGTGTCATAACTGCCGTGCATCGCCATGCATTCAAGGCTTGCGTAAGTTTGCTTCTTATGTATCTGCTCTTCTCTAACATCATTGGGATAGGCTTTGATTGTTTGTTCATTGGCACCTCTTTTCCGTGCCCGATGGGACACACCTGGCTTCTTGCAACGATTCGAGAAGCCGTTCCGGTGGTCAGATGCCGCTGAAGTAAGCTACTGGCACATAATGCGCTATGAGATACGGTCCCTGACAGGCCGCTAGCCTTTGCTGTCGTTTTACAGGCGGTGTATCGGTGCTATCATCATTGACTCCACGACGCCGTGCACCACGCCACATATCGTCATCCAGGAGCCTGCGCCAAACAATCCTTGGGAACTCTCTGCGAACGTCACGTCAAGTCCGCAGGATTACGGCTACGGTCGCTTCCTGACAGTTCCTGCATCTTACGTCGACTTCGTGAACGTCGACGAATCAACCTTCGCGGGCGAAGACTACTGCTACTACAGCGCGTCACCGGCGAGCACACCGTCCCCACGGAGCATCAGCAAGACCAACGTGCTGGAGCCCCTCACTCCAGACAGGTTCGTATCCGAGAGTACAGACAGGTCTGTACAACCGCTGCTCACGTCCTATGCGGACCACGGCCCTTCTGATTGCGACTCCGTCGCTTGGCCGGCGGGATGCACGGAAGGGCCGCAGATAGTGTCCAGAACTGGTGATCGCTACTATGCGATCCCGATGACGGACGACATTGACGATATCCTCCTGGAGGGAGAGCCCTGCGTTGAACTTTACGGAGCCACTGAGCCAGAGGAGGAAGACGAGGAGGAAGACGTTGAAGTTGAAGGCGAAGATGAAGGCGAAGACGTTGAACTGGAAGACGGAGGGGAAGACAAAGATGACCTTCCGCCCTTCGATGACTGGTATCAGGAGATTGCTCAACGGGCTCATATGCAAGCACCAACATAATTGCATCGTCGGTCATCTGCCGCGCACTCTCTCTATACCCAGCACATTCCCGTACGGTACTCGTGCGAGTTGATGTTGTATTTTATACCATGTGTCATACCGAGTACCTTACCCCACCTACCGTATGCATACCTAAATACATACCGCTTTCATATCTTACTGTCTCTTATTGCGCATGATGAGGTACTCACGATTTACCATGGAATGTCTGCCTTGCAGACTCATAGTGCACGGGTGCCGTGGACACGGGACCATCCCTCGCACGCCGTGCAAGTACTGCGAGTACTCGCCTCTCTCCTTGGAGTAGCACAACAGCTTAGAACGGCATCGCAACACACGGACCTAATGCAGTCAGCCGCAGATCACTGTGATGTATCGCTCACCCTCTGGCATGACGGCGAAGCCGTCCATTACCTTCGTCGGCCTGCACGTTTCCCTTCTCTAGGCCGTAACAAACTCGACCCATCTGGACGAGGCAGTGTCCCGAAGGACTTGCCCTTGCCGCCGGGCCACGGACGAGTGGTGCATAAACATTTGCCGTTCTAAGTGGAGGACGATCTAAAGAATGCCGGCGTTCAAGGGGCACACCGAGGGGAACACGAGCTTAAGCCGCATCACGTAGGCCCTAAAACGCATTGAACGAGAAGTTTGAATGCCAAACTTCCGTTCGAGCGCATCACCCTGCATGAGAAGAGCGTCTGCGATGGCAGACTGAATGCCGTCTCGCACACGCCTTGAGAACATTATGGACACCGTCGAGATGGAGCTGCCTCATCTGCAGTGTGGAAGTCGGAACGCGCACTTAACCAACTTGTCAGTGACCAATGGGTGCTCCACGAAGTGCCGTGCCAAAAAAAAAAAGCACGGGGACTGAGGGAAACACAATCATGCAGCATCCCTGGTGAGATATTTCCAGATGCAAATTCTCGAGTCGGCCTGCTCAAAGTCAGCTCTCTGTAAGGCAGGTCCGCTCCAAGGTAACCGTACCCCTTGTGGCGTCGCATCCAAAACGGCAAGGAGCGCCTTACGTACCTGGATGGCACACAGTAGCCTCGACACCTTCCGTGCGTACGTGATGCCCAGACCCGCGAAAATGTGTCTGCAGCAAGCGGGCCCAGATCAAGCAGCTGCTGAGACCCTTGCTCGGTCTTGGTTAAACGATTTCTTGACTAAGCGCAACCCTGTCAGATTCTTAGATTCAAGACCCAGAGGATAGCAAGGACACCGAGTAATTAATGCCATGTTGCTGGCATCCACGAATGCTACGGTCTGAGTAATAGAGCGGTCAAAAACCACGACGCTCTCGGTTCCTCCAGCCTGGACATGGCGGCGAATATGTGACTCACCCGATCATAACCGGAAATCGTCCATTCTCCACGGGTCAAGCGACCCGTAGACGTGGAAGTGCATGTGCGTAACAACGTTCCGGTGACCAGACAGTATGAGGAGCAACCGCACATAGAGGGGGGACAAGATGAATCATCCGTGAGAAGTAAAGGAAGATTGGGGAGAGAGCTGACTTCGACAACGTGCGACTGATCAGTGCGTTATGATGCAGATATGAGACCCAGACAGAGTCAAACACGGGGGCGATCTGTATTTACATGCCGTCAGTAACAGAGCGGGAGACTTCGACCGACTGACATTGATAATTGATTGAGATCGCTGAGTAGCACATCACTGTCGTAGTAGCAACCTTGAAAAGCGCTCACAGGTACATCACGGCGGTAAGATGGAAGGACACCTCCAAGTTAGCAAAAGGATGGACGAATTCTGAGAGATACGGAACCAGTCGGCGTATGAGAGTAGGAACATGTCCAAGCTCAGTGTTCAGTCGCATACGCGTACGTGGAAGGCTAGCCGCGAGCGGGTCGATCATGATCAGAAGAGGCCATCAGACGGATAGAGATTTCACCGGAACTCGGAAGGTTGTCTTCATTTTGGCTCTGTAGACATAAAAATACAGTAAATTTGCGGTGAACCTCCGCCAGCCCAGGTGCTACCGGACGTGGAAACATCAGAAACGAACTTGGATCGCTTTTGCGATGGCGGCTGGGCTCGTATACATTGAAGCTCCGTCCAAAATATACCTCAATGAATGGGCCATGATTCGCTCAATGCTGCGGAGTGAGAATAAAAAATATGTTCAACCCCGAAATACTTTTATAACGTGGGAACAAAAAGTGCTATTTCAGATATTGACAAGGGGCAGACAAATTGCAAACGGGGAGATGAAATGCTCCCCGCTTGTTAATTGCCCTCCTCCGAGTCTTACCTTAGATCTATACTTTTATCACCTGTTAATCCTTCTAAGACGAATTTGCCGTCGTCACAATTCAGATCTTCTGCTACTGACATAAGTACTTATCTTCCTTTCGTACCCACCCTCATCTTTCTTCTGTTCCTCCACGAGGCGTCCTCGCCCCCCCCCTTCCTGTCGCTGTGTTATGACTGACAGTGTAACGATATCTCTGCTCCCAGTATCTCTCTCCCTGGTCCATCTACCTCGGTCACGCCTAGAAACGCTTTCCCAGCACGTTCTCCGTCAGATTCTGCAGCCCAGTCCTATTTTTCTGAACGTTACTTGCAACGAGATCGAGCTTAGCCTGTTTGCCGAACGACATGCCCTCAAGGACTTCGAAAAGATAGCTAGGAAAGATGCACAGAAGTTGAGGTCGCGAAGAAGAGAGGAGGGAGGTGAAACACATCCCACCCAAGATCACAAAAGGAGCAAAAGACAGAAGGAGGATTGGGAGCCTGTCGAGGTTTCGTCCGACAAGTGGAATGTACTCCAAATTGACTCTCATTCGGATCGCCTGGGTGCGTTTTTTCTTCTCTATTCCTGATCGGTATTTACTGGAGTATCTAGACACTTCGGGTGCTCGCGTACATGAGCTGTCTGCTCCTCTGGCCGCAGCGGGTATATCAATCCTGTACCAGTCATCTTACATGTGCGATTTCATCTTCGTGAGTATCCTACTTGCCCTCCAAGCTTTCAGCGTCAATTTGCCAGCCTTCCCTATCCAACACGTAACTCGCTTATATTTCAGTACCCCTTTCCCTCAGGCTATGATTTCACCTTGTCTACATTGAATTGAATTTCCTACTCCACCACACTTAAAAATTTCCGCATTGAGCTGACTCGAACCGTCTGACAGGTAAAATCCTATCGTCTCTCGGAAGTGATGTCTCTTCTCGCCTCTGCCGGTTTTGACCTATATTCTTCCGATCCCTACAACCTCACCGCCCAGCTTTCTACTTTCACCTCGCCAATGCTCTCCCCCACCAGGGAAGATATTTCGTCGATCAATATTTTGGATTTGGCGACGGCGCAAGTGCAACGCCATGGCATTGATCCTGAAGGTGGGGCTGTATTCTCCCGCTCACGGAGCAACACGAACTCCAGCAGCTCCAGCTCGGGCGGCAGAACGGTACCACAGAACCTGCACGTATCGAGCCAACGCGATTTCGAAGACGATAGCCCTGCTAACCAGGTACCCGAACGTCCGGATGCAAAGCAAGAAAGAGCGGCCCAGAGCCGCTCGCAGTCGCACTCGCCGTCCGGGTGTGAGGTGCGCGTCCTGGAGCCCGATCTCACGTACGTCGGGCTATCGGACGATAGCGTGGAAATGTGGGGGCTCAAGATCGTCAAGCTCGTGGCATTTCCTGAGTTGATTGTGCCGGTTAGGCGAGGGAGCGGAGGCGAAAGCAGCTCGTCCGCTGCCTCGCATGGCCGTCATGTGTCTCCTTCGCCGGAGCATCCTGCCCTCGATCAGGTCCCGGAGCCCGTACACTTACCAACCATCGGCCTCTCCGATGATGTTGATGCTGTGCCGTTTCACATAAACGTCGCAAGTGACGGAGAGAAAGGGAACGGGAGCGGGAGCGACACCACGACACGCGTTGGGCCCGATTCACCGAAAGGTGACCCTGCGTTCGACATGTCGCCTGTATCGCCCCTGTTTGAGACGAGGAACGGGAAGGTCTGGGAAGACGTTTTCGACCTAGAGGACTCGAGCGACGAAGAGGACCATCGTTCCAAGAGCCCCAGCGAAGAGGCCCACAAGCGGGAGACCTCAGAAGTACTTGCTGCAGCAGGCCAGACTAGGCCTTTCCTTCCACACCTTGAGACTCTCAAGCCTGCTCATGACCACTCACGCTCTGCATCAACATCTTCGACGTCATCCGCCGTGTCGACACCTCCCCTTCTCGTCCCTTTCTTCTCCTTCACCCGCACGTCTGAGGGCTCGTCACTTACTGCTCCAGTATCTCTGCTCGCCGCGCTCTTCCCGCCTAGCGAGAGGCATATGGTGATTTGCAGTGACGAGCTTGACATCTTGGATTCTCGCGTTTCCTCACCCATCACGCCGGAAGGGCCTGAGGTCGGGGAATCGGAGGATCACGACGACGAACGGAACGGTGCTCAAGGCCCGTTGCGATGTCTGCAGATCGACTTGCGGAAGTTTGGGTTAGGTGGGTATTTTCCGAAGTCTCGCACCTTTGCTGTGGTTACTGATGCGAGTGTCATGCAGACAAGCATGGACTTGTGAATCGGTATTCCCGCACACTCGAAGAGAACGGCATAAACCACATGTACAGTTCGACGTACAAGACCGCGAACCTGCTCGTCGACAAAGCGCACGCGAGCCGCGCGCAGGCTCTGCTGCGCTCTTGCTGAAGGAGCGTCCATGATATCCTCTCTTCACCCCTCATCTATCCACCTTATCTTCCATTCCTTCGACGCTTACGACAAAATGGCACACGACTATACTACAACTTTACCTTCAGCGATACCAAACGTCTGATCATGACTGCGACCGCCCCCCCCCCCCCCCCCCCCCCCCCCCCGAACCCATGACGTTCCTTCCTCCCATGTATATAGTCAGCCTATCCTATCCGCGTTGGTTCACATCCGTTCCTTTCCCTATCACTACATCATTATGCGACTGACCTAACGCCATACAGCACTTTCGGACAGTCACGGTTCCGTCATCGTTTCGCTTGCAGGACTACACATTGTTTATTAAATTTCCTCTGCTCATTCATTTGCTTACCTCCATCTTGTTTATTGGTTCGTCTCATCTCACTAGCCCATTCCGTGCACCGTGAATACGATATGTAGTAGACGCGTTGCACTAGCGCAGCAGACTTACATCTGTGTTATACACCCCGCACTCACCTCCTGTACTCCCCTGCTGTATTTGTAGTCTTCAGTGCTACTTGCTGGTATTTCTGGTGAAGACGGTGATGGCCATACCGGTCCGTCGCGTGAGTCGCATACATAAGCTGGAGGCGGAAGACCGATTTCCTGGAAGTTGGAGCGGCTTCTGATGCACGTTTGTCTGCGTGATTCGTGTCCTCCGAAAGCACGCAATGCTAGTCCGTGATGCCATGTCTGTGCCCCTTCTTTGTTGTGCATGCTGGAAAGGTGTCGTCATTGGGTGAGCGCTGATTACAGCATCCCAGGATTGATATTGAAGCTTGCGTTGTGCTCTTTGTTCGTAATGTCTAAGTGGGGATTGCGGCATCATGAGGATGGCCCATCATGGGGACATCTTGAGCGCGTCCTGCGTATGCATGTTCCCATGCTGGCCAAGGTTGACGTACATCGCTTGTGTGCATTGATGTTGTTCGTCTGCATGGGGACGTGCGAGCCATGAATGCTCCTCGCCGGAATGGTAGTGATGAGTGGACACGCTATGACAGATGGACCACTGGTTTCTCCCTCAAGTTGTGATGAAGGGTGAGTGATGATGATTCCACCCGTGGATCTGTCATCAGTTACACTTCATCACGACCATTCGCAGTCTTTCCTCAGGCATTGCACGCGACCGATACTTTCCATGAACAGGCCAAGGGCTATAGAAGGGTAAATGGGGAGAAGTCGCACGCGCGAATCTTGGCATCAGGCAATCTGTACGCGTCATAGCGTTGAGGCAATAAAACTGCGGCACAACATGGAACATCTGAACAGTCCAAGAAGTCTCCTACACCATTGTCAGCGTTCTCGAATGACGACATGAAGGTTGAATGTTACATCGACGCCTGCAGGCAAGAATATATACAGTCCACAAAGCTTCCGACGCGCCTCTTGGGATAAGGCGGGTATCAGGCTGCTGCGAGCTTCGCAGCCGCCGCGAGAGTACTTGATACAACGACAGATTCTGATAACCTGGGTAGAGTGTGCTCAGCCATGCCAGCGATCCTGTTCACATGCACTTGATAGTCGACAAGTTGTCGAAGGCAATTGTAGCGATGGCGCATTGGCACGCATACGTCGACATATTGCCGCTATCGCTATGAGATAGGGCCACATAAATCCTGTGATCACGACGCGCATGAGATGTCCCGACGACGTTGTGGCATTCGTGCGGGCGTGTCAAATAATGGGCCCTAAGTTTGGTACATCTGTCAGTGCAGCTTCTCCGTTTGATAAATAATGAAGATTTCTAGTGGGACTATCTGGATGAGATTGAACTTCGTCGGAGTGACCGATGATTTTCCAAGCCCGGATCGGGACGGTCCACCGACGCCGTTGGCGGCCGCCACTGAATCCTCATATGGAAAGTTTAGATGTTCGACTGAAACATCAACCTGGCAATATACCGACGCCTCTTCAAAGTCTTCAGATCTCTTGCTCACATGCATTGCTGCGTGCTCTGGTCGTGGGTGAAGTGGACTTTCTGTAGTTTATGGGCCGAGAATAATTTGGTGAAAGACAAAGTTGAGGCGTCAGCCTGGCTGCAGGTTGACATGGAAGGTGCTTCCATGTCCCGAACCTGACACGAACTCTTGGAGGATGGAGTAGACTCGCCGGAATTCCCTTCCCTCGCTACCTTTTCTTTAACCACCACTCCGTCTCTCCCGCCTCTACTGCTGTGTCGCTATGTCGCTCTCTGATTTCCGTCGTCAAAAAAATCTCGACCAATACCAATCATTGCCTTCGTCAACAAACTTACTTTCACAGCAGGGGCCTGGGCCAATACCTTACTTTATGAGCAATAGTCGACTAAACCACGTTCTTACAAGCATCAGTAGTTCGTCATTGGCGACGGTACGTTGGTTCTGAGTGTGGGATAGACTCTGCATAATGCAACACCAGATGGATTCTCCATTTCTTGGCGCAGGACGACCTCTACTACTCGGGAATGAGGTGAATCACCCAGATTAACTAACCCGCCCTCTCGCTTCTCATATTCCTTCTGGGCAGTACCCTCTTTCTGCAGATCCCGAAGAATGGGGAACAAACCTGTCTCTAAATCTGAAAGAAACAGACGACGACATCCACGAGCCCAAGTATGGCGTCAACCGCAGGCTCATCGAAAGAGACGGACACATGTTTTCTTGGCGAGGTCTGATCAACCTTGGGACCCTGGTCTTCCTTTGTGCGGGGCTAGTCGCCTTCTTGTGAGTAATCCTTGTCTGTTTCCACGTGTAGTCTCAAGTACGCTGTTGAACTGATCAAATCCTAGTTTCGGATATCCCATCATATCGTACTTCACATCCGTCAGATACTCTACGCAAGGCGGCTATAACCTCGGCGGGATCAATGCATCGGGGCAGGTACGTTTCAATTTTCTTCAGTTTCCTACTGGTTCCTCAAGCAACTTGAACCATTAGGTACCGTTGCTTCCGGGAAATTATGGTCTCATCGACCTCACCACCCCCGATTCGGCGCATACCAAACCGTCCTGGAACGGCGGCGGCGAGATGCAGCTGGTATTTTCTGACGAGTTCAATGTGGATGGCCGCACATTTTACCCGGGGGACGATCCGTACTGGGAGGCGGTGAACCTGCACTACTGGGAGACGAACAACTTGGAGTGGTATGATCCCTCCGCCGTTACAACGCAGGGCGGCGATCTGGTGATTACACTCAGCCAGAAGAATATGCACAACCTGGAATACCAAGGCGGTGAGCGCGAGTACCCTCTGGCGATGGTGTACTAAAGTGCGCTAGGTTTGATGTCGTCGTGGAACAAGTTCTGCTTTACTGGAGGATACATCGAGGCAAACGTCTCGCTTCCTGGCGTCAACAACATAGTCGGCTTATGGCCTGCGATATGGACTATGGGAAACCTCGGTCGCGCGGGTTACGGAGCAAGTCTCGAAGGCATGGTCAGTTCAAATGCGCTGGTTCTGTCACAACCAAATCTCAGTATCGATTTCTAATAGTGGCCGTACAACTACGACGCCTGCGACGTCGGCACGGTTGCGAATCAGAGCGTGAACGGCCACCCGGTGGCTGCTACGGTCAACGGCGACAAGAACAACGGCGGCGTCCTGTCGTACCTTCCGGGTCAGAAGCTCTCCAGGTGCACTTGCCCTGGTGAGAGCCATCCTGGGCCCAAGCACAGTGATGGGACTTTTGTTGGGCGGGCTGCCCCGGAGATCGACATGCTTGAGGCGCAGATTACGGGTACGCCGCTGACAGGGCAGGTGTCACAATCCGCTCAGTGGGCCGTAAATATCATCGGTTCGTGTGTGTCTCAAGACTCACGAAGCTGACTTGACCTGCTTAGCCTTTTAACGCCGGTTATAACTGGCTGAACACCAGTGAAAACCAGGTCATCCCGGATCCCAGCGTCTCTGTGCACAACATCTACGCGGGCGGTGTACTGCAGCAGGCGACGTCTGTCATCACTGATACCAACCCTGGGTGCTACGAGTATGAACTTGGCTGCTATGCTGTCTTTGGCTTTGAATATGTCCCTGGGTTCGAGAATGCGGTACGTTCCATGGCCCCTATTAAACTCGCGAACGGCTCATTGCACCGGAAGTATATCGCCTGGGTAGCAAATAACCAGGTCTCCTGGATGCTGAACGTCGCAGGCATGGCCGCAGACCCGCTCGCGCAGATCTCCGCGCGTCCCGTCTCGCAGGAACCGATGGTTCTCTCCCTCACCTCTGATCCGCCGTTTCCGCACTCATGCTTCTTTTCTTTCTTGATTTTTTATTGCAGTACATCATCATGAACCTCGGGATGTCGTACAACTTCGGCGCTGTCAACCTCAGTGCGCTCCCGTTCCCGGTGCACTTGCGCGTGGACTACGTGCGCGTGTATCAGCCAAAGGACTACATCAACATCGGGTGCGACCCGGAGGGCTTCCCCACTGCTGAGTATATCGACCAGTGCGTGCTGTGCTCATCGCGCTGAGGTTCGGAGGTTGACGGCGCCGCGGGGTGACTAGGTACATCGAGGCATATACGGACCCAAACTTGACGACGTGGCGGAAAGACTACGGCCAACCATTCCCGAAGAACTCGTTCCTCGGCGAATGCTGAACTCTGCTGCCAGTGAATGAAGGCTCTCGTCATCCTGCAACTACTTGCCTCAGTCTGCCTCTGAATCTCGCTCGTCTACCCTGCAACTGTTGTCGCTGTCATCACTTGTTGTATCAATTCATGAAACATCCACTGGTCCTCCGTACTCTACCCCACCTCTGATTGCCATCTGTCTGGCCTTTCTCTCCGCTATCTTAGTAGCCCGCATAGTTGATCTGTTGTGGTATAGTACTCACACATAATCCGCATTCCGAGGGCACCATGTGCCGCTCTCGCCCAAGACAAGTGCAATTGATTCACGGTAGAGCACGAAAGCATCATTACGCCTACGACAGGAGGTATGTATAGTATGGTCCAGAGCATTAAGAGTACAGGTCCAGCATCGAAACAACCACAATACCAGGGGGAAAAAAAACAAGAATACACAAAGTCCCGGGAATACAACAATGTGTGCGCTAACGTCCTGGCAGGGCGGGCCACGTAAGATCTAAGGAGATATGCGTACAGGCTAGATGGATTCGTAACAGAGAGGATCGATGTGTAGGCGAGAACGACGTCATACTCGCCCCGCGATGCGGTCCTCGATGATTTGGGTTATCGTTGGCGGGTAGACGGGGATCTGCGTGCCCTGGAAGCCTTCGGGGTAGTTGGGGTCTGGTTTGTCGGGCACCGTATGGTATCTGTGTGGAGGTGAAGATTGAATTTAGGAGCTATAGATTGAAGGCGGGACGCACGTATCGTTCCACACGGCGAAGTGTCGCATGCCCAGGGCGTGTGTCGTCCACTGATAGTCGTGCGCAAACCCGGTCGGGTAGAAAATCTCGATGACGGCCGAGATGGGCGTGACGGGCATCATGATAAGATGCTGAACAGTGTGTACTGTCAGTGAACAGGGCACGCAGACGTTTGCGGGTTACCCACCGTTAAGCCATTCCCGTGCACACCTAGCATGATCTACGAGAGATTGGATCAACCGAAGGGGAAAACTATCACGGTGGGTGGACATACCGTGGTGCGTGCTGCCAACTCCAGCTGCTGCTCCATGCTCAGCCTCTCCGCCTGCACGATGTTAAGCTCCCACCCGTGACGCCTGCACATCTCCGTCAAGGCCGTGACTAGTGCTTCATGATGACCCTCTATCAGATGGCGCTTCGACCCCTGCCGGGAGATATACGTGATGACCACGTCCTGGCCGAGATGCAGCGGGGGTGCAGATGCGCCCGCAAGAAGCTGCGGCCTCGTCTTGCCAAGGGCCGCGGCAGTCTGTTCCGCGCGCACGCCGATGTCCATCACACGCTCGTCGACGCCCGCGAAGCGGAGCACCGCGCGGCGCACGGGCTCCCACCACCAGCGGGTGAGGTTCCCCGCACGACGCATATGCTCGACCGCCTCCGCCGCGGTGCGCTGCGTGCGCGAGCCGCACGCCTCGCCGCGGAATGCGGCGGAGCGGTCCGCGAGGAGCACGTTGTCGAAGTGCCATGCGCGGGCTCGGGCGCCGGGGGAGACCGTCGAGTCGATGCGGTCCTCCCAGTCTTCCTCGACCTCGACCGTGATCGATGGGAAGACGGCGCGCATGAAGTACGAGTTGAAGCCGGGCCCGTCCCGCCAGCCGTAGGCGTCCGCGTGCGCGAAGATGACGTGCTGTACTGGCGGTGCGGTGGTGAGGCTGGCGGAGGAAGGGTCGACGACGGCCTTGAACGCGCCGGACCAGAATGCCCAGGCGCCGAAGAGGAGCTCCGCGCAGAAGTGGTAATAGTGGTCGAGGAACTGGTGCGGGTCGTTGAAGAGGAAGGTGTTGCCCTCGACGGACCACACCCTGTTGCGCTCCCAGCGGTCGGGGTTGCTGCCCCAGCGCAACCGTGCTTGGGCGGGCGTGATGAAGTCCATGTTGTCGGTGGTGGGCATGCGAGCGCGGACACTCTCCTCTGTCGCTTCTGCGGGCCGACCGGTGGAAGTGATGTACTGGATGTCCGGGAAAGACATTGGTGGTTCGTTTGTTACAACGAAGAGGGTGCCATTGGACATGTAGAGATTGCGGAAGACGGTCCAGCCAGGAGCGTGCGAGACGATGGTGGTCTCGGGGAAGTTATGCGAGACGTCTGCAATCTCTGTTACGACCGACTTCTGGGCGGTGCGCTCCTTCACCTGTTCCTGCACCTGCTTGCGCCCGCGGTCGACGACTGCGGCCGGGGCGTGGACGTCGTTTTGGGGTATGATCCTGGAGCTGATCTGGGTGTTGACGATGATGGACTGCTCCTGGGTGAAGATCTGGAAGAAGCTGGACGCGAGGCGCATGGCTGTCGCACCCAGGAGCACGAGCAGGAGGTCGCGGATGGTCCTAGTTCGTAGCACGCCCATGGCGAGCAGGAGGTGCAAAAGAGCTCCAGAAAGCGGGCGGCGGGAATTTAACGGCGGGCATTAGAGGGGTGGCGGATAACATGGGATCGGAATGTCCCCTATATGTTGTGAACGGGACCAGTGCCTTGCCCTTGGCTTAGCAGAAGCTTAACCTACTGTACGTTTTCCGCGCTTTCTCGCCCGGGTCCATTGCTGAACAGAGTTCTTCGATGTGGGATCGCATTGCCAGGAATTCTCCAGAAAAAGAACACAAGTTGATGCCGGTATAAGTACTGATGGCGAAGGTAATGCGCACTGGCATACGTCCTCCTGCTGATTTGCACGTGATCCCCGCGTTGTCTCCGTGATGTGACTTCTGCATCTCAGCGTTCTTAAGTTCCCGATGGGCTTTGCAAGGCCGCAGATAGAACGTCACAGCAGTGAGAGCACTCCACTCTCGAGGTAAGGGAAGCTAGATTGAAGATGGTATATCGCTCTTCCCCAAACTCTCGCCACTCTAGACCTCTCAAAGAGCTATCGGCTTGATCTCAAAAGATGGATGCAATCACAGAACAGAAAAGTGTAGAGTGTCTCCCACACCCCATGACTCTCGAACACACGTCAAATCTGTGCGCCTGGCACCATGCTCCTCGCGGCGAAAGCGGGCGTGACTCCGGCCAATCATCGTGTCCAGACGCATCCCGAACGCCATCTTCAAGACGTCGAGGCAACGTCACGGCGGGGCACCGAAGGCGGCCTGGGAATCGCAGGCATAAACGAGCGGCTGCCGGGGGCGTCAAGTCAGTGTGGCATAACATGAAGCGCACGAGAGCAGCGTCACCGGTTGAGCACGAGCCCCTTCAGCGCTCGAATTTCCTTGCGCACGTCCTCCTCTTCGGGATGCAGCTGAGGGTCAGGGGACGCAACCCCGAGCCGGAAGTTTGTGCGCGGAAGCGCGTACGAGTACGTGTGAGCAGAGATGTAGCCCGTGAGACTAGAAAGGGCTTCCAGCGTGTGCTGGTAGTGGCTGGCCTGCGGCATGCTTTCGGGAAGCGCCTCTTTCAGGGAATGTAATGACGACATGAGAGGTGGAAGCGGCGGTGGTATAGGAGGGTGGTAGGACCATACAGAGGTACCATCTGTGTCTTCGTGGCGGAACACGGGGCTCATGGAGAGGGTCTCCCAGAGCTTTGCCTGCACGTTGTCAGATTCTCACCAATTTTTGGTGTATTTAACTCACGTACTTCGAATTGGACTCCCTCCTCTTCCGACTTCAGCCAAGGCAACTTGGATTCCAGTGTTTGGAAGATGTCTTCGGTTGTAGGTTTTTGATCTTGCGAGACCAAGCCCTCAATGGCACATCGTAGGAGGCTGAAAGGCGGTAAATCCCGACTATCCTTACTTGCAGCAACAAACTCGTCCAAGGTATGACAGTCCCCGTACTGCGCAGGATCCTTGAAAGGTTCTGCTTGGGGAAGGATGACGAAGGTCTCGGTCTGGGTCGTCTTCAAAGCAGTCACTGAATCTGTGAGCTTGCCCAGCAGGTTCCTCTGGTGACTGCGTAGAGCATGCCGCGCGTGGTATGACTGCGATAGTCGTGGATAAATAAATTTCTATTGCGACGCGTCGGTCAAATGGATTAGCATTCATTCGTGAAATGTCTCACTCACGAAATACAGTAACAACAGCCCCACGGACCCCCCCGCGATCCAGCTGAGTATCCTCGTTACGCCGGCAAGAAGGTTAGGCAGGTTGGACGGTGGAGGCTGCGGATACGTCCGTGGCGGCACTAGCGGCACTGCTGCAGGCTGGGCACACTTAGTCCTTAGTACTGTGCGTCTCGATGGAGCCTCTCACCACTTCCCGCAGGAGCCCGTCCACCTCCGCATCACTCAGACCTTTCTCTGCTAGGAACCTTCGCTTCGCTGCGGTGTCTTCGTGCACGACCTGGGGCGAGCTGAGGAATGAACGCGCTTTCTCGAGGAGCTCGGTGCGGTCCACCGCGACCTGGGTGTTCACTTGCAGGTTTGCTGCCTGAGTGTCTGAAATGGAGGGCGTCGGCGGAACATTAGGGTCGGCAGATGGCACGCTGGATTGGTCGTCGGCGTCGTCAGGCATCGTCCTGTCGGTGAGCGAGCAAGGATATGTCGATGTCGCTCGGCACGGGCGCACTGAGGCACGTGATAGCTGTAACATTATGGGCGTCTGCTGATCTGCTAAACATAGAAGCTGGGAGCAATCATCATGCAGCTGCATGGGCCCATCTCACGTCCTCCATTCCTTCCCTTCGTCGTCGCTGCCCACTTCCCCAACATCATCAATTGAGATGTTGTCCGTCGTGGAGATATTTGCCGTCATTGGTGTGCTGCTCTCCATCTCCATCGTCTACCGCTTCGCACTCTTCGTCTGGCTGTATTTCCTCCGGCCCTCGGGCGTGCACAAATTCTTACACGGCCCTCCTGCTTACGCCATAGTCACCGGTGCCACCGACGGCATAGGGAGGGCTGTCGCCCAGGAGCTGTACAACAAGGGCTTTAACTTGATTCTGCACGGTCGCAACGAGGAGAAGATGCGCAGCGTCGTGGAGAGCATACGTGCGACGGGCTTGCGTGACGTGCGGTACTTCATCGCGGACGCGTCTCAGCAGGGCATTGATTTTGTGAGCATCGCGGAAAGGTATAAAGACCTCAACATCACGCTTGTGATCCATAATGTCGGAGGCTCGTCGCCAAGACGGTGCAGGTGAGCCCTCCTCTTATTTTCTTTGCTCAACCTTACGAGTCAAAAATTCGGTAGAATCGATGGCTTCACTGAGTCGGAGCTGCTGGGAATCGTGCAGATGAACGCGCTCTTCCCACTCCTCCTCACGCGTGCGCTTCTCCCCTCGCTCCGCGCGTCGGCCGCGCACGGGCCCGTCCTCGTGCAATTCGTCGGCTCGCAGGGCGCAGACGTGTCCCCGCCGCGGTTTGCGCTGTACGCGTCCTCAAAAAGGTTCCTCCAGGCTCTCGCGCGCGGGCTCGACGTTGACGAGCGCGTGTGGGACGGCGCGTCCGGCGTGCGGTTCGAGTACGCCGCTGTCGGCGAGGTGCGCTCGCAGACGCACCCCGTGCAAATCCGCGTCAGCTCCCCGTCGGCGGAGCGCTTCGCGCGCTCGCTCGTCAAGCGCGTCGGCTGTGGGTGGAGGCGGTACGCGCCGTACATGCCGCATGCGTATATGCAGTGGATCGTGGAGTTGCTGGGGGAGACGGTCGTGGAGAAGTATGTGGTGAAGGAGATCGACCAGATACTCGCGCTCGGTGAGAAGAAGGCGTAATGTATGTGTTTCAACGGATTTTAGGACCCTTGTACTACTAGTATTCCAGATGCTCGCTGGTGGAGATGTCGCAAGAGCTTGGCGGAGCCATGTGTGTATGCTAGCATTTCTAGTAACGACAGCCGGCGAGTCGATACAAAGAGGTATTCTCCTCTTCGCGGTGCACATCATGTAAGGACCAGATACTACGGAAATCGTGACATATCTCAATATTTTTCTGGCTCTCGACCTAAAACTTCAAGCTGCATGTTTTAAGAAGACTTATGGGTTTGTTACTACTGGCGAACAAGAAGCCAATCAATCGCAACGCTCCTACTGAGTACATGTGATGGCATATCTCCCCGCAGATATACGTGCCTAGAACGGTAAATGAAATTCTAGATGTAGAACTGAAAAGACTAGGAAAAGTTGGGTGATTCTGGTGTGTATCAACGTAATTGCACAGATTGTAAAGAAAATCGACAAGCGATTGAAAGTCCAGCCTGGAGCGCTTGTGGAGATATGAGAAGAGGGAGCTCAAAATCCGGCGCAGGTATCGTCGCATTTGAACCATCAAGTGCAATAGTAGTAGAGAACACCGTGAATCGCCAGGAAGCGAATGGCTTAATCGCCGTTGATTCAGGTCCTGAAGAAAACCGATCCACAACGACGTCAAAGCCCAGTCAGGGAGATACGCCTCACGCAGGCAGAAGGGGCGCAGTCCATTAGCTCGCGTCACGATTCATGCGGCAGCACGCCAGAGGGCGTCGCCAACCTCCCGCGGCATCTCCACCACCCGCTGCTCCGCGCCAGATCCCTCAATTCTCCACCACGCATACACTTTGCCCAAGGGATCATCCAGGCTTAGGCAATTTATTGCGAGATAGCGCAATGAGGACATATATTGTGCAAGTGCGACTCGCAGCTCATCTTGGTGCTGCTCCTGCTGCTCCATGAGAGAGACACGGATACAGAGCACGTCCAGTGGGGCGAGGAGCGGAAGTATGGTAGCCTGCCGCAAACGAATGGTCAACTCAACACGGCTTCAAACTCACGATGATCAAGCATGCTCACCAGCCAGTCCGAAATATCCATTCTCAGATACAACTTCAAAGTGAGATACTGAAGCTGCGGAGACAGCTCGACAATGCGCTGCCACAGAAGTGCAGGCGGTACGAGATGGATGACAAGATATAGTACTGCGGGTCGGACATATCGCAAAACGCAAAGCGCTCGCTCAATCTCTGCTTCGGGAGGCATGTGGTTCGTACATAAGAGCCTCAGGGTTACACAATGGATGGGGCGCACAATGTGCCGGAAGTTCTGTGAACTATGCACGGTGCGTGTGGCTGGCGAGGAGACATTGGTAGCGAAGCAGTGCAGGTGCTCGAGGTTGGGAAATGCATGCATGAAGACGATCGAAGGTATCTGGACCAAATTAAGAGCAATGTATCGACATGCCAGCCATTGCGGACCTGCATAGCATCCTCCTGACGGCATGTCGTCCTCAATGATAGCACAACTGACCTCGAGGTACTCTGCATTTTGCAGAGGCAGGTGAGATAGACGCAAGGGAAAATCGCGGCCGGTAAGTGAGACTTTGCGCGGCTTGCTACGGAACTTAGAGAGCATCTCATGCACGGTACTTTCGACCGCCGTTAGCTCGATGTCGTTAATTCCTTCGAGCGCGGCGAGTGCATCGCCGATGCGCGGTTCGCTCTGCATGAAACTCACCGCATTGCGGACGGTGATCGAGGTAAGACTCTGAGCATGCTCCAGCAGGTCCGCAAGGAGGTGCGCGTTAGTGAAATTCCCGTCTCCCAAAGTGACCGAGAGACTTTTCAAAAAACGCATGCGAGCCGACGAGCCACTAAGCATGTATGTGCAGAAAGCAGTGAGTTGCTGATGGTTTATCAGAGTGACGGAGGAGAGTGCCCGCGGCAGTGCGACGGCATGGAAGTGGCGGCTGGTCTCGGATAAAGACAGGGCATCGTATGATCGGAGAAGTGAGATGATGAGGAGCAGGACGTCCTCGTCGATGGTGGACAGATTCATGTCCTCGAGTAGAAGAGATTCAAGCTTTAAATAAATCACCGTGAACCGTGACAGAGAACGGATGAATTCGAACCGACTACGTCACACGTGAAGGCACTGGTCAGTATCCCGTGACCGTTCCACGTCACGGTGTGACCGATCGCTACATCTAGATTGTTCTGCTGTAAAATTCTACTGGTTCTTGTCCTGAAAATGCAGTCAATCTCTTTGACAGTAAATGTCTCCATGATCCCCTCTTCAATGCATCACCCGTACCCCCACCGACATACAGCCCTTGCCAGCACTGCCCACGCGAACCAGAAATCCACCCCGAAGCTCCCGGAGCGTGCCTGGCCCACGGATATGTACTCGAAGCACATACCACTGGCGGCTGAGGAACGATCCTCCAACATATGAATGACCAAGGCAACGTTCAGAGCTTTATACTGCTTCACAATACCTGAGAAAGCAAGACTTGACTGGGTTGCATCTGCTATGGAATAGCAGACATCAGAGTCGCAATCTCCCATCGCACGGATAGTTTCCTCCACCGTACGCATCTTGCCCTCATTCCTGCCATGTCAAAAATTATGCTGAAACCTTTGAAGGACAGCTCTTCCGCAACGGCCATCCCAAATTTCATCTGTCGTACCAGTGACTACAATGTGTACGGGAGGACCGTGCAAGTCATGCGATGTAGGTCGGTTAGAGGACCACGGCGATGGCAGCGAAACTCCATCGTGGTCACCATCGCAGCAGAGAGAGCGAACGTTCAAGGAATGTTACCTTCCGAGGAAATCCCGAGCACGCGATCGGTCACACAGCTGTCACTGTGGTACCGACACAGTGAACAAGTCACGGTCACGGTCATCGTCGACTCCCGAGCTTGACGTCGACTTCACCTTTGTTCACGTTTACAGACGATCTATGCTCGAGAACATGAGTCTGCTCACCATCAACGATGATGTTCTGCTCCTCATCATCTCACTTCTCCGACCATACGATGCCCTGTCTTTATCCGAGACCAGCCGCCACTTCCATGCCATCGCACTGCCGCGGGCACTCTCCTCCGTCACTCTGATAAACCACCGGCAACTCACTGCTTTCTGCACGTACATGCTTAGTGGCTCGTCGGCTCACATGCTTTCCTTCAAAAGTCTCTCAGTCATTTTGGGAGACGGGAATTTCACTAACGCACACCTCCTCGCGGACGTTCTCGAGCATGCTCGGAGTCTTAGATCGATCGGCATGTATTATTCGGAAAGTCTTATACAGCTGGAGCCGCGCATCGGCGATGCACTCGCTGCGCTCGAAGGGATCGATGAAGTCAAACTGCACAGGGTCGGAGACGCCTTATATGGGATGCTCTCTAAGTTCCGTAGCAAGCCGCGCAAAGTCTCACTTACCGGCGACCATTTTCCCTTGCGTCTATCTCACCTGCCTCTGCAAAATGCAGAGCACCTCGAGATCAGTTGGGCTATCATTGAGGACGACACGCCGTCAGGAGGATGCTATGCAGGTCCGCAATGGCTGGCATGTCGACACCTTGCTCTTAATTTCGTCCAGATACCTTCGATCGTCTTCATGCATGCATTTCCCAACCTCGAGCACTTGGTGTACCAGGCTACCAATTACTCCCGGCCAGCCACAGGTGCCATGCATAGTTTGCAGAATTCCCGGCCCTCTGTGCGCACCATCCATCATGTAACCCTGGAGCTCTTATATATGAACCCTACAACTCCCGCAGTAGAGATTGAGCCAGCGCTTTGCGTTTTGCTATATGTCCGACCCGTGGTACTTTGTCTTGTCATCCGCAGAGAACCACCTGTACTTCTGTGGCAGCGCATTGCCGAGTTGTCCCCGCAGCTTCAGTATCTCACTTTGAAGTTGTATCTGAGAATGGATATTTCGGACTGGCTGGTGAGCATGCTTGATCGTCGTGAGTTTGAAGCAGTGTTGAGTTGACAATTCATTTGCGGCAGGCTACCATACTTCCGCTCCCCGCCCCACTGGACGTGATCTGTATCCGTGTCTCTCACATAGAAGGGGAGGAACAGCACCAAGATAAGCTGCGAGATACGCTCGCACAACGTATGTCCTCATTGCGCTGCGTTGCGGTCAATTGCGCAACCCGGGATGATCCCTTAGGCAATGTGTATGCGTGGTGGAGAATTGAGGGATCTGGCGCGGAGCGGCGGATGGTAGAGATGTCGCGCGAGGATGGCGACGCCCTCTGGCGTGCTGCTGCGTGATAGCAGATCCGAGTCGCAACGCGAGACCCGATCTCGCAGTGGTTGGTGGGATGTCGGGAGAGGGCATCATGAAGATGTTGAGAGATGGGACCGTGGAGAAGTTGAGAGGGATCGTGGAGAAGTATACCGTCGGGAAGATCGAGAACGTCGACATACTCGATATCCAAGACAAGGCGAGTGAAATCTCGCCGGAGAAGCTTCCACACGACTACGTATGTACGATATCCCTTTGGTATGTTGTCTGTTGCTCGAAGGTATCGATCAATTTCTTACAATGTAGGGTACATCACTTTATTTTTTTCCGTGAGGGGAGAAGTTGCAATTGTTCCTGACAATTTACGAAGCCGGCAGCTGCTTTACCGTGAAAGGGAGGAAAAATAGTGGAGCCCAGATACGCAATCTGTTTCCTCCGACGAGGTCGGAGCTACCCAGTATTTCAGCACGACTGGGCACTCCCACACCCAGTTCATCATTTTCTCCGCTCTGCTCGACGGCAGTCTCTCATGAAGAGCTCAGACATCGAGAAGAGGGTCTTCCTCGACGTCGAGGAACAACCGCCCGCACGGGGTCGCTTCCCACGTCTCCGAGCGCTGATCGTCTGCGGTGCGATCTATGCTGTCTTCTATCTGACGGTATCGTCGTTCGTTAAGCACCCGCGACACACTTCGTACCATCACCATCACTCCAAATCCTGGGCCTTGCAGGCATTTGGCCACGGCACCAGCGAGAAGCTTGCGGGCGAGAAGGCAGAACAGGTCTTTCTGTGAGTCCTGTTGACTGTGCGCGTGCTCAATCTCGAGGTTGCTGAAACATTTGCTAGCTCGACGCCCAACGCCGAGAGCGCCATCGCTGCTTCGCGCGCCTACGCCACCCACCCACATCTCGCCGGGGCTTCTGAGGACCTCGACGACGCCAAGGACATTCTCGCGCTCTTTCAGAAGCAATTTGGCATCACCCCACCAGATGAGCTGCCTATATTTCCCGCCGGCACTGACGCGTCGCGCAGCGTGACGCTCGGCGTGAACAAGCTCACCGCACCTACGGCGTGGATCGACGTGTATTACCCTGTCATGAACACCCCGCTCGACCGCAGCCTCGAAATCCTTGACGCGAACGGCGAGACAGGCTGGGCGGCAGACCTCGTCGAGGACGGCGATCCTGCGGATCCCGAGGCGGCGGAGTACAAGGACGCGGTCCCGACGTTCCACGGCCTGAGCTTTAACGGCGAGGCAGAGGGCGAGCTCGTGTATGCGAACTACGGCAGGAAGGAGGACTACGACGCTCTCCTTGCAACGGGCATCGACCTCAATGACAAGATCATTCTCGCGCGTTACGGCTTCAACTTCCGCGGGCTCAAGGTAAGACTTTCGTCTCACTCACAAGAGTTTTGACGCTGAGATCTCTCACAGATCAAAGGCGCACAAGAATTAGGCGCCGCAGCGGTGCTCATCTACTCTGACCCGCGCGACGACGGCAGTGTGACAGTCGAGAACGGGTACGAACCGTACCCGTACGGCCCTGCGCGAAACCCGACGTCTGTGCAGCGCGGCAGCGTGCAGTTTATCTCCGTGTATCCCGGTGACCCGACCACGCCCGGCTATCCCGCGTACGAAAACGCTACACGTACAGGCGGAGAGAGCATCCCCAAGATCCCCAGCTTGCCGATCTCGTGGGCGAATGCGCAGCGTCTCTTGCAAGAGATCGACGCGGAGGGAGATGCACGCTTGATAACTGGGAAGACGAGCAACAGCACGATCAGGCTGGTCAACCATGGTGGGTTACCGACAACTCCCTGTATGCGCGAAGGTTTGCTGAATAGGCCTTGTAGTGGACGACAAAGTCACTCCAATCTGGAACACCATGGCTGTTATTCCTGGACACATCAAGAACGAAACCGTCCTGATTGGCTGCCACCGTGATGGTACGTCTTTGAGGTATCTATGTTGCGCTCGAGGCTCATATATGTCTCGTCCGCACAGCGTGGGTCATGGGAGCGGTCGATCCCGTTTCCGGCACGGTGTCTCTGCATGAGGTCATCCGTGGGTTTGGTGCGCTGCTACAGGGCGGTTGGAAGCCCTTGAGGAATGTCGTGTTCGCTAGCTGGGATGCCGAGGAGGTTTGTGACCGTCGATTGTGGGCGCATATAAGATGCTAACTTACCTCATTCGATTAGTACGGACTGATTGGCAGCACCGAATGGGCTGAAGACTTTGCGGACTGGATCACCGATAACGTTGTCGCGTATCTGAACGTCGGTTTGTGCCTCCCGCTTCCCGGGAAATATCCGGTATTGATGTTCCCGTCTCAGATGTTTCCGTCGGTGGCGCTGAGTGGGGCGTACGCGGTTCGCCCTCTCTCGCACACCTAGTCCGACGCACCGCACTCGACGTTCCCCATCCTACGGTGGAAGGCAAGACCCTATGGGATGCGATGTACGATACGGGACCTTTCACTGGCCCCGCAGACGAGGAGTTCGTTGCCCTATATGAGGCCGCCCGGCGGAGCAGGGTGTCCGACACTGGTGTACCACCGCTCGGCTCCGGCAGCGACTTCACACCCCTCCTGCAGCACCTCGGGGTAGGTCATCTAGCCATACTTCGAAGTGCAAGTGTATTGATTGGTCTGGTGTTAGATAGCGAGCGTGGACCAGGGTTTTGCGCCCACGCCTTCGGACGCGGTGTATCATTACCACTCGATTTACGACTCGGAGAGGTGGCAAGAACTTTATGGCGATCCTGGTTTTCACCGGCATGTAAGAATACTGTTGATAGTTGACGCAGATTTTGACTACTGATTGTATGTGCAGGTCGCTGTTGCGAAGCACCTGGGCTTGTCCGCGCTCCGCATCGCCGATGCCATCGTGCTGCCCCTCAACACCACACAGTATGCGCTAGAACTGGATGATTACCTCGCCGAGTAAGCCTAGGTACCTTCCCATTAGCCTCGTGCCGCTGATCCACTCTTACCGCACAGAGTTGAAAACATTGCCACGTCCCTTGCGGTATCACCCGACTTCTCCGGCCTGAAGCACTCCATCTCCGCGCTGCAGACGGCTAGCAAGGCGCTGGACCTCGAGAAGGCCGATGCTGAGAAGAAGCTTCGCGAGCTCCTCGACAAGCTGGTACATCGCCGGGCCTGCTCAGGCCACGCCTCCACTGGGCTTGGTTGGCTCAAGAAAATTTTGCACAAGATTCGTAGACTAATCCATCGCCACCGTTCACCCATCCACGCGATCCATGCCGCAGCGCTGCGTGTGCAGCGCGCGAACGCGAAACTCGTTGCATTCGAGCAGGGCTTCATCGACGAGGAGGGCATCAAGGATCGCGAGTGGTACAGACACTTGGGCGTTGCACCCGGCAAGTGGCTCGGTACGTCCTTCTCCTGGTGTGAGTTAAGGGTGCTTACCAGATTATTGTGCAGGCTATGGCGCCACCACGCTCCCTGCTGTGTCGGAGGCGCTGACCATTGATCACAATGCGACCCTCGCCGAGCTCGAGGCTAGCCGCCTCGCGGGACTCCTCGACAAGCTTTCGGAGAAGATCACTGTGAAAAACGCAAGGTGCTCTGGCAAGATGATGTAAGGAATTGGAACATGGGATATCGGGTGCTGTATCAACTATATCTATCACCATCTAAGTTGCTTGTACTGCTAGATCTACTTTGGGAAACTTGGTCTGTAGAGCTGTCTCGGAAGCGCGAGACATCGCCATCGAATAGGTCTACGCTGCTTATCTCTTGGTCGGACGTTCGTGACCGAGGGCTGACTCCATGACTGGACCCTGAAGTCTGTGGCATGATCGTCAGCAAGCATGCCAGGCCCGCAAACAGTCTGCTCACCCAATTCACAGGTGCAGCAGCGACCAACGGCTCCTGGTTCCACTGGTAGCTCGAGAGTGTGTGCCGGCCGAGGTCCGTCGACGCGAGTCTCTCGCGGAAGTCCTTGCGACAGTTGACCGTGCGCAGGATTCCCAGCGTGTATAGCTTGCCCATGATGAGAACGAAGAACGCGTCAAGATGTCTGACCTTAGTCGACTAGTGCATGTTTAAGCTTCTACATAGACGGATAGATGACTGGCGTACCTCTCTGACGTGCTTGCTGCTGTAAAGACTCGCACCGAGGATCATGCAGGCACAGGGAAGGGCGGCAGACTCCCATGTAATGCCGATGATATGTTTCACTGTCCGGTCAAGGCAGTTGACGCCTGTCCTCGTGCGCCACAAGCATACAGACACTGAGCACAGGTGTCGTCAGACAACACCCTAAGCGCAGACGGTGTGGACTGACATATGGAGGTGACCGCAATGGCAATCACTAGAGAGCCGTATACCCAAAGTGGGAATGCCCAGATACCTGCGCTGAGGGGCTATAGGGTTGCTTGCCGTTGAAGATTCAGAGGTGATCAGATATTCTGAGCACTCACGTCCTCGTATACATTCATTGATCCGATTTCTTGGGCGATTCTCACCGCCTACTCTCATCATTTGCAAGGTAAAACAAACCGAAAGACTGGATCCTGGAACAAAATGCTCTCACCAGATAAATGTTAGCAACACACGTCGATGCAGAGAGCGAGGCCAATGCAAACAGCAGATAATAATTCTTCTGTGTGAGCTATGTCGCCGGGAACGCTCAGTTGTGGCTGCCAGTAGTAACGTCCGCGACCCACCTTCCAGCATCTGCGAATGAGAAATACCTCGCAAAGTGTGCAGATGACGCCGTTGAGAAGATATTCCGTGCTGTGCAACGGAGTGGTCCACTGCAGAATCAAACGTGATCAGTCCGAGGGCCGGTCGATGCGGAGAAGGCCATATACCCAATGCTTGCGAATGATTACGTCCAACCAGACCTTATAGGTTTCTAGCGCAGTCTGAAGGCTGTGAAATGGATGAACTAGTGTGGGTGGTTAGGTGACCGATCATGAACAACTCACATAGAGGAGAACACCAGTGTCCCCACGTAGAAACGCAGCAAAATCGAGTCTTCAGACGACCTGAGCCAGAATTTTACACCCTGTCGTACACATGGACGAAGCGTGAATTCGCGAACAACACTCAAATGACATGAAGCATGAGACCTGTGAAAAAATGAGACCTGTGAGAGATAAATGCAGAAAATGCGGAATCTAGCATGAAAAGGACATACCTTGGCATAGATACTGCAGGAAACCTTGTATCAATATCGGTCCCGTCGTGGCTGCATCCGGTGTATTATAATCAGTATCGTTCATTCCGCACACTAATTATCCTCGAAATCGCGAAGGATTCGCGAGTCGTGCTGAACCTGTCAGCCTCTGAAGAGTTGACGGAAGGAAGAAAAATTATCACGATATTGTGTCGGTCGCGATTTAGACCAAGGGCTCGCCAGAACTGTCGGTCTGTATCAGAATACTGAAAGTGACAACGACTAGTGTGATCATGATTGCACGACAGCTGCCAAAAAGATATACAATCATGATCGAGACGAATAGGCGTGTCAAACGAGCGTCGCATGCGAACCACAATCCGAGTCATGAGTATGCTTCACAGTAGACACTACACCGAGTCCTGGTGCTGCTTGACAAGATCCTTCAGGCGTTCCCAACCCCTTGGATGTTCGTGTTCGCAATGGGCCACCAGTTCCTCCAGAGTTGCGTCGACGAATGGTTGAGGAGGCTCCTCTGTGCCGCGTGCGAAATGGCGTGATCTGCGCAGGGGTATGTATAAGTCTGACGGAGGCTTACGTAGATGAATACTTGCCTGCACATGCCACAGAAGAGCCTTCCTTCATCCTCACCTTCGCCTTCTTCGAAGTTTTCCTCGACGCACTCTTGCAGAATTTGTCGCTCCTCCGAGACCACGTCATTCGTCTGTGAAGCAGTTGTGACCGAATCACTCGTGACTTCCAATGACCCAGTTTCTTTGAGAGCCGTTCCAACAGCTATAACTTCAGGAGGCACTTCTCCTGCAGGGACGGTTCCATCAGGCGCAACATCGGAGATGGGTGCGACCGTGGATGCCGAAGTAGCGACTATCCCATCCATCGCATGCTGTTCTGGAGGAGGAAGGGGTTCCTGACTCGTCACCGGCTGTGCAGTCCGTACAACATGTGGCAGTTCTTCACTAACTCGGCGCCGTTTTCTCGACGTGCCATCCATTGGGTCGTCTGCGTCGAGGGTCAGATCAATGACATTTTCCTGTTTAGGTATCAAATGAGACCCGTTCGCAGCAGCGCGCGGGCCCGCGGAGAACGGGCCTAAAGGCATGGTCGTCGCCGGTGGGATAGTCACCATCGGCGTAGCTGGCAGGCTCTTAGTGCCGTCGTGGGTATGCTGCCTACGGGGAAGAGATCGTGGGTATGGGGAGGCGCGATGCGAGAGAGGTGGGTGAGATATAGATGCCGACATCTCCGGTGGGACGGGCTAGAATAAAACGTGAACCATGCGAGACGCAGTGCGAAGACACATCACGTACTATCGGCCTGGGAAGACCATTGGTATCAATGTGGAGGTCAACAGACGAGTTCTTAACATATTTGTGAGCAGGCTGATATCTCGATTAGGTCCGGATAAGCTTACATTTCGGTGCCTGGAGCCCATGAATATTGAGTTTTCTGCAAGATCACCATCACGAGACAACGCGGGGAGATCAGATTTTGACACCTGTTCGGAGAACGTTAGACATGATTATGGTTCGCTGGAGTATTGTACTGACTATCGGCACAGACTGAAGACCCATCTTGCCTACGAAACACGAAGTGAGCGTGGTAATGCACGTTTAATCTCGATAGCTCGCCTTGTAGAATCGGCTGGGATACTGATCTCTGTTGCTGCACAGAAGTAGGCCGGATGGGTTGGCTAGGAGGATGTATACGACCGTTCGGCATTTGGCCCAACACACCACCGAGGTGCGCTACTTCGTTGCGGAGGCGTACAATCTCCTCCAAGCTGACGCGAACAAGGAAAGTGAGTCTCGCCGCATAGAACTATCACACGACAGGATCTTACGCTCGATGGTGATCATAGACAAGAACCTCGCGATTGGCTTCCATGATACGGAGCTGGTTCTGCAACTCGATAATGATTCGAGACTGATGCTCCGGGGACGCGCGCAACTGCGCGAGACGCTCGTTCTGCCCTGCGATCAGCTTTGCCATGCCACGATTATCGGAGAATAGCTTCTGGTTCTCAGCTCTAAGTTGCAAATTCCAATCCCGAATCTCATAGAATTGCTGCAGCATTTGGGGATGATACCCTACTTCCGAGAAACAGCCATTAGCCGTTGTTGACACGATTTCAAGTATGCGCTGTCCATACTGGACCTCTTGCCAATTTCTATCATAAATGGATTCTTATGAGCTCTGCTAGAACTAGGAAAACACAAACAACGGACACTAGTAATGGCCCATTTGTGTTGGCGTTAGGTGAATGAGAACCGGAGGATGGAGGCACCGCGTTTTGTTCGTTCATTTTCGCGTCAACAACTCCCTGATGGATCAAAATGACGAAATTAGTAGCATGAAGATGTAGCTTCAATAGCTTCAATGCGATTTAGCCTAGGTTTTGCTCGGTGGACGACTCGGAACGGACGTTTGAGACGCGTCTGACATCTCCTCTTTTGGACTATGGACCTCGGGGACCCCTGACAAATTGAAGACTTCCGAGAGACGGCCATTCTATGTCCACGAAACGCACCACGATGTACCGTATGCAACGCAATGCTATATCCTAAGGACGATACAAGGCGAAATTTGACGTGAGGAAGAATGGCGAACAGCAATACGGTACACGTATTCCGTACTTACCACCGTGACCAGGCTGCCGTCTGGATTCGAGCCCACTGCAAGGTCGAAAGTTTCATCAGCAACTGACTGTACTACCTGCGTCCACGCCAGAAGTGAGTTTGAGAGACCATATTGACCTCATTTCTAACGCTCTCCAAAGTTTGAGACCTGCACTTGCATTCTCGCATCGTTTCCTGCTCGGGGGTCTACAGCTGCCTATGCGCGCACTGTGCTAGTCAATTCACTACTGTATAGTCCACCCTAGCCCGTGTAGCTAAATTTGTTGCAGTTTCCAGATGTACGAAACCGATTCAAAAATACGCGGAAAATACTCGCCCAAAATTCACCTGCCAAAAGAGTGGGATATCTTGTCTATTTGTGCTCAAGCGTGTCGCGACCGCGATGGGATCTTTCTCAGTTCTGAAACTTACCACCGTCGGAACGAATTCTGACTGAAACTTCCAAGATAAAGGTCTGAGTGAGGTTCCTTAGGTTTTCCTGATGCCTGCTTATGCAAATGCCACAGCTTGAGCAAGTCTTTGCCCGTCCCACTTCCAGAGCTGTCCCCAAATATGTCACGCGCTCATCCTCTGCTTTACACCAACCCATAGGCACTGCTCCCGCAACTTCGATGCATAGAGCATATGTCGACATTCTGCATGAAGTAATTGCACATGTGACGAATGATTCAGAGCACTACTCAGACACAGGGAAACGTTGCCTTCTGACGCTGGCGCGTTCCGCCCGCGTCCGCCCAGCTCTCCGTGCTTTGTGGATGGATCAGTCAACGTTGCGGCATTTTCTCAGTGTTTTGTATACATCTTGCAAATCGGTCTCATCTCCTACTCCTCCACTGCGAACGTGTTTATCAATATTTTTAAAGCCTTTTGCGGTGTTCTACTCGTATTCCTAGCCAGATTTTCTGGATCAAGGCACAGAGAACATGTTGTAGAACAGGACGGTGAGTTTCTTCCGTTGAACACTCAGAGTCCGAGCTGCGCATGCCATCGTAGGCTGCACAAGTAGGGTGTCGGCGAATATGAAGGTCCGATACAATATTAATCCTGTGCTGGCAGGGCCCCACTAGCGCCAAAGAGTCCGTCTTATTCAATTTCCAGCCACCGTCAATTCGTCCCACTCCTGATTCTGGAGCTGAAAGACAAAGCGGCGCGAAAGACTTTCAGTGTGCTTTCCTGCAAAAGTCGTTCACTCTCAGTTGCCAGTCACCTTGCCATCGCTAACAGGATCACACTGGAACTCAAGACACCGATTGGGGCCGTACGACTCGGCGTATGGACGCTCCGCGGTGTTAGCATCGTACTTTCGAAACAAGCATTTCCACTGTGATACGCAGTCGAATTCAGTGTGGAATTTCATATAATCATACTGGTAAGTAGCAGTTTCTTCCTAGTGAGAATGTGGATAGCGTCACAAAAAACTCATGGATGGTATTATAAGATATTGGCGGCGTCTTCAACCTAATCAAGTGTTCTGTTTGACAGATGGAAAGTATATCTGTACAGTTAGAAGCAAGCAGCTGAACATGTCAATGTCATGACTGGTCTGTCGTGAATTTTCTTCAATGGCGCGATCACTTCCGGAGCTTCCTCCAAATTTGAGGTTCGGTCAAAGTTTGCTAAAAGTCCGACAAGCACTCCGGAGCCGTCGTCATCCACGATGCTAGCCTATGGCGTGTCCGCGTGACTACTAGGTACGCTGCCTTCGGGTCACAGTTCGCGTTCAGACTTGGGATAGGCTGGCACAGAGCTAGCATGAGAAAGATCGCACAACCCTGTGACCGAGGTCTATAGATATTATGTTGTCCCATGAGCAAGCGTGAGCTTTACTCAGGGAATCAGTCTGCGTGGTTTGTTTCGTGGTGGATGCTTGTGCAAAAAGAGTAAAAAGCGCGAGCTTACGTGAGGATGGTTGCACCATTTGCTGACACTGGGCGCTTATTTGTACATCCTGTTCCGAGGCAGACTCGGACTCTCCGTTGCCGCGTGAAATGTCCCTGATACTTATATCTCCTACGCCGGGTCACGTAGACTTGTACTCCTTTTCTCCCCTCCCGCGCTGTCCGTACCAGTTCAACGATACCCATGACGATCCACCACGGCGAGCTGGAGGGTGGCGTCTCTGACGAGGCTCTCCTCGACTTGCTCACCGCGCCGACGTTCCCTGTCGCCAAGCATGGAACTAAAAGGAGGGACTCCGAGCTCGATCCACTTCTGTTAGCAGCTGCAGCTGCATCAGGCCCGCACGTCACTCGAAACCACTATGCGCACGACTTCTTCCCCGCCGTCGGTGATCCTCGCGCGGAAGGAGCTTGGGACTGGACAAAATGGCGCGGGGACGACGCTCTTTCGCGGCAGGAACGCAAACCTCGCCTCAAGTACGTGAGCAGGCAGAAACCGCGTAGGCAGAGGTTGCGGGAGCTCGGGATAGAGGCAAACGAGGAAAAGGAAAATGGCCCTGCGAGAGAAGCCACGGACCCCTTGCGGTGTGCAGGCAATCTTCCCCCATCTGTGCCAAAGGCTTCGTCGTCTTCGACTTCTACAGCCGTCTCATCACCGGCGACTGTGCCATCTCCCGATGCTTCCAGAAGCGTACCAGCTACTCCCGCTATAGAGGTCAAGTGCATGGCACGGACCAGAGTTCCTACCCCTCATGGGCCAGTCTTCCTGCATCTATACCACAATAACCGCGACAACAAGGAGCATCTTGCCATCGTTGTAGACCCTGCGCAATTCCTAGAGGATATTCCCCATCGCGCACCGCCCATTCGCAGTCGCTCTTTAGATGCTGTATGGTCGGAGTCCGAGACGGAGGTGGAGCGTATCACTCGCGGCGCATACGTTGGGCGACTCTCCCAGACATCGCAGGTTCCTTCAACTCCGTGGGAGCACACGAATCAAATGACTGACAATGTCCCTTCACCTCTTGTGCGCATACACTCGGAGTGCTTTACGGGAGAGACCATCGGGAGCATGCGCTGCGATTGCGGCGAGCAATTAGACGAAGCCATTCGGCTTATATCGCAACCCATCACCATTCCATCCTCTTCGCCAGCCTTACCGCCTGTCGTTATTCCAGGTCGCGGTGTCGTGGTGTATCTTCGCCAGGAAGGCCGTGGAATAGGCCTACTATCGAAAATCCGCGCATATAACTTGCAGGATCTTGGCCACGACACTGTGACTGCCAACCTGATGCTCGGGCACAAGGCAGATGAGCGGGGGTATGAAATCGCTGGCGCCATCATGCGCGATCTCCGCATGGGCACCGAGAGGGGCGAGGGCGTGCGGCTGTTGACGAATAACCCGGACAAAGTGCATGCGCTGGAGCAAGAGGGTATCCGCGTCGTCGAGCGTGTTCCCATGGTCCCGCGGTCGTGGCAACGCCGGCAGGCAAAGTATGCTGCACAGAGGAACGCCATCGACATTGCCGTGTCGTTGGGGATGGAGGATCCACATGTTCATGGTTTAACTATGATTGGTGGTGGAGAGGTGTACGGAGAGGATTTGGACAAGTACTTGCGGACGAAAGTTCTGCGGATGGGCCATATGCTGCCTCTCCTCCCGCAGGACCCAGATACTATCTGATACCTTCCTCCTTATGATTCATTTACGTTGTGCTTGCATACACAGTGCTATGTCAGTGCTCTACTGACCGCGGAAATAGTGAATTATTGATTAATTTGTTGTACGAGCATTGGCTCTGTGAAGAGTTGTACCTACGTTACGGCTTTCCCAGAAAAAATGTCTGGCTTTTATCCAGCTCCTTTGCAGATCCTCATTGAGTTCTCGTAAATTGTGAACATCAGACTTGCGTTCGAAGACGTCGCCGTCCGTTCCTGAGAATAATTCGCCCCGCAGCCACGCGAACGACGCGCAGCGCTTGTACATAGTAACATCGACTGTCACCATTTCTTCTCCTCTCCGGATCAAATTTGCTTACAACGTTACGTAGTGGCGTGCGAGCTCTCAGCTCTCTGCGATGTCCACGTACGATCCCCTCAGCTCGGGCTTTGGCACAGACGAAGTGGAACCGCCATGGCCAACGACACCGCACAGTCCGAATTCTCCGATCCCGAACCTCCCGCGCCCGTCCCACTCTCACCATGCGCCGACAGGCTTGTATGGGAAGGAGCCGCAGATATATGGCCAGCCTGAACCAGGTTTGATCTCCCCCCGCATTACGACCGCCTCGAATGGTACGAGATATGAGAAGGCGGAGCCGTATCTTCGAGTGAGGATAACGGGTTTGGACAGGAATAGGAGAGATATCCTAGTCAAATTGGACGCCCAGGTGAATGCATTCATCTCGCAGTTGTGTTGTAGGACATTTGCGAACCCCATCGTTGCAGACAAACCTGTCGAATTTTACAGGTACCACGTATCGTAATGTGTCGCGGTCGTATCTGGAGTTCCAGCAGTTCTATGATGCCGTCGTGAACAACAACCCCCAGACTATCGTCCCTGCTCTCCCCCTTCCGCGTACTTCCGCTCCGACGGACGAGGAAGATGACCGCCTCGTAAAGATCATGCTCCAACGATGGTTGTCACGTATCTGCGAGGACCTCATTTTGCTGAACGACGAGGAACTTCGCTCCTTCATCGAGAGCGACTTCGGGTATCAACCCACCCCGACCCGGCGCAAGGCGTCGTCTGGGTTTAGTCTGATTCGTTCTCGTGTACCTGACGAAGATGAGGAGCTGCAGCGGGCGCGATTCGAGCTCACAAAGCTCGAGGGTCAGTATCTTGAAGCAGCGAAAGCAATTGACAAAATGGCAAAGGTCAGAAAGTGTATGTATCTCAGAATGTATGTTTCCTTAGCATACTCACTCTATTCTCAGCGCTTGCATCCGTCCGTGCGGAGATGGGAAACAAGCTGGTGAACGTGGCAACTACGGAGGCGCACCCACCTCTGGGACATGCTCTGCAGAAGCTAGGGCGTGCGTGGCACAGTGTGGCAGATCTTGACCAGGCTCAGGGTATTAGTGAATGCGTTATCGTCGGTGACTCGCTGGGTTATCAGGGCCTGAATGCACGGTCAGCCAAAGAGACCCTGCAACAGCGGACGGCTGTGCTGGAGGAATACCAAGCGGCCGTCAAGAGCACGATTTCGAAACGGCGAAACATGGAACGATTGAAGGCGAGCAGTAACATCAATCCCCTCAAGGTTGATGAAGCACTAGAAGATATGGAAGAGGCAAGTCTGGTTTACTACTTTATAACTTTCATAAATAACCCTCAGCATGGAATAACTAGGCGAACAAGTACGAGCAGATTCTGGCGAGACGAGCGGATGGCATATCTCAAAATCTGCACCGCGCTCTGGACAGGCACAACCGCCTTGTCACAGAAGACGTGACTGCTGCTCTGGTCGAGCACGTCCGGTCATCTATCATGTACGAGCGGCAGTTGCTGCGGGAGCTGGAGGCACTCAAACCGGATGTGAGCAATTCTTCGAAGAAAGCACCTCCAGCGAAAACTGCGGCCCCGCGGCCTACCGTCATCCCCCCACTGGAGGACTTCTCTAAACAACCAATCCCTCGCCCGGCCTCGGGCCCACCGTCCAACACGTTACGTGGCCCGCCCATTACTGCGCCTGCACCCATCTCTGCCGTTAACGGGTCATCACAACCAAGCCCGTTCCCGTCGTCGCCGCTCCCCTCTGCATCCAGCACATTTAGAAATACACTACCACCCCAGTCACCTGGAGCCGGACCGTCGTCGCCAGCTCCCAGCCAGAATTCGTTCATGTCCAACCCACTTGATGGACCACCTCTTGGCGGCCGACTCGTCGATGGTACCAAATCGATGTTCATTAAGTCTACCGTATCCCCGCTTTCGCCATCATTTTTGATACCCCCGCCGCGCTCCCCTGCGCCCTCAACCAAGGTCGCCCCTGACTCCCCGTTGCATGCACCAGTCGCCACCGCGCCACATCCACTAGTGAATTCCCCTTTGGGTCCTCTCGGAGAATCACCCGCAGCTCGTCTCGCGAATGGACGCTCTGCGACCCCTGCGGATGACGGTTTGGACCCACTGGGCATGGGAAGGGCACCGCTCATGACGGGTTCGCTGAGGGTGCAGCCGACGAGGCCGAGGCTGGATGCACGAGAGGCGGCAAGCAAGCTTGCTAATATGTTCTGAGATATCCCTTCTTCCATGTCCGTGGCACACCATGCTGCGCACTTGGGGGAACACCAGAAGGTCACTTGGGAATTTGTGTTACCCTTATCCCATTTCTTTAGGTTTTCTAACGGTGATTTGATCCAATGGCACGCAAAAAAACAGTTGCCAGCGTACGAGTCGCACGCCGCATTTATTCAGATGCCAGCGAGCTAGATATCTGCTGTATGTCAGTCGTATGGATCGGTTGGGCATACTTTGTTACAGGTACCTCAGTTCCCCATACTAGGATCAAGCGTAATCGGGAGTGAGGGTCAGGTTTTCAGAGCATGTCCAACTTTATGACGCAGACAAGCTGTACATTATCCTCCTCAACTTAACTTTGGCTACATGGTGAGGCTAGCTATGTGTTTACATTGTTTGTTAGTCGACAGGTTGTTCATCCTGAAACAATTTACTTCCTCCTCCGCGGAAATTCAGCTTACAGCAATCTCTTCAACAACTCCACGATCTTGTCGCCTATCTCTGTCGTCTTCACACTCCCGCCCAAGTCAGCGGTTCTGAGCTCCTCCCCACCCTGGCTCTTCTCATCGAGCACCTTGCGCACAGCCAACTCAATTGCTGCGGCTGGCTTCTCCAGCCCAAGAGAGTAGCGGAGGAGCATAGCGACACTAAGGATAGTACCGATCGGGTTCGCGATGCCCTGTCCGGCAATGTCGGGCGCGGACCCGTGGATGGGCTCGTAAATGCCTGGAGTCGACTTGAAGTCGGGTGCAGTTGCATCCGCAACTGAGGGAGCACCGGCAAGTGAAGCCGAGGGTAGCAGGCCCAGCGATCCCGGGATCACACTCGACTCGTCCGAAAGGCTGCGGCGAAGTCAGTATTGCATCGATTTTGAGCACTGAACCACCGACATGTCTCCGAACAGATTCTCGGTAAGGATAATGCCATTGAGCTTCCTCGGATTTGCGACGATGATCATAGATGCCGAGTCTACCAGGTGGTGGTCGAACTTCAGCTGAGGATACTCCTCTTGCAGCGTCTCCACGACGACCTTGCGCCACAAACGCGAGCTCGCAAGAACATTGGCCTTGTCGATTGAATGAATCGTGAGGGGTGGGTTCGCAGCCAGCGCGATCTGCGCCGCGACACGCGTGATGCGCTTCACCTCGTCCACGCTGTAGATCATCGTGTCGTACGCCGTGTCCTCCTGTGGGCCTGTGCCGAACTCCTTTCGCGGACCGAAGTACGCGCCGCCAATAAGCTCACGGACGACGATTATGTCTACACCTTGGGCGACGGAGGGCTTCAGCGGGGAGTTAGCGAGGAGTGCGTCGGACGCGAAGTTGGCCGGGCGAATGTTCGCGTATAGTCCGAGGGCTTTACGTATCCCGAGCAAGCCCTGCTCAGGACGCACTTTGCTGTTAACACCCCACTTGGGACCACCGATAGAGCCTGAATAGCACGCAGCTCGGTCACCTTGTCTAGTCAGTGACTCGGAACATGCTCACCCATGAGAACGGCATCTGCCTCCTGGCATGCCTTCAAGGTGGACTCAGGGAGGGGCTGTCCTGTGGCATCGATAGCACATCCTCCAAAGAGATGTGACTCAAGCTTGAGCTCAACGTCAGGTGAGGTCGCTGAGACGACCTCGAGCACTTTAATAGCCTCTGCAATGACCTCGGGGCCTAAACAGCGGCAGCTCAGGACTGTAGGTTTCACTACTACCTTATCAGTAAACGTACCAATACCGTCCCCTGGCAGAACGACGATTCGGAAGCTGATGTCCAGCGATTTCAGTGACCGCAGGTCGTCAACATCTCGGACAGCAGGCTCACGTCTTCTTGGCCATGCTCAACGACGAGGACTTATTAAGAACGCGAGTTCTGCGACGGGGTTGATACAAGGACGAGATAGCAAGCCTAGTAGAAGAAAGCAGCGCAAAGCGAGTGAGAGTTTGTGTCTTAAAGCTTATGACTTTTCGTGTCTTCTTCCCGAAGTCTTCGCGACTCGGACATCCGTCGCGTCGCACGTGACTCATGCAGAGATTTTGAGTCTTGCGGTCGACGTTCATGGCGACCTCATCCTCAAAACCAGCGTGCAAGCACCTTGTTCTCGATGCTGGACCCCTGCTATCTTTGTCTCCCCTACGTGGGTTGGCGGAGACATACTACACCGTACCCCAGGTTCTCGACGAATTGAAGGACAAGCATGCCCGAGAGCATTTTGAACGTCTTGGATTGTCCGCCGGTGTGCGCATAGAGGTGAAGGGCCCTGACACTGCATCTTTGGCATATGGTACGTTGCGTAGCCCTGCTGCGCTTCTGTGGTGATCGAAAAGCATTGTGCCGATAGTGATCCAGTTTGCGAAGAAGACTGGAGACTACTCCGTCCTCTCACATGCTGATTTATGTATCTTGGCATTAACTTACGGTCTGGACGCGCAAGAAGAGGCCATGGCGAATGAACTATCAGAAAAAGTTGACCTGAGTGTTCCGTCCTCTGATCAATCACTAAAATTCTGTTGCAGGAGACTGTGTCTTCCTCTGGACCATCCACTTCGGAGCCAGAGCCACAGGATGCAACTGAGAAAGCCGAGCCAGTTGACGACGAAATCGTCGAACAACCTCCAGAATCGGGACTCTCTTCGTCAGAAGAGAATGATATAGTTGAAGATCCGCAACATCTGCTCGACGATACACGCGTTGAAGAGGAGGCTAAAGATGACGCCGCTGAACAAGAGCCCCTTGATGTCGAGTTGCACAAAATAGAAGATGAGACCTGTGTCCAGAACGACACCGCAAATACCTCGACTGCCCCCGAGCCTCTTCCTTCTCCGTCTCGCGCATCAGATCCTGCACCACCGGCATCGTCTCAACGGTCGGACACACCACCTCTTTACGCAGACCCCTCAGACTCGGACGATGGCGAAGGCGAATGGGTCACACCGTCGAACGTCGCATTGCACAAGTCGCGCGCCCTCGATCTTCTCCCATCTGCCGATGGTACGCGGCGAAAGGGCAAGGACAAACAGGAAACAATTCCCGTAGGATGCATGACCGCCGATTTTGCTATGCAGAACGTGCTCTTGCAGATGGGCCTGGGTCTCGTCGGCGTAGAGGGGAGGCGGATAGAACGAGTGAAGAGCTGGGTGCTTCGGTGTCATGCTTGTTTCAAGTACGCTCTTTCGCTCTTATTCACGAGACATCATTCTGATCTCTTTGTCAGAATCTGCAAGGACTCTTCGCGGAAGTTCTGCCCATCTTGCGGAAACCCTACCCTCCTTCGCGCATCTGTTACCATCTCGTCACCAAATGCGAACGCAGACACGCCCGCGATGCGGGTGCATCTCAAGAAAAATTTCCAGTACAAAACGCGCGGTACGATCTATTCGATACCAGCGCCCAAGCCAGGGTCTGCGAAGACAGGACCTGGAGAAGGCTTGATCCTCCGAGAAGACCAGACGGCGTGGGTGCGCGCTAAGAAGCGTGCAGATGGGAAACGAGATCGGGAGGAACGGCGGCTGTTGAACGCGGCAAGTAGGGGTGCGCAGATGGGTGAGGGCGGGGCAGTCCTGGGGAGCTGGATGGATCCTGACTGGGTGCCAGAAATTCTGAGCACAGGGACAGGAGGCAAGGGAAGAACCATGCGGAGCAGAGGGATGGATGGGGACATGCCTGTCATAGGGTACGGCAAGAAAAACCCAAATGAGAGGAGACGCAAGCCTTGATATGTGTGACCGATGTCAATTAGAATATGTTGTTGTTTTACCGCAGATGTAGTGTCTTAGAAGCAAAAATGAAGGTGTAACTCGTGTTACAAATGTTGATAGTGATACATCCTCCTGATGAACTCTCATACACCCGTGCTTCTACTCATGAATCGCCTCTTTTGGAACGACATCCACCATTTGCTGGGTTTGCCGGTCCCATCTGCGTACAACTTCTCCACTAGACGCGCCGCCAGCTCTTGGCGAGCCTGCGTCAAGTATTGCCGTAGATAATCTGGGGGAAACGGGCACAGAGACGTGATGTAGAGTATCGGTGTCTGGTCATGATGATGGCATACCTGCATCCGCCCTGCTCCCTGGTGGCGCATAATGAGCGTTCAGCACAAAATTGGCATCGCCGGGTATGGGGAAGTTGTCCACGGAGAGCGTGTTGAGGGTCTTGCCTGCCTCGAGCTGGCTGGGAACGGTACGCGCTGAGCCAATTTTGGCGAGGCAGTCGGAGACGAAGAGAATGAGAATTATAAGAAGGCGATCTGCAGGGCCCTTGATCTCGAAATTACGGAAGAGAGAGTTGGCGCGGAAGAGGTCGAGTGTCTCGTCGATTACATCGGCTTGTGATGGATCAGCTTTGAGAGTGACAGTGAGACACGGCCCATCAGGTATTCTCCTGCGCATATTATACACGTACCTAGTGGCGCAGGACCGCGGATTTTGGTCTTGATTGGGAGGAGAGCCATATTCCCAACGAGACGGATATCTGGTTCCTCATTGTAAGACGAGTGGTACGCCTAAACTCCCGGGTAAGAATATGTCTTCTGCTGTAATTCGAATACATACCGGCATAGTAACGAACACTGGGTGGAGTTGTGACTGTGCTTTACTGCGTTGCTGCTGAACGTACGGTAGACCCTCGATCACGTGGCATTATACCGGGCGCTATACCAGTACTTAGGCGTCTAAGTTGGCACATCCTTAGGCCTTCCTTAGCTAGTTACTTTCATGCTTCACCACTCTGACTTATCTGCTGTACGACCTACTTGATTTTCTAACCTGATAATTATCTTGTACAACATGATGCGTGACGACGAGCATAATGGCGAAGACCTCTCGACTCTATCTCCTTACTCTACCCCCCCTTCCCCGGACACGCTCACCAGTCAGAACCGGTCTGCTCTGTCCCTCAAATCAGTTGCTCATTAGCATTTTGTCAGGTTTGATTAGGCGGTTACGCGTGCTTACGCTGAAGCTATTACCAGTCGAAGTCCCAGTTGAAAGCATAAACGACCCCACAAGCAGAGTTATCACGCTGCAGGTCATCTCTGCATATATCGGTGCAGCAGGAGATTTTTTGGATGCTGTACGTAACCTCGCGAAAATCTTCAGATATTTCTTCGTGCCTATTATCTACCGCAGTTGCCGTACTGTTTGCTACGCGCACACAAGGACTTCCGATGGGATGCCAACCACAACCCTGCAGATTACGAAGAAAACACTTGCAGAGGTATGCGTGGCTTAGCTTAAGACGTTGAGCGGCCATTTTGACCCATGTCTCGTCAAGCGACTGCTTGTGAGGTACTTGCGCGACGAGTTGTCCATCAGGCAGGACCAGACAGGATCAGCCATATGCTGTCTACTCGGTTCAGGCATAGCGAACCTGACGGTGATATGAGTGAGAATGCCAGTGCGCTTGAGTTAGCTATCGATTCACATTGGTACGTTGCCCATCACGACTGCGATTTTGAGACTGACGTCATGCAAACATGATAGTATTATATTCCTGTCATCGAGCGAAGCCCAAGCAGGTCAGTAGTATCATCACTAATTGGGTTGGCGCTTTTCTGACACAAGCCGTTAGTCGTCGACGATATCTGGCGCGGAGAGTTGATACAGAAACGCGACAAAGATGGTGAAACAAAATGTAAGTAGTCCGCGCATTATCATTTCTTCCGGTGCAGATTTCAATTCGCATTACTAGTTGTACCATACAAACATTCGTTCAGCAGCTTTTGGGAGCACCTTGATCCTTCTCGCATGGGGGTTCCACGGTCGGCAACTAAGCCTTACTAACAAAGCAATGCAGTTTATTTATTAATCGTAGGTATCTGAATATGTTCCGGATCATCGTGTGGTTTCTCTTCCTAATTGCGTACTCTCAGGCTGGTACGTATATTCGTTGTAGTTCTCTGTGCCACCCTCACTAACCGTCGTGTCTTTGAAATGCAGTCCGCGAACCATTGGATAAGCTAAATCCAGACCACTCCGATTTTGAAGCCTGGGAAATCATCATGTACATCCTGGGGTTGTCGTTTTCATTCGAAGGTATGCCCGCCGAACCACGTTTTCATTCGTCGGTACTGAGATAATGCTTTCTAGATTTGCACAAGGTGATTTCACGGTCATCCTCCTGGAGAGAATATCTTTGAGACCCGCTGCGCTGTAGATCTACCAGCTGCTACTATTCGTCTCATGGCGAGCACTAGGCTTCTGGCACGTGGTGTCCTTCCTCACAGACTCGCTGCTCCTTGCTGCATTCATACTTCGTGTTTGGGGAATTGCTGCGGCAGACCCTCAGAGTGTCATGTTGCGTACACGCAGTTTCCAGTGCCTGAGTTTTGTTGCCCCACTCATTTGGTGTGTGCTTTGGTTCTTTGTTCGAAGACCGACTTAGGATAATTTGGATGTTCTCCCCGCAGGATGAGTAAGTTTATCCGGTATTAAGCATACCAGACTTTTCTCACCGATCTCTCTTAGAACTTATCCCTATATTCGACGGTTTTAAGTTCGTTAGTTGCGCTGAGTAGATTCGGCAATCGGCTCATATCTAGCACTTCTCCCTGTATAGGTTCGTGGGCACAATGCAGATATGTGTTGCCCGGATGCTCAAGGAGTCAGGAATTTTCTTCGGAGTGCGTCTTTATTTTTTGCGCTTCTTTTGTTCAAAACGGTATGTTTTCTATCCAGCTGCTTGCACTACTAGGGATAGGTTTTCTGCAAGGACTGTATGCCCTGGATGCGGCAGATGGACAGGCTGATCATCCGTACGAGGTGTGTTACCTTAGCCGCGTATTTTCTAGATCCTCAAATCCAACTGTTTCCCATTGCAGGTTATGCATGTGCTAGTACAATCTCTGTTGCAGTATGTCTTGTATCGCCCATGTCCTCGGTGTCACTCCATTCACATTGCTGCGCAGATCACCAGATTATCAGAAGTTCTCCGCTAGGTTTGCAAGCAAGCGTTACGCGCATCAGCAGCATTTACCCCTAACATTCTTTCAATAGCCCCTCCGGACAACTGCTATATTATCTGTGGGTAATTACCAGTGTTCTTGTCTGATCGTTACTGAGGAAGAAGTGTCACAGATGGAATGTTGCGACCACTCTCATCCTCCTGAACGTTCTCATCTCTTTGTTCTCTTCTGCATATGATGATGTGAGTCAGTTCCGCGATTAATTACTCTCACTGAACCTTTTACCATTTGGTTTCAAGGTAATAGAAGATGCCGCGGCCCAATATCTCACTTACTTCGCCGGCAAAGTGGTTGGGATGCTCAGGGCGCCTGATGATTACGCCTATCCTGCGCCGTTCAATCTCATTGAGACCTTTCTCATAGCGCCGTTCGAGTATGCTTACCGAATTACCTTCGGGTGAGTTCTCTGCTTATACCGTATCTTAGATTTTTCGTTAGCACAAAGGCGTACTCGAAGGTACAGTCTGCAGTGCCCTGTAGTCTCCGCTAATTTAACGCATATTACGGCACACAGATCAACCGCTACGTCATGCTAGTACTGTTCGTCGTCCCGCTGTCCATGATCGTGGTGTACGAGTCCGAGCTCGATCCCGCCAAGAACAAGTGGGTGAAGGACTGGCTGAGCTACCCCGATGAGGACAGCGAGGACGACCCGCAGGTGCAGAACCCGGAGGTCGCAGTGGTCGATGCGGAGCGGGGACTCAGGATCAGCAAGGTGCCGTTCGAGGCACTGGTGAAGGAGTTCCCGGATACCACCCATGTGGGTCGTGATTTCGCCTGTACGTGGATGAGTAGGCTGACTATGCCCATTGACGGGCCTGCAGTCGAGCGAGGCTGTAATCCTTAGAGAGGTGCGGGATCTGAAGGAGCAGATCGAGGAGCTGAAGAAGCTACTAGCACAGAAGGCATGAACTAACCGTTACCTGCAGCAGCAAACCTCAAATACGCTTACGACCTCCGACGCTCTCAGTGTCACCGTTTGCTTCAAGCCACCTTCCTTGTTGTATACCAAGTTATTGCTACAGTGTTCTATAGGATACACACGGGGACATCAGGATAATGTATTGACATTGAACTTTATTCCTCCTGGTGCATCTGTCGCGCTTCGGGCTCTCGCACCAGCTGCGTGAGCACACCCATGGCACGGACGAAGAAGGGACGGATCTCGTTAATTTCCATAGAGCATAAATTTGGAAGCTGCACAGTGTCAGGGTTATGTTACTCTGCGAATTATACGAAATGAGAACTTACGCTGAGTTCGCTGTGGTCGAGCTTCGAGAGACCTGCTCGACTTTTGGCTTGTCGCGCCTCGCGAATGTCTTGTAGCAGTGCACGAATTTTGTCTGTGTTTGGGAAGTCGTCTGGAGCACTGCAACAAGCGCAGATGCAGCCCCGTTAGATGCGACATCAACCGTCAGAGCGAGAGATAAGAGACGCACACATCCAGCAGCACCTTAGCTACTTCGGCGAAGCGAAACGGAAGCTCGCTGAACGCCTGCTCCGTAGTTTCACGCGTTAATCGATCTTGCAAGAAATCTGCGATGGTGAATGTCAGCAGGAGTCGCCGGTGACGCTCAAACCCACTACCAGAACGCACCGACGTTCAGCCAATCTGGTGGTACGATATGGCACTTCTTCTTGAGTTTTAGGTTTGTGGCCATCCATATGGGTATCTTGCACTTCGATGGCGGGCGGAGTGGCCCGTATGATCCCTGTGTCATTCACGGGTGAGAATTTCTCTTTCGTAGGAAGTAAGGTAAAGCGTGTACTGCACAGAAATGAAAACGGTTCGGTCCATCGTGACCAGGGGAATAATTTCGACGAGCTGCTCGCAGGCTATGAGCTCCAGTTCTGCTGGAGACACAGATGTACGCAAGGATGCCGGTAAGGCCATGATGTACGCCTTTTGAGTAAAATGCAATATGCAGACACTAAAGTGGTGACAGCGTGACAGACGCGGTCGAGCGCGTTATTGACGGCTGTTGACGCCCAAATCGCGATCGATGTACAGTGCACGTGATACGACGCGTCGCGGTCAACTTCAACCTTCCACCAAGGTCAGTTAAAATTTCCCTCTCTAAATCCTATCAGGACTTTCTGGCCGTTATCTGACATTATTTGTCTATAATTTATGCAGAGAAAGGCAGGTTTATCCTGGCCATAGGCTCCCCATTTCCCTCAAATGCTGGGTGCCAGGACGAAGCAGGTCTATGCGTACGGACGACGCGGGCATCGCATCGTCAATGTCACAGAAGACCGGGGAGATATCAAGACGACGATCACAAGCCACCGGGCGTCGGAAAATGAGACAATCTCTTCCTCATCTCCGTCTCCGCAACCGATACCCCGACATCGGAAGAAACCAATAATTTCTTCTCCTATACCATCTCCGCAATTCAAGAGGAAAAATGCTCCTACACCAGCTGCGAAGAAGAAGAAGAAGGCGTCTCCGAAAGCCGCAAATATCAGAGCTGCTAAGATCTCCAAATCCGTCCGTCACCCGTTAGGGCTATTCCCCGCGAATGTCCCAGGCTCTCCGGCAATTGCTCCCAATCTCAGGAAGAAGCGCAAAGCACTCATTTCCAGAGGGACTCCATTTATGCCGAACTCTCCCTTTATTGATGTTGACATCGTCGTGCTGGACGCTCAAGGTCGCCGCCTGAGCCAAGAGAGGAGAGTGTCCAGATCTGATGTGCAGATCAACAAGCTACCTGCGTTGCCGTTGAAGGCTGTCAAGATAAAAGGGACTGCTCTGCCAAATGTCGACATTCATGACATTTCGAATGCTGAAGAGATTGTCTCTATTCCCAAGCCTCCGAAACGAGCTAGGGCAATCATGATTTCATCAGACGAATCTGGTAGCGACGATGACGAAGTAACAGTAGCCAAACTCCACAGCTTTGCAACCGCTCAACGGATACAAGAACGCGCGATACGACACACAGCACCTACAGCGGCAGGTCGGGCCCGCGCCAAAGTCATCTCGTCACCGTCCTCATCCTCATCGCCACCTGAAACACTCATGCGTATACCAGAGCGACGGCCTTTGAACCGTACTGTCTTCGCTGTTGCCCCCAAAGTTACCGCTGCTGCTTTACCGGCACCGGCACCCGACTTCATACATTGGACACCCAGCCAGGGCCAGCCCGTATTCTCAATCCCAGTATTACCCTCCCCCCATGCTAAACTGCGCCAGCTGACACCTATCCGCTACCGGCCTGGACGAGCAAATATTTTTCCCGCTCCCCCTTCACCGCCATCGCCCACAACTCCGACAGACTTCGATCTCTCGCTAGACTTCTCTGAACTCGACCTCTCGCCCGCAGCGCTTTCTGCGGGCGTAGGTTCGGATGTGCACACGTCCGCCCCGCCGGAGTACCTCCAGCCCCTGCTCGCAGAGTGCTCTCAGACGATGCCGCACGAGTTCTCCGCATTCATCGAGATGTTCCCGTTCGACCCGATCGTGCAGACGCCTCTGGCTGCCAAGGCTCACTTTCAAAAGATCGGCGAGGCATCGTACTCCGAGGTGTTCGGCATCGGGGATGTCGTCCTGAAGGTAATCCCGTTGAGGGACGAGGTCGGCCACGCCACCAAGGCTACTATGGACGACGACGTAGAGTCACCTGCCCCCAGCGATTCGAAGGACGTACTGAAGGAGGTTATCGTGACACGTGCGATGGGAGAGATTTGCACGGGCTTCGTGAAGCTCCTCCGGACGTACGTCGTGCGCGGGAAATACCCATCTTTGTTACTCAGCCTCTGGGACCAGTATCACGAGAAGAAGGGAAGTGAAAGTGTTAGACCGGGTGGGTTTTCCTTCCTTGAAGTTATACCTAGCTTGGCTGAATGCTTTCAAGATTCCTTCACGGTCTCTCAGGTGTACGCCATCATTGTACTTCCGAATGGCGGCCCCGACTTGGAGGCATTCTCGTTTGAGACAGCGTCCAAGACTGGCTGGAGGCAGGCATGTAGCCTCTTCTGGCAAGTCGCCCGTGCGCTCGCAGAGGCAGAAGACCTTGTTCACTTCGAGGTAATTGCATCACCGCCTCCCGTTCAGCCGCCGCTGATGCATGGAAATATCCTTTGTAATATAGCATCGAGATTTACACTGGGGTCAAATCTTAGTGAAGACTCTGCCTGCCGCCATTCGGCCAGCGCGGCGAGCTGCATCGAAGAAACTCTCAATGGACCACGAGGGCCATGGCATCCAGGCCACCGTGATAGATCTTGGTCTCGCTCGCATGAACTCTAGTGGCGATGCCAGCGATGTGCAATGGACACCGTTTGACGAAGAAATATTTGAAGGCGAAGGTGCGCTGATTGGGAGAGCATATGGCGGACGGTCAGCTTCTCAACGCTCATTAACCAGGAGATTATCAGTTCGATGTTTACCGGATGATGAGGGCACACAACGGTAACTCGTGGGAGGACTATCGTCCATTGACGAACGTCATGGTGTGTCCCCTTGGTGGTTTTTATTATACACGTAATGCTTGATCCACTGACATTTCATGTACAGTGGCTGCACTACCTCGCAGGAAAACTCCTGCGCTCCAAGAAGCTTCGCGCTCCGACAGTCTCCCGCAAAAGCACTCTTGCGCCTGCCTCAGCAATGTTCACAGAACAGGAATGCTACGAGTGCCTAGTGGACGTGGAGGAGATGCTCGGCCGCTGCTTCGCATCGAGCAAGCCCCCGCCAGCCGGGCGCAAGGGCAGGCGGAAGACCCCAGCGCCCGTCAAGGTGGCCATGTCCGATACTGCGGGGCCACGAAGCGCCGCAGAGGTGGTGCAGTTCGGGAGAGGGAGAGGGTGGGTTAGGTGATGTGCGCGTTGCCCGTTTGTTCAACTCCCTGCCGTCTCCCAGTTTGTCATGCCTGATACCTCGTATATCCAGCTTCCGGGGTGGCTTCAGTGTTTGCCTACATATCTATACATACCATGAGACAGTCGAAGAGCTATTTATCTTTTGTCACTGTTGATCCTGCATGCGGCCCGGCCAACAGAGGGTAGGCAAAGGTATCCACTAATATAAATTTACCAGGTGCAAGTACTCTAATTAGCCTTGTGAACCCGGTATGATAAATATCCAGAGGTGGCTCCTAGGTATAACATGTGGCGGCAATACAACGAGGCGGATACATGGAACTTAGAAAAACACTGTGAACACTCGGACAACAGCAACTCGACAGAGAACACGTACACGCGAATCAATCGGGAACGTCCAGCCGTGCAACAATAAACGAATGGTGGCAGACTTCACAACCTACAGCCCACTTGACTTCTCCCTGCTACATCAAAACTCCCTCCGACTCATCTACCTGTCGCCCGAAAGATGCACTCAGGAACCGACCTTTGATCTCTTCTGGCCGGGCGGTCGTGAACCCGATGATCGGCCCTTGCGACTCGTGGGCGGGGAGTTCTTGGTAACTCGTCCACGATGGGGTGACTGGCGGGTTCTACTGCGCAATTGGTATCGCGAGGGCTGGATTCCGGACAAATTATCGTCATCGCCGTCTACATCCATCGGGGACATACGCGGGGTCGCTGGGGCCGGGCCACTCGGTGGCGTGGTCGGGACGGTGGCGTTGTCCGCAACGAAAGATGTCTGTGGGGCCACAATTCGGTATGGCGGTGAATTGACAGGTCCTTGAGACGCCTCCGCCTGTGAGGCGGGTATCTGCGAGCGTTCAGGAGAGAACCCTAGCTGGGAGTAGGAGAACAATTCCGGGGCGGGTAACTGTGAGTTCGTGTCGAGCTGCGACGCGGGTATCGCGCTGTTATCGGCCACAGGCAACTGCAGGGAGCCGTTGGGGGTCACCAGCGGCGTGTCGATCCACGCCTCCGAGTCCTGGGAGGGGTCCTGCAGGCCCGGCTGGAACAGGGAGGGAAAGTATTGCGGCCCTATTCGATTGGGGCTCTGTGTGGATATATGCAGAGACGGTGGCCTCGGAGGTGTCGACGGCGGTGGTCGATACGAATCGTGGCTTGGCCCCACAGGGAGGACGGCGAACGCCATCGCGCGTTTCGATTGTGGCTCCGAGAGTACGGGTTCCGTGTCCACACGTTGTAAGGGCTGAGGTTTCTTGACTTCATATGTCTGCTCGCGCTCACCAGGCATTGCGTCCGAGTCTGTGCAAAACATGCGCCGGACGTAAGGCTCGTTATCCACTAAATCCTCTTCACGGGAAATCCTGAAACGCTTTAACAGCGTCGGTCCTCCGATGCCTGGCTGTACTTGAAGGGGGATGTAGGGAACGGACTTTATCGGGGGGAGCGTACTTTCGTACGCGAAGTCGCGCACTTTGATACCGTGGGCGGCTAGCATGTCTGGAGATGGAGGCACTGAGTGAGACATGGGTGCAAAGCGTTGTTGCTGCTGCGTTGAAGGGCACTCTTTATATGGCCCCGTGGCCTTTCAAATCACAAAGCAAAACTTAAGGACACGATGTTTGCTTTGTCAAACGTATCTTCACTCACGTTGCCAGTGCTGCGGCGCAGATCACCGATTCTGCTCGAGCTGGATCTTGATGGACTGTCCGAGGCTCGCTGCAGGATAAACGGCGATGGATCTTCGCGACTTAAATGTCGAATATCTTCCATCGTCGGTGCGAGTATAGCGAGATCTTCGACGCGGCTGAATATCCTTTGTGGCACTGTCGTGAGAAATTGCTTTGGAAACGATCACACCGGAGTCTGACTTTCTCAGTGTTCAGCGATACGGGGCTTTGGGAGGGGGGGCTGGAATTGCTGCAGAGTGTGTTGCGCACTGAAGTGTGAGCACAACGTCGACCGTGGACGTTCAACGCAAGCGACGATCTCGATGTGACTCGGATAAGAAACTCGAACCGAACAAACCGTGACCAAACCAGTTCGACTTCCAGATTCCTCCAGATCTGGAACGCCTGTGCCACCACTCGGCGCAATCTGTAGATATCACAAGAACTCCTTCTCGAAATGCAAATATTCTCGACTGGCACAAAAAGGGCCGGTGTGTCCGTCAGACAACTGAGACTGCCTACGAGAGCTCCTCAGGAAGATGCTGCGCACTACCATGACCATGCTATGCTCTCTTGACACGGTCGTGGACGTCTTAAGCCCATGTCCTCGGATTGTGAACGATAATGACATAGAGGACAAACGCCAACCATGGAAGAAACGGACCTCAGCAGAGAGGCTCTACTATCCTGCAAAAAAAGACACACCACCGGAACAAGAAACAGCCATGATACCTAGCCTTCCATGTACAAGGGCCGGGGCGGAACTTCGGTCGGCACGTTCTCCTCCCATTGTACGAGTACAGGGCCAGACGATCCTTGTCGGAAAAGCATGCCCAATTCTTCATGGAAGGTCGTGGTATTGGGGGGGAACCACACAGGCGAGGATCCACCTGGGACTTCTTGGACTGCGGGCTCCGGCTGGCGCGGCGTTTGGTCTGAGGTCGACGCCTCATTAGGGGACATGACCGACAGCAGATCCGCCTCTGCAGTCTTGCTCCGCGACTGGTTTGGGCCCGAGAACTATTGCGTCCAGCAATTCGCGTCGAGGTAGCCTAGGGACGCTCGCCAGGCGCGGCGATGGGTTATGCGACCTGCTGCCTGCTCCGCGTGCAAGTGTCGGTATCGCAGAGATATACGAGATAGATGCGGCTGGGCCCTGCGTCGTCGTCAGAAGCGTGAGGCTCGACTGCACGGGAAGCAGGAAAGGCTTGACCTCTGCCACCGAATACCAGCACGCACTGCTGCAAAAGAGAAGACGGACCTTGCCTGGCAAGCACATCCCCAGTTGCAGACATAAATTTTGTGCCGCAGCACAGGAAGTCTGCAGAAAGCCTGACATTTACATCAATATCCAGAGACCTCGCCTCCTTGAATATGAGCTGGCCAAACGCGCATCGAAATCCAATCCAACGCTCGACAGCAAGCTGCAGCCCGCAACACGCAATACCACAAAGCGACCCGCAGAATTTAGGACGATATCAACATAGCCCGCCTTGACGGCGATTGGGAGGGAGTGTCCGCCGGTTACAACCATGCGGTTCGAAGGAGTAATTCAATTGTGCACCACAAGACCTGCCTTTTCCGGTCGAACACCTGTCTTTCCGAGCGCGCCGGAACGGCATCCTCGTTGCTGTGTACCCTGCCTCTTTTTTGACAGAAAGAGACTCGAAGACGCCTCGACAAATCACTGCGTGTTTTTGACTGCACGCCCGGCACTAAGTTAGTATCAGACGGCGTGAAGCAGAGGGGTGGTACAATACTTCAATCTAGATGAAAATTAGTGGATGAGCCAATTTACAATACGCATATGTATATTATCCTGGCCGTTTCTATCCAGACATGCATGCCACGGGAGGGCCCCCATCCCGACCTCGTAAGGACAGGACCAACGTTTCCAACAGGACGCAGCACGTCTCGTTACGCGCGCAGCGCGGGACACCCCTACGCACCGCCTCTTGCAGCGCGCCCCGCATCGGCCCCTCGTGCTCATTTTTCTAAATCCAGTCTAAAGCAGCCACAACCAGCAAGCAAATCAATCGCACCCAGCCGAACCGTGCAACATTCAACAGTGCACCACCCGCAAGTGATGGCTCCAGTCTCCACAGGCACAGCCGCTAGTTTTCCGAATACATCGGCGGGACGTCCGCCGGGACGTCTGCCTCGGGTATGGCGTGCACGGCAGCAGAGGATGTCGATGAAGAGCCCTGCCCCGCCGACCCGAAGCGCACGCCCGAGTCCGCGTGGTACGTCGCGGGCCGCGCGACGGAGAGCAGACCCGCCTCCGCGGCCTTGCTGCGCGGCTGGTTCGGGCTCGAGAACGCGTGTGTGGAGGAGGAGGCGCCTTCGGAGCCCGACGCGAGGCTAAGCACGCGCGGGGCGCTCCCAGAGCCAGAGCCCGACGAGTAGTGCGAACCGTCGTCGACGCTGCCCAGGCCAGGTGGTGCCGAGGTGGGGGCGGACTGGGCGCCCGAGGAAGTTAGGGTGACGGTGGTGGGGGGCGGGTACGCGTCGAAGGGCTTGACCTCTGTCAAGGAGAACGGGTGAGCAACAAGGGGATTGAAATGGGGAAAGGACGCCGCGAACCCTGGTCAAGTATCTCCCCTGAGTTGGCGGACTTGTAAAAGTACGGCCGCCGGCCGCTGCGACGGAAGAAGAAGAAGAAGGCGGCGAGCGCGAGGATGAGCAGCCCCGCTACGCCGCCGACGACGCCGCCGACGATCGCACCGACGGGCGTGCTCGACGTCGTTTGGACGATGACGCGTAGGGAGGAGGTGGGCTGGGGCAGGGTGGTATAGGTGGCGGCGCTGCTGGAGGCTGTGGACATGGGGACGAACGCGATGTAGTCGAGGTAATACGGGTTTGTGCTGTTGGCGAAGATGACTTCTACGTGGAGGGTGTGGTTGACGCTATGCAGCCCGCCTTCGCTGTAGAACATGACCTGATTGGCGTCCTGACTCGAGGTGTCGAAAGATACGCCCGTTTGCGGGGTTGATCCATCCAGGGAGTAGTTTGCGGCGACGGCGGTGGTCCCGCTCTGGATTGCACCATACACGTAGATGGCGGTACCTGATGGGAGTTGGAATAAAGCACTCTTTGACATGATGGACGGAGCAACTCACCCTGAAACTGGAAGTCGAACGTCGCGCCAGGCTCGACGGCCTGGCTGAGACTGTTGTCGAACGCTGCCGAGTCATTTAAGACGTCGTTCCACTGGCCGTTATAGAGAATTTCGGGCGACTGGTCGTCAACAACGGTGGTGACTTGGGTTTGAGACATGGCTGCTGCAGGGGAGGACCAAAGAGAGGACCAACGTGTGAAGGAGCGTATAGGAGGTCGATGCAGAGCTTTGTCAGCGCGATATATGGGGATGGAAAGATAGATTGATCAATTGGAGTTCTGGCTCGGATACGGGCCTGCGCTTATGAAACGCGGGCGGGGTGCGTCGGTCACGGCGGTCGACCGCGTGCGCCCATGCACCGCGCGTCGTACGCTGTGTGTGCAGGTTTTCTGCACATTACAAGTCACCTAATGCTATGTCGAGGAGAGCAACGCGTGAAAGAGATGCGCTTATCTTGACTGGAGTCTGAGAAGTGAGAGCACTGCCCACACAGCGGCGGCGAGCGTTAGCATTACCCCGAATGTGCTTCATCACGTGGCAGCGCCTGTGCGACGTGACGGTCGTGCTCGTGTTGTGCTCGTGCGACAAAAACATAGCAATTGCACCCGACGCCGGCGACGAAATACACTGCAGAAGTGCAGCAAACGCGGCCTATACCCAACTACAGCATTTGCTTGAGTGAATTCTGGTTATTTTGCCACGTGTAGACGAAGCTAACGTGGATCAGGCAGTACTTACCCGTCTTCGATCGCACGGTTCCGCCATTGCGCGCCCACGGACTCTGCGTCTTCCCGCGAGAGCCAGTGTGCCGCCAGCCCGCGACGCACTCGGTCTGCGCGACATGCAGATGCTCAGGCGCGCCTGGAAACCCGTCATCGGCACCGCCGTCCTCGTCGGTGCGCCCTCGTACGTCTTCTACAGGTGGTACTACGCCCGCCCATCCCAAGAATCCTTCGACCTCCAGGTCCGCGAGCGTGGGCCCGACGGCAAGCCCGCCATGCTCACCCGCACCTTCCCCCTTATCTCCAAGGACCAGGCCGACGCCCGCCTCGCCGCCCACGCCGCGTTCAGCAGCGCAACTCGCCCGGACGGCATTGTCTGGAAGCACGCGACCGCCTTCCTCGCGTCCAACGACCCCATCGAGGACGCCAACGACAGCGCCATCATGCAGCGCGACGCCGCAGACCCCTCCGCCCCCGGCGACCTCCTCTTCTTCGCCGTTATGGACGGCCACGCCGGCCCGCACACCTCCCGCCTCCTCTCCAAGGTCCTCATCCCCGCCGTCACCCTCGAACTCTCCTCCCGACTCAAGGCCCCGCCACAGCCAACGTTTGGGCAGAGCCTTAAGTCTATTCTCCGACCCACGGCGTCCTCGTCGCTGCCAGTCGACGCGGACCCAGAGCACGTCACGCTTGCGCTCCAAACCGCCTTCCTGAACCTCGACGCGGAGCTCACCAATGCGCCCCTCCAGCTCCTCGCCGCGAACCTCGACAAAATCGCGAAAGAGACGCGCGCGATCCCAGACCTCAGCCAGCACCCGATGGCCATGGCCAGCATGCTCCCCGCGATGTCAGGTACCGTCCTCTCCCCCGCTTCCGCGCTGACGCGCCCTTCACGCCGTTCGCGGATCACACAGGCAGCTGCGCGCTCCTCGCTATGATCGACACTGCTCACAGTAATCTCTACGTCGCGTGCACGGGCGACAGCCGCGCCGTCGCCGGCGTGTACGAAGAGTCCGAGGACGGCCAGGGCGTCTGGCGTGTCGAGGTTCTCTCAGAAGACCAGACCGGGCGCAACCCCAACGAGCTCAAGCGGTGCGTCCGATCTCGTCCTCAGCTCAGCATTCCCTTGACCACACTTGCGCAGACTGCGCTCAGAACACCCGCCCAGCGAAGCAGACGTCGTAATCAGGAATGGCCGCATCCTCGGCGGGCTCGAGCCTAGCCGCGCATTCGGTGACGCGCGCTACAAGTGGCCGCGAGAAGTGCAGGAAGTGTGAGCGCCCTCTCTTCCCCGCCTTCACCGCCACTCACCGATCACCACCCCACAGGCTCAGCAAAGCCTTCTTCGAAGGCACAGACCAGCCTATGCGTGCGACGCCCTCCCTACTCAAGACCCCGCCCTACGTGACCGCGCGCCCCGAAGTCACCCACCGCAAGCTCTCCCTCCCCTCTGCCTCTTCTGCGGCGGACGCGGACGTGAAGCCCAAATCGACACTGCGCTTCCTCGTGCTCGCGACCGACGGCCTCTGGGACGAGCTCTCCTCCGAGGACGTCGTCGCGCTCGTCGGCGGGCACCTCGCCGGGCTCCGCGGGCGCGTCCCCAAGTCCGCGCTGCCTGCCCTCGTGCGCACCACAGGTGGCGCGCCCACCGTCTCCGGCAAGGACCGCGCCCCGCGCCGGAGCGCGCCGAGCGACGGTGCGTGGGCGTTCGAGGACGAGAACGTCGGCACGCACCTGATACGCAACGCGTTTGGTGGCGCCGATGAGCGCCGCCTCCGTCGCCTGCTGAGCATTCCCGCGCCGCATGCGCGCAGCTATCGTGATGATGTCACTGTGTCGGTCGTGTGGTGGGAGGAGGGGCGCGAGGGCGACGCGCAGGCGGCGGCGGTCGCCGCGGGCGGGACGGTGAAGGCAAAATTGTAGTTTACACACGGACATGTAGAGCATTTATTTATGACGGGCTTCTTGAGACGCTGCCACTCTTGAGGGTAGGAAAGTCGTACACGAAGTCAAAGATGTGACCATCCGCACGTAGTTCAACGGAGCACACGAGAAGATAATATCTCAGCAAAAAAATGCAATTGAACACGGCGAATGCTCTATCCGCAGGTGTGATACAATGAAAAAAAAAAAAGATACCCGCCTCGTCCCCTAGAGTCCTTACTACAGACCCGCAGCACCTCACCGCGCCCTAAACGGCAAACCGCCGCCTCTGCCGCCCATATCGATGAATCGGCGGGTCCCTCTCCCTGTGCTGCAGGTTGCTGCTCATCCGGCCACTGTACGGGTTGAAGCCCGCGCCAGACCCGCCCGACTGCCGGGGAGCCGACTCCCGCCGCTCCCTTGCTGAGCTCGAGTACGAGAGCCCGGGCGACAATGGCGTGCGCGCCCACTTGTGGAGTGATCTGTCGCTATCGTCATCGTCGTCGTGGTCGGGCTCGGGTGACTTCCGTTTTTTGCTGGAGGACGACTTCCCCGATGGGGTCCCGTAGAAGCTCGAGGTGGGGACGGATGCGGAGATCGCAGACTTCCGTGATGGTGGTGGTGGTGGCAACGGCGATGATCGCGTACGCTCTGGCGGCGACACTGTCGAAAGTGGCGCCGCAGCTGAGGATGCGGGTTCCTGCGACTCGGCTGCATCGCCCTTCGTCTCCTCAGCGGCGTCCTCCTTGTCCACCTTCTTACCGCCAACTTCCACATCCTCCACCTTCTCACCGATGTCATCATCGCTCTCGTCATATTGGACGAAACTCTGAAGGGCAAGTCCTGGGCTCTGCGAGACAGCGGCAATCTTCTTCTTGAGGCGCTCCGCCTGTGGATCGCCGGTCTGTTGCTTTGCCTCTGTGGCCTTCACCTTAGAGCCGATTGGAGATGAAGGGAGCTGCGGCCCGATGAACGAGGTTGAGGCTGACGGCGACGACGGCGGTGGTGATGGAAGGCGGGGGCCGATGGACGGCCGCTTGGCCTTCGGGACGTCGTCCTCCTCATCGTCACTCTCGATGACCTTCCTCTTCTTCATCGACGCGATGATGCCCGCCTTCTGCAGAGGTGGTGGCGGTCGGGCGGGGGCATTCAGGACGGCCTCGAGGGCTTGACCACGGTCCCGCACATAGAACAGCATGTAAGCGTTCTTCAGGCTCGTGGGAACACCCGTGTACCGAACCACAGACTCGTCGTTCATCTCGTACCACAGCCCGTTCGCGCCCTTGGCATGCGCGTAGTAGTGTCCAGAGTTAGGGCCACTGCCGGCGTGCGAGATCACGCCGAAGAGCGTATACGACGGGCCGTGCTGCCCGTCGCTCATCACCGGCTGCAAGGAGAGATGCTCCTCGTACTTGATGACGTGACCGATCTTGCGGCCCATCGGTGAGAAGCGCTTCAGGTGGATGGTGAGCACCATGGGCGCCTGCTGGATCGTGAGCTGCTTGTCGGCAGTCACTGCCTTTTTACACCTGTAGATGTCCGTCACGATGTGATTGATAGACGGTAATGACCAAGGACTCACTTCTCGCACTTGTATTTGTCCGCGCCCTTTAGATGGTCCACGGCGACGAACTTCCGCAGCGCCTCCTTCAACCCGGTGACTCCGTAGATATCAATGCTGAGGTCGAGGATGCTGTCAAATGTGTCGCTGTTGTAGCCACATTGAAGGCATTGCACTCTAGATCGTAGCTGGCCACCGAAGATCTTGTGGACCCACGTCGTTTCGGCCAGCTTGTGGTCTATTTTACTGTACAACACGATGAGCAAACGTATAAGAGGATGTGGAAAAAAGCCACTCACGTTCCGTAACCCGCTAAACACGACTTCTGTAAGGCGTCGACAGCATAGCGGAGGAATTCATGCGAATCCTCCTGCCTTCCCCTACGCAGGTGCTTAGCGATGACTAGGATAGACGCGTCAATGAGAGCGAACAAATAAAGTGGCGACACTAACACACACCCTGCAACTTAGTCGTGATGGGGTAGGGGGTAAATGGACGTCGACTCGAATGGGACTCGTACATCACTTGTCGAAGGGCACAAGACATGCAGAACGCCGCCTTGGGGACGCGACCTGGAGACAAGGTCAATATCAAATCCAGACAAACAATCGAGTGGCACAAACAAGGATCGGTCTTGCTATGAGCCATGAGGACATGGACCAAGGGAGGCGTGTGGATGAGGCACTGCAGTGCACTATTTAAGAAGCAGGTGTTCCCTGTATTATTTAGGCCCGATCCAATACTCATACCCTCCGGCCATGTCGAGGGAATGGCCCCGTCGTACAGAGGCTTGCTAACGCTGCTCGACGCCTTCGGAGCTTTGGGGGACTTTGCGGGGGTGGATTGGAGCCCTTTCCTCGCATCGTGGCCCTGGTACGAACTTTTTTTCGCGTCAAAGACCCACGGAACATGACAAACGTACTGACCTCCACTTTTGTAGGCTTCGGTGTCGCGTTGATGGGCTGGTATTTGCCCTCTGGGATGGCTAACGCGCCGGTCGACGATCCTTCAACGAATTCGATCGGCGGTGGCAGCAGGCTGTTAAAAGCCTCTATGTCTTTAGCCGGGCGGTATTGGGTGGCCTCTTCCGAGAAGCCGGGTGAAGGAAGGATTGGGGAAGCAAGCATCGTGGTGTATCTGAATGCTGGCAGCCTCGCAAGATGTGGCAGACGGCGAGGTAGCGGGTGCGAGAGGAGGGGGAACAGCGAGTGGCCGTGGTGGGCGGTGTACGAGGGAATTGACGCGCGCCACACAGCTCTTCCACAATTCATGGGTGGCTCTTGTTTGCTCCTCTTTGTCTCCTTTCAATATGATCACGTGCTCTCTCGTCGCGTCGCGTAAATGTATCAGGCGCGATTGCGCAACCTTTTTTTTTTTGGGAGGAGCGAAGTATGGGGCAACGTCTGGATGGCAGCCTTGAATCCTGCCAGACGGAGTTGGAGCACAGCAAGTCGAGAGCAAGGTACTGTAACGATAAGTAATACGGACAGATAGCAACGATACAGCGAGATAGCAGTAGAATAAATACTGGGATAGCAGCTTGAAGCACAGCAATTCGACAACAAACAAACAACGAGATCGTTGCGAGCAAGGAATAGATACCTTCGATACGCTATGGAGCCTTTGGAATACCCTCAAGGCTGAGAGCATTCATATAACCGTGGCAGATGCCGGCAGTTTCGCTCGGTGACATGTTTCCCAAGTCGAAATACCCTGGGAGGATTGGAGAAGTTGACGCAGAGCTCGACAGCGACTCCGAGTTCGTATCCACAGGAGATGACAGTAACTGAGGCACCCAAGGAACACCAGGCACTTGAGAAGGAATAGGGACCCGATAGCCCGCAGCAGCGCTGAAACCACCTGCAAGACAGTCCATGCTGTTTCGATAAGAAACGTCAAATAACGCGTCGTCGTATGCAGAAAGATTAACCATCTGTGGGAACGATGTGAATCCGCTACCGTACGTTCTTACAGTTCGAGCCGCTGCATAAGTTTCATCAGACAAACTTGCACAGGAGAAGTAGACACTACTCACCAGGAATACAATCATGATATGTGGAACGGTGCCCCACCAAGTTGCCAGGATATTGCGACAGGGAAGCTGTGTCATGATAGGGATGGACGCTCTGTTTGAAAGCACTATACGCTGATGTGGAACCACGATGGTAGGATGTTGGCGGTGCGAGACAGGACGACCCCTCACCCACGCCCTCATAATAGGTGCCCACATAGTCACCACTGGAAGGTAAGGGAATCGAGGAACTGCCATAATCCCGATTCTCTACGTCTCCATCAGGCTCTACGACATCGTAACCAACATCCGCAGAAACTGACGGGGGCATGAAAGTGGTAAACGAATCGTACGGACGCACATCCTCGAATCCTGTAACCTAGTCAACTCAAATCGCCGGCAAGGTACGATGACGGACTCACCGGAAAGAGTCGAATCAAGTGACAAGCCGTAGCCCGTCTGCAACGAGAAATCCAAGTCACCTTGCGGATAAAGCGTCGGCTCGCCGATACTGGACCCCGAGGTGTATTGGCTACGAGGAGATGTCAATTCAGGATAACAAGATTCCTCATTCTTATCCTCGGTATGGGGAAAACTACAATGAGAGCCGGATGGGGCAAACGCAAGAGTGTACTGCTCCTCCAGTGCAGTTTGTTGGGCCTCAGCCTCAGCAGTCGGGGAGTTGGCCAGTACGTATACATTGGCGAAGCCGCTGGTGCAGTCCATTGTAGTCAATTCTTCGGCTCCACTGGAAGAACTACTAGGTTCGACCGTCAGCACGGCCAACGATACCGGTGGGATGCGGTACTGGTCCAACACGCTCTTCTCTAGTATCGTGTCATGCTTCTTAAGGTGCTCGACGAATTGCCGTTGGTGGCGATATCTACAATGCAAACGTCAGTGAGCGCAAGGCTTGCAGGTCTAGGAGAAAGGATGGACCTGGTCGAGCAAAGAGGGCACATGAATTCACTCCCGTCGTGCTCATGCACTTCTTTTACGTGCCGCTTCCACGTCCGCTCGCTCTTGTAATCTTTGCCACACAAAACGCAATAATGTGGTCTTTCGTTGGAACTGAGGAAGCAGAAGTCAGACACCGCCGACCGGCAGAATGAAGTACGAGGTTGACACTCACTGGGTCTTCCTGTGCGTCTTCAACGCACTAAGCAGCGAGAAGCCCTTCTCGCATCCCTCAACCTCACAGAAGAAATTCCTAAAACAATGTCAGGCAGATGTTCGGTGTCATGATCCCCAATGCCCTCACTTTATTTCATCATGTACAGCCAGTTTGTGCCGCCGAACGTCGTCGCGGCGGCTGAAGGTTTTGTGACAATTGTCACATTCGGGCCCTCCCTCTGTAGCCTGTATGGAAAATGAGTATCTGGCAGTCTGACCTTACAAGGCGCTCGCCTTACGACGCGATACCCGAGTTGGGGGCATAGCGCGACGACAGAATTAACTTCCGAGGACGTTCCGAAAGACGAGACAGTTCAAAAAAGTAAAAATAAAATAGAGAGGTAGGAGAAGGTGGTGATCCTTCAAAGTCGAACCGATGAGTAGGCCGGTCAGGAAGTTCACGTTGAAGGCCACACCAAACGACGAGTGAAGCGGGAAGAAGAGGCTGTGCAAAGTTGCGCGGGTATAAGGTGTTGGACCCGCTTCGCAGCAGTCAACCAAGGGAACGCGACGTGGTTCGTGGTGATTGTGCAGATCACGTGGGGGTTTCGTGGGGGCTTCACTTGGTAGTAAGAAGTCCCCTGGAAATTGTCTCGTCCATCAATTGTGCCCCCTAATGGTGTCTGACAGGCGGCCGAGATGGCGGACCAACAGCTTAGCCAGAGCTGACACAGTGTGGGTTGACGAGCGCATAGGGCAGACGGGTCGGACACGACATAGTAGGAAGTGAGTCAAACCCACTCTTGGACATTTGACAGCGTTGCGGAGGTAACGGGTTTGGTGACCTCACAGAAGCTTCCTAATCAAAGCCGTGTCGGGCATTTGCGAAGACGGGCGCCCTGGAGGGGCCAGCAGCCGCTTCGAAACCCGGAGGAAAGTCCGGTCGGTTGAAGGATACCACAACGGGAACAAGGGCTAGTGGATGGACTGCCATTGATAACGTACAGATGGTGATCAAGGACTTCTTCGGTGTGGCGTTGCCATCAGGATTCAGGCGTCTCGTAGCCTCATGTTGTTCGTATCCAAATCGAATGAAAGGGATCGCCAGTAATGGATTAATGGACGCACCTGGCACCTTGAAGATTTCAACGGCTCGCAACTAAGCGACACAATTTCCGCACCGCAATTGTCGCACTGCCTGCAGATACAGACTGTATATTGATCTGTGTGCGAATATCAGTTATCGTCCATTGTTCACTGAGAGTCCAGCGTCAGAACGTACGTAAATGTTACCATTCGCTGCCCACAGGTATTGGACCCGGCACTCACTACATCATCGCGAGTGAGCTATCCGCATTTTATGCACCACATCCACATCCCGCTCCAAACCTGAGGTGACTAGTTGTGAGAACTCCTACTGGTCTAAGGGCAAAGAAAATTCATTGCTAGCGTTATTCGTTCGAGAACGTCCTTGATTCTGAGGACAAAATTCTTTTATATCACAAGCACATGTGCTCCGCGCATTCGATACCGTTTGCAAAAAGATTCGGAGAAAGGGCGAACGGAAACACATTTACGTGGATCTGTAAAGTCTGTCTTCCCAGTCAACACAAAGATTAGTGGCACGGAAGGCACTCGATGTTCTAGCAAATTTTCACCTCCTGCACCCATTAAAGTCGGAAAAGGCGTAGAAATTTCATCTTGGGATGTCGTCGAAGCAGCCAATGCCAAAAAAGGTGGACCTGGCGTAGTGTGAAAGACGGTAGGCGAACAAGCCAATCGAAGCTTGACGAGAGGATCTCCAGTGTTCATGGTACGGTCGCAGTGGCGCAGTCGGCGAAGCCCGTGTTGAACGAAGAAACCTCAGAAAGCATTCCTTGAACTTGAAGCTTGAGCTTGAGCGGTTACCAAGTTGAAAAGGTTCCGCAGAGTATAAGGCCGATCGTGCTCAAAAAGGCAGGCGTTGTAATGGAGCCCCCGGCGAATCAGCGCTGCAGCATTGAAAACTATGGAGGTAGGAAATATGTGTGCGAATAATCCAAAGAACCCAGCAATAAATACTACTAGTGTACGCATAATGTGGTCGATGAAGAAACCAATAAATAGTCGAAATAAGGGTGATCAGAAATCCTTCCACTCATCCTCCCAGTCGTCCTTTTTCTTCGTGGCCCTAGACTTCATAGTGGAACTGACACTGGGAATAACTGGTGTCGGAGACGCCAATCCACCTGTATCATAATGACCACCGTCCTCGAACTCGCCAAAAGCATCCTCCTCACGGCCGTCGTAGAGGGCGGACGGCTCCCCGTCGTAGCCCATATCTACCTGCCCGTAGCCCTTCTTCGAAGGACCACCAGAGACCTTGTCCTTCACCGTTCCCACCACTCCACCGACCTGCTGCGCGACATCCACCCCGAAAGCGTTCTTGCTCCACATGTTAGCACTTCGGCTGACATCGGCCGCGCGCTTGCCCGCCTCTGAAACATAACCCCGAACGCCCGCCTGGAATGTCGGGTCCGTGACCTTCTCGATGCTCGGCTGGATGACATTCTCCGACACCACACGCGAAGCACCTACGACAGCAGCCGAGAAAAGAGACCAGCCTTTGCTGAGTGCCGTAGCGGGGCTTTGCTGAAAGTCCACGAGAGACGGCGCTGCAGCGGAAGAAAGACCGTACGAGGGATGGCGAGAAGCAGGTGGAGGCGTCGGTGTATTTCCAAAGCCTTGGTAACGGCCGCCTTGCGAAGGCGGTAGATCATCGGGACGGGATGAATTTGCTTGTCCAAGGGTCGCGAAGTATGATTCGTTGGCCGCCTTCTGATCGACTGCAGGACTGCCGGGTGTGGGCGAATTGGTGCCCTTGAACGAAGCGGGAGATATGGAGTCATTACGGAGGGGGCGACTGGTACTGTTGCGAGTTGACGCGCGAGATTTCCGAAGACCTTGTGCGGATGAAGGGCGTCCTGGAGGACTTACCGAGCTGGTGGAACGGGAAGCTTCAGTTGGCGCAGAAGGAGACCAGGGGTTGCCGGCCAAGTCGGCATCAAGCTATATGAAGAGAATTAGATGGCAGGCATTCGGTGATGAACATAGCTCACTGACTTTCGTTCGATATTGAGAGGCAGCCCAACAATGATACGTGTCATACGGGCTCATACCTTCCTTGTACCCACCCTGCCCTGCAGGATAGGATTTCATGAACTCTCGGAATGGCGCATTGCCTCCAAGCTGGAATGTGTAGAATGAGAAAGCAGCTCCGGACTGTGACACTCAAACAAACCTGCATCCGTTTGATTTGATCCTCCTGCCATGTATCCATTGAGACGGAGCGCACGAAGCTGGGGATTGTGGACGGATTAATAAGATAGGCCTCAGAACCACATTTCAAAGCACGCACTCACCTGACATGCACTCCGAAACCTCTGTGAACCCCTGCACACTGCAAACAAAGAAACACTGCAAAGCTAACGCAGTGGTTTGGAATCTGCACAGGATATTGAGCATGCATGGTCTAACCTAAGCGAAGCCCATTGAGGGTTAGGACTTGAGCAGTCTATGCATTTCTTGTTGTCAAGGTCTCCTCGCTTGATGAGCTCCTGGAGTGTTTTTCGTGCAGCAACTTGGTCCATGGTATCGGCTGTATAGTGACGAGCGTTGACAGCGTTGCGGTCAATCGCCGGAGGCTTACCGTGAGAAATCCCATAAATGTATTCTCACAATAATTCGTGGTAATCCCCAGAAAACGCAGATTCTTTGAGCCCGAACCCGAGCAGATTTTCCGGGTCGGGTCGATGCCGCGGTGGGATGAGTTATCAGATAATCTCACATGCAACAATTGGAGGGTCTGTACGAAGTCAAGAGTAAGCGAGATAATAAGATGGCGGGGAGCCAGTTATTGTGAGATGGAGAGTGCGGAGGAAGGGATGATATAATATGTGTCAGAGACAATATTGGCGGTGGAGGGTAAATATTAGATCGTACCTTGACTTGCTACCAGCTTCCCCGACTCGTCTGTCAGCGCTCAGTATCCGTTTGTATAACCCACTTTACACCGCCTTACCCGCGGGTCGAGCTCGCAACAGCGCCTCCAAGAACCTTCTCAGTTCCCGTATCCACCAGGTTCGTTGCCTGTTCTGCCGAGCCAATTCTCTGTCATTTCGCGAGTCGTCTAACGCCGCATCTGACGCGATCTCATTGTTCTTGGTAATTGGACGATGAAATACAGACCAACTTCGCGCCGTTGAACGTCGCAAATATTCTCGAGCTGCAGTTATCTCCCTTCTGTCTCTTTTTCCTGCCCTAATCTGCAATCGTCCAACTCGAAACGCTACCAGGGCGACCTGACCCGTCGATCTGGGTCTCATTAATTATCACATCGGCTCTAGGCTTCCGCGAACCACACATCTCCAAGTTGCATGATCCAAAAGACGAACGCACGCACAGGCAACACATCTACTGCTCCAATGCGCCCGCCAGCGGGAGAAAACTCAAATCCGGAACCATGGGGCTCGTGGGCGCAACGCAAGTCAGTTCCTGAGTTTATTACCGGTGTTCGCGCTCGACGTGTGGACCTAACACTGCTGTGCGTCAGGCACTATTCTTTGGAGGTCGTTCAGAATCCTCTTCGTGCACGTATGTGTGGCTTTGGGGACAAGGTTGGTCATGTCTTATTGCGGACAAGTTCCTGATACCCACTCCGTTGCTTGCTTGCTTCCAGGATCGTCGACCTCTAGCTCCGGCAGCAGTAGCGAAGATGATAGTTCGAAGAGAGGATAACGGTATAATAGACGTGGAGTGAGTGTTCTCTATTCTGTGCTAACGTTTATGCTGATGGTCGAGCGCCTGCAGTGACGTGGATTGTTCTTTCTTCTTGGTCACCGTCGACCTCTGGTCAGCGGACAGCAAGCATGAGATGAATCTGGTCTTACATCCCACTTCCGCGGATAGATACGTTCCTGCAAACACAACGAAACCGTCCAAGCGGCGCGGCACAAATTCTTCGACTCAGCGGGCGAGGAAGCAGAGTTCTCCTGCGCCCTCTGCAACTACCCCCACTACTTCCGAATACCCTCAGGTATGTCCGCGATCTGATTTTTCCTTTTCCATTGAAGAAACTTGCAAATGTTCAACTACGATAGTCCAGTACAATGGCGCCCTATATTCAATCTACAGCGCCAGGCTACTCGGGTCAAGTATATCCTGCGTACCCTCCACCGCCGTCGGAAAACTCTTTCCAACCTGTTAGTCCCTACGGACCTCCACCACCTGATGCAAACCCCCAGCCTTGGGGTTATCCTCCTTCGACCTCTCCGGTTGACCGTCCTGCGCATTACCCTCCTCCAATTCGTACCTCGGGCCAGCTCGTGAGTCGTAACCCTCCTTCCAGTGCTGGCTCGGCCATGGGTGCAGAGTATGGTAATGCACCTGTATCGGCTGTCTCTGCTGGGCATACTTGGCAAGTCGAGAACGCCGGGTCGGCTACGGACGATACAGAAGGAACGCCCTATCGCACATGGCCGCAAGATGCATCATATTCTTCCAGTAGTCACAACGGCGTGGCTCATGCGTCCGGACCCATTGACCCGCCTGTGAGGGCATCCCACCCCTCCCCGTCCAGCCCGGCGATGCGCAGGAACTCTTACACTTCTCTTGCTCCTGCTCCGACTGCGGACACGTACTCACAAGGCCAGTATTCACAGGAGCCGTACTCTCCGATGTCACAGCAGGGCCCACCTCAGCAATTGGACAATGTCGTGTACGCTTCTACGTCTTATTCCCAACAGCCACCACCACAGCAGCAGCAGCACCGGCAGCAACAACCACCACCTTCGGCTCCACAATATCAACAAGGGACATACGCTCAGGACGGTACTCCGCCATCGAGCATGCCACCATTGCCCCGACATACCTATACACGGACCCTCGTGGGGCCCTTATCGGCGAACGCTTGCCGCCTATTGGACGAGCACCGCAAGCCCGGAATCTTCTTTCTTTTCCAGGATCTTTCCATTCGAACCGAAGGTGCGTCTATGAGGGATTCTGACTCACACTGGCGGCGTTATTGTTACTCAATTGGACGCACAGGCACCTTCCGTCTGAGGCTGCGTCTTATGAACGTTGGCGCGTAAGCAGAGGTTTCTTACAACGCCTACTCGTGACTCCGTGCTGACGCGCCGTCCTGCGGTGTCTCGCAGGCCGCCGGCCCCAGACGTTGGTGCATTCCGTGTTCATAACGATGTTTCGCCTGTGCTTGCTCAGACTTTTACTGAGCCTTTCATTGTTTACTCCGCTAAACGCTTCCCCGGCGTCCCAGGTCTGCCTGCACCACTACATGAATGTATTATACGAGCCTAACATCACCCTTCCCCTTCTACCCAGACACCACCCCACTCTCCATCGCCTTGGGTAACCAAGGCCAGAAGCTCCCGCTGGTGAGTGGATCCTCTCCGGCGTACCTAAGCACACGCGCTGACGCGGCGAGATAGCGGAACCGGAACGGTTCCATGAAGCAAGGTCGGAAGAGGCAGCGTAGTGGCTCGGATGGCTCGGGAGACGAATCCGACGAGACATGAACTGCTGACAATTCCCCCTGCCCGGATGTATGTATTATGACCCCGCGTCTGGCTGCTGCATTAGATAATTGTTTTGTTCTGGCTGTCTTGCTTTCGCAACAATAATGGCTGGCACTCATGGATGAACTACATCGAGCGCTTGGCTACTTGCCTACGATTCGACGCCTTCCTGATGATCTCGTACTCGCGAAGTAAGCGTACCGTATGTGGGTAGTTGGCATGAATCCTGTCCAGGATCTCCAACGCTGCCGTCCGCCTGTTAAGGAGACTCTGCACGTCCACGGCAGTCTCCTCGTTCGAGTCGACGCCAGGGCGATACGGTTGGATCAACTGGCCACCCTCCAAATGAACGAGCACACCGTGCAGTACCCTCATGGTCACGGCGTGAGCACGCCAGACGTTCCAAAGCGGAGAAATTTGGTGCAGCACATGCAACCCATGGGCGAAGTCCTTCTTTCCCTCGTCCTCCAGGCCCTTGGCCTTCAAGCGCGCAAGATATACTGCGAGAGCCCTGCGCCTCGTGAAGTGCATCGGTGCTTCAGAAGGCGCAGGTGGCAAGTCGTCCTCCTCTTCTTGAGGAGGAAGGGATGTACTGAGTGGGGATTCTGGGTGTGGGTCCCTTGATGTCGCGAGCCCTCGGCTTTTGTTTCGGTATGGCAGGATGACCCTCTCTATGACCTCGAACGCACGCTCGGGCTCCCCAGCACGCACCAGTGCCACGGCGAGATGGTTCCAGTTGTGGGAATCGAATGAAAGACCTTCCTCCCTGAGCGACGTCCACACCTTCGGGATCTCAGAGTGCCGACCAGAAGCGGACAGTGCATCGAGGTATATCGAGAGTGGGATGCACATGGAAGTGCCCTGGCTGCGCAAATTTGGTCTGGCCCCGTCCGCCATACCGTTGAAGAGACCATTCACACGGGAATAGCGGAGGCCCAACTCAACTATCTGCGGCCAGGTGCGGTACACGGCTTGGAGGTCGCCTTTCCGCCGATAGGCATCGAACAGAGCGGTCATTGTGCCAAGCGTCGGTTCCCCGCCGTTGTCAAGCATCTCCTGATACAGGCGTTCAACAGCCTCTGGATCTTCACGCCATGTGTGCGCAACCATGATCGGGGCATAGACCATCTCAAGAGGTAACTGTCTGCGTCCAGCCGGCTTCATCCACGGCCGCTGGTCCCGGTCTGTCGACAGGAGAGAATGAAGGAACTCTTCCGCGATCTTCAACCCCTCCCCGCTCTTCTCGTGCGCATACGCGTTGATGATCGCGCTGTACGTGACAGCAGTTGGCTCGATGCCCCGCGCCTTCATGTTCTCATAGACTGCCCGCGCCCTGGCTCTGTGTTTCTGGCGTAAGTGTCCCGCCATGAGGATCGTGAACACGTAGACGTTTAAATGAAAGTGTGTCTCCCAGCTCTCCGAGAGGCGTTCCATCTCCGCTACGAGATCCGTGGCGATACCCATTAGTCCTGAATCGCACGCGGACTGCACGAGCAGCGCGAACGTATACTGGTCAGGCTTCACCTTCGCTTGTTCGAGCCGTTGGAATAATCCCGCAACAACGCGAAAGGGCGCGCCGATGAGAACGTACGCCTTGAGGAGCGTATTGAAGACCTCGATCGTCAGTCGAAGCCCGAGTGTGGCAGAAGATGCTAGGTAGTCGAAAACGCGGATGACACCGCTCCATTGACCAGCCTCGACATGAGCGTTCATCAACGCAGTCAGCATGCGGCGATCCGGGATGATTCCTTCACCGAGGGCGCGTTTGTAGACGTCCTCCGCCGCCGCGGGATCCTTGCGCGTCGCGAGCAGAGAAATGATAGTAGTATACAAGACTCGTGTGGGTTGCAAGCCGCTCTCGCGCATCTGGTCCAGGAGCTCAACCATGGACTTCAGTTCCCCGCGCATAGCGAAACTGTGCAGGATGACGCTGTAGACATGCATATCTGGGAGAATGCCGGCCTCCGTCATGCGCTCTAGCCAAGTATTGATTCCGTCGAAATCACTGCGTTGTGCGTGCGCGAAAATGACCGTGGTGTAGTGGTAGAGCGTAGGAGCTGGTCGATCCTTGACGTTTATAGGAAAGAAGTGGTGGAACAATTCGATGACGCGGTCAGTGTCCCCACGAACAGCGTGCGCGTGCATCAGCATGTTGATGTCGGCCATGCTGACCCATGAACGTTGAGCAAGTCGATCGAAATACTCCTCGGAACGTACCACATCTCCTTGGTGCGCGCATAGGAAGAGACCCAGAGATTGGTACTTCCTGAAGAAAAGTGCCGACGTCGTCCACTGAGACAGAGAGCTGAACAACTTGTTTGCCTGTTCAAACGCATCCTCCTTCGCGAGCGTCTTGACCACCAGCAACTGCACGTCCAAATGTACTTGCACCTTCTGCGTCAGCGCCATATCCAACATGGCCAGCGCGTCGTGGGGCAATCTTACCCGGCAGAGCGTCCGGATCAGGAACTCGTCCGTGCTTCTCTGCCGCTCTGGTGTCCAGTTCTTCTGGGCCGTTAACATGTACGCCGCCATGTTCTCCACCCCCATCACCACCGAATGTACCACCTCCTTGAACCTGGAAATTTTCAGCCGCAGAATCGAGTCGCCCCAGACCATCGTCCGTTGCTGCAAGAATGGCTGCACCGCCTCCCACTCTCCCAGCAGCACTTCGAACGCCACCACCGGGTGCCGCATCTGCCGAAGAAGCGAAACGATCGTCGTGTACGCCTCCACCACGTACGTTACACTCTTCTGCTCCATCTCTGTCCCTGCCAGCTCTCGCGCCTCCCGCGCCGCCTCCGCGTACTGCCCCGCCATCGCGAGCCCTCGCGTCTCCAACGAGCGCCAGCGGACATGGAGCCCCGAGTGCGGCCTGATTCGACCCGCGAGCGCGTGCAGCAGCATCTGCAGCCGCGTGCCCCACAGCGGCATCGAGTCCAGCAACGACGACCGGAAGTCCAGCCCTTGCGCCCCGTCCGCGATCCGCGATGCAAATTGCATAAACACCTCCACCGGCACTAGGTCGCACCCGTTTGCCGCGTCGAGCGCCTCGTACGCCCGCCATGCGTCCTCGTAGTCGAACTCCCCGTTCCACGTCGCCGCCTCGTTTTTCCAAGTCGCGAATGCGTTGATCTTGTCGATCCACGCCTGCTGCTCCGACGGTGTAGCACTTGACGATGCGTCCGGAAGATTTGACGAGTGTCGCCGCTGGGCGGGCGTGCCCAGGAAGGAGGTGCCGCCTCGAGAGAGAGTGCGCATCAGCTTGTGACCCGATATTCGCCGTGGTCTCTGTCGCAATGAGATGCCTGTACCCGAGTCAGAAGAGCTGAGAATATATTCGTTTGGACGTACCTGCAGACGACGAATGCATGCCCCTCATTATTGTACCTTCTGTACCTGTGCAGGGATCGCACGCATCATCCTCTGGGCGTGCCCTCTCCTTTCCCTTCACGCGCCGTGGACGTGGCGTGAAGAAGTCCTGCGGAATTTTATGGCGCGAGCGCGTGACCATCCTCAGGGCAGAGCTCGAGGATGCAGACGAGTGTGCAGCAAATGGGCGACCGGAAAGGAGAGTGTTGAAGACGACCGTGGTCAAATGCTCCAGCATTAGACAACGAATTCCGACGAGGCCCTGTTCCTGCGTCACACACACGAACTTTGTGCACCGTCAGAACGGCTGAACATACCTCACAAAACTGGACCTACGACCACAAACAGAGTCAGAGGAGGCGGCGAGGACATCCAGGAAGAGGTGTGTCTTGCTCGCGCTGAGAAAGTGCTCTGGATATTCGGAATTCGGATGACGAAAAAGGCAAGTCTCCGTAACAGCCTCGGTCTGTCTCGATGACATTTTTCGGTGTGGAACCACCCATTTTGGGGGTTTGCACCCAGCGATCGGCCATTTTTGGTTGGGGAACCCAGCCATAGGGTCTTGTGAAGGCTTTATATTAGTAATGGTCTCCCCAGGCTATACAATAGATGTAATATATAACTAACGGAGCTTCAATTTGAGTGTATCTATTTTGTAACAACTGTGAAGACCACTGGTAAGTCAGGGCAGGACTTTGTTACGGCTTTTTGGTCGAAGGTGCCCGTTCCTCGGAGCTCAGAGGTTCTGACTTGAACTCTCACCACTGTCGAACTGTCAAGCATGTGCTCGTTGTCGTCGACGTCGTCCAGCGCAGCACCAGGGCACGAGATCATAATCGTACCCGACGTCGGCGAACCCGGACGGCAGGAGCTGCGGCAGCAATGTTACGACGTCCGCATCGACGTGTTCCACCACGAGCAAAAATTTCCGCTCGACACTGAAATCGATGAGTTCGTCTAGTCCTGTCGCCCACCGCTGACTTCTCCCGCGAGCCTTTCCCTATTTCCCACCCGCCGTTGAAATGTAGCTTGGACGAAACGGCGACACACATCCTGCTCCGGCTGGTACCCAGTCTCACGCCCATTGGCACGATCCGCTGCTCTCGCAATGACACGCAGGGCTACTATAAGCTGAGTCGCTTGGCCGTACTGCAAGATTACCGACAGTACCGCTTCGGGCGTAAACTGGTGCTCGCGCTGCACGATTACGTGCGGCAGGACCTTGCGCAGTGCGGTCGCGCTTCCACCACGGTCAAGGCGCATTCCCAGATCCCGGTGAAAGGCTTTTATGCAAAGTGAGTTGGCTCCTCGCCTTTTGATTAACAGCGATAAGCCCTCGTGCCGAATTCAATTCACTGAGCCACTCTGCGCCGCAGATTTGGATATTCGCCTGAGGTACGTTCTATCTACTGGTCTATTGATACGCTCTGATTTTTCTATTCTGGTGGCCACAATGGTTGCACGGTGATTGCGATTAAAATCATCGTATCTTATCATACAGGGAGACGAATTCGATGAAGATGGTGCGCCTCATCAGCTGATGGTTGCCCGCGTGTCTCTATCAGATTGAGAGGAACGCGCTACGATGGGCAGATGTCACGAAGGATCGTAGAGCATGCAACATGGAAGCGGAGAGTGTTGAAATCGAAAGAGATACTGGCGATATATCATAGAAGATCGGAAGGAGGCGTGGTATGCAACAATACATTGTGCGGTCCTCCGTCCGAGGTCGTAAGGTATGTGGCTGCGTCAACGCACGCGTAGCCTGCACACTGGTTCATTCGCCGAGTTGTGCAAGTGCTCGAGCGATGCGGCAAGAACTAGTTCATGGAGAGCTACGGATTCAAGTTCCTCAAGTAATCGGCGCTCGTGCGACCTCAATGCGCCATCGCAGCTGTCAAATACTACAGGATATTTTTTTCGAAGGGAACATAAAGGCAGAGTGCATGAATGTTTGCGACGACGACGAGGAGTCTACACCTGCAGGTCTGTCTCTCGAGATTCAGATCTGCCCAGATGGCATCGATGAAATGTTACGATCGACGGAGAAAGCAAACCATCGAACTGCTGGATCTGCGTCCGAGTAGTTCCGGATCGAACTCAGGCTTAGCATAGCAACGAGAAGAAGCAGGTGCGCCTTGGTGGTTCAATCGGTATCTGTTCTACCCAAATCGAAGAAAATCTGCTCTTCTCTTTCCCTGGCCTAGGTGACATACCACTCGCGCAATTCCTGCAGGCTTATCCTCGCTCTTCATCACTTTCCAACCTCACGGTGTCTTCAGACTGATCTCATTGACAATAGATACTGTACAGATCGTACTTGTTCGCGAGCGAACGGTATCTACGTAATGTGTGGTACGGTTGAGAGCGGCCGTGTCCTGGAAGCGCCAGAACTGGAAGAGACCTTGCTGCCTCGAGCGGACTCGGACAACATTACTCTCGCCACCAATCATGTCGTCGTCGTCATCGTCAAATGCAGCAGCAAGCGAAATACCAGCATACGAATCACAATCGTACCCGACGTCGGGCAGCCCGGGCGGGAACAGCTGCGACAGCAACGCTACCACGTCCGCATCGCCGTCTTCCACCACGAGCAACACTTCCCGCCCGAAGCAGAAATCGAAGAGTGCGCTCCATCTTCTGAATTTCACGTCCTCTCACGCGACACCCACTTGCCGTTGAATTACAGGTTGGACGAGACGGCGACGCACATCCTGCTCCAGTCTCACGCCCGTGGGCACGATCCGCTGCTCCAGCGACGACGTGCGGGGCTATTACAAACTGGACGCCCTGGCCGTGCTGCAGGGCTACCGCCAGTTCCATTTCGGGCGCGCGCTGGTGCTCGCGCTGCATGATTGCGTACGGCGAGGCCTCGCGTCCGCCACGGTCAAGGCGCACTCCCAGATCCACGCTACGCTGACTGAGTCTCCTCCCCTCGCCGCCACGATCTCCCGCACTCAATGGGTCACTGAACCTCTCTGCGGCGCAGATTTGGGTATTCGCCCGAGGAATGTGCTGGCGACTCTCCACCGACGCGTTCTGATGGCTTCCTCATCCCCCTTGGGATACCCATGATGATCGCAATTAAGAATCGCCGTGTAAACGTATCATACAGGGAGACAAATTCGACGAGGACGGTGCGCCCCACCAGCGGATGGTCGCCCGCCTGTCCCAATCGGATTAGAAGGAACGCGCGTACACGTTAGCAAACCGTCGTGAAAGGTCGTGTAGGTATGCAACGTCGAAGCGGAGCAGTATCGGTGAGACCGAAGGAGGGAGATGCTAGCAATACATCATAAAGATGAGACGGGGGCGTGATGTTCAACGATACATTGTGTGGTCCGTTGTCGGTCAGAGGTCGTAAGGTATGGCAGGCAGAGAGGTATATACAGCCGGTGCATGCTCTAGCCGCAATAAGTGCGCAGAGGTAGGTAAGCATAAGTAGTGAGCCACAAAGCAATATAACGTTCACCAAGAAAGCAAGGAAATTACGAACGGATAAATGTCAGTAACAAGATGCGACCCGGGTATCGCGGCGTTCAACGACGGTCGCCATCGTCCGTTGCGAACTCTTCGCTATCGCTCTCGGAGCTGAGGGACTCCTGCTTGAGGGGTCGCAACGGACTGCCAGGGAATGAGATCGAATTGATAGGGCTACTGGGCAGGATGCTGAAATTTATGCTTGACGAGTAGCCCGTAGTGCCCTCCTCGTACAACTTGCGCGCCGACTCATATTCCAGTTTCTCCTGCTCGGCCTGTGCAAGGAACGGCTGCAAATCATGTGCGCGTCAGCGTCAATCCTCATAGCGTTAAACCACCACTCGATCCCGGGGCCTGGTTTTAGACAAACGCAGGCATCGGCATCGATGATGGTGTTACAGTCACAGACCTTCCGCTGCTCGTCCGTCATTGACCGCCACTTGCCGGCCGCTAAGACGCTCTGTTTCGTCGTCTCAGTTTCGTCGCCGAAGACCTCCCTAACCAAATCGGGATCCGACCGGATCCGCTGGAGAAACATGAAGTACGCGCTCAGCGGCTTCTTCGGCGCATTTGGGTCCTTGATGTTGCCCTTGCGCGACTTGCCCGCCTTGCGCTGTGCGGTCCGAAACGCGTTCTCGCGTTTGATATCGTCGGGCGTCAGTTTGCGCATGTATGCAGCTAGCTCGCGCTCCCGCGTCTCCTTTGCCGCCTGGGAGCGGCGTTTGTACGGCTGGAGGGGAAGATCAGCGTGAGGGGCGCCTCCCCGAGGCGCGAGGATCAGGTGGCGTACCTCTTTCTCCTCGGGGGTGAGCTTCGCATACTCCTGCCCAGCCTCTTTAGCAGCCTGGGCGACATTTAACTTCTTATGGCTGGACGCCTGGTGGCGCTGAATCCAATCGGTGAAATACAGCTGCCACGCAGATGGAGCAAGCTTGGGAGGGCGCAGCATTGACCTGGTCGGGGCTGGAAGGACGGCAGGGAACACGTCAAAATCAACCAGGGGCAGTGGCAGAGAAGGGAAGAGAAGACTTGAGGAATACTCACGGCTCTCCGACGTCTTTTCCACGGGTCTAACCTCGTCTTCGTCCACGGGAGTGGTGCGCTTCTTCTTTCGCACCGTCGCATCGCGATCATCGTGCTCGCTGATAGACTCGGCACGGCGGCTGTAGGCGCGCGACTGGAGCGGAGGGCGGGCATACGAGAGCGAGGGCGCGCTGGAGGACTGGAAAATCTGGGAGACAGATGTGACTGCGCTCCGTCGCGTCGGGACGCGCTGCCGCTGAGTGGCGAACGCGTCTTCTGCGGAAAGTGTGAACTCCGCAGGCGTCTGGGGCGGCGAGAGTGACGTGTCCTGCGGGCTGGGCGAGTCCCATAGCTGCGTGGCCCACGCGGGGGCGGGAGGAGCAAAGGCCTGCGACATGTCGTGCTGGAGAGCGTCTGTCATGATCGTGTCATCTTGGGGAGAAAAGGACCGGGGCAGCGGCTGGAGCGCAGCAAAGGCTGTCATAGGCGAGAACGCGGTGACATCTGGGAAGACGGAGGAGCTGTTGCTGTAAGCAATAAAAGACTCGCCGGGAGGTGACTGGGACTGGTGATTCGGGATCGGGATGGGCAGCGACGAGTGGAAGAGCGAGGGAGGGTCGGGATCTGTTATCCAGTGCGAATAAAGGCCACTGTCGTTAAAGTCGGCGAGCGGGGGCAGATCGTGGCTGGACAAGAGATCCGGAGAGAAGTGTTGGCGTGCAGGAGGGATGTAGGGAGAAGTATGGAGCTCTGGCTGGCTGGACAGCGAGTCGGGAGAGGCAGGGAAGGGATGCATGGTGTAGTCGTTGACATGGTCCCAGTTGAACGGCGACTTGCGGTCGTAGTAGTCGTCAAAGTCGAAGATCATGTGATCCGCGTCTGGGACGACGGGATCGAACTGGGCCGGGTCGTCGAACGCGTAGAGATCGGTGAGCGACATGTGTTCGTGGGCGATGGCGGGGGCGTCGTGGTGGAAGCTCGGGGGCATGCAGAACGGCGGCGGCGGGGGACTGGGAGCGGGCTGGGAGGAGAATAGACGCGACCTTTTAAAGGACGGTGGGAGGGGCAGGAGGCAGTAGGGACGGAGGAGGGACGGAGGGGGAGATTTAAAAGGGCGGCGGAGGGAAGAGGGAAGCGCCAGCGGCGTTCGAAAGGGAGCCATTTGGGAAGGACGTGCGACAGTGACTCAGAGGAAAGAGAGTTGAAACTGTCGGAGAGTTTCGCCTCGCCAGCTGCCTTTCTGGGCGAGATGTCCGTCCAAAATTAGTCTCCGAAGAAGTGCGCGATAGAGAAAGAAGATCGCGCGCTGCGGGCTAGTCCCGATGCCCACGCCCTCCGACACCTCGATGCTACCAGACTGCGCACCGCCGATCCCATCTGTCCAACCGCCCCGCCACCCGACTTCCCGTGCGAACCCTCCATATGGCATCTCCCGCCCGATCCCCCGTCCACCCTGCGCCAATCTCCCATTGTCCCAGTCCCCCGTCTGTCGCTTTCTCGCACTCACTCAACTCTTGCATCCTCACGCTCACGCATAACATATCGCCAAGCTTAGCGTATTTCCATTTATCCTCTTCGAACTGCGAGGTACTGAGCACCTCCCGCCAGCTACACTCACAGAACCACAATCGACTCCAGCGGCCGGTATCGTGGGTTGTTGTACACACTTTTCCCCGCCTATCCATACCACCAGACCAACCCCCGGCAACGACCGACCACAGATAACCATCAGCATTCCACTGCGTCATCCACCCATCATCCAGGTCACTCACCTCCCATCCTTTCACGTCCTTCATGATCTCTTTCTCCCGCGCCAGCGCCGCCTGCTGCCGTCGGTACGCGTCCCGGTCCCCCTCTGCCAGCAGCAGCGGCACAAGGTAAATTCTAGACCATACTTTCTCTCGCTGCAGCTCCCTGCGCAAAGAATACACATATGTCAGCAAATCTTGCTCATGTAGCCATATTCGGCGCGTCAATGAATGAACGATAAGCCCTTCTTCGCGTGCTTCGGCCCAAACCGAGCCACGTTCCGTGGCGAGCGGGCCTCCCGAGCACACGTTTTCCGTCCGCCTGACCAGGGCGTTCCAGAATCGACAGTCACTGCTTTCCACGCACCTCTTCTCTGTGTTGCCCAATCCGACGCGGTAGAACCCGTAAGCGCACACCGCCGTCACACCGCCGAGGATGACGAGCCCACTCGGTCCCCGGAACGGCAGATTGCGCTTGTACTTGATTGCATCAAACCCGCCCGCCGGGGGCATGTCCCTGCATACGAGAACCACAGCCGTCTAGGTCAATAGAGAGACCAAGAAGGGAGACAATTGCACCCACTGTCGATAGGGAATCGACACTGCGACACACAGCCCGTGTCAGACTCTGCCTTCTGTTTGCAATATGCGCGACCATAACTCACTGGCTGGGGTCTTCTATGTGGAGCGTTATGTGAGCGAGTCAGTAGCTGCCGACGTTACGGCGGACGTAGCAAGACGATGGCAGCAGACTTGACAAGTTTGTGGGCGCGCTTGCCCCGAACCCTGCCCTGATGTCATCACGTGGCAGTGTTCTCTGAGCTTCGCGGATCGCAGTTGGCTTGCATCTGCTTCGTCCAGCGCAGTAAATAATCTATCTTGTCGTTTAGGTCACAGAATGGCGAACTTCGTGTGCAAATTTGTACGTATACAGATGTTACAAACATAGAGTAGTGACACAGCATGGTGTTCGCGCATTCGACGCGACTCAGGCGAACTGCCTTTTCAGGAACGCGATCACTAAAACGACCTCCATTCCGTCGCACTCGAGGCCGCGCCCAGAAGACAAGTGCGCGTAGAGAATGGAGGCTTGCATAGCTTCATACAAAAGACAGTGAGAATTTTTCCCGACATAAGGGAGTGAGGCCTTGCGATGCGATGAGTGAAGCACTGTCAACGCCGCAAATAGCCGAAGGTCTCGGGCGTCTGTATGGGAAGTCGCAAACGACTCAACGCCGGCCAAACATGACAGCTCAGTGCGCCTCCGCGGGCTCGCGCTCGCACTGCCTCTTCCCTCCCGACCACCATGTCCCGCCAGCCGTCCCCTGGGCCCTCACACCTGTCCTTGCAACCTACCTACCACTCACCGGTGGTGCTGGCAAATCCTGCTTTCCAGCAACCGAAGCCACAAAGACAGAAGGCTTACGTATCAGGTATCACTGCGGGCGTTGAGGACGTCAAATACCAGGCCAAGTACAAGGATCTGAAAAAGAAAGTAAAGGAAATAGAAACCGTGAGTCAATACCTGGCACTGCGGTCTGTCTGACGTATTCGTGACCTTGATCGTCCTCCAGGATAATGACAGGCTGTACTTCAAGCTGCTTTTGGCCAAGAAAAATATCCGCCGAATGAACCTTGAGCGAGCGTGAGTCTGTGTGTCGTGTGCGTATGTGCAATTTCAATATTGAACCCGCGATAGTATTCTGTACGAGCGCCTCGCTGCTGTTCCGCCTACTCCGGGCAGGCATCCTCAGGAGCTGCCACTGGTGGAGGATCCTCTGTTCCACCCACAGGCCCCTCTCCCGCCGGAATCCATGATAGATCCCAGCGACCACGCCCTCGTTGAATACATGCGTACCCATCCAAATGCGCGCCTCATTCAGGCTCCCGATGGGAGAGTCATCGCCGTCGAAGACACGCCTGCCCCAATTGTCCACGGCGAAGTAAACACAATGATACCGCAGCCGCCCCCGCACGAGCTGCCCCTCGTGCACAGCTTCCACCATGATTCGGGGCCCGGGTACGACCCCAATAGACAATTGCCCCCGCTGCCTCCAATGATTTCTCCCCTACGCGCGCCCGAGTCTCCGTCACAGGGCCTTCCGCCCATGGGCGAGCACCATCACCACCATTATCCCCCGGGACACCCGCACGCCCACGCCCACACGTCGTCGCACAGCAGCAGTTCTAGTCACCACGCGTCCTCGGCTCGCCCGGACCTCGATGCACTCGCAGGCGGTTCCCGCATGGAGCCTCTTCCCATGCACAGCCGCAGCCCGAGCACGGGAGACGACAGACGGCGGCCGGCACCGCTCCCCGTCCCGACGCACCCACAGATGCCCGCGTCGCCGCCGCCCTCTGCGCCGTCGCCGACGAGCACGCGCAGCACCGGCGGGAGCATCGGCGGGAACTCGCGCATCCATAACCACCAACGCATTGGCCCCGGCGCGAATATCCACCGCGAGATGGCGCAGCGAGAAGCGCGGGAGCTCGAGGCGCTCCGCCAGCGCGAGATGGAGGCGGAGCTGTACGAGCGCGACGTGGCGTACCAGTCGCGCATGGATGTTGAGGAGCAGGACGAGGCTGCCGCTACCGGCGCAGCGCAGTGGCGCAACGACGCGCCGCTGGTCGGCCCGGGAGTGTCGCATGGCACGTCGCGCGCGGACACGCCGAATGGAAATAGCGCGAACAGGACCCCGACGCGTCCTGCGTCCGGCGAGGCGTATGAGTATGACCGCGAACACGAGCGCTCGCGGTCGTACGGCTCGCGCGTGTATGAGGAACACGAAGACCGCGCTGCGCACATGCCTCCGGTGGACGTGGGCGCGGTGGCTATGGAGTCACGGAAGAGATCGCGGAGTGATATCGAAGCGGGTGATGATTACGACGGTGAGATCCGTTCTCCAATTGAAGGTGGGGCTGCGGGGAGGCCTTCTCCTCTGTCGGGAAGCTCGGCGTCTGACGGCAGGGCAGCCAAGAGGATGCACCCGGGTGATGATGAGGGAGGTTCCGGTGAAAGGAGAGACGAGCCGATGGATGAGGACGCGTAGGTGTGTGCTCGGTGTTCCCAATCCTGGTCTCGCAGCTGTGTTCTTTGGACGATCATGGATAAAACACATATGGCTGTCATGCCTTATCCTTGTTTGCTGGTCTATCTATCTGTCTGTCTGTTGTTTTTCACATGTCACATTATGAGATTATCTAGGTCTTGCAGAACTCTACTTAGGCTCCGTGTATCGCGCCTCTCAAGCAATTTATCTGCCGTAAATATGGCTGTGTGATTGACCGCGTCTTCTCCTCGCATCTTGTCCACCACAAGGCTGGCATGAGGGTACCGTGTGCTTACCGAGTAAGACAAATGTCTCTCCGTTCTGATACTCCATGTAAGACAAATGTCTCCGTTCTGGTACTCCATGTAAGACAAATGTCTCCGTTCTGGTACTCCATGTAAGACAAATGTCTCCGTTCTGATACTCCATGTAAGACAAATGTTTCTCCGTTCTCATATTCGAAAATCTCTCAGCAGTGAACGCTGGCATACGGTCTACAAGAAGCATATATATTCTGGCATGCACTTGCCAAGCAAGCCAAATATCGCTCCACTGCGGATATTCGGAAATTTCATAGCAGTGAAAATTGACATACGGACCGCAGGAAGCGTATACATATATATATTCTTGGATACATGGTGATATGTCGGATATGCTCAAATCAAATAGATAGGGTACGCACGCCACTATGGGACTGTCCGCAGCGAGAAGAGATGTCATGAATGCAGGCGAGGAGACTGGCTGGACCCATATCCATTATCGCCACAGTGCGCGAGCTGCTGGCCGTCAAGAAGTGTGCTATGCCCCCATGCAGACTGCGGCCCAGTCCTGCTGACCGATGTGCTGCTCCGCACGTCAGATTCGGCTTCAGTGTGCGGATCTTCATTCCCGTCTTCGTCCCAGGAAGCTGTCGAGCGTTCTGCAGATAGCTGGAACTTGTTCTCAGGAGGATAGTGTGGCGGCTGAGCCGCTATTGAACGGCACAGGAGCGCCTGGTCGGCCCAGTATCGTTCCAAGCTATCCTTGTCCCGAAACACGTAGTGGTGCTGCGAAACTCGTGTCTGCACCTCTTTCCGGTGGCGCGCCTCGAGTGAGGCGTCCTCGGTGTACTCTGAAACGGGAGGCCTGGCGTTGAGGATGACGTCCATGATGAAGGGCCGTTGCCCGGACCCTGTGTCGCCTGCGACAACTTGACCGCCCCTCCTTATCAGCTCCCTCATCGGTGAAGGCGGTGGCATCGACAGTGAGAGCGGCGGTGCAGACCCTGGGGCGGGCAGGTGATTCCGAGTCTCTGGGTGCGGTGGCGCATGAAGACCGTCATAGCGTCGGCGGCTGCGGGGAACACGACCACCACTAGGAGCGGCTACTTCCAGGGAGCGCGTCGGAGCAGGTGATCCGCCATGGGCACGATGACGCAGTCCAGTATGTGCTTGTCTGGCAGATCCTGCCGCCTGCTTGGCCGAAGCGCGTTTCTGCGAAGGGCGTCCTCGGGCGTTCCGCCGCGAACCGGGAGGGGGAGCGTTCGTTATCCTTGCAGCGGTCACGAGGGAAGTTATTCAGTCCACTGAAGACAGAGAATCATAAGGATAGATCGAAGCTTACCGTTCGTGCGCGCCTGAGGTGGTGTGAAATCCACCAGCGTCCTCGGGGTTAACGATGTCACGCAGGTCCATTAGTAGCGCAGCTGCCGCGTCCAGCCGCCGTGAACGCCTTGGCCATTGGGCGATTGAGATCCTGACTGGGCCTACATGATCCGCTTCCGCACCCACGGATCAGCGTGTGCCAGATCGAACTGATCGAAGAAAGCGCTGTGCTCTCGGAATCAAAATGCCCCAGCTTCCGCGCTCAGCATTTCTATTGACTGTGGGACTGAGCAGGGTTCGCCATTCAGTGTCCCTCGCCTGCCAGTGGAGTGAATTCGCAGCTGGATAGGCATGGAATAGGGGTCGGACCAGAGTGGAAAGTCGCAGCCCGTAATGTCAAAGAGCTGCGGTCCGAGTTGCCTGACTGGTCTCTGTGGGGAAGAGATAAGGGAGAGATGTTCGGATGAGGCAAGGAACGCCCCGCGAGCGAATGCGAATCTGTTTCATGAAAGCATCTCAGCAAGTCAGCTGCGGAGGGGAGAGTTCGACGACTCACAGCCCTGTCTGCCCGTGTAATCAAAACATACCTCCGTCAGCAAATCCACATAACAAGCAAGAGGACTCGGGCTCACCAATACCCGGCATAGACAGCTAGCGCACAAGATGGTTGGTAGCACGCGTTAGAGCGGCGCGCGGAACAGTCGTCGATCCAGAACGTCTCAAGAGCCGCGGAGCAATCGGCAGATGAGTTCGCTGTCTTATTAGACTCAAGGTTCATGTAAGTCCGTGTCTTGCCGGTCATCAATCTCTGCCAGAATCGCAGCCACAGAAGAATTCGTTCGCACCTGCAGCACTTCACCAGAGGCTCCTCGAAAAGGTCATCCCACGCGGCACTTTTCACTCAACGCGAAAGCCGCAAATCTGCAGCCGGACCACACATGCTTTCCTGGGTAATATCCAGCGTTGAGCCGGAACCTTGCACCACATCCTGAGGCATGATAGAACGAGCGACATAATCATGACGAACGACAAACCTCTCCACAACGAACATAAGAGTCGCATTAGTCATGCAAACACCGTATTATATTCGACCGTGTGAGAAGCGACGCGGGACTTTCCTCGACGAAGTATGTACACCAGTTGAGATTAAGCCTTCGTCTTCGTGGCGGCCCGCATCCCTTTCATCCCGTGCTCCGATTCTCATCCGCATTGTCACCGGTATACGTGGTCCGCTGGGAATGAAGCACTTGAGTGCCTGTACCTGCACATGATAATTGCGATGGGGAAGAACGCACCGTGCAAGTTCGCAGCAATCTCGGCTTCGGCCCTGTCACCGTTCGCCAGCAGCTTCTCTTTGTTATACAGGAGTTCTTCGCGTGTTTCCGTGGAGAACTCCTGGTTTTGGGCTAAACAATGCGAAGCAAGATTCAGTCAATACACGTTCCCACAGGCGGGATACGCTGTAGAGAAGTTATTGGAGAGGAGACCACATACTCTCTACGATGGCGTCCACCGGACAGGCCTCCTGACAGAAACCGCAGTAGATGCATTTGGTCATATCGATATCTAGTAACCGGATGCATTTCAGTTTAGAGCGGGCTACTCGGCAAGATTTGACGGACCATATCGCGTGGTCCTTCGCGAGCCATCTAGGCGGGCCTCACTTTCGATAGTTATAGCCTGAGCTGGACAGATAGCTTCGCAGAGTTTACACGCTGCGGAGAACGGACGACGTCTTATCAGCATTCGCCAACGGCATACGTCACGAAATCATACCAATGCATCGTTCTTCCCCGCTCGGATATCTTCGGAGGGCATGCTCTCCACGGAAACGGGGAGACAGAGGGCCTTTCTCAAAAGGGTACATAATGGTGTATGGCGGCCTGAAGAACTGTTCCAACACAATCCACATTCCTGGAGAATGGTCAACCGTGAAGATGAATTGACGGACAGCCATGACGCACCTCTTAGAATTTCAGTGAAGAAGAACAGATGGACAGCCTTGTCGATAGCACTAGGACCATCCTCGTAACGCATACCCTCCTTGCCCGGTTCATCTCTAACGGAGAACATGGCAGTGCCAGAGGGGGAACGAGGAGCAGAGGGACCAGGAGAAACGACATGAGGAGCCTGGTCCCGCAGAGCTTCCTTTAGCAAAGGATCGCGTTCGTGCACATTATGCTTGTGAGGAGCGGTAGAGAGCGAGCGGTAGAACGAAAGAGTAGAAGCCCGCAAGGGCGTACTGGATGCTGCCAAGCGGGTCGACAGTCCAGCAGTCGCAAGTGCGCGAACAAATGCCATGGTTGCAGTCGATGCGCTCGACACTGGAGAACGCTTCGTCGATGTTGCCAGCGACGGCGACGGGACGCCCCTACCCGGGGACTGCCGGAGATGCACGTGATGCTCCAGCCAATCCGGCTGCAAGGATCTAACATTTGGCGCAAGCCCTCAGTGCCGAGCTACCGTATCGACGCGATGTCCTCAAAAGCAAAGGCCAAGCAGGTACAGCCGACGGTTACTCCCCTCTCAACGCAAGGTACGTCGCTGGTGTATTACTTAAAGGCATAGTTGACGACCGCAACGGCTAGCCAGAGATTCAACAGAACTATAATCGCTTGCAGAATGAACTTCAGACTTTGGCCGGCAAGATTGGTGAGCTGGAGCAGGAAGCGGAAGAGCACAGGTTTGTGCAGCACGTTCATATTATATTTTGGATCTCATCGGACTTCAACAGCCTGGTCCTGACCACATTGGACGAGGCATTGGCGGAAGAGCCGGATCGCAAGTGTTTTCGACTAGTTGGCGGTGTTTTGGTCGAGAGAACTGTGAAGGATGTTGTTCCTGCGCTGCAAACAAACCGTGGTGGGGTGAGTGCAAGTTCTGATCAGATGCAGGGCCAAGCGTTGACCACTTTATTTCCGGACAGATCTTGAAAGTAATATCCACTCTCGCAGAACAATACAAGACCAGGGACGAAGAATTTGAGACGTTCAAGCGGGACTACAACATCCGACCAGCAGCAGCAGGGTAGATGGTTCCAAGCGATGCGGTTCGATTCTTCGTATCTCGCACGGCAATTAAATAAGGCGCGTGCAGGCCGAACTTTGTGTTCCTGCGTGAATCTAACTTCGGGATCATCTCATCATGATGCAGAGAAGTTCGTGGTTCGAAGACATTTTTCTTCATTCCTACGCGTGCATCAGCATCCCCTCTGGATCAATCGCGTCGCGGTCCCTACGCTCCTCGTCCCACCTCCAATCTGCCACAAACTTCCTTCTCCTTCGAGTGTATGAACAGTACGAATCGCTATATATACTATCTCTGTACTTGAATGCAGTGTCACTATGTACTACATGATCCTTGTCCTCGAATTTGATCGTCACCACGGTAGAGGTCACGTGCACCGTGCAACAGGTTTTGTCGGGATAGTGGATGCCTTCCCGTAGGATTTAGAGCACTTCTAAATCACAAAGCGGACTGCGAAACACCCCACTGTGTCGGAACAGCAGGATTTGTGAAACCGTAGCGTCGCAACATGATGATGATCAAACCAAGTTCTAGAGGGTCGGAGGACGAGCGGCAGCATGATGTAAGCAATATGCAGCACCAAATATAGGCAAAGATGGGCATTGCGAGTGGGCGGAGACCGAAATCATCGTTTAGAGAGACGTTTAGAATCTGGAAGGGGGGGTCGACCCTGTCGACCCCCCCTTCCAGATATAAGGTTTAGAGCTCACTCTGCTCTCACGGTATGCGGAGATCAATTTGCCGACGTGCCGGCCTGATTTAGAGACGAAATTTAGTTTAGAACGTTTCTAAACGGCTACGGGAAGGCATCCACTGTGACATGGTCTGATGTTCCTCAAATTTATAGAGCTGGATTATATGTGGAGCCGGAAAGTGCCTCTGAGCGAGGACCAGGAGGCTTCCATATACACAACTGAGGCAGGGACTGCAAACATCAGTTTCTTATGTTGTCTCTAGGCCTGTAGATACCCCAGACATAGGTATAGTGAAAATTTCGATGTTGCTGCAGTTTTGCCACTCTCGCCAGCGTCGCCGGCCCTCGCCATGGTTGGCGGCTTGAGTTTCGCCTCGCCGGCGCTTGGCGAGGCCTTCCGGGAGTTTTGCCCACGACACTACGGGAGGTTTAAACTCTGCTTCTCCTTCATCTTGTTCCCTTTCGAGGCCTGGATAGCCTACGGGCTAACATCCCGTTATAATATTGTCGCCTGCAAGCTTCCTGGCCTACAGTCATTCTCTTAAGTTATCACCTTCGGTTTCGCAATGTTCAGGACCGGCGTCTGGGTGGTGATTCTCCTCGCCATATTTTCAGCAGCTGCTCCGACCCCGCGTAGGTGCCCATTCGTGTTTATGCACTGAGCTCTAACTGTTTGATAGACTTCAATAGCTTTGCGTTGGATGTCTTGTCTAGTCCAGATAGTGCGGCTGCAGACACTCTTTCCGTGGCGCCTTCCCCTGCGATCGCGACGGATGCTCCAAACCCTGCAGCAAATTCCACTTTTTCATCTAGGCCTGACTCACACTCTTCGGTCGCTTTTGTGACAACTCCGTCCGGAAATTCCGGTCCGGGCGAGTCGCTGTTCCCGTCTAGCAACTTCAATGGAGAGTCGACATCAGCATCTCCTCCCGAGACACCTTCGTCGGTTCAGCCATCTGACAGCTCAAGTTATTCGTCCCAAATTGAGGCGTCGAGTGCTAGTCCTTCCGCAAACCCAGGCGCGTTCTCAGCGGCGTTTTCGCCCAGCATTCTTCCAGTCAGCTCCACAGCGGTAGTTTCGACACCAAGTTTGGCAGCGTCTTCAGTTCTCTCTTCATCCGCAACGCCGTTTTCGTCCGCTGTTCCCACTGATTCATCAGTTGGTCCCAGCTCGGCGCCGTCAGACCCTTCATCTGCTGCTTCTAGCTCGGTGGCGTCCTCCTTCTCAGCTCCGACGAGTTCACTTCCAGCATCTCCTGTTGCATCGTCAACTCCTGCACCGTCGAGCTCTGTCTCTGCGATTTCCTCGTCGTCAGCTGTATCTTCGTTTTCCTCACCCTCAGCGTCAAGCTCAGTGACATCATCTCCCATTGCTTCTGTTTCAGTTTCGTCATCGTTGCGGTCGTCATCGGCTGGTCCTACTCCAGTTTCTCCTTTCTCTTCGAACCTGCCGTCCAGTACGCAGCCTATTGTTTCCTCACAGTCTACCGTGTCGTCCGTCGGCTCGCTCTCACAAAGCACTTCACTTCCTCCATCGTCCGTAGTCCCTTCTTCTACTCCTTCTGGCTCGTCCTCTGGGGCATCCAGCTCCACTCCCAGTGTCAGTTCATCTAGCGGCTCATCCGCACCCGTATCTTCTCCTACGTCATCACCCTCCTTGTCCGGTCCGACATCCGTTTCGGTATCGTCCTCTCCACCTTCATCTCCTTCCCCCTCGACGACGGCGAGTCCGTCGCTACCTGTCTCTAGTGCCTCAGCTAGCTCCTCAGTGACTACTACTCCTGGATCTTCCGTGCCCAGCTCTTCCACTCCTGCGTCATCGGAACCTGCCTCTTCCTCTCCTGCATCGTCCGCACCGGTCTCTTCCACTCCTGCCTCGTCGGCGCCTATCTCTTCTAGTCCTGTGTCATCTGTGTCGGCACCATCTTCATCGTCTGCATCCTCCTCATCTGTTCCCTCGCCTTCACCGACAACTGGACCTGCTGAGATTTCAGCATATCTAAGTCTTCACAATTCATACCGTGCAGAATATGGCGCCGCGCCATTGACATGGTCCACTGATCTCCAAGCTTCTGCGGAGAGCTGGGCGCAGGGCTGCCAGTTCAGGCATTCGGACGGTGCGTTAGGTCCCGTGGGCGAGAACTTGGCCGCTGGCACTGGATCATTCAGCCCTTTGGCCGCGGTCAATTTGTTCATAAGCGATGCTTGTAAGTCCGACTACTGACGAGCGAGCTGCAATATCGGACTGATAACATGTTCTCGACAGCGCAATATGACCCGCTTAATCCTACTTTCTCACACTTCACCCAGGTGGTGTGGAAGTCGACGACACAATTAGGATGCGCTGTTGCATCGTGCGACAGCATTTTCGATCCGAGCTTCGGCCAGGCGACATACCATGTTTGCTTGTACAATCCTGTCGGGAATGTTGTCGGAGAGGAACTGTGAGTGTAATCTTGCTAATAGCATAGCCTATCTAACCATGTTGTGCCCACAGTCTCAACGTCCAAGCTTGAGTGGATCTTGTTATATCATACATTGTTTCGATCTCAGGGTGTGGGCTTGCCCACTGCGTTTACGGTCACGTGTCTCTGCTTGCAAGCTTGCGTACCTCTTCTTTTTTATGGTTCATTCAAGCGACTGCCCAGATGGAGGCAGAGGTTGCATCAACCCCCCCCGGAGGCTGGTAAATGTTATAATATCGGAATCGTTTCTTTTCGCCTTTTCGTGCAATATCATTGCGATCTCATGACGTCCGTTGCCGCTATCAGAATAACCAGGAATCAAAATATCCAACTGAATGTCGTAAAACGGTAGACGGTCTGACACCACTTCAGCATCCACCGCTTAGCCTTTCAAGACCCTCTTCGAGCTCTTCCGATTTTGTCAAAGAGCCTTACGTTGTCTCAGAACAATGAGAATCCATGTGATTGACCTCTGGCCGTGGCTAAACCATTCCTTGCGAGGACTTCTTTATCGTTGTGCCGCTGGAATTATTTTGCCTTCTAGGAGCCTATGGAAATTCTACCGCCGCTCCCTTAGGACTTCTTTCATTAATCATCGTGCTGTTGTTTGGAGCAGACACAGTCACTTGGGTGTGGAACAAAGGAGCAACCGGCAATTCCCTGCATTCTTCAACACATCCTTTGTTCGCTCTATGCACAATGATCTTTCCGACAGAAGTTCTCACCACCGCGCGGCTCTACCGCCTCGACGACTGTGCACATAAATACAACGCTTTTGACCAAGTACAACCGCTATTTCTCCCTCTCTGCTTTGCATGCATGCCGTCATCAATTGACACTTTGATAGACGTCCAATCCCAACTGAGATACAGCCGTGCCGTCTACGTCGGAGAGTATGCATCATCTTCCGCTCCCATCAGGCCCCTCGAGGTACAAGGGAACACATTTTCGGAGTCAAGCCGTTGGTACGAGTCATGTCAATCCACAGTTTGCGTTGACCTGATATGGACCACCAGTGCTGTTACTTCCGAGAATGGCAGCTCGCACCTCTTCAGACCGGTCGACATTCTGCTGCGATGGTGGTGTGCTATCCAGATCTGCGCTCCATCGTATCTCCGTGGCCTTTGTCATACAAGTTGGCAAGGGACTCTTATTTCTGCCTTCTTCCCGGCTTTCTAACTGCCTCATCTTTCGGGACATCCTATTCAGAAGTCAGTTCTGTTGTCACACCATGCCCCAAATTCAGGTGTCGCATCGTAAGGTGAGTGGCTTGTAGCATGGGATTGCCAGGTACTCATTGTTCATACAGGCTACAGAGGGAGTGTACAAATGTGACAATTGTCACAAAACCTTTGGCCACCGTGATGACATTCGGCGGCACAAACTGGCAGTACACGACAAAATAAAGTGAGGGTGTTGGTGGTCGCGACATCGAACATCTGCCTGACATTGCTTTAGGAATTTCTTCTGTGAGGCTGAGGGCTGCCAGAAGGGCTTCTTGCTACCTGATGCATTAAAGATGCACGGGAAGACCCAGTGAGCATCAATCTCCTAAAGGCCTTTGTACTTCATTCTGCCCATCAACAATGTCTGACTTCTGCTCCCTCAGTTCCAATGAAAGACCACATTACTGCCCTTTGTATGGCAAGGATTACAAGAGCGAGCAGACGTGGAAGCGGCACATAAGAGAAGTTCACCAACATGATGGGAGCCAATTCATGTGCACTCTTTGCTCAACCAGGTCATCCTCTCTACTAAACTGCAAGTCTTGCATTCACTGACATTTACATTGTAGATATCAATGCCAAAGGCAATTTGTTGAGCACCTTAAGAAGCATGACATGATGCTGGAGAAGAGCATATTGAACCAAACTGTGTCCCACCATCATCGAAGTGGTAGTGCTGGGGGTCAAACCTAATTGTTCTTCCAGTGGAGGTGAAGAATCAACTGCAATGGCCTTCACCAGCAGCTTGGCCAATGTACCAGCCAACCCCCTGTCCAGAAGTGCCATACTTTGTTATTATCGTGGCACATCATCGGGGCTCACCGATTGTTCTGCACTTCCACCAGGATAACCAGCATCTACAGAAACTGGTACAAGCTCAAACGAGATGAACAAATTGTAGGGATGCACATCAGGAATCCCATATTCTAATGAGCTCAGATGATGGCGGACTCACTGGAAAGAGTCAAATCAGGTGACATGTCTGCAACGAGAAATCCGAGTCACTTTGCGGATAAAGCATTGGCTCGCCAATACTGGACCCCGAAGCGTATTGGCAACCAGGAGATGTTGATGCAGGATAATAGAATTCCTCATTCTTATCCTCGGTATGGGGAAAACTAAAGCAGGAGCTGGATGGGGCAGGCTGAAGAGTGTACTGCTCCTCCAGTGCAGTTTGTTGAGCCTCAGCCTCAGCAGTGAGTTCTGGACCTGCCCCTCGACGTCTTGCCCGACTGTCTGCGGCATCTTACACAGCGTCTGCACTGTGTGCCTGAGAAGTGGTGAACTGTCTGAACTTATTCGGTGAAAACCGCCTTTCACCAATAAACTTCGGCATTAATTAGTGGATAGTGATTTGGATGTGATTTCCCCTGATTTCTGATCCACCGAGAATGGTAGTGAAATTCACCAACGACGATCCGCGTCGAAACGGTTCGGGAATTCACCACCTACTTGTTGGTGATTTTCTGTTGCGTTAAACTACCAAGTCCAATCAACCCTGCCCTAAATGTTCAAGTTTCAACATGGCGTCGTCGAGCTTCGTCGTGCGCTGGCATCGCTCAACACTGTCTCTAGCTTTGCACTTCATCTGGAAAAATCACTTTGGCTACATCGCCAACCCCCAAATATGTATGCTACATGGTGCTACAGAGTGCTACAAATCGGGCACTTGTTAATGTAGCTTACATATCTGAGGGGATTTTTCCAGATGTTTCCAGCGCTCTGCTCGGGCCAGCTAATCTGGACTGGCTTAGTCAAATTGATCTCTGGTGTTGTCTCGTCTGCTGGGCTCCATGGCTTGCTCTCTGGGGAAGGTTCAATCCTTACCATGGCAAACAACAGACAGGTATGTGCAAATTTTGACGCAACGAGTGACCTCCCGGCCTTGCTACGGTATTCTGATGTCATCCTATGCCAGTCCCAGCAGACGGCTCTGTTGTGCAGCGCAGAGCGCGGTTTTAGGCGGACATGGTTTTAGGCAGACATGGTTTTAGGCGGACGTGGTTTTAGGCAGACGTTGTTTCACAAATTACGAGGGAGCGTAGGATGTATGTGTTCATTGCTATATATTACCGGAACTCTAGATCTGTATATATGTACTGGAATTGAATCTATATTCAATGTTTCTGGTAGTGAATTCAGTGATTGAGCGGAACCTAGTAGAAATCAACAATAAACAACCGGGTTCTCACGACTCGCCTTTCGACGCAAGGTAGTGAAATCGGACATTTTCTGGGTGATTTTTACCGCTTTCGCTCACCGAGAAAATTGGTGAAACAAGATAGTAGACCCTCGAAAACCTAGTGACATTCCATATGTAAAGTAGTAATACCTCCGAAGATATCTAGTGAACGAAGTTCGGGCTTTTCACCAACTTCCGGGCACACAGTGCTGTAGTGTATATATAGAACGCTATAGACTATTTTTTTTTGGATTTTTCTTGGCTGTATCAAATACTGTTGGAGACATTGAGGTGTTGCACTAGCCAAATACACTCTTGCAGTCCCGATTTTCCTGGGGCGCACTACAGGAATTGCTATTCCTTCCGCTACCATTGATTCAAGAGGCTACAGTACTTTTACAATCTTAGTCACTAGGCGACTCAGCGGAGTGATGATTCTGAAGCATGTAGGTCAGGTGATCTCAGCGCTCCGTGTCCGCCATTATTCCCGAGGCTGTCCTCAGCCTCACCACTGAAAGCTGTTCAAGAAGACAGTCCCTGAGCGCCGCCCTATATACTGTGGAGGGCGTGGTCTTTGTCTTACATATCTCCCTCCACCATATCCTTCTGTACGACGACGTCCCAGTCGATATGCCAAGCGTTTTCGAGTCTCTCCCTGTTGAACTCATCGCTGACATTCTAACTGAACTCGATCTCACTTCGCTCGTGATAGCCGCGTACCTATCGCGCCGTCTACATGCCGTCTCCTCGGACACGTCCCTCAATCCGTGGCGAGGGCCTATCTTGCGTACACTTCGCAATCCGGATGGCTCCTATGAGCCCTGTCTCAAACACTTGAGTGTACGCTCGGTGGTTCCGCGCCTGAATTTCGTAGAAATCCTGAGTATCGCCAGGGCGCCTTTCCTTCTCTTTGACGCCACACTCCCTAATCTGAGAGAAAGTGAGTGGGAGCTGTGTTTCCGAAGGCGATTTCTGCCTGGTTGGGCGAAGGTGAAGAAGGACTGCACGTGGAGGGAGGCATTCGTGAAGTCCGTCTTACGCTGTGTCCTCATATTATCGTGTCACTCATGTCCTCTTTGGTAGGATGTTGCACCGTGTATGGCACCGCAGTCATTCTTCGTGTACCACGGACGAAGCTTGGACAAAGTACGGTTGTGATTTTCGTACGTCAACTTGTGCTGAGTCCTTCTCAGTTATATTGTCCTCAATCGGAATGGAACGGCCAACCAGCTAGCAGGCTCGTCCCGCAATTTTAACGTGCTGACCATCTCCGACCAACTGAAGTGAGTTTAGCTTTGCTCTTGGGCGGATGGAGGCCTCATTTTGGCGCAGAGTGCAGAGTAACTTGATGCATCTGGACACAAGAGTCAGGGTCGGTCGTTTCTTCCCTTTATTTGCGAAATACGTCTTATCTAACCACAACTATTGACAGGTCCTGGTAGAATTTGCAGACGTACGAATCCTTGCGATTGGAGTCCTGAACCATACTACGACGTCACTCTTCGTTAATCCAAATGCGCGGGAACTCCTGCACCCTCCAGGCATAGAGAAGGAGGAAGAGGTGGACGGTGCTTCTGTCTCACCGTCGAGCTCCCAGTCTTCTGGTATGTGCTGGTGGTTGGAATGCACCAGCGGCAGCTGACGCAATGACTCTGTCAGGTACATTAAATCAGACATATAGGCGACTGGCCTATCCTCACCCATCTCCGTCTCACGAGAATTATCCGTTCCACACCCCTGGAGGTGAAGATGTGCGATGGGTTGACACGGAAGAGCTGGAAGAGAAGTGTTTGCAGTGGGTGGGGAGCATGATGTTCGACTCATATTGACCGAGAGGAATGCACTGCTGACGACGATTCTTGTAGGCTCACCGCCCAACTCCTCGGCCCTCACACGAAAGAAACTCAATTTGGTGCATCTCCTGTGGACTTCGACCTCGTAGTCGGTTCGGGACGGAGTCAGTACGCGTCTTTGACGTTTGATGACCTTATGGCCGTTGCCCCGTGGTTAAATGTGACTAAATGGATTGAGGGGCCTGGGTTGGGCCATTAATTGGATGTGCCTGCCGTATACAACGAAGTGAGTAGGATGGGACAGTCACTCAGATACCGATGGACCATGCTAGATAGGGTAAACATATCTCAATATTTGCTGTGCAATCAATTACACTGAATACACGTTTTCGACGCAGCTGCTATGCAGTTTGTGGATACAAGTTACCACCGCATCCTGTGTCTCGGCGTTGGAATTTAGTCGGATCATTTGCGGAGCCTTGCACGGATTGTGCCAGGAGATCTACCTCCTGAGGTAAGTGTTGGAAAGTCCCTGTCACTCAACCTTCCACGTCTTCTCCATAAGTCAAGGTTATTCACGAGCCGCTGTACAACACGCTTTTTTGATCAACTGTTTGCACAACTACAGCAACGTAGCGAGCGAAGGGCCAGACTCAGTGGCAGCGTATTAGGAGAGGCACGGAACAAATCCTACGTGTTTTGGTATGTACACTAAATCACAATTAATCTGGCTTTGTGTGAGATTGTTTTCAGCAACTCTACTGACTGAACTGCTGATCAATAGGGGTAGTCAGAGTTGACGATTCTGTGAACGATTCTGGTGGCGATTCTGAGTCGATTTCGGTGAACTGAATCGTGTGAAAATCCTATCAATTTTGACCACCCCAATTCCTCGCAGGTGTTTCTCGCGATTTTGTGCTGATCCCGGCGAGGATTTTGCTGTGCTGTACTGTCGAGAAAATAGACAGACATAGCTTCTTTATTAAGGGGTGCAACAAGCTATCACCCTATGCTGTTAATATGAGTGAACAGTAAGGAAGGCGTGGAACCTCTGAATCAGAAAGTACCGAGAATTATGTGGAAAATTATCGAAAATAAGGTCACAGCCCATATATTATCACCAGAGCACGAATCTATTATGGATTCTATGGAGGATAAGTAGTTGTTTCTAATGATTACAAATTTTGTAGTAGTAGATACAAAGGAACAAGAATCGAGGTGCGAGAATCGGCGATTCTGAGGTAGAAGCGCCTCCAGAGGCGATTCGACGATTCGATGCGATTCACATCCGATTCTGATTCTGAGTCGATTCTGGATGCAAAATCGTCGTCAGAATCGGTGCTCGGAGAAACTCTGAATCACCCCAGAATCGCCAACTTTGACTCCCCCTAATAGGGGTAGTCAGAGTTGACGATTCTGTGAACGATTCTGGTGGCGATTCTGAGTCGATTTCGGTGAACTGAATCGTGTGAAAATCCTATCAATTTTGACCACCCCAATTCCTCGCAGGTGTTTCTCGCGATTTTGTGCTGATCCCAGCGAGGATTTTGCTGTGCTGTACTGTCGAGGAAATAGACAGACATAGCTTCTTTATTAAGGGGTGCAACAAGCTATCACCCTATCACTGGAGGCGAAAGTGGATGTTCTGCCTTGGAACAGTGTCTGAACATCCAAGGAACAGATTACGTTTTTGGACATGTCACATGTTCTGAACATGATAAGGAACATCCAATATGTCTTGCACAATGTTCCATTGGAGAGCATGCTGGAGACATGTTGCATGTACCATTCTGGAACATATAATATGTCTCACACAATGTCTCATTGGAGAATGTCCTGCAGACTTGCTGCATGTTTCATTCTGGAACATGTATCATTTTGCTACTATATTCTGGGCTTGTCTCTTGGTGCAATATGCTCTGTATAATAAGGATTTCCCATGGCCAAACACATTACATTTCTGGCCACCGTTAATCTTCAGAACATTGTGAGAAGATGTTAAGTGCTCCTACTCCAAACATACAAGATGTCCTGGGCACCAAGAACATTTGCAGTACATGTATAATTTTAGTATAATTTTAGTATGTATCATACATGTACTGCAGATGTTCTTGGTGCCCAGGACATCTTGTATGTTTGGAGTAGGAGCACTTAACATCTTCTCACAATGTTCTGAAGATTAACGGTGGCCAGAAATGTAATGTGTTTGGCCATGGGAAATCCTTATTATACAGAGCATATTGCACCAAGAGACAAGCCCAGAATATAGTAGCAAAATGATAAATGTTCCAAAATGAAACATGCAGCAAGTCTGCAGGACATTCTCCAATGAGACATTGTGTGAGACATATTATATGTTCCAGAATGGTACATGCAACATGTCTCCAGCATGCTCTCCAATGGAACATTGTGCAAGACATATTGGATGTTCCTTATCATGTTCAGAACATGTGACATGTCCAAAAACGTAATCTGTTCCTTGGATGTTCAGACACTGTTCCAAGGCAGAACATCCACTTTTGCCCCCAGTGTATGCTGTTAATATGAGTGAACAGTAAGGAAGGCGTGGAACCGCTGAATCAGAAAGTACCGAGAATTATGTGGAAAATTATCGAAAATAAGGTCACAGCCCATGTATTATCACCAGAGCACGAATCTATTATGATTTCTATGGAGGATAAGTAGTTGTTTCTAATGATTACAAATTTTGTAGTAGTAGATACAAAGGAACAAGAATCGAGGTGCGAGAATCGGCGATTCTGAGGTAGAAGCGCCTCCAGAGGCGATTCGACGATTCGACGCGATTCACGTCCGATTCTGATTCTGAGTCGATTCTGGATGCAAAATCGTCGTCAGAATCGGTGCTCGGAGAAACTCTGAATCACCCCAGAATCGCCAACTTTGACTCCCCCTAATGTTCCGAAGCAATCCAAGTACTGCCGCAACGACTGACATATTAAACCCCAGGCTCAACGCCAAGCGTGTACACTTCGTCTAGGAATCCTTCCTCGAGCTCCTTCTCCCAATCTGAACTCTTCTTACTCGAAACCCAGAAAAGCCATGATAGAGTATCCGTCAAGCTGTTTGAAAACGCCACGGAGGATAGCTGTATCAACGACACTCCACGTGTCTCCTGCACGGGCTTGCACGAACGACAGGCAGGGGAGTGCCCATGTTGCATAATTGCATACGGTTTACCATTAGATCCACTTGTTAGCCATTTTGCTCCGAGCCTGGTATTGTTATCTGTCAATCCACAAGGTGCACCAGAGGCAACTCCGTTTGCTGCACCCAATAGCTTGTTGGCCCACTCGTCTAACTGTCATCTGGGGGCGGGGGTCTGAGATGGAGAATGGTACCAATTTTGGCGAGAATGCGTTGCCCTGCCACTTACCAAGCATATCAGGAAACTTTGCCGCCAGTACATCCACAGCCTCTGTATACAGAGAAGACTGCAACCCAAATTCACGCTGCACCGCCCCCAGGTACGAGTTGACCCTCTCCCGGGTCAATAAAGTGGTAATTGACCCAGCGGTAGCGAATATGTCCATAGAGGAAGTATCGCTTAGCTGTGCGGATAAGGTTGGTGACGTTACTGAAATATTGGTGGACCTTGGTTAAACACTTCTTCAACTTCTCCGCCCTCCTCTTTCGAGCCACATTGAAGTTTTCATCGGAACAGAAGTGGCCCGAGACCGCTGGAGGGGATCAGCGAAACGATAGAGCACTGCGTATCTACTGAAGGGATCAGCAAAACAATAGAACACTGCGTATCGATTCCGTGATAACTGAATATGATCCGGGTCTAACGGACAGCAGATGCGTAGAGAGTCCCACGAATAAGACCGTTGATCGTTGTATGAAGTGGTGGCTCGATGTCTCCGTATCTCCATCTGCGAAATCGAGTCGATGCGGGAACCTCCTCTTGGGTTAGTACTCCGGCAAAGCTGAATCGAGGTCGAAGTGGGAAATATCGGTGTAGGGCAATACGAGAACAGGATGTGAAAGATGTCCGTCGCATTGGTGACTCCAGGATTGTGATAGCATTATGAGGTTCCGTGTGGCGAGCTCGTTCTCGAGAGTGGGAGGACCGTTCTTGGCCGGTACCAGGCTCAGACGTTCGTGTCTGTCAAAAGCCGCTGTAACTGCATCGCAGGGCCCGCTCTCCTGTAGCTACAGTCAGTATAGCAATATTAGCATCTAGGACGCGCAGCTTCGACTTTATCCTAGAATCGCGGATCTAGCCTGGTGCATTTGTAGTGCATATCAAGATCCGCGTAACAGGAAGTCCTGCAAGAGCTGAAGCTGCTCTGACTCTGATCATGAGAGCTAGACGGGCTTCATGTACACGTGATCGTGATTTCTGCTCATTAGCGCTCGTTGTTGTTTGTAGGAAATTGGAATGAATGATATTGGGCCATCATCAAGGCCATCATGGCACTCTCGTAGACTTACGATGTAACTGTTCTGAGGATTGATAAACAAGCAATGCAAATGTGCGTCAGGGCCGCTTTCACTTACAGTAAATTCAGTTTACTCTCCGCGCAAAGAATTTCATCATTTGCCAGTCACTGATGACCTCTCAAATCATCTCTGACCAGACGAGCCTCTCTGAGAAGTTGCAGCTCTTACAGGAGCTCAGCTACTCCATTCTTGACCTACCCTCAAAGGGCGCCAAGGTTCGCAGCAACAGCGAAATCCGCTATTCAAGGACAAAATCCGAGATTCTTATCCTCGACGTTATCGCTATATGTCTGACCACTGGAGAACCCGGAGATGTAGTTGCCGTGGCTTTTGACAGACGGGAACATCTCAGCCTGGTGTTGGCGAAGAATGGTCCTCCCACTCTCGAGGACGAGCTCGCCACACGGAACCTCATTAGTGCCATTACCGATCCTGAAGTAGCCTATGCGACGGACATCTTTTACACCCCGCTCTCGCGCTGCCGGGTGAACATGGAGAAGCGGATGAACAACCTACACCAATCCATTTCCCACTTCGGCGTGTACTCCCGCAAAGGGGAGTCGAAATCCACGACGAAGTCTATCGAAGAGGAGTTTCCCGGCTCGACCCCAGTTTCGGCGCGAGAACTACAAAGATATCGAGCCATCCTTTCATACAATGCTCGACGATCTTGTTCGTATGATCTGCGACGCGTCCGCCGTCCCATTGGCCCCGGACGACGTTCAGTTATCGCGGAGTCGATTCTCAGACCTCTACATTGTTGCTAATACTCTGTTGCATTCTCGATTTCTGAGTCACCATTGTGCAGCTAAAAACCTCTTAAATGCGGCTCAGAAGTGGAGGGTGGAGAAGTTGAAGAGGCGTTTGGCCAAGGTCTGCCAATATTACGGTGGCGTCACAAAGCTTATCAAACGATACTTTCCTGATGGACATATTCCCTATCGCTGGGTCAATGACTACTTCATTGGCTCGGGAGAGGGTCAATTCAAGCTTTGCGATCACTATCTGGAGGCGGTGCAGCGTGCATTTGGATTCCCCTTGTCTCCGCAGACGGTGGATGCACTCCGGGAGCAAAAGTTTCCTGATATACTCAGTAATTGGGCACTATCAACACATACTACACGTACGTTCACGCGGAACTTCGCCTCATTCTTCACCTTAGCTCGGCATCATCTCATCCTCAAAGAAGCGTTGGACCACCGGAGCGGGAAGCCATTGGATTGGATGGGTTAATTTCTCAAAGAGCAAATAGATATCGTTCTTCCAATCATTTTGTTGCGTAGTTACTCGTGCACGTAAATGTTAAATATAGTCAGACGTATGTGTGTACTATAGCAATGAGAAGTTTTGCACGCAGTAGACTACGACAACAGCTCTCATACTCACAGGACACGCATCGCAAAGTCGTCCATACCCAATGACCGGAGCATCGGACCTACCATCAACATGAAGAAAGCCTTGCTCCCACCGAACAACATATCGATGACTAAGGAGCCACCCTAAGCAAAATACGATTCAGGAAGAATGGCAATCACTCACTCCACATAGCACCATTTAGCCACTTTGTTGCGCTCACATCATCCTTAAGGATGAGGAACTGCTCAGCCATCCTAACCATCGTCATCACGGGCCGCTCGAACGTCGTCGTCGAGGGCACCTGGTCGGTCGCAATGGGCATCACTGGCTTTCCGTCAGCTGTTAACGCGCCCCCCTTGCGCGCCCGCGGCAGAACCACGTAACCCATGCTCTCGAGGGACTTGATATCCTCCTCGATCGCCTTCCGCGAGTCGGCCGCACTGCGGGTGCGCCGTAGCGCCTCCGCCTTCGCGTGCTGCACGAACGCAAGGGATGGCCTTACGACCCCCCGAGTGCGCGCGTACGTCGCGTTCACCTTCCGCTCCTGCACGCGCAGCTCCGCATGCGAGTATGTCTTCCGATCACGCATGATCTCCTCCATAAGCTCGTGCCGCGCCTCGAGCGCGTCCTCCCCGTCCCTGCGGTCAGCCTCGCACAGCCAGCAATCACAGTGGAGCACCATGTGCTGCGCGAGCACACGCGTGCGCTCCAGGTATGATCCCTCTTTCGTGTACGGGATCGTGATCTCCGTGCCCGCCGTAACGTTTGCGGCCGCGCGGACGACTAAGGCGTCGCCGACGCAACACCATGTGGCGTTGGACAGGCATGAGTGGTTGAACAGCGACGGGAGCAGGTAAAGCCCTGTCGGACTGTCCTCGTCGGGAGCGGGCGTGTCGAACGGCCGGATGGGGAACGGGTTGAAACAATTGAACGTGCAGATCGCTTCGAGACACGAGATGTCGATGTTAACGTTGGGCTCGAGGGGGTTGACCACGGTGGGTTCTGTAGGTTTTGCGGGAGGATATGACGGCGGAGCTGCCGGGTAGTCCACGCCCGAGTACAGATCGAAGACCTGGTCGTGCAGATCAGGATTACCGTATATTTTTTCCACAGCGCGTGCTATAACAGCGCTTCGTGTGGGCTCGCTGCTCACGCCGGCCAGGAAGTCCACATTCATGGTCACCTCCTTCTCACTGAGGTCTGAGTCGTATATAGCAACGAATGGTTTTGAGACAAGCTACAGAAAAATCTTAGTCAACTCACGCGCAGTTCCGACGTACAGCTTCCCGGGTACTCCTTACCAGTACTTCTCCTACGGCAATGTCTTTGGTTGCAACAATGCCCCGACCTCCACCTCGATTTGCCATCGCTCGTACCTCTATCGAGCCCTGGTAGTCAGCAATGTCAAGATGGGGCTGTTTGAACGAAGACACGAAGAACTTCGCCCAGTCATAGGTACCAGTCCGACTCTCCTCGTGCCGACGCCGCGTGCGCGTGATCCAGGTCGCGATCTCTGCTGCCGCAGCGTTGTCCCCGGAGTGTGCAAACTGCCACTCCTCGAACTTCGCCAGCGCGACCTCGAAATTTTCACGCGCGTACTCGGCCTTTGCCTCGCGGACCAGGGCCTTCTCGAGCAGCGCATCCGATACCCCGGGCACGCGCGCCACACTGCGTGCGTCCGCCAGCGCGCCCGAGTAGAATCGCAGCCGCAAATATGCCTCGGAGCGGTTTGAGTAAAGCACGGGGGCGGCAGGGTCCAGCTGGAGCCCATGCGTATATGCAATTGCTGCAGGCAGCCATTGGGAATCTTTGAAGAGCACATTTCCACGCTCTTTCCAGCCATCGACTGTGGTGGGCAATTCTGGTGAGCCCGGAAGCCGGATATCGAAGCGCCATGACACTCCGTCCAGAATGGCATCTTGGGGATCCATGAAGACGATATCTGTAGGAGAGTCCACGCGAAGAATCGGGTAACGCCCTTGAGCAGCCGGCTTGAATGTAGGCTCGCGGATGGCAAAAATTACACCGATTGGGAAGAGCACGTCGGCACAATTTGGAGGGCAGTCGAACATGGTCGGGAAGTTGTAGATGGACAGACCGTATGCTGTTCCATCTGGATCCTCGACAGCTAGTTGTACGGCACTAGCTCGTACTGTTTAGCGCATTCAGCAACTGCTTCTTCAGAGGGATATAGAACATACCACTTAGGGCTATTGAGCGGCACAGTAGATAACGTCCCTGAGGTTGCTAGATGGACAAAATAGAAACCATGCCACACGTCATCACTCACCAGATGGGTCTTTCGGACAAGCATGTCAGCTAAGGAGACTGGGAGGACAACGACTGAGTAAATTAAGCCGACTTTCCAGTATTACAGAACCCACTCCTTTCTAGTTTGCGCAGCTCAGTAGAACTGGAGTGTTTGGGAAAACCGACGACAGTCATACGCATGGCGACCTTCCCGTTTCGCAACCATTCTCGTTGAGATTCACGCGTTTCTGCTTGCATTCCAAGGAGCTCTTCACGGTCCATGGGTAGCGATGGGCTCGGAGGAATTTGGTTGTCCTCTTCCATCCACGCCTTGTAGTCGTCCATGCGACGTTTCAATTCTTCGGGCGGCATACCAGGATGAAACATTGGAGGTCCGTGCGAAGGTATATCCCTGCCCCGAGAACTTTGTGCAAGTTCCATTTGGGTCATTCGTGTAGTCAGGTGGCTGGCATCCATGGCAGTAAAGTGAAGAGCACGTTTGGGCGCTTTCTGAGTGCTAGCGAGCGTATCCACGCCTCGTGTCACGCTTCAGCTTATACCTCGAGGATGGAAAATCTGTCTGTAGCTGAATGTACGAGCTATACGAGTTAATGGACTGACCTCGTGCTTAATTTTTTCTTCGCCGAAAGTACAACGCGTAGGATTGCGCGACGGTTGCGGGCCCAAAGAGAAAGTCGGCGTCGTCACACAAGGAAAGGGAAGAGCGCATTGCAATATACATGCACGGCTTCTCTGTGCACACTGAGGGGAGACGATCATAGCCACGGCGATCATACACACTGCAGAACTCAAAGTGTATGATGAAAGGGATTGCTTGCGCGCACCATGACGGGGGGTCATTTAGGACGGAGGTTAGGGTTTACTGGATTCAAGGTTAGGTTCTTGACTATGAGCTTTGCTTTGGCTCGTGCTGCTCAGACACATACACCGTCGTCGTGTTTTTGTAAGAACTCAGCTATCTTCTATGAATACGTTGGAATCCTCGCGCCGGATAGCACATCTTTCTCCAGCCACCCAATCTAGGCTTCGGTCCACGCAAATTCTCGTATCTCTCTCTCAAATTATTTCAGAACTTGTCCAGAACTCTTTGGATGCAGGCGCACAACATATAGACATTGGTGTGGACTGCGAAGACTGGGGATGTTGGGTCCGCGATGACGGCTTTGGCATCGGCAGGAACGGACTTGCCGTCCTTGCAGGGGGTGCTGAATCAGGACGGTATAGTGAGCGGAGGTCAATGCAATCAACATCCGGTGACGTTGATCTTTTTTGTAATACTAGGTACGTCTAAGGCGTACAGTCCTGCTTCACTGGGCGAGGTCTCAACGTTCGGATTTCGGGGTGAAGGTACTTTCCATCATACGTAGACGACCTATGTGCTTACTCCGTCGTTGTACAGCGTTGGCTTCTGCAGCAGATCTATCTTGCCTGGAAATATCTTCTCGGACGGCGCGGTCGAGAGAGAGTTGGTCGGTCATCCTCAAAGTACAATAACATCTGTGCGACATGTGTCATTTACTCACGCAGAATGCCAGGGCGGCGCAACTCTATATAGCGGGCCCTCTGTCAGATGGCGTCGCGAATCACCCGGCACAGTCGTCAGCGTGCGAGACGCATTCTACAACGTGCGCTCTCCATTCTCCGGTCTTGTGCACACACCAGGATATCTCACGCTGCAGAACAGCTTCCAATCCGCCGGCTCTCGCACCTGTCGCCTTCCCGAACGCTAGAGCTGATACGGAAGGACGTCGAAGCGTTCGCGCTCGTGTTCCCACAGGTCGTCTTCTCGTTGGAGAATGCACACAAGACGAAGGAAGGGGGATGTGACAAAGGACGGGTAATGACCGTCCCGAAGGTGGGCATCGAACTGCGACCGACGAGTATAGAAGTGTACTGATCTGCCCCTTTTAGACGGCTTCTACTTTGTCAACGTTCCGCCATTTGTATGGTCGCGCCTTGGCTCAGGTAATCCTCCATACCACGTCGCATCACATGTCAAACTGATATGCTTGTTAGCACGTCGAAGAGATTGACGAAGCATTGGGGGACATGAAACTCCGTGGCTTCATCAGTCTTGAGGGTGCTTACTCCAAGGTACACCATTACTCCAAGATGTTGATTCTTATTGACGCTCATACCTCAGGCTTACCAATTTTTGTGTACGTTTTCGCCGTCGGCATTAGCCTTTCGACCGCTGTAGAACATCCTCACAGATATTAACCACCACCTACTCTCAACATGTGATCTTCACCGCGTCATCGACCACGAGTTCTCCCGGAGCTCATTCATGAAGCATGTATGTGGGCAATCTCTTTAATCTTCTAAAGTAGCACATCCGTACCTGATCACATATAGGCATACGACGAGGCTGGTGAGACCGGTCTTCCGCGTTCCAGTAAGTTGTACAATGTTCCAACGCATTCGTTCTTAGATGACGGAGTACAGAGACACGGCGCTCACCACGCAAGACCGAGAAAAGGCCCGTATACGTCCTAGACCTCATCGTCCCTCAGCGTGACGTCGACAACTGCCTCGAGCCAGCCAAATCCGCGGTCCATCTACAGGTACATTTACCTTTCGCTTGCTTCCCTTTCTTGTGTCCTCATACGTTGGCGTCAACAGAACAGCGAAGCAGTTTCACGCTTCCTCGGCTCCATCATCGAGGCATTCCTCCTTCGACACGGGTTCCTCACGCGCGCGAGCGCATCTACGGTCACGCCGTCGCCTTCGCCCCGAAAGAGGCGGAAGCTCATCCCACAGGAGGATGTTACGACAGCAGACAGGATGAGACCTGGCTCTTCCAGAAATCCATCCGCTCGCCCTGCCAGTCCACCACTGATAATCCGCCCCGTGCGTTTCTCGCTGGATTTACGCGAGTGAAGCTGAACCAAATTACAGGGCAGCGAGGTGCAAGTCGACGGTACCGACCCTCGTGCGGAGATAGTGTGGACGGATCCGACGACCGGCGAGTCGTTCGTGGTCGATACTCGCACGGGGAACTCGTACCCGTTGAACGCTCAAATATCTTCTTCGTCCACGCAGTCAGACGTCCCAGGGCGACCGTCGGGTCGCCGTACGCTGGGCGTTTGTGAGAGCCGGACAAACGGCACCAAGGACGAGACTGCGCCAGTCCCGGAGTGGATCAGGGACGCTCTTGGTGTGAGCTCTCCCGCATGATTATCAATCTTATTCGAACATGATATTGACGCTACGAACCCAGGCAAACGAGACATATGTCCTCACCGAACCTGTCATCTCCGCACTCGATCTGTCCTCCACCTTTGCAGACACGATGACACGCCCGCACCTGCACCCCCACGCGTGCCGCCCATCCAGTGATGGCACCTTTCCAAGTCTCCGGGAGGGCGCCACGTATCCCGGCAGGATCAGCAAGGCAGGGTTACACGCGGCGACAGTACTGGGGCAGGTGGACCGCAAATTCATCGCGTGCGTGATTGGCGATGACGGCGAAGTAGAGAGCACGAGCGGGCGGGCGCTGGTGCTCATCGACCAGCACGCGGCTGATGAGCGCATCCGTGTTGAACGGTTCTTGCAGGATCTCTGTCTCGGATTCCTTCATCATAAGTCTGCACCGGAGGACGACGATCACTCCGGTGTGAGGACGCGGATGCTCGAGCCACCCTTGCCCGTGCTCTTGACCCGCCATGAGGCGGTGATGCTCACTGAGAGGGAGGGAGTGCGGACTGCTTTCAGGAGATGGGGTGTAGATTTTGTCGGGCTTCACGACTTGCACATGCTGGAAGTGAGGGAGCGGGCGGAGCTGGGTCCTCGGAAAGAAGCGGATGAAATGGAAGGTGGTAGACCTGGGTATGTGCAGGTGATGGTAGCGAGCATCCCAGAGGTGGTAGGCGACAAGGTGTGTCGCTTGTTCATTTCTGATATCGTTGCCTATTTTCTGAACTCATGAGACGTTGCTGTCAGCTGCTTGCGGGCGAGGAGTTGCGTGACTTTGTGAAAGGCTACCTAGCCAAGCTGGAGACGGAGGGAACTCCAGCTATGCCCTCGATTCAGCCTTCTGCATCAGCCGAAAATTCGGAATTTCTTTGGCAGAGAGCACTGCGCTGGTGTCCACACGCGCTCCTCGAGCTCATCAACTCCAAAGCCTGTAGAGGTGCGTCCGAACCCCCCCCCTTGTCCACGCAACTCCTCTGATATGATCTGCCATGCCAGGTGCGATCATGTTTAACGATACGTTGACCCTGGAGCAGTGCATGCGCCTCGTACACCAGCTTGCAGAGACAGCCCTCCCGTTTCAGTGTGCGCACGGCAGGTACGTTCGGTGGTTGCATGCGTAATTACTGTTTGATTAGCATGATTAATGCCCTTTACAGGCCCTCCCTTGTTCCTCTGGCGGATATCGGTCGCGAGACCCACACAAATCACCCATCAGGATTGTGTTCAGACTCGGTGGCACGTCTGAAGGCGGTAGACTGGCCGTCGTTTACGAGGACGCGACGGATCTGAGAGGATAGGATAGGTCGCGTTCGGACTCTTAGCCATTGTTCCCTGCACAGTGCGATATTCAGGTCCCCGGAGATCGTCTTGTAGACAACTGGCCAACGTGCAAAAGTTTATTCGCACGAGAAGCCTGAATGACTCCGGGACATTCTTCGCTTGTGAGTGCATCTCAACTGATTGATCAGAGGTGCATACAAGAAGGTACAGGATATGAGGCTACATACTGAGTGACCGGGAGCAAACCGAGAGTGCAATAATATTGTGCAAGTTGCTGCAGCCAAAGCGCTACATCACGTGATCGCGTTTCGAACGCACAGTCACGGTTGCGTACGCGCCGACGTTGTTTCCAGCACCAGAATTGCAATGGTGATTTCACTCTCTTTTACTCGCGTTATATAGAGAGCTTATATAGCTGCACAGGCCGACAACGCAGATACTTCGCAGCCACCCTCGACCGAGGGTCCCAACCTGTTTCAGCGTCACCTTACCTCGCGGTGACGATCGCACGTCTCTGCGTGCTTTCTCTTCTGTACGGCACCCTTCTTCCCAGCCGACTTCGTGTCGTTTCCATGACCTTTCTCGTGTTTTTTTGAATATGGATGTCCGACGAAGTGGCAGTCACGACGTATATGCCCTATTTGGGATGTAGCACCTTTGACGGGAGCCGTTTTTTTGGTGCTCGAAACGTGGTGAGACATGCCAATTTGGCCTCTGTTCGACGGCCTCATTTGAGTGCTGTGGTTGGTGGTAAGTAATATCGACGAACTGGACTCACGTCGCCGGATTCCTCCATGACTCCGACCACAGATCATCATCGGAGCACAGGCTGGGGCAAGGCAACGCTGCGAGTCGGCACAGAAAGGAACGGAAATTGGATAAAGGAAATATAACGATGCGAGGTCACAGTGTGGGACGTACATAAAGTTGCATCCCTGCGGTCCGCTCCGCAAGAGGAAGTATATGCCCTGGCGACAGATGCAGTGAGCACTACATGAGGTCGCTTGGATCTTGCATATGTGCATCGCGACGCCGTGCATTGACCGAGAATTGGACTGCAGTCTGCGGGCTCAGCGGAGACGTAAGTAAGTACGCAGTCAGTAGGCACAACATTAGAGTAGCCGTCAGGCCAGAAACAAACTTAGGTTAGGTTCAAGGATGTGCACCCGCGTGCCCCGAGTCCAAAAGAGTCGTTTCCGCGGGCGCACTAGTGAATTGTGCATGATTCTCGTCCAGTAGCGTTTTGGCTTGGCGAGGGCGAGACACTACTTTCATTTCGGACGTAACGGCTGGCGGCTACAGGGAGAAATGGCCGTGTGGATGATTCTGACTGGTGCAGCGGCTAGAAGCGTGGGTCGGGGCGTGCATGGGGGAATGTGCCGAGCGATCCCGAGGTTGCACTTTGCGGCTATGGCCTAGATAGTGAATCCTTTCTTCGAAACAGCTCCGAAATCCGTACGAGGATGACCTACTTGCCAGCCCTCTCGATTTCTGCAGGCCCTCCAGCGCGGTGTTATGTTCCTAGGGCACCATCTGGCGGGGCAATTATCGAGGATCGCACTTGTATCGTACATAGATCGGATGAAACGTGACACGGTACGACCCGTCTCTGGGCCAATTTCGTAGTTCTGCAGATGGGATGTTAGCAAGGGATACTGTTGGGGTCGGAAGTGAGCTGTGGAAGATATTCGACACCTTGTTGCTCACGTTGATTCTTGCAAAGACTGGTGAGGTATGCAGCACACGGCATTAGAAGCGCTTGCTTGGGTTAATTCTTCGAATCTTCGATCGAGTGACGAGTGACTCGAATGCACGCGGTGAGCTTGACGGACGGCTACAGCATCACACGGCAGGTTGTATGGTGTCCACGAGATAGAAATTCTTGAGGACATACGTACGGGGGGGTGCTCAGGAACGCACGGGGGGCTTCGAAGCACATCATCGCGCAAGAGTCATCCGAAGCTCATCGCCCGCAATGTATGGCGAAGGAGTCAGGCTTTCTACGCTGGAGGGCGACGCGGTACCGCATGCATCACAGGACGCGGTCTTGGCCAGCAGCCGAGACGTGGAATTGGTGGAAGGGGCTGCTATCGATGGGGTGGGCGATCAGACCTGGGGTGTGTGTGGGTGGAGGTCCGAGAAGGCTGCCAGTGGCTGACGATGAGCCTACCTCTCCCGGACGAACCAATTCGATTACGTGGTTTCATCTCGAGATATATAACAGGCCTAGCGCGTGTCCGTGGCAGCCAGCCAACGAGGGAAAGAAAGCGAGGAAAAAGGCGTGGAGAAGGAGGTCGTGTGACGGACGCGTCTGGTGCAGCCTGGGTGGAGTCACATGCCCGCTCCTTCCAGAATGACGTCACGGAGCCGCACCTTCATATACAGCCCGGTGCGTGCTCGTCGCCCGCCACAGCGTCCAGCTTTTTCTTCACGCACACATCCATTCCCAGTCCCCATCCTAGTCCTTTCCCACACTCTCATCCTCCATGCCCAAGTCCCTCACAAAGGTCGTCTACAAGCCGGACACCCAGTCCACAGACCAGTTCATCATCATCGTCAACCCCGCAGAGGTACGCGTCCTTCCCGCTCTTCTCTCCCACTCGTCGCTCAGAACCCACTACTCACCCTCAGTACCATCGCTGGAAAGCAGGAGGTGCGCTTTCCTTGCTCTTCGTTCCATCCTCCACTCACCAGATCACCCACAGAAACGTGAATCTCGCTCTTTGTTTGCCGCCACCTTCCCGCTCGCTCACCTCTCTATCCTATACACACAGGACCATTCCCCTGACAGACGTCGTCGACTGTGCGTTCCACTGATCTCCGATCGTGCTCATCCTTATCCGATCGCACTACAGCGTTCCAGGTCTTCTTCTCCAACCAGGGCTCCCAAGGTATCCTCGGCCAGGCGTCCCGCCAGCAGCTCGAGCACGTCTTCGACACCAGCAAGGACCTCGACGTCGTCCAGCTGATCCTCCAGAAGGGCAAGCCCGAGGCCGCGGACGCCATCTCGTCCGGCGGCTCCGCGATGAATGTCGGCATTGGCAGCTTCACCGTCGACACCCGCGGCAAGTCGCTCTCTGGCGTGCCCTAATCGCGGTCACCGGGGAGGGCGCAGACGCACGGACATGCCTTTCGGGAGAGCGGAACATATAATTGTAGTAGTGTAGGAATATTAACATTTGTGCATGCTGTGCCGGAGATGCCACCCTTATATGGTCTCCTACAAATCTCCACAAAGCACGTCAGTTCGGGGCCCAGTAGCTGCTGCCCGCTTCCACCACAGAACTCCAGCGCAAGTACTCACCGTCCGTCACAGCACGATGCCCTCGACTGTCGTCCTCGGCACAGGCATCATCGGCCTCTCCACCGCGTACGCCCTCGCCCTCCTCACCCGCGACACCGACCCCGCCCACGCCATCCACCTCGTCGAGCCGTCCCCGCAGCTCTTCGCCTCCGCCTCCGGCAAGGCCGCGGGCTTCCTCGCCAAGGACTGGTTCGGCCCCGCCATCGCGCCCCTCGCCGCCCTCTCCTTCGACCTCCACCGCGCCCTCGCAGCCCAGCACAACGGCCGCGACCGCTGGGGCTGGTCCGAGAGCGTCTCCTACTCCCTCGACCGCGACGCCGCGTCCGCGCCCCCCGCGCACACCGTCGACGTCCCGGGCTCCGAGGCCGCCGGCATCTCGGGCCGCAATGGCGGCGGCGCGGAGGGCGGCGTCGACTGGATCCTCACCGGCGAGAGCCGCGCGACCGTGCTCGGCGGCACAGAGCAGGAGGCTGCTGCCCCGCTCGGTGCAGCGGCTGGTCCTGCGTGGCTCCGCGCCAACATCGGTGCGCTGCAGGCCATCTCGGGACGCCAGTCGACCGGGCAGGTGTGCGTAATAAATACATCGCGTCCCGCGCTCGCTCGCTGACGGCCTCTCGCACGCGCAGGCACCCGCTGCGCCTGTGCGAGTTCCTGCTCGAGCAGTGCACCGCGCTCGGCGTGTCGCTGCACCACCCCGCGCGCGCGACCGCGCTCATACCCGGTGCCGCGCCCGCGCTGTGCCTCGAGCTCCTGGGGCGCGCGCCCGGCACGCGCACCGTCCCCTGCGACAGCCTCGTCCTCGCCGCGGGCTGCTGGACGCCGCACGCGTACCGCACGCTCTTCCCGCACGCGCGGCGCGTCCCGCGCGTGGCGCCGCTCGCCGGGCACTCCGTCGTCCTCCGCTCGGCGCGCTGGCAGCCCGCGGCGGGCGCGCCCTGCGCCGCGGTCTTCACGTCGGACTCGCCCGGGTTCTCCCCCGAGGTCTTCTCGCGCGCCGGCGGGGACGTCTGGCTCGGCGGGCTGAACTCGGCGGCGGTACCGCTGCCGGCGCTGCCGACGGACGCGGTGGTCGAGCCGGAGAGCGTCGCGCGGCTTGTGGGTGTCGCGCAGGCGCTGTGCGGGGACGACGTGGAGGTGCTCCGGGAGGGCGTGTGCTTCAGGCCCGTGTCGTCGACCGGGCGCCCGATGATCGTAAGAGTGCCCGGTGCAGATCTGGGGGAGGGTGCGGAGGGCGTGCGCGTGTTCCTTGCGACGGCGCATGGCCCATGGGGGATTAGCTTGAGCTTGGGCACCGGCAGGGTCGTCGCCGAGATGGTCCTGGGGAGGGAACCGAGCGCGGACGTGAGTGCGCTCGCGAGCTGGTATGATTAGCGTGCGAGGTAGGACTTACTCGGTGCAATTTGTGCAAGAGACTGAGTGCTGAGCATGTAAATTGAACACACCTAGAGTATGCCCACGTATTGGAAGAGGACTCGAGGATGCTTGCATAGAAACAGTGAAATTGTCCAAGAAATGTATGAGATACAGATGGTGGTACACACTTGAGAAACACTTCCGCCCTCGCACATCACTCCTGCTTAGCGTCCTCCCCCGCCTGCATAGTGCTCCCCGGGACCGCGCGTGCCTTTACCCAACCCACCTCCTCCCCGTCCACGCCCACAATCCCCACCCCCTTCGCGCGCAATTCCTCCGCCGCCACCCTCCACGCCCGCTCTCCACCCACACTCCTTACGCCCTCCTCTACGACCCAAGTTCGCCATCCCTCCTCCACACAATCCAGCGCGCTCGCGCGCACGCAATACTCCCCCGCGAGGCCAACCACAAACACGTCCGTGACCCCCGCCGCGCGCAGGAGCGCCGCGAGTCCGCTCACCGCGCTCGCGAGCGGCGGGTCGCGCAGCGGCGCGCGGAACGCCGAGTACATCTCCACGCGCGGGTCCGTGCCCTTCAGCACGACGCGCTCGAGCGCGCCCGCGGCGAGCCCCGCGGCGAACGCGTTCCCCGGCGTGCCCGCGACGCAGTGCACGGGCCAGAGCCGCGACGCGTACGCCTCGTCCGCGTTCGCGGGGTTCGTGATCGCGGCGAAGGACGTGAAGGGCGCGAATGCGGGCGGGCCGCCGTGGGTGCGCGCGAAGCTGATGTGGTTCGGCGGGTGGTGGTCCTTCGTCGCGACCTTGAGCGCGAAGGGCAGCGTGAGCAGGTCGTTGATGACCGGGATGATGGCGCGCCCGTCTGGCACGGCGAGTGCGCCGTCCTGCAGATGGTGTGAGACGGGTTCAATGGAGGACACGAGTATACTGTACGGGTGGGCAGAAGTCTTCTTGCACGTCCACGACGAGAAGGGCGGGTCGAAAAGGCTCTGGGATACCCTTTGACTCAGACTTTGACATCGTGGTCACTGATAGGGAGAGTCGCTTGTTTGTCCTGGGTCAGGCGCTATCATGAAGGCGTAAAACTGTGCGAGATAGTGGAAGGTATAACAATATTGTAGGTGTATCCCAACTGACCAATATACACTTAAACTAGATGTGTATATAGATACCGCAGCTGCAACCGCGACGTCTCTACTTGTGCGTACGGTCACCTACCGTCTCTGCCCACTGCTTGCTCCCCATCTCGACCAGCCGCGAACAGCACCGCGCAAAAGCAAACAACTCCTCGTCGCCTGTGAACATCGCACTGGAGACAACCGTGTCACTCGACAGGCCCTGCATGCAACACACAACCACCTTCAATACTGAATAACTAATGGATACTGGGAGCACGTACGAGGTCGTCCATAATGTTACGCATGTGGTCTGACATGTCTTCGGACTTCTTGCCCGAATCGTCTGCGAAGATCTGGAAGATAGGGACCTCGGACGTAATGAAGAGCTTCGTCTGTCGATCTCGTCAGGTACCGTGTCGCTTCACAATCTGGTTAGAATGTACCTTGCTCTCATAGCATGCTGGAAAAAAGGAGTTCGTTAGCCTACCCCGAAGAAAAACACACAGGTAACATACCATCTACGAAGGTAATGAACCTGCGTGCCTGTAAACCATGTAATGGTCAGCTCGCAGGCATGCAAACTGCAGCATGAGGTAGCACACCTTGTCCTTCTGGTTAAGCCCCAACTTCGGCACATCTAGCACAAAGATCGTCCCAAACGTCTTCGTGACCTCAATGTAATCCGCCGCACTCAGTGGCTTCCCACAAAGCTCCTCGAACCGGAACTTCGCCACCGCCGACGAGCTCTCGGGCACGAACAGCGGGCGCCCCCATATCTCCAACTTACGGTTGGGCACAACCGGATCGGATGGGTCAGAGGTAAATGCCTCGAAAATCTTCTGAACTTCGAGACGGTTCTCAGCCGTCAATGGGTCATAGTAGACATGCGAGAGCGTGCGCGGTATCCGACGGTAGTCTGCGAGTAGGCAATAAGCTGCGTGAGTAAAGCGCACGAATGTCTCAGGAAGACTGACCAGTCCCGGAGTTAAGGGTCGTAACATTAAAGCGCGTGTTGAGAAGATCAATACATGGCAAGAAGCTGGACCGCTGGATACCATTCTTGTACAGGTCGTCTGGATGACGGCTGCGAAGAGCATAATCAGCTATCGCAGATCATTCGTTGCCAGGGTAACTTACTTGGAGGTTACCACACAGACCACTCCGTAGTTCAGCAGCTTCTCAAATAGCTGACGCAAAATCATCGCGTCCGCGATATCCGTTACCTGCAAGCGAAACGCAGACGCTCGAAAGAGAACCCCAGCAGAAGAAATCGGCGCGCTCACCGCACCTGGAACTCGTCAAAGCACAGAACGTACGCTTCGTTCGCGAGGTCGCGCGCGACCGGCGCGATCGGGTCACCGCCGCCCGCACCCAGCTTCGCCTTCATCGCGTGCACGCGCTTGTGCACATCGATCATGAACGCGTGGAAGTGCACACGCCGCTTCCGCTTGATGGAACGCGGTAGAGACTTGTAGAACAGGTCCATGAGCATTGTCTTTCCTGTACCGACGTCGCCGTACAGATAGAGTCCCTTAGGTATGTGGTCTAGGGGTATTGAGGGGGCCGGTGCAGGGGTGGATGAGAATAGGCGCGATACCTTGGAGGTAGATGTCAGGGATGACCGACGGATAGCTATACACCACGTACCAGGGAACGCTGCGCAGGGAGCGGTGAAATCTCAGGTGGATGGTATTTCACGATCTCATCGTGCAGACCCTGGAGCTTCTCTATGATGCGTGTTTGGTGATCATCTTGCTGCAGTGTTCCCGACTCTATAAGAGTAGAGTAATGCTCCAGCGGAGTCTTCGCAGCTGCCAATTTTGCAAGTTAATCTCTTATTCAAGGTAGAATGGCTTGCCCCCTGACCTGGATGCGATGCTTGCTGGGCATGCAGCATGCTCGAGTCATGAGCAGGTCTATGCTCTATCGCCAATGAAGAATTGAGGCGATGCCATGGCGCAATTGCTGGCCGAGAGTGACCAGGACGAGCGACAGAGCGAGAACGCAGTGGTGAGGATTGCACACGGCGATGTGCAGGCAAGTTCGTACGGACTTTCGGGAATCTCATGTGGGATGAGACAAAGATGCAACACAGAGAATGTATCTATCGGGTATCTTTAAGACAGAGAAGATATCCGGAAGAGAGGGAACTCGAGCAATGTCTGGAGGATGTTGCAGCATGATATTCGGCCGACGCGATCTTGATGACCGATCGCACACAGGAACATGACATCCACGTGTTTACCAAATATTCGCCCGTTAAACTCCGCGCAAAAACTAGGCGCCGATACCACCCGACAAGCAAGTTGCGATGCATCTTCCTCAGCGCGAAGAAATTCAAAAAATGAGACGCATAGGAGAGGCACGCAATATCATCGAGCGAAAGGGTAAATTTTAGGACCAAAGTACAGAAAACCGAGCCGCTCATACCCCGGTGCGATACGCATTCGCAACTACATGTCCCACCCGAAGATGTTGATCGACTGTCTCGTCGCGCCGGAAGCTGTCACCAACAAGTTATCCTGAAGAACAATATTCAGCGAGAGTGATATCATGTAGACAAGCATCGACCTACAGCACATCCAGAGCCTAGTGCGGCGTTTCCGATCCATCCTGGCTCCCAGTAGACTGACACCAACGATCAAGATGTAATCCAGTAGCAAGTAATTTGAAGACGTACATATGCCCTGCCCCAAACCATTCGGTAGGCTCAAGAGAACGTCCTCGATGTCATTGGACCATATCTCCTGTCCCAGGACCGACACCGGGACGCCCGGCTCGCTAAGCGTGACATTCGGACAGACCACGGGCCAGTCTGTCTCGGCTACTACAACCTCCTTGCCATATGCGCTGGTCAAATTGTGGAGAGAGGACGAAAGAGCAGCTAGCGTCGCGTTCGTGCCGTAGAACGGATAAAAGGACACGCCCATGACGTCTACATCCGACAGAGTAAGACCGCCGGGGGTGCCGAATACACCGGAATACCAATAGGACAAGTCGTCCCAATCCCACCCATTGGCCAAGTGGATCAGAATTCTCTGAGAACCGACGACTGACTTCGCGCCCTGGACTGCGGACTTAAGCAGCAGTGATACCGGTTCGAGGCCGTTCAACGACACTTCGCCAACTGGCCATAGCAAACCACTATTGATCTCATTGCCGACCTGCAATTATAGTAAAATGACATGAAATCTGCGGTTACGTTGAGTGATGAATACTGACCTGGAGAATGTCGATGGGAGTCCCTTGAGCAGCAAAACTTGTCACAATACCCGCAGTATAGCTGAGATAACATCAGATGGACACTGTACATCGCTTGTCAGAAGAGAAACGCGAACACACTTGTACATCTCGGCCATAAGACCGGTTAAGTTAGCAGGCCATCCGCTTGGGATTGCTTGATGGCCAGGATCGGCCCCTGCCTCATTCATGAGTACCAATCCATCAAATTGACCAAGAGAATCATCTACAAATGTCGCTGTAGTGCAGATCCACTATGAGAGTCATTCCAGCAGCCTTCACGCGCTTCGCCATAGCCAATGAATATTCCAAATCATACTGTGCTGCTGTCCAGACACGGATCCGCGCAGTGTTACAACCATGCGTAGCCAAGATAGTCTCGAAGGGCAAAGTCACACCAGCGTCCGTGTAGTTAACTCCTTGGCTCTCCACAAGTAACAGAGAGGAGAAATCGGCAGCCCTGTATGACAGAGTGAAGGCGGTTGGGAGGACATGCAACAACAGGGTAAGAAGAATCATCTTCGAGGGTAAGGAGTCGCTGCAGCTTCCGCTCCCGAGTATTTTAGCTGAACGAGATAATTCTCCGATGGACGGCGACTGATCAGGTGTCAAGAATAGCAGGCCATGAGCATATGCGGCGGAAGAATTGGCTATTTGTCAGGGAAGGTGCACTCTTGAGAAAACCAGTCCATGTCAGACGGTAAGACTGGCGTCTAGAAGTAACGAAAGTCGCGGGTGCCCAAAGGCCCCGCTAGCAGGAGAACACTGACATTGCAAGTGAGTCCTCGGGCCGCAGGGATCAGAAGGTGGTCGTTTGAAGAGACACGAGCTGCGTGCGAGTGGCGTCGGCCTGTCGGTCACCATCCTTGACGACGCCTTCAGAACAAAGTAAGACCTTTGCGACACACATTCCGATCTGACCTAGATAAAGAGGTGACGACGTAAGTGGCGCCATGTTTGCAGGCTTCTAATACGGCCTGAAGACGATAGAAAGAAACACTGGTACCCTGGCCCGGGACACCGTCACGTCTAGGACAACGGCCCGCCGTTTTCCGGAAGGTGCGATTCCACGTGACCACCGACGCGCTCTCATTCCGGCGCGCATTTCATCCAAAGCACTGAGGGACCATCCATCACGTCGAGCACATCGCGGTCATTCGCGAAGGACTCGCACAAATTCCTTCCTGTGAGTTGTGTGCATCGATCTCCTTGTACCTGCTAGAATGCCATCCCGGGCGGCGAAGTGCGTGTCATAGTCGAAAAATTATCCCGTTTACGTCCTAGCTGATAGACATGGCGTCGTCTTGCTAGAGGGAAGAAGCGCGCCATTGAGCAAGTACTCAGTGATGCCGAGGGGAGCGACGCTGCGTCTTCGTTGAGGTCTGATACACCGCTCTCACTTCCAGCCGCGAGGACGGTGCCAACCAAGAAACGTATGTTCTGCGATAGCACTACCTGCGCTCCAACTCATTTTCATGTCCCTCATATGCACTTATGCACTTCTCCTGCACTTGCAGCGAAGCGAGCAGAAATTAGAGTCTGTCCAGTATGTGAAGTGTCCATCCCTCTTAGACTCCTCGGGAAACACTGTGATCTGGAAATGGAGCGAGTAGAGGAAGTTATGCGTATGATAGGTTCGACAGAGGTTCTAGCGGATGCTGAACCAGACGACGGGTGCGTGGCCCAGAATGCTCACCCGTCTCTAGTCTCAAACTCTCTATTTAAGTCTCACGAGCCGAAGCCGTCGCTCTGCAGTGAAAACGCGTAACACCACCAGCTCCTCCATCGCGTCTACCTCCGAAGTGACCCTCGAGCAAACTAGGAAGATGCTGCGCGCCGTCAAGAGACATCGCAAGCAGCGACACACGAAGTTACGTGAAGTTACGCGTGATGAGGACGAAACGCGATGGCAGGTGGAGGGAGAGGAAGGAACTATATGTCCAGTTTGTCAACGGCTCGTCAAAGGAGATGCTGATGTAGTAGACGCTCATGTGGATGCGTGCCTGGCCCATGTTCAACTGCAAGAAGAGCAGACTCCCGGAACAAGTGGAAGCGGACACGGAGACGTTGACCGGGATGTAGACATTGATGGGGATGTAGAAGAGATCCGGGAGAGTGCGACTGCTGGAGTGAGTTTCAGAGGTGCGTAGATGCCGATTTAATGATACGCCGCGGCCAGCCTGACATCGAGCAGGCACTGGTTTCGAAATACGAGACCGCGCACAACAAGATGTCGAGGATGAAATAGACGTGGATGGAGAGGACGAGGCAGTATTCGGTGCCCCACAATTCACTGAAAGTGACATCCTCGCAGCCACGAGCGGTTTACACCAAGCTCGCTCGGCAAATTCACCTTCGCCGTCAGATGATGGTTCGGACTTGGACGTAGAACGTGAAAGAGAGACAACAATGAAGCTGACAAGTGGAAAGGAGATAGAGTTGAAGACTCTGAGAGATCTTGTGGCCGAGGGGAAGATGATACGCCGGCAAGCGGAGGTCGTTGAAGACGTAAAGCGGACCATGGAAGAGGTGATGGGTGTCGGAGAGACGGATAGAGTAGATCAGGCAGTTGAAAAGGCGCGACGGGAGGGTAACGACGTCGCGCTGATCCATGCACTAGAAAGCAAGGTCAATCACATGGTAAGCGAACACAACATTCATTTCACGGAGCTAAAGTGAGTTGAATCTATACCAGGTCTCAATCCGCGTTTCATCTTCGACGTCGTCACTCTGTCGCATATGTCTGGATCCATACACTGAACCTACCGTCTCCACAGGCTGTTGGCACACTTGCTGCCGCGAGTGCTGGCTGCGGTGCTTGGGTTCAACGAAGTTGTGCCCAATCTGCAAGAGAATCACCGCGGCAGCAGACTTGCGGAGAATTTACTTATAGCATCGTTCAATTGTTATATGCAGCCTGGTTTGTATTCGCTTTCGTTGTCGTTTCCTCGCTACTTTCGCCGTACTTTTCTATCTGGCGTGGAATTGTAAGTCAGAAACATCCCAAGACACTGGGTAGCGCGAAGGAAAAAGGGCTCATATCTGGCCTTGTCAATTCCTCACTTCGTCGAATGCATAAACCAGACAGAAGTCAGTTACAACATCAACACCAAACTGATCAGGACACCAAATTACAGGAACTTGGTGCCACCACGACGTCTATAATCATAGCAGACAACTGGATAAAACGCTCACCATCTCATCATTTTCCGGCTAGACGGCTATATCATCTTACACGCAAGAACAAACGGCGACCTCAGTCCAAGAGCAAGTTGGGGCTGTAATATATACACATGCAGGCGTAATAACTGACGATTATGCGAGGGGGCTGATCAGCCTGTGACGTGCCAGCTGTGTTAGCTGCACCAATTCGCAGGCAGTCGATGGACGCACTTGATCAAAGAAGGCTGTGGGTTACTCCGTGTGTAGCCAATGTAGATGATCAAAGGAATCCAGCCATAGTGAATAACCGTCTGGTGGGGGTCACGTCATACAGAGATTGACAGCGTAGGCAAGACAGAGACATACTCGTCCGAAGTCAATGGCCTTGATAATTCTCTCCTGAGTTACAATATGATAAACACAAGAACTCAAAAATATGTGCCGGTGGTGGCCACGTACTTTTGTCTCTTCGGAAGGCATTCTGGAGGGTTTGGTCGTGGGCGTTCACGGTAAACGTTGTCGGCGCTTGCCGACGAATTTTACACTTCGCAGAATAAGCGCGTACGTAGCGCACACCTCCTGCCACTCTCCTGCCCAGACAGCCCAGTGCAATTCGCGTTTGGCTCTCAAAGATGGCTTTCGGCTCACGATCATCTGCCGCGTACATTCAAAATGCTGCTCCTGGGTTCATCTCCACACCCGGGTATGTAATCGCCTTGGATTGTTTTGAATGTCGAGTACAACTTGTATTTACAGACGGGCACCGACATCTGCAACCGTCCATCCCGTTGCCCTTTTCTCCATCCTCGACCACTACCTCCGACGCACCGATGCACAGGAGCGGGTGATCGGAACTCTCCTCGGGACGCGCTCTGACAACGGCGAGATCGAGATTCGCTCGTCCTTTGCCGTTCTGCATAGCGAAACGGAAGAGCAGGTTGCAGTCGACATGGAGTATCATCAGACCATGTACGATTTGCATCACAAAGTCAACCCGAGGGAGGTCATCGTCGGATGGTGAGTCCTGCCAATCGGATTGCCAAGTCTAGAATTGACGGCATCTGCAGGTATTCGACAGGCTCTAATCTGAATACCTACTCGGCTCTCATACAAAATTTCTACTCCCAAGAGACTGCGCCGCATCAAGCTGTCCACCTCGCACTAAATACCGGTATTAAAGAGGGTGAGAAGGCAGGGGTCCAGGCATTTGTCGGGTACGCGTTCTCCCTCTCTTCACTCCACCGTATATCCATCGCATCGCAGATCGCCTGTTGGTGTATTCCCCAAGCCCGAAAACTGTGTATTTGTACCCATTCCATGCGAACTCCGCTTCCACGAGGCTGAACGTAGTGGATGTGCGTAGAGCTTCCCTGTCATCGTCCAACCCGATGTCCTCACAACTCCTAACAGTCGATCTTTTGGCCTCAACCTCTAACTCCTCTAATGCCAGCATCGCGCATCCAATCACTGATCTCGAAGTTCTTGAGCGGTCCCTCAAATCCGTGGATGAGATGCTGGAGCGCGTCCTTTCATACGTCCGGTCGGTCCTTGCGGGCGAGGTCAAGGGGGATCCCGCAGTGGGCAGATACCTGATGGACACATTGGGTGCGAGCACGGAAGATCTCGAGAAGGGGGGATTCAATGCTAGTCTTCAGGTATGTATGACTTCATCCCCATGATCGATTGAAACATGCCTGATGATGGGTTCCGTAGGACACACTAATGGTATCGTATCTTGCAAACCTTGTCCGTTCACAAGCGGAGGTATCGTCTCGACTAGCACTCGTGACAGCGTCGTAGTTCCCTGCAAAATAATGTACGCTATCTTTGCAGTGCATTTGTTTGGTATCTGTTATTCATATCTGAGCTCGGATGCAATGATTCTAGCTGTTAAAAATCCGTGAATGCTGCAGATCATGCCGCGCTGCAAGGATTTCGCCCAAGGGCCATGTCATCGCTGGTCCAAGCGAAACCTCCTGCAAGAGATTGTCTGAGTCTGCGCTGACGGATGGAGGCTTATCGTAGCCTGTCCGGAGATGTTTGCACCGTGATGTCTCTACCTCGACGAGCGGCTTAACGACGTGGAGTAGAAGTTGTTGGGCAGCATATGGTCCTAATGTATTCAATCGGACGGAAGCTGAAAGAAGGCTCCGGGCGTGCAGGAACAGATGGAGGAATTGACTGCGTTCTGAAGATGAAAATCATAGGCATGAATCAATCGCCAATCCATTTGTTAGGAGGGTAGTTCCTACCTAGCGAGAGACCCAGCGCGGCTGTGAGGACACCCCAGCAAACAGGGAGATGACCATGATTATCTTCTCGTCTAATCTTGAACTTAAGGGCGTCGATGAACTTCCCTGGACGAGCCTCCCGTGTCGCGCCAATGTCCACTTGCCCAGCATATTCCCTAGAGTGCGAGAGCGACATGGATGGCTTTGAGAATCCTTTCGAGTACAACGTGAGGAGTGCAACTCCTTGGGACTTGGACGCACGTCTGGCGACATGATTCAGTGTCATGGCCTCGTAGAGATTGTCGAGCGCCTTAACACTATCCAGGGCGCTGCTCAGTCTTTCCTTCCCCTTCTCTACGTCGTCCCAGGTAGAGTGCATCAGCTCCTCCATGAGCCTATGCGCATCCGATACGAATGGGAGTGCGCTCCGAGCATATGTTGCGAGACTGTCTCGCACGAAGTTCGTGGTGATGTCCAACGCGTCTCCCGACCGAGAAACAGACACGAATAATCCATGTGCGACGTAAGACTCAAGACCAGCTGAAGCGACGAATGATCCAGTGGGGAGATTGCTGTCGGAAAGGAGCAGAAGAATGTAAGCTTCGTCGTCGTTCATGGTGTCGATGAGCTGCTTGCTCCGAGATTTCCCAATGCGGCGCTGACGTAACGACATGCGCGCCCGTTGACCGCGGCACGCGTCCGAGTCGCGACTCGGATACTCTTCATGATTTCTGGCTCGGAACTGCGCTCCAGCAGACACTAGCTGTCATATTCTTCCGGGTAACACGTTGCATAAGCCTGGACAAAATGGGTTCGTGGTGCTGTTGGCTTTCTGTGTTCCTATAATGGAGCTTTGCCGCAGAGTCGAGCGTCGCGAAACAGCTGGTGGACAAGATGTACGAGAAGCGGAAGGCGGCAGCGCTTGAGCTCGAAAAGTAATTGCATCCGATTGTTATGCAAGAAGAGCATATATGAATGCGTACGTGCAGGCAGATTCGCGAGTGTCAGCAGCAGGGAGACCAGCGTCGCATCAGCCAAATTGTAGACCAGCTCGTGGACATGTTCAGCAACTCTACTAATCCCCTGCACGTCCGGAACGGCGGTCTCATCGGTCTCGCTGGTACTGCAATTGCGCTCGGTGTGGACATCGCCCCATACATGGAGAAGTTCGTGGAACCCCTACTCATTTGTTTCACGGATCCCGAGAACAGGGTGCGGTACTTCTCAGCTGAATGTTTGTACAACATTGCCAAAGTCTCGAAAGGAGAGATACTAGTGTACTTCAATCCCATCTTTGACGCATTAAGCAAGGTACGTCAGCTTGAGCATTGTGTATGAAGTAATTGCGAACTCGGTTTAGCTTGCAGCCGATTCTGAGCTATCCGTGAAGAATGGAGCAGAATTGCTCGATCGTTTACTGAAGGACATTGTGGCAGAGACTGCTTCCGTATACATCCCTCACTATCCCGAGACGGAGAAGATTCGCAGAAGGGTGGAAGAAGCGCGTGGGCTCAGCATCCTTGTTCCGCATCCAGACGACATTGCTAATGGCGAAGATATGAACGGAGCTCGCAAAGCATTTTCTCTTCCGCACTTCATTCCTCTACTGTCGGAGAGAATATATGTGCTCAGTCCATTCACGCGGAGTTATCTCGTCTCTTGGATTACCGTACTTGATTCTGTCCCAGAGTTGGAACTCATCACATATCTTCCGGAGTTCCTGGATGGCCTTTTGTTAGTGTTCCTTTACTCAGCTTGGTTCTATGCGTACTCACCTTGTTGCTTCACAGGAAGTATTTATCAGATCCAACAGAGGAGGTGCGAATAGCCACCGAAAACCTTCTTGCAGATTTCCTCCGTGAGATACGGGAAGTCACCATTGTTCAAAAACGCTTTGAAGAGCAGCTGAAGGCGAAGCGGGAAGCCGCCGCTGCAGAACAAGTCCGGAAAGCAGAGAACGAAAAGGAGAAGCTCCAAGACTTCACCTTGGTCAATTCAGAGCGCGGGGCCTTTATCCCGGAGGGTGACCATGCAGTGGACGATCGCTCCGATGTATCTCCCGACGAAAAGCAGTCTGAACACGACGGGAGAGATGTAGGAAGTGAGTACAGTTCAGCGTAGCCGACGGCGTCACATTGACAGTTCGGAAAGACTGGATACCAGGGCAAGGAGTCAAAATCGACTACGCTGCAATAGTTGAGATAATGATTCAACAGCTGGATGATCTGCGTGAGTCATTCCCGTTCATTGTGTTGCAGACCGTTGACAAACGCTTTCAGATGATGTCATACAGCAGTCGACTGCTTTACGATGGTTGTCTGAGTTTCTGGGCATCTGCCAGGATGTCATGGTTCCGTTTACCCCCCGTCTTATCCTAGCGATCCTACCAAATCTCTCACATCATGTCGGAATGATACAGTCTGCCGCTGTTCGAACCAACAAACTTCTCATGAATGTCATACAGACCCTTCCACCTCCCTCCGACCCTCCGACACGACAGGGAACAGACAAATCCTCATCCGCTGCATCACATATGGCGCCAAGCTCTCCTACACCGAGTGCGCCGTCCCTCGTCCCAAGTAGACAATCGACGGCTGGAAGGGAAACCAATCCTAGTCGAGATATTAGTTCACCGGAATCACCCCCAGAAACTGCTGTACCAGTGGCGTCTGACCGTGTCTCCATGATCTCTGTTCAACGAGCTCGAGCCAGCACAATACAGATGGATCAAAATCGTAATGTGAGCGAATCGACTATAAACGCCGCTGCACCGCAAGCCCAGAATAGTCGCCCTGCTTCTCCTACCTCGGCTGGGAGCGTACCGCAGTTGCAGCAATCACCGGAAGCATCGATCTTGCAAGAAAAGGCGGAGCACATCGACTATCAGTTGACGGTTAATGCGCTTACGATCCAGTTTCTGAGCGAGCATGAGGAAACACGGGTGGCTGCGTTGAAGTGGCTCATCATGCTCCATCAGAAAGCCCCAAAGAAGGTAAGGAATATGGGTCATATGAATTTGTATGATGCTAATGGCTTGACGTAGATCCTTGCCATGGACGACGGTACCTTTCCCGCCTTATTGAAAACTCTCTCCGATTCTTCAGAAGAGGTGTGCTCTGCATCGTTGCATCAATAGCCCCAGGTCTTCCATGCTCAACAATGTCGAATAGGTTATCAAGCATGATCTGCAACTCCTCGCTCAGATATCGTCTAGTTCCGAAGAATCATATTTTAAGTCCTTTATGATGAACCTTCTCGAACTGTTCAGCACAGACCGAGGCCTCTTGGAAGCCCGGGGAAGTCTGATCATACGACAGCTTTGCCTTAACTTGAACACAGAGCGGATTTATCGGACATTCGCGGAGATTCTGGAGAAAGAAGAGGTGACGTCCATGTTTCCAATTACTCGTTCTCATCCATTGACATATTAGCAGGACCTAGAGTTTGCTAGCGTCATGGTGCAAAAGCTGAATATTATCCTGATAACTTCTCCCGAGTTAGCGGACTTTCGGAGGAGATTGAAGAGTCTTGAGACACGCGTCAGTGCGAGTTGCAGTCACGTTAACAGTCTGGCTTCTCTGATACGAATCTTGCAGCAAGACGGTCAAGCGCTTTTTACGACGTTGTACAGATCATGGTGTCACAATGCTGTCGCAGTTTTTTCGCTATGTCTCCTTGCACAAGCATACGAACATGCGTCAAATTTGTTGTATATATTGTGCGTCACTCTTGTTGCTTAGGTGAAAATGTGGACTGATGTTAGACAGTGCCGACCTCGAGATTACAGTGCAGTTGCTTGTCCAGATAGACAAACTTGTGCAACTCATTGAATCTCCGGTCTTTACATGTGAGTAGGATTTGCATGAGCTTGAATGACATCCTCATGAAATGTCGTTAGACCTCCGGCTGCAACTTTTAGAACCGGAGAAATACCCTCATTTATTCAAATGCTTGTACGGCCTATTAATGCTGCTGCCCCAAAGTACTGCCTTTGTATCGCTACGAAATCGACTGAATGCCGTAAATTCGGCTGGCTTCTTGCATATAGCGCCGAAGTCGTAAGTATCCTCGCCCTGTATTAGGCCTGCATCTCACTCTCGATATAGGACAGTTGGCAATCTGTCATCAACGCGGTCTAAATTGGGTCGTGAAGAAATCAAGTGGCAGGAGCTGCTCTCACATTTCCGAGCCGTCCAGGCAAAGCACGAAAAATCCCGTCGGCAAGCGTTGGGGACAGATAGCACCATACTGTCTAGCTCATCCAGTGCTGAAAAGTTGGTGAACTCCACCCCTACTGTGGCTCCAGGCGCACCGCCGACTCGAGTACCCATGCGGCGTAAAGTCACCGGTGGCGAGAGTACTGCACGCCCACCCTCGCGGTCAAGCGGTGCACTGTCGCCTCTGAACCCTAGAGCGCGTGGACAGAGTGGATTATTAGCTTCGACTCTGGCGCAGCAGCCTGTGAGTCCCACATTCCAGGGTCAGACTCCTCAGCAGAAACCGCAGCGGATACTCAGTCTCAGTAGAAAGTCATGATGGGCCTGTTCGTTACTCATGATCATTATCTGTATTGCGCCTGTTGTACTTGTTTTCCGGACTGTCGTAATCTCAAAATTATTGATTTGGCAACACCATCTAGAGTACTTATAACGATACACAACATTCAATCTGATGTACACAGTACAGGGTATAAACAACAACGAAAGCAACAAATTCCGCAAAGGCGCCCAGAAATCGCTCATCGGCTAACTAAACGCATGGTCTTCAGTCTCAGAAACTAGCATGTTTCTGCGAATGATCTCGATATCCTCATTCGAGAGCCGGACGTATTGCTTCAAGTAATTCTCGACACCGCCGTATTTCTCATGTAATAACGCAAGGAATGCCAACATGGTCTCTGCTCTGAATGGGGAGATATAATGACGATCACCATCGGCTGGTATCAATACGAATAACCCACCGAGAAGACAGCATATTTAAGGCCTTTGAGCGGTCCGAAGCAAAGAACGGAATTTTGGCTAAACGAGCCATGACCATCGGTCGGTCGGGCTCTCGACCAACTCTTGTCAGTGCGTAATCCTCGGCAATGGTCTGATCGACCACGCCTGCTAGCTACACGTTGTGTGAAGATGGTTGGAGGTTAAGAGAGGGGAAAGAAGCATCTAATCTTGCATGTTGCGAACCTTTAGCAGAATTGCCGCTATAACACCTGTTCGATCTTTGCCAGCTGCACGAGATGAAGTGTGAGGTTAATAATGTGAACATCTGCGACGTACCTGTGCAGTGTACGATACAGCCTTCATTTGGCCTGTCTCTGACATGTCGGAGAATTTCGCCGAATGCGAATCCCCCATGTTCCAATATTTGAGAATAAAGTTCCATGAAGGCCTTGTTGCACACCGTGATCAAGAATTACTCTGGAATGAATTGGAACCAAGCGTACTGCGGTCCGTCCACTGGAGTACAGTTCAAATCGTCTGTATCACAAGCATGTAAGTACGAAACAAATAGGTGGTAGCTTGTAGCAACAGACATTAACGCACTTCGCCATCATCTCAGGACTGTAGTCCTCTTTCTTGAACACAGGGACCCGCAGGACTTCTATGCCTTCAATGTTCGGACAGGGTGTATGGTACTTCTCGATCTCTGTGTCCGACCGAAGATCGAACACTTTCGTGATTCCTAGCTGTTTAAGCTGCTGCATCCCTTGGAAAGAATCAGACGCCACTCGGTTGTAGCTTATCGTTCGAACGAACAACGCTATCTCATACAATGCACAACGACATACCCTCTTCTGTGATGGAAGATATTTCTGCTGAGCGAAATAGAAACCTGGGCTTTGTCATCAATCCTGGATGGACCGTTGCGTATGATCCCAAGTCTCGGATGTTACAGACACCAGAGATGGTCACAAATGGCGGCTGAGAAAGTCGTTCATTAACATAATCCGGGTCAAGAGGTTCCAGATCCATGGCAGAGTTTGATGTACAGCGCAACAGAATGAACGGGAATACAAGTGCGTCGCAGACTTCCGGCTGGGGGAGTCACGTGTGGGCGTGCTGTAGTTTAGGGTAGGCCATGTCGTGTTCAATGCCACAGGCGCGTCTTCCCCCTTCACCTCTTCTTTCGTCGACGAAAGCTGATCTACCATTTCACTGAAATATCATGGACGCAAATGGTCTGTCATCCCCACCTTTACGGCATTCGTCGCTACCCCCCAGTAGTGCACCAGTCGCGACCCAGTCATCGAATGGTAGATCCACTCCGAGACGAACGCGGACAGACGCGCTCGCTCTTGGAGACGAAGATGCTGAGCCGGCCGCAGAGGGCGATGATAGCACTTCCAGGAGACGGAGAAGGGCTCGAGGTCAGTTAGATATCGACATACCAATCGTCAAGGACGCCGTTGGAGAGAGCGTGCAGGAGAGCTTCGAGACGTTTCTCAGAACGTGAGCCGCTTTTGAACGCGTTCTTTTACCGTTCTTCAACTCTGTTTGCTCCAGCTTCACAGAGGAAGTGACTCGGGCGGCTACACCTGCTTCTGACGGCGATGTTCCCGCTGCAGCCGACGCCGAGCTCATCTACATTGAGCAGATCCACACCATGCGCGAGTATGAGCTCACGACTCTCTATGTCGACTATGGTCATCTACTGCAGAAGGACGATGTGCTTGCAGACGCCATTCAAAAACAATATTACCGCTTCCTTCCGTACATTCGCCGTGCCCTGCACAGCCTCGTGGCGCAGTACGAGCCAGAATATCTCAAGCTGAACCCGACCGCGGCCGCCACAGACTCTGTGAACCTTCAGTCGCGCGAATTTAATGTCGCGTTTTACCATCTACCGTTGGTGTCTGGCATTCGAGAACTGAGGACAGACAAAATTGGCACCCTCATGAGCATCAGCGGGACGGTAACGCGCACGAGCGAGGTTCGACCCGAATTGTTGTACGGCAGTTTCATCTGTGAGGTATGTGGGGGACTGGTAAACGAGATAGAGCAGCAGTTCAAGTACACCGAGGTGCGTCGCTCGCGCGTACAAACTATTTTCATATTCATAGTGCCACGCAGCCGAGTTTGTGCCCGAACCCTACATGTGGAAACCGCATCGCATGGCAGCTACAGATCGATACGTCAAAATTCACGGATTGGCAGAAGGTACGCATCCAGGAGAACCCTTCGGAGATACCGACGGGGTCGATGCCGCGCTCGCTCGACGTAATCCTGCGTTCGGAGTTGGTCGAGCGTGCAAAGGCAGGAGACAAGTGCGTGTTCACCGGCACGTTCATCGTGGTGCCCGACGTGAGTCAACTAGGACTACCTGGCGGCAACAAAGCAGAACTTATGCGGGAGGCGAGCAAAGCGGGCGCGAACTCCGCTGCGTCTGCGGTGGGCGGTGCGGGCGTGACAGGCCTCAAGAGCCTCGGCGTGAGGGACTTGCAGTACAAAACGGCCTTTTTGGCTTGCATGGTCCACGACGCCGATGGTCGGGTAAGCGAGCTCCCTGCCACCTTATTGAATGAGACCGCTCATTAGTGAGGAAGGCTGGCACCAATATCCGAGGAGAGGAGGAAGACGGTGACGACGACGGCCAGGCCTTCGCACGATCGCTGACCGAGCCCGAGTTCGAGGAGCTGAAAGCGATGCTGGAGTCGGATCATATTTATTCGCGGCTCGTCGAGAGCATCGCTCCGACCGTGTATGGGCATGAGATCGTTAAGAAAGGCCTTCTCTTGCAGCTCATGGGTGGTGTACACAAGCAGACACCCGAGGGCATGCATTTGCGCGGTGATATCAACATCTGTATTGTCGGAGATCCTTCGACTTCAAAATCGCAGTTCTTGAAGTGAGTACATTCAAGTATACTCAGCAACTTGGTCTCACGATTTCATGATACTGCAGATACATCTGCTCGTTCCTCCCTCGCGCGGTATACACGTCCGGCAAAGCCTCGTCAGCTGCGGGTCTGACAGCGGCGGTAGTCAAAGATGAGGAAACGGGCGACTTCACGATTGAAGCCGGTGCCCTGATGCTTGCGGACAACGGCATCTGCGCGATCGACGAGTTCGATAAGATGGACCTTTCCGACCAAGTTGCCATCCACGAGGCGATGGAACAGCAGACAATCTCCATTGCGAAGGCGGGCATACACGCGACGCTGAACGCGCGCACGTCAATTCTCGCCGCAGCCAACCCCGTCGGCGGTCGGTATGACCGCAAAAAGTCCTTACGTGCGAACGTTGCGATGACGGCGCCCATCATGAGCCGTTTCGATTTATTCTTTGTCGTGCTCGACGAGTGCGACGAGAAGTCGGACCTGAATATAGCGAAACACATCGTGAACGTACATCGGTTCCAGGACGAAGCAATACATCCTGAGTTCAGCACCGAGGCGCTGCAGAGATACATCCGGTACGCGAGAACATTCAACCCAAAAGTGAGTACTAATGCCTGCTGTGCATCCATTGATCTAAGCGTATGTATCAGCTCACTCCAGAGGCTGCGGACGTGTTGGTGGAGAAGTACCGCATCTTGAGGCAAGACGACGCGTCTGGTACAGGCAGAAACTCGTATCGCATTACCGTGCGGCAACTGGAGAGCATGATTCGACTAAGCGAAGCTATTGCCAGAGCTAACTGCACGTCCGAGATAACCCCAGCCTTCGTGCGAGAGGCATACAGTCTTCTGCGACAATCCATCATCCATGTCGAGCAAGATGACATCGAATTCGACGAGGAAGAACTGGAGGGCGAGCGAGAAGGGGACCGGCGTCCGCGAGCCACTCAAGACGACGAAGATGAGAGCCAGGACGTTGAGATGGCGGCGATGGAGACTGAACAAAGTTACCAAGAGTCCTTGGGCCTCGATGGCCAAGGCTCTGGCGGCTTGAATGGCGTATCGGGGTCCGATGCCACATCCCGTGCGGGCAGCATGCCTGCGGAGCCTCCTGCACCGCCAGCACATCCAAAGAGGAGGATGGTCATCACGCATGACAAGTATATGTCGTTACAAAGCTTGATTGTTCTGCATCTGTCGCAGGTGGAGCGGGAAACTGGTAGGGGAGTTGACCGCGACGAACTTATTGACTGGTATCTTGAGTTCAGGGAGGCCGAGATCCAGGACGTTGAGGAGCTTGAGTACGAGAAGGAGCTCATCACCAAGATGTTGCGCAAGCTGGTCAAGGTGAGTCCTCCGTCATGAATAGCTAGCCATGGGGCTAAGGTCTCTGCAGGATAATTTCTTGATTGAAATCAAGGGGGACGTTCAGGATTCGTTACCCCTCTCGGCAGACGAGAGCAGTGGGCAGCCTTCCTTTGACGGGCAGGGAGGAAATGTACGGGTGTACTATATGGTGCACCCATCTGTCGATACTGAGGAGTCTTCATCTGTTCCATGATAAGTGCATCAACTCTTGTTTTCTCAGATTTGTTATTTTTTGCTGTCTCTGGTGTATATCCTGTCTGCGTTGAGAGTCTCTGTATATCTGTGATGTATGTGATATATACATACCCATCAAGCATATTAAGTGTGTATCTAGGTTTCTCAAGGTGTCCAATTCAAGCTTTGTTCGTTGCTGTAAGCGCCTGCAAACAGATCTCCGATCCGATCATTCTGCACTTGTCGACGTTGTCGTTCCACCAGGCGGCGCCGGCTACAATAGATCACGGAGTCTTCGCTGAAGGCACTCGCCTATTCCTGGGGCTACAGACCACATGCTCCCCTTTCCAGTGTCACTCTCAGGGAGACATCAATACCCCAGGCAAAAGAGCCGTTCGCACAGGAGTACAAAAGACGTCCTACTCACCCAATCCAGAGTGACCAACCTCGGGCTTTTGCTCCTGGCAAGCCTCACCGCAATCTCCTTACTTTTCAACCTCAGATTCTATTTCTCTGCATCTAGGAATCCTCTGCCGTATCAATTTGTCCCCACCGCCAATAGCATTTTGTCAACCATTCAGCGCGACCGTGCAGTCTCAGTGTTAGATCATCTAATCATTGTGCCCGGACACGCAGTCTGGAAGGGTACCAATGCTGAGAGGAAACTAGATGATGATGAATGGATATTAGAGCCCTACCAGAGAGGTGGTGGACCCGTGTCAGCGTTTTATAAACACATTACTACTGGGTAAGCAAGCGATTCGCGTAGGTGGTGACGTGCGTGCTAAAGCTACGATCTTAGCGCTGAACTGGCTAGGCAGGATGAGAATTCCTTGCTCATCTTCAGCGGGTAAAAAGATTTCTTGCCTAGTAGTGACCAGGTTTTCATGCATTTGCGGCGCTCTAGAGGTCAGACTCGCCGGACATCGACGACTACTGAAGGCGAATCGTATATGCGACTAGCCCTGACATCTGGTTTCTTGCCAATATCCCAGCCATACTCTGCAGATGCACCACGTGTGGTTCGTGCTACCACCGAAGATCACGCACTTGATTCGTTTCAGAATCTGCTGTTCTCGATTGCGCGTTTTCACCAGTACACGGGTCATTACCCAGAACAAATTACCGTCGTTGGATTCGAGATGAAGAGGAAGAGGTTTATGGAATTGCATCGAGCCGCTCTACGATGGCCCAGAGACCGCTTCCACTATATTGGCATAGATGTTGAAGGGAATGAAGCAGTAAAGGCACACGAAGGCGAGGTTCGTCGAAGATCCAGTCCGATTTTCGCCTCGCTGACCTTCGAATGCAGAGACTGAACGGTTATCTGCCTTATACCCTCGACAATTATGGTTGTCATGATTTCCTGCTGTCAAAACGTCGTCAGCGCAATCCTTTTGCGCGATACCATTCCTACTATACCTCGTCACCGGAACTAGGTCCTCTGTTAGATTGGTGTCCTGGGCCTTCAGAAGGTGGTCAAACGGTGATCTATACTGGACCCTTACCTTGGGATAATCTACGATGATACAGACTTTTTCAAACATTGTCTGAGCGTGCTCACCAGTTACTCCGACCAGAACTTGATCGCATGCTTTCGCAACCAGAGCATAATCTTATGTATGTTGAAATAAGCGAAAGTTCTTCGGTCATGAGTATTTCAGGCAGCAGGTAGCCCATTCGCAAACACGCAGGGAGATTTGGTGTGGCACGGCTACCGTAAGTATGTCAACTAAGCGTCTGCCAACCGCCCAACAAGCATCTGCAAGCCTTCAAACCAAGAATAAAAGAATGTAGGTGGTCATCATCGTTTTAACGTCTGTGAAAGAGAGGTTACATTCAGAGCGCTTAAATTCGAGCTGAAGTATTAGTAATTCTGCATGACTGCAGTAGAATGTGACAGCCTTCCCGAAGTGCTTATAGCACTTGCTAACGTTCATTATACTTTCAGTACTTGCAACGTGCAGTAATTGCGTGCCAACGCTCATAGGCTGGGAATCTTTCAGGTTGTACGTCGCGGAGGGACTTCCAAAACTTTGGCGGTTGTACGTTGCGCGAGCTCTCCATTTCACGACACGCACTCAGGGTTGGATGTCCATTGTGCCGGAATCTATATGACCGCTGCATAACTTGGCTAGGATTCTATTGCGCATCATCTGCTGCATAACTCAGACGTCTTGCTAACCTGAACTCGTCGCTGTGCCACTATGCCAGACAACCAGATTATAGTGCCGCTCGCGATTGTCTCTGAATCTCTTCACTTCGCAACAGTGAAGTCGGATGGCACCGCGCAGGATGTCATTGACTCCGTTCTCACAGTTCCGGAAGTGGCCTCAGAAGTGCTCGGTGACTTAGAGCAGTATGGCTGGGGGTTGCAGATGATCCGAAAAGAACCTAATGGTCGACAGTGGGAGGAGAACGAGCTCGAGTCCCTGGGAAATGGTCAGTCACTTACGGTCTTTCCCTTCCATGACGCTGACCAGTTTCTTGTAGGGTTACTAGCACCCTCCATGGCCATCGCTCCGTTGCTGAATGCACCATCACCTACCGCTCGTTCACAGAGGCACTTCTCCGCGTTTCCACTCACTTCACATCTTCATACACCGGCACTGCGCGTAGTCTCGCTTCATCCGTTTCTGTCGTTGACGTGTTCGTTCCTCCGTGTTCCTGAGATTCATGATGGTTTCGAATGGAAATTGTTCATATCAAGATCGTCCACTGTTCAGCAAAGTATCGAGACAGTCATCGACGAGCTTGGGCTTACCAAGACCCTACCCACTCCGGGCGGTGGAAGCTTCGATTATGTGTTGGAAGAAGTCTGGACACATGAGAGCACGGAAAGTAAGAGTGTTGCAGCGCGTGTCAAGCATGAGGCTCAGACTTGTTTGCCAGAGTCTCATAAGCTGTCTCCTACAAGCCTGCTGTCAAACGTCCTTGAGCAGCCTTCCCCACGCAGGCCATCTGCGCCCTCTGCCTTCCGTACATTTCGATTTTGTGTACCAGAGGAGTGGTATCGTCGATCGAAGCCCCGCTCTGTCTCATCCACCTCCGCAGTGCCTTCTGAAGCGACCATACAGGGCCTCACTGACTTGGAGGAATCTGCTGACGAAGACGAGGACGGCGAAGGCACTGCTAAGCGATCTGATAGTGCTCAGCCTTCGACGCCAACAGCCTCAACCAGTGGCTTTAGCACATCGTCAGATTGGCGCGGGTCGATCTCTCAAAACCGTCTATCCAGTATGTTTGATAGTTGGATACACCCCCCGACTCCCGTGGCCAACGGTACAACTCCACAGGAGAAGAAAATTATCAGTGAACCAAAGCTCGTGACACACAACACCGGTGACAGCCTCGGGGAAAGCGGCCAAATTGTAGAAGATTCTGGTATTGACGGCATAGACATGGCAGAATTTGAACAGCTATTGGTAAGTCTAGACTTCAGGGCATTATGGAGTTCAGCACTCATCAGAGTTCCAGGACGAGATGGGCTTGAAAGGAGACAAGCGAGACCTTATGTATCGCCTTCCGTCGGAAAAGAAGCAATACCTGCTCCAGACGAACAAGGAGAATCGCTCTTCCGCAGGTTTCAAAACCCCTGCTGTCAAGACCGCCTCGGACCATACTATACAACCATCCACATATAGTCCTGCAAGTGCGAGCTCTTTGTTGCCCCGCCTCGTGCCTCAACTCACTGGAGATTCCGGACTGATGAGACGATTCTCGATAGCCGGTTGGGGTAGCAGCGCGGTGACTCCGGAAGACCAAAGCCCTGCAAATGCCGACAATTGTTCTGTTAGGCAAAATTCTAGAGGCACGGCCACAGCAGAGGTGGAGAGTCCTACGGAAGCCACTTCACTGCAGCCTCAGACCACTGGTGGGCTTTGGAGCAGTTGGTGGACTTCGTCTGGTGGCGAAAAGAGTGCCGCACCGGCAGGAAAAAAGCAACTGAAAGAGACCGAAAAAAGCGCCAAGTGGTATGTAGACAAGCTTCGGAGCGGAAGGACGTCGGATACAAAGCTTGTGAAACATCTCATCTCCCTGCGAGTACACCTTTCGACCGCCAACCTGGCTTGGATCGAAGACTTTGTGTTGACAGAGAAGGGGATGGACATTTTAGGCCGATTCCTGTCGGGGCTAGTTGCCAAGGGCGGTAAGCGGAAGAAATTGAATGAGGTTGAAGAAACGGTGCTTCTGGAAGTCATTAAATGTCTTCGAGTATTGCTCAACACGGAGGTTTGTGGCAGAAGGATTCCGGTACGATTAGAACTTACACTATGTCTTACAGCTCGGGTTCGACCAAGTTCTGTCTGCGCCCATTCTGATAACTCACATCGCCTATTCGCTGCACGGTTCCTCTGTCAAACTGCGAACTCTTGCCTCGGAAGTTCTTGCTGCAATATGTGTCTTGTCACTAACGGAAGGTCACAAAGCAGTGGTTTCTGCAATGTCGGATTATCGCGTGGAGTTCGAAGAGCCATTTCGTTTTCAAGAACTCATTGCCTCTCTCAGACTACCTGATATCTCTGACGATGCGACATCGACTGATGACGACAACTATCGTAATGAAGAAGGGGTTTGGGAAGCTCGGACAGCTTCTATGGCGTTGGTCAATGCACTCACCAATTGTCCGGATGTCCTGGAAGAGCGGATCCTTCTGCGCGAAGAATTTGGAAGGCGAGGCTTGAACGAAGTCATAGTGGTATGTCTGCTCCTTCTCATCCTTGTATCTATTTAACTATGTGATTTAGACTCTCCGATATGTCAAACCGCCTGAATCTCTGGTTACACAGCTCGATGTGTATACTGAAGAAAAATTTGAGGATGAAGAAGACATGCGCGAGCGTGCTCGCAGCTTGGCAAGTTGTCACAAGTCGCCATCCGATGCGGACGATACGACTCGGCGCCTTATTTCTTTGGCAAGACAACACGACCAGTTATATCCTGCGATGAACGAAATTATCCAACACTTCAGTCAGTTACTCGAGAGTGATGTCGATAAGTACGGTCATTCCAGCTGACACTCGATTCCTTGTATTTGACTACTCGCAGCCAGCTTAAAGCAGATCTTCTATTCATCTCGGGCATGTTCATCAAGATGTTGTGTTCTCTTCGAGATGTGTATGACTTTATCATCTTCAACTAATCATGCAACCAATTCACACTTTTTTTTCAGGCAAGGGAGCTGGCCCAGCTTTCTACAGCAATTCGTAGCATCTGTCCAGCAAATCACTGGTCAAGGACTGGACGTGAAACCCCCGAATGGCCACGAGTCCGTGATAGAAGCTGAGATTGAGACCTTACGTACTCGCGAAGAGGAGTTAAGCCAGGAGGCAGGACACATTTTTTGCTCACGTCAATCCGCCGTTGACGTATTCTCGCAGAGGAACGAACTTCGGGATCAGCTAGAACAGCAGGTTGCAGAGATCAATACTCTCCGGTCGTTAACCCCTGGAATGTTGATCTCGCAGCCGAAGGGAAGTGGAGGTGTCACAGAGGTGGGTAATTCCCTAACCCCATCAGCTCTTACTGTAACCCTACGTTGCAAAGTCCAACCAGAACCTGCATGGACTTGTTCAGCGTCTTGTTCAGAAGGAGAAACATGTCTTACAGCTCCAAGCTGAGCTTGATCGCCTAAAAGCTGCCAATCCAGCTGACAGACGAGATGCAGTAAGCTTATTGCGAATCAGTGTATTGAATTGGCGTGAAATGACAGAACCATAGGATGAACGAGCGAAGCGTGAACGAGACAGGGTGAAATGGAACACCTTGATGGAAGAGATAGCCAAGCTAAAGCTGCAGGTGAGCAGTGGCTTTCTTGTTGGAATTATATCGATTATACCTGATGTGTAATCTAGATCGGTGAACTCGATAGTGGCATTGGGATCAAAGACAAGGAGGTAATCTATCTGAAGAGAGCGCTTGAGTCTGTTTACTCCCGATTCCGACTGAGAGAGGGAAATCGTGAAGCTGAATTCGACGCGCAACTCATTGCTACTCGTGCCATTGATAGCTTCACTCGAAAGGACGAGGAAATCGCAAATCTCCAGGCAGAGGTCGCCAAGCTGAAATCAGAATTGTCAGAGAAGTCAAAAATAAAGACGGAGACAGATTTCAAGCGTCGAGTCCCGCCACCACCACCACCCCTACCCACAAAACCAAATCGTCCTCCTGTTGTTGGTGGTTCTGGTCTCAAGATTAACGGTGTGTCCGACACAGCAGCATATTCACCATCTACACCGTTCCCTCATCCGCCACCCCCACCTCCTCCACCATCACCGCCCCCACCTCCTGCAGTGAAGCAGACGTCACTACCGTCCCCGCGGACATCTCAGGTTGTCATCCCGTCATTTTCACCGTCAGTAGTAGGTCTTCAACAGCCGTCGTCGCCGCCGCCGTCACCATCACCACCACCGTCTTCAACTTCCGGCTCTCCTTCGTCGTTATCACCTCCACCGCCACCTCCACCGCCACCTCCGCCGCCGCCGCCGCCGCCACTGCCGTCTCCAGCTGCTTCGATACCACTCTCGGGGCCGCCGCCTCCACCGCCTCCACCTCCTTCTGCCTATAGAGCACCGACTAGATCTAAGATTGTTCGCCCAGCGAAGCGTTTGAAGCCCTTCTTCTGGAACAAGCTCCCCCCTCTTTCAATATCCTCCACGGTGTGGAGCGAGGTCCCTCAAGATGCTTCGTTTGACCTGAGTGATATAGAGGTCACCTTTTCCATCGCAAGCAGTTCCCAACTCTCTGTAGCATCTCCCAGAAAGCAGTCAGTGACGACCCTTCTTGATATTACGAGGGCGAATAATGTGGGTAAGTGCTCCAGTGCTCCAACAACGAGCTCCATCTTAAATCAGCACTTTTACTGGAAGCCATTATGCTGTCCCGGATCAAGCTTGAATTACCTGAGATTCGATCCGCACTTCTCACTCTGGACGACCAGAAATTGTCGATTGACGAACTCAGGGCAATCGGCAGACAGCTACCCACTCCAGAAGAGGTATGTTGTATCGCAGCAGTATCTGCGCTTAGACTTCACAGGCATTCGAACGATAGATCACAAGGCTTAAGGATTTCGATGATGTTAACAAATTGTCCAAGGCGGACCAGTACTTCATTCAGGTGGGGAAAGCGACATTCTCTGTATGTCTTTCGAGCGCTTATACCAGCGGTAATAGATCATGACTATTCCAAGGCTATCAGGTCGACTGGAATGCATGCTGTATCGTCGGAAATTGGAGCTCGAACTGGAAGAATTACGGCCAGAGCTGAATATCGTTCGCAATGCCTCTCATGAGATACGCTCCTCAGCGAAGTTCAAGAGAATATTACAGGTAAGTATTACAAGTACTAACAGCAGTTTTGTCTACATACTCACTTTACGCTGTTAGGCTGTTCTTGTTGTCGGCAATGCTCTAAATGGTTCCACGTTCCGTGGCGGAGCTAGAGGCTTCCAGTTAGAGGCCCTGCTGAAGGTGGGCATGCTAGCTTCTTACGCCTCACTGTAACTGATATCGGCACAGTTGAAAGAGACTAAGACTGCGAAGGGTGGACCGGAGTGCCCCACCCTTCTGCATTATGTCGCCAGAATCCTCCTGAGGAGTGATCCGTCCCTAGTAATGTTCATCGAGGATATGCCACATCTGGAGGCAGCCGCTCGAGGTATTTAGGTTTCCTCGTCTGCTTTTGAGGGCTGATCTAAGGCTGATAGCGACATAGTTTCTGTACAGACAACCGTAGCGTCTGTGCAAGCACTCAGCATCGGCCTTGACCAAGTCGCTTCAGAGATCCGGGAGATGAAGAAGATACTGCTCCCTGCGAACGACACCTTCATTTCTGTCATGCAGGTATGTTTCGTTCAGAGATTTGCACGACATTGACTCACCGTACGGTGATGTGCTAGCCGTTTGCGACACAAGTGGCTCATAGCGTGAATGCACTTAAGAACATGGCGAATGTGTTGGAGAATGAGCTGAAGGCAATGTTGGCGTTCTATGGAGAAACTTCAGATTCCTCCGAAGGGCCAAAGCCCGAGGATTTCTTTGGTCTCATACTGACCTTTTCGTCCACTATACAGGTAAATCATTAGGATATCTGCTGCGATGGTACTTCTCTAACTTTCCTTTCAGAAAGCTGCATTGGAAGTGCATGATGCCGAAGAGAAACTCAAGCCAGTGTCACCGAAGATTGCAGTCGAAGTGTCGAAGACATCTCCTGCGGGAGAATTGGTCAGTTTCATAGTGACGATGCGCAGCCACGGTCCTGATCGCCACTTGCAGATGGTTACGCCAAATGTTGTCGACCACCTGGCTCCACCTGGCTCTCGGAGTCGTTCTACGGGTCGTTCTGTCGGCCGGGGAGATCTCGATCAAGCCATTCGCAGTATGCGGACAGGTAAAAGAGTAGTTCGAGCTCCCCATCAACCTCTCAGCAAGATATTTGTGGACGGCGCGAGGACCAGCCGCATGTTTGAATGAAGTATGTTTCCTAATCGGTTTGATGTCGGTTTGCAGTCATATGCACAGCTCTCGCACTGTTGAATTACGACCTATTGCTTGTTGTATCTAACTGTATGTACGTATCTTTATGTAGTGCGCTGGTACAATGATCTACGGTATCTACACAATGTCATAGATTGAGGGGTGAAACTGCGTCGCATTTAGTGATACATCCGAGGAATAAATTGAAGAATCGCGGGACCTATTAAAATGTTATGAGCAGGGCCATTCAAATGAACGAGCGAGAAACCCATAATCTCACGTCAAGGTTCTCTGCGACCAGGCAGTTCTTCCCGAGTGGGCCCCAAGAATCGTCGCAGGAACGGTAATTCCATACGTCCACTACGGTTTCTCCCGTAGTATGTGCTCCATTGAGTTCGACATCTACCCTGTATCTGTTGCACGTGAACATGTCCGGCTGGGAGACATAGGCAACAGTGAGCGCGTCATGCAGAGGGGGACCTTGGTTAAAACCGAAAGTGGACTTGTAAGCGTCCGCGAAGAAACCTATTAGGGTTGAGAGCATGTGGCGTAACTTGGTCGATGCTGCAGGGCACGCGCCGTTAGCCGCGGGAGCACCTGGACACAGTAACTGAGACATAAGACTCTGCGTCACAATTGCTGTATGAGTAACATTCAGTGGTATCATAGTCTTCTTCACAGGAACGTCGAACACGATCTGCGCGGCTTCGGCTAGAGATGTGGAATTAAGGACATGAGTCTGAGGAAGAAAGTGAACACCTTACGGTCACATAAAATGTTGAATTCTTTGATATGTTAGACTTGAAAAGTGAAACACGGATGATACGACAAACGCACCTGCAGACGCAGAGCGGTTGCCAATGCCGATTCCTCCGCCCATGAATACTAATTCCTCTATTGTTGTCATGAGCACGCGTGTTTTGGCTACCAAACCAGACAAACCTATTCCTACGAGGAGATCAGGGTACACACTCACGAAGAGTGCTATGTTGGTCATCGGTCCAGAGGACAGCACAGTAACACGGTAGCCTTGGCCATCTTTCCATGTGTTCCGGACGGCTTCAGCTATCCCTTCGATTGCCCGCGTAGTTCGGCCGTTAATCTTAAGACGAGCGCGCACTCCTTCGCTATCCGCGGAGGGCAGTCCTTCGACCCCTCCGAGCCCATCAATACCGTGAATTTCTGGATCGTGCCTCGCAGGGCGTATGAGAGGCTTTGATGCACCAGGATAAACATGTACATCGCTATGTGCACCAAACGCATAGAGGCATCTCGCGGCATTCACAATGGTATTCTCGGCACTGGCATTGCCATGTACCTAGCTCAAACTATTAAGTGGGAGCGCAAGTAGTCCAAATGGCTTTTCTCACTGTCGATATGCCCAAGAGACGGGTATTTGGGCAGTGTATGGCCAGCATGATTGCGGTGGCATCGTCGTGTCCCTACAATCGCAGAGAGCTGAACTTTGAAACTCTTGTTGCAAATGGGAAACGGTGCTCACTGGGTCACAATCGAGCCAGATGTGTTTTATATTCGTCGGCTCCATGGCTATGAACGACGCGTTTAAAGAGGTGAACTCAAGATATGGCCAATCTGTTCGGCGATCTCCTTCATATCGACATAGCATGACCAACGGGCATCCTCAGATCAGGAATTCTACGAGTTAATGGTGAAATCAGACTGTCCATGCCTTGTCAATGTTTCCGAAAAGATTGACTAAGGTAAAGTCGAGTACATAGGCTTGAAGATCGTGTCCCAAACTAAGTAAGAAGTACGGTGCTTACGTCAGCAGTTTTAATTATTTCGTCTACCATCACCGTGCTCGGCAGACCATACTCTGCGGTCCCACTAAGAATCATGGACCCTCACTCTCGCTTCTTGCAGTTCAACAGCAGACAACCAAAATCCGGACCCATTGCTTCGAGCTCACGCTACATGGATCCGGTGAAACCTGCTAATCCTCTAGATAATTTCAAGAGAAGGCCCACTCCGTCCAGGAAGTCTTCCACGGCCTCCATATCTGCGTTGTACACTTCCAGACCAATTGCTACGAATTCCAGGGTGAAACAAGGTGAGTTACTAGCCTGCACGGTGTCAGTCTATTGACAAGTGGTCCCGTTACTTTTGTTCCACAGATGAGCAATACAGAAATGATATGTATCTGGCATTTGTGAACAATGCACTACAGCAGAAAACAAATGTGAGTGGCAAAATTTGTGCGACTCTCAGTTCTGATTTTTCTCCAGGGCGTGAGTGACGCTTTTGACGAGCTAGTTGACCAGTTCAATCCGAGGAAGTCGATAAGTTCTCTGGCGTCACCTACCCCGCAACTTCGTTTCTGGATCCTGGCTCTTTCTCATGTCGTTTCGCGCCTCGACCGACCTCATTTTGCTTTGGTCGAGGCCATTCTGAGTACCCCTTGGACGACCATGGACACCAGTTTTGTCAAGTCCTACACAGCATTCATCGGCATGCTTGTCAGCGCAAAACCTGAATACTTATCGCTCGTGCTTGGGAAAATCGCACAGGGACTGACCTACCGTGGGTACAATGTATCTGCCGTCCACGTATTGTCTCAGACGCTGTTTCAGAATCAGGTTTTCAAGCCCTGAACGCGGGACCGGCGGAAGGCTCCTCGAGCCCCATCACCCGTCGTATTGTTTACGATCGTGTACATTTCCTATTGCAACATCTAATTTCCCTTGTCCCCACAATACCCTCCGCATTCCAACCCTTTCTTGTCCGGAACTTCCCGCACAAACGACAGAATCTGGCAACGCAGGTTACATACATACGGAATCTCTTGAGGATAACTGAGTACTGCTCTGAACTTTCGGATCGCATATTGGCAACTATTGTAGATCGTACCATCCAGATTGATGTGCGTGTCTCTACCACTTTCACAATCGGCCGTGGCGCTTACGAGAACATCAACAGGTTGAGATCCAGGTGGAACTTGAAGAGTTGGAGGAACAGCTAGCCAATGAAGGTCCGAACGAGGTATTTGAGTTGGATCCATTCGATACACTGGTCGGCCAAGAGGGAGAGGACACCGATTCGGAGGACGATGACGACGAAGATGGTTTCAGTGATCTCTCCTCTGACGCCGGCGGAGATATCGATGATGATGACACGCCAGACGTCCCGTCTGATTTCAAGCAAGTCCAGAGTATGGTGGACAAACTAGACGCGATTCTGAAGACGATATTCGACCACTTCAATCGTACACATTCGTCCGATCCTGCAACCTCGGTTGGGTTATCGACTCCCTTGTCTCGCTCCGATTCCCCGCTGTTACCAGTGGAGCCTCTCCCTCCTCCATCTCCTTCGCCTGTCGAACGAGGCAAATTGGTCCGACGCCAGCAATTCCATACTCTAATGTCCATTTTTGACAGGACCATCCTTCGCACATTCAAGTCTCGTTACACCCAGTTTCTGATTTTCTGGTACTCGTCGCTAGATCCAGAGTTCAGTGATTTATTCCAAGGGACGTTAGTATCAAAAGCACTGCTAGAGGAGGACCAGCCCGCAGTAACCCGTGCTGCCGCCGCCAGCTACATCGCTAGTTTCGTGAGCCGAGCTCAATTTGTTGATCGGCAGAGCACGCGGGGTGTGGTTGCACTGTTGTGCAATTTTCTGCGGAGTCGCCTGGACCTGTTCGATGCGATGATGCAGACGGGTGCTGTGTTACCCAGCCTAGCTCACCATAGCGTGTTCTACGCAGTGACTCAGGCGGTGTTCTTGATCTTCTGTTTCCGATGGAGGGATTTACTTGAGGATGAAGAGGATGTGGACGAATATGCCTCCATCGGCGTTCCAAAGAAGAAGTGGATGGTGGAACTCGACATACTGCAGCGCGTTATCACGTCCGAGCTGAATCCTTTGAAGGTGTGTCCTGAAAATTGTCAATGTGTTGACGTTCCATCGATCACCGATCCTTCTGCAGGTCTGTTCGTCTAACGTCGTCATGCAATTTGCGAGGGTTGCACAGGCGACGGACTTCATATACTGCTATTCCATCCTAGAAGCCAACAAGCGGTCTGACTATGCCCCAGCTTCTCCTGCCCCGACCACCGCTGGCCCGCAGCTGAATGCCCGCGGTCCCACGATACATCTGTCCATGTTTGGCCAATCCCTGACTTCGGAGCTTAACACGTTCTTCCCCTTTGACCCTTACAAGCTGCCCCGATCAGGGTCATACATCCAGGGGGTCTATCGCGAATGGTCGTCCGTTGCGATTGACGATGACGATGAGGAAGAGGAGGAAGATGAGGTTGAAGAGGTGGGCGAAGACGAGGACGACGATGCGGAGCAGGATGCAGGGCCGAAGGGCATCGTTATTGCTGGGGTGCGCAGGGTGGCTAAAGATAAGGAGGCGAATGATTTGGGCGCGTCCTTTGGCGGCATGAGCATCAGTCCGATGTATCCTAGCCCGTTGAAGGCGACTGCTTCATAGTCTGGTGCCTTCACTGTGACATCGATGTTTGGTTAGATGCGCGATCCACCCGATGCTTTTCGATCTATGGGAGTTAAGTGCACCTGTAGTGTTTCTCCTTGGCAACGCTTGCGTCGGGAGAAACAAGCGCCTGACAGTTCTGGTGACGGCGGTATCCCGAGTTAGTTACTCAGCTTCCCGTGATACGACAACACAGTGACAGCTAGCTATTATAAGTCAGTCACTGGAGTGATAAGGAAAAGCGTAACGTGAAGGAGCAGCTGAAGGCACACATCATACTCCAAGTATTCGTACAACAATTTGAGTCGGCAAAACGCGTTCAAGATCACGTGCTGGGAAATTACCTTATTAGTTGACCCTACTGAGGGCTGGAGTCCGCAACGTCGTCAAGTACTGGCAGAAATATGTCGACCCCAGCGCCGTTCACCGCGGCGCACAGGAGCTATGTCAAATCACTCTACCGGCGATATCTCAATAATGAGTTAAATTGGACTGTTCGGCGTGACCTTTGGAGAGCGAAGGCGATGGGGATTCGGGCTGAATTCGAAAGCAATCGGTGAGTCTTGGGCACCCTGGCGCGCCTAAGTAAGAAACTCACTGCATTATCGTGTTTGTGATTGGTATGTGATTTCTTAAGGGATGTGCACGACCCGAGAGCACTGGCGGATATCCTTGTGAAGGCAGAAGCAGATCTTGCTACTCGAGCGCATCCCGACCCTTACCGGCGTGAGTGAACTCAGTTCATCCCTGCTCCTTCTCGCAAATTCAAGTTTCTCTACAGCTCCCGAGGCCCCAGATGGGTCAAAATGGTGCGTTATATGGGTGGATAGGCTGAGCCAATTATTGATCGTCTATTTTCGCCGTGCAGGGAACGCAACCTCCCGGTATGTGTTAGTCGTGGAGTTCTCCCATCTACTGCTGACTATGATCTCTTCAGCCTCCGCTGGGCCCGCTCTTCGATCACGAGAAGTTCAACGAGGAGCACGGTCGTGAGCCCGACACGAAGTCCATCGAGGAGCAGGAACCGGCTTATTGATCGGAGAGGCTGGTCTGTTGTAATGATTGCGGAGGATATTACACTTCGACTTTTCTCTATGTGTGCGTGTGATACGATGCCAAGCATCGATGATGTTCTGCATGAATCCGATGAGAGTTGTGACGTTGAGAATTGAGTTGTTCCGCGTTCTGCTGAATCACAGGCCCGCGTACGTACACGCACGTGGCAGAAGTCTTTCCACTGCAACCACAGGGAGAACGAATTCTCTCGGTGAACCACCACTATCACCCGTTCCATGAACTATCTTCGCGGCGCGGTCAACGCGATCAGTGCGCCCTACCAGTACTACAAGGACATTAATCCATCCACCCTCACTGGCGCCATCGACGTCATTGTAATTAGCCGGCCTAATCAGCATGTCGACGATAAACAGAGTCCCAGCTCCAGTGACAAGCCAGCGGACGATAACGAGCTCGTGTGCTCACCGTTCCATGTCAGGTTTGGGAAATGGCAGGTGCTCAGACCGGGGGACAAGAAGGTGCGCTGCTTCAGCACTTATTGTTGTTCATGGAGTGATAGAGATCAGGTCAACGTATTTGTCAATGGAAATGCAGTCCCTTTTCCGATGAAGATTGGTGAGGCCGGCGAAGCTTTTTTTGTCTTCGAAACGGATGAAGAGATCTCAGAAGATATTGCTACCAGTCCTCTGCTAGAAGCAACCAAGCCAGGACAGACCAACGCTCAGGTCGCACACCCGGGCAGATTTGGCACCAAAGAAGGTGCTGACAACGCAGAGGACGAGATTCAAACAGCCTCTCAGGAACCAGAATTCCTCGATCTAAACGCTTCGCCTCAGGATGATGCGAGACCTCTGACTTCACACACTCTTGAAAGACCTCCGTCTCAGTCGGAGGAGGAACTTCATCAGCCTTCCTTGCTGGCGCGTACAGCGCAATTAGGCAAGACTGTCGTCGCCGCTGCTGTTGAGATAGAGAGGTCGCAAGCACAGAAGCTAAGCGACAAGACAATATCGGAGGCTGTGTCTGAGGTAGGGAAGGACCAGCAGACTTTGTTGCAAGAAAAAGCTGTTACTGCGGAAAATGTAGTTAAGCGGTCTGTGTCGGACTACCTTCCCTTGGGCAACAAGGGCGATGAAGTTCTCCCCGTGGATAGACAGAATGTTGAACCACCAGAAGTCGTGTACACAGACAGTACGTTAGCCCAAATATTAATTAGAGGCGGATAATTGCTCACTAAAGCCCCAGGAATGGTTTTTGATTCAGCAGGTTATCATGCACACCAGCACACCTATTCGGCTGAATATGGTGCTCCCAGTGACGGTAGACCATCGTTTGTCTCCGAACCGTCTAGTCCAGAGATGACACCGGGGCCATCTAGTATGTGATATATCGATAGTCATCATACTGATGACTTATGCTATTGTGCCAGGGTCGCCATCACCATCACCTTCAATGCCGACCGAATCTTCGTCCGCCCCTCCAGGTCCGGTCCCATTCCCCAGTATGCGTGCAGCTTCCGAGCCGCCACCAGAAGGAGACCTCAGACCACAATTTGCGGCTCAATCACCCCCAATCGCATCCTCGTCGCGTTCGCCATCAAAATCCGGCATACGTGCTAACAAGTCCAAGGTTGTCCCACGTGCCAGTCTTCGCGAGCTTGATGTCTCCACACTGGATGTGGATACTCCCCAATACGTATGGGAGTGGGGCAACTTCCCTCAGAAGACACCCGTTGAGACTGACTACCGGATACCATTTCCAGGAGTCAATGACTCTCTGGACACTAGGAAGGGAAAAGGCAGAATGTATTCGGAGGTGGGTACAGAGGCTGGTATGGAGCTAGGAGAGCTGTTAGCTGGTGTTGGCAAAACGCCATCGGGTCTATCAAGATCATTGACTACTGACGAAACATCACAGAGACGTAGGGGACGGAGTGAAGAGACGAAGTATGGCACGGGTGGGCGGTTGACAGTGGACCGAAGGGATCCGACACTCTTTAGGGTGTTTATTGAAGGGAAGGTAGCGGAGTTCGAGCTGAGTATCATTCCTGACCTTGCGCAGGAACAGGCAGAAACCAAGGGTGGAGGTCTTCTGAGTGGTAAAGATGGAGTTGAGGACGCTCGTCTCTTTGACCAGGGTAAAATCGACTTTCAGCGGTTCTTGGGAGACGACCGACTCGTGCATGACGAGAATTTGGTGCTGAAGTGGGCAGGAGATGTGTGAGTGCTCCAGCACTTTATGTGTGTCCTTTATGAACAATGACTGATTTAGAATTGCCTAGGTACATCACACGTAGAGATGCCTCCCCATTGATGGACGCGCTGGTCATCTGGCGTGAATCCGCACGCAACGGCAAGCTTGCGCGGTTTTCCTCCCGTTCGCCTTCGCCTGGCCGTTCAGATGAACGTTCACGTCTCAAGGAAATCGAAGAAGAAATCCTTGACCGGCCGCAGATAAATCGTACTTCGACAGATACGTCGGACAATGCAGCTCCAGCAACCATTACCACTGTTTCTGGCCAAGCGGAAAAGGCGTCCTCCTCACCATGGGTCCGGTGGTGGAGTCGTAGTCGCAGAGAGGCGTCCAGGCCTGATCTGAGACCTTCTAATTCAGCACCTCCGGATATGGTAGGTCATGATGCAGCTTATTATTCGCATTTACACTAAATATCGCTTCGGTAGGAGACGAGGAAGGGACTTGAACAGCCGGAGGTCGTGTCGATAAAGCGTTCCCCATCATCCGCGTCTGCACCAGTCATCCCTCCTTTAGATCTGCATGTGGAGACTGAGTCACCCGATGTTACACCACCACCTGAAGAGGTGGCGAACGCGCGTCGGAAGAGGTATGCGAAGACACTTCGATTGACTTCTGAGCAGTTGGTATGTCGTTTTCATGTACCGTTCACCTCTCGACGAGTAGTGCTGAATCCGCGGTCTTGAATGTTTCCAGAAATCCCTGAACCTCCAGCCTGGCCCGAATATTATCACATTTTCTTTGTCTGCGACCGGGGCCATTGCTTGCACCGCTCGCTTGTTTCTGTGGAACCACTCTGATAGGATTGTAGTGTCGGATATTGACGGTACAATCACGAAGTAAGCACTTCCATCTGTTACATTTTTTCCGTCGAACATGTATTAAGCCTGACCATATGTGGTCGCTACAGATCAGACGCTCTAGGACATGTCTTCACTATGATTGGAAGAGATTGGACACATCTCGGTGTGGCGAAACTGTACACAGATATCTGCCGGAATGGGTACAAGATCATGTACCTCACCTCGCGAGCCATTGGACAGGCGGATTCCACCAGGGATTATCTCAAAGGCGTCAAGCAGAATGATTACCAACTACCGGATGGACCTGTAATTATGAGTCCAGATCGGCTCATGGCTTCCTTGCATCGGTGCGTTTTGAATTTGTTCGGTGCCTAGTACTCTATTTAGATCGCTTTAGCGAGGTCATCATGCGAAAGCCGGAAGTTTTTAAGATGGCTTGTCTCAGAGACATTCAGAAGCTGTTCGGCAATACCTCACGGAATCCGTTCTATGCTGGCTTTGGGAACCGTATCACCGATGCTCTCTCTTACCGTAGCGTCAACGTACCTAGCTCGAGAATCTTTACGATCGATTCGACAGGGGAGGTCAAGATGGAATTGCTCGAGCTCGCCGGATACAAGTCTTCGTGAGTGAAGATCACGACCTGTGACATATAAATATGAGATCTCATGAGGCGGCTGACAGATACATCCATATGACGGATCTTGTTGACCAGATGTTCCCTCCAATCCACCGCAAGTGGGCAGCGGAGTTTACAGACTTCAATTACTGGAAACCTCCAATGCAGGAATACGCACTTCCAGATCTTACACCGCCTTCACCCGCTCTCAGCGCTCGCTCTGACTCATCCAATCAGAGCCCCCTTGCGCGGTTGAGGAACTTCAGCTTAGTTGGGAGCAGACAGCCAAAAATCATAAGACCCTTGAGTTTGCCTCCGCCAGCCACAGAGCACCCAGAAAACGGGAAGAGAGATCAGGTCGGGCGCAAGGACCAACATCTGAGGCAAATGTCTTCCTTGGAGAGATTGAGCAACACCCTTGCTACTCTGGCGCTATCGTCATCTCCTTCCAATGGAAGTCCGGGGTCAGCTTCATCGACGTACATTGATTCCGGTTCTGAGGACGAGGACGACGGTGACCTGGAAGGACAGAAGAAAAGACGACGTAGGAGCACTGCGAGCATGCCAGGTTCACTTCCGGGTTCAAGAGGCTCTTCTGACGTTGAGGACGAGCTGCACTTCGACATGGATGAAGAACGCGGATCTGAGTATGATGGCGAGAAGGAGGAAGAGGCTGCAGAGGAAACATTTGACGAAGATCTTTTGGTAACTGGAGAAATGCAGAATGTGCCCTTCCTTTGAGCTCCGATCTTCAGTGAATTCGTTGCGGTATATCCACTCAACATACATACGCATGTTCTAATTATATTGCTATCAAATGCTGCTCGATAGAGTGCAGTTTTGCACTTTCTTCCTGCCTTGGGGAATAATTTTCAGTGGGTGTTCTGCAATTCGGCGAGTATTTTTTCGATGCACCTGGTCTGAAAGGCATTCGTACACACCATCTAAGTGCAACGAGTGTCGAATTTGAACAGAGCAGTGTATTCCAGAGTCTAATTAGGGTATATAACAAGACGAGACCAGCCAAATCGTAGCAACATGTCCAACCAAGCAGTGATACAGTACCAGAATATATGCAGGCGGCAATGACGATCCAAACCCATTAAGCGGTGCAAAGAAACGAACCAAATTCACGAAGCAGCACACACAGTTGTTCCAAATCAAAAAGGGTAGCAAAGAGACAGCATAGATCAGTTCAAGACACCTTGGCAAGATTAGAGCGGCGGTCGGCAGAAAGGTTCGTGTGCGAGGTAACGTTGACAGAAAGCGCCGAGAGCGGAGCACGAGTAGACATAGCACTGGGTGACTGGAGAGCGGAGGGGATAGCCTCACAGAGGACAGGTTCCGACCGCATTTTGACAGCAGACTCGGGAGCTGCAGACATTTTGCGCTTGCTCGACTTGCGCTTCTCGGAATTAAGACGAAGAGCAGCTTGGCAGAGCTTCAGCCGACTGCCCTGATCCTCCAATTCCGCCTCAAGCGTCTGGTTCCGAGCACGAGTAGCGTAGACGTCGGCCCGAAGGTCTGCCATTTGGAGTTCGAGAGAGTCTTTCGTAAAGATGAGCGTGGCGATCTGCGCGTTGCACTCCGCCAAGCTCGCAGCAAGCCCGTCCGCGTTGGGAGACATGCGTGCTGAGTGGGCGATAACGCGCAGCCGACGAAGATCGTCGCTGGCCAGAAGCAATGCGGTGCGACACATCGCAAGACGGGAGCCTTGGTTATCCAGTTGGGTCCGCAGCTCCTCTGTCCTTGCCCGCTCCTGCACGAGGTGGTGGCACGTCACCCGAAGTCGTACTGCCAATCCATCGTCCACCATCGGGGAAGGAGGAGCGGCAGAGGTGATTGTGCTCTCGGGTTGGGGTTCGACCGCGTCGTCCAGCCAGGCGTCCTCCCACGACGTGGTCGAAACCAGACCAGCCTTTTCGAGAAGGTCATTCCACTCCTGGAGCGCGTTATTCAGCGAATCGCCCCCGTCGTCGTCGATGACAACATCCTGCTCGAGCAGCCGCTGGCTGTCCCGGCAGAGCCATCGCAGGCGCGCACGCAGGGATCGCATCGGCCCAGCAGATGGCTCGTTCCTCACCCGCAGGAAGCGCGAGACGGTCGACGCGGACTCTTCCAGGCACGCTTCCAGATCCGTGCAGTCGTCGGCGAGAGCACGAATCTCGAGCACCTTCAGTGATAGCTGGGCTTGCAGAGCGTCGACGCGGTTCTGGAGGGAGCGGGTGTGGGACTCAAGCTCGGACTTCTCCATGCGTGCGAGGGTCTCGCATTGCTGGAGGTCGCGGTTGACGTCAGTGAGTTGGTCGGTGCAGACGGCAAGAGCGCGCGTCTTCTGCTTGAGTTCTGTGTCTCGACGATCGACCATCGCTTGCAGTCGCTTTGCGTCGTCCTAGTGGGAGGGGCATGAGTGCTCTACGTTCCTACCGAGAAAGGAAAACATACCTTCGCAGCGGCAAGCTCCTCGACAATCCTCGCATGAGTGACCAATTGGGCATTCTGCTCATCCAGTTGCCTTCGGAGTTTGAGAATTTCGGCGTCGCGCTGCTTGACGAGATGGTTCTTCCCGTGGATGGTCTCACAAGCGAGGTCGAGCGTGTCGTTCAGGCCACCGATCTCCTTGTCACGCTCCTTGACGAGCTGGTTCTTCTCGTGGAGGCTCTCGCACGCGAGGTCGAGCGTTTCGTTCAGGTCAGCGACGAGCGTGTCCTGGGCAGAGAGCTTCTTCTGTGCGTCTGCGGTCGCGCGGTGAGCCGAGGCAAGATCGGCCGTGAGAGACGTGATCCTGGCGTTCGACTCGATAATAGCGCTTTCAGCGTCGGCGATGTCCTGACGAGCCCATGTGAGCTGGTCAGTGACATCCAGGATCGCAGCAGCCTGGTTCTCGACGCGTGCCCCCAGCCCGACAAGTGCTGTCTTCGCAGTAGCAGCTTTAGACGTCAAGCCATGAATGGCGTCGGCGCGTTCTGCCAACTCGTGGCTCTTCTCGTCGACAGAAGGGCAGAGAGACTCAAGCCGAGCTTCCAGGCCATGAACAGCAGCGTCAAATTCTTGAATAATTTCGTCCCTCTCCTTGATCGTCTTCTGAGCATCGTGAAGAGCATCCTGTAGTGCAGCGACGAGAGCAGCATCTTGTCCAGTCCTAAGCCTTGTCGCAGTCCAGTTGGCAACGATTCGATCGAGGGCCTTGCCGACGAATGCAGAAGCAGCAGTGACCGCACGATTAATGTCAAGATTGTCAATCTACTCAGTAATGAGCCCCATGTTTGTCTCGAACAGAGATGCTGATACTCGCCCAGTGAGTAGAGATTCCGTATGCCGGGTAGTCAACAGGCGCGATATCGCAGCCGTGTGTTTCGTACCAGTCGGAAATCATATGGAAGGTGCCAATCAGGATTGCAGTGCGAATCAGGATTGCAGTGCGGACGAAGGTGGCGGAGGAGTTGCTCTTGCTGGTGGAGAAGGAGGAGCCAGGTATTGAAGACGCGAAGGAAGCGATATAAACAGCCGATGCGTCTTGGAGAAGGTGTGCTAGGTACGAGACGGGCACGGCAGCGAGATATGCGGTCAAGCGCAGAGAAGGATAACAGGAAACAGCAATTGCAACCAGCGAGACTGGAATCAAGAGCGAACAGGAAGCAGCGATCATATCAGAACCATAGATCATTATTGTTGCGAACCCAGATACAGTCGAGAATTGTGGCGCCAAGTATTCAGAAGCATATGCAAAGAGCATGTAGATCAGCAGCGCAACGGACGTGATCAAGTCGATTAGGGAGGCCATCTGGGAGGTTTTCTGAGAGTTGGACGCCAGTGGGCGAGGATGAGACGGTAGAACAGGATGAGATGAGAATATTTGCCAGTGCGGTGTATATCTGTGGCTGCTTTTGATCAGAACTGGGTATCGACTCGATGAATTGTGAGCTAGGGGACCATCGTCAAAACTGGAATTGATTTTTCCTGCAGATAATTAATTCCAGTTCTGACGACGGTGCCCCTGTAGCTCGCATCGCACCGTGCGGACGCGATGGCCAAGGATTATTCGCAAAGCTCCACACCTATAGGGTGAAAAAAATATAGCTTCATAGTAGGAGTGTGTATCTGAGTTCGATAGCGAGTGAGGTGTTCGACGGACTGGGATACCATCTGTTTGCCGTCTAGACGCCGGTCGAATCCCGCCCTTGCCTTATCCGGAATGTCTCGCTCCATATCGGGCATCTTCGCAGTGGTTCACGAGCGCCATGAATGGACTGGTCATCCCAGAGAAGCCTAATATGTGCTCTGCGGCCTGCCCGATGGCGCCTGCAACCTAGTGCCTTATCCTCAAGAGCATGCCGGCGAACTTGAACGAGAGAGCGTTTCGTCACGCTGCGCCCAAGGGGAGCATTTACGTGGATCACAGTGGGGTGAGTATCTGAGGATGCCAGGATAATTGTAATATATCAACGAGAATGCTCGAGTCAATCTGATCTGAACGCACCGTACGCCGTACACAAATCTTCACCCGTCGAATATTGTACTTCACACACAACCAGAACGCAGCGACCCTACTGCAGGAGATCCTGAAACATGAAAGTAATCATCTCTAGGTCGTGTTCCTTCACTATCGCACTTCCAGATATAGCCCCTGCTGGGCGACGTACAGTTTTGCGGTTGATGAGCGGGGGGTATTGCGCTTCACCAGCCATTCCTGCCCAATCATAATCGACCAGTCTGACATCCATATCGCCATTCTCCCGCGGCGCGACCAGAATATTTGAATCGCGCACGTCTCCATGCACATAGCCCGCCGAATGCAACGAACGGACGAGCTCCTCGATTTTGTGGTGGACATCTTGCACTTGCTCTTCACGGAGTATTGTCCGTATGCGATCAAAGTCAGAGTATGCGGCATCGAGTAGGTCCATCAAGACCAACTTATTCTTGACGACACCAGTGTATGAAAATTTGAGATCGATGGTGTTATTGACAGCGGAAATGGGACAGTATTTGGAGGGGTAAGGATATCGTGTGCTCGGCCATTCAGAGCGGTCCAGTCCATGGATGGTAGGAAGTTCATGCATAATACTGCTTCAAGCGTTCTTGAGAGCGCGAAATGATCGCGCTACCTGTGTTCCCAGAGACTCGTCATGCTGCTCCCATATCAACGGATGAACAGTCGAAAGAACGTCCTGACGGACAACATCGGTGAAGGCTGCACCGGCAAATCCAACAAAGGGACCTGTAAAATTGACTCGTTCATCCTGGAGACGGCACCTCAGAAAACCAAGCACACTTGCCGGCATAAAACATGGTTAGACATGGTAGAACGGACCCTCCAATCCGGTCACCCAGCGCCCGCACGAAGTGTGCATAATAGATTCCCCCAAGTTGTAGCTAAGGATCGGCACCTGTGCCGATCTCATTTTTTGCCTCCGTTTCAACATCCTTCCACCTCGCCCATGACACGATCCAGGAACTTCTCGTCCGTTGCAACGCGTGCGTACAGCACATTGTAAGTTCGTTGTAGTGTCTGGGCGAGGTGGAAGAGATGGCGAGGGATCGGTGACGGAAACAAGGCAATGGGAGCGTGGATCACTGAGGTAGGAGCTGGCGGTTGCACTTTTTCTAGAGGAAGATATACCAACCCATGCGATAACGCATATCATGTTGTCGCCAGAAGTGTCAAAGCCTCGAGCTGCGAGTCCGATATAGCTGGAGGCCAGTCAACGACCGCCGATTTTGCCATTCCGACAGAGGTCTCAAATTTCAGTTCAAATGATAGTTAACATCTGCCATCGACGGATTTTGTACTGCGTGAGTATCCAAGCCTGATGACGCCGTGAGCACCTCATCCACTGCTGAGCCACAGGGTTTCTCACTCCGGTTAATCGGGGAAACTCCGCAATCTCCGCGGCGCTTGAGTTTCACCATGCCATTAGAAAAGTGTAATCGTCGCAAGTGAAAAATTCAAAGAACCATATGAAATATTCATATCATTGTAAAAATCGTAGCGGGTGTACATGGAGAGCAGTAACGTCGGAAGCTTCCTAATGTCCAATTAGTATAATCTGTGAATGCACTATTTTGTTTTCTCTGCCGAACTCGACACCGCTGTGCTGGGCGAAGAAGCACTCATGGTCAGATGCATTGTCTGTAGTAGCTGTTCGATGCGTAGCAAGCGTTCGTCGACCTGGGCAACCTTTTCGTCGACCTGGGCAATCTTGCCGTCCACAGTACCAAATTTACTTTCCAGGGCTTCCATCCGTTGTTCCACTGTCAAGGATTCCTTGACGGCAACTTCCTCCTGGCATCGTACCAATGGATGGCTCTGGTCGTGACCATCGATCGTGATGCCATCCTTCGGGTCACAGTCCAGACATATGTATACATCTGAAGAAATAAGTGAGTCGATGCATTACTCGCGAGCCAGGACTACTCACCCCAACACGTCATGCAGAACCAACAAGGCTGCGTGACGCGTTTCTTACAGACGAGGCACTTCAGCTTATCATTCACCATCTTGGCCGTACGATCATCTTCCTTTGCTGAGCCCTCGGTCCGTTCCTTTTGCACCTCCACAGCGTCCTTGAATGCCGCCCTAGCGTTTTGCAACGCTACTCGAGCCTCCCTATCCACAGGGCCGAACTCTCGCTGATGCACCACTCTCCTGACTTTGTATACAGCGTGTGATGGAAGGTGAGGCGATGTCAAGTCGGATCGTTGGACCTCTGCACTCAGGCAGCGTTCGTCATCGCAGAAATCGACGGTTGTGTCTGTATCACAGTCTATGCAGACTGTACGTGTTCCGCCAATGATGCCATGGCAGTTATCGCAGGAGACGCCACTGGCCAAAATACATCGTTAACACACAGTCGGCTTGTGTCTGAAGAGGACTCACAGATGAACAGGAGTGACTCTGAGCCGGAAGTTGTACAAAGTCTCGTAAAACCGAGCTTCTGCAGGTGTGAGGGTCTTCCGACACCGTGTAAGCTCGTCCTCCTCGTCTCCTTCGAGTAGACGCCCAAAGTCCCATTTGCGAATCAGCAATTGAACGTATCGTTTCCGAATATCGCGGCGTTGCTTGAAATGGGACCAGGACCAGATTTGCCTGCGGACTTGGCCTTCGACTGCTGACAGCACGAATTTCCAGAGAGCTTTAATCCTGTTCTCGGCAAATTGTCGGGGTGAGGGGCGGTATGTAAGAACTTCTGGTGCCAGTCGCGACATGACAAAATCGTCGTTGGAGCCGTCTGCAGAACCATAGCCCCAGACACCCTGAAGCGTGGTGCATTCTTCATTGAGGTGGCCACAGAAGCACTTCGTTGAAAACCGAGCAGTATACTTCTGGGTAAAATGATAGGATATCTGACCGTCAGAATCCGTTTCGGTTGCTCCGCTTATGGCATACGCTGTACCCTCGGAAGTTTTCCCCGAGCCCTCTATGCTCTGGCCATCCGCAGACACATGGACGTCGAAGACGAACATACATTGACATGGATACTCGTCACCTTCAGCGAGTACCACATGCCACCTGCCTACACTATCAACAGCATGAGTATGGAGACAGATAAAGACATAAAACATTAGAGCTCACAGCGCTTTGAGATGACCTTCCGCCTTGTGATCTCCGTCCGTCTCGACTTCCGGGTCACTGATTTCGTACGCAGCACAATCGTATGGGTAATCTTCGTCAAGGGGATAATTGAGGATGTCCTCAGGTCGGATATCCTGAGCTTCTTCCTCGTCCTTGTACAAGTATGTAGGAAATTCGAATGACCGTAGGTTTGATCTTGAGAAGAAAGTTGTGGGGTCATGCCAGAAGTCAAACTACGAAAGAAATTAAATCGGCCATACTACGCGACAGCTGTGATAAAGGTACGTACGAGCTCGGCACAGATAGTTTTGAATTGTTGATTGAGGTCGAGCTTTTGCTGTCTGAAAATATCTAGATATTTGTGAATCAGATTGGTCCACAAATGATGTTAAGGTAGTCGCACCTTCTAGCTCGTCGTGACGGGCTTGGAGAGCATCAAACACCCACTTCAGACTATCAGCGCAATCCCACAGCTCATCCCTGTTGACCACTTTGGTTCGACAGAGTCGCATGATCTCAAAGTCGCGCTTTAAGAGCAAGTAAATCAACGGGAAAATATTCTAGGATGCGAAAGGAGCGGACAACGTCAAGGTCGGGCGTATCAGTAGATGAGGAGGTTCTGACCTTCTCGATCCTTCCAGGTCCTGTGATTAGCGGCAATGTCTCCACGTCATCGATGTCGTGTCGTATAGCCTCCAAATTTCTGCGAATACGCTCCTCTTCCGCATCCATATGACTCTTGAATCGTGCTTGAATATCGTCGCTGGATGACAAGGGCGGTATCGAATAAGTCAACTTGGTGATCCCCGTCCATACAGTGTCAAGGTATTGGTCGACACAGCGACCATTCGCAGCGTGGATTTCTCCCTTTATTGCAAACATCTTTCCGAGTAGCTCATTGATCCTGCCGACATAGATTGTGGCATTGATCTGCCATCCTGCATGACAATTTCAACAGCAAGAAAATTGTGAACGACAGTCAAACTTACCGACAGCCCAATAGGCGATCCAGTGGAGTAAGCTATTGTCACGGAACAATTAAATCTGTCTGGCAAGCGGCGATATCGACTCAAGTACTCACCTCCAGTCGAGAGGACGAATTGCTATCAATTTGTTGGCTTCCGCCACAGTTATGAATCCTGAAGCGTCATCGTCGAACGCATCGACGATAGGCTGTAACCTCTTGACACTGAGATATTCCAGAGCCCACGCATCAGGATCAGAGGTCGGAACGGTCTCGAAGGCGGACTCCATCCTGCTCTTGTTGTCTGCCTTTTCCTGATAGTAATCTCGAAGAGCAAGGACGAAGTGTCGGGCCTTCACACTACCGCGCCATGCCTAATTATCCGATATCAGTCCGAAAAAACCAAGCAGAGTCTTACAGAACAGACCATTTCCTTCCACACGTTGTAAAGATCCTGCATGTAGATCGCACGTTGAACAGATTGGGCTAGAGCTGCAGTACAAGATGCTCACCCGATCAACGACCTTGTCGTGCGGTCCAGAGGTTACTGACTGGATAACCCGATCACTCTCGCGCGTTACCACTCTGTCCACTTCCTCGATGAGCTGCCTCTGTTGTATCGCAAACTTGCGCTCAAACGTTTGAAAATTGTTGATGGCAGCCGCGGCAGGATCGTGGCGGAGATCCGACTTCAATTCTTCGAAATCGTCTTTGCTCGTGCGAGCATGTCCCAAACTTGCTTGATTTTGCGTGTCACCAGTCTTCGTAGGACGCCTTGATTCGTACGAATTAAGCTCCTTCAGCACGTTCTCGTTATCCATAACAGCCTTAGTCCCTCCTTTCTTTTGCACTAATGCAACGAGTTCCCTTTGCTCTAGCGGAACATAGGATTGCATGAACTGGAGTAACATGTCTGTCCTGAAGACGGTGATGCATAACCTACGTAGTCCAGCTGAAAGGAACGAACTTACCTCTCTTTCAGCTCTTGCGCTAGATTGTCCAGTTTCCGATTCGCCTTGTCAACCCCGCGGCCAATATGAATAGACAAAGCAAATTCGAATTCGGTTCTACGCTTCGTGAATATAATGCCGAAATTCGTGAGAGTGCCTTCCCATAGTGGTCCTTTGAGGACCTTCGCAAGTAGCTTCATCTTCGAATATGCATCACATGTGTTCGCACAGTTCTTCATGTCATCCGCAGTCTTCTTCACAAGATTCTGCAGACGGCCCTTTAGAGTGACACCGTCCGGGCCAACATCTTCTTCATCTTTTACAGTCTTCAATCTGGTATGTCGCTGTTGTGGGTTGAAGTCCGAAACAAAATGAGAAGATCTCACTGAATTAAAACCGCAATCATATCCTTCATCTCCACGTACAGAGCGATAATTTTATTGTCGTTTGCTCGCCGCTTCGTTTCGAGCGTATAAACAGCTTTGAACGCGAGGACGGCCACTAGAAAACTCGTTAGTCTCTGGTTTGTTCGCATGACACATGCCAGCCACCTCCAACGAAAGGGTGAAGCTTTGCAACTTCGTCCAAAGCGTTCATCAAAACAGGCATGCCGTCAAGGAATGAACTTATGCCGTCTTCGATAGACTGTTTAATGTTACTGACAGCTTCAAGAGCCACTGCCGCCTTGATTGGGGCATATAGAGTAGTTGCCAGAGTTTCCTGACCCTGGATCGTAGTAACTTTGTCGTCTGTCATTGACGTATTAGTCGTGAAATTGCAAGACAGTCAAATCAAGTACCCAGGGCGTTCAACGCTTGCTCGACCTTCGAACTGCTGCGCTGCTTGTTGATTTCGGTAGAAACCACGGTAAGTGTTCCCATAACGCGGTCATCGTCAGTGGTCGAGACAGAAACGCCGGTCACCAACGAATCGGAAGTGGCATTATTATGGAAACCGTTGGCGTACAATCCATCCCCACTCTCTTGTGGAACGGGAGAAGAAGTATCTGGTGAAGGAAACACCACAACCTCTGGCATAGACAGCGGTGGGGAATCCAGATGAGTCCATAGAGAGATCGTAGGCACAGCAGAGTCGGAGAGTGCAGCGCTCAAGGGTGAGGTGCTGTGCGCAGCAGTAACCTCTGAAGATGGCAGCTCAGACGAAGGGAAGGTAACTGCACTTGCCGCGACAGGTAGCGGGGCCGGTGGCTCGGACTTCCTCCTCTCATGGCCCTTGAGGTTTTTGCGGCTGCGTATTCTGAAAAGACCGGACAAAGCCATGAAGAAAAATTCAGCGCTAGAGTCGTGCCTCCCCGTACCTATGTACTGACAGTCAGACGCTGAGGTGATCGTCGGTCGCGGCTCGAGCGTTTGCAATGCGAATGCCCTGGACACCGCCATATCAAAAGCTTGGCAGTCGGTAACTAGGTTAAATGGGCGCCACACGAGATACCGAGTCTCAGTTGCTCCTGTGGGCGGGATCAGGCTTGGCTTCACGAGCTTTCGTCTATGATGTCTGTCTGATAGCGATCTTCCCAAAACACGTACGATTCTGACGCAGTACACTTTGTCTACGAGACGGGATGTGGTAACGGCGTCGAAAGCGAGCGAGTCTCGAGTGAGCGCCCGCGGCGCTCAATACAGAATACTGTCGATCATGGGTCGGATTCGATTGGCGCCCCGCGGGCGCTTGGTCACGTCACACCCTCCGAGCGTCAACTGGAGGCTTCCGTGAGTAGGTAGCACTGCTTGTAATTTTTTGTTACGCTGTAAGAAAAAGGCTGGTAATATCCTGGACTACAACAATTCTAACTATCTTACTCGTTGCTGGCGGCGCTGGCTCCGGTTGCAGGGCTGGCGGGAGCAGCCACCTCAGCCGTGACATGACAAGGGGCGCGGGTAGGGCGCCAATCAAATCCGATCCATCGACCATGCCCTCGTACTAATCATCCATCATGCATGATCTTCGGAAGCAACCATGATGACCGTACGCACTGCACAGATCTATCACCTCGGAGAGCGCGCAAGTTATCCACCATATAATTTCGGTAGCTCCTTTGGCAGTAGGGGCCGTCGTACTGCAAATCTCACAACGTAGAACCAACATTGCAGTGCAGCACCAAAGGCGACAACGACCCTCGGTGTCATCCCCCTTAGCGTTCAAGACTTGAACAGCTCATCCTCGCTGTAAAAGATTATGGAAGGCTCGAAACGCACATTAGATAAATCCCAATAAACACACCTTTGTTCTTACATTGCCTAGGGTGACGACCTCTATAGCACTTACAAGCTCAACGAGTTCAAAGCTTGTTCCTAAGTTCTTCGTGCAGCTTCTTGAGTTCCTCCATATCCGCCTTCTTGCTTGGCCATCCGATAACCAGCCCCTCATCGTCCGAAGCAGATGGTTTGGGGATGATATGGAAGTGGACATGATCTACTTCCTGGTGGGCAATGCGGCCATTGTTCTGACGGATTACACGGCAACTTCATAAACGTATATGATTGACGAACTTGGGGCACACACCTGAAGGACGTTGTAGTTCTCCGCACCAATTGCTGCAGCGATCTTCTTAGCTGTAAAAAGTGTATCCGCGAGGTATTCATCTGGTAGCTCGTGCATCTTCGCTGCATGGTCTGATCACCGCGATGCAGCCTTGCGTCAGTATATTCAGGTAAAACAGCTACTACATGTTCAAACAACGTACACTTGGGAATGACCAATGCATGACCTTTGGACAAAGGGCCTACGTCAAGGAAGGAGAACGTGGTCTCGGTTTCAATGAACTTGAAACTGGGGATGTCTCCTATGAGTATGAAAGCATAATCGTCAGTTCCGTCACAAGTTGAAGTCGTACATCCGCCGAACGACTCACCCTTTATGATCTTGCAGAATATGCAGTTAGCGACAGACCTGCGTCTCCTCGTTCACTGCTAAGTCGAACACAACAAAGGTAACGCGCACTTGACGGCCATTTTATTCGATAAAGATGGCAAGTAAGAGCTTGTGACGGTTGAAGCTCAGGTGGAACGCAGTTCGAAGCGTACTCACCAAGTTGGCCGCTTCCGACTTATGGGAGTGCCAATGGTACCGAATTACCACGTGGTAAAGACCCCGAAAATCCGTGTAGCCTACCGAACTTCCAGCCTGTACAAAAGAAAGTCGACAGAGACCCTATACGCATGTTTCATGTTTTTCACGTAGAATTGGCGGCACTTATATTCTGATTCAGAGCTTTTTTTTCGTGGTGTCGCAGGGGATTTTAGTTTCATGCAAGGAAAACGCAACGCGTGACGCGTACAATGCAACACGTGGTCCACTCGCGCGACGCGTTTGTTTGGGCAGTGTGTGTTTGTGTGGGTCCACTCGGCGGGCCCATTTTACCACGGTTCGAATTTGTTGCCATCCCGAAGTTTGCACCGACGAAGTCCCCCCGTGCTCTCTTTCTTTGACCTCGATCTGTTCAAGTTTGCTCGACGGTTTCACGAAGGCCTTACGTTCTTCACGCTCAACGCACGACACTCCCTACACATCAACGTACGACTACGCCCAGTATGATTCCAATCATTCCGACCCTTGCAATTGCTTTCGTCTCGTTCATATCCTCTGCCTTCGTCGTTCTTCGTATATTGGTTCCGATTTTGCCCCCTCATCCTCTCAGCCGTCGGGTTCCACCTGTATGTTTCTGTTTTTCTACTCAAAAATTTGCGTTGATGACTTTCGTTGCAGTCTGAATTCGGTCTCCCTAACTTCCGCTCCCTTACCCCAGCCGACAAGAGTCATGTCTGGCTCGCGTCTTGCGACCTTATTGCCCTGGCAATGTTTATATGGCAAGCCGTGCAACAACATCTCTCCGGAACGAACGACTACCATATTTCACATGATTCCGGATCCGCCGTAAGGCTTTGGATTGCCATGACTTTAAGACAAGGCTGTCTTTTCGTCGTCGCATCTCTCGCGCTTGTTCACGTCCGGATCGGTCGCCCTGTCGCTTTTGGCAGAAAGCATTGGATGCTTTGGGCACCCACGCTCCTTCTCGCTGTTACCTCCACGTCTTTGGCAGGTGTTCTTGCCGCTACCAACGTGTCAAGTTTGTTCATTGGCCTGGTAGCGTATTCCACCACTATAGCGGTCGCCAGTAGTGCAGCTTTTCTCTTTCTTATTGGCACTCTCGTCGTCATCAGGCGCAATCTTGATGCTTTGAACGAGATCAGAGACCCATGGCCGCCTGCGAAGGAAGTCGACGAAATGCCTCGTCCCTCATTCGCGACTGAAGACGTTGATGCCCTCAGAGATGGTAGTTCTTGGATTACGTCCCGTGCCAGCTCTCGCAGCGAGTCCATATCTGCTTTTTCCTTCTCGACGCACCATTCCGCGAAGCCCTCCAACGCCAGTGCGCGTATGATGAGCCAACACCCCGCGGCAGCGTCTAATCCTTCCATCCCGCCCAAATCGTCCTTTTGGTTCAATCCTGCGGCTCCATACGCCGGGCGCGAGTCGCCTGTACCTCCAGTTCCCCCTCTCCCGGCCCCTTACCGTCCACCGTCACCCGGCAGCCTGAACGACGACCCCGACCCGTTCAGACGCAATGAGCCTCGCTCGCGGATGGGCTCCCAGTCGTCGTGGCTTACTGAATCTTCTGTTTCTCAGCCGACGCTCACCGCTTGGTCTTTCCCTACGACATGCCATGAAGTGCCCCCAGCCTCTTCCACACAGGATCTTCTGCCATCCACGGCGGTATCGCGCCCTATCACGCCTGCCATGGCCAGTGCCCAAGTGCTCGGTGGATACGGGTATAGTCCAGAGGCCGCTCACGCAGAGAAGGGCCTTGCAGCCCTGACATCGGTCCCTGCCAGTGATCTCGACGTATCCATCTACCGTGCGATCGGTTGGCTCCTTCTCATCTGGATTCCATGGGTATGCCTTCTTCATCTGACCCTTTTCGCTGTCTTACCATTGGATGTATCTTAGACTTTGGGTCTCCCGTACCTCGCAACAGTGTCAGCTAGCCACCCTGTTGCCTCTCCTGTGATGTCCGTTCTACTCATCCTCTCGGTTACGTTGTCCTCTCCTCTCCTTGCGCTCAACATTCTTTTCCGCTCGCCTCTCCCTATCCCGACAGGACTCTTCGAAACCTATGACGAGCCGCCCTCCATGGTCATGCATACTCCCTCTCCGTACAGCCTCTCTCCCATCCGGTTCTCGCATGAGTACAAGCGCAGCGGGAGCATCACGGTCGTTGAGGGCCGACGCAGCGGCGATGTCTGGTTGAGCAACGGCGACGCCGTCGACGGCAAGAGCAAGCTGGGTCGCGCGATCGGCCTTCTGCACCCCAAGCCCAAGCTGTCCGTGCTTCCGCCGGGTGAGGACGTGCAGGAGGCAGAGCTTACCCCGCCACTGCCAATGCAGACCGAGGACAGCGGTGTGCGCTTGCCCGAGACGCCACAGTCACAGAACAGTGCAGAGCTCGGGCAGAAGCGCACGCGCAAGGATTCGAAGGCATCATCGTATTACTCCGGCGCGTCTGACTCGGTCGCCTTCGCTACGCAGATCATGATCGCGCAGCGGCACTACTCTGCGCTTGCTACTACAATGGTCGTCCCACCCTCGCCCGATCGCCAGGCGGCCCTGGACAATGAGGCCACCGGTTTGTCTGTTAGCGTCAGCGGTGTGCAGGCTGCCCAGGATGAGAGCACGCGGCGACACTCGCACCTCCGCGCTCGCTCCGTGTCCTCGGTCAATGGCGGAAACTTCTCCATGAGCCCACCGCCCGCGTCCCCGCTCCCGCCGACGCCCCCTTCCGTGCGGGAGCGCAAGGCGCGCCTCGCGCAGCATCGTAAGTCGCAGTCGCAGTCGTCCGCGTCGACCGGGTTCTCGTTCGGCGCGGTCGCCAACGACTCTGTTGGGGAGATCGACGCGCTGTCGGCGCACCTGTTACCGCTGCTTGTTCCTGGCCTCAAGATCGGCGCGGATATGAAGATCCGCGAGGGATGGACTTCCCCCATGTCGACGCTTGGCACGAGTGCGAAGAGGGGTAATACGAAGGGCACTAGGACAGTGCCGCAGGAATTGGGTGGCCTCTCGTCTGACTTCTCGTCACCCGAGTTACACTCGACGCCTCCTCTGCGCATGGCTGCTCCGAGGGAGCAGAAGATGTCGACGCACAAGCGGCATCACTTCAGCTTACCTAGGTACGTCTCGCGCTCGTCTCTGTGTGTGACAATAGCTGACCGAGCGGATACTCTAGCCTCAGCCTCGGCAAAGATGGCATTCATGCTCTGACAACGTGGCGGAACGATCTCAATCAAGCACTGGAGGGCGGAGTGGGACAGTACTTTTCGCTCAGCACCAATGACATCAATAGGAGGAAAACTGTCCTAGGCAACGAAGTCATAACACCAGCTCCCCTCAATGTAGTGATGGAAGAAGACGAACACCTGCGCCCTAGCACTCCCGGTGCACACCTTACTCGCGCAACTTCCACCCATGCCATCGGTGCGACCCCGCCCCATTCGGCTGACGTGCCAAGCGGTGTCAACACAGCGCGCAACTCCCTTGCCATCCTCATCACCGCGCTGGACCAAGAGCTGCGGATGCCCCACTCTGCCAACTCTGACGCCACGCTCTTCGAATTTGACAACGTCGGCCCGCAAGCGGAGAGCACTCCGTACGAGACCCACAAAGCCCACTCTCGGCCATCCTCCCAAAACGCCCCGCCCGTGCCCAAACTGCCGGAAGACATGAACACGAACACGCGTCGTTCAAGCATTGTCTACATCAGGTCAGATGAGAACGCTGCACCGTCTCCCAAGCAGTCATCAATCTCGCCGAAATCATTCTCGGAGTGGTCGACCCGCGCCGTCCGGCCGCTTGTTCCCAAGTCGAAAGCCAAGAAGTTGGCACAGTCGTCCGCTGCGGGCGTCCCGGGCTCCCCGTCGGGCCTGCGCCCACTTTCACTCCTGCAGGACCGGGATGTGAATCGTGACGCGTCCATCGGGACTCGTGCCTTGGCCGCCAAGAAGAAACAAAAGAAAACAGACGAGAATGCCAACCCGTACGCCACCGCGAAGAAGGGCTTGAAGCCTCTCAAACTCGTGCGGAATGATACCACCAAAGCGCGCGCGCTCCTCAGGAAGGACGAGGTGCTGCCAGACGTGGTTGTCCGGCCGCCCTCCACCCACGAGAGCCATCATGCGGGGACTACATTCACGTTCCGCTGATTAAAAAATACCACACCCGACATACGCTGAGTTTCTGCTTCGTGTTTGATACCTTTATGTTTTGAGTTATTTTGTTCTGCTGTTTCTTGTTGCACACAGTATTTGTTTTCATGATCTGACACTCCCCAGTACGCTCTGTCATCTATGCCAGTATGCCCCTTCTCCTTCTCTCTCACGTCTCGCATCGTCTCTTGCTCCTCGTCTCTGTGTTATTACACGCTTTCCCGTTGATGCTACAGTATGTTCTCCCAATTTGTCGTCCAATTGCTCTCCTGTTTGTATTAACCAGAACGTGTTCCCTTCTGCACTCGAGCTGGTCTCCTTGCCAGTGCACCTGCATGGTCAGTACTTTTTTGCATCCTAACGATAGTACCATTTACGCTGTAACGGTCTTTGATTAGACAGACACTTTCCCGATAGCGGTAGTAATAATGCTGCATTTTGTTGAGCGCAAGGGGACGCTCTTACGTTACGCTTTGAATGAATACCGAGCTTATGTCTTTGCACGACCCGCTCAGGTCGTCAAGAATATATACGACAAGTAAAACTGTACACCTCAAATCCCACATTACATGCCGGGGCCAAACAAGCTGATCCAAGCTGAAGGTGGAGGGCCACCTTCCCTGATTTTGGTCTGCCCGCAGTACGCGATCACGTATTTCGAAGGATGCCATTGCACAGTTGGCGAAGCCCCGAGCGCCGGGACACGGTGCAGAGGAATGCCTGTCTCTGTCGCGCACTGAGAGAAAACGGTAAAAATCAGGGACCAAATCCACGAAGGATTGAATGGCTTACGATGTCGATGTACGATCCTGTATTGGCGATTGCGATAAATTCGCCGTCATAAGAAAAGCTGAGTGCGGTTATCGCATGGCTGCAATACGTTGAATGCCGAGGTCAGTCCAGAAGGAGTAATTGACTGCCAGCTGACGACGTACTCGCAAACGGTGATCGTCCGCGTGCATATCCATTCGGAGAGGTCGAACAGGTTCACAATTGAATCGTTGCCGCCAGACGCGAGGTATCTGCATCAAGCATGAGACTTCTATCCGTGTTTGCTGAAGAAAAATTGGCAAGACGAGACGCACCTGCCTCGCGGATCGAGCGCAGCAGCCAAGCAGCCCCCAACGTGTGCCGGTGTACTGTGTATTGGTGATAGCGATGGGTATTCCAAGATCCGAATGGTATGCTCCGTCTGGTGAGTGAGGATGATACCATCGCCAACGTGGTTGAACGTAGCAGTCGAGGCCATTATCTGTTCATTTCCATAGTTAGGTAAAGCCGCCGGGAAGTACTTGGAACGTACTGGATCTTTGTCAGACAAATGCCACTGCTCTTTCGTTTCGTCTCCCTCTTTGCCATAGGCCAGCACAAACATTTGCTTCCCTGCACTTGTGTACAGGATGGTTCGGCCATCAGGCGAATAGTTTGTCTGGACAGGTGACACTTTCAATTGGCACTGTTGTATATATCGGCTCTCTGCATTGGACACAAGTAAACATTGGCCCAGGTATCAGAAACATAAGGTTGCAGACTCACGCCGCGCATCCCAAAAGACGATTCTGCGGTCCCTTTGACTTGACGTACAGAATAGCTCCGGATGTGTGGGATTCCACGACATATAGTCCACATCGTCCGAATGGCCACCAGAGAAGATAGTAGCCGATCGTAACTCCATCTGTACAACATCCGTTACACACGCTCAATGTATCTCAGCTAGAGAACTCACGCTTTTTTCAGGCCACCACACCCTGACAACTTTATCAATACCGACTGCACCCAGCCTCTTTCCGTCGCAGCTCCACGCGATGTGGTTCATCGACTGCGGGGACGGTATGCGGATGTCCCGTGGCCTGAACGCAGAGAATGTTGGAGCCTGTCCGCGAACAAATGATATAGGTCACTGACTCGTCTCGAGATTCATTCTGGTCGCGGGGAGTCGTACATGGATGCCTCTGGCAGCGAACGTCGTGTGCGGAGGCGGGGACGGCGGACGCTGCGGTGGGGGGATTTCATCGTCGTCTTTTCCGTTTGTGGGCTGGTTTGACATGATAGTACTTAGGAGGTAGAGGAGTACTTACCAGATGCCTTGATGAGGCGCTCAAGATCTCGATCACACTCCACCGTTTTTGGTAACTAAGTTCGTGAACGTTCACGAAAATTATCCTCAACTCCCATATCTAAGCTACGTATACCCGTCAGTAGTGTGTTCACGCGGCCCATACGCACGTCCAAAAAATATGTATATCAAAATCACTATAAATAATATCAATTCGTGCGTATACCGTGCACTTTGGTCGATGAGCTTTCACCCAATTGTTGAGCAGGCGAGGAAGAACGGCGTGGGGTCGAAGCCAAATGAATGAAAGCCCAGCACTGTATATCGGTCGAAATTTTACAGCGACGCAATCCTAATCTGCCTCGCATGTGATTCTCATCTCAATTATAGCACAACTACGTTCCGAGGCAAGACTCCCAGACACGCTAGCGTATGAAACATAGTGCGCACTGGGCAGGACAGAACGCTTGTGCTTATCAGAGATCCGACACCGGAAGATTTACCTTCCCCTCTGGCTAGAGGACGTCATGCCGGCGACGCGGCTGCCGCAACATGCCCGAGGCAAACATCGGTCTTAGACAAGTGTTACAGTGCTTTTGTCGGGGTTCCTGCACAACAAGCCACCGTCTGCCCGAGTGATCATGTCAACAGCTTCTTCAAGTCCTACATCATCGCAAGCGATTTCATGCCCAGCACACTGTGGTGTCCGACAAAGTCGCATTACACATCCTCCTTACTACGCTGCAATGCGCCTACGGTCTCAAGTTGACGCCTTGGGCGTATTCACGGTGCCTTTTGCGTATGTCTTCAAGTGTCGCAGATTGTCTCCAGTTGTTGACGATCGATTGTTTATAAGGGTCAGTGAAAACGTCGTTGCTCCAACTCATCCACTTCATCCAACACATACCGCACATCCCAACTGCTTCTCACATATCAATTCACCATGGGTGCAATCATGTCCGCCTTCACACTCTCCCCGCTAAAGTACGGTAAAGCAATCTCGGAAGCGTACCCACCTAAGCCTAAGGTCAGCCATATTTTCAAGCCGAATTGACCTTTGCTCTTGATCTTGACACAATATTTTTGCAGTGGTCGACGGAAGACATAGGTAACTTGACGGGCAAAGTCATCATCATCACCGGTAGGATGTATCTTACCTTCCAGCCCATTCCATCTGACACCGTAGTACAGGTGCCAACACTGGGATTGGCTTCGAGTGTGCACAGACTCTTGCATCGCATGGCGCCAAAGTATACGTCTGCGCTCGGTCGGAGCAGAAAGGATTGGACGCAGTCAAGCGAATCACGGAAAAGATTGGTGGTGATAGCGGACTCAAATCGGGGCAAGCCGACTTCCTACTCCTAGATCTGGCCGATTTGCAGAGCGTGAAAAAGGCAACCGATGAATTTCTAAAGTAAGCGGCTCGAAAACCAAAAAAATCAGCAGTGAATAACTCACCGTTGTTTTGTTCCCTAGGAAGGAGAGCAGGCTAGATGTGTTGATGAATTCCGGTGGTGTCATGATGCCTCCGGCAGGCAGTGTCAATGGCGCTGGATTGGAGCTCCAATTTGCGACAAACGGTATAGAGGTGTTCACCGTGACCCGCATGGTCAACTAATTCTGTTAATTATTCGATCAGTATTGGGACACTTCGCTCTCACACGCTTGCTGCTACCAACGCTCCTGCATACGGCCAAGACATCCGAAAACGGGACAGTTCGTGTGGTCAACGTAGCGTCGTCCGCAATCATGATGGCTCCTTGGGTAGGGTTGCTAATGCGGAGGAAGTAGTGTTGCTGACTACCACCAACAGGGAGGTGTCAAGCTCAACAACATCGAAGGAAGCTCCCAGATGCAAAATTATGGCCAGTCGAAACTGGGAAATATCATCTTCTCCAACGAGCTCGCGCGCCGCTATGGCGATTCCGGTAGGTGAACTCGAACTTTTTCTGGCGTTGCCCTGGCTCACGGTAGGATTTCCTGCAGGCATCTTGTCGGTGTCGCTGAACCCAGGTAACATCCAGACAGAGCTATGGCAACACCAGAAGTCCTTCTTCACACCGAATGTACGCACTTTCTCCTAAGCGTCTACTTGGCTCTGCTAATGCGTCCGCGCAGACCTTCATACACAAGTATCCGGTAGCAATGGGCGCGCTCACTCAACTGTATGGAGCAACGTCGCCGGAACTTACCAAAGCGGACTCCGGCGTGTACTTGTTCCCCTGGGCACGCAAAGGAGAGGCTCTCCGCAAGGAGGTACGTGTCATGAGAATTCAAAAAATAGGTAACCTGCTTACAACGATACTGGTTTGCCTGCAGGCTTATGATGTAACCTTGGGATCGCAAGTATGGGACTGGTGCGAGGAGCAGATGAAGGCGGCTGGTCTATAGGACTCAGCAGGCCTGCGTATATGCATTTATGAACGCTCGAGAGGAAATCATAGACCGTTTACATCGGAGATGCCACATACTGTATAATCTTGTTATAATATCGACCCCGTTCGCGGTGTAATCTCCCTTGTGCACGCAGTCTGATAGCAAGTGCTCCGACCCTGACAGCATGTGGGTATATTTCCAGGTTTACCCACTGGTATGAGAGTTGATATGTATTCCAGTTGGCATCTACATATGCAGATAGAGTCCAGATGCATCTTTGATGGGGTCGTTTGAGATAAGTACCGGGAATATATTCAAGTATTCACCGGTGCATCTGAGACCGACGAAAAAAAAGGCTTCGCCAATACGATCGTGTGCTCGAAACCGTCACAGAACAAGAAAACAGCATGGCGGAGAGGCCTGCCCAAAGAGGACAGTGGCAGGAGCCAGAGATGACTCCTTGCGCAGCGAGGCGTGCTGACAAAGCGCACGGCACCGCTCCTTGCCTTGTTGTCCTCACCACCATCGTCACGTCCGTCTTGCTCTCCGCCACACGCATCCTCGTCAATCCATTCATCATATTCTCATATCTTTCATTCTCCCTGCAATCATTCAACTCCTCGTTGCTCGATATCTTTCTCTCTGGTCTCTCGGTCGTTTGCTTTCCAGTAACTCCAACGCAGAAAGGTAAGTTTCATTGCTACTGTTTTCTGCATCTCCTATTGACATCCTAAACTCCAATTCATCGATCCCAGATATTTGCTATGCCTGCACCGGTCTCCGCGACAGTTTTCACCACCCCTAGCACGATCGACAAGTTATCTTCTGGTCCGCATGCGAAGAAGACACGCCTCGTCAGGCGTCGGGGACGGGGACAGAACGGGATAGAGAGCGACGACGAGATCGAACGAGAGGTCAGGTCGGATTCTGACACGGACGACCAGTCATCGTTCGACTCAGAGTCGGGATCAGAGTCAGTGTCAGATGACGCTCATCTGAATGGCCGCTCTGAAGTTGTCACCCCTAGTACGACCCAGAGTCCTCCGCCCTTGGAAATCGATGGGCATCCCTCTCTCAACGCATCATCATCGAAGTCTCTTCCTGTCGCATCGGATGCTGGTCCCTTCGTTCATGCCACAGATTGGGCGGATATGGTGGCAGCCGAGAATCTCAACGGCGTGGAGGATCTTCCTGTCATTGATTTTGCCGATCTCGACCGTCATGGTATTGACCAGCAGCTGCCTCCTCCTCCGCGGTCACGCAAATCTCATCGGCCAGCGAAGAAACATATTGCCAGCCGCTCTCTATCTGCGCCTCCGTCTTCGCCGCCCGCCCGGCCTCCGCAGGCTGCCGAGTCAGGCCATGTGTCCGATACAGAACAGCCCATGGCTTCCGCATCCGTTCATGCGCCTGAAGAGTCGCACCCCAGTCGACTCAGGGGCCAATCTGCTCGACAAGCATACCAGCAGCGCCTGGAGTCGGATCCTTCATACGTTCCAACAGTTGGAGAGTTCTGGGGGCATGACGATCGTCTGTTGGACAAAGATTTGCGTAGTTTGAGCGGATGGTGGAGGGGTCGTTGGCAGTCCCGCGGTCGTGGGAGAGGCGGGTTTTCCATGCGCGGGAGGGGCGGGTCAGGATTTTATCCTGGCCGCGTACCTATGCACCCCCAGGACAGGGTCGATGAGCTGGGCGGGCCAAGTTCTGCGGTACCCCCCGCTGAGGTACCACCTATCGACCAACCGTGGACGCATGATGGTTTCGAAGAGATGAGGCGGCGAGACGACCGGCAGCCCCAAGCGTCCTTCCGCCCTCAGCGTGGTTTCGCATTCCGCGGCAGAGGCGGTTTCATTGGTGCTCGAGGTCGCGGCGGTTTTGGTCGCGGTGGGAGCACACCATCGCCGACAGGATACCGTCTTGGGTTACCCCCAGGCGCAGCGCCAGGTCGTATTTGGTACGCCATGAAGCCTGAGCGCATGTGGACCAAACAGCACGACGCTTTTCTTTACTTCGATACCAGCCTGAAACCCCGTCCTGGGCAGGGCCCAGGATACCGCGTGAAGGTCCCAGGCGGGAAGGAGGAAATCGTCAGAGCCGCGCCCCGCCGCTTCGGAGCGTCCTCGTCGGCAGCTACTGCACAGGCGTCATCTAGTCAAGATGATGGCGAAAGGCAGTTCACGGTGCGCCTTCCTCGCAAAGCCGGGAAGGAGAAAGCCAAGGAGGAAGTGCAACCAACTGTGGCTCAGACTCTGGTGGCCGAGGAGCCCGCAACCACAGTAGTGGAACTCTCCATCGAGGAGGTCTTTACTGTCCGCCCGAACGTGGTGCCCAATCGCAGGATAGACATCCCGGTTCAGCCGCAGGACCCGACCTCATACACAGTCCCACCGCTTCCTGCCCCTGCATCCTTCTACCCACCAGTTCCTGTTTTGCTGTCCCAGCCGCAGAGTCCCGCATCGAGTCTGAATGCGGATAAACCTTCTGCGCCGCAGGTGCCTACCCAGTCGATGGTAGCTCAAGCGTCTGGTCCTGGCCCCAGTGTTCAGATTCAAGAGTCGGTCCCTCGGAAGCCATCAACTCCAGAGGAGTCTTTGCCGAGTCAGCCAGGTCCATCCATTGAGGAAGCACGTGCTGCACCACCGACACTCCATCCTCTACAGACGGCTTTTTCACCTATTCCGCAGACGTCTCCGTTGTATGGCTCGCCGTTCGGCTATGCACCTGCGTTACCCCCAGGCATTGGCATGAGTCAACATGGGATGCCCTACGAGCTCGCTACGGGCCGTGCTGTATTCATTCAGCCTACTCCGCCGCCGATGTTTACCCCTCGCCCTATGATGCACTCACACATGGCGCACCCTTCTACCAGTGTTCCATTTGTCCCCTCTTATATGCAGCACCAGCCTTCCCCCGATTTTGTATCGCACTCGCATACGCCACCGATGAACTCGTTCATCGACGCTTCTACGGGGACCCCCATTTTTGCGCCGGCGCGGCAGAGCAGTCGTATCGAGATCCGTGCACCTGTGGATTCGAGCGAGGGCAAGAAGGTTCCTCCGCGACCTTCTGGACTCAGGACGTCGGTGTCGAGTTCTGGACAATACGGTGCTGCTGAAATCCAAGTGCAGCAGCCGGCCTCACTGTCGGGTTCGTCCGACACTTTCGGTGCCGCACCCGTCAATGGAGTTCCAACGCTCAATGGCGCTTCTCTGCCGAACGACATGCAGCAACCTGTGGAGCCGCAGCAGTTCCAAGCTGTGGACCCGGCGATGGTATATGCGCCATACCAGCAGCAGTACTACTACCCGGAGCAGTACGGCTATCCGGCGTACATGGATATGTCGCCGCCGGTGATGCAATACGAGACGTACCCAGCGTCCGCGGAGCACCGTCCCCCTCCTCCTCAACCTATGATTTACTACTAGTCGCCCTATGCGTTATGTCGCCGTTTTGCAATCTGCTTTATCATATCTCTGCATACACATTATCAAATGCGCGGACCTTTTATTGCGCCAGGTCGTAAAGCTCTCTCTTCATACCCGTAATAGTCTCCTCCCGTACGCCGCTTTCTGTCTCCGTCTCTCGAATTGCATGTTCCTCACGATGGCTCCTCGTGTGCGTGTTGAAGGATCGACATCTCGGTCCTCCTGTGTTCTTGATTTTGCGATGGTTGGTGTGTTGGTTTTTATGCAATGACCGACTTCATTTCTACTGTCTTCACCCCCTCTCCCTCTGATGGTCAGTCTGTAGATAGTACCTGCACATTATCGTCATGCGCTTGGCCTTTCCAGGTGAATACAATGGCTATGCTTTTCCTTGTGCCGCGTCTGGACGTTCTTGTTCTCGTCGCGCGACTTAGCGCCTCTTGCTAGATAGCGATCCACTTCTGAGCCTCGATCACGTACTGGCATGAGCCCGTTGAGTAATCTTTTAACCTCATGCAGTTGTACCCACCTGCCCTCGTGTCACTTGCAAGGTCAACGTCGCACGCAACCAGAATTTTCCTCTTCAATTGTATGTCGTGTGTGCAACGGAACGTTAACAAAAGGCCACTCGGTCGCCGCCAAGTTCTAGGACATTCGTTGCCGGCGGTCAATTTTCGGCTATGCAGCGCTAACCGCTCCGCCAGCCACTGCGGCCAGGGGAGCATCTGCCACACTGAGATGCTGCTGTTCAATATTAATGATTGAAGCTGACGGACGCCCACCGTATGTGGACAATTTACCATTATTCTGCGGTATACCGTGTGTGACGCTTTCGCGGTCTGTCCACCTCCCCCGGGAGTACGATACAACATGATGCACCGGGAAAGGTTTGAAGAACGGAAACCTGCATCGCTTAGTCGAAAATCCGAGCACTGTCCGAGGCCAAGAGGAGCTTCCGTTGCAACGATCCGCTGATGATCGAGGTGCGTCAATGACTGAGCAGTGCATGGACGCTCTAATAGTTGCGACCGTATATGTGTCACCCCGCCCAGCTCTATTCCCAGCCGCGGTATTTACGTGACCGGAAGCTCCCATCCATGTGGTACGCACACTTATATCTGTCTCTTCCCCTGCTCCAGTCGTCTAGCCCTCCCCCGTCTCTTCCCCACCATGAGGTCGCTCTCCGCCTGGCTGCTGTTGGCGCTATGCCCGTTCGCCTATGCTGCCCCGAGAGGCTGCACCCATAAGGTCAAGGAGAGCGTGCCTCCACCCAGAGGATGGACGAAGCTCGAGCTTGCGCCCGCCAACCACAATATTGAGCTGCGCATAGGACTTCCTCAGTCCAATTTCGCTGAGTTGGAGCGCCATCTCTATGAAGTCAGGTCAGTCACCCATGTGCTCGTATTACAGGCATACCGACCGTCCTTAGCGATCCGTTCCACGAGCGCTACGGCGAGCATTTGTCCAAGGAGGAGGTCGAGGCGCTCATTGCTCCCAATCCGGAGAGCATTAATCGCGTCGACGAATGGCTTGCATCTCATGGTATAACAGCAGAAGATTTCTCTCGGTCTCCCGCTCGGGATTGGGTCAAGGTCAAAGTCTCCGTCAGTCTTGCGGAGAAGATGCTTGATACAGTGTGTTGCGTCACCTACTTATCATACCCGACATCGGTTGATTGATGGGCCTCCGCTAGAAATATCATGTTTGGGTTCACGACGAAAGCGGTGACGCGGTTGTTCGTACGACATCTTACAGTCTCCCGGAAGATCTGCACGAGCATGTGGAGCTGGTCCAGCCGACCACGATGTTCTCCCGGTTCAACAGTTTGAAGACCACTTATATTCTCGACCAGGATCTACCTGCGGCTACGAATCCCGATGAGCCTACGATTAGCGTTCCTACTGCGTACAATGGCTCTGTGGATGCCAGTTGCAACGGTACCATCACAGTCACCTGCCTCAAGCAGCTCTACAATGCTGTCGGTTATACGCCATCGGCCTCGAATGGCAACCACATCGCTGTCACTGGGTATCTTGATCAGTATGCCAACTTGGAAGACCTGCAGATGTTCTATGCGGATGAGGTGCCTGCTGCTGTCAACACGTCCTTCACTTACGTATCCATCAACGGTTGGTGGATCAACTCCTTTTTTTTGCTGTGCACAGGCTGATATGGTCTCTCAACAGGCGGGCAGAACAATCAGACACTGGATGAAGCAGGCGCTGAAGCCGATCTGGGTCCTAATGTCTCCTTGTATCGACTTAGATGGAGGCTGACATGACCTCCAGACACCCAGTTCGCTTTCGGTCTGACGTTCCCCACTCCTGGGACGTTCTACTCCACTGGAGGAAGCCCACCCTACGTCCCAGATATTCTTACTCCCAATGATACCAACGAGCCTTACATCGATGTATGATTGATATCACTCCTTTCAACTAATATTTCTCATGGATGAGGTTATGTATTAGTGGCTTGGTTACATTCTCAATGCTACTAATCCACCTCAGACAATCTCTACCAGCTACGGTGACGACGAACAGACGGGTGAGATTCGTCGTCTAGCGCCCAACATTTTGTTCTAATCTCTACGTCAGTTCCTTATAGCTACGCACGACGTGTTTGCGCTGAATTTGCTCAGCTAGGTGAGCCGCCACGGCATTTGTAGAGTGTTTTCTCAACTGATATCCGATCAGGTGCCCGCGGTGTCTCTTTGACCTTCAGCTCTGGTGACGGCGGTGTCGGTGACGGCAATCCGGACCCGGCCACGCAGCAGTGCTACACCAACGACGGACGCAATGTGACGGAGTTCCTCCCTGCATTTCCAGCTAGTTGCCCGTAGTAAGTTTCAGCATGTGCTGTTGGTGATGCAGTATTTATAACGGGGATGCGACAGTGTCACAGCGGTGGGAGGCACCATCTACGTACCAGAGCAGGCGGTATTCTTTTCTGGTGGAGGCGTAAGTAACTACGTGAGTAATTGCTCGTGCTATTCATGGTGTACGGGATAACCATGTTGCTCTGTACATCAGTTCCCGCGTCCCTCCTGGCAGGAAGATGTCGTGGCCAACTACTTTGACAATCTTGCACCCGGCACATACTCAGGCCTCTATAACACGTAAGACATTCATTTTCACGTCCACACTGGTGCTGACTTTGTGATCAGGACCGGACGCGTGCGTCTCAATGCTCTACGATCTCTATGAGACAACTGACCGAACGCCTACAGGCTTATCCGGACGTTGCAGCGCAGGCGTTCTATTTCAAGATCTACCTTTCCGGCAACGCGACGCTCATCGGCGGGACGTCTGCCGCGTCGCCGACCTTCGCAGGATTCGTGTCCCTCTTGAACGACGCACGCATCTCACTCGGACTGTCTCCGCTGGGCTACTTGAACCCGCTCATATATGCCGTCGGCTCGAGGGTCCCCGAGGCCTTCAACGATATCACTGTGGGCAACAATCCTGGATGCGGCACGGAGGGCTTCAACGTGAGTACCCAGCATCTTTAACGTCCAAATGCCGTGACTGAATGAGTGGTGCGCAGGCTACGGCGGGATGGGATCCTGTCACTGGCTTCGGCACGCCCAATTTCGCCAACTTGAAGGCGCTTGCTACGTATAATACTACAGCTATATCGAAGCTGCTGTAGACACTGTTCACGGACAGAGCAAGGAACACTAACGAGTAACTATCGTATGATCGTCCAGACGCAGGGTACTGATACAGGAAGTGTGAAGAAATAAATATTATTTGGGTCATTTGCGCATCCTCTTCTTGAAGCGCTCCATGACCTATACTGAAGTTCAGTACAATTTGAGCTACAATGCACGAGAGGTCTTACCATTTCATCGGTGGCCATTTGGGCCCGTTCACGATGGGATCTCCGATGTTCGTCGGGAGGCATTCCCATAGCCTCGAGCTTCGCGTCTCGGAGGATGTCTGCGTCGGATTTCGTCTTGAGATTGGGGCGGTAGACTGTACCTCAATTTCAGCAACCACGCTGAGGCAAGGGATAAATGGTAAAAAAGGCTTACAGCGGGAACCAGCCAGACGTTCTTCGTCGTCCGTTTTCTTCTTCCGCTCCTTCCGCTCCTCCGCAATGATGCGCTTTGCCTTCTCTGTGTCCTCGATGTTCTTCAGCCGGGTACTGTGCAGTAGTATCAGTTACAATGCCGGGCGTACGGCAGCTATGCAATAACTTACTCCATCCCAAGGTCGACTTCGGGAATAGCGGTGAGCATCGCGAGACTGTTCGTGACGTTCCCCTCATCCTGCTCCTTCTTCTCCTGCCGGACTTTATACCGATCAGGGACGCGGAAGAGTTCGGCGTAGGGATCTGGGGGGCCGCTGTCCTGCTCGGACTCTTCTTGTGCTCCCTGCCGAAGTTTCATGTGCTCCTCTATATACGCCATCCTAAGAGACGTAAGAACGAAGCCAAGATAAATGACCACAGTATGAACCATAGTAGAGGAGGACTGACATATGCTTGTCCACGTCGAGTACATTCGTCTGCTGCGTGAAGTTGTTCGTCCGGACGACTCTGCGCGCCTTCGCCTCTGCGTCCTCCTCTTCCCTTCGAGAGAGAAGACAGTACCTGTCAGTGCACAATCCCGCTATGTGTGAGGCGCGACGTACTCCTCCTCATTATCATTCACGTCCGCGCCCTTCCTCAGGCCGCCCTGCGGCTCATCTCCCTCGCGCGGGCGTTTCCGCTTCTTCTTCACGTCGCCCTTCGTGAGCCTGGCGGCATCGATACCCTCTCGCGCACGCCGGAGCTTGCGCAGCTCGATGAGGTCCGTGACACTGCAAAATAAAGTGGAGGCGCGAAGTCAGTCTGCTGCACGCGTGCGAGCGAGAAACGCCATCCAGAGGACCTACTCTAGCTTTTCGTCGCCATCTTGCGGGGAGTCGTCACCCTCTGTCTGGTCGTCTGGGAGCTCGAGGGATCTTTGACGGAGGTGGGGCGGTGGGCGAGTGCGTCTCTTGATCATGAGGGAAAAGAGAGAGATGCTGTATAAGCGCCCGTGTCGCACTCTACGCAACAAAAACAAATCTGCAAAAAGATAAATTTGAGACGCAAACTGCCAAAGTATTGCGGAGAGGTCTGAATCGTGCATGAAGAGCATACAAGAACACCATAGTACAATCAGGACAGCTAATATATACAGACGTACACAGCAGCGTCAGATGCATATACCGTCACTTCCATCCTGGATCTGTCTGTCACAGCTCCTCAGAAGGCGCGGTTGCAGGCGACAATGACCGTGGGGTGGGGAAGTCCGTACTCAACTGTCCTGTCCGCTGCCAGTTCACAACCTCCACAGGTGTAATGTCCCGCACGGCACTATGAGAAGCCTCCGTACCCGTACCACCTCCTTGCACACCTGCTGCGACACCCTGGCTGTCCTCAGTGGCAGGGGAGACATGCCTCGACAGCAGAGACTCTGGGGCACGGACCCCACCCCGACGCAGGCGAGGAGCCACGGCCGACCTGCCGTCGCCTGCTGAATCTGAACTGCCCGCAGTCACATCAGGAGGTGCCGCGGACGCTTCCGCGGCAGTGGCGGTGAGCGTGTACCACATCTGGGACGAGCTCGGAGTACCACCGGGGGAGAGGTCTGCAGGACGAGCTGAGGGAGCTGAGGGACCAGGCTCTGTGGTCTCGGAAGTCCAGGGGAATGCAAGACCAGCTTCGCGACGGTTCCGGGCCTGGGACCATGGGCTCAAGGGGAAGAACCGTCTCGCTGGGGGCGCGGCTGGCAGTCCTGCCAGAGCCTCTTCACGAGAGGGAGACTCGTCTCGCAGCCTGAACCGCCATGCGCTGCTCGCACTCGCCGTGTTATCCGCATGCCCCGAATCCCGAAGAGAGCGAATGTTGGAACGTCGATGATGTGTGAACTCGTTGAAGTCGACCGTGCGAGAGCGGGCGGGCCGGCGTATCGAGCTCTGACGAGTCAAATTGGAGCTGCTATTACCGAGCATCGCCCAAGCATTGTTATTCCGATATGTTGATGATAAAATCGGAGGCGATATCGGACGCGGGCTGGTGACGCCATAACGATCGCGAGGGCCATCGGCCGGTTCAGGAGAACCGGTGGCCAAAGGCGTTGGTTCTGAGTGTGGATAGTGAGGGAGATCTGGCAATTCGTGGGCGTTGTTGTAGGCATCAAAGAGCTCTGTGTTCAGGCGGACGCCTTCGAACGGCCCGTTACCGCCGCCGACCACCGAGCCAAACTCGTCGTCGTCATCAGACCCTTGCGTATCCTCCGCCTGAGCAGCGTAGTCCATGAAGGGGAAACTGCGTCTGCTGCTGGCCCTGCCGAGGTTGTGACGGTTGCGGTATATATGCAATGGGGCAGCCTGCATGCGCAGCGTCTTCGCCGTGCGCTCCGAGATAAGACGGCGGTCAATGGGATTGGGTCGCGTACGACGCTCAGCCATTTCCTAGAAGCATACAGCTCTGGATCACCGACTCATGCCGACAAAGAGGCGCTGAGCTCACTTTCACCAGTACATCAATTATGGAGGCGGTGAACGAGTCGCCCTCGTCGAGTTCTTCGACAAAGGCCTCGTAGGATATCAAGGGCTCTCCGTGCTCGAGCCTAATTCTCTTTACCGCGCCTGTTCTGATGGAGACATTAGCGCATGACTTGCGGAGAACGAGACGATGACCTACACCAGGCTTTTCATTTTGTTGCGGAGGACGTCGTCGTGATACTCCAAGGTCCTGAGAGGTGGTTCAACATGGACGAGGTGGAGAGAAAGAAGGCGAGGACGAACCATTTGCCCATGTTGCTGGTCGACTGTGTAGACAGACAGTGGTGAGAAGAGTGGCGGAAGTGTCTCTCGATTGGCCCATCCTGTTTGCGCGTGTTTGTCCTCGCGCTGGATATGTTTGTCATGCAGTGGCTCTTTGGCTCTCACGTCTCTTCAGCCTCTACGCCCATCGTCGCCGCGTCGTCGTCGTGTCCTTTGTGCTGCAGGGTGTCCGTGGTAGGTTTATCTTACGTCTGTATTGGTGTTCCAATGATTCTATACACTTCAGCGACCGGCCTTAGTTCGTCCATTGTCTGAGCGGTTTACTCTCATCTCGACAAGCAGACTCCGTCGCCGAACAGCCCACACCTGCCATGGCTTATTCTCAGCCCTTTCCTCTCGCTCAACAACTACAAAAGCCTCAGCAGCTTACCTTTGGCCCCGATCTTGCGGTTCGCTTAATTTGCCCCGAGTGCAAAGATCCCAACCCCAACATCGTCGAAGAGTTCAGCAGCGGCGATCTGGTATGTGGCACGTGTGGGCTGGTTCTGGGCGACCGGGTTGTCGATACGAGGAGTGAATGGCGGGTAAGTGCTGGCGCCCCGATTTTCCCCCTCTTTGTGAATCATTTTATGGGCTTTCCTTATGTGGCTACTAGACGTTCGCCAATGACGAAGGCGATGACCCGTCGCGTGTTGGTGCCGCGTCCGACCCTCTCATGGACGGTATCGAGCAGCTCGATACCGCCATTTCCTTCCGTGATGGCGGTTCCGGCATCGCGCGCGAGCTTCAGCGCGCAGCGTCTCGCTCTACCGCATCGCGTGCAGAGCGTAACCTCCTCACAGCTTTCCGCGAAATTGCGACGTGGTGCGACCAATTCTCCCTCCCAAAGACGATCTCCGACATCGCGAAGCAGCTCTACAAGCGCGCGGACGAGGAAAAACTCCTCCGCGGAAAGCCGCTCGACGCGGTCATTGCAGCATGTATTTTCATCGCGTGCCGGCAGGCACACGTCCCGCGCACGTTCCGCGAAATTTGCAACCTCACGCGCGTCAGTAAAAAGCTGCTTGGACAATGCTACAAGGCCCTCGAGCAGGCATTCAACCTAACCCCCGGCGCGTCGTCGACGGTCAGCCGGCGCTTCGGCAGGGTCGTCGGGGTTAGTGGTCCGGAGGACCTGCTCGTGCGGTACTGCAACCACCTCGACCTGCCACCCATCGTACAGCCCATCTGCTCTGACATCATCAAGGAGGCACGCGAGCTGGGCATTGCAGATGGCCGCTCACCCGTATCTATCGCTGGTGGTGCGATATACTTCACCTGCCATCTCCTTGGCAAGGTGAAGAGCATACGTGACATCAGTTCGGTGGCGGGTGTCAGCGAGGGCACCATTAAATTGGTGTACAGGCTGTACTACGCGGAGAGGGAGAAGCTGGTGAAGGAGGAGTGGCTCAAGGATGGGAAGGCGAATTTGGATAGGCTTCCCATGGACAACTCGAGCAAGTGAAGGCTCACGATCATTGTTTGGGCGGAGAGGTTGGAGAGACCCCGCCATATTGTACTCTCTGCCGTTCGTAATATGCAGTCCTTTGTATACTTACATCCAATGTTATTCGATTTGAGCTCCTTGAGCTCTCGGTTTGGTGTAATTCATGTCTTGACCAAGTGAAAAATACCCCAAAGCAATTGCATTAGGAATCAACTACCTACGGCCCTTCTTGCTCTTGCCACCACCGCCTTCTCTTGCGAGTGCAGCACTGCCCTTCCCCTTACTTGCGGACCTAATTGCTTTCCTGACATTTAGGACGTCCCCAGATCCGCCTCCCGGGTTGCTCAGAGAAGATATCTTCGCCTTCTTCGAGGGTCCTTCTCGATCAAGCTTCGAGATAATGGCAAGATTATTTGACTTCTCCCTCGACGCAGATACTTCGGTGGGATCAAACTGAGGTTCGTACATCTCGTTAGAAAAAAATAAAACGAAGGAGGCCGATGCTGCATACCTTCCGTTTCACACCCTTCAGTTTTTTCTCGCCCTCCAACTTCTTATCAAATTTGCCCATGCTCGCGGTACTCGTGCGTGTTGTGGCAAGTGTCCTGTCGATGTTCGTTTTGCGGTCCGCCGACGAGGCAACCCCAGCACTCGAGCTCGCACCCGACTGCTGGGCACGCGCGACATTTGACTGGTGCTGCCGCTCGTTCTTCGCAACCTTTGCTTTACGCTTATCGCGCACAACTTTCGCAGGGTCATGGTCGACATCTGCGCAACGTTCAGCACGTTCCACTGATCTGCCCAAACGCAGAGAAGATAAAAACCGTACCTGCATTTGCCCGCACCTCCGTGAGCCACTGGCCCTCCTCCTTCTTGTTCGCACCGCGCCAGCCCCAGCGGTCGACCCACTCCTGGCGCTCCTCATCCCACACCCGCTTCTCGCGCGTGCGGTGCTGGATACCCTTCGCCTTCGCGAATTGCTCCCACTTGGTCGGCGGCTTCGGCTTCGGCAGCGGCTTCGCACGCGGGAGCGCCGTAGTCGGCGTGGGGAGCTGTGCGAGCGGCCCGTCCTCGGAGGCGGTCGTCGGGAGGGAGAAGAGCGCCCCGATCATGGCTTGGGCGCCGTCGCGTGCAGTGGAGAGGAGGTAGTCTTCGAGGTTCGCTCTGTATTAATTTAACGGTCAGAATATGTCGCGATTGAAAAGGAGGATGTAGGAGACGTACTCGTAGCTCTCGGCATCCACTGGGTTCAGGTCCGTCACTGTCAGGAAACCGGTATCGATCTCGAGAGGGATGTCCTTCTCGACCGTGACGGCTTTTCTGCAAAGTTCGGTTTCAGGTGCATCACTCGGAGACAACAACCTCGGAGAACATACTGCTTGGCTGCATGGGCAGAGAGGATATCTGATACGTCCATGTTTTGTTTTGCAAAGGTAGGTGAAGGGTATATAGACTGAGTCCTTGAGCGCTAGTTAGGCGGCGAGAAAACGAAGATCGAGAGGGCCGGGGTTTGCCGTCATACAGCTCTCATCGTCGGGTTAGGGTTCTAATGTTCGACATAAAATCATAAAATACAATTCTGACACACGACAACATATAATACAGACGGCTCTGGGAATATTGACGGGATTAGTTGAGTGAATATATGAGAATTCATCGAGCCTCGGGTATCTTGGCATTATTCACTCCGGATTTCTGTAGAGTTGCGACCGACAATTTGGTACCGAGTCCTCTCCATCGCGTGCCAGCACCGGCCTGCTGCGAAACCTCTGGCGGCATCTCTGTCAGAGTCTTTGCGATGAAGGTTGCATCCGTGAGCGGTGTCAAGTCGTCACGCTTGGGCAATCGCTGTTCACAAGCGAATGCATCAGCAACAACCGCAAACTCGCAAAAAGTGTTGCGACATACTCGTTTCAGCCACTCGTATGGAGCCTCCCACCCGCTGGTCTCTCGCACGACCAGAGAAGGAGACGATGCGAACGAGTGATATATCCGCGTGTCATACGTCCGAAAGAGGACATGATCTATTCGGAGCGTGAAGCGCGACAGTATGAAGAGGCAGGTCGGCATGACGCGCTGCGATCCAACGTCAGAGGGAAAACTCGGAAACTTCCTGTAAAAGGACGTACTCACTATTCTGATGATTAACTGGGAAGTGCCATTGTCGTGGAGCTCGTCCTCGAAGAGCGGTATCTCTGCGTAGAACAGGATAGGATCCTGGCGAGTAAGCTCAGCCAGTGGGATGGTGTGCGACGAATTGTCCGCTTCAGCAGGTTGCCATGATACCGAGTCTGAAGTAGCTATGGCATGCCCAGGGTATATGGTGGTGTACGTCCAGTCATACGGCTTTGTGGGAACTGTTTTGGGCATCGGAAGCTGGGACGACGGTCCCGACCTAACATGAAATAAAGGCACAGGTCAGGAACATGAAATTAACCAAGGCCGTACCGACTCTTCAGCCAGGCATCCGCGTGCCCCACCTTCACGGCGCCATCGCCCTCCCCGAGCTCTCCGTTCTTAACGGCCTTTAAAGACGCCTCGGTAGTGAACGCATACTGCCAGCCGCTGGTCTTGTGCTTCAACTCGAGCGCATTATTCCCAAAGGTCATCTCGGGCAGCGGCATCCCGCTCAGAGCCACCTGGAGCGCGTCGCACTCGCCTGCGTTTGAAATGGGGTTTGTGCGTGCGGTGATGACCCACTCCCCAATCTCGATGGTGCGTGAGTTCGAGAACTCGCTAAGGTGATGCTCGGGGGTTGGTACGGTGGCGGACATGATGAAGCCAGGTAGAAAGGAGAGACGGGACGACGAGCGCGAATGGGCGATCGAGTTACCGGAGTTTGAAATCAAAGTTGCTGCAATATTCACTGCTTCAGTCCACAGCAGCCACTTGCAGTGACAACGTATAAGCATTAATACCAGCAGGGTGAGGAGCCACGATATTATGGACAATTCCCCCCCGTTGTCGCCGCAAGCCCCTCCTCAGGACCTCTGGTCGTCCATCCTCGATTCCGTCTCCACATCTCGCTCCATACCCTCCAAACAAATCCTCGTGCTAGGCCAGCCATCCTCCGGCAAGTCTGCTCTCGTATCCGCCTTACTCCAGAAGCCCGATTCAGACGAAGGTAACGAGGAGAAGCGGTACGACTTCTCGCTGGGATATGACTGGGCGGACGTGCGGGACGACGCCGATGAAGGTGAGTGCGAGCGCCCTCCGTTGCAGCACTTGTGATGAACGGACGTGTTTTTGTGTGTAGATACCCTTGCACGGCTGTCGGTGTACACCGTGCCGTCCTCAGCACCCTCGTATACCGCGTTACTCCCCCATTTTCTACCGCCGCGCGTGTCGCTACCACATACCCTTGTCGTAATCGTGCTGGATTGGACGCGTCCCTGGACCTTTGTTGAGGAGCTGCAAACATGGCTAGAATGGGTGGAAAGTTGGGTGAGGACGAGCGATGCGCGGGAGCTTGAAATTGTACGGGAAGAGAACCGTGAACGATGTGAGCACGCGTCGTTGTCTTCCTGCTCTCTGAGTTTGAGACCGCCAATCTGCAGTGCAGGCACATCTGCAACATTATACTGAACCATCTGCCGAACCAATACCCACTACTTCTACCATGTCAAGTACTCTCCTGCCACTAGGGCCAGGCACATTTACGCATAATACCGCTGGCGTGCCCATCATCGTAGCATGCACAAAAGCAGATCTAATCGACGGGACCGACGACATGATCGGTGCCGGGACCTCCGGAATGGGCGGAATGGTAAAGGGCAAGGGAGAGGAATGGGAAGAACGGACGGACGGCGTCATGCAGGTCTTGCGGACCATCTGTCTAAAATGTGCGTCACAGATACCCTCGCATATTTCCGTCTTCACGAATAACGCATGTCTAGATGGCTCCGCGCTGTTCTACACCACGCCTCTACCTGCTACACTGCAGCTCCTCCGACAGTACGCCCTCCACCTACTCTTTATGCCGCCCGCACCAGCACCCGGATTCGCGTCGGCCACAGATGCACCCGCACCCGTCCGGAACCGCTTCCCCTTCCAACATAAACCAAACACGCTCGACCGCGACAAGATCGTCGTACCAGCAGGGTGGGACAGCTGGGGAAAGATCAGCGTGTTGCGCGACGGGTTCGACGCCAAATCATGGGGCGAGGCTTGGGAACACGACCTCGACCACGCGGAAGATGACACCGGCGAATCGGGCGCGAAGAAGATGTACAGCATGCTCGTGCCCGACCAGGGCGCCAAGGTTAGCATTCCCGCGTGGATTCAGCATACGGGGCCGAAACTGACTGCCCGCAGCCCCCGCCATTACCCCCCTTCAACAACCCCACGCCCGAGCAGGCATTCCTCGCCAAGAACTACGACGAGAACTCGAAGAAGCCCGACCGCGACCCACGTGGCGCATTCCGAAATCCGAACGAGAGCGTCGCGGCGGGCATCGTCGGGCCCATGGGCAGCAGTAGCTTCAACCTGCCGAACGTCGAGCGCGCACTGACCGAGATGGAGGGTGGAGTCGGCGGTGCTGGTGGCGGTACCGCCGCGCTCGGCATGAGCGTGAGCGGGGATGCCGCGCGGAAGCTTGGGGGGCGGGCGGCGGGGCGCCCGCCCTCGACACTCACTGTCCCGTCCGCCGGTGGCGCCGGGCGCTCGACTGTCCCGTCGCCAACGCTGTCGTCTGCGGGCTCACCGAGTCCCACGGGCGGGCAGACGCAACATGAGGTACTGCAAAACTTCTTCCAGAGCTTGTTGAGCTCGAAGGACCGCACTGGCGCAGGTGCGAGTGCTGCATCTGGGCGGGCGGCGTCGCCCAAGGCCAATGGTAATGCAACAGCAAGCTCGAACGCGGGTGCGAGTGAAATGGATGAAGGTAGTTGAGCTTAACGTCTTTGGAGGGTTATATCATTCATGTACTGTCGTTATCGGAATGACCCATGGTCGCATGCACCGTACACACTAATACGCAGGCTTAACGAGGTGGTAACAGGCCTGTGCATTGAAGAACGAAGAAGAGGTACCTGCTACTACTCCGTGACGATCAGTACATATGGTCTCCGGCGATTTCTGGAGGTTGGGCGTCCCGAACCCAGTCCATCGACTAGTTACAGATTCCAGCTGTAGAGGCTGTGCAGCTCACATTAAACCCCTGGGTCCCGCATCCGGGAGTGTTGGCCACTTCGAACATCCCTGGGCGGATTTTAAAGGATGAGAGAGGGCAGGCTCTTCGCTAACGTCATTATGCACTCATGGTAGGGAACTGCTTTTGGTTGTCATCCGATCTCGATAGAACATCTGGAAGAATGCAGACTGAGCCGCGACAACTGTAAATGAGATGTCAATGGACTTCAAAACTAATTGATACGTATAGAAACTGTTTCCTCAGTACGGGCACTTCACGGGGAATAGAGTACCTGCGATCACGACGCCAATAGTTGGTATAGCAGCTTGTACAGGCACAGTCTGGAATCTTTCGATCCATGTTGACCATGATTACGTCTGAGGTCAGTGTACAGCCTGCCTGAGATGACTTCCGGTTCTCGGATGAGAGAATACGCTACAAAAGAGATATTCAGGTGCATGGCATGAGATGTATGACACTCTGCAATTCATACAGTAGCGTGTCACTATGAGCTAGATGAACTTGAATTAAACTTGCCCGATCCGTATCGGCAACTTGGATGGTTGGTAGAAGCACTTGCCATATTGGGCCTCTAATCTTTGCCTCAAACTTCCTCCCAAAAAATGCCCGCGACAGACTCGGTATCTGTATTTACAGAGGGCACCTTCTCGGAACAGGTACCAGTCTTTAATATTCGAATGAAGCGAATTGGGCTGATCTTTGTCGTTCAGATCCGCGAGCTGGTAGTTTACCTTGCACGCGGCCATCCAGAGGAAGAGAGGGCAAGCTACATACAACCCTTCCAGGATGTTCTGACCGTAGCAGATAACGAGAAACCGATCGAAGAAGACGAGGACAGGCAGAGAAAGGTTCTCACAATGGTGGTCAGCGAGGTGAAAGGGTTGGGAGATGGTACGGACAAGGGTACGCTTTTCACACCCTGTTTTGGTCTTGGTATCGACTGACTGCTATTCAGAAATCGAGGGATTCTTCAACCTTTTATTTTCTCACTTCCTCACCGTTCTACCACTTGATGCACCCGAGACAAAAGTACATCTAATTGCTCTCCTACAAGCTATATCCTCCACTCCAGACCAAACACTGACAAAATATCGGATGTATGAAGCACTTTCGTGTTGCCCCTTGACTTTTAACGACATCCGTCCAGATTGTCAAATATTTTCAACGCAATCCCTGGACAATCTGCTCTGAGATTACTCGTTTATAAGACGCTGATAGAAATCGCAAGCGCAAGTGACGAGCTCGAGCATCTTACCCTCGAACGAGCAAAAGTTGAGAAGTGGCTACAAGAGTGGGATGTCTCGCAGCAGGAGAAGAGCGACTTCTTGAAATCGATCGCCGATGCCTTTGCTAAATGTCAAGAACTGTGGGTAGCCTCCTTTGAAGAAATAACTAAATAACCGTTTTACCTCTTATGTCAGAGGAACATCATATGAATATACGTTGTCCTATGTCAACTCTCTCCCTCCGTCCTCACCATCGGCACACGCTGCAGCTGTGGATGCTATCGCCACCGCACTTCGGCTACCCTCCCTATTCGACTTCGACCCGTTATTCCGCCTTGACGCCGTTGTATCTGCAAAGGACCACGAGTTATTCTCCCTGCTCCAGATCTTCCTGAACGAGGGGCTTCCTGAATACCACGCCTGGTCGGCGAGCCACGCGAATGCGTTTGCCCAGTACGGTGAGTGCATCCCTATTGTTCTCGCTTCACGATTGTGTGCAAATATATTCATTCCTCAGGGCTCGACAAGGAGCAGCTAGAGCGCAAGATCAAACTCCTCAGCCTCACAACCCTCGGGTTCCAGAACATTGGACATGACCTGCCTTACGCCTCTATAGCGTCCACGCTGCAAGTCGAGCCTTCTCAAGTCGAGCGCTGGGTCATTGACGGTATGTGCTCATTAGATGTACTATGTACTGGATGTGTGTTGACATGTGCGATGTTCAGTTATACGCGCGGGTCTTGTTTCCGGTCGTCTATCCCAGACGACACAAACACTGCACATCACTCGCGCAGCAGCGCGTGCGTTCGAGCGACCACAGTGGGAACTGCTGGAGAAACGACTGGGCCTCTGGAAGACTAGCATTGCAGAGGTGCTCGAGGTCGTAGCCGCCGCCCGAAAGAACAATACAACAGAGGCGGTAGGTGCTGCAGGGGCAAGCGCAGCACCAAATGGCACAGAGACGCCCGTCATTCCTGCAAAGACTGCGGCTGCAGCGTGAGGGAGGAGTGCACAGAGAAAGGTGCCTTTCCGAGCGATTTATCAGATGCTGGGTCACCGCGGCGGTGTGCGATTACTGCAACGAACGCATGTAGCATTATATGTAATTGCCGTTGTACCCTGCTCTACAGTGCGTGCACCAGTCAAAGACAGCAAATTGCAACATCAAAGCAAGTCTATTTCGAAGACAATAGCATAAGAGATGTTGGTTGCGCGCTACCATTCGCCATCAAAGCCTATGAAACCTGGGGGAATGTATCAATAGAAATGACCTCCTCGAGGAAGAGTTAGACATACCTGTCAGTAAAAATACCGGGAAGAAACGTTTCTTCTCCAATAGCGAGCACCAGTTCCATGCACTTGTTAAGCGACCGTCGATACATGATCCTGCAGAGACGGCGATGTCAGCAATCATCCTGAGCATTGACAAGACTAGCCATCTACCTGCATCGAAATAATTTCCTGCACCAGATCCGTCGAACCCGTGACGGAAGAAATCCGCGAGGATCTCGCGAGAGAGATTCTCTGGCGAACCGAACTCGTCATCAATATACGACCGCAGTGCGGGGTCTTTTGCCACCGTTGGGATCTGTGCAAGCGTATTGCATATCGGAAGAAGGATCCGGTAGATCTGCGAATATTTATCTAAACGAAGACGTCAAGAAGGGGGAGATGGATGCAACCTGTGGTATTTACCGATGAACATCAACGCATTGGGGACATTGTGATCACCCATGTGAACAACTGAAGATCCGACCCATGAACCGACACTTTTCTGAGCACGATGGAGGATCGAGTGCATCATGCGGGACGTCTTTGGAGCGGCCTGTACGCGGTTCAGACCTTGACCAGTGTCGCGGAGACGGTATGGTACGTTCTCCGAAAGAAGATCTTGTTCAGCAAGTGACCATAGGTGGAACATGTCTAATACGCGGTAGAGTCCAATCAGTCTCGAGGTGAACCACAACTTCTCGAATAAGAGGCTTACCATGCAGGATCTCGCGCCACAGCGTCAAGCTCTGGATGACATAGGCATACTGCTTTGAGTGGTCATGTGTAAGTCTTGCACCGCCCTTCCCACTCTTGATCGCGAGACTGCTCTTCGAGTCCTTCGCCTGCGTGGGGTGGAAGTACTGCTTCAAGTACGCGATCATCTTGTCGCACGGATCACGGTTCGTGCGGAGGAACGCGTGATTGTCCCCAATGCTGTACAGGCACTGGCGCACGTTTTCTTCGCTGAAACCCACGCGTGCGTACCGTGCAGCAAGGGTCTCAATCGCACGCTCCTTCGATTTAATGTCTTTCTGGACATCCCGCCGCGTTCGCCCTTCCGAGTAGATCTCCTTGGTCGCGATCGCTACAAGGTCATCCCGCAAGAGATCGACCGCATGGTGTGCCTCTATGATGGTATACACCGACTGGATCGGCTTTACGCATGAGAAGTTGAGCAGCTCTTTCACTTCGGGGGTTTGGCTATCCTGAGACAATGTTTGCACAAGTATCTACAGAGACATGGAGCACTGACCTGCAGTAAATACATGAGCTTCCCGTATGTGGAACGCATCTTGTCTGGGTTCATGATCTTATGTCGTCGACCGAGCTCGAAGATCCGTTGGAAGAAGGCTTCGTTCGCCTCGAAGTCGCGATCCGCAAATAACTCCTGGCCCTGCTTGTAATCCGCCGAGAGTACCAGCCCGGAAAGAATTGAACAGAGCTCGCGGATCTGGTGTACGATGCGCCTCGCCTTCGATAGACTTCCGCCTAACGCGTCTATTCTATCTGTGTATTCCGAGACGCTAAGCGCCGCTTCGAGTAGGCGGAGATACTTGCGCTCTTCCAGAGCGAGACGTAAAGGAATGAACTTTGAACGCTCAACGAACCAGTCGCCGACCGTCGATTGGGGTACTGCAGTTGCTGCAGAGGATGAATTAGCAGCGATTCGCTCAAGTTCGTGGTCCGAGTCGTCGTCCGTATCCATCTGCAAGATATTGTGAGCACACCGCTAGAGGGCTGACGCGTAGCAGGTTATCTCACAGCAACTCCGTTGGTGGTAGAAGCACCGTTATGCATCTTGGCTTTCTTTTGGCGTTCACTTGTCAGCGACTTGCTCGCGTGCCGCTTACGCGTTCCCTTGCGGTGCTGCGCAGCAAAACACACTTCGCAGTAGTCGTCAGAACATGTTTCGCAGTGCACTTCCGCAGGCTGGTCTGCACGTCGTAAGTTACGAACACCGACGCGCAAAAATTGAACACGCACCTTCACACTCTACACAAAAACCCTGAGCCGCAGTCTCCTCGTGGTGTTCCTCGTCCCAGCTGCCCTCCGGCGCGTCCTTCGCGTTTGGGTGTTCGATGTTGTCGTGGTCGTCACTGAGTATAGTAGCGAGAGAGAATCCAGGTGCATCCGTCCCCGGAGCTTCCCCTTCCCTAGACGGAGTATTTCCTGGAGACATATTTTTCAGAAAAGTGCCAATCCCGGAGCGGAAAGGGCGAAGAAGAGAAGGGACACGTGTGGTGAGCACTGCGATCATTGCGAGGTTCCAAGTCGCGGTCAATAGATAAGATAAGATGAGATGAGATGAATCTCGAGATCCTGGTGTATGTAATCAGCACTCGAGCTGGAAGCGCCCAAAGACTTCACTGCACATTACACAGCATCCCAGCTCCAGCACGAACACGTATATCCGCAGCTCTAGAATTAACCAAGTTCTGCTTGCACGATAGAATCTATACCCTCATTATTACATCCAGTCGTCGGCTGACCCCACCATGAGCTTCCTCAGATCCAATCACCCTACACCACCACCCTCGGCTTCGTACTCTCGCGTCCCTCCATCTCCAAACCAGGGCCAATACGATGCACCGAGGAGCGCGCAGCGCATCCCGCCACCTAGATACGAAGACTACAAGTCACCGCCTGCCCGCTCTGGTGGAGTGTGCGTCGTTATGTAGGACCCATGTAGCAACATTTTGACTTAGGCTGTGTTTGCAGGTTTGGTGTCGCAAGCGCTCCCAACGACGCACTTGCGCTTTCGAACTGCATCATCGTGCACCCTTCAGACTTTCCGCAAGGCCAGCATGTTCTCGTGAAGCAGCAGTTCCCTCTCACAACTCGGTGAGTACTATATTGCACCTGCTCAAATATGGCGTATTATTCAACTTCCGCCAGTCATGACAACACCGGGAAGCTCCTACCACGCACCGTTGGTGCATCTGCTATGCAGCGACAATGGATCGGGCTCTCTCTGATCGGGGATGAAGTGACCGTGGAGCCAATAACGTTCACTCCGCTATACCTGCAGTCGCTAGACGTCGAGGTCGGGTTCCTCCGCCGCGGACACGAGATTGCTGAGACGTTTTCCTCTGACGAGATGGCGCACAACTTCATTAAGGCTTTCTCTGGCATCGTCTTTGCCGTCGGCGAGTTCCTTGTGTTCGAGTTTCATGGACAGAACTTGAAGGCGACTGTCAAAGGCCTGAGCGTCGTGGAGCTCGCGGACGCGCAGAGGCGTGGGCAGCGACATCCAGATTCTACTAATTGCGGCGTCCTCATGGAGAAGACGGACATGACGTTCTTCAAAGCCGGCGACAGCGCGATTAAGATCAAATCTAGTGCAAAGAAGTGAGTGTTATCGTGTTCCTGACCATGATCGTGCGTTGACTTTGGGCAGGGCGCCGCCAAACGCCATCCTCGCGCCGAACTTCAAGTTCGAGGACATGGGCATCGGAGGTCTCGACTCTGAGTTCAGTGCTATCTTCCGTCGCGCGTTCGCCTCGCGAGTCTTCCCACCAGGTCTCATAGAGAAGCTCGGTATACAGCATGTAAAAGGTGGGCGACTCTTTGTAACCTTAGCAAATTTCCATTGAGTAATTTGTGTCAGGTATCCTACTGTACGGCCCACCGGGAACGGGTAAGACGCTTATGGCGCGGCAGATCGGCAAGATGCTGAACGCGCGCGAGCCGAAAATTGTGAACGGCCCTGAGATTCTGAACAAGTACGTCGGGGCTTCAGAAGAGAATATCCGTAAATTGTTCGCGGATGCCGAGAAGGAGGTGTGCTCCGATTGATCTGCATTTTATCTTCAGGTACATGTACTAACCATGGTTCCTTCATAGTACAAGGCGAAGGGCGATGAGAGCGGACTGCATATCATCATCTTCGATGAGTTAGATGCGATATGCAAGCAGCGAGGCTCTACATCGGGAGGCACAGGTGTCGGCGATAGTGTCGTCAACCAGCTGCTGGCCAAGGCATGTCTCGCCTAGTCCTCGTGAGATCCCTTCTCATTGATTTATGGCACAGATGGATGGTGTAGACCAATTGAACAACGTTCTCATTATTGGAATGACGAACCGTCTCGACATGATCGACGAAGCGCTGCTGCGTCCCGGGCGTCTCGAGGTGCACATGGAGATATCATTACCGGACGAGAAGGGCCGATTCCAGATCCTCAGCATCCATACCGCGAAGATGCGGAACAACGGTGTGATGGAGCGCGATGTCAGCCTGGAGGAGCTGGCAGCGTTGACAAAGAATTTCTCTGGTGCTGAGATTAATGGTCTAGTGAAGAGTGCGACAAGTTTTGCGTTCAGTCGGCATGTTAAGGTAGGTACTACCGCTACTGTTTCGGGTACGTGGATGTGGGCGTCGATTAATTCTGATTTGCTACTTTAGGTTGGAACACTAGCAGGGATCTCGGACGACATCGAAAATCTCCGTGTAAATCGGGAAGACTTCATGAACGCGCTCGAGGAAGTGCAGCCCGCATTCGGTGTCGCGAAGGAAGAGCTCGAGCAGGTTGTCGAGAACGGCATCATTCACTACTCTAGCATCATCGACGTAAGTCTCTTCCTGTCGACCCTCTGATGCGATGCTGAGCCATCTTGATTGACTAGGACCTCCTGCGCTCCGGAGAGCTCTTCGTCGACCAGGTGCGCACGTCGACACGCACGCCACTGGTCAGCGTGCTACTGCATGGGCCACCCGGATCGGGTAAGACGGCGCTGGCTGCAACGATTGCGCAGGCATCGCAATATCCGTTTACGAAACTGCTCTCGCCGGATAGTATGGTTGGTTTCTCGGAGTCGCAGAAAGTCGCAGCGATTACGAAGGTATTCTCTGACAGCTACAAGAGCCCGCTTAGTGTGATAGTAGTAGACAACTTAGAACGACTGCTAGGTGAGTGATTCGTACATATTGAGTTCGGCTGAAATACTAACGATATCTGTAGATTTCACTCCCATTGGACCTAGGTTTTCGAACTCGGTGCTACAAACATTGATGGTGCTGTTTTCTCGGCGACCACCAAAGGTCTGTCCGGATGTAAACACAAAATTGTTGTAAACTCATATCCTCCTTTAGGGTCGTCGTCTGCTTGTCATCGCTACGTCGTCATTACGCCCAGTACTTACAGACCTCGGGCTGTCTGAATCCTTCGACTCAGAAATGCGCGTGCCGCCGATCTCGACCTTGCGCGCGGTGGACTACGTCCTGCGGGAGCTCGAGCTGTTCAAGACGGACAAGGAGCGCCGGCATGCGATCGCCATGCTAGAGCAGGCCGGATTTGGGTCCGCACAAGACGACGCGGAGGAGGGTATGTTGTCGTTGAATATTGGGATCAAGAAATTACTGGGGATGGTGGAGATGGCGAGGCAGGAGCCCGAGGCCGTCGCAGAGAGGCTGACAGGGGCGTTGATGGGATTGGGCATGTAAGTTGCACTTGCGAGGGGACTGTGTATTTCCAGTACGATATTTCTTGGACGGTAATAAGTTTTCGATAATATTTGCAAGTGCGATGTTGCCGCGGAGGCGTGCCGAGCCTCAGTGTGGTCCCCGACGCGACGCGTGCGGTCGGGGCGAGTCGTAGCAAACCTATCTAACCTTTCAGTCGCGTTCCCTTCCGCACCGTGCTCATGCATCTCACCTCTCTGTCGCACTCTTCTTGATTCCTGTTTCTCTTCCTATTTTTCTCTTTCCCGGACTTTGCAATCCATGTTACGCATGCGACACATACTCTCCCGAGCCCGCAGATGTCGTTCACCTTCAAATGGCCCCGCTTCTCCGACCAGTTTCACGCAGATGCCATCCAGATGCTCGACGCCGCCCTTAACAAGGGGAACAAGCCGCCCGTCATAGCGGACAAGATCGAGGTCGTCGAGCTCGAGATGGGCACTCAGGTGTGCCACCTTTCCGCTCCCACTTGTATGCAGGTCCCCTCATTTGCGTCTTAAGCCCCCGGAGCTGGAGATTCGGGACGTCGGCGAGCTTACCATGGACCAGTTTCGCGGGATCTTTCGTCTGACTTACGCCGGGGACGCCCACATTGTTTTGCGGACCAAGGTTCAGGCAAGTTGAAGTCGGGCATCCCAGTATACTTGGTGCTGACTGAGCTTTAGGCGAACCCTCTGAATCACAAACAACCTGATATCGATCTCATGGCCGGCTCCACAGGTATGCTCGCAGCGAAAAACCCCCTCGTCGTGCCCATGCTCCTCCGGCTCTCGCACTTCAAGCTCAACTCATACGTCGTCCTAGTGGTCTCGCGACAGAAGGGCATCACTCTCGTCTTCAAGACGGACCCCCTGCAGAACGTGGACATTAATAGCACATTCGACTCCATTGCGGTGATTCAAAAATTTATCCAGCGGGAGATCGAGGACCAGTTGCGGCAAATGTTCAGGGAGGACTTACCTGGAATCATACATCGGTTGAGCCAACAGTGGGTGAAAGCTAAAGTCGAGGCGCCGTATCTCAAGCCCGCCAGTGCACCACCACAGTGGTCGCGTGAGATGGCGTACAAACCGGACTTTTCGCTGTACCGCCCACTACGTATGTCCTCGATAGGGCTGCAGTCCCCAGGACTGCGGTCCCCTTTCTTGCGCGGTGTTGCTGGTTTTGACCCCCCGCGTTCCGCATCCGTGTATTCGTCTTCAAGCGCAGGCCGTAGTCGCAGACCCGCACCCTCTTCCGCATCCCCGCCAACTTCTGTCTCGGTCACTCCGATATCAGCACCAGTACTAGGACCGCCCGCAGCGGAGGACCCCACCTCGTTCCCTGAAATCGAGCACTTTGACCCTACATACGGCCTGCGGCCAGAGGGCCTCCCTGCGAAGAGCATGTTCGGCGGCTTCAGAAGCCTCTTCGCTGCTCAGAGAAAGGGCCTGGCCGACTTGGCGGAGGAGCCGAGTGACATCGATGACACGATGGACTCATCGAGCTCGTTCGGTGTCGCAAACTGGGAGGACCTTCTCTCAGATTACAACCATCCGTCCGAAGTCGGTGATGTCACTGAGTACGAAAGCGTGCCCGCTGTGGGTGGGGGCACCATCACGCGGCCGCGTGTCATTCACTCGCAGTCACAGATACATCCTCCAGACGAGGCCGCAAGTGCGGCTGGGACGCCCGGCCCTGCACGCAGACCCTTACCTTCCCGCTCGAGCATCTCAGCTCCCGTGCTATGTCGGCCTTCGCTATCACTACCCCTCCCTTCCTCCTCCAGGTCTGACGCTAATTACAATCCATACTTCGCCGGTGCGACTCCCTTATATGATGGCTCAGCTCTTCGTTCCGAACTGGCCAATGAAGCTGGTTGGGCTGAGAACCCTGGCGAAAGTAGCCGTTCAGCCTCCATGCCACCCGTACCTCCACTTGAGCACTATCTACCGCGCCGCCCAGGAAGCTCATCCAGCTTGCAAACACAACCTTCCAGCGATATGACCCACTCCATACCTACCCCTCCAGAGGAAGACGAGACAGGCGTCCACATACGCCGCCCGCGCCGCCTCTCACTCACCTCGCTGAATATGGATAGGTTCGGCTCCCCACCGGACCCACACATGCTGGAACAAGACCCTAAAATAGTTCTGCGACCCACACTCAATAATTCCGTGTCCAAGCTATCTACGCTTACCCACTCGAACCACACCCTATCGCCCTACACGCGCACACTCGAGCACTTTACTGTGCGTAGCGTCCCACCCCGGGAGCAAACCTCATCCGGGCCCGTCTCTAGCGTGGAGAAGCCGCCGGTAAAAGCAAAGCGGAAGAGGACGCACCGGCTCGGCGGCAAGCTCGCGAAGCCGCCAGAAGACGTTCCAGTCACCACTTCTCCACCTCAGCCCCCAACCCCGGGCGTCTTGTCCGATTTCGACGCCTCAGAGATGGACCGCTACTTCCGTTCTCGTGACGACCTGATACCCCGCTTCCCGACAGATCAACCCCCATCGCCATCTCACGGCCGTCGACGGCTGCCATATCAGACCTAGTACCTATTTAGTTATGTGCCTTGGACCTCTCTTTACGTACCGTAGCCCCTTGTCCTTGCATGTATTGTAGCATTATCGGACTACGTAATTGTAAATCATTAGAGCGGAGCGAAAGGCGGCGCGAGTTGCTGGAAGCCTTCCGCCGCGAAGGGCGTTGTTGCAGGCACTGCAGGCATCGGCACGGAAACTAACGTGGGCGACGCGCTCTCGAATTCCTATTCACATATCAGGATTCAGCAGCTAATTATTGGGTCAAGCGACCATCGCTACACCTACGTCCACATGCATACTCGGAAGCCTGCTTGTGTTCTGCCTCGCCGAGGGCATCTGTCGCAGCTGTCTGAAGTCGTTGTTAACGTACGTTTTCGTCAGGCCGGTCGACGCTTGCGAGCGAATGAGCGCGATGGGGGAGACCGTGACGAGGCCGAGAACATCCTGGTTGAGGGCGTTCCGCGGCGGGGTAGATGGTGTAGGGACATCTAACCGGAGGAGATCCTCCAGGTCGTGCATCGAGAGTTGGAGACTCTCGGGGAGGGGTATCAGAGGTGTGACGGAAGTCATTTCTTCCGCAACGGATATCTTATCTTTTGCATTGGCCAAGCGATCTTGCAAGTCGGAAGGAATCGCCTCGCGAAGGAGATCGCAGAACATGGAAAGTGTGGAGGAACTGATGCCGCGCAATTTAGTGAGCTCTGGAAGGCCCGAGGCAGCTGCGGCTGAAAGCCATTCCATCAACGAGACCAACGTCTCCGCGGTCGAGCCCTCCAAAGCTGATGATGCTTCGCTTAACGTGGCGAAAAGTTCACCAAATTCCGACCGAAGTCGATCCTCATCCTCCATTTCAAAAGTGGTTGATGAGAGAATGGTGGACGAGAGGTGGAGAAGGCGATTCCGCATGTCAGTTGAAATATCTGTACTCCGTGCTGACCGGAGTAGTACTAGGACCAGAACGTTACATAAATCATGCTGAGTGGGCGATGATTCCGATGTCAGAATTGCGACGAGCTCTGTGAGCGGAGAGGAGAGGAAGTGTTGGTCGAGTAACGACGTCAGGAACGCCGTGAATATATGAACTGCTTCGTCCTCAGTCGTAAGGCAATCTATGCACCACCGTGACACTCCAGAGGTGCGTACGAGCTCAAGCAAGAAACGCAAAGACAAGGAAATTCGGTACCGCTTCACCAGCTGCTGAGAAGCAGTGAGGGAGGTGTCTTCGAGGGAATACGTAACTTGTATGATCTCCTTCAGCTCTTCTAGCAGTAGCCAGTCGCCAATGCCAATGACGCCACGATCCAGATCGACGAGGCGCCTAACGAAGTGGGCCTTGCTATCCGTGTCAAGAGCACGGCAAAACGCCCAGAGGTCGTGTAAGAGATTGGGCACAACACGCTGCATGGAGGATACAGGCCCTTTCTCAGAGTCGGGCAGCGGTAGAAGAATGTCAATGAGCCAGAAGACTTGGAGTAGATGATGAGCAGGATCACGTTCTTCACTCCGTAGTCCGTGCTGAAGAAGGCTTCGCAAGACCATTTCAAGCCCGAGCTTGCCTCCCTCCAAAGAGGTGTCAGCAAGCACGCAAATGATGTCGATGCAAGACTGTCTTGCCATCTGTGCAGCGACACAAGCAGGGCTAGACTCCCTGTACAGCGACTCTGCTGCATCCGTGCAGGTGAACAGATCAGCAATCTTTATCGTGAGCGAGCGAATGACCCGGCTAGGGAGCGGATAAGCAGGAATGAGCGGGTGAAGAAGACGAAGCAGTTCGTTTGACAGTAGGAACAGCTGGCTCATCAGGTCCTGCGACTTGAAAGTCAGAGGCTTCAGCGAAAAGTGTGATTCGATCTCTTCCGTCGTTAGCAGAAACACCTCCACCAGACGGATCACCATGCTGCAAGCGCCCTCCTCCCAGAAATCTCCGAGGACGACCCACTCTCTCCGATCCTGGAGGTCTTGCTCAACAATGGCTAACGCCACTCGAAGATTCCGCAAGCTCGATGAAGTCACTGGAGATCCGATCGGTCGCACGAGCTCATCGACAGCTCCAAGCAAACCATTCTTAGCGATGGTCGCAGCCTGCTGCATGAACATGAGCTCCTCATCTGTGATGAACGAGTGAGGCGATTTGAGAGATAGGATGCAATCGGCGAGATTGAGTGAGAGAAAGGTTCGAGGAGTTTTGCTCAGATTGACGAGGATGTGTTCAGCGTCATCCCCAGAGCGCGTCGGCACTTCGTTATCCATCATACACCCAAGGCGGAACGTCATCTGCCGCAGAAGTAGCAAATGATCGACAATCTGTGCAAATATTGTTCAATCATGAATCAAGCATTCACGAACAGAGAAGACTGGCCTCTCGGTAACCATCAACACTCTGCCATAGTCTTAGAATTCCCAGCGTCTTCTCACGACATCGTTCGTGGGGGAGACTGTCTGTCCATGCATATACGGCCAAAACGCAGGATACGCCAATGAATGCGCGCAGAAACTTCGTGAATTCGTCATGGGAAGTTGACGAGTTTGACTGGAGAAGTAGCCGTGGAAGGGGCAGAGAATTAGAGAGGACAGGGATTTCGCTCATATTAGCCATAATGTCGTGGTGTGTGACCATCGACTCTAGCCACACACCCAACGATTCTTCGTCCCGGCCCACTTCGGCAATCATCTTGGAAGCATTGGAGAAATCACCCTGAGTATTCACGAGGGCATCTTCAAGAGTTTCCCATCCTTGGATCCTTGCAACGAGTTTGTTTGCCGCTAGTCGCGTCTCGAGATCTATTTGGGAATTTTTTGCAATTGAATCAACCGTCTCCAAGAACCAGTCATTGTTCAGATGTCGCGCAATATCAGCGTTCGTGGTGGCATAGAGGAGCCTACGTAGTGTGGGCTTGCGTAACTTCGGTCCTTCAAAAATGGTAGTCAAGTCCAATTTCTGCTGTAGGCGAAGTCAGACGTTTAAGCGACTTGGCTTGTGCGAGTTACCAACCAATAGACGTTTTGCCATATCCTGATGCTGGGAAGCTGCATTACTCAAAATTTCTGCAACTAAATACGCGTGATCGTCTTTCTACCAACTAGAAATCAACAGGTTTCGGGCAATCAGCTGGAAAGTTTGCATACCTTTGGATCAACTGCTTGTGTAACGTGTTGGGCAAAGTGGATCAATGACTCTTCGGAGATGTTGTCAGCCATAGCTTGGCTACTCAATCGGCACGCTTTGTCCAAGTCAAATCCGATCGAATCGCCGTCAAGCGCAGGATGCAAGTATGGAAAATCTGGAAGATCCCAGTCTTCCTCACGTGGCTTCAAGCAGAACATAAGGCGTATCACAAGGGGCAACGGAGGCGCGTCCGGGATGAGGCTCAGTAGTTGCATCGCAAGTTGTGTAGGGTCCAACGTGTTCGCAGGATCCAGAGCGCTAGAAAGCGCGGGAGGCTCGAAGGAAGGTAAAGGGAGAGGCTTGTATAATTCGGGAAAAGTTGTAGTTTCCGACGCAAAGTCGCCATATATTGCCATTGACACGCTTTGAAAGCTTCCTCTGACTATCATCAAACGCGTGGCGAACTAGGTGTCCCCGTTCAACAACTGTCATGCAGTCTATTCATTGTGCGACGTACCTCTGAGCCCATGTTGACTGAGAAATCGACTTGCCCACCCGTATAGGCAATCATTGTTGGTACCAGGGCATTAGTTGCTTTCAGTCTCTCCTTCTCATGTGTGTGCATGGCATTGAAGTATATGTTCAGAAAGAAAGTCTCAGGCGCTGTACGACTACAACATCTAGTGAGTTACACCCGTCCAGGAGGATATATAACGACATACCTTCTGATTTCAGGGTTCTGAGCAAATGGCTGCGCATCGGTTGGAAATATTCTTATGGACTGGATGCGTACAGCCTTGGAGAAACGAATTGCGGCCAAAGAATCGGGGCCAGTAGGCTCAAGCGTGCACCACTGCAGTAGCATATCTGACTATCATTTATCAGGGAAGCTGCAGTAGAAATCGCCCCTAGTACTTGTTCGCTACGCGGCCGCGCCACTACTAGCATCAGCAAAAGTCAACTTTTGCTTACCGGTGTTATTCCCTTGATTAAGGAAAAATAAGGAGATCCCTTCTCTTATTCCTCCATTATTCACCCTTATCGGCTTTAATTGCCCAAATAAGAACGGAGACCTCCTTAATTACGGAGATAAGGGAGCTAAATGGAGGTAACCAAAAGTTGACTTTTGCTGATGTAGTAGGAGTTCGCGACGGGTTGCGTATGGGCGCCTATATTACCTCTTTGCCCTGTTCGGTAATAGCCGAGTCGTCCAAGTGACACAGGTCACATTCCTGCTTTTGCTTACTGTCCAGGCTCACAGTCCCTCTTCAACGACCAGCCCAGTCACGTACAGAGTTCTGGCGTTTCAAGCCGAAATTCGCCTCTCGGCCATTGAGGCAGCGAGAACGGAAAGTCGGGAGAATCTCCAATTCTCATCCGTCACACTATTTCCCCGATCAGGACGCTTGTGCAAAGCTGTGACTGCGGCTTGTACATCTGGAGACACGGCTTGCCTGAGTGTGTGATCTCATCTTATTGTCAAACCACCATCTCAGGTCGTAGACACCGAGTCGTTTTTATAATTCCTTTGCATGCCGTTCACTACAGCGATGACCAATGTCTTGACTTCTCCAACCCTCAGCGTTCCTACCTTGGATGCCGCCTCTGGGTTGACCGCTCGCATGACTCGCTCCCGCAGCAGCAGTCTCGTGAAAGTTGAGACAGTAGGCGAGAATTCGCAAGAGGAAGCACTTGACCAGAACCTATACGAAAATGTGAACGCAGATTGGGTGAACAGCAAAGGCAAGTACTGTTTTCATTTATCTATTATGGCATACAGACTACTGAAGTGGCTTTCTTTGTTCCGTATCTCAGGCGCCTGGTTAATGCATCCTGTGCTCATTTTTGCTGGAAAGATTGTCGTGGACACCATCCCAGGGATGCAACAGGAGATAAGCTGGTTCGTCGTCAATATAGGCTACCTCTCAGTACGTCCTTCATATGAGCTATGGTCTTCTTGCGCTCAGTACGCAATTCAGCTCTCGTATCTCATGTTCCACTGGGTAACTGGGATACCCTTCCAATCTGACCTGCATGGTGGTGTCTATGACGATCTAACGCTGTGGGAACAAATTGACTACGGTGCACAGTATACTCCTGCAAAGAAGTGGCTCTTCTGTGTTCCTGTTCTGCTGTGAGCTTCGCCGTGTGGCGCCCCTATTTTGGTCCTTTGCTGATTGCTATGGTAGGTTCCTTGCATCAACGCACTACACACATTACAACCCGTGGTTCTTTGCAATTAATTTGACAGGGTTGATCCTGGTCCTTATTCCGAAACTTCCTCAGGCATGCACTGGGATCACAGCTCTCGTCATCTTTTTTTCACTAATTGGTCCTTTCAGCTTCACCGTCACCGACTACGCTTCATGGTTAAGGACATGGCTTCCGGCGCTGTCACTCCGGCGACTGTCGCGGGAGATGAGCCGTCCACTCCAACAAGCGGGGAGTTAAATACAATACCGCCGATCCGCATCTCTGAAGTCGAAGTCGAATGAACACCTTCACTACGACTGTGATCATCTCATGTCACCCTCACTGATTAGATTATATCGAGCGAGAGCGCATATCACCTACATTTCACCTCCCCTGTCATCACGTTCGTTCATCATTGTTTACCATCTATATCTATTACCACACGATGCGATACACCTGGGTACCGGATTATAATAAGAGCTAACTCTAATAATATAGGGAATACATATTTTTGCAACAGTGCATTTTGCGTCCGCCGTTGCATCGCTCCAGCAACCACTGTCATGATGTTTTCTTTGCTATCTCCCGATACTGCCGGAGGCGCAGCCTGCAGCAAAGAGCGTGAGCTGAGGCTCGATGTCAAGCGTGGTCCAACGTACAAGTTCCGCAGGAGCATCATAATAGTGACTTTGCCAATCGTGGGCAAGTATAGCGAGGTCTGGCAGAGACGTTCGCTTCATATCCGGAAGTTTCGGCCGATGGGTGCTCACCTTCTCCCGTACGTCAGTTTCAAAGTTCTTGTCCGCGGCGACGTTGAGGCACACGCAACCGTCCTTAAGCCATTCCGTCTTGACCTTGTAATCCGCGTTAGGAACCGCGGAGACGACCACGTCCGAGAGCGCGAGGCACTCCTGCAGAGCGTGTGTGCTAGGGTGCACGATGTGACGGGGGTAGTAGCGCCGCACTACCTCCGCGTTCTGGCGGGGACGCTTCGTGTATTCCTGCGAGAAAACACGATCGACTGACGAGTACGGGAGAGGTCTACAGCTGAACGGTTGGACGGCGTACCTGTATGGAGTCGATGTCCACCGAGAACACCCGCGCGCCGTCATTCGCGAGTAGCGCTGCAAGAGGTCTGCCGACGACCTCAGACCTGATGACGGTGAGACATATGGCCGCCGCTGTCGGAGCGAGACTCCTACCGGTTAATGACGGTGACCGTCCTCCCATACGCGCGGTCACCGTAACGCAAAATCGTGTTGTAGACCCCGATGTTTTCGAGACACTTTACGACAGCGAGAGGTGTGCACGGAAGGATGGATTTTACAGTCCCTGCCGGTGGTTGGTCTTCTATGGCTGGCGCAGGCACCGCGGTAGGGGTCGGCGAGAGGAGGGACTTCGGTTCCAGGAAGCGGATGCTGGTTCGCAAATCTGTGTCAGACGTACGGTACAGTCAGCAGCTGAGACGACACTGCGAACTTGTGATAAAGGTTGTAATGGAACTTGAAGTTTAGCCCTTCAACGTCTTTGAAGGGCGAAACGATCTGTTCATCGAGGAATCTGGTATCTGACGGGTAGAAATATGGACAAGGCGCACCTGCTGCAGATAGTGGTCCTGTACGTTTTTCAGCATCACTGGGATCTTGTGAGCCATAGCCACTATTTACAAACCTGACGGCCACCAAAAATAGGGTAGTATACCTTTACGAGTCGCGTGTGAATGACCAGAACGTGCTACTTGACATGAGCACCGACCATAATGCCATCTATACCGTCATCCTCATTTGCTTCGATGATCGCCTCTTCAACACCTTCCCCGTCGCTCAGCTCGAGGTCTGCAGCAGACCCCGTCCGCCTGAGCACGAATTCTACGCCGAGTGCGTCGCACTGCTTCTTTGTGAACTCGGCGTAGAACTTGCTTGGGCCAGCCGACGTCCCAAGGATGCCCACCAATTTTGGCGGTCGAGGGCAAGTGGAAAGAGCAGTCTTGATCTCTTCGCGGAAGGTGTTCGCGATGGAGTCGACTTTCAACAGGACACCATTACCATCTGCTTGGGTAGACATAGCAAAAAAAGCGGCCAGTAAGGAATATCTTGACAATTTTTGGACAGCAAGATATGGTGAAGACACGCGAAAACAGGTGAAGACGCAATCTCGATCGCGATCACTGAAGTCACGATAATCTCACGTCCCGAGCGTGAAAACCTCAAGTCCGAGACTTGTCCGACATCGTGGTGAAGAGAAAATGTGGTGAAGAGAGACAAATTTGCGGTATGGTATTTGGTAAAGTACAACAAAGACACACGCAGGACACTGAAACAAATCCTCTGAAGTCCGTTAGCGAACAACGCATTGTCGTGTGAAGAGGCGACAAGCAGACCGTATTACCCACCCGTCACCCGTGCACGATGCCGTTCATTTTCGCCGGTGACTCCTCGTCCACTGACATGGCGCTGTCATCGTCGACGCTGTGGTCCACCGATACCACACTCTCTTCGTCATCTTCCTCCATCAGTTTCTTCGCCATCTGCAGAAATAGGCATCAGTCAATATATAGAGCACAGAGAAGGCACGTGGTGAAGGGAACAAACCTTCATGGCTTCGGCTTCGTTAGAATAGTGTCGTCCTCGCGCCCGCACAAACGCCGCATGTTTGGCAGCAGCTACAGTGTGATGTCAGTTGTGATCGCGGGCAGAGAGCATATAGGCGACCTACTTTCTTCGTCCATCTCCTCCTCAAACTCAATTTCATCCCCGGGCTGGCTGTCCTCTAGCCGGATCGAGTCGCGCGCCTCGCTGGGAAGGTTGAAGCTCGTGCTCCTGCTAGAACTCCCGCTCCCCCGTCCCACGGGTGTCGACGTACGACCGTTGCTAGAGAAGGATGTGCGACGAGAGGAAGGGGTGGAACCGCCACCTGTAGCGCCAGTACTGCTCGACGGCGATTGCCCGCGAAGAGATGAAACAGGGCTCGCCACCCTTCCGTTTATGCCATTAAGATCGAGGGCGGGAATATCTACGAGAATTATAAGCAGATCCATTGTGAGCGCAGCACCGATCCTATAAAGCAGGATGCGTACCGCCTTCGAGCGTATCTGTCTCTGCGTTGTATCGCACATAAGGGGTCTTGGGCTCCGTGATCTTCATCTGGCTATCCTTTTGCGCCTCAGTCAGGGCGAGGTTCTCCTCATCCCACTGCAAGCTTTGACAAACGTATGCGATCTGCACACCCGAAATCAAGTAGATCTAAAACTCACTGTTGGCCTGTGCCGGACGCTGGGGGTGCATTCTTCAAAATCCCCTTTGGCTTCGAATTCGAGCGCGACATGCGGGGTTGGTGGAGAATCTCCTCCGTAGATTCGGTGGTCATAACAGGCAAATAATGTGTATATGTCGGATAGAAAGAAGGATATGCGAGAGATTGACGAAGGTAGAGGTAAAAGCAAAGTGTTGATTGGATCTCTGGAACGTTCGCTGCTTTACGGAGCCGTATACAGCAGCATGGACTAACGCGGGTACGCAGTCTCGTGACTCACGCCATACCGTCCTCGCCGCTCTCGCTGTATGTCTTTCCATCATGAAGTCTCTGTGTTCACCCGGTCGAGAACGCTGTCGATACTATGCGGACAATATTAGGTCTATAGTATACACATAGAAAAAACATAAGTCCTTTGGATCACATCGTAACCATGGCTACGATTCTGTACCAACTGCACCGTACGCCCTGGTCCACGCATCGTTGACTGCGTCTCGTTTCGCCTCTCTCCCTGTCCAATCCTCCTCGGGCCCCCTCTCCACCCAATCATCCTCCCCGTTCTCTTCCCACGCCGCCCAATCCTTCTCATTAGGAATCTCCTCATCGCGCAAGGCGAGACCCGGACTAGGTTTGCCAGATAGAGGAACGGAAGAGTCACGTAGAACGTCGCCGATCGCCTGTGGCTCAGAGGGTAGCGCTTGCAATGGCAATGTGGGAGGAGGCATAGGTCGTACGCGCTTCGGTTTCGACTTCGGCGACATGCTCTTGGTGCGGGAGGAAACAGAAGAAACAAGTGAGGATGCGGGAGTTGAGCTAGTGCTTGCGATACTGGGAGGATACGCATGTACCGCGATTGGTGTGCTTGGAACCTCAACCGACTTCGGCAGCGGGGTGTTCGAACCGGAGCCCACAATAGTAGCTGTTTCGGAGCTGAGAGACTTAGGCTCATCCGCCGTGGCTGGATCTAATGCGTCATCTCTATGCCTGGAAAGAGAACGTGTGCGAGGATTCTCGATGTCGTGTCTCATATCGTCGTCAGAGTCGTCATCAGAATCAGCGCGGAAGAGAGGTTCGTTATCTGGATCCAGAGAAGCACGGGGAGTATCGGTGGGCAAGGCGAGGGAAGAGGCGTGAGAACCCTTGACGATGGAGTCTATCAGCCAGAACTGAAGGATGTTCATCAGGATGGGGAAAAACCCCATAGTGCTGCAGCATAATTCATCAATGTCGACATGAATGAGGGTAATGCATGATACACACAAGATGACTTGAACTGCATCACTGGGCCCTAGGAATGTCAACAGCCATTCGCCCACTTTGAAGATGCCAGGCCAAGCAGCAAAAAGAGCGACAACCAATAGCTTCATGGTTAATAATGCTAATAAATAAACGGCCGCTTGTCGCGTCCAGTAGATGAATGAAGGTGGGGAACCGTATTGTCCTGATTCAAAGCCCTTGAAATTACACTTTTCGGTCAACAAGTAGGTGATGAAGTGCAGGACGAAGTAGATCACGCCGACACCTACGAGGTGACGAGTAAGTTGTACAACTAAGCGAACCAAAGCAGCAGGCACTTGCCGAGGGTAGTGTCAATCAAGATATTCAAGAAGTAGAATACACACGCGTTGCCGGACGAGACGTGGGCAACCACATCGGATATAAGGACATTGACGCCATGTACGAACAGCTGCCCGATTACTTGCTTGGAGACATCGAACAACCTGAGACGCGAGGACATGTTACGCGGTCAAGGAAACAGTCCTTAAAGGTAACGAACCATATGCGCCATGGACGTTTGGGTTCTTCTCTATGCCGCTTGTAGACTAGTGAAGACATGACAAGTATGCCCATGAGGCCCTGTGTAATCTGTGCTCGCCCAACGGTGAGGATCTGCGAGAAGCGGACGACATGACTACTCACCAGAGCCGTGGGACCGAGGAGCCGACATGAACGACGGTCAACATCAGGATAGCCGTCGAAGAAACCGTCGGACATATCATGCGGCAGTGTAGATAGAAATAGTGGCGAAAGGTGCGTTGGAGCCTGGCAGACACTTGGTCTGAGGACGAGAGGGAAAGAGCCTAGGACTAGTACTGATTTGAAATCGATGCACAACCCGCTTAGACGCCCGTGACGACGACCGCTCGGTTTCAGACTCCGCCGCCATAAATGCCGTATTTCTTCCCTATTTTCCATTTCATCTTCATGTGTCTAATTATTACTGTCTGGTCGCGCTTCAGCCACCGCCCGGAAGTCCTTTCTTCCCGTAATGTTTTCAGGTCGACGGAGCGAGGTGCTCTTCGGGGTGCTGTAAATAGCGCATAACTTCTAGTATGGAGCGAAGTACAGTGGTCACGTATCATGCAGTCTGCAGAGAGAGGAAACAATATGCAAGAGCAATGCGAATGCTAAGAAAGCCATATAGATACAGTAGACGTGGATCCGGAGGAACGAGCAAGTGCAAGATTGAAGATGCGACCGTACCAGAGACCTAAAACATGAGTTGAGAGACAAGTTGGTTTGCAACCACGGGTCACTTTTTCCGCAACTGAGCACGCAGGTTAGCGTTCTCGGTTTGCATCGAGTTGAGCTCCTCCATCAGGGCCATCTGTTGTGTCTGCTGTGAGCGATGCATAGCCTCGATCTCCTCCTTCGCCTCCGCAAGTGATGCATTGGTTTCCGCGAGCTGGGACTCCATCTGCTTGCGCACTGAATCCGATGCGGATGCTGCTTCTGACGCTAGATTGAGAGCACGAGCACTGAGGGTGTTATTGGCATCGGTGAGCTGGCGGCAAGTCTCCGCCTGTTCCTCGGCCTGAGTCTCGATCTCCAGCTTTTCAGCCATGATGCGGTCGACGGAGTCCTGCAGGTAGTCTACCTCGTCTTGCCTGAGATTGAAAACATTCTCAGATTAAACTTGTGTAACTTATTGGCAAACGGTACTCACAGAGCCGAATGCCTCGATAGCAATGCCATATTACGGTCCTCGAGCGTTTTAACTTGCTTATGGTACGTCTCCAAAGCGGCATTGCTGTCCTGCGCCAGCTTCTGCGCCCTTTCCGCGTTCTTCTTCAACAGATCATGAGCCTGTGCGAACCGCAAAAGTCGCTCAATGAGGGCTCGGTCGTCTGTAACGAGTGCCTGCACCCTCCCCACAAAGCCTTCAACAGTGAAATTGCCTCCGACGGTCCCTAGCGGCGCGCTCTTGGGGTCATACAATGTCTTCAGCGAACGGACGTCCATCTCAGAGAGCGACTGCTGACTCCGGCCTGCAATCGGACTGCTACTGGGAGAAGCGGGTCTGAAATTTCGTGACCCAAGACGGCTGGCACGGGCTTCAGCTGAAGGAAGAACAGCCCAGAGGGGCCGCAACATTTCAACAATCGCGCTCGCATCAGCCTTGTATTCCACTACGGTTTGGGGTTGCGCCGACGTTTGCATACTCGCAGCTGTGATCTGAACGAGGGCTTGCTCCTGAAAACGGCACCAAGTCAAAACTCTAGTGCGACTATGGAGGTGTTGAGTGAGACCGACTGTACCTTGAGCTGAGCTTCCAGCTCTCTGACTTGAATCCTTGCCTCTTCCCCGGCTCGTCGTGTCTGTTCGAGTTGAGCTTCTAGCTCTGCGACTTCAATCATCGCTTCTTCCCTGGCTCGTTGTGTGTCCACGAGCTGAGCTTCTAGCTCCCCGAGTTGAATTGTCACCTCCTCCCTAGCTCGGAATGTCTCCTCGAGCTCAACAGAAAGTGCTTGGTGCTTGTCCAGGCTCACACGTATGTCGTCCTCAAGTTTAGCTCGGATGGATGACCATTCCTGTTGGACTTGAGTAGTCATGTTCAACTTGATCCGTTGGTCGTCCATATGTTTCCGTATTGACAACACCAGGCCTAGATGAGAACCGTCTCGCGAGGATAGCGGGATCTCATAAGTGGACATCAAGTCTCGCAAGGCGCCCGAGCACTCCGTGAGTTGTGTCTTGGATTCTGCATCATCCTGCAGCGCCCCCTTCTCCAACAGCCATGCATCTCGATCCGCGTCCCACATCAACTTCATCTCTTCAATCTCCCTCTCCTTCTCCTCCAAGAGCACCTTACTCTGTTCCCTCTCCCTAGCAAGTAAGTTCTTGATTTCGTTTGTCTCCCCGCTCCGCTCTTCCAATACTTCCAGCCGCCTCTCAAGGGTGTCCACCTCTCTCCGCCGCTCTTCCAGCTCCACCCTCTCCTGCATCCATCCCTCTTTCTCTGCCTCCAGTTCGTGGAGTTGTGCCTCCATATCCTCCACCTTTGATATCTCCCGCTCTAGTGCAGCGATCGTATCCTCAGCGGCCTGGAGATCCATCCCGAGCGACGTCTCGATCTGCTCCTTCTCCAGTTGTGACATGGCCAACTCTCGAGACGTTTCCGCTTGCCTCGAAGTAGCTGCCTCAAGCGCGTTCGTCGCAGCTTTTAGTTTTTCTTCTAGAGCAGACACATCCGTAGGCGACAAAGGTAACTTCGGGACTTGTGGAACCACCGCATCCGAATGGCCAGCGAAGAAATGCGCGCCGTCAAACCGCCCTGTTGACGACGTGGTCTGTATGCTCGTGATGGATGATGGGGGCGCGCTCATCTGCGAGCTCCTGTTAGGCGTGTTATAGCCCGACGTGCTCGAATCGCCGTTGGAGCCATCTTGGGCATGCGGATTGGCCTTCTGCTCCAAGCTTCGGACGGAGTAGCTCAAAACACCGGCACGGTGCTCCAGTAGCCTTCGTTGAATCTCATTAGCGCGTTCAGAAACTCGCCATAATTCTTTTTGCGCGAGTTCCACCTTGCGATTGGCAGCTTCGAACTGCTCAGAGGTTTGCTTGGACACGTTCTTGTACGATGCATTCGCCTTTGAGAGCGAGGCCGCCGCATCACGGATCTTGGTCTCAAGAGACAGCTTTTTGGTTATCGCGACGAGCCGTGATGCGAGCACTTGATGCTCCTACGCATTCATCTAGCCACGTTGAAGTAGAGGAAAGTATAGATAGAATACAGACCTTCTTCAGCTCCTCCACCTCTTCCGCGCTGAGAATCTCACACGCTCGACTGTCCACGATGGCCTCGCTGGCCAACAGACTAACGAGTAAATCATCGCGTGTTGAAAATGATTCGGAAGCACGTTTAACGTCCACCTCTATCCTCTCTGGGAGTTTCCTCGATAGCTCGGAGACACGCTGAGGTAAGGCCCGAGGTGACGAGGGACCTGCAATGGGAGACGACGAAGCCTGACTACGACTAGGAGAGACGATGCCAATTGAACTGCGCGGAGATTGCGAGGATCGGTAAGAGGAATTCCCAGCATCATCCTCCGCTCTGTAAGTGGAACCTGTGGAGCCACGGGGCGGTTTCTGTTTCTCCTTCCGGAAGAATAGGGCAGCGGTTGTAGTCTTAGGGCTCACCGCTGGAGAATCTGGAGGGCTCTGAATTGGTGAAGAGGGCCAAGAGGGTTTTCCTGGGAAGAAGAGAGGTGCAGTAGCGGGTGGCGGTGGTAATGGAGACGCAGCGGGACTGTCTGGTGGCAGAGGGAACTGCTGAGAGGTAGGGGTACTGGCTGTGCCGCCGGCGAGGAATCGTCGCACCCCGTTCATCGACGGGTAGAGTGGTACAGGAGACGGGCGTACTTATTCGCGTTGTGTTGCAAAAAATGCAGCCAGCTGCTACAGTACCCGACCGGAAAGCTTGCGGGTTTGGGGCAATCCACGAGTCGTAGTCCCCTGTCCGCGAATACAGCACGCCCGGTGTTCAATCACTTCACGAGGTTGTGAGAGCTGAAGCTTGAAGTCAAAAGAGTGATCACGAAGACATCATGCCCGAAGCAGTATAACATGTACAAGTACTGCTATTGTGCCGATCGATTGACAACTACTGCAACCCGACCGGTTGTGGACCTAAGGTTGTGGACTAAAAGTCGCTTGTTAATACCTCGATCTCTTCGTACTACACAATACTTCAAGGGACACTATCATGGTACTGTACTTGAATTCCACCCCTCGTATGTTGAAGCGTCATGGGTGGCAAGCGCTCCCTGGACCGTCGAGAGACGCCGAACAGATGTCGCACAGCAAGTACTTAGACCTGAATTTTTCAAAAATTCCTTAGAACCCCACATAACTTGGGTCAAAACGACATGTTCAGGAAGCCTTTTGTGCTGTATGTGTATGTAGCTTGCGGAGGAGCAACATAACTTGATCAGGGCTTCGGTATCGACGTCGACGTCTTGCCCTTTAAATAATCACTCCGAGTTGTATGTATGTGAACGCGCATGGAGGTGCCGGTGGCATTACATACAATCGCAATCGCGGTGTTACTCGAGCCCTGGGCAGTACATGTGTGCCTCATAGAAAATCTTCTCCTTAGCACGTCTTTCCTCGTGGTCGAGGTGTCCTTTTGTCTTGTTGTCAATTTTATGTGATGATCATATCCTAGGATCATCACACGGAAAGGTCAAGTGTCTTACAAACATTGCGACCTCCCTAACAGATCCCACGAGGCTAACCTGAGCAACACAGGGATCCCGACAACGACACTTGCAACCTCGAATACTAAGTACGTCGACCGAGGGCCAACGAGGAACGCTACGGCCGCAAGAACTAGCATTCCCCATCTCGGCGAGAAGGCGTAAATTCCAGAGCTATTGCTATTCAGGTAGTCAGCGGATTCTACCGCCTGATATAAAAGGACGTGACTCACAAGGGTCGTTGGAACAGGGAACCTCCGACGGACGCGAACTCGACAGCAACCAGGAAGGGGGCCACACAGAAGACATTGTGATCGGCATCCCAACGCGCCATGATCCCGGCGGTTGCGAGTGTACGTACCCACACGGCAAGGATGGGAGCTGCGAGAGGGAGAAGCCAGGTCATGAGGAGGAGTAAGTACTCGTGTTGACTTTGAACGGACAGCTCGGCGACCAGTCGTGTGGGCGGTGCCCCATTACCAACAGGCGTCATATCTGCAGTTACCGGCGTGGACGGACTAGCCGGAGAGGCATCGGGGGTACGAGGTAGACGAGCCACGCATGTGTAGAAATGGTAGACGTAGCACCCTAGAAAAGCCACCTGCCAGGGCACAAGTATGAATATTAATAGGCATACCAGAGCCATGGATAGCAGTGCGTTAGTGCGCGAACCAGTATCTTCTCTGGGCCTGGAAAATTGACATGAATAAACGTCCGGGCAGTGAGGGGTGGGTCCACATACTTGCGAAACACACTCGTAACCTTGTTGAAAAGGGAAACTAGTACGGTCAGCATGCCCCAGGTAAGGCATACGAGCCCCGTCACAATGAGCAGCAGTAAGGGAGCGAGTGGGACAAGGAATAGCTCCCCCACGTTTCCAAGCCAGAAACCCGACGGAAGGGGAAGAAACGATATGGCAAGCGACAGAAAGAGAAGCTGCGGGAGCCTTTGATGTGCGAAGTGGGAGAGCGCCAGTGAAACACTAGGGGTACGGCCTGTAACAAGGTCAAACTCCTATGATGTCAGACGAAGGGCGAGGGACAACGAACCGCTGGCGTCGGTGAGGCTCCAAGCATGGAAGATAACCAGCGCAACCACGCCTACCGACCAACTTGCCGCAGCGGTGCCATACCGTACACCCCACCGCCCTAGCGTTCCCCACCAACTAAAGCGGATCTTCAGGCGATTGATGTTGCATGCATTTTCTCCGGAAGAGAAAATTGTGAGCGTAAACCCACGCGCAGGTCTAGAGATAAATGGTCCAGAAGCATGCGAGTGCAAGAGGATCGGACGTGCGGAAGGATGTAACGGGTAATAATGTGTTTCAGATGGGTGCGAAGTGTGTTGAAGAATCGGAGAGAGTAACACATCTGCCGGAAGTGTTAGATGGCAATGTCCGGCAGAGCGTGGAGTTAAAACTTGCCTTTGCAAGATTTCTCGGGTACAGACACGGGCGTGAGCTGGTAGACGATAAGAGAACTTGAGAGCAGAATAGGAAAAGATATTTGCGAGTAAAGAGTATCCTCCGGAAGGCTTATGGACACCGTAGAAAAAAGAATACCTATAAGAAATAAGCAACGACAGTAAATAATTCAGCTTGCCTTCACTTACCAAACATACCGACTTCGCTGGTTACAATATTAGCAGGAATAAATTCGCCAACGACCCACCCTCTTCCGTCTCCGTTTTCCACCTTGACAGCAACAGCTTCCCCAACTACGGCATCAGCCTCGAATACCACGACACCCTCAGATTCGTCTGCCCCTTCACGCGGAACAGGGAACGGCAAACCAGGGACAGGGCTTGGCACAAGCTTGAGTGACGTGGGATGAAGTGGAGTACACGTAGCCTCTCCCCCACACAAGAATACGGATACACTGAGAGGAATGGCGGCCCGAGGGGAGATGGACAGAATGGATCCGCGTGAAACATATAGAACAAATTTAGAGGTGCGAGCTGGCATTGGCAGGAAATACATGCGCGAGCCCCGAGGATCTCTCACGAGGAGACGTTGACCAGCAGCGACCACTTCATGTGCAGGTTCAATATTTAGATCCAGAATATCGCTGCCCAAGGAAATTGCCGGAGAAAGTCTGTGTCCGTCCCTTATCCAAGTATCAAGCACTGCGCCTCGCTCCGAGGGAGTTGATGCTACCTGCAGTTCGAGGGCTGCCCGCGCGACGCGCCAACGAACTTGATGACACCAAACCATTTCACGATGGCCAACGCCGGTCCAACTGCCTTCTAATGCAGATGTAAACACGGAACGTCTGTAGACCAGTTCGCCTTCAGAAGGCAGAATACAGGACTCAGAAGGTACCATGAGGTCCGTCGCACCTCCACAAAGTGAGAGAATCGGAGTTGGATCATCTGCAAGACGTACTTGATTTTCCGCATAGATAGTATCGACGCGACGGTCAAAGCGAGCAGGTGGGAGAGTGTGGGGTGTAGACATCGTAATTATTGCTGAGATGTTGGGATGGGGTAGAAGAGCAGAAGCGACGATGCCGCCCATGGAATGCCCAAGAACAGTGATGGTTGTGTTGGATGGGTAGAGCGTTAGAATATATGCGACTGCAGCAGAAGCATAATTCTTCTCCGCATCAAGGGTGGGCCCGTGAAAAGCAGATAGATCTTCGTTGAATTCCACTTGGAATCGCGAATTGAGAAGAGCCTGTGTATCACATTGGGAAGAGCTGCTCACAGGTAAAGAAATCCAAGGGTTTATACAAGGAAGAACTAAATTCAGATGAGAGTTGATACGGCGAGGTGTAAAACTGGCGTGTTGCTGAGGAGGCTATGGAGCGAACTTGATGGGATGAACCAGCGTTTCCGGGAATGAAAAGAACAGGAGAGCCATGTAGCTGACAATCAGTCAAATCTCCGCAAGGTAAGAAACTGTGGCAATAAAAACACCTCGCAGAAGAGTTCGTGTAGAAGGCCCTCACCCACTTAATGTTTCGTTCTCTCAGAGAATCGAGCACGCCAGAGGCAGATCTCATAATTGTAACAAACATGACGCTCCCATGGTAGGTGCTTGGTATTGCCGCAGACAAGTGGTTTCAAGGAGCGTACCTCGTTTGGTTCCCAACCAACCTCACGGTATAGCCAAAGGGAATATCGTTTTGCTAGTGGAGACCATTGGAGGTCGAATGCAGACTGGAGAACGTACGAAGGTGACATCCATGACATTCGACATCCTTGAGGTGACAATGTTTGGACAATGTCTACCCCGGCGAGATATAGGAGAGCAGTAGACAGGACAGAGAACAGGCCGATAGAGACAAGGAGTCTGGTCATGGAGCGTAGACATGCCCGGGCCAGTGGGTAAAACGCCTTATTTGGCGCAAAACCTCGAGTGGTGCACCATGTCAAGCCTGATCATGCACCACTGTCTGCTCTTATCCCGTCGTCCACCCCCAATTCTGCGCCTCGAAATTCACCTCTTCGTTGTACCCGGCTGAACAAATCGTGCTCTTTTTTTTTGCGAAGTTAGGACGGATCATCCGCAACTTCACTCTTGTGAGAAGTCAAGCTGAAGCTGGTCTATCTCAGCTGGAGGACTCTTCAACCACGTTTTACTTCACTCTGAGAGTTACCTGCATATAGTCACTTCCGTATCTGAGTCTACTGGCTCGTGGAACTTTAGGTTGAGAACCATTTTTAACTACAAGTGTCACAGTGCTCGCTCACAGAAAATTTAGTTAGGAGTTCAGCCGACCACCGTTCGTCGCAATGAGTTCCCCGGACGCATCTTCTATTCTATCCGGCTCCCTGACGATCTCACCGATCCCAATTCGCCCGGGAGAGCATTCCTCTGTGCGACATCACCTTAGCGGCAGCGATATTAGTGATGTGCCTCCACGCCCACGCCTGTCTCCTACTCTCACTCGTTCCTTCAACCCTAACGATCCTGAGGTCCGTGAACGGCAGCGCACGATGGATGCTGACATGGCGATGCAACTTTCGCGAGCCCGTAGCAGCACCATCCCTGTCTCACCGACTACCTCTCCGATAACCATGCCTGCACGTAGATCGACAGCCGAGGATCATGTACAGTTCCCAGATCTATCGCTGCAGGAGGCGCAGGATATGAATGACGCTCTAGAAGGTGGGCGCATGAATGGTGACCTGGAGACAACAGAGGACTTGCGTTCTGGTCCTTCCCTTGATGCTCACCTGAATCACCTCAGTGCCGGCCATGATCCATCACTGCTGGTTTCTATCGACAACGTTGAAGGAGAGGATAATTCCATGGGGGCTCTCCCGATGTACATGGGTGCTCTTCCGATGTACCAGGCCACTGTGGATCGTCCACAGTATGACTTCTCACTTCTCGAATCTTTTGCCCGCGAGGAGAAGGCACAACTCGGTATCCAGACACCCTCGGGTGTGCTCACCAATCCATTTGATTTTAGGCCGCGCCCATCTCCTTCCATTCAGCTTCCTGCAGAAGGGGACGCCAGCGGGAGTTCAGTACACGTCAACGACATCACCGTCCCGCGAGCGCGACACAGAAAATTGAGCCAGAGCAATGCACCTCGGCGAGGGAAGATGGCACTATTCGAACAGCTCGGCGCCCCCCCACCGACACTTGGTCTCCGCGCTCCTCACCTGGCAGGCGTAGGAACGATTCTCAGCGCTGTCCCGTCATACGAGAATCTTACTGGATTCGGTGGAACCGGCTCATCCGGCCCTCCTGGTATCGGGATCGGCGGTGGTACGCCGTCCGGACACGACAGACCGTACAGATTCTCGTTCTACTCGAACGTGCTTTCGGCGACCATTCATGCACGGAGCTTGAGCGAGTTACCTGCAGAGGGTCAGTCATTCGAGGATCTCTTTCTCGGTAGGGCTGGAAGGGTGCCTGTAAGGACATCTACACCGCCTAATGTAGCCCGTCCCCCGAATGTCAGAGCAGGCCCCACAGCTGATGGTCCCCGACCAGGAGCCGTATCCCCGATGCCCATTGCAGGAACGAACGGCAAAGGTGGTGGGGGTGAGCGGCGGAACGGGACTGAAGTTGGCTCGGACAGCTACACTTGGTGGCTGGACGTCCTTTCGCCAACGGACGAGGAGATGAGGATGCTCAGCAAGGTCTTCAGTATCCATCCATTGACGACAGAAGATATTCAGATGGAGGAAACTCGGGAGAAAATAGAACTATTCCGGCACTACTACCTCGTTTGTTTCCGCGGATTTGACCAGGATCCGTACAGCCCAACACACCTAGAGCCGCTTAACATGTACATCATTGTTTTCCGAGATGGAATAATTTCAGTATGTCGGCTGCAATTTCCACACGAAGATACCAAACTGACAATTAATCATAGTTCCATTTCCGATCGACGCCTCACCCACAGAACGTACGCCGCCGTATCAAACAGCTGAAAGATTACATTAGTGTCACCTCGGACTGGATATCATATGCGCTCATTGACGATATCACGGATGCGTTTGGACCGCTCATTCAGAGTATAGAATATGAGGTCGATAGTATCGACGAACTGGTCTTGATTCTCAAAGAGGCAGAACAAAGCGATATGCTTCGCAGGTTCGTCTATATGCATTCTACCGTCGTCAGTATTTGATTATTTAAAACCTACTATAGGATTGGTACATGCCGCAAGAAAGTGATGGGTCTTCTCAGGTTGATGGGCAACAAGGCGGATGTCGTGAAGGGACTTGCGAAGCGCTGCAATGAGAATTGGCGTGTTGCTCCTACCTCAGATATCGTCAGTCTATTGCCATCCCTCCTTTGTATCGCAGTTTCTCTGACCGTTCAATGCAGGGTCTCTATCTGTCCGATATTCAAGATCATTTGATTACGATGACACAGAACCTCAACCATTACGAGAAGATTCTATCGCGTTCACACTCAAATTACCTCGCGCAAATTTCAATCGAGATGACTGAGGCGAACAACCAAATCAATGATGTCCTCTCGAAACTCACCGCGCTTGGAACAGTGCTGATTCCCATGAACCTTGTGACCGGTGAGCGCATCAGTCAAAAAAGGAGTTGCCCGTAAATATCAATGTGTCCTTTTTATCAGGTTTATGGGGCATGAACGTGCACGTACCGGGGCAGGATATTCAGGATGTAAGTGACGTCTATTTCTTATCTGCCAGTTTTCCTCCTCACCTCATCCGTCTACCTAGAACTTAAACTGGTTCTTTGGTATCATTGGAGTACTGGCCGTTTTTGCAGTGATTGCAGGATATTCGACCTACAAGCTCATGGTGCATCGTTGAGGCTCACTTTCGGTCACTTTCGGCGGCACCTTTTGTCATCTGCTAGGCCCCGGATAGTAACAGAGTCCTGTGGGTTATTCACGACTTCACGAGGGCACATACTTCACTTTCTTCTCGGTGTCACTTGACAGGTTTTGCCTGTACATCTTGACCACTCATTGCATATAGACTGCATGTCCATGGCCTCTCTCGCGCATTATGGGGGCCTATTATACAATACCGCTTCGTCAGCTGTCTGCCGTACTGTTTATTATATGATAGGAACTTTTCCTCCGGTTCAGCGGGAGACTCGATTAGATATTACTTTCCACGCACAGGAGACCTCCAGAGTATCTGCCACAATGCACGCTCAAACTAGAGGTACCGCTACGCAACCATCCCGCTCCATTCTTCGGGCATTTCGCAAGATAAAGTTAGGCATAGAACTACACGAGACAACAAGAACGACGGATACAGCACAATAGAGATGAACAACGGGATAACCAAAATAGCGTATAATATCAGTTCAAAAAGACGATGGGTACCGAAAAACAGGAGCGCGATCTTAACGTAGTCGACGATCCTGAATTTCACGAGTCAGCAGGCTGAAGAGGTCAACACTTACGATTCACGTACCGATGGTAAACCATCATCGGGCATCCTGCTCGACGAACCATGGCCAATGCCACGACCAGAGTACGGTTGGTGCGTCGGGGATCTAACATCGTTTGGTGAAGGCGAGAGCATCATCGCCAGGGATGGAGACAAGCCCTGGCTCGTACGTGGTGCCGGCTGTGGAGTATGCGACGTCTGACGTCGCTTCGGTGAAGGTATTCCGGACGAGACACCGGGGATAGGGCCAAAGCGATCATCAGGCGGCGGAGGAGCCTCTTCAGGATATTTGCGCTTCCTAGAAGCCTGCGGCGGAGTAGCGAGGGGTGACCTCAACTGCTCGGGATGAGACCTGGCCATGGGCGGAGCTGCAGCAACGGCGGCATTGCTCCATCGACTAGCCCATGGTGGAGGTGGAGGAACGTGATGAGACGATCCAGAGGCGCGTCCGGCATCGAAAGGGATGGCCAGTGGAGAGGGATTAGGAGCATGCGACGAGTGATGCGGATGAGGAGGCGGGGGCTGGATAGCTCGAGGGTGGGGTGAACTACCGTTGCCGATAAGCCCGTGCGGACTACTGGGCCCTGCATTGCGAGGACCTGCCCCGTTCCCAGAAACGTTGTCTGGCTGCCCTGGGGTAAAGCGAATGAGCTCAACGAAGAGAGTCTGCGTATACGGGGGCGGCAGCTTCATGTAGATGATCTCCTTGCTGAACGTGTCTAGCATCTCCTTGGTGTCGACGTAAGTATCGGGTTCAGGGTTATCTGTAGGGCGATAGTCAAATTGCATGGCAGCACCAATACAACGTGCACGTACCAATGTGTTTGACGCGGACTTCTGAATACGGATAAGCCCTATTTTTCCGCAGACAGCAGAGCGGGCACATAAAGCGATTGCGCACTCCCGACGACGGGTCCATAGGGAAGAAAACACAACCAGCATGGTAGAACTTGCCGCATAGCTCGCATTCAACTGTAGGATAGTTCAGCAAGTAGTTGGTCCGACCTCTGCAAATGCATCGGGTGCTATCCATCCAATCCTTATCGATATCTTGACCAAACGTAAACTTCGGGCGACGCCTTTTCTTCACACGGACAGGTGCAGGTTGACCGGCCAAGATGCGGTGCAGGCCTGCAAGATCCAGGCCGAAAGAGACCTCGGGATTGGGGGAGACTGCGAACTGAATCTTGTACAATTTGCGCATATAGTGCCTAACCTGCGGAATGTACTCCGGCCTCTGATTAGCAGGTTGGGAAGCAAAGGACAAGAACTGTCCGATTGCAGCTGAGAGTCTGTCCACTCGATGGACTATAATTTCCAATTGCTTCCAATCCTCCGAGTAGTTCTTGGTTATATCCGGGGCGTGCAGGAGTATCGTCGGAAGATAGCAGAAATGCCAGCTTCGTTCCTTGTGAATTGTACCGTTCCAATGATGATGATCGCAGAATGGGCACGATCCACCATTCGCAGCACAGACACCATGGAATCTTGCATAACAGTGATCACACTGAACGGCGTCGGAGACAGTTCCGGCAGCAGGAGGACGAACAGGAGTCGTGCAGATGCAAGTGAAGTATTCATCATTAGGAGGAAGATCGTCTTCCGGTCGAGTAGACTCGACCACATCGTCCAGTATGGGCTGACCGTGAGCTTCTTGGTGCTGTCGGCAGAACCATGGTAGGCCCTCCAACCACCGATAATGGAGAGCAATCTGTTTGTCAAGCTTGTCAAAGTTAGGCAAGATGAACATGGTGAGGTGTTCCTTGGCATAGTTACGCCACTGGAGCATCGTGACAAAGATGTCAGTTTCCTCGTTGTGCTGGTAGCGATTCTTCAACACCGCGTCGCACCGCGCCTCCAGATCAAGCGCAAAGTCAACTGTCCTCTTCAAATCTTGTATGGCTTGTATGTTAAATTCCTTCTCCCCGCGGCCGACCAACTTAGACACCTCCTGCACTTTCGGCTTTGGAGCACCAGGCTCGGGTATTAACCATGCCTTCGCCTGCCTCTCGTATTCCTGAGCACGAGTGCGAGTAGACATAAGGCGATCCACCAGTTCCGGATCTGCGGGCACGCTATCACGGCCAACCTGACCGTCGTACATGTTCCTGGCCTTGATAACCTCATCGAGTTCATCCAACGTACGCTGAGGCTTCGTGAGCACCGCTTTGACGCGCCCCTCCCAGGCCTCTCCGGTATGCAACAATTTCTCGAGAGAAGACATGTAGGCACGATTGGTCGACAGGTCACAGGCTTGAGCGCGTGCCATGTATTGTCTGATCTCCTCCAAGGTCACCACCTCGGTATCCAGGACTTCATCCAGCTCCTTGATGAGCTGCTCGCGCAGGACGATCTTCTCCACCTCCAGCAACTCGTCCACGAGCACATTGATGGATGAACCTTGAAGCAGGAGGCGTTCACATTCTTGCACGTATTCCTGGCGATCGCGAGGGCCAGAAGACGAGCTCAGAAGAGTGCGAGCTTTGTTCCTCGTCTCCTCCGCTTCGTTGGTGAGATTCTTCAAAAATCCTATCTCCGGACAGTCGAATCCTAAAGTGTCCACCTCTTTCAGAGCCGTATAGAGATCGTCTAACGTGCGCTCAGGCTTGTCTCCGGTATCATCTATCAAACCCTCGGAGGCGCGCCCTTTAGACTTGCGTGCACGTTTCCTGCTCGGCTTGCGAACGAGGAACACGTTTGCCAAATCAACCCATTCGTTGGCCCGAGTGACACATTTGCGTAGAGCGTGAAGCTCGGACAGCGGGTAATTGATGCGCTCCCCTTCTGCAACGAGCGCGCGCAGGCTTCGGAGAGGTGGACGGGCGCTCTCTGAAAGAAGTTTGTTGAGCTTGCCTCGCCAGGCGGAGGGAACGGCGGCACGCTCGGAAACTTTCGCTTGTATATCCTGCAACTCCGTGTCCTCGAAACGCTTCCGCAGAATCTTGCTGGTGCGAGCACACTTGCAGAGGGAGTCGACATGGTCGATGCATACAACCTTCGTCGTGCACGAACACGTGATCTGCGATAGGTAACAGAACATTTTGCAGATGGTGCATTGATACTGTTCTTCGGCCCGATCGGTTTCTTCAAGCACTTCGTTCATCTGGAGAGATCGGGCTCTGGCTCGAATACTCATTTCGCGTTCGGTCATCTCCTGCAAACTCTCATTCAACCTGACACATGCCCAGTCGAATTAGATGCAGTGACACTATGACGATGAAACAACTCACCACAAGGCGGTCTGAATGGTCTGCGATTGCTGCGTGATTGTGATGAGCAGCTCGTCATGGGAGAACACGGGTAGTTTCCTGTGCTCTTGATACCGCTTCATGCAGTCCAACCCAAGAGGCAACCAATCAGGTAGAGCGAAGTTGACAGCTTCGTTGAAGTTCAGCTGGATGGACTGGTCAGTAGACGCGCCTGAAATGTGAGGGAATGAACCCACTCCGTGATTGAAGCCTGCATGGTAAGCCCTCGGGAAGGTGATGACAAACTCGCCCGCCCTCTGATTACAGGCGTACACGTCCAACCCAGCTTCCTTCAACCTGTTCGGATTCATCAATGTGACGAGTTGGAACAAAAGATCAGGCTGAGCCTCGAAGAGATCAGGGGCCTCCCGCTTGATTGCAGCCTCGAACTTATCAGCATCTGCTCCACGGATGCTGTACCACGTCTTCGTCTCGCCCCAATGCACTGCAATGCGCCTTAGCACTATGGCTGTAGAGCGTTGTTGCATAGACTTACTGTAATTAATACTGTAGGTGTAGTGATCCTATGCGTACTACGGTAAATCTTTATCGCGGGAGAAGAGAAGGGAACACACCTCGTTATGCCAGCAAAACGTCGAGAACACCATGCCTACATACGTCCAGGGCACAGTCATACCCGAGATATCTGACTTGATATAACGGAGCAAAGAGTCAGGTAATATCGGGATATTATTCAAATTCCATGGGTCCTTGGAGTATGGATCCAACGGATGGGTCTCCAGCGTTGGCATGCCACTTCCAAATAAGTGGGTCAACGTCTGTCCCATACAGTGGACTTCGCCCATGGCATACCTTCCGTGAGTAGTTGAGTGTACATCAGCACCATACTCAACTTCAACAGTCTCCAGCGGCGACTGAACGAGCCTCCAAAATTCGTTCTCCACATCAGTCTCGGAGACGACAACGTCGCCGATACGGTTGACATTGGGGTCGCTGACATTCTTCTTCGAGGGCGAGTCCTCGTCCACATTCATCTTGTCATCCTCCTCGGTAGATGATGAAACAGGGTGCGACTTAAACCATAGTCGCCGGAACTCAAGGTCTCGGGCTTGGAAACTGGAGAGACTGTGTTCCTCGCCTTCATCGAACCCAAAGTCTCCTCCTGTTCCAAAAAGACATGTGTGGCAGAACCACTGGCCCTTGGGAATGGAGGAGAGAGGAGGATCGAGACAGAACATGTGGAATCCTGGAAACACCAAATTGTTAGATGCAAAATCGATCTCACCAAAAAATCCGAAGCCTACCACAGTCGCAGCCATCGCATAATAACATTTCTTCTCCACGATCTTTCTTATGACAAACTTCGCAATGAGGCTGAACCAAAACGGTGAAAAATGTGATAGGGTGAGCTTTGCAGTGAAAATCATTACCTCGGTCGGGGTCTGGGAAGAGCCAGCGGCAGCTTTCGGGCCATGGGACCCTGAAGGTACTCCTTCATTCGCATTTGAGGCTTTACGAACCGCTATTTGATCAAGAGCTCAGCGCACTGTGCAGGGAGATTGACACTGAGCACTCACGCGTTGTATGCTCCTGAGAGCTATGTCTGGCACTTCTGCGCGGTCTAGCCATGCTTGGCCTATCTGCGGCATGATCCTTGTAGTCACCCTCATCAGGGGGTTCCGACAACGGGCTGGATGTCATTGTCAAAGGACTCGACGGCGGGCTCTCATCTCCTGCAACCGATGCCGAGCCCGAGGCAGAAGGTCTTCCGGCCTGCGTGTTAACGTGAGTCTTCAACTGGGGGTCGTAAGGCTTGTGAGGGGACATGGTGGGCGAGTTACGAACTCGGTCGGAAAACTGCTCGAACGGCAAGATAACACGAGCATAGGAATTTCTCATTTGCGTCGAGAGGCCAGGGATACCTCCATATCCTAGAAGCCGACCGAGGTCCGCCCATTTCTTGGTTCTGGTCACCTATCACAATAACGCCACGCACACAATGAGACGCGGATCGGGGGAAGGCGCAAAAGATAAAGATCTCGTACCGTGTCATAACCACCCAATTTGTGCACCTCTTTGCGAAGCAACCAAAGATCGAGCGGCTTGTGGTTGATTGTAGGGACCGAAACTCGCGGATTTCCTTGTTGTTTGTGGAAGCGATAGAGCTGCTCGAGGAAATTGACCTTTGCTCGCGACGATGCCTCAATCGAATTCAGGCGCTGAAGGCGTGTCTTGAACCGAAATTTCTATCAACAATGTTAAATGACGGGCCTCGGTCGCCGATCAAAACAAGCACTCACCTCGGTATCAGTGACAAAAGGCATGTTCCATCCGACGGGCGGCACAATTTTGCAGATCCCGTACTGCTTTCCTTCGTCGGATATGGAGCGAATGTAAGCCAAGGGGTCCTTGAATTGCTCCGGGGTGGGGCGAAATGTGGGGCAGTTGGTCAGTCCAAACGGCCGCTGCGACGGCTCGGAGGCTTCGCTTCCGGGTTTGGGCGTCTTGACAGATGACAGGTCCAAACGAGGTGAGACAGCGATGGGAGGACCATCATGCAGTTGGACGCGGATCCCGGCGTCGTCGTTGATGGTGTCGTTGAGGTCCTCCTGGCCCAACGAGGACTGAGCGTGATTGTGGAGGGCCACAAGGGCATCCATCTTAGATTTTCTGGGAGCTCTCTTGGATTCGTTGGAGGAAGGGTGAGCGGAAGAGTCGGCTGCTGCTGTGGGAGCAGGAGGCTCGGGTCGTTCGATCGGAAGAGCACCCTCGACGGGGATGGACAAACATGTTGTGAAAGTGGCGGCGGGTCTGATAGAAAAATCTGGTGTAATTGTGGGAGACGACGGAGAGGCAGCTGGGGCGCGAGGAGATCTGCCTCGGCGAGAGGGAGTACCGCGAGGAGTGGGACTCCCGTGCATGGTGGTCGTGGTAACAGAAACTGGAGAACGCAGGACGCAGCGCCCTGGAATAGCGGCCCTTCAATTGCCACCCCTCGCCTTCCGCGTGGGAATCCATCAGTGTCGCTGAGTTTTCTATTTATCGCGCTGATCGTCTCGCTCTCATGCTCGCGGCGTGAACGACGCCACTCCTTTCTCCCAGCTCTCCTCCTCCGTCTCTCGTCCCCTTTCTCTTGCGCACAGACTGCCTCGTGTTCACCGCAGGAACGTGTCACAAGTCGGACGTTGTCGGGCCACCCCCTCCACCCGATCTATGTTTAAGATCTGGTGATCTGCTGCGACTTACTTCCGCGCACTCCAAATCACCACATAACATCGACACGTGCCGTTGCGCCTCTTTACTTCCAACACAGCAAAGTTCTAACAGGCCGATATCTCTTTCTCTCGGCTCTACCGGCAGTGCCAGCCCCGGTGGCGTCCCCGCCACAATGACTACCCTTTCGAGTCGTGTAATAACGAACATACATACCATACTTCAGATCTTCCGCGGATGCTCCATCACAACACCGCATCACGACTTCCACACACACAAGCACTCAACAGTATCCTATCTCTGTGCCTGCTTACGTTCTCGTGTAATATACTCGCAGGCTTCCGAATACACATCCTTGTCGTTCCCACTACAGCACATGTAGTTGAGAAGACGTGTGTTGCCAATACCTCTGCCGTCGGTCTGGCCAGGACTTGCTCTGCGGGCAGACACAATTTTAAAGTCTCGGTCGATCGAGGTGCTTGAGTTTGGCCGACAATTCTTGCGACAGTACTCTATCCATATCCACTGTGCATTCCAAAATGCAAAACATTGTATCCTGTCATCCCATACCCCCGGCGGGACTCGAACCCGCAACCTCCAGATTCAGGAGTTCGCCCTAGAAGTCTGACGTCATAGCCATTAGACAACGGGGGCTCATCTCAACCCTTTTCACGGACATACAATATTGGTGTAAAACTTACAGATGGCTTCCGAAAAGAAATCTCCATATCCTTTTGACTTGCTAATCAATATTCACGTCGCTTACGCACACACCACACAGCCAGAGCATGCTGGTCTGCTTCCGAAATCGCCTTGGTTCAGACCATTCGACATCACATGGAACAGGAAAAAAAAACATAAAACGATAGGAGGTAATAAGAGAGTATGCGACGGGGATGGTAATGGTGCGGATATGGTACGATGAAGTATGCAGGATGGTAGGGATTAAAGAGCAAGAGACACACGACGACGACAGAAACCGTTCACAAAGACAGTGACAGCATCTAAGCGCCCTCCTCCGCAGCAGCATCACCTGCCTCATCCTTGTCCGCAGGCTTGTCTGTCAACGAGAACATCTATGTCAGCAAGTAAAACAAAACGTAAGCGGATAAACATACCCGACTCCTGCATGTCGGACGTCCAGAGTGTCAGGTTGTCTCTGAGCAGCTGCATGATGAGAGTCGAGTCCTTGTAGCTCTCCTCCGAGAGGGTGTCGAGCTCAGCGATAGCGTCGTCAAATGCCTGCTTCGCCAGGTGACACGCACGATCCGGGCTGTTGAGGATCTCGTAGTAGAAGACAGAGAAATTGAGGGCAAGCCCGAGACGGATCGGGTGTGTGGGGGGAAGTTCAGTGACAGCGACGTCAGATGCAGCCTTGTACGCTTCTAGCGACTTGTCTGCACTGTCCTTCCGCTTGTCTCCAGTGGCGAACTCGGCAAGATAACGGTGGTAGTCACCCATCCTAGAAACCACTCTATGAGCGCAAGCGACATAAAAGAGACACAAAGTGACGAACATCTTGTGGTAGAAGACCTTCGACTCGCCGGAAGCGGCCGACGGGATTAAGTGCTTGTCGAGAACATCAAGGATATCCTCGCAAATTTTTGCGAGCTCGCTCTCAATCTTCTCTCTGTAACCCTTGATCATCTGGACTTGCACCTCGTTCCCCTTAGACTCCTCCTTCTGCTCGATCGAGGAAACGATTCTCCACGACGCACGACGCGCGCCAATGACGTTCTTGTACGCGACAGAAAGAAGATTACGCTCCTCAACAGTTAGTTCCTGGTCGGACGAAGCAACACGCTTCATGTTCTCGACCATTTCTGCAGGATGACGCGTCAGGAACACGTCTCACTGGGAACTGGAGGCAACCCACCCTCATAACGCTCAGCCTGCTCGGCGAGCTTGGCGAGGTAGACGGAGTCTTCACGCGATTGGGTCATCTAAGGAAAAGCGTGTTCAATACAAGGCTAACGCAACGCGTCTGACGCGTCGGGGACTCACTGTGATGGGGGTGGGGGAAGAGAGGTTAGATGAGATAACTGCTATGATAACGTAGACGATGAGCTCCACGTTATATACGTTTAACGAGGGGGAACTGACGTGCGATAGGTAGCAGGTGGTTGGGTGGTGGTAGTTGAAGAAAAGGATAGAAGCGAGGATAAATGTGGAAACTAAAATGTGGACTGGGCAGAGGGTTATCACCATGGGCAGAGGGCACGTCACGTGAGTTTGCTATTGTGACCCATTGTGACGCAGTCACTCTCACCGCGTACCGTACTGCTTTGTCTCGGTTCCGACTCAAGAGTCGACATCTCAATGCAAAAGGTTTATGAGCTGCCACAAATGCAAAAGATTTATGAGCTGCCACATTCACCGAGATGCGACTGCCAACCACTTGGCGATGAACTTCCTAGCGATAACGCGTGCGGCTAGCTGGGCATTGACATCCCGCCGAGGGCGGTATCAAGTCACAATCTTCGGCTGTCTCTAGTCAGATGCTGTGTGATATTTTCTCTCGCAAATTCTGCTATCAGCAATGCTTTTCGGAGACAGCCAGGCCTTGGGCAGTGGGCATCATGATGATCAGAAGTGAAATCAGACCGATCTGCATGCTTTGCAGATGGACTTGAGAACGACGGTACCGGAGCTCCAACAGCGCAGAGGGATCCTGATTAGTCTCGAACCTCGTATGAGAGGCCTCTGAGAGGTCCCCCATGGGAAACGTTGAGTTTGAATATTGACGTCGGCGCAACGGCAGCTTGCCCTCACATGATTTGCACATGATCATGACGCGAGCTTCTGCTCGGGTGAACGCCGAGCTCCCTCTGTGCAGTAGGAAAATAAATGCATTGCACAATAGTTCAGCCGGCGAAAAGTGCTGAAAAAATTGCCACTCATTTCCTGGAAGCTATGCTAAAATTTTTGTATGCGTCGTATGTCACATTGCCTCCTTCACAGCTCAAGTTTTGTACGCATTTTGGCCGCGCCGTCGGCATGGTCAAACTCCGCCGTTCCCACGGGGGACCTCTCAGAAGCCCCTCATACGAGGATCCAGCCTCTATATAGAGGAACGACTCTTTCTTCCTATATACTAGAGGCTGGTTAACGAGCCTAGATCCTGATGAGGTGCCGGAGCTCCTAGCCAGGGGAAACCAGAAGTTATGTCATGACACAGGGCAAGTTCCGCAGCGACCCTAACGCCGCCTGGGAGTCGGCCCAGGACTCCCCTGCTGGCCTTGCAATATGTATACCGATGTGGCGTCCCGTCCGCCGAGTGTGGGCAAGGGTAGTTGTGTATGATTTTCACGAAGCTTTATGCGCTGCACTAGTGAACTCTAACATCGCTAACTGCCCACTGTGACTTGTCCAGGAAGGCGTCAAGTATTAACGCTTGACCTGTAGAAAACCCCGCATTATCGTCGAGAGCTCTGACAATTTCTGCAGTCCCACTGTAGTGCCGAACCGCATGAACTAGAAATGAGGTATCTGTCAAACAGTGCCAGTAGCCTCTAATTCGGGACAAGGTGACTCAAGCCCAGCGAATGGGGACCCAGCGCGAGCAATTGATGTGAGTAACATGTGCCGCCGAGTGCCAATTGACGGCAAGCAGGACACGCACGAGCCTTTCAGACACTGCGACCCAACACCAGCATGACGCACTACATCTACAGATAGCACAACCCAGCGAAGATGTGCAGGTAGATGTCCCATACCATCCGGCTGTCACAAAATGGAATGTCCGCAAGACGGTGGCGGGTGGTATATGGAAATAAACGAGGGCACACTACTGCAATGCGTAAAGTCCCTTAATCGGTTCCTTCCGCAGGAAAGAGCAGGAAAGTTGCGATTCAGACGGGGCGCGGCACGACACGCTGGCAGATCGGGCGGCTTCTACGAAACTCCCGCAGCAAAGAGTGAGAACGATGATACCTGAACGCATATAAACTTGTATTTGATCTGACTATGTCTGTTCCTTGACTGGCCTTTCATTTTAGGGAAGGGAAATGACTCGGCGTCGTTGAAAATCAGTGAGCCACACACGAGGCTACCGAACACCGATCGTAACCGATCATTAAGGCGCGCGTTTAATCTCGCGGCGCGGCACCGTCTTCATCCGAGACCAACGGATACCGGCATCGGACAAGGCTACACACTGGTATAAAATCAAGCCACTCTCTTAGGTCGCAACGTATATCCACCCAAGTCTCCACTTCCATCATAAACTTCACTCACCGGCCACTCATCCATCACAGTCACCATGCCCGGTCTTGTTCAACGTTACAACGTCTCGGTTGAATATTCCGAGCTCCTCTCAACCACACCGAAGGACCCTTCTGTCCGCGGCCCTTCACATTTATCTGGCGGCAGACGCTGGCGTTCTGCTGCACAAGCCGCGATAGCGACAGAAGCATCCTCGTGGTACGAAGCGGCTTGCCCATCATCGCAGGACCTGCAGGTCGTGCTTCGTCGCTTCCACGATGACCCTGATATTTCGCGGGAGCGGGTCTTTGGTTTCTTGTGCCCATTGTTCGTCTTCGGCACGTTATTCACAGTTTGCGTCGTCGCCCTCCAACCGCGTTCCTTCGCACATCACATCCTCACTGCGCCACGAGAACACCTACAAGAGTTGATGAAATTTGGAGCAGCCCTGTTTGGAGGATTGACAGCTGGAATTCTCTTCCTTCGTACTGCTGTATGGTGTGTGGCTGAAGCCTCTACAGCGGTTGTCGCACAAGCCGGTAGTGGAGTTGGACGGACAGTCAGGAATTCAGAGACGCTTCCATCCTCTAACGTGTTACTGGGAGCTATGTTCGGGTAGATCACAATATCCAAATAACACTATTTACCCTTTACTTGAATCCCCGATAAAATGAATTCGAACTTACCTCAGATATCCGCACGGAGTGGATGACATTGTGAGCACCTTGATACCGCCCAGGCTGAGTACTACGTTATACAATACTATCTTGGGGGTGGAGTTACAAATTTTTTGTGCACCTGAGCTCCTGCAGCACAACCACCCTATATTTTTCTATATTTTTACACGAATTGATGCGTGTACTCCTAGGCTATAATTCACACTAGTTTTCAGAAGATTCTGTGAAGAAGGGAGAGAGCCGGCACGATGCCGGTGGGGAGTGTTAACGAGAGGTAGTGTTGCAAAATCCGTCACTTGAATGTCACGCTGGTCTAGCAGGCGAGGCGCTCGCGAAATCTAAATTGGGTAACATTTTGTCACGCCCATCCTCAGCAGTGTTTCAAAATGCATTTCGGAGCACGTCAGAGTAAGCATCACACCTATCGGGATAGTAGAACGTTGCGCACTGAGGTCTTAAACCATGGTACAGACCTCCTGTTGGCCATGCATTCTCAATATCAGGGGAGATCTTTTACATCAGAGTCTTAAGTGTGGCTGAGATAGTATTCCGTGGTTTGTTCCGCAACCGTTCATTCCCTGTACAATTTGTTTTGGAGAATATATATACTAGTGTATTGTCACACTCCAAAATTTTCTCAGATGTGTCAAGCGTGGAAGGCGCAACGGCAGTGTTTGCAACTCCCCCCACGTGATAAGAAAGATTGGGCACCGACAGATTTACGGTCCAACGGCAGGGCTTACCTAATCCGGGGCACGGGACGGGGCCGGAGTGATAAGATTTAGATCTCTGAATTTCCGGAGCAGACAAGAGAGTGGTCACAGTAGCCATTACCCGCCGGCGTCAGGCTACACCACGCCAAACTATTTTATGCCTCATCGGAAGGTATGCGCTAGAAATCAGAATGAAATGGTATTCACTCTCAGGTATACTCGCATCTAGTCATCATTCTCTACATCAAGTTATGCAGCCGCGATCGCAAAGGCATCTTCCGAAGAACTTCTCCAATATCAGAACGAAGCATACATCCAGCTGTATCGAGAAAGAGATGAACTGGTTGCACGAGAAAGAATTCACGAGTATGTATCTCATTTTTTGATGCATATATGCGCCGTAAACATGCTTACTACCTCTCACTGATCCATGCAGAGAAAAGTACGCAAAGCTCATCAGCGCAATTCCCTCAGTTCTCCATGGTGTACCACCATCTCAGATCTCTTCCGTTGCAACTGACATCAGATTTGCGAAAGCAAATCCAATTCCCCCGTTAGAACGAGCTGAATATCCAAGTGTCAGGTTCTGGTACAGGCAGGAATACGACGCACACATTCGCGAGCTATCCGAGAGCAGGTCCATCACTCAGATTGACGAAGATGAATCCGAAGATGGTCCGAAGAAGCCCCGGTACCTCGAGAACAAGGACGGTACGCCTTTCAACAAGGCACAGATGAAGGCGGCTACTAGAGTCATGCGAGAGATATGGGCAGAACTCCACTGTCGAGATGATGTTTCCTATCTCCCATCTACATGGAGTAAGAAAACGGCTGACATTGCAGCATTCTTTTACCGGGAAATGAATCTTCGCATACCAGAACTCGCTTACTGTCATGGCGACTGGAAGGCGGAGAAATTGGCCACAGACAACTACTCGCAATGGACGCCCCCGAAGAAGAATAAGAAAAAACAATCATTGTCAGAACCCGTTGACCAATCGGACGAGTCTGACAGCGAGGTGCGTCCACGAAGACGACGCGGAGGTGGGAAGAAGAAGAGGCACAACTCAACCATGTCGGAGAATGACCACGAGGGATCCTTGCGACGACGACGAGATAGCAAGCGGAAGAGGAATCAGTCATCTACATCGGACGAGGAGGGGCGCAATACTCGCTCGCCAAGACGGCGGCGAGCCAGGAAGAGCCCTAGACACCGCTCCGTTGTCTCGCGCGATGATTCTAGCGCGCATCAGGATAGCCACTATCAGGGAGCACAGCGTATCCACGCTCCCACTGATAATGTTTCTACCATTGCTGCTCGTCCAGTGCCAGAACCTCAGCCTCAGGCCTCGTCTTCATCCGCCGACATAGATGCCGCACTGCCAACTCAATCTTCCGTGCTAGATTCTCCGCTGCCCGAACATCAGCCTAACGCCTCGTCTTCGTCCGCCACCATAGATGCCGCACTGGCAACTGAGTCTTCCGCGCTAGATTCTCCACTGCCAGAAACTCAGCCTAATGCCTCGTCTTCATCCGCTAACATAGATGCCGCACTGCCAACTCAGTCTTCCGTGCTAGATTCTCCACTGCCGGAACATCAGCCTGACACCTCGTCTTTGTCTGCCAATGTGGACAACTCAGTTGATGGTGCGTACTTTCCATTATTTTACCGATCTCATTATTGTATTCTACTATATCATTTAAATCCTACTCAATTGCGACCAGATGATACTATCCCCAGCACATCCGTTGTAGCCCTGCACACGACGCACGCAGATGCACAAAGCATTCCACTACTTGTGGTCTGTGGCTCACATCCTCACGCTCGCGCTTATCTTCTCATACTCACGTCTATTTGCGTAACCAGCCTTTCGATCCACTGTATGTACCTCCTCTCTTCGGGGAGCATCTCACTCACTGTCTGATGGTTCTACAGTGCTGATGAGTTCGATCCACCTACTCCTCACTCTCTCCCCACCCAGTCCAAAACCACGAGTGCAAGTGGTACAGGTGTAGCACCTGCCGATAGTGATCTCGGAGCGATTACTGCGGACGCACCTGCAAAGCCGAAGCGCAAATCACCCAAGATGAAAGCGAATAAGTCCAACGATGCATCGTACGTGACATCGGTTATGCCTGTTTGCCCACGCTCACTGCCAATCTCTCGCCTACAAGTAATTTGTTTGCCATCAACTGGCTCCCAATGAATCAAGGGAAATCACGCGACGAATTCAGCGCTGCTTGGGCAGCTGTAGATGCAGAAACCAGGAAGGTAATGCAATGTACCGTCATATTCATCGTTGCTCATTCTTGTCGCTGCATGCAGAAATACGAGGTTCTCAGTGCAACCAAGAAGACTGCTGCAAAGACGGAGGAGGCTGCAAAAAGAAAGGCTAGTCGAGCGACCAAGGCCACTAATAAATCGAACGCGAACATTGCAGGTACCTCTCAAGCGACTTAGGTATTTTTTCGTGTTTCTCTTTCGAACCGTACTGATGTTGATGCCCAGGGTGCGGAAGACTGTGGCTGGGTATCCGAGTTCTGTTGCATGTGGAGGCGGGCAGCACGGGTGACAGTTTTGGGGCGTGGGGCACGATGCAGGGGGGGAGCGAGGCGAGCGCGATGCAGGGCACAGGGCGCAGGGGCGGGCGTGGGCGCGAGCGCGATGGGGCGGGGCAGGGCGGGCGCGAGCGCGACGGTGGGATGGCTGGCGCTGGCTTACTCGGACTGCAACGGACGATATCGAAGGACAACGGACCTAATCACAGCCTATCGAAGACTGTCGATGTGTAGCTACAGGGAACGGAATGTATTCTACGGGTCGAGGATGAATCTGGTTGACATCGGACAGTTATATACCTGGACCTAATGGTTTCGAAATGCGCATACAGAGCATATTTCTGCTCCTTTTTTCTTTGAAGCTGTCCGCTCTCAAAATAAAATAGTCCAATTTTCGAACCAAAACGGAGTATTTCTACGTCTTAATATTTATTCCTTTCTCGTCCTTTCTCGTCATACGGGTTTTTGACTGGGACTGAGGTCTTAAACCATGGTACAGACCTCCTGTTGGCCATGCATTCTCAATATCAGGGGAGATCTTTTACATCAGAGTCTTAAGTGTGGCTGAGATAGTAGTATTCCGTGGTTTGTTCCGCAACCATTCATTCCCTGTACAATTTGTTTTGGAGAATATATATACTAGTGTATTGTCACACTCCAAAATTTTCTCAGATGTGTCAAGCGTGGAAGGCGCAACGGCAGTGTTTGCAACTCCCCCCACGTGATAAGATATATGGGCTCGTTCATACACGACTGGTTTGAGCGCCCGTGACATTAGGTGACATATCACGTGAAATTCCTAAAAAGGACGTCAGTGGCACATTTGAAGCTTCAGAATAAGCCTAAGCCCGACATGGTTTTGGTATCTCCTCGGTCTCCACACAAGGTGCATTCCACCTTTTTTCCTGGGGAAAACGACAAAGTAAGTCTCGGGGAAATATCCGGGAAAAACTGTGAGAAAACAATAGTGTAAATCCTGGGGAAAAACCGTGACCCAGAAAAAGCAACAGATTTCTCGGAGAAAAACTTTTGTTTCCAAATCGGGATTTCTGCAAGAGATTCGCAAGATAATTCCCGGGGATATGTTTTTCCCGCCACGTTCGGGTGCTGGGCCAAGGAAATCTCTAAGAAATTTCCCCGGGAATTATCTTGCGAATCTCTTGCAGAAATCCCGATTTGGAAACAAAAGTTTTTCTCTGAGAAATCTGTTGCTTTTTCTGGGTCACGGTTTTTCCCCAGGATTTACACTATTGTTTTCTCACAGTTTTTCCCGGATATTTCCCCGAGACTTACTTTGTCGTTTTCCCCAGGAAAAAAGGTGGAATGCACCTTGTGCCAGGTCAAACAAAATAAATATGCTTCCCCACATTGATCACATTGGGTTTCTCTACATTCTGGAGAAGCAGATATGGCTTAAATGCAGTGTAGCATGAGTAGTTGCATTTTTGAAGGAAATCTCCCCCAAGTGTGACATCTTGGATCACGTGAGGCTAGTCGTGTATGAACGAGCCCTATCTTAGTGGATGCCTTCCCGTAGGATTTAGAGCATTTCTAAATCATAAAGCGGACTACGAAATGCCCCACTGTGTCGGAACAGCAAGATTTGCGAGACCGTAACGACGTGAGACCATGATCACTAAATCAAGTTCTAGACGGTCGGAGGATGAACGGCAAGATGATGTAAGTGATGCATAACACCAAATATAGGCGATGATGGGGGTTGCGAGGGTGCGGAGGTCGAAAATATAGTTTAGGGAGACGTTTAGAATCTGGAAGGGGGGGTCGACCCCCCTTCCAGATATAAGGTTTAGAAAGGTCTCACTTTGTTCACAGGCTCGTCGGAGATCAATTGGCCGACGTGCCGGAGTGATTTAAAGACGAAATTTAGCTTTAGAACGTCTCTAAACGGCTACGGGAAGGCATCCAGTAATTGTGCGTTTTACCAAAATTAAGGGGTCGCACTGCGGAAGAGAGTCCTGATCCACGGAATATCCCGCTCGTGGTCGCGGTCGACGTTGTCCTCAGCCTCCAGAATACCGGCTCGCTCCCCACTTGTCTTTGGCATCAGTCATTACCCCTTCACTTGACCATCCAAGCTTTGCTGCGAGACATACACGCCATCATTGAAGAGAATCATCTCAATCTACCTAATTCCTGGGATGGCGATGCGGATCGTTCACATACCGGCGAACGCCTTCAAATCCGTGATAACATACTGTACTCCAGAGGCCCGCGACTTGGTGCGGAAGGTGTTTGCATTGAAACCTGATGCGCCGGGTCTCACCACCCAAGAGATATATCACACCGCTGTGGAACGATTCCCAACTGCAACCTCGAATACGGATCCATATAACTTGGAACAGAGGCCACCGCGGTCTAATGAACCGACGCCCGCCAATATAGGATTTGGTTTTACTGAACCTGTATCTGATCACCCATTTCGTTCAATGAGGTTTGTCTTACATGTGCAGCCGAACTTACTGCTATCTCATGTGCCGAGTTATCATTCAGGTACCTGAAGAAGTTTGTATTGGAATCCATGGCAGAGAATCGGGAGGTGCATAAGGTTATCATCAGGAGAGGTTCAGGCGGAGTGGATGAGAATGGACAAAAGATGGATACGGTCACTGGCAGGCACGGACTGCGACTGCTGATACCTACTCAAAACTTCCCAAAGAAAGATGTTTGGGCTTGGCGGCTGTTGTCGGAGGAGGAAAGGGCGATGTTGGAGGACACCCAAGCTGTTGAAAACGAGCCGAAGGTCGTATTGCATCCCAGACACGACGATGCCCGCGCCCGCTATTAGCTATTGGACGAGGATCACTGTGTATATCAGCTATTTTACAAGTTCACCGCGGTGAGCTTTCGTCCGTTCGAAGCATCAACGTTCAACGTTCAACTTTCGTACCAACTGATGAATTACCAGACCGTTGCGTATATGCTACAGACTCTCACCGTACACCGCAATCGGCGTGGTGCCCACACGGTGCATAATGCGTAATGCCTCTTGCGTTACGAAGCGTCCAAGAATTGTCATTAGATAGTGCACCTACGATAAACCGCTGGACATAAGTATAGATAGATACGTTCATCATGCGTCATTACATCATCACAATCCTCTCCTTCAAAGAACATCGTCTTCTCAATCCCTCAAACTTCGATAAGATCGGGCAGGCGAAGGCACGCCAGGGAGTGTAGCATTTGTTCTGGTATTGGCCTTCGTGTTGGGTGACTGTAAATCCTCGGTGCTCGCAAAGTACGCTGGGTCGGCATAGTCGCGGCGATCGTAACGTTTGTATTCGGACTGCCCAGAGACCGCGCTCGAGATAGACCCAGTGGAGGGAACGCGGCGCAACTGCGGTGGAGGGGCGGTCGACAAGGGCCGCGGATTAGCGGCAGGAGTCGAGCCTGCGTTCAGGCTGAAGCTGCGTTGGTGTACGGAGAGCCGTGACGTTGAGGAGCGAGGGCTCATATTTCCGTACAGAGATGATGGCAACAAGACACTTGACCCGGCGTTACCAGGCGTCGAGCTACGTGCATTCTGGCTGTCTGCCAAGCCTTCGGGGTATTGCACGCCTGGCGGAATTGGTGCAGATACATACTGCAAACGGCTCGGGGTATGAGATCGACTCGATGGTGCCGGGGCAGGTACGTATTGTATATGATTCGGGGTCTGAGACCTACTGGGAGAGGCTGACGTATTCCCCATTGCCGACAGGGGACGCCCAACCGGTGTTTTGGAGCGTAGAGCATCGCTGCTGGTCAGGCTGCCTGACCGCCGTCGCCTTTGTCGATCAGGCTGCGAACCAGTAATTAGGTCAGCGGAAGATGACGACGAACTGTGACGATCGATGTTGAAGTCGGTATAAATGCTATGCTTGGGAACGCGAGACGAAGGCGAGGTAGTATCCTGATATGTTACGGACGGACCCGAGCGAGCAGGAATGAATCTGGGTGGAAATTTGTCGACAGGATTAGTAAACTGCATTCCCGTTGAAGGTGTATTCGCCGTCGAGGACTCATAAAGGACAGTGGAAACAATAGGCTGAGATGATGGCTGAATATTATTGGCAGAACTCGGCGACAACATGCGTGAGTTTGCACCCATGGGAGAGAACTCAGAACTTGGGCCCGACTGAAACAGAGATGCAGAATTATAGTCATATACGAAGACATTCTCAGGTTTGTACATACCGGAGGCTGAACAGTGATCGTGACGTCCCCTGACGGTGTACTCCGATGTCCTCTATCTGACACAAAAGAACCAGCATCCGAGCGGGGATGCGCAGATTGTGACCTTTCTTGAGTCGTTGGAACATCAGCATCTGGATAGTACGGTCTGGTGCCACCAGCCGAAGACGATCTATGCAACGGCGACGGTGCGACAACCTCAGCAGAGGGTCGCCTAGAAGGACCGCGTGAGGATCTTGAATTACTTCGACTCAGCTATCATAGCCTCGAAGTTAGTGCTTTTCCAGGATAGACAGCTTTATGACCAACCTCGTCCGCCGTTGTCCGTCTCCAATCATCCAGTACACTAGGATCGGAATACCTGGAATTATCCGCAGTTTCTGTATGTTCCGGGCCCTGTACAGGAGTAGGAAAGACCAGAGGCTCAGGCATGATACTGCTTCTGGCTCGGCTTTCAGCACTTGGACTCATTTCCATGGAGGTCGAAACTTCTGGGATTGAACTCAACATTCGAGTTTGAGCTGCATGACGGGGCGAGCTAAGAAGGTCAAATTGTGATATAGTAGTTGATGGCACCGATTCGGCCAACGAACGCGGTGAAGAGCGTTGCTTCTGCGTGTACGCATAATCACGGACGCGGGGTTCCGCACGGTCTAATGATACACGAGGTGGCGCACGGATTGCTTCTGAGTCGAGCGAAGTGATCGTTGACAGTGCAGTCGAAGGCGGAGGAAACACGGATGGAGGTAGAGGCCCAACTTCGTGTGGAGGTGGTATGTGGATGTAATTGTCTGCGTCCGCGGACGGCACATAGCCGTCTGGAAGTGGGGTATATGGACGATGAGGAGAGTGTGCAGTGTTCGGCAGCTTTGGCGGGCGAAAGTGCTTCGGTGTTTCTCCAGGAGGGGGTAGAGGCCAGAGTGGTCTGCCAGAGAGTGAATCGAGGGTCGATGGCACTGGACTCGCAATGTTCTCGCGAAAGCGAGAACCTTCTGCTCCGGCACCGAAGGACAGTGCAGCAGGTGGCATAGCAAGACGTCCAGATTCCTCCGTTACGGTTGAAACCGGTGCCAATGGAATAACTCCACGAGGAGGTGAAGGCAGATTCAACGATATATCTGGAAGGTCATCAAAGATATTTCCACCTCCAGGTGGTGGCACGGAGCCGTACCCATCATCTACAATCACGCCGGCAGGGGCGTTCGCATCGATATCTCGCCCGCGATATTGACTCAACCGCGCCTCTTCGTAGCCTCTCCTGACGCCTTCTTGATAGCCTTGCCTCCTGCCTTCCTCTCGCGCCAGTGTCATGAGGTGCTGCTCTTTGAATCGCCTAGCGGCACTACGAGCTCGTGCGGCCGCAGCTTCCGCGTCATCGCGTTGAGCCTCCACGTCCTTTAAAATCTCTGAGCCCCTGGAAATCTCACCCTGAGCGTTGTAAAGTTGTAGCTTGTACAGATGCAATTCCTCCTTGACTCTGTTGACCTCCTGCTGCGCAGAGAGTCTTGCATCGTTGACGATTTTGAATCGCTGAGCGATGTCAAGAGCTCGACGCTCCGCTTCTTGAGCTCGGCGTGTCTCGACATCCAGTCTATCGAATGCAGCAGTAAGCACCCTCCGCATTTGTTTGCTTCCACGCTCCTCGTTCACCAGCATTTTTAAGTAATCCCTGTTTGCACTACTTCGATGTCGGTCGCGGTCTGGCCTGTAAGAGCGCAATGATCTCTCTCGATTTTCTATAATTCCATTGAGGTCACCATGGATGTCCCCATTGGAAGCGATCGAATCACGAGCAGCTGTGGGTGAAGGGAAGTGGTCTCTGTCACTGTCGTTAAAATTGTCGTCGGCGTCAACATAGTCTGGGTGGTGTATATCCTCGTTTTCGGCCTCACGGGCTTGACGAATACCCATGTCAGCATCTACATATTCCAATGGCTGATTGCTAGGAGGCGTTGTAAAACCGGAACTGAACATGACAGACGGAAGTGCTGTACCTTCCAATGCCGTCAAAGTATTCATGGCTAGACATCAGAGATGGTGCGTATGTCAAGTCTCGCAGGACGCGCAGTGGGAGATTATCTGAGAGGACAAAAGTTTGCGACGAGTATGTAATGCAGTCTAGTGGTACAGCCCAGCCAGCTGCAGCCTCAGTGTCTTGAGAAATACAAGCAAGCTACAAGCGAATCACGAGAACGACATCCTGACAGCTAGACGGAGAGCATCCACCATATGGGAAACTGAGAAGAAGTATGTTCGAGCGGAGCGTGTGGCCGGCATTCCCATGATCTAGTTTCCAACTGAAAAGGCAATACCATATGTCTTTCCTGCTTCGCCTTACGCACACCACTGGCAGCAACCTCAGGCTTCAGAGATCCATCTTCACTCTTCCGGACCTGTCGTCCTTCTCCCCATTTTCAGACCCTCGGGGAAGCAACGAGGAACCTCAAAGGTACAACGAGAGGAAGATTCTTCCGTATGGTGGCAATTACAATTTCACGGTCGCATTAACTGACGTAGTTGAATCTCAGTTATACACCGAGCCAGCTGTACGATGTAGTTTCCGATGTGAACTCGTATCCTCACTTCTTGCCGTTTTGCACGTCAACGCGGATCTTGAGTCGTTCGCCTGCTGCTCCATCCACATTATCGGCGTCCTCCCATTCCCAGTCCATGGAAGTGGAACTTACTGTCGGGTTTCTATCGTTCAAAGAGACATACAATAGTCGCGTAACGTGCAGACCCAACGAGTCAGTCGAGGTAAGGTGTTTCGTGGTCCTAGAGAAGTGACAGCTTCATGGTGCATGCGGCTAGGTTGTAGCATCGACGTCCACTCCACTGTTCAATGCGTTAAATACGATGTGGCGTTTTCAGCCAGCCTCTCCGCAATCACCCCACCTCAGTGGCAGGCGTCCGCTGTCCACCCTACTCCCATCTTCGCCTCAGACCGCAGAAGTTGCCGAGAATGGACCTACATTGGTGACTCTGGACCTAGCCTTCTCGTTCGCTAGCCCCGTACATGCTGCCGTGTCAGCAGCCTTCTTTGGTCAGGTTTCGAAGATGATGGTGCAGGCATTTGAGCGAAGGTGCATGGAGCTTTATGGTCCGGGTGAAAAGTAGATAATTCTCCCTTGCGTTAGTGAGATGGGGCCTCGTACGCGAATTCTCTTGTCCGTACTAATATTTTGAATACCTTACGAACGACACTGTATTACCTGCATCTTGCACTCACACGGACATGTTGCATGGATGTAACATTTACTCACCACATCAGCGAACTTTGCATCTAAATGGTGCCGCTCACAGGTAAATTGACGGTTCGTTGATGCTTCAGCTGAGGCCATCTCGCGGAAGACAATTACACCGAAGAATAAACGAGTGAATTTACGTCTCCTAGATGTGACACAAATTACGCAACACCGAATGTACAGTCCATAGACCATACAAGTAATTCATCAAATGGAGGACCCAAAGGTAGCGGCGAGACATCACGTATAATAAAATTTCACTACATGGGCCTCCGATGGCGATATCCCACCGGATCTCTGATTCGCAAGTTAGTGTTAAAATGGAGTGACAGGATAGTGCACCGACCTCCCCCTGCTGGAATCACCCACGAATGGTCGCGTTCCCGCATCGTGTCAGGCTGATGAAGGATCTCGAAAGAGGTCTCCACCCTGTGTCAGATAATGTCAATTCAATGTCTCCCAAGTATCATAAGAGCTCACCCAAGGCGAGGCCATCGTACAGCCTTACAAGAAACGGATGGAACGTGAACGAGCGTGGGGGACCCGTCGCGGTAGGAGAAACAGGGATGATACTGGTGACATTGAATGAAAACTTGAGATCTGAACGGATAAGGAGGGACATACCGGTATTGCGATATACTAAGGGAAAGAAGAAGTAGATGAGGGAGTGCCGCTCTTCACCCGTGCCTCTTATACCGCTAGAAATGAGGGTGTCGGCCAAAAAGTAACGCTGGACATATTACCTCCCTAAACACCGTAAAAGTTGCTCGACACTCTCCCCAAGAATAGCCGGAGCGTATCGACGAAACGGGATGCATGTACCCTGGATGGCGACTTACAAAGGAAGACTTACAAGGCAAGGTTCGGGATCCGCTCGCTGGTCACGTTGACAAGGAGACTACCGTAATTTGCTGATGGAACAGCATATGGAGAAACCGGAACAGCTGTAGTTCACGGTAGGCGCCTAGCGATTGAGCACGATTGCATACGGAGTATTCTGAAAGGCACCGATGGATGCGATAGAAAGCCCAACGCCATACGACTTGAATTGTAATTAACGGAATCCGCATATACCACCGCGGAGCTTGTCACCACTGAGTTCGAGCCAATTCAACTACAAGAATAACCCTGCATCGATAGCATCGTTCGGACTCGCACGGAGAAAAACGCACCTCACCGCTGTTATTGAACAGATACATACTAAGACTAGGGGAACTTGAAAGTATCCGAGCTAGAGGGCGATTGGGCTGCATGGAAGCTGCCATTGGAGCAGCAAGAAGCACACTAATTAATGTTGCGTCCAGCCTTCCACGAGCACTCGAGAAACTGCATATGATAAGCAGATATTCATCATGAAGATCCTCCGTGCTCTACACATACCCTGTATTAGTACTAGTGCTGTTGATCTGCGCAGAAGTGACTCACGAGTACATGGGCTTCCGACACGATCTGTGATTCCTCGTGACATTCAAGAAAGTCCAAATCATCTACGCGTCATCCCAGAAGGGAAATAAGCATTGATAGTGGACAGTTTCTGCCAACAGGATCATCGAACGTCCAAATTCCTCGACACCTTGCCGACGGTAGAAAGTTGTGGGGCAAGGCAGAAGTCGAAAATTCTGGGAGGCTAGAAAGTGCCTTCGCCGATCCGACATCTCCGAGGAACATGGATGATTCTGTGCGGAGATTTGGGATGGAGAAGGTAGTAGATACTTCTGTCCCCACTCTCAGTGAATAGTGCCCTGTTTATAACTTCCCACACTTTCGCCCTTCCGCAGACCATTCCGATGTTCCACGGGAAGACGGACTTCTGCATGCAGTTGTCTGACACCGAGATACAGACGGAACAGTCCTTCTTGAAATCAGGACACATCATTTTGTCAATGCCCAGACTCACATTACCTTCGCGATGCATGCGTGGACCACACTTCTATATCGTCGCCATCCACTATTGACAGTGTGAATCTAAATCGTGACCGACCTGTGGATGCATCCTGGAGTCCTCACGTTGATCGGGCACCATAGAGACGATGGGGTGTAAGCTGAAATCTACAAGAACGGAATGCAGTTGTCCCATCTCGAGAAACAAGTGACCTACTGGATATGTCGGAAAGCTCTTCAACAGGGGAAACGCTAAATATGCTGACAAACCTAAAATCCGTGAAGGTGGATTCGAAGTTCTGTTCGCCCCAAACCCACGGCTCCACGTTGACGCACCTCATTCGCAACTGCGTTGAGCACCACCGTAACATCCTGGATTATAGCGAGGACCTACATACGTGAGGCAGTTATATTCACTACGTTCCGCGCGGTTAGAATATCGCGATGATCCTGCGGAACCTTGTCCCTCTGGCACAACGCTATAAAACATCAGCATGAGGACGAGGAAATAAATATACTGCGTCGATACCTGGTCGACGCCGGCAGTCCAAAGGCATCGCTTACGCTCACTCACGCAAGACAACAGGAAATATGGATAAATAGAGCAGGTCGAAAACAGCGGGGTTCTCGATCGAACTTGCAGCTAGTCTGCAAAAAGTCGAATCCCTACTTCCCTAGCTTGGTACATGGTCAGCTCTTAGTTAAGTCGCGTATTCGGCATTCTCAGGACAATCTCTCGCAATCTACGGCGGGGTATGAGGATAGTGCCTTGGGGTAATTCTAGGCATTGACGACTCACATGTCCTTCCTGCTGACACTTGTAGCACGTTTTGTTCTTGTTTGGATTTCCACTGGCAGTAGCAGCAGTGGAATCGACAGTGGTGCCGGGTGCAGCTAAACAGTCCCTACAAACCAGCCTTTGTGAATACTGAAGATGGAGACATACATGCAAGCCGCAAACCTAGCCATGTGGTTGGGACCTCCGCATCGGTAGCACTTGACCGGCGGGATAGTGGAGGTGTTCAAACCCCGTCCAGGCGGAGGAATACGTGAGGCAAAACCATTGCCAGCAGCTGCATTGGGGCAGTTGCGCGCAAAATGCCCAGGACGACCACAAGTCTACCATTTCTGATCAGGACTACATAACAAGGAAAACAAAACGAGGTAACTCACGTAGCATTTCTGGTTCGAAGCTTGCACTCGAAGGCTAGGGCACTCTGCTTGGATGTGACCAACACCCCCGCACGAGTAGCACTGCTTTTGTGCCACTGAGCGGGGAGAAGGACAAGCAGATGACTCATGTCCAGGCTGACGGCAGTTGTAGCAGAGGCGCTGCTCGGAAGGGCAGTTCTCGGCGATGTGACCGACTGCAGGCAGACAACAAGTCAATACGACGGCTTGAAAATGGCTGAGAAGGACGAACGGTTTCCACATTTGAAACACCCCTTCCTGCTGAACTGGTAAGCCATTCTGACTTCACTTCTTGATATCCTGAACCTAATATAGGGGCCATGAATCCACATGGGCACGCAAACGGTGTTGCTGCGGCCTACCTCTCTTCTTCCCTCTTCCAACTAACCCTTTACCTTCCCTCCTCCTGCGTGAGGACAAGGACCGACTGTGAGCAAGATGGGTGATGGTGACTAAGACGATTTGGACCTCGAGCCTGAGGGCGTCGGTGAATCAGATGGAGTATGCACCCTGCCCTAAACATCCATCGCCCGCTCGGCGTTGCGTTCTACGCTGATCCAGATTCATTCTGTTGAGCAGCGCCGATTCTTGCGGCACGCCGCTCCACTCGCCACTTTACTCTGTGTAGACATGCGAATCTTCATACTTGGACGCGCGCCTCGATGATCGCGATGACAATTGCAGTACATTTCGATTCGCAGAGCTGCAATCGGCACCGCAGATTCGTGTGGTTCAATCGTGTTGATCCGTGTCCATTTGTGAAAGGATGGCCCAGAGAGACGAGTCCTGATCTAATTCATCTCCGCCCACCACTTTGCATATAAAGGCCCTGGTCGCAGGGTTTGTTTTAGTGGATTCCCTGGCTTTCCCCATAACAGCGACTGTGGTACGTCCTAGTATCAACAGAGCTTCTAGTGTATATCTAAGATATCATCACGAAGTGACTGTGCAGAGGCCCCTGCGAGCCTTCCAGCGTGGAGCCGACCTCCGCGCACCTGCGTCCATCGCGCTTCTTGTTAGGATGAAAATCTATTTCGCTTGAGGTTCGTCTGAGCCTCGAGTTACCGTTCTCGATCGTATTTCTGATCGATTGAACATCCAGACATTGTAGGATCTTCTGCGAAGTATTTCAATATCCTAACAATACGCGTAGTAACGAGTGCGCGAAGTACGGCTATATGTGTGGAAGGATGGGTTGGTGTATGGGTTGGTTCACATTCTCTGACTTGAGGCGTACGTCTTCAGCGTATAATACATGACACTTCAGCTAATACAATGCCCCTCAGCGGCATGTTAGTTGATCGATCTATGACGACACTTGTCTGGATAGTATGAGGAACTAGGCAATATTTAGCGTAGGGCCAAAGGCGTGCACTCTTTTACCCTGAGCCTTACTCGTGAATAGAATGTTTTGAAACACTGTGCGGAAAAAAAGGGACCGTCGGAATCATTTGTGAGTGAGATATATTGAACACAATATTTCTTGGGTCACTATACTACTTACACTATGTGAGGCAAAGGCGGTCTGAGAACTGATGAGGCGTCATGCAGGCGGTGTCATTTATTGTCTTGCAATGACACGCACAGCCGCACAGCCAAAACAACCCATTGACTGGACGTGCAGCATGAAGGTTGAACGTTAGGGCTCTCAATCAATTTGCACCGGGACCATCGAAGCAAGCTCGCTGCATGATAACACCTGCCCGCCTGGCGACACAAAGGTATCGATCGTTGTGGATAAGCTTCCATCTAACAATGTAGGTCGCTGCGAATCACACTATCTGCCATTCCTTCACACTTGCAGGAACATGCCAGACTTTCTTCGCTTCTCGATCATCCTTCGCCCGTGCACCCATAGCGCAATCATCGTAGCTCAAAAACTCCCACGGGGGACTTCTCAGTGGGCTCCCGGATGATGATCCTGGACTAGGAGAGAGCATGCAAGACCACATTGTTCCTGACGTATTTCCGTCGGTAATAACGCATGTCACTGCCCACCTCGTATGCTTATTTCAACCGTCTGAACCACGTGAAGATGTGCCATTCCTGATCCCTCAAAGGGAGCAGGAAGTGTGAAACTTCAGTATGTCCTGTATTCTGTGCCACCGGTTGTACCAGCTCCATTAATCGTGTCCAGTACTGTTGGCTCCGAGCCGCACACAATGGGGAGCACGAATGTTACCTTGATTCCATTCAAGACGGTCTCCGAAGAAGCCGAAACATTTATTCTAACTTGAGAGAAGATTCATAAGAAAGCCACGCATTACTCTCTAGGTCTCCAGAAGGAATACCAGGTTCGGTTAGAGCGCCTCACGCAGAATTCCTCGGAGTGCGAGTTCGCCTTCGTTGCGGGTTTGTTGCACTTCCACAGCTTCGGATCCTCCTGGCCTTCTCTGTCTCGCTGTTTGTTAGTCCCGGTGAATAAGGAAAGCGCTACATCACTCGCCTCGTTGCACTTTCTCGAGGGGCACTGTTGTGGGTATTCGAGATTGGGAGTTCCGCGACCTGATTTTCAGTGATATGGGACTACGCAGCATGCGATTTGCAATGATCCTACACAACCCGCTGAATCGACCCACAGTTCTTCGAGGACAACTTTTGTTATGCGTTCATAATGCAATATTCCGACATATTCTCGCTCCTGTCAGACCTGGAAATGGCCATGTTCGGTCCCAACTTGATGAACGCTTCTCCACTGAAAGACATGATACTAAGTGCGCCTTATTTACCTTGACCGACTGTGTGTGATCTTAACTTATGCGAATAACAGGGGATGGTTTGACGCAGTGGGTCCACTATAACTAGACTTTGCGAAAATTGACCGCAAGTGTTCCAAATCTTCTAGCTCGGTCAAGATCCTCGGATTTCCAGATTCCATCCCCAAAGCTACGCCAACTTTTTCCGTAAGTTGTTATATATGCGTTTCGTGTGCGCCTTGAAAACGTGTCGTAGATGCTGCGGGTACATTCCCAGGAAGGACAATGGGCTGACAATCAATTGCATTGGTCGCCCATTTCCACGCTAGTACTGTCAGAACTAAAGGTAGATGGGGTCCCTCGATGTGTGTATAAATCTGTAACAATAAATGTACAAACGGTACGCCATAATGTCCAGCGCTTACGGCATTGCTGAGCAAGGTGATCGTCACACCCTTCCGATCCTCGACCAGACACTACATAATTTTTCCCACCTCGGCATTATAAAGTGAGAGTTTTGAGTACAGATAGCATTCCAGCTGAATTCAAAACGTTAGACGTTTTGCAACGAAACTCACCTCCCGATTTTTGTTTGTGGCGCAGCGGTTTAGTGCGGAACAAACAGACTTAGGCCGAATTGGGCAAGCAGTCAATTCGCACACAGGCTCGGAGCGAGCGCTTGAGCTTCTGCATTTGGTTTAGGTCGTTTGTCCCACACTAAAGTGCTGCTCCGTGAACAAAGATCGGGAGGTGAGTTTCGTCAAGAAACGTCTAACGTTTTGAATTTAGCTGTCATTTGGTCATTACTATTCCCCTCTAGTGGATTCTACGATTCCACCGTGTGTTCTATGTCATGTACTAATTACGTAGTCCAAGTTCGAAGCTTAGCGCTTGCACATAAACAGCTGTACGAGATCGATCTCCGCGGCGTGTATCTGAAGAATATAATCGGTCTGCATGGTGCCGGCTGCGTGCCGCTATCTTTGGCGACTTGTGCCTGCTGAATCATGCTGCACAACGTTGCAAGCTGAATTCTGTGGGAGACGCGATAAGTAGTCACTGTCCGCAGATCGACTCAGAGTCGTCTTCGAACGAGTTACCACAGGAGGAACGTCTCTCGTCTCGAGTTGGTTGTGTCCAGCAAGATTGACCATTAATTCCTGTGCAGAGGTCTCGAGCTCAATGTCTTACGAGAAGCGCGAGAAGGCCATTGATCTGTCACACCATCTCTCTGACCTCTCGCGTGCTCGACGACCTTCCCCTCTGAAGTCATTATCCAAGTTCTTCGGACGTCCAGGCGTGATAAGCCTTGCAGGCGGTAAGTGTCATCGCGTCTCGCTAGGTTCGTAACATTGAAAGTGTGACGTAGGCCTCCCCAATGAAGCATGCTTTCCGTTCGCCAGTATATCAGCCGATGGTATGTCGCGGGTTGCGTTTACGTAGGTTGACGCCAACGCTGCTCTACAGCCCTCATCCCGGAGTCGTTCTCCCTGAAGAATGCTCCGCAGGAGTCATCGTTATCATGGATATGGAAACTCTTTGGCAGAGGGACACCGAAGGAGAGGACGACCCCGATAAGCATACCCAAGTATCCCGACTCGCCTGATGATGTCAATTTGGCCATTGCTCTGCAATATGGAACTGCTACCGGTCTTCCCCAGCTTCAGAGATTCATCAAGGAATTTGTTGAGAAAGTCTACCAGCCAGCGTATAGCGACTATACCATTATGGCACATGTCGGTAATACAGACGGGTAAGCTCTTCTCTGAGTGGATCATGAATGTGACTAATTGCAATTAACGTAGCTGGTCCAGGGTTCTGCAGACACTGTGTAATCCCGGAGAAGGGTTTCTTACAGAAGAATGGACCTATCCTTCAGCAGTAGCCGGTGCTCGGCCATTTGCATTGCAACCCGTCCCTGTTGCTATGGATAAGGAAGGCATGACCAGTACTGACCTTCGTAAGGTTTTATCTGAGTGGGATGAATCCGCACGCGGGTTCAAGCGGTACGTTTACATCTCGGTATCCGACCTGTACTGATGGTTGGGGTCAGTCCCCACGTTATGTACACCGTCCCAATCGGCCAGAACCCATGCGGCTTTGTGAGTCAGGCAGATGTACATGTAAACTCGCGTTAATGTTGGCAATTTAGACCATGGGTGCTCAGCGGAAGAAGGAAATTTACGATATATGTGTTGAATATGGTCAGTCCAGACGATATAACACAATGTTAAGCCGTGGCACTCAGTACTCTCGTCCCAGATATCATCATCTGCGAAGATGACCCCTACTACTTCCTGCAGTTCGGAGAATATGTCCAGAAATCGCAGCGCCGGTCTCACTCTGATAACGCTATTGATGCGGCGCAATTCCTGAAGACCTTAGCTCCGACTTACCTGAAGTCCGTTATTCATTCATGACTGATGGCAAATCCTGATAAATGTGCAGATTTGACTACCAGGGCCGTGTCATTCGTCTCGACACCTTCTCTAAGGTACGTTCATTCATACGCTCACCACATCGGCCGCCGTTGATCATTGCAACAGTACATTGCACCGGGTTCACGTCTCGGATGGCATACTTGCAGTCCTTTATTTGCGGAGAGGTTGGAACGCCAAGGAGAGACATCCACTCAAGCCCCGTGTGGTTTTGGACAGGTGAGAGTATAGACGATACCATCTAGACTCACCGCTGATCATTCATTGTCCAGTCGCTGATCACGCAGCTGTTATTGAACTGGAAGTATGATGGGTACATCCGTTGGCTCCAGGGTTCGTCCAGCGTATGGGAATCCTATGCATTTCTTTTGCCAACAGTTAAACGATGCAGGGCTTGCGATCCAGTACACAAGGAGACGCGACTTTTTCGTTGATTGTTTTGCCAATGAATTTGACTTGAAGCGGTCCACAAGTGACTTTTCCTTGTGGCAAGGCTGGGACGTCTACGATGGGTACACAAAACCCAGAAATCAGTTCATGTCTGAGAAGAAGTCTAGCGTGAAAGTCCTCAGCTTTGTTCCGCCGACCTCAGGAATGTTCCTCTGGGTTAGTAGTCATTCTCTTCGGTGGTTCTAGGAGACTCATTATTGAGGCGTGCAGGTCAAGATTTACTTTGAGAATCATCCTTCTTTCAAGGATGAAGACGAGCAGAGTCTTGAGCTGCAGTTATGCAACAAGCTCGGAGAAGCCGGGCTGATCATCTGTCCAGGAAGCTTTTTCGCAGCGAACGATACCGAGTTCAAGCCGGGCACTGGTCATTTCCGGATGAGCTTCAGCTATGAAGACGTGCGTCGATATTGTCCTCACTAGCCCATTCAGCTAATTAATCACCCTGTTGTAGTTGGAGACGCTCAAGAAGGCAGTCAAGATTTTCAGAGAGACTACAGAGAAGTTCTTGGAGTTATAGAGGCGGAACGATCGGCGTTAAATTAGACGCTTTCTTCAACTGAACTAGACTACGTATAGAATGTATCCATGTCCAGCGATGGTGGCCATGGATGACGGATCTATTTATCTGCTGGATTCACTTCAAGTTTATATCGAGTTCGCGTGCGTTGTGCACGTGGCTGTAGTGCAAGTGGCGCGCTCTGAGTCGAGACGCGCCGCTCACTACCGCCCACCCACCCTAAACACCTCTGCGATCGTAATGTCTGAAGACGCGTCTGCTTCTCTCTCGCTCGATATACAACGCGCTCTTCAGCAAGCCGTCGGTGATGCGAACAATGCTGCTATGCCTGCGAAATCCAAGCGTGCACGAGGGGACGACGATGCCGAGTCGATGGCGGAAAAGCCCGTGAGGAAGAAGAAAAAGAGCAAATCCCATGCCGTTTCGGATGAACAGGTCAGCGGAACAAATACGACTCAGGTGTCTCAGCCGGCTGTCGATGCAGCTCCTTTGGTTGAGGTGCAGCCTGTGGAACAAGTGACGAAGAAGAAGAAAAAAAGTAAGGGGAAGGAGCGACAAGAAGATTCCTCCGGTTCAATCGCTCCTCCCGACGTGGATCTACCCACTTCATCAGCGGATTTCATTTCTGCCGTCGTTGCTGCTGCGTCTGCTACATCGGATCAGACACAACCGGCTGGAGCTCCGCAATATGATCCAGGTGTTCATCCTTTCCTGGAGTATCCCCCAGAACTAGCGTATGCGTACCCTCCTCCTGGCCACGCGCCCCCATTCGGCCACCCCCACCATCCGCCACCATTGTATCCCGACCCCTCAGGGCAGCCTCTTCCTGACTTAAATTTTGCTTCCAGCGAAGAGCTGCTGCGAGCTTTGCAGGATCTCGATTTCGTTAAGGTCGCCAGTGTTCTGAAGTCACTGGGCGACGCCGCTGCGGCTGCGAATGTTTCACTCAATGGCCCACTAGTATATCCTCCGCCCCCATTGCTAGCGCCTCCGCCCGTGAAAAATACGCCTGCACGTTCGGACGCAATTCTTGGGCGGCCGCCGAAGCAGAAGTCAGCGCCGCCTGTTCCTAAAAACATTCCACTTCCTGCTCCGGTGGAAGTGGATAATCCGGAACATGCGCATATGCTCTCCCATGTGTGGATGAATGCTAGTAAGTTGGCCGAGATGGTGAAGAACGAGGGTAGGGACGATTGTGCGGATGTGATTATTTAGCCTCTGACGTGTCGTGGTCTGATCACAGGCCTCGTCTATAAGAAGGGGAAATTCTCCGCTATCGAAGAGGCACAACTTACGGCTGCCATTGAGAATTACCGTGTCGTGAGTCCTCAATCACGCAGTAGAGCCGATATTATTGACCTACACTCGGAATAGAACAAGGGATTAACCACTGGCCAGCTGACTGGTGTGATATTCTCCAAGGAGAAGGGCCGCGATGAGTTCTGGACAGAAATCAGCGAGTTGTATTGTCTTCGTCCTATCTAACGCGTACTCATTCTTCTCCTCCATCAGCATCTTCATTGCATTTACGCCCGATAATTGCAGTCTATCACCATGTTCGCAGGACGTACCACCCGATGAAACAGCAGGGGAAATGGATGCCACAAGAGGATGTTGCACTCGTTGAGTAAGAACATCGGATTTGTCTTTGTGTGCATTGCTAATGTGTTGTGTCAGTGCCGTTCGTGAGCTTGGCCAGCAATGGGAGAAAGTCAGCGCCAGGGTTGGTCGAATGTCTTCGGACTGTCGGGACAGGTATCGCAATCACCTTGAGAACCGCGAGCTTCGCCAGACAGGCAATTCATCGTGCTTGTTGTTGAAGCCTCGACATTGACGTAACTTCACTGTGTGCAGGTGCTTGGACGAAGGAGGAGGAAGAAGATCTCACTCGAATTGTCACTGAGATGACGATCGAACAAGGCAAGGACATGGATAACGATATATTCTGGGGAGTGGTTAGCCAGCGCATGGGCGGAAGACGCGGTAGACAACAGTGCAGAATCAAGTGGTATGTTTGACGATTAGCAAGAATATGTAGCGTGCTAAATTTTCCCTATAGGACTGATTCACTGTCACTGCAAATTAAAAATATGGGCGAAAAGCCTCGGTGGAGTCAAATGGACGCCTATATTTTGGTCCACAAGTGCGAGACTGTCTGGCTTATCTCGTCTAAATCCCGGTGGCACTAATACGTTGTTTTCAGGGTTGACTCCATGAACGTACGAGACGACAGTGAGATTGACTGGAAGCAGCTTCCCGACGAGCACTGGAACGTCTGGAGTGCCCACGCACTTCAGAGACGCTGGGTTACTCTGAAAAGGAGCATTAAAGGCCATGAGGAAATGACCCACGCAGGTCAGAACATCGCAGCGGGCCCTGGTCGAGCCATTGCTAATGCCTGATCACACACTCAGAAATAATGGAGATCTTGAAGACGAAGAAAGCGCAGTCGCCTCCGCCGCCGACTTCCAAAAGGAAAACTACGAGTGCTGCGGCCGTCATCGATGGCGATGAGTCAGATGGGATTGTCGCTGATGTTGCACAGCTTCAAGCTGGATCGAGTACTGGGCCTGGTACTGTTGCGGGGGCTGTGGGGGTATGATCAGTGAGTGGATGGGTAGTCACGCTGAGTAAACTAGACGTGTTTAGAGGCATGGCGCGTTGCACACTTCGTACGCTGCGTGTTATTGAAGTCTGATGGTCGTTATCTGTAGGCTCTCAAGTACCCGCTCTTCTGTGCGAATTCGTCAAAGCTTGTTCGCGTGCGTCCGAGCACAATACATATGTGCAGCACAGCCTTCCGGAGAACAATGGAAACGCGCGCACGTGATCGTTTGTGTCGCGTCCTGATAAACAAGAGCAAACAAGCAGTTGGTTGAGATTTCCGCCGTCATCGGAACGGCGACTTTGAGCTGTGGCCCGAGCCTCAATCTCCCGCTCTAGTGCGCCGCTTCGCAGCGAGAACAACAACCGCGACGGCGACATATCTCGCCTCCATTCGTCAGGCATTAGTCCCAGTCATACGTCGTTCTTCTCCTGGTCCCGATTGCTATCTATTGTTCTCTACGCGATCATATGGCCCTCAGCCACTCCCCGCGCAAGATCGTACCTCTTGCCACTGGCGACGAGTTGCCGACTCGGATTAGGACTGGATCGTTAGGACCTTCTGTCACAAAACGCGTATTCTTCTGCGGAGTGGTGGTGGAGAACGCGGAGAATGGCGAAGTAATTCCGCCAGGTATGTGCCGCGGTATATCATTATCCAGACCCTGTTTTGGTGGGGTGTCCGCAATGAGCTTGGAACCTGTTCTGTTGCTTACCTTGCAACGTGAGCGGTTGACGTCCCCCTAGCAGTGTCCAGGTGCATACAACCTATCCGATCCCAGCCCTCTGCATGCATCGGGTCGAGTTGGAAGGTTTATATAGCAGCGGGCATTGCACAAGGGAGGCATGTTTACACGGACAGCGATATGGATGTTGGGAGTGCCTTAGTATCGGTTCTGACATGTATAATATGCAGACGTACAAGACTTCATCGCATCTCTTGGAGACCCTCTCGATCTTGAGCCAGAGTCAGATAATTTGCAATCTTCATCTGAGACAAATACTGGTCCGACACCACCAGTAAGTTAGTGTACTGGCTTCGCAATCTGTTTCATTGCTCAGTTGGACCTCATAGGGCACCCGCAGGCGGGCGATGACTAACTTGTCTGCGCTCGCAGACATAATCAAGGAACTTGTCGTCACTGAGCGTTCTTATGTCAACCGTCTGAAGACTCTCAAACAAGACTATGCTGACCCTCTCCGAACATTTGCCAGGAGTAAAGACACAGCAATCCTTCCCCCTTATGAGGCGAAGACTCTATTCGGAAATATTGATAACTTACTCCCTGTTAACGAGGCGTTTCTTAAAGACTTGGAGAGCATGGAGCGACTGAACGGACCAGGTATCGGAGATGTTGCCCTTCGCCACTTCAAGGAACTGAGGGGGTTCGAACATTATAAGCAATACTACTCTAAGAGAGAAGAAGCGCAAGCGATCTTTGAAAGGGAGATGAAGAAATCATCTGGCTTTCCAGCTTTTGTCGACGTATGTGCCTTGAAATCTCAGGTTGGATCTCTCTTCTCATGTGCAGGAACAGCGCATCAAATACTCCTCGGCAGACACCAAGAACCGTGTAGGTCTGCGCGAATTGCTGATGGAACCTGTGCAGCGGATCCCGCGGTATACACTTATGTTTCGCATGATGGTGAAACATATGGCCCCAGGGGACCCTCAGCGCGCCTTACTCGTAGAGGCAGACGAGATTGCAAGCCGCATTGCACTCGCAGAGACGGACGAGCAAACAAGACGTGCTACGATAATGTACTCCCTCAGCGCGAGTATCGAGGACTTCCCGCCTGCATTAGTCTCGCATGGCCGACGCTTCGTCGACTGCATCGATGTCGAAGATGTAATCTCCGACATTGGCTCCTCTTCGTTGGGCTCAGTGCAGGCATCCGGGAATCTCCATTGTAGTTTGTTTCTTTTCGATGACAAAGTGATGATCGTGAAGAGACCAGGCGACAAAGGGGGACGTTCGCTTACCGGCCTGGAGAGTCTGGGCAAGCTGGCAAAGACACCCTCGCTCCCCGTACCAAGGAAGAAGAGTGGGTTGTCTTACAAGGGCGTCGTAGACATTACCGAAGTCGTCGCTACGGATGTTGGCGGGTCCGGTATGTAAGACGGGGGACTGCTTGAGGTATCACGGACTGATACATGCCTGTAGATTTCCATATGTATTTGGAAACTCCTCCACAGGATCAGACAGACCGCTGGTATGGTCGACCCTTTCGCTCATTCTCTGTTGTCCAGCCACCTGCCGCGATCAATCTTAATCCCTCACGCACGGAGGCGGATAAGAAACGGTTCTTGGAGAACCTATGGGAAGTCCAGGCGAAGTACCGCACGAAACGCAACCAGTCTGTGGTATTAGTAGCTGAAGAGAGGGAAGTGGAGAACCGTGGAGGGAAGAGTACGTTGGCTCGGACATATTTCAACATCTATCAGAGAACCCCATTTCTGCAGGAAGTCAAGAAGGTGAAAATGCTGCCTGCCACTGATTTCGTGCGTACTAACCTGTTGTGCTGTAGACGAAGGTCGTTCTCCAGATAGATGCCCTAGGTTCTGCAGACCCGATCCCATTCGGGATGCAAGGACCTCCATTCGTAGTGGTGAGAGTGCAGCCGATACCTGGCGACTTGTCACGCTATAAAGTAACTTCGAGCGACCCCAACGATGAGGACGAGGAAGATATTGTACAGACTGGTCGTGTCCCGGAAAGAATAGTGCAGACCAGTGAGTGTACTCAGTACTTCATAGCATGGGATATCTGACTTGGTGTAGTCCATCAGTTCGGCCTCTTCAAGTTCCGCACAGGGAAGAGTTCGATGCCATCCACACCTACCGCGAGCACTCGTTCCCGGGCGGCCATATTTGGGCTTGATGCTATCTCTCGTAATCTGTTCAATGGTCGACCAGGCTCATCTCGGGGTGACATATTCAGTGGTTCCACGAGCAGCCACAGACGTTCAAAGACTACTGGGACTAGCGGGTCGTCGATCTATACGCAAGCGACCTCTACTGCTACTGGCGACAGCACATTCAGCCGCTTTTCTAGAGCCTCGTCTTCGACCGCCGCGACGAGTGTGATGGATGATCAATCTATGGCTGGCAGTAGTAGATCACGATCAATATCTCGATCTAAGAAGCTCATCAAGAGGAAATCACCAATGGGTTCCGAAAGCGAACCGGAGTCCTCGCCTACTCATGGGCGTTCAAGGTCTGACTCGTCGGTGTCTCCCTTGAGGGAAAGGGAGCAGCAGGTCCTCAGTGACAGGGATTACGGCGGCGGCGTCTTTCACATGGATGATTCCGAGCAGGATCTCGCATACCAGTTGGCCTTGGCCAGGCGCAATAGTGAGAATCAGAGTGAGCAATATGCTCCCGCTTTTGAAGATGAGCGCATAGAAGAAACCTTCTATGAAGGTGCGCCTGATTGTACCACCTGACTGAGGTTACTCAGACCGTCCCGCAGATGTCCCGCCAGATCCTATGCTCCCTGCCCCGAGGCGCTCGAGAGAGTTGCCGGATATTCCGCAAGATGCACAGAGCCAACGGTCATCGACTCCAAGACCAGGATCAATTACGCCCACGCGAGTAATTACTCCCGATTTCACTACAAGCAGAAGTCGTTCGATCTCCCACTCTCCCGAGCGCCATCCGAGAGGCCCACGCACGCCGTCGCCTTTGCCGCCGGGGCTGGATGACGCATTCGAGGAAACGTTGGTCAACATGTCGCAGGTACCAATAACACCCATCCCGCGTAGCAAACGTCAACCCTTCGACCCCACGGGTAACAACACGAATGCCATTCCGAAGGCTGCGAGCGGCGAAAGTTCAAGGCCACCCAGCATTGTTGAGCCTTTATCTATCAAGAAAAAGGCGTCTGTTCGAACAAATGCAAGTGGTTCGCCTTCGAAGAAGTCGAACAGCATAGTGCGCAGTTCGCCTTTGAAAGCGGGGCACCTCGCTTCTCCCCGCCGCTCATCAGGCCGGAATTGGCGAGTACACACACCACATCCACCTAAGCTACCGTCGACGGTTGTTGACGAGGAGCCTCCTCGTCTACTCCGATTCACCGAGACAACGAAGGAAGATGTGGGTTATATGAATTGTCATGTGTGTCTCGGAATCCTGACGCTGTGTTCCAGTTGGAATCATGTCGCCGCGCTCTCAAACGAATAAAACTTGAAACAGACAAGTTGCGCTCCTCGACGCCTACGCCTGCACCCCGAGAAGAGATTAGCCGTCCATCCTCTCCCCTCAAGGCTCTCCGTACTCCGCCGTGGGACTCTCCGTCGTCTATGGTGCGGTGTCCCTAGTGGTATATGTCTTTGGGCTCACTTTCTCGTAGACTAAGGAAGCACAGGCTCGCATGGAAGAGATGGCGAAGCTTATTGGGAAGCGGACTGAGGTCACTGGACGCCTTCGGAGTCAAAGTGTTATCGGAAACTCTACACTGCCTAAATCTCCGGAGAATACACATATTGATATTGCCCGCGCCATTGATGAATTCGCTTCCGAAGCGGACCGCGATTTGGCTAAGGCCCTGGAAACTCAGGCATCCATTCATTCCGACGTCCACGCAGTGGCTAGTCTGCTCACTGAGGTTCGTAAAGTCTCCCTCTCGGAAGAATTACTGTGATAATCATCACATTACATCCTCCATTAGAGATCATCTGAACTGGAGTTGACGAAGGCCGAACTTCGCAGCACCAAGCGTCAATATGAATTGATCAAAAGTCTCCTCGCTGACTGCACTACTGAGAAAGAGCTTCTGTTCGAGGTAGGAGTTATGCGCAATGTTAGATACCTCTGCTGATCTGCTATGAAGGCGTTCAATGAAGAACTGGATGGGATGTTCAATGATGCGAATCTTCCTGAGGATGAAGCTTGGGCAGCTATGACCAGGGATCTACAGCAAGCCAAGCAGGCTAGGAATACGTATTGGAAAGAGAATTCGTGAGGCCACCATCCTATAATATACTGTTGTTGCTAATCACTTGAGCAGGGATCTGAAGAGGCGACAAGCAGAAGTGGAGATACAGCATGATGAGTAAGTACACTATGTCTGTCCCGGGAGGTTGGGCTGACAACCGCTACAGATGGGGCGCTCTTCTACGAGCTCATGGGCTGATACCTCCTTGATGTTTAAATTTATGCAATGTATTATGCTCGATCTAGTCGTTATGCTTTCGAACCACTGTACTCTTGGACCATGTACTCATTCCGATAAGCTCATCTGTACACCTCTTGCTTGTCATTGAATTTTCTATATTTGCCTTCACGTAGAAGGATTCCACCTGTGTATGATCTAGCGAAGCGGTGAGTAGAAAGGTGTTGTAAGATCTCGATCTGAAAGTTCGCGCACCCGCGGCAAGCGCCTTTGTTTGAACCTGCCCAGCGCTCAATCATCTCAGTCCCTCGCGTTTGCATGCTCTCTGGCTGACAACATCTGTGCTCTGTGTTTCTACATTCAATCACGCTGCTAAGCTTCTAAGCTACAACCATGTCCAAGCGAGGAGCAACTCCACCACCCGAAGGCATTCTCGTCAAACGAGCGCGCTCGTCTTCACCACAACAGGCCGCGAACCAAATAGCGATCTCGTCTTCCAATGACGAGCGACAGCAGGCTCTCATTAGGACAGTAAAGCGCACGAGCGGTCTTGAAGCACCTATCATCAGTCTGGCAGGCTCTCATGGGGTGCGTCTCGTCCCGGCGTACGCTGCCACCTGAAGTACAATCGTTGACACTAATCTTCAGGCAGAAATCTTGAGTTGTAGGTTCGATCCTAGTGGGCAAAATATTGCTGCGTGCTCGGCCGACAGGAGTGTCTGTGAGTCCGTCCACACTTGCGTCTATTGTGGTAGAGCTAAACGTGTCCCTTTCTCAGCACTATGGCGAACGTATTCTCCTAACGCCAATTACGGCCTACTATCGAATATGCATAAGGCCCCGATTTTGGACTTACAATGGTCGCTCTTCTCCCCACTTCTATACACGGTGTCTGCCGACCACACCCTTCATGTTACCGACCTCACGTCTGGGCAGCGTGTGCGGAAACTGCAGGCACACCGCGGTATCATCAATTCGCTGGACAGGACTATGGCAGGCGGTGCAGGGGTCGAGCTGGTGGTAACGGGTGCGGATGACGGCACGGTCAGGGTCTGGGAGGGCGGGGATGAGGGCGCCAAGCAGCCCATCAGCGTGTTCGAGATCGGATGCCCCGTCACCTCCGTGTGTTGGAGCGCCGATGGTGCTAACATCTATGCCGGTGCGCTAGATAACGAGATTCACGTCAGTACAGCCGTTCTCGCGTCTCTTCCGCATTTTTCTCATGTTCGCTGTTTACGCAGGTTCTCGACCTCCGAAAAAACGAGCAGGTGTACAGCCTGGCGGGGCACACGGACACGCCGACGTCGCTCTCCCTATCGCCGAACGGCAACTTCCTGCTCTCGCCGTCGTTCTCGTCGCAAACCATCATCCACGATGTGCGGCCGTTCTCACCGTCTCCCGCACGGATACACCGCGTTCTCATGGGCGCTCCTGCTGGGTTTGAGAGCACCTTGCTGAAGGGCGCGTGGAGCCGTGACGATGGTGGGCGCCGGGTCGCCGTCGGCGGTGCTGACAGGACGGTGTGCATCTGGGACGTAGAGAGTGGGCGAGTATTGTACAAGGCACGTCCTAGTTTTCCCCGTCTTCCGGTTCCTTTCTCTCGCTTGACGCAAATTCCGGTAGTTACCCGGCCACAAAGGCACAGTAACAGCAGTGGACTTCCATCCTAAGGAGCCAATCAGTACGCGTCTATTTTTTTGCGCGTTGTGCTCGGATCTGACCCATTGGAACAGTTTTGACGGGGAGCAAGGACGGGACGATGTTGCTGGGAGAGATAGAGCCCAGTTTGGCACTGTAAAAGCCTGCGACTACATAACAGTGACTTTTCTGAGCTTACCAGTCTTCGCGGTCGATTGGGCCAAGAATCATGAGCTTTGCACGTCTGTCTAGGGCGGCCGACCCAGGTGAAGGTGCACGATCAGCCATTTGCTGGTTTTGCGAGCTGGAGAGCAAAAAATACATTGTACAACATCTACATGCGACGGAGATGCATTTAAGACACGATAGATCCACGGGAAGATGACAGCACGAAAGCGCAATTACAGCAAAAGTGAACAGATGCGGCATTTACTGCTCGGTGTGGAAACTGGGCAGCACGCTGACGAGCTGCTCCATGTACCAGTATGGCGTAGGCTGCCCAGCCTCACCCCATCCGCCCTTCTTGTTCTTCTCATCTGCTTCACTGGCGTCAGGTGCAGCGGTAAGGTCTTGGCGAGCAAGCTGTACCCAGGTCGCGCCGAGGCCCATACCAACGACCATCTTGTCGGCGATGGAGGGGTCAATGAGAACGGTGATCTGTTCCTTGGAGGGGTTATGCACCGCGCTGGCGCTGTTGCCCGCGGTCTCAGCGGTCTCGCTCACCACCGCACCCCTCGAGTCAGGCAAGATGATCGGCTCAGTGATTTCCGAATTCTTGTGGAGCTCGTGCCCCGACCACGGCTCGAGCACCATCCTGGCGAGGCGCCGCGTGAGCTCCTCCTCTATGAGCTCCGCCGCACTGCGGCCCTTCTTTTTCTTCGCTTTGGTCTTCTCCGGGGCTGTGACACGCACGATGCGCCGCGTCGCGCGCTCGATGATGCCCGTGGTATGCGTGAGCGGGAAGAGCGTGGGCCCGAAAAAGGCCATGATCTGGTTCGGCTGAGGGCCGATGTCCCAAGTGTCCGCCGTGGGCGGGGCAAAGTTGTACGCGCCCTCGCCCTCGCCGGTGCCGCCCCACGGCTCTGTGTCGGCCGCGCCCCACGCGTCGTCGGCGGGGGCGCCCCAGCCGGCGTTGTCAGCTGCAGCGTCCGCGTTCTCTACGCTCTCCTTCTCCTTCTTTCTGTTTTCGCTTTCGATTTCCTGCGCGATGTTCATGACGACGTCCGGGGTGAGGACCTCGATATCAGCCCCGCCCGCAGCCTCCCTCAGCACGCGCTCGTCCTCCGTCTCCTCCTGCGTCCCGTCGAGCTTACGGCGCTTCGCGTCGGGCTCGTCGCCCTGGGTCTGCTTCGCGTCGTCCTCGGCGATATTCGCCCAGTTGAGGCGCGCGGTCATGCTGCCCCAGAGCGCGCGGCAGCCGTCGCTGAACTTGTCCGGGAGCGCGCGCGCGACGGTGAACGTCGCGGGGAGCTCCGTGCGCGCCTGCTCGACGACGACGAGCCCGCGGCGCAGGCCGCGCTCGTGCTCCGGCTCCGGGAGCACGCGGTTGCGCAGGAGGAAGTTGAGGAAGAAGCCCACGAGGATTGGCCCGTCGCGCGTGCGCTGCTCCGACCTGTCAAAAGAAAAGGGCAAGAAAGAAAGGGAGAAAAGGGCACCGTGCCAAATCAGCTCGACTCAGTTCTGCAAAATGCAAGAGGGGCGGGGCGCACCACATGAGGCCCTTGTCGCGGAAGTACGCGGAGAAGAAGACGCGGATGTCGCGCTCGGTGTCGTTGAAGAACGCGTCCATGCGCTGGTCCTTGGCCTCGCGGAAGTACTCGCGGCGCGCCTGGCGCTCTTCCGTGTCCAGCGGGCGGCGGTCCGCGAAGCGCTGCTCCTGCACAGAGCGCGCCTGGTCCTCGTCGATCAGCGCGACGCGGCGCTCGCGCGGCGGCGGCTTCGCGCCATCCTCCGCATCGTCGTCGTCCTCCGAGTCCGCCTCTGCCTCTGCGTCCGCGACGGCCGCGTGGAACATCGCGGCGCGCTTGCGCGACATGGGCGGCTGGATGTTGCTGATGATCCCGATGTACAGGCGGAACTGCGGGGGCGGGAGACGATCAGTCGGCGGGCGCACGGTATAGAGAACGTGAGCACGCACGGCGTCCCAGAGCTGCTGGACGCCCGAGGGGAGCGGGGGCCACGTGCGGCCGGCTTTGAAGTCCTGCGAAGCTTGGTGCAGCCGGTCGACGCGCGAGAGCGAGCTGCAGCGCCACACGTTCAGTTCCGCGTGCACACAGACGCGGGAGAGAGAGAGGACGCACGGATCGATGGGGGTGGTCGTGCGGCGCTGGTGCTCGACGACGGCCCACTCCTCGTACCACACGGGGCGGCGCCCGCCGGCGTCGACGAGCGGGGCGCGCGGGCGGCGGCGCCTGCGCTGCTCGGCCTCGGTGAGCTCGTGCTTGACGCGGAGCTCGAGGGTGGGCACGCCGAGGCCGTCGTGCTCGACGTCGTCCGGGCGCGGATCGAGGTTGATCTCGATGCCGGACGGCTTGAAGGCCTTGAAGGGCGTGATGGACACGCCCGGCGGGGGCGCAGGGAACGGCGGGAAGATGAGGTACGGCCGCGAGAGCGCGTCGGCGTTGCCCAGAGCGTGTGGCGCGCCGTTTGGAGCGTTGGTGACGGTTACGTCGATGGGTGTAGACATTGATGGTGCCGTGGATGGTGGTCGATCTGTTAGTTTGGAAGAGAACAAAGGAGGATTAGAGATGCGAGGTGTCTATAAAGGTGGCTTCTCGAGCGGCGTGCCCTCCCAACACGGCTAATTCAACACGCCAGCTTTAAGCGCACCGCGAACGTTGCCATCCACCAGCCCAGGCTAGCCATGTCATGAACCGAGATGATGATGATGAAATCCGTGTATTTACACTGCAAGTAGGCGAGCAAGTGCGCCGAGGAACAGTCACAAACGTATCCTAAAATACGCACTGGTAAAGGGTCTGTCTACGAAGGATGTGGTCTGTGCTGCCATGAAGCAGCGGTGTCTTAAGAGTATTGCGTTGGTCGATGGTGGGGAGATTGTAATGTCAAAGGGATGAACCGAGACGTTGAGAAGCAAGTACACGTACGACACGATCGAGTAAGCGGACAAGCGCGCTCGTTAGTGATAGAATAAATACGGTCAGTCTACGTAGTGCTACAACCGTCAATCCGACCAGTGCCCGTGCAGAGACCAATATGTGCATAGGTATCAATGTATATATAGCTAAAATCCTGCACCGGCACAGAAGAGTGAGCGTCCGCAAAGGCGAAACGACGAAAGCGACATACGAAATGTATCCATCATGCGGGTGGCAATTCTTGAAGACAGTTTTGGGGCACGACAGACCAGCGTTGGCGCGATACAGATTCAGCGGGTGGCGTTCACGAAGCGACCTTGCGCTTCTTCTTCGGCTGGTCGTCCTCCGCCAGCCCGTCCGCATCGACCTCCACCGCCTTCGTCTTCCGCACTCGCGAATTAGCCTTCGCGCCACGCAGCCCGCTCTCCGCCGCCACCTTCACGGGATTCTTCGTAGACCCAGAGACGCGGGTGCGACTGATGGAGCGCGTCCGCGGCCCAGCGCGCGAGATGGACTCGGGCTGGTTCGCGTCTCCGAGCTCGGCGTCAGAGTCCTCAATGTACTCTTTGCTCTTCGGCTGGCGGCCCCGCCGCTTCGTCGGGGGGGCTGACACCGCGTCGTCGGTCTCGGCGACGTCCGTGTCCTGGGAGCCAGCCTTGGCCTTGGGCGGTCTTCCGCGGCGTTTAGCCGGCGGTGCAGAGGCAGACGTGGTCTTTGCCTTGCTGCGATTGACCTTGCGGACGCTCCCCGCCTGACTGGCGCTTTCCTCGTCGACCTGGACCATGTCTACGACCGGCGGCTGCTGCTGCTCCGGCTTCGAGTCCTTTTTCTTTTCTTTAATCTTGCTCTTGCCCTTGCCCACGATCTCTTCAACGCCGCTGTCCGCCTCGCCCTCGCTCGCGTCTTCGTCCGAGTCGGGCTCCACCAGGTTCGGGTTCCTCGCGCGTTTACGCGCCGACGTGCGGGGCAGCTGGTTGCGGATGCCATGGCAGTGGAGGCGGAGGCACGAAACGAGCTTGTCGTTATACGGCGTAGAGTCCGCGCGGAAACGGGCGCGCTTCGCGTCTGTCTGCACGTTCACTAAGCACGGCGCGCAGAGAGGCGTAAAGTAAAACGCAGCAGCGTACCGTGTGTTTCCCCTCGTAGCACCAGCCGTCGGGGGGGCCCTGGTCGCCGTCGCCCTCGACGGTCTTGCCGCAGCAGCCCCAGAGGGTCTCGTAGGTGGAGCCGGGGTCGCCTGCGGGCCTGCGGTCGCGGTTGGCGGTGCGGCCGACGCGCTCGACCTCGGCGCTCTCGTCGTCGTGGGCGACGAGGCAGCTGCGGTCGTCGTTTTCGACGTCGACGTAGTCCTTGTGGCAGCGGACGCAGTGGAGGCGCGGGGGCGGGGCGAGGTGGGCGAAGAAGGCGTGGAGGACGGGGAGTGCGGGGCCGGGGGCGGCGGGGAGGCGGGCGAGGACGTAGGCGTGCAGGGTCTTGGCGGGGATTGACGCGATGAGGGCTGAGAGGGACTCTGCGGTGGGCTCTGGCTCTGGCGCGGGTGGGGGTGCGGGTGGGGGCATGGCTTCAGCGGTGCGCGCGGGCCGGACGGGGGAGAACTGACGAGAGTCGTCGCGAGAGACGCGAGCAGAGGGCGAGCGAGAGAGCGGCGGGCCGTGCGCAGAGTCTGCCGAGGGAGAAGGCGTGCGCAGTTGGACTGGCCCGTCGCGCTGGCTCGACGCAGAACGCGGCAGCGGGATCGTCTCGGGCCTCACAAAGCCCGCTTTCTTCAAGAAACCAAAGACCATCGTCGTGCAGGATGAGAGGGGGTGTCGCAGGAGGAGAGAGAGAGGTGTCGCGGAGAGAAGTTGTTGCAGGGAGAGGGAGAGAATGAGTCGCAGGTCGCGCGGTGAACACGTGTTCCAGCTCGTGGGAATCGACGCAGACGCGTGGGTCACACCGTCACGCTCGCCCTCCGTGCACCCCTCGCGACCCAGGATACCGCTTCCCTGACGCGTCCAGTGCGCGTTCCCCCATCGCACATGCTTCTATCAGCCTATCGACCTCCCAAAAGATAAGTCGCAGCCTTTATATCCCATCATACGACATGCCGGCCCTTTCTGCCCGTCGAGCAAGTTCTTCCAGCTGCCATGTCCCAGCGCCCTTCAGTCGACGAAGACGCGAAGATCGTAGATGCTGCCAAGGGTTTGTCTCTTGACGCGGAAGTTAACGCGGTTGTGATCGCGCCGCTGAAAAGGGAGGAACCGCTGGTGACTAGAAAGGTACGAGACGTCCCCGGAAACAGTCTACGAATGCGATATGAACCTACGTGTGATAGGAACTCTGGAGCTATTACTGTACGTGCTCCCCTAACAATGCTGGCAGGTGCTCATCGACTACCAAGTGTACTACAACGGAGACAATGTGCGTGAATCTGACCCCTTCCAGAGTAATCTCGCGCTCATCCTTTATTGCAGGGCGTCGGTCCGCTCGGTATGCGACCTCCTGCCCCAAGTCAAGTATAAAATGCTCATCTCGCAACAGGCTACTCCATGACCCTCTTCCAGTCTCTCGCAACTTCCGCGGGCTACGACCCTGTCAATGGCCCCGGCTCGTCCTGCACCGCACCAGATGCCTCCGGCCGATGCGTCCTCCCCTGGGGCAGCGGCACCAAGTCCGTCAGCTCCGTCGTCCTCGTCGCCAACGGCGTCAGCTTCGCCGTGCGTCTGCGCCCTCCATTATTTTTCACCCGCAGCCCTGAACCGTCACCACACAGGTCATGACTGCGATATTCACGACGATCGGGTCTGCGGCGGACTACGGCACATTCGGGCGGTGGCTCCTCTTCGTGGTCACCGTCATCTGCTGGGCCGCCCAGTTCGCCAGCATGGCGCTCACATGTGCGTCACCTTCCCCCACCCTTCTACTCATCGTCTCCTCGGTGCTGACTGCTCGTGTTCAATTGCACAGCACCGTCCCGGTGGGGCGCAGCGATGGCGCTGTACGTGGTCGGCTTCGTCACGTATGGCGCAACCCTCGTCTTCTACGCCGCGGTCTTCCCTCGGCTCGCGCGCAACACGCCGCACTCGCGTGCACTGCGCGAGCGCTACGAGACAGGTGAGATCCCCGCAGCCGAGTACGAGGTCGAGGAGAGTCTCGAGAAGAACAGGATTAGTAACATCAGCACCGTGCGTGTCCCTCCGCGCCCATTTTCTCCCGACGATGCTAACGACGGATGCATTGGATGCGCAGATGCACAGCAATGTAGGGTATATTGTCACCCTCGCGCTCAACCTGTCGCTCCTGCTCCCACAGGCGAACAACCCGAAGGTGGACAATTACGTACTCGTTCTGTGGGTGCTTCCCATCCACGAGACTTGAGTATAATCTGACCACACTTCACAGGACGAATGCGTACTGGGTTATTACAGGCATCTGGTGGTGTAAGCCCCTCCTCCTGCACTTCCTGTGAGTATCAGATACTGAAACGCCGCTAGTCATCTTCCAAGAGCCCCGGCCAGGCCCGTCGCTGCCGAAGGGTGAGCACTACCTCACGGTAGGGTGGAAGCAAGTACGTCGGTCTCGATATCCTACTATTGTGAACCCCGCCTCATGCGGTGTTCTTCCCGCGCTAGATCTGGGTGGCGGTCCGGCAATACAAGAAGCTGCCGCACACATTCGTGTACCTCGTCGCGTACTTCCTGCTCGCTGACGTGCGTTTCCCCTTTGCCTGTTTCTGCGCTTGTGGAGTTCAGCTTACGCGCCGCGCCTGCCGTGGATATCGCAGGGTCTGAACACGACGGGCACGCTCGTGTCGATATGCCAGAACGACAAGTTCCAGTTCTCGTTCCTGTACAACACGTACCTAGGGCTCTCGCAGGCCGTCACGTCCACCATCAGGTGCGTGCAGATATTATGCTTAATAGTTGGTGGTTGACTCGGGATGCAGCACGCTCGGGTTCTGGTACATCCAGAAGTACTGGAAAATCAGCACGAAGAAGATGGTGCGTGCGTGTGCGTGGCGGTCGCGCGCGTCCTGAAGATGACGCCCCTCGGCAGTTTGTCGTCACCAATGTGGTGACGATCTTGATCCCGCTCTGGGGCATGATCGGGATCTGGACGACGCGGTTTGGGTGCGCGTTTTCTTCCTCGTGATCTCCCCCTTCCGTGTCTGACCGCGAGCGGTCACATTCGCAGGTTCCACAATGTCTGGGAGTTCTGGTGCGTGCCCAGTATGCCTGCGTGCAAGGCTGCTCACGGACAGCTCCCGATAATGACAGGGCGTACAACGTTGTCTTCGGCCTCTTCCAGGCGCCGTACTACGCGTTTTCGCAGACGATGATGGCGGAGCTCACCCCGCCCGGGTTCGACAACATGGTGCGCCCCTCTCCACTGCGTGCACGTGCACCCTACGATACTGATCTACGGCGGGCAGTTCTTCGGGCTGTTCGGGTTGTCGAACCGCGCGTCGTCGATGATTGGCCCGAACGTGGTCCAGGCCATCATCGACGACACGGGCGACAACTGGAAGGGCTTCCCGTTCCTCTTCGCGCTGTGCGCCGCCGCGAGCCTTGTCATCTGGTTCGGTGTGTCTCCCGTTACATCTCTCGGCCTGCTGTTCCAGGTTTTTTTGTGTGCGAGCGCTGACAATGGGCATTTTTTGGTCTGTAGGGGTAGATGTGACGAGGGGACGGCACGATGCGGTCGCGTGGGCGGGGCGGCATCGCTCGTATGCGGACACGGGCGTGCTCAGGGCGGACGATGACTCCGTCGACGAGCAGTCGGAGAACACGAAGAGGGCGTGAAGCCGTGTTTCTGCCCTTCGTTCAGTCCTTTTGTTGGCGCCGCCGAGGGTCGGCGTCAGGTGTCAGATGACGGTGGGTGTCGACGTCTTCGGTGTGGCTTCGGTTCGGTATGTCTGTCAGATTAGCGTTGTATCGGTATCACTGGGTCTATATCTGCTGCGGCTTCGCGCTCTAACGCCATGCTCGTTCGGGTTGTGTGTTGGTCGTTACAGTCTGCAGGTGCGTTTGGTTTGTTCTTGGTGTGCGTCCTTTGTGCTCGGTGTGCGAATGCGGCGAAGGGGTTGTCGTACTGAGATCCCCCAAGCGGCAGCGCGCTTCGGGGCAACCCCATGATTGCACACAATTGCACGGACTTCCCACCCAGGCGGGCCCGCGACACGCAACAGCAGAAGCACACGAACCTTGTCCAACTGACAGAACGCAAGTCCTACATCGAAGACACGATAACCTGACCATATGCCTATGCATGTAAGCAGCAGCGGCTCGGAAATGGAGTGGATATCTACCTCCCAGAAGATAAGTCGCAGCCTTTATATTCCCATCGCACGACATGCCCGTGCTTTCTGCCCATCGAGCAAGCTTTTCCAGACGCCATGTCCCAGCATCCTTCGGTCGACGAAGACGCGGAGATCGTGGATGCTGCTCCTGCGGAGAAGGGCTCGTCACAAGTCGACACGATCGTCGTCGCGCCGCTGAGAAGGGAGGAACCGCTGGTCACCAGGAAGGTACGAGACTTCGCCAGAAAACCGTCTATGGATGCGATATGACCGTCTCTTCTGTGATAGGAACTCTGGAGTTACTACAGTACGTGCTCCCCTTAAAGCGCTCTCGCACGTACTCATCGACTACCAAGTGTATTACAACGGAGATAACGTGCGTGAATCTGACTCCATCCAGTGTGATCTCGCGCTTATTTGTTACTGCAGGGCGTCGGTCCGCTCAGTATGTGACCTCCTGCCTCCAGTCGAGTCGAAAACCCGTTAATGCTCATGTCACAACAGGTTCTTCCATGACCCTCTTCCAGTCTCTCGCAACCTCCGCCGGCTACGACCCTGTCAATGGCCCCGGCTCATCCTGCACTGCACCAGATGCCTCCGGCCGATGTGTCCTCCCCTGGGGCAGCGGCACCAAGTCCGTCAGCTCCGTCGTCCTCGTCGCCAACGGCGTCAGCTTCGCCGTGCGTCTGTGCCTTCCATTATAGTCACCCGCAGCCCTGAACCGTCACCGCACAGGTCATGACTGCGATATTCACAACGATCGGGTCCGCCGCGGACTACGGCACGTTCGGGCGGTGGCTCCTCTTCGTGGTCACTGTCATCTGCTGGGCCGCGCAGTTCGCCAGCATGGCGCTCACATGTGCGTCCTCTTCATTGCCTTCCATTTCCGCTTCTCCCGTGCCCTTCTACTCATCGTCCCCTCCGCGCTGACTGCTCGCGTTTGATTGCATAGCACCGTCCCGGTGGGGCGCAGCGATGGCGCTTTACATTGTTGGCTTCGTCACGTACGGTGCAACCCTCGTCTTTTATGCCGCTGTCTTCCCGCGGCTTGCGCGCAACACGCCACACTCGCGCGCACTGCGCGAGCGCTACGAGACAGGTGAGATCCCCGCAGCCGAGTACGAGGTCGAGGAGAGTCTCGAGAAGAACAGGATTAGTAACATCAGCACCGTGCGTGTCCCTCCGCGCCCATTTTCTCCCGACGATGCTAACGACGGATGCATTGGATGCGCAGATGCACAGCAATGTAGGGTATATTGTCACCCTCGCGCTCAACCTGTCGCTCCTGCTCCCACAGGCGAACAACCCGAAGGTGGACAATTACGTACTCGTTCTGTGGGTGCTTCCCATCCCCGAGACTTGAGTATAATCTGACCACACTTCACAGGACGAATGCGTACTGGGTTATTACAGGCATCTGGTGGTGTAAGCCCCTCCTCCTGCACTTCCTGTGAGTATCAGATACTGAAACGCCGCTAGTCATCTTCCAAGAGCCCCGGCCAGGCCCGTCGCTGCCGAAGGGTGAGCACTACCTCACGGTAGGGTGGAAGCAAGTACGTCGGTCTCGATATCCTACTATTGTGAACCCCGCCTCATGCGGTGTTCTTCCCGCGCTAGATCTGGGTGGCGGTCCGGCAATACAAGAAGCTGCCGCACACATTCGTGTACCTCGTCGCGTACTTCCTGCTCGCTGACGTGCGTTTCCCCTTTGCCTGTTTCTGCGCTTGTGGAGTTCAGCTTACGCGCCGCGCCTGCCGTGGATATCGCAGGGCCTGAACACGACGGGCACGCTCGTGTCGATATGCCAGAACGACAAGTTCCAGTTCTCGTTCCTGTACAACACGTACCTAGGGCTCTCGCAGGCCGTCACGTCCACCATCAGGTGCGTGCAGATATTATGCTTAATAGTTGGTGGTTGACTCGGGATGCAGCACGCTCGGGTTCTGGTACATCCAGAAGTACTGGAAAATCAGCACGAAGAAGATGGTGCGTGCGTGTGCGGGGCGGTCGCGCGCGTCCTGAAGATGACGCCCCTCGGCAGTTTGTCGTCACCAATGTGGTGACGATCTTGATCCCGCTCTGGGGCATGGTCGGGATCTGGACGACGCGGTTTGGGTGCGCGTTTTCTTCCTCGCGATCTCCCCCTTCCGTGTCTGACCGCGAGCGGTCACATTCGCAGGTTCCACAACGTCTGGGAATTCTGGTGCGTGCCCAGTATGCCTGCGTGCGAGGCTGCTCACGGGCAGCTCCCGCCCACGACAGGGCATACAATGTCGTCTTTGGCCTCTTCCAGGCGCCGTACTACGCGTTCTCGCAGACGATGATGGCGGAGCTCACGCCGCCCGGGTTCGACAACATGGTGCGCCCGGTTACACGGCGTGCACGCGCACCCTACGATACTGATCTACGGCGGGCAGTTCTTCGGGCTGTTCGGGCTGTCGAACCGCGCGTCGTCGATGATCGGCCCGAACGTGGTCCAGGCCATCATCGACGACACGGGCGACAACTGGAAGGGCTTCCCGTTCCTCTTCGCGCTGTGCGCCGCCGCGAGCCTTGTCATCTGGTTCGGTGTGTCTCCCGTTATCTCTCTCTGCCTGCTGTTCCAGGTTTTTTTGTGTGCGAGCGCTGACAATGGGCATTTTTTGGTCTGTAGGGGTAGATGTGACGAGGGGACGGCACGATGCGGTCGCGTGGGCGGGGCGGCATCGCTCGTATGCGGACACGGGCGTGCTCAGGGCGGACGATGACTCCGTCGACGAGCAGTCGGAGAACACGAAGAGGGCGTGAAGCCGTGTTTCTGCCCTTCGTTCAGTCCTTTTGTTGGCGCCGCCGAGGGTCGGCGTCAGGTGTCAGATGACGGTGGGTGTCGACGTCTTCGGTGTGGCTTCGGTTCGGTATGTCTGTCAGATTAGCGTTGTATCGGTATCACTGGGTCTATATCTGCTGCGGCTTCGCGCTCTAACGCCATGCTCGTTCGGGTTGTGTGTTGGTCGTTACAGTCTGCAGGTGCGTTTGGTTTGTTCTTGGTGTGCGTCCTTTGTGCTCGGTGTGCGAATGCGGCGAAGGGGTTGTCGTACTGAGATCCCCCAAGCGGCAGCGCGCTTCGGGGCAACCCCATGATTGCACACAATTGCACGGACTTCCCACCCAGGCGGGCCCGCGACACGCAACAGCAGAAGCACACGAACCTTGTTCAACTGACAGAACGCAAGGCCTGCATCGAAGACACGATAACCTGACCATATGCCTATGCATGTACTAAGCAGCAGCTCGGAAATGGAGTGGATATCTACCTCCCAGAAGATAAGTCGCAGCCTTTATATTCCCATCGCACGACATGCCCGTGCTTTCTGGCCGTCGAGCAAGCTCTTCCAGACGCCATGTGCCAGCATCCTTCGGTCGAGGAAGACGCGGAGATCGTGGATGCTGCTCCTGCAGGTAAGGGCTCGTCACAAGTTGACGCGGTCGTCGTCGCGCCGCTGAGAAGGGAGGAACCGCTGATCACCAGGAAGGTACGAGACTTCGCCAGAAAACCGTCTATGGATGCGATATGACCGTCTCTTCTGTGATAGGAACTCTGGAGTTACTACAGTACGTGCTCCCCTTAAAGCGCTCTCGCACGTACTCATCGACTACCAAGTGTATTACAACGGAGATAACGTGCGTGAATCTGACTCCATCCAGTGTGATCTCGCGCTTATTTGTTACTGCAGGGCGTCGGTCCGCTCAGTATGTGACCTCCTGCCTCCAGTCGAGTCGAAAACCCGTTAATGCTCATGTCACAACAGGTTCTTCCATGACCCTCTTCCAGTCTCTCGCAACCTCCGCCGGCTACGACCCTGTCAATGGCCCCGGCTCATCCTGCACTGCACCAGATGCCTCCGGCCGATGTGTCCTCCCCTGGGGCAGCGGCACCAAGTCCGTCAGCTCCGTCGTCCTCGTCGCCAACGGCGTCAGCTTCGCCGTGCGTCTGTGCCTTCCATTATAGTCACCCGCAGCCCTGAACCGTCACCGCACAGGTCATGACTGCGATATTCACAACGATCGGGTCTGCCGCGGACTACGGCACGTTCGGGCGGTGGCTCCTCTTCGTGGTCACCGTCATCTGCTGGGCCGCGCAGTTCGCCAGCATGGCGCTCATATGTACGTTACGTCCCCCCAGCCTTCCACTCATCGTCTCCTCGGTGCTGACTGCTCGCGTTCAATTGCACAGCACCGTCCCGGTGGGGTGCAGCGATGGCGCTGTACGTGGTCGGCTTCGTCACGTATGGCGCAACCCTCGTCTTCTACGCCGCGGTCTTTCCACGGCTCGCGCGCAACACGCCGCACTCGCGAGCACTGCGCGAGCGTTACGAGGCGGGTGAGATCCCTGCGGCGGAGTACGAGGTCGAGGAGAGTCTCGAGAAGAACAGGATCAGCAACATCAGCACCGTACAGATCCCTGCCCTGCTCTTTACCTCTGAATGATGCTGACGATGAATGCGCTGGACATACAGATGCACAGCAATTTGGGGTATATTGTCACCCTCGCGCTCAACCTGTCGCTCCTGCTCCCACAGGCGAACAACCCGAAGGTGGATAACTATGTACTTGTTCTGTCAGTGCTCCTTATACTTGAGGATTAATTATAATCTGACCACACCTCTCAGGACGAACGCGTACTGGGTTATTACAGGCATCTGGTGGTGTAAGCCCCTCCTTCTGCACTTGCTGTGAATATTAGATAGTGAAACACCACCAGTCATCTTCCAAGAACCCCGACCCGGCCCGTCGTTGCCGAAGGGCGAGCACTACCTCACGGTGGGGTGGAAGCAGGTACGTTTATCTCGATGTCCTACCATTGCGAACGCCGCCTAACGCGGTGTTTTTCCCGCCCTTCCGCACACTAGATCTGGGTGGCGATCCGGCAATACAAGAAGCTGCCATACACCTTCGTGTATCTCTTTGCGTTTTTCCTGCTCGCCGACGTACGTCCCCCCTCCACCCGCCTCTGCGCGTGCTGAGCTCAGCTTACGCGCCGTGCTTGGGCGCCTTGCCGCGCATATCGTAGGGCATGAACACGTCGGGCACGCTCGTGTTGGTCTGCCAGAATGACAAGTTCCAGTTCTCGTTCCTGTACAACACATACCTCGGGCTCTCCCAGGCCGTCACGTCCACCATCAGGTGCGCGCAGATATGATGGTTAGAAGCTAGCCGTTGACCTGGGGCACAGCACGCTGGGGTTCTGGTACATCCAGAAGTATTGGAAAATCAGCACGAAGAACATGGTGCGTGCGTGTGCGGGGCGGTCGCGCGCGTCCTGAAGACAACGCCCCTTGGCAGTTCATCGTCACCAATATTGTGACGATCTTGATCCCGCTCTGGGGCATGATCGGAATCTGGACGACGCGGTTTGGGTACGCGTTTTCTTTCCCCCGATCCCCTCTTCCGTGTCTGAATGTGAACGTCTGAATACCTTCATTAGTTTCCACAACGTCTGGGAATTTTGGTGCGTATCCTGTCCGCCTGTGTACGATGCTGCTCACGGCAGACCGTGACACAGGGCGTACAACGTCATCTCCGGCCTCTTCCAGGCGCCGTACTACGCGTTCTCGCAGACGATGATGGCGGAGCTCACGCCGCCTGGGTTCGACAACATGCTGCTGTTGGAGGCTTCGGGATAACCTTATTAGTCAATCCGGAGCATCCAGGTAGTCGGGCAATATTCCCCGATATCTTATTCAGCATCGAAGGATACAGTAGCTACGAGAATTATGTAGTATGTTCTGGACTAGTCTACTGGTGTAGTATATAAGGAGGGACCTCTTGCAGATCCCAGTAATTATATCTCTTCCCCAAATCACTCACTCGGAGGAATTCATACGAGCTGCGCTAATAGGTTATGAGCCCCGATAGCTTATAGCTTATAGCTTATTCTATTCACACCTACTAACCTCTACTTACTCATTACACACTCTGACTATCAGTAGTTACAATGTCTGGTACTACTGAATCTCGCGACAGCCTGTCATCCTTGTTCCGAATCGAACAACTTCGTGATGACAACTGGCTTCCGTGGAAGCGCCGTACAATGGCGATCCTAAGGGAGCGCGGTGTCCTGAAGTATGTTGATGGGACCTCGGAGAAGCCGAAGCCGGTAGACGCAGCGACACCAACACCGGAAGAGATGGCGGCAACCAAGAAATGGATCGAGGGCGATCAGAAAGCCCAGACCGTTATCGAGCTGCTGTTGAGCGACTCGCAGATGATACACATCACGGACGCTACAACGGCTGCGGAGATGTGGAACCAATTGAAGTTAGTAAAGGAGGCGAGTGGACAACTGGGGATAATGGCGTACCGAAGGAAATTCTATCGCACAGTTGCCACGGAAGGCAGCGATATCGCAGCGCATATCACGGAGCTCCGCCGGACACAGGAGCAGCTACACATGATGGGTAGCAAGGTGTCGGATGACGAATTTCGAACGATCCTGATCACATCGTTACCGGAGTCTTGGGACCAGTTCACATCTGCGTACCTGGGTGCAACAAGCCAGAAGGACAAGTTGCCGACATCGCATGAATTGATAGCCATCTTGCTCGAAGAATACCGGCGCCGGCGAGAGAAAGGCGGTGCCGACGAGTCTGCGCTGGCAGCACGCGGGCGGTGGACCCAGCCGAAGAATACCGCACAGGGCGGAACGGACAGGAAGTCCGACGCGGAGTGCTGGAATTGCCACAAGCGTGGACACACTCAACATGAGTGTTGGTCGAAAGGCGGCGGCAAGGCGGGTCAGGGACCGCGAAGTAAAAAAGGAGGCCGTGCGCAGGCGCACACAAACCAGGCACAGTCAACAAATGACGTGCTGCGAGATGTTGCATTCCACACAGACAAGGCAATCGGTATTGGGCAGCAATTTAGTAGTCAGTTCTCATGTTACGACTGGCTAGCTGACTCGGGAACGACATCGCACGTTACGAACCTTCGTGATGCAATAACGGACTTCATGCCGCTTGAAGCCTCATCGATCACCGGCATTGGTGACCAGAGCATACGCGCACTTGGGCGCGGCACTGTGAAAGTCAATAGCAGGATAGGCGGCAAGACTTTTACCTTCTGTCTGAAGGATGTGTTATACGCACCAAGAGCAACGAATAACTTAGTGTCGCTCACCCGTCTGGACGAGGCGGGCGGACATTTTGACGGTGGTGATGGAGGGATAACGCTACGGGAGAGTGGCGGCCACGCCATCGCTGAAGGCCGGAAAATCGGCCGTTTGTACTTGCTCAACATGCGGGCCAAGGCTGCTATGCCGAGTGAAGAGCGCGCGAACATTGCGCGCGACGATAGCGACTCGTGGGAGTCGTGGCACCGGAGATATGGACACCTGGGATTCACAGGGTTAGAGAAGCTCTACAAGGAAAACTTGGTGGAGGGACTCACCGTTGATGAAAACTCGATGCCACTAACACAGTGCGAAGCCTGCGTACAAGCTAAGCAGGCGCGTCGTGCATACCCGAAGGAGGCGGAGGACCGCTCCCAGATGCCAGGCGAGTTGACGCATAGTGACGTCTGGGGCCCCGCACGTGTAGTATCGATCGCCGGATCGCGTTACTACATATCGTTCACGGACGACTGCACGCGGAGGTGCCAAGTCCTGTTCATGAAACATAAAAGTGAGGCTTTTGAAAAATTGAAAGAATACCTCACCTTTATTGAACGACGCTTCGGGCACCTGCCGAAGATCGTGCGTGTTGACAATGGGTCCGAGTACATCAATAAAAACCTGAAAGGGTGGTGCCGTGAGAAAGGAATTGAGCTGCAAACAACAGCGCCGTACTCACCTTCGCAGAATGGTGTAGCTGAGCGATTTAATCGCACGCTATTGGAGCTTGCTCGCGCAATGTTGATTGCGAGGAAGCTTCCAAACTTCCTCTGGGCGGAAGCTGTTGCATACGCAGCATACCTGCGAAATCGAGCGCCGACGAAAGCACTGCGCGGGAAAACTCCGGAAGAGGCGTGGACGGGCAAGAAGCCCAATGTCGCGCACCTACGAGAATTTGGGTCAGATGTCTGGATTCTGACGGAAGGCCAGAATCTCTCGAAACTCGAGCCAAAGTCGAAGAAACACACCTTTGTAGGTTTTGCTGATGGCCCGAAGGCCGTGCGCTACTACGATGTGGGTGCGCGCTCGATCCGAGTCTCGCGAAATTTTGTATTCGCGGATGCCCCGAACCCAGCAAGCAATGTTCCTGTACATCAGCTTGATGACAGTGACAGGCTGCCGCTCGAGGGGGAGTCAGGGGGAGCTGTCAAGCAGCAGCCTCCCACATCTGCATCAAAACCAGCATCAGTACCTGTCAAAGCTGATCAGTCTAACAAGAAACACGATGGAAACTACATTACAGAGGAAGACTTACCTCCCGAGATACAGGAGAGCATGCGAGAGCGACCGACATTCTTGCCTGCACCCCCGAAGATCCCTCTTCGTCGTACGACCCGCGCTACGCAGGACCACGACTATCGAAGGATGAATAACCCCCGCGCGCAGCCCGCGAAGTCGCGCGAGTCGCCGGGAGTGCCGAAAGAGAACGCACCTGGTGAGAGTGCGAAAGTCGCCGTGACGCCCGAAGAATTTGAAGAGATCGCGCAGGCGCTGTATGCGACAGCACTGGCATCGGGCGACAGAACGGCGAGTGCGGGAGATGAGCCGCGAAGCCTCGCGGAGGCCCAAGCCTCTCCGGAATGGCCAGAATGGGAAAAGGCTGTAAAAGCGGAATATGATCAGTTGCAGGGCATGGGGACTTGGGAGCTACAAGACTTACCAAAAGATCGAAATGCTGTGGGCTGCAAGTGGGTCTTCCAGAGGAAAACCAACAAGGAGGGTCAGGTTGTCAAGTACAAAGCCAGATTGGTGGCACAGGGGTACTCACAGATCCCAGGGATGGATTTCCTTGAAACCTTTGCCCCTGTAGTTCGTCTTGAGTCCATCAGGGCCATCCTAGCATTAGCAGTAGTTAATAACTGGGAAATAGGCCAGATGGATGTTAAGGGAGCTTACCTGAATGGAGACCTCCAGGAGGAGATCTACATGCGACAGCCGGAAGGCTTCGATGACGGAAGTGGACGCGTTTGTCGACTCCGCAAGACGCTCTACGGACTAAAGCAGTCCGGGCGCGAATGGAACCGCAAGCTGCATCGCGAGCTGACGGAGCTCGGGTACAAGCGGCTGGAGGCAGATCCATGTGTATACCTGCGGGAGCGAAAGGAAGGAGAAGTTCAGATTATCACGGTATGGGTGGATGACTTACTGTTATTCACCAACTCTCCGAAGCTCATGGAGGAGCTCAAGCGCGACCTGCAGGACCTCTTCGAAGTCACGGACCTTGGTGAGCCGCAGAAAATTGTTGGGATTGAAATCGAGCGAGATAGGGAAGCGGGAAAAATCCAAATCTCGCAACAGCACTACATCGAGAGCATTCTCAAGCGATACCAGCTTGAGAACGCCAACGCTGTAGGGATGCCGCTCGATCCGAATGTGGCGTTCACGGCAGAGGACGAGAACGAGGAGGCGGACGACCGTTTGGCGGGAGGTTACGCGTCGATGGTGGGATCGCTGATGTACGCAGCAGTGGGAACAAGGCCAGATATTTCCTACGCTGTACAGACGCTGAGCAAATACACAGCGTGCCCACGACCTGTCCATTGGACAGCGGCGAAACGCGTTCTACGGTACCTCGCAGGAACACGTGACTTGCACGTCACGTACACGCGACGCGATTCGGACGCGCCGAACGGAAATATAATAGGAGGATATACGGACGCGGATTATGCATCAGATCATGACCGAAAATCAGTCTCGGGTCATGTCTTTTACTTGGGAGGTGGAGCCGTAGCATGGAGTTCGAAGAAACAAACAACAACGGCAACATCCTCGACAGAAGCCGAGTATACAGCACTCGCGCACGCGACACGTCAAGCAATATGGCTGCGAAACTTACTGGCAGAACTCGGGTTTGCACAAGAAGAACCCACAGAAATTTATTGTGATAACCAGGCAGCGATCGCGATAGCACGCGACCCGCAGTATCACGCGCGGTCAAAGCACTTTGACGTGCAGAATCATTTCGTGCGCGAAAAGGTGGAAAATGGTATTATTCAATTGTGCTACTGTCCTACAGATGAGATGGTAGCAGATGTATTTACTAAGGCCCTACCCAAGCCTAAGCACCAAAAGTTCACATTGGAACTTGGGATGCTTCCGGCTTGAGGGGGAGTGTTGGAGGCTTCGGGATAACCTTATTAGTCAATCCGGAGCATCCAGGTAGTCGGGCAATATTCCCCGATATCTTATTCAGCATCGAAGGATACAGTAGCTACGAGAATTATGTAGTATGTTCTGGACTAGTCTACTGGTGTAGTATATAAGGAGGGACCTCTTGCAGATCCCAGTAATTATATCTCTTCCCCAAATCACTCACTCGGAGGAATTCATACGAGCTGCGCTAATAGCTGCGCCCGGTTTACACCGCGTGCGCCTGCGCCCTACGGTTACTGATGATCTACGACGGCTGGCAGTTCTTCGGGCTATTCGGGCTGTCGAACCGCGCGTCGTCGATGATCGGCCCGAACGTGGTCCAGGCCATCATCGACGACACGGGCGACAACTGGAAGGGCTTCCCGTTCCTCTTCGCGCTGTGCACCGCCGCTAGCCTCGTCATCTGGTTCGGTGCGTCACGTTATCTCTATGCCTGCTATTTCTATAGTTTGTGCGTGCGCGAGCTGAGAATGAGTTTTTTTGGTGTGTAGGGGTGGACGTGACGAGGGGACGGCGCGATGCGGTCGCGTGGGCGGGGCGGCATCGCTCGTATGCGGACACGGGCGTGCTCAGGGCGGACGACGACTCGGTCGACGAGCGGTCGGAGAACGCGAAGAGGGCGTGAAGCCTTCTTTCTTCCCCTTCAGTTGACACCGCCGAGGGTCGGCGTCAGGTGTCAGATGACGGTGGGTGTCGACGTCTTCGGTGTGGCTTCGGAAGTTCGTACGAGCACAATGGTGTGTCTGTCAGTTAGCATTGTATCAGCATCACTGGGTTCTAAATCCGCCCGCGGAAGCGCGGTCTTGCGGGTGTGCTTTGTTCTCGGTGTGCGAATCTGTGTGAATGCGGCAAGGGTGTTGTCGTACTGAGGTCGGTAGGCTATTCAGTCGGAATCCCCAAGAATTGCGATTGCACAGAGTTCCCGGGCGAGCCCGCGATACGCAGCAGCAGCACACGAACCTGCGAGGACTGCATCGAAGACACGGGAATCTGACCATATGCACGTAACAGCAGCTCGGAAGGGGAGTGGAGAAACGCTGCTGCGCTTTGCCTAAACGATTGCCGCGGTAGAGTACAGTACAAATACATTTGGATTTACATGCGTACCCCCTAAGATGCAACTACTCACGTCCTTGGATGCTTCTCTAATATACAATGTGCACCAATTATTACAAGGGTTAAATTACACAGACTTCATCCCGGAAGACTGGCGGGGGATGCAGAAGTCAGCGGCGGGCATGGCATGCACGATGCACGGGGGCTCACCTCGATGTCGGCGGCGAAGGTCTGAGTTGGGGACGAGGAGACGGCAGACGAAGTGCGGGCGATGGCCGACAGGTCAATGCCTGTAAGCTCGTCACATCGGCGGCGCCCGAGCACAGGACGAGTAGGACGTACCCTCGCTCCTGAGAGCCTTCTTGCGGAACTCCCGCGCGCTCTGCAGGTCGGCGTCGCTCAGCGAGAGCGTCCGGCGCTGGACGGGCTCGGGGCTCGCGGGAGCCGGTGGGGAGCGCAAAGCTGCCGGGGTGTGGCGTCAGCGGCGCAGGCGGATGAGGAGGAGGGAGCGGGAGGGACGTACGGCTGGTCTGCTCGAACTCGTCGTGCTCGAGCTCCTCGTCCATGTCCGCGGCGTCCTCGAGCTCGCGCTCGTCGACGAGCGCGCCCCAGTTGTGGGGGCCAGCCCCGTTCTTCGGGGTGCGCTTGTCCATGCCGGACTTGGACTCTGCGCGGTCCTTGAGGATCGCGCGGGGAAAGGAGGCACGAGCGGTGCGGGTCATAGTCTGGGTGCGGGTATGTATGGGTACGGAGAGAATATTATGTAGCGGTGGGGGTGGAAGTGCGGCGTGTGTGAAAGTTGTGTGTGTGTATGGGTGGGGGAAAGCGTAGTGGCAGCGACGGCGGGGGGTTTTATAGCGGAGAGGCCTGGGCGGCGTTCAGGATGGAGTCGCGTGACCGTCTGCGCTTCGAGCCATTTCCAGGCGGTTCTCATCCCACTCGCCCGCCGTGTTATTCCTGCCGTTCTGTAATTCCCCGGCGCCCTGGACTCGGCCGGGAAAATAACCTTGTTCTTCCGTGTTGACCTCCCCGATGGCGCACGCGCCCGCCGCTCCCCGCCGGAGTGGTACCACGATGAGGTCACAATATGCGGGGAAACGTGCGAATATCGCCCCGGCGATCTCCGTTACCCCGTTCGCTGTCTCCTGACGCAGTTGCGACATGCACGCGAGGTCAGACTCGCAATTAAGCAGCAAAGTTCCGCAAGGCAACAGCTCACGAGAGAAGACCAGTGACCAGCAGATTGACACGCAGAACGTTCTGAATTAATCTGTAGAGGACACAACTTGGGGCAGTCGATTCAATGCGCAGATATCTATTAACGAGAGGTAGCGAATCAAAGCAGCGAAAGCAGAACACGACAGCAGGTACTTAACCAGAGCCCAAATAACGAAGCATCTCACAAAGTCCGAGCGCACACCGTAGCGCTTTTCACATCATTTACCACCCACCTCAGCACCGCCCACAGAGCCTAACCAAGGCCCCAGATACCCGCCTTGCGCACCCCCTCGACCAGCGCGTCCACGTTCCCCAGCATGCTGCCCAGGATCTCCTTCTTCTCTTCCATCGTCCGCGCACCACTCTTACTCGGGATAGCACTGCGTGCGCTACCACTAGAGGAGCTCGAAGAGCTCGACCACCCCAGCTGAAATGGGGGGTCCAGCGAGCCGACGTCAGCGCAACTCTGTGCGCGGCGGTGCCGGCTGGGCCCAAGTACGTTCCTGTCCGCTCCAGAAGGGGTATATATGATGGCGGATGGGTCTCCGTGCGATCCGTGCGAAGAAATAGAGAACCCGCGCGAATGCGATGGGCGATTCGTCTGCGGCGTGTGCACCTCCTCGCTCTCCGTTTCCTCGGAAGACAGCACGTCGACAGTCCCGCGCTGTTTCAGCCGCGACTTGACCGCCTCTCCCGTCCCCTGCCCACCGAGCCCATGGCTCGAGATTGGTGCCTTCTTGGGACTTTGTGGGACGTAATCGACTTCACGGCGGAGCATGAGGAGTGAGCGAGGCAGTGCGCGCGACGATGGCGGGGTGACAAGTCGAGGTGAGCGGGAGAAGGCAGGTTTCGGCAACGGCGGGGTTGTCGGAGTAGTAGAAGATTCACGAGACGTTGCAGGAGTAGATGGAAGAGAAGAGACCGACGTAGCCGAGGTGGATACGGATGACCCAGACGACGAGGACGACGAGGAGTATGTCGATGAGACTGATGAGGTGGTCGAATGAGACGTAGACAGTATGGCACGATTTGGTGCCCTAGAGGACGGTGTCGGAGTTCCTGCGATGCCCACCGGAGAGCGAGGATCCGACGAGACATTCAACGGTGAAACGGGGATTTCGTCCAAAAGATAGAAATATAGAAATTCGAGACATTTCATCCTGAAGGAAAGTCAGTCACAAAAAAAATCCGTCGTCACTACGGCTCTAGCCCACGCTAAGACGCTACTCACCTAACTTCGCGAGGCGTCCCTGCCCGCTTGAGGATTTTGACCACATACTGGACACCTTTCAAATCCTCGAACAAGCGAAGCGCCGGAGATGAGTCAACGAGAACACAGAGCAACGTATCCAACACAGCAGAAGTAAGAGGAACGGAGGGTGGATTTGGGCTTTCATTCCGAGAAGATACATTGGATCTCGGAGATGATGGAGTGGAGTGGCTAGTTGATGGGGGAACAAACGACACGTGTCTCGAGGTGAGCAAGAGGTCCAAGAGCACCTAGGGTCCGATCAAACCCCATACGCAGCATGCCGATACAGTGACTCACCTCTAGAGGGTAACGACGACCCAGGTAGCGTTTACTCTCCTCGTGGATGAGCGCAACACCCTGCAGTATCGACAATGCTTGTATGAGCTGACGGGTGAATGGCGCAGACTGTGTCTCCCGCTCTTCTGCAACGCAACTGAGCAATGGCACAGCATACGAGTACAACGCACACTCACGATCTGATATGGTCTTGCTCAAGATTGCCTCCAACCGTGCCGCTGACCCACCCATCCACGAGAGAATCCGAGAGGGCACTGGAGACCATGTCCAAGGTTGAGCGAGGGTGGGAGAGCATCGACAAGCTCGTACCGTTACAATCGAACCTGTCCTGCAGTTCGATGAATAGATACAACCGTTCCAGAGCATTCGGAGTAGGTGAGACACAGATTTCGGCGAGCAGACGCTCCAACGTCGCCAGCGCCTGGTCTACTCGGGCGTTTGGCGACTTGGTCGAAACCAGCTACTCACGGATATCTATCGGTCAAATTAATACTTAGATCTGCAGATATCTCACCTCATCCAAGGCGTCCTGAAGGAGGGTCTTCATGTTGCGTGAGGGGTCCATGTTGGGAGCGCAGTCCTCATCAGCGCTACTCACCTCGTTGAAAACGCACGGTTATGGACGGTATTGTAGTTCAGTACAACTAGCTCGATTATCTAAGCGCGCCCGTCGCGTCCATCACGTGCAATAATTCTCCGTGAGATTAGAGACGCGTCGGAGCTCCGAGCACCGGCTCCCGCATGAACCAGCACTTATAATGCAGCAACTCTCCACCATGGCGAATCTCTGTCCCCCTCTTCCACCATGCCACCCATCAGAACGGTGTGTCCTTCCACTCTCGTTGTTGTTACACACATTAACCATGCCTGCGCCGTAGCAATGGACTCGGTTAATCCGCTTCGTCGCTGCAGAGACCTCCCAGGTGCACATCGGTGAACCAGTTGACCCCAGACTCGACGGTGAGCAGCCTGTCATTTCCACTTGGAAATAGCCATGACCGCTGGCATCCAGTCGGACTGGCGTCCCACCAGAAGCAGGTCATAAAGGCATACGAGATTCACGGCTCTGCGCTCGATCCGAACGCGCATGTCACTAGGAAGGTCCTCACCGTCAAGGAGCTGCTCGCGCCGCTGGACAGAAGCGAAATCGGGCTCGTACGCTGCTTGGGGCTAAATTACGCAGATCATGCGGTGAGTCTTGCTTTGCAGAAAAGTGATTTCTGCGGCATGTTGCTTTTCGCCGGCCCGTCGGCTTGGTGATCCAAGTGGTGCCGCACACGGACTCGCCTTGAATGTCCTGGCACAGGGCGCGTTTCGCAGGATGTTCGGCCTTCCGCTGCTTCCCCACGCCCCCATCGTTAGGACTCTACGCTAGTAGAACGTGTACGCGCCGGGTCTGCGACATCACGACGTTGGTGACCAAATTTGCAGTTGACCAACGGTTGGTCACATGCGAATTTTGTGCCGGACAGCATAATCCCTACCATCGCATGCAAATGCCTAACGCACCGGCGGAACTGCACCGATGCTGAACGGTTGAAACTTTGTCACACCTTATTCACAATACGTTTTGATGTTATGCACGTACTGACGAAGTAAACGTTGATTTAGGCGGAAGCCAACCTTGCAAAACCTGCGTAAGTGCCATCTGCGTGTCGGATTTCGCGGTGTTACCTGACGGGTGTCTTACCTCAGCTTTCCCGTCCTGTTCTACAAGCCCGTCACTGCGCTCATCGGCCCAAACGCACCTGTGACGATCCCCAAGGTTGTGCAGCCTCCCGCAAAGCATCTGCCGGACTACGAAGTTGAGCTCGTCATCGTCATCGGCAAACCCGCGAAGGACGTCTCGGAGGCGGATGCGCTCGACTATGTGCTCGCATACACCGGTGCGAACGATGTGAGCAGTCTGCAGTTGTTCTTTTGGTCGATACATAGATTAAACACCGTCGGTGTAACTAAGGTGTCTTTCCGGTACCACCAAATGGCGGTCTCACAGTGGGGCTTCTCGAAGGGATTCGGTGAATCTTTCCTGAATTTCTGTCGTGGTACTGGCGATGCTCAAGCACTCGTTCTTAGATAACACTAACCCGCTTGGGCCTTGCCTCGTTACCGCCAGCGCCATACCCGACCCTCAACGCGTACCGCTGAGGTGTACCGTCAACGGCCAGGTCCTTCAAGAGGGTATCACCGCGTACGTACGCTCTGCGTGCATTCCCTTTTATGGTGGTTATCCCCATGGTCGTGGTGACGCTAACCGTCACCTCTATCCAGCGACCAAATCTTCACCGTCCGGCAGACAATCGCCTTCCTCTCGCAGGGCACGACGCTCCTCCCCGGCTCGGTCATTCTGACCGGCACGCCAAAGGGTGTCGGGTTTGTCAGAAAACCGCCCATCTTCCTTGAGGGGGGCGACGACATGAGCGTCTGGCTCGGCGCGGGCATCGGTACGCTGGTCAACCGCGTCGTCGAGGAGGATGCCAAGGAGAAGGCGAAGCTGTAATTTTTGCCGCTATTTCCCCGTTCTCCTTGCTTCATGCCCGCCTCACGGGCGACGGACCGGCTACGATCTTCTCTCAAACTTTCCCCTTGATGATATAGCACTGGCTGAAGGATAAAGGGACGAAGGACAGTACCCATGGAAATGGAAACGATGCCAAACGTCGTTCAGCAACTCCGTCCAGGAGGGCTGAGTGTGATCTGTCAGTAAAACACACTAGAAACGATACCGAAGACTACAACCCTTGAGCGATGAGAGCCGATATGGCGGGAACTTGATCATGAGCGTATAGACTCCCTCCGAGTCCCTCCCTGGCTATTGTGCCGGCGTATACCTAGAGTAACATCGCCTTCGGAAGGAGTGGAATACCTGTTCCCATAGCTCATTGAGATGTCAAAGATTCTCCAAAATTTCACTGCCTTAATAAAATGCGGATGTACCCCATTGATCATCTGCAGCTGCAGCTGGAGCCGGGGCAGAGCGTGCAGTGATCATGAGAGAACGGCCGCGTTCGCCTGCTTGAGTCAGCGCTTCACAGGCCCCTTCCGCAACGGTAGTCGGCGTGCTCTTCCTTTCAAGCATACAGGATATTTCATTTAAAGACAAGAGCCTTCTGACGTCTCCGAGCTCTCGGGTCAGTTCGAAAGTTCTGTCAAATTTCATATAGACTTAATCCGAGTCATTCTCTCGGACGGGCTTGGAAACCTCGTCTATTGGTGGCCGAAGCGCTTAACGATCTGTGAGTGCCTTGAATATCCTCGTTAACGGTGTCTTATTACGAACATTCCTCCGAAACAGTCCCAACCATGTTGCTTTTATCTCTCAACGATGATGTCCTCGCCGAGATACTCTCGTTCATCCTATCGCCTCTCGATGCGTTACGATTCGCGCAGACATGTCGCTATGCCTACGATGTAGCCATGCCTCGACGTCTGTCTGAGGTGATCATCAAGAACCCCAGACAGCTGTTAAGTTTCTGTCATTTCGTGCTGGCCGATCCCAAGTACCGTCCGATCTGCATGCGAACATTGGCTCTCTATTCAACATCCACCTTCTTCTCAGCTATGCAGCATGAGCTTGCCGAAATGCTGCAGCGAGCCCGTTTTCTCAGGTCGCTCGCCGTCCTGGACCTGGAGTCGCTTCTCTGCTCAGACCATCTCAGGAAAGTGCTGTTTTCCCTGCCACATCTACAGCATATCAACTTCAGCAACATCGGCGGCTGGTCACTCAGGCTATTAGCTGAGATGGTCAGCCGACCGCATCATGTCCGTCTTGGTCCGTTCGACCCTCCTTCCCGCAGCAGCCTTCTCGGGAATGTCCTCAAGAGATTCGCCGAATCGCTGGAGATTCTTCAGATATGGATTCCCGGTGGTCTTATTCAAGGCTTGGATTGTGGCGTTGTGTATTCTCATGTCCATACCCTGAAACTCAACGGTTCTCAAGACAGGGAACCGATATCCCTTCCACGCCTTGCCCAGATTTTTCCTAATCTCAAACGTTTAGTTTGCTCCGCTAGTTACCGATTCTCCGCTGAGAACGGCCCAATATGGGATTCACTGGACGAAGTTGATGCCCAGTACCCGATCGACATCCCGACGCGTGTACGTTCACTAGTGGCCCGAAATTACCGCAATGATAACAATCGCGACATCCTGAACATGCTGTGGCGCACGTCGCCGGCGATGCTCACCTGCATGATGTATCCCGATGCGGTCTTGGAAATGGTGCAGGCCGCACCGGGCTGGAAATTAAAATGCTTGTATCTCAAGCTTATAGGCTTCGTGTACGGACAGAAGGCACTCGCCTTGGCTTCGTACGATACTACTGGCATTTGTGATATGAGTGAGTACGCAGAGGACGATATCGGCGGACGTCTGGTGCGTGCATTCAGTACGCGTTTCGTGATTCCCCCGCATACTGATATAGAGGCTGTTTGTCTCACAGGTGCGTGCGGCATGTGCCCTCCGCGCCTTCCCTCTGGTCGCACTCTCTCTTTGTACCGGCATAGCTGTGATGCAAATTGACCGTGTCGCCCGACATGTCACGAGCGTTATCCCGACCTTAGAGTATGTCAAGATCGACGACAGTGCGTGGTACCGCGTGGTGTCGCGCCCCGGCCCAGACATGCTACCCTCACTTGTACTACTCTCGGAGGCGGAGACCTACGTTCTTGAGCAGTGGATGTTTACGCTGGGCCACTCCTGAGCTTCCACATCGAATTCATCTCTCAATGATCTAAATTGTGTCTGTGTATATAGTGTCTACGAGGATCTCCATGTGTCGTTGCTCTCATTTTCTTGTTTTATCGTTGGACCCAAGGATTATAGGGATAGACGCATTCATGCGCTACGGCACCTTCCTACTTCACGTACTCACGTTCTTACGTCCTATTTCTGTGCTGTCGCCTTTGCTTTCAAAGACTATGTCCCCCGTATTCATACCTACTGTACTTAGACTACTGTTTCCTTCAGTCTCATACGTATGTACATCATTAACGCCGCATAAATACACCTGACCATCAAATGCAGCGAGCACCCGAATGAACCGCAGACGTCCACAATTATGAAAGTTCCATCACGAATTCGCTCCAGCATCAGGCTAACTCTCCAACAAGAAAACTCATAACACTGCGGTGGTGGCTGCTCACGAAGCTCGCGGAGTTATCTACAGCCACCAAGTTGCATTTCAATTTAGTTGGTTGTTAACTTTGCTGAGCATCTCAGAGATGTACGAACCACCTACTGATTAGCTACTGCGTCCATGTTCTCAGAGGTAGTTTCAGCGGGGTCGCCGGTGTCCACTAGTCGTCTCGGAGAGCATCAGATTTTCCTTCTTGTTGTATTCGGAGGGAGTAATGTCAAACGCATGGCGCAATGCCAGTGAGATCGCCCAAGAGCAGGCTTCCACGACTCGATTCCGAGGTGCGCGTACTTGAAATCTTCAAAATTTTTACCAGATGCAGTGTTGCAATATTGTCAGCGTGGTCCCGTGATCGTGCTCCGGCGGCTTCAAGTCGAGGTTAACGTCTCGCCGGCGAGTTTCCCTCCACATACCCCAACTGCAACTGCAATAAGCAGCATGTGCAGTCGAAACCAAAATAAGATCGAACTTTCTGTCCTAGGCGGTTGAGCATCTTCATCGCACTGCACCAAGTCCTCGTCAGATCGCGAGAAATTTCGCATCTCATCGCGCACCTTGTCGGTAGGAAATTCAAAAACCGCCACACTGTTGCCGACAATACTAGCACCTTGTACTGGCGTACGCCAGTAGTCGGCCATGACGGCCAGACCTGGAATATGGACTTAACGCAATCGTGAGTTGAATATATCACGCTCGACCGTTCCGGAAAAAGTGTCTTGAGTTTATTGGACGTTATCGCTTTCGACGGGCGCACGACACCATAGGTGGGAGAAAATCTCAACCAGCGCTGTAGGCTATATACAACGCGGCAAAGGCAATAGGCGTACGTGAGCGTAAACATGGTTGCGTCGTGCACTGCTGTAAACCGGGTGTGTAAACTGGGCTAGAAAGACGTACTGCGCAGGGCCATTGTTTTGCATTGTCTGTTGGACGATCATAGGGATATCGCGAGCGATGTCTTCAAATCAAAAAGATGAAGTATCGTGACACTCGTAAAAGACCGTATGTCCCGCTCGAGGGTGGTGGCTACTGGCACTCGCCGCCACTGCAAGGTGAGAAAAGACTGGTGTCGAGGATGTGATGAAAGTTTCCAGCGACACATTTGCTAGCCCAGTGCATATCGTATATTTATTGATAGCTCATAGCTCACAGTGGGGAGGAACAACAACTTAAACACGATCATGAACACCACATGCCATGTGGTGTTCATGATAGTGCCAGCTTGAAGCAGCATCTAAGATCTAATCTTATCTCTGTCTCGATCTCGAGACAATCTACGCGCTTATCCAAGTTGCCGCCTTCTTCACTCAGCCTCAGGCTCATCCTGCAGCTCTCATATCCATGGCGCAAGTAACAGCCGTGAAAAAGACGGCCTCCGATCCAACACCTCAACAAAGATACAAATATGCTCAGGAGATTTCGCAGATGATGTTTGTCTTCGGCGAGGTCCAAGACCCCAACCCAGACACAGTCAACCTGGTCGAGGACATAATTCGCAGTCAGATCATTGAACTCGTGCGTAGCATCCTTTCTACATGACTCTTTCTGATGGTATTATGCAGATCGTGCAGGCAAGGGCACTAGCCACACGCCGCGGAGCTCGCTATCTGTCGGCTGAGGACCTCATCTTCTTGATTCGCCACGACCGCGCTAAAGTCAACCGCTTACGGACGTACCTATCTTGGAAGGACGTTCGGAAGCACGCAAATGCGAAAGACTCGAACGAAGGAGGCGCAGGAGTAGAAGTGGAGACGTTAGAGGACGGTGCCGATGGTGACTCTTCTTCGTTTCCACGCAAGGGTTTTATTCTGAACATCGATCTGTAGACAAGTTGACCGCAAAGACTCAAAAGATCACCATTAAGCTTCCGTGGGAGATCCTGACTATTTACTCGGATGTGCTGCAGACAGATGACGAGGAGGATGAGGATGACATTGAGGCACACGAGGCGTCTATACAGCGCTTGAAGGTGGGTCCGTTCGTTTGCAGTCCGTAAATGCGAGCACTTGAACTACGACTCTTTATAGGAAGCGGACGATGCTACGAGACAAATGACCAGAGAAGAGTACCAGCATTACTCTGACTGTCGCCAAGCCTCCTTCACATACCGCAAAGGTAGGCTACTCCAATCGAGTTCTTTACTCAAAGTTCAAACTTAAATTCGTCAGCAAAACGTTTCCGCGATTTCCTCAATCTGCCCCCCTCACTCGACTTGAAGGCGAATGACGACACCATCGACATCGTCGGTTTCCTCGCCTTCGAGATGGTGCGCTCCCTCACGCTCGCCGGGCTCGAAGTCAAGAAATCGCTGGAGGAGTCCTACCTTCGCGAGGATCACGCCACGTCCTCACCCGTCCTTGGCAAGCGCAAAGCTGGACTCGGGCTTGGCGGGGATGCGAAGCGCATGCGCCGCGACGAAGAGGACGAACGCGACGTCGACCCGCCCCTGCCAGTGTGCTCACTCTTTCTTCCCCCGCCTGAGGCGCGCACAGCCTTGCGTCCTGAACATATCCAGGATGCATTTTCTCGCATGCAAGGTGACTGGGCACAGCGGCGGTCCGCAGGTATGCGGAACTGGAGAGGAGGATTGATTCGGACTACTGTCAGCCTCATCTAATTCCCTCGGATAACCCTCTGTTGTATTCACTCTTCATATACCGCTGTCCCGAGCTATGAAAGTTATATGTACCATTGCTTTGAGTCGTTTAGATATCTACTATATGTTGTACAACAGTAACTTGTATTTCAATGCAGCATCATCCAAGCAGTCCATTCCACATTAACGTCCTAACTGTCCCTCCTGATCACACGTGAACTCAGAATAGCAACGACGCGGCGACGTCGAGATTTCCGCCCGCCGCGTCCAGCGAGCTGATCGCCATCTCCCTCGACGCACCGAGACTCATAAGCGTGCTGATCGCCTCCTCCGAATGCGTCGACTGCGTCTGGGGCACAGGCGCGCCCCTGCCCCTGCCCGCACCCGCGTCGGTTGGTGGGCTGCCCAGCGTGTTTCCCGCCCCGGGGAAGTGTATTGGTTCGGCAGCGCCAGACGGCCCGGCAACGGAACTAGAGGGTTGTGACGCGCTGGGGTCCACGATACCGTCATTTACGTTGCGAGCCTTGTCGGGAAGTTCGTGCTCGGCGAGGAAGTGGACTTCGCGCCCTTGGATTCGGAGGACGTCTTTCTCGAGATCGATGCATGCTTGATGTGCCTTCAACATGTCCAGGCCAAACAGAAGGTCAACATCTCGGCCCTGTAGAGAGTGAGGAATAACGTTGATGCGGAAATTCGGTGGACGCACCTCCATGATGGTGAAAGAGCACGCAAGGTGGAGATCTGCCAGTTTCAGCTGTGCACTATGTACTCGTCCGAGGATCTGCGCGGTTCCGACGCCACGTGCAATACCTGCAAAACGACGGTCCACTAGTCGCATGATTCTACAATAATAACATGAGTCCCAAACAAAGTGACAGTGAAATAAGACAGTACCCGCAAGCTTCTGCACACTCCGGACTCACTATAGAAAGTAAGAAATCGGTACGAGGAGCCCCAGGGAATAACGTTCAGGCACTTACTGATCGTCTGCTGTGCGCCGCTATCCACAAAAGCCTTGACAGGGTGGCCGTTCACTTCAACAGGTATGCTACGGCCGTCAGAATCTCCGCGTCTCACACAGGACCGGAACACACAGTCACCAGTAAGGAAGGCAGGCACTCACTATAGCATCGTTACACGGCCAAACGCCTCGGGGGAGTACTCCAGCGCGTGCTCAAGGTTTTCTGCGACGGCCTGCTGTCGGATGGCCTCTTCGATACGACGCTGAGCTTCTATGTCATACGGATCCGTGCTGATCTGTGCGAGCTCGCGTTCTGCGTCGGCATGTCTTGCGCGAGTTTGCCGTAGGAGTTCCGCAAAACGAGCGGGATCAGTTTGTGCCGCAATAGCAATTTCCGGGTTTGTCTGCGGATAGAGTGGAACATAGAAATTGTACACAAATCAACCACCAATAAACGCGACCCAGAAGAGTATTTGGGACGTACTTCGCGTAGTTGTTGCATAAGGACGGGATCGCCGAGCAACTGCAACCGCATCATCTCCGCGTCCTGTTCAGCGGTTCTGTGCGATGAGTGGCACCAGTGAGAGTAAAGAGACATCGTAGATAGATAGTCAGATAGATCGAGAATGCTCACCTGCCCGCCACATTCACCTTGCGGCGCAGTAGGAGTATGGCGTGGTCCCCGACACCGCAGCCCGCCATTGTCGCCTTCGGGTCATTGAGGTCGCGCCCTTCAAGTGAGATACTTTGCTCGTCGACTGGTATACCTGACTAAATGTGAAATCGTTGGTCAACGTCTCAGGCGCAAAAGGGTGTGCAAGGAAGTGGCTCGCCTCGGCTTCCAGGAGAGCCATAACGTTCTCGAGCTCCATTTGGGGGTCGATCTCAATAACGAAGGATTGACCAAGAGGTGTGAGGAAAGTCAACTCCATGTTTGCAGTCCGTCTGTACGATTGAAGAAAGTCGTGGTGGTGGTATGAAGAATAGATGTCCAAAGGTTGTATAGATCTATCGGGGGATGCGCGGCGATCAGTTTCTTGTTTCTCTCGCTCGTCAGCCAGCCCGGTGCCGTTCAGGTGAAGGTGAAGGCGACTTCGCGAACACAGGCATATATACGAGGACGGTGAGGAAGGGGACGCGTAATACTGCAGATCACTCTCGAACGTCCGCGAACTTTCACATCTCCGCTCGGGCTGACCACGCGTCCACCGTGACATACAGTCGTGAGCGCGTCCTTATTTCGTATGTCTCCTAAGGGTAGTCTCCTAAAGGTAGTTGTAGCCACTCTGCTTCAACCTATCGTGCCTCGGAGACCCTAAGGGCTGTGTGACCTTGGTTAATGTCCGAAGCCAATCCTCGACCACAAGCCATGCCTCCAGGCTCACAAGCCATGCCTCCAGGCTCACAGCCAATTCGTGTAATTGTCCGCATACCCTATAATCGCCCCGAAGAGCCGCTTCCTCAACCACCACTGGTATGTCCATCCATGTTAGGTTGCACTGCTTCGTTGCATTCACCACCGCCAGGTGGACTGGAACCCTGAGAAGGAGCATATTCTATGGGAGGTTATCGCCAAGTCTCGCGCGATAGAGGGCGCAGCCACTGATTGTGAGCTTATATCGCCCCATCCGAGTATGCATCCCACGATGATGGTCCATGTCAGGGAAGGGCCTTGCTTCGCACCTCGAGGTTCCTTTACCGTATCTCCTCCACCGTGCACAAACTCGGTATGAGGAGGATCTCCGCGGCCTTCAAGGCATTCGTGGTACCCTAAGCCCTGCTATACCTTCTGTTTCATCTAACGCCCCGAATGAGTATTTTCCGCGCCTGTTGGAGCTCCCTCGTCTGTCGACATCTACCGCAGCACATCGCCCTCTCGGTGTTCGTGCGCGCCTAAGTTCATTGGGGCACAATCAGCGTCTTAGTCCCGTTACTGCGCACCGACCAGCGAAGAAGGTATCTTCTTCTTCGACCCTCACACTTCAAGGCCCGCGCAAGGGACGCACTCCACCACGGCCGCTCTCGCCTGCACCGTCTGACGCAGGTTCCTCAGACGCTGACTATGGCGAAGACGAAGACGAAGACGAGGAGGATGAACAGGCACGGAAGGAGGAGGAAGAAACACGCCGTGCCGAGGCTCAGACCGCGCTCGAGGAGAAATTGCGTAACCTGGAGCGCGCTCTGACGAAGGACAAACTTGGGCTGGTCTCCTCCCCAGTCGCTATGTCCGCCTCTATGAACTCAGTGAACAGGGACCGCGGACGCACGCAGCCCCTCTCTGCCTCCGTTTCTGGCTCAGTGTCGTTCTCCAACGCACGCCCCAGTTCTGCGCGGAGCCATCAGAGTCTGTCTAGCGCTAGCTCTATGCATGGTTCCATTCCTTCCATCTCATCCCCACTCGCACACACACCAGCGCATCAGCAGTCGCATGCGCAGCAACCCTCGCACATCGCCCGGGCACTTAGTCCCCAGAACAAATCGACGAGCCCGCCCGCCCTCTCTCCGACGCATGCCCGTGTCCTGCGCCGCGGTAACGGAAATGGGGGTGAAAGGCTCAGTGAGCAGGGCAGTGAAACGTCAAGTTTCAGCGACCTCAGTGGTGAGCTCATGTGCCTTCTCGTGCTTACTGCTGCTGAACGCGATCTGATGCATAGATGCCAGTCTGTCGGCTTCTGCTTTAGAGAGCGCGCTGATGTCAAATATTCGTGGAGGAGGATCGCATTTGTAAGTACATCCTTGCTTCTCCGCGAGTCATACCTTATAGATGCATTCGGCAGCTCGTCGTTTGCACGTAGTAATATAACGGGCAGGCGAGGCGGTGTGCGATGAGGTGGTAATCACCTATGCGGATGTTCTTCCGATACTTTACGTATGACCATACTTTTTATTTTTATTCCTGAGACAACCTTGTGGTAGATGAGTAGTGGACTTGCAGCATAGCAGCACAGATTTCCACAGGAGTAGACTCGGAGATAAGCTGGACAGAAACGGATTGCGCTCGTTCATATGCTGCGTCGCTCATGTCCGTTAATCTTCGGTCTTAGGTGTTGCTCATCATCTAGGCAGCCACCGCCACCAATTGTGTCACTAAGGAAAATGTGGTCTACTTCCCTGAACGTGAGCGTGCTGGCGCTTCGGAAGATGGGCGCCTATTTGAGTGGTTAATTATGTAACTTGAAGCGCCTGTTACGCTTACCACAATTATTTAATCTTGAAGTTTCCTCTGGGCCATGAAGAGAGCTGTCGCACTGTGCCAAATCAAGCACCATCTTACTCCGTCTATAAATGATGCAGTTCTTCAAGCTTCAATCTTCGGATTGCCTGCAGATGCATCATGCAACGTGAGCATTCACAAGTCAACGTCAACTTTCTCACTCATCAGCCTAAAACTGAGCTCAAATTTCAGCGCCGTTTACCACAGAATGTCATGAACCACCTTGGGCGAATGGGGAATCTAGCAGTGTCTTACCGCGCCCTTCGAACCTGGCAGAATTCTTGGAGTCCATCCCTAACCTTAACTCAGGGTCATTGAACCTAAGAACTATCCTTTTCGGGAATTGTCTCTGACCCCTTCAAGCTTCACACGGTAAGTTGTGTAAAACACTAATGACAAGTGATGATTCCTCTCACCCTCTCACCCTCGCTTTCATCGCCACAGTATCAGTCTATCGACGAACTCGTCGCTCAACTCTCTGTTGACCCGCAGTGCGAGGCGATCGCTTCGGAACTAGGCGGTGCGCGCAGCCCATAAGCTTCATCTCGTGCCTCTACGCCCCTCATACTTGTGCTGGCGGACTCCAGTGCTTCAGTCGATCTATGGGGAGGATGCGATACAGCTGTGGCACCCCTGCACCCCGAGAGAGCGTGCACGCGACGAGTACGAGCAAGGCCCCCGCAACGGCGAGCCAGGATCTATCCGATACGAAGTGGCATTGAAGTAAGTTTGATCACTTTTGCGGAGGTTATCTGAAAGCATATCCTGTTCTTGCCCAGTGTCTCTCCACCGTCTGACCCATCCATAACATACCCTCTCACGATTCTAGTTTCGCTTCCCCCGGCCTATCCCGCTTCCGCCATGCCTCAGCTCCAGCTCCTCTCACGCTATGTTGGTCCATACGGTGTCGATGCTGCATTATTTGGCACTGTACTCCGGACGTACATATCTAAAGGTGGTGTAGAGATCGTTCCCGGAGAGGTATGTGTCTTCGACGGGGTGGAGTGGGTGAAGGAGAAATGCGCTGAGTGGGTGGGCGAGAGAATGAGTGCAGTGAAGGTTGAGGAGATCATGAGGGAAAGCGAGAAAGAGTGCCTGAGTGACATAGACGGAGAGGCCGAGCAGGTTTCAAAGGGGAAGGCAGAGATTCTGATGGTGCCGACGCGGATACCTGACGGTGTGGAGATCGTGGAGGCAGAGCCAATCGTGGATCGAAAGAGTGTGTTCATCGGGCGTGCATGTCGCATCACAGATCCCTCTCAGGTATTTTCTTCTTTGAGTCTTCATTGTTCCTCTAAAGAGAACATGACATGATTAGGTCGAGATGATACTCGCACACTTAATGTCAGATCGCAGGATTGCACGCGCAACTCATCCGATCATCAATGCATGGCGGTGTCGGGTGGGTAACGTCCTTCACCAAGGTGCGGTCTACGCTTGCGCCGTTGTGTTGACTGCTTTGCTCATATGTTCGATGTGCATTCAGACAACGACGATGACGGAGAGAGTGCGGCGGGTGGTCGTCTGTCACATCTCCTCCAGATTCTTGTGAGCTATCTCCCCATCTAACTTCCCCCCTTACGCCTTGCTCACCGTCCCGCAGGAAGTCGACAATGTGCTAGTGGTCGTAACGCGTTACTTTGGAGGAATTCATCTCGGTCCAGATCGATTCAAACACATAAACCAGGCGGCACGTAACGCGCTTGAACTGGGAGGGTTTCTGGACAATGGTGAAGGGAGTAGCAGTACGAACGGACGTCGCAGGGGGAAGGCTGGGCATGCGAGAAGGTAGTTTGATCTAGAGACGTTTGTTGATAAGATAACGGGCTCGGTGAGCCGGGTCCCGCGAAGTGCTGCATGAAGTCACAACGAGAGCCATCCCCAAGTCATCGGGTACCTCGTTGGTGTCCTCTATCGTCTGTGGTCCGGGTGCCATTCTCCCCGAGAATTCCTTTCTCCATCCTCATAAACCCTGATGGCATTCTCGCCAACCCGAGTTGCCCTCTTTTCCTTCAGACTCACTACTGCGGCCAACCCAGTGCGCAAGGGACTCCTAAGGAGATATAACTTTTCCGTGAACAGAATGGCCAGCACCGCTACTGTAAGTATAGCAATATGTTGCGCCCGTCCGTGCGCTTCTGACGAGCTACCTCTAGTTTGGCTTGAAAGACGCGTCCCTCGTCCAGACGCAAGGGTTCATTGACGGGAAGTGGGTCGATGCGCATGAAGGTGGCACTATCAAGGTTTCCAGTGAGTATTGTAGAGCAGTGGATATTCATTCCGTGGAATAGGACTATGGTCAACTGTTAGTGTTTGCTGTGCCTCGATGTTGACTGCGTGCTCGTACTCCAGACCCTGCAACTGAAGAGGAGCTCGGTGCTGTCCCAGAAATGGGCCTTACTGAGACGAAGCAGGCAATTGACGCTGCAGCGCGTGCGTTCAAGACATGGGGAAAGACCACCGCGAAGGTGCGCCGTGACTATTTAACAGCGTGGTCAACGGAGACCGACATACTCCACCAGCACCGGCACGATATCCTCCTCCGCTTCCACGCGCTCATGCAGGAGCACCAAGATGATTTGGCGAGGATAATCGTACGTGTTGGCTTACTGCGAGTTTAGAAGGAAAGTAAAAATGGACTGTGGTATTGCTAGACATTGGAAAATGGCAAGCCTCTGGCGGAGGCTAAGGTTAGTTGCTTTTCTAAGCGTTCCCACTTGTACGAAAAGATTCCAATTGAGCACAGGGTGAAAACGCGTACAGCGCGTCTTTCCTCGAGGTGCGTGCTTATATTCACTCATCACTTAGCCACGATTCATGTCCTGCTGGACGCATTGTCAGTGGTTTGGTGAGCATTCTATTATCCCAACATTAGACGACATGTCAATCAACTCTGTACGCCTTTGAAGCCGAGGAGGCAGTGCGAACCTATGGAGGTATGCATTTTCGGTAATGTTTATACCGTCGCACGATGGCTGAAGGATACTTGATTTCTAGAGGTCATACCATCGCCGTTCGCCAATCTTCGAAATGTCGTAGTCAAGCAACCCATCGTTTCGTGTTACCTCGTCGGCGAATAGTTGTGGTGCTCACTCGAATACTCATCACACGCATTTTCAGGTGTCGTGTGCGTAAGCCTTTCCTAGGCGTTGTGTCCAAGCTTGACGTCGCTAAGAGTACACTGACACACTAATGTTATTAGCTCGATCCTGACGCCATGGAACTTCCCCTCCGCCATGATCACTCGCAAGCTTGCTGCCGCGTTGGCTGCGGGGTGCACAGCGGTCATCAAACCGCCCCCGGAGACTCCTTTCTCATGCCTTGCCCTCGTTGAAGTATGTTATTCATCGAAACAGTCTTCTTCAACTCAGTCTTATTACACACAGCTGGCAAATCGTGCAGGTGTTCCACCGGGCGTTATCAACGTCGTAACGACACAGGCGAACGTGAACGACGTCGGCCGCGAGATGTGCGAGAACGTCGCTGTGAAAAAGGTTTCCTTCACCGGCAGTACGAACGTCGCACGCCTGTTGTACCGCATGGCTGCTAGCACAATCAAAAAGTGCGTCAGCTTTCACCACGCCTTGCAGCCCGTGCCAATCTTTGGGCTACTTGACTTTCTTTCAAACGCAGGGTATCAATTGAAGCCGGTGGAAACGCGCCATTTATTGTCTTCGATGATGCGGATGTCAATGCAGCGGTCGAAGGTAAATAATCAAATCCACCACATTCCGTACTCATATCGCTTTTAGGTGCTATTGTCTGCAAATTCCGTGGTAGCGGCCAGACCTGCGTATGTGCGAATCGCATTTATGTGCAGTCGTCCATCTACGCAGACTTCGCCTCGCGTCTGGCAGAAAAAGTCGCAGCGTTCAAAGTCGGAAACGGACTTGAGAGCGATACGTACGTCGCCGGTGCACCTCATGCATCCGGACTATCGCATTGACTTGACTTGTCGCAGGACACACGGTCCATTGATCCACGAGCGTGCCCTGGAAAAGGTCAAGCGGCACGTCGATGATGCTATTGAACGGGGCGCTCAGCTTGTGATGGGCGGATCCCGCGTCCCTGGCAAGGGCACTTTTTTCGCACCGACAGTTCTCTCGGACGTGCCCGCCGACGCGCTGGTCAATACCGAGGAGACGTTCGGGCCGCTCGCAGCCCTGACGCGCTTCGAAACTGAGGATGAAGTCATACGACTGGCGAACAACACATCTGTCGGTTTGGCAGGCTACTTTTACTCGCGGGATGTGGGCAGGGTGTGGAGGGTTGCGGAGGCGCTGGAGGTAGGTATGGTGGGCACGAACACTGGGCTTATTAGCCAGGCGGTCATTCCGTTCGGCGGCGTCAAAGAGAGTGGGCTTGGTAAGTGTGTAACTTTATTGTGTCACGGGAGGGATGTGGTGAGCGAGATTATCCAAGGATGGTCTCATTTCCCATTCTCTCGTGCGATGAGCACGGTGGGATATCTGATACGGCGTGAATCGATGCCGGAGACCACTTGGGAATCTGGCATGTTTATTAAGGTGGTGGTGGTCCTTGGATTACCTCACTTGTTTCGCTCCATCTGTTTAGGTTCTTCTGCGCAGATCTGGCACGGATACTGATAGTTCCTCATTCTCCCCGTACAGGTCGCGAAGGAAGCCACGGCATCGAGGAGTACATGAACACCAAGTTCATTGCCTTCGGCGGATTGTAAACTCGTTACGATGCAGCTGCCCAGCACTTTGGACTCATGCCCAACAAAGGATTGTCTGCGACACTGACAGTGCGTTTGAGCTGCGCCCCGCGTAGGCGCGGAGGCGCAGTTGTATCCATATGTATGTATCTCTCGGAATTGTACTCGCTAGTCTTCTGTCAGCGAAGTCGAAGGTCCGGAAGCGGCGGTTAAGCGTACTTTGTGGGCGCGGTATTTCTTCGGTGTGGTTCTACGCTGCGGTACATGCATAGCCGCGCGTATGGAATATGCAAGCCGTTCGGCGTTTTTGCTCCGTTCTCCCACCGCCTAGAGCTAAGCTTTGGTTTTACCATAACAACATATGTTGCGAAATGCTGAGAGATAGACGAGTGGTGAGCGCTACGATCATGCAGGACTTGTAGTCACGAGCGGTTGGGCCTTGACCAGACGAAGCAATCCAACTTCGATGAGTCGCCCGTTCAACGTTCAGTCCTGGCTACATGCATGCGCCTTTATAAGTCCAGACTGCGGATGAAATTTGCGTATGCTAGCATCATTGCATGACTGCGACAAAGGTGACGCTGATCGTTGGATTGCAGGTAGCCGCCCACAGTATCCTGTGCAAAATCATCAGCACCTGCAGTTTCTGTCGGGGCTTCGAATGTGGCCCACATTATGCGAGCAACATATCCAGGTTGCTCTGTCAACCTCGAGAACTTCAGCGTACAGTGTCGAGTCTCGGAGTCGCTCAGCGTTTACATGGATATCCGCCAAACGCGCGCGGACCGGACGCGCTAGTGGCAGTGGGCGCACGGCCACGTGAGCGCGCGCCACGTTTGGAGCGAAGGCGCAGCTTGTAGTTGAACGTTGAACGTCCAACCTAGGCTCATGACTCAACTCGACAAATTTCTCTCACAAGTGAGTACCGCCTGTTGGCATGACTGTCTCCTGCACACTCACCCGATGATAGCGTCGTCGAGTCCAAGCTTCACCGAGTGGCATCTGAGGACGCGTTATCATCGATACCTGATTAGCGCGGGGGCTTCAGTTTCACGCTGTCTCGCCGATTTTTTCTGCTAGTATCACTGTGGACTAAAGTGCATGCTGGTAGCGCTGATCGACGAGGGAATAAAGTTTATATAACCGCGATGCGCGTGCTGGGTGCTGTGTAAAGTGTCCCCCTTCCCCCCGACGTCCTGCACAGATCCCGCCTACTTTTCACCGCCCCCCGGCGCGTCGGTAGCGATAGAAAGTCTCAGCCTGCAGAACTAGTTGCACTGCATCAATCCTCTGCCGTGGAGCTTTCAAACGAACGACAATACATCTCGGAACCGGCGCTGTGGCTGTGTCATTCTCCTGGAATATATAAGGTGAGTGCATTGATCCTTTATTCTCACAGAACTCACAGAAATTGCACACCTGTAGATGTCTCTTCCCTACGGCTACCAGCCTCAGTTCTACTACGCGACTCCTTACCTTTCCCCTTATTACCATCCGACCCACATCTCCCCCTATATCCCGAGCGTAAATCTTCCCGCATCTCCTCAGGTAACCCAGCGTCGCGTGCATTTTGACGATGGGGTAGTACCATCCCCTCAACCTCGCTCCCGGCGACCTTCATGGCATGCCGGCATGGAAGGCATGGCACCAGCACCTAACCCGGCACCTTTCCCGTCTCCTCCATTCTTGTATACCTCTCTCCCGCCTATGTCTCCTTACGTTCCGCCCGCAAGTTACACTCATCAGCGACGGCGTTCCGATAGCTCGCTCCCGCAGCCTACATGGATTGCTATCCCTACATACTCCACGTATGCCCAGCCAGTCGTTTATCCTAGCCCAGCTCCAGCACCCGCCCACCAGCTGCATCCTCTCATCGATGGCGAGTCTCTACAAGGACCCTCACTCCTCTTCGACATCTCTCTCAACGCGTTTACTCCCCGCCGCATCACCTCCCACGGGCGGGTCAGTGATTCCACGCTGGGTCTCGAGGAGCTCGGCGAGCAGGCGACGCACCCAGGTGTTACGCGTATGAAAATAATCTGTGACGCGATCCCTCAGTGGCCCATCGTGCTGGAGGCAGAGCGCGACCACGGGAGGTCGCCCTATCTTTCTGTCCCCAGAGCCAATCACTACGCGCCGATCACTGTTGGCGACGTCCTCATCGCGATTCACCGTACGCTGCAGACGCAGATCTCACACGTCGACTGGGCACGGCTACCTTCTGGAGACGACGTCGCCGTCGCGCGCGCATATACCCGCCGCTGCCGCACGTTCCCGTCCGCGGAGGCCTTCGAGGCGAGCCAGGGCGTGCGTCGCGTGGACTACCTGCTCGACAAGTTCATGTTCAAGGGACTGGTGCGTACGTCGTACCGCGGAGGCTTCGAGCACGTCAAGCTGCTTGTGGGGCCGGCACCGAGGCGGTAGAGGGCCGCAGTGACATCGGACATTGTATGCGCCGGTGGCTGACACGGACGCGGTGTAGGCTTGCTTGCGTGCAGGGACGCTCTTTTTTGGATTATTCTGGGTTGTTCTCTCTTCTCCTGTGACATCTTTTGACTCCGTTTTCCTGCATACTGCGATCCTCGTATACCCTTTCGGTCATTCTCATCTGACTCGGTTCGACTTGTGCGCCTCTCGCCTTTCGGATCTTGTCCTCCTGGTCCACAACGACCTCATACAAATGTTGTCATCCTTCTGCATTCTAATTTATTGTATCATTTAATCTCGTCATCATCATTCATTATGTGGCACTCGTGTTCTCAGATCCTAGGAAATATTACGCTACATGTAGTATGAACAACAGATAGAGTTATGTAATATGGAGAGTTGAAATGCCTCTTGCCTATAGGCCCAATGACTTCCTACGACCACCCTGCGGTAGCATTATGCAATATATGCTGCGCCCGGCCCGCAGTTTCACCTTGAGATTGCAGCAAAACCCAAGGACCTCAACTACATATGGAACAATTGGGTGAACACAGCTACACATCTGACCTGGGCAGAACAAGATACGTGAGTTCTACTCTCACTGAACGGCTGGACAATACAGTGATGATGATGATGAATTCAGCATTTATATACCGCAACAAGCAAGCACATGCTGAGACGAGGTCGATACATGAGTGTCTACCGTACGAATCTTGAGAGGAAAATGGTAGATAAAAGTAAAATGTAGATCGTGTCGCTCGGGGTGTGGGGTGGGATTGAGGTGATCCTCAGTGTCGTGGCGTAATACATGTATCATGGTGCATATCGAATAAGTTATAAAGAGAGGGGAAAGACATAGGAAACATAAAAGCGGAGGGTGTCGTCTTCTTCTACCAGGGGCGCAAGCCGATTTTGTTCTCCTGGTGCACGCGTGTCATTAGGTGTTGGAGTGTGTGAGGGGGGAACGATACTTTGCCGTGCAGCTAGTACCGTGAGGGTGCTTCGTAGCGGCTCGCCTACGTGTCATCGTCGCCATCGTAGTTGGCAGGGTCGTCTTCACTGTCGCTGGTTCCCCCTGCATGTTGTCAGTGTTGTTGTCCTTGGACAATACAGTGCGGAGCGGGAGAAGATGCCTCTTAGCGGGACACATGAACGTAATTAGTGGGTAAGAAATCCGAGCAATATGATTAGATATCACACACCGTGGACGCATAGCGGCAAGACGTGCCAGACAGCGGATACTGTCTGAATCAGTGTCGTGTAGCATCGAAGCCAGCGACAGAGCGAACATGCAATGGGGCATTTTCGGCGGCATCTTTTCATTCTGATTGAGATATGGTCGCAAGCAGGGCCAACCCCAAGTCTGGGACAAGACTCTCAGTTCGGGACTATCATGCAAATGATGGTGAGCTCCGAAGAAATGGCAGTAGAGGACAGGGAAGACAAAAAATGCCACAGTCAGTGCTCCGATTGCAAATTACAGCCGTCATTCAGTCAAGATGTCTCGTGCCCTCGGCGGTTACTGGAGACATAGGATGCCAGAAACACTGCACGAGGGGACGTGGACGACTGTACGGAATGTTGCTTAGCTTCGTCCTTGCACCCTGCTTACACGTACGGCACTGAAAGGGTGTATATAATTTGACTCACCTGGCAGTCTATAATGCAGATCCCCCAGTCAGTGCAATAGGACATGTTGAGATACATCAACAGAGTGAATGTACATGGCGCTGAGGACGGTGATGAAGATAAGATGAAGCTTAAGATGCCATGAATGATGATTGTCAGGCAATAGAACATATAAGCATCTACGAAGGGAGATGACTAGCTTCCTTTGGCATCCCCCCAAGCTTTGATTTAGCAAGCAATATATGCAAGAATGTTTTCCGCACTTCCGCCTCCGGAAGCCCAAGGAATATACTCGCCATGGTCGGTTGCCGACCGAACTCGAATGCTAAAGCAGCTATATCACTAGAACTGAGTCCCGGATTCTCTTTCTGCATGAGGTCAACGGCCTGGACGGCGGGCGCCTGAGGCTTGTCCTCCGGAGTCTTCATCGTCTGCTCGAATACAACAGCGAAGCGCTGGAGAGATTCCTGGAGGACGGACAAGGTAGCGGCAGCGGCACCAGCAGCAGCAATGACAGCAGCGTTTGCACCGCTTTTGCCGGTCTCATCGGAGAAGGTAGACCTCGAGGAGACCTTCGATGAAGAAGCGAAGGAGGGGGAGGATCTAATTGAAGGGTTCGGAGTGCGCTTGCCAGATGTTGTAGGTGGCGGGACGGACGCAACAGAAGCGGCAGACGTAGATGCTGGGTAGGAGGGATAGGTGCCGCGAGCAGTCCTGAGCATGATGCGTACCACATCATCGTAAGGAGACCACCCGTTGTTCTTGAACCGGCGCATAACTCTGTGAGACTGCCGTTTGATCAGCGATCAATTCAGAATTAAAATGAGAATGGTACACACCTTCACTTTCAAATAATCATCCCAAGCAGCCTCAGACGAGATATTGATCCCTGCACCATTCTCTGTGCTCCACAATGCCCCCGGCTGCGACTTGTAGGTCTCTATGGCGGTATATGTGGCCTTCAACTACGTATAGGTGAGTGAGTGAGTGGTGAGCATAGGATGTTAAAAGTACGCACCTTCATCCATTTTGCTTTCAACATGGCCGCGTTCTTGGCCGCGCCCTCTGTCGTTAAAGCCGCAACAACTGGGAGTGCAGCCTCAAATGCGGCGTCTTCGAAGTCTGCCCTGTCGCCAGCCTGAAAGGCACTGGCTTCGAGATACCTGAGTAAAGCGGCGATCTCTTCGTCGTTCCAAATTGCTCTTCCTCCGTGGTTTCCTCCCGCGAGGTCGACATGGGCAGAACAGTAGACATAGTAAAGACGAAGAGGCAGACGGAGACGGAGACGGAGACGTGCTCGATGTATGCTGCACCGAGGGCTGCTATCTGATGTCTGCGGTGGTCCATAGCCAGGTTCAGGAAGCGTCGGCTAAATGCGGGAAACCAAGTCACGATGGCGCGTATGGTCACGTCAAGATGGTGCAAAGCTGGACTCACCTCTCCCCTCAACACAAATGTCTGCCTCCAAATCTCTAGTCGTCCTTGTCAAGCACCTTGCTCATCTCATTTCACGACCGCTATCATTTTCAGACACATAGAGGACTCAAATGCCCGGCGCAACTTTATCGGCGCCCCCTTTCCCGCAGCCGCTGAGTCTCCCGCTCTCGCAAGACGACCTCGAGCGTATCAATGCGTATCTCCACGACCTTGCGCCGGAGGACATACTGCGGTGGGCGATCGACCACCTCCCGGGACTGTACCAAACCACTGCCTTCGGGCTCACAGGACTTGTCGCGATTGACATGCTGTCGAAGATCACGAAGTCTCCGCCGCCGCTCATATTCATTGACACGCTCCATCACTTCCCTGAGACGTACGAGCTCGTAGAGGAAGTGAAGAAGAAGTATGGTAGCTCGATACATGTGTACAAGCCCGAAGGGTGCGACGCCGTCACGGACTTCGAGAAGAAGCACGGCGAACGGTTCTGGGAGGTGGATGAGCAGACATATGACTTCGTGGTGAAGGTCAGACGTCGTGCTAAAGTTACGCTGAAATTTATCGCTGATTCTATTGATATGGAATGCAGGTGGAGCCCGCACGGCGTGCATACGAAGAGCTCGGAGTGAAATCCGTTATCACTGGACGACGGGCCTCTCAAGGTGCGGACCGAGCCAACCTCTCGCCGCTCGAAGTCGATGACACGGGCCTTCTCAAACTGAACCCGTTGTTTGCGTGGACATTCCCATTCGTGGAATGGTACATCAAAGAGAATAACGTTCCGCGCAATAAGTTGCTTGACCAGGGATACCGCAGTGTCGGCGACTGGCACAGCACGGTGAAGAGTGGCGAGGGCGATGCTGGGGAGAGGGCAGGGCGATGGGCGGGGAAGGCAGAGAAGACGGAATGTGGTTTGCATGTCGACTATTTCTCCATGAAAGCGGCCGCGAAGAAGAGGGTGAGCACACGTTTCGCACTGCCCAGGGGTACCTGGAGCTGACTTGACGTTATCTAGCTGGACGAAGTGAGGGTCAAGGAGGATCATACGGAAACGCCAGCTGCTCCTGCCGCGGTGGAGGCCAGCGCTTGAGCTTGTATGTGATTTATATGTTCGTTCATTGGTCCGCCGCTAGTACGTCTTCGGGCCTCAGGCCCAAGCCCCATGACGCGCATTTCTTGGTATGGAGATGCTATATTGCATGTGTACGACTACTAGAGTGTATTGAAGAGGAACGAACACCAGTCCTGTTGTCCACGTTACTACACCTCTAGGGCTCGGCTGGCTCGCGAAGCATGTCTCTGAATCAGGTACAGCTTCTCGCGGAGACCCTCTGCGACATATCTGGTGAACGAGGATCGTTCTCCCACACCTGCAGCGTTCTGACGCAGGAAGACCTGTGGGATTCGCGAACAAGGGTCTAGCATGATATTCGTAGCTGCCGTACATGCCCACATGTTTGGCGCGAGCCCCCATGTATGTACCTATAGGCTCCGATGCCTCTTCAGCGCTAGACATGCACCGTATTTATGTTCCGTTTGATGCTCTCGACTTCCCTCACAGCTTCAACCTGTCTGTGCATCAGGATAGCGTGCGGGGATGGCGACCAGGTGTGTCGCTCGTCCATGCCCTCTGCTCTCTATCCAGCTGACCAGAGTTGCACAACAGCACCGTAACCAACATCGCCACTGGACGCATACCTCTGAGGTAAGTGGGATTTGATTTTGATTTCGGCAGACACTCATCCCTTGCCGCTCATTAGACCGTCATTGGGTCCCGAAGGTCTCCCTCCCCTCCCAGAGATATACTCGGACGCGATCCGGAGGCAGATATTCACCCATAGGAGCTACTATGCGCGCCCGACGCACATCTTCGAGGACGCTCCTTACGATCCCAGCCCAGACAACGAGATGTCAGTATCTTTTCGTCTGTCAACCAAACAGTGCGAAGTGACTGAAATCTCCATGGTGTTCAGGCTGGAACATCTTGGTGATACTGTACTCAGTCTCGTCGTGATCAATTTGATGCGGGAGGTCTTTCCGTACCTCCGTGTGGGCCCATCGACGGTGAGTAGAACCATTAAAGCACCTTGTCCCGTCTGACGTCACATCGCAGAAAATCCGCGCCCTCGTGGTAGGAAATCCCACTCTCGCTTCTATGTGCGCATCATTTCCCGATTCTCGAAGACACGGGATCTTGCCCACCGCGATTCCTAACCCACATGTTCACCAGTTCTGTGAAATATCGTCTCCCGGTGCACCTGCGGATGCACCCGGCCCAGGCTATCACCCTGAGGGCCTCTCTGCATATCCAAGGCACGCTTACTTTCGTACATGGCTTATCATATACTGATGCAGGTGTCTTATGACAGCCGACTTGTTCGAGGTGACTATCGTGCTCGCAAATCATCCTGCGTTGGTCTAACACACACCGCCATGAATTTGTTCAGGCTTTTGTGGGAGGCCTCTACCTCGATCGTGGCCTCGAAATCGTTCAATCGTGGCTGTTCCCACTCCTCCAACCCTACATCGTGGAAGCCTACCGCATCGTCCGTGTGCAGCACGGTCTCCCTGCCGATCCGCCGCGCATCGAAATCAACACCCCCTCTTACGATAGCTCGTCCTCCGGCGGCAGCTCCGCCCCCACCTCGCCCACCTGGTCCACCCCGGCACCGTCCCGCGTGACGGCAAGCATCGGGCACCTGTCGTTGTTCAACCAGCACATGCAGCAGCAAGGCAAGGCGATCGAGTGGGTGTGGGTGGACAGCGCCGGGCAGGGCACGCTCACGACGCCGATCTGGGTCGTGCGTGCGATCGTCGAGGGGGAGTGCATCGGACGCGGGCGCGGGAGCACCAAGAAGGCCGCGAAGAACGAGGCCGCCAAGGTAGGCCTGCAGAGTATGGGTGTATGCGTCTCGTACGTCCATCATTTTCCCTTTGGGATGCATGGTGCTTATGAATGATGCAAGTGCAGCTCGTCTGAGATCCCTGGCTCACTCCCAACATCTTCTCTCTAGGCTCAGGCCGGATGTTCTCAGCAGAACAAGCTGGTCATCCTGCCCCAGTGTGAAGAGATTGTGTATGGGAATGATGAGCCGGCTGTTCTCTGGACAACTCAGAAGAGTGCGTACACCGTTTAGATGGAAGTGACGATATCCTTGTATCAATATCCATGCCCGACCATGCTGTCTTGTGTTCCTACCTCTGTTTTAGTTAGTTCCCTCTGTAACGTGCATATGTGAGATGATATTTGAGGAATGTACTAGAGCTGTAGTAAAGAATATACACGTCTGAGACTTTTGGAGTCAATACATGAGTGGGGGGGACCATTGCGCGATGGACATACTGATGAAGCGGGCCGTACATACTATGGGTCCTTCATTTTGCCTATCCTATCCACTGGCGGGGCACCCCAGACAAGAGTTTTGCTAGATGGATCCAACAGGCGAGGGAACTGTTGGTCAAGTAACATAGGCAGTAACCCTCTCCCTGCAGTAGCCAACCCTCCCGAGGTCGATGGTATTGGCAGCGTAGGTGCTGTCTGCTCCTGCACCTGCGGCGCTATGGGCGGCTCAACCGCCACGACACCCCTCGTCGCCTCCTTCTCCAGAGTCCGCACGGCCTCCTGGTCCTCCAGGCTCTTTATCCGCGCGCTGCGAAGAGAGCGCGCCTCCTCGTCCACGTCGTCGAACACGTCCTGCTTCACTGCACTGATGGAATAAGCCCACACGCCGACCGCAAATGACGCGATCAGGATCCCGGTCACTGCGTTGCGGATGCGGAAGGGCTCGCGGGCACGCTTGAGGCCCGGGGACATTAACTGCGTGCGCTGCGTTACATGGCTGGTTGCGCTGGATGGAGACAGCGACGTACAGCGTTATACGGTCTCCATGAGGAGCGTGCCTCCTTCCGCGAAATATATGGGTCGGCCATTGTGCCAGACGTCGTCGCGGTGAATAGCAGATATGTGTGGCGGAGAAAGACGGCACCACCGACACGCTCAACAAGCTTGCGGTACGGACTTATCTCACGTGAGGTGTCATACATATTATCACTCATAAATGTTCTATTGCACTTCTGCAATTATGATTTACACGAATGCACTGTGAGTATCGCCATGAAATACACTTGTAGAACGCGCCACACAGAAAAGAGGTCGGTCGAGAACAAAATGATGTGAGCTCCTCCGTGTTGTCCCGTTGCAGCGGCGGCACCCTCAACGCGAAGAACGACGATGATAGCATCACATCTCAGTATGAATATTTCACGGCGAATGCAGACGACCCATGATATTGTCTCCACTCTAGTCCGACATCTGCACAGATTACTCCGAAGCGGGCTTGCCCTGTGCCCCCGCGCGTACCAAATCCATTGCGATTCAGTACGCATCTCAAATTGCAAGTGCAGACGTCTCACCCTGATCAAGGAGAACGCGCCGTACGCGGTCATAGCCATGGCTACCGCGAAACCGGTGTAGTACGTCCCTGCAGCGCACGGTTAATGGAGTGTCGAGAGCGCGCGAGCGGTGAACCATCTACTCACGAACATAGATTTTTGAACGCGGAAGACGGTAATAGATCGGCTCATGAGAGCTCTGGAGGGTACACTGAGGAGAAAGTCGCGGTGCGACACAGTTGACATACCTGGACGAACTTCTGCGTCTGCGGCACACGGTTCGGGACTAGTGGCAGACATTGAGAATAATCATAGAACGTTCTACGAGCACATACGGTTGGTGAGATAGTTGAACATCTCGCGGTAGTCTGCTCTTGTTGAGATAGAGAAAGGTCGGGGAGGAGATGGAGGAGGTCAAGGGAGGAGGCGGAGTCTCAACCCGTTGACTGGCGGCTCGGCTCGAGCTGTCTCGACTTCCGTCCATGGCCGCAGAGCGCGTTCGCGTCAGAGTATGTTGCCAGTCCTCACAGAAAACATGTTTTCAATAAGTCCGTTCCGTACAGGGTCTCACCATACACCGTCCTATCATCTATGGCAATACTGCAGTCGTGCTTACGCAGGAAGAACGGAATGCATTGACCACGTCCGACCACACTCACCGCTGGACGGTCGCGGTGCGTAGTGCTGCCTCTGCCCCGGACTCAGATATCGTCGGAGGTGCAGATGACCTCGGCTATTTCATCAAACGCGTCACTTTCAAGCTGCACGATACGTATGCAATGCCGACGAGAAGTGAGTCTCAAAGGCTATGTCGTCCTTACCCAACTAACTCCTTGAACACCCTTAGACGTAGACAAAGCCCCCTTCGAGGTCTCGGAGACAGGGTGAGTCGGTTTGATCATGAACATAAGACATTGCTAACTCAAAGTATGTCCACAAGTTGGGGTGAATTCGAAATTCAGATGCGAATAAATTTCGTCAACGAATCCGGGGAGAAGGGCGTTGTCCTCTATCACCACTTAAAGCTGCATCCATGGACAGCGGTCGGTAGTAGCGATCCTGAAATTCCGTCCCTCGAGAATGCCATGAAAATGGGGCCCGTCTATTCATGGCAGTACGACGAGATTGTTTTCCACGAGCCTTACCAGACGTTCCTCAACATCCTCACCGCACACCCGCCGACACCTCTACCAAAGATAAAAAGAAACCCGGTGCCATTCCACACCGCGAACCCGGGTTCCTTGGAAGCATCCAAGGGCGGAGTGCCTGAGTTCACACAAGCGATGGAAAAGGAAGAAGCGGAGAGGCTGGAAAATGCCAGGAAGACGGTGATTGCAGAGCAGGACAAGTGGAGGGAGAAGCTTATCGAGAAGGAGAAAGAGCTCGACCAACTGCGACGACAGTTGGCATCTATGTCATGATGATTATCGACATTGTAACATTACGGATGAAGCCGTGTAAGGATACATGTAGCTTTGGTACATCAAAAAAATACAGCAGTGGCCAAAAATACAGACACCATCAGTGCCAGGGAGTCCAACCTGGATACATCTTCGCCTAACAGAAATATGAGCACTTCCAAAGACTAAGCCTGAATAGAACAGTGCGCTCACTAGATTTGCGTCGTCTGAAGCTTCTTGGATCAGCACTTGAACGAGGCCACTAGTCGATATCTCTTTCTCGGTTCGCTCACGGCTCGTGGTATATATACCCTTGAGCTTCTTGTCGATTGTCTTCAGAGCGTTCTTGGCAAGACTGCGTAAATCTACCGAAGCGCGGACAGTGTTCCTTCTCTGGGCCTCTCGTTCCTGTAGTCAAGGCGGTCAGGGTTGGAAACAAAACGGGCAAGACAAATGTAGGACTTGCCATCTTGCGCTTTTCGTCCTCCCATTCCACCAACGGATCATGCACGAATGCATCGAGCACGCTCATCAAACTGTCCTTGTTCTCTCTGAGCAATTGCATGGTCACCTCACACGCAATACGGAAGACGCCTGCAACGCAAGTAAGCAACAGGCAACGTGAAAATGACTATGAAGTACAACCTTCCACACCAGTGACTCCCATGCCATCTACCACGTTCTGCGTCAATCGGAAGGGGACTCGCTCTGGTGTCTCCAACGTTTTTCCCTGTTACACAATCGGTCACCACTCTGAAAGTCTGTCGGGTACTACTCACCTTCTCGAACAGGCAGTTGAAATCGACATGGATGGCATCGCCGGTGTTAATGTCAAGCAGGATGTTCTCGCAGTGCCTGTCGCCCAATCTGATAACCAATGAGATATCCGTCTGTTGTCAGGAGAAAAAGCACACTGACCCTACGATGAATCCGACCATTGACATCACTGCAGCAGTCCTGCTGTACGCCAGCCGACTGGCCAGCCATGCAGTGGGCTCCGGGAAAGTCTCTACGAACCAGTCATGAAACACCGGCGGAAACCTACGATCGCCCCTCCTATTAAATCACTATGGGTAAGGTCAATGACGAAGATCTGTGCACCCTCTTTGTCTGATGTTTCCTTGATTTTCGCGAAAATTAGATTCATCTCGGGCGACTTGCCGCGTCGAATGAGTAAATATCGCCGACCATCAGCATGCTCTGACTCACCCAGCTACGAACATTGCGGCGCTCGTACCCCTTCATGAGAATCGGCCGGATAGGAATCGTGTTAGGGACCCATTGGATGAACCCACACTCTTCATTTAATGTCACGACACCGTAAGTGCGAATATCTAAAGAATGCACGAATAAGGCATAACAACACTGAAAGGTGGACGAAACTGACGGAGTTGTCGTCGACGTGATTCTGAATTTGACTTGAGCAGTTTGTTCACGATAGCATTGAAATCCATCAGACGAGCATCCTTGCGCAAATCATCCTTTGGCTTTCCCAAAAACATGTAAATTTGACCATTGCTCCCCTGAATCGTAATCTTGCGCGGTTTAGCTAGAGAGCGCATCACATCGATTTCGTCGTGGAATCCTACAACGTCCACAGTGAGTACTTCGAGGCAAAGCAGGAAATATGTACTGACGTGCAAAGGTAGGTACATCTAAGGGAAACGGCTGATGCACTGCATGCGTCCCATCGGGTAGCACAATTTCTAATGATGACGTCGGGGGAAGGCTGACAGTGAGAGATTCTTGCAGCGGGATGACTAGTTGTGAAGGGGCAAGACGAAAGAGACTTGGGAAGTCTTTCGTCATACTTAAAGTCTTTTTGTCCTCTCTCACAGGGTAATCACAGAGAGATAGCAGCTCTTCCGTCATGTGCAAGCTATCATTGATTAATTTGGGAACATTTGTTTCCGTGAGTGTCTGCAAACAAAACGCTCAGCCTAATACAAGCAGTGACGAAGCTCACACTAACACGAAGTTTGTCAAGGATAAGTTTGCCTCTATCCGCTCTCTGCGGTTTTGTTGATTTGACAACTGACGTGAACAACCACAGTGCTTGTTTTGGATACTCTTGAATGACCATGGAGATTAACTTGGACAAGACGCCGTACACTGCATCGTTGCCATGTCCAACACGGGAGACGATTTGAGGAAATGCTGTGAACCACTGGATATAACGTTAGCAAAACTTTCCTCTGTGTTTTTTCTACAACCACCTTGTACACAGGGACGGATTTAATTGCACGCGAAACTTCCATGTTTATACGTTGGAATATTTCGGATTTCGCAATATTGCCGTCTTCACCCATGTCCATCCATAACGTGAGCACTCGTGGAACTGTCTGATAGATATACTTTGATCCATATCTCATGGCCTTAACATAGTTTCGAACGGTTTGAAGGTTCATCCTCATTCCTCTTGGATCTACAATCAAAGGAACGCACAAAAAGCGGACCAACGAGACTCACCGGTTTAACTGGTCTTCACGTGAAAGAGCTTTGTAACATTCGTCTTGAAACTGTCCAAGATAGAATTGGCCACTTTCCCATCTGGAGAGGAAGCTAAGCACAAGCATTATGACGGATCCCAGAATCTTACTTCGGGCATAAGTCTGCCGCATTTTGATATGCCTTCACCACAAATGAAGCATCAAATCGATCGGATTCGTTCATCCATCGAGCACGCAGAAGTTGAGCCTGAAAATATTTAGATATTGATAAGCGTCAAGGTATCCAATATACCTTCGCTTTTAACTTCATGTCCTCCTTGTCATCCGTGAGATCAATAACATCTTCGCCCATTATACCAGATAGCCGCATAGAATTTTCCAACTCTTGCAATGCTCGAAGGGGTTCGCCGCTGGCCTTAATGAGTTTTACATTCTGCATAAAAGAGAAAGGAAGTTTGCAATGCTGCGCCTGTAACATGGCACTGTAGGCAGTCTGCCAGTGTCCGGCCTTCCGAGCAATTTTGGCGCTAGCTAGCCATGCTTGTCCTATAACCTCTTTGACGCTATGAGCATTGGAACAGCTGCAAAAGAGGTAAAACAAGAAATCCGGTTGATATTCGGCGAACGTACCTTAGGCCAAATGCCGTTCGCCGCATGCTCAGAATTGGTTCCCGGATTCTGAATGTAGGCAAAGTCGAGTTGAAACGTGCGGATAACCGTTGCGAGACGTGGTCGACCACTCTGCGCGGAGTTCCCGAGCCTTGCCCACCTGGAAGACTGGTCATAGCATTATGTATTACCTCCAACTCGTGCACGAGATGCAGATCGAGGACAGCATCGTAGGATCGTCGGTAGCCTTTCGCACCGGCAGCTATAATGGGAGTGCCCAGTAATCTTCGTGCCACCGCTAACGAGTCCGAGATCGTCACGGTGTCACCAGCGCGCATGGCCAAGAGTACTTGTGCCAGAAGTATGGGAGACGTCTGAGCTTCGGTACTCCGGATTAAAATCTGTACCTCTCCCCAATTACCAACCATCCATTCACTCTCAACCTGAAAACCGACTAATTGCGCCTGCCAATTTGGATTGCGGACTAGAACACCTTTAACATGAGTACGCAACGTGTCTGCAAGAAACGAATTACCAGACATACAAAGAAAAAGCCAAAATTAGGTCCATACCGTAGTGTCCCAGATTTCGGAGACAGCGTAGTAGACCCAAGTGAAAGTCGAGGTTATCTGGAGATTGTTGAAGCCTGACTTCCCAACAGCTTTGCGCCGATGTCCACCGGCCCGTACTTTCGTGCTGTCGGATCTGGTGCTCTAGGGATGGTGACAGAATCAGTGTGGAAATGCCCTCCATTCCATCTGGCTCATCCAAATGAGCGTATATTTCGTGTAGACGCTCATAGTGTTCATGGAGTTGATTGCTGTTCGCGTTATTGGCTCGTAGGGTCACGACTTGCTGTTCAAAATTCATGAGGGAGCGAGCGTAAGCCTTGCATTGCAGTGCGGCTTTCGCCATGAGACTTGGATCTATGCTCGAGAGGATAGAATCAACTCTTAGGAGTTGTTCTTCGGCCTCGCTGCCTACTTGATTGGCCCGGGCTCTCTTGCTTTCTGCCTTCTTGGAGCTGATGTCCTGACGAATGACACGTACCCACTGATTGATGTGATCCATGAGCATGAACACGGTCTAATGAACAAGCGTCTTAGCGGCATGTACAATGCACATAACGAAGGTGAACTGACCTGCGCGCTGAGAAGCTTCTTGTCGGCAGAAGATTGCGAGCTCGTCTCAACCTGATCTTCAAGTACTGCTAGCAATTCGGACCGGATTTGTTGAGTATCGTCTTCTTCACCAGAGATAAGGACGTTTAGCACAAGATGGGGAAGAAGATGGTGCGCTACTCCAACGTCTTTGTTACGCACGACGGCGGGGAATACGTTAAATATGGTAACAGCCTGTTCTCCTGAAGCTTTATTGAGAAGATGACCAGTCCACGATTGAATCCATTCGCGATATGTCTGCTTTGTGGGATAAATGGGATGCTGCAACTCTTCATGATAACGAGCTTCCACCTTGAAGCGCGAGTCCAGGAGAGGGGTGACGGTCTCAAGGACGTGCTTGGGGAGACTGTTCCAGCGATTCCTAACCTTCAGAGAGATAGAATTGGTGGATCCAGGAGTGACAAGGGCGGAGGTAAATTTGCAGAAGTGTAAGAGCTCTTGGATTGCGTAGGCGAGATAGCTCTGGTAGTTAATGTCGCTGGTAGAGCGGAAAGCACCCACAAGAATATCTCGGATGAGATGCAGAGCAAAGGACGCTGACTCGGCCTCGTCCATAAAATTGCTGAGCATAACAATTCGAGTATCATTGACACCCATGTCGAGCCTATCGGGATCAACAGCACCCAGAACTCCGATGCAGTCAAAGGCTACCATGTGCAAAGTATCGGTGTCGTCTCCATCGCGGCAGGCCGCTGCGAATAGCGTGGAGAGGATTTGACCAACCAGAGGATCAAACACATCTCCAAAAGCGAGTGCCCGAACATAGCCTTCCTCTTCGACGCTCATGAAGGCCTTCAGCTCATACAAAGACTGCACCGCCACGGTAACACTTTCGCTAGTTGCGCGTTCCAGGATCCTTTGTAGTTTATCCCGAGGTTTCCACGCGCGGCGGAGGTGAGCTAGTCTCTCCTGTGCTTCGGAAAGTTCAGGAATAGTACCGAGATCGACTACTTCATTTAGATATGGACCAAGGTCTGCACCTTTGCCACATACGATGAAGGTCAGGCACCGCTTGGCGGTATCACGGCCTTGCGTTGAAAACGCCGGCCAGTACGCTACGAAGGATGCACTGGTCGGACCGACGTGTGGTCCAAGGTCGCGAGTTTCAAGGGATGTCAGAAAAACATGCCAACTCTGTAATGTCACATCTGCAAGTTCCTTGACCACAAGCATGGACTGCAGAGATGTCATAATCTTTGTACCCTGAGGTCAGTATTCGTGATAGCAAATACGGATATACGAGGAGCATACCTGAGGCGCAATACCGCTTACTGCGGTTCCAATCAGACTGATGAATGGCCCCAGGCTTCTCAATACCTTTCTCTTCAAGTCGAGTGACCGCCTTCTCTGCACATCTTGCAAACGATCGTTCAGATGGGACATTATACCGAGCATGTAAGATTTCAAGAACGCCCCTGTATTCTCTGGAGGTGTTCCTCGAGAACCATTTCGCGGCTGCGATACACAACGCTCAATCTTCGTCAGCGCCTGCATTCCCTACTCTCAGATGGTCAGTGTAAGAGCCGTGACCATATCTCCGGCCACGCGACTCACCGTGTCGGCCTCATCTGGATTGTCGGCTCCCAATACAACAACAAGTTCGGCCAAGAGGGGAACAATGTAACTGCGAACAACACTCCCAATATCGATGGCATCACCACCTGCCTCTCGCAGTAGGCCTAAGATAAATCCAAGAGCCTTTTGACTTTGTCCAGGTCCTTGAAGTCGGAACGCATATGCGAGAATCTCGGGACAATGTGCAAGCAAAAGCTTTTGTGGTTCCATATCTGTTTCCTTGGCCACCTCTTCTACTACCCGGAGTTCACAATTGGCGAATATCTGCGGCAAGGTGCGATTCAGTGTCAACCCTACAAAATCTTTGTAGGAGACAGAGATAAATTGGCAAGCTTCCACCAGCATGCTCTTCTGTGTGCAAATACGAGAAACTAGGAAAGGAGCAATTGAGTCCATGTAGGGTGAGAGTAGATTATAAGGCGTTTTTCGATGATATTTTGCCAGACTTTGTAACTGTGGGGAATGGTGAATAGAACAAATTAAAGGAGATACTGGGCCCACTTACTTGCAAGTAAGCGGTTCCATTCAACATCGGGCTTTGTTTTCCGAGCTGAGACACCAAGCAGCAGACGGCTTGACCAAGGATCTCCGCTGTAGCAATTCTGGGCAATATTTACATCGAACTGTTCGCCTGTGGACATCGTCGTAACACTTACTTCCCGATCCTTCCAACAGTAATCAAGGCGGTTTCCTTGACACGGGCATCTTTCAGTTCAAACAACCGGTAAAGCATGGCGAAGAGTCCTTCTGCTCTTTTCCAGGCACCATTGCCATTTGCCTGGTAGATTCTAACCATATCTACCAATGCTTGCCTGCAGTGAGGTATGAGTTATGTCAAGAACGACTGGCAGTTTAGACTTACCCGGCGCCAAGACGCACACTGCGGTCCCCATCCTTCATTCCTCGTACAATCATATCTGTTGTGTGTTCAAAGTCACTGACATCGACTGCATGCGTGTGATATCGCAAGGTCTGAGCGAGAGCATCATACACAGACTTGCGAACCACGGCAGTCACATCCTCTCCAGAACCCTCGAGGAGGAGAGTCGCTACTGGCATATACACAGAGACTGTTGATATTTCTGGTCTGTCAACTGACCAGGAAGATGAGGGAACGCCTGCGTGGCGTAGGGTAGAGGACAGTTTGGCGAAGTTCTGTGCTAGGGACCGACGAGCTTTTGCAGCGGGGTTGTACAACGGCCTGAAGGAAACGTTTCAGAGTAAAGACTATGATGACAAGCGAAATTTACCTGTTATCCGTGAACCTGCCTTCTATTTCCTTCAATGCACGAACAGTGTACTCGACATCGGTGAGAGGGTTATCGTCATCCATCCACGCAAGCTCGAGTGGTTCGACGACAGCTTGAACATTAACTCTGACTGCAGCACGCCAAGAGGATTGCAATACATTTGCACTCGTCTGCCCTTGTGCAACTTCTCCAGACTTCTTCAACGATTTGAGACGTTCATCGACTGACTGCAGCGTCTCTGAATACGCTTCGTCTTTTCCAGTTGCCGTGAGGGACTCCTTGACCATGCACAGAAACTCCTTGTCAAATTGAGGGATGCATAAGCGTAGAAATGTCACCGTGAGCTTCTGTAACAATTGCATCGGTTAAAGCCCAGGAACGCGAGCAATGGCATACCCTCAAACTGTCTCCCGCCTCTCCCCAACGCTCTGTACGTAGAAATGTAAGAGCAAGCTGCACTTCTGCCGCAACCGGTAAGGTCATAAAGGGTAAGTCAAACATTTGTTGGAGATTAGCATCTGAACGTTCCCAAGAGCTATCTGGACCGGCTTGTAATCTGTGGAGTAGTAACTTGAACCTCAGCGAATCCGCCAGTTCTTCCAAGACTGAGAGAGTTCTCGATGCAACGACTATGGCGTAACACACAGATGTTAAGGCCCTTGCTCTTCTTGGAGCAGAGGTAATACAAGATGGGGAAGACAGAAAATCGAAGATCCGCAGAGAAAGGTCAGCAACATCACGCACAACTCCTAAGAAGTACCACTGTGACGGCAGAGCCGGAGATATGCTTTGGGAACAAACATCAAGAAGCAGGGATAGAAGTACCGGGATCCGAGAAGGACTGTCGATATTGAGTTGGATATTTTCGCCTGAATCCTGTGCGACGGCTTAACCGGGAGTCAAAAAAATCAACCCAACGGTCACATACAGTGATCAACGCAGCGCCAACAGCCTGCTTCTCCTGGAGGAGCGGAGTCGCAAACAGTTTGAATGACACAGGGAACACCTCAGCAGGAGAAAGAGAAAGAAGGTCTAGGACTCATCAGCTATCGTCCGATATGATATGCAGTATTACACACCATTGCACCCACTTACACATTTTAGTAGGATACCCTTCAGTATGTCTCGTGGAAGGGGTATAGCTTCTTCCGACGTGGAACTGCTCCCCAAGGAGCGTAAAACGCCCGCGGAAGTTCGCACGGCCTGATCGCACAATTCTTCTGCAGTAGGATAGCCATCCTCCGCCGGCACGGAATTATCGACCCATATCTCCAGCACGAAACAGAGACGGAGCAATCGAATAAGTACTTTCTCTGCAAAGCCGTCCGATTGCACAAACAAGTGTCCGACACGCTCTGTGGCACGATGCACCACTTCCAGGGAAACTTCGGTGAGCTTGAGTTTTTCGTGTAGAGTACTCCACGGCTGCTCATCAGGTGTTGGAAAAGAATCGAAGAAGACTTCCATCAGTCCCGAAACCACCTCAAACCACGAGGAAGTGTCGTCCTTGCCCAGGTATGGGTCATCACGAATTTGGGCAGAAAGTTTCTGAAGGTATTCCAGGAGATACGCCGGAGATGTGTCACCCTTCGTCTGAAATGTAGCAAAAGGGAGTGGAGTCGGCGTAGGAATGCTCATAGCAGTATGAGAAGTAATCTTGAACCGGTGTTACGAGGAGGGCATGAAGAACAGGTGAACGCGTTTCAACAGCAGTACGTTATGACGCGTCGCGAACACGTGACTCAGTGTGGCTCGCGACACCGATATTCGAATCGACCCAAATATCAGTCCGCAATAGACAGTCGTTACCCAGATCGTAGGGAACGCTCAATATAGGACAGGAAAAGTAGTATCCTCGCCTCATTTCCTCGCTGACCGTCTCTTCTCTCTCGTCTTCTCCCGTTCCATCGCTTTCTGCTCAGCCCTTTCAGACTCAATGGAGCCATATACCCTCTTCATGCGCTCGTTGTATGCCCTGTCCTTCTCCTTCTGCCTCTTCTGTTGCACCGCAGCAAGGAATCGTGCATCCTTACGAAGCTCGCGGATGGCTCCTTTCTTCTCTTGCTTGTACTGGTTCCGCAGCTTGGCAGTTTCGTTTCGTTCGTGATCTGGATCACGGTTACGGAGATAGTTCGAAGATGAATGCTCGAACTTCGGGACGTAAGTGGGAATCGGTATCGGTTTATGTGATTGAAGCATGAGCGGGCGGCGGGCTTGACGGGAGAAATTGAGTAGTCGCCCGAGAGTATTTTGCAAAGTTGTTACTCGTGACTACATTGGAATATCAGCGAAGGAGATAACTGGATGAAGGATCTCTGGGGCTCACGATGAGATCCATGGGAAGACCTTTTGTGACAATTCCTCCAACCAGTTCAACGATAGGGTCATACAGCTCTATAAAGCCTGGCGAGCTCTTGTACATGTCCGCAAAACGTCCCAGCAATTCGAGCGACAGGCCCAAAAGGTCTACTTTCGCCTGTTCGCCGACATTTCTGTCATTTAGGATGCTAGACAAGTCCGGTTTGTTGACAATTAGATTCTTGATCTTCACGGGAGTGACAGTGAGCGATGGACAGTGTTCCGAGCGGAAGTCCGGACATGGGAAATAGCCTGGGACTTCGGATTTATCTACAAATTTATGTGGTGCGAGATGAAGAACGGAGTTGGCAAGCATATTGATTGCCTCGGGTACAAACCGCTTGGACAGTGACTCGTACTGCAGAAAGAGCGTGCACAAGAATAGGCCACTTGCCAGGTCTTGTAATGTTCTGATACGACTCAGGCCAAGATAAGCACCCATGAGCAGCCGAGCAGGAGAGACAACATGATGGTTCTTGTCACTTGTCGGCCATATTTGGCCAATGACACGCAAGAAAGACAGTTCGGGCAAGCCAGGCCACGTCTTCGCGTCGGGATTAGTGGCTCCTCGCGATAAGCCGCGCCTCAAATTTTTGTGCATTAATGTCAACTTTTCGACGAAGTGCTCTGCAGATTGTATCGGGTACGCCTTCGTCAGAGCCAAAAGGTGTGGCATGAGTGAAGAGAGCAGTGTGAAGCGGGGGACAGGAGGCGATGAGATGTAGAGGATGTGGTCGATCAGAACAGAAGTCAGCGCCTACAAGATGCCATTAGGACTTGACGTCAGAAAAATCATACAGCATTACGCGCCTGCAGCTTGAACTTGTTGTCCTCTGCTAAGCTTGGATGATGTAGTGCCCGGATACGTTGCAACACTGTCGGCACATCCTTGTCCTCGATATCTTCAATGACATCCAAAAATTCATCGTGGGTCGTAGGACAAGGAAAAGTGAATGGTAGCTCTTGTCCAGGAACCTTTGACTTCGTGCGACTTCTTTGAGTGCACTTGACAAGCACTTCAGCATCCTCGCCTGCAACACCCGAATCATCCGAATCAGAGAGAGACCCAACCTCATCTTCATCTTCACCTGGAGAGTCATTGTCGTCCTCTTCCTGGCTCTCTTTTTCGCCTTCGACCTCTTCATCGTCATCGTCTTCTTCAATTGCATCCTCTTCTCCCAATCCTGTGCCCAATCCGCTCCACTCCTCTTCACGAAAGTCGTCCTCGAGATCGTCCCCACCTCTTGCTTTTTGCTTCCTCTTCGCCCGGGCCTCATGCTCATCCTCGCTTTCTTCGTCTTCCCCATTCATCCGCCGAATTCGTCTCCGCTCAGCCTTCTCCAGCGCCTCCTTCTCTTCTAACGCCAGCTCTTCCTCCGTCTTCGTGCGATCTTTTGGTTTTGCCCGCTGGTCGAATGCGAGCTCACGAACGAGTTGATCATACTGCATATCCGGTTCTTCGGCGGGCTTTACCGACCCACTGGTTGAAGCAACAGGAGCATATAAGAGGGAGCGGATGGTGTCAAATTCTTGGTCGAGGTTATGACGAATGTTCTCATCCTGCTCTTGTTGCGCTTGTCGTTGGAACTAACGGGATACAATGAGTACTGCATCATTAGAGAGCATCGTGACATCCTAGTACCTTGTGGTCTTTGCTCTTAGCAATGACCTCCGCCATGACCTCCGCTTTTGTCTTCTTTCTGGCTGGCTATCACAGTTTTAGTCCACAGCGATGAGTCAGTTGTACAAAGGTACACATACTTCCTCTCCCTCTCCTTCGTCGTCACCATCGTCATCCCCGAAACCTCCGAAGTGAGACTTCTGCACCGTCTGACGATCAATCTGGCCTGGAATGATAATTGCGCAAAATGAGTTGAGCACACAGATTGAACAGTTTACTAAACACGACGCACCGCTCTCCTCTTCGTCCTCTTCGTCAAGTCCCAGCCCCACATTGTCAAAGTCGTCCAGTCTGGACAGACTTTGCCCGTAATGCGTGAGCTCGTCCTCGTCTTCCAGGTTAAAGACAGCACCCTTGGATGCACGCTGCCGTTCTCGCGTAAAGCGTTCCAGCATACGCTCTTCCGGTGCCATGGTTGAGTCGGTTTCCCCGAACCGTCTATCAACTATACCTCCAGCGTGGTCCTTCTCTTCATACTCCTTCAGAAGCGTCTTCTTCCGCTAATAGGGCGGAACAGAACACGTCCAAAATGAATTGCGGGAGGAAGTACGTATGCTATAAGCAACTTACCTGCTCAATCCCTGCTTGCTTGCTCTGCGCGGGTCTCCCAGATGTCCCAATAATTTTCCGTCCACCAACATCGTGTTTGAGCTTCGTGACCTTCACGTCGAACGGGTTGAGCTTCTGGTGAATTTCCTGCAGCTTCGCCGCCTTTTTCTCCTTGTCCCTTTCTTCTGGAACAGCTCTCTTTCGCTTCTTTCCGCTCTGCGGTTGTCGAGATAGCCCTGCCTGGTTCAAGGCTGCCTTTAGCTGAGACAATTGGGATCCTTTTGCCATGTCCAGAGTTACAGGATACAAGAGATCTTGTTGGTGTCAAAAACCCAGAGAGGGTAGTAGAAATGTTTCACCGCGGCTCCAACCTCAGAAACCAAAGGCTAATTGCCAGAGAAAAAGTACGATCTCGATTGGCATCTGCGGTAGCGGCTTGCCAGCTAATCGGACCAGGACCCCTGACTATAGGTGGAGAGGCCTGATGACTTATCCGGACGAAATTTGGGATTTTTGAGACCTTAGGCCTGATCTCATCCGGACGTCGGAGGGCCCTGAAGGCCTCCGGAGGTGATCTCATGTCCGGCAGTTCCTGTCAGTTTCGGCGAAGGCCTGATCCTCAGCCGGCCATCCACGCCCCGGAAGCCGACAAGCGCCGACCTCGAGCCGGCGGCGGAGCCGCCGCCTCTCAGAAGCGCCCATACCTGCCTTATATAGGCCGTCGGTGGCCGAAAAGCCTGATGCGGTACCCGGACAGGAACCCAAAAATTGGACGAAGGTCTGATCTCATCCGGAAGTATGGGCCAAAAAATCACAAAATTTCTCCGGATGTTTGGGGCTGATTTTCGGAATTTTGGATCAGGCCTCTCCACCTATTGTCAGGGGTCCTATCGGACCGCTCTGTGCGATTGTTTATTTAATATTTTATTTAACTCCACATCAATTAGTATTGAGCCGCAAATTCCAAGCAGGCGTTTCCGACGGGCCCGGTCTTGTTTCTGCCACTACATCTTAGATAATATTTCTGCCAACAACCTAAGCTTCCTGTCACTAGAGCAGAACGTAAGTAGAGAATCATGCAACGTGGTTGAGTACCAGTGCGCAGGACCTTACTTAAACGCCTCGGGGTCTCCCGTCACTTATATTGTGTGACTGCCATCTCCTTGCCACTTCCGCAGTCTTCTTTTCATACCACAACGATGCCCGTGGCCACAACCCCTACCAAACAGAAGGTTCGTAATGTATGGTTGTCACAAACGTTCAAGCAGAGTCTAAGACACTCTCCAGACGCCTTCTAAACAGCCCGTTAGGCAAGCGGAAGGAACTGCAAAGAAGGGTTCTCCGCGCAAGTCGCCACGTTGTGTGCACTGTGGGCGCCCTAGGCAAGGTCATCAACGATCCGGGTGTCCGAACGTGAATCCGCCGATACCTACCTCAGAGCCGAAGGGTATTGAGGCCGAACTCGTCGACAACTTGGGACTTCTCCACATTAGCCCGACCATCGCTAACGCCAACGACAAGGAAAAGCGGCGCCGACGTTCTTCGGCGAACCACAATCCTCAACTGAACATCAGCGTAGCCTCGCTGTCTCCGACGTCAAGCGAGGTCGTTCGACAACTTGGCAAGCCTGGTGCTATGGCCGCCCTTTCCGCATCCGAGGAGGAGAGGCATACTGCGTCTGCGGCAATTATTACTCGGAAGAACTCTGGTAATTTTCGATTACCAGACGCTGAGAGCACTCGTTCTGCTCACCTAGCGCTTCCTAGACGAGCATCGTTCTACCCCACTTGTGCGTACAGCGACCGAAATAGGGAGGGAAGAATGTTTGAGAAATCTGGAGGTGAAATCGAAGGCCAAACCAGCGAACGTCTTTCCCCTCGCCGTGAATGAAATTACAGACATGCAGAAGTACGCGGAAGGCAGTGGATTCCGTACGCGGGTAATTATGCCCGGCAAAGGTGCAGTTGGGACGCATATTGCTTTTCTTGTCGTTGGACGAGACGGACAGGCTGTGGATGAATTGTTTGACATGGTGCGGGTCGAGACAAAGAAGAAGAGCAGTGCTGGTTCTCTGCTCACCGTGGGGGGTGCCGGTGCTTTGGCGGGTGCCATAGCTACATTTGCCGGACTTGCGTACGCTCCTTGATCTATTCCATTTCTACCAGTATTTCTATGGTGTATGTATGTCGTGGACAACATTTTTATTTTCAGTATGAATGGATGTGAATTGTTGGATGATGAACGTGAGTGAATTCAGAGCGGGATGGACGTGTCGTCACGAAGCAGTGTCCCAAGGCTTGCACAGGTATTGCATCGATCTTCGCAGCCGGGCGCTCGCAGAGATGTCATTATAGACCGTCTCAACGCTCTTGAGTGACAGTACGAAGCTGTTGCCAAGTTCACAGAGTTGTACATTCTTGTTAAGCTAGAGCTTCATGTTACCCGACTGCCCCGACCTCGAAATACCCGCTTTCCCGGAAAGGGACAAACAGGGAGGTGATGATCTCCCTACTTACGACGACCTCGCGGCGCAGCAGGGTCCGAACTCCAGGTGAGCTGGCCCAGTGCAAGAGCTAAGGGACAGCTGACAGCTAGTCTCAAGATTCGGTCGATGGCGACAGTGGATTGAGAAGAGGTATGTTCTGCCTGTCTTTGTGGCATCAAGCCTTGACGGTCACCCTTACACCCAGAGCTGCTGAAAGATATGCAGACCTAACACCAGAAGAGTACGAGCGGAGGCGAGCCCGTGGTTGGGGAGAAGGTGTGAGTTCTTCCTCCGTCCGCCCGAATCGCCTCACTGCGGGCTAACATCTGGCTGAAGGTGGACGATACAGAGCAGGACTCTGAAGCCGCACCATCGCTTGTACCCCCGCTGCACATACAAACTGATTTCCCGAGATCTGAAGCCGCATCCGCTTCTCCACTAGACTCGGGACTTGAGGCCACGCCTCCTTTACCTGCAACATTGATACCAGAATCGCTCTCCCCAGCCCGTCTCAACTTATATCACTTCGGCTCACGTTTTCTTCCTCATGCAATCGCACCTATTCGGTGTCTCTTGCCGATATTGAACGATACCCTGCTGCTCATTGGTCATGACAATGGTCTATCGGTCCTTGACATGTTCCCAAGGGAATGGACCGATGGCGGCGTTGTTGAAAGGGGCCCCAACGATGCGGAGGCGAGGCTTATATGGGAAGGCGAAGTGTGAGAGTGCACATTGCTCAGTCGTACCTCTGATAATGAGAGTCAGTTGCGCATAGTGTATACCAATTGACGATCCTCGAAGCGGAGAGTACGGGACAGGGAACACCTCAGGGTGTTGTGCTTGCTCTCGTGGGTCCCGATAATGATTACTGCAAGGACCAGGAGGGCATTCGATCTCTGCGGATGTACAACCTTGCTAGTTTGATCAGTCTGGCGAAATGGTCCGTCTCGCAAAAGGTAGTGGGAACAATGCCTACCGGTGTTTGTCTGATTGATTTTATGACAGGGATCAAGGCCCCTGGACCTGCGCCAATCTCATGCTGGCAAGAACTACAACACTCTTCCGAAGAGACATCGTCCTCAATCCAGCCTAACGAAGAACTTGAAGCATCTTATGTCTGACCCGCCTATAGCCCAGCCGCAATCACCTTCCAGCCACATATCTGAACAGTCATCGTATTCCCCAGTTGCAGAAGCATCAGCTAGTTCAAGCTACACTCAAACCGGTGTTTCAGAAGACTCTCCAGAGTCCTTATCCAGCTGGGATGTCGTCGACGACCTTCCGCTTCGCTGGGCTACCCACTACACGTCGCTTGCTTCTGCTGGCTCCCGACTAATGAATGCCTCCGTTCTCTTCTACGAGCTATATCGACATGAAGGCCAACGAGGCAGGGGAGGTGCGCTCTTAGCTGTAGCCACTAAATCCAATATCTTCCTATATGAGGCGCCAAAAGGCGAACGAGCCTTCCATCTCATCAAGGTGAGCATTAGTTCTGGCAGCATGAACCATCGACTTCATTTTTTGGTTGCCAGGAATTTTATACGCCATTAACCGCTCGGAGCATCACTTTCGTTCAACAATCGGTACAGGATACTATGGCAAGAAGTTCATCTGACGTCGCCCTACGCTCATCCGGTGCACAGTCGAACCTTCACCGACATTCCCGTGTGATTTCCTTTGGGGCAAAGATCCAACGCTTCCCTCAGCTCAGTCTGTTCGTCGTCTTCGAGAAAAAGGCAGGACTCATCCGTATTGCTGACTCGGCAGTCGGAGAAGTGGAGATGTACGATGAAGGGTACGGGTTCCTGTCCACAACAGCCATGTCTAACACATCCATGAACCGGAAGTCGCGGGCGTCTTGGGACGGTCGGGGTTTTTCCAAGGAGCACAAAGCGATCTGGATACCGCCTGTGAAAATCAATCTCCCTGCACCTGCCAACCGTCCGTCGTTGTCGCACATGTATATCGTCACGCGTGGCAAAACATCGCACATCGTGCCGTATCCACTGCCTTCTAACCTTTCTGCTCTTCCGCCTTACCGCAGCTTCTTGTGGTCATCTCCACCAACTCGTATCAGCTGCAGAGTTTGCTCATCTCCAGCTCGAGAAGGAAGCGGGTCCATCTCCTTCCTCCAACTCGTAGCGTTTGGCGAGGATGGTGTTGAGGTCCAAGAGATCTCTCTTTCGTCTCTTTCCGAACAGAAGGGCAAGAGACGCGCCGAGCAGCCTGTGCGCTCGCAGTCAGATTTGGGCGGACAAACGGGATTTCTGAATGTGGGCGGTCATTGGCATCGTCCCTTCTACCAAATCGTTGGACGTTCCGATTCCTCACGAAGTGACGAATCCGCATCGTCTCTCTACGACCTGTCGCCGGATGAACTGGTCGACAGGATGCAAGCAGAGCAGGGCATCTATGGTTGGGTACAGAAGGGCTTGGAGGATTGGCGAGTATTTTGGCTAGGGGGCTCAGATACAGAACATGATCTGACCAAGGACTACGAACTGTAAGCCATCAATTTCTGCGTACACCGTGATATATGTGAGTTGCTAGTTGCATAGCAAGTGTCCAATGTATACAAGTGCATTCCTACCGTATTACTAAGGCTGATAGTCCCTGGATCCTAAGATGAATTACAGTGAGAACAATATATAAGGAGAGATGCACCCGCGATGTCATATTGGATTGCTACCCCGGTGCACGGTGAAAGACCTACGTCCATCCTCTGGTGCCCTGCCGCCACCGCTTCCAGACCCCGATGCTTCCCTGGGTGGAATACCGGGCCTCTGCTTCCTCACAACGACGAAAGAACGGCTCACATCCTGACCCGCAGCAGAGCTCGTCAACAAATCGCCCTCGCTCATGCGACGGCTTTTTCGTCGGTTGTACCAGTGCCTCTTCTTCCGCTGAGAGACATCGAAGCCATCCTCTGTCGTATCCACGACCGCATTGCTCCGGAACGAACCCTCCGCTGCAGAACGCAAGTTCAGTGCGGACGCGTCCTCAATGATGGCCGTCTGAGACTTCGTGCGGATGTGGGCGGGAGGCATGGCTCCTGGGGGCAGATTGAGGTCGGCATGTTTCGTGACGCTTCCGACGGACGGCGTTGGTGGTGGGGAATATTCGACGGGCGATGGAGTGTGTGCGAGATTGCTGGTCGGCACGTTTCGCTCGACTGAAGGGAAGGTATGGGTGGATCCCGACGCGATGGCGTATGGAGAGTCGATATGAGCCCGGCCTCCGCCAACCCTCGCAAAACCAGATTTTTGGGGCTCTGGAGGCGTGTGTGATGCGCCGTCCAAATGACTGTAGCCAGGACCAGGGAATGGCTGCCAGGCGCCCATGATGTATCCGGTTTCGTCGTCGCTGTCTTCCTTGTATGGCTGCAAGGCATGTTCTGGCCGTAGCACCGATGGTGGATTCGACGCCGACGGTGTGGGGGTAGCGTCCTTGAACGGTACTGCTGGTCTCGTTAAAGGAAGAGTTGAAGACGGCTGCTTCCCAGTATGCGACGATGTGTATCGCCCACGACCCCTGCGACTAGGCTTGCGCGAGCCGCAACATCCCAACAGACCCAAAGTACCAAGCAGCCCGCTATCCACGACATGCTTGCTGTGGTTGAAGCCGATGCCGCCAAATATTCGTACAGTGGCTTCGATAAGCTTCACAATGAGCATGAGATAGAAGGAGAGGTACACAAGGCCGAGGATGCACAGGATGGCATACGCGACCCACTGAGCCGCACCGGAGTTAATGGAGACCTATTGAGTGAACAGTAAGCACTATCCAGTATATAAAGTTGACTAAGTGCTCACAGTGGGTGTCAAAATCACTAGTAATACTGCGATCACAATTCGTGCGACACAGAACAGGAAGCTGATCAAACCCATACTAGCGCCTTGCCCCCACGGTAGCCAGACGCTAGTTCCAAGGGCAGAGAACACCTCAACGACCAAGATAATGATTGCCTGCGCAGTGCCGCTCTTCTGGCCGCATCCTATGGTGACACCAAACGCGATATTGGTGGCAAAAAGCAGACATGCGAATAGCTGTGAGCCATGCCTGTAATGATTGTAGAGCGGGCCAAGCGAAAGCAGAGTCCACGTTTCATCGTACAGTTTGGTGGTGCTCGTGAATTTCAACCTGAAGATGAAGAACGCGGGAAGTAGAACGGAGAATACAGCGAACGACAATGCTGCAAGAACAATGGACGAGAGAGACGCTCGAGGGCGCCCTAACGTCATCTGGTAGCACGAAAAGATAGTAACAGGGAGGTGGAACAGGATAACAATCCTGACCAGATTTCCTTGCAAGACGCTGCCATGGTAGGAAGCAAAGTTTTTTTGCAATCTCCAAGATGGTCTACCAGGGAATCTTGAAGCAGCGCGAAAAAGAAAATTTCCGTTCAGTGACCTGTTTTCGTCTGGAAATTGTAGTGCACCAGCATCTAGCATGTCCTTACTCGCTGATGAGTAACGAGGACTGCGTGAGCCTGCTAACATTGTTGCATTGCTTGGCCCTCTGATTATGGACGAGACAAGCAGGTCTAAAGCCCATACAACTAGGCTGAGAATGATTGCAGCAGCAATGATGGCGAGGAACAGTGTGAGACACATGCCAAACAGATCTTGCGGGCGAATGCCAACGGCCCAAGCAAATGACGAAATTCCATGCGTCGCATCCACCGGTAATTGGAACAGTAAATTGGGCGCATCGGCGTCAATGAAGATTTCTGAAGACGCATTGTTCAGTTGGTCCGCGTAATCAGATGGTGGGTCGAAAGGGAGAACTGTGAGCGGATTCCAACGCTGAGCATCTCCTTCAGAGCCTTGAGACAGAGAGATATCTGTGGACCAACATGAGTGCTGCAACTCAGAAACTTGCATCGTAAACATACTGTAGGTTAAGGTAGACCAAGCAGTTTGAGATAGCAAGGGATCTATAGATAGCGTAAGTACTAGGACCTTGACAGAACATGATGATCACGACGTACAGACAAACTCAGGCCACTGAACAGCTACCATTGCTAGTGCCGCACACCACTGTGTATGAAATATGATATCCCGTAATGATGGAGTGCCTTAAAACCATTTCATGTTATAATAATCCTGAGGTCAGGATACATTGCACTTACAAAACCGCATAAGGGCAGGAGAATTGGCAAGGCGTTCGCCACTGATTGCACTCGCAAGCATGAAACCAACGCTCTCCACTCTTGCCCAGATCCCGGCACCGTTTCTGGTGAAACCTCGACCCCATGCCGCAACGAGCCGAGCCAAACCAACCACGACCCAATAAGCTATTGCCAGACTGACTGTTACCCAGAAGATAATGTGTGCGCGACCGTAGACAGAACCTGTCAAGCCAGGGTGGAGGACTGTCGTGTTCAAGTTCAAGCAAAGAAGTTCGTGTTGGTATGGGTCTAACGCCCGGAGCTGCGTATCAAAGGTCACCAACTCATAGTTGGAGGGCAAGTTCACTGAAGTAGAAAATGCGAAGGGACCCGCGGGAAATGGACAGTACCCAGGAGTGGAAGATGGGGGGTTAGAAGATGGCGGACGCAATTTCTCGCAAAAGTACGAATTATTGTTCCACACATTGAAGGTCAACATCTCGGTGGTGGTAAACAAAGTCGCTGAAAGGTGTGAGTCGCGTTAAACTGACCTCCACATTGCTGAAAACGTACTGGCGAGATTCTCCTGACTAGACGAGAGAACGATCGTCGCAGGATTTTGCCCCAATACAGTCAAGTTCAGGTGCTTTCCGCCAGAGGAGCCTTGCAAGACCTGAGCATAGACATTAGAAACGTTGAGTTTCTGCGAGATGTTGCCGTTGAAACAATCCTGAAAGTCGATACTGGCAGGCTGAGCAACAGTATAACTGAGATGAGACAGAGTGAGAGTGAGGGCGAGCAACACTCGAGGAAGTGACGACCATGTGTGTAACGGATGTCGTTCAGCCATTCCAGCGAGTCTGATAGGGATAAGGAGACACAGTGCCCCGACGAGTGCACTCGACGTGGACGACGCTCACGACACGGCGAACGCACTCCGGGCCAGGTGGCGCAGGGGGCCCCACCAATCGGAAGTCCAGGCCCAACCCCACTAGTAATCGAAGTTGTAACTTTGCTACAACCGGATAAGAAAGCTACTGCCCAGGGCTTCAAGCTTCGATGCTGCAGCTTCAAATTTTCAAACCTTGTTCAGAACATGTTTCAGCAGTCCACATCCCTTGCTTTCGTGCCCGGTTACCCTCAAGCTGTTGAAGGCTGTCCTATTTAGGCTCAACCGTCATCAAACTTATCTGCCGCGTCTCTGTGAGTCTGCGTCAGTGCCTGAAGTGCTGCAGCGGCTGCCAAAGCTCTCTGCGGTGCATTGACCAACGTTACCCAATGTGCGGCTCGGCGGGAGAAGAGCAATTCTTGTATCTACTGATCCGTGTCCGAGGAATGATACTACTGCTATAGGTGCCTACGATGCCTATCATTTGATTCGGTGAGGGGGCCTGCACAGCTGTGCAAAATTTTCTTACTTGCACTTGCGATGCTGACGTGTCGTTTCCGAACCCTCGTTTCAGGTAGTTGGGCCATAGTGTCTTCGCGAGCTCACCATTTCTCTCTCCTTTCGCTCTAATTTATCTGTGTTCAGATCGCAACTACATGATTCATCTTGTCCGCCTGCTGTGTGAATGTAGTGGCCCCACTTGCACAGCCTGCGGCTGTTTCCATGCTTTATCGGGTATCCCTTTATTATTGCGTCTCCAGCTGTCCTCTAGATGGCGTGCGTGACTGTCTCCAAGTCGGGCTCGGATGTTACCCCCCACTGAACGACGTCCTAGCGGGTTGTCCTCGGTTGGATTTAGCACTGCAGTGGAAGGATTTGACCGGTTCCCACTCACTGCTCGTGTACGTCGCGATCAGTGTTTGACCTAGAGATTTTTGGCCCAGATGATTTCAAGCAGATTCAGAACAAGTATTTCACACCTAGAGCAGTGTCCTCTACATCTTTGGGGCTGACTGAGAACACTACGTGGTCATCGGGTCGTCCATTCATATTGTGTCTTCCCATGTTATGTTCCGTGCCTGTGCTTGTCCCACTTATTTCCGCGACGCAGAAATAGACATGATGCAAGTTGTACACAATGGTTTGGCGTGCACGTCTGTGGGCCGTCTTAACCTCATTACGGGGAATTTTTTGTTGAGGCATCATCTCAACACTGAGAAGCCGCAGAAGGTGCGCACTGGTTTTGCCCCAGACCATCTTATTCATGCAAAGCGCTAGTCTGACTTTCCTCTACAACCCGTGCCTGACCCGTGCGGAGCAATACATCGGCGTCTCGTCCAGTACACTTTGTTCGACAACCTCTGGAGCTCCGAGTGGTGAATTGAGGCTCACAACCTTCGTCGGCTACGTGGACGCGCCTACCTGATATGGTTGTCTGTGACGATGCCATCATAACGAATGTCCTCAGGACCTTATCCTAGGCCTCTTTTGCATCGAAGCTTCCCATGATCATGGACCACTTTAATCACTGTTGCTCGCCTCTGCGACCGCTAAGCTCGAAGTTACAAAGCTGGCAGGGGCTTCCGCGCGTGTGCGTCGGAATTTCGTGGAACCGATAAGCACAGCGAAGTCAGTGGGGCTCGCGGAGCTCCACCTATTATTGCACTACTTAATTCATTCTCACTCGTGCTGAGGCCTGCGTAGTATCGTTGTGCCATGGACGACACGAAATGAATCGAAGTGCAGCCGCACAGACTCAGACGCCACAATGTCTCCGCTGAAAATTTGACAAGGCGAGACTGTCTAAAAATGCATTTTTTCTGGGGTTCACGCGAGCCAGCGGTGGCAGGAGCGCCGTTGCTTTGTGTTTCAGGTCGTTACCGGGAAGGGGCCGAGTGGTGACTTCGCGGGACTGGAAGAGGAAGGTAGGGACCTGAACGTAAGCAGAAGCGAACGACCCAGAAGACACGGAAGCTCTTGGGTCGCGCAGGTCCGCCGCGAAGGCACCAGAACCTCCCAGTAGGTACCGTACTTATCGCAGCAAGCGTAACCTTCGGCTTGTTTGGCAGACCGCGAAGCATGCCCTTCTGCAAGTCGCCGTGGCGTGGGCAGTAAATGAATTCGGCCAGTGACCTTCAGTCAGCGTGTTTACAAGCTCGACAGTCGTGGGTGACAACACGCACCCATATGGCTATATGCATGTAGGCTACAGGGTGTATGCTCCCTGTCCTTGTCGTCCACTTGCAGAGTGTGTCCCTTTGCTAAGTACAGTCTGAAAAAAAATGAGGGGGAACGTTACGTTGCCTCCAGAAGAGCGGCCGATATTGGGACATGTACACAATAAATAGCACGCCAAGACCCAATTGGCCAGCTCGGTTAGATACCCATACTACGGGGAATGTCCACAAAGAGCACCACAGCGAGGGAGTGACCCTGTATGCGCCAGGTCGCCCAGGCACATGAGCCCCGATAACTACGCGCGCACAGATTATGACCAAGTTCTTGAATTGAGCCGACCGACAAGACTTTCATGTGCCGGGTTCCATACGGCGTGGACTACGCAGCGCAGCCCGGGCCCGATACTCGGTAGGGCAAACGTAGGCAGGTCACGAACGTCCCGACAGCCGCGTCCACGGCAGAAGCGAGGAAGCATGTGGGCGCATTTGTGTCTTGAGAATTCGAGACCGAAATCCACGAAGGAGGCGCAGTAGTGAGGCTTACGCCTCGAGGGCTTACGACCACCGACCGAGCATCGCGACATCGTCCCCGAGGTGGAAGTTTACGCGAAGTCGCCGGCAGCAAACGGCCCGGGGATCTAGAGATCTCTCCACTAATGGTGGTGAGAAGTGGTCGTCGTCGTCGTTGTGGTGGCGGTTGACTACTGCTGCTCTTGGCGGGGTGCAGGACAAGGCAGTGTAATGTTTAGGCAGCGCTGTACAATACTGATGGACTTGTGCCACGCATCTGGAAACTGCACAAGGCTATGAGGCCTACATAGGACTATGTAGTAGGGACCTGGCTAGCCGAGTGCTAGCCGAGCCTACATAGTCCTACATAGGCAGCTGTAGACCTCCGAGCAAAGTACCAGTTGCAGATGCGATAATGCATCTGTAGGACCACAATGCATAGCCGCAGTCTTGCTACGCGAGATCATGGCAATTAGAAAGTTTTCGAGAGTCTGTGATTGGGAGTTATTATCAAAATGTGTATTTTGAGTATGCACGTTAAGTAATCATAGACGCAGGAGGACGTTTGATCTCCTCCTTGAAGATGCTATACGCGGTCGCACGTGATACGTGTAGACGCGTCGCGTCACCGTCCCGTCAGATTGCACCAACCCGTAGGTGATGGTTCGTAGCTGTCCCAAATCAGTACGGTTGATTCCAGTGTGCGAAGTGAAAATTTATCCACACAGCGAGCGCAGACACAGCTATGACAATCAAGTAAGATACCGCGCAGACCAGGAAATTGCTTACCACGAGTTGCCGCTGCAAGGGCAGTCTGAGCGATCTTTCTCCGAACTACAGTAGTTGGCACACCTTGCAGACGGCCTTGCTAGTCACCAGGAAGTACTTATTTATGAAGAGACGCGTTAGCGAGGGATTTGCTTCCGCCAGGAGACTTTTAGATGCCGCGGCAGTGAACGCGCGGAATCAGATTAAACCTCCGAAAGAGGTAATTGACAATTCTTAAAATGCACATTCAAGCTCCGTCCCAAATGAGGAGTCACGGGCCGCGGCTCGCTTATGTGAGCTTCACTATCTCTCTTTCACACTCTCATTCCGAAACACACCGGGCCCAAAGCACCGTTCCGCAGACTGTCAGAAAGATATATTTGAAAGCTTTGTGCGTCTAGATGAGCACGACCAATCTTGAAGAGGCTGCGTCCGTTGCCGCAGAATACATCGCCAGTAAGTGTTCTGCTGTTTCAGTGTCTGTTTGTGGTGATGTTCGCTGTACGTTTGATGCCTTTGCACGTATGGCGAGCATCATCATCATGAGCCAGAGTTTGGCCAGCTCGTCTGTGGTCGCTTTCTCGTCAGTGCCTTTCGCCACCGGGCTTCCGCTCTGGCTCGGCGTAATCCGTCCGGCCTCAGGTGATACTTACAAACGGGTTCGCCGGTACTAACTTGCCCTGCAGGTCTAGAGAATTTGCCGCAGGAGACCCAGCATATTCTCCATGAGATACAGCACCGTGATGCTCGGACGAACGGTGCGTTATTGCTCGATGGTTCTGAGGGGTGTGCTGAATCGCTGACATGCCCTTACCCTTCGATATCGACGTGTCCTTCTGGCCGGTTCGGTAATGCCTGCTTCTATCTCCGGCAATGACCCGTCCTTCTTCACCGTGGCTTCTCGCATCGAATTCCGCACCTTTAATCCATCTTTGGATATGAAACTCAGAGCTGCAGCAGGAGATCCAGAAAGAAACGGCCAAATATATCCGGCACTCGCTCCGCTCCGCCACAATGAGTCCGGCCCAGTCACTTCCTCCGAAGGACTCCGCTATCCCACCTGCGATAGAGGCGTCCTATGCGGAAATTGACCAGCTCGCGGAGGAGAAGGAGAAGCTCGCGCAGAGGCTGGTGAAGCTTATCGAGCGCGCGCGCACAAGGCTGGAGTACGATCTGAACAGGGTGCTTATATTGCAGGGCGAGTTGGATCCTTCCGTGCAGGTCGCATACACAGGCCTAGCAGCGCGAAATGCGGCGCAGCAGATGACAGAGAGTCTGCGCAATGCCATCGCCATCCCGGAGGCGCCGGTAGTTGTGGCGGTGTCCTCTGTCCAACCACCGCTGAAGAGTGCGTGTTTACTATGGGGGCATGACATTTGTGGTTGCTGACTGGGATAATATTCTGGCACTGAATTGAACCCTGTTACGGCATTCCGCTCGGGCATTTCCCTTACTTTGGCCGATTGGTACCTACCTCAGGACGCCGTGTGACCGCTACGGCTTCGGCGGGCAGCATTAAGCTTCCGAGTCCGGCGCCTATGCCAGCTGGCGCCCACGTCGGGGGCCAACGGTCTAGGTTATCGCAGCAGGTGCATACGCGCCACTCGCCTGCGCGAGTGCGGCGGGTGACTGCGTCCGTGGGGCCGGGGGCGGACGAAGACGCTGAGGGCGAAGAGGACGTCGACGAAGCAATGGAGGAGGGCGGCGAGGGGGAAGACAAGGAGCTCTACTGTTTCTGCCAGAAGCTCTCTTACGGCGAGGTACGTATTTCGGAGCGCTTGCAGGTTAGTTCGCGCCGGCTGTTGTGGATTGCTGACTCTATTCTTTGCGGCTACTCGTCTACATTCTATGTAGATGATTGGGTGCGACAATCCGCAATGTCGATACCAATGGGTAAGCTCCGCCTCGCCACATTTTTAGAGTATACGTATTGACTACGCCGCCACATCCGCAGTTCCACCTGTCGTGTGTGAACCTGAGACCGCCGCTGCCGGAGAATTGGTATTGCGAGGACTGTCTGGCGAAGAAGGGGCTTCAGGTGGCGGCGGGAGGAGGCCGGAAAGGGCGTAAGAAATGAAACGGCGGCGCAGGAAGGTTCGAAACGCAGGAGAGCGCGCGCTAGGGCGACCGGCGAGAAGCGGAGAAGGATGGAGTTGAAAGTGGCAGCGAGGAGCTTGATTGGGGGTGGCAGGACAGAGTGTGCGGAGCAGTGCGGGATTGAGAGAGCAGATGACGGACGGGCGCGCAGAGAGGAGAATGTGAGAGAGTGTCGCTATGGAGTAAGAGAACGCCGGGGGCGGCAGTAACCGAGAGCTCTTCGACTGGGCTGGAGCATGGTGAATGGATTTGGAGATCTCGCGAGATGAGGGGAGGGCTCGGTTCGCTGTGAGAAAAACGTGTGCAGACGTGCCCAGAAAGGAAGGCAGGGCGATAAAGAGAAACGGGAACACGGTTCACGGGAGCGACAAGCGTGGGAGCGGGGGACGGCGGGCGGACAGTCTCCCGACGGCGGCGGGTCCTGGAGACCTTCGGGGACGCGGCGGACGCAGCGATGGGGGTCTGGGAGAGTTGTCATATTTGGGAGAGCAGTTGCCTGATGCGGCATGGAGTGTTGGCCGGGGGATATGTTTTCTGCAGAAAGTCTGTTTTTTGGACGTGCCTCGTCATGCGTCGGAAGAAAATGTCCGAGAGGCGCCGGACCAGATCGTCGGGTCGAGTGGGCAGCTTCGGGACTAGGCCATATACGGAGGCAGCACAGGTTTCCATGGACCCCGGAAGCACCCTTGGATGTAGCACACTCAAAACGCGTCCTGAAAAGAACTCGCCACTGAGCCTGTCCCGGTCACCTGCCGCCCTCTCTCTGCTCAATCTCCATGGACTCCCTGGCGTTCGACAGCTACACCTCCTACTCCGACTCCTCCGCTCCCCGCACTCCCTCTCCTCGCACTTCCATCGCGTCCGACGACATGCAGTCCTTCCCCTCCCCACCCAACTACAAGCATCCTCTAGATGTCCATATACACCGCAATATCTTCGACCACAGCGACGAGCACGGCATCGCTCCCGAGACCCACACTCTCGAGGCCGCGCATATGTGGTCATCTCCTTACCCGGGTTCGTACGCTGCACCCGGCTCGCGAGGTTCGTTGCTCGAGGAGCTCTATGAACCCGGCATTCCGGACGATTCCCTCCAGAACGATGTGTACCACCACCAGTCTTCTGATCCCACTTTGCATGGGACCAACTGGTATCATCTTACGCAGGCTCACCCAATGTCTTCCATGCGCCACGCCCACGACGTTGCCATGACCCGCCGCGCGACCTTCCCATACGTCCGACAGGACCGTGGCGAGTCCTTCTACACGCCCTCTCCTCCGTTCGGCGGCAGCGATCACGATTCTATTACTAGTAGCCCTTACGGCTCGCGTCCTGGCACCGTCTACAGCGAGCCGCTCTCTATCCACGGGTCTCCGAACCTTGGCATGTCGGAATCTCTCCACGCGCACCAACTTGACGAGCCCTTTGCCCATACAGTCTCCATGACGAACTCTCCCCATCCCCACTTCCACGATTACCATCTAGACGGCATTAAAACTGAGGAGGCTGCGCCCGTTATCGTCCCTTCCCAGACCGCTTACTGCCGGCCAACGTCAGCGGGCATGCTTCCTCTTCCTTGCTTATCACCGCACGCAGGCCTTCTTGTGCAGCACACAGATGATGCGGCTTCGAAGGAGACGCAGTATCTCCGCAGGCGGTGTTTTAACTGCCACACGACAGAGCCCCCCAGTTGGCGCCGGTCGACGCTCAACCCGGGCAAGATCGTCTGCAACAAGTGCGGTCTCTACGAGCGCACTCACTTGCGACCGCGGCCGTTGCGCTTCGACGAGCTCCGGGCAGGGCACAAGTCGAGGAAGCCGCCAAAAGTAGCAGGCAGCCCAAAACAGGGTAAAATGACCCACATGGTGAAGAAGGAGCCCCGCGAAGGCGAGATGGAGGGCATGATTCCCCGGCGGTCGTCTGTATCATCGCTTTCTTCGTCAGTGTCTGGCGGTACGTCGAGTGACTGGGACGACAATGGTCAGTCCTCAGCCACTTCGTACCCGGACACGTTATTGACGTTTCCCGCAGTCTCCGTGTACTCGTCTGGCTCCGCGCCTCCTTCGTCGATGGGCTCGCCGGTGCCATCGGGATTCTCCATGTCGCGCGACTGCAACTCGCAATCGCCTCCGCTTCCGCGTGATGGTGGAATCCGGCTGCCGAACGCACCGCTCTCTGATATCGCATCTCTTCAGTCGCATCAGCCGCTGCACCCTCTGTCCTCCCCCCGCAAGTCAGCCACCGCGCCCATGCCCTACATTCAGTCGCAGGTGCAGTCGGATTTCTACACGCGCCGCGGATCTTTGCCGCCTCCGTTTGACCTGCAGCGGAGCTCGATCCCGGAAGTCACGGGCTGGCAGAGCGTCCCTCTCGCGGACCTGGCACCTGCCAAATCCATGAAGCCGCGCAAGGCCGTGATTGCGTAGACGGTTATACCCCCCTCATAGAGCCCTCCCGCCTCATCCGTTGTATCTTTCGCGCCGTTTTTCGTCGGATAGGCGTTGGCCTTACACCGCTGCGTTGTATAATTCCGAAAAACACACATACCACCGCGCGCGCGTATACCATGCTGGACAGCCACCCGAAGCCAAAATGCGCCCGTTGTACTTCTCCGCCCCGCCCGCCGACGCACCGGCGCCATTGTATCACTTGCCACTGCATCGCTTCGCTCACCCCGTTTGCCTTCCCACTTCACTCCACGTACCTAACTGCATCGCTCTGGTTTCGCTGTTCTCGTTCTTGGGATTATATTTTTTGTTACTTATTGGCTGCCGTCCGTTTTTTTATACTTACTCCGTCTGTGTCTTGCTGTTGCGGTGGCGCGTGCTCCATCTATCTATTGCCCCGCTTGTCTATCTGTGTCTACAATGAACTCACAGCATATCCCTGTAATCGTAGTCTATAGGAAGTATCCATGCAATTCAATAACATGAATTAAGCCATGTATATACGCCTTGTGTGTGCCGCGTCTGAAAATGGTGAGAAGACATGGATTATCTTCAGACCGACATGCAAAGTCGGTCAGGATTGGAGACAATATATTGTCAGATAACGACCAATCACGCCGAAACCCACGCGGTGCAAAACATCTCGCGCCTGCTAGCATGTGCAGCCTCGTCCGTCCTAGGAATCCCGCTGCCAGGACCGCATAGTGCACCGCCTGGTGACCAAGGGGTCCTTGTTCATGGCAGTGCGACTGTGACAGTCACGAGACGTGTGCGGGTGAGGAGGTGGAGTACATTCCACGCTGTCCGCGCCGCTGTCGACGACAGCCAGTGTAACCAGTGCGACACGGCGCCGCACTGACACGCTTCGCGACGTGCGGCCACACGTGCCCGATTGGCCGCGAGTGTGGCGCCTGGAATTCGACGCACGGTGGGCGGAAACGCGATCGACGGTTTGGCTTAGCCTGTGCGCGTAAGGCGGTAAGTGGGCTGACTTATCTCCTCGTGCTCAGCAATAGAGTGCGGCCCCCGCCTCGCGGGAAAAACCTTGGAGCGGGCTCATGCACCGCCGGCGGGCGTCCAGGTGTTGTCGGCGTCGCGCGCGGACTCCTGCAGAGCAGAAGAGCGTTTCAGCGAACGGATCGTTCTACGCCCGAAACGCGTCGGGTGGCCGATGCTGCGGCGACGACGAGTGTAAATCGTCTGCGAAGGCTAGTTTGCGTCTAAGAACAGGCTGTATGCATGAGCCTAGCCGCAGCCTTCTGGCCTGGAGCGTGTGTCGTCGGATTCAGAGGGCGCGTCGGGAGGGCGACACGTGTACTGCTCCCGGACTTCGACGCCCGCGGGCCCTCCTTCTGCGGGGCTAAATCCCAGGTTGGACTCTTCTGAGCTTCATCCGTTTTCGAGTTTTTTTTTTCTGCTTTCGCCGCCGGTGCTGTGGGTCTGTGCGGACACTACACGAAATTTTACCGAATGTCGCGATTGTACAACTCACGCCATACGCCCATTTATAGTTGCACCAAGAGCAGCAAGTCCCGCTTTATCGGCGAGGTGAGCAGACGGGTTTTCGACTGACACTCGAACGATCTACAGTTGTGAAGGGACGCCGTCGGTATCCCCCGAAGATTCGTGTGTACCCGCGCTCTGTTGCAGACTGCACTCTACGAGCCTATCTGGTCGACACACATCCATCAGCATACTGTACAGCTTGTCGACATGGTTCATGCAATACGGATCGACGAACCCCGCGGTTTCAGATGTAAGTGTGATCAACGTGGAGGATCGCTGACGATTTGGATGCACTTATAATTTAACATAGCGGTTCTGCTCACAGGAAGGCAGTACTGTCGATTTATTGCACCTGTACGGGGGAGCTATGTCTCGCGGCATACTCGTCAACGTGGTCAGAGCGCGCGGGGTGGTCGGTCGACTCGGTCCAGCCGCTCCTCTCAGTCACTGCGCCGCTGCATCGGCAGGTTGGAACTGGGGTCCGCGTTCAGACTAGTCTCGACGATCCGCCCTATGCTCATTTGTTATCGGACTGACGTAGCTTGCCATGCGCTCACCCCGTATATGGACCTGGGAGAATCGATCCAGTCTCTTTCCCTTGTCCTCTGACAGCACCTGGCGACCAGTCTATACAAGCCACCCAGGCTGTACGGAGGGCGCAACTGCCAAATGCCTATCTCCTGGTTTCCTGTGGAGGTGCGGAGTCACGGAGGATGAAGGCTGATTGACTCGCAATCCACTATCTGTCCCCATTGCAGTACTAGTATGCGGTGCTCTCCATCTTCCCACCGCTGACTCGGGGCGTGGCATATGAGATGTCCGGGGAGGTGGCAATACGTGACGCTCGTCCTATTTGCGTTTGACGTTCCCGCCCATGTGCGCTCGCCGGATTCGGTGCCACAATGGCCGTTTGCCCGCGACGGACTTTCGCGAGACGCGCCCAGGATACGACAGGTGTAGCCATCCCCACTCGTCACACTCTCAATTTCCTTTACTAGGCACGCCCACGCCAGTCTCGGAGAACCCTCGAAGCAGTGAGGCACGCAGCCCTTCGTATAACGTCATCCTAGGTCACGTCGCCCTCGGCGCTGCGCGTTAAATGGAACCTGTTCGTGCTATCTCGCCCGCCGCAGACTATCCGGGATAGACTTACCAATTCGCCTTGCTCATGGGCCCACGACGGACACCAAGTGCCACCATGCTCGTCTTGTCGTTTCACCGTGGCCGGAGAATGACTCTTCTGCGCGATTCTCGGCTCCCGGCCTGTGAAATTATGCCGTTTCTTGCTTCCTCTCTGGGTTCCCGTCACCGCCTAGTATTACTGGCTTCTCGGACGTCACCTTATGGGTGAATTCAGACTGGGGTCTGGGGTAATCCGCAAGAAGTGCACGAAGTTGGCGCGAAGTTTGCGCTCATATTATAGATAGGTTCAATCTAGCCCTCGCGCGTGCTCTTGGGCGTTGCCGGATGCCGAACCCTGGTGAGTTCGTGCGAAGTTCTCGGCGGCTGACACGCGCCCTACGGGCGAACTCTGGACTTTGCAGGCAGATTGTAGAAGCACACAGGGAGCGTGAAGAAGGAAGCTCTAAGAAGCTCCATCGCGCCCTTCAGGATCTAGCGCAAATCCGGTCCAACGGAGACCCGTGGTCGAGGAGGGGAGCATTAGCTATGGAGGGCACCACCCCCATGACGCAGATTCCGCAGCGCACGAATTCCCACCAGTCCGTTTGTGCTATCTCAGCTGGAGTGCTACAAGCTGGCTATTTGGCCGGGGGGTTGGCGAGAGCTAGTGGTGGGTGTTAACTTCCATGCTTAGGCAGGGCTGCCGGCAAGCGGTCGGAATGAAGGGACTCCGGTGTTGGGCATAGTGCTTATTTGCGAGGATTCTAACTGTAAGGAGAACAAGAGTACGACCAAAAGGTCTCTGAGATTGTTCATTTCACACTTTTGCCGTAGACTAAGAAGAGCGCAGGCTGCACGAGGCCAAAACGTGTGCATTTACAACGAAACCATTCGCCAGTCGCGCCTTGAGACAATAAAAGGTATCTCCGAAGCATCTCGCGGCCTCAGTAGGGCGAAGCAAAGAAGGCCGCCTGCCTCAGCGTTGGTGCTGTAGTGGCCTGCCGCATAGGTGCAGCTGTATATTGCCGGGGATGATGCACCCCGTTCGACACGTGTAAAATGACTGTACTTTGTGGGATCCGCACCTTGGAGTGATCACTTGAGCTTGTGGGCGCATGCCGGCGCTCCTGCCTTCATGGCGATGACCACTATGTTTGTGGTTCGCGCGTCCAATTAGACGCAGCAGATTCGTCCAGACATATGATGAACGCCGTCACGGAGCGCTCGAGCTGTATCGATCGCGGCCCGTGGTGGATGGTAGCGAAAGAAACCTCGAGCGTGCAGGACGCGCAAACGCCATAGCAATTGCAATGCAGAAGTTGTCCGCCGCAGGGCACCACAAATATCAAACTGTTGTCATCACGTTCCGTGATCATGACAATATGGGAGCAAGAAGCAAAGGATCTCGCTGGCATGGGCGCTGTCCAGAAGGTACTCGGGACTGAAGAAACAGCCGAGGTGACTACCACGTCATGGACGTCCTCTTGTAATGGTACAACGTCCGATATAGTAGTCGGTTTTTGCATTCTTTAATATTCCGCTCATTGTCTACAGGTGGAACTGAGCAGAAAAGGATCGATCACCACCGCTTGGTGGGGACGGGAGATAATGCTCGACTTCAGGTGTTCTCTGAGAACACCGAGTACTGTATCGTCTCGATATATTCAAATTAAATCCCCAGTGTTAGGAAGGGAATGTATAGGCTCACAAAAATCTGTTTCTTGACGAACTGAACGTGCAAAGTCACATAATTTTGTCCTAACCAATTGCCCTGCTGTCATCCTTCCCCTAGACCCTTTACGTGGCAGGACTGTACGGCCGACGGCCGATGCTCAGTACTGTACCTGGGTCAAACAGAGAAATGAGTCCTTCGCCTACCGCCAATCAGATACCCGTCATATCTCGCATTGCAAGTCCGTATGAAGGATCATGACACCCATATTAGACTCTGATATGGTCCAGCTTTCAACATCAATGTGCCAGCCGTGGCAAGGATGTATCGTAAACACCTGTGCTGGCCATATATAAGGGACACGGTGGTACCTCTGATCTTGAGTATATTGCGTTGACGGCCATGAAGTGAATCCGTAATTACGATCCTACTGTACCGTGTGGTTCAGTGAGAGAGTTCTGTAATACATGTTTGTTAGTCTGCATGCGCCAACTAACACAAATTCAGCGGCAGTTCAGTAGCATTAGACTTACGTCTGAGTGATTCCGAAGTATTGCAACGTTGTCTTTCTCTCCGAAGACGCTTTCGAGCCACAAAGAAAGTATACGAGTACACCAAGGTTATATTCTACATCCGAGCCAACGACGGGAAATCCACACGTGCTTGCAAGACCTCGATTGGCTCGAAATGCAACAGCTAAGAGACGTCGTCTGAGGACCGGAAGCAGCTACTGGCACTACTAGTGGAAGAATACAGAATGGCAGGACCGTGACTGGCCGGCCTAAACCAAAGAGAGCTCACCGTGGCCATAAGGGTGTTTGCGCTGATCTGGTACAGCAAATTGATGCAGTCGGCTGTAGCTGGAGTACAGTTGTGGTAGCTTTTCTGGATCACGTCAACGAAAGCTTTTGGCCTGTAGTACTTAGTACTACGGAGAAATTAAGTTCATACTACGGGACCGCCGTCACGGTCGGCATGTCCTCCGCGATATAATTATTGGATGACCCTAACCCTAGAAATCAAGAAACCCTAACCCAGGAAATGGGTATGTAGACCCACGTAGACCATGTGCCAGATGGACCATCTGGTAATTGCTCCAGGACGTCGCTGAGCCTGGCAGCCACCTTATCACCAGACCACGACCTCGTTATGAGCAACACAGTCCTTTTTCCAACCATCCCCAATGCCGCCGGAACAACGATGGATGTGGACACTAATGCTTCTGTTGTCTCTGTCGCTCACCATAGTACTGCTCTCGAGATCTGCGATCTCGTATACGGCTCTACAATTCCTCCCTGGGACGTGATCGAACGTTTTTACGAGCCAAGTGCGAAGTACGAGAATCCATTGATCACAGCTACGTCTCGCGCTGCCATTGCCGATATCAATGCTATGGCGAGTCGTCTTTCGCAGGTGGACGTACCGAATCCTGCTGTAGTCCTCTCCGCTCTTTTTGGTACCACAAGAAGTGAAGGGTGGGGCAGCCCATGGTTTCAAGTGATGACTGTGAGTAACGAGGTTACAGATATATGCGAAAGCGAGAGCTTCGGTGAGTCCCACGCAATATTCTCTATGCAGCCTAGTCACTATCATTTCCCTTTACGGAAATAACTGTGTTCGTGAACAGAGATTGTGTACGCTTGTCATCTTCCCCTTGGACCGATGCGTTCTGTACATGAATCTTGACTGAAGAGAAATATATTTTTTCAGATCATCACCGGAGAACAATCGTCGAACATACCCTTCATATTGTCCTACTACCGGGTCTCCAATCTTCCGATGCCGCCGTATCCCATCCGGTTCCGTCGAATGCTTCCGATTTGTCAATATCATTTCCTGCTCCGTCATATTCTCACCAGCCCTCTGCGCAAATTGATCTGCGTGATATCTTGTATCAATTGCAACCGTCCCCTTTTCACCTGCGTCTACCACTTATTACGCGGCTCTCCTTCAACGACGCTGGGAAGATCACACATCACCGGGATTATTGGGACGTGAAGGTGCGATCACGATTCTCCATTTTAAATATTCCAACGTTTGGTTCATCTGGCCATACCGCAGGACTTACTAAATCTCATACCCGGCATGACGCTTGCGCAGTGTATCGCAAGTCGTATCTTTGCGCAAAGTATCAGAGGGGTCGTATGCGCAAGCCGGTTACTTGTCGGCTCTCCCCTGCCCAGCACGAAGATCGGACTGGGTAAATCCCAGCCTAAACGTGCGCGAGACGAGGAGGAAGGGCTATCCCCTGCCGCGGCATATGCAAAGACGATCGGGACGAACGTTGTCATCGGGGCCACTGATTGGACGTGAGCTTGGAGGGTATTTATGCTGCAGGCTTGCAGCTACTCGCGGTAGCGGGCGGTCTTCGACAATCACTAACATTGTCAATGAAGCCGAAGGTACCATGCCCGCTCGCCCTCTGTATGTTCGTTGATATTTGTGTGCATCTGTGCCACCGGCCATCGCTATGCGATCTTGACGATCATAGAGGATAATTATTTCCGCGTTTAAAGCGCTTCTGTTCGATGGAGTCTTACCTACATGTAATTACTATACTTATTAGCACACACAGTTCAGCCATCTTGTAGCAACGCATTGTTTTCGTCTACCGAGCCCGTTGGAAACAGATTTCTGTACGTCTTCCGACTACTCTTGGTACGTCATTCGGGCTGATTTTTGCCTTGCGGCAGTGTTCCCAAGGTTGGTGCAATTATACGCATCCATGTACTAGCCCACTAATTTATTGCTCTCAGCTTGTACAGCAACCCGTTGCAAGGTTTATTTGGCTGTTCGCCGTACGTGCACACCGATCTCTGTCTTTCCCCTTACACCCGAATTCCTCGTTGCCACTTATATATCGATAGTATGTCCAATAATTAATTGGTGGTCTCTTATACGCTTTTTTTGCACTTTTCGAAAGCTAGCCGTTCTGGCACTCAGGTTCGGGGCCAGGACAACACACGAGATCATAACCGCATCATAAGCGATAGAGCGACAGGAACAAAGAGGCAACAAGAAGTACCACGACATGGCACACGATGATTTGGAAAGGACGGGTATTTTACGAGGGGTATTCAAGCCAACTGGACCTCATTACTTGGGCCAACCGGATGGCTGTGAAGTGTGCAACCGCCGCTCATCCGCTCTCCTTGATGTTGTCGAGTGCATCGAAGAACTTGGACTCCTTCGAATCCGTGAAATCTGTATGGAAGATACAGAATCCGCCCCCACCCCAGTAGAAGATGTTTCAACGGCTTGAAGTAGCCGAGAAACTTGGGAACGAGAGCTGACCGGCAAGTCTCATAGCGTGGAATAAGTTGTTTCTTCTTCTGTAAGATGCCTATATGTCCTCGCGGTGGACAACCGGACGAAGCTGTGTCGTGCAGTCAGAGAGTGGTTAGTATAGAAGTATTGTCCAGCCCAACTCACGCCACTCCCTGCCTGCAACTCGGGCTTGCACTCCTGACGCACCATCGCCGTGTGAAAGACAATTTTTCCGAGTAGCAATCCCGTCCAAGAGGGTGCTTTTTGAAAGTGTTTTGGCGAGTCCACAAAGCATGGAAATATGGTCGTTGTCGTCATACCCATATTCTCGTATCAGCGACTCGAAGTCAATGCGTAATTTGGTCGTTTCCGCACCGTCCAGCAGGCATTCTGTCATTGAAGTCCCTCTGGACCATCGACAAGTATGCTCCCGGAACTGACGACATCGGACGGTGTACAGTCCCCTCGAGATCCCGATGGGCTATGAGAGAGCAACGCATGATCTCTGAATGGCGCATCTACCTGGATACACTGACACTGACCAGTCGTCATGTCTTGCGTAAATTTCAGAAGATGAGCGAGATCTCCGTAGGATTTGGTCGACGTCCATTACTAACCTGCGCCAAATCGGGTCCTAGGCCTCATCGCCGTCGATCAATGATTAGTTGGAAACGATGCAACGAGTACTAGATCTTGTAGCAGGCAGGAACCGAATATGAGTATCAGAGCTTGATCACAGAGTATCAGAGAGTCCTCTTCGAGAACCGAAAAATCTACCCAGACAAGCATAGTCTCAACGTGCGATGGCACCTCAATCGACAGAGCGGGTACTTGTGCATGGCGCAAGTGCTCATCCGTAGAATATTTACCCAGGGTGATGCTACATGCCTAGGTGCCGGATGAACACATTTCAGACAGGCCCATTCTTCTCTCAGTCGTGCGCGTGGTGCTCGTAGTCGTACGTATGGTATTCGTTCGCCGGGTGCGAACGGCTTACCATGTAGTACCTTGCAGAATGCATACAAAGTTAAGCGGTGGTGTCAGATTACAGCAGACGTCAATGAGCTCTGAGCTCGCCTGTCAGCGTAAATCGTCTGGAAAAAAGTGAGTACAACATGAAGTCCGTTAACCCAAGTCTGACTGGGCTAAGGAGTCAACCATTCCGAGTCAAAGCTGAGCATGATCACAAAATTATACGATTCATCATGGACGAGCGCTCGTGGGTACTGTACTTTGTTGGCTGCGTTTGCATTTTCAGAAAATATCAGAGCAACACTGTGCTTCAGTAAGTAGCCCCAAGGAAGGCACTCGCCAATACTGGTGACCGCACTCTGCAGTGCCAGTGACATCGGTCTGCTAAACCCGTCAACTCCGTGCCTGCCTGATAGAGTATACATACTTACGGGGTCCCCTGAAGATAATCAACAGCAACAAAAGAAGTGACCCGGTGGGCGATCTCCCATCACCTCGACAATGCGATCATACGGAAGTAGCCGCCCCGCCTAGCAGTACTCAACGGTCGACCGCATGGCGAGGCTGTGTAAGCGAGGGCGGTGTCGTCCACCATCGCGGCTCCGCGGGCAAGAAGACACATGCGATTATATGGAGAAGGTCGCACCTCAGGTGGAGTATACAACAACCGGGACAAAATCGCGCTTAGTAGTAGTATGCATCTACATGCCAGCGGAACACGGTACAATGCATCGCCTCCCTGAGGTAAGCCAACTTACTACGTTCACGTACATTTGTAATGGCAGAAAGGCAAGCCAATCAGTTGCCGCGAAGGAATCAACTGGGAAGACTCAACGCATGGGGTCGTACACAGTTCAAGTGGACGGAAAATAACCATAGGTTCCTCAAATTCACCACCAGCGTCTGCTGTAAAAGTCGGCACTCTCTGAGCGCGAAGACGCCATTTGACCAATCGACGGATTGTTGCAGGTGTCAACCGTCTCATTATGCACACCACTGGTAAAAGTGGACAAATTCTCTCATACCTGATAGCTACACTTCAGTAATGACCATACAACCGTTTCAAGACAACGACAAACCTGAATATTGAATGACGATACACATGCAGTCACGCCTTGGTCCAGTCAACCTCGATATAAAACGCCGGAATCTCGGTGATACAAACACGGCCATCTAGAGGTCTCTCGGTTTGATTGTTAGGGGGCAGACCCATGTACCGGGCTCTGGAAAATACATTTCAACATGGCTATGAGTGGTCTATCGCCGATGTTTGTGTACTGACTGATCTGACGAGATTGTATCATTGGATTTAGAAGGCATAGTCAAATTCCTGTCAGATGGCGTAAACCCAGGCCGAAAACCTACAATTATATGAAGCGGGAATCTGTCACTGTTAGTGAGTTTGATGCACAGCGGATGGCTTTTGACCGTATCTTCACGCGGTTCTTATCTTGCATGCAGATAAACGATGAATAATATCTCATCAAGGGGCCAGATACTGGGATTTATTGGTCTGGATCTATTCAGAGCTTCTGAAGAGAGTGCCTATTATTCCTCAGGAGATCTCGAGAGGGTGAACTAGACCACTAAGATGGAGCGCTGATGCGATTGCACATTCGACCTGCCGGTATATCTCCTGTGAATGTGGACAGTAAGAGAATACAGTACGCCACAGCATCTAGCGCAAAGCGTCAGACCCTGTGAGAACTACTTGACCTGCCAAATCCGGAAGCAACCAACAGCCTGAGACAGGGAGCTTGTTGTGTCTTAGCAAGAGCGTTCACCCAGTTTCCAAGAATTGGTGAACAACATACAAGATGTCGACGGCAATAATAGTCCGAGTGGTATGCACACCGTGATAGAGATTAGACTCTGAGTCTCAGGCAGCACCGTGCACAAGCATCAGCGCGGAGTTCAAGTTCCACGTGCCAAGTCAAGTTGCACGGGCGCTTCCAACCGTGCCTCAACCACACCGTGACACGGACGCGCCGTCAAGATGTCTTTTGAACATGCATCTGTAACGAAGGGTGCGTTGCACTGTCCAGAAGTTGGATGTCTCTATAAACACTTCGCAATGTCTTAGGTCTGATGCTGGGCATCGCCCTAACGTCGATTTCGGCTGGGATTTTTGATGTCAAGCACTACCTGCACCTTCAGCTCGTGCCGCACATATCGAAGCACCATCAAGTATGTCCCAATAGTCACACGCACTGAGTGGTATTCCTTAACCGTCTTTTGAGCAGTACTGGCGTCTGTTCACCCACCACATTGCTTGTGCAAATTCAAGCGACTTGTTCTTGGTGGAACTGCTATTATTCAATGTAGGCGTCCAGATTGAGCGAGCGTTTGGGAGTTTCAAGTTCGCTGTAAGCTAATTTCTTAGTATTCTGCGTCTGTCATCTCAAATTTTGTTATGGCAAATGACAGTCGTTCATTCTCGTCTCAGCCGTTGTATCGACAATCTCCACATTCCTTTCACTAATTATCCTCCATACGTCCAAATACTTAGGGAGCTCGTTCAACCACATTCCATGCGGACCCCTTGCCATTATTTTCAGCGTAATATATCAGTATAGGCGACTGGTTCCTCCAGCATACCAGTTCAGAGTTTTTGGAGTCGCTCTCGATGATAAGATCTGGGTTTATGCAGTGGCAGCTCTGGTGGGTAACAATTGTCTACGTCTGCCTATGAAATAGCAGAATCTGAACTCACTTTTTATAGCTGTCAATCTCTCATTTACCATCCACTCTTTTGTTGGCTGTCCTGGGTCTCCTCTCCGGTTATGTTTACAGATCAGACATGTTCCAGCTCAAAAGCTGGAGGATACCTCAGAGGTGATTTTATTCTGCCTACTTTGTGCGCATACATCTTAGCGTGCCTTCATTCAGTGTTCACAAGTTGGTGCTTTATTATGTCAAACCATTAATGGGAGAAGGAGGGCCCGTCAGACGCACAAATCGCGTATTTCCTGCAGCTCGACAGCGTTCACGCGCGAACGGACTTCAAGGCGTTGATAATGATGAAGTCGTCACCACTGCACGCGAATCTCCCACTTCTGGGTCTACTCGCAGGAACACCACCGATGCAGATCTTACCGCAACAGCTGGTGGTCGTGCTTCAGGGCCAAACGCAGGTACCGGAGGGGTCATGCGTCAATGGATGTCTGAAATAGCAGGAAGTACACAGCCAAGCGCAGGTGGAGGTGGAACCGTGAGGGCACCCAGTGAGGCCGAGATACAGATGTTGGTAGGCATGTTCCCAGATGTAGGGCGAGATGTAATTCTTGGAGTGCTGCAAAGAAGGTGAGTTGCCTCATTTCCTTCACAATTTCTTCCCTCGTGCGCACGTTGTTGCGATGCTTGGATAGTGTATCCGAGCTCTGCCTCTATGAGGGCCTATTGTTACTGGTTCTCGCCATGGACAACTTCACGGCGGATGCGCTGAGTCCGATTCCAATGGCAGTGAATGCTCAAGACACGGCAAACTGATGTCGCTTGTCTGTTACGTTCTAGTCCCAACATAGAAACCGCAGCGGAGACGCTTCTGAGTTCTCAATCGTAGTAAGCACTTCATCGCTTCATCTCCTTGTGAGAGCTTATGCCATTGCCTGACGTGATGACCGAAGGACACGAATGTATCCGGGACTACCCTACTTTGAGCCATCAACGGTCGAACTTTCCGTGTCTCCGTATCATTACAGCAAGGTTTCGATGTGCAAGCTCACTTCCGGTGAGCTGGGCTATTTTGACAAGACATTATGGAGTACTTGTATTCTCACCATATGTCACCATTCTCCGCCCGTCGACAGAACCTGTGGTCGCATACCTGTTGTCATTTCCGCCAGTATTGCGATCATGGGGAGAAATCCTACGGGACTGGCGACGTGTCAGGCACACCTGGTCGAACCTTCCATGGAAGGCCCATCTTCACTTGATTACGGCCGGTTTCTCCCTCCCAGTTCATCGGACACGAGCCTGTGTCTGCCATCGGCGTTGATGCGGTACCTGCCCACGGAGGAATATTTCGCTTTTTTCGCGCATGAGCACTTGTAGGGGATGCCGTTCGACAGGCCGCTCCAGCTCCCACCCTTTAGATTTTGCTGGCTCTCACAATCATATCCTACGTGTCTTCTGCGGGACTTGATCTCGTGCACCTTTGTTGGATGCTTCGAGTATTGCGATTATCATTGCTTGCTTCGGGTTTGTATCACTCCATGGTGCCCTGATTGTGATCTATTCACTACGTCTTCCAACCGCCGCTTCACAAGCCTCTACTAATACAGACACTGCCAGTTCCCGAATAGCCGATGAGTAGACAGCTCAAAGATACGCTACAGCATCTCTGCCAAAGACAATCGCCGAAGCATCTCCACTTAAGCGCCAGGGGTAGACTCATGTTCCTCTGCGTCGAAGGCGGCGTCTTCGTCTTCCTCCTCCACCGTGAAGGCAGTAAGCGGGACAGAGTACAGCCGAATGACGGGCTATAAATGTATGGATGTTTCAGTATGCGATCATCGCGGTAGTTTTAGAGCGAAGTGAAAAAGCGAAGGAGTGAAAGAGGCTCATACTCAGCGAAAGACCCCGGAACGAGCGTCACGAGAACTACGCTAGCAAGAGCGATGTTTACCGTACCACGATGACGCTGGTCGAGCCACTCAGCTGATAAGAGAGAGGCCGCCGAACTGACAGCGGTCCGAGGTACGAGCATACACGGGCCTCGAGTAAGTGAGACATGCGGAAATCGCACCTTGTTTGGATCCTTGACCAACACGTACTTTCCCTCGGGCTGTTTCATGCACAGGTCAGTGACCGTTCGCACGATTCCCCATCCATTTGCAAGGGAGACGTTCAGCTGAGCAGCAAAGTCCGTGGGCCGTGTGGAAGTTGTACTCAAGATAACGTGGCGCGTATTGTCGCGGGGATTTGCACGGGAAATATACCTAGATTCGATGAGGGATAGAACAGTCGTTAGTCCGAGGCCAGAAGCACCTTATGGCCGCACCAGAACCGCACTACAGCACAGTTCCACGCGGCCGCATGGGAAGGCAGGCGTGGAAAACGTACCCAACCTTCATGAGGTCTGCACCAGCGAGAACACTCTGCACCGTCCACTTGGCAAGTTTGCAGCTGTTATTTTTCATCTCTGTCGCAACAACAGCACCACGTTGAGGATCGAGCTTTGTGCGCCAGTCGGGTGCACCACCCGCACCCTGGGCCCGAGGGTCGAATTCGTTTAGCGCTCGAATGGTTACTAAACCTTGACCAAGACGAGGATTGCCCTGGCCGGGTGAGTAGGCATCAACTTCCGTCCGTACACAAATTTTGATGTCCTCGTCCTCTGTCAGTCCAAGATCGAAGACACGGTAACGGTAACCGCATGATGCTAGGGGCTCTGTCTCATCCGGACCGTAAAATGGGTTGGGCTTCGCAAAGTCAACTGAAGGTGGTGGGGGGGTTTCGATGACAGCCTGGAAGCCGAAGTTTTGATTGATGTAGGTGGCTTCGAGCGACAGCGAAGTGGCAGAATTGATGGAAGGAGTCTCTGGCACGACGATCTTCTCATTTGGATTGTTGGGATTAACGGTAGTCGGATCTTGCGGAGGATCAGCAGCATTTTCGTTGACAGTGACAGTGTCAAATGGACCGCCATCACGTTTGTCGAAGAAGAGCCGGTTCCCTTCGCGGACGATGACAATGTCCCATGGGTACACGGACCTAGGTGCACACATGAGAACACTGAGAATGACATCTGTCGTGTACACAGTCGCTGTGTCTTTTGCTGCCAACTGTGCAATATCAAATATGAGAAATTATGTCGGCAACATAGAGGGAAGCACCACCTCTTGAATGACTGGATCGTCAGACGTTGTGGTATTATACTTGATGCGGTCGACCAACTGCAGCGGTTTCTCGGTCTTCGTGTTGATACGATCGTAAGACTTTTCATAGGGAAAGACACGTCCATACGACTCTCTGCGACATAACATAAATATGACAAAGTTGAGATGTGGAGGAACAACTTACAAATCTTCTGGATCATCCACTTCCAGCCGGAGCTTGGCGAGGCGATGGAACTCGATTTCTTCCAGCATACTCCAATCGGGAGAGATGGCCACGGAAGACTCACGGGCACGATTGTTCTAACGAGTAGCGCAACTTCGTGTCATAGATCAAAGTATGATGTGATATGATACGTACCTTGTCCCAGTCTCTCCAGCCCCTTCTCCCACCACGCTGAGCACCACCGCGTCCTCCCCCAAATCCACCACGTCCTCCTCTTTGAGCACCTCCCCTGCCGGCATTTGCCCCTCCCCTCCCAGTCGATCTGCCTCTAGAGAGGGGACCTCCTCTGCGAGTGGTGTTCGCCTTGTTGTCCACGAGCGAGAAGCTGGATTCATCTTCCGCATGGAAATACGCGAAGGCACTCGCAGTGCCACTTCCGAATGCTGGTTGGCCATCTCGCCTGCCCCGGCCACCGGGACCGCCACCGCGGTTTCCCTGTGCTGACGCGAGGCCTGCATTCGTCGGGCGATTGTCACCAGAGATATCGTTCCAGTCGGCGAAGCGTCCGAGTTTGTCAGATTTTGAGTATGGGGCGTAAGGAATATCCTTGAATTTGAACTGGGCAGGAAGGTTTGACGACGAGGGTCCCCAACCGCCATCCGGATTGTCGTTAATCGTCGGCAATGAGAATGAATTCGCCATTGTGGGTTTGTGGACGGTGAATCGTGCGGCACAGAAAATTGTAGACGCCCCCTCGATCACTTGAGCACGTGCTACCGCGACCGACTGAGTCAATCGACTGCAGTGGCTGCACTGTGCTCAACCATGAAGTACGTCCACCACTTCTGCTAACGAGGTGTCATTTCGCTAACTTTGAGACACAGTGTTGTGCGAGAGATCAACAAGATAAACGAGCTCGAGCTCAATCTCAATACAACTGGGTCCTGGCACGACGATTACAAGGGTGAGCATAACCAGTGGCCCATACATACTTGCACACTATTAACTTGAGCAGATTCTGCGTATATCTTTGTTGGAGGTCTGCACTCCGACCTTACAGAGGGCGATGTAATAGCTATCTTTTCTCAGTACGTCTTGGCCTCTAGTATTCTTCCTTGTGTATCTGATGACCGCTCTAGATATGGCGAAGTTATGGATGTTAACCTTCCTCGAGATAAGGATACCGGGAAGACGAAGGGCTTCGGATTCCTCATGTACGAGGACCAAAGGTCAACCGTCCTGGCAGTGGACAACCTCAATGGGGCGACCGTACTGGAGCGCACCTTGCGTGTGGACCATGTGAAGAACTACAGGCAGCCCAAGGTCAAGGGCGAAGACGGAGAGATGGTTGAGCGCGAGGAGCAGAGTCTGAACGCGAGACCAGAGGCGATCATGGGTACAGTGTTATTAACGCTAACTATTTACGGACATGGACTCACGCTCTCCGTTGCAGACGACGACGCTGCGTCTGAGTCTCCAGAATCCTCTCAGCCTCCTATCGATCCCGAGGACCCGATGTACGAATATCTGGTAGCAAAGCGTAAAGAAGAGAAGGCGTTGAAGAAAGCGGAGAAATCCAAGTCGAAGTCGAAGTCGAAGTCGAAGGGGAAGCACAAGGACGAAACGCCAGAAGAAAGACATGCACGGAAGGAGCGCAAAAGGATGCGCAAGAATTTGGGAAAGTCAGAGGGTATGAAAGGGGTGGAGAAGTTACTGAACTCACTCCAAGGCAGAGACAGGGCAGAACGAGATACCCGCAGATACAGTAGTCCACCGCCCGACCGGAGCAGGTCTCGAAGCAGGACGCCCCGCCGTGAGAGGGTTATCGAGGACCGTCGCTATTCGCCCGAGAGAAGGTCACGGACTCGATATTCCGCACGGGAAGAAGGCTCGCATCGCAGGTTGCGTTCAAGATCACGTTCCCCTACGAGGTTTCACGGCGACGAGCGTGCGAGCGGACATGATGATATGGACGACGACAGCAGACCACCAATGCGAAAACGTATGGGTTACGACTGACGTTTTCTGCATAGACCATTTTACACTGTACCTCACGAAGTTCGTCTACCCGTTGGCACAGGACCCCGGATTATAGGTGAACAACCCTGATCCGGCGAGCCCAAAAATGTCTAAGCGAAACCCGAAATTCGACCTTTGTGTCTGGATGAAATCAGGGTGAAGTGCCAATTTCCCCCAAATCTTGTGTGGATGGCGGCATCAGGCTCCCGAAAGCGCCATTTTGGCGCTCGCCGAGGGCTCTATCGGGCCAAAATGTCCGGACCAGCACCACGCTTTTCAAAAAATTTCTCCCAAACTGTCTGGATTATATCAGGGTTGTGCGTGGATTTCGCCCAAAGTTTGTCTGGATGGCACTCAGGGTTCCCCACCTATAATCCGGGGTCCTGTTGGCACTCGTGATGTTGCTGCAGCAGCACCGCCGTCGTCGGGCAGCGAGTACGCCGTATCGACTTCCCTGTCATTAAAGAACGACGTTACAACGGTCGCCGTACATGACACAGATTCGCGCTGTCTGTCAAGGACATACAGACAAGTCACTACTGATATTCGATTACCGATACATGAGTAGGGCCCAGCTCGTGCAGAGTTCAGACAGTCGTGAGATCTAGAGGGTGTTCTCATGGGAAATCTCTATTTCTGGGCACGATCGAGTCGGCGGAGCAATACACAGAGGATTCACCTAAACTCAGTTTGAATGCTCGTACTAATTGGCTCAGACGTGCACTGCACAGGCCGTTCACTCGTCGTCGACCGTGGTCCGCTGATCGTCTCGTGCCGTGCAAGGTCAAACGTTGTGGTCAACGGGTCATTTGGGCTCAGCGACATACATGAAACACTGCAGTATTTGGCAGAAAATAATACATACGGAAGCGTTATCCACCGGCTCAGAGTTGGACAGTTTCGTTGAATTGCGGGGGACCCCACGTCTGGTTGTACCCCTTCGCAGAGATGCTGCTCAACGGGGAGGCGATGTACGCTATCTCTGCGTCCGTTCTCCGTGGAAAATGCCTGTGTGCAGGCCGGCGGCAACTTGGTGAAGAACTGCCCTGGATGGCGACGCAGCAGAGCGTCAGATAAACATTCATACAATCTGTCAAGACGAACTTCCCGCGTTTCAGGTGCGTCTTCTTCCGAGGAACAGGCGAACGAAAGGAACCCACCTCGTCATCGCCTCCTCTGTCATACCCCGGAGACCTAATCATTTCAGCAATAGTTTAAATGCTGAGAACAGGCGTTACCCGTCGAACTTAATAGTTAGATCTCGGGTCCTTTGGAGGTAGCTCCAACAGAGATGCTGCCGCATCTCAGAATGAAGTCGGAGGTTCAACGTTCTATCACGGTAGAGTGTATTCTAAAGAGATCAGGCTTTGACGTTGAGCGCCTTACGGAACTGCCGTAGCATTTGCAACCTAGTTAGTTCCCCCCCTCCCTTGAGAAGGTGCCATATTCTGCAAAGTTGTGTGCTAGCAAACATGACTGCAAAAGCCACTCTTTGGTTGAAGACATCATAATTGTTCATCGCAACGAGGAAACTTACCTCCTGGTGTAAAAGATCCCAGATCAAGCGGGCCCAAACAGGACCCACACATAGTGTTTTGTAGTACCACGGTACCTTGCACCCATAGGCTCTCCGAAACTGGCCCACGATGGTATGCAAGGCTGTACCAGAGCGAGCACAATCAGAACTATGAGATGTGATAGGCATGCATCGTATTCTGGTCCACGGTGGAAAAGACAATTCGCAGCCTTGGCCAGACTGACAGACAACGCGCGTTACACGCTCAAAAGGCCAACTTCTGGGTGAATGACAAGTCCCGTTTCCAGCATTCCAATAGGACTCACCGCCGCTGACAAGAAACACCGCGGTTGTGGGCGATCGGTCGGGTATGATACTGTATATGACAGGCTCTGAGTCGCTGCAGTAAATATGCGCGACACTTTTTCACCAGCAACGATATCGATTGCGAAGCTCGAGATGAACAACAGGCTTCGTATTGTAGATATTTCAGACAATAAGAAGATAATAAAGTACAAGAGAGAAATTGCCCGCGCTCCGTCGAATACTATTCATCACTGAATCCGGGGAGATTCCATAACACAGTTATAACGAGTGTATTCTACATAACGCCTGTAACTGTTACAGCCAGCGCTACGATGGGTTATACGGCTGAGCAATTGCCCAACGACATAATCCAATATAACAATAGCATTAGTCGCAGGGCATTATAAACACAGTCAGATCTAGATGCAGAAAAATATATGTCACGGTTTCGACTGACCTATAGATGGTAATTGGATTCCTCATGTTCCGGGAAGATGCACACATCTTGCACAGAAATCTTTCCAACATATGCATTCAAACCATTTACATAGTAAAACTAGACTAAGCAGTGCTAGAACATTTCACAACACTACCGACAATTCTCGATGCATCCAGAATTCTCTGCAGCCCCACATGCATGCCCTGTCATGGCTCACCTGAGCGCCACCCGTTGCACGCAAGCCTTCAAATGGCTGCAGCTGCAACTTGAGGAATTAAGCTGAACAGCAGGTTAATTAATGACGCACCCTGATTCGAATCAAGCGACACAACTCAAACGAAACACACCACATACCAATAACTGGAGCGCGCACACCTGCCTGTTTTCAATGACGCAGTGTCAGCAAGGTGACACTTCACAGTTCACGAGAGAATACAAAATGCGAAACGCACCGCATAACTAACCGGACCGAGAACACCTACCTCTTTTCGACGACGCAGTGTCAGTGAGAACCCACTTCCTGGTAGAGATACAAGGCTACTTGCCTCATACTTACGAGCACACTGTAGAGTACTACTAACTGGAGCGAGAACACGTACCTCTTTTCGACGCAGTGTCGGTAAGAACACACTTCCGGGTAGAGATACAGGGTTACTTGCCTCATACTTACGAGCGCACTGTAGAGTAAAATCGTCAACAAATGAAGGCCATCGCTGAAGCGGCGAAGGAAATCAGCGCAGAGTTCGCGTCTTTTATGCCGACAGCAGGACTATGCTGACAAAACAAATTTCAACGGGTAGGCTCCGAGGAACACACCTCGACTCAGCCCAGTGCGGTCGTCAGATGGAGACGTATTTATCGAAAGCAGCCCGCGAGTGAGGCTGAAGCTCCGAACATGCCTGGAAGTTGGTCGAGAGTCTCTTGAGATGAGATAGATTTGGAGACCCGTGTCACGGCTATCACAAAATGTCACAGTGTGTCACGCAGAGTATCGAGGTGACGTGGATCCCATTCCGGCAAAATATTTTACCTCCATTGTGAGCCAGAAACAATATGGGCTGCAATTTCAATCACCTGTGTATTGCCTTACAATTTTTGGCTAGGTCATGTAAGCGTTACAAATGGTAGAAATGTTGCTGGTGCATTATGCAGTACCCAAGTCTTCCGGATGGGTTGTGACTGACGTGACGCTCTGTGATTCTTTCCCGGTTCCAGTGATGTTTTTGACACCGACTTTACCGACTAGCCGGAAAAGGCAAGGTCCATTGCGAACGCGCCTTTAGAGCGCGGGCGGTCTTCTGGCCGTCACGGTCGCCTGTGGCCGCTCCGTCCTTCCCATTCTCCCCCCATCTTCCTGCTCTTTTGTTTTGTACCATTTCTTGGCTGGCTACACGCATGGTGCACTATCTCCCATTCCTTTACACCGCTTCCGCCATCCTATCCTCACTATCAAGCGCATCTTCCACGGCGATAGACGGATTCATGAAGCACAGGCGACACGTCGCGAGAAACAACTTCTTGTTCTCGAGGTGCGTCGCCTCACATCGTAAACCAATGGTTAATATTGAAAATTTCTATGTCACAGGGACGAGACGTTGTATACTAGAAGTGATTGTGAACCGGCGGATCCTCAGAACACCGTCACTGACCGTCTGCAAGCCCTGCTCAATAACTCAGGCCCTGGATACACCTTACCTCTGTGTCCGAGCACCCAGTACTACCTCCAGGCTACACTCAACTTCTCTGCCCCCAACCAGGAAATCAGCACGGCCGGCTATCCCACTGGAGATGAGCGCGCCACTCTTGTGGTTGTCGGACCAGTGGGAAATGGCGCAGGTATGACCACCGCTGTGAATGGGGCTTGTCAAAACTGCGACGGTATTGTGCTACGCAACGTTCAGGTGGGCTACGTTGCACCATTACCTGAGCACTAATAATTTTATCTTTGATAGATCAATGGAACACGTCTTGGTGGACCAGAACTAAGCGGCGGAGCGAATATTGAAATGGGTGGCGGAAATTCGAATCAGCTTATTGAATACGTCCACTCGTTTGACCCCCGAGGATGGTCTTGTCTGCACATCGCAGAAGGACCGTTCTCTTGCAACAATGTCACCGTCCAGAACAATGACATCGGACCCTGCGGCAACGATGCTTTCCAACAGTGGGCCGACGGAATCAGTGTAAGTTGCATGAACAGTTTGGTACGCAACAACATGGTCAACAATCCTACTGTACGCCAGCTGTACTGAGAATTAGACGTTCTGAATACTGAGCAATGTCTTAGGATGGTGGGATTGTGATCTTTGGTTCACCGGGAACGTTGGTCGAGAATAACACCATATGGGTGGAGACTGTCAGTGCTACAAATTTCTTGCGATTAATGTTGCCTAAGCATCCACTCCAGAATACTCTACTGGGAGGTATCAACATGGTCGACTACGATCCGTGGCAGGGGAACTTCACCAATACCATTGTACGGAACAATACCATCAAAGGTGGATTTGCTACAAGTACCGCTGTTGCCGGGGAGGCAGACGGTAGTAATAACTACGACGTGATTATTAAGTACGTGCAGTTGCGATGTTGTCTTTTCTGAACTGACCACCTTCCTACAGGATCGGCATTGCCATTGGCCCGCGCACCTGGTTCGGTAATGAGTATTACAACAACGTGAGTTCGTCTGGGACGGTCCTCAATAACCAGCTCGAAGGCGCGTTCGGGTACGCCATGGCGATATCGTCTGCAAGGAACTTTACGGTGGAGGGAAACAAACTAGTTGGGAACACTTCTTTCATCGGCGCGCGTGGACCCAATTGTACGTCCAATGACGTGGTGCCGACCCCCGCGCCGTTCGTCGTCGACCAGAGCACGGTGACGATGTCGACGGAGCAGACGGATTTCCAGAACATCAGCGATGGCGACAGTCTCACGTGCATCCTTCCACCAGATGGTGGCGACTACTGGCCGTTTGGTGGAAATCCCAGTTCCACTCAGTCGTCACGGTCGTCCAAGGGTTTGTCTGGTGGCGCCAAGGCCGGCATTGCGATTGGCGTCATTGTTGGCGTTGTCACTCTCGCTGTCCTCACATATCTCATCCGTCGCTGGGCTCTCCGGCGTGCATCCGCTAGATCTGTGAGGACATGGTGAGCAGCTGCACAGCGGTCTGGTGGTCTCCACCGCGGACTGTGAGCGACGGATGCAATAGGATCACAACTCTTGCGAAGGAAAACATTTACTTGATAATTCCCGCTCGTCACGCACATCTTGACATATACACATCCACCACATAGACGTCCCCCATACCATCCACTCACTACTGAGTGATACCTCGTTTTTACCCACCTGTACACTCATTTTACCTTCACGACGACTACAGTATCACGGCCACAAGCTCCTGCTACCTTGTACTGGATATATCCGTTGAGTTCCACGTTACCATTCTTCTAGTATCTTCTCTTCTCGAACTACGCTACTTAGAGTGCAGCTATGTCCCTTCATCTGTAGACTGTATCTGTATATGGATCTAGTAACTTACGTACGGAATGTGACACTCTCTACTAGACAAAATTGTTTGTGCCTCAAGCAAGCACTGGACGCCGGGTCGTCCAGCCACAACAGAAGCAGATATTGAAGAGCCTTATAACACAAGGTATCACTGGAGCATCCTTAATAGCATGGCTCTGACCGCTTGTGCATCCGCCGTGCCTCTGCTCAACTTCATCACACGACCCATGATCTTGTTGATCACCTTGACGTTACCTCCTCGGACGACCTTCGCTTCCTCTGGGAGGACAGTAATTGCCTCAGAGCACCACTGCTCCAAAGAGGTACTGTCATCTAGCACGGTTAGCAATGACAGCCTTTCCGCGAGTGTGGAGGGAAGCTCCGGGGAGCGGTGTGTCAGAATATGGCGCAGGATAGTCTTTCCAGATGTACCTGTCGCCCAGCGAAGGACATGTCAGTGAGCATACAAGGAAGGCGACATATGCGCAAGCTCGTACGAACCCGTAAGCTTCCCGCTTTGCACCAGGTCGATCAAGTCACCCATCTGTTCCACCGACATTGGGTTTTCTTGGAACGTTTCCTGCCGGAAAGCCAGTTGGCCCAGGAGTTCATGCGTGATCCTGATCAGGACGTCGGTTTGAGTGATGTGAATTCTGCGCAACGTAGAATTGACCCACCAATTCACAACCACCCTAGGGTCCCGGTCTACCGAGACGGCGTCAAAATATGCAAGGGCTCCCTGCCCAAGTATGCCGTCGTAACCAACTTCACGCCCTGCGTCGATGTCCATGAGCACATCTGTGTCCCGACGTGAGAGCCCCAACTCCTCCAGACGCGCGCGCGTTGCATCTGGGAGCTCTGGCATGTGTTTTCGGATGTTGTCAACATAAGGCTGTCAACTCCATCAGTGCTAGCTCCTGCGACGAGAGTAACAAGTATACTTCATCTAGGAGTAATGGTGGAAGATTTGGATCAGGCATGTACCTGTAGTCCGGTGCGTCTTCCTTGCTGCGCATAGCATATGTCTCGGCCTTGTCTTCGTCAAACCCTCGGGTCTCCTGTGGTACGAGATGTCCGCTTTCCAGCAGTGTTATTTGACGATGCACTTCCGAGACTGAGATACGAGGAATCAGACTCCCATGCAGAATAATACGCAAATAGCCCACTGATTGCGCTCATCACGAATCGTACACTATTTAAATTCTTGATCTCGCAGCGTGTCCCAGGAGGGCTGCCTGGCCTATTCACAGAAACATTCACGTCACAGCGCAACGAACCCTGTTGCAATGCTCTGCTGAGAATAGTTGGCCCGTGTGATCTTGCTCCTACTTGCCTGCTCCATATTCCCATCGCTAGAGCCTACCGCACGTAGCAGGGACTGGAGAGTCCTCACATAGGTCCCGGCTTCTTCAGGAGATCTGGAAAGACGAATTAACATGACCTGTCTGAGATGTAGTCAGTAAATACCAACCGCATATCCGGCTCCGAGACAATTTCCATGAGGCCGGTGCCTGCTCTGTTGAGGTCAATGGACGTGATTCGTCGGTGTGCATCGAAGGAGGATTTTCCGGTATCCTGCATGAGGATTACTTTTGCACTGTGAGTACCCTCGTGTCCCGGTGACATACCTGTTCCAGTTGGATTTGTTTAATGCGAACGAATGCCCCTTCGTTCCCCAGTTCAAGACCACCACCTGTTGCGAAGGGTGCTGAGTGGCGTTCAGTAAGTCAGCACTTGATAGCTAAATAGTACTCCCTCACCATACTGTTGGGTAATCTGGTAACCAGACGGAAGGTCCGCATAGAAGTAGTGTTTTCTGTCGAAAGCTGACCTACGTCGGACCTCGGCATTCAGAGCAATGGCGGTCCTTACACCAAGCTCTACGCATTTGGGATTCAGTCGCTGTAGGTGTACATAATGTGAACGGTGGCACGATTGACACATTCAAAACGCGTAGGTACAGGAAGCGTGCCCGGGAACGCGGCATCATAGGGCGAGAAACGCGTGTTTTGTGGTTGGTTGAGGTCAGACGTCCATGTTTCTTCGAATAGGTTCGTTCTCAATATTCAACACGTACATGACCAGCCGAGTGACTGACCAGAAAAGAGTTTAGCTCGCGACTTGATCTGAGCGTGCATCTCTATACCGATGACTACGCCCCAACCGGGCCACCTCTTGTCTTCGGTCACTGGTCTGAGAGAATGAGCGAAGCGAGCCCAACGGGACATGCGCAAGGAGAGAACATGGCGTCCCGGCATGAAAATGCCGGAATCCTACTGCATTCAATTACCAGTGCGTCAACAAGTCCGAATGCGGACGGAACAACAAGTTGCGGCGCACTCGGCATGTGCCGGTGTGAAGCTACTTGTCAGACACCACCGGCCTGATTGCTTTTCGTCTCACTTCCTCCTTCTCTCCTCCATCAGTACACACCCCATAATGGCGACCACGAATGGGTGCGAGTTGAATTCAGTTGTGTGTATACCGGTTGCAAGTCTGAAATAGGTCCAGATACTTGGGTGTTACACCGCCCATCGCCACCACCGAATCCAGCGACAGAGAAAAGGAGGTAACGGTAACGCTCATGGAAGAACTTCGCCGGCAGGGCACATTTGAGAGCGAGGAAGAGGCAAAGACAAGGTGAGCGTCGTGTCATCGCTGATTTGGTTCGTCGGGAATATCGACCGAGATGTTCCACTGTCTACCGTTATGCATCGCTTAAGCTCATTCGGTGTTACGCTGTTATCATTTTCCAACCATCGTCTACTCCGTCAACCTTGTATCTCCTTTTTCCACAAACACTGCTGACTTCTGTGTGTCTACGTCGCCGAATGATAGGGAGATTGTTCTGGGCCGTATAGCTGCACTCGTGCAGAAATTCGTGAGGACGGTGGCCATCTCACGCGGAATGTCTGAGAGTGCAGCAACCGCCGCTGGTGGCAAGATTTTCACCTTCGGCTCATATAGACTGGGTGTCCATGGCCCTGGTTCTGATATCGACACACTCTGTGTCGTGCCAAAACACGTATCGCGTGAAGATTTCTTTGACGTCTTTGAGGCTATGGTCAAGGAGGCCGATGGTGTCACTGAGGCATCGGTGAGAACTATATGCCACTGTCCCGAGAATGAGACTGACATTGATATACCAGGGTGTGCCTGACGCCTATGTGCCGATCATTAAGGTCAAAATATCGGGGATACCCATCGATCTCGTGATGGCCCGTTTAGCTCTCTCCGCAATACCAGAGACACTGTCCCTCCAGGACGACAATCTTCTACGAAATCTAGACGAACGATGCGTTCGAAGTCTAAACGGTTGAGTGGCTTCCACAGTCCTCTAAGAACTGTCTCTCAACTGCCAGTATTCTAGGCTCTCGAGTAACTGATGAGATTCTTCGTCTGGTACCAAACGTTGCTGTGTTCCGAGATTCATTACGATGTATAAAGCTTTGGGCTCAACGTGGGTGGACTCCTGTCTTACAATTTGTGGCGCAAAACTGACGATCTACAGGGAGAGCTATCTATTCTAACGTTAACGGATTTCTTGGTGGTGTTGCTTGGGCCATGCTTGTTGCTCGAATATGTCAACTGTACCCTAACGCAATTGCAGGCGCGATTGTTAGTCGCTTTTTCATTATTATGTACCAATGGTTTGTGCTGCCGTTTTACTTTATCTCACGCAGTCCTGATTCGTAAACTTATTCCAGGAGTTGGCCACAGCCCGTACTACTGAAACAAATCGAAGATGGGCCACTACCGGTCCGAGTATGGAATCCTAAAGTCGGTTAACCGCATGATGCTATTGTTCCTCGCCTTACGCTCGCAACAGTTGTATCCCGCAGATAGAGCACACCGTATGCCCATCATTACTCCTGCATATCCGTCAATGTGCGCCACCCACAACGTCACCTCATCTACTCAGATGATCATGACGGAAGAATTCAAGAAAGGTTTGTTATTTCAGTTATGTTGATTTACAAAAATGCAACGTTCTGATTGTCTTTCAGGCTCCGAGATTGTCGATAGAGTAATCGTCGGCACTGCGAGCTGGTCAGAACTATTCGCAAAGCATGATTTCTTCCATAAATACAGATATTATCTTCAAGTAATCGCCTCAACAGGAAGTGCCGAGCTGCAGATCAAATGGTGCGTCTTTCAAAATCTGGCGTCCCACGCAATACGTGGTTGTATATCATTATGTAGGTCTGGCACGGTCGAATCTCGACTCAGGCAGCTTGTCATGAAGCTCGAATACGTGGACACTCTGGCATTGGCGCATCCGTTCATCAAAGGTTTCGAGCAAATCTCATATTGTTTAACTGATGAGGAAGTACGTGCTGTCGCACAAGGTGAGATATCCGACGCCGTAGCGAAGCGCAAGAAAGAAGATACGGAAGGCAAGGAGGGCGCAAGCGCCGTCTACTCGACGACTTTCTATATTGGTCTGGCGATTGAACCGAAGCAACGTGCGTCTCATCATCGAGGCCTCTATGCGTCCCTGGTATGCACAATTTAGACTCACATGCCGACGTGAAGCTGGCGCTGTTGGTCCGCGCAAGCTAGATATTTCTTACCCTACAACCGAGTTCAGCAAACTCGTCAAGATGTGGGAGAAGTTCGACGACTCCACGATGGGAATTGTCGTGCGGCATATCAAGAGGTTGGTCTTGCTATGATTCGACTAGGCCACCGACCTGCTGACACGAGGTGCAAGCACTGCATTGCCTGACTACGTCTTCGACGAAGGAGAACGACAGCCCAGATCCGCGTTGAAACGCCCCAAGAACGGGAAGGTGTGTAACATTGGACCGCCAATACTACGCCGTATTCGCTGCTTCTTACGATGACTATACTCTGTTCATGTTAAGGGTGCGGACAAAAACAATAATACCTCGCCCGACGTGCCGAACAAGAAACGACGGTTGGTGCAGCAGCCCATCGTGACAGTCTTCCCTAATGCCATGCCTGGCATGCTGCACAGATCGTCGAATTCGGTGTCGGAGTCGCTTTCTTCTATGCCTTCTTCTACCCAGCCCCTCAAGATGACACAAAACGGCAGTGCTACGGTCGAGCCATCAGCAAGTAGCAGCCTGTACCCGGCGAGCGTCAAGGACCCAGCACAGCTCAGGTCTCCGCAACTGCCCTTCGGTGAAAACGTCGCGGTCGCCACCGGCGCCGGCTCGTCATAGTATCAGGCACACCACCGACCACTCTGACAAGACCGACCCGATAGACTCGTGTGCTTTCAGCTCTTACGTTACTTAGCCATAGCCGTGGTGATACGGAACCCTTTGGTTTACTCTTTTTCGTTCGCTCCCCACAGGTAACCGTGCGTGGCGCGGAGGCTGGTTACTGTCCTGTTCTCTCGGTCCGGCATGTGGTCCTTTCTCCTTCCATCTGCTGGCGAAGTTCTTCTCTTTCCAGGACCGTTCTACGTTCGTCTTTCTGTATCCTTCGATATGACAGCTGCTGTGTATTGTACTTCGAATATCTATGAAACTAAAGTGTTCCCGAACTTGCCTTGTTTTCTGTGCGATGCCCTGTCGAGATTGGAAGAAATTGCTATGCATTGTGCGGATGTGGTGAGCGGCGGTGGGGGTTCTGTGCTGTGGCTCTTAGCCAGCTTCGAAGTGACACAGCCTGCGGGAGGTAGCAAGTTGGTCAATTGATTGTGACGGCGACACGGTTATCCTGAGGAGTTAACTGTCTACACCACCTTCGACGGTCAACTTACTTCGTCGTCTGCGATCGACACCGGATTGCAACGCGATCTGCTATTCCAAGAGCGAGAAAGCGGACACAAGCGTAGGGCTATTCATGCCGTACACATTCATGCTACTGGGGCCATTAGCCATCACGCACACTCAGACGGAGACCTTCTTCTCCAAGAAGTCGGTCCACTCCTTTTCTCCCCAAGAGCTCGATACCTCATTAGCGACCAGGCCGTCCCAAAGGACGGTCGGAGAGACGTGGATACCGTTCTGTCTTGAGAATTTGACTGCGATGATCCCTCAGCACTAGTACACTAACGCAAGAGAGAAGAGAACCCACTGGTGTACTTGAGGTCCTCGGTGACGTCCACGCCGCCGTTCGGCGTGGACTTGAGCTTGAGGAGGCCCTTGAACGCGTCGACGCGGTTCGCACCTATCGTCTGCTGCGCGATCGCTGCGAGCTTCTCGCGAATCTGGAGCGGCGTGAGGGTCGAGCTCGGGATGTCGAAAAAGTCGCCTTGCTGCTTGAAGAGCTGCACGGCGTGCATTTAAATTATCAACACCGCACGACCCGGTACTGTACTGGGGTATAAACCCTTACCGCGAGAGAAAACGCCCAGAAAGCGTCGGGAGCGGCGCGGGCAGCCTGCGGACCCGATGTCAAATTATAGTAGAAAAATGGTTTGGGAGGAGATACTCACGGCAAGCCCGGCTTCGTGGGTGAGAGTGGAGGTAGCGTGCCATGGCTGGACTTGCGGCCTGAAGATGATCTTCACCTTCCCGGCGTACTTTCCGCCGGGACTCAGGAGCGGCTTCAGGACGGCATCGATGGCGAGAGAGATCTTGGCGGAGAACGGGCAGACATAGTCCACTGCGAATTATTTTCAGCTGTTAGGGTGAAGCTACGGATGTTTGGACATTACTCACGGAAAACGTCGAGGGTGTGGGGGGCGTCGTAGGGGCCGACAATGATGAGGGGACGGAGAGAGGGTTGGAGAGCCATTGCAGGTTGGGTCGATGGTGGTGGTGGGGAACCAAGGAGCTGGGTGGGTACGGTAGGCGTCGGGCAGGGTTATAAGCGTGCCCCTAGAATTATGCGTCAGCGCGTCAGTAGCACCCAATCGATGTCATCACGCCCTTCGCCAAGCGTCTTAGTGAGGCGACACGCGCGTTACGCGTCTAATCCGTGACGCGACGCGCCTGTCCACGTGACTCGCACCCTCCTCCACACTCTGCTCTGAGTTCCTCTCTTACTCTACCCCTCCACCTACCCATTGCCACACTCTTTGGCCACCACCATGTCTTCAATAAAATTCTCTGCATTTCTCTCGCAACTCGCAGAGGTTCTCCGGGACGAGAGGGGCCCAGAGCTGGCCTACCTCCTCAAGCCGACCAGCGAACACGGCAGGGGGCTCGTCAAGGACTTTAGGAATCCGACAGTGCGTCCACCTTACCGTCCCGAACACCACCGCTGCTGAGAAACACACAGCGACAAATGTTATCCTACTACGAGGGCAGCATGGAGGGCCCATGGGACGAGATCGCCATCCAGTACGTCCTGGTCGTCCACCACTGCGCCAAGAAGCGCGCCATCGAGGCGTTCAAGGAAGAATGCCAACTCGTCTCGTGAGTAGGCTGTTTCTGCAAGTCGGACGTGTTCTTCGCAATCTCGCGGTACTGCTAACCTCCGTGCCCACGATGCTTTTGCAGCCTGTTCTTGCGCTACTTTTCAGTAAATAGCGGGTGGACGTTGCCAGCGTTGTTCTCCATCCTACGAGACCTGAGAGACCTCGCGTTTGATGTGAGTTCTTGCTCCCGTTTTCGCGCCACAGGCTCTCTACAACTCGTCACCGCACTGACAGGCAGATATGGAAGCGAGCACAACAGGGCAGGACGGAAATGCCAGCATGGAAGAGGCAGCGCGAATTATTAGCAAGGCGTTCTCCAGCTGTGTTACTGACAGGTGCCCCCCAGCCTCGTCAACCCTTGATTTACTTACTTATGTCCGCAGACAATCGCCTTACGCAGAATCCAGGAAATGGGGCGTCTACTACGTAGTGGGGCTGATCCTCAAGTGTTACTTTCGTGTGCGTACTCCGGCCAACGCGGTGATCTCACCTACCCACGTCAGACCTAGGTGAAACGAATATCCCTGTCGAAAAACATCCTCAGAGCGATTGACGCCAACCCTGATATCCCACCGCTATCCGCGTATCCACGCTCACACCAGGTAAGCTTTGCACGTTGACCACAGGTGGTGAGCCTCTGAAGGCGTGAAAGGTGACATACAGGTATTATATTGGCATGCTAAGTTTCTTGAATGAAGATTATGCCAAGGTTCGTACTGAGTTCCTGCTGGCTGAACACATTGACCGACACGGCCGCTCTAGTCTGAGCAGGAACTGACCCTTGCTTTCTACAATTGCTACACGGGCGCCCATAGTAATCAGGAGTGCGCCCACTGTCTACTACACGGTCTGACGCGAGACTGACGCATCTATCAGACGAATACTGACCTATCTCATCCCTCTGCGCATCCTGCGAGGACATCTGCCATCGCGGGAGCTGCTGGATCGGTTTCCGGTGCTTGATGACCTTTACTCGCCTTTCATTGCTGCTATCCGGACTGGCGACATCAAAGTGTATGATGCGTCGCTGGACAAGTTCGAGCGGCGACTGGTAGACCTGAACGTCTGGCTGACGCTAGAAAAGGCACGCGAACTCTGTATCCGAGGGCTGTTCCGCCGTGTGTACGTATTTCACTGTCTCAGCGAGTGTTCCGCCGCTCATGGCTTGCATTGCATTGTCCACCGCCGCTGCACCCACGGACTATTGGTATGCGACACGCGTGCAACACGGCTAGATGGATCGCATCGCAGAAGGCGACGCGCATCCCAGTGTCGATGTTCCACACGTCGCTGCACATGTCGGGAATGGACGTGTCGGTCGAGGAGGCAGAGTGTCTGGTAGCGAACATGATTTACAAGGGCTTCATGCGCGGATACATTTCACACGAAAAGCAGATGGTGGTGGTTGCGAACACGAACGCGTTTCCGAGATTAGCTGACCACGCGTCTCCATACGCGCACATGTATTAGTACCTAGTGGTCCTGGTGCCACTGCTGGCGGCTGTCCTGGATATGGATATCCGTCTTCGAGTTGATACTGTTGTTTAGGCCGATCGACTTGCGTATTGCTGTGTATTTGCCTCGTTCAAATGCGGTAGACTTGTAGAGCCGTTCGAATGGGTATGGCTGTGCGGGGGAAGTATCTACACGCCTATTGTGCCCGCGTTGCACCAACTTCCAAAGCGTAAGTAGACGCGCGCTATGAGTTCTGTTCTTCACGAGCATCATGCAATAAGTATAAATATTCCAGCCCAGCCTCTCTTGGAAAACCCAGCCAAGCCGCCATGGGCAACTCCTCCTCCAGATCATCCCTCAGGTCCTCCGACTCCATATCCAAGCCCAAGGCTCTCGCCGCCACCACTGACGAGCTCGACGACGAGAGCAGGCGCGCGGCCACATACGCCTCGAGTCCCAACTCCTCCTTGCTCGGTATCCCGACAACGGTCCATCGCCGCAGCAGGTCCGCACAGGCCGCCCCTGCCCGCCGCGAGCCCGTGCTGCCGCCCCCGCCGTACGCAGTTGCGGTTGCGAACGGCGCATCAAGCCCGTCTGCGCGCCACACCAGCCCCCAGGGCGGTGGCGCGGGACCGATCCACACACAGCTGCAGCATGTTACGGACGAGCCATTGCAGGACAGCCCCGCAGAGGAGCGCGCGCCCCAGATGCACCCGCTGACGGGCCGGCCGCTCGTGCGGCGGAGCACCGTCGAGAACGCGCTCGACACGCTGCGGCGCTTTGATACCGTGATTATCGTCGACGACTCCGGGTCCATGGAGGGCCCGCGGTGGCAAGAGGTACGCGATCATTCCATGATGCCCCGCCGCCGCCGGGTGGTGGTTGTATGCGCGCATTCTGACCGATAACATGGCAGGCGCGCGATGCGCTGGCGGCGCTGGCAGACATCGCGTCGCGGTATGACGCGGACGGCGTCGACGTGTGCTTCCTGAACTCGAAGCGGGTCGGCACCAACATGAAGGTATGTAGCGCGCGTGGCCCCCCACCCCCACTCTCGATACATCAACTGAGCCTTCGTCGTGCAGAACTCTGACCTCGTGAGGAGGCTGTTCAACAGCGTGCGCCCGCAGGGGATCACACCGATCGGCGACAGGCTGGAGCAGCTGATGCTCTTCTACCTGGACGACCTCGACCAGGCGAGGGCACGCTCCGACGCGGGGGATAAGAAAGCGCTGACCCGCAAGAAGCCTATAAACTACATCGTCATCACGGATGGCGCACCCAGTGAGTTGGGTCGTGTTATTTTTTACGCCTCTCATTCACACATCCTTTCAAAGCGGACGATCCGGAAGCTGTTATCGTGGCCGCAGCGCGGCGGCTGGACAAAGGCAACTATCCTCTTAATCAGGTGAACACTATCGATTTGCAGCCGCAGCATGCAGGGCGATGCTGACGCGAAAATTAATGCATAGGTTGGTATCCAGTTCGTGCAAATCGGCAACAGCCCCGACGCCACCGCGTTCCTGCAGGAATTAGACGACGGCTTGAGCGAGACGTATCACATACGCGACATGGTGGACACCACACCGTACAACGGCTCCCAGCTGAACGCGGAGACAATCATCAAGATCCTCCTCGGAGGTATCAATAGAAGAGTAGACCGGCGAGGCGGTCAGAGTGTGATCTAGCATCGCGTCGGCAGGATCCTGTCTCGAAGGGTGTAAGATAATATCTGCGACGATACCCAAACGCTTTCGCTATTCCTATCTATCTCATATTATCTTCGCTCTGTAGCATTAAGTCAAATGTGCTGTGGTATATGCTACTTACTGTACTCATTATTTGATTAACATGCCGTTATCTGTCCCAATCTTCAAGTGCGAACGCGAATATACCAAACGCCGGGGCCGCCTCGCCCGTGCCCGCTGCGAGGCTCTCAACCCCCCGTCTAACGAAGCGCACCAGTATGTCAAGCTCCGTCGATATCTTGTCCAGCCGCGTCAAGAAATCGTCGCCAGCAGCCGACGATGCGGTCAGCGAGAACGACGGCTCCACCCCGTTCTCTGTGAGATCGACATCGAAGTCCGAGTCGCTGTCCGAGCTGTCCTCAAGTGCCTGGAACGACTGCGAGAACCCGATGACGTTCCGCCGCTGGTGGCGCACGCGGCGGCTGCGGTGGCGCTTCATCATGATGATAGAGTGCCGCGAGATGTCGTGCGTCGTGTCTCCCGCGAATGCGATGAAGCAGTCGCTGAAGAGCAGAGTCATGTCAAGGATAGAGATGATCGTGCGATGGAGTGCTGAAGTCTGGGAATAGAGATTTGAGGATGAAAGCAGGACGCGAATTTCGTGATACGCACATTTCGCTGCAGCAAGCATCGGCCTTCGATCTTGGAAAGGCTACAATCGTAATGAACCCCATTTACATCGACGCAGGTAGATGTCACGTACTGATCATTATGCAGCTGGATCATCTCGTCCAGAGATTTCGCTCGCTGCAAGGCATCGTGAAAACTGACCAATTGCGTATGCAACACCTGTAGAGAAACCATTAGGGAATGTGACTCTTATATCAGGAACACGGGCACCCTTACATTGGTCGCGATAAAATTGAGCAAGGTGCTTCAGTGGAGACAGACAACAGTCAATGATAGCCGATAAAGGTTGAGTGATTATTTACTGACTTGACAAACCACGATAACTTGCTCCTCATGGCATAGAAGACCTTGAGCTCACTCCGCGAGGTGCGGCCCACGTCCGCACGCACCAGTATCCGCTCCAGCACATTCTTCGCTCTGCGGATTTGTAGAACAAATGAGAATATGGAGGAATACACCTGCATCGTCCGCGGACCGAAGATGTATGTCAGCGGAAACGGCACCGCATACTCGATCTGGAGACCATCAATGGCGCGAACAGTCCGGGTGATACTCTTGTCTTTGCCTCCCCTGTGCGAGATTCGAACGAGGGAGGCATCTATCCACCTTTGTGAGCCTGCTTCAGCGACGTCACGGAAGGCGCTGTTGAGGAAGTGGAAATCGTCCCAAGGAAGTCGGCTATCCATCTATGATCATGAACGCGCCGTCAGCAATACCTCTCAAAAGCAATATAATGAGATTTGCATACTCTTGCAAACAGACTGTCGAGGAAGTGGGACATCCCATCACCTCTCCTCATTAAGTACAGATCTTCGATAGCAGTGAGGTGGAGCCACAGGTCACACTCGTCAACGAGCACCTTCATCAGCATGTCCTGGGCCAACGACAAATGCGGCGACAGCTCGTCGAAGATCATGCTGGAGAGGTTGTCAGTTGAGGTCGTAACCGACTGCCACTGAACCACGGCAGTGTTCGACCCCATCGCGGACGCCATCAAGGTCTTGAAAGGCCGCCACTGCGCCATCCAGTGCTGCTTCGCCGCCCGATCCACCACCGCTTGCACATCCAGGGCGCGCAACAGTCCAATGGCCTTCCCGGCGGCGAGGATGTGCTGCGCGACATGCGAGAGGAAGGTCGGGACCGACGTTGATCTGTTTTCCCCGTCATCCGACTGGCCGCTCCGCAGGGTGAAGCCATGCGCCCAGAAATCCGGGTCTAACATGAGCATCTCATTGTCCTCGATGAAAAATTCGTCTTCCAGGCACCCGAAGCGCTGTGCCTCGGTGGGCTGCACGACCTCCCGCAGAGGCATGCCGTCTTTCATCCAGCGGCCGACCATCGCCCAGATTGGCTCTGCGGTGTCGTCAAACACATGCATCAGCGCATCCGATGTGACGGCGTCGCCCATGGACGTGTGCTCCTGCACGGCAGTCAGGAGGCGGTCTAGAAGGAGGGCAGTCATCGCGGACGGCGAAATCTTTGCGGGCACTTCGGGCAGGATCCATACTTCCACCACAGGATTGGGTGAACGCAGTGCCCGCTTGACCATCTCCCGCAGAATGTCTAGTATGACGGTGAATGCCGCTGAAAACGTGTCCTTAATGGCTTTCTCCAAACTCAAAAGACTGACGACGAGGGGAGGTCCAATGCCTGCTTGAGCCAAGCATATTTCTTCCTCCTTGCTCGCACACCAGAAATCGAAGGATCTGACCTGGGTATCCAAGGCATCCGCGAATGCCTCGAGAGTGAGGGTGCTCTGCTTGAATAAAGACCGGGGTCTATGTGTATCCCCCTCGCCTCTCGCTTGAGGCGACTTGACAAATACGGCCGAGATGAACTTCCGCAAATGTTCCACAGCGGTTGCTGTTCGGCAGAACGATGCCAGTATAGACATTTGTGCGGTTGCACTGACATGAAGCAAACGAACTCCAGAAGAGGGCTACACCAGATTTAGCTCAGGCGAGACCGATAAGAATGTGACTGACCAAGAACGAGAAAGGCCGATCGCCACTATGTACCCAGCTGAACATGAGGTTTCGACGGCCTTGTAATCCCATGAGGACTTCACGTACAGCGTCGTGTTCATTTATGTATTTCTGTCACAGTATGAGTAATATTCGGAAAGCAGGGTCGGACAATTACCTCTTTGCTCGGACCATCAAATTTCAAGGCTGCACGCTGCCCTAGCGCACGATGCACGGCAGGTCCTATAAGTGCGCTGTCAAAAAATCAATTAACTTGGAGGGATGTGATCCATGTCTCACCTAAAGTCGAAGCATCACAGATGTTGAAAGGACGTTCAACGGAAGCATCCGTGCGCCAATCTGTTTTCCAATATTGTCCAGCGACAAGCTCCTCAACATCGTTTCGATGACTGTATGTCACCCCAGGATGATAGGAGGGCTCATTCACCGCATCCACAAGCAACGAAGCTGGCGCCTCAGCTGACTGCAAGATGTCGGATGAAGAGAGCGAATCGTCGAGGTCGGAGTCATCGAAGGGAGACAATGATGGGGTGCTGCCTCCACTATGAGCGTCCCAGTTCTCCACAGTGCTACCTGGAGGCAGCCCGTACACGCCTTCCCAGTGTTGGCCTTCGAATGGTTCCTCGGCTAGAATATCCTTCCACGTCAAGGTGGGGGCGGCCTTCGATGGATTGATGATTCTATCCACGTAGTGATCTGCAAAGGTGAGGGTATCTTGAGATGGAGGTAGTGAAAGTAAAATCTATATAAGCAAGTATTCTGGTTATGAGCCAACGGTAAACATGATATATAATGGGGACATGCCAGCAACTGGAGATGATCTGGAAGGCGAGACATCTTCAATATTATCAATGTAAGTGCCTAACTGTAAGACGAAGAGCGCCACCTTCACATCGGTATCCAGATCGCCGTTGTGCTCAAACTGACTCTTGAACTTCCGATGCGAAGTCTCGAGGGCAGTACCGAGAGTATCGTTAGCATTTATTCGAGCCTTTTGGACATGCCTAGCGCGATGTGAGCTTAGAAACCGAATATTACGGACATGGATCTACCCGCGGAAGTGCCTTTCTACCGTATCCAAGTCGTGGTTGGCCGAAGGCCTCACAGACTGGTCCAAATTCTTGGACACGAAGTCAACAGCGTCACGGAAATTGTCCTGATCATTCTCGGACGTTAGGCCGGTAATTTGCGTAACCAATGCCTGATACAGAGGGACAAGACGCGAAGACTGGCGGGTTGAAGGTCGCTGAGAGTAGCGGGAGGAAGGCCGGTGTGTGAGACGAGAGCTCGAGCGAGACGACGTCCTCGAGATTGGTCTTGCAGATGATGTGCTTGGAGATGGGCGTATGGATGCGCTGGAAGAAGGCCGTATTGGGGCACTGATAGAGGGCCGGATGGACGCGCTTGACGAAGGCCTTGTTGAGGCACTTGAGGGGGGTCTGACTGAGGCACTTGGAGGCCTTATTGAAGCGGTAGACGCAGGTCTTTGCGAGGTAAGAGGAGTTCTAACGTTTGTTGAAGAGCTCATGCTACAGATGGTTTTCACACAGCTGAGTGAGGTCGCGAGCAGAAATATGATTGACGCACCTAAGATTGTGCTCCGAGGCGACAAGAAATCAATCGGGGAGGAGTGATATATTGTCCTAAACTAGCAGTTAGTACAGCTTCTACGTCGGGATATTCTCCAAGTGACAAGTCCGCTCAGTGATGACTGCAAGTCAAGTTGACCGGGTGTATGACGCGTGACATTGCGTGACCGACGCGTTTCTGTCGCGTAACCATTGTGACCAACGGTGACGGTCACCAACAAATTGCGCCTCCTTTCTGTCAATCACATAGACATGGCCTCCCGAGTGCTCCTTGGGAGATTCTCTACTGCGAGAGCGTCGTCCTGGCGTACTCTGACGCCGTCAAGAACTTACGTCGCTGTCGCCCGGACGTTCACACCCCGCGCAGCCTCAGCCACAAAAGGCGCATCCACAAAGACTGCTCTCCAAGCAGCGAAGGCAAGCACCACAGTCGGGAAGGGTAATTCTGACAACCTAGAGTCTCTCTCAAACACATCAGATGAGATAGATGTTCCTCCAGAAGAATTGTCAGTTCCCGCTGAGAGCCTGCCCTCCTCTGCCGTGCTGTCGCAACCGCCCTCGCCAACCCCTTTCCCATCCGAAGCTAGCGAACTCTCCGATGCGCTCTCGAATGGAGTCGTCGGGGAAACTACATCCACCGACTGGTCGAAGAGCTACTATGGTCTCTCCCGGCAGCCGTTCTCCAAAGATGTTTCCGAGGTCCTGTTGTCCCCAATAGACCCTCAGGATGTAGAGATGAAACCTGGTGAGAGCAATGGTTTAATTTTCTGTGTGTGCGAAATTAACACAGTTCTAGACGGGCTAATATACCTTCCCGAAATCAAGTATCGGCGTGTGCTCAACAAGGCGTTCGGACCCGGTGGTTGGGGGTTAGCCCCTAGGAGCGAGACTAATGTCGGTCCCAAGGTCGTTAGCAGAGAATATGCGCTGGTATGCCTGGGAAGGTGCGGCTCTTTTATGCCAGTTGTTTCGATGAACAAACACGACTATACAGACTAGTGGCGATTGCACGAGGAGAGCAGGAGTACTTTGACCCCTCAGGCATCCCGACGGCGACTGAAGCCTGCAAGAGCAATGCTCTCATGCGTTGCTGCAAGGACCTCGGTGTTGCTAGCGAGCTCTGGTGAGTCGTCCGGATTAACTACTCCCCTACGAAGTTTGACAAGATATCGCGCAGGGACCCGCGGTTTATCCGAGAGTTCAAGCAAAAATATTGCGTTGAGGTGTTCGCCGAAAACCTAGTGACGAAGAAGAAGTAAGTGTCAGGCCTTTGTTCGCGAGCAATGCGACTCACCTCTTTCGCAGGAGAAAGCTGTGGAGACGCAAAGACCAGCCAAAATTTGATTATCCATGGAAAGAGTAATGGCACTATCTTGTAGCTTTCATTGCCTTCATGACTCTTCTGGAATGCACATCCCACTGGCTCTAGTCGTCAACAACAGTCCGTTGCTCCAACAACAGGGTGTTTTACAGACATAAATTAGCTAGTCCGGGAAATATGCAGCAGCAACATGCCAGCATCAGTATCACACACTCCTCTCATCACTAGCACCAACTATGCATAATTTACTCGATAGCAATCCTACTTCTTCGTACCCTTTCGCTGCTTGCCCTTCCCCTTCGCCGGAAACGCGCTTGCTTGCTCGGGCGCGGCCGCATCGGTATGTTTTACATCAGCCTTCTCAACGGGTTTTCCTGGAACAGCCTTCTCAACGGATTTTCCAGCAACAGCCTTCTCTACCGGTTTTGCCACGGCCTTCTCGACGGGCTTAGATTCGGTCTTCTTTGGGGGCGGAGCGTCGTTCTGGTGGAACCACTTCATGACGAAGTTGGCGACGACACCGGATATCACCATGAGGACCCATTTTGGTACACGGACCACCACGTCGTAAATCTTCTTCATACACAAGGCGAAATAGTGCATCACAAATTCCCTGGTGGTAAGGGGAGTGAGCAAACTTAAAGAACGAGCGGGATCGGCAACTCACCTGGACCCTCCTGGGCTAAAAGAGCTTGTCCACGGCTCGCTTTCCCGCCAGCCTTCTTCCTTCAGGAATTCCCGAATAGTGTCAGGGTCCAGCCGAACGGTGTTGGCCTTATAGAACCGGAGTGTCTGGCCGCGGTCAGTGAGGACGACAATGTATGGAGCTCTGTAAGGTACGTATTAGTGCAAGAGCACTCATGAACTTGAAACTTACTGCCAAATGTTCCACTTCGTCGTGATATATGTGACGTTGAGATAGTCGATGCGACCCCACCGAACGTTGGGCAAGTCGCCCTCTATGACGGTCTTGTTGTATGCATCGTCGAAGTGCTTGTCCGCAATTTTCGAAAACGCATTATTTCCGCCAGTGGAGACGGTGCTTCGAGTTTGTTTAGCCAGACCGCAGCTCCGAAGAGCAAGTGCAATACACACATGATCAAGAACCATACCCTATCCTCCGCCTCCTCCTCAGTGAGCGTCTCGTTGACGATGATCTCGTCGTAATTGTCGTCCGTAATGAGTGGGATGCGGTGGTCCCATATATCCGCCTCCTTCTTCGCCTGCTCGAGCTTCTCCGTCAAGTTTACGCCGAGCTTGCTGAAGAGAGAGTTGACGGGGCCCGACGTGAGCAGGTTAGATACGTCAAACGACGAAGGTACACCGCGGCCTGCTGGCTGAGACTCAGGCGGGGGTGCGCCAGGTGTATACGCGGGCGGTGGAGGTGCTTCACGGGTGACTGCTTGACCAGGGGACCAGCCGTCGGAGAAGTATTGCGCGCGGACGGACGCAGCGCAGGTGAGAGCGAGCACAACAGACGGGAGCTTCATGGTGGACGGGTGCAAACACGTATGTGTATGCACCGTGGTATGCAGCGAACAATTGGCATTTGCTCCGCGCGAGCACGGCGTGCCTGTCGTTGGTAGAGGAGATAACTCAGATAAGCGGCCCCGATAACTCTTGATAACGGTTATCGGGGAAATTGCCAGAGAAATAAACTGTGGTCGAATAAGCGCCCATTGTAGCTGTGTATTTCTCCTGAGCTTGTCTGACATTTGTTTCCCCCTGGCAGGCCTTCAGGAGCAGAACGGTGGCCTATTTCAAGGTGAAATTACTGCTCCACACTGAGCAGCGCACCCTGAGGTGCACATAACACGAGATGTTCCCGGCGCTGTCCGCAGCACTCCTCCCACTACTCCTCGTGTCCGCTGCTATAGCAGCTCCGACCGATAGTGAGTAGACCGGACATCTATCTGCATTCTCGATCTCATTGAATCTGCCGTAGTCCCCTCCGCTGCGTCTTTCTACGTCCCAACATTACCAGACCTTCACCAAGATGACAAGAATCCGCTACGAATATTCGCAGGGCACATCTTGTCCGACCCCGACGCGGCCAACGCAGCACCGACCGACGTTACCGCGCATCTGTACTTTGTCATGATTAAAGCACGGCGGAGCGCTGACAAGGAGCGCGTCATGTTCTGGTTCAATGTGCGTATGCGATAGCTCTCGGTGTTTGTGCGCGCTAATCTTGGCTGGCAGGGAGGGCCTGGGTGCTCGTCGTTTGACGGGCTGATGATGGAGATTGGCCCCTGGCGCGTAGACGGGAAGGGCGGGCTGAAACGGGTAGAGGGAGGATGGGAGGAGTACACCACCATGGTATACGGTAGTGAATTCCCCGCTGCGGGTAGCGCTAGTCCTGATCAAGTCTCTAGTCGACCAGCCTGCAGGCACAGGGTTCTCCTACACCGGGACAAACCATCTGCTGCACGAGCTCCCTGATGTAGGTTTGTCCGCTCCTGAACCCGCAGCCTCGTTGTGCTGAAGGACATGCGCTTCAGGCAGCGGAGCAATTCGTCCAGTTTCTCAATAACTTCTACAAGGTCTTCCCGGAGTATCGGAGCGTCGACGTAGGTAATTGCCCCTGTCGCATCTGAGTCACCTCGCTGATGTACGAGGAACAGACATACCTAGGAGGTGAAAGTTACGCTGGACAGTATATCCCTTACTTCGGTAAGTACCTCTGGTGTATTTCTTACTAGTACTCATGACACACCGCAGCGGACGCCGTTCTCAGGTCCAGTTTGAAGATACCATTACGCGGTGCTGCAATAGGTAACGGTTGGATTGACGGTCGCCATCAGTATCCCGCATACTTGGACTATGCTGTCAAGCATAACCTGGTAGAACTCAATTCCGAGGTTAGTTTTCCTTCGGACTCGAATCACGAGGTTACTAATGCTCCCCCAGGACTGGAAGCGCGGCAAGACTATGACAGAACAATGCATGCTTTTGTACAACGACATCTCAGGTCTTGAACCTGTTAAGATCGATGGATGCGAAAGAGTCATGGGCACCGTGGTCCGGGGCAGGGACAGAATGTACGTACTGTTCAAGACACTTTACTCGTGTCGGCTTCATTACTTTACCAGGGTTGACGGGCAGATGAAGTGCACAAATATCTACGATGTACGCCTCGAGGATGACTCCCCTGCGTGTGGTATGAACTGGCCCCCAGACCTCACAGACATCTACACATATCTCGCTGTAAGCTCCCTTTGAAATTCACCTGTCCCCACAGTTGTCTGATGCCACTCACAGCGCCGAGACGTTGTCACTGCCCTCCACGCGACCTCTGGTCAGACACCTTGGGTGGAATGTCGCGGAATCGTTCACAGCAACTTCCATACCCGCCAATCGAACTCCTCGATTACAGTGATTCCACGGGTCCTGGAGAAGATCCCGATGCTGCTATTCGCCGGTGACCAGGACTTGATCTGCAACTATGTGGGCATGGAGAGCTTGATCCAAGCCATGACATGGAATGGTGCAACTGGCCTGGGAGTAGGTTTTAGTTTTGCCTATCTGGGATCAGGAAACTCACTATCGCGCCGTGTGTTTATAGACCGTGCAGACGCAATCGTGGACAGTTGGCGGGCAACCGGCCGGGACATGGGTGACATCCAGGAACCTGACGTACGTGAAGGCAAGTGTCCACTCCAGCAGCTCCTTCGCCTCGACGTTGACCGAGATACTTGCAGCTCTTCAATGCTTCCCACATGGCTGGCTTTGACGTACCGCACGTTTCTCATGATATGATTCTGCGCTTCATGGGAGTCAATTTCTCAGCGGTCACCGACGGCTCCGCCAGGATACCCAGTTCCGTTGGCGAAGACGTCAAACCGATACCTGCGCTCCTGGATAGCACGCCAACTCCGACCGCGAGCAAAACGCCAGAACAAGACAAGGCGATGTGGGAAGGTAACGGCAGTTGCATGGATTATTTATACCGCATCACTAATTCTCCTTCACCGTTAGCATACTACAACGCCGGGTCAGCAGCTCTGGTGCTAGTCCTCATCGCAGTCGCAGTCGGGGCCTTCCTATGGTGGCGCTCACGACGAAACCGTCTACGCGGCCTGCCCGTGTCCAATCGGGAGGAGAATATCCCATTGACTTCGAGCATGGCTGATGCGAATGGGAACGGGAGTGGAGATGGGGACGAGGAGCGATTCCGGCCACGAAAAGGGAAGGAGAGGGATCTGACCACTCCCGCGGATCCCATCTTCAGTGTCGGGGACAGCGAAGACGAGGACGAGTCGACTAGAGGCGCAAGGGCCGTCTGAGGGCCGTGACCGGGACATTTATCGTTACTGCACGACTTATTGGAGACCAGTGTAATTTATTCGTCTTTACTTCGGGCACCTCATGATATACATCTACACTTATACCTACGGCAGCGGAGGTTCGAGTTTAGAAAGGATGAAGTGTGTGTGCATATGCATTAAAGTGAAAAAAATGTCTGCATTATGGTTTCACCAAACCGTCAAAGCTGCATAGCAACAACCCTCCGAAGAAGGGCGGGTACGGAAAGTACAGGAATATAATGCGGCAGGCCACACCGCATCACCCCTCCAGCGAATCGACACCAGAGATGGACTCAGCTGTGACGAGGGGGAGCAGGGCGGCGCTGCTTAGTCTTGTGAGCACCCCGAAGGGCGCCTCGCTCTGCCAACTTGAAAACATCACCAGATGTGTACTTCTGCGCCAGAGGCTGATGCTTCGAGGGTTGGACAGACACTGAAGAGTCGGAACGAAAATTGCTGGATTATATACACGAGCGCCTGCGGAGTGTCAATCGGGGTGTGAAATAAAACGCGTGCCACAGACGCGACTTGGTCACGTCACAAGTTGTCACCTACAACTGCTGTTGACCATGATGGACAAGAGCCACAGAGTTTCCAGACTGTCTGTACATCCCAGGCTTGGGCCACGAGAGTCGGTCTTCGCTGGTAATGCCGACTTGTATCGGGGAGACACCCAAGCGGTATGCAGTCCGTATCTACGGGACTGTGTACTCGCCATGGAGGACTGCTGCGAGGAGGTGGGCTTTCTCTATACCATCGTCTCTATACTCTATTGACGACAGTCCAAGGCACACGACGCGCAGGAGATCATCCGCCAGGGCACGTACGACCTCCCTCGCATAACGAGAGTGCTGGAGAACGAACGGGTGCGCGCGCTGCGAGATTCTCGCACCGATATCATATCAACTTACTCCTCCCAGGTATTCTTGCTCATAGATGAAGCAACTGTCCGGAGGTACAAAGCAGACCTGACAGACGAGATCGAACCGCAGATCAACGAGCTGCTCTCACGCGCGGAGAAGGGGCTCCAGATCCTCCTCAAGAGAGAGAGCACGCTACGGACTAGGGTATGACACTCACCTTCCCAGTAAGCTCCTTAGTTGATGATAGTCGCGCTGCGTAGGTGGAGACGACGCACTCGAGACCTTCGTCGCGAGCGGCTGTCAACACTAACAAAACAGGAATGAGCAAGCTCGAGATCCGCAAGTTGCAGATGCTCGTTCGTCAGCGTGAACGGGTGGAAGAGGAGCTAGCCTCGCTGCAAGCGGAGATCGATGAGCTGGTAATGCCATGCGCAGGTCCCTGTTTTCACGGCTACTAACTGATCGCGCTCACAGGAATTGGCCGCGATGAAGACGAAGAAAAAATGACGCAAAGCATCATGCTTATGTGAATTCGATTCCGTTCCAAAACGGTACAGTACATCGTCTTCCATGCTAAGCCCAGCGTAGATATCCTCACTGGATTTGTAGCTCCCCTATCACGACCGCCTCGACGCTCTCGCCCGCCACTACTCTGTCAGGCCCGTCGATCCTACGCGCCGGGAGGGCGACCAAGCCGTTCGCCCCGTTCAGGCTCGCGACGCGGCTCGAGCGCTGTCCGCCCGTGCTGTACGCCTTCAAGCCAGTCGGACCAGCTTTGATGACCACACGGTGGAATTCAGGGCGGGGATCAAGGCGCATCACATCATGTATCTACCACCATATGTATTAGTACTCCATGCATTGTGTATTCCTACCATGTAGCACGCGATGATCCTACACACCTGCACGCGGATGCGGGGCAGCTGGCATCGTTCCACAGGCCACCCGCCCAAGCGACGCAGAGCGGGGACCACGAAGACGTTAAAGGTGACAAGCGCAGACGCCGGGTTGCCCGGGAGCGCGAAAAGCGGTACGCGCTCGTTGCGGCCTGTGGGCGTCGGGATCGTCGCGAAGGTCGTCGGCTTGCCTGGCTTCACCTTGACGCGCCCGAAGTGGATCGTCCCGTCGAGATGCCGCTCGATGACAGGCTTCAGGAGGTCGCTCGCGCCCATCGACGTGCCGCCCGTTGTGAGGATCACGTCCGCGGATGTTAGCCCTTGTCTCAGCGCAGCAACGTGTGAAGCGATGCTATAGGATACAGTTCAATACATTGAGAAGGATTCTGGGCGGCAAAGATGTCAAGGAAACTCAACTCGTCGGGCACGATGCCCAAGTCAATGACCTCGTAACCCATGCCTTCGAGCGCGGCTTGGAGGGAGGGACGATTAGTATCCCAAATGCCACCCCACCCATCGCCCTCGAACGGCGTGGGCGACTGCAGGTCAAGCAGCTCGTTCCCGGTGCTCAAGATGGCGACTACGGGCTTCATATGCACCCAAACCTGCAAATTACGCGCATTCACCATGAAGGTACCTCACGCGCAACGCGCAGCCAGCGCACCTTCGTGCGTCCGACGAACGCCAGTGTGCCGATCTCGCCCCCCGCGCTATGCAGGATCTGCCCCTTCTCGAGGACGAGGTCGCCCTTGGACACGTCGGACCCGGGGTCCCGAATGTTCTCCCCCTTGGGCACCTGCGCGAGCGTCTCGACCTCCTTCTCCTCGACGTCCTCCCCGTGCTCGTTCTTGTACGTGCTGTGCAGGCGCGTGTCCTCGACCATGATCACGGCGTCGGTGCCCGCGGGGAGCGGCCCGCCCGTGTTGATGCGGTAGATCGAGTCGGGCGGCAGCAGGTCCGACGTCGAGTGCGTCTGCGAGCTCGCGACTCTGTATATGCCAGGCGGGTCCGTTGCTGGGGACCGTCAGACTGCGGGTCAGAGAGATGCACCGCGAGCTTACAGCGGAAGGCGTAGCCGTCGACGCTGGTCGTGTACGTCAGCGGGACGTCTTGCGCGGCATATACGTCCTCGCCTAGTACATGTCCCCTCAGCTGCGGGTCGACCTGCAGAGAATATATCTTCAGAGAGCCGAAGTTGATGGGTGATACGCACCTGTTTTTCTTGCAACGCGAGAGGCCTCAGCTGCTGGAAAATTAAGGTGATTGCTTCCTCGACCGAAACCAGCGGGTATGGTGATTCTCGGTGACGGGATGATACTGGTTTCAGACGACAGTGAGCACAGGAGCAACAACAAATAGTAAGCATGTACTACAGACCCGCCTGCGACGGGTCGTGTGACAACGTCGTCTGCGGCTGGGGCGTTCTGTGGCCATGGTCATGATGATGATGGTGGTGGTGGTGAATCTGGTGCAGCATACGCTCTTCCGAGGACGAAGTTGATGTGAGCTCAGTGTGCAGACGGTTCCCAGTACCGCCTTTGATGAGGTCGACTGCATGCTCGACGAGACCGTTGGCGAGGAGCACCTCCAGGTTCTCCCGCACGGCCTTGACACTCCCAGGTAGGGTCACGACAAGGGTGTTCTTGACCGTACCGGCGACCGGGCGAGAGAGGGCTGCGAGGGGCGTATGCCGAAGAGACGAGGAGAGGAGGACGTGTACAAGCCCTGGTGCTTCGCGCTCAAGCAGGGGACGGATAGCCTGCACCATATATGCATCTTTGAGCACCTGGTACTTTGCAATAATAACATACCTCTGGCGTCCTGTCCCGCACACCGAAACCAGTGCCACCAGCGGTGATGACCCAGTCGGCGCCCTGGTCGCACCACTCCCGCACAATTTCGCGTATGCGGCTCTCATCATCGGGCACGATGAGCTCGAGGATACATTCGTAGCCCCTCCGGGCGAGGATATCCTTGATAGTAGGCCCGGACTTGTCCGCGACGGGGTCGGCGGCGGCGGTGTCGCTCACTGAGCCGGATCTGCCTCAGTAGAGAACATTTCAGAGTCAGAAGACTGCAGAGCTTATCGACCTGTGAGGATGGCGACTCTGATTGGACTCGGGGACTCAGACATAATTGGGGTCTGTTGTACAGAGGAGGGGTGAGACGGTGTCATGCTCTACTGTTTCTCCTCTTGTGACCCCGCTGGGTATCCCACACCCATCGGATTGTTCTCTACATCTTCCTCAAACTGTGCGCTGATCGCCATCGTGATCCTGGCCAAGCCGCAGATGCAGCCTTACAAGCATACCGCGACCCGCCCGGTTGGAGAAGATCGACGCACACAATTTGGTAAAATTGCGAATCGACCGCGCTGCGGTACGCAGCTAGGCTCATGGATCAGCCTCTAGACAAGGAAGGCAGTCGTTCCTTGTTATAGAGAACGCAGCTAATGGCCGACGAGCTGGCGTAGAGAGACCGGCACAGGTGACCAGGAACGATCCAGCCACTAGTACACCCGCACGTTGAAGCAGTATTGGCGACACGGAACACCACCAGAAGACGTCGCCTGCGGAGGGCACGTTCGTTTGTACGTTTCTGCTCATCAAACCGAAGCCCGAGTCACCCCTGCCGACCTTAGTCTCGACGCACCCACGGCCAACGCCTTTTGCCTCCGGACATTTCGTGCTAAATATCCTGTCCCGCACGTTCATGACCTTCTTCTCGAGCTTGCTCCTTCGCACTGCTCCTTTTCCTTTCTTTCATTTCTGTTGTCCTTCCAACGCCATGACTATACCCAAGACGCTGCCCGAGTGCTGGGGTCATCGCGGAGTGAGTCACCCGAGTCTCCGTTTGCTGACCGATATCCTCACCCGTATCTGCAGGCTTCCGCTGCATACCCGGAGAACACCCTCGCGAGCTTCGAGGCGGCGATCCGCGACGGCGCGGAAGGCATAGAGAGCGGTAAATTAACTGCGTGATAGTCTGCGCTTGCAGCCCGTAACCACACCGTCATGAGCAGACGTCCATGTCTCCGTGGACGACGTCGTCATCATGTTCCACGACCCGTGTATGCTCCCTGTCTTTCACTTTTTGCTCTACTTCTGAACACCGACTCTCGCGCAGCATTGGATCGGACCACGAACGGCAAAGGTGATGACAGGTTCTATGTGGCGTGCTGAGAGCCGTGCTGACATAGTAGTACCTAGGTCTCATCAGGGAACAAAACTGGTATGGGCCGGAGGGCATGGAGCACCTGAGGACGATCAAGGAGCCCAAGCAGTCTATTCCTACCTTCGCCGAGACCGTCGCGCTCCTCATGAAGGTACGCGTTACCTCCCTACGTTCCTCCCATCCCCGGTACTCCGCTGACGGATCCTGCCCAAGCCGGAGAACCGCCACGTGCAGTTCAACATTGATGTAAAGGTACAGAACACGCCCGTGCGGCTGTTCGCGCTCATGCACGCGATTATCTCCGCGCAGCCGGAGTGGGAGACCGCGCTCGCCCCGCGCATCCTGCTCGGGCTGTGGCACCCGTGCTTCCTCCCGCACGCCAAGGAGCACCTGCCGTACCTCCGCCGGTCGTACATCGGCGTGAGCACGAAGGTCGCCCGCACGTTCTTCTGGGACGACTGCGAGGTGTTCTCGATTCTCTTCGTCGAGCTCACGACCTATGATGGAGAGAAGTGCGTATATTGCGAAATTTCGTTTTCGTTGGTTCTGCTGAGGCTGTGCCCCATGCAGGTTCAGGCAGGAGTGTAAGGCTGCGGGGAAGAAGATCATGGTGTGGACCGTGAACGACCCGGAGCAGATGGTCGAGGTGCGCACGAAGGCGTTCGTAGTACTTCTCCGTACTAACCAGACTCGGCAGGCCGTCCGATGGGGCGTCGACGTCATCCTCACGGACGTCACGAAGGTGTGGTTAGACCTGCGGAAAGCGCTCCGCGGTACGTGTCTAGCGCCCACCTATCGTAAAGTCTAAATTTCCCCTACTCACGTTGGCGCACAGCCGACTTCGAGAACACCGCCGCCAAGCACGGCCGGTCGTTCCTCTGGACGACGTGGTGGTACTACTTCCCCGTGCGGCTGCTCATCTACTACGTGGTCATGTACCGCCTCCAGAGCAGCAAGGGGCCCTTCCGCGTGATAGAGGCCGACACCGCGGTCGCGGCGTGATTACCGCCACTGGATGATACGATAGCTGGTGCTGTATACCTTATAGACGGCCAGCTGGAGGTGTTCCGTCCCTCCATACGATAGACGAATTCACGAGCTCACTAACGGCTTCGGTACATGCCCAGTAGTAATACACGATGTATGTAGATGTAGTACTGACTTGCAGCGTACGAGCTGCTGATGTCGATAAAGACTATGAGCATGCTGGTAGGAGAATGAGAGATGTCGCGATCGACAGGACAGGCCGTACTATGCGGGCATGCTCAGGCTTGCGACGTAAGTGCCAAATAGGATAGCGAGAAAGCACGACAGAAATACCCAGGGAGCATTCATAGATGACAACGTTACGATCGTCAGCGTTAGTAGATAAATTAAAATCCTGTACGCAGAGTCAACGAACCGCAAATGACGGAAGTATCAAGACAGCACGTACCATTATAAGCCAAGCACATGCTGCCAGCGGCGTTACACCGTCCATTCCTCGAGACTGGCCCCATACGCTGGACGCACGCTCCAGCTCGTGCTGCGCGAGAAACGTTCCTCGCGCGCCGCACCGAGGCCCAGCCCGGACGCGCTCCCCGTGCCAGCAGCGCCCATCAGCCAGCCCGTCCACCACCCCGCGCCCTCCGCGCTCTCGTCCGGCCCGTCAGTCTTTCCCTTTCCCTTCCCCTTCCCCTTCTCCCTGCTCCGTGCCTTGGCACGGCCCTTGCCCTTGAACTGGGAGGTGCCGTCAGGTTTCGAGCTCGCGTACGACTCCGGAAGCTCAGCGAAGGAGATGCGTTTTGGCGTTGAACGCCCGGATGACGGTGTCGACGTGCGCGCGAGGGCTGCACTGAAGAGATCAGGCACGCTGAGCAGCGAGGACGAGCTAGAGATGGGTGTCGGCGGTGAGGAGCGGTTTTTGAGCGAGGACTGCCGCGGGGGAGATGGTGGGCGCGTCGAGGACGAGTGCCGCGCTTTCGTGAATAGACGCGAGACGGACGCAGTGGCGGTGGATGTGCCCGCCATGGGTGCGACAGAGGGCGGGAGGAGAAATGCGGGTCGAGGGTCTGCGGATGCAGTAGGTGGGAGAGAGGGGCGGCGTCGGCTGGGAGAGGTGCTGGAGGAAGCAGAGCGCTGCGCATCAAGGATATTGCGCAGGGCTTCGACGGTACGGTCAACATGCATTTCGGAAGAGTCAGACGTCGAAGACGTGGATAACTCTTCGATCGGAGGTGTCATCGGCCGGGGAATGCGCGGAGAAGTAGCAGTGCGGAGGGGAGTCAGCGATCGCGAGCGGAGCGACACTACTGATGAAGGTGAGGTTACCGACACCGGTGGTGGCGGAGATTTCGACTGCGTTGGCCGAATTGTATACGAACTTGTCCTGGAGCTGGGACGGCTGGGAGCAGATGCGGGCAAGCGGGCTGTAGTGAATGAGGAGAAGGTAGAGGAGCGCGAGGGAAAAGAGCGAGTAATATACGACGATAACACGTCGGCTGCTCTTCGGGTCTGTTCCATAGGCTCCATGGATTGCTGGTCAGAGCTGTGTGCAGAAACGCTTTCAGAGGAGGGTAATGGTGTGGGTGGCAAATGAGAGGATCGCAGTCCTAGGGTAGAGGGCAGTGAGATAAGGTCGGGGCTGTCGGAAGAATCGATATACATCGTGAGGGCCCGCGGTGCAGGGGCAATGAAATGACTTCGTTCGTGATTAGAGTACTGCAGATGGGACGAAGAAGTACTGTGCAGATCCAGCGAAGGTCTGCGCATCTGCCGACCTTGTGCTCGAACATGCTCAGCGAATCCCGTAGATGAAGGCAAGCTTCTGCTGACTACACCATCCCGGGGCGCACTTTCCTCCCCTGGCTCATCACTAACCAAATTATCCACACTCCTCGATATCTGATCGAGGTCGTTCATCCAGTAATTGTGCAAGGCTCTATTGCCATTTATCCTGGAAGACAGGTGCTGGGCACTGACCTCGAGAGAGCGATCCGCTAAGGAGTCATCCCCTAGTACGGCCGAGAGACTGGATTGGGTGGACATGGAGGACTGGAGCAAGGCATTGGACATTTCTAACGCGTGTACACTGCGGGCAAGGAGAGAGTCAAGATAAGGATCATCTGAAGTGCTCTGCAAAAGCCTAGTGGTGCTGCTACGGGCAAGCTGGCGACGCGCACGCCGAGGGGTGATTGGGAGAGGGGCCGGGACGTATACGACGTTGTCTTCGTCGGAGTCGGTGTCTGCGTCCGCCTCTTCGGCGCTGTCTGAGTAGTCTGGAGGGCGGTCAGAGACGTCGCCGTGTAGTTCTGGTGGCTTGGACCAGATCGGAGAAGTGTAGGCGGGAAGAGGAGTGACCGAGGAGTCTGAGAGGCGCAGGGCGGATATTCTTTTTCTATGGCGTCCGCGGCGAGGAGAAGAAGAAAACATGGTGAGTTGAACGCTGGACACGGTGCGCAGCGAGCAGCCGAGTCAACGAAGAGAGCGCGCGGGTCCGGAATACGTACAGACGACAAGGGAGAAGCTAGACTCGGAGTAGCGCCATGATAGCTAGAGTCACCTTCGACGCGTGCACATGGGCGACCAAGTTGTCGCCTGTTTACCCTCTCATCGATATTCACACAACACCTGCGTTCACCAACAGAGCCTCGCACCTTCGGGGCGTGAGATTGCAGCTCGTGGAATAAATAAATACAACAGCTACCTAGCAGACTTTTTGAGAATTCAAACAAAGTAGTCTTGCACGGCTTCCCTAGGGTTATCATCCTTCCTGAACCCACCAGCCCAGAAAAGCAGAGCAAACACGCCCACGAGCACAGCAATCCCTCCCGCAACAATGAACATGGAAAGGGCTGCGCTCGGTACGGGTGACATCGTCAACTGGACGGCGTCCTGGTATCCCTCAGGCCGAGGATACACCAGCTGAAGGGCTGACATACTGAGCAGGAAGATCGCAATGGTTGCTGATATCAACGCCATGAGCAGTACCACTTTGATCATCAGCTCCCACCAGAAAACTGTTGCAAACGGCTTCCTGGGCAACTGGAAATGCCAGAGCGCCGTCATAATAGACCGGAAGAGAATGGTGATGATTAGGCCAACGTCGAACAAGGCGAAACTCCAGCACATCAGACCAATATTACCGCGCAGAGCACTGTGAAGAGCGTTAGGTACAACACGACGGTGAGAGATGAACTCGACCAAACTTGAAAATGGTGGTATATGTGATACCAGCCCCCAAGACCGAAGCGGTTGCTACTGCGTCTGAGAGCGTCCCGTATTTCTCTAGAGCATCCTGCATATATATGTAGGCAGAGTCAACGTGTTGAGTATCGGGACAAAAGCGCAAAATTGACGACTTCCAGGTGGCATTCCAGAAGTAAATGACATGCCTACTCAGAAGGAGAATGACGGTTCAGCACTGCGCTGGACATGAAGGAATACCACATTCACTGATCACGATGACAGACCTCGCGGACCCGTGCGTTATACCTCCAAAGGCCACAATAGGCGAATGCAAGACAAGTTGGAACGGGGGGAACTGAGGTATAACGAGATAAGTTATTCACTCAAGCAAAAACAACGGTAGTCAGATCAAGAAGCACCCAGGCAACCAACATACTTCCCCTCGACAGCGATACGTCAAACATCGACCACAGGAACTCGAGGAACCCGGCGTCGCTTAAGGGACCGCCGAGCATCCGCGCCGTCGCGAGGAGTCCGACCCGCACGCATCGCCTAGATCACCAACTCCTCCACCTGATACAGCCCCAAGGCCAGCTCTGCCTGCTCATGCGCCATCTTCTTCCTGCGGCGCCAGTCGACGCGCGTGTCCGTCTTCGGCGGGCCGTGCGCGCCCTCGTACAATGCACGCGCGTGCGCCGCGGCGAACGGCTGCAGCGGCACGCGCAGTTGCTCGATCTCGTCGAGGAGCGCGAGCTCGGGCTGCAGCCGCGCAAGGAGCGTGCGCAGTAGTCGGTGCGCGGGCGGATGCGCGAGCAGGGCGAGGAAGGACGCGTCCAGCAGCGTCTGTAAGAACGCGAGGACCTGTCGTGAATTAGAGTGACGGGTGGTTTTTCACGATAGCAGGAGGAGCCGTACCTTGTCCTGTGGTGGCAGGTTGGCCGGCTCATGCGCAGAGTATAGTGGGACTAGTACGCCGTGCGCGTCCTTCTTGATGCAGTCCGGTAGAAGGTGTACCTCCTCCTTGCCCCATCTCGCTAGCCATCCGTCAAGCACAGCAAGAACTGGTACGAGGTCTGCTGCATCTGACAGGTGCCGGCGCAGTGCGACACGGAGTGCAGCAGGTGAGGTTGAGTACGTCACGCACAACGCGAGGTAAGTGGGGAGCGCGGGCAGACCCGCAGTGTTAGCAGGCACGACAGAGTCAATTTGCATTGCGTCCTCGCCCGCAGAGACTGATTGTTCATGCGACTGGACCACTTTGCTCAGGAGGGCAATCATATCGTCCTCCGGAATGTCTGTTACGGTCCGAAGTGCGAGCATTGCCGATTGCTGAGAAAAATCCGTGAGTATCATTGCGAGCAATCGGGCCAGTGTACCCACCCAGTCTTGTCGTGCATTCAACGCCGGGAAGAGACCGCCCGCGACCATGACCGAACTGACCGCGCCCCGCTCCAAAAGATACCGCAAAACCCGTGGCACGTACCCTTCCAGATGCCGAAACACAAACTCCAGCACCCTCGTCACGAACAAATGCCCCAGCGGCGGCTTTCCCTCCTCTTCCCGAGTCTGCGCCTGCACCTGCGCGAGCCGAGCCTCCTCCTCCCGCACCCACGCAAAGAATGCTTCCTCGACGCCCTCCGTGCGTTGCTGGTTCGACGCAGTGTTCATCGCCACCACCGCGCCGCCCTGTGCAGGGTCCACCGACTTCGTCAAGAGCTTTCCCCGTTCCCGCTTCGAGATGACCCACGCAGCGCCCGCAGAGGCGCGCCCGAGCGCGTTGGCAATCGTGGAGGTAACGGGGACGCTGAAGGGCACAACGAGCACGGTCGAGCACGCGCTCCTGCCCGAGAATCCTTGTCCCAGTGCGTTGCGCTCGGGCGACAGTACGAGAAGCGCTTGCGCGGGGCCCTGCGACTCGGACGCGACGAGGTCGATGGAAATGCCACGCCGCTTTGTGCGGACGAGCGTGGATGGAAGAGCGAATGTATGGGACGCGATGAGAACAGAGTATTGGAGGTCCCACAACAGGAGGACGAGCTCAGGAGCGCCGGTGGCGGATATGCCGGCGAGGAGGACGTGAGAGGAGTTCAGTGCTGCAAGTGAAATTTCTAACGTTGTAGGAGAGGCGGGTGTGGATGGAGGATATATGAAGGTTAGGGACTTCAGCGTAAGAAGGTTGGTTAGAATTCGGAGCGACAGGGCAATGTTGTTCGGCGACTCGAGTTGGAAAGAATACCAAGCACCCATGCGTGCTGAACAGTGTCAGGTTTTGCGGAGCCTGACACGTTGAAATAGAAGGCACTTACTGAGCACGCTGAGACAACCGCTCGCACTACATGATACATCGCATACTTCTTCGTCCTGGAATATAGTGAGCTTCACGCAACGGTATGCGGGCACGCGCAACTTACAGGCTCGCGAAGTGGAATTAGGCAATCACCCGCTGAATGGACAGTGCCTTCAGGGTCCACTACACGTACCAAGACACGTATACTGTCTTGATCTCGTAGAAAGGTGACAGAGACGATTCCTCTGGACGCTGCAGTCCTACTTGGCACAAAAGTACATGCCGTTCGGAGGAAAAATATGTCTTTGAGTAGCACGGCGGCGCCTTCACTAGAACCGGACGGAGTGGAAGAGCCATGGACAGCTAGCTGCGTGTCTGCGACTGTCAGTTCACCTCGTGGGCCGACGAGCAGCACATGGTCGGGGAGGTCGTCCGAGGCGTAGATATGTCTCACAGGATGGGGAAGCTGCACGGACCTCACTCAGATAACCTGCAACACGATGCACGGCAAGTAAAAGCGCACCACGGCTGACTTCTTTTTTTTCTGCGCCTTTGCAGAAACGGCTCCACCGGAGAGGGTTTCCTCCCACATCCACACCGTGCGCTCGCGGTCTTCTGGGAGGACGTCCGGAGAAGAGTGCACCGCGACCAAGGTCGTGAACACCTTGACACCATTGTCACTTCTTGTGCGCGTTACCGGAGGACAGGAAAAGGTTGTGGAGGGTCCGAGTGTGTGAGAAATGGTAGGGTGGAGCGTCGATAGCTAAAGAGCGATATAAGCCCATGGTCTCGCGGATTAAAAGCTGGACCAGTAAACTAAGCTAGATGCAGAACAGTGTGGGGTACATCTGCATCGACCTTCGTGTGCTTGTCCAGGCCTTCCGTCGCGAAGAGACAGCCTGCACTCACATCGAGGACATGTACACCGTCTCCCTGCACCGCAACCGCGGCCAAGCCGTCTGTTTTTCCGGAGAAATTGTGGGTCAACTGGACATGTCGAGACGATGACTGGCCTGAAGTGGACCGTGGGCGGGAAGAAAAGCTAGAGAGAAGAAAGGCGTCGCTGATGGTCGCACTCATCGTTCGCATAAGACTGAAAATTATCCACCTTATGGTTATACTCTAGGGTTAGGGTTACAATATCTACGTCAATGGTCTGCGAGCCGCATGCTCTCCATCTGCAAAGACATACGCAGGCTTTCCTTGCTACACTGCACCAAAGCTTGCAAACGATCCATATTGCAACAGTGAGCACGCAGAACGCGTACCAGTGACTGCAGAAGAGGGACGACACTAGCCTGATCGCGTACCGTCGATGAACTTGGCACCTTCAGGATAGAAGATTCAAGATCACGATATTCGTGTTGCAACGTAGCTTCGGCGAAAAAATCAGCGAATTTGGTAATATTTCAAGAGAGAGTCAACAACTCACCGATGCGTTCCAGCAATTCGTTAAATAGCCTGACGTCTAAGCGTCCGTGAAGTGGCTGCGAGACGAGTTGGAGTACTTCCGATGTGATACGCGAGTATGTATCTTCACACTGTAAAAACGCTCGAACGAGAGTAGGAACTGTGGACGAGAGCTGATGCAAATTTCAGACAGAACGTGTCGTAGACCACTGTGCAACGTGTAGTTACCGCAGGATCCGCCAGTTCCTCGTAGAAATCCAGCAGCCGCTCGGCATCGAAACGGATGCGCTCATTAGCGATATCCATTTCTTCGGCGGATAGCTCACTGGAGCGCGTTTCGAGCGCACGCTGCGCCGACTGCTTTGACGTCTCAAGTTGTTGCTCGAGCGTGGTGGTCATATATAGCCATGACTGCATCTGCGCTGCTAGCTGCAATGCGTCCAAGATTGATGATGCTTTCTCTTGCTTAGAGGGCAGAGTCTGACACGATTACAAACAGTCAGAGTCACAGAATGTAGAACGAATACATTGTACTCACAGTGGCCTCATCTCGAGGAACAGAATTCGATATGCTCGCGCTGTTGGTGACGGGAAGCTTTCCCTTCGCTGTTTCACTGGATTTAACGGCAGTCCGGCTGGAGCTCGGTGCTGTACGACGTTTCTGGGTGGGGCGACTCTCCACGGTCGCGACGCGAGTCGCAGAGGAGGGCTTGAGAGGGTTCGCTGAGGATTTGTTGGCCGCGGGTGATTTGTTGGACAGCGACGTGCTGGCGTTCAGGTAACGTGAAGGAACTATTCTAGGCTGGCTCATGTTTATTTCAGGGTGAGGCGCGAATGTTTTGGCACAAGGCGCATTTCACCTTTTTTCCTGGGGAAAAACCTGGGGAAAACGACAAAGTAAGTCTCCGGGAAATATCCAGGAAAAACTGTGAGAAAACAATAGTGTAAATCCTGGGGAAAAACCGTGACCCAGAAAAAGCAACAGATTTCTCGGAGAAAAAACCTAAAAAACCTTTGTTTCCAAATCGGGATTTCTGCATATCTCTTCATCAGCAAAAGTCAACTCTTGCTTACCCAGATTATTCCCTTGATTAAGGAAATTTTAAGGAGATCCTCATTATTATTATTCCTTATTCACCTTAATTGGCCAAATAGGGAAGCAGACCTCCTTAATCAAAGCAAGGGAGCCAAGAGTTGACTTTTCCTGATGTTGCAGAAATCCCGATTTGGAAACAAAGGTTTTTTCTCCGAGAAATCTGTTGCTTTTTCTGGGTCATGGTTTTTCCCCAGGATTTACACTATTGTTTTCTCACAGTTTTTCCTGGATATTTCCCGGAGACTTACTTTGTCGTTTTCCCCAGGTTTTTTCCCAGGAAAAAAGGTGGAATGCGCCTTGTGTGGACGGGAAGACTCGACCGGACAATTGCCTTTTCGAGAGAGAGCAGCTCTGCTGATGGCGCGCTTAAACGTACTGCTCGGCGTGCGAGTCGCAGTCGTGCACGCTCTTTCATCCTCCTCCATCTCCTCATCGCCGTGCTCGTCACTGTCATTCACGACGATCAGCACCTGTGCTCGTCGTTGTGCTCGACGGCCATGTCCTTTGTCACCTGCGTCGTAAAACCGGCCGCCTACGTCTCCCTTCCTCTCTTCGCCCTGCATACCCTCTCCAAATCCTCCGCAATCGCCCGCTACTATGTCCGGATCGCGTTATTCCTCTCCACACTCAGCGTGTGCTCCGTATGGGGCATCTTGGCTGCCCTTGGGTTGTCCGTCGTAGGACGCCGCCTCGATACCTCCTGGGTCGTTGCACGCAGCTTCTACTACCTGTGCAACCGGGCAGTCGGAATCCGTTTCATCGTCGAGGGCGGGGAGCATCTCGAGACCCGACCCGCGGTCCTTGTCGGAAACCACCAGAGCATGCTCGACATCCTCTACATCGGAAGGTGCGCCTACGCCCCCGCCTCGAGCGCCCCGAAGCTGACGCGCCCACCCTTTCGCACGTACATCTGTGCTGCAGAATATTCCCCCGACGCGCGTCGATCATGGCGAAAAAGAGCCTGCAGTGGGTTCCCCTTCTTGGCCAGTTCATGACGCTCTCCGGCGCGGTCTTCATCGATCGCGGTAACAATGCCAAGGCCGTTCGTTCGCTCACTGCTGCGGGAGAGATTATACACGCGCGCCATAGTTCTCTTTGGGTATTTCCAGAGGGCACGCGTTCCATGCGCGAGTACCATGACATGCTGCCACTCAAGAAGGGCGCGTTCCACACTGCCGTGCAGGCCGGTGTGCCTATCATACCCGTCGTATGTGAGAACTACTGGAGATTGTATCACAAGGGTGTCTTCGAGAGTGGCACGCTCAAAGTACGCGGTATGTAGTTTCTCTTGTCCGAAAGCTACTCGTGACTTTGGTTCAGAATTGTGTTCACTGATACCGCAGTATTTCATAGTTCTTCCACCCATTTCTACAGAGGGCCTTACTGCTGCCGATGTCTCCGCCCTTGCTGTGCACGTACGCGAGCTGATGATCGTAGCTTTACGCGAGATATCAGTCCCCGCAGCGTCCGACAAGAAAGCGGAACCCTCATCAGCGTCAGAGCCATCTCTAGCAACAGCGCCGTCAGAAGAATCCGAGCCACATCATGTAGAGCCCGCCGAATCGTCCGTCATTTCCTCGCACCCCGTCGAACCCACAGATCACCCCGAGCCGGAGTCCCAGTCCCAGTCCCATTCTCGTGCAGAGAGCCGTGCGGAGAGCTACGCGTCTGAGGAGACCTCAGCATCATTAGTGGGAAGCAGGATAGACGGGAGCGAGACCGGTACCGAGACTGAGGAAGACGATGGCATGGTGCTTGTTGGGCATCCAAGTAGCGGCTCCACGTGATGGGCGGCCGTCACTGCTGGGGAGAATGTCAATCGTGCTCAGTGCTCGCGATCTTGATTTGGGATGCCCCGATCATTCGGTCTATTTATTTCTTGGTCTTACGTGTGTCTGTGCTATTCGGAATGCAGATGGTCGCAAGCATAATCTCATGGGGTTGTAGATTGATTTGTGCGCTCGAGCGTCGAATGCTCAGGTCTGTTGTGTGTGTGCCCTATTTCGCTCCGCGAGTCTACTCCAGAGAAGCATCGGTGCGTCTACGCGACTTTGTATTGTCTCTTGCAGTTACTCCTTCCTGTCAATCCAGGGCATAGCGCTTGTAAGTGTGGAGAAACGCTGTAATGTGTCGGCCGTCATCGAGCCCCACTCGTCTTCGTCGCCAGTAGAGAATCTGATCATGCTCACCAAGTGCTCACTGAGGCTGAGGTGAGCGACTCATGCACTCAAGGCCCCCTTAACACACTAATCGGGCTTCTTTTTTCATATCCCCATTGGATTGGAGAGGATCACCAACGAAGGAGTGTCAGCAACACTTCTCGAAGCTCTTTTTCTCTCTAAGCAGGTACCGTTAGGCTCAGTCACTTCTGATAGTGCTATGCAGGGTCTCGCCTGCTCACAAACGACTTACCGATTTCTCCAAACGAACAGCTCGAGGATTTTCCGGTGATATGATACGCGTTGAAGCCGTCGTCAATTTGTTTCCTGCGATATTGCAGCCTACCCCATTCGCCACAGATCTCGAATTGTTGAGACGGCCTGAACAAACGTTGCTGTTGAATATACGTGGCCGCGCGCTTGGACGGCTTTCAACACTGCTCCACTGTTAGTAACACGTCCCGAAGATGTCTTCGCGGCCCTACTACTCAGCAATCATGCGCTCACGAAGAGTAGCTCACGGACGGCTTCCAACTCACCTATTTTTTGTCGTCCTCACGCTCGAACTTCCGGGCAAGTTCCAACTGCCCGGGTTGCGACAGCGAATAGCGTGAAATTTCATCCGTTCATCTTGCGTTGGTATTCCATTCCGTGATATGTTCTCCTCATATGTGTTTCGGTACTGATTTATGACCCTAGCAGCAAATTGTCGGCGTGCGTATTTTTGGGGGGATCCCGGTGCAATTTCTCACCGCACATTAAGTTTCCCACTCGAACCCCAAACCATGGAAGTTAAACAATAATCTATTCGTGGAGCAGGTTTTCGCAAAGTACTCTATGCTGCAATTTGGACACACCGCTCCGATATCACGTTCGTAAGTCGGGAGAACCGAAGGTATCGTAATACTGCTTCCAAAGGGCATCTAGCTTCTCCTTCGGCAGCCTCTCGCGCACCGCGTCCGCCTTTTGCTTCAGCTCGCGCGCGATGGGGCCCCACAGGTTTTTCGTGAGCTTGCCGTCGCGCTTTACGACCTCGCCGTTGACCAGGACAGTATCGACGTCGGCGTTGGTCGCGTGGAACGTGATACCCTGGAAGGGGTCCGCAATCGCAGCGAGGTTGGTAGACTCCGCGTCATAGAGGACCAAATCCGCTTTCTTGCCGACCTCGATGGTGCCGATGAGGTGCTCCATGTTCAGCGCCTCGGCTCCGCCGAGGGTGGCGAGACGGAACGCGTCGGCGGCATTGTTGTGATTATACTTGGGCGCGCAGTGGCCATTTTTCTCGATTGCCTCGTGGGCACGACCTGAAGGCGGTCAAATGGGATGAAATACGCGTATGAGTTATAAATTTTACCTCTCGCAAATTGCAGTGCAACACGCATTTGGGTGAAGATATCACCTCCATTAATCGACAGAGCGTCCTATAGGCGAACAGGAAAGTTAGGCACAGGTAAATCACGCGAGGAAATTTGGTAAGTGGACGTACAACTCCGAGACCGCATTTAACACCTCTGTTGACGGCGTCCATGGCCACAGGATTTCCTTGGGCCATGCCGAGTTCGTCGCAGGGCGTCGACGCGATGGCGCAGCCGTTATCCTTCATGGCAGCCCACATCTCATCGTCCGGGTCAGTGTGGTCGAACAACACGTTACAGTGCGAGAAAAGGACATCCGGACCGAGAAGGCCACCGTCCCTCCAGGTGAGGATCCGGCGCCCTGCGGAAATTACCAAGTCAGGATCAAATGAATATCTGAAGAAATCGACGGAACGTCACCTTTGGCGACGTGTGCGGTAATAACCTGCACCGGGATCTCGCGGGCGAACTTCAATGCTTCCTGGTGCATACTGATTGGCCCAGCGCCGACAATATCGTATCTAAGAAAAACGCAGCAGTGAGAAGTTGTCGATACATTAAGAGTTTGTTACTAACGCAAGACCAAGGGTGACCCGTCCGTCCGGCGTCAGTTTGCCACCGTCCTTCGAGCCCCATTCCTTGAGCTTCTCCATCTGCCACTTGCACGTCTCTTCTTCATTACCGAATTCCATGTTGGGGAACAGCTGCGTTGGAGCACTCTGACGTGCCGGGCACCAGACGACGCGTGCACCTGACTGGATGGTGGCCTCGAGAGACGCCTCAGCATGCTCCGGAGTATTGGCTGCGTGGAAGTGGTCCAGTATGGTGGTCACCCCCGAGTGGAGAGCGTCAAGACAGCCTGCAAGCTGGCCAATGCGGACCTCCTCCGCAGTCAGTGCCGGTTGAACGGTCCTGTGGAGTCGGAATTGGAATGAACACATGGTTCTGCGGGCGCTGGGTGAGTAACATACCAGCTCATCTTTACGAGATATTCTGATAGCAGCCAGCTGCGAAGGTTGGTATCTCTGTCAGATCGTGCATGACGCGTCTAGAACACGGAGACTGCGTACTCGCACTGGTCGCCGCGTAGCACGATCGCGAAGACGTGTCTGGGAGGCGATAGTCGGTCAGCAAGCACTTTCGGGATACGACGCGCCCGCCACTACCTGTGTGTGTCGACCATTCCGGGCGTAATCCATTTGCCTTCACAGTTGATGACCTCGACGTGGGGACCAACATTGATGCTCTCCGCGATCTGGGTGATGATCGAGCCCTCGACCAGCACGTCCGCCTTGAAACTCTTGGGCTGGTTGTCGGAGCTGAAGGTCGCGATGATGCCGCCTTTGAGGAGATAGGAGGTAGACATGGTCAACTCTGTCTGGGATGGCAGAAGAGTTGTGTCTGGCTACTTATGTATGTAGGGCTACCCCGCATTTGCCTTTGCCACAGTATGCGTAATGTGCATGCATGTGACATGGTGTACATCAGCAAATGTCAAATCTGCTTATGGCGCCTTCTCGGTCCTTTTCGGTCTTAAATAATGCCGTCAATGCCACCAAGACACAAAAGCAAAGATAAGCCGGGAAAAGGGGGAAAAGGGTGTATTTCGAGCAGTTGCGACATCGACGCGGTAAGCAGGTTAAGGATATACCGCTAGACAAGAAATATCTAAGACCGGGCAGATACATAAGTGCAAGAGTTAGTCTTTAAGGAGTACAAGGCATCAGCAAACTCCATCAGCAAAAGTGCACAATTGTTACAACGGATTCCGACGATTGTAGTATTCGCCCGCATGTGATAACAGGTTAGAATGTCATCGTAAGCCATTAGAATAATGGGGCTGCGTTGCGACCTTCGTAATCCCTTCAAATTCGTTGCAATGCTCGGTAACGTAGATGACTGATTGCAATGCCATTACAATGCACTATAAACCTATGTAAGGCAGTTGTAAGAGCTTGTAATGTTGAGCGAACATGGTGATTAATAGTGATTATACTGAAGGCAGAGACTCAAGAAATATTCGACAAGGGAGCACAGAACAACGTCCACGGAACGATCCACTATCAGACTACACTAGGACAGTCATTTACCTGCCTGCGGACTCCAGCTCGTCCATACCGTTTCTTCGACTCCGAGATCCTTTGCATATCCTCGTTCCGATATTCACTGCCCATTCTATGTTCTGTGGCCGGCAGGAATATGAATAGGACCTTGAGCAAACCAGCCCCTTCACGCGGTCTTGGGTCCGACAAACTTGTGTACGTAGCAAAGTAGTCAAAGTCAAAGGCACACGGTGACGGCCCAGTCGGCTTGCGAAGTGACTCTTCCCAATTTGGAAGCTACTCAACAGTGATGACGTAGTACACTTCTCTCCTCCCGGCCATATAAGAGGCGGTCGGTCTCTTCTGGTGTCTTTCACTGCTTTGATTCCTCCTTGTATGTCGACGCATTCTTGGCGGCACAGCCGCTTTTCTGACGACAACATTAATGACAACGACGCCGCAGAAGCGCGCCTCGCCAACGTTAACACCATTTCCACCGAGTGCTTTGCTCTTCTCATTCTACATATGTGCCCTTCCTGCAGGACGTGCCTTAGGAGCTTCTCGTCCATTTAAAGTGACACACTTGTGCCCTTCCACTGCTCACACACCTATCTGTATGACTGCAGTATGTGTTCCGTCTTGTCTTTGCTGTCATGAATTGGGAACAGGATCATGGTACATGCCGTATCGTGATGCATGGAGCTAGTGCTCTCGATGCATACACCACACCAGATCGAGCCTGAGCAGGTGCATGTACTATTGAGTATCCTTTGAACTGCCTAGAATTCACACTTCGCGACCGTCCACGGTGCATATACCGAGTCAAGATTTGGACACCGGCCATACTAGCAGCAGCGGGCTCACGATGCCCAGCCAGTGAGTAATCGTGCACTCTAGACGGTAACATAGTTGATGCACTCTCTCCGCAGGCCTGCCCGCACTGGACCGGTTTGTCTTCGCAAAGCTCGCGATGTTTCAACTGACATATTGAGCACGTATCATTGCCTGCATGACAACTTACCCAATAAATTCCTTTATTATAGACAGGTCTTTCATGCAGATGCCAGCAGGAATGTGCGCTCAGACTGCCGCAACGACAGCAACGGTCTGTCAACTTTGAAAGAACGACACTACAGTCAGTAGGCCCCAGGTTCACCGACCTCAATGTACGCACCAAGTGTAGCACTGTCTCACAGCATTCTGCACAGACTGCCTTTGGATTTCTGTACTCTTGCTACCCTTTCCTGGATGGTCTTGTTGGCCCTCGTTGTTGAGATTTCACTGCTTCTGTTTCTCGCTGCCGCTTCTCCTTGCGGTGGCACTTTCTCAACCTTTGTGCTCTCTCGGACATCCAGCTCACCTCTTGATGGTCATCCTGCTCTCGCGCCAGCTCGTGGTGTTCCGGTTTTGTGCTCTCTTTAGGTTTTGCACTGCTCTCCTGTTCTATTTGGCACTCATGCGGACTGTGGTGAACTCTCTGTATTCATATGTAGTCACACCTGTTGTATGTTATGTTGTATTTGCCGCAATGATTACTATATTTCCTGTCCTGTGCTCTGTCCACTGGGAGTAAGTCTATTTGTACAGCCATTATAAGTTGTCCCCTGACATTGCCACTGCTTACAATCCCATCACGATGCCTTATAAACCTGGGAATCCATGGTAATGAGTCCCAAACACTCCAGGTATTCGGAATAGATTGTGTACATTGCAAATGGATTACCAAATATTTTGAAACATTGGGAAATATTCGGAACCCCCGTAGAGAAGTTACAATCCATTACAACTTTGCTCAATAATTTCGAGTGTTGTAACGGATTTCCTAGATTACGATGCTATGTAACCGATGGTAACAGAAGTGCACTTTTGCTGATGTCGCACAAGTATGATTTGGTATGGTGCTTATGGTGACCATGGTTGGCGTGGCACCACACCAACCATACTTCACCAGACTTTCTGATCCTTCACCATGGTAGGATGCAAATGTAACAGATAGGGTTTCACATATTGCACAATACCCACTCCAACTACTGTAAGCTAAATGAATATGCTACTTGTGCAACACCCTTTGTATCGTGCAAGCTTTGTTGAGAGTAGGACGCACATTTAGCCCACTCGCACGTGACTCTGTTGAGTGAACCAAATAAGTCGCAACACTCTGATCGATCTTATTGTTCGTACGATGCTGCGCTCAGCGGATACGCTTCATTGTCGACAATGTACGTGTCATATGCGCCACCACGCACTCGCTCACTTTCAACTATGTACAGTCCTGTGCCTGCAAGGCAAAGGGGAAGGAAAGGCTTGTGCCTATCAGCATTGTGTGCATGTAGGTGTCGCCTTCTCCCTTTCATTGCATGCTGACTCACCTTCCGCATTACCGCAGTTTCCAATGGGCTCTGTGATTCTCCAGATATGCACTGACTCTAACACCCCAGAACAGGGTCCCCACCGAAGTGCTGCACCTGCATGTCCACGGATGCTGCAAGCAGTGGACATAACGAATGAGCATGGCGCCTGCAGTGGACAACCTGTCACCTTTCCCCCAGAATTCGGAAGGTGCAAGAATGCACACTTAACCCGAGGCAAGTGCCATGAGTCTCATCCGTCTCACTCAGCTGTCTCAGAATATTTAGTATTCACAGTCCTCGAGGATGGATGAGCTTGACATCACAAGGATGTGCAACAAGCACATGCATGAGTGAGGAGCGCAAAGGTATGCTATCCAACTTCTCCCAAGCATCTTTCTCACACTCTGCCCCCCAGCACCTCTTGCCAAATGGAGACTACCAAGATGGAAGCCAAGATCCGCAAGCTCACGCGCTGGGGCGGTGTCATGCACCAAAAGTGTTTGGCTTGTGAACATGTAACCACCGGTGAAGCGCTCGACGAAGAAGTCACGTGACTAAGACGGAACCCAAGAATGTTTGGCCGAGTGTGTCACCTGATGCTCACATTATGCTATTGGACAGGAAAAACTCAGAAAGTGCTTTCTCCCTACTTCTCCCTGCTCGCTTTATACTATTGGACACGGAGGTCCAAAGAGTTTTGTCTTCCCTGTTTCTCCCTGCTCACTTTATGCTATTGGACACGAAGGTCCTAAGACATTTTTCCTTCCTACTTTCCCCTTTGATCACTTGATGCTCTTATTTTGCTATTGGCCAATCTGCCATGTAACACTACTATGTAACGGTCACAATGGGTGACACCCGAGGGATATAAAAGGACCCCCGAGGTGTCCTGACCCACAATCTTCTCTCCCCACTTGTAGCACCCCTATAAGTGAAGAGTTCTCCCTCCGCTTGTAGCTTACCCTACAAAGTGATAAACTAAAAGAATAGGAGTTTGTTCCACTCCTCCCAGTAACATTGTTACTTGTAATCAAAAGGATCCCGATGAAGTCAGTTCAGCGCAGGCAGTGAGTTGTTACGAACACAACTACTGCACTCTTGTATCGTTTCTGTTGGGTAGTCTAGCACACGGTTGCTAGATACTCAACCCATTCTTGGAAAGTTCTTGGACAACATGTAGGAAAAGTATCAGCCAGGCATATTGTATTAGGACACACGCACTCAGTAAAGCCCTGCACACGGTTGTAGGCACTCGAATAGGAACACAGAAGACTTGGTAAGCCCTGCACACGGTTGTAGGCACACTGTTAAGAAGACAATGAAGACTCGGTAAGCCCTGCACACGGTTGTAGGCACATGGATAAGAGAACACAGAAGACTCGGCATCGTATAAGAAGACAGAATGCAAGCCCTTGCACATGGTTGCTAGGCATCCCCCTCTATATTCCCCCATCTGTATTGTACAGACTACCATCCCGATTTCAGACAACAAATCACACGTATAGCTCAGGCGTCCCTAACCCATTATCATAAATTTGATATCACCGAACAACTGTGATAGCCTGGCGTACTTTCCTGTTTGCCACACCCGGTGAACCACAGCGAAGTACCACTCACTTGACCGAGAGTCAAAAGCTCCTCCGGCCAAGGCCCGTGTGTACCCCGAGTCGACATCTGAAGCCCACCGCGAGGGGTTAGGACCCTTGTTTCCCGAAGCTATATCAATCACACCTCTGAAGCCTGTTAACACAGCAGTCTATCCCACACTACAGCTCTACCCAATCAACACTTCGAAGCCCAATATGGTGACCGGCGTCGCTGGATTACCGGTTCTGGGAACGAAGGGTTCTCCAAAGAAGTTTAAAGGAAGTTATGCAGAAGTTGCGAGGTTCCTGCAGCACTATGAATGGCTGTGCGCTCAGCTCAACATTGTGACTGCAGAGGACCAAGTGGAAAACATCACGCAGTATTGTGCACAAAGTGTGCGCCAGTTTATGGAATCACTCCCAGCCTACGTCACACCAGACTGGAATGCTTTCAAGAGAGACATTCTCACATTTTACGATGCGGACCGAGACAAAAGGCGATATAAAGTCAAAGACCTCGAAGCCTTAGTCAAGGAATCACGTCGGAAACCTACTATCAAGAACCTAGGTGCATGGCAGGAATACTCGAGGAACTTCCTCACAGTCGCTGGATGGCTAGTGAATCGTGGTCACATTTTGGAAGTTGAACAGTCCCTTTATTTTTGGAAAGGAATTCCCCGCGCTTTCCGTCAGGACCTGGAACCATGCTTGCTTGCCGCAGACCCCAACCACAACATGTCTATCCCGTTCAGCATGAGCAGCGTATGCATGAAAGCAGAAACCATTCTGCAGCACAATCGATTTGACCAGGACCAACTGCCCTCAGAAGACGAAGACTCGAGTGATGACTTAGACGACTCAGACTCGGATGACAATTCAAGTGACTCAGAGGATTCATCAAGTGCCGAAGAAACACATCGAAGGAAGCGCAAGGATAAGAAGAAGATGCGAAGCACGAAGAAACAATCATCAAAGCGAGTGGATGATTCATCAGATGACGAACCAGAAGTTAAGAAGCCAAAAACGAAGTTATCATGGAAACGACTGGCAGTACACGAGAAGGAAGAAGTGGAAGACTTGGTCAAGCAATTGAATCGCATGTCCCTAAGTGATCCTGACTATGGACTCCTATACTTCTGCGCTTGCAAACTCGACCAGCTCGTCACCACCGTTGTCCGGAAACCAGTAGTGGATGCTCCGACGCCAGCCCATTCAGTCATGTTTGTGAACTGGACTCCCATTTACCCTGACATTGTTATGAACTGGACAGCCAGCGGACATCGGCCCATTGGTCTGTGTAAGGAGTTGTAAGCGATCAGCTCATGATGAGAAAGGGAATGCTGGAGCGATCAGCCCACCGCCATAGGAGTATTTCTGAGTGATCGGCCCACCACCATGGTGCTACTATTATATAGGCATGGGCCCACCGCCACAGTGATAGTTCTGAGCGATCGGCCTATTGCCATAGGTGTATTTTTGAGCAATCAGCTGACCGCCACTAGGGCTATTATACAGCCATCGGCCCACCGCCATAGGTAGTGTTCTGAGTGATGGGCCCATCGCCATAGGTATATTTCTGAGCGATGGGCCCACCGCCACTGGGGCTATTATACAGCCATCGGCCCACCACCATAGGTAGTGTTCTGAGCGATGGGCCCACCGCCACTGGGGCTATTATACAGCCATCGGCCGACTGCCATAGGTAGTGTTCTGAGTGATGGGCCCACTGCCATAGGTATATTTCTGAGCGATTGGCCCACAGCCATGGTGCTATTATACAGCCATCAGCCCACTGCCATCATGGTAGTACTGAGCAATCAGCCGACTGCCAGGGGGTAAGTTCTGAGCCATCGGCTGACCACCTCGGGGCTACTATACAGCCATCGGCCCACCACCATAGGTAGTGTTCTGAGCGATGGGTGTTATTCTGAGCAGTGGGCCCACTGCCATCGGGGTACTTCTGAGCAGTGGGCCCATTACCATAATGCTATTATTTAGCAATGGGCCCACCGCCATAGGGGTACTTCTGGGCAGTGGGGCCCATCACCATAATGCTATTATTTAGTGATGGGCTCACCGCCATAGGGGTACCTCTGAGCAGTGGGCTCACTGACATGGTGTTATTAGTCAGTGATTGATTCACCATTATAATGCTGGCAGTGCCTGGACTCAGCAAGACACCTAATCGCTAACCTGACACTACATCTCTGGTGGAGTTTTTACAACATGGAGTCCTGCCTGAAACTTATCGTAGCTATAGTATAGAGTGCAGTGCCACCATTTTATGAGTTCCTGATATATGGCGAACCATGGCTTTACATTCTAGTGATGGCGAGACTCAAGCTGCCAAGAAGTCACCAACCTGGCTGTCCTTCTCTGGTGAAGTGTGTTAAACTTGGAGGACTGTCTGAAACTTGTGGAAGAGGACTTATAAAGTTAAATTCCATCATTTTAGGAGTTTCTAGTATATGGCGAGCCATGGCTTTACATTCTGGTGATGGTGTGACTCAACTAGTAAAAAACTCGCCAACCTGGCTCTCCTTCTTTGGTGAAGTTTGTTAAACTTGGAGGACTGTCTGAAACTTGTGGAAGAGGACTTATAAAGTTAAATTCCATCATTTTAGGAGTTTCTAGTATATGGCGAGCCATGGCTTTACATTCTGGTGATGGTGTGACTCAACTAGTAAAAAACTCGCCAACCTGGCTCTCCTTCTTTAGTGAAGTTTGTTAAACTTGGAGGACTGTCTGGGATTGATAGTAGCTGTGGTATCAAGTGAAGCACCGTCATTGTTTGAGTTTCTTGTAGATGGGAGCTATGGCTTAATATCCTGATAATGGCTAGACTCAACCGATAAACATATCGCTAACCTGGCTCTTCTTCTCTGATGAAGTTAGTCAAACTTGAAGCACTGTCTGGAATTTATAGTAGACATTTCATAATGTGAAGTGCCATTACTTTCTGAGTTCCTGATCAATAGTGAGCTATAGCTTCATATCCTGATAATAGCTAGAATTAACCAGGAAAAGAATGACCAATCTGGCACTTGTTCTCTGATGAAGGTTGTCTAACTTAAAGCACTGTTTAAAAATTGAAGTAAATGTTATATCAAGTGGTGCCAGCATTTCGTGAGTTTCTTATAGATGGTGAGCCACAGGGAAAATGTAACTGGCAATCTGATACTTCTTTTTTCACATACACTGATGAATTTCATATAATATAAAGTATTAACTATAAGTTGTAGCAGTAGCTATATACTGTGATGTCCTTTTATATGGACTTCTGGCTGATGTCAGGCTGTGTTTGTACATTTTGGCAAAGTGTGGATGCACTGAGATTCAATGCTGACAATCTGCTATTTATTATAAAGTGAAGTATCTAAGTCTTTCAAAACTTAGAGCAGCAGTTGCATTACTGTTCAATGCCAGTGCTGTATGACTTCTTAGTTGGTTTTGAGCCACATCTAATCATCCTAAATACACTCACAAGTTAGCATGCTAACCGGCTGTGATAATCTTATATATGTATAATATGGAAAAGTGACTAAATCTTACAACAGCAGTTGTATGCTCTAAATTAGAAGCCTTGCATTACTTCTTGAAGTTTAGCAAGATACACACAGCCATTCTAATGATCTGTGAACACTTTGAGAAGTTCAGCATACAACTTACCATTTCTTTGCATGATACTATGTGTAATAAAGTACAACACTTTATATGCAAAATACGATGTTGTGGTTAGTTTTGATTGTAATCACTTAGTGTTATGTGAAGAATTCAATATTGTCTACCTTTAATGAACTTCATGTGACTTGCTGAACTGGTCAAGGAATCACACTTTCCTTTTTAGTCTCCGAGTGCACACACATCTACATGAACATAATGGCTCCTATATGTGTTTTCTTCTATATATTTGAGATTCTTCTTCAATACATTTTTCTATCTACATTAAAAAATGGTGATTACATAGACCTTATATCAGAGCTAGATAGATTCTTGACACACTTATAAGAAGTCTATAGAGCTCAGAGTGAAATATTGCTAACTCTTCAGAAGTGAACTTTGCTGTTTTTTGAGAAGTAAAGCTTGCCAATCACTTAACATTACAGTTGACTACATGTTGTCTTGAAAAAGATACATCTGTCATTTTCTAACAAATGTCTGGCATTTAGTTATATGAAAAGCAAAACACACTTCATAAACTTAAGTATAGCTCTCTCCAAAGAATTACACTTAATTGTTATTGAGAATTAATAGCTGTTAAGTCACAATATGATATTGCTACTCCAAGTTGCAGTTCATACTCCACAGTATATAACTTTGGCCATAAGTTTCAGATAATACTCCATTGCATACAGACTTCATTACAGAAGCAGCTGGTCGTTTAGCATTTTTATGTGTGAAACCATGGCTGGCCATCAATCAGGAACTCATAACATGGTGGCCCTTCACTTTATATAACAGCTGTTATCAATTCCAGACAGTGCTTCAAGTTGAATTAACTTTACTAGAGAAGGACCACCAGGTTAGTGGAGAATCACCAGATTAAGTCTAGCCATCATCAGGATGTAAAGCCATGGCTCAACGTCTATCAGAAACTCATGAAATGGTGGTGCTTTACTTTATATACCAACTACTATGAATTTCAGATAGTGCTCCAAGTTTTGTGAACTTTGCCAGAGAAGGAGAGCCAAATTGCTGAGTTTTTTACTGGTTGAGTCTCACCTTCACCAGAATGTGAGGCTATGGCTCGCCATATACCAGGAACTCATAGAATGGTGGCACTTCACTTTATAAATCCCCTACTACAAGTATCAGACAGTCCTCCAAGTTTAATAAACTCACCAAAGAAGGAAAGCTAGGTTGGCGAGTTTTTTACTAGTTGAGTCACACCATCACCAGGATGTAAAGCCATGGCTCGCCATATACTACAAACTCATAAAATGATGGAATTTAACTTTATAAGTCCTCTTCCACAAGTTTCAGACAGTCCTCCAAGTTTAACAAACTTCACCAAAGAAGGAGAGCCAGGTTGGCGAGTTTTTTACTAGTTGAGTCACACCATCACCAGAATGTAAAGCCATGGCTCGCCATATACTAGAAACTCCTAAAATGATAGAATTTAACTTCATAAATCCTCTGCTACAAGTCTCAGACAGTCCTCCAAGTTCAACAAACTGCACCAGAGAAGGAGAGCCAGGTTGGCAAGTTTTTTACTAGTTGAGTCTCGCCATCACCAGAATGCAAAGCCATGGCTCTCCATATACCCAGGAAGTCTAAAATGGCAGCACTGCCCTTTATAAATCCTCTTCTACAAGTTTCAGACAGTCCTCCAAGTTTAATAAACTTCGCCAGAGAAGGAGAGCCAGGTTGGCGACTTTTTGGCAAATTGAGTCTCGCCATCACCAGAATGTAAAGCCATGGCTCACCATATACTAGGAACTCAGAGAATGGTGGCACTGCACTTTATAAGTCCTCTTCTACAAGTTTCAGACAGTCCTCCAAGTTTAACAAACTTCGCCAGAGAAGGACAGCCAGGTTGGCAAGTTTTTTACTAGTTGAGTCTCTCCATCACCAGAATGCAAAGCCATGGCTCTCCATATACCCAGAAAGTCTAAAATGGTGGCACTGCACTTTATAAATCCTCTTCTACAAGTTTCAGACAGTGCTCTAAGTTTAACAAACTTTGCCAAAGAAGGAGAGCTAGGTTGGCGAGTTTTTTACTAGTTGAGTCACACTATTACCAGGATGTAAAGCCATGGCTCACTATATACTAGGAACTCATAAAATTATGGAATTCAACTTTATAAATCCTCTGCTACAAGTTTCAGACAGTCATCCAAGTTTAACAAACTACACCAGAGAAGGAGAGCCAAGTTGGCGATTTTTTGGCAAATTGAGTCTCGCCATCACCAGAATGTAAAGCTATGGCTCACCATATACCCAGGAAGTCTAAAATGGTGGCACTGCACTTTATAAATCCTCTTCTACAAGTCTCAGACAGTGCTCTAAGTTTAACAAACTTCGCCAAAGAAGGAGAGCCAAGTTGGCGACTTTTTTACTAGTTGAGTCTCACCATCACCAGAATGTGAAACCATGGCTCACCATATATCAGGAACTCATAAAATGGTATTTATAAATTCTCTTCTCCAAGTTTCAGACAGATCTTCAAGTTTGACAAACTTCGCCAAAGGAGAGCCAGGTTGCTGAGTTTTTTACTGGTTGACTCTCGCCATCACAAGAATGTAAAGCCATGGCTCTCCATATATGCGGAAAGTCTAAAATAGCAGTACTGCACTTTATAAATCCTCTTCTACAAGTTTCAGACAGTCCTCCAAGTTTAACAAACTTTGCCAAAGAAGGAGAGCTAGGTTGGCGACTTTTTGGCAAATTGAGTCTCACCATCACCAGAATGTAAAGCCATGGTTCACCATATATCAGAAACTCATAAAATGGTGGCACTGCACTCTATATGACAGCTACGATAAGTTTCAGGCAGGACTTCATGTTGTAAAAACTCCATCAGAGATGTAGTGTCAGGTTAGCGATTAGGTGTCTTGCTGAGTCCAGGCACTGCCAGTATTATGATGGTCAACCAATCACTGACTAATAACACCATGTCGGTGAGCCCACTGCTCAGAGGTACCCCTACGGCGGTGAGCCCATCAGTAAATAATAGCATCATGATGATGGGCCCACTGCTCAGAACAACACCTATGGCAGTGGGCCCACTGCTCATTCATTGTACATTGGCAGTGAGCCCATTGCTAGGAGAAACATGTCCTGGTGATTGCCTACCCCCTGGCCTGTGGCAATAGGCCCATCTTTCATCTGATACTCTTGGAGATGGGCCCACTGCTCAGCTATTGTACTTTGGCTATGGGCCTATTGGTGGCGATAACATGCTCTGGTGATGGCCAACCCTCTGACCTTTGGTGGTGAGCCCATTCTTCATCTTACACTCATGGTGATGGGCCCACTGCTCATTGATCATACTTTGGTGGTGGGCCCATTGCTCAGAGAAACATGCTGTGATGATGGCCAATGCTCTGACCTTTGGCAGTGGGCCCATTCTTCATCTTACACTCATGGCGATGGGCCCACTGCTCCTTGATTATACTCTAGCAGTGGGCCCATTGATGGCGACAACATGCTTTGGTGATGACCAACCCTCTGACCTTTGACTACTCTGATGGTGGGCCCATTGCTGGGAGAAACATGCCCTGGCAATGGCCAACTCTCTGGCCTTTGGCAGTGGGCTGATTGCTGGCGGAAACATGTTCTGGTGATGACCTATGCCATGGGTGCTTGCAGTAAGGCCCTGACTGAGGGTACTTTGGTGATGGGCCCATTTCTGGCAGTAACATGCTCTGGCGATGGCCAACCCTCTGACCTTTGGCAGTGGGCCCATCCTTCATCTTACACTCTTGGCGGTGGGCCCACTGCTCAGAAGTACCCCTATGGCAGTGGGCCCACTGCTTAGAAGTACTTCTATGGCAGTGGGCCCACTGCTCAGAACATCATCTATGGCGGTGGGCCCACTGCTCAGAAGTGCCTCTATGGTGGTGGGCCCATCGCTAAATAATATCATTATGGCGATGGGCCCACTGCTCAGAAGTACTCCTATGGCAGTGGGCCCATTGCTCAGAACTACCCCCATGGCAGTGGGCCCATCACTCCAGCCTTCCCTTCATCGCCATGGGCCCATCGCTGACAGCTCTCTACACAAACCGATGGGCCGACGTCCGCTGGCAGTCCAGTTCATGACAATGTCAGGGTAAATGAAAGTTCAGTTCAGGTAACATGACTGAAAGGTGTGCCGACGCAAGGACAATTTGGATGACAGATGCCACCGCACATGCCACAGTACCCACTGCCTGGTGTCCCGAACATGCCTCCTCCACCTGGAATGGCAAGACCACCATCGGACATGCAGTGCTACGGATGTGGGGAAGCCGGACATCATATTGAAGATTGTGCTCCCATCAATGAACTCATTGCCAAAGGAGTGATCACGCGGAACATGCAAGGACGTTTGCAAATGAAAGATGGATCCCGGATATACAGAGGATACAATGAGCCATTCGTGTCGGCAATCAACTGAATGATCTCCCCTCAATCCCATCTTGTCACAGTCAACTGCTCGAGTATGTGTGCACATATTGAAGATATGGGCGACGGAAGTGACACCGATGATGAGACTGGCGAGAGCGATTTCGAAGATGTCTATGTGATGCCCACGAGTAGGCCAGAACGCAAAACGAGAACAGTCTGACGTGAAGCATTTGATGGAGTTCTAATGCCACCATTGAAAGTTAAAGCCAAGATCGCGAAACCTGTACCCGTACCCGACATGCCGCGCCGCCCAACCATAGTGGAGAAGGAGAATTCCCGTCCGCTACCACCTCACCACCCTTGGGAACAACAACAGCCAATTGAAGTACACCCGCCCTTGGGAAATGCAGATGATAGTGATGAGATATTGGACGATGACATTGCCCATGCTCCAGGACCATGTACCACAAAGCCTCGACCCCCAAAATTGGACGAGAAACTAAAAACCTCTGCCGAAGGAAAGCAAATTACTCGACGAAGTGACATTCAGACTCAGGTAGATCAAGTTAAAATCCTGGACAAAGTCTTAAGCACTCCCGTCACATTGGCCATCGGAGAAGTTTTTGGAATCTCGAAGGAAATGGCCCATCATCTACAAGACATTCTCAAGCCTAAAGCATCTCAGCTGTTACACCTGCTCAAAGTAAATTTGGTGGCATCATCTTTCTCGACCAAGACCCGAGGAACATTGATACGACTACAAATGGAATGTGACGGAACCGCGGTTACCGCAATAATCGATACAGGAAGCCAACTGAACATTGCAAGCAAGAAGATCTGGAAAGCAGTGATCAATCGGCCAATGGATATTGCTCGGTCAATTAGCATGAACGATGCTAACGGAGGAGCTGGTCTACTATGTGGATTAGTTCAGAACGTGGGCATTATGACATTTGCCAACCTTTACGTGAGAGACTAAGTGCCTTTCAATTTGCTGCTCAGATGACCATGGCAACGAGGGAACTACATATCAATCGATGAACGTGCTGATGGAACGTACCTGTTATTCAAGGACCGTGAACTTGAAGTCCATCATAAGTTATTGGTCACACCTGATGGCATGAACCCTAACTGGACCTTCGACCCAGCGGTATGGACTATTCCACATGAGCTTCAAACTCCACAGGTGTATTTCTTTGGGAGCAACAAAACGGTTGCATTGAATGCTAGAAAGCAAGTACGACAATCAGCAGAGCAAGATGGAACTACAAGTATCTACGCCCCCCCCCCCCCCCCCCGACACTAATGCGCTGCCTGGATATAAAGACCAATGGGTGACCGACTGCAAGGAGACCGAACGTTGTGTGGCTATGATGTTGGACAGCGGACCCTTGAGCATGGACGAACGGAAGAAACAGCAAGAAATACATACCAGAGACATTGAGAGCCTGCTAAGCAAAGCTCGCATATTGGCTGTGATGCTGCCTGACTGTATGCCGTACAAGGAATGCGCTGACATTAAAGAGGAACCAATTAGCCCGGACAATGAAATATTGAATATGCTTCGACGTACCTGCATCCCGATGGGGAACACGCAAGAAAGGAATCGAATTGGCCAAGAACGCGATAGGATGACAGACACAGGAGGACAAAGAGGCCGACCAACGAACGCGAGAGATGAAGGAAGAACGATGGACATAGGAGGATGAAGAGGCCGATGAATGAACGCAAAGGACGATGGAGGAAGAATGGTGGACACCTGTGGACAATGCGAATCACATGTCGCGGTCAACTGCAGGAGTCAAAATCAGCAAATGGAGAAACTAGAAGACATCGTGCATGTACCAATGGAACGAACGATCCCGCACTGCCTGCGTTCACGTGTGCAATTCCAGGAACCGCTAACAGATGAAGAGAACCGAGGATCGCGCCGTGCTCGATGGAGAGGGAAAAGACCGGCCAAGCTGCGACAGACGGAAAGTGTTGCAGTGTCGCTGTCGATGAACCCTGAAATTCAAATGTTAGCACGATGAAATGCAATGAAGGAACATATCGTGGCTCACCCAATGGACGACGAACAAGAGGGAACGTATCGGGATCGACTGTGCTCGCACTCTGCTGCGAGGCCCGAGCAACTCCCGCCCGAGACGCGCCTTCGACGAACGTATGCCAGCCACGATCTGAAAGGAGATATCAGAGATAAGCAAAAAGAGGAGAAGAAAAAGGAGACTTACTTTGTGGGGATAAGCACCCACCAGAACCCAGGACCATTGAAGACCCCCCAGCTGGCCCAGGAAGACAGAGAGCAAGAGACAAAAAGCCTAGTGAAGAAGTGGGAAGAATGGACAGAGGCTGCACTGCAGAGGACACTGTGAACCGCCGAAGAAGGACTTGTGCGCGAACTCAATGCCAGGTCACGTGCCTGCATGTCAAGCCCTACTGAAGTTATCCGCAACAGACAGGGTGCAGAGGGAAACAGAGAGGACCAAGACAGAGATAAGCCAGACAGGACGAGACAGAAAGGAGGCCAAAAACAAGAAAGTGCGACCACGCAAGGAGCAAGAGCAATGTGGGCCGCATGGAAAATGCGCGCCCGACGCGAGGCCAACGAGTTAGCTGCCGAGAAAACAGAAAAACATAAGAAAACAGAAACTTACTTTATTGGAATCAACGATGCAGGTGCTACAACGGGCGCTTCACAAAATGAAGCCAAGCCGGAACTTCAAGATCTAGATCCCAAAATCGAGATTAAGATAGGAGATCGTGCGCTCGATCAAGATGATATTATTGAGCTCCTCGGTCTTGGAGGCCTGGCAGATTCTACGCTCCCCCCGTGTCTCTCCCAGTCTCACTTCGAAGCTCTCATTACTGGACTCACTGTGCTCCCGGACACAACCCCCCAGACTCCTGGATCAAACACGCCTAATTCAGACGACTCGCGATACATGGAGCCTGCCCCGGATTTACCTATAACTTATGCGAAGGACGCTGGACTGCTCAGATCACCCCCCCTTCCTTTCTCCAACCTCTCCCCCACTGCTATGACCTGCCGTGACGATTCCCCAGCCCGCGTTCCACTGCAAGAGCGTGAATACGCTATGCGCATGTCTAGCTACACCGAGTCCCACCTTGATATTCTGCCGCTGCCCGAGCATCCCATATTAGGCAATCTCACTCGTGACGCCCGTGGAAAGTCTATCTATGACCTGTTGAGTGACGCAGTTTCCCAGTACACTCAATACAGGCAGTACAACATGTTCTCATCTGTCTGCCTCAGTTCTCCCGCCACTATCGTCTACGCCCCGATGCAGACTCGTTACGGACCCACACACCCTTGTGTACAGATGATGGCCATGCAGGCTGAGTCTCATCCGGATGGAATGGACCGCGCGAGCATATGTTATGGGCTCGCGGTCTCGTTTTTCTTCGGAAGTGACACACACCCGCCTGGTAGTTTCTTCCCCACCCCGATTGTAGGAGAGTTGTTTCCCAGCCCGAGCGCGGGCCCGCGTTTCTCAGATGACTTAGCTGAAGCTGTAGGAATGGTATACGAAGGACCAGAGATGTGATCGCGCGCTGCCAAGAGGTGCCGATTGATGGATATCGTAACTCGACCTGTGCCGACGACTGTGCTTGCGCCCGTTCCGTGGATCGACGTTCAAGGAAATAACGCTGCGATTTCTGTAAGGGATGCCTTACCCGTGGAGATACGTCTTGTCGCGACACGACCAGTTGAGTACTCGACACACGTGTGCAACTTCGATTCTGATCGTATTGCATCTTCGCAGACTCAGCGCCCCCAAAACGCTGAGTCAGAAGGGAATACATTGAACAATGTTTCGGTCGGCACTGAGCTCGAACCGCTCACCGATACACGTTTCATGTTAATTACCTCACCGCCGACGCCTGTATCCGTTACACCTGAAAGCTCGAATGCATCATCTTCCAAGGATCTGCATAGCCCGACTACTGTTCCCGCCATTCCTGCGCATAGTCCCACACTCACCGCTGCACCGATTGTTCCCGCCATTATTCCTGCTGCGAGCCCGACTGTTGCTGCACTGAACTCGACGCAACTGGCCGCGGTCACCGACCGACACACCGCACTACCGTTACCACGCAATGTTAAGAAGAATGTTTCTATGTCGCCCCCATCCACCGTTAGTTTGCCGCCGTATTCCCCGACTGGACGTGCTGCGCTCGACCTTGCCATTAAAGAATTGCTGGCGATGCCCGATCATGTGCTTAACCAACCCGCTCGCCAACTTTCTCGATCGCCCGATACGACCGCACCTGTTCCGCTGCTGCCCATTTTATCAGTGAAAGATCTCCTTTATCCCCCTTCCCCTTCCTCCGATATCGTATCTCCCGCCACTATGATCGAACACCAGGAAACGACAGAGGACGTGGAAATGACTGACTCAGACACCTCGGAGACAATTTCGAAAGCTGAATGGACTGCCGCTGTCGCGCTGGAGAATAAGTCGTATGTCCTTGCTCCCTACCTTGGTGTGCGCCACGATATGATTCAACTCAAGAATGAACTGTATGTGCGCGCTAAGCTGTACACTCTGCCGTTTTCGTTTGATCAAACCAACGACTTTCGCCGCATGTTCATGGTCACCTTTCACGCCGTTATGTCCCGCGCAAATATCGATGGTCTTGAAGATAGTAAAGAGACAAAGGACCCCATCGCTATGTGCATTGCTGCCATGGTTCGCCAGTGTCGCAACTACTCCGCGCTCTGGTACTCTCACATTGGAAATCCGTTTCTTTGGCCCGAGGAACATCTTGCGCTTGCCAAAGCTTGAGCACTCTTCGAGCTCTACCCTACAACAGACGCTCAATGCCAGGACCTCAATGATATGCGTGTTATTCTCGACATCATCAACTTCATGCTCAGATATGACATCGAACGCAGATACGTGCACGATATTTACCGCTGTCGTCACCAAGGACTCTTTGGAAAGCCTGGCGAGCTGCCTCCTCCAGTGTCATCCCCGGCTGCTGGAAGTTGCACTTGAACATGAACATGCGCGGTACATTTTTGACACATGGATTGAGACGTATGATGCTTACTTGCTATGTCCCATGCAGAAACTTTCCCTTGACGCCGCAGAGTGCAGGGATTCAAGAATGGACTGCTGCTTTTTCTCTTCTCCGTCTTGCCACTGCACCTGTAGTATTCTCGAGCTTGGACTTGACCGACTGAACGTTCATGTATTTGTGACTGGTATGTTGTTCAAAGACTTTGCTGCGAATGATGTTCCCTGTATGTTACCTGACGAGGACTTTGTTTTGGAGAGCACGAACGAGTCGCCGCTCGCTCGTGTGTCGCAACATGTATGGCATGGACTATTTCCGATGTTTTGGACTATGTGTTGTTACTTGGACTTACGTATGTGGACGCTGTGCATGGACTTGTACCATGTTTTTGCGCTTGGACATTATCTCTGTATGCTGACACCTGGAGATCGTGGAATCGAGTTATGCTTTTCACGGAATCTTACGGGTGTGATGAGGAAAAATCGAAATGAACAGATAAAAATAGCAGAAAAGGACAAAGAGAAAAACATGCAGAAAAGACTACAGAAAAATATAAAAGACACTGTGCCCTCACCAGTGTACTATCTACATATCGCAGAAGAAGAAGCAGCAGAAGAAAACCCAGTACCAGAGCCACTGTACTATTCCATGGAGCCCGAAGATGATGAAGATTACTTGTTCGTGAGAATAGGGAACAAAGTATATGGAGCTTACAAATGCGTGGACCGCAAAGTCAAGCCAGTCCCCGGAGTATTTCCAGAAGACGCTCGTGTGCATCGTGCCTTTCCCAAAGACCCACTTGCATCCCTCCCACTGCTTACACCGCACCCGCCAGACTTTATACCTGGAATGCGAGTCACACAGGAATGAATGGCGGAGATGAACATAAACCCAGATGGACTTCTATGCCCGGAAGAAGAAAAGTTATTCAAGCATATCCTGCGACTCAATGAAGCAGCTTTGGCTTTTGAAGACACAGATCGAGGAACATTTAAGGAGGATTATTTCTCTTCCTACATCATTCCAATAGTGCCGCATGAACCTTGGGAATTTTCGAATATTCCTATCCCCCCTGGAATCAAAGAGAAAGTTATCCAGCTTCTTAAGGAAAAGATGGCTGCTGGAGTATATGAAGCCAGTCAGTCCTCATATCGCTCACGATGGTTTTGCGTGATGAAGAAAAATGGAAAACTACGAATCGTCCATGACCTACAGCTGCTAAACAAAGTCACCATCCAAGACGCAGGACTCCCACCCTCACTGGATGACTTTGTGGAACCATTCGCAGGAAGAAAAGTTTACACTGTTGGAGACCTTCATTGGGGATTTGACGCACGCAAAGTGGACATGAGCAGCTGAGACCTGACATCATTCCATACTCCTTTGGGACTGCTACGAATCACGTCACTTCCCACCGGCTTCACAAACTCGCCTGCCGAATTTCAAAATTGCATGACCTTCATATTGCAAGATGAAATCCCGACCAAAGCAGATATCTTTATTGATGACGTGCCGATCAAAGGAACCGACACCGAGTACCCTGATGCAGATGGGGAACCAGAAGTATTATTGGAGAATCCCGGGATCAGACATTTCATATGGGAACATGCATTGGATGTGCACCGAATTTTGCATCGAATAGGACACGCTGGAGCTACGTTCTCAGGAAAGAAGTTCCAATTGGCCCGCCAATGAGTCCTTATTGTTGGACAAACATGCACCCCAGACCGATGACCAGAAAATAGAGAAAATCCTTAAATGGCCAGTTTTGAAGACAGTACGCGACATGCACACATTTCTAGGACTATGTGGAACCGTACACATTTGGATTCATCAGTAGTCGTTAATCGCCCGACCACTCACTGAGTTGACTCGTCAAACTGTTGACTTTGAATGGACCGACCAGCGACAAGATGCATTCGATGAGCTAAAAACCACTATCACTTTCACACTGGCACTTCGCCCAGTTAACTATCAGGTGAACAATCCTGTGGTACTATCTGTGGACTCAAGCAAGTACGCTGTTGGATTTATATTGGGACAATATGATGATGAAGGCTGAAAGCGTCCAGCGTGCTACGGATCGATCCCCATAAATGAACGAGAGCCAAGATATTCACAACTGAAATTGGAGCTCTACGGACTGTACTGAGCTCTGCGTGCCTATCAGTTATACTTGATTGGAGTACAGAATTTGCAAGTGGAAGTGGACGCAAAATACATCAAGGGAATGCTGAATGAATCGGACTTACAACCCAATGCAACTATCAATTGATGGATACAAGGAGTCCTGTTGTTTCACTTTACGCTCATCCATGTGCCCGCCAACAAACACAAAGGACCCGATGCTTTATTATGACGAGAATTGGCATCTGACAAAGAAGCAAGTGAACATGATGATTCCTGGTTGGACGATATCACATTATACATGGAAATCAGAGCCCGAGGTCAAAGCTATGGATCAGCGCTGGTTGGATACACAAAAGGAACCCACGGAAATGCAGTCAAGGGATACACTGTTACTCGAAGTGATCAAGACAAGGCCCTCAGTGATTACAAGCATTTTCTGCAGACCCTTGAAACACGATTTTTCCCGAACACTCAAAAAAAGCGACAATTTATCCAGAAGGCTTCACGGTTCCTTATGCACAATGGAAAACTATATCGGAGGAATGGACAAAAGCCCCCATTACAAGTCATCCTCTCCACGAAATCCCGACAATCTATTTTGTTTCAGGCACACGAAGGACTTGGACACCGAGGAGAATATGCTGTCATGCAAATCCTGAAGGAGCATTTCTACTGGCCAGGAATATGGAACGACGCACAGCAGCATGTCCGATCATGTCACCAGTGTCAAATCCAAAGTGTACACAAAGTGGAAGTGCCCATCCTGATATCAGCCCCATCCACAATATTCACCAAGGTTTATGTGGACATTATGTTCATGCCGACCGCCAAAGGGCATCGCTATATCATTGCAGCACGAGACGATCTTTCTCGAGCAGCCGAAGGATGAGCGCTACTCAAAGCCAATGCTAAAGCTGTGGCACGATTCATTTGGGAAGAAGTATTTTGCCGATACGGAGCAGTTGGACAAGTAACAACCAACAATGGGAATGAAGTCAAAGGAGCGTTCTCGGAGTTAATGTGCCGCTATGGAATTCCTCAAGTGCGAATATCAGCCTACAATTCAAAGGCAAATGGAGTAGTCGAACGTGGACACTTCATGATACGCGAATCAATTATCAAGGCATGTAACGGACAAGTCAACTGTTGGCCCGATCTCGTACATCATGCATTCTTTACTGACCGCATCACTGTCAGCCACTCAACTGGTTTCTCCCCGTATTATTTGCTGTACGAAGTCCACCCCGTACTTCCTTTCGACCTTACCGAAGCAACATTCATGATGGAAGGATATCATTCAGGAATGACAACCAGCGACCTGCTTGCAATGCGCATTCGCCAACTACAGAAGAGACCCTAAGACTTAGCCCATGCCGCGGACACACTACGTCATCATCGCCTCCAATCCAAAGAAGCATTCGAGACACATTTCAAGCGCCGCCTTACCAAGGACATATACACGAAGGGAGAGTTGGTTCTCGTACGCAACAACACAGTCGAAAAGGAGATGGATCGCAAACACAAAGACCGATATTTGGGCCCCTACGAGGTGGTATGCCGGGCAACGAATGGAGCATATATTCTAAAGGATCTCGACGGAATGCCTTGGAAACAAAGCATTGCTGCATTTCGCCTGCTGCCATACATGCATCGTGACGACCCACACCTTATCGAATTAGCCGAAGAAATAGAAAATTATGAAAATGATGGAAGCAGCAGTTCAGATGACCACTCTGACCATTCAAGCATCAGTGTAGAAGATTCTGATGCTTCATCAAGAACCTGAATGGTCCAAGTAGGGCAACTGGGGTCAGTTGCATTTTTTTCGTGCCGCCCAGATGTCACGCACCAAAAGTGTTTGGCTTGTGAACACGTAACCACCGGTGAAGTGCTCGACGAAGAAGTCACGTGACTAAGATGGAACCCGAGAACATTTGGCTGAGCATGTCACCTGATGCTCACATTATGCTATTGGACAGGAAAAACTCGGAAAGTGCTTTCTCCCTACTTCTCCCTGCTCGCTTTATGCTATTGGACACGGAGGTCCAAAGAGTTTTGTCTTCCCTGTTTCTCCCTGCTCACTTTATGCTATTGGACACGAAGGTCCTAAGACATTTTTCCTTCCTACTTTCCCCTTTGATCACGTGATGCTCTTATTTTGCTATTGGCCAATCTGCCATGTAACACTACTATGTAACGGTCACAACGGGTGACACCCGAGGGGTATAAAAGGACCCCCGAGGCACCCCGACCCTTAGTCTTCTCTCCCCACTTGTAGCACCCCTATAAGTGAAGAGTTCTCCCTCCACTTGTAGCTTACCCTACAAAGTGATAAACTAAAAGAATAGGAGTTTGTTCCACTCCTCCCAGTAACATTGTTACTCGTAATCAAAAGGATCCCGATGAAGTCAGTTCAGCGCAGGCAGTGAGTTGTTACGAACACAACTACTGCACTCTTGTATCGTTTCTGTTGGGTAGTCTAGCACACAGTTGCTAGATACTCAACCCGTTCTCAGAAAGTTCTTGGACAACACGTAGGAAAGTTATCAGCCAGGCACATCGTATTAGGACACGCACACTCAGTAAAGCCCTGCACATGGTTGTAGGCACTCGGAAAGGAACACAGAAGACTCGGTAAGCCCTGCACACGGTTGTAGGCACCTGGACAAGAAGATGAAGAAAACCTGTTAAGCCCTGCACTGGTTGTAGGCATTGTATAAGAAGACAGAACGCAAGCCCTTGCACACGATTGCTAGGCATCCCCCCTCTACATTCCCCCATCTGTATTGTGCAGACTACCATCCTGACTTCAGACAACGAAACACACGTATAGCTCAGGCGTCCCTAACCCACTATCATAAATTTGATATCAACGAACAACTGTGATAGCCCGGCGTACTTTCCCTTTTGCCATGCCTGGTGAACCACAGCGAAGTACCACTTACTTGACCAGGAGTCAAAAGCTCCTCCGGCCAAGGCCCGTGCGTACCCCGAGTTGACAGTGGCGATGACAGCGACAATGAAGTGGGGACCACAGTGATGACAGGGTGGGCCAACATGGCGATGAGCCGGCACCAAAGAAGGCAAAAGGGTTGTGGTATGCACGAGAAGGGCAAGCGGTCCGACGAAGATGAAGACCTCGCTCAACAGCTTCCGGACCAAGCTGCAGAGCACCGCACGATATCAAGGCCGAGGTTGCTGCTGATATTGAGGTGGACGCGCTGGTGGGCGAGCTCACGGAGGAGGGTGCCTGAGGAAGGCATGAAGGTGCAGCTGTGGTTCCCAATATTGTATTACAATCACCCAGGTAGCTGGGTAAAGCCTTGTGCACACTGTCCCACTGTTGTAATATTGTAATTGTACTTAGAGTGGGCAGATTGTAATACAATGACAATTTGTACAAAACACACTTGCACCCAGGCAGGATTGGACCCTTGACCTGCTGGAACATGCTTACATAATCACATACCATAACCACACTCATTCCACTAAGCCATTTGGCCTTGCTAACTACTCAGCCTCAATTTTAAATAAGGCTACTGGCAATGCTGACATATTCCTGGACACGAAGTGGTACAGGTCTCATAGCCTGTATTCCAGATCTTCCGTGTGAAAATTGCCTTATTTGGTTTAGTTCCGGGTCCATCCTGATGAGCCTGGATTTGGCCTGGAAGCTTAAAATGCACCATATACGGCCAGAGCTTCAATTAGGTAGGACTTAACTGTTCCAACCCTAGAAGATATTTGATGGAGTGGTTAAGCAGGGTTTCAGTTGAAGAAAGCAACCTTTAGAATGTCCTGGGACACAGGGACCTAAACGGTTACCCAAACGATTGGACATCGCCGAGATAGGTGCCCGCGGAGATGTTGAACGGGTGCGACAGAGTTCGTGCTGCAGAGGCCTCCCGGACGTGTTTTTGAGCAGGGACTTTTATATACATGTACAGGCATGCTACAGCGTGCAAATGAGCATTTTTGCGAATTTTTTGAGGCCACAGGAGGCCCGGAATTTGAGTGGATGTGTTGCTCTCAGCCAAATTACCTAAAGATACTCATCTACACAAGTGCATAGCAGTTTTCAGGCGAAATTGGTGTGTCTCATGAAGAATATCGCAACTTATTTTTCATGGGACATGCTGTTTTTGGCTGGCGGCCCAGTGGGCTGCGTGTCCCATGGCGAATTCAATTCTGAGGCTCCATGAGACATGCAGCCCAATATGGAAGGTCTCCGCGAACATATCATATCTATTTGCCTAGCGACGGGAGGGAGCACTCAAAGAATGTGGGCGAGGCTCGTGCTGCCTGTCGGCTAGGTGGCGCGCACACTCCAGCCATCAATCCCGTCGCTCTGCCCCTGCTGCTCGCAGCGGGGCGCGCTCAATGACCCCTCACCTGCCAATGGCAGGCGTGTGCCAGGGTGCATGTCCCGGGACATGCATTATGTAAGTGATAAGCCCCAATCGGGCTAGGCTTGCATGTCCCATGGCTACAAAGCCTGAGTGTAAAAGGCGCAAAATGAGTCTAGTGCAATCCAGCGATGAGCCAGGTTGAAGCTGGGATGGATTTATCCAGCCTATTGCCCTTCAGGCATGTGACACACGTCTGACCAGTGTGACACGTTTAAGTCCTTGAGGCTACAATACTTCACACCTCCTTCTTCAAGATAGTCACAGCCTCTGCCATTCTGTAACAGGTTGGTTCTGACGACCATTACTTGTTATGAACTGCTTACTGATTACCTAAGCAAGTTGCTTTTAATCCTCTACACTCACCATCTAGCTGTACTTACTAAGTCTTAGCTTACTTTGGCTATTTATTGAGTCCACTGCAGCCCTGGTGAACCTGAGGATATCGGCTGCTTACACAGCATCATCTCAAACACAATACACTTCTTGAACAACACATTCGCAGTGGTCTGTTGGGTGTGTTCAAGTTCAAGAAATGGTGTGTGAGAGATGATTACGATATGTTCTGATGGCATAGGGTGTGTCCACATTGCGGCCTTCTGCATCTGATCTGTGTTGCTTAGTTCACATAATTGGATGAATGTCAATCAGGTATGTAAGTCACGTTCCACTCTAGCTAAGCCAATTTTGTGATAGTGTTTCACACGTGAACTCATTTTCCATCAGTTTCAATAAGTCTGGATGCCTCTTAGCACACCCAGCTAATTTGAGGTGCCTCTCCATTGGAAGCCTGAGTAAGCTGGTGCATGACTGTTTCCCACTGTCTCGTGTTCAAAATATTTACTCAAAAGTGTCCTTTCGACTTCCTTCACATTTTGACGATTACTAGGCCTGTGTTACGATGACTCAGTATGTTTTGTACTTCACGCTCGACCATCATCCTGGTCATAATCTCTTCCACTATAATCCTCATCCTGAATGCCCCTTGAAGTTCCCTCAGCTGGGCCGATACTCATTGGTACAGTAGAGTACAGCATACCTGGAGTCATCACGGGCATCATTATACTCCAACACACTCGTGTGGTGGTGGAGATATGTCTTGACAACACCAAGTCTTCTCATATCCTAGTCGGCATTCCTTACCGGAACATTAGTTTGACTGGTAAATATGTTTGGGACTTTGTGAAGCACTGTCTTCTGCAAGATTTCCCACATGATGACAATGCTATGGATATACCAGGTGTGCCCTCTCCACTGTTCATACTTTCCATATCCACTCATCATTATTTTCTTGGGTAAAAAGGCATTACGCGACCAGACCAATGTGGTTTGTTGGATGCGACCAAGAAACATGACCATCTGAGCACCTGAAGCATCTGTGCCTCTCAGCCCACACAGGAGGTCACACCTCGTGTGACTCGCATGAATGCTCCTCGTGTGACTCACGTGGATGCTCGTTAATGCTAAACATGAGCTACCATGCTTGATAATGCATATGTGCGTGTTGTCCTGTGCCTAACATCATATCTGACCAGTCTTTATTTAGCTTACTTTCCGAGATACATACATGCACATCGTCAGATAGTATGATGGCACACATAGGCCTGTGGTTTCCTTCTTAGTCAGTATTACACATCATCATTCACTTGTCATCACTGTCTGTCATTGTCAACTCTCATTTTTCATTGCTACCATACAGTCTAAGGAATGTTTGTCTCCTGCAGTGTTGAAGATTACATGGTTTATACTACTAAATGTGTTTTTGAGTCATTGCTAGTTGTTGTGTGTCTTTTAAGGGCATTAATGTTTATCATTTTTTTTGAGATATTATTTGCATATTTTCGCGTCCAGGTCTGCCCGGAGGGCCCTTGCTATATTATAATGTTTTGTAGTGGCCATTACATTCTCCTTGTTACTGATACTTCTAATGATGATTTAATCATTTGCTACTGAGTATTTTGTGAGTCTCTTATTTTTGACTCTATTTTAATTGATATAAATGTGAAATTAGTATTATAATTAGAATATCAATTCTTATAACTGTAATGAAACTATTGTAGATATGAACTACACATTATTAAATGCTTAGATCATCATTAGAAACATCAGTAACAAGGAGAATGTAATGGCCACTGCAAAACGATACAATATATGTCAGCAGGGGCAGTAGCCTTATTTAGAATTGAGGCTGAGTAGTTAGCAAGGCCAAATGGCTTAGTGGAATGAGTGTGGTTATGGTATGTGATTATGTAAGCATGTTCCAGCAGGTCAAGGGTCCAATCCTGCCTGGGTGCAAGTGTGTTTTGTACAAATTGTCATTGTATTACAATCTGCCCACTCTAAGTACAATTACAACAGTGGGACAGTGTGCACAAGGCTTTACCCAGCTACCTGGGTGATTGTAATACAATTCTGGCCACCACTGGTGAGCTACTCGTGACTTTGGTTCAGAATCGGCTCACTGATGCCGCAGCATTTCATAGTTCTTCCACCCATTTCTACGGAGGGTCTTACTGCTGCCGATGTCTCCGCCCTTGCTGTGCGCGTACACGAGCTAATGATCGTGGCTTTACGCGAGATATCAGTCCCCGCAGTGTCCAGCAAGAAAGCGGGACCCTCATCAGTGTCAGAGCCATATCTAGCAACAGCGACGTCAGAAGAATCCGAGCCACATCATGTAGAGCCCGCCGAATCGTCCGTCATTTCCTCGCACCCCGTCGAACCTACAGATCACCCCGAGCCGGAGTCCCAGTCTCAGTCCCATTCTCGCGCAGAGAGCTGTGCGGAGAGCTACGCGTCTGAGGAGACCTCAGCATCATTAGTGGGAAGCAGGATAGACGGGAGCGAGACCGGTACCGAGACTGAGGAAGACGATGGCATGGTGCTCGTTGGGCATCCAAGTAGCGGCTCCGCGTGATGGGCGGCCGTCGCTGCTGGGGAGAATGTCAATCGTGCTCGGTGCTCAGGATCTAACTAATCGGGGACTTGGGGTGCCACCGATTGTTCGGTCTAATTATTTCTTGGTCTTGCGCGTGTCTGTGCTGTTCGGAATGCAGATGCTCGCATGCATAATCTCATGGGGTTGTTGATTGATTTGCGCGCGCGAGCGTCGAATGCTCATGCCCGTTGTGTGCGTGCCCGATTTCGCTCCGCCAATCTACTGCAGATAAGGCATTGGTGCGTCTTCGCGATTTTGTTTTTGTCTCTTGCAGCTACTCCTTCCTGTCAATCTAGGGCGTACCACTTGTAAATCTGGAGAAACCCTGTAATGTGTCGGCCGTCGTCGATACCCACTCGTCCCCCTCGCCAGTAGCGAATCTGATCATGCTCACCAAGTGCTCACTGAGGCTGAGGTGAGCGACTCATGCATTCAAGGCCCCCTTAGCACACTAATTGGGCTTCTTTTTTCATATCCCCATTGGATTGGAGAGGATCACCAACGGAGGAGTGTCAGAAATCTCGAAGCTCTTTTTTCTCTAAGCAGGTACCATTAGGCCCAGTCACTTCTGATAGTGCTATGCATTGTCTCGCCTGCTCACAAACGACTCAACGATTTCTCCAGACAAACAGCTCGAAGCCTTTCCGGCAATATGATACGCGTTGAAGACGTCGTCAGTTTTTTTCATAGCTGCCTACCCCATTCGCCATAGATTTCGGATTGTCGAGACAGCCTGAACAAGCGTCGCTGTTGAATGCAGGTGGCCGCATGCTCGGACGGCTTTCAACACTGTTCCACTACTAGTAACACGCCCCGAAGATGTCTTCGCGGCTCTGCTACTCAGCAATCATGCGCTTACGAAGAGTACCTCACGGAAGGCTTCCATCTCACCTATTTTTTGTCGTCCTCACGCTCGAACTTCCAGGCAAGTTCTAACCGCCCAGGTTGCGAGAGCGAATAGCGTGAATTTTCATCCGTTCATCTTGCGTTGATATTGCATTCCCCGATATGTTCTCCCCATATGTGTTTCGGTACTGATTTATGACCCTAGCAGCAAATTGTCGGCGTGCATAATTTTGGGGGGATCCCCGGTGCAATCTCTCACCGCACATTAAGTTTCCCACTCGAACCCCAAACTGTGGAAGTTAAACAACACTCTATTCGTGGAGCAGGTTTTCGCAAAGTACTCTATGCTGCAATTTGGACACACAGCTCCGAAATCACGTTCGTAAGCCGGGAGAACCGAAGGTATCGTAATACCGCTTCCAAAGGGCATCCAGCTTCTCCTTCGGCAGCCTCTCACGCACCGCGTCCGCCTTTTGCTTCAGCTCGCGCGCGATGGGGCCCCACGGGTTTTTCGTGAGCTTGCCGTCGCGCTTTACGACCTCGCCGTTGACCAGGACAGTATCGACGTCGGCGTTGGTCGCGTGGAACGTGATACCCTGGAAAGGGTCCGCAATCGCAGCGAGGTTGGTAGACTCCGCGTCATAGAGGACTAAGTCCGCTTTCTTGCCGATCTCGATGGTGCCGATAAGGTGCTCCATGTTCAGCGCCTCGGCTCCGCCGAGGGTGGCGAGACGGAACGCGTCGGCGGCATTGTTGTGATTATACTTGGGCGCGCAGTGGCCATTTTTCTCGATTGCCTCGTGGGCACGACCTGAAGGCGGTCAAATGGGATGAAATACGCGTATGAGTTATAAATTTTACCTCTCGCAAATTGCAGTGCAACACGCATTTGGGTGAAGATATCACCTCCATTAATCGACAGAGCGTCCTATAGGCGAACAGGAAAGTTAGGCACAGGTAAATCACGCGAGGAAATTTGGCAAGTGGACGTACAACTCCGAGACCGCATTTAACACCTCTATTGACGGCGTCCATGGCCACAGGATTTCCGTGGGCCATGCCGAGTTCGTCGCAGGGCGTCGACGCGATGGCGCAGCCGTTATCCTTCATGGCAGCCCACATCTCATCGTCCGGGTCAGTGTGGTCGAACAACACGTTACAGTGCGAGAAAAGGACATCCGGACCGAGAAGGCCACCGTCCCTCCAGGTGAGGATCCGGCGCCCTGCGGAAATTACCAAGTCAGGATCAAATGAATATCTGAAGAAATCGACGGAACGTCACCTTTGACGACGTGTGCGGTAATAACCTGCACCGGGATCTCGCGGGCGAACTTCAGTGCTTCCTGGTGCATACTGATTGGCCCTGTGCCGACGATATCGTATCTAAGAAAAACGCAGCAGTGAGAAGTTGTCGACACATTAAGAGTTTGTTACTAACGCAAGACCAAGGGTGACCCGTCCGTCCGGCGTCAGTTTGCCACCGTCCTTCGAGCCCCACTCCTTGAGCTTCTCCATCTGCCACTTGCACGTCTCTTCTTCATTACCGAATTCCATGTTGGGGAACAGCTGCGTTGGAGCACTCTGACGCGCCGGGCACCAGACGACGCGTGCACCTGACTGGATGGTGGCCTCGAGAGACGCCTCAGCATGCTCCGGAGTATTGGCTGCGTGGAAGTGGTCCAGTATGGTGGTCACCCCCGAGTGGAGAGCGTCAAGACAGCCTGCGAGCTGGCCAATACGGACCTCCTCTGCAGTCAGTGCCGGTTGAACGGTCCTGTGGAGTCGGAATTGGAATGAACACATGGTTCTGCGGGCGCTAGGTGAGTAACATACCAGCTCATCTTTACGAGATATTCTGATAGCAGCCAGCTGCGAAGGTTGGTATCTCTGTCAGATCGTGCATGATGCGTTTAGAACACGGAGACTGCGTACTCGCACTGGTCGCCGCGTAGCACGATCGCGAAGACGTGTCTGGGAGGCGATAGTCGGTCAGCAAGCACTTTCGGGATACGACGCGCCCGCCACTACCTGTGTGTGTCGACCATTCCGGGCGTAGTCCATTTGCCTTCACAGTTGATGACCTCGACGTGGGGACCAACATTGATGCTCTCCGCGATCTGGGTGATGATCGAGCCCTCGACCAGCACGTCCGCCTTGAAGCTCTTGGGCTGGTTGTCGGAGCTGAAGGTCGCGATGATGCCGCCTTTGAGGAGATAGGAGGTAGACATGGTCAACTCTGTCTGGGATGGCAGAAGAGTTGTGTCTGGCCACTTATGTATGTAGGGCTACCCCGCATTTGCCGCAGTGTGCGTAATGTGCAGGCATGTGACATGGTGTAGTACTTGTAGTGAAACAGGGCCGTGGGTGGACATGAGGACATAGTTGCCATATAGAATACTGCACCGTCGGTGGCAAGCCCGTTACCGCGTTAAGTGCCATCATGACGAAGCGAGGGTCATCAAATTCAAAAAACCTTGACGAGCAGCGCGCTGCTCGATGCGAGTTGTGAGCGCTGTGAGCGTTGCGCCATCCTGCGGAGGGCTGGCACTCCTCACACCCTTGAAACAAGGCTACAATACCTCCTGATAGGCGTGCAACGATGATGACCGATCGGGCACCAAAGTGGACGCCTTCCGGCAGGATTGAGAACAAATCCAAATCACAGCGCGGACTGTGAAAGGCCCCGTTGTGAGCTGGAACGACAGGTTTCGCGAAACCGCAGGCACGGTCGGAAGATCAATGCTGATGATGGACTCAACAGGGATGCGCATAAAGATGGCGGAGCAGCCTTTTGAGCAACGTTTCCGCCCTCCATGAGATGCTGGGATGCTCAGAGCAAGCTCACAACTCGCACTGAGCATGCAGAGCTGCTCGACGTCGAAATTTTAGGATCTCATGCAGGCTAGGTCTTGTGGCCGCTGTGATCTAGTCAAGCTCGCATAGAGAGATGAAAGGGATAAGGGCCTCCAAAGATACGTCAACTCAAAGTTTACAGAATGGATAAACCGTACCACACTACTAGCCCGCCGATGGCCCCGGCGAGGATAACATCCAGGAACGTCATCCGTATCGAGCGAATGTCGATGGGGTATGTCCCTACCAAGCCCTTCTGTCCTGAGGTACCTCCTTGTGGCCCCACCTGACCATCCGTCTCCTCCTCCGAGATATCCAGCAAATACTCAACAGCGCGGGGATCTCGGCCCATAACCACCAATCTCGGATGCTGGTGCATCTCTCCCGCGCCAAAACCGTCGCTCTCCTCAATCTTAATACGGCCCCCTTGGTCTGTCTTGCCACGGCGCTGGATCAGCCCCATGAACAGCCCGCGCCTATGTGCGGCCTTCGCCAGTGCCGGAAGGTTGTCTTTCGGCGTGCTGAATAAACTGGCGAGAGGGGTGCTGGTCATGAGCAGCTCGGAGAGACTGCGCCTGATGCGCGACGACACAGATGACCCCACGGATGTGGAAGTGTTCGATCGAGCATCATCATCTCCGTCAAACTCTCCATGACGAGGGTGTGCGTTATCGTCTGCGGGCTCGGTAGGCACCCAGGACGATGGAAGACTGCCGTCATCGTCGTCGTCCGCAGTCTGGGCGACTTCTGATTCGACGTAGTTGGGATTAATATAATGCCCATTCTCCGGGATCTGAAAGACTGCGTTTGTACGTCTTAGGGGGACTCCACGGGGCAAGATTGGTGGAGGAGTTGCCCCAGTGGGACAGACAGGTATACCGTTCGGCCGTTTATGCCCCGCCATAGGCGAGCCACAGCTGTGGCAGACTGGGCGTTTGCGAGAAGGAGACATGGATTGTTGTTGTGGCGCTTCTGGACGGCGAGGCCGATGTCTGGGAGCAGGAGCATGCGGAGATCAGGAAGATCGGGTCAACGTACGCTTATAGACGCTATATGTGCTGTCAGAACTGGAAGACTCACCTTGACGGATGCGGCTCGTCTGGTGAGCGAGAGCTCAACTGCACGGACACAGTCATGTCTTTTATACGACTCACCGTCGTTGTTGGACAAAGCAAACTTCGACGGTTACGATGGCAGAGGACAAAGACGACATAAAGAACACAACAGCCTGAGCAGTTCTCTCACAGCCTCCCACATCGTCGCGGTCACCTGACCGCGACTCATTACATCCTCCTCGAAATCTTTTTCCACGACGTCTCCTCGAAGCCGCCGGGGCGAGACCTTTTTCTCCAACCCTCGAGGGACCCGCTGGCACCTGCGCGCACTCACTCTATCCGGATGGGACTCCGCGATGTCCACCTTTTCGGTCTCTTTCTCCAGGGTCGCGAACGACCTCGACAACGAGCTCATGGCTCAGACAGCTATCCGATGGCCTATCGGCGAGCTTCCGTACCTGCCAGGGCACCTCCGAAAATGCGGAACCAAAAGCGGAGACATCGTCGAACACGATCGTGAAAGACATCGCGGAGTCTGCGAAGTCCGGCTGTCCGACCCGCGTCTAGTGGTTAGCCACTGCAGCGTGTTTCTGCAGTCAATAAAGTACAATCCCCTCATGGCCATCTGGCAATCAGACTGGAGTTTTAGCCGATAAATGGATGCAGCGTCATACAACGTCGTGGTTACTTTCAAAGCTCCTGCTGCCCACTTCTAGTCCCCTGACCTTCTATAAATATATTGGTAAAGTTCGAGCTGATAAATAGATCCGGGATTCATGGCGATGAGGTACCCATCGAAGGCAGGGAACACTCGGGAAAGAACAGCGACTTCGCTGACACTCGGCGATTGTTGGGGAAAGAACCTCATGAAGGATGGAGGAACCAACACATCCCACGATGAACATTATATTACAACCTTGGTAACGGAGGACGAGAAATAGGTACGAGATACAGGAAGTCGATCCATGGGCTAGGCCATATGGAGTACAGATAGCACAAACGATCCAAAGAGTCCCAAGAACACGAAGCAAACTCACCGGCACGCCTGTAGCACGAGCAAGCTGCTATTCGTGTTAGCCGCGACGAACGCCGCAGCGACGGGCCCCAGAGTCTTCGGCATTTCCGACCCGAGCGACGCACCGCGCGCCGCACACAGCTCCCGCAGCTCCGCGTCGTGCGACTCCACCGCCATGAGCCGCGAGCGGCCGACGACAACGATAAGTCTCGCGTGGTCGTCGTGCTGCGCGACGGCGGCGGATGCGCTGTCCAGAACCGCGTTCAGGGGCTTAGAGTGGAATTCCTCTCGGAAAGAAATGCGCGAGAGTGCGTCCGCAATCTCGGGCTCACTGGGGGAAGTGTACTGCGCCCACAAGAGATCATCTGCTGTATCGGATTCAAGGCGCATCTGGGTATGCCGTATGCCGTACACAGTATCACGTAATGTTGTCTGTCATACAAGGATATGAGTTAAGCCGCGAGACATAGATTACGCCGGAGCCACTTACATAGTGAAGGGTAGGGATATTGGCCGAAATCAGCTCATCTTTAAGCTTGACGTCCGACTCTGTCGTGCTGCACGGCGTAAGGTCGTTCGATGCCGTCCTCCGGAATCGGACAATCGTCGCGCTCACGGTAGAGTTCATGCACAGCTGCACCACGAACGACAAAGCCAGACGATCATCTGGACCTCCAAAGAACGGAAGGAAGACATGATAGTCCTCCTGGCCGTCATCCAATTCCTGCACGCCGCGGTCGACAAAGAGCGCAACATCTGATGGAGTCTCTTGGAACACCTGGCGGATGAACTGCGAATGCGCGGCTGTCAGTGTCTGCTCGCCTTGAGTGGAGAAGAGCCCCTCGACTGGGCTTGCCGTGCGAGTAGACGGCCCAGCGGCGTTGCTCTTCGGGGTTTCCTCGTCCGAGGATGGCCCGCTGCTCCACGGAATCACGACCATCTGCGAGGCGGTCTGACGGACATGTTCTGCCACATGAGAGGGATAATCCTCCCAACCCACGACTGACAGAGTAGTCGAGACCGCTAGGCGGCGGAGGTGGCCAAACGTACGGAAAACGCGGAGGATGGGATCCTTGCGCATCAACGTTTCAACTGCCTGCGATTTGAGAACGGTGGACGTTCGATCTGTCAACTCGACGAGGCGCAGGGCATCAACGGAGAGGCGATGCTGCGGAAGCGCGGGTGTGAGAGCGGCACTCGGCGTCTGGGGCTGCGCTGATATCTGGTAAGCATCTGAATCTTTGGATATCTCAACAGATGGACTGTCAGATGGGTACTGGAGCAGCTGTGTGAGAGTCATGATTGCCGGGAGCTGCTCTATCCTATCCAAGACGACCGTGAATCGAGTCTTGAAGATGTCTCCCGTCGCCGCCAGGCTCTTCACGCCATCTTCTGACGATGCACCAGTCGAGCCAACTGATAGTCTTCGCACAGTGTCGGCATGCACGCGGTACTTCGCAGGGTAAAAGAATAGGACGAGAGGGGTGGTCATGAAAGTAAGCACGAGCGCGTGCAAGACGAACATGGAAAACGTTCGCGTGTCCAGAATTCCAGCTTGCAGGCCAACATTCAGGGCGATGAGTTCAACCAGACTACAGAACTGAAGTATGAGCAAACGGCAAACTGTAAGCAGGACGAGTGAAGATACTGACCCCTTGCAACTCATCAATGCACCGACGGCACCCGCTTCGCGAACATTGAAGCCACAGAGCTTCGCAGCGATTGAAGAGCCAAGGAACTTAGCAAAGAAAGAGACAACGCAGATGAGGATGGTGTATCCCCATGTTATCCCGTTATTGAGCAAACCAAGATTGGTACGTAGACCAGATAGAATGAAGTACTGTCATACGCATTAGAAAAAAGGCTGATGCAACGAATTGATGAAAGACGTACAATCGGTAGGAAAAGGACGGTGACAAGGTCTTCGAGCTTCTCGACAAGGGCGATAGCAAACCCATTGTCGTGGGGAATAATTAGACCGGACAGGAACCCACCCTACAATATTCACACGAGCCTAAGTAGGCGACATGATAGAGCTAAGAATTACTCACGAAAATCGGATGGATACCGATAATATCAGTGAAGAATGCAGAAACGAACACAATCACAAGAGTCAGAGTCATCATCAATGTAGTGGGTTGGCCGGTCTCCAAACTCCCCGTGCGTCTCGCTATCCAGCGGAACGCCAATCGCACAGGAATCGTGAGGAACAGGATGTATCCAATAGCAGTGAGGAGGACCCAGAGAGCGGTAAGCCCACTGCCGGCGTTGACCAGGGCCACAGTCAAAGCCAAAAGAATCCAGCCAACAACTGAATGAAATCAACACGTCAAGGAAAATAACCATCCAAGATCGACGAAAATGCTTGCCATCATTGCCAACGCCAGCAGCAAGGACAACCACTCCTACTGTGGTATCGAGGAGCTTCAGCTCTGTGAGAATACGACAGAGAACAGGAAAAGCCGTGATCCCGACCGCGACGGCCACGAATAACACGAAATACCCAAAGTTGACTTTGGGATCGGTGAAGACGTTGTAAATCGGAACCGCGAGCGCAGCACCAAGTCCGAGGGGTAGCACCAAGCCAGCGATGGAGATACTCAAAGAGGCCCTCGCGTTTCGTTTTATCACTCGGACATCTATCTCGAGACCGACAAGGAAGAGGAACAAGATAAGACCGATGTCAGATGTGAGCGTAAGCACAGGCATTGAGGCAGATGGAAAGATGGTGTTGGTGAAGTTTGGAATGCGGCCCATGACGGACGGTCCCAAAAGCACGCCACCAATAACCTCTGCGATAACCTTGGGCTGATGGATGCGTGAAAAGACGAGCGCGAGCAGCTGGGTCATTCCGATAATAACAACTACGAGCATCATGAGCAGTGTGAACCTTCACGAACGGACGCTTGTTTGGAACATACTAATCTGAATGACCCACAGAGGCAGGGGGTCCGTAGCATTGTATACCGATGGATTGAGGCCTGAGAATAGTCCCGACTATGTCCAGCAAACAATAATTAATGAGGCAATATAAAGAGGCACGTAACACATTTTGTACTCACCTGAGCAGGAGCAGCTCGTCGGGTTAGGCCTCTGGAGGCTAGCTGCCACATCTGGTCGGAAAACGCACCCATCCTGCTCGACGTGAGGGGCGGTTGAGTAAGAGGGGGGAAGATGGACACGCAAGTCAGAGCTTGTTGATTGATATAGCTCCTGAACGCTGAGCCGCGGCGCTGGGCATGCCCCTGATCGGGCGGGCCGCCCGATCAGGAAGCTTTACAAGATGGCAATCCCGGGCCCGCCATGAACGCGCGTATGTAGATCTATCTACGCTGGCTCTACCAGCAGCGTAGAATAATTTAGCCAACTTCCTTCACTTGAAACCATTGAATGAAGCACTCTAGTTAGTGTCGGTTTGAACTGACATCCCATGTCAGGGCTTATGCCGATCCCAGGGCCAATGGGCAATGGTGAACTGACACAACACTATTAATTCAGCAGCTGCCCAACCAACCTGGTCTATAGATTTGATGACGGGGGAACAATAAAGGAAAATGAATTATGATTTGTGATTGCAGGAGGACCGTGGAAAATAGGCCAGGCACCCTCATATATCCAGCAGGCAAAATACATCTGAGCGCCGAAAGGCCAAATTCGACGTTCCTGTCTGGATTGAATGAGGGCTCAGCAGTTTTCGTCGAGATGGTAAACTTCCCTGTGGTTGACAGATCGTTGTTGTCCTCAACCTATTCACGGTCTAAAACACCAACGTATTACCCGTTGCTCGTCAAATCCCGAATATTCGTATTTTGATTTCTTGGCTTGACGATACCAAAGTAGTATACGTGCTAAAAACAAGCCGAGACAGATTTTTCGCAATGTACAGGATTTTGGATGGATTCTTGAGATCCCTTCTCGTGCGCGTGAGGCGTAATTAATGCGTTCAACCTCGGGTAAAAAGACTCCTCTGTGTACCAAGTACCTTCTAATGACAGACCGCATATATGTTGGCTGAGTTGGAGACTGAGCGCACGGACCGTCAACAATGTGTGCTTGATGAATACTTGAGTTGAGCGAATGTCAATGAATACCAAGATAGGCTGATACAAGTACACAGGCATCAGAACAATCGGGAATGCAAGGCAAGGGGTGACAGCAATGTGCATAGGATCTGGCATGTGCAATGATGCATCCATGATCGAAATGCGGACCTGTTACGAGTCAGAACTGCATCCACGGCACCCTGGCATAATCGTGAGCGCAGGTTACCAACGAATAGCACAAGGAACGCACCACAATGCACACATTCCACTACTGTGCCAGCTCGGAGCTGAGCTTTAGGAACACGACATATGCAAGTTGAGCCTTGATAGTTCATATCCTGGCGTTTACTCGATTAGCTCTGTCAGGGACAATGGCTTTGGTATGCGTACCCTGGTCTGAATGCAACGGATGCAGCATAGTTTCTCGTAGCCTGGCTTTTTCCACTTGGCAATCAAGCTGCGCACATGCATGTTGAGCCGGCACAATAGGGGATAATGTAGACAGGATATATAACGCACTTCGCATCTGCGTAGCCTTCCTTCAAGAGCCAGTCATAGAGTTCTTTGCTAATTGCCTCGCGCTTGTAGTACAGTTCGTAAATGTACCGTGAACGAGTATGTGATATACGCATGATAGGCCACAACGACTCTGTCTTGCGCTTGCCTTCATGCGTCTCATTCTCGGCGTCGCGCATCTTCTTTGCATAGTCATCCAGAATCTGCAGACATGTTAATACACGTCTTTGTCTTTGTCCAATAAAGACATGCCACGTACACCCTCGATCTCTTCAAAGCCTTCTGGCGGTTGTTTTGTCCTTGTTGTCCGTATCTTCGGCATGGTAGTCAGTGTCGAAACTGCAATGCGAACTTGAAGCTCAGAACCGTGGTCACGGTACTGCAACGCGCCGCATCGCCCAATATGTCGCGAGCCCAAACACCGACAAACACTGCTCTCACTGGTACTCATAACGTCCAATCTCCCGAAGACCAATATCTTCTCTTCCACACTTGTTATCTCTCGCAATGGCACGCCGGGACAGATCGTACTCCCCGGATACTTCTAATAAGAGGGTAAGACCTTCTCACCGCTCTTCACCGCGGTCTCCGTCGCCGACTAGGCGCTCCCAAAGGCCTCCCAGATCGAGGTACGACGACAACAGAGAAAGAGACAGAGACAGGGACCGCGACAGAGATAGGGACAGAGACCGCGACAGAGATAGGGACAGGGACAGGGACAGGGATAGGTATCGGGACGACAGACGGAGGGATCATCGCGACGACCGACGGCGATCACGCTCAAGAGACCGGAAAGGTCACGACAGAGCACCCTCACCCCCTGCTAGAGCGCAGGCCCCATCAGAAGCTAAGGCAGAAAAGGCAGAGACTCCACCCATCGAGGACGAGAAGGTTAAGTCGAGGAAGGTGAAACTGGAAGCATGGAAGAAGGAGCGGGAGGCAAAGAAGGCCTTAGATGAGGCCAAGGCCAAGGCTATGGCGTTGGCGGGGAAGTCTGCTGCTGGTGAGTTTCTGTTATTTCGTGTAAAATTCGTGATTTCACACCACTTGATCAAATGCCTACTAGTTAACGCAGCAAGTCCATCAAAGGCGACCGTTCAGCTCAATCGTCCCGCCCTTGGCGCTCTCGGGCTGAAAGGCCTCCAGCTGAAGCCCGACTTGCTCAAAACATCGAAGTTATCAACGACCGCTGCTTTGGACGACTCTGTAGAAACGACACGTAAACTCGAAGCATTAGATCTTCCTGAAGTCGATATGTCCATGGTAGATGGACAAGCAAGTGTAGGCGATCTCGAGGTGGATGACGAGGAGGAGGAGGCAGGCGCCGCTGCACAATCGAAAGGCAACGACGTCATGGACGAGGACGAGGACGAGATTGACCCGCTCGACGCATTCATGAGCGGTGTAAAGGAGGAGGTGAAGAAGGTGAATCTAGAAGATATGAAGAGAATGAAGGCTAATGGCGGGGATCATGTACGCCTCGATACCACTGTGGCGGAAGATGGCATCGACGAAGCAGAGGGCTTCGAGGTGGACGAGTTGGACGCCACTGAACTCAATCCAGAAGACATCTTGGCTTTGGCTGCGAAAAAGGCCAAAAAGAAGGATCTTGCTACCGTTGACCACTCCCGCATAGCTTATGATCCCTTTCGCAAGGAGTTCTACAATGCCCCTCCCGACATTGCCGTAATGACTGACGAAGAAGCTGATTTACTTCGACTGGAGTTAGACGGCATAAAAATCAGAGGTGTTGAATGTCCTCGGCCTGTCACCAAATGGAGTCATTTCGGTCTCCCGGCAAGCTGGTACGTCGTTGGGCACCTTGCCATAGGCTCTACTGATAATTCCGACTTGCAGTTTGGATGTTATCAAAAGGTTAAATTATACGGCCCCTACTCCCATCCAGGCGCAAGCGATTCCAGCAATCATGTCGGGGCGGGATGTCATTGGTGTAGCCAAGACTGGTTCAGGCAAGACAATCGCTTTCTTACTTCCCCTCTTCCGACACATCAAGGATCAACGACCTCTTGAGCAGATGGAAGGCCCTATGGCCGTGGTCATGACTCCGACCAGAGAGCTCGCTGTGCAGATACACAGGGAATGCAAACCGTTCTTACGAGTGCTCAATTTGCGGGTGAGTGCTCGCAATCACACTATCATGAGCAATTCACTGAAAACTAGTTCCTTTGTTTTCAGGCTGTCTGCGCTTATGGAGGATCCCCAATCAAGGATCAGATCGCAGAGATGAAGAAAGGCGCAGAAATTATCGTTTGCACCCCTGGACGCATGATCGATTTGCTCACTGCCAACTCAGGTCGCGTCACCAATCTCAAGCGCGTGACATACCTCGTACTTGACGAAGCTGACCGGATGTTCGACATGGGTTTCGAGCCTCAGGTGATGAAGATCGTGAACAACATCCGGCCCGATCGCCAGACAGTCCTCTTTTCTGCCACATTCCCGAGACAGATGGATTCCTTGGCTCGCAAAATTTTGCACAAGCCTCTCGAAATCACCGTCGGAGGCAGATCCGTTGTCGCTGCAGAGATAGACCAGATTGTTGAGGTGCGGGAAGAAGATAGCAAGTTCAACCGGCTATTAGAGATCCTCGGGCAGACGTACAATGAAGACCCCGAATGCCGCACGCTGATTTTCGTAGACAGACAGGAAGCTGCGGACAACCTTTTGCGGGAACTCATGCGGAAGGGCTACCTGTGCATGTCTCTGCACGGTGGCAAAGACCAAGTGGATCGTGATTCGACAATTGCTGACTTCAAGGCTGGCGTTGTTCCTATCGTCATTGCAACCTCCGTCGCCGCAAGAGGTCTTGACGTGAAGCAACTCAAGCTCGTGATAAACTACGACGCGCCGAACCACATGGAGGACTACGTCCACCGTGCTGGGAGAACAGGGCGAGCAGGGAACAAGGGAACATGTGTCACGTTCATCACTCCAGAACAAGATAGGTACTCTGTGGATATCTTCAGAGCGCTGAAAGCTAGTGATGCGACTGTTCCCAAGGAATTGGAAGACTTGGCCAATGGTGAGTCACTCTCCCGCTCAGGGCCTGTCCTGACCGCTGATCCCCTGTTTAGGTTTTCTTGAGAAAGTCAAGTCTGGCAAGGCCAAGGTTGCAGGCTCTGGCTTTGGTGGGAAAGGTCTCGACCGACTTGACCAAGAGCGCGACGCGAAAGAGAAGGCTGAACGCAAGGCTTACGGCGAACCCGAGGAAGAGAAGGTTGAAGAGCCTGCTAAGGTTGTCACGCAAACCGACGACATGAACTTCGGCTCATTCAAAGTTGAAGTCAGGCGCGGTCCTGCGCCCGACTCTTCTAAAGGCCAACTCGGCGTCGCCGGCGCTGCAGCCGCGGCCAGACGTCTTGCTCAGGCAAAGGAAGAAGAGAAGCTCCAGAATTCCTTGCGCGAGGCAGAAGCGGCCGCGGCCCGAGCGGGCAAGGACACCGCTGCGCACAAGCAGGCGCTTAGTGTGGTCGCGAAACTCAATGCTCAACTCAGAGCGCACAAGCTTGTCGCGCAATCGCAATTGCAGCACGAAGACCTCTCCGGAAAGAAGACGACCGACGCGACCGAGTTCCACGCGATTATACCCATCAACGACTACCCGCAGAAGGCAAGATGGCGAGTCACGAACAAGGAGACTATGGTGCAGGTAAGCGGCATGCCCCCGCCCGCTCGTTCCAGTTTACTGATTGATGTGGGTGTTCGTCCAGCTAATCGATATGACGGGCGCTTCTGTTACCAACAAGGGTATGCATCTTGCCAGATGTGAAGGTTGCGATGGCTCATTCGTGCATTGTTTAGGTATCTATTACGACTCGGGTAAGGAGCCTCCCCTGGAGGGACCGCCGAAGCTGCACCTGCTGATCGAGTCCAACGAAGAGTGGAGGGTGAGTGCTGAAAGTGTTGTCGTGTGAACAGTGTGGCTGACGCAACATCCATTATAGGTGGAGCAAGCAGTGCGGGAGATCAAGCGGCTGCTGGTGGAAGCGTCTGCAGCAGCATTGCAGGCGGAAATGCGGAATCCCACAGCTACTGCTGGTAGATATAGTGTTGTGTGATTGCTTACGTGCTAAATAACACTGCTTTCGTTGTGCTGTTGCGAATGAATTGATCAAGGGGCGGACCGCGTGGTTAATCGACGCTCATCATTATCTGGGTTCTTGACTCAGCGGAAGCTGAACCGGTAGGCGCCCCGCGCTCCCGTAAGTTGTCATCATCCATGACTTTGCCGTTCATACTTTATGTCGTCCGCGCGATTCTGGTGTGCCTCACTTTTCCTTCTCTACCATGGCCGCCAACGACGAGCAGGTAGTCACCGTCGCCTCTAGTGCCTCGTCGCGCACGGACGTCCAGGCGCAGGACCCTTCCGAAAAGCCTGAAGTGAACGTGTCGGGGAATGCTGGTGACGATGCGTCCACCAACGTCGTGAACACCGGGGGCGAGGGCCTGTCTGCTTTTCCGGAAGACAAAAAGGCATGTCATTCCTCCCCAACCCTGCTGGTTCAGAGGCTCACCTGCAGTCCTATTATCCAGGAAGAAGCCTTAGAGAGTGCGGAGGACGACTGGGCTCATGACCCTGCCAACCCTCGTAATTGGGCGTTCGGCCGTAAGTGGAGGATGGTCGCGTGTGTATGTTGATTCACATTCGTTGCTTCGGATATCTCTAACTGACGTCGTTTGTCTCACCCGCAGATCGGTTTGTATACATTCGTGTCTCCGCTGGCCAGTTCCATGATGGCCTCCGCTTTACCTGACATCGCGATACATTACCATATCACGAGCCCCACGATCGTGGCCATGACCCTCAGTATTTTCTTACTAAGTTTTGCCCTGGGCCCTCTGTTCTTCGCACCTATTTCTGAGATCTATGGGCGGACATGGGTTTGTGACTATTATCAGATGCCTTATACACGATTTCTGACGATGGTTCACACAGGTATACCATATCACTAATCTATTGGTGCTGGCGTTTAGTTTTGGCTGCGCATATGCTCCGACTACTGGCGCCCTCATTGGCTTCCGGCTGTTATGTGCGTGTTTTCCTCGTGCTTTGTTCACCGATGGTTGAACTTTTTGCTTTGCTTTTCAGCCGGCTTCTTCGGTAGCGCTCCGATTGCTATCGGAGGCGGTACTGTCAGCGACCTATTCTCTGAGCGGGATCGTGCGTCGGCTATGGCGGTGTATTCCCTAGGACCGCTCATTGGCCCTGCCGTTGGCCCTATTGCTGGTGGATTTATTGCCCAATCTATCGGGTTCAAGTACATTTTCGTTGTAATTGGCGCCCTGTGCGGTGTTGCCTCTATTTTCTGTGTTCCCTTACTCAGGGAGACATACCACCCGGTCATTCGTTTGAGACGCGCAAGACATTCATCAGATCCTGAAAAGGAGGCGCAGAGGCATCCTCATCTTCTCCAGGAACATGGCAATAAGTTTCATCGGATTTGGGTAGATATGAGCAGACCGTTCATCCTGCTGACGAGGAGTCCTGTTTGTTTCATCCTGAGCTTGTACATGGCATTGTACGTGACTCCTGTGTCCTCGGTAAAATTATCCGGTTGAATTTTCTGCTACAGGATTTATGGTTCGTATTGTCGGGTACGTTACCCCGTCGTACTAAGCTGACTTTGAGAATATAGGAATCTATTATTTGATGTTCTCCACATTCCCGAGTAAGTCGAATGATCCACCACCGCCAGAGCTCCCGCTAAATATACCCCATGACACAGCTCTCTTCACCGGTGTATACGGATTTAGTATAGGTGTGGGTGGTCTGGCGTACCTGGGTTTGGGTATAGGCTTCCTCGGGGCTACCGTCATTGGTGCAACTCTTGCAGATAAGATCTACAAGGCGGTGAGAACCATAACTTACGCAAACCATTTTGGGCTAATGTGCCCATATTGTAGCTTTCGCTGAGAAATGGCGGGAAGGGCAAACCTGAATTCCGCATCCCTGCGCTTATCTTCGGTTCTTTCTTCATTCCGATAAGTCTTTTGTGAGTGCCGGCCGTTTGTTTCTTTATTACCGCGACGATTCTGAGGTGATGGTATACACAGCTGGTATGGCTGGTCAGCTCAAGCACACGTTCATTGGATAATGCCTATCATCGGCACTGGCATCTTCGGCTTCGGAATGATGACGACTTTGTAAGTGATACTTTTCTGTGTACGTCGCGACATTGATATAACCGATCGATCGTAAAAGCTTGCCGATTCAATTGTACCTGGTTGATACTTTCACCTTCGCCGCAAGTGCTCTTTCTGCGTCTGCTGTAAGCATTCTCATAGGGGTTTCGCCAATACCTTCATCTAAACGACCTTCTTAGGTCTTCCGCTCATTGTTTGGGTTTGCGTTCCCTCTTTTCGGAGAGCAAATGTTCAAGGCGCTGGGATATGGTGGAGGCAACTCGCTGCTAGCAGGGCTGGGCATCGTCATTGGTATCCCATTCCCCGTGTGGCTATGGTTCAACGGCGAGCGTATCCGCGAACGCAGTCCCTTGAGCCGCTAGATGCGATCCGACGTTCCATGCCTCATGCATCGTCACCTCGACAAGTCGTGCCGCGCCGAGCCATCCGACGCTGGTGCTGTGCAACCACAGATACCTCTCCTTATTCGCAATGACATCTCACGAACCCCTAACATACTCACATCATAGATAAACATGCATTCTGGATTTATAGTCACCTACAGCTTCGCGCATGTGTCGACTTGGACTGGTAGATATCTTATCGCTTCTCTTATAGCAGTTACTAGTTTTCTGTTGTCGACTACAGCTTGTGCTACGCATGTCGTCTTTGGTATGCAGTCAAAATGCAGTAGAACATACACCTTGTTGGCTAGTATTCAAATATTCGCCGTATGAGATCACAAGGTGAAGGAGAGAGCAGTGTACAAACAACACCTGGTCGCAGTATTATGCAAGGTTTTAGTCCCTACCGACCAACGTCGACCGGACCGCGAGACTTGTTGAACGTGGAACCAAGGCTACCGTCGCCCGCTGCGCGTACACGCTTCTCTACGTCATTAATCGTTGTCTCCACTTCACGCGCAGCTCCGTCGATCCACAGCAAGCTCTCCAGATGGCTGTTCAGGATCTGTGCAATCTGGCCCACCGGGTCCTCTCCGCCATCTTTCGGCGCACCGGCCGTCGAACCAGACGGAAGGGCAAGCGCATTGACCGCGTCGATCATTTGTGTCAGCGAGCCCGAGAGGTCGTCGAGGTGGCCATGCAGTTCCGTCGCAAGCATGTAACTAGATGTGCATAAAAGCATGAGCGACAACAAGTGTATCACACACATCAGTCGACGTACTTCTTGTCCCGCTCGGTGTCGGCAGGTCCAGTGTCCAGTGCGCGCAAATTGCTGCCTCGGCCGCCCAGAACTTCATCTGTCGACCTTTCGTACGCCTCCAAGGCACCTCCGAGATCTCTCTGTTGCTGTTCGATGTGGTCGAGCGACTGGTCAATGTCGTTTTGCTCCCGCTCTGCTGCGAGCACAAGAGCATACAATGCTGCCAGCTGGTCCAGGGAAGAATTTGTGTGAACAGCTAAGAGGAACATCAAAGAAGAGAGAAAGCATACGTTATTGCCATTGTCTATCAGTGCACGGTCCCACACGGCAACCTCGCCGGCGAACTTGTTGAACTCGTGCACATGCAAATCGATCTCGTTCGTCCACCGGTTGACAATCTCTTCGATTGTCTTTCCCCGCAGGACTGACGGAGGTGGAAACGCGATCAACCCCGCGGCCGTCGTAGTAGCACCTAACGCCTGAGCAGCAGCTCCAGCTGTAGCACCCGGTGTCGTTGAGGGGGCTTTCGACTTGTCGCCGTCTTTGTTTGCGGTGGTTGATCCGAGAGCAAACGATGAGATCGGTTGTGTATTTTTTGACGCTGCATCCTTAGGTGGAAAGAGATTGAACGTTGGGAGCGACGCTGCGAAGGTCGGTAAGTAAAGGAACCCCAGGAGACGTGAAAACATGTACCTGGAGCACCGTCCTTCTTCTCAGCCGTGGCCGCTCCAGTATCCTTAGATCCAAAGAGGCCAAGCATGGGAGGGGCAGCTATGTGAAGCGGTGAACATAGACAAATGAAGAGTGAGAGCGCAGATACTGACCAGAATCTTTCTTCTCGGTGGCAGTGCTACTGGTGGCCTTATTTCCGAAGAAATTTGGAATACCTGTTGCTGAAATAATGGTTCAGTAGAAACTCCGCCATTCCAATAAGGGTGCTAACGTGGTGCGGTGTCCTTCTTTTCTCCTGCTGCAGTGCCGGCATTCTTCTGTCCCTGCCCCAAGATGCCAAAACCGGATAAGGTTGCTGTAAATAGTTTCCTCAATACATATATAGGCGAGAAACGGTATGAAACGCACACGCAGGTGTATCCTTGTTCTCTGGTGGTTTGGCAAAGAAATTGGGGATAGCTGGAACACACGCAGATAAACTTATGGTGCGTGTTCAAGCGGAAACGAAAGCAACTCACCAGTGGACGTTGTATTCGTAGTCGGAGTGCTCGTAGAGGCACCTATATTTCCAAAAAGATTGGGCTTTGATGCCCCTCCTCCAAATGCGCTCGGTGTTGAGGTGCTCCCTCCTCCCAGACCTGCAAACGGGCTGGGTGTTGTCGTGTTTGTGACTCCCAATCCACCGAACGGGCTGGGGGTGGAGGTGTTCGCTCCCCCCGTTCCACTGGGTGTTGAAGTGTTCGCTTCTCCCAGTCTTGAAAGCAGACTGGGAGTAGAGGTACCTGCGCCTCCCGTTCCTCCAGACACACCTGGCGTGGAGGTGCCCGCCCCTAGCCCACTGCCGACTGCAGTAGGCATTGACGTGTTCCCGGCTCCCAGTCCTCCAAACGCACTTGGTGTGGAGGTGCTGGCGCTTCCTCCTCCCCCTCCCCCTCCTCCGAATGCACTGGTTGCTCCTCCTCCCCCTCCGAATGCACTGATTGCTCCTCCTCCTCCTCCTCCTCCTCCGAATGCACTGGTTGCTCCTCCTCCTCCTCCTCCTCCTCCAAATGCACTGGTTGCTGACCCCAAACCTGCGAATGCATTGGGAGTGATCTTCAGCCCTGAAAACGCATTGGGCGTCGCAGCGTTCGTTCCTCCGCCTGCGCTTCCTCCTCCAAACGTACTCCCCGCTGCCCCTGAGAATGCATTGGGGGTAGTAGTCAATCCTGAAAACGCATTAGGCGTTGGAGTGGTTGTCCCTCCCCCTCCGAAGAGACTTGGCTTTGGGGTGTTTGCGCCGCTACTACCAGAGGCACCAATCCCTGGAGGAATTGCAAAGAAATTGGAAGGTGCTGGTATATTTGATACCATTCGTCAACGAACGATAGAGTTACGATTGCGAGTCACTCACCAGGAGATCCCGTACCGGATCCTGATGCGTTCGCCGAAGTAGCGGCATTTCCGAAGAGACTTGGTTGAGCTGCCAGCACAGACGACACATCACGTTGATAAGTCAGTTAAACCAAGCTTAACAACACAGTTCACGCACCAGTTGTGCCTGTGTTAGATGTCGAACCCGCCGGTGGCGCACCCAAAGGGGTACTACTACCACCAAACGCACTCATTCTATGGGGACTATGTGAGTAAAAGTGGACTGTTGTTCAGGGGTACGATATCAAAGACTTTTCCGAGCAATAAATGAGATAACAAGCTGCGGAGATGTTGGGATGAAGACGCGACACTCAAGTATGGTCACAGCGTCGCGCGCCGGCGTCTACCGAGATCGTGCCGGCGCCTTGCATCATCAAAGTCAACATAGCCCACACACATCCCCAGACAAATGTATTAACAAGTTATATAGTGTCCATTGCGACAGAAATTACCACGCGTTTGTACATGTACACCGGTCGAGACACGCCATCGAGAATCAACGTTACAACCTCCCAACCGAGCAGCTACCGAGGCTCCACACTTTTGGACGGATTAGAACAAGCTTCAATCAGTCAAGACAACTCAGTCACTTCCTGGATATGTTGCGCCTCGACAAAGCCCCGAGTAAAATAAGCACTTCGTAATCGAGTAACGATAAAAACAGACAACCAGTCTGAGAAAACGGTAACGTCTGAAGTTGACATCGCCCACTACGACACCAATGTCTTTTGTTGTGGCGGTGGTCGTCCCATGGTGATATCGAGCTGGGCCGCCAGCTTCAGAATATCATCTTCCAAATCACCGATTCTAGCGCGTCTGGATGAGGAGCCCCAATCCGTCAGTTTAATTCTGCAGCCTGAAGATGCAGATGGGCGAGCGTACTCTGCGCTGGAATGCTCTCCTAGCTCGAATGCTTGGGATAATCCTAGAACGTCTCGGTTCTCAGAAGTATTTCTTCTGCGTTCCATTTCCCTTTCTTTTATTTCCTTGAGATTCGGGAGGAGCCTATCCACTTCCCTCTGAAGCTATTCGGCGGGGAATGACGTTCAGTTACAATAAACAAACCAATAATAATCAAGCACGCACCACCTTCGCCCGGACAGTAAGAGATCTAGAGTCAAATTTGCTCGCTCCAACAACCTCCTGCTTCATCCCCCGGAGCTCCTCGAACCACTTCGTCTCATGCACACTGAGCTCGGGCGACGCCTTCTCCATGAGCGATTGCAACGTTCTGTCCAGCCGCGCGGACAGCTTCTTCTGCGCCTCGTGTAACCTCTCCATTCTCTGCTTCATTTCCGCCCGCCGCCGGCCTTTTATTCGCTCAATAATATTGAGCATCTGCAGGCACGTCTCACGCTGCCGCGCGAACTCGTTGAACTGTAGCTCCGCGCGCGCCTCCGAAGCACGATGGGCGGCCTCGACTTCTTGCATCTGACCCGTCAGGAACTCGGCGGTCGTGGCGAAATAGCGGAGTGTGTCGGCGGTGACCATGAACTCCGACTTTATTGCAGATGCCGGAAGCGAGAGGCGTGGATGTGAGGGTAGGCTGGCGGGACGGGACAGAATCGCGGGAGTGGCGAAGGGTTCTTTGCCCAACAGAGACACGTACGCAGTCGGGCCTTCAAGCGCAAGGAGTAACTTTGGTTCTGGTTTTGTAGAAACTTCAGGAGTCTCCGAAAAGTCATCCTCGGAGAGAAGAAGTGGGAAGACGGAGATACGCATGGCAGCGGTCAAGACGAAAATGCTGTAGGTGAGATACACGTCGCAGGGAATTGATACGCCCACTATGGGACTCGTGGATCTACGAGCATTGCATACGTCAGTGCCGAAGTGTTATTTGTAAACGCGCTACCTACTTCTGCTCCACTGAAAATGTTGTCAGTATAGGGCGGACCTCGGTGCATTTGGAGCTCTGTAGCACATCACTTAAAGAACCCGTGTCCTTGTCATCAGCGCCGCGAAGGGCAACAGTGAGGCTTTTAAGCAGGGGCTTAAGTTGCAGGGCGTGTACTCCGAACGCATGGTAAACATAAATTGAATCTTCATGTATGGGGTCGGGATAGATGACCGGATGATTCGCTTGCAAGAGATCCAGAAGCGAAGGCTCGGACTTTGCTTTCGATATAGCAGAAACAAGACCGAGATCAATCGTCTCATAGACGGCGAACATTGGCAGATCGGCGCTGGAAGACTGCGAAAAATTACAAAGGGTAAGAATGATACGTAGGGGACGGTTGAGACAAACAAGCCTGCTTGTGGTCCCACTGCGCTTCAATTTTCTCGACGTCCAGGTAGACATCTACCTTCCCATCTTGAAATGAAACCAGCACAATGCCTAGACGTTCCATGTCGCCCTCATTGCTGTCTTCTGGATCGACTCCGAAGGAGACATAAACTATATCTGTTGCGTTACCGCCCTCACTGCCGACCAGGTTACGTGGTGATGGTTGAAGCAGAAAGGGGCCTCGGCGCATCGGCGTATTCTTGATTGTCGTGGGCGGATGCATTGAGATGAAGCGAGGAGTCGCAGGGAAGGATGTCCCAGGAGGTAGCTGCTTCAGTAATGCAGTAACGTATCTGTGCTGATAGTCGTAGATCATAGCCATGCTGTCGGAAGAGGAGCCTTCCTGACGTGACTTCGACAGATACTCTAGCTTTGCAGCGACGAAACACTCCAAGGCATGCACATATGATGAAGGGATTGAACTGATATTGATATGAGATGACGAAAATAAATGGTGTTGGCGATACTCACGCATTCTTTGGCATGTACGGGCAGATGGCGAAAACGTCGCCACTACGCATGGCGGCGTACACAGTAAGAGGACCCCAGTCGGCTCTGCCTTTTCCAAGGGAGAATGAAGCAACCTCTCGCTCGGAGGGATCCGTACCAAAGAAGGTATTTTTCTTCCGTTGGGGAACGAACGATAGGATCTGTTGAGGCTCCTCAGCGTCCACTGAAATATCATACTCTCTATGAAACCGTGTCAGCTCCAATAGCCACAACTAATATAGATCTGTTTCACCGTAACTGCCCGTCAACGGTCATCACCATGAGAGTCGAACCACCCTCTCCCCAAGGGTGCCATTCAATCTTGGCGACAGGGGACGACGTTTTGGTCGCATGATAGAACTGTCCCACTTGTACAGACCTGAACATTAGAGTACTTCCTTTAGCGATGTCTCATACAGTAAACGCGTGGGCGTACTTGCAGTCAATTGTGGCGGGCACAAGTTTCGTGAAACCCGATCGTGGCAATACAATAACAGCAACCTGGAATGCTCCAGCGATGGCAAGAAGTTTGCTGTTAGGGTTTAACGCCATCTGGTGAACGTCGAACGCGACATTGGGCGTGTGCAAGATCTGCAGAGAGCCCCTAGCTGAATACTGAAGTCAAACAGAACCACGAAACACGCACACACTTTGTACGACTTCCGGGTGTTACGGGCAAGCTTGAAGTCTACCAACGAAGTCATCCTAATCTCACTCCCGGCAGCCACGATGAGGTCGGAGTCCTTGATGACCATGACTTGGCGTCTTCCCGAAGGCGTTGGTGCATCATTGTCGGGATCCAAGTCGCTGAAATCAGGTAATGAGCTGAGGGAAAGCTCGAGAGATATGTCGCCCCTTCCAGATGCATGAGAGACACTCAGAGGGGGGGAGAAGATGGGGTGCCCGCGGAGTAAGAGATCCCAGTTCTCTTCGCCGTCCATGTTCGAGTTGAATTCAAGGGAGCAATCGCGCGCGGCGCTCACGGTCATTCGGCGACGCGCTTCGTCCCCATTTGGAAGGTTTTCCCACGCCCACGCGTCACCCGCTTGCGCGTCCTGACCGCACGAGTACTCAACCTCTCTTGTCCTTCCTTCCCTCTCCTTTGCCATATTGTTCTATCTACCATGACGTCCATCGGAACAGGATATGATCTATCAGCTAGCACATACTCTCCAGATGGCCGTATATTTCAGGTGTGTCCCAATATCACGCGTCTCTAGAGTAGCTAACTGATCGAAGAACCTGCGATGTAGGTTGAATACGCCAATAAAGCTGTAGAGAATTCTGGGCGAGTTTTCTGCATCTTAAATATATATGTGCGCGTATAATTACGCTCTATTTCTTTCGTGTCCATCAGAACCGCCATAGGATTACGGGTGAAAGATGGGGTAGTCTTGGCCGTCGAGAAGGTCATCCACTCCAAGCTGCTAGTACCCGAGGCGAACCGAAGAATACAGACAGTTGACAGACACGTTGGCATGGTACGCAGCACGCGTCCTGCTCCGATTTCGCTCTTAATATATATGTGTATGCACAGGCAACGGCTGGTTTCCAGGCAGATGGCCGCCATCTAGCGAGCAGGGCACGCGACGAGGCAGCGAATTTCTTCGAGACTTACAACGCGCCAGCGACGCTAGGCGTATGCATCTATCGCATATTTTTACTCCTTGTCTCACTTTGCCTCCACAGTATATCGCAGAACGCATCGGCATGTATGTGCAAGCATACACGCTTTACTCTTCCGTCCGTCCGTTTGGCTGCAGCACAGTCATTGGCGCCGTGGACAAGACAGGTCCTCAGCTATACATTATAGAGCCTAGTGGCGTCTCATATGTACGCTTGCATCGTTTTCGCTGCACGATGGTGTTTATGTTTTGGCTCTTGCAGGGATATCATGGTGCGGCGATCGGCAAGGGCCGCCAACTTGCAAAGACGGAACTAGAAAAGCTTAAGCTTGCCGAACTCTCTACACGAGAGGCAGTCTTCGAAGCTGCCAGGATGTATGCTCTATTTGTTCGTCTGTTGATGCGTGTACCAACCGAGTATTTCAGTATCTATCTTGTCCACGACGACCAGAAGGAGAAGGACTTCGAGCTAGAGATGTCGTGGATCGGCGACGAGACCGACGGTGTACATCGACCAGTGCCAAATGACCTGCATGACGAGGCGTCACGGAAGGCGAAGGAGGCGCTAGAGAACTTTGAGTGATGAAGTTGTACTATGCTGTATATTGATAATGGACCTCTTCGCATTCGTGGTTTTCACCCCCAGCAGAAGTTCGATGCATCCGCCGCTGGTCAGGGACATACGAGTAATGAAGTCAGGAAAATGAACATTGTACCGCCACATGCAACTATACGATCTGCTCTAGCTCGCGCGCATATGCTAGGTCTGCTGTGATGAGCTTTTCTTTGGGTATCTCGAACTTCTCCTCGCCCTTCTTCTTGAACGTGATTATCCCTGTTGACAAGCTCACTTCCCAGCCCCGCTGCCCACAAAATAATCAGGAAACACGCCAAACGTACATTTCAATTCACGAACCTGTTGTGCGAAGGCGAACAACTCCGACTGACTTGGGAAAAAGAGAAGTGTTGCAGCATCCTTCAGCGGTAAGCTCTCATACGCCGCCTCTTCGCAACTCGCAATTTCATTCCTGTAAATGCCAGGCGTAAGTTGGATATATCCCGCCATCAGCGCCGCGAACCCAGCCCGCACCGGATAGTGCCCATCAGGCTGTCGACGAAAAATTTATATTCCTCCGCGGGCGCCTCCTCGCGCGCGTTCCACACCTTGCTGTAGCTGCCTTCCATGAGCCAGCGCTCGAGGTTCACCGGGTGGCGGATGTACGGGTTCTGCGTGAGCGAGTCCGCAGGGAGGGGCAGCGACTCGAGCGTTGTATGAAAGTCAGCAATGCGGTTCTGCGTGAGGAGACGGATGAGGTTCAGTCCGCGGATGGGGTACTCGCGGGGGGATGGAGGGAGCTGCGAGCTGTGCAGCGGGTACGTGATACCGCGTGCGGAGACCTGGTCAGGAATAGCTGAAGAGCGAGGGAATGGCACTGACCTGTAGTCATTGTAGAATGTTAGGAGCTGGGAGAAATAGCGGTCGAACGAGGGAATGTCCTTCGACCGTATGCTCCAAAATGCGCCAATCTCTAGAATATCACCTATTGGAAGAGCATATATGTCTGAGCGCGACGGACGAAACACTCTTGCGACGCACGAGCAACGACCAGGTCATCTAGATTGACATCTCCATGAGGGATGAGTAGTCCTGTTTCTACCAGACCAATCTGACGTGATTGTCAGCGAGACAATGGGCAGTAAAAGTCAGACGACGATACCTTGAGTTGCGCAAGCAGGATACCGCATTTCCTGAGATCGCAAGGGCGCGCATTGAACGATTGTTGGAGATCTTTGTAGAGTTGGGCGAGCTGTATGTTAGCCATCTTCACCTCGCACTCGTCAAAATTCACTGGTAGCGGGAAGGTGGAAAGTGAGGTACGAGCTGAGGCGTGTCTGACCGACGCGCGTCGACGCGTCACCCCCGTTCAGCCACATTGATCCTTCTCCTTACCTCCACCCACTGGACAAATGGAAACGATAGATATCAACCGTCTCAAGTCCGGCGAGGTCAACCTCGGCGTGCGTACTCGCTCGTTTATTCACCTCACGGAATGATATTAAAGCAATGTCTACCTGTAGACCTCGATCATGGCAGTCCAGTTCAAAGACGGTGTCATACTGGGCGCGGACAGTCGCACAACCACCGGAAGTTACATCGTGAGCACCCTCACTCGATATTTGGTTTTCCACGTCTGACACCGCTCAGGCGAATCGTGTTACGGACAAGCTAACACACGTCCACGACCGCGTCTACTGCTGTCGCTCAGGTTCGGCCGGGGACACGCAAGCCATCGCAGACATTGTGCACCACTGGCTGCAGCAGTACAAGTGCGTACCCATCTAGTCTTATTTCCTTGATTCCATGTTCACATTTACCGTCTGGATTGCATAGACAACAAATAGGCCAACCCCCAGTGCACACTGCGGCGAGCCTCTTCCAGAAACTCTGCTATGAGAATAAGGACGCGCTCACGGCTGGCATCATCGTCGCCGGCTGGGATAAGGAGGTAGGCCCGAGTGTGTATAATATTCCTGTGGGAGGAGGGCTTTTCCGCCAGCCGTGGGCGATTGGAGGTATAATTTCGCTCGGAACTTTTCTGTATTATTTATTTATTTGTATACAGGTTCTGGTTCGACCTATGTGTACGGATACTGCGATGCGACATATAAGGAGGATTGGTCGAAAGAAGAGACGATCGAGTTCGTGAAGAACAGTACGTGATTTTCCTTTTTGTACGATGGATGTTCGTTGACCGGATGTTGCAGCACTCTCGCTTGCGATGTCAAGAGATGGCTCTTCGGGAGGCGTGATTCGCATGGTCATTATTACGGAAGACGGCGTTGAGCGGCTGTTCGTGCCAGGCGACAAGCTGCCAAAGTGGTGGCAAGGCAAGGAGGTGTTGGGCCTGCCGCTGAAGACGAAGGACGTGTCGGCTCCTGCACCACAAGGTGTACCCATGGCGGTGGAGTAGAGCTCGTATCTTGTATGTTGTACCAATGGACGTCTTGCATCTGTTGCGACTGCGTGCGCTCCAGATTATACATTAGCATTGGTGGATATGGCAGCAGCCTCCGGGACAGTATAATTGTGCTTGTACGTTACTTTCATGCGCTTGATGCCCACCCACCACTGGTCTCAAGCAACTTCTCGTCCCACCCCCCACCCTCGAACATCCGCACTCTCCACAGCGCAATCGCAAGAGGTGCTACATCCGCCCTCAGCAACGTAGACTCGTCTGAGCACAGCAAAAACGCATGGCTACCCTTCTCATCGCCGGGAAGGAGATCTTCCTGCCCAGGCTTCTTTTCTGGCTCCTCGTTCGCGCTCCCTGAAGCTTGAGCACGCGCCTCTTCCATTCTATGCAATAATGCGTGCTGCTTGAAACGCGCAACGCGTTCGAGACGCAGCAGGTGAAGAAGGGACGTATGCAGAGCTGCACGCTGCGAGACATCTGGGCACAAGGTGATACCATTATACAACGGCACCCTTGACTGAGGGAGGAGTCTGGGCAGATCTTCGTCCTCTGCTATGAGAGCATCAAGCGGATCACTGCTTGTCGGATGCATGACGCAAAGCGGGAGAGAGCGGCTGCCTTTCGAGGATCCATCCACGAAGTCCGGTGTAGGCGCGGTCGACATGTTCGGTTTAGGCCTCTTCTTCGTGCTGGGATTTGTATTCACAGGAGGGACCACGAGGACTGCAACGGCATTGGCATACGGGACTGCGCCGGAAGACTTGACTCCCTTCCACTCGGCGCGAGTCAGTCGCCGGATAATCGGCACGTCCAGCGCACCCCTCTCCCCACGCTGCAGACTCAGTGAGAGTATATGCATCTCCTGCAGGACGCGAACGCGCAGCATGTGGGCGATCTGTTCTTGCAGATATTTGTGCACGGTCACATTTCTGCCCACCCGCTTGTGCACGCCTGCTAGGACCAGCGAGGGTTGAGCGGTGCTGAGTGGTGCATGAAAATAGGGCGCGCACCCTTTCCGACCATCATGGTGATGGCGTCCTTGAAGCAAGTTATGTGGTACCCATTCCCGACGCGCGGGCTTTTGAAATTGGGGTGCTCAAGGCCATCTGGGGCTAGAATTTCTGCCCGGTTCCCCCCAATGCGAGTAGGAGGCAGCAGTTTGGGAGCCAGCCGGATAAGAAAAGCTGCAGCATCCTGTAAGCCAGGCGTAATAGAACGGCTGGGCGGCCATGACACACACCTTTGGGTAAAACTCTTTTCGTTAACAGGCACTGTCGTATGGGAGTAGACAGCATCCGCACTTGACAGGGTCAGTGCGAGAACACGGTGAAGCAGAGTGGGACGCATACGGTAGGGATTGGCCCAGAGAGCACGCTCCTCGGTGGACATCGCGCGACGTGGTTCCCCACGTACGTACAGGACGGGCTGGTCGCCCTTATTCCGCGGCTGGGGGATCTTAACTACAGGGGGTAGGGCCTTATGTCGTTTGTGTCTTGCAATGGTCATGATCGGCTCCAGGGAGTCGAGGACGATGGACTGCGCGCGACCTTCTGGACTGAGAGAAGGAAGTTGGGGCAGTGAGTCGACATCGTGTCCTTGTTGCTTGCGCCGTGGTGGTGTATGGAGAGGTGCGGTGGAAGGAGGACGAGCGCGGGCGGTCTCGAGGTTGCGGAGGAGTCGTGGTATCAGACGAGGCATGCTCAGCCGCGGGACCATCCTCTCCGTCTTCCACCTCCCTCGGTTTGCTTGCACCCGTCCAGTCCCACCTCGCCAGCTCGTCTCTGCTACGTCTGCGTATCTTCTTGCTAGCTAGGAGCACCCGACCTGTTTCACTCCTCCAAGGCACAAGTACGATCACACACGCCTCTTGCGTATCTGCCCAATGTCTAGACACCGGTCTTCCTCTATCAGGCTCTGTATCTCTCCACCTCTTCGCCTGCCGAGCGGCCCAATACGCGTCGAGGTGTCCAATTGTGCTACTGCGCGAACCTTGTGAACACGCCGGACCGTGATGCCCATGACAAGTACTGCTAAAAGCTTCTGGAAGCGCTCGGGTTCTCATCTTGCCTCCACCATGGGCATAGAGATTGAATCATACGCTCCAGAGCCCATCACACTCGCCGTCATCGGCTGCGGGAACCGGGGCAGGGTGAGTTGCGCACCTACGACTACAGCCGTTGTGGGTTAATCCGCGTATCTCTGCAGGCATACACGAACTATGCGCTCCAGGAGCCCGCGAGATGCAAGATCGTCGCCATCGCCGAGCCGCGCCCCAAGACGCGCAAGCTAATGACGGATGCGCATCTCGTCGACCAGACGCTCGTCTTTCACTCGTACCAGGACCTGCTGCAGGCGTCTGCGGAGACGATCAAGACCGTTGGAAAGCGCCTTGCGGACGCAGTCATCGTCGCCGTGCAGGATCAGATGCACCTCGAGGTCGTGCTCGCGTTTGCGGAGCAAGGATACCATGTCTTGTGCGAGAAGCCCATGGCGACCTCTATCGAACATTGTATTAAGATTGAGGAGGCCGTGAAGAAGGCAGGCATCATCTTCGGCATGGGCCATGGTCAGTTGCCATCGTACTCTCACCCCCCGGAGGCTAACGCAGCTCAATGCTAGTTCTCCGCTACTCGCCGTACAATAAAGCCGTGACAGACGTTATCCGTTCCGGGACCCTTGGCGAACTGATAAATGTCGTTCATGTCGAGCCCATTGGATATTTCCACTTTGCCCACTCCTACGTGCGAGGGAACTGGGCGAGAGAAGAAGAGAGCTGCTTCGCGCTCATGACCAAGAGTTGCCAGTAAGTATCATCCCATTTTCATCCCAGGCTCTCCTCAGACGTGGTCCCGCAGCGATATCGACATTTTGTGCCATTGGCTCTCCCCAGGCACACCAACGCGTGTTTCATCATTCGGCTCCCTGCAGCACTTCCGCAAGGAGAGAAAGCCCAAAGAAGCTGGTGATGCAACTCGTTGTCTTGACTGTACCAATGAGAGCGATTGTCCATATAGCGCCAAGAAGAGTGGGTACACTTATGTTGATTCGTGTTCCACGTTTAAGTCTCAACGTTCACCTGCATCAGTATACCTCGACGCTGTCTCCAAAGGCAAGACCACTTGGCCAGTGAACGTCCTTGTAGATGGCATCCCAGATATCGAGAATATTACTGATGCACTGAGACATGGTCCGTACGGCCAATGTGTCTATGAAAGTGACAACAATGTTTGCGACAACCAGGTATGTCTTGTCCCTCGCACTGACCAACCTCCGCAGCATAATCACGCTTCCGCACCAGGTCGTGAACATGGAGTTCTCGACCGGCGCGACCGTCTCGTTCACCATGATCGCGCAGACTGAGAAGATCTGCGAGCGCCAGTCGCGCCTGGCGTTCTCGCACGGCGAGATCGTCGGCGACATGAACACATTCACCGTTTGCGACTTCCGCACGGGCAAGACAACGCTGCACACGCCCAAGAACGAGGGCGGCGGGCATGGCGGCGGGGACCTCGGCCTCATCCGCACGTTCATCGAGGCCGTGCTCACGGGCCGCCAGGAGCTACTCGGCACCGACGTAAGCGACGTGCTGAAGAGTCACCTGACGGTGTTCGCGGCAGAGCAAAGTCGGAGGGATAGTGCAGTGGTTGACTGTGCGCAGTTCGAGCGGGAGGCGAAGGCTAGGGTCCTTGGGTGATGATGCTACCTAAGCTTGAAATTGTAAGTGCTGGAGTATAAAAGTGTAATGTTAGTGCAACAGGGTACCGTTTGTCATAGAAACAGACTCTTCTGCACGGATTACATGCCGGACTTACCAGTTCAGTATGTTTGTTCGCGGTCTTAGAGCAGAGCGTGGCATGGAGCACGTATGATACGGCAACAGTACTTCGGACAGTCAGGACGTGTGGTACAACGATGCAATAGCTGGATAACGAACAACTGCGACGATGGGACAGGCAAATAGAGGGAATAAAGATCGAGAAATGCAGCGAGTGCGGGTATGATATCGTGGACAGTCTAGAACGGGTTCTCATCCTCGTCCATCTTGCTGACTTTGGGTGATGCCTTGCGCTCGTCAGCTGAATCCTCCGAGTCAGATCCCGACGCCTCCTTCTGTGCGAACAGCGACTGCATAGGCTTTGCACCCCTGGACAGCAAAGCGTCAATGGTGGCCGAGACCGCCAGGAAGAAATCAGACAGACTTCGTGAAATGCTTCTTCTTTGCAGCATTCAGCTTCTGGCTACACGGTGTCATCAAGTTGTCCGTCGGCGACACATATGCTGGGTTGCTTGAGAATAATGAGTGCAAATTTAAATGGGGCGCCACACGTGCGGTTACTCACTGTCCCTTGGCCATCTTCTTCGCCAGCAACGCCTTCGCGCCCATTCCAGGCGCTTGACTTGCTAGCCCCTTCGCGGTGTTTCCAAGGGGCGCCTGTGGTACGACGAGGTGCGCTGCCTGGGAAGGGTTGTGCAGTGGCTGAATGGGAGTCTGGATGGGAGAGTCGTTGGGGGTCGTAGTGGTAGACATGATGAGCACAGAGCGGCAAAAAATCACAATGCAAGTGTGGAAAACAGTTTGCGGAGAGACCCTCGAGAGCAGTAAGTGGTGGTTAGAAGAAGACCTGGAGGTGTCGCGCACCTTCGCAACGAACTCTCAAGTCACGTCCTTGTTCGAAAATGAACGATCACGTGATTATCCATGCTTATCACCTGATCGCGTTGGGAGGTCCAGTTACGTAAACGCCCTGCTTTCCTCCCACCGTCGAGTCCTTGCTAGCTCAGACCAAATTATTGGTCTTAATATTGCCACTCTTCTCATTCAAAGGGTCCAACATATCATTTACACCACGTTCCTCCGATTTCTGGTAATCAACACCATGCAAAACAATATGTCTTTCAGATTTCCTAACACCTTTCACGATGGGATGTCTCTGCAAGAAGCTGTAGCTCCGAAATTTTGAAACTCCTTGCAGCAATACAAAGGTTCACGGATTTGCCGGACATCATCGAACAAAGAAGGTGTGCAGACCACGCAGATTATACTTTCACCGCGAACTTTCCCCGCTTTCAGGATTGCGCCCGTGGAGCAGGCTATATTCGTGTACTCAGCTGTACCCTGAGAGTGCTACGCCGACAACCACTACTACGAGCCGGGGGCTGCAGGCGCGGACCGGACCAGCAGACAGGATTTGGAGCTCCGTGCGTTCATTTTGCTCTGCATTTTATGTTGTGTCCTCTGACCGTGTCCATTCCAGACTGCGCAGAGATGTCAAGTCTGCATATTTATGTTCCTGTTCCTCTCCGGTGATGACCTCGCACGCGGGTCATTGCGACATTGGAAAGCCATGACTCAGGCTCGGACAGACGCTATCCAGCTATGGCCACTTTGCTACCGGCGAGATCAGCGCTTGATACAAATGGTCTGTACAGGTACGTGCGCCTTAACGTGTGATTCAGCGGACTGGATAGTTATGTGGGCGCCCCGTCCTAGTTCACATGGATCACATCTTCGCAAACGCAATTGGCAACCACTGTGGGACCGGCGTTCAGCTTGAGATGCACAGCCTTTTCAGTGCGGCTCAGGGCTGGTGCCAGTAGATCTCGCGGTAAGTCGCCGACAGTTGCATTGTACCTTCTCGCGGTATCCAGGATCCGGAGACACTTGCGTGGTAAGTCCGTTGCGCGAGCATGGTCCCACAAACCTTCACGCGTAACTCCGAACGAGATCGTTCCGGCCGTCGCGGCCAAACTCTACCGTATCATGCCGCGAAGAGAGGCTCTGACCAACGCTTGGAATCGCGCTTCGAAGCTGGCGACCATGAAGTCTCGACAGTCTCCTTTATCTAGGGCCCTGGAGATAAAGCCCATAGTGATCCACACTGACGCTTTCGGAGTGTCTCTTGTGCGGCCATGTACGATTGCCAATTTTCGCCGCTAGAACGCATGATAGACCCACTCTGGATGGGAAGGACGACACTGTGGGCGTCAGTCTCAAACTGAGGAGATTTCAGTGGCTGCATGTTTTGTCATCTCATGCGCTTTGACTGTCTATCTCTGTGACATACGCGTCTTGCGTCTTCCTGGGTGATACTTGCTTCATCACGTTCTCAAGCTCTTGTCGCCTTAGTGGCACTACGGAGATATGATGTGCTGCGCATCGGACCATGGCAACACAACTTATCGCAGGTTGAGATACAGTGAGTGTGTTCACATTCCTACCGTTGGCAGCCTGCTCGAGGTTGCTTGCTACGCGTCCCCGCCGGACCGGAATTACTGGGTGAGTGATCCTTTCTCTGCGGGCATTCGTTCCCCAGCCTCTCGAATCGGACCACAAAATACCGCTGGTTTGGCTCGACTCGAGAGACGCTCGGTCTGATTTGGCTAGGCGTGTTTCCGCTTTGCACCCCGATCTCGCAGGAGATCGTCCTACACTGGCTGCATTTCGGCGGCACTACTCTCCGAGAGTTCGTAATGACGACTGGCGCCCCGTGCTGCATCTCTGACGTCTAGACCAATGGCGTTTTGTAGTTGCATCCGCGTCTGTTGTTGCGTGTAGCCTTATCAGAGCTGATCTTTTCCAAGGATGAGCGCCCGTTCGGGAACTTTTACCAGGCTGTCGAATATCTGCTCTTGCCGCTGCTGGAACGTGCAGATGGATACCGTCACCAATCTAAGCGGCGTGTGGACTGTGGAAGGATTTTTAAGTTGTCGGCATCTGACGGGTACGGCGAACCGCTTGTTGCAAAGAGGCGTGGCATTGGGTGGGTACGGAAAGTGCTGGGTTACGCAAAGCGTACCATTGTCTGGGGCGGGGATGGCTGAAGAAGCGTTGGGTTATATCGATTGGAGCAAGGGGAAGGCGACGGACTCTAGACTCGGATGCTATGAGAGGTAATTGATATGTATTTAGATGGTAGGAAGGAGTATCGAGATTTGGACGTTCGCTGGGCGGTGCATGCTCGGAGGAAGAGAGAGTATAATTGAGGAGGGTCAGCGGACCATGGGGGTTAACGTTGGACGTACTTTGAGACGTAAATGCGTCAGCAGGAGAAGGAGTTGCTTTGAGAAATGAGCCAGGGACCGGGAGAGCTTCAAGCGGAATCTGCTGGAGCAACATCATGGCGGCGCGTGGCCACCGGATCTGAGCTGGCGGTTGAGCAGAAAAACATGCCCGCGAGTTTAAAAGCCTAAACTCGCGCATGTCCCAGCCCACTTTTCCCCCTTCCTCCTCGTCGTCTTCCCCGTCCTCGACGCCCGTCCCATCGTCCTCGTGTACACTGCAGTGCCCCGCGGAGACGATACGGAGAAACGGTGCGGATCATCATCCGTGGCACACTTTGGGGTCTTCGCTTGCAGCCACGCCCCCTCGTAATCCATCCCTAATTTTCATAATCTCTTTCGCCAGTTCCATATATTTTCTCTTCGCCCTAATTCCTCCCCCCCTTCCCCGCCATGCCCTCCGACATCCTCAGGAAGAGAAAGATTGCCGTTCTTGGTTCTCGCTCAGTCGGTCCGTTGCCCTCTACGTCATTTTATAACCCCTGGCTCACTGTGTCCTAAAATTCAGGGAAGTCGTCGCTCGTTATCCAGTTCATCGAAAGCCACTTTGTCGAGTCCTACTACCCCACCATCGAGACAACGCACACCAAGAGCATTAATTACAGAGGCGTCGAGTATGACTGTGACATCATCGACACTGCTGGCCAGGTATGCCTGCGTTGTTTATTTTTCAACGTCGGTGACACTGTTTTCCAGGACGAGTACACCATCCTAAATCCGAAGCACGCTATTGGTATCCATGGCTATGTGCTGGTATACTCGGTGGCGTCGCGCAAGTCTTTCAACATGGTGAACCTCGTCTACGACAAGATTGTCGACTTCTGCGGGTTGAACACAATTCCATGTGTCATTGTCGGGGCAAAGACGGATCTGCCGAAGGCGTCAAGGTACGTACCGGATCAGCTTGTACTTCAACGCTCCTTGAGCCGTGTGTTGCTGTTCTCGACTTGTTCGTTCCCGCCAGCCGATCTCATGTGCTATGTAGACAGGTGGAGGAGTCTGAGGGCCAAAGGCTGGCTGACGAACATCATGCCGCATTTGTCGAGACTAGCGCGAAGAACAATCAGAACGTTGGTCAGTTGTTTCTCTGATTCAGTCAGTTATTTAATGGCTCACGAATGACCTGTCATAGCGGAAGTATTTCAACTCTGTCTAGGAGAGATCGAGAGACAATCGCCAAATCACCACGACGAGCCTCCCGCCAGCAAGTGCATCATCATGTAATGGATGCTTAGACTTTTTTTCCTCCTCTTCTCCCGTGGCATCTTGCATTGGCTCCTAGAACATTCACACCCCCTTGTGTCATCCAGCCCCACCCATTGCATTGATACATCGTTCCCCATCATCCGCTCGGCCTTTTGCATCTGCTGTTGTCCCATGTCTGACTGCCATAGTGTCGTCGTTTTTGCTCTACTGGGTCGCGAGTTCTATTCTTGTAAACTGGACTGTTTACACCGTCTATTTCTACTACCGTGTACTGCTTGTATGATATGTCCGTATCGGTTTCTTTCCCGGGAGACTTAATTGCATAAAGCGCTTTATTATCTCTCTTCCACCCATTGGTTCGAACACGTTGGAAAAAAGATGAATTGAATGCAGGCAACGACGTTGCAATGAGCACATGAATGAGGTATGGTTCTCACATATGACCTCTAATACACGAGTATACGACACAATCTTTTATGCAGAAAGCTCACGCAGTGCCGTCCCCGAGGAACCGAGCTTTGACCTGCCTGCCGTTCAGGCCCACCACCTTGATCACCTGTGGGTCGTCGGGCACGAGATCAATGGCCTGATCACTCCACTGCGCCGCTTCTCCATCGACGTCGAGCACGATTCCCTTGACGGGTTTCCGGGTCGAGAGCTCTACAGATTCGCCGTCAGACCCGCGGGTGATCTTGAACCCGAGATCCTCGACGGCCGGGAAATTAATGAACTTGAACGGCTCGGGCCTGAGAGCAAGAAGTGCGGTGAGCATGACGAGCGCGGGTGACGATCACTGCCGCGACGTACCAGTTGGAGTACCGCCCGAGAACGACGCCGTTCTCGTCAATTAGCCGCGCGGAGACGATGATCGCCTTGGGGATCTCGCTCTTCTTCGTGCGCTTGGGCTGGCCCGGCAGCTCGCCCTTGTAGAGCTCCGTGCTCGCATTCGCAGCAAGCACGACAGGCTTGTCGAAGTGGTACCTCCACTCCGAGTGCAGGTCGAACGCAGAAACGGAGAGCGTCACCTTCGTGTCCGACAACGTGCTGTTGGTACCCCAGATCTCAAGCACGGTCTCGATGGTGAAGAAGGCCGCAGTGAGGTCATCAGCAAATGTCGTTTCATCCTTGCGAGTCATGCCGACCGTGAATGGACGAAGCTCGCGCTTAATGGTGAAGTAGCCCGGCTTCGGGCGCAAGAAGTAGTCGACTATGGCCCACGAGGTCACAGGCCAGCAGTCATTGATCTGTTCACTAGGTCAATGTGGGAGAATAAAGGGATCTTGTTTTCGCATACCTGCCACACGAGGGCACCGGCGGTGTATTCTTTGCCCTTGCCTTGCCAGTTACGTCTCCAGAGACGGTATGCAGAAGCAAGGGTCTCGGCCTGCATGATCTGGGTGTAGTACACATAACTGCGACTCCCAGTGAGAAGACACACGTATCACTTGACGTGCACCCTCACCTCTCGACGTCGAAGGCATGCTTGAAGTTCTCCACGAGGTATAGCTGACGAGCGTATATGCGATCAGCGCTTCGATCGATGAAAGATTTGCAGAACCTTACCTCGAGTCGGCGTTCGAAGCCATCAGCCTTGTTGTGATTGTTCATGATCCTGTACAGAAGATTGGGATACTTACGGAATTAATCATGGACGTGTATACCTTGACTGGGGATACCGCTCAGACTTATTTTCACCGATCCAGTAATCCACAGTACGGATGTCAGGATAAGCTTCCCTGCGCCAACAGTCAGTCGGGTACAGACAAAGGGTACAGTACCCACATTCCAAATTCAGAAACGAAACGGCCGGACAAGATATCCCAGTTATGCCACGGTTCCTGTGAGCCATGCCACACGTTCCCTGTCGATACACTCAGAAAATTATTTTTCACACCCTGCACATTGCCAGCTCACATTGATGGAGATCACCGTAGTGCCGGTCAGTGGTGACCTTCCCAAACCCACTGTATGGCGAGCTGCGGTGATAGTGAATATCACTCAGCTTCTCCACGACAGAGGGGAGAAGGCGCTCATAGATGTAACGAGCAGGGAAAGTTGAATGGCGGAAATCGGACTTCTCGTCATTGTAGTCCAGATCGAGCTTGCACGACTCAGCGAGCTGATAATCTAGTACGCCGTTGTGCCTCAGTTAGCGGTTCTATAAGTTGACCACGCTGCGACTAACCTTCGTTGTTTCCGGCTGGAAAGAATACAGTCAGCTGACGTCCAGCAAATGCCGCAGAAGACCTGAGAACGTACCGAAGATTACGACTGACGGATGATGTCTGAGCCTCTTGACATTTTGCTCGACTTCCAATTGGACAGACTTCGTGAACGAACCGTACGCGGGATACTAAAATGTTCCGCATCAGCTAGAGAACAAAGCACAATGACCAATCTGAGACGTGACGTACTTGACCGCATCCGAACATAAAGTCCTGCCATACTAGGATGCCCAATTCTACGTAAGGTAGTGTGAGACAGCGAAATGATGGGCTGATCTGAGGATCGATAATTACCATCACAAATGTCATAGAAGACATCAGCCTCATAGATTCCTCCTCCCCACACACGGACCATGTTCTGATTGCCGTCAATCAGCAACTGCAACCATGCGCGGTACCTCTCTGGGGTCATCCTTGTGTGGGGAAACAATTGACTACAGTGCAAAGCCGGGGTCCGGGGAAAATACGCACGTAGTGAGGAACGAATCGGCAGGAATCCAGTTAGAACCTGATTAGAGGCATGTGTCAACGGAACGAAAATCAGCTTGACAGCTCGCCGGAAGCACACCTCCGCAAAATATCCTGATGTTGTTGATCTCGAAGAGGAATGTGCGGCCTTCCTGGCCAATCAACTCATCCTGGACTACACGCGCACGGCGGAATGCGATTTTCTGGATTTTCTTGTCCAGCACATTACCGCTCTACAATGAATATATACAAAGCGTGAGTACCCTGATACCCAAACATGGTGCGACACACGTATGCACCTGATCGGCCACCTGGATCTCGACGGTGTACTGCGGCTGCTTGCCATAACCAACAGGATACCATAATTCAAATGCGCCCGCTGACAACTTAAACTGCGCCTTGGCAGTGGAATGGTTGATCTTGACATCCGTTTGGCCAACCACGAGGGAGTCACCTGCACCCTTGAGGCTAACAGAGGCAATACTGTGATCTGCATTCGACAGCGAGAAGTTGACCTCGACGTTCGCGGAAAGGTCTTCCGCAACCCTGGTGCGAACATCGACGTCTGTGATGCGCGCCTGGTACGTCTCGAATTTGATGGGCTTCCATGGACCAACGGTCATGAGTACTGGGCCTGTGAAAAGTGTCAGGGAAAGTCAAGCTTTGCGTCACGGGATGACATACCCCAGTCCCATCCGTAGCTGTCCAAGCGATCGTCAATTACGCGTCAGCTGAGATATATGCAAGCACGTACTTGTATTGAGCCTTGCGGACGTGGAGACGACTTGAGTCGCCATTCCACAGGTTCAATTTAGTGTGCTGTTTCTCGACCTCCCGACCCTGGAACAATTATGATACAGTGTTATCCAGTGAAATGCGACGCATTGAAAATTCATACCTTACGGAATGCACTGGCAAAGTTGATAACAAGGTCGTTGTCCCCCAATCTAAGGTATTGCTTGACATTCACGCGGTGAGCGATGAACTGATTTTCAGTCCTAATATACGTTCAATATTCATCCCGATCAGCATAGAGGACTACTCGCTCTAAGATTTTGTGCCCGTTCTGTGCGCGAAGAATATCAGTAGCGGGTTGAAAGCCACGAAGCTGGCGCATCGTACGAGCTCGACCACTGCGAATGTATCAAGACCGTCGAATACGAGGTCCGCGTTAGGCGCAGACACTTCGGCTTGGCTGGCACTAAACGTGGCCCTGAAAGCCCAAGGGACCTCGCCGACCCCTGCAATAGGATCTAAGATATCACATCCACACTCATCAACCGTGACACTTACATTGCACATCCCATTCATGCAACCCGACGAACTGTTCCAGGAACACAAACATATCAGTCATATCATCGGCAGGACGATCGTACGGATAGCGACAAACACACGTACCGGGTCTGGGATCTTCTTGTACTTGAGAAGCTCGACATGCACGGTCGTTGGGAACTCATGCACAGCAAGCCACTCACCGTTCTTGACGACGTCGCCGCCGCCGATCTGGGTAAACGTCCAACCCTGGTCGATGGCCCTGGAGGTAGACATAGTTGTATCTATCGGTGAGTGAGCAAAGCAAATCGATGAGTGAAACGGACCGTGGCCTTTAAAATGTGTGGAGGATGGAGGTCAGCGTCGGTCAGCTGTGGTACTTGCACAGAGCGCGGAATGCCCGATATTTCCCCGAACTTCACCCTCTTCGGGAATACTTAGGAATACTTGCGCTCAGGCAGTCGAATTCGCGAAGTTGTTGTAGCTATATTGTGATCGTCCTCCCCACCTCAGCAAGGTCACTATTGGTCTGCCTTCGGGAGACTATTAATTGCAGTCGTTGGTCGAGGCTATCATCGAATGCGTGTTCTCAAATCCAGTTCGAATCTCTCACCATTGATTTTCCATTTATCTTCTATCATGGAGTGACTTCAGGGAGCCCCGACAAAATTCTATAGCTGCTGCAAGTGGTGTCATGGAACCACCCGAGAATACCCGCAGAATGAAAGAGAAATCTAGTATTACAACAAAAGAGTATACTCTACACTAACGAATGATAGATGTATCATGAAACTTACAAGATCATATCAAGTACCGGAAACCGTTCACTGTCCCCTCTCGCTCCTCCTTCTTCTCCATCTCCTTGTTCAGATGCTTAAGATGTAGTTTGAACATGTAGCACATAATAATACCCAACCCGTTCGTCGAGATACAAATGGCGTACGAGTAGCGATATGTCATGCCCCAATTGGCCGGCCAGGTGTATCTGCAGGAAAGGTGCTCAGCGCTCGATGTACACACAGATCGTACGAGAAGCTTACGATCCAGCTATATTTCCCAACTGAGAGAAGGCATTTATGAACGCGAGCGAGACGGCACGCTTGGACGGGGGTCGCGGAATGGAGCTACTCATCCATGCGAGGAAAGTGATGAATCCGGAGTACGATTGCGCCATGAGGAACAAAGAGACGTATCGCGCAGCCTTATCCATCGTCGACACCGCGATCACAAACCCAACGATGCCGAAGAAGAGAGGGATGATGATGTGGTAGAACCGTTCCTGAGTGGCATCCGAATGTCTGGCGGACCAGAACCGCATCGTCAGCACTTCACTCTGCGCAACAGGCGACGGACTTACCTAGTCACCGCAAACGCGACCAGCGTCGCGAACACCCAGGGAGGCGCACAGAGCAGCAGCGACACGAGCGTACTATACCCCATAGTCGCACTCAGCGTCGGGAAAAAGGCATTGAACGACAGCGAGAGTACAATGCTCGTCAGTGCTACCGCAAGCCACCACACCTTCCAGTCGCTGAACGCCAACGCTAGCCCGTGTAAAGCGCCGCCCGTCTCTGTCTGCTCCTCGTCGCCGATGCCTACGTCCTCTTCCATACGCTTCAGTGCAAGGCGCTCTTCAATAGGGCTTAACCATCTCCGCGAAGTGGATGGGAAGTCGGGTAGGATGAAAAAGGAGCAGACAGCGACGAAAACGGTGATGGCGCCTTCGATGTAGAACAACCACCTGTATTTGAAATCCTATATTTTGGGCGATGCATTGTAACCATCATTGGAAGCCTGCATACCGCCAAGCAGCATGTCCCCGTTTACCCTCCATATTGTCCAAAATACCAGAGGCGATTAGCGATCCGAACGCGTTACTGATGAGACTACCGCAAGAAAGGAGCGCAGTACGCAGGCCGAGCTCGGATCGTTTATACCACTTGGAAAGAATGAAGAGAGCTCCTGGGAAGAATGCCGCTTCGACGAATCCCAGGAAGAATCGAGTCAAAAGGGCACCAGCGAAACTTGGAAAAGAGAAATGTGAGAAACTGGATGGAGAGTTGCTCAACAAACACATACCCTGTGGTCACGCCTAGCCGATAGCATTCAGCACAGATCCATAATGTGTCAAAGTAACCGACATACCCGTCAAGCAAGTTATGGTCCCCCAGAGGATCATGCAAATCGGGAGGTATATGGAGGGCTTCCCAATATAATTCAGGAACATGTTTCTGGCGAACGGTTGTCAGCGACGCAGGGACTACTAATTCTAAAAGCCGACTTACGATGGTACTTGCATGAGAATGTATCCGACATAAGTGATACTCAGTAGTGTGTCGAACTGCTGGTCTGTGAGCTTCAAGTCTTGCTCAAAGCCACGCAATCTCGCAGCACTGAAAACAGTATTTTAGATGTGTACGTATGCCAACCCAACTACAAGGACTTACGCCGCATTATTACGATCGATCTTCAGACGTAAATTTCAGTACAGAAGAGATATAAGGACAGAGAGACGGCTTACATAATTCAAGATGTAGATTATAATAAGCATAGAAACACGTAAGTCGAGCTTGAGAAGAAGCTTCCTCTCAAGCTTCTTCCGGGCTTCGTGGCCACCGAACTCTTGGTCGGTGTCACTATGAGCGGTTTCTAGATGCCGCGCAGGGTCATCTGACCTTTTGAGGTCAGTGATAGAAGTAGGAGACATGACCGAAGCGGGTCGTGTGTACTTCGTCTATGCAGAGAGAGCAAGAGAAGAACTCGTCTATGAGTAAGGTTCAGTGAAAATTCTCCGAAGGTGGGTACAAGTTACTTTATACCTCAGCGGAGAAAAACATAAGCCTGGGCTGGAGAGCCTACATGCACTCTGGAGGGCAAGCAGAGGAGGCCCATGCACACACATCGGATGTTGGGCATGTAATGGTTACGATTCTGAAAGGATTGGCAGGATGGTCGTGAGGCAACACCGGAGCTCGGGACGAAGGTGAAATATAGGGTCATTGGGGAAGGTGAAAGGTTCTGGTCAAGGGGTGGAATGCGGTCTGGTGAGGAGAGCCAAGTCGCGATCGTTGCACAGTGGTCGCGATCGCGCCTTGCGCGTGACGGCGACACGGATGTCCGGTCCGCATCTCCGCTCGACGATCTCGCGCGTTCCGATCGTCGGCAACCTATCCACCAGAGTGCGGAGAAGCAGCGAGCGGGGCAGGTACACACGGAGCGAGCCATCACGAATAGGCTCCCCGCATCGTCTGTAAGCATCTGTCATCTCCGACTCGGTCAGAGAGCACAATATTAATCCGATATGTTCTTCCAATTCTCCGTCCTACCGCGCACAGAGACTCCAGATGGCGGCTTCAGCAGTTCTTCTTCTACCCGTTACTCCTCCAACGTACCATCGCATCGTCTCCCAGACCCTCAGCATTCCATCGGATCCGCAGATCCCTATCCCGGTCGGCCTGCTAGCATGTCAGAGTGCGTGAAACGTGTCCAGTGGTCCCTGCCGCATATAACTGACCGAACAACTCACTCTTCCAGGAGACCCCCTCCTGCGTGAACTTCCGACCACCGTGATCAGCTGTACGCTCTCCCAATCACCCGCCATCCCATCCAATGGCAGGAAGAGCAAGAAGGGGAAGGCTTCGCCAGTTCCCTCCCAGCCCCTCCTCGAGGTCGTCCTCCACGATACTATTATCTTCCCAGAAGGCGGTGGCCAGCCGTCGGACATCGGGATCCTCACCAGTCCCGACGGCGAGGAGTGGAATGTAATCGAGGCGAAACGTCACGGTGGGCATGCCGTGCACTATATTCGCGCACACGACCAGGATGGGCAAGGTGCAATTCGTGCGTTCCTTCCCGGAGCCAAGGTAGGAGTAGCGCTGGGCGAGGAGGGGTTCAAGCGACGACTGGACCATGTGAGTCTCGCAATGGATACGGCTTTTATCCGCGACGCGAGGCTGAGACTTACCGTGTAGATGAGCATGCACACGTCGCAGCATCTGCTCTCCGCCCTATTGGAGAGACGGCTTAATCTCCCTACGCTCTCGTGGTCCCTCACTGCCTTTCCTACCCCATCATATGTGGAAATCCCGCGGAGTATGTCCGCTGAAGAGATTGCTTCGATCCAGGACGAAGCCAATCGGCTCGCATTCGAGGGTCGCTCAGTTCACATAGAGGTAGAAGAACTAAATCCGGAGAAAGTGCCAGAGGTCGCAAAGTTACAGAGCGGACGAAACGTAGGAAAGGCGCTGCCTGCGGATTACACTGGTGGGGTGAAAAGGACGGTAATCATTGACGGGGTCGACCGCAATCCGTGAGTGTACCTACGCTCACCAATTCGCGAACTGGCTGCTGATGCTCGTGTCGTATGCAGATGTTGCGGTACACACTTGCCGACCTTGCACAATCTCCAACTCTTCCTGCTTCCCCACACTGACGCGTTGTCGCGGTCCAGCACAACTTCTGCTCGCCTGTACTTTCTCGCAGGACCTCGGCTCATCACCCACCTGGTGTCTACGCACGCTCTGCTGACAAGCACATCGGCGACGCTCAGCTGCGGCGCGCCGCAAGTGCCCGAGCGGGTGGAGCAGGTCGTGGAGGAGCGGAAGCGGGCTGTGAAGCGGGTGGAGGACGTCGAGACGGAGCTCGCTGACGCAATTGCAAAGGAGTTGGTCAACCAATCTCTGATCAAGGACGACCGAGAGATCCTACTACACCGACACCGCACGGACGACTCTTCGAATGCGCTTGGGCTCCTGTCTGCTATCTCAACGGCCTTTGTGAACGAGATCACTTCTACACCAGACTCACCGCCATTCCTTGTGGTCCTTGCCTCATCTCCCTCTTCACAGACGACCTCCAGCACAAGCGTAGTGCTCATCTTTGGGTCGGACGATAAGCGAGTCAAAGAAGTGGGCGAGGGATTGAAAGCCAAGCTCGACATGAGGGGTGGTGGTAAGGGAACACGCTGGAGCGGAAAGTTTACTGGAGTCTGGAGGGAGGGGCGGGAGGGGGCATCAGTCGCAGAGGTGCTCAACGCTTAAACATACCTAGAGGAATGGCATAGAATAGAACAGACTGTAGTGTACAAAAGTGAATATGTTTGCAATGCGATACAGTAATAACAAACCAATGGGAGTACGTGAATAAAATGCCATATGTCTTCCGATTGTGAAGGTACTCTACTTGGATTCCTCTGCAGCATTGTCGTCTTCAGGTGCTGACAAGTACGTCTCGTCGTCGTAAACGCCTGCGTCTATGGGAACCTGTAAGAAGAGGAGCCACGAAGGCAAAGCAGGAACGCACCATCTACCAGCAAATTCTCCTCGGGAGTGACAAACAATTCGCCTTCCGAAAGGCTCTCCGAGCCATCCCCGTCACTCAGGCCCAAGTTTTCCATGCTCTCATCCGCATCCTCATACTCACCTTCGTCGTCCCACACACCCCCGCCGAACTCCGACACAGCGTCCACCTCCAGGTCCATCTCGTCGACGTCGAACTCTGCGTCCATGTCGGTAAAACCGTCGATATCGAGGAAACCGTCCTCCTCCTCCTCCTCCTCGTCATCCTCGCCCGGAACGTAGTCGCCGTCGGAGGATTCATAATCAGAGTCTGAGATAGGTCTGACGTTCAGGAACGTGTGCCGGCACGCGGGGCAAGTGCCGTGCTGGTCAAAGTGTCAATGATGAACAACATGCGAAGATCGACAACGGCATACCCTTCCTCTTATCCACTCGATCAGGCTGTGCAAACGCGTTCAGATGAGTGTGTACGGTTAAGGAGAAACACTCACTCTTCTCGGCAGAATACATGTCCGCATACGTCGAGTTTCGTGACGCCACCCAGAGGGATCGGTTCAGGGGTCAAGCCAACGAGCTCGTTCTCTCTATCTTCCGGCTTGTCGTAGATGGCTTTGAATGAAATGAGACAGATGGGACATGAGTCGTCCAGCGGGATCTGACTCTTGGTGAGGGTGGGGAGCTTCGAGATCGCCAGGCCAATGCGCTCCTGAGTGGTGAGAAAGATATCGGTGGGGTCGTCCATGACAAAAGAAAGAAACTAAGGGATAGAAAAGAAACAAGAAAATGTTACCGAGACTGGCGGGGCATCCAGCAAGCACTGCGGCTGGCGAGCGCGGGAAGTTGGAAAGGCGCGGTCGGTGCGCGTAAACAACGTTCGCGTCGGTCACGTGGTGCACGCGTCTGCAATCTGGCAGTAGCCGATCATCATCTTCCCACTTTTCCACTTTACCGTAAGCGGAGCGCCAAGGTTGTGGCTGATCTTGTGGCTGAGCTTTGGACCTCGCAGCGACGCGGCCCCACCGGCTCGTCGTCGTCCACATCTCTCGCCCTGTGACCGCGTACCATGCCCGAGATAAGTTTAGTACTGGTAGTGCCTGATCCCCACAACGCCGCGAAATGTCACACGGATGGAAGCACACTGCGTTCTCCTTTTTTTCCGGGTCGGTCCGCCGAGTACAAGTTGGACGCGGATTTGGGTTCCTCCTTCGTCGACCTCCCCTCAGAAAATTCCTCTCTGAAGCTCGATGTCGTCCGATACCAAGTCCCCCTCCGTCGAGAAGGTTGAGGACCTCGAATCCGTCAAGGTCGCCCAAGATGATCCAGACGCCGAGTTCGGGGGCACCGAACAGAGGAAGAAGATGGAGAAGTGGTTGCTCTTGAAATTGGACCTCCGCATGTCCATCCTGGTCATCATTTACATTCTGAACTACGTGAGATCTATCCTTTATTTAATGTCGACGTTGAAGCTAACATGCGAGCACTGTAGATCGATCGCAATAACGCAGGGTGTGCATTGTTCTTTTTCTACCAAGCGCGTCATGGATTTAACTCTTCGCTCTCAAAGAGCTGCGCGGCTTCGAGGCTTTGAGACTGACCTGCATCTCAAGGGTCAGGACTTCGCGACATTACTGTCGATCCTCTATGTCGGTTACATCATCATGCAGGTACCTTCGTAAGTGTCTTCTGTTTTCACCTTGATGTCTTTGTCTCACGTGCATTGGCACAGCAACATGATTATGAATTATGTTGGAAAACCGTCGCTTCATATACCAATATGCATGGCAATTTGGGGAATGATGTCCATATTGACAGGTCAGTGGTTGGACAATTATGGCACGGCTGTTAGCTGAATTACCTTGTAGGGATCACGAAGAAGTGAGGGCATCTTCATGATAATTTTGACCGTCGCTGATTTACAGAAACGCCACGCCAGCTTCGTCGGGGCGCTTCTGACGCGTTTCTTCCTGGGCTTCATCGAAGCCGCATTTTTCCCCGGCGCGCTGTTCCTTCTCAGTAAATGGTACAGGCGCAGTGAACTGGGCTCTCGCACTGCCCTCCTGTATTGCGGAAATATCATCAGCAACGCCTTCGGCTCCCTTATGGCCTCCGGTATCCTCGACGGCATGCAAGGCAAGCTCGGGCGTGCCGCCTGGCGCTGGCTCTTCTATATTGAGGGCTCCCTGACGATCTTCTTCGCGCTCTTGGCGATTTTTATTCTCCCCGACTTCCCCGCGACGACGCGCGGGCGGTGGCTCAGCCCGCTGGAGCGCCGCCTCGCGATGCGGCGCATGGAGGAGGACGCAGGCGTCGGCGACGAGTCAGAGACCGAGGCGGGCGGGCAGATGCATGGACTGTGGCTCGCCGTCACGGACTGGCGAGTTTGGTGGCTCGCGTTCATGATGACGAGCCAGGTCGTCGCGCTCAGTTTCAACGCGTACTTCCCGACTCTCAGCGCGACGATGGGCTTCGGCAGGACCGTGACGCTGCTGCTGTGCGCCCCGCCATTTGTGCTCACCGCCATTCTGGCGTACATCGTCTCTCGGTGCGCTATTTAATATTTTGGGATGTTTGGGTAGCTGTTCATGGTTTGCTTGCCAGGCACTCTGACAAGACCGGTGAACGTTTCTACCATATGAGCATCCCGTACTTCTTCGGTCTCATCGGCTTCGTAATCGCGATCAGCACTATGAACACGGCCGCCCGATACGTTTCCCTCTTCTTGATGGCCCAGTCATATGCAGGTACGTGCCAGAGCGTTGGAGCACGGTGATAATATTCTGACCAGCATGCAGGCTTTGTCGTGCTGTACACCTGGGTCAGCAACTCCTTCCCTCGTCCTCCATCCAAGCGTGCCGTAGCGGTAGCGCTCGTGAACGCGTTCTCGCAGCTCGGCAACGTTGCTGGCTCGTACGTCCCCTTCCACGCGCGGGAATAATTCTTACGCTGACTTCTACGGGCAGATACGTGTGGCCGAGTAACTGGGGCCCCACCTATCGTTACTCCTACGCCATCTGCATCTCGACCTGTTGTACCGCCATCATTATGGGGTACATCTTCAAACTACACCTCACAGAGTTGAACAAGCAGCTGGAGAGGGAGGAAGAAGAGCAAGGCAAAGAAAGGGGCTTCCGCTACTTGGTATGATGCAGTGCGCTAGTGACCAACCTGGACGTCTACCGACCGGCAGTATATGTGACGATTCTTATGAAAGATCAGATCGAATGTAAAACTGCGGCTCCGTTTGCGGTATCTGTATATAGGCGATGATTGAATGAATTGAATCTGACCGCGTTATTCGAACTCAGTGGCTTCGACTCTATGAGATCGTACAGGAAAAAAATACCATTAATAAATAGTGTCGCTGCATAGAGTACATCTCAACAAGTCTACCGACTTGCACATTCAGGAAATGCATGATCTCCCTTCGAACACACTTCCCGTGGACCCGCGAAGCATTGACGGTCCACAGAGAAGGCATCACTTACAATGAGTATTTCTTGCAGAGGGCCCTTGGAAGATGTCGAAAGCCAGAGAATCCGATTAAAGGGTCGCAGAAAACTGTAAAACATCCTCTATCCAACCCAGAGTGATGCGACGGACAAAGAGCGGCGAAGGCACAAAAAAGTCTACCGGAGTCCAAGAGACCGTCGGTGAAACCTGGAAAGTCCTCAGCGTCCGGAAGTACGTAGTCCCGTGGCGAATATATTTTCTTAACGGTCGTCAAGAGCGTCTTACTGTGCTTTGTATTCCACGGCCATCAAGCGCAGACATTGCATGTAGCATGCATTAAGTGACGTTGTCGGCTGTTCGATGAAGGTACCTCTCGCGAGTGGTAGATGTGTCGTGTAGAACAGTGGCGCAGGTGGACTGATATCACGTACGATGAGGTTCAGGTGGGCCCATCGGTGTGTCACCCGTCAGGTCAAGTGCAAGATCCGGAGTCCCATGACAAACGGAATGGTTGTGTAGAGGTCAAACTTGTGTGCTCCGTCCTCACCTGAGAGTTTACAAGCAGAAGAAGCGATAGGAACCGAGCGAAGCGAGCTGGCATGAGTAGTGTTATCTCAGCTTAAGGTGCAGCAGCGTGTATCTTGTCAGAGCTGTATATATCAGCAGAAGCTCTCAGGGACGATCGCACGTTTGATGAGGCGGTATGATTGGGAGGAGTCTTAATACACGTGTAGAGGATCGATAGGAGTTATGCGGGGTGATTGCATCGAAGGCGAGGAAGAGTCGAGGAGAACACACACGGAATCCGGGTCTGCAGAAAGGATAGCCGAAACGAGAGGGAGTAGCAGGTGTATCAGCTGGTACGATGAGAACGATAGCTGAGGAGATAGGGGACGGACGAGGCAGCAACGTTCGCTGACGAGGGCTTGGAGAAAGCATAAGAGATGGACGTCGAAAGCGTCGAGGACGATGGGGACGCCGGCACACATGACGAGCGCTGGAGACACGCGCGAAGGCGAGCTCCGCTTGCCGGCGTCGAGTCGACCCACTTTTGTGCTGCTCGACCTCGTCCCGGATATCCTGCAAGCCTGTCTGCCTCTCCTCTCTCCCTCACAGTCTGTGGGCAGCCGCCCCCCGCAGATGAATTCTCTCACTTACATCTCTCGCCAATTCGATGTCTTGGCTTCTCCGCGAACACCGCCCTCGACGCCCATAGCAGAGACCGCCGCTCTTCTCTCCTCGAACAGCGACAACACTCAGGATGTCTACCTCCAGCGGGTCAGAACATGGTCGACCATGTCCTTTCGGATCCCAATCCCCAGCTCGTCCACAGGCAGGTGGTCGATCAGACGTTCACTCTCGTCGCCAGCCGAGGTCAACCCTCTGCCACCATCTGCCGGTCAGTCTCCTTCGCACCCATCTCGACGCCCGTCTCGTCCCCCATCTCGCAGGCAGTCCGTTGCCTCACCCGAGAGACCCATCCAGCAGAACAGCAGCAGTGCGCATAGCATCCTCAGACGCGTCTTCTTCGTCCGCATTATCCTCCTGCTATGGGATGCTATCTGTGCCGGCTGGCGGTCGCTGACCCGCCAGGGTGTCGTGCAGAGCACGAATGAGATTGCTGTCGTGGACGCCACTGACGACGAGGAGAAGGACACTGAAGACGAGGCAAGGGACGAGAAGTCGGTCGTCGTAAACCTCACCTTTCCGCCTGCAAATCCTCCACCACTGTCACCTCCCCCGTCAAAGCCCGCAGTTCCACCATTGCTGTCTGTTCCATTCCCCTCACCACCCCCGACCCCATCTGTAAGCCCACCACCGATACCTGCAGCTTCCATTACCGTGCACCGCCTTCCGGAACAATTATCCTATGAAGACACGACGCTCCTTGCGCCCCCCCTTGCGTCGGCCATCTCACCGTCCACATCCCAAGGCACTCACAGCAATACCCCTTCTCGTTCTTCCACCCCTCCAACCGTCGCCACACACAAGACGACGCCCTTCCACTGGCCAAAGACGCTCGTACTGGACCTCGATGAAACGCTCATTCATTCCACTTCGCGGCCAATATATGCCAGTTCTACCGGCGGCTCAGGCCTCCTTGGGCTGGGTGGTATATTCGGGCGGAGGAACAAGGGCGCAGGGCACATGGTGGAGGTTGTGCTCGGTGGCCGAAGTACGCTCTACCATGTGTACAAGCGCCCTTTTGTCGACTACTTTCTCAGAAAGGTTGGTTCTGCGCAATGTGAACAATCCGGCGGTGGTAACATTCGCATTTCGTCCCGCAGGTCTCGGGGTGGTACACGCTCGTTATATTTACGGCATCCATGCAAGAGTATGCCGATCCTGTCATTGACTGGCTAGATGCGGGTCGTGGAATGTTCGGCCGCCGATTTTTCAGGGAGGTGTGTGCAAGTGCTTGTCTCTTCGGGTCCTAAATCTGAATCTGCCTGTGGCACCGCTAGTCCTGTACACTGCTCCCGAATGGATCGTATACCAAGGACCTGTCCATTATAGAACAAGACCTCTCACGAGTCTGTCTAATCGACAACTCACCCACATGCTACAGTGTGAACGAGGGTGCGTGCGTCGCTGCCCGGCTGCTCGATTTTAGTGCTGATGTGGGCTTCCGCGGGTAGCCAACGGTATTCCAATAGAGGGATGGACGCATGATGCGCACGATGAGGCGCTTCTTGACCTGCTGCCTGTCCTTGACTCCCTTCGCTTCACCAGCGATGTCCGGCGCATACTGGGCATCCGCGGCTTTTCCTGACGCGCCTCCCGCCTCCCGTCTTTCAGGATGCGCGCCGCCAGCAAGTCACCAGCTGCCCGCCGGTCGAGCGGGTTCGGATACGGACACGGCCGGGGCCAGGGTGGCTGCATGCATATACTCTCGCATTCTACTTGGGTCTTTGGACATTACTGCCGTATAAAGTCTCCTGCCACTTATATCGCCTACCACTTATCCGTATCAGTAATTTACTCTCGTCGCCATCTGCGTTGGCCAACCAATTGCGTTGACGACTGCAGTGTACCGCGCATGCATTGCAATTGAGCATGCCGCTTCGTTGCGACGGCCTGTTCTCGGTGTACATGTATTCTTGTATGTACGTACATATCGCAGCGAGCGGCGAATATCGTTCTGCCTTTCATCACGTTCCGTGTCGACTTTCTTTCAAAGCTTCAGAGACTGGAGTGGCATTCCGGCAGTACTATCATCATCCTTCCGCCGGAGCTCAATGCAATCTCGGAGTCGTCTCTGCTGACTCGCGGTGGCAATTGCAAGGAGTCAGAGACATTTATTATCGGGCAATCGATGTACTCTGCCGCAATTCCGCATACGAGGCATCTCTGGATCTTGCATCGTCGAATACACTGTCCACGAACTTCATGACGTATGGCGCAGCAGTTGTCCTCCGTGAACGTCACCATCCTCGGGAGCGCCTCCGCACAGCCGTCGTCTACCCGGAACCACTCTGCCCTCGCCCTGCGGCTGAACGGAGATGTCTGGCTGTTCGACTGCGGTGAGGCTACTCAACACCAGATCCAGAAGAGCTCAGTGAAGATGGGCCGCATTCAGAAAATCTTCATCACGCATACACACGGTGCGTCTCCCAGACAGGTGTTTCTGCGCAATGCCTGACCTTACATTGCAGGAGACCACATATTCGGTCTTTTGCCTCTCCTCGCAAGCCGTCTGAACGGCGCGGGGGGCACAGCAGATGGTGTAGAGGATCCTCGGGCTAATGTGAACACGGACGAGCATCTCCCGGTGAGTGTCCGACACGGTTTTCCGAAACCCCTCCGACGCTCAACGATCTTCCAGTAGCCCCTGGAGATCTACGGCCCTCTTGGCACACGCGCATATGTCCGCAACGGCCTCACGTACACGCACACGCTCCTCGGAGCACCTTACGTCGTGCACGAGCTGCGCTTCCCGTCTGATCCTCCTTCGAGCGATCACACCTCCATGGCGCCGTACATGTCTGAGCTCAGCGGGCAGAATTTCTCACAAGTCGACGGCGTGTGGCCTGAAATTTACATGGACGCACAAGTAACTGTCTCCGCCGCGCCGATCTTGCACTCCGTGCCCTGCGTAGGGTATGTCGTGACAGAGCTGCCTGTGCCCGGGAAGATGGATCCGAAAAAGTACATACCTGAGCTCAAGCGCACGAAGACGCCAATGTCGGTTATGAGCCGCCTGCAGCAAGGGGAGAGCGTTCAGCTCTCCGACGGTACCGTGTTGCACGGGCCTCCACGACGGCCTGGTCGCAAGCTGGTCATCCTCGGCGACACCTACGATCCGTCACCTATCGCGGACTTAGCTCTCAATACAGACCTTTTGATTCACGAGGCAACCAATGCGCATCTGCCAGGAATTGATTCTAACACAAAGGAAGGAGATACGTACGAGAGCGTTGAAGCACGCGCCAAGTCCCGAGGGCACTCTACGCCGCAGATGGCAGGGGCATTTGCGACACGTATACATGCGAAGAAGCTGGCACTCAACCATTTCTCGGCACGATACCCGGGGAATGACGACGTAGATGGGGGTGCGAGAAAAGTGATGGAGGCCATTGGCAAACTAGCCGAAAGTGAATTCCAGGGAGAAGTGGTTCGCTGCAGAGACCTGATGACCTTCGACGTAGAGCCACGAAGATAATAAAAAGGCAGAGTCCACATAAAACTGAGATACCACGAGAACTGACGAGATCAATCGTCAGGCAGCTCGGACAGCTCGCTGCTTGAGTCACTAGCTTCGCCCTCTTCCAGCTCTTCCTCCCTCGCCTTCCTGACCTTCACCTTCGCACCTGTCGGCTCTTCTGCCAACTCCCCCATCTCGATATCATCTTCGTCTTCCTTGGTCGAGTGCGAAGCCGCTGGCGTGGAATGTGACGTTGAGGCGTGCAACGCCGGAGTTGATGTACGAGACCTTCCTGGTAGAAATGACCTCGCAGCTGCGCTCAGAAGCGTCTTCGCCAAGGGAATGTCGTCGTCCGACTCCTTGTCATTGTCAACAGGCTCCTTGTCCTCATGGAGCTCGCCCGACTCCTCTCTTGTGTGAACACTCGCTGAGCCGTCCATGTCAACGTCTTCTTGCTCGCCCTCGGGTGCTTCAGGTGTGGGTGTAGCCTGACGAGATGTTTCTGCGGCATCCTGTTTACCCATGAGACGGAGCGTGCTGAGGTCGTGAATTATCACGTCCAGGGCTGTCTTCTGGGCTTGAATGTTACGATGTTGGTTGTCATGTTCGGCGCGGATGGCTGCCATGTCATTTTCCAACGACCTTATTGTCCTTTGATATCCGCGGTGCTTGAGCAACCGACCAATCAGAGCTTGATATAAAAGAGATGACGCACTCTTCGAGCTCTTCCCTGCTTGGAAGCGTGTTCACTTTTTCAGCAACCACATCGTATTCGATCTTCCGTTTCCGTTCCAGCTGAGCGTACTCCAGATCAGTCTTGAGTTGTTCGATCTGTCCTCGCAGACGATCATGTTCTGCAGCTATTCGGAGACAATGACAACATTGTTCAATGAAAGATATTAATGTGACCAGCATAACGCACCTATTCGTTCCCTCTCTCTTTGATACTCCTGGACTTGGCGTGCTTCGGCCTCGCATACCATAAGGCTCTTTTTAAGCGACAAGTGGAATGATGCCAGTTCCACGAGAAAAGCTTCGCGTGCATCGTCGGCAGAGGCAGATGCAGTTGTTGGGGAGGAAGGTGGAACAATGGGAGAGTACGCCACAGACGTGTAGTTGTGAAATTTCTTGGTCACTCGACGGAGAGCCTTCTCGTCGTTCGTAATCCGTGTGTGAATGATAGCGTCTGGGCATAGGATGAGACTACGGTGAGCACGTTCTCGGGAATCGCAGACACGCTGAAAACTCACCTTCTTGCTGCACACTTAGCGGTGGTACGACATACGCCTTTTCTGTGTCATTCGTACTCATTTCGACGCCGGACATCACTGTGTTGTTCAACACAAAGCTACGCTCGTTAGAGGATGCAAGAATGTTACGAGACAGACGAGGACTTCGAAGTCGACTGGAAATGGAGGTGTGTGACAGTAGGTGACAATACATAATAGGCATATTCGCGGAATGCAAAAATTGTGACGTAAAATGATGTGACCGAAGGAAGCAAATAGGAGCCTGTGACGAAGCGCACGTTCGTGCTCACCTGCCAAATTGGTCTAACACACTGGAACGGAGTCTCCTCCTTTTACTCGGTCTTCGACTTCTGTCAACTCCCATCATGTCGACACAGCCCTTACTGCAGCGTACGGCCGCCAAACGCATTGCCCTCCCTGTCCGAGTGGAACCCAAAGTCTCTTTCGCCAATGAGCGTACGTTTTTGTCATGGTTGCATTTCACAGTTGTGCTGGGAGGACTTGCGGTGGGTTTGTTGAACTTCGGAGATAAGGTAAGTCAGTTCATTTTGTCGAATATGATGTCGTGAGTTTGAACGTCTCCCTTCAGGTCGGAAGGATTAGCGCGGCCATGTTCTCCGTTGTTGGTCGGTGTGTCGTCTCTTTCAGAAGTAATCCTTTCTTACGACATTACCCATAGCCATGGCAGTCATGGTGTACGCGCTGTACACGTATCACTGGCGTGCTGCATCTATTCGACGAGGTGGACGCGGTCCGTATGATGACAGGGTCGGCCCGGTGAGTTCTCTCGGCTACAGCGTAAATATATACTCTAACCTTCTGCTCAGACAATATTGTGCATTGCTTTGTTGAGTAAGCTGGTGTTGTTTCATGCACATACGTGTGTCCTATTGACGTTATTTTAGTCGCCATTATCGTCAATTTCGCCCTGCGGTTTTCGGATATCAATGACTGATATTGAGATTCACTATGGAGTTGACTTCACTAGGATATGTCTAGCCCACGTTGGTGCTACTGTCTTGACACCTAGGACGCGCAATGGAACGTCCGGAGGTGCAGACGAGGACGAAGACGCGCTTAGACGAGCACATCTACCAAGATACGTATGTATTACGACTTGCCAATGCTATGTGGATACCAGACCGCGATCTTATGTCAGCAGTCTCAGACATTCCTCCGTTACCGTCACTGATAGGTGGACCATTTTGCACTAATTTGCGCGGTAAGTGGGTTGCAGGAACAAATCGTACCGCACGGGATTTACTCAATATACATATCGCAACATCGTGCGCATCGTTCATCGTGCACGTTGTATTCAGGTTCAAGGTCGCTAAACTTGGCGTGCATTACCGTCTGTCTTACGCTGTACCATCTCGACGATGCAGTGCGTACACAGCCTGGAAGGACTCATCCAAATATTGCCGTCTTCAAATGCATGTATAGACGCAGAGATTCTACTTCTGCACACGAGTATAGACAGGATTTTTGAGCTCATGGACCGGAGTTGCGCCTTCAGGGACACCAGGAATAGTCTTGGTCAAGCCCTGCCGTACGCAAGAATCGTCACGTTAAGTTCACCGTTGGGAGGATGTTGCAAACGGAGAGCGACACATACCAAGCTTTCGAACATGCAATTGTTCAGCGTTCGCTCGGGTTTGCGGCAAGAATAGTACTCCTGTAATTTCCATCATAAAAACATAACATGACGCATTACGGACTGGGGGAACGAACCTGGTTGTTGCGTTCCAGGCAATTCCAGTGCTGTTCGAACTCCTGGGCGCAGTGGTCGCGCATCTTGGCGATTCTTCACACGTATCATGCATGAGCAGGGCCGGCTAGCAGAAAAAATCGGGAGAGGCGTACAGGTCGGCCGCACATCTTGTCACTCTCCTGCCTTCCTTCAAACAGTGTTCCGGGTCACGGCTCTCCGCCTTGCAGAGCATGAAATCCTCTGGATCGGAATGTGAGTGATTGAGCAGCCAGGGCATCATTCAAATCAAATGAAGTAGAAGTAGATGATAGCACAACGGTTCGCGCTGCAGCATTGAAAGTGAGAGACATTATGTACACACCATTGTAGTCCTTGCAGTACGCTCCCATGAAGAACGCGGCACTCTTCAGTGGTGCACTGGTGGTTCCTAGCTCCTCCACCTTGGGGACATCGTCCGGGAGAGGAGTGGGGTCCTTGTAAGGCTTTGAGGACTCCGCCGGGTTGTGGTACACGCTCATGGCGGGAGAATGACCGTTGCACGTCGGCACGTAACGGTGAGCGTCGCTCGGCGCCTACGTGTCGGAGTTTGGTTTCGGTAAACATCCCGCGCCCACTGGCACCGCGTTCTTGTGCGCGTTCACTGAGCAGGCGTGCTCATCATGGTATGCAGCGATGATACTGATCGCACACTGTGGCACTAAAGCGATGGTGTGTATAGCCTCCGAGAGCACAACCGAAAACATACATCCTATTGCTCAAGACACACAAACTTACGGTCTTCCTCACCGCACCTATAACGGCCACAATTGAATCTCTGAAAGCTGAGGCACTGACAGCCCTGCAATCCAGTGTTATCGATGCGAAACTCTCTAACCCAGATGGCATGGATGTAGACGAGGAGCCGGTTCCCAAGGTGGGAGGCGTGAAGGACTTCGAGCTCAGCAAGAGCATTAGAGAGAGGGGACGTCCGACCGGGAGGTATGAGGTGCTGAACCCAGAGGCGATCGTGCAAAGTGTGCTGGTAAACTGGGAACCAGTCTTTGTGCAATTCAAGGACGAAAATGGTGAGTTCGATACATCTCTCCTTATGTGGCGTACATTCCCACTTGATACATTCGATGAAATCACCATTTCTCGATCCATCAATACTGTTCTACAGGTCAGCTATTGCCTGTCAAAGTCGTGATGCCTTCGTTATTCGATGAAGAGGACGAAGCGGAAATAGCAGCTGCGCGCAAGGGGAAGCGGAAGGCTGCTCCAGAGTCAGCATAGACGAACGCCTTCTCTGGAGAGCGTAGGATACAGCCAGAGCCGATGTACTCGAGTATGGTGGAGCTGCAGCGATAGCACGAGTTCTGTGCCACAGCAACCAATGACTTCCGGGAGTGTTTTGGCAGGTTGGTACACATGTATCATCTTCTCAGCAGTCTCCAAGAATAAATGTCATGCATGAGATCAAGCAGTGCGCCAGCTTTTTGGAGACATTGGAAGTAGAGCAGCGGCAACCTGACGACCTTCTTCGGCGAGCAAGTTATATGTCGAACATGCATTACGCTGCGAATAGAGGTATGGCATGAGTAGGAATCTCACCACGCAGGGTACAATAACGAACGGTGTCCATCACGTCTACTTGAATACCTGTTTGCCTTAAGTACTGATGTAGGGCAGGCGGTAGCACAGCTACTCTCTGGCCCGTACCAAAAAGGAGTATCTCTATCAATGAGAAGTCAGAATTCGCCTGCAATACATACGCAACCCTCGGGACGAGGATTACGACCACGAAACCTACCAGGCTTGGGCACGACCATCTCAAAGATCTCGAAATGCTTCTTCTCCCATCCTTCCCACAGCTTCTCCGGCACATTCCACAAGAAGACCTTTGCGTCAAGGAAGATACAAGCAGATGGGAGTATCATTCCGTCGACCAGGTGGATACCTCGGGCGGTTACCGTCTTGACTTGCACCGGAAGAGCAACGCCCTCGAGGATGTTATTCAACGCGCCTGACGCGTTCAATACGGGTCTAGAAGTGTGCAGAGTCCTGATACATGGGGTCCGGGTGATATTCCGGCGGAAAATCGCGTTCGCCAGAGAGCGAGAGAACATGCTGGTCATGGCAAGTAGTTCTAGCAAGCGCGCCTTGCCGATTACAAACTACACAACCACTTTAGTTACGAAGATTCAAACTCCGAAAACAAGCAATAGGTCGCCTTGTAAACTACTATTGCCGCCTCTCTCTCTCCCAACCGCCATCACTGTGGATTCACGCTTCTCTTTCAAGAGCTTTCTGTCCGGCTTCCTTGCAGATTGAAGTTCCAGCTTCCGTATTTATTATCTTCGGGACATTCTAATCGCTAGCGTTGCCATTTGGAATCCTCATGGCTGCATCTGCTGCTGACATTCGGAGCATCTTGGCTCTTCCTAACCCATCCTCCACACCAGGTCCATCCCAACTACGCAAAGTCCCCGCTACACGCAAGCCCGAAGGTATCCCTAGGGAGCTCTACGCCCTCATCGGTCCGTCCGCTCCTACACTCGCCGCACAGCTTGCGAAGCCTCGGCTCAAACAGAAGCCTAACCTCGGCGGCGGAGGCAAGGTCAAGTGGTGAACTCGCTTTCCGCGCCCACTTTTTCTCGAGGATTCTTTCTCATACTTACTGCGCCACAGGGACTGGCAGTCCTTCAGGAACGGCGTGCGCTCAGACTCACTGAGACTGTCGCACTGGGCAAAGGTTGGGACAGACCCTGACGCTGGTATGCCGATTCTCGCGCTCTCGTTCACTCGTTGCAAACATGCATATCCATGTATCTCTAGAGTATCCATTTGCCAAATATAATGTTCAGCCGAACACCTATGTCTATTCGCAAGACGAGTACACCCGCCTGCTTGAAGGTGAGCGTGTCACGCTTGGCAGCCGAGAGCCCTCTAGTAACGAGGTCCAAGATAAGGAATGGACGAAGGAAGAAACAGACTATCTGTTCAACCTCGTGCGGGAGTACGACTCACGGTTCTATGTTGTCGGTGATCGCTACGACTTCCCCAGCGGGCCTCCAAGGACCCTCGAAGTATGTGCTATCAACATCGAATCCTGGAAGGTCACTTATATCGCGTCATCAGGACTTGAAAGATCGCTATTACAGCGTCTGCCGAAAGCTGGTAAGGAATCGGCCATGGGCCGGGGACGAGGCAAGCAAGGCACAGCTCATCTCCAGTCTTCAGTTCGACAAAGGTGAGCATCCCACGATAAATCGAACTGTAGTGGCAATTGAGGGACCGCCCCTTCTCAGAAAAGGAGACGACGCGCAAGAAGTACGTGGCAAGTCTGAGCAATCGCACCCAGGACCAGATAGACGAAGAAGAAGCACTATACATCGAGCTGAAACGGCTTGAGCAGAATGAGCGCCAATTCAAGAGGGATCGAGATGAATTACTGCGCACGCTACTTGGCGTCGAGTCTGGGCTGTCAGACTTGCAAGTGGACGAGGACGGTCTTACGGGATCGCAGATGGACATCAAGAAAAAGAAAAAGGGGAACTCCAGTGCGGAGGTGGAGAGCCCTGTCTCAGCGTCGCCCTCGGGCTCGAACATGATATCTCTAGGACAAGCGATTCCCAAGAAAGCCCAGTCGGCAAAATCTGCTGCCTACGGTGAGTGTTGAGACATCCCTCCAACAGCCACTGCACCTCTGATACGGCCTTAGATGCTCTGCATTGTATTCACCGTACGGAAGTCCCACCGACCAATGGACCCTCCACGAAGGCCGCGCACCAGCCGGTTTACCTTCGTTCCTACAAGCTCCCCGCGCCCAAGATCACTGCTGCTCCCAAGGTCGCCCAGGTCTTTGCGGAACTTGGTATCTCGCACACACGGCTGGTCATGCCCACACGGGAGAATTGTCAACAGTTGGAGAGCTTGATTGAAGCGGCGACAGCGTTGGTGGAGACAAAGAAAGTTGTTGACAAGGTAGATCAGGATATCAGAGTCATGAAGGCGAGACTAGCGAATAGGCAGAGTGAGGGCGCAGACGAAGAGGGGGGCGGAGGAACGCCGATGGATGTTGACGAGAATGAGGGTGCGGAAGCAGAGGGAGAAGGGGAGGACAGAGCACAGAGTGTCGTCAGCACGAGGAGCACCCGGAGTAGGAAACAGGTTTGTGCCTATCTCCCTGTTGTGTATGCTTTACTGAACGCTGTGACCTAAATACTAGACAAGGCGATCGATGTCAATATCCTCAGTAGACACAGCTGGAACAGGTCCCACGAAGAGACAGAAGCGGTATTGAGTTCTGCGTGTCTCTGTTCATATATCCTATCATGAGCGATGGTGTGCTGTACCATACCTCATTTATGTAACATGCTAAGCACACGCTACTATCGGTGACCCTGATATGCAAACTTTTGCGAATACCATCGCCGTTGCTCACCACCTCATCACATGCGTTCTGCAGCATCTGTAGTACTGAAATCTACGAGGAAGTATTTTTTTCTGTCGTCGAGCATACTGTAAAAATCCGGTGTCCACAATGTCACATTTTGTCACACCGATCTCCCCGCTCACAGGGACAAAGAACGCGTTATCGAGGATCTAAACTGAGCTTGAAAATGTCACCCCTCCACCAGACTGAAACTGCTCTCAGAATTGTTTTGAGGCAGCCGTTCCTGTCGTCCTCTTGAAACTGTTATATGTAGTATTTAAGAGGTCATACAACCCTTATCCTATTTTTCTGAGGGAGGAAGAGGGACAGAACGAGCTGCAGAAGAAAAGTTCCCACTACTGGGTCAGTTCGCATATCAGGGTCACCGATAGTACTTGCGTGGACTGAACGTAGATAGTTTCCTCTTATGGAAGGTCGACAACCATTTCTGGAACGACACACTTGTCAGGCGTAGCAGACGCGATCGAACGCAGAGTAAATAGTCTCCGCTGGATGTTGTCCACCATCCGCCGTATTCGCATAGCGCGGCACTTTCACTCTCGCACTGCGAGTACGTACTCTCCACCATTCAGTCCAAACCACTCAATATATGTCTCCAACTCTCATGATCCGTATTTCAATCTTTCGCTCGAGGACTGGTTAGTTATTTCGTTGGACGCTACAACCGACATTGACTTGTTCCCGCGTTTGGTCAGGTTGTTTAGGCACAAGTCGCCAAAGGATCCCTTGTTGCTCTTGTATCGCGACCGACCATGTGTCGTGATCGGCCGTAACCAGAATCCTTGGAAGGAGGTGAACATGCGCGCCTTGCGCAAGAGTGGGATACCTTTCATCCGCAGGCGCAGTGGAGGCGGCGCCGTCTATCACGTAGGTCGCTTCACCTGTCGCATATATTGGCTATATGTTGACCCTGAAACTCCAGGATCTGGGTAACACCAACTATTCCATCCATCTTCCCCGCACCTCTTTTAGTCGGCACGCCACTGCCCAGGTGGTTCTCGCTGCTCTCCGCTCGCTCGGAATAGATGCGAATGTGAATGAGAGGAACGACATTTGTGTAGGGACGAACAAGATAGGTTTACTCCTCGTACCACGCGATTCGATCCTGATGGACACTGGTGTGCTTACGTCTCTGGATCCGCCTACAAGATTGTACACAACCGAGCATATCATCACGGAACGATGCTTATTTCTACTAGACTGGACTTATTAGGAGACATCCTTCGTGCTAACAAGGTATGTGACTCATCTACACCGACTCTTCGGAGGTTCGACTTACAGGATGTGAGGCAGGATACGATTGATACAAAGGGAGTAGTGTCTGTCCGTTCACCTGTATGCAACCTGCGGCAATACGATGCGAACCTTGACCACTCAAGCTTCGTCGATGCTCTCGTCAAAGCGTTTTGTCAAGAATATGGTATAAACGAGGAGGTTCGCTGCTACTTATCAGCAGCTTTGAGTATGAACTAATCTCGAGCGTCCCGGCTTCAGATACAAGTTATAGACGAGGATGCCGAGGTCGCAGGTAGCATCGAATATATTCGGCATGGAATGGCCGAGCTACCCGTGAGTGCCTCACTTATTACTAGTTACCGTAACTCACCAAATCCTACATGATTAACGGACACCAGAGTTGGGATTGGGCATACGGGCAAACACCAGAATTCACACAAGTGACCCAAGGGTCGTTCGGATGGGGCGACGTGGTAAGTTTATCTGGACAGTATACGTGCAAGGTGTTCAGGCCGTTTCTTCAGACAGCCAGCATCCACTCAAGACATGGTGTCATACTCCATTGCGAATTCACGACGTCGGAGAGCGAGCTGCAGCAGCGCTTAGATGGTATGGCAGGCCGACTGCAGCATCAGCGATACGGGTTCCTGTCTAATAGCATACTACAGCTTGATGATGTGGACGAGCGGCTGAGAGATGTATCACAATGGCTGAAAGCAGAGACAGACTGTTAATCCCTACATCCCTCCATTTCCTGGCGTTCGTTTGTGAGATTGCATACTCCATGATATGCGAAAGATGCCACAGTCAGAGGTTGGGCCAGAAAGCAAGCGGGTTATATGCACGATTACATAGGGATGTTGTGATGCCCCGTCTTGTCGCAGTATATCATTGCACTCGCTCTGTGTACCACTCGCTATTTGTTGCGAAGCCTTCTGGCGCTTTGGGTTCCGACTGCATAAAATACCAATCAGGACCGTCTCGAGAACCTATACTTGAACGTACCGCCTGCCCTCTCAAATGCCCCGTCAGCCGCTTGTCACGGTCCATCATCATCTCGTCCCAAGCATCGATGTGGTACCGGATAGGCTGTAAAGCACCGACGGCGCGTGGAAGTGATCAGTACGATTTGCTAGCACGCAACACGTAACGAGGAAATAATGTCTGCGCACCTTTCCCTGGTTCTGTGCGTGCTTGGAGACGTTCAGCGCGCTCCCGGCTACCACGAACATGCTCGTGAGCAGTCCTATACGGGGCATAGTAGGAATGAGCGCGTCAATTCGAGTCGCGGCCATGAAGAACGTATACCGAACGGAATGAGAGCTTCCCAAGGGATGGGCATATCTTTCTAGGTTGTTCAGCAGCTCTTAGATAGTCGTTCTGCACAAGTCGGTCGGGTAATGAGTGTGACACCTGTAACACTACGTTCGCCGATGTCACAGCTCACCCTGCACTGGCGACCGACCGCCAGAGGCTTTTCATTCTATTTTCTATAGCATGAGGTGTATCTCATCATATAAAAAGAAATATATCATATCCAAACTACAGAAATTTCCCCCAGTATCCGTATCGGCTGAAAGCCAGCCTAAGACTCAGTGGGATCCTCAAGACCGAACTTGCCCTTGACGATATCGGCAGCTGCAAAGGCAAAATTAAATACTGGTGTGGCTTCCGGAGGGTGGGCACATACCCTGTTCAGCAATGGTATAGACAATGGCTGAGAATCAAATTGTCATTAAGGATACCGTCGACATCCGGGATTTGAATTCCGCCCCACTTACCTTGAGTATGTGCTGCAATGTGCAGTGGTACCACCGAAAGGTCGACGACGCGAATGTTGCTTGTTCCGTACACCCGTTGCCATTTGCATATTAAAGACACGATAGTGACAAGAACGTATAGAACACCTTCAGCTGCGGATCCACGACACCATCGTTGGTCCTTGGTAACATAGAGCAAGAGCTGGCTGTATCTGGCAGACATAGTTGAGGCTTTCAGTGACAGGCAAGAGCAGAGCAAACGAGCTACTAACGCCAAGTCGTACTGGAATACTTCTTTATCCAGTCTGTGCAGATAAGCGAAGGTTATACGAATGCAACAACACAGTAACGGCACGTCCTGACCTAGCAATTGCTCGTCTGTCTGGACCTCAGGACCGGGTTTAACTCGCTAGCTGTAAAATTACGGTATCGTGTTATGGCGATGCCCGCAGAAATTGAAAAGACCGCACTTATCATATCCTTCAGCGGGGCAACTTGTGCCAGGCTTCGGGTATACTTGACTGCCTCAAGCCATATCTCCAAGTCTGGGTTAAATCAATGGCCAGTCAACCCACACCGAACCGGATGCGACGAGTACGGATCATAGCAACACACCCGTCTCGTGTTCGAAGTAGTGAGGGTCAAATTGAGGATCTTTCATAGGGTCATTGGAGATGGAGTGCTGGAAAGCCAGTCTCTGTGAACGAAGCGATGCAATAAAGCATTTGCTCACGATAGTACCCCTAGAGAAGCAATGGTTCATGGCTGCAAGGATAGACACATAGCGTTTGCCCTCCGCAGGGAGGTCTACCGCAAGTCAATGAGGCACTGTCAGGTCGCGAGAGAGACATATAGCTTACTAGAGCCCGATAACATCCCGGGGTAACTGATGAGCTCGCAGCTTGGCACAATTCCCTTCTCTAGCTGTTCAAGTTGAATTTTGTACTGCTCCATTAGTCCCGGAGGGTATGTATCCGCGTTCTTCATAATATTGATCTTGGCTGCTTGCTTAATTGTATGTACCTTGCAAGAAATCATCTGAGGGGTAACAAAGGCGAATCCAATGATGCCTATCGTGTAGAGTCCCGAGCCCGAGGCACTGACGGGCAGAAGAAAAATATTTATCAGTAACAACTTGAAGGCATTATGCTAGAGACTGACTGTAGTTCAAGGTGCTGCGCTGCAACTGCCGGATCGCGCAGTGCACACAAGGTATTAAATGGAACGTCACCGCGAAGCTCTGCGAAAAAACTGAATCTATTGGGACGAGGATCTGTCATCGTCATACATACCGAAGCTGACACCTATAAAGACATGTTCTTGTACATTGCTTCCGACGCCGGGAAGCTCCACTCCTAACGGGACATTAATTTCTGAAGAACTTCTTTGTTGCCGATGCCAGAAAGTTCCAAAATCTGTGGAGACTTCAGGGTACTGGAAGAAACAAAGGTTACTCAAAGAGCATGATATACAAATGATCAGCAGCGTGCAAACGGACCCGGCGGCGACGATGACTTCTTTCCTGGCATAAACGATATGCCTCAAACCTGAATGCTGAAATTCCACACCGGTTGCGGTCAAGTTGATATCCCCGACTTTCTCGTGTAGGATCTTAGTTACATCAGCAGAGACTAGAACAGTGAGATTTGGGCGATCTTTGTTAGGCAAATAGTATGCCTGCGAAATTATCCTCGTGAGAACAGCACAATGGGGATCAAATCCGGAGGTCAATACCCACACTTGTAGCGTAGGAACGGCCATGGGTAGTTGGATCGTAGCTTATAGGGGAGAAGAAAACGCCTGTGGGCTATTCCTCATGGACGTCAATGGCCCATCAATGTCATGAACTGCTAAGTGACATACATCACCGTTCAACTGTTAAGTACGCAACGTTACAATGAGCTGTAGAAGAGCATTTCAGATATAGATTATCGCACCGGGTTTGGCGCAATGGGTATACCAGCGTTAATGAGTGTCTTTGTTTTCAGCGAAATCAAGGGCTGGCAAAAGCTTGAATGGATCATCCATCATACCTGTTGGATTTTCAATTCTGCGGCATCAATAGTCGGAGGGTACGATACAGTAAAGGGACCTATGCCGAGAGCCAGATCATGAAGTCTCCTCCACATTCGCATGGATTTTGTCGCTTACCCTTTCTATTGGCGGTCAAATTATCACAGTTTAATCTGTACCTTGTCTGCACCTCTTTCTTTGGTAAAACAAATCTGGACGCCGTCACGCCCGTAGAATATGATGATGAGGACCTCACAACGTTCTTGAACTTGTTTGCACACACCCTCGCACACGTTTCAAGTACTTCTCAAAGTCCTTCCAGTTCCACCCTGGGTTTCCCAACCTCTCGAAGTCTATGCCAATGAATCGCAGCTAAAGACCTGAGATGGAATTGATATTATGCACTATTACTCACTGTTGATATCTTCTGCTGGCGGGATTGTCCAGCACAAGAAGTTGACGCCGGAGCTTCCACCTAGACCCTTGCCTCTATTGATATGTGAGTAATAGTAAACATCCGATCACGGGTATTTTACCTGTACCAGAAATACCGCAAACCGTCGGCTTGCTTCGTCTGAGAGTATACAAAACAAGTTGGCATCTATTTAACTTAGCGCCCAAGAAGGACTAGATACGGACAGTTTGATGGGCCCAACAAAAGGCATCATTGCTGAAATGGCTCCCATATGATGCAGGACGTACTATAGTTAATTTATGTGAGACCCCAGTGGAGAAATTGGACTTCACTGTAGACTCACGGATGTCAGGTTCATTAACGTGGGCTTGTCCAGCTTCCAGGATAACTACGGATACCCTGGGATCTTCGCTCAAGCTCACCGCCAGCGTGAGTCCTGCCGTCTGCACATCGAGTTACTATAAATCTAACTTGGCAATCGCGGACCTGGAAGAATATAGACATACTCCACCCCCTGTCGATGGCGTTAGTAAGGTGATTCGAGCTAACTGGATCGTTCTCACCGCAAATGATGTAGTCGAAGGAATTATCCGCCACATCTTGCAGAATTGCGGTCATGATGACAGTCAGATGACTCGATGGGAATCACAAGAGTGGGAAGTTGGGGAAGCACCACGGACAAGTCTCCCTTGATTTATAGGCAGACGCAACGAGACTCACCTCGATGACACGGTATCCACGATCACTTATATGCTCTCACGATGCGTACTTCGAGGTTCAAATGACCATAACTGCTCGCATTTGTCCGAGAGCATCAATAAGGCTCCAAGTGCTTGTCTCAAGATTTCTAATGAGCAGGGAAGGCACGCATTACATCAATAGCTCCGAGTATACTGTGACACCTAAAACCGTATGTGAGCCCGGATAAATGCATGACTTCGGTGACCCTCACTGTAATGCTATGTGAGCACACCAAATTGGCCAACATACTTGCGTCTGTGTCGAAAAGTGAATTGAACTCAATAGGAGAATCGCGTTTGCGGTATTTTGATGAGATCAGGAACTGTTACAATGCGATAACGCGACATCTAGCATCTGTGCGAGTGTGACGAATAAGGACAGTACGAAGCACGTAAACACGAGTTATTTGTTATTCTCGTGCGGTGGTGAGGAATTCCTGTCTCCACCACTCCGAATTTCTGGCAGGTGAGAAGAGAAGATCCAGTGTATTGCGGTGAGACAACAGTCAAAGCTTGCCCGCAGATGGCAAAAGCCTGACTGTTATGAAGGAGTCGAATAAAAGACACACCTCATGCACCGGAGCGCAAACCCCGTACTATCGTCTTATAACGAGTGGTATCAGTTGGATGCCCATGTTTAAAAACGTAACATGCCAGACGCGTTCACCAAAATACCCTGGTGAGATGATGGTCACCAATTGGAACAAGTCGCAGCCTGTTCATGCCATTTTCAGGAAATGGGATGCTCAGAAACAGGGGGGTCCACTGAAGTATACAATGCAGTTCTGCTATTTTACAGCATACGAACCGTTCCCTTACACCGACAAATGAGTGCAACGCAGGCGATGCACATGAAGTTGACACCCACCGGCACGCATGGAATAAATACAGTCACTGTAAAAAAATTAATGAGAAGCATTTGGTCACGGTGAATAAGATCTGTGCCTCTATGATTGATATGAGATTGTAGGGATCGATGCGAGTGGTTGTGATTTGCATAGTGGTGGGAAAAATGCCGGTGTCAAAGTCCAATCCTTCCCCCGTCTCCAGCTATGCCACACTCTTCTTCCCCACCGCCATGTTGGAAGTCCTGCTCCCACCTGGTTTGCCTGCAGCAACATTCCGTAATGGCAGAGAGGTGGCGTTCTCTCGACTGCCTGCTAGATGTGCCAACGAACGAGTGGAACGAGGGCGGGTAGGGACTGTACCTGCCTTACTAGTACGAGTCGTACTCGATACCTTCGTCCTTGTTCTCGTCGTGGCTATTGGCTTGGAGACTGCACGTGGCAATTCCGGGGGTAATGCGACTTTTCGCCTCTTGTGCTGCACGGATGCACTGTTGCTGATATCGCTATCGGTCGTGCCTGTGTCTTCGGTGTCAGTGCTAGCAGATGAATCCTGCGCAATTTCTGGGACTCGAGGAGCAGCTCGTGGTTTCACGTGCAATGGTAGCTTCGACGGTTGAGGCTTCCCCATGGACCTGGTTCGTCTCTTCACATCCCCATCCTCAGGGTGTAGCAGACGACGCTTGCGACCAGTCACCGACGAAGTATCAGATCGCGCTACAGACGCGTCGGAGTTCGTCCTAGTGCGTAATGAGGACCCGTCGTCAGTAGTGCTTAGTCGTGTTGACTTGCTGGCCTGGCTGTCGATTGATATCGAAGGAAGTAAGATGATTGGCGGGGGCACTATACGTTGACGCAACGAATAAGGCGTGCGCAAAGTCACGTCAAAGTCGTCCTCCTCTTCCTCCACGATATCGTCCATAGCCTCATCAGCGCTCATAGCAACATCATGATCGGATTGAATCCCATGCATATCGTCGTCGTCGCTCAAGCCGCCATCGGAGTTGGGATTCGATAACTCACGCGGCAACTGGAGCGACCTCTGAAAATCCTGCTGGTTCAATGGGGCTGTGTGTGCACTAACGTTGGGAAACACAGCAGGATCCTCGCGCTCCATAAGTTCTTCGGGAATATCCGAGAATGGCACGCCACTGGAGGGTCGTACGGGAACGGGAGCGACAATGACAGAAGCCAGTTTTGAAGATGTGGGTAACGGGGTCGGAGGATACGCTGAAGGGAAAGGAGGGTATTGTCTCCACTCATCCGTCGACGCTGTTCCCGATGAAACGGCAATGGCATATGTGGGAGGATTCTCAGTTGGAGGCGTGGGTAGTCCTGAAAGAGGATTGATGACCGGAGCACCGTAGGAAGATGGGGGAGGAGCGTCGTAGGAAGCAGGTGGAGGATACCATATCTGGTACGACGAAGGCTCTGGTGCACTCCTCGAACCCCCGTCTGGTGGATATGGACGTTTGCCTACGTCGTAATCATTGGCAGGACGTTCTGGTCCACCGACTGCCTGTTTGACCGAAGAGGCAGAGCTGCGGGTCGAATTCTTATATTCGCCCCGCGAGTAAGCAGGAGGTGAAGGGTACCATCGGCGGTAGACGTCCCTAAGGAAGTCGACTGGAATAGCTGACAATAGCAACATCAAGTCGCCAAGAGATGTTCCGAATTCCAAGAAAGCGTCCAACGTCGCGACATGAGGTTTGATGAGAGGGCGAAGACAATGCAGATATATGGGCTCAGCCCCCTGCATTCAGACAAAAAAATAAGCACAATAAATGGAAATATTTGAGACGGTAATGCCTACCCGGGCGCGAGTTAATAGGAAGAAAAGCAAGACAAGAGACTTTATCTCGTCGTAAAAAGGAATGAAAACCCTGACTACACCATCTAGTAATCTTTCGTACAATGAGAAACAGCACTTTTCCAGAAGTTCAGCCACTAGACAAATTGTCCACACGAAGTCAGAGACACGCACCCATACTATCCAGACGGCCATACAACCCTTCATAGCACGCTTTCTCTGACTCACGGCGCGAGCACTGGGCTGTCCGCCATTGCGCGTAGAAGGCGGAGGAAGTCTCAGGGTCTTGAACGTCTCGAAGACATTGAGAAATACATAGCAGACCCGCAATGCTGGCACTACCACGGGCATGGTGGTTCGTCCCGATCAGAATCACCGCCAATGCAATTCTGACACGTTCAAATAATATTCCAATGATCGTGACACGCTCAGTGAGCCTGACGGACCGCGATGAAATGAGATTTCGCCGCACAACTTAGCAAGACGTCGCACAGGTCCTGTAAGGAGGCTATAAGAATATAAGTATCGAGATTGCACCAGAATATGAGAGAAACCCAATAGAGAGTGGGGTAGTGGTCCGCTCGGAGGATAGAGAGCGTAACAAGTGATGCGCTGGATGTTCTTATAGTGACGGTGAAACGAGTTGTGTGTTCAGCCACAGGCGAGGCGCCTGCAGACGCGCGCGTCTTCAACGAGGCGGCTTACGTGATCAAAGACGCGTCACGGCAGCTATTGCTCTCAGCTCCATACCACGACGTCTAGCCATGGCTCCCTACATCCTTGATCCTTCTGCCCTCATTTCAGCCTTGCCAAAGGTGCTGCCACCGACCAAGCAGCGACTTGAGTCACCGCAAGATGCCATAGCTGCTCTCATACATACTGCTATGATTACGTTGGGCTTCCGTCTTGTTGCTGTGGATGATATTTCTCCAGCGCGGTCCATCTTGAACAGCGTACTTCCGGAAGAGTGGAACCAGCATGGTCCCGGAAATTACACCTTCAGATACAGGCATGAGCAGAGCAGTCTGGAGTTTGTACTGAAGGTCGTCAGGCTGGGCTCTCGCACCCTAATCAACTCGGTCGCGATCGAGGTATGTCCTCGCAGTCGTTCGCCCGAGGTTCGTACATGGTAATCAGTCGTTGTGCAGAGCGATAAAGCCGCTGCGCTTGACATCTCGACGAACGACTTTACTTCGCCCTCTTTTTTCCCGCATGATCTCAGCGCTCCCAATGCGCAACCACTTGTGCACGGCTTCATATCTTCCAACCGACTGGAAGACTTAATGTCTCAGTTCAAGCTCACGACCGTCCAAAAGCTGGTCCCTGGTCTTCGGAAGGAAGGCTATACCGAAATATCGTCCAGCTCTGGCGCATCTGCTAGCACCAGCCAACCACGAACAGATATTCCTGCTCCAGCCAGACCAGTGCCTCAAAGTCCTCCACAAGCTCCTGAGCGCTTTGTTCCTCCATATTCTTCCCCCGCACAAGGTATACCCGACATCGGGCGGCGTGATTTGGACCCAATTCCGCGAAATCCCTTCTCGCCGCCCTCTCTCTTCCCAGACAATGCAGGAGATGGGATGTATGTCGGTCCCGAGCACCCTATCTTTGGTCCCGGTATAAGAGGGCGAGGTCCTGGCGGGAGAGGTCCATGGGGAGGCGATGGTTACCTTCCGCCTATGGGTGCCCCCCCGGGTGCTCGATTCGACCCAGTTGGACCTAATTTGGGTCCTTTGCCTGGAGGCCCACCTTTCCCTTCCCCTGGGACATTTCCCCGTCCTGGGCGGGGGGCGTTTCCAGGCTCAGGACAAGAGCCTGACCCGGACGAGTTTATGCCCCCTGGAGCAGTACGTTTCTCCCATCTCATGGGCGAACACCAACTGATGATATACGGCAGGGTGACATGTATAGCTGAATCGAATATCCCAAGGACCGAGTGTAAAAGTATGTGATGTACTAGTAGTGTTCGTTTGGGCGGGTGGATTCCGGAGAATCGTCTTGTACAGGTCGTGTATACTACGCGGCGTAGCAGCCTGTGGTCTCTATACGTGGCCTTCCCCTTATACTACTACTGTATCTGATTTCTTAATTTAATATTGTTTGCGCATTAATATCATGTGCCGCTGGAAGCATTTGTGCTACGGAACCTGCCAAAAAAGGACTAGGTGGTGGCTCCAACTGCATATAAGAACCAACGCAACTCTTGCACTGGCTGCACCTTCTTGTTCTCACTTGTTCTCACTAACCATCCTCTTGAATCTCCACCTTGAATCTCTTCCTAATTGCGCCATGTCTTCACCAGCCCGAAGCCGTGTGTCACCTACCCGGACCAGGAACCGCAACTCGGGCGTGCCGCCTGGTTTTCTTGCGCCACCCAAGCCGCGCAGGATTGACCAGATGACCACGCGCGAGCTGCACGATTTGTACAACCGGAATGCGAAGGCTCTAGCAGAACCGTATGCCCCTTTCACTTTTGTCCGACAGTGTGTTTCATTTTGACCATTTGACGCTACCAGGACCGCCTCTTCTTCCACCTATGCACAGCGGATGAACGCCGAGCAGGCCGCAATCGAAGCCCGATTGGTTGAATTGGTGGGAGTGCAGGCAATACAAGACAGGCTTCAACGGACCAAGATCGAGGATGACCCTGAACCTATGACCATCGATGCAAGTGCTCAACGGCCAACACCAACGTACCGTCCCATTACCGCCAAGCAGAGAGCTTTGGCCGGATACGTACGTCCAAGCCATTTTCGTGATTGCCGTCGTTGTTAAGCACTGTGAATATAGTTGCCTCAGCCCAATGGCGCCCATTCTGACTTCACGTTGGAGGAGGCGATACGGCTTGAGCAGGAGGGCCATGCGCTGAACCTCAAACGGCAGCAGGAGCACATTGAACGAAAGCGACGGCAAGGTCTGCCCATCAAGGGCGAGTCGGAGACGCGAGCACAGATGGAAGCTCGTATGTGGGCATTTATGTAAGTCAATTACGGGGCTTTGCGACATCGTGAAACTGACTCTCTCAAAGGAACCACAAACCCACTGAATCTGACATGGAGGGTGACGACTCCTCCTCGGACGACGACGATCCATCTACATGGTTTGAAGACAATCAAGATGACGGTCGGAAGGGCCAGGATATTGTATATCCAGACGAAGAAGACTATTCAAAGGTAATACGGGTGGACGAGAGTAAGATACGTTGCTACTCCGACTGGTAAGATGAGACTCGCGGGTAACGTGTAGCGTTAGTGTGTATCATTAGGGGGCGTCACAGACGTAACAGTAGCAGACGAGCGTTAAAGGCGAGGAGCAGGAAGACTACAGCTCATCGCTAGCGAGCATGCACGGGGCAGCTTCTTCCACGCTGCAGCCATGACGAGAGACAAGCTGACAAGAACGGTGATGACGATTGCAGAGGCAAGCCAAGACAATAACGTACCGTTGTGGAACGTGCAAAGGCAACTCAACCGAGCCACAGTGGAACCTGAGGAGACTTGTCAACAACGCTGACAGATGTAATATAACGAAATTCCGTACCTACGAGGAACTCTTCCAAGCATATCGCACCTACGTAACGACAGTCAGATAATGCACAATGGAGGATTGAAAGCTCACATTCAATCCCAATCAGGGTGCTTTGTGCGGGAAGTTTGTACACAAGATACTTAGCCAGTTGAGGGGAAGTCCCGCTGCCCCCTTCCAAACAATTTTTGACGTGTGCTTCCTGCTCGGAAGCAGGACCCAGATCTGCCAAGTTCGTGTTGCACACCGGGCACCTGAAAGAAGGAATACTCAGCGACCCAGCAAAACATGAGGGAAACACCGACATACTCCGCCAGATCACTCAATTGCGAGCTGGACTGTCTGTTGCCGTTCGAACTGGGTAGTGACAATCTTTGTTGGTCGACTACAATGCGCTCCATCGAAGTGGTTCGCGTGGTATGCAGACCATTTGGGACGCTTGCGGTGACCTCTTCGTAACATTGCCGACATACTCGCTGTGAAGAGGCGGTAACAAAGGAAGGCTCAGGGAAAGATGGGTCGTGCACGACATCAGAAGGATCGAGTAGTGCTCTGTACGAGGAGCAGCGGTCGCAGAAGATACGACCACATCGACGGCAGTGCTGCAAGCAGGTCAAGGACGTCGCTTTTAACATGTGAGTAGCATGAATAACTTACATGCTAAGTGGGTAGGGCGTCAGCTCAGCGTTGGGGAACAAGGAATGCAGACTCACTCTGCGGATCAAAAAATTAAACCTACGGCGACACTCTCGGCATTCGCTGACAACTTCGTCCCGCTCCCAGTGAGCATGTACCTGATGCGGGGTTGGAGCGATCCATCTGGGAGTAAGAACTTTCTGAGGTGCTTCATGAGTGGGCACGCGGAACTCAGGTGCCTGTGAGAGGTGGGGAGTCAAGTCTGTTGGCCCTCGAGAGCCGCTAGGTCGATTGAAGTAATCTGTCACTGAAGAGCGGAGGGATGCAGGACGAGGGGTCGCCGGCTCCCAGCCAGGATAGTGGAATTCTTCATCGGAATCGTCGTCCTCGACTTCATCGTCTTCTGTGCGACCGTGTTAACGAAGTCGGTCAAGAATATATCCAGAGAGACATACCGTCGCCAGAGTGCAGCCAACCTTGCGCACCGCTCGCAAGTCTTCTTCGTTCCAGCTCTCGGTTATATGCGTTGTACAGTACCTCTGCCTGCGTCTTTCGTTCCGCGTCGTCGTCACCTGTCACTGTATGAGTACAATCATACGCGCGAGTGGATATGAAGACCTGCTCAATATGCCTTGACGCAGTTCCATAGTCGCCCGTTCCAGTTTGGCGATGGCCCTCCTAGCCTCCAGAGCAGAATTAGACCCGTTACTCTCATCCGAATCCTCATACGGGCTGCCAGCCATATACCGTGCCCGAGCCACGTAGTCTTGTCCGAATGTCATGCTTCTCATCGGACTGAGTTCTTGGCCGTCGCCGTCGCCGAAGTCGCTCTCATCAGGCTCAGTATAAGGAATCAATGTGCCATCTGCAGCGAGATGGTACCACGATCCATCCGGTTGAAGGAACGGTAGCGGAGGGATATCCAAACGTCGGCGCATCACGCGTACCCAGCGCCGACGTCTCACCCAAGTTTGTGTATGGGAATCCCGGCGGGAACTTGAGCTGGAGGATGAGCTAGCTCGGCTGCGAGAACCACTGCCACCGAGGCCCGCAGTAACGGCACCATTACCGTTCAACAGCCGTTCGAGTGGTGCCGGTAATTCCGCCGTCCACTGATCGTCTGAGTCGTCGAAAGAATGGGCGTACTGCCATCCATCTCCCGCATCGACACCGGGATGTGTGACGTCTAACGTCCAATCAGACCTGATCGAAGCCTCAGCAGCTGCGCACAAAATAAATTTAGTGAGAACATACAGCCAGAAGTGGCTTCTCTCCAAGCCCTCTCTCGATGGCCCATCATGAGAGCTTGGCTTGGGCAACGTCCATGGATCCTCTCGCAATGGCAAGTGCACATCGCTGCGCCACGCTGCAACCACCGTTCTCTCCGGTTCCTCGTCTGGTGAGGGCAAGCGCAATTCGAAGGGTGGGCGACGACCGTGTCTACCAAGCCCGGAGGCCGAGAATTTGGGTCGTCCACCGGACACGGCGAGTGTCTTCAGTCGCATGTCGAGCCTCTGATTCTCGTACAAGAGAACCGGTACCGTCGTATGTACTGCGAGAGGGTTATATTGTGCGGCGGTGCTGCGCCATTGATCGGCTTCAACTTTTTGGAGGACCTGAGATTGGAGTGAGTGCAACGTCGCACTAAGGATCAATACAGCGCACCTCGCAGATCCACACTTCAAAAACTGCTGCTGCAACATCATAGGCGGTTTCACCCCAGTTGTTCCTGACTAGAGGATCTGCCGATTGCTTGTTCAAGAGATATAATACGACAGGTAAGTGTCCCTTAGATGCGGCGTTCACTACAAGCAAATAGTTTCTCCAATGGGCAACAGTGAAACGACAATGAAACTCACTCAGAGGCGTCCATCCGCCCTTGCTCTTTACGTTGATAGCCCGGACGCCATCTATCTCGGAAGCAGCCCCCCCGCTCTCACATAACCATCTGACAATATCCAAATATCCCTATTTGCTGTGAGCCGATATATACGTAAGAAGAGTAAACTTAGGGCTACCTTGGAGCATGCATTGTGCAACGCAGTCCACCCATCTGCATCCTGGGCATGGACGTCGGCTCTGTCTGGTAATAGGTACATGATTACGGTGAGGTGACCGTGAAGTGCGGCTTTGTGCAATGCCGTCTATTCCATTTACTGTCAGACTGCAGTAAAGACCAGCCTGACGAGTCGCACGACACGTACCTCGCCCTCCTTGTCCTCGATGTCGGGTATAGCCCCGCACTCTGCCACCACTACGTCACATGTGAATGTCATGTAGAAATGCACGGCTCCGAAGACGACACTTACACCACTTGACGATGTCCAAGTATCCTCTACTTGCAGCGGCATGTAATGCGGTCAGACCTGTACGGGGGGAAGCATCGTTTGCCAAGGCAAAAGGCTCGACGTCGCTAGTCTCGATGGTAGCTCTGAATTGGTCCCGTACGCGTGTCAAATCTCCTGATGCAGCAGCAGCATGCAGGGCCTCAAGCTGAGCAGGCGAGATATGGCTCTTAGAAGTGGGATGAGGGCTCGCGGGACTGACAGGACTAGGAGTGCCGGACAGCGGATCAGGAAGAGACTGAAGTTCGTGCTCAGGCTCGGGACCCGCTGGAGGAACTGCGGACACGCCGGAATAGACAAACTCATCCTCATCGTCAGAGCCTTCCTGCATGGGTGAATGATCTGGAATGGGAGACGGTGAAACACTGGAAATTCTGAGATAATAACGGATATTCAGCCACGACGCGTCAACTCTGGCGGGTGCATAATGCTCACTCCTGGATGGTCCCTAGCTGATGTACAGAGTCTTCGTTCATCAGTGGAGAGCGCGAGGCCAGCGTGAATGCGGAGAACACGAACAATTTCCGACACTTCGTTCCGGGGTCCGCGGATTTTCCCAAACGGGTATCTCAGATATTTTTGTCGAGCTCGGGCTGCTCGGCAGGGTAAGTGCGTGGAGAATTGCTGCAGTGACGGGTATGTACATGTGTCCCCTTCCCCAGATCTACGATGATGAGTAGCTTACAGCTGTGCTGTACTTAGCGAGTCGCAACCGATATGAATGTATTGGAATGTCTGCGACTCAACCTTCCACGTTTTCAGTCTGATAAGTGGGAATGTAGTCACTGCGCATCGCAGAGGCCATCGAAATGGTGCGGTTGACAATAGTAGAGCTTGTGGCGTATCACTGTCGTTTTCGACCTTCTTCCGTGGAGAGCGCATCCCATGGTACTTGATAAATCACCAGTGTGCGACAAGTCACCAATCCGAACCCCTCGTATTGATCCCCTCTCGCACACTTGGTTCATATAACCAGGGAACCTCGCCCGTCCAGTTTCGCAGCCCAACGTACGCTCCGACAGAGGTGGGTGACACCTTTCTTCATTGGCTATCTATCCAAGAGAGTGCGATTGACGCCATCTTGACGATAAAGTGGGTGACTCGTCTGATAGGCCCTTTTCTAACATCTCAGCAGCTCAGCAGCCCAGGAGATATGCTCGCAGTGACTCGCCCTCATCCGACTCGTTTGCTGACTGCGCTTCGTGCATCTCTACTACCCGCTAGATCCGCTTCCAGGATGTCTACATCAGCCCAGTCCCATGTCAATGGCGTCAACGGCGTCAACCCACAGAAAGACCGTTCCAATCTCGTGCCGTTCTCCTCGCGATTGAAAGAGGGTAGGGCATTGGCCGAGGATGTTTGGTCAATATTCAAGTAGGTCCGTCTGCAGCCATCGTCGATGCGGGGTATGAATATCACGCAGTGCGGCCAATCTTCCCTCGGATTGTCTCAACCTTGGGCAGGGTTACATGAACTTCGCTCCCCCGGCCTGGGTCAGAGAGGGTGCCCAGCAGGCCCTGAACAGGGTTGAGACCAACCATTACTCTCACCCGAAGGGCAGACAGCGTTTGCGTGAAGCTATCGCGAAGCACTACGGTCCCCAGTTTGGAAGGGAGCTCGACGTGAACTCTGAGATATTGGTCACTAGCGGGGCGAACGAAGGCGAGATTTGACCGTTTCGAGTTGTCGCATGACGTCTCATGGAGGAGATAGGACAGTACTCTGTGTTCGTTGCCTTCCTGGAGCAGGGGGACGAAGTCATCATGTTTGAGCCCTTCTTCGACCAATATCTGCCGTCCATCACCTTCAACGGCGGTGTTCCCGTGTACGTCCCTTTGCACCCTCACACGGCATCCGACAAACCTACGAGCAACGATTGGGTCATTGATTGGGACGAGCTGAAGTAAGTACATGTGCCTTTCTTTCAGAATCCAAGGTACTGATAAGCGCATCTACAGACGGGCAATTACGCCGCGCACGAAGATGATCATCGTCAACACTCCTCACAATCCCGTCGGGAAGGTCTTCACTAGAGAGGAATTGGAGAAGATTGCCGCTCTTGCGGAAGAGCATAACTTACTCGTCATGTCAGACGAAGTGGTATGTCACATGCATATTGCAACCCATATTCTCGCTATCAACAGGTTTTTCTGCAGTACGACTTCCTGGTGTTCGACGACAAGAAGCACGTTCGCATTGCCAATTTACCCGGCATGTGGGACCGTACAGTGACTGTTGGTTCTGCTGGCAGTGAGTAACTAACTTTCGTCACGGTTTAATGTGGAAACCTCACCCGTAACTTAGAACTGTTCTCTGCGACGGGCTGGCGGGTGGGATGGCTGATCGGCCCGCCTTCGATCATCAAGCCCACTCTGGCAGCGACCACTCGCATAGTCTTCTGTTCCAACTCCCCTCTGCAAGAGGCTGCAGCGTATGGACTAGAACAAGTCAAGGAACGCGGATTCGTTGACCAGCAGGTCAAGGAGTATGATGAACGACGGAGAGTCTTGATGGATGCCTTCGATAAACTGGGCATGAAATATACCCGTCCGGAGGGCACCTACTTCATCTTACTTGTACAAGACTATCTATCTACCAGATATCATAGCAGCTGACATACATTTTATCAGGATATCTCAGGCGTGAAGTGGCCTGATGACTACCCATTCCCCGAAAGTGTCCGAGGAAGAGGGCGGGACTTCAAGTGCGTCGTATCGACCAGTTATATCATACTTGCTAATCATCCTTGTCAACAGAGCATGTTGGTTCATTGCGATGGAGATCGGAGTATCTTCCATCCCCGTGAGCGAAGTAAGTTCATCACAGTGCTCAGTGCATCGCCGCAACTGAGTCGTTGTGTATTCAGTTCTACTGCGAAGAACATACCTCTATCGGAGAAAACTACGCCCGCTTCGCCTTCTGCAAGGACGTTGACACACTGAAACGTGCCGCGGAACGACTGCAGGGGCTCGAGAAGTATTTGTAATAAGGGTCGACGGACGGCGGCATCTCAATCACTAGAATCACTAGATGAGGGCTACTGTGCGTTCTCTGTCTACAGGAAGGCTTGTAATATTTCTTGTCGTATAACTACTTTATCAGCTATTCCGTGACTGCGTCGTCCAATTGATCTGTTATTCGTGAAAGAAGCTCGTTGATAGCAGTGGAGGTGGCGTCGTAGTATGCAGGATTGCTGATCAGTCGTCGAGCGAGGAAGGTCGTCGACAGCACGTCAACGCCTTGCTGTTTGTCCGCGATGCTCCCGTCTTTCCGTCTGTCTCTGTACCACGTTTGCAGATCGCCGGTTTCTAGCAACTTCGATTCGAGCGGGAGACCTTCGTTGAGGAAGCGTGTGATCGTGTCCTTCGTTTCTGCCTGGCAGAACAGGTGGAAATGGCCGGCGGCGTTGTGGCGCACTGCGCGCCCCTGCATGCGAACGAGCTCTTCGAGGCTGTAATCTCGCACTTGTCGCTCTTCGCCACCCGGTGGGATATGAACGTACTGGGTACCCATGACTATCACGGTTGCTGCCCGGACAGGCAGCGACCAGCAGGAGTCGTGGGGCACGACGAGGACTCGTACGAGACCCTCAGCATACAGCTCGAGGATCGCGGTGCGGTCCGCTCGAGTGATATCCTGGTGGAAAAAAGCCACGCCGCGCGATATGAAATCCACGAGACCACGATCCTGTAGCCTGGATGTGTAATGTTCAACCTGTTCGAACGGAACTTCGGCCGGAAGATATCCTCTAGATGTCTCCATCTCCAGCGCGCACTGGGTAATCAAGTCCAAAGCGACGGAGCGGCACTGGCCACGGGACGGAACGAAGACGATTGCAGATTCTCCGCGTCTCTCCTGAATAGCGGTGTGAGCAGGCTTCGCCATCGCCTTGAATAGCGCTGCAGACTGCGGGATCGTGAATGTTTGGCTGCTGACAGTCAATGCTTGGTCTCGATCACTTGGGCGGAAGCTGTGAAGAGCCAGTGGGTCAACATCGAGCCACGCCGCAAGGTCCGCTGGGTCGTTCAGTGATGACGAGAGGCCAACAAATCGCACTGGATATGCTTGTGTAGCACGCAACAATAACGACAGGCCAAGTTCGTACGCCGAATCGAGGAGCTCCATGTTCTCGCACAACACGAGTCGTAAACCTGACAGTGGCATCTTGCCCCTTGGCTGGTTTGACAGAGCGAGGAGAAGGTCAGCTGCGGTCACCACCCGAACGTCTGCTGGAGATTGCTTGAAGAGGGATCCATGCGTGCATATTTCCACGGCAATATTCAAGGCTTTTGACACTAGACGTAAGTCCGTGACCAACTCAAGTGCGACGCTTCGGCGAGGCGCGACAACGAGAACCCACGAATTGTTCGGCGCTTGGTTTAGTGTTGCCCTTTAATTGTCCGTCGATTAATCGAGAGGAAGGAGAATGGTACGACAGACTCACCAGACCGTTATTCGACCCAAAACAGACTTACCACAACCCGTGGGTGCACACAGCAGCGCATGACGTCGCGTCTTCACTAGACTCCAGAAAGCTTGGGTTTGAATCGCATTGAAGCCATGCAACCGCTTCGCAAGGATGTCTTCAAGGATGGGATTCTGAAGCACCGAAAGTGACAAATATGGAACATCGAGGCGAGGTGTATGACATTCGGATGGTGATGGCATTACGAGATCTGTGAACGGTACCGACAATTCGTCTTCAGCACCCATCCATCTGTCCGAGACAAATCGAATTGTTGTTGAGGGAGGGGGGTGTCCATTAGGGATAGAGATAACGAAGTCCACGTCCAGAGTATCAATGCTCTGGCGGAATATCAGATGGGATAGCTGCAAGATAGAGAGTCCCTCAGAATCTTCAACCCATAACCAAAAGGGTTCCACAGAACCATGAATTCTGGAGCTCCAATTGAACAGTCGTGTTACACGAACAGCAATCTTTAGGACGTCGAAGCCTAGTGGGCGTAGACTGAATCTGATTTGGACAGTGGGGAACTGTTTCGCAGCATCTAAAATGGCCAAACCATGTCGTTCATTCAGGTGGACTAACTCGCCCAAGTCTGAGGCCGACATCGTCGCCAGTTCAGCGACAGTGTAGTCATCAGCCCACCTCTCGAGATTATGGAGGACTTCTTGCTTCAGCTGAAATTGCTTCAAAGGATTGTCGAATGGCCATAGACGCTTTTCGATAGCCTTACTCATTCCCATGAGTACCGCGCTGACGTTTGCCCACTTGCGACTGATGGCAATTTCCAACAATGCTCTTACAATGCGACCACCGTTCTGTGCAGCATAAGCTTGATCGGAGACCAAGGCAAAATCTTCCGGACGAAGTCCACTGATGTAACTTTGAAGCAATATGTTGACCTTGCCTTGACTTGTATCCGTGCCGTCCTAATCAGCTCGGCGTCCATCAGCGTAAGAACCAAGAATTTACTGCCTACTCACTTGTACCGTGCATGGTATCAACTCCATCATGATTTTCAACTCCTTCACTTCCGCCTCCCGGACTTGGATTTGATCGAACTGTTTTCATGTCAAGCTAATGTAAAGATGAAGAGAAACTTTCACTCACTTCCGTACTCTTACTGAGCATCCTGAGCACATCAGCTTCTGTCATCTTAGGCCTGAACTCCTTGTTGAATGTTTCAACCGATGTATGCCTGATATAATATTTCGCGGCAATACGGCCAAGATCTGTGATCATGAAACTGCCAGTATGCTTGTCGAACGTAATCATGCGTGCCTCTGCAAGTCTGTTGGCTGCTTCAATCGCGAGTTGGTTGCGCTTGCTCCCCAATTGTGGATCTTCGGCGACTTGTTCACGACTAAGGCCTAATAGATGTAAAGTCAGACTGACACGTTGCCGACATGACAGGCTATCGCACCATATTGTAAGGGATTTTTGCGCATACGAACAAACAGGTAGGTATAGCCTAGCCACTGAACAGCATCATGTACGTTGGCCACTGTCCCAAGCGAGATCTCCGCATTCAAAGCATCGATCATGCCGGCTGTAAATCTAAGACAACATGAGTAGCAACACAGCTGGTAGTTTTCCCGCACGCACTTAGACTCAATGGGATTCTACATGGACAGTCTTGTTAGTGATTGACGTTTAAGCGACTAATGACTTTCTCACTTGCGAGGTCACTGCATCCAAGTAATGGGCAAGCTTATCTCCTGTCGTGCAAATGAAGCCAACGCCACTAGACTCCATGCCCGGTCTGCCTGCCCGACCGAGGACTTGCAAAACATCGAGAACAGAGAGATCGACAAATGACCCCTTGGTGCTGTCGTACACTTCAGTTCCCTTGATGATGACTGGATCGGCTATCAGGTTGCGCGCAAAGCGTATGTGAAAAGAACTGACCTGCATGTGCTGGCAGGTTTACTCCCCACGCAAGTGTTGCAGTGCAGCACAAAACCTAGCACAATTGTCATGAGCACGACCGGATGACGGCCTCGTACGTCCATCTTCACCTTTATTGCTCTGGCTTCGAACATTCTCTCCATCATGTTCCGATCCGATCGCAGCATTCCTGCATGATGTATACCGAACCCATTGTCGAATAGTTGCTTCATTTCTTTGTTTCTGGACTCCGAGATGCTTCTGCGGAAGTTACTGAACGAAGGGTGGTCCTCACAACTGAAATCGTCCAAGATCCCATCCGCCATAGCAGCTTCCTTTAGGGCAAGAGCAGTTTTGACCGTCTCCTTCCTAGCGTGGACAAAAACCATGACTTGGTGACCTTCCCGCACCAAATCTGCAACCTTCTCGAACGTAACACGATCCAAATTCTTTCGTGATCGTGAACTGCCGGGTTTTCCTCTTATACCGATAAAATGTTGTTCTAGAGGAACTGGCCTGAATGAAGAATCAAAGAAGAACAAGCCGGTTTGACGTGATACACTGCAAATGACGTTGAGAGATGAACAATCCACAACACTCAAGAAAACACACCATAAAAACTCTGCTACGTCCAAGAAGTTTGGAAGAGTTGCACTGAGGCCGACGATACGAATCACAGATTGACTTGACTCGACCTAGAGTACGGTTACACTCCAGCCGGCCTTCAATAGTCGAACGGCTCACTTGTCGAAGGGTACGGGCAACGATTGTTTCAATTACAGCTCCACGTTCGTCGTTCAACAGATGCACCTCATCAATGACGAGCAACCTCACTTTCTGAGGGTGGAGGTTTCATGTGAATCTCAGAAACGGATATTGGGAACCTTCTCACGTACCGAAGCCAACTCTCCTTCACCTGTAGGCTTTCTTGTTACGACATCCCACTTTTCAGGTGTGGTCACGATAATTTGTGTCTCCGCAATCTCGCTTTTTGTGAGTTGCATATCGCCTGAATGAATCAGTCAGTCTTCAAACGAGGTATAGCCACCGGTGAAACTACCAGTTAGTTCCCGAACACGGATTGAAAGCCACTGCAGGCGTTTCCCTAGCTTTCGAACGATCTCTGAGGCTAAAGCTTTCATGGGAGCACTGTAGTAGAAAGGGCTTCAATTCCAGAACAAAGGCAGACTGACGACATATACTTGCACATAGATGATCTTGAAGTCGTCCCTCAAGATTGTTAAACCCAGTGGTAAGGTGGGTTGCGCAGCAGACCGATGTTGGTCCAGGACCCGGAGGATGGCTAACATTGCCACATCGGTCTTACCCTGTTGAGGGAAAACATAACGTAAAAGGTCAACATCACCAACAAAGGACACAATGCAAGCACGGACAGCACCAGTAGGAGCTAGCTATTATTCAATTTCTCTGCCAACGGAGGTGAAGATGACACTGACCGCAAACCAGCATATTCTCGTTCGATTGGTAGGCGGTCGGAAAAACAATGGACTGTATCCTGTTTAAAGAGATATATCCCTGTAACACAACTATGAGGTGACTACAATTTTGACGCTAGCAAAGACACGTGCAGGAAAGGAGCCTTTGGCCAGAGGGTCGAGTTCAGAGACAGCTATTAATCGCTCGGTTGCACGAGGGGGAACAGCTTTGGCAGGCGGAAGGATAACTTCCTCGTAGTCCTGTGAGGGGCAGTAAGTATCGACTTCTTCGACGAACAGAGCTACTGACTTCGCAGTCGTGTCTGGTAGTTCCGAGTGGCAGCATGTACTTGCTTCCATACTGGGATAGGATACTGCTAGTCTGAACGATGGATGACGAAGTATAGATATGCGGCAGAACCTCTGGGGCATCTTGCTGGTACAGCATCAGCGACCTAAGTGTTCTAACTCAAGAAGCTACACAAGCACTCACCATCGTCCCAGTGAAAAGAGGACGTGATGCATTAGCGCGTAATTTCAACTCCATCCGTCTCCGGGCATCCTCCGGGTCAAGACTGACTCCCAGAAGTCCAACAGGTGCAGAGCGACCTATGGTCTCCTGCGTGACGAGTGAAATCTCCCACAAAATACACTTATCCTCACCATGGACTTCAGTAGACGTCTCGTTAACTTGTCCTCCTTGAAGGTAATTGGAAACCTTTCAGACCGCATATCACTCCATAATAGCAGCTCAAGTATGATCTCAAAGGCTCACTTCTTTCACAGCACTCGGACGATTTGACAAGATATCCATCACAAGTTCGATATTATCGAAACCGACCATCTCTGCTAGTTCCTCAGAGATAATATCGTTCGGACGAGTCGATGACAAAGTTGAAAGAATGGACTGTAAGAGCGGGATAGGATCTGGCTTACTATATAAACGAATGAACTTCTCTGTAATTGACGTTCGTCGAAGAAGTACACACAGCAGAAGTTTCGACATTATGGGTGCAACTTGGCGTGTTGAAGACCCCGCGTATACATCGAGGACAGAGTCCCACACCCCTTCTCCGCCGAAATCGTCCTTATAGTTTTGATCTATCGCGTGCAGATTTGGTTTGACTATGGCAGCAAAAATCACTTGCATTCCTCACCATCTTCAGGAGTCCGCCTCCTTGCGAAGAAGATGAGCAGAAGACCCGAGGCGAACACAAAACATTACGCTGGACAGACCTCGTCCATTCTTCAAGAAATCGGAGATCGCCGATGGAGGATTCTTCCTGTGAGCCCACAAGAATATTCAGATGTTCTGCAAGACCAGGCATGGACGAATGCGTGTAACGTGAGTGCACGAAGGGAGGCGGACGTACGCGCGTCTACTGACGCGTGCAGTCTACTCATCGGGCGCTTCTCAACGTCGCACATCTCACTCAGAGTCTCTGCTTGTTCGACGCCCAAGAAGATGTCGAACTCGGCGTACGTGTATTTTTTGCCCCGAAATTGTTCAACCTTGTCAGCGTATAAATTCCAGAGTTTCCTTGTATCTCGATCCTCAAATCCGTGATTGGGTGTTGTTTCCAATTACGGTGGTTATGGTGTGCTGTCGTCCTCCTGTCGTGGTGTGAACGGAGCTGATCAATACGGAAGATTTTAGTGGGTATTCTGAGGCACTATGTTGTGCTTTTGCTGCAATCCCCACCAAAAAAGCTGCCAAGAGCTGCCATACGCGAACAGTGCGTTTCTGGATAACTTTTTCGGTCATTACATCCCTAACGTCAGAGCAAGACGCGCCTTAGCGCGCTCTCAGATACTCCGGACGACTTCCGCGAATTCTCCTATACCACCGACATACTATCACTCCATTTCGCAGCACTTATCCCAAGCCTTCGAGGATGGAACATATCTCAAAGACGGACCTCCCAAGAGCGACTCTGCAGCACCTGCACCGCCAAACCCACTTACTGACCCTGCAATGATGGACGGCATGATGTCTGGGATGAAGACACAGATGGTGATGATGGTACCTCAGATGGTCATCATGGGCTGGATTAATTTCTTCTTCCAAGGGTTCGTCCTCAGTGAGTGTATTTCTCGACGTTGGCAGACGGATGATCTCAACAAATGTCATGTAGTCAAGTTGCCATTCCCTCTGACTCTCGGATTCAAGTCCATGCTTCAACGTGGAGTTGAGACACCTGACATGGATGTTCGGTGGGTATCATCGCTCTCGTGGTACTTCCTGAACTTCTTCGGCCTGAATGGCCTGTATCGGCTTATCCTCGGCGGTGATAATTGTGAGTCCTGAATCGTTCTGCAATGTAATTGACTCAGTCAGAATCATAAAAATTCAGCTGCCGACTCCTCGCGAGAGATGACGACACCCTTCGCTGCTACTGCCGCCCCACAAGGTCCACAGGTGCAGGACTTCAACAAATTGTTCAAAGCAGAGCGGGATAACTTGCAGTTTGCCGAGGGCTTGTATGCCTGGATAGGGCAGGACGTGGAAGATAGGATACTCACAAAATACGGCAGATCGCCAGATGTAATGTTATGAATGGATGAAGCTCTGGATCATATCACACAATGTTCGGTCTTCCAGTAACTGATGAGTGTTTAGCTATGGTAAGGTAATTGTCATCTATGCGGCAGTAACACTACAATCTAGTCCATACAACAGTCGCACTCTATGTTACAACCAGAGTTGGACACGGACGAGACGCGAACAACTCCATGAACCCGTGGTACAGGCAACGAAGAGCTAGTTACTCATTGCGGAGAATAGCCCCCGCGGGGATGTTCACGCTCACGCTATACCAATCCATCGTACAGTGATAATGCCTGAACAGATTGTCAGATGCTCAAACACAGGTAGCACAAGTTGTACTCACCTGTACAATCGTAGGGTCCTGTTTGCTACCGTCCACGAACTCGTCGTATGTCAGCTTGGCATCCTTGTCTCTGTCCATATTCCTGAAGATCTTGTCTACTCGCTGCGACAGAAATGAATAACACGCAGATCAGATGCAGGATAAACTGGCCTTCTCGGGTGTATCCTCATCTACTGGGAGCTTCACCATTTGGCCGGTCATCTTGTATATTGACTGGACAATCTGGAGCATTTCCGCGTACGTTATGAAACCGTCTCCGTCGATGTCATAGAGTTGGAACGCCCCTGGGCACCAAGGCATTGTTCAGCCCGACCGTGATCATTGCACCATGCAACTTACATCTCAGTTTCTCATCCAATCTCCCCCGGCTCGTCACGCTGAGCGCGCATATAAATTCTTTGAAGTCGATCGTGCCGTTCTTGTTCTCATCGAAGACATTGAAGACATAGTCGGCGAACTCTCCAGGATCACCAAATGGGAAGAACTGCTTGTATATTCGGCCAAACTCTTCCTTGTCTAGCTGACCAGATGGGCAGTCCTTCAGGAAGCCCTTGTACCTGCAGATCGGGAGATATGGTAAGGATCACGCAGCGCGGTGAGTGAAAAACGTAAGAGACCATTGTTGGAGCTCGCGCTTATCAACTAGAGGAATTGCAATAAATTGCGGGATCGGACACGAGAATGAAGTACGCACAATAGGTGTGTTTCTGGAGGTCTGCTAGCTGTTCCGGTGACAGTTTACTCTGTGCCTTGCCCATTACGATTGATGTTTCACTTAGTTGCGGGGGTGCGTGATGGGTGGATGGAGCTGTGTAAGCGGAGGGATGCTCGGAATATTTGAGGGGTTATCAGTTAAGTCGGCGTTATCAGTTAAGGGTTAACTGATTCGCAGTGGGAGGGCACGATGCATGCCTCGAGGCTGCCAGGACATGGAAACGAAGCACTGTGAACCCAACGCTGCGTAGAACCACCATTGCTAGCTCGCAGACGACCTGCAAGTCAGTCCTACGCGCTCTCCCCTCGTCGTTCTCTCGTATATCGTCGTTAACTCATATTTCGCCTAAATGACTATCAGCGACGTGAAAAGGAACCGCATGCATATGCCTTCTTCAAGTTCTTTCTCAGCAGACACACCTCTATACCCCTCTTATAGCACGGCCCTTGTTTATATCCAACAGTCGCTTTTCTCATCTTGCCCCGCATCCTCTGTCACTCATTATGTGCTATGCCTACGGTTCTCCTGATCATGCCACTGGAGTGTGCCCGATGTGCAAGTGGCGCAAGCCAATTGGAACCAGGTATCTATCTCGGCCTTGTAGTTCCTGCGCATGTCGCCAAACTGTTATGAAACACCAGATGTCCCCACGTCAGAGAAGTCTGCCATAATCGCGCGCTGCATCCTAGACACGATGTGGTGTATCTGAAGAATGCCGAGGGTCAGTTATGTGATGCATCCCTGACTTGTTTGTCTGACTGACGGGGCCTTGCCACTTAGTGCAAACCTTTAATGGCTGTGGGTTTTGCAAGGTCAGGAGTGCGTTTCGCTTCCGATGGCCTTGATGCTGAAGCATATCACGATAGTGGGCCAATACCAACCCGCCACCCAAGCTATCCGGATATCAGAATCCGGGTTGGCCCGGTTGTTGTCGACCTCCTTCGGCCAGCGAACAGAAGTGCATTGGTGCAGCAGATTGGCCCGCTGTGAGTGTCGTGCACCACGTCCCGATCCCGCCGCCCATAAAGGCCGCCTTGGATTCCGCAAAGGCTGCTCTGGATTCTGCAAAGGCGGATTCCGCACAGGCCCCAACCGCCACTAAGGGCAATTCTTCTCCTTCCAGTCCGACGGGAAATTCCAGAAATTCGAGCACTCAATCCCTGGCACCGTTAATAGTGCGCAGGCAGAGCTACAATCCGACGCGGACGGATTCAATGGCGCCCAGATCTCCTCCAATAACAATCCCCGTTCGTGCCCGTTCAGGTGGCAGTCCGCAGCAGCCGTCGATGTCTCTGACCGGGAACGCCTCCCGAAACCCTGATGGAGATAGTTTCACGTCATCTCTTCCTAACAAGTCCGTTACGGACCAGCATCAGGCTCAACGTCGCTCCGCGGCTGACATTTTTGGCGACAAACGCTCAGACGCATCCGGTGGTTCGCAGAATTCTCCTGTTCGTAGAAATGCAGAATTGGGAGGATCGGTCTCTCGTCGGAGCATCGAGCGGCGACCTTCCATAACTGCCGCTCTTCCATCCATGTCCGTCAGCAAAGTAACTGTTGATGTACCACCTCCGCGTCGCCGCGGATCAGTAGCGAACCCGAGCCCCCAACCGTCCGTTCCACGTGCTGAACGCACTTCCAACTTGGCATCTCTACCTAGGCGTAACAGCGTTGTAGCTGAGCCGTTGGCAACCATGAGCGTGTCCGGGTCGTCAAGCAGTAGCGGAAGCAATTCCGAGACCACCGTCATCTCTGACGGAGGTTTCACAGACTACCTTTCGGATGAGTCGGAGGCGGAGTTGCAGAGGCAAGCAGAGGCGAAGGCTGCTATCCTTGCACAGAATCAGTTGGAGGAGCAGGAATTCAAGGCGGCCAGGCAGCAGCTGGCATCGGTGGATTTACATCCCCCGAAGTCGTGGATTGGAAATGTCAACAGCACCCCTCGCTCTCAGGCTTCAGCCCCTCCATCGGCAGCGTTCCCCGCATCATATGGGAGTTCACCGTACGGGACGGCACATTCGAGCGTGGCATCGTCCACGCATTCCAGGGGCTAAGATATCAGGGCTGCCGTACTGACGGACAGAATTCGGATTGGGACGTTCAACGTTCATGAGTATCGTTATCATCCGTCTCCTTGACCTGTATTCCCTTTGTGTTGCTAGGCGATTCCTCCTGTAGCTGGATACCATGCCGCTCGATCTATATGTAAGAGGTGTCGGCGATTGTATAAGTGTACAACGTAGTCTCTGCTCTTGATGTTGTCGAGGTATCACTGAGCGCTATTGTCACTGTGCACCTTTCTGGCGAAGATGTCGCCCAAATTGGCTGTGGTGACGATCTCGGACGCGAATGCGCATGCAGCCGCTGCTTCTGTATCACGCCCATGATTAGCGCAGCGCCGGAGGCTACTGCCTGTGTCCTCCCGCCACCAACTAATGAATCTTGCTCGCCATTCCATCAGTTCTACAACTCCAGTCCTTATATTCGACGTCCAGTTCGACCCAGATTGCCATATATTTACTGCCTCAACACAAGCCGGGTTCGCTGTCTATCGTGCATGGCCCCTCCAATTACTTCGCAAGCGAGGTATGCGCCCTTGTACTCTATTGCGATGCTTTCGCGTTTGACTGATTTCCCCCAGAACTAACTGGTGGAACTCTCGCCGCCGTAGTACCACTACATACATCGTCTCTACTGTTCCTCCTCGGAGGCGGACGCAGTCCACGCTATCCTCCTAATAAGGTCATCCTCTGGGACGATGCTCTGGGGCAAGAGGTTGCTGAGCTAGAGTTCAGGGAGAGGGTACGCGGGCTAGCGTGTAGGCGAGGCTGGCTGGCGGTAGCTCTGCGGAGACGAGTCGTCGTGTTTGAGTTGGGAGACGCGGTCACCAGGTACGGAGAGTGGGATACCTGCGATAATCCGAGAGGTGAGTACTGCAAACGATTGCTCGGTCCTCCTTGTAGATCAGTCGCGGGACTTCTGCAGCCTAATGTTCTGACGATATTGACACGACAGGCTTGCTTGCGATTGCAACTGCTACACATTCGACTCTATTGGTGATACCAGGCCGTCAGATGGGCCATGTACAATTAGTTCACCTCCCACCATGTCCCGCCCCTGAAATCACTGGTCCTCCACCTTCGACTGCGCCTGTGAAACCTCCACCAGCACCATTGAAACATCCAGTTTCCATCATAGCAGCTCATACGACCGCTCTGACTACACTCTCTGTGCCACCTTCTGGTCATTTACTCGCTACTACCTCATCAAGAGGGACTCTAATTCGCATATGGGATTCCACGACCGGGAAACTAGTCAGGGAACTCCGTAGAGGTACAGACAAAGCCGAGATTTACGGGGTCGCTTTTCGCCCTGACGAACGAGAGATATGTGTATGGAGCGACAAGGGCACTGTACACGTATTTTCCCTCGCCAGTGGTTCCGGAGCATCGTAAGTTCCTCCTCTTATACATCATGGGCACATCTCCGAACCTATGCTAGTAACCGACAATCGACCTTTTCTCCATTGACGCCATTTATACCCCTACCAAAGTATTTTGGATCAGAATGGTCTTACGCTCAATATCGTATTCCCTCGCAATCAGCACACATATCTATCTCAACACCTCCCTCCAAGCCAGCAACCGCTGATGTAGTCGACGAAGAGAAGTGTGTGGTAGGATGGATCCAAGCGCCTTCAGATAATCAGGAAGACCCTGGTCGAGGACCGTTAATTGAGCATCAACTCATCGTGCTGACATACACTGGTGGTTGGTATCGCCTCTCTCTGCCCACTTCCACGTCGTCCGCAACGTCCTCGAGCGTGCCGATATCTTCCCCGATAAGTGCCGCGGTGTCAGCTTCACCACCCATTGTGCGGGCAATGTCCGCTGCGCGCCCACGATCGACCAGCGGTTCGTCATTCGCTGGCCACTCGGACAAGGGCAAGGAGAGAGAACAGGAGAAGGACGGAAAGGACAGTCGAGATTGTACCTTGCGCGAGTTCAGGAGGTTTGGTAGGTGGGATGGGTGGGGATAGAGCTTGCGACCCTCCCCGATATCTCCTTCGATTTGCTGCTTCTTTTGCTTTGCTGTCCACTACTCACATGCACTTGTACTATTTACGGCCCTGCATTGTCACTATATTGTTGTATCGATATCCCGCTTCTAATGGGTTCACTGACTTTATCCGAAGAATATTGTGCGCGCATAGTTGGTACACCTGCAGACACACTTCTATTCGGCACTTACCAGCTGCAGTCGCGGTGCGCCTTGCAAGCATTATGAGTAGTATTGTATCTACGATCCCGGGGCCGCGAGCTCTCGACGGATCCCGGCTGGAGAAACAAGTCGATCACGATCCTGTCAGTCAGGATTTCGAGATCCAATCTCCGGGCGGCCGTGCTTCACATTCACTTACTAGTAGAACCTCCCCTTAGGCTTCGTCAAGCATGTCCGCCATCATATCTGTAATAGCTCCACTATCTCCTGGCAACTCAACGTGTGGTTATTGTTCACCCCCTGGAACGAGAAGTAAGACAAAATCAAGCTATCATGAGGCAGCGTGTATCCCCATCCAGCTGTCGTGCGAGGTGTGTCTGAATGCAAACACGTCTCCAAGTTCCTCGGCCCTCCTACAAATGCAGAAAATTTGGCTGAACAGGTGACAGGTGTACCAGAGAATGATTGACCGCGGCTGGAGAAGATCGGGCACATACTGCTACAAGCCAGATCTGAAACGATCGTGTTGCCCGCAATACACCATCAAGTATGGTTCACAAAGGTTAAGGCCCCCCTTATGAACTGATTTGTCGTGTAGGCTTGATGCCTTGCAATTCAAGCCGTCGAGAAGTCAGAGGAAGCTCCTCCACCGGTGAGCCATCCCCGCTCTAGCGCTTATATTCAACTCACAATCAGCAGTTGGAACCGGTTTGTTCTCTATGATGAACATGGAGGTGTAGATCATGATTCTTCAGCAAACAAAACCGATCTTCGGTTTGTCTCGCGCATTTTTAGGTGACATTTCTCTGAGCATCAGCTAGGAAGAGGAAACCAACAAAGTCTAAGGGCAAGGAACAAGCCTTCTCTCTGACATCAGAGATTCATGCTTCAGAGCGTCGGACCACCACCGACGAAAAGCCGGCTCACTCGTTTGAAGTGCGTATTTTACCTATTCGGTGTCACCGAGCCCTTCTTTGTGTTTAACATCCTTCAAGGTTACTTTAGAACTGTCGTCGTACACCGACGAGAAATTCAAGCTGTACCAGAGCTACCAAAAGGAAATTCACCACGAGACAGAGGAAAAACCCAGTGGGTTCAAGGGATTCCTCGTAGAATCACCTCTTCATGTATGCACTTTTGTGTTATCCAGCGACACCTACGTCTGACATGTTCACAGTCTGAAACCATTCCGTACTCCGCGCCATGTCCAGAACATTTACCCCGCGCGTATGGTTCATATCACCAATTGTACAGACTGGACGGCGAGTTGATCGCAATGGGCGTCATCGACATCGTTCCAAGCTGTGTCTCCAGCGTGTACTTCATGTATGAGAAAAAGTGGGAACGATTCTCGCTAGGGAAGGTGCGTGTTGTCGCTTTCTCGCCGTACAATCGCCTGCATGAATTACATCTAGCTAAGCGCTCTTCGAGAAGCATCACTGGCCAAAGAAATACATGGCGCTGGAGCTCCCGAGATGAATTCGCTGTACATGGGTAAGTTCCTGTTCAGGAGACTAACGCCACGACTGAAGAAGCTCTCAGGATTTTACATCCACTCTTGCCCGAAGATGCGGTACAAGGGAGATTACAGCCCGTCATACCTGGCTGATCCCGAGGACTATACGTGGTTTCCCTTGGAGCAGACTCGCGTTCTGCTAGACAAATATCGATATGCAAGTTTTGCTCATCCTGAGCATTGTTTGGAAGGGCCTCCAAACCCACAGATTCAACGTCTGCATTTCTGTCTACTGCTGCTATCGAGAGGCTCACTCGTCTGGTGTCTTAGCTTCTGTGCCAGAACTGCCACGGAGAGACCTCCGACACATCCAGTTGATGGACAGGGTCGATGACGGGGCTGCAGTGACGATCCCAATCATGGTGGGTCGCGTCTTCCATGCTTGACATATAGATTCTGATTATGTGCTAGGCATCCCCGGAGTGGAGGCGGCCTGCAGCGAGGCAGACTATTCTCTCTCTGGTGTACGGACTCGGTCTCGAGCTAGCAAAGGAGATATTGCTGTATCTGGCATATGAAATCTGAGGTTGCAACGCGTGAAGCTCGAGCTCAGACGCTCATCTGCGGGGTGAACTGTTATTACTGGTAGTCCGGCTTTGGGACTTTTGGAAGCTTAGACCACGATGACTACGTACTTGTACGATGCCGGTTGTAGTGATGAAGAAGAAGAAGAAGAAATCTGTGTGTTTATACTGCAAGTAGGCGAGCAAGTGCGTCGAGGAACAGTCACAAACGTATGCTAAATTACGCACTGGTAAGGGGTCTGACGGTCTAGGAAGGATGTGGTCTGTGCTGCCATAAAGCAGCGGTGTCTTATGAGTACTGCGTTGGTCGGTGGTGGGGAGGTTGTTGTAATGTCAAAGGGATGTGTCCGCGTGAATATTCTAGATGTAGTCATAAGAGGATAGCAGCATGGGTATAGCGAGAAAAAAGAAAGAACGCCTCGTCATCGTACTCTGCTCATCTTGAATCCTGCTACCCTGCAGGTTCGCGCGTGCATTAGTTGTCCTTCGTTTGCCATACGGCTTGCCCGTCGTTTGAGGCAGCTCATACTCTGTATGACGGGTCCCGGTTGTAGTTAGTCTGCTTCAATTGGCGAGGGTCAAACCGCAGTACACGAATTCGGGATGTTCCGAAAATTTGATCTCAGAAACGCGTGTATAGATCTGGCATCCACGACGCGTCGCGCGCAGAGGTGTTGTCCGAAAACCCGGAGACGAGCATATGGGACAGACAAGCATGCGCAGTGGTAGGCTCATCCTTCCGAACTGCAAAGTGGAGGAACTGGCGGTACAACAGACTCCGAGGAGGTCGCAGGTACCTGCAAACCGGGAGGGGTGACAGAGAACATGTTAATCAACATCTCCCCCTATGGCCCACACCAATAGTAATCCCTGGTTGTCACAGAATTGAACCAGAGCATCCCTGCACTGTGTTCAAGCCTTTTAAACTTCAGTATCTCGTAAAACACACCATAGCAGGGATAGCACGTCAAGAACACGTCTGCCGTTTTCAGTCAGGAACCGCGGCCGGCACATTGCCGGATCACCGGCATCTCTTCGGCATGGCTCATCACGAGTGAAATCGTGTACTACGGCTAAGGGGGCGCGTATTGAAGCAGACCTATATGATTCCGTCCCCTCCCTCACTCATAGGCATCATTTTGTAGTCTGCCTACGGGAGACTAGGTTGTAGTGAGCTTGCAGACAATGGATGACTTTCCGTAACGTTTAGAACTAACTTTTCTAGATTTTGCGAGTTCCAACCGGAGCGTGAAAGCGTGACCCGCCCGTGACCAAGTGTGACAATCAACCGTTAGACCGGCCCAAGTGAGCGGGACGGGCGCTAATGCCTCTGATGCACGTCTGGAGAGGGTGTCGACCCCCTCTCCAGATTGGCCTGTCTGGAGAGCATTTGGTGCAATCGACTCAAGATGGGCGGAGATTCGGCTATCCGGGACATTTCCCGGAACTCCGCTCGGTCACGGTTGTGATTCCTTTCTATGGCAGGTGGTTCGGGCGCCTACAGAGCGTTTAGCAATCTGGAACGCAAAATCTAGAAAAGTCGTATCTAAACTGCGTTACGGAAAGTCACCCAATGAAAGCTTGATTAATGGATCGGGCCGTCGCGATCGGCGGCGGGCGGTGCAAACGCATTGCACGCGCCGCCGCGAAGTTTGACACCTAAGGCCTAATAACCCACACATGTCTCGACCCTGGTCAACTCTGTGGAAACAATGTCGAAGTTTTATATCCGGCAGTAAGACCGTGAAGCGCACACTCTCAGCGCTGATATGGTTGCCCTCGGGTGTGTACTTCACGCAATACTTCTACGTCCTTAAGTCCATCAAGGGAACAAGCATGCAGGTCTGTCTCAGCCGTTCTCCTGTCCGTCGACTGGGTGGTAATCGTTGCAGGTAGATAGCCTACGCTCAACCCCGACACGTCTGAGTGGCGGGACATCGTGATCTTTGACCGGTTCACGATACGCTGGTTGCGTCGGTTTGAGAGAGGCGACGTGGTAGCCCTGCGGTATGTCTTTGTGGGTTCATCTCATCGCGCGTGGAGCTCATCATGAGCTGTGCCAGGTCGCCCACAGACTCAAAATTAGTGGTCAAGAGAATCATTGCTCTAGAGGGCGATACAGTATGTGATAGCTAGGGCATGCTCATGCTCATCTTACCATTCGTATCTATTAATTGCAGGTGAAGACACTACCCCCGTATCCTGACACGGAGATAAACATCCCGCAGGGCCATGCATGGGTTGAAGGTGACAGATTGCCTCTTAATCAGTCGAGTCCGCACACTAATCGTCGTAATCCATGCGAAGGTGACGAACCCTTCCGGAGTGAAGACAGCAACTATTTTGGTCCGGTGTGTTTCACCCATTCAATTCTATGTCAAATCACAATTTTACGAATACATGCTCTCAGGTTCCTCTTGCACTAATTGAATCCAAACTGTCGTTCATCGTCTGGCCCCTGTCGCGCTATGGGCCTATCCAAAATCCCAGTATTCCCGAACCGAAGTCTCTGCGAAGGCCTGGATGGCGGCGAGACATAGCGCAAATAGAGAGGCAGCAATGGAGGAACTCTCGCGTAAAGATAGCAGAGTAGAAAGTTGTTCATTGGGTTCTGGCCAGGCCGTCAGTCCATTGGGTTGTCCATTTTAATTGGATGGGCCTACAGTTACAACCAGGTAGACTATGGTGCTGCAATACGTAATGTGAGATTGAGAAAGAAGAGTGCGGTGCGGGAAAAATCTGCAGAAAAAAATCAAATGACGAACGAACCAACTGGTAACTACACAGCATGTGCCTGTCCTGCATCGTACTCATACGTCTCGTGGTGATACGCATCATTGTAAAGAGCCCCGCCGTGGGTTTCATATGCAGCTCCACCCGCGGGGACGTGACCCTGTGGGTGTTGCGGATAAGCCTGGTACTGGGTATACTCTGGCACCGGTGTACCATTCCCTTGATGCGGATCGTGTTGGTTCGTGGTATATGTGCTGTAGGGATTATGCATCATATGTGCGCCATCGTCCGTTTTTCCGAACGGAGCAGCGGAGGAGGTCAGATGAGCTGTGCTGGCGTACTCATCGTCGTATATAGCCTGATCGTCTTGGAACGTGCCTGTAGACGGATTGTACTGATGGTACATGTCGGGATGGTGCGCGTACGGCTGATTGTATCCAGGCATAGGCGGGTAGTCCATAGGGTCGTTGTCTGCGGCGTATTCAACATACTCCGACGGACCCTTCTGCCCAGCGTAGTAGTAGTCACTGGGAGAGACGGTACTGGGGGGAGGACCACGAGTGCGCATGGACGATGCGTCATCGTCATCGTCAAGGGAAACATTCGGAAGAGTCGGCTGGGGAAGAGGCTTGACAACGAGTTCTCCTTTCTTGTTCTTGAGGTGCGAGTAATCGCCGGCGGCTTCCTTCTTGGCGAGAGCAGCGGCCTTAGCGAGACGCTGCTTGTTTCTCCTCTTAATAATCTCGGCTATACGCTGCGAGCAACCACACCTGTGAATAAGTACGAGAGGATTCACGTACTTGCACTCACCTTGTCGACTTTGTGGCAGCAATATTCCTGTACATACCCGCATTGGAAGCGGGAAGATAAGCAATGCGCTAGTCACGTACCTTGAGATTCCCCTGGATGTAGCACAGCAACGGGATGTAGCAGATACCGGCTATGATGAGCATGAGCAGGGAGAGGGCGAAGACAAGGACAGTGAATCCGGTGGAGATAGTTAGAGCTGTAGCCAGGATGTCGTTGCCAGCGAAGTATTTGCTAATGTCGTACCAAGAACCATCGTGTACCCTCGTGAGATAGAAGGCGTACAAGGTGAGAGCGTTGATCGACTGGCGGGGACCTTCAGCCAGAATGATACGCTTCCAGCCTGTGATATCAAGAACTGGTGAGATCACTTGGTGACCACGAACACATAGGCTGCACACCCTTAAATGTAAAGAAGACGAAGAAGGCAAAGTCATCTTGCTTCTTGGTGGAGTTGGAGATGTGATCGAAGAAACAGAAGTGATCATACGACCCTGTAGAGATGAGAGTAAATCCTTCCTCCGTAGAAGTTGTGCGCAGGACGTACTCAACGAATAATAGTTATGAGCCATGACATTGGTGAATGCGTATGAGATATCACGACTGGCGATGATCTTCTTTGCCTTACGTGCCTCATATGCCAGCTAAAATGGCTAAATTAAGGGTTGCGATAGAAACCTGGTACTGTGGACGTACCAGCAAGAAGGAGAAGATGATACAACCAAAGAACAGCCACTTGCCAATCGAAAATGGGATGTATACGCAGCCGTCTGACTGGTCCGGCGGACAACTGTTATAGATTTCGTTGGACCATGATTTGGTGGTTAACATGGTCACCGCGGTGAAGATGTCGGAAACATAGACAAGGAATGAGATGAACACGCTGATGTATAGGAACAGATACCTGCATACAACAAGAACAGTTAGACACCACAAAGAGCTGACAAGGCACGCGGCAAAAGTGACAACTCTCATAGGCTTTCGCCACCGTCGGACTCACTTGAATCGCATGCCAATCCCATGATCGGTGAATTCTCGTGTATCGACGAAATCGAACTATACGACACCGATGAGCAGTTGGAGTTACAATTTGACAATAAGACTTGCCTTATGGTCTGGAACGACCTCTCGCTTCCAGGTGGAACCTCCACACATGTCTATCCAAGGAATGAGCAGATATAATGATATGGGGGACTAGGGAAAGAGCGTTCAGCGACGTGGGAGGACGGCCTTGTTGAAGCAGCGTCCGGGCCAGCCAGTCGCAGGGCGAAAGGAAGGATGGTGGTTGAGAAAAGACTGGAAATGTTATTGGTGCAGGCGAGCGAGAGAACGAGACGGCAGTTGCTGCTGCCAACGGGGACCGTTAGCCGCCCATCACGTTAGCCGCCCATCACTTGGCTTACGTAATCACAAGTGTCAAAGATCAATTTGCGTTTCCTTCTCTCCGTCTGCGTGCACACTCCCTGGCTGAACGGATCGAAGATTTCCAATCTAAGGGAACATTTTGGAGCCATACATTGTTTGCAATGACGACCGTACAGAAGATAAAGGTATGTCTGGTCGACCGACCTCGAAATGACTTCAGATATAATAGCCCGCATCCTGCAGGAAATCGAAGATGAAATGGTGAGTTAAGTTGGGCTATTCGGCCGTTCGATCACTGAACAAACCGCAGGCCAGGAGTATGTTTTCAAATTCCATAGTTTGAGTTCACGCACTAAATTGCGTACTTCATTCAGCCCAGAAGAATAAGGCCACGAGCTACCATCTGGGGCAACTCAAGGCCAAGCTTGCGAAGTTAAGGAGGGAACTTCTCGGGCCGCAAGGTGGTGGAGGTGGTGGTGGCGGCCTCGGTTTTGATGTCGCAAGGACTGGTATTGCTTCTGTCGGATTCGTCGGATTTCCCTCCGTAGGAAAGGTCAGTGACCGTCGTGCCTCCTACACTCGTCTCACTGAAATAGGCTGCAGTCAACTTTAATGACTAAATTAACTGGGACACACTCGGAGATATCTGAGATCGATTTCACTACCTTGACCACAGTACCGGGAACGCTGAAGGTCCACGGCGCACCAATACAGATTTTAGACCTGCGTAAGTATACCCTCATCTTGTATCTTTTTCTTTCCTACTAATGCGTCATACCAGCCGGTATCATTGAGGGTGCAAATGACGGCCGTGGTAGAGGTCGACAAGGTATGTAGTAGAGCAAGTATCTGGTTCTCGTGAGCTAACTTCGCACAGTCATTGCTGGTACGCCAAGCAGCTCCTTCTGTCTCATGGACCGCTGAAAGCCGCTGTAGTCGCGCGCACATGCAACTTGATCTTCATTATTCTCGATGTCCTGAAACCACTTGGAGACAAGAAGGTCATTGAATCCGAGTTGGAGGCGTTTGGCATCCGGCTGAATAAGAAACCACCAGCAATTATAGTGCGGAAAAAGGACAAGGGCGGGATCGCGATTACCAACACAGTGCCCTTAACAAACGTTGACCAAGACGAAATCAAAGCCGTTTTGAGCGAATACAAGCTGAGCAATGCGGACGTTGCTATACGGCAGCCAGGAGCTACAGCAGATGACCTCGTAGACGTGATCGAGGGCAACAGGTGAGTCAATTCATGACAACGGCAATGTTTGGCTACTCAGCGCCCGGTCAGAGTATACATTCCGGCGCTCTATGTGAGTACACTAGATTACCTTTCTCGATTGATAGTCAAAATCAATATTTATGGTCACTGCAAGGTGCTAAACAAGGTCTGCATACGCATCACGTAGAGGGATCCGCCAAATCTGACAATGTTGCTTAGATCGACGCCATTTCAATAGAAGAACTGGACCTATTGTACAAAATACCAAATAGCGTACCGGTATCCTGCCGCGAATGGATGAATATCGACGAGCTACTTGACCAGATGTGGAAAACTCTCGACCTCGTGCGCGTGTACACAAAACCACGCGGATTGCCACCAGATTACAACGCGCCTGTCGTGCTCAAGCGCGGCAAGTGCACGATCGAGGATTTCTGCAATGCGATTCATAAGGAGATTGCGAAGCAGATGAAGTAGTGCGTCACCTGTGCTCCGTTGGCTCCAACACAGGCTCATCTTCTCTTTCTCGTGTGCAGTGCCATCGTATGGGGTGCAAGCGCGAAACATGCTAGAGGCCAGAAAGTCGGTCTCGACCACGTACTAGATGACGAGGATGGTAAGATCCTTCTATGGATGTTCGCTTGCCTTTGCTGAGCATGACTTTTTTCTTGCATATAGTGGTGCATATCTCCAAGAAGTAGTCCCTCTTTCGTCCTGCTATCATGTGTAGCATTATCTCCGCGTGGTTAACGATCAGTCTGTGTCGGTAATGCAAAGTACAGGGGCTATATGAGTTGAGTGGCACGATAGCGCACTACGTGAACGCACCGCGGTGACTACAGGGGAGTTAGGGGTCTGTCAATGTATACTGATAATGATACATCACTACGATGTGCAACAGTAAGTGGGGTAGGCTTTAAGGTACACAGGCAGCGCTACACATAGTCCGTAGAAACGGTCAGAAATCTTCGTCCACGGTGCTGCAGAAGGATGAGAATACCAATGTGTCAAGCAACAGAGATCGACGTACAATACTCTGCTCGCATTAGGCTCAGCAGAGACGTCTACGGTGGATGTCGACCGCGGGAAGTTCGCTCTGGCATAATCGGAGACGCGCTTCTCGAAGAAGTTGGTCTTACCCTGTAGAGAGATCATATCCATGAAGTCGAAGGGGTTCGTCGAGCGATAATGTTTCTCGAGGCCGAGAGATACGAGCAGGCGATCAGCAACGAACTCGATATACTGGCACATCAATTCCGCATTCATACCAATCAGCGCGCAGGGAAGGGCGTCTACGACGAGCGAGTGCGAATGAGGGATGGACCGTCGAAAGGGCGACACGGGAGACACGCACCTGATAGGAACTCCTGTTCGATCTCGACCGCCTCTGTTATGATCTTCAATATGACGGCGGGATGTGGCCGGCGATTCAAATTGTGATACAGCAAGCAGGCAAACTCAGTGTGCATGCCCTCGTCGCGGCTGATCAGTTCATTGGAGAACGTCAACCCGGGCATTAATCCACGCTTCTTGAGCCAAAAAATCGAGGCGAAGGAGCCAGAGAAGAATATGCCCTCGACCGCCGCAAAGGCGACGAGACGCTCCGCAAAAGTGGATTTGTGGTCGGAGATCCACCGCAAAGCCCAGTCCGCTTTCTTTTTTATACACGGTATTGTTTCTATGGCATCGAAAAGGTAATCGCGCCGTTGCGGATCCTTGATGTAGGTGTCTATGAGAAGAGAGTAGGTCTCGGAATGGATATTCTCCATCATTATCTGGAAGCCGTAGAAGCAACGAGCCTCAGCGACTTGAACTTCATCTGCGAACCGCTCTACCAGATTCTCGTTCACAATGCCGTCGGAGCCTGCGAAGAAAGCAAGAACATGGGAGATGAAATGTCGCTCGTCGTCTGTAAGTCTGTTCTCCCAGTCGCACATGTCATGAGAGAGGTCAATCTCTTCTGCCGTCCAGAAAGAGGCTTGAGCTTGTTTATACATCCGCCAAATCTAAGCAGGCAAAGTGAATCTAACCACTCGGCAAGCAACAGCTAAAACACACATCGTGATATTGAATGGGAAAGAGTACAAAGCGTCGCTTTGTCTCCATGAGCAAAGGCTCCTTGGCTGCACGCTCATCGATAAGTTCTCAAATTGCCATGTACTACAAATTGACATACATTCAGGCAAGTCGACGTCACCCACAAATCGCCCATTGGGATGGATTTTGTGGGCAGTGTAAGTATCCTCATCATAGCCCATATTAGCTGCACAGGAGCGTTTTGAGGATTGTCTCTTCAGCGTTCTCGAATCTTGGGGAGCCGTGCTTGCAGACTTCAAACTGCATTTTGGTACCGCTTGCTGGGGCGAAAGCATGTTATAGGACGCTGAGGACATGGGTGTCTCTGGCAATTTATTGACGGACAACGAGAAGAAGTCAGCGCAGCTCCTCTTCCCCCGGGAAAATCTCCGATCCTTCGGCAATGACCGAGAGCCCTCTATTCAATTTGCAAACTTGAAGACGACATTCTTGTCGCCATTGCACAGTGACAGCGAGCTCGACGAATATCTTAAAAACTGACCGTCATAGGCTATGTGTCCTTCCTCTGACCCTGTCTATTGCTACCTATTAAACAATCTGGTAATCGTGATGAACCACTGGCTATACTTGTGAGTAGCCTAGGATACGCTGTGCCAGTGTGCGACCTAGGGCCTTTTCCTTTCTCCACCTCCCTTAACATTACGGCGAGCGCCTGAAAATATACATTAATCCTTGTCTTCACGTCCTTTAGACCTTTCTCTGCTCAGAATTTATATGAAGAGACATTGGCGACTGCGTACTGGCAGACATGTCTCCGGTTTGAAGGCATGCCGGATTGGAAAGACATTAATTCCCGCCAGCCTGATGAGGCTGTGTGGACGCATCTTGGAATATGTATTGGTAGAGGCATCCGCTGAAGAAGGCCGCCACAATGTTGTGAGGGGAGTTTTGACACGTTTATCCTCCAGCGATTCTAAAGAGCGGTTGGCAGACCTCGCGCAATTCCATTTTTCCACAACTTTATTCGTGCTTGTAGGCCTGCTTTCACTGGTGTAGATAAGGTGCATTCACACCATGCTGATAATTCCAAGACTCACAGTTAGATTCGCCAAGGGCCCCGTACCATCGAACTCGTATCGTTCTTCTTGACTGTCGTTCGACATTGCCGCTCAGAATATCAGTCAGCTGCTCACGAAGGCTCGTCAGGACTACAGAGTCGCCAAGGAGGTCGTGGGTTGTGATCTTATTGTTAGCTGAGGAGTTTCGATCCGAATTTCCACTTGTCTAATCGCGAAGTGCCTCAAGCGCGACGGTTATCAATGTGTAGTCATGAGGAAGTACGACACGGCCACGAAGAGGATCGTGAGCAAAGGGATCAACAAACCGCCAGAGCCTGCCGACTATACCGAGCTTGCGCATATCGTCGCCGAGTCGAGGAAAACCGGTATCCGAGATGAGACCCAGGTTTTGCCCTCACTATTATGAATCACACGTCCTTTCTCATTGATCATAATCTCTGGCTCAGCCTGAATCCACTGCCTCTGCGTGGGCAGCCCTGGAGCATTTTGGTAAGGTCAAAGTTGCCGATGACCACTTGAATGGTATGGCTATCCACTGTCTCGAGAATACGATGACCTTGTTTCTAACTGGATGTCATCACTGTACTTGGAATTTGGTTGAAAGAGACCGTGCGTATATTCTCAATTCTCAATTTCGTCGATAGGACTAAATCACTCCCAGGGCCCGCATCGCTACAGAGTTTGCGCTGTACACACGTTCTACTATGATACTGAACCTCGGCTTCCAAACTTCCAAACTCCAAATTCAGCTCACGATCGCTGACTCCGTGTTTCCCCTCCCCGATCCTCATCTCCTCATCCTCCATGCGGCATGTGCGAAGGTAGCTAACTTCTCTGGAGCAGCAGAGTATGTGGATGCAATCTTTAAAGACATGGATTAATTGAAGGTATTAGCGTCTTGCGGTAGTTCCGCTCATGTATTGTCGGCTGCGTTGTCTCAGGTTGACAGCAGGCCAGTCGCCATTCAGTGAACTGTCGCGTTCCCTTGTTTATTTTTGACCCGTTTTGTAACTTTATTTCAAAGAGTGCTTGTTGAGTGCAGGTTTTTTTCATTTGATTAGGTTTCGGATTATTGCCATTTGCGTAAGAGTTGGCGGTGGCGCGAGTCGCGCGCGTTTTGCGCCAAACGACCTCCAGCCTTGCGAGGGCTATATCTCGCGAACCGCTGGTCAGAACCCCGGACACATACATATTTTCTGAATCCCCTCACTGAGAAGGTGTGCGCCCCATGGTCAGAAGGCCGGTTTACTGTAGCTGGACGGCAAGCTGGAAATTGGGTCTGTATCATAGTATGTAGGCTGTATCTCTAGAACTACAAAAGACACCGGCATAATTTTTACATTTCTATAGTCCCTTGGTATGCTAGGAGTGCGCCCCATGGAAATTCGGGGCAGTTCTTACCGATGCATGCTGTGTTGCCGCCACCCTCCTCGCCGTTGAGCCACGTCGCGCGACTTGCCCTCATACTCACACCCTTGTTTCTTTTGCACTATTGCTTTCTTGATATCTTACTTCTTATAATTCTATTGACCTGCTACTCCTGGCTTGCATGAGGGGCAAGCTCACAAAGCGAAAGTCTACAGCTACTGGCTCTCGCAAATCCAGGAAGAATACTGAAGATGTACCGCCTCCGAGTCCTGCACTGCCTGCAAGAGAGCAACACTCTTATCCGAGACCCCATCTCGTCATGAGGGCACCTTCACAGGCTTCATCGGACAAGGTTGATGATGCAGCCCGAGCACTGGTAGCCTTGCATGAAGAGGAACTAGAAACTTGTAAGGGTAGACAGAAAGAAAAAAGATAGCCACACTCTCACCCTAATGTCAGTTCTTGTCAAGGCACTCTTTCATCTGCGAAGATCTCTCCTCAGAAGAATGCGAGAAGCAGTGTGATGATGTTGATAGTCCTGCAGCATGCGCTCAACTGTATGCTTCTTGCACTGCGTGTACTCGACTATCTTGGGCAGATCAAGCCGGCAGACCATGTTGACAAGGACCTGGCGAAGGTCATTGGAGAGGGCCTTGCCCCGAGGCATGAGTACGAGGGCAAGTCGCGCGACGTGGCTCAACGGCGAGGAGGGTGGCGGCAACACAGCATGCATCGGTAAGAACTGCCCCGAATTTCCATGGGGCGCACTCCTAGCATACCAAGGGACTATAGAAATGTAAAAATTATGCCGGTGTCTGTTAAGGCTGGTGGTTTCCCAATCAGGAAACATATATTAGTCAGCACATAGGTATGTCGGAGAACATACTGGAATCTCCTAGAATTACTGTGTAGTATAAATATATGGCCCCAACCGCATGAGCCCCTCATGCGCTTGTGACCCATGGCCTAACAGCCGAGTGAGTAGTAGTGATCAACCTCACAATAGTGTCTTTTGTAGTTCTAGAGATACAGCCTACATACTATGATACAGACCCAATTTCCAGCTTGCCGTCCAGCTACAGTAAACCGGCCTTCTGACCATGGGGCGCACACCTTCTCAGTGAGGGGATTCAGAAAATATATATGTGTCCGGGGTTCTGACCAGCGGTTCGCGAGATATAGCCCTCGCAAGGCTGGAGGTCGTTTGGCGCAAAACGCGCGCGACTCGCGCCACCGCCAACTCTTACGCAAATGGCAATAAATTGTTGGAGGTCAGGGCAGTGCCTGGTGTACGTTTGGATGCCCGGACTCCTGCGTCTCAGTTATCGCATCTGCCTCCACAATCTCGAGCATTTTCCGTTGTGACCCTCTCGTCTCGAATCCAGACGGCTTTATCTAGGAAGGGGGGGAAGTATACAGAGGCACAGCACCGCCCTCCTATCTACCGTTCTTCTTCCTCCAATCCAGCCTTTCCCTCACCTCTCGTAGTAGTTAACATTGCACTGCGAGGCCGTGCCACGATCACGTGCTAGGTTTAGTCACATCTAACAGTAACCGCTCAATTCCGACGCGGCGACGCCCGTAACGTGTTTACGCTGTTTGCAATACGATATCCAATGGCTTTGTGCAACCAAGGCTGAGCAGTGGTGACACTTGGACAGAGGCATGGCCACTGTCTACGGAGGAACAGGGCCAGACCCTGAATGACGGTTGCGGTGACAAATTGACGCGTGACAAGTGTGACAGGCGTGTCGCGTTTCGACGCGGCGTGACCGACGCGTTCTTGTTGAATGTGCAAAATACGCGCAAATCTCCAAGAACATATAAAACCCACTGTCTCTTCTCGCTCTTCCCCACCGCCACCTCTACCACATCGACTCATAGAGTCCACCTCATCCTACTACATCTTCCTCACTACCTCATCGATTACTTACAATGTCTCTTGCTGGCACTAGCACCCCGCCTCGCCTCCCGTCTCCTGCCCCTACTCCGAGCAAGAAGGTTAGCCTCACGTCTAGCCGCGTGCTATTAGCCCCCATCTGACTGTGTTTCATAGGCTGCAGCAGCCATGAGCGCCATGGCCCTCGCAACACCGACCAAGCCTTCCAAGAAGGCCTTAGTCTCTCTCATCGACGACGAGCGTGGCTCACATTCACCTGCTTCTTCCTCTGAAGCCGACGAAACCAAGGTGGACATCGATGTCTCAGTATATCGTGAACAATGGGTAGGAGAGGTAGATCTCCCCGAGAGTACGTGTTCGACCCGTCTTCGCTATGTTTCTCCCTTCTGACATCACGTACACAGAGATGGAGCCCCTTCTCATGGAGACCAAGCGCCGCTTTGTTCTATTCCCAATCCAGTATCATGAGGTATATACATTTTGCCCTTGATGCCTGAGTAAACGTTGATGGCCACCTTCACAGATCTGGCAAATGTACAAGAAGGCCGAGGCGTCGTTCTGGACGGTCGAAGAGATTGACCTCTCCAAGGACCTCCACGACTGGAATAACCGCATGAATGACAACGAGCGCCACTTCATCTCACATGTACTCGCCTTCTTCGCCGCGTCCGATGGCATCGTTAACGAAAACTTGGTCGAGAGGTTCTCCAACGAGGTGCAGGCGGCCGAAGCGCGCTGCTTCTACGGCTTCCAGATCATGATGGAGAACATCCACTCTGAGACATACTCTCTGCTTATTGACACCTATATCAAGGACCCCAAGCAGCGCGGCTACCTCTTCGACGCCATTGAGACGATCCCATGCATCAAGAAGAAGGCAGACTGGGCTCTGCGCTGGATCTCGGACGAGCGATCGGCTTTTGCTGAGCGCCTCGTTGCTTTCGCTGCCGTCGAAGGGATCTTCTTCTCCGGCTCGTTCGCATCGATCTTCTGGCTGAAGAAGCGTGGTCTCATGCCTGGCCTCACCTTCTCCAACGAGCTTATAAGCCGTGATGAGGGCATGCACACAGACTTTGCGTGCCTACTCTTCAATCACCTGAAGCGTCGCCCTCACCCGGATGTTATCAGGAAGATCATCGTGGAAGCTGTCGAGATTGAGCAGGAGTTCCTCACAGGTAAGCGTGACATCGTGTTGTATCTTGCTGTTTCTTATGTTCATGTTTTCATCGTAGTGGCCCTGCCATGTGCGCTCATCGGTATGAACGCAGATCTAATGTGCCAGTACATTGAGTTTGTCGCAGACCGTCTGCTTGCCGCGCTTGGTGATCCTAAGGTCTACAATGTTGCGAACCCCTTCGACTTCATGGACATGATCTCGCTGCAAGGCAAGACGAATTTCTTCGAGAAGCGCGTTTCGGATTATGCTAAGGCGGGCGTCAGTTCGACGTCGCAGGGTGATGGAAAGGTATTGTAAGTATTCCTGTCGACCTCTCTCGCCTCCATGTTGTCTTATTGTTTCTCCACAGCTCGGTCAACGAGGACTTCTAGATGTCGCACAGTGCTAAGCTATGATTTGTTGCATTTATCTTATTGTCACCATTTGTACTCGTCGACAGCCCTATCGTTGATATGTAGACCTGTGTTATCATTAGTATGCAGCCCACTGTACCCAGTACCTCCGTTCATACATTTCATCAGAATATCGTACCATCTGAGCTTGGTTTGCATCGTCTGTTTTATGATGTGACTTGTTGAGGAAGTTGACGAATTGTAAGGCCCTATTCGGGATCCCGATAATCCGGCCGCTGTAGAATCCTCTGCCCGCCAAAAGTTAAATGGACTCCAGAATGCCCAATATGGCTACAGATAAGATGAGATCCCATGTTGCCGGGGATTTGCCGCTCACGTGTTAAAGTCGAGACTGGTCACGACAGACCGAGACTGATGTGGAATTAGCCAATCGGTTGCTCGGCAAATCACTCCCCTTCCCAATGAAGATGTCGGTCAGGGCTCGGTTGAGGCTCGGGCACCTAAGCTAGGGTTAGAGGCTCTGGGCCAACGGTCTTTTCATCACATGACAGGTGTGCGATAATCTCTGCGCTGTTTTGGGACATTGCTAGAGCGGCTCTATAATGATTATCGGGATCCCGAACAGGGCCTTAGTAAGCACCTGATGAAATGTGATTGATAAGGCTGAGATATGTGTGAACGTAGCGTGGAGTATGAGGTCTCCGAGACATTCACATCGTATGTGGAGCAACGTACAGTCGACTAGTACTATCAGTAACCCGGATATGCCATATGGCCCAGAAGTGCCATACTTTTTCTACAGTTTGATCCTCTACACCGATTGCCTCAAAATTATTCAGGGATGCTCTCATGAATTGCACTTCAACACTGTAAAAGTTTGAGAATTAAACGTGGCCCACTTGGGTCCCACAAAATTCGGGATGTATTTGGCTGGTACCACACCTCGGCATGTCTCCAAAATGTTCAACACTAGTCAGAAAAATCCGAAAAAATAGTCGCTAGTATTCTATGTGCTACAGAAACAATCTCTGGAGTGCCGAAGACAATCGGGTAAGGTAGTGTGTAGCGGGACCAGAAGTGCCATATTATGGCACATCCGGGTCATCGATAGTATTGCCTTTGATACGACTGGCTATTCCTGAGACGTCGATGTTGAACAACAACGGTCGTATAGCGATACCCGGGGTACGTGGCGGTCTGATGCACTGGGACAAATCACAGTCCTAAATGCTGGTCGTGGACCGTGCGGTATCTTCACCAGCTGAACTAACAAATGATCGACACCGTCAGAGTTCATTTAAGCCCACACTCATCGGGGTAGAAATGGCACACACAGTGCTGGCTAACGTGTCTTCTTCGATTCCACAGTAGTCACGGACGGCCCAGCTTGCGATTCTTCAAGGACAGACATGATGATATAGGCAACGAGTACTACATTTGCCGCTGCAACCGCGGTGATAGCAGCGTATGTCGCGTTTCCTGTGAAATGGAGTTGGCTCGATAACGGTACGGACAGTTGACGACATACCTGCCCAGAGATAGTCCTTGGAGAGGAAGTAGGCAGAAAGGGGCGCAACTGCAAGAGATAGGCTGAACAGAATGAGCTTAATGAGGACACCACTGTCATACGCATGAGTCGTGGAAGATATTGCGGGGAAGAGCAGGGCTTATACTTACCCTTGCTGAGCGGCTTGGGCACTAACTTTCTCCACGGCGACTTGTTCGCTCATTCTCGTGAATAGTTCGCGCAAATTTGTGTCGCACAACAATATTATCCCACCTTTAGTACATACAGGTGGAACAAGAACAGAGTGGACGTTGAACGTTGAATGTTCAACGCAATTTGTCGTATTTAGATGGCTGCCTTCGCACGTGATGGCGACTTGACCTCTGAAACTTTGAGTTGATTTACTAAGTGTCATATCTGAACACTCTACTGGCAGCCTTCACTGGAAAGGCCTTGGGCAAATATCACTGCGCGATGAAGCGAATCAGCATCTCGACGCCCTCCTCGCCTCTTCGCCGTTTATCTGAACACGAGATTACTCGACCTGAACCTATTCCCGAGCCCGAGAAAGGGGGGGTGGCGGCACCAGCAAAGAGGATATTTTGGTCCATCATTTCTCCAAGCGAATGGGATATTCTTATAGCTTCGACGTGTCTCAAGCTCCTGCTCTTCCCCGCCTAGTATGTCTGACGCTTATACTGTCTGCGCTCCTCTATAAGCTGCTTCGGTTGTAGCAGGTCTACCGATTTTGAAGTGCATAGAAATTGGCTGGCGATCACGCATTCTTTGCCGCTATCGAAGTGGTACTACGATGTATGTCTCATGCCCTTCGTCACAGGGAGACTTCGCTCATTATGTTATCGTTATAGACTACTTCTGAGTGGAGTGAGCCTGTCTCACAGCTTTTTTCTTCCAAGTTACTCATGAAAGACTCATACAGCCCTGGACTATCCACCCTTTTTCGCCTATTTCGAGAAGCTATTGTCTATCCCCGCATACTTCATCGACCCCAAAATTGTTGATCTCAACAATTTGAACTACGACGCATGGTCTGTTATTGCATACCAGCGCACAACAGTAATATTGACGGAGCTTGTACTGGGTGCAGTCGTGCTCAGGTAGGTGCTGCTGATAAAACCTTTTTTGCAAATACTGATGTTCGAAGATTTATACGGGGGGCCGTAGATGCAACAACTCAAAAATTTATATCTGCTTCACTCTTTCTTCACCCTGGCTTTCTCATAGTAGACCACATTCACTTTCAATATAATGGCTTTATGTTCGGGATTCTCTTATGGTCCATTCTCATGGCACGCAATGTAAGAATATATGCAAAAAGAGTGTCATTATTCCTCATACCTACTCATGGGAACCTTACAGGACAACAAGCTCGCGAGTGGGCTGCTCTTCGCCATCCTCCTCAATTTCAAGCACATATACATGTATCTCGCGGTGAGCAATCTCCCTGCTTGATGTTCACGTCACTCGTACTAAGTATTTCTCTCGTGAACGCAGCCAGCGTACTTCGTGTACCTCCTGCGCTCCTTTTGCATCTCCCCATCCGGCGAACTGCTCACCACCGAATTCCTCACGCTCGCCAACATTGTTATCTCGGTGTTCCTCCTGTCGCTAGGACCGTTCTTGCTTATGGGGCAGTTACCGCAACTTCTCGGTCGACTTTTCCCTTTCACTCGCGGTTTAAACCATGCATACTGGGCACCAAACGCCTGGGCGCTGGTAACCGCGCTCGATCGGGTTCTCCTACGATGTGTGTACTTCGGCTTAGAATCATTGTGCATAGTTATCTGACTTCATATGGCACATGGTAGTCATTAAGTACGGTCGGATCCAAGCGTCAGTCAATGTCTCCGGAGTCGTATCCACCTCCCGTGGTCTTGTCGGTGACACGGTCTTTGCGGTGCTCCCGAACGTGAAGCCGATACACACCTTTGCAATAACCATAGCTTTCCAAGCTGTAAGTCCACACTATCTCTTCTATGTAGTTTATCAATTTAGAGTGAATGTGTGTGTTAGCTCTATCTCCTGAAGCTGTGGAAAACGCCGACGTACAAGTCGTTCGTGACTGCGTTGACCTTGTGCGGATACACGTCGTTTATGTTTGGCTGGCATGTGCACGAGAAGGCTATTCTTCTTGTTCTCGTACCACTCAGGTATGCAGCTGCGTCTGGTCCCCCTAATTGCATTGAATATAACCCCCTTCCCAGTCTGCTGGCGGCAGAGAATCACGCGTACTTCCGGACGTTTATGATTGCGTCCGTGGCTGGGATATTCTCTCTGTTCCCATTGCTGTTCACTCCTGCAGGTTAGTCTCTGATTACTACTCGCTGGGAAGAAATCATTTCGAAGACTTCGTGAACAGAGACCCTAGTTAAGATCATCTATTCTGTCCTCTGGGCCATCATCGTTTTTACACCTCTTCATCGAAGGGTTTACGAGTGAGTATTTCTTACTTTGTCCAGCAAACTGTAAATATACTGTGTTCACCTTACACAGATTTCCCCGGTCCCTACCTTTCGTCATCATTGACAGTCTCGAGAAGCTGTATCTAGTAGGCTTCGTGCTTCTCCAGCTATTTGTCACACTCTTCTCTCTTTTTACTGTCCATAGCTCCGCGCCTCACTCGGAGAGTACACCAATATGTACTGCTGTGGAAGGTGTCTCGTGTCCTGAACCAGATCCGTCTTCTGTAGTCGTACGGGCAGCAGCGCTCGAGTTTCTACCATTGATGCTTACGAGTGTGTACTGTGCTGTGGGGCTAGTGTGGGCTTTCATGAGATTGTCGTTGATATACCTGTGCAAGATGGATTAATCCTCAATAAATGTGGCTTGTGATTGAATTGCAGTCAAAGACCGATAAGATTAGATCTAAATTTTGGCTCGTGCACGATCGCCGATCTACATAGCTCAACACCTCTTGACCTCGTTCTGCGATGGTACGCACTCTGACGGTTTTTCGGACAGTTCATTGACGCAGAAAAACTAATGGTCTCTAGATCCGCCGTCAGATTCGCGAACGCCGCCAATATATCTACGCGAAGTCTCTGGAAGCTCAAGAGCGCCAAACATATGAGCGGAAGCAGCAGCTGAAGGATGCTCTGGCTACGGGAAAGGCTCTTCCAACAGAGCTCAGGAAGGATGCGCCGAATCTTGGCAACGACCTGGCTTTTGATGAGGCTCAGACTGGTACGCCTGTATCATGATTTTCTCGAGGCGTTTCTAAACTTTCTGACATTTGCAGACCCCACTTCCCATGTTGACAATGAGTACTCCCGCGCGGGTATGCAGGACCCGAAGATTATCGTCACGACGTCCCGCGATCCCAGTTCCAAGTTGATGCAGTTCGCCAAAGTGAATGTTTTATTTTACACCGAGTAAGCTCAACTGACCACCATTCACGCAGGAAATGCGCCTCGTGTTCCCTAACTCACACCGAATTAACCGTGGAAACTACGTCGTGAAAGAGTTGGCAGAGGCTTGCAGAGCGAATGATGTAACAGACCTGGTAGTTCTGCATGAACATCGCGGCACACCTGGTGAGCAGCGGCACTCGCATCATCCTGGGAGGAGGCTCACCCAAATGCAGACGCAATGATTGTCTCGCATTTTCCACATGGCCCTACAGTGTACTTCACACTCCACAATGTCACGCTTCGGCACGATATCAACTCGTACAAGGAGTCCACTGTCTCTGAGCAGTACCCTCATCTCATCTTCGAGAACTTCAGTTCTAAACTCGGAGAGAGAATTGGAGATGTACTGAAGTACCTCTTTCCTGTTCCGAAAGAGGATAGCAAGCGTGTGATGACCTTCTCAAATGAAGACGACTTCATCTCATTCAGGTCAGTGTCGTGTGACCCCAGTCCCTTTTAGAGAATGTCATTCATGCTCTACAGGCATCATGTTTTCTTGAAGATACCTCCACGACAAATACAGCTTGCAGAAGTCGGACCTCGCTTTGAGATGAAACGTGAGCTGTACCCTTTCTTTCCTGGGCACTACTGGCTCACATCCGTCTAGCATATGAGATTCGCCAGGGAACTATCGAGCAAACAGAAGCAGAGCGGGAATGGGTATTAGCGCATTACTCAAGGACGGCAAAGAAGCGCTCGCTGTTGAGCGGGCCTGCTCCACGTCCTTCTACGACGAATGAAGACTCCGAGCCGAACCCGAAGAAGCGGAGACAGCGGTAGTACAGGAGGGTATATCTGCCTGACCACTTCCACCTGGTGTCACTCTTTGTGATTATCGATCGGTCTCCGAGGAAGTTTGCGACCAGGAACAGTTGATTGCACCTGCAGGAGTAGCACCGTAGTCGAGATGTCGCTCTGTCGCTCCATTACAGCGGCTCCGGCTTACACGTACCATATCACCTTGCAGAGAATGATGCATGCCAGTGAGCATTTGATGTGTGCGTCTCAGACGCCTAGTCTACATCTAGTTTACCTGGACATGTACTTCAGTCCACGTGTAATTGGCGATCCACTGCTGCGAAACCTTCGAAAAAAGAAGTAAATAAATCAATGGCTGCCTGGACGTCGTGAGAGCCTGCTATTTCTCTGATGGAGTGCATGGACAGCATCGCGCAGCCAACATCAACTGTCCGCACACCGATCTTCGAGAGCATAGGGCCAACGGTGGAACCACATGCCCTGTCCACAAGAACGTTAGGTCTAACTCATGACAATGAACCACGTAAAGAAGAACACGCACATATCGTTACGAACTTCGTAGTTCTGCACATTCCCGCTCTTTCTCTCTATCAATTTCTTGACGATGAAGCTGCCAATCGCATCGCTTGCATATCTCTGTTGCGCATTCGTCTTAATCACAACTCCACCATTCATCTTCGGACAATGGTTTTCTTCGTGCTTGCTCGTGTAGTTTGGGTGAATAGCGTGGCTCATGTCTGCACTGATGAGGAAGGAGCGTGCGACTGACTGAGCGTAGGCCGCAGATGTAGGAGATAGTCGCTGTAACAGCGACGGGACCAAGGATGATTCGGCGCCTGAGGTCGAAACAGAGCCTATTTCTTCGTGGTTGAAAAGGGCAATGCAGTTCACGTTGTCTTCAAGTGATGAGAACGACTCCGCGCCCGCATAGCTCGCAATGGCTTCCACGGCTGCAAATCTGTCATGGAGGTATCATTATCGGTATCATGGATCGCGGTAAGGATTATGTACGAGCACAGCTGGTTGTCCAACCGAGGGCTGAATATGAATTCATTCCGGAGACCTCCGAAAGTCGCCGGTTGAGTGTCGTACAGATGCCTGTAATGAGCTCAGTGTAACGACAGTGGGATTCGTGGAGCCTTACAACTCAAAGTCGTGGATCTCTTCAGGAGCGACGGAAAGTTCTTCCGCTAACACCGCCAGAAGAGTTGGGTCATGGTCATCCTGGATGTCTGTGGCAGACTTCCGTGTCTTATTCTGCATCTTCGGACTCTCCGAGCTCTCCTGCGCGGAATTAAGTTGCGATTCAATCTGGCCGATAATTGGGACGAATTCCGTCTCGTGGTTGAAGACGAACTTGTCATTCGCAGTCCTGTCCACTGATGCGAAGGGTTCAGGTATGTAAGCTCCAAAAGGCGAGAATTACTTACAATGGATGGCGAGAGTCGGTATTCTCAGTAGAGGCCTCTCGATCTTGATGAGCTTCGATGTGAAACCCCCGCTTTTGTCTTTCAGAACAATCCTGCCCGCTAGCGATAAATCGCGATCTAGCCAGGAATGCCAGATGCCCCCGCCATACAGCTCCACCCCAACCTGGAGGTAGCTTGCCTCGGATTTCTTTGATACGGGCCGTACCTGAGAAAAAATTAAGATCGACGGAGCGAAATGAGGCATCGTAATGGTCTCTTACTCTCAGATTCGGACTATCCACATGGGTAGCAACAATTGACACCCCGGAGCCCGAGGTCCATCTCTGCGGAATTGTAAAGGCTAAAAGAGCACTCTGATTGCTGGGAGGAGGTGGTCACATTAGCAAATCAAGCACTACGGCGCGTCTGCCTACCGCGTGAAATAGTACTTTCCCCCAGCCTTCAACTCCTTTTCCCAGTCATCCTTCTCTCTGATCTGAGCTTGGAAATAAGACAGTGAGGGACCAAAAAATATGGGCACACGACCTTCCGAAAACCAGCCTTCTCCAGCCGAAGCGATGCCGAGTGCACCGCATGGAAAGGAGTTGGGGACGAGTTGACGAAATTGAGCAACTTTAAGGCGGCTTCAGGACTGGGCTGGTACATCTTCATCGTCTGGAAGAACTTCAAAGGAGTGGCACGAGCGATGGCGCGAAATTGGTGTATCGCGAATCTTGCGGGTCCGTGGCTTCGGCTGTCGCACGTCAGACCGCGACACGCCGACTAGCACACCCGTGCGCAACCCGACCTTCACTATGTACTGTACTAGAAACGGTGAAATGGATGAAGTCAGCCGACTACACCAACTACGTGGCTCGGGTACGGAAAAGCACCTCGTTCGCCAGCGCTAGAGTAGAAAGAGCACTGTATGTGCTACCGTCATCATATGGTAGCCACATGTACAGTAAAATCCTAGTCCAAGGCCTGTTCTCCTTAAAATACATGTAACTATAAGCAACCCAAAGCCCCGTAGCCCGAAGTTTTTCATGCATTCCGGATGTGGAGAGTTACCACATTTTCACATTTTCATTATTCTGCAGGAACGCTATGTACAGAGATGCATGACAGCACTGCAGCTGGGATCCGGCGGTCGATACCACTCCTACGTTAAGAGCAGAACTCTGCAGGCGGATTTGGCGAGCGTTGGTGGCGTCCACAGTGACCTAACTCTTCCGTATCGGAGTAGTGACCACCCCGCTCCCCCCAATATGTACAATAGCACAGATATCGATCTTCGATCTTCCCTGCTCTTAATATCATGAACCCATGACGACGATGAACGCGACGGCGAACCTTCAGGTCCCGTACCCGAAATACATAGCACCGACCTGCAGGATGCACTTATAAGGTGGTGTGGCTCGAGAACTTCAGAATTCAAAGCAGTCGTATCTGTCGTTTCTTGCCTCGCCATATACGGGTATCGTTACTCTCTCATAGAGACATTGGTCACAATAGCCCTTGGACGTCTATAAACAGAAAACGAATCGGAAGAAGCAGACGCGACAGGACTACCTGTGCAAAACAACCGAGGAAAACCCAATGCGCCATTAAGACAAGGACGCTCACCGCATGAACCACTGGGGTAAAACCGTGGTTCAGAGGATGAGTTCTGATCATGCTTAACGACGAATCAACGTACACTATGTGATACAACTCGGTCACTTCTCGACCGAAGACAAACGATCAATATGGTTTGTGTCTGTTCTTCTTCAACTCTTTCTCAAGCTGCTTGGCTTTCCTGTGACCAATCTCGACCTGATTGACAGAGTTGTCCGCCTTCTTCAATTTCACAGGTCGGTTGCCGACATATTTCCCTAAAATTTATCATTGTTAGGTCATGCATAGGACTTCAATAGCCAACTTCATACCATCCATTTCCTTCCAAGCTCTCAGGAAGTCTTCGGGATCAGAAAATGCGACGAACCCAAACTTGGCCTATACACAAATTAGCTTTCGGTTATACGCAATGAACTCTACACTCACCTTGCCACTCAGTCGATCTCGGATGACCCTTGCTTTCTGAAACGAGGGATACTTGTTGAATGCGTTCGCCAACACGTCATCAGACACATCATTACTCAGGTCTCCAACGAACAGGCGGAACCAAGCTGTTCGGGGCACGAATAAGTAAAACAGCAGAATAAAACTTCCTTGAATACTCACAAGGACTCCACTCCAGCAAGGTCTGATCTTCCCAGACCTTCCCAGCACCCTTGCGCAGCACCGTTGTCCTCTTACCACCTTTGGCGAGTTTTCCGCCCGCACCACCGCGCTTGTCTATCATTGCGCCCGGAACGTACACGCTTTGCTGTGCCAGAATTCCCACATCGTACTCGTATGCATTGGCTGGTACAGGTGCGGTGTGGGCAGACGTCGACGATCCGGGAATGGGATACATTGGACCCTGATAGGGTTGATGATAAGGGTTGACATCAGTGGACTGTTGCTGCTGATATTGCTGGTAGTAATTCTGTGCTGAGTATGGGTCCATGTTTAAGGAACGAGATGCTTCGGCGAGGAGTACTGAGGAACGTTGACCGAGAAGAAGAAAGCCGCGAGGCTGTAAGCGATTGAGGCTCGTGTCTTACGGGGTCCTTCCACTCTTACGTAATCACAAAGTCGGACCGTAACGCTGGTTAGTGCAGCACCGTTGACAAGCACCTCAAGAACCCACCTCCGCCCCAAGCTCAAGCTCAAGGTGAATACACATAGTTGCGTTGGGATCCACTGGTCACCACTACGGTCACGTTTGTCTCAAAACTTGAAATGTCGAGCCAGACCAGGATGGATGGACCAGTAAACACCAGATGAGCCGCGCGAGCTGACTATCCATTACCAGATGCCATTCGTCAAAAACATCAAGTCGGACGCCTACTTCTCACGTTTCCAGGTCAAGTACCGTCGGCGGAGGGAGGGCAAGACCGACTGTCAGTCCATTCAATATTGTGCCATGTTCCGTTCTGATCGATCTCTTCAGATTACGCCCGCAAGCGGCTGGTGACTCAGGCGAAGAACAAGTAGTGAGTATCGCTGGCCTTCATCGCTAACAGAATGCATATCGAGGCTTGTGTCCATCCAGCAACGCTCCCAAGTACCGTTTGGTCGTTCGCTTCACCAATAAAGAAATCATAGTGCAGATCGTCTATGCTCGTCTGCAGGGAGACTTCGTTCTGTGCGCCGCTCGATCAAAGGAGCTACCCCGCTACGGGATTAACCATGGTCTAACAAACTGGACTGCTGGTGTGTTCACCCTTGTTCACGCTCTTGTAACCGCTGACTGAGTCCCGTGCGTTGGTCTCTCTTAGCTTATGCAACCGGTCTCCTTTGCGCGCGCCGTGCCTTAACCAAGCTTGGGCTTGCGGACAAGTACGAAGGTGTTGCGGAGCCTGACGGTACTATCTCCTTGATCGAGACGCTCGACGATGAGGATGCTCCCAGGCCGTTCAAGTGTTACCTTGATGTCGGGCTCAAGCGCACGTCAACTGGTTCCCGAGTGTTCGGAGCCCTTAAGGGTGCCAGTGACGGCGGTATCTACATCCCGCACAACGAAAAGCGCTTCCCTGGCTACGATCTAGAGTCGAAGGAGTTGGACAGCGAGGTGCTAAAGAAGTACATCTTCGGTGGTCATGTGGCGGAGTACATGGAGTCCCTGGAAGAGGAGGATGATGAGAGGTGGGTATATGCAGGTGAATCCACTCTCTGTGTTTGCTGAACGACGCTTTACAGGTTCAAGAAGCAATTTGCCACCTATCTCGCCGATGGTATTGGCTCAGAGGATATCGAGGAGATCTACACCAATGCGTACGCTGCCATCCGAGAGGATCCTGAGTTCAAGCCTACGGAGAAAACGACCGACTGGAGGGCGGAGAGCGTCAAGTTCAGGACGCCCAAGACGACTCTCGCAGGACGCAAGGCCAAGATCCAGGCCAAGATCCAGGCTTTCCAAGCAGGTGCTGATGCGGTCGCGGATGAGGATGAGGATGACGCGGAGTAGAGGTCCTTCCACATGTTTGCCGGTTACGCGTAGGCTATGTACCTTCCGCTTGGCGTTTCCTACCTACCTATGTTCAGCCGCATCACAGATTTATGACATGCCATGCTTTCTCCATAGTACGAGTTTCATACCGATCGTGACACTAAGTTATGTTGCCCACGAACATACCAGAGAACGTGCGCGTATGCAGGTCACAGATGTCAAGCTGGCCAAACGTGAATCCAGATTCCGAAGCTACAACATGAAGAAAGGACTCACAATGTGTTATTGCAGGAGAATGTTGAGACAATGCTGTTCCGATGGCCCTTCTCGTCCACTCAAACAAAGATGTTCCTTCGCCTTCTCGAGATTGGAAACTCTGCAGCAGGACCGCTGCGTGAGTATTTGCACGGTTCATCCTGGAAGCTGTAGCAACTATGCTAGGTTCTTTACCGAAGGATACGTCAAAATTCCTACAAGGCACATGATGAAGATGGCCGCGAGGAATGACGGAAGACACGTACAGGACACAACCTTCCCATCTGCCAACGCTCCGCCCCGTCAGCATATCTACGAACCACATCCCCTTCACACGACTACAGAGCTCGGAGCCAATCTCACATATCCTGGCGAGTAAACATTGTCTCACTTCATCTGCCAAAAGTTGAGTCAACTGAGGTATCGAAGTTATGGGTAGCGTAGCTTGGGGAAGATGAGCGATCAGAGAGGACGGTGCGAAAAACGTAAACCGCAAGGTACTCCTGGTGAACAAGAGCTCGCATTAGCCAATCAATAAGAACTACTGTTACCCTCACCGATTGTCTACCCGCAGCCGTGCCTCTCCACCAACTGGCTTCGCTTTCCCTTGTCTAAAGGACATGAGAAATTCTTCCCCAGTCCCACCGACGGCCTCGAAGTGAGATCTTGTGGGCACACATGCTTGGGAAAGCGCATCAGATATCTTATCCAATTCGCCGTGGACCCGCTCGCAGAAGACACGATACTGCAGCATGTCAATGATCGGCTGCAACAATGGGGGCGTATGGACAACGCTTGGTGGCGCCGGTGCGCGGTGTATACTCATGCCAAGGCGTTCGGACTTCAAGTATGCATGAGTACGAAGCAGCAGGATGTGCAAGAGCCCGGATATGAGATCACAGATAGCATCACCGTCTCCGGCGCAGGCCTTGCTTTGTGACGGATCCTTATCTACCTGCGAAAGTATGGATCGGCAGAATGCTATTATGCGAAATAAGGTACGCACAAGCTCAAACTGAAGATCAGTAGCTTGAGCGGCTTCGATGACAATCAACCTTTCAGACACGCGAGCTGAAGCCGTAGGAAGATGGCTGGCTTCTCTGATGAGCGCAGAGAAGATCTCCTGTTCTACCACTTCTGCCCGTGCTGCATGCAGAGATTGCCCGACCGAAGAACCATCGAATAGAACCATCCGATTTTGAGTGGTGTGGCGGACTCCTCTTCCATCGGTTGTTGTGACAGTCACTTGCAGTCGAGTATTTTGACGCGACGGAAACTCGAGGGCACTTACGCGGTTGTCCTGCATGGACATACGCGCGATCGCTCGGCGTCGGAAGAGAGGTGGCGCTGTCGCATATTCCGCTTAGTCCACGGTTCTAGAGAGCAAGACCTCGCTTACATTCTTCGAGACCAAAAGAGACCAGAAAATCTTTGGATGTTTTGTCTGCACCTTTGCCAGTGGCCGATCCGAAGGGCAGAGGGGCAGGAATGAGGCCCCAATTCCCCGTTCTGATTTTTAAAGCATCGACCCAGTACTTCTCCGCCATAACTCGCCCAGTCTCCATTCGGTCTGCGGCAAATTTGAAAAGATCTGCTGCATTTCTCAGTGCTTGATCTTTGCCACCTGCGGCGAGTTGGGCATTAAAGGCTTGCACAGAAGGAATCGCAGGCTGTTTTGTAACGACTGTAACGGTTAACGCAGATGGCTGTGAGCCAGAATTTGGTGCCACCTGTGGGATATTTGGAGAGGAGAGTAGGAGAGCAAGTAAATCCCGAGCCTGAGACATCTCCCCAAGAGCAATACTGCGTTGAAGGGGTCAAATACCAGTTGAACACCATCCGGCCTGAACGCACTATAGCTGCGGGAGGACTTCCATTCGCATTTTCAGTAGCTCATCCGCATCCATTACGTGCCGCTTTTCTTCAAGACTGCTCTTGTCTCGCATTTCTTCAATCGTGGGCTCCACCTTTCGTTGCTTATGTCGTTTCTCGAAGAAGTCAAGCCCGCGTTCCACAAAGATTCTGCGTAAGTTGTCTCCCACAATCGCATAATAATCTTCTTTTCTGGAGAATCGTTAGAAGTATGACGTAGTTGACAACAACTTCCTTACGGCTCATAGATGAACTCCCCGTCCGGTGTTATGTCAAGTAGTACAGGTATTGGGTGTCCTTCGTCGTCCTTATAAGGTCTTTCAAGCGACAGCTTGAGTTCCTTCCAGGGAGATCCGTCCCTCATGCTAGAGCCAAGCAATCAGAGGTGTACTATGATGAGAATGCGTTGAGAATGCGGGTGCGTTGTAAGCCACTTTAAAGTGTAGAAGTGACAGTTGGAGCCACAATGATTAATTGGCAAACGGCGCTGCGTATATACTAGATATGGATCGACTGTCATCCATAGCCATATATAGTCAGCAACGGAGACTAGGCGCTGCGGGCCGACAGAGCTCTGAGTCAAGTCACGATGTTTCTCAAAAGAGCAGCTCAATGCTCAGCACCGTTTTCTCTCCATGTCTGTTGTTTAGCAGATGCTACTCACGTCCGTGTCTATATTCTGTCTTCGAAGCTGACATGATCAAGAACTCACACCAATCGACACCTGAAGGCACTCCTGGTCCGTCTATGAGGCGAAAATCAGAGGACGAGGACCCAAACAGGATCAGCAAAAAGCCCAGAACGAGAGTCAGGTACGAGCATCGTTGCTAAGATCGGGCCCTTCCTCCGTGTAATTCTGAAAAAATCCTTAGTTATTCGTGCGGTGAATGTCATCGTCGCAAACAAAAGGTCACATTCGCCCAAATGTATTTTCTCGGTAGCAGATGTACTGACCGCAAAAACACAGTGTGATCGACAAATACCATGCTCCCATGTGTGTAATAGCACCTCCCAATGTTGTTCGCGTCGCTGACCTCGCACATATTCAGTGTATTGCCAGGAAGGTTCCGGAACTGTGCAAAGCATATACTCCAGGCAAGACCGACCAAGATATTCATGTGCGATTAGCTAGGCTAGAGCATATCATTGAAGTCGCTTTGCCTCAATATTCGTCACATGGCAACACTCCATATTCAGATGGACATGCAGGAAGCGAACGTCGTCGATCATCCTCTCTCGGTCCGGATGAAGGAAATGGTTCACAGCCTGAAGAAGAAGACCCAAGCGGTGGAATGCTCGAGAATGGGAGGTGGTACGGCAAGAGCGCTTCAGGAAGTGTTGCTGCACCAGTGGTCCTAGAGCAGGTATGTTACATAGCTGGTGCTTGAAGGGTCATTTGGTCAATTGTCTACGCAGTTACAGCACATGGTGGTTCCTGGGTCGGCTTCCGAACACATGTCCTCAGGTAGCTCACTATCTGTGAATACGCTTCATACCGACCTTCTAGCTGAGCCAAAGCTATTAACTACTACCCCGGAGCCATCAGCTGCGGACAAGCTCAAGCTCCTCATTCGCGATTATGGCTTTGCTCCTCATAAGGTCACTGAACTCATCAGTGAACTTCCGCCCAGGAGTCTATCTCACAAACTAGTCGATTATTACTTTTCTGCGATGTATGTGACTTTGGTTGATGGACATTGGGTCCTACACTAATTTCGCCACGATACAGTAACTGGACCCGCTACCCCATTTCTGAACGCGATTTCCGCGCTTCATACACTTGCATCTACACGGAGGGAACTACGATAAATCCCAACAACATCCGATTTCTCCCTCTACTATTCGTAGTTCTTGCAATTGCCATCAGGCTTGCTCCTGACGGTATAGCGGGCGATGAAAGTTCACGAAAATCAACATCTTCACGGTTCTACTGGTCCTGTAAGCAGCTGTACAGTGTGACGTTGTTTGTGTTATTCACTTGGCTTGTAGCACGTCGATCACTCCTCATCGTTGCTGCTATTCAACCAGATTGCTTCGAGATGGTTTTGACTCGTATGTTAGTGAGTATCTGCCGCGCCCCACGAATCTTCCGAAGCCCTCAATATTTTGTTAGAGTGCTCGCTTCCTCACCCTCGACCGTCGGATGACTGAGTCCTGGAGCCAGCTGGGCGCTGCTGTGAGGACTGCACAAGCTCTAGGTCTCCATCGAGATGGTGCGGCTATGGTAAGAGTATTCGCGTTTAGTCCGTAGGTGATAGAGCCTTATCTCAATATTAGGGCATGGATCTCGTACAAGTGGAGAAACGTCGCCGAATATGGTGAAGCATCGTTGTTGTTCTGATCGTGTTGTCTTGCTAAGTGTGCGAACAGGGCTCACTTATATCATGCCGACCGGTCTATCGCTCTCGTTCTGGGAAGACCAATCGCAATCCAGGACGAGTACACCTCCACATTGCCTCCTACGAACGTGGAAGACATTTTCGCCGAACTCCGTAATCCGCTTCCTCTCACCACCCCGACACATGCAACTTTCATGATTCTCAGGAATTCCCTAGCTGGTATCATGGGTCGCATGTCACACCACTTCCAGAAGGTGCGATCTGCAAGTCACTACTCGGATGTGCTCGCCCTGGACGACGAACTGTTGAGGTTCATGCAGACTCTCCCCCCTCATTTTGCCGTCGATCCGGACACCTCACTTGATCAATCGCACCCATACATTCCTGTACATCGGTTTCTCCTTGTCACTGAGATACTCTTCGTGAGACTCACGTTAAATCGTCCCTATCTCCTGCGGCGCTTAGATTCCGACCGGTACATCCGTTCAAGAAAGGCCTGCTTCGAATCCGCACTAAAAGATTATCAGATCCGTCGAGCGTTTCAGGAATCCACCACGAAGCAGGCCCGGGATCCAATCGCTAGCGCATACCGAGAATTCCAGGCTGCCATGATTTCTGGGATCTATCTTGTCTTGTACCCAACAGGGAGTGACGCTGCCGCTATGCATGCGGTTTTGGATACTTTCATCGAAGCGCACGAGCGTATCCCTGAGCATGACGAAATCACGCGCAGAGAGGTCAAGATAATTCGCTTCCTGAAAAGCAGATCTTCACAGATGGCGGGTAACGCAGATGACTCCAGAGAACACATCATGACGGTTGACTCCCCGTTGATGTCGGGCAAGCATGAAGTAGAAGCTCATCCGCTGCTCGGTCACCCTTCGAGAACTGTAGGCGTCACCTCGAACTTCATGCCAACTCCAACATACAACGGTGAATCGTCGACATCCGCCATACGATCGTCTACATTGGCACGCTCGCACAACCCCAATTATGCGCATCTGAGTCATGTGCAGCAGCTGCAACACGAGGAAAATGCGCATTCTGCGAGTGGCAGCCCTAGTGGAGACGACGATTCCACTGCGCAGTCTCTATTGGACCAGTGGTGCAATGTATTCAGCGGTGGACCCGCCGTTGACGATTCCATGGGCACCGCCGGTCTTCCATGGGGAACGCCTGGACTGGCTGATCTTTCTGGTTGGCTGGGCTCAGCCGCTTCGCCTCTTCTGGGAAATGAACCTCTGCCTGGGGTAGATGGTTCGGATTGGAGTTACTGGGAAACGCTGGTGAATCAGATACGTAGCAGCCCTGTGATTTAGTTCACCGATCAGTCTTGCATTTGCTTATTTGCTTGCTGGTCGCAGTAGTGCTATGTGATTGATGCATCACGCTCTATTTACATTAGTAACCAAAATCGTAATATAGAACTACCTCTGAAGCGATTTTTGTGCAATTGCAAGGCAGCCATTAATATTCTTTCTCGTACCATATTACAGCCTCTACTTCGAGGGGGAACAGTGCAGACCCTCCACAGGCTCAGGACATGCTCACAACTCAGATCAAGCACTCAGAATCACGGTGAGCGGCGACCAGTGACCGTGGTGGAGCCTACTGCACTCCCTGGAATACTGTATACGTAAGTTGCGATCGAATGCAGATGAAGTCACGTGACAGTGCAGCACCATAGTAGGCTTCGGTTTCTCTGTGATCTGCTCGTTCACTGTCTTTTCAGCATCTTTACTCGATACCACAAGAGTACCCTGTCACTGTCAATATATGCAAACTTTGAATCGATTCTTATATGGACCAACAGCGGAGGAGCGAGTTCGCGCGTGGCAAGGAAAGTTGCGACAAGAACAGCGTACCTTGGATCGGGAGATGAGGCAGGTTCGGTTCTCCCGTATAGCCTCCCGCTTTGTATCTCATTGCATTCTAGCTAGATGCCGTCACTAACAAAGCACGGCAGACGGTCAAGCAACTGGCTAATAAAGGAGACATCAAATCTGCACGCATACTGGCAAGAGAAGTTGTCCGGAGCAATAGGCAGAAGGACCGTCTATCTGTGAGCAAAGCACGGCTGGGCTCAATAGCGACACAACTCATGCAGCAAATGGGTGCGAGACCTATTCTTGTCAATTCTGAGTAGTACTCCCTATCTCACGTAGATATTAGCTATGGCAAAGGTCACCGGCTCGCTGCAGAAGTCGACCGAAATCATGAAGCTGTCGAATGCTTTGATCAAATTGCCACAGATCAGTCAGGTAATGCGTGAAATGAGCATGGAGATGACGAAGGTATTGCACTACAGAGTTGTCGTCCGGTTATAGGGATACTGACCTCATGCAGGCAGGTATATTGGAGGAAATGATGGATGATACACTCGAAATGGAGGATGACGAGGAGATCGAGGAAGAAGCAGATGCAGAGGTCGATAAAGTGCTCTTCGACCTTACCAACGGGAAGTTGGGCCAGGCGGCATCAGTTGAGACCGAGCTTCCAGTAAGCTGTCATACCACTGGTCGTCTCATATCTTTGACAAAAAATACGCAGTCACTTCAGGACAAAGTGGACGAGGAGGAAACCGAGCGGGCTATGGAGCAGTATCGGCAACAACTGAATGGGTTACTTAGTGGTTAGCACCCAGATCAAGAATATCTTCTTTCCGCGTGTTTCGGATGCCTGTAATATTGTATATATGTATTATAGAGGTACGCGTGGGGTGAGTGCATGGGGAGCATTTAGACAGCAGTATTGATCGAGGACAGGAAACGCGTCAACTCTCGGGGCACAAATAACTCACGCGTCAAAGCACGTAGTGATTGTACCTCACACAGAAGGTGATCCAAGAGAGCAAATATTGGCAGGAAATCGACCTACCGTCTCCTACCGAACGTATAGGCCGCTACGTAGTGCTGGAATACCTGCTCCCCGAATTGGAGGACGCGGATGATCGCGGAGCTGATGATGTTGGATTCGGTCCGAGAATCGGTCCTCGGAAGAAGTGTCTGCACGTGATCTTCCACTTTTCGGAGCTCAGGTTTCGCGGCTGTCCTGCACCGACCACATAACTTGCCTTTGAAAAATGTTGTCTTCCCGGACATTTGTGGGTGGTGCGCGGGTCGCAGTGAGGGGCTCAAAGGTACGTATCTGTTGCTAAGCACAGTCAGGAATCAAAGTCATATCTTGGACAGTCGTTCCGTCGGTATGCCTCCGCCGCGCCGACCGCTGCTTTTGCTGGACAGAAGGGGAGCAACGTAAGGCCCTGCATTTTGCGACTATCTCTTTACGCGTTAAAATTGCATGCCATAGGGGAAGTATACCGTGACATTAATTCCGGGTGATGGTAAATTTGTAGCTTCGTTGTTGGCTTAACCATTGGTGACGTTGACGGCAGGAATTGGGCCTGAGATTAGCAAGTCGATCAAAGACATATACGTCGCCGCAAATGCATGATCAATCGAATACGCATCTTCTATTCTCGCTAATCATACTGTTAGGTGCCCATTGAATGGGAGGAAGTCAGTGTCGCTCCAGTACTGAAAGGGGGCAAGACGGTCATTCCTGACGCAGCAATTAGCTCGGTTAAGAAAAATACGGTGGCGTTGAAGGGTGTGTTACGAGCTCTTTGAGATTACTGTATGGTACTCACGTTCTCCAGGACCTTTGGCAACTCCAAGTCAGTGGACATGCGGCTGTGCTCACTTTCTCGTCTCATGTGCTTTTGCTAGTCGGAAAGGGTCATGTCTCTCTGAACCTCACACTGAGAAGAACCTTCAATCTCTTCGCAAATGTGCGGCCATGCGCGTCCATCAAGGGTTTCAAGACACCATATGACGATGTGAACACCGTTCTGATCCGTGAGAACACGGAAGGCGAGTACTCGGGCATAGAGCACGAGGTTCGTGTCGATTTACTGCACTCGCTTTCTGATATTCCATATGTGTCACCTCAGATAGTGGACGGTGTCGTCCAATCTATTAAGCTCATCACTTGGGATGCGTCTGAGCGTGTTGCACGTTATGCCTTCCACTACGCGCAATCATCAGGCAGAAGGCGCGTCACTGCTGTGCACAAGGCCAACATCATGTATGTATTCATGTTCAGACTTGCAGATTATTATCCATCTGTTACTCCGTAGGAAAATGTCGGACGGTATGTTCCTGTCTGCGTGTCGTCAGGTCGCCAAAGACTTCCCGGATATCACCTACGATGAAGACCTATTGGACCGTGTTTGCCTTCAGGTCTCGCTCTGGATGTTGTTGGCTCTTTCTTGTCGATGTTAATCGGTACTATTGCCAGGTCGTGCAAAATCCGAGGCCCTATGCGGATCGTGTCATGGTGATGCCCAATTTGTATGGTGATATTTTGTCGGATATGTGTGCCGGTCTCATTGGCGGACTCGGCTTGACGCCGTCCGGTAACATTGGTCGGGTTAGTTTACATGCGTGCAATACCGTTGTATAAGTACTAACGCCGCCATTAGGATGCGTCAATTTTCGAAGCTGTTCATGGTTCTGCTCCGGATATCGCAGGTATGTGATGTCTCCTCTACCTCGGCAATCTTATTCAGTGATTACAGGCAAGGGATTAGCCAACCCCACTGCTCTCCTGTTGTCCTCTCTCATGATGCTCCGGTATGTCTGTCGTTAAGCCAGTTGAAAACACCTGTGTGAAGCAATTTCTTTTCCAGGCACATGAACATGGATGAGTACGCTTCCAAAATTGAGAAGGCAGCTCTATCGGTAAGTTCCGCCTTACCTTCTTCCGGTGTGCAGGGGCTCAAAATATCCCGTTGTAGACAATCGCCGAGGGCAAGACCATTACGGGAGATCTCGGTGGCAAGGCATCGACGAAGGAGTACACGGATGCTATTATCGAGAAATTGTCCCAGGCATGATAGATTCATGATAAATTACTCGTTGTGAAGCATAATTAGTGTCTCCAACACGAAGATTCCTTAATTTGCTGCAAGGTGCTGTACTGAGGGCATTCTAATGGCTCTGTTCAGCACCACGGTCGAATGTCATCGAGGTACCGTGCTTGCCGATGATTCAACTCGAGGCTTGCAAGATTGACTAGGCGTGGGAAATACTGTACTGCCTCACCTGGACATAAGACTGACGTTGCGGTCAGTGTTTGCTCTTGCAACGATAAGCCAAGCTCTTCCACGCCTACCCAGGCAACCACTCCCATAAACCCCACTCGCCCTGCAGGGCAAAGCCTTCGCCATACAGCAGTTCTTCCAACTTTCAGGTATGTCATTGTTGTGTTCGCACTGGCCGTACGCACTGATGCGAATTGTAATCACAGAAACTTCGAAAACGCAAAAACAATTCATAATCTCCAAAACATCTCTGTTCGAACTACTTTACGAACGATATGACCGACGACATCACACAGCTTCAGCAGCAGAACGTGTCTAAGAAAGACGACAAGAAGGCGATTCCTGCTGGTGGTGGCGGAAGGAGTCAGAAGAGAACTGGTCCTGTTGCTCGAACAGCTTCCATAGGTGGCGGAAATGCTAGTGCATCCAGACCGTCTTCGCGATCCAGCAACAAGAAAGGTAATGCTCCTGTCGCCACTGAATCTGGCTCGGATTCCGCGAAGAAGGGAGCGGAGGCCAAAAGGACAGAGCAACGCAGTAGGACTCAGGGGAACTCCAATGCAAGGTCGAATGCACATCGTAAAGGTCAGCAGTCTACGTCTCAAGGCGTTCGCCAGGGTGCAAACGCTCCCAAGGATGGTGCTGCGGCCAAGCAGAAGCAGGCGTCTGCTTCTCCAGCGCCTGCCCCGGTCGTCGATAATAGCGATGCTCTGTCTTCGTTGCAGAGGGTTATAGCGGATTTAAAGACGACTTCACCTCCTAGCCAATCTCCCAGCATTGCGCCGACGTTGATTGCGGCCTCAATGGCCGTACCCTCTCAAGGAAACGGCTCGACTCTACCTGCCAATGCTCCAATATTTCACCCTGGCGCAATCGCATTCCCCAGTGCTGGTATTCCTGAACCTCCCAGACATCGTAAAGCAGCCTCGTTGGGCACGTCATCGGGCGTAGCATACAACTCGTATTCTCCTAATTTGGGATCCATGATGGAAGATGTCGAGGATGGGCAGGTGCAGGCTCTGGTAGAGGAAGGAGAAATCCAAGAAACTTTAGCTCCCGCAGGGCACCAGCGTCGCTCGCTGTCCCAGAGCTTCACTGCACCTCGGTTTGCTGCTCTTGCTGCACAGCAGGATCAGGGTGAAGTGCTTGGACCGTCTGGTCGTCCTCAACTTGCCCCAGGATTCATGTTTGGTGCAAGGAGGCGCCCGAGCGCCAGTATGTCAATGGGTCCTTCAATCAACGAAGAGGATATCGGATTCCAGTTTCCTCAGCAGTCACAGCAGAGTTTCAATGCTGACGTGAAAGCTGATAGCGGACCCGAGATATCTGGTATCATGGCAGAACAGGTAAGGACCTTACGACACTACGGAGTAGTCATTCTGTTCACAATGGCATAATTTGTCAGATTGCTATTCAGAACCAGATTGAGGCTCTACAGCAACAGCAGCAGGCCCTCTATCAACAACAACTTGCTTCCAATCAGGTTCTGTCTTTCCAAACACCCGGGCTTGCTCCTGGACGAGGGCCTGCTCACCGACGCGTTCATAGCACCGTTCCTATGGGGATGGGCATCAACGCTTTCGGTGGGCCACAGGCGGCTATGGGTCAGTTTGGCAGTCTGGGCAGTCTGGGAATGGGATTGGATGGCCAACCTCAAGGTGTTCCGCGTGGGCATGGTAGACGTCACAGTGTGAACGTCTTGAACAAGACGAGCGGCCAAACAGCCCTGGGGTCTTTGGGGTTCAGCAACAGCCAGGATGGTTTTGATGACGGATTCACACCACCCGCTGGCCTAGCGGGTGGGTCCTCTCATACTCGCTCGGATTCTAGTTGGCGAATCAGTGCGTATCGTTTGTTTTGTCATGTCAATGTTCTCAAGAATTTACATTCATTGTAGACGGTGGAGTGGGTGGGATTCAGACGGGCAATAACTTTGCTGCCGATCTTGCTCAAGCGCAAGCTCAATTGCAAAGTCTCCAACAGTTCCGTGCTGCTGCGGGAGGTCACCACCAGAAGATGCCCTCTTTCAGTTTCCCCAACATGTTGCCCAACATGATGGCCGCCAACATGATGGGTCTTGGCTTGGGTGGTATTAATTTGCTCCAGCAACAGCAACAACAGTTTCAATCACAGCTCCAGCAGCAATCTAATCAGCCTCAGCGCAAGTCGTTGTTCGCTCCTTATCTTCCTCAGGCTTCTCTACCTCCACTTCTCGCTGCGGGCAAACTTGTTGTTGGAATCCTCCGAGTCAACAAACGTAATCGCTCAGACGCATATGTCGCAACAGAGGTTCTGGACGCCGATATATATATTTGTGGCTCCAAGGACCGTAACCGTGCTCTCGAAGGCGATATTGTTGCCGTCGAATTGTTGGATGTTGACGACGTCTGGGGCACGAAGAAGGAAAAGGAGGAGAAGAAGAGGAAGAAAGAAGAAAACTCGGCATATGATCTGAAAGGCGTCGCTGGACGGAAGAACGACAAAAAAAAGGATGATGTGGAAGTTGAAGGACAAGGACTAATGTTATTTGAGGATGAAGAGTAAGTCGTTCTTGATTGATTATATCTCTGTTTGCTAACCAGCGTATGCAGAGTAACGGATGATGTGAAGCCTCAATTCGCTGGCCATGTGGTCGCCGTTGTGGAGCGGATGCCGGGGCAACTGTTCTCTGGCACACTTGGTCTTTTGCGTCCGTCCTCAGCAGCTACAAAGGAGAAGCAGGAGGCTGAGCGTCGCGAAAGAGAGGGCGATCGTGGTGACGAACCCAGGCGCCCGATTGAACGACCCAAAATTGTTTGGTTTAAACCTACAGACAAGCGTGTGCCTCTCATCGCCATTCCTACCGAGCAAGCTCCTCCCGATTTTGTTCAGAACTCGGAAGCATACGGCAACAAGCTGTTCGTTGCTTGCATCAAGCGTCATGTAAGTTGGTGATAGTGGATGGTACTTACTGCTAACCAACGCATCCTCTTCTAGCCCATCAGTTCTCTTCATCCTTTCGGCACGTTAGTCGAAGAACTTGGCCCTATAGGCGACGTTGAGGTGGAAACGAGCGCCTTACTGAAGGACTGCAACTTCCCCACCGAAGATTTCAGTGAGAGTGTGATGAAATGTCTTCCCCCCATTCCTTGGAGGTAAGTGTGTTCACTCTTGTCGCCAGCTCCCTTCAAAGACGCTTTAATTTTCAGTATCCCTGAGCGAGAATTTGAGGTCCGCAAGGATATGCGCAACGAGAGGATCTTTACCATTGATCCTGAACGTGCCAAAGACATGGATGACGCCTTATCCGTGAAGTCCAATGACGATGGTACTTACGACGTCGCTGTACACATCGCGGACGTTTCTTACTTCGTCAAACCCAACACTGCTCTGGATCGTGACGCTCGCAAGCGTGCCACAAGCGTTTATCTAATTCAACGCGCCGTCCCTATGTTGCCTCCGGCGTTGAGCGAACAACTGTGCAGTCTTGTCCCAGGTGAAGAGCGCCTGGCATTCACTGTCATCTTTACTATGACGAAGGACGCCAAGATAGTGAAGAAATGGTTTGGCAAGACTATTATCAAGTCAGCATTCTGTTTCATCGTCTTGATTCCCGGATCTGACTTCGCAACTCAAGGTGTGCCGCCAAGCTCACTTACCATGATGCTCAGACTATCATCGAGGGGAAGAGTGTTCGCCTGGATACTACAACGGAGCACACCTTAGCCGACGTCATCCGGGACGTCCGACTTCTTCACGATATTGCAAAGCAGTTGCGCACGCGTCGCATCCAAAATGGTTGCTTGAAGACAGAGACCATGCGGTTGACCTTCAAGCTCGACGACGACACAGGGCTTCCGACTGATTGTTGGCAGTATGAGCGTACGGAAGCGCATCATCTCGTGGAAGAGGTCTCTCTCTGAAATTTTTTGTCTCACTCGTGCTCACGCTTGTTTTCAGTTTATGCTGCTCACGAACATAGCCACTGCTCAGCAAGTCGCTGTTAACTTCTCTGAACAAGCTCTATTGCGTCGTCATGATCCACCTATTGAACGACGACTGGTGAGTATTTGGTTCCTTCGCTAGCTATTCGTGAGCTGACAGCCATGGCAGAACGCTTTCGTCGAACATGCAGAACGCCTTGGATACAATATGGATATCACTTCTGCGGGTTCTCTGATGAGGTCGCTGCAATCGATCGACGATCCCATCGCACGCAGGATACTGGAGGTTTTGTTGCACAAAGCCTCCCCTCGGGCCAAGTACTTCTGCTCAGGGATGCTCGATATAGCCAAGTACGGTCACTATGCGCTGAATCTCCCCTTATACACCCATTTTACGTCTCCGATCCGACGGTACGCCGATGTTCTTGTGCATCGTCAGCTTGATTCAATTATGCAGGGCGGAGGTGACTACTTACTCTTCGATTACTGCACCACTCCGGCTGAACTCCCGTCTTTTCTAGCCGAGCCGAAGTTCACCATGGATCGCGACGCCGTTGCAAAGGTTGCGCAGCAGTGCAATATGTGCGCAGGAGCTAGCTCTTCACTTCTTCCACTTTCTAATCCATTTTCATCTACAGCAAGAGAGATTCCGCCAGGCTTGCCCAAGAGCAGTCGGCGCATCTATTCCTTTGTATCTTGGTCTCTGATCTCACGCAGCGTTATGGGCCTGTCGTTCGGCAGGCTAGGGTGATAGGAGTGCTGGATGCTGCCTTCGACGTCCTCGTGCCCGAGTTTGGCATCGAGAAGAGAGTTCATGTTGACCAGATGCCTATTGACGTGAGTCTATCTGGTATATACGCGTCATAGTTTGCTAAGCAGGATGATATACCTAGAACCATGTTTATGATGAGCACATCCACACTCTCCAAATCTATTGGTCAACCCGGGACGTGATCAGTTGGCTCGCTGAAAATAGTGACGACGAGCATCTGAAGAAAGTCAAGCAAACAGCCGAACAACATGCTGTCAAGATGGAAGTCGTGTCTAGGTCCGTACACGACGAAAAGGCGTTATTCGACGAGGATGACGCGGAAGAAGACGAGATTGTCCTTGGACGTACCCGTGATCGCGAAGAAGAGGAGACTGAAACGTCGAAGCAGCGTTTGTCATCGAAAACCAAAGTGCAACCGCAGTTTGAGGGTTTGAAGGTCACGCCTTCTGGACACAAGATTCAAGAGATCCGAGAACTCATGACCGTTCCTGTAAGTGAAATAGTAGTTATCGATGTAACAACAGCTGAATTCCGTTGTGTTGTCCTGTTTGCAGGTTATCGTTACCGCGGATCTTACCAAGAGTCCTCCTGTCATCAAGGTGTACAGCGTGAACCCTTACGCTGGACAGAAGTAGAGGGCGGAGTAACTGATTTCCTTCCACCTCGGAGCGTCAACTGTACGATATTCACGAAGTTGATCATGCATTCCTTTCCTCTCAACCGTCTTTCAACCACCGTCCGTTTCTTCAATTGTCAGAGATACTCTCCTGCTACTCCTGGCTCACTTACGTCTGCGCCGCGATGAGTCTCCATCTACTGGTTGCGTCGAGTGTACGTTGGTAATTGTATGTCTTCACGACCGATCGAAATGATAGTGCTTTACGGATATGATGGAATTTCGCTACACGTGCTGGGTTCATAACGAAGAACAGCTTTTCAAATAGCTGACAGGCAGCGATCAAGTCAATTCCTGCAAGAGGGTAGACAGTTGGTGGCTCCGCAACTCCTTCGCCTCTTCCTGTCGCTTCCTACTTCGAACCAGCATCTCCTGTAAATCAAAATTCTTTGACCGCCTCTTCGGACGGACTGAGGACGTAGAGGGCGATAACGCAGATGGCAAGACCGCGTGAACGCTTTCATCCGTAATGGGTACGGGAGACGGTGCAACGGTTAAGGGCGCCACACAGCGCTCACGAGAAGTCGAGTATGGATTTACTGTGTTCGGAGCTTGTTCGGAATCATGTCTCGCCTTCTTCTCCGCTACGCCCTTGTGCCCTTGCCTCCTGGGAGGCGGGAAAGATAACGGACTGTCGCTCTCGACATGGGCAGCTCCTCTGTAACCGCACCTCTTGCACGACCTGCGCAACAGTCGCCTGAACGACGCTGCATTTTTGTTGTTGCCCGGGTCCTCACGGTTCCTGTACGACCTTGTAAGTCTGGTTTCCCCACAGCCATCGACCAGTAGAACACCACAACGTGGGCAGTGCAAAGCGTTCAGAGCGGCGTCGGTCGGACGAAGAAGACGCGCACGCAAGGCATGCAGAGCTGCAAGATCTGGAGATACAGAGGCTAATATGAAAGGGAGCTTGAGCTGGTAACTTTCTGTCGTCGTTGCCATGAATTAAAGTTTTCTTCAGCGGTGATCACCATAGGCGCTGGGTGGATGGCCAAACAAGGCAATCATTGTGGTAGCCAACTTCACGTTTCTTTTGTCCCGTGCGCCCATTGTGTGTACGCCCTCAAGAATGGCTATGGACCCTTTGTTCTGCTGCGCGCGTGCACAGCTTCACTCTTTCATCCACCCACCACCTCGTCCATCTTTCCACCATGATTCAAACCCAACGCTCTCTAAAGTCCCCTTCACCTCCTCGTCCTTCTCCTGCGGAAGGTCGGGTTCCAGTCTCTCCCCCCGTCTCGCCCAAGACGCGCAGACCATCAATAGGACCCAGGTTTCGATTTCCTCTCGCTTCGTCGAAGCCCACCAAGCCCATGCACATCTCCGATTCGAAGCCCACCAAGGCCATACACATATCCGATCCTGTGCTGAAAGACGTTTGCGATTTTCAGCGGAATCGTCCTCTAGGCTCGGGGGCGACAATTGTGCAGAGTCCCCAGGAAGCATGGGCTCACGTCCTAGGTACAGGTGGCCCTAGTCTCGGTACAGAGGATGAATGTGCCGCTCTGAAACAACAACAGTCCAGTTCTGACCGTCCTCCACTCCCACCAAAGTCCGACGCAGGGACAACCGTTGCTCGTCGCTCTAATACTCCGGCGCGGCCATCTCGCCCTCTTCCGGCTGCGCCGGAATTGGGAGCTGTCGGCCAGGGTTCTCCAAGAATTCGTTCCCTGAAGTCGTCGTCGCCCTCACTCTCCAATCGGTCTCCCCCTGCATCGGACGTCTTCACCGCAGTTGCATCCGTACCGCCTCCGCCATTCGTTCCTCTTTTGCAATCACAGGTTCCTCCAGGGATTTCCGACCCTTCCAGAGTGATTGTATCAATAGAGACCAGCACGATGACCCATCGCACGACAATGAAAACCCTGATGTCACGACCTTCCTACCTGGCCACATACCTGGAGACCCTTGTGCTTTCCCGCGAATCTGACAGCATCTCCGAGCGATCTGAAAGCGGTGACACGGAGAGATTTTCGAACTTCTTTCGTGACACAGAGCCCGGGGAGTCTTTCAAGTCCATTTTTGTCCATCATCTTATGTCTGAAGGGGTGGTGCCAATGTTAGCAAACATCCACATATTTCTGGACAGGCCCAGCGAGTCGTAAGAAAGTTTCTCTTCCTGATATCTTTATTTCTTTGTTGACAGTCGGATGTTTCCCAGATATTCCCATATCCTTACCTATTTGCGATCCTCTCCCGAGAGCCCTGCTACGTTACCTAGGACAGTTCAGCTCACGAGCAACTCGCCATCTCGACTGCAAACCCTTCTCGAATTGCGCGACGAAGCTCATTTCCTGGATCTTACAGAGCTTTACCAACTCTGCTGCGAGGAGCTCCGTCAGCGCCACACTGATAGCCTTGGTTTGGATATGTGCAGGTTTAGTGACTCGACCAACCCATCTTCCCACAGTCTCGGCGCAAGTCGCGAATCGGTGGATAACGCTGTGCCAAGTTATAGGGCGTCGAAGGATTCTGGGAGTCATGAAGTTGGATTACGATCGCCTCTAGGACTGCAGCTGGATCTGAGTCCGTCAGGTAGAGCTCCACTTGGGTGCCCAAGAACCTCCACGAATTGGATTTGAACGGTAAGCCATCGCGCCCTTACCGTCTGCCTGGTGTCTTCGCCTGACAAGACTACATACTTCAGACTTGTACCCACATCTATCCTACGCCACTCATTATTTCACATCTCGCGCGATCTCTTACACAACTTCTCAATTGATATCTGTATCCGTAGCCAAACATACGCACTTGTATTTAAGCCTTGTGATACACTGTAGGCGATGATGAGAATAAACTGTCATTTCTTTGGAGCCCAGAGGTCATACACCTGTTTGTCGGATGGATCGAAACACGTCACAAGGGAGGGATCCGCGCGGATTGTGATTTTCCGCGTTGGACCTGCTAGGTGGGCAGATAGTATAGGTCCCCCGGGGGTTCGCGACATGTTTGTGAAGGTAGAGGATGTCGGCGAGACGTCGCCAGGGACAGACTGGATTCCGCATCAATTCCAGCGCATGCACGGTTGCACTTTGCACCTCACCTCGGGCAAGCGACTACGAAGGTTTATATCTGGAGGGGGAGACTGTGCGATATGTGGCTCGGTATGACCGGCTAAGAACATACCGTTAATGCGATAGCGACACCAAGATGCAGAAGCAGAATTTACATGAGGATGGTACTGGGGAGGACATGGTTTTGTTGAATTGTTGAACGTGCTTGTGACGTGATGGAACGCGTCTCACGCGTCTCAGCTATCGTCACACCGTGAAGTCACGCGCTTCGCGCTTGTTTCTCTTTCAATCTCTCCGCTCAACATGAACATCTTCAGGAGTCGTGAGTCTAGAGACTATGTCCCGCATGATGCCACCTAATTGCTTGAACAACTTTCTGAGTCCTCGGAAAGGTTTGGCGTGCGTTCCAGTCGCTCAATACTCTCTGCCACTTCTGACATCACTTCTCAGATGATCCCAATGCCGCTGAGGTTGTCAAGATCTCGGAGGGTCAGCTCTATCTCGTCCGTTCAGGGACCATACGAGGTGCCAGAGAGTGCATGTATGTTTGTCGTTACTTGGGAGGCTATCACTGAATTTGCGCCACCAGTTACAATGACGCCATGGCTACTATTCGCCGTGTGCCGTCTCTCGAGCACAATTTCCAGCTTGTAATCACCCGCGTCTTTGAAGATGGAGATCAAGAACTGCTGGAGGATGAGGAAGAGAGTGGGTCCTATTGTACTTCTGTGTGCTCTTGCTAATCCCATCTTAGCCGATGAGGAGCGGGTGTTTCTGATCAGTGAAGAGCTGGGCTTCCGAACTGGAGTCACAGAAGACGGCCCTACTTTCATGTGGCGTGATTTGGATGGAGATGTTGACGAGTTTTACGAGTTTGTGGCGTCTGGGACGAATGAACCGACTCGTGCCTTCTTTGAAACTTGCATGTATCGTGCCATGTACGAGCGCAAGTACAAGATCAATGCCGACGACATCGGGGATGTTCAGTTGCAGGAATTCATATCGCAGTAGGTGCCTACCACTTCATTCTTTCCTTGGGGCTGACGTATTTACTAGAACTTCGACAACGAGAGATTCCAAGGCGTCTTCCAAGACGCATGTTTCTTCGTCGTCTAAGCGTAAAGAAGCCTCTGAAGCCGCGCACGATCCACACTTCCCAGCTTCCGCTAGCACGGGGGCAGCAGCGATCACGAAAAGTGGCAAGGCGAAAAATTGGAAGAATGTCGCAGCGGATCCTGCTCTACCAGCCCTCGTTGCAGAAGAGGCTGAACTACACTTGTGGAATCGTGAGCGAGGCTTCTTTGTCATTCAAGCGGAGGTCGTCGCGAGAGTCGTCCGAAATGCTGCCTCCGGACCGTTTGACTATTGGTTGAATGCATTCGGCGAGGATGGACAACTCCTTGCACACAAGATCACATCTGATATGAACCAGCGATGGTCGTCTAAAGTCTTGTCGTTGACATGGAATCACACAAGCGATACCGGACTGCAGAGTAGCTGGTGCCTCCGATTTGAGACTCAGAAAGCTTTCAGCAACTTTCAACGAATTTTCACTCAAGCGTTGTGGGAGGGGTTGAATCAGTACTCATGGGAGAAAGCCAAGGTACGAAGTAGTAGTGGATCGAGGCCCAATGCTGATACAGGTACTTTGACAGCTCGACGAACAAGCCTATGTTATGAGCTCGAATACGGAGGATGTGGAAATGCGAGACGTCGAGGACGAGGAGGACGAAGAAGATGCGGTGGAAGACGAGCTAGGTGAGAGACACCGTAACAGGCCTCGACAGCATCTGATGAGGTTTTTTTATCAGACAAGAGTGAAGACGAGGAGGAACCCGAAGAGTATGCTGACGCAGAAGAAGAAGAACTACCTGCGCTGGGTAATGGCGAACGCAACTCACAACTTACGGTCGGCTATAAAGGCGATCGGTCGTATGTCGTTCGAGGAAACAGCATTGGTGTCTTCGGCTACACGGGCGATAACCAGGTCAAATACCATGCCACTCTCAGCAAGCTCGCGACACCAAAGGGCAAGACCTTCAAACCTAAACACGTGTGTTCTAGGATTTCCAGCCATTCGTCTGTCCGCATCATTGAATCTCCATTGTTCAGGTCATGCTGCATGATCAGGACTCCAAGATGATCCTGATTAACCCGTCAGAACCCAACTCCCTCTTCAGCATGGATATTGAACGGGGAAAGATTGTCGAGGAGTGGAAGGTTCATGATGCAGTGCAAGTGGATCATATCGCACCGGACAGCAAATTCGCGCAGATGACCCCGGAGCAGACTATTGTCGGCGTGTCGCACAACGCACTCTTCCGCATTGATCCGCGCATGTCAGGCAACAAGATGGTCGACAGCCAATTCAAGCAGTATGTCAGTAAGAACCAGTTCTCCGGTGTTACGACCACGGAATCCGGGAAACTGGCGGTGGCGAGCCAGAAGGGTGACATCCGGTTGTTCGACGCCATTGGCAAGAACGCGAAGACGGCGCTACCTCCACTTGGTGACCCCATCCTGGGCATTGATGTGACGGCAAATGGACGCTGGATAGTGGCAACTACGAAGACGTACTTGTTGCTTATTGATACTCTCATTGGAGAGGGAAGATATACCGGTAGCTTGGGCTTCGACCGCAGCTTCCCCGCGAATGCCAAACCGATACCTCGCAGGCTGCAGCTGCGCGCAGAGCATGTTGCCTACATGGAGAATAGTGTGTCGTTCACTCCTGCTAGGTAACACGATTGAGTGAATGGTGTTTGTGTAACACTGAAGACGTTCCTCTTTTGTGAATAGGTTCAACATGGGCGAAGGGCAGGAAGAGAACGCCATTGTGACCTCAACAGGGCCGTATGTTGTCGCCTGGGACTTCGCCAAAGTCAAGAAGGGTCTGCTGGACAAGTACGAAATCAAGAAGTCAGTCTTCATCACAGCAATGTCTCTTTTGCGTGAATGCTGATGGCTATTCGATAGATACGAAGACTTCGTCGTGCAAGACAACTTCAAATTTGGGGATGACAAGGAGATTGTGCGTTGCACTCTGGTAATGCTTTAGTCGAACACCGTTGACCTTTGGCCATTTCCACAGATCGTTGCGCTTCAGAACAATGTTCTCGCGGTCAACAAGAAGAGTTTGAAGAGGCCAACGAGAGCATCCCTTGCCACGCCAATGAAGAGCTTGCAAGGCCGGTCCAACATCGTGAATACGCCATACTGAGACAAATTGGAATGGGAGAAGATATTGCGAATAGTGTATTGATATTTGCTTTGGCTTGGAGGCGTTGAGACTCAGATCACGCTGTTGTGGGGAACTGTACTTTATGACCTTCCGAATTTTACGCCCTTAACGCTCAAAAAGTAGTCGAAAAGTTTTCCGTGTTCGCGAAGTCAACGACAGAACGAATATCTCCGAAGTCCGATAGTTATTCATACCCACTTTGGTTCTGCCAATAAAAAGACATTTATGCACTTCTTTTCTTCTTTACATACTCTACATCAAGCGAGGCTGATCTTATCTACTTGTCGAGGCAGGTCGTCTCAACGATAATGCTGGTAACCCGGTAGGGATCTGTACACACGACGGATGAGAAAGTGAAGCCATTGCTGGCAGACGTAAAACATACCGATGTTAGAGGCGGGACGTCTATCCTCGAGGTATCCATAGCCTTGGGCACCTACGTGCCTGGGAATACGAATAGACGCGCCGCGGTTGGCAACGCCGGAGGTGAAAGTGCCGATGTGACCAGTCTCGTGGCGACCGGTTAGACGGAGGTCGTTATCCTCACCGTACACGGCGATGTGCTCATTATGCCTCTTGCTCAGCTTCTCGATTGCAGCCTCGATGTATGCCATGCCTCCAGGCTCACGCATCGCCTTCGTGCTGAAATTCGTGTGACAGCCGGCACCGTTCCAATCACCTGCGAGGGGCTTGGGGTGGAAGGACACCGTGATATTCCACTGCTGGGCGGCGCGCACGAGCAGGTAGCGAGCCATCCAGAGGTGGTCACCCATGGAGATACCCTCACACGGGCCAACTTGGAACTCCCACTGAGAGGGCATCACCTCCGCGTTAATACCGGAGATGTTGACACCCGCGTAAAGGCAAGCGCGGTAGTGAGCCTCAATAAGGTCACGGGCGAAGACCTTTCCAGCGCCTGTATAACTATATATCAACGTTTGGAGAACGGGCAGACTGATGCATACATACCGGCACCGCAGTAGTAGGGACCCTGGGGACCGGGGAAACCACCTTTCGGCCAGCCGTACGGCGTACCGTCGGTGTCGAAGAGGGTGTACTCCTGCTCAAGGCCGAACCAGGGGACCTGTTCCTTCGCAAGATCCATGACCTTTTTGGCATGATGACGATAGTTGGTCTTGTTCGGGGTGCCATCGTTGTTGTAGCACTCGGCAAGAACCAAGATGTTGTCACCACCACGGAAGGGGTCCTTGAAAATGGCAGCCGGGCGCAGGTAGACATCAGAGTCGGTCCCAGGGGCTTGGTTCGTGGAAGAACCGTCGAAATCCCAGATGCGAAGCTGGCCAATGTCGGTCACCTTCTTGGTCACGGTCTAATGGACGGATCAATGATCTGAAAGCATGTAAAATGCCAAATCCTCCAGATAGAGGGCATCGCATTGAGATTGCTTAAATACTGACCGTGGTCTTAGAACGGAGACCACCGTCGCCATCGATCCAGACATCTGAGGAGAGAAGAGTGAGTCATTTCTGATCAAGTGATAGTGAAAAGTTACGACATACACTCAGCTTGGACCTTATCGCCCTGGGGGAGAGCGAGGAAAGGGGCAAGGAGTTCAGGGCGGTAGGACATGACTGGGAGGAAGAGCAGAAGGGAGAAAATGCAGGACAGAGTAAGATGGTGGTAGGAATGAAAGACGGATTGCCGCCCTGTTGTCCCCCGGACTGTGCTATATGCTTGTGTATTCGTGTTTGGGCCGTACTAGATACCAGTCCACCAATCCTCCGTCCGAATCTAATCTCCATTACTCCAGCCCAGCTCGTCTCCGCGGAGTCATTTGCTCCGAAAATCCTTATCGGCTCTCCTACGACCGAACCGCACAGGTGTTTCAATAAATATTTCCCTCATCGCCTTCGCGGGTTTTTTCTCCGTTTCCCGCCACCCATCACAGCGGGAGCCCGCACGCCCTTTGCACCAGGCGCTGCTCCCTTCGGTGTCACCGTTCCGCCCCTCACCGAGCCGGAGACGGACGTATCGTCAGTCTCCTCTCCCTCATCCCTCTCCACAGAGTCTACACCATTAACCTCTTCCGCATTTGATGGCCTCTTGACCACGCCGCGTATCAGGTTCGTCATAAGGCCGACGAACCAGGTTCTCTTGAACGACGGCGCGACTGCGGTGTTGCTGTTCACTGGGAGCAGAGTGCCATCCGGCTCAAGCTAGACACATCCCCTTCGTTAAGTATCGCGGAGAATAACGACGCGATGCACCCACGATGTAGACGTCAGTTCCCTCCACCGTGATATCAACCATTCTTCCGGACACTATGTTTCCGTCTTCGTCTAGACGTGGACCACCACCTAGATTGACTTTCACCTTCGCAGCACATGGATCAAGACGACTCCAGGTTATTCCGAAGACGTCATGTCACATACCTTCCTTCGCCCTTCTATGGGAAGCATCTTCGAACCCCATGCGGCGGACCGTGCTTGCTGGATGATCCACTCTATCCTCTTCAAGTCGCGGTTGTAGTTCATGCGTTGAACCAGATATTGTAAACACGAGGATATGAAGACCAGGAATACGATGACTGTCTGTGAACATGGCGCGCAAAACAGAGTTAGTGTCCAACGGTATCACCAAAAGGTAAGAGGGTCGTACTCCAAGTCCTGGACGGAAACGCGAATAGTAGTATCCAGTTCCTCTCCATTTTGGTACACCGTTCTTGTAGAAGAAGTCATATCTAGTTTTATCAAGATAAGCAAACGCTGGCCAAGTTAAGCAGTAAGTACACACCGTTTACGGCTCTCCGCATTCCTGAGTATCGAGGATACGACGCTGAGCCTTGCAAACCGTTCGTGCGCGTGCTTCACACCTGGGTTCTTGTCTGGACTATTCGTGAAGCCTGTTCACGTTATAATGTCGAAGTCCACCAAGCTCAAAACTCACTGCAATTGTATGCTCTTCTTTCGATATGCTTTTGCTATCTCGGGAGTTGAAGCAGTCGATGAAACTTCAAGCCATGAGTAAAACGTCGTTCCTTTGCCTAGACGCACATGGTAGGAGAGAAACAAGCCGCATCAGAAAGATCATAACATGCTACAACCGCTAGTCAGACCTTCAGATGCCTCCACGTCGCTTACGAGATCAAATATTTCGTAGTCCTCCTAAGCAATGGAGAGAAAACACCGTCGTCAGAAAAGTTGCTGAACAGCAGTGTACTGTTCACTAACTTTTGTCCATCTGAAGAAGAGGCAACCACGGAGTGAGTTGTCAGTCCGAGCGGTGTGCAGAAGACTCACGCTGAAACAGCCACTACCAGAGCAGCTAAGCAAGCTAAAAGAAATAGCTTCATTAATATATTCGGCGCGCCCTTGCGCAAAAGGAAGTAAACGTTCGGCGGAATGCAGAACTTGAAAGAGGGCGGAGACAACTTGACAGCGCGAACTTGGCGCGAACTCAAGCTGGATCTTGATCTGGGACTGGATGGAAATTGCCGGTGTTTCCGCCACGCGATTATCTGAACGTCTGCAGTGCCACCGTAGCGGCGTGGGTTCTTTGCGTTCCTAAGTTAGGTGTACCTGAATTTCTTATCACCAGCTCTCTGCCTGTAGCTGCCAGAGAAGGGCAAGACGATGGCACCCCGACGCCGCTGTCCCGTGTGCGGTTCCCGGCAATGGCACAAGGAACCCTCCAGCGGTCTCATTACTTGCAACGAAGGCCACGTACTCCAGGTTAGCTCACACCATGCCGCACTTAAGCCTCTTTTCACGCTGCATAGAGCTACAGGAATGAGACTCGAGAGGTCACCGAGCTTGGTCCGCATACACTCAGGAAGAGGACGCTGAAGTCAAACCGCAAGAGGAAAGAGAAGCAGAGTAACGCAGATCCAAAGTGTAAGTCATTTCCGCAGTGCTTTCAATCAGCGAAATCCCTCACAAGAGGTCAACGCAGTGTACCACGGAGAACGAGCGCGTTACCATTACTTCCAATGTCTTCAGCTCATTCTACGCATGCAAGTTGCCGCTCTAACACGGCTGTGGGAACTACCCCCAGAGTTCGAGGTATGGTTTACCTACTGCATACGCTGTCTAATATACCGACATAGTGCAGATGGTATGCAGAGACATATGGACGTTGCACCTAGAACTGCTTCCGCAGCCACCTCCAGCCGAACCTCTAGAGGCGATGCATGGCGAGGGAGATAAAAAGCAAACAGAACAGTCTTCTCAGGTGCAAGTGGATACACAACCTGCAGACATCAGTGACGGAGAAGAGCCCGAAGAAGAAGCCAAAGACTCAAGTGACGAGTCGTCCTCTTCGGAAAGCGACGAGGACGAGGACGATGCTGAATTGGCTGCATTAATGCGAGAAAATTCGTCCTCGTCCTCGTCGTCAGACGAAGACATCGAAAAGCAACCCAAAAAGAATGTCTCGAAAAAGGGCGTTCAGGGTATCCGGTCATCTAGGCGTTATGACTCCCCAGCGAGCAATATCTCTGTCCTCGTACTGGCCTGTTGGACGCTGCGGTTACCTGTTATATATATGGATTTTGTGCGGTAAGTCTACCTAAAGTTCCAACGTGGCAGTGAGTGCACACACGCTGATTACCCAAAGGTTAATAGAAGCCTATGAACTGCCTTACCTGGATCCCGTCCGCCTCCTCCCAACCAGCCTAGCACAGCACTTGACGAAGCACACCGCCCATGCATTGTCGCCTCATGTGCGTATTGCCCCGCTCTTGCAATAATCATCTGACCGCGAAGTTTCAGCACTCTCCCAAGCCTGTCTACCTGCATATACAGACATCAAGGCTAGCAAGACTCATGTATTCCACTTACGAGATAAGCACTCCCGAGATGAACGCGCCCCCAATTCTCTGGCGCGCAGTCCGTGGTTTGCGCGGGACACGTACGTAAATCCCCCGCTCACCTTCCCGTCATCATACCTACCCTCGCGGATAGCGACACTGTACATGTTGGCAAAAACACTGGCGCGAGTCCTGTCGATTCCGCTGACGCTACACCGGTCTCTCGCGTCCGGATTCAAGCGTACCGAACAAGGCGAGCACGGTTGGCACAGGTACGATAACGCCGTACCGGAGGTATCCCTCGCTGCGACGGTCATCATTGTGATGAAGATGGTGTACGGGTTGGACGGTGAAGTCAGGTAGCGTGTTTCTATGCACACTTCGAACTAACACCAATGTTGAGTGACCGAATTCAGGCACCCCCAGGAGAAGGACGATCCGGCGCGCACGTTACCGCTCTTATCTGATTTGCTGGCGTGCATCAAGGACCTCGACGAAAGGAGTAAAATGGATGAAGATGCCATCTTTTCTGCGAAGTCGCCCATGTAAGTTGTCCATCACTGTCGAGCGCAGATACCATGTCCTGAAGTGTACATAGGTCGGTAGTTGATCTGAGCGAACCGATGCTGGATAAATACCTTGACTTCTGCGAGAGGGCGCTGTTGGTCCGAGAGGATAAGAGAACCGGTATTTTGATGTCCTTTGGTCGGGAGTGATCCGGATTTGATGATGTCCCTCATTGCAGAGAGGCACGTGATGGCCGATTTCTTTCCTCTTCATCCTGCGCCTGCACCGCCTGCCTCCAAAGCAGGATCGGAATCCGAGCCCCTACGCAGGTTGACCGCACCAGAGATCTCACTTGATGCGGAATCGCAACTTCTACTTTCGCCAGCAGAGTCGTACAGCATCTACAACACTCAGGATATCCTTGGAACGCTGCCTGAACAGCTTGAGCTTGTGATCAAACGGGCAAGCAGCTGGGCCGGGTTAGATGAAGAATATCTCTGCGGCGTGGTCGAACGATTCGAGCGAAGGCTTGTTAGATGGTGGGATGGCGTGAAGAAGAAGGAGCGAGAAGAAACGAGTTTGAGTGAAGTTGTGAGCGGTCTCTTGGCACAGAACACATGGCTCTTTTGCTGATAATTCTCGAGCAATGACCTTCAGCGTTTCTCTTCCCCACCCCGCCGCAACACTATTGGCCTGACGAACGAGTCACAGGCGCATTACACCAGTTTCCCGGATCGGTGATAGGCCATCGGTGTGGCGGAGCTTTTGCAGATCTGAGATCTCGCACAATACACAGCTGTCCCTGAAGGGCAGTGCAAGACTCAGAGGCATAGAAACAACAATAGAAGGGCTGAACGACGGAGAGCTGTGTAAGTTTCAAATTTCGAAGCAGAAACACATTGTAGTATTTCACAGAGCTTGTCGGTTTCAGTATGTATGCACTCTCGACACTGGATCGCAAGGATGACTCAATCTCCTGACCTTCCTCGATGGGGATCACGTACGACGCCTGGGTTAGACCGTATAAATGCCGATCACTAGGTGAAAATCTGCAGAGTGAAACATACAGAAACAAAAACTGAAGACCAGAGGCGATATCCCTGACGAGTGAACAAATAAGATTGCTGTGTCGACGGAGGGTCGTGTTCGAGAATGCAATGACGGTGAGCTCATGCGCTGTCCAATCACCTTCATCCTCGCGTCCCATTGGCGGATGCGGGCGCCCACCTATACCAATTCGCCGTGCCCGCGCTCTCTTCCGTTTCACCATGTTTCAGGTATGTAACATGTAACATACGTTACAGCAGTGCACATATGGAGAAGCTAGCTACGGCGCATGCTTATAAGGTGGGGATCGGTAACCCGTTTTCCTCTCGAGTTTCTCCTTCTATCCTTTCCATTTCTCACTTTTCTCTAGCTATTGTCTCGACTATGTTCTCCCCGCTGTTGGTATCGCTCGCAGTGAGCGCTGCAGGAGTGCTCGCACAATCAGCCTCATCAGCCGCTGCCGCTGCCGCTGCCGAGGCGTCGCTTGTGGCGCAGCTCAAAACAGCTAATGGTGCAGCTACTCGCGTCAACCTATTGTCAGACAGCGACGTATGTCCTCCTCGTTTGTCCGGCTACGTCGTAGCTCACGGTAGATGGTTCACGTCAGTTCGTCTTTGACTTTGAGAACCCTCCGCCGAAGGCTATTACGCAAGGAGCGGGCGGTCACCTTGTCCTCGCCTCCGTCGCTGATTTTCCCGCAGTAGTAGGCAATGGTAGGTTGTGCAGCTCCCGCTCTGCCCATTATCCGACTCACTGAGGCTGCAGGGCTCGCCATGGCTGTTGGCTTCCTCGAGCCGTGCGGTCTAAACACACCCCACCTGCATCCCCGTGCTACCGAGTTGCTGTACGCAGTCAACGGCACGATCACCACTGGCATGATCCAGCAGGGCGGTACACGCTTTATCTTCAACAACGTGACTGCTGGTTCTGGCATAGTCCTTCCTCAGGGCTCTGTTCACTTCCAGATCAATGACAACTGTGGTACGTCTCTCATCCACGTTTAGATTGACGTGAGAGGTTTACGACGTGTTCCCAGACCCTGTTACATTCGTCTGTACGTGCTGATCCACGCGCGACATCCACGTTATGTGCTCACCCTCGATTAGCTGCGCTGAACAACGAGGATCCTGGCGCTAGTCCAGTTGCTCAGCTCTGTGAGCACATTCCCTGTCGATTTCAACCGAGTGATATTGACACTCCATACCTCAGTTTTCGGAATGCCACCCGGCGTCGTCGGCGCGTCTCTCGGCGACGTCGGTGTTCAAGAAGTCGTCCAGTTGGCCTCGATGGTGAGCGCAGCGCTCATATTCAATTAACACACCGGACGTGACTGACAATCACCGGCGGTACCAGATCCCCGACACCTTCGTCCTCGGCACAGACGAGTGCCTGCAGCGCTGCGGCCTCACGCGCGGCGCCCAGCCGATGGCCCAGCAGGTGCCGCGCGTCGCGGGGAACGCGTTCCCCTCCGGCGTGAGCGCGGGCGCGGGCGCGGCCGCCTCCTCGACGTCGCAGAGCCGCAGCATCATGCAGACCTCCGCGGACCTCGTCGCGGCGATCGAGAACCCCGTCGCGCCGTCGGGGGCGCGCGGCGGTACGACGCAGCCCGTGACGATCGCGCTCATCGTCGTCGTCAGCGTCTTGGGCGTTGGCTACCTCGTGCTCGGCGCGCTCTTCTTCATGAACCGCGCGCGGGGTGAGCGCGGCACGGGCCGCTCGTTCATGCGCCCCACGATGAAGGACCGCGCGCTCGTCCCGACCGTGGAGGTCCCCACGCTCGACAAGTACGACCCGATCGCGTCGAGGTCGTCATAGACGTTTGATGGGCTGTATGGATGGGGTTGACGATGATGATACTTTATTTTACTGGGACACGGACCCTTGATTGCTTGTATCCTACGGTATATGTTGTTAGTCTGAACAGGGTCCTACTACATCTTCCTGTTTGCGTTCACGCTGCGTGGCGACCGTCAGAACGCAGCCCGCTCGAACGACCGTCGCAGCAGAAGAACAAACTGGATTGGATTGGGTTGGACAGAAAAAAAGAAAAAGTCCGTACGTAACAAGATTGCGGCACTGTAGTACTGGTGGTGGTGCTAGTGATACTAAGCTAAAAAAAATGCAAACAGCGGGCGGTCCAAAGCGGGCGTGGGGCGTGTGCGCATGGTACGTAGGATATGGAGATATATATATATGCAACAGTGCCAGCGACGGGAGCGCGTGAATTGCGGCATGACGAGCGACAACAGAAACGAGTCCGTGCGCGTGCGGGTCCTAGCGTGCGATAAATACGACGGAAGGCGCATCCGGGTCCGTGCGGGCCTGTACTAAAGTATGCAAGTGGTATGGGGCTGGGGATGGGCGGAGTAATTTTGACAACAAGGTGCAAGGAGGAAGGGGGATAACGAGCGCGGGGAGCGCGACGACACGGTCGCGGTAGTATTAGCAGGGCGAGTAGGCAGACACAGCGAGGACACAAAGGGTGCGCAGGACAGGATAGGATGGGGGAGGGGGCGTGTTTACATTGCATTTGCATCGATCCAAAAAAACAAATAGTGATACTCCGAACACCCATGCACAACAAACGAACAAACGAGCAAGTCCGGACGGAAGAACGGAAGAACGAAACGGGGTAACACGTCGTCATGAAATCATCGTCTGCCGCCGCCCCGCCGAGGGCCTGCTGAGGATCTGGAAGCCGTCCTGTGCGCGCGTGGACCGCGGCATCGGGGGCACAGACGGGGGCAGCGACGCGTGGTGCGTGGGCGCCGGGCGCGGCGCGGAGGACTTGGTGCTGCGGCGGTCCGAGCTCTGCGGCGGGGGCTGCGCCGAGCGGTGCACGTCGACGTCCGCGCTCGAGCGCCGCTGATGGTGTGCGCGCGGGGCGGACGACGACGGGGACGGGGCCTGCGCGGGGGACATCGGCGAGCGCTGCTGGGTGTGCGGCGAGAGCAGCGCGGCCGCCTGGCGCGGCGATGAGCTATGGGACCGGTTTTGCGGTTGCGGTTGCGGGCTGCGCGAAGGCGAGGGCGCATGGTCGCGATGACCGGGGGCGGGCGAGGAGCTGTGCGCGTGGTCGCGATGACCGGGGGCGGGTGAGGAGCTGTGCGCGTGGTCGCGAGGGCCGGGGGCGGGCGAAGAGCTATGCGCGCGCGAGCGGCTGTGGTCCCTGCTCTGCGACGACGGGCCCTGGGCGGGCGACGGCGCGCGGTAGCCAAACTGGTGGACCATGAACGGCGGGCTCGGCGGGAGGAGCGGCGCGTCCATCATCATCCCCGCGCTCATGCCGTACATGCCCATCGGGAGCGCGTACGGCATCGCGACGGGCACGGGCACGGGCACCATCTGCATCGGCATCGGCACCTGCACCATCTGCATCGGCATCGACGGCACGCCCATGTTCATGCTCAACCGCGGGTTCATCCGCGGGCTCCCGTTCGGCGAGGACATCCACGCAGGCGAGCCCGGCGGTGCCGGCGAAGGGCGCGAGCCAGCGTCGGACACCATGGACCCGCGCCTGCTCGCATTCGGTCGGCCCTGGCCCTGGCCATGACGGACATCAGGCGAGGACGACGAGCGCGTAGCAGCAGCAGCAGCAGGCGACCCGTGCTCCGCCGCCGCCGACCCGTTGATACTCGCAGGGCGCACCGAGCTCGACCTCGACCCAGCCACCGCCGAACGCTGCGCGGGCGACTCGTCTCTGCGCACATTGGGCTCCGCAGACCCCTGCCTCCTCGGCGCAGGCGCGGGCTGCGCGTCGTACGCGGGGCGCGCGAGGACAGGACGCACCTCGCGCCCGCGGCGCTCGCGCTCCTTCTCGCGCGCGATCTCCCAGTCCGGGTCCACGCGCATGCTCTCGCGGCGCGCGCGCGCACGCGCGACCTCCTCGGCGTACAGCCGCTTCTTGCGCTCCTCTTCGAGCGCGCGGCGCTCGGCCTCGCGGCGGCGGCGCTGCTCCTCGGCACGCACCGCCTCGTCGCGGCGCGCACGCTCGACGGCGAGGAACCGCGCCTTTTCTGCGCGCTGGTGCTTGATGCGCTGCACGTAGCCGAGCGGGATGTTGTCCGTGCGGTAGGCGTCCATGCCGGGAGCGTCTGCGGGCACCGACTCGGCGAAGCGTACGTTTGGCTTGGTGTGTACGGGCGATGACGGCTTCACGGTGACACTCGTACCGGTAGAGGACGACGGGGACGGGGAGACGGTGGGTGTGGGTGCGGCAGGGGACGCGGTACGCCTCGGCGAGGTGGGAGGGATCGAGAAGAGGACCTGGCTGTGTTCTATCCGCAGAGGCGAGGGCGCAGCTTTGTACAGCTGGCCACGGGGAGGTGGCGAAGGAAGCGTCACTGGGAAGATGTGTGAATCAGCACACGCTGCGCGCAGCGTGATGTGAGTACTCACCGGAGAGCTCCGGCGGCTTGCTGGAGCCTGACAGGACGGGCGACGGCATCGGGCTCGTGGACGTGGGCGTGGTCGGGCCAGAGGACTCGGGCGTGGCTGAGCTCGATAATGACAGCGGCGGGGTCAGCGTCACGTCGAGCAACCACGCGGGTAGCACATTCGCGTCCTCCGCCTCCGCGGTCGCGGCTACTTCCGCATCCGGGTCGTAGAGGCCCGCGAGCAGCTCCAACGTCTCAGAAAATTCGATGGCCGCGACGCCAAGGCCGGGGCCAGAGACGGGTATGCAGACCACATTCTGCACAGAGCCTGGGTGCGCAGGCAGGTATACGACCATGCGATCCTCGAAACACGGGCGCTCGGCCCAGAGCCTGAGGCCGTCGCTGTGCATGCCGATGCGCTTACCGTCGGAGACTGCGACGTCGTCTATGGTCTGGACGGAGTTGCGCGAGGGCCCGCGATGGGAGGCGGCCGTGGGGTGACCTCTACGGGAAGCGAAAGGCGCGAGTGAGTACTGTTCTGAGGGTGCGAGGGTGCGAGCGCGGTCGAGGCGGCGAAGTAAATGGCGCCTGAGCATGGAAGGACAGACGGGATCCGCGGAGAGCGGAGGAAGGGTGCGTCGGAGATTGCACGAGCGGGGAAAGAGCGGGGTGTTTGGAACGTGCAGGAGGGGCGGGGGAGAGAACGCAGACAGGAGGGCGTTCACGGTGAGGGCACGAACGTAAGCGGTGGGAGAGAGGGGACCGCTGCGGGCAGAGGAGTGGGAGTGGTCGGAGGAGGAGGGGGTTAGGCATATACGCGGGCGCTGCGGGGCAACGACGGTGGGAGAGAGTGGTTGCTCTGGCTCGGTCCCGGACGACTCGTCTGAGGAGAGGTCTTCTTCCGAGCCGTGGCGGGGTGATGCTGGCGGAACCGAGCGGGATGTGGGCGTGGGCGCGGATATGTACTGTGGGGCGGGAGGGGTGTCGTGGTGCCATGCGAGCCAGTTCTTTCTAGAGGCAGCAGCACGGAAGGAACTGGTGCCATCGTCGTCAGGGGTGCTGGGCCCAGCGCTGGAAGAGGAGGAGGACGAAGGGGTATGGTCTGAGACGACGAGACTCTGTGCGGGTGGTGCAGCCTTGCGGGAGAGGGAGCGGAAGAAACGCGAGCGGGGCTTTGAGAGCTGCTGGGACGGGGGGGCTGCTGGAGAGTCGTCGGCGACAGAGGAGGCAGCGTCGGACCTGTCGGTGCGCTTGGCGGCGAAGACGGCAGCGAGACGGCGCATGGTGGCGGCAGATGGAGAGAGAAAGGGCGACGAGCAGAGGAGTAAACGTTGGCTTGCGGTTGAGACTAGAGCATCGGCAGCGACGACGTCAGGCGAAATCGAGACGAAGATGAGGAATAATGATCGAGGCTGGGCCAAAGAAAGGGACCCGGTCCCTTGACGTTTCCGGCGCGGTGACGCGGTGGACGTGACGAGAACAGTCAGCGGCGAGGACGTGACCTAGTGATGGACAGCCCGTCGCCGACGAGGAGAGCGACGAGGAGGACGAGGAGGACGTCGGAGAGAAAGGAGACTGCGGGCGTGCGATGCGAGATGGACGGATGTACTATCATCATGCATGCACGACGCTCGCGCAACAATATCCATATATAGAACACTGATCCCCCCTCGGCCAATCAACCCCCTCCGTCCTCTTCCTTTCCCCATTCATCGCCCAAGGACGTCGAGCGGGTCCTCGCACGCTCACATCTCTTCTCAGAGCTTCTCATCCCACACCTTCCCATCCCATGGATTATATATATTCTACGCCAACGGTACATCGCAATATATCATGCCATCCCACCCCACGGCCCTCTTATGCGTCGCGCAAGCTGAATGTCCCGCTGCATGATCGTCACCCGCTTCGCATGGATAGCGCACAGATTCCTGTCACGCACCGGAACCCGGTCAGCACACGCCCATCTCCTCAACCCAGAAACACAAAAACAGCCACGCTTCCGAGGCCGCATCAGCCGCAAGAGAACAGAAGCACGCCACCCCACACGCCACGGCCCTCCACGCCCCCCGACTGCAAAAACGACCGAAACAAACACTCACGCGTCCTCAAATAGATGCACCAAGTACGCCTCCGTCGCCTCCTGCAGCGCCATGATCGCAGAGCTCTGCCACCGCAGCCCCGTCGCCCCGTACACATTCATGTCCGTCGTCATATCCACCGCAATCTCGCGCACCTGCAACCCAACGATCAGCGCCCCCGCGCACAACTGAGAGTAGTAAGCACAACGCACCACCCGCGAGAACGGCAGCTTGCGGATGAGCAGTTCCGTGCTGCGCTGGTATTTGCGGATATCCCGCAGCGCGACTGTCCCAGGCCGGAACCTTCGCTCTATAGTACACGCGCCAATGCGGCCACATCAGCGTTCAGTGAGAAAAGGACGACGAGGATGGAAACGCATACTCTTCGCTTGCGCGCCTCCTGCCCCACCACCGCCACCACCACCACCTCCTCCTCCACCACCACCACCTCCTCCACCACCACCGCCGCCTCCGCTTGGTCGACCCCGCGGGAGGCGCCCTCCGGTGCTCTTGCGCGCGGTCGCCGCACGTGGCTTCTTCGCCGAGGGCGGCGGAGTGACGTCCGAGCTGTCTCGTTCAGGATTGGGCTGCTTTCGCTTGCCCTTTTGCACCGTCTGCGCCATGTGCGGGACTTGGCAGGAGACAAGCGGTCAGCTGGGGGTAGTATATACAATAGAGTGACGTCTGTCCGGTACGAAAAAGTGTCGCCGAGTAGACGCAGTTCGAGTTCGCCAACGTGGTAACGCGTAAGCACTGCGCGCAGCGTCTGCAAGCAAGAAAAGTGTGATAACAAAGAAAGCAGATAAGAGGGTATCGCGCGAGATCAGCAGCAGCAGCGGTATAGATTTGTGAACAGCAAGGACACAGGAGCGCACGGTCACGGTGGTGGCCCGCGACGCGGTTGAGATCTGCATCGGGCGTTCAGTTGACGCGTCGCCCGATATGGAAATGGAGCGTCACGCGTCCTTCACCTCCTGAGGATGAAGAGAAGTGATCAAGTATTTATTGGTGTATCGATTGGATGGGTTTCGTTCCGTGCTGTTGCAGACCGCTCTGCACCGCGTCTGTATCCCGTCTGTCTGTCTCGAATGTATCACGATCCCGCACGAACGAGCCTCGTGCACCGTGCCCGCGCCCCACTCACTCACACCCCAAGTACGGCACACCGTACGTCGTACAGTGTGTTCGGATTCATTATGAGACCACTGGAGCAAACCAACAGACAGCGGCCAGTATATACGGCTACGGGTATCAAGGTGCTGCGTGTTTCGTCGTCGTTCGCGTCATTAAAAGTCGGGGCGGAGCCATGTAGTGTATCTTTGCTTTCGCGCGCGCCATCACTCATCCTTGTCGTCGTCCCCCACGTCATCCTTGTCGTCGTCCTCCCCGTCATCCTTCCCGTCGCCGCCCCCGTCGTCGCCCCCGTCGTCCTCGTCGTCCGACCGCACGTCCGTTATTCCCTGCGTGGGCCCCACGACGCTGCAAGCACATCAGCCAGCGAATTAGAGCACGCACAGGGAGGAGGGAGCAGGAAGGTAGGGACGTACCGGTACATGATCCGCAGAATGAGGAAGTACCAGAAGAGGTTGAGGCAGAGCAAGAGGAAGATCGGGATAAACACTTGGTACTTCATCCACCACACCATCCACACCCCGTCGGGCGGCCAGAAGCGCTGAGAGGCGAGACTGTCGCTGCTGTCAGGCGGATACACCCCAGGCGGAGACAAGAGGGGAAACCACGCACGGTATCAGATCGTACTCGGTCCACACCGACCAGAGCATGACCATGTTCAGGAATATCCGGAAGTAGCTGGACAAGAGCATGGATGAAGTGCTGAACGACGGAGCGCGCGCTCATGCGATACACTCACGACCAGACGCCGACGAAGATGACGAACGATACGACCTTGGTGTACTCCCATTGGATGTAGTTCAGCAGTTTGGAGAACTAGGGATTGCGCGCTGAGTAGGAGAGAGTTCTCGCGAGAAGGCGACCTACAGCGAAGAATGCATCGGGCACATCCATACTGAGGTACACGGCGTTGCCGATTTGCGTCATGTTGCAGACATAGCTGGCACTGAGATGTCGCAGTCAGAATAATAGCGGAAAGCGCCAGCCATACTCATCAAAACGCACCCCACCAGCCAGAGCGTGACCAAATGATGAGCGACCAGTTCCGCGTAGTCTTTACGTGGTTTCTCCAGGTTCAGCAAGAGCACGATGAGCTGATGGCACCAATACGCTGCCTCCATGAGGTAGTAGCGCTTGAGTTCTGGTTTCATGTCCCAGTGCGGATAGCCTGGATTCGACTGTTGATGAGCGATACTGGCCAGGACACGCACGCCGCACTACGAACCGAGCCAGAAATTCTTAGTATCGTACCACCATATAGGTGACTGCGACATGATGCGCTGAAGACGACTGTTAGCCGATGCGGCGATTGAGCAAAAGGGAGTAACTCACCGCACCCCAGGCTCCCATTACAGCAAAATATACAAGGGCATAACCCTGCTCGCCAAATCTAGCCAATTTTGACTCCCTCTTGATCCCGAACCATTGGCCAACAGGTCTCGACACCTGGAGGGTGATAAACTGGCGGACGAAGGAGAAGACCACGATATAGTATGATACAAATACAAAGTCAAGAATGCCTTTGGAGTAACGAGGGTCGTCCGGGGAGGAGTCCAGGATACGATATGATATAAAAAGGAGAGGCGCAAAGGGGTTTGGCAGATCCCCAACGTAAGGCGCGAGTATCTCCCAGTTCGCCCATAGCACGACGGAGGTGATTATCATTTTGAGGGAAGAGGCTACGGGGAGTGAGGAACCCCGCTAGAGTCGCGATAGAGACGACGTACATGGAACCACTATCCATCTCATGGACATGATGTCAGCCCCAAATCCTCGTGAGGCGGTCGACCAGCGGTCGAACGCAGCTGGGATGTGCCCATTCGCGCCTTTCTGAGCCATCGTTGGTGACTCCGGGAACTGAGCATCAAGGGGACTGCAGTAGACACGTTATAATGCGAAAGAAGACGAACGGAGCGGGTGGACGCACGTCTGTGGTCGGAACGGGCCCGTGATGTGGTGGGTATCCTTCGTCCTGCGAACACGGTGAGGTCAATACTGTAGCGAGGAGGCAGACACATACTCTATCTGGAGAGACTGCTCGAGCGCTCTCTGGCGCAGACTCGGTGAAGGGGCCATGCTCGTGGACGAACGAAAGAAGGACACCCAGCCCGGGAAGCGATGTGTCGCAAATTGCTGAGGATATATATCTGGCGCTCAGCCGAGTGCCGATAAACCGAAAGCAGATAAGAGTGTATCACGCGAGATGAGCAGCAGCAGCGGTATAGATTTGTGAACACTGGCGACACAGGAGCGGTCACGTGCACGGTGGCGGTTGGAGTCTACGGTCGATTGAATTCGATTGGCGCCCTACAAGGCGCTCAGTCACATCACGCCCTGATTTCAAAATATTCAGCGCCTCAACCGGCAGCAACCGGCAGAGCCTCCGGTAAGTAAGAACTGGGTTTGTTACACTCTGAGAAAATATTCTAATGTGCGGCACAAGGTAACATAGAATTTTCTAACTTGGATATCAGTAAGAACTGCACATGTGCTAATGGTACACAGCCTGTATGCATCATTCTCTCTCACTCATGATAATGTTGAGAGCTTGTGCACAACCCCATGAGTTGTATGCAACTCCCTGCTCATAGGGTGCGGGGGAGCTCAACTGCACTTTTCCGCTTTGGATTGCCTTCGGTGGCCTGCGCCAGCTACAGCTGCTGCTGGTTGCACCGTCACACATCTTCCAAAGAAAACACCATCACTCAATCCAGGCAAGGCCCTGCAAATATTGTACGTCGTGGCCGGCAGCTCCGCCGAGGGCCCGGGGTAAGCCGCCCGCAGTGACGTGACAGGAGGCGCCCATAGGGCGCCAATCGAATCAGACAATCGACGGTGGTGGCCCGCGACGCGGTTGAGATCTGCATCGGGCGTTCAATCGACGCGTCGCCCGATATGGACATTGAGCGTCTAACGCGTGACGCGTTAGACGCTCCTCAGGCGCTGCACTGCACCCTTCACCTCGCCATCGATACCCATCTCTCCAGCACAGAGAGCTCCCAAGACAGAGGGCTCGCAGAATAACCAGAACGTTCACGATGCCTGTTGCAGTATCGACAGGCTACTATCGCTTCACTGACATCTTCTTCGAGTGGCCCGTCCTTTCTCCCCTGCACTCGGTGAGACCAAGCTGACCGCCACCCGCAGGCACCAGGTCCTGCCCGAGCCCAAGGACATCAGCCCGCTCAAGGCCCTCCTCGCCTACGACGCCCTCGTCCACCCCGACCACCCTCTCCGCAAAGCCGGCATTGACGGCATCGAGCTCTTCCTCGGTGCGTCCCATCCCCACACTGACCCTCACACCGCTGACCGAATTCCCAGGGACGTTCCCGAACGGGGAGATGCGCCTGCTCTTCTCCTCCACCCAGATCGAGTACATCCGCTACTGGCTGCACGCCATGCGCCTCACCGACGCCCCGCTCCCCATCCCCGCGTCCGACTACCTCCTCCAGTCCTCCGACCTCACCAACTGCTCGCCCTGCGTCTACCGCGACGCCGCCAGCCTCAAGAAGGCAATCAAGGTGCGTCCTCTCTCCCCCATCCCGCCCCACCCCGTCCGTGTCCGTGTCCCGACCCCCCCCCGCCACTTCCCAGCTCCGCAGCCGCGTCCGCCGACGCGGCCGCAGAGGCACCCACAGACGCTCACGCGGCGCACAGACGATCGAGAAGAACAACAGGCGCATGAAGGGCACGACGACCCTGCTCGCCGCGCGCCGCCTCGCGTTCGAGAAGGTGCGCACCCTCTGGGCCGCGCGCGCCGGCACCTGGCTCGCGCTCGACTTCGAGGCCTGGGACCGCGACCACACCGTGCTCACCGAGTTCGGCTGGAGCCTCGTCCGCTGGGACGACCAGCATGAGCACGAGCAGCTCGCGCAGCGCGGCCATCTCGTCGTCAAGGAGCACCGCGGGTACACGAACACGTACGTCCCCGAGCGTCGCGATGTGCGTGCTTTCTCTCTTTGTGCGCGCGGCCATGCTGATCGCACCCGCGCGGCAGTATTACAACTTCGGGCAGAGCGAGGAGGTCAGCAAGCAGGCGTTCAAGGAGCGCATATGCGCGCTCGTCGACGAGCACAGCGCGCGCGGCCCGCTCTTCCTCGTCTTCCACGACAACAGCCAGGACATCAAGTGCGTGCTCTCCCGCCCGCCGCCGCTGACCGCTGACCGCACTCGCCCCCGCAGGTACCTGCGCTCGGACGCGCTGCGCGCGGTCTCCGAGCTCGAGTTCATCCTCCCCGACGCGCCGCCCGCGCGCGGCGTCTTCGTCGTCGACACCGCGGATCTCTTCGCCGCGCTCGAGGGCGAGTCCAGCGCGAACCGCCGCGCGCTCGAGCGCGTGTGCATCCACCTGCAGATCAAGACCGAGTCCCTGCACAACGCGGGGAACGACGCCCACGTGAGTCTTCCTCTCTCGTTCCCTTCTCTCCCGGCGTAGTCAGCTAAATCTATTCGGTTTCCTCTTATTTCTCCCCTCTCTTATTCTCCCCTCTTATATTCACCCCTCTTCTTGTTCCCCCTCTCTCTCGTTCCCCCTCCTATCGTTCCTCCTCTCTCTTGTTTCCCCTTCCCCTCTCACCCCTCTCCCCCCTCCGCGCTGTCCCCACGCTGAACTGATCCAACTGATCCCCGTGGACAGTACACGCTGCTCGCGATGCAGAGCATGGCCGCGGGGGACCCCGTCGACGTGCAGCGCGAGAAGCGCTGGCCGAACCGCACGACGAGCACGGACCCCAAGGTCGCGTTCGAGCCGTGGGAGGAGGACTCGGACTACGACGACTTCGAAGGTCTGATGCCCCCCGGCGTGCCTGTTGCCCCGGCGGAGGCGGAGGTGGACGCGGACGCGGACGCGGACGCGAGCGGCGACGCGAACGGGGAGGGCACTAACTTTTGGCAGTGAGGGGAAATGATGAAGTATTGTAATGGTGTATTGATTGGACGGGTTTCGTCCCGTGCTGTTGTAGCCTGCTCTGTACTGCGGCTGTATTCTGTCTGTCTGTCTCGAAAGTATCACAATCCCCCAGACGTCCGAATCGCATGAACTAGCTTGGTGCGCCGTGCCCGCGTCCCTGGCAAGTCTACCGCGAGGCCACTCACTCACACATGCACAGCACCCGGTGCATCGTAGAGTATGTTCGGATTCATTATGAGACCACTGGAGCAATCCAACAGACAGCGGCCAGTGTTACGGCTACGGGTATCAAGGTGCTACGTGTTTCGTCGTCGTTCGCGTCATTAAAAGTCAGGGCGGAGCCATGTAGTGTATCTTTTCTTTCGCGCGCCATCACTCATCCTTGTCGTCGTCCTCCCCGTCATCCTTCCCGTCGTCGCCCCCGTCGTCCTCGTCGTCCGACCGCACGTCCGTTATTCCCTGCGTGGGCCCCGCGACACTGCAAGTGCATCAGCCAGCGAATTAGAGAAGGCACAAGGAGGTAGGGGCGTACCGGTACGCGATCCGCAAAATGAGGAAGTACCAGAAGAGGTTGAGGCAGAGCAAGAGGAAGATCGGGATAAACACTTGGTACTTCATCCACCACACCATCCACACCCCGTCGGGCGGCCAGAACCGCTGCGAGGCTAGACTGTCGCTGCTGTCAGGCGGATACACTCCAGGCGGAGACAACAGGGGAAACCACGCACGGTATCAGATCGTACTCGGTCCACACCGACCAGAGCATGACCATGTTCAGGAATATCCGGAAGTACCTGGACAAGAGCATGTATGAAACGCTGAACGACGGCGCGGGCTCACGCGATACACTCACGACCAGACGCCGACGAAGACGACGAACGTTACGACCTTGGTATACTCCCATTGGATGTAATTCAGCAGTTTGGAGAACTAGGGATTGCGCGCTGAGTAGGAGTGAAGTTTTGCGAGAAGGTAACTTACGGCGAGGAACGTATCGGGCACGTCCATACTGAGGTACACGGCGTTGCCGATTTGCGTCATGTTGCAGACATAGCTCCAACTGAGATGTCGCAGTCAGAATAATCGCGGAGAAGAGCCAGCTTTACCCGTCAAAACGCACCCCACTAGCCAGAGCGTGACCAAATGGTGAGCGACCAGTTCCGTGTAGTCTTTGCGTGGTTTCTCCAGGTTCAGCAAGAGCACGATGAGCTGTTGGCACCAATACGCTGCCTGCATGAGGTAGTACCGCTTCAGTTCTGGTTTCATGTCCCAGTGCGGATAGCCTGGATTCGACTGTTGATGAGCGATACTGGCCAGGACACGCACGCCGCACTACGAACCGAGCCAGAAATTCTTCGTGTCGTACCACCATATAGGTGACTGCGACATGATGCGCTGAAGACGACTATTAGCCAATGCGGTGATTGAGCGAAAGTGAGCAACTCACCGCACCCCAGGCTCCCATTACAGCAAAATATACAAGGGCGTAACCCTGCTCGCCAAATCTAGCCAATTTTGACTCCCTCTTGATCCCGAACCACTGCGCAACAGGTCTGGACACCTGGAGGGTGATAAACTGGCGGACGAAGGAGAAGACCACGATATAGTATGATACAAATACAAAGTCAAGAATGCCCTTGGAGTAACGAGGGTCGTCCGGGGATGAGTCCGGGATACGATATGATATAAAAAGGAGAGGCGCAAAGGGGTTCGGCAGATCGCCAACGTAAGGCGCGAGTATCTCCCAGTTCGCCCATAGCACGATGGAGGCGATGATAATTTTCAGCGAAGAGGCTACGGGGGAGTGAGGAATCCCGCTAGAGTCGCGATAGAGACGACGTACATGGAACCACTATCCATCGCATGGACATGATGTCAGCCCCAAATCCTTGTGAGGCGGTCGACCAGCGGTCGAACGCAGCTGGGATGTGCCCATTCGCGCCTTTCTGAGCCATCGTTGGTGACTCCGGGAACTGAGCATCAAGGGGACTGCAGTAGACACGTTATAACGCGAAAGAAGACGAACGGAGCGGGGGGACGCACGTCTGTGGTCGGAACGGGCCCGTGAGGTGGTGGGTATCCTTCGTCCTGTGAACACGGTGAGGTCAATACTGTAACGAGGAGGCAGACACATACTCTATCTGGAGAGACTGCTCGAGCGCTCTCTGGCGCAGACTCAGTGAAGGGGCCATGCTCGTGGACGAACGAAAGAAGGACACCCACGCCGGGAAGTGAGATATCGCAAATTGCTGAGGATATATATCTGGCGCTCAGCCGAGTGCCGATGAACCGATCGTGGGATCTCACCGTGCCCGGCTCGGCCGGCATTACGCCCAAGTGTTGACTGACAGATGTCCGAAGATGCCGAGTATCCGCTCCGGAATGTCTTTTTTTTCTCCCCGAAAGGATGGAATTCGTAGCAGAAAAAAGTCGGATCAATGCGCCGAGGACGCCGGCGGCTGGCGTTGACTCAAAACGGCTTTCCTCTCTCGGTCATGTTTCCTACTCTCGGTTTGTTCAGCAAGCTGCCATGTCCAGAGAAACAGTCTTGCAGACGCGTCAATTGCCTGTACACTCACGATCCCGACGTTGTCTACCAGTCTCCGATCACCATCGTCGTTGATGTTGCCCCCACACCTCCCTCAGAACAGCCGCCACCATCATCATCGTCTCAACATGCACAGAAAGCCTTCCCGTCTATATTACCTGCAAAGCGCTCTGTTAGCTCGCCGTTACACGCTGTCGCAGGCAGCAGTGATGCTTCCAATCAAGAGCCTCCAAGAAAACTGCAGAGGACCGGGCCGTTACAGAAATCAATAGCTGTACCTACAGCGTCCCATACGTCTGTGAGTTTGATTCGTCATTGTATGGTTTGAATTCTTCACACATGAACGCAGACGGGCGTACCTGTGCTTCGCGTCAGTGCGGCACAGTCCCAAGTTCCTATTTCCGTTCGTCAGGTCCGTGCGCTTGCTTAACATCCGTCACGCGATGTCTCTCATCTATCTATCAACATCCATCACCCCGTGAAGGCAATGCTCAAGAATCTCTATGATCATTTTCTTGTTCTCTATGAGAAGATACTTCCCGCGAACCCGTCGTTAGCGTCGGAACATGCCTTGCGTCAGGAAGAAGAGGTGTACAACATCTCCACGAAGTATACCTATCGCAATGTATGGCACCTTAGTTTGCCCGTAGTGAACAGCCTCACGACTATTCTCAGGCGGTTATCTCTTCAATCGCTACTCTCAAGAAACGATCATTTCCTGATCACTTCTCCCACCCGTCTGTCGGGACTGAATGTGATGTCACCAAGCGAGAGGAGGCGCGAAAGAAGATGGAGGCGCTGCGTCTCACTGCATCTCAACTTGAACCTTACGTTCTCTCCGTAGATGAAATGAGACGATGGGGTTATATCGTAGATATTCCACCGGGCTCTGGAGGGGAGCGATCTAGTGAAGAGGGCTCCATCAAGACCTGCGAACGATGTCGCCAGCAATTCAAGGTCAAGCGAGCAGAGGAAGCAGATGAGTGCGTTTTCCACTGGGGAAAGCCCTATTCCTCCAAGGTAAATGGTCAGTGTGTGCTTCTGTTCGTCGTATGCGTGATATTGCACAGCTCACACCGATGTGCTCTTGAAGGCGAGAGGAGGCGCCTCTACACCTGTTGCTCGCGCTCAATGGACGACGAAGGCTGTGAACGAGGACCACACGTTTTCTATGACTTAACGCCCGAAGACCTGCATCTTCGACACCCGTTTTCGTTCACACCAGGGACATCGCCGGAGCAATCAGACAATTCGTCCACTGACTCTGATATGACCGCAGACACTGCGTTGGATATCGTAGCTCTGGATTGTGAGATGATATACACCACAGGCGGCATGCGTGTCGCCCGAGTATCTGCCGTAGATTCCACTGGAAAGGAAGTATTCGATGAACACGTCAGGATGGATGAGGGGGTCGAGGTCATGTGTGTCTCACATTCTGTGCAATCTATCTTGTACTCATTATTCTCCGTAGTGATTTCAACACCCGCTTTTCTGGCATCACTGCAGAGTCATACAAGACTGCACTTCTGCCCCTCTCTGGTATTCGAGCTTCACTGGATGCACTCGTCAGCTCGAAAACCATCGTCATTGGTCACGGCCTCGACAATGACCTGAAGACTCTGCGAATGATTCATTATCGATGTGTCGACACGGCGATCATGTTCCGGCATCCCTCAGGTCCGCCTTTCCGGCGTGCTCTCAGAAATCTGTAAGTGCCCACATTGTTTCTTGCATTCAATCGCCATGATGAGCGATGTCAACGCTACGTAGCGTCAAGGAGTTCCTCGGAAGGACAATCCAGGCCGGAGGTGGCACGGTCGGTCACAGTTCTGTGGAAGACTCGGTTGCTACCCTCGACCTGGTACGATGGCAGGTCTTGAATAACCCGAATCCTCGACCAAAGGTAGATACCAAGCCATCGGAGACCCACAATGTGGGACCATCTTGACTCATAGTTGAACGTGATTCACGCACGGATGATTGCACTATTGTTTGAGACAGACCTGCATGCTCTGGATACATTGTAAATCATGAGGAGAACCCGCTCGAAGCTGGACAGCAACATACATCATGTTAAATATCGTTCAGCTAGTGAAAGTCGTTCAGCAAGTTATGTCGTTTACCAAGTGTAAGTTCGTTCACCAAGTGTATACGACGAGGCGTATGACGAAATATAGAGGGAATAAATACGCGCGAAAGTGAACCCGCCCAACCAACTTGTGCATTATAAACTAATTGCCTCTTGAGCCAAGGCTGCCGAGTCGAGCCATCGTGTCTTCGCTGTTTTCCTGCTCCTCGATGCTGTCTGACTGCGTCACCTAAGGGTAGCGTGTCAGAATATTTTGGGCATGAGGTGGGTGATACCCGTCAGGGACGGACCACTCTGAGCACTGATTTCTTTGATGACTCCTGGAGTTCTCCTGCAATGATCAGCTCGTCCAGTATCTGTTTCAGGAGGTCAAGCAAGGAATAAAGGCCGGCATTCCGCGAGCTACTCACTGCATAGGCTTTCTGGAAGTTAAAGATACTGTGATGTAACGCAAAGGGTTAGCATCTACTGTCAGCCAGATCATGAATGCTCCTCACAGATCGAGCTCGCACACCTAAACCGCAAAGCATCAGAATTGCAAAAACTTCTAAATTTTGTCGAACTCACGTTGCCAAAGTACCGATCAAGTACTTCGACGTATCTATGGATGATCTCCAGCGTGATCAATTCGTTGTCTGCCGATCCAATACCGCAGACGAAGAACAGTGAAGCGTAGCGCCGGTATACGACCTTGGTGTCTGTGCATGCGCAACAGCTATCAAAGTGAGACCTCAGAGTACATCACAGTGTGCGCACCCTTATACTCCAAAAAGTTACACATCCGTGTCCGACGAGCAAGAACGAGCTGAGTGACGTCCTTGACGATCTTGGCTTTCGCCTTCTGCGGCATCGTCGTGAACCATTTTGAGAGACGGACCTTCCCTGCAGTACCTGTAGCATCAGACAATAATCTACCACACGGCTTCACATACCTTGCCTTGATACGAGCAGAATGTAGGTGATCATGTTACAGTTGCTGAGTGCCGGCGCTTGCAGTGGCGACTCGGAAGCAGTAGTGTTAGTATACGGCTATTTGCGAAAACCAAAGAGGTAATCAACGCCTGGTTCACGTACCACGTGCTTCCCGATCACAAATGGCACACGGTTGTGGCTGAGATTTGGTTCTTTCTTTCCACCACCAACTACAAGTCAAAGTCGAACTCGTCCTTTACTAGTACCAGCATGGAGAAATCTCAAATTGAGGATACTACATCAACTGCGAAGCCTGATGAGCTTCTGCAGCGATTTTTGAGGGCCCTCGTCTCTAACCGGGTCCCGATGACCAAAGCCATAGGCGTTGCAGCGAAGATGTCAGCTCTTGACGGAATGTTGTGATATTACTACTTCTTACTGAACTCTATCGTACAGATTGAAGGAGCATAAGACTCCTTCGGCGATTGGCCGTTTGACTGACATACAGTTGATCGCAGCGGGTATTAACGAGGAAGGGCTCAGGAGGCTCATCCTTGCGGCTATTCGAAAAGGGGGGTTCAACCCACATAGCAAGAGCACTAAAAATGACGCACAGGGTACTTCCAATAGCGAAGGCCCCCTTGCCAGCACTTCGCGCAGTGCCCAGACCGACGTGCGTACATGCCGTTGAATTGCAAACTTACATAAAGCGGACTAAGTGGTGTGATCCTCCATCTCGTAACCTGGTGTTGTCCATTAGATCTCTCCCAGGAAGCGCAAGCGCACCAGTGATACGAATGAATTTTTGCCGGACAGACCGGAAGGAGAAGAAGTCCTTGACAGCCTCGAATTTGATGAAATACTCGACGAAGAGGTGTGTCTTTCGCCTGGATCATCGACCGGGGCGCCACCCTGTGTACTCGCCCGGTGCATGATCCCTCATTCTCTCCTGCGTGTGCTGGAGTGGATGTAGAAAGTTTTGCGAGTGACTGATTAACCACGTGCGCGGGCTGTGTGCTGTGCTAGGTATTGAAGAACAAGAACATATTCATCAACCGCGCCCCTATCATGGCAGTCTGGGCGATGGTCGTGCTGGAACGGCAGGGCTTCAAACGTGAGGAGGCACTGAGCATTGGTATGCCATTTCCTTGCGTACACAGCATGAATGCTGTGTGGGAAGTGTCGATTAGCTCATCTCGCTTTCCAGCCCTCGCATTCACGCAGATGAATGCTATTTACGGCGGTGTGTCCGCAAATATCTTCCCAAAGGGCAAGGAGAAAGAGTTCGAGAGAAGCCTCACATCCTCTCAGCCGTACGTAGACCTCATGGGTCGAAAGTAAGTGGCGTCCCTTGGAAGTCCGCGTCAACACGGAACTGACGGAGCCTTCGGTTATTCATTTCCTTCAGGATGTGCGTGTACCTCGCCGTGCGATTTGCAAAATCGTGACCGTTTTGACGCGTTTGCCTGCCTTCAACAGCCCGCTCTGCAGGGTCGCCTCGCAGTGGCGCGCAATTTTAACGGAGGGACCTATCCGGCCAACCCAAGCATACTCATACATCAAGAAGAAACTGATGTACAACACGCCGCGCGTAGTCGGCGCCCTGCGGTTACTCGCCAACAGCTTCACCCCAACGGAACTGAACGAGAAAGGGCATGCACTTTACCTCGAGTTCCGACCGGACGCACAGTGGGGCAAGAATGGTAGGGTGGATTATGACACCATCTTGGGTCTGAGGAAGGCTGAGGCTCATCGAGAACACCCCCTCGAGGATGTTAAACCTCCTATTCAACAGGAGGCGCTCCCAGGTCCAGCAGACGGGCAAGACAATGGACCAGAGCACAAGAGGGCGCGTGGTATGACACTCGAAGAATATGAGGAAATCCTGGACGCGGACGACACGTTCAATGGTGTTGACCCGGACGCCCTGGCCGCTCCGCATTAATGTTTGCTCCGCGCACTAGCATTGTTGGTGAAGGGCAAAGCATCATAGGGTATTATTGTGGGAGCTTAGGATTATCATGTAAATTATCTACACAACAACCGATGTAGTGGTAGTAATCACGACGCATTACTCCATCACTCCCGGGTGTGCCAGCTTATGCGCGGGACGCGCGCTCAGCTCAAGTTTTTGACGATGGCCGCAGTGAACTCTGACGTCGTTGCAGAACCTGAATATTTCAAGCCATTCAGCCTTCAGAAGAAATACATGATAGCTAGGGTACTGTAGACTCACCGCCCATGTCGGCAGTGCGGACCTTTCCACTGTTGATCACATCGAAGGTGGCGCTTGCAATGTTGTTCGCAAGACCATCGAGTCTGTCGTACAAAGTGGGGCTGAGCAGGCCACCAAGGAGGAATAAAGTGAAAACGCTCTTACCCCAGGTGTCTGAGCATCATGGTGGCACTGAGGATCATCGCTGCCGGGTTAGCACGGTTAGTACCCATGATGTCCTTAGCAACATGACGGCATCCGGGCTCAAATAGCGCGTAGTCCTGAATTACAAAATCATTAGTTCCAAATTGCAGACTCGGTCACAGGAAGATCTACTAACACGACCAACATTACACCCGGGCACGATTCCAGGACCGCCTACGAGGGCGGCACCGATGTTGGAGACGATGGCGCCGTACAAATTGGGCATGACCATAACATCGAACTGTGTTGGTCGTGCTACAAGCTGCATGGAGCTGAAAAATCACAAAAATTCAATAGCCAGAAAGCCGTGGGGAGCATCGAGCACGCACGTGTTGTCAACGATCATGTCGTTGAACTCGATGCCGGTGGTCTTGTACTCCTCCGCAACACGACGGAAGGTGTTCAGGAAAAGACCATCACCGAGCTTCATGATGTTGGCCTTGTGCACGCACGTGACTTTCTGCCGAAAGGAAGGAACGTTGGAAACTCGCGAATAGACGCGTTTTAGACAATGTTAGCACCTTACGGTTGTTCTTCAACGCGAAATCAAACGCGAATCTTGTGATGCGCTCAGCCTTAGCACGAGTGGAGACCTTCAAGCTTTCGACAACCCCTGGGTAGCTTTGGTGCTCAAGACCAGAGTATTCTCCCTCAGTGTTCTCGCGGATAATGGCAAAGTCGACATTTGAATGACGTGTAGGGAATCCAGGAAGAGATTTGCAGAGAACGACAGAGGCGTATATATCAAGTTGTTGACGCATGGCGACGTTCCACGAGATATGGCCGGACTGAGAGATGGGCGTGAAGAGGATGCCTTCACATAAAATTCAGTTCAGGCAATTAGACGCGAAAAAAGATACTCACCCTTGAGACCGACTCGGTTACGCCTCAAGCTCTCCATAGCCTGCTTGAAGAGCTCCTCACCGGAGGAGGACATGCCGGACACATTATACTGCTCCCATTCAATGGGAGCATTAACATGCTCGAAGATCTCCTTGACGGAGTCGGTGATCTCGTTACCAATACCGTCACCCGGGATCAATGTGACCTGCACAAGAGATGTCTCTTAACACAGGTGCTCCCCTTGCGAAGACTGACGCGTACTGTGTAGACTCCGCCATACTTGGTTGGCAGCTATGTATCATAGATCACGTTCAGTAGCCAGACGGGGCCGAGGCGGTATACACGACGCACGCGGTGAGTGACCCTCGGGAAACCTGCGGAAAGAGTGGTGGCAGTTCTCTGATGAACGGATTGGTGTGAGTTTTCGTGACTTGTGATAAAAACACGCACTGCATGAAGAACGGGACGGGCGGCCTCTGCGAGAGTATTGCGGAACATGGTGGACTGCACAAAACACCAACGGAGCCGGGAACGGAGGAGACTTGGAAATGGCTCGGGAGTAGAAAAAGTGATGTCGGCCGAACCGGGAAGGAAACGTGACCTGCCTCGAAGGTAATCACGCTGAGCCCTGTCGCCGAAGGCAAGGTGCAACAACTCTGCGTAGCAAACTGCACTGGCTTTCTGTGATATCGTTTCATTTCTCTGCCTATTTATTTCAATCTCTTCCTGCTCGACGCCCATTTACTCTCTGCCGCGTATTATACCTGAATCTCATGGAATTACAACAAGACGGAAAGCTCGCAGAAACCGTCTTCTACGACATCTCGGAGCGACTTCACCCACGTCCCAAACGCGACGTGTCTTTCTATCTGGTCTTGGTCGGAGCAGTTCTACCCATCTGGTTCATGGTACCGCTTTCATGGGCGTACGTGATCTATACTCTGCGGACCGGCCAAATCTGGGCATTGGGATGGTGTGGAAGGACTCTGTTCATCGCTGCGCTCTGTGAGGTCAGCGATCGCGTTCAATCGATCATTTGCGGAATGAAACTCATCTTGGCGTCTCAGGTATTCTTCAACGTGCACCACTGCGTGTTGGCATGGTACATTGCTCCTTCTTCTTCGCTTCCTCTGCACAGTCTTGGGGAACTTCGTTCTGCGTTTAAACGCATGTTACGCGCCGGCTTAGTTTCTTTACCTGAAGTTGGTTGTAACCATGAGCCGTCAAAATTAGCAAAGTCAACTATCAGCGACGACTTCATCCATCTGAGGTACGATGATCCCAGGGCGGTCGACTTCCGCAACTACTTGAGGACATGGCGAGAAACACATATCCTTGTGCATGATATCAGATACTGAGCAGCCGTGTTCTTAGGTTTGGCAAGGTGCCATGGTCATCCATACGCAGACACGAATTTTACGCCTGGTTGTACTGGTCGATTTTTAATGCACGCTTCACGTCCTTCGATCAAGTACCGGAACCACATCAACTCGCTCTTCGAGATGTTCTCCACATGATCGAGCTCCGTTCGGGCTCTACAATTCCCGAGGGGTCTAACCCGGCTGCAAAGCCAATCCTTCTCACATTGGATCCTGTTTGTGTGTATTCGCGACCTTTGGTGTGGTATGCAGGAGTTATGGTCTGCAACCTCCTCTCGCGAGTATATCTCATGACCCAGTGGGACGTAACGTTTGGCACATACAACGGTCTTGAGTGAGTCGCGTACCCATGGTTTTCAACATCGGCAGGCTCTGAACGTTGTTTCCTGGCCTGTGTAGCTACGTCCTGCGCGTGCCTCCACATTGGAGTTCCGCTACTGGACCTCGTCCTGTTGTTTTCCTCCACGGCCTAGGGCTCGGGCTGGCTCACTACCAACCCTTCATCTCACAACTCCTGCGATCACTGCCAAATCACCCAATACTTATTCCCTTACAGCCGCACATAAGCCAGCAGATTTTTCACCCGCATTATTTGAAGCCAATGAACAGGCGCGTCATGTCAGAGTGCCTCGCGGGGCTGATGAACAAGCTGGGCTGGGTCCGCTTGGAAGAGGGATGCCCCCAATCGCTTCCGAAGCCTCAACCTTACACTCGGAATGGGGAAAAAGTGACGCAGATGCAATCTCCCTTGGGTGTGACGATGTTGAGTCATTCCAAGTAGGTTAATTCTTATGTGATATCTCGACTTCATCGCTCAGTGCGTTGCAGTGGTTCGTTTGTGCACGCGTGGATGTTGAAGAGACATCCAGAGTTGATCACTCGTTCGTGTTTCGTTGATCCTGTCGCATTCTGCTCTTGGGAAGGAGGTATTTCCATTCGTAATTCCCGTCCTTATCGATCTATTCACTGACTATCGCGTCCCAGACGTGTGTTACAACTTCCTTTACCGTCCTTGCTCAACAGTAAGCATCAGCTTTTGCAACTGTTAAGTTCCGTATATGCCAATGCTCCGATATCAGGGAATCGACTTACTCATGAAATATTACGTCGGCACTGAGCTCGGCGTCGCCAACGTCCTACAGCGACATTTTGATTGGTATTCCAATTCGCTGTGGTACGAAGATATACCAAATGCGCTTGACCCCACGAAGACAATGTTCTTCCTCGGCGGAAAAGACTCTATCCTCAATGCTAAGGTTCGTTCATCGCTGGTGCCGCACGCGTAGTACCTGACACGCACCCTTGACAGCGTATCAAACGCTATCTCACAGAACATGGCGTGCTCAAAGGTCTCTGGTTTGAGCCTAACTTGCGCCATGGACAGATCCTACTTCCCAGTTCTCCCGGACATCATGCACTCCTCCGATGGCTACATAACCACGAAGTGCCCGTCGATGCACCTTCACTCTCTTAAGTTGTGCTCCATGCGTCCCCGATGTCCGAACCCTCTTCGTTACCTTGCTAAAATACACGATATCTCCATTTCTACGTTGTTGTAATTCGGTGATACCCTGCATATCGTCTGAAAGTACAGTATCTGTCGTCGTTGACATTATAGATGTAGATGCACCCGGATAATGATAGAGCTCCGAGTCCGTTGAATTTACAATCCACGAAATGCGCTAGTTTTTTGTAAGGCTTTTGCGGCCTTTGGTGGTCCTTATGTAAGTCGCGAGAAGTGCACTGAACTCGGGAGGCAGGTTTTCAGTGAGTAAAGTAAAGACGAATAGACCATCCACGCGGTTGAGCGCGTATTCAACGCCTCGACTTGTCTAATCCTCTAATATCCTTACATTGTTACTCAGACGTCTAGACTACCGCTGTCTTGCGCCGCAAGGAAACATGATGACCGCAGCGCCGGGAAAAGCTTCAGCGCATTTTTGCTCATCACATCCTCCAGAGCGATCGTACCGCGGCCATAATGATTGACGACGTTATTGGTAAACCATTCTGCCATGTCTGTGCTGACGGCTGGAAACAGATAATTAGCGAGAGCTTCACTCAGTAAACAAGAGTATGGATGCCTGGAAAATCAGTCCCGAACAAGATGTGGTCCGGTTCAACAAAAGTCTTCATGGCAGCGAGAGTGCTCTCGTGGGCACTCAACGCGGTCTCGTAGTAGAAACTCTTGAAGTCTTCCAGTATCTCTTCCCGCGTCAGCGGACAGCCCATATGCCTCGATAGCACGGCAACGCGAGGCGCAAGGGAGGGCGTGCTACCTCCGAGATGGGCGAGGATGATTTTCACGTCATGGAACCGCCGCTTTTTTCCCGTCACGACCAGGTGTGCGGCAGCCTTGAACGTTTCATTGGGTACCTTTGATGAGGATGAGTTTTGAATGCATTCTGAAGGGAAAAGACCGCCAACCTCTGTAATAGGAATTCCCAAAAACGGGTGGGGAAATGGAGTCGACGAAGGGGTCTGTGCACCGTGGAGGAAGACTACCGCTTTCCGTCTGTCGAGTTCCTCCCAAACAAGGTCATACCCATCGTCACCTATGTATGCTGCGAACACGAATGCAAGTGTAAGCCGTTTGAACTCACGCCAAATGGCAGTGCCGTACTAACTTGCGTTGTCACCTTCGCCATACGACGAGGCTACGATGACACCAAGGGCGCCCAGTTCGTCAATCGCAAATCGAATCTCCGACACCGCGGCTGCAAGACAAATTGAGTATCCTCTTCACGGAGAGGCTGTAGGCTTACTACCTTCCGAATCGTTGGGCTTAGGCAAGCAAGCAAAAAATCCGAAGCGCGACGGGTTCTCCTTACATATGCGCGCAGCCAGCAAGTTGAACTCCCGTGCCGCACTGCGGTTCTGAGGACCAATATCTCCTCCAGGAAGATACGGGGGCAGCGACAGGATGGCGAAGTCGATGCCCATCGCATCCATGGCTCGCAGGCTGACCACGGGCGTCCATGGCAAGTTTTCTGCAGGTGTCCGGAATCCGACCTCGGCGTTTCTCTGGGCTTTGTCCGATGCATCCAGAATGAAATGATGATGCACGTCGACGCGACGGAAGCAGTTGGTCTATAGAATAACCAGAGTAGAGTAAAACGAGTGTTGCAGAGTTGTTGATCCTCACCTGACGTTCTGCAGCAGACATTCTGGAGGCAAGCATTAGTTCGGAGCTAGTACAACTCGCAGACTCAGTGTGAAGGGTTGATGGATTCAGCATTTATATACCGCTACGAGCAAGCACTGCTAAGACTTGGTGTTCTCCGTAGCGCGGGTGACCCACGCACTACGCCGGGAAAATTGGTCACTCCAAGGGAAAAATTGGTCATTCCATGCGTTGCTATAACAAGGAATTGGGCATTGCGTAGCATATCAGTACTACTGGCTTTGCATGTACTTGTTACAGTCTGCGTTCAAATGAGAGGGTTTCACCGTAGTACACGATTTCGGAGTTACATAAGCACGTTGATCTCCGAGACGCGTCGAGTAGATCTGGTATAACACGACGCGACTGCCTCAGCCGGACTACACTCTCTGTAACACCCAAATTTTGCTCTAGTTATATGTTGTATCATCCCTTTTAATGTCAGAGTAGCTTCTACACCCATTGGGCTCAGTCAAATCCATCTCAAAGGTGCGGACTGTAGCAGCAATTCCGGTAAATCCACGCTACTCCTATCATCCACACGACATTGTAAGGTGTCCATGCTTGACCCACTGCACCCGCGGCCGGCATCATGGCCGGGGCATCCCTTCGGCATCAGTAAAATCGTGTACTACGGCTAAAGGGGCGCGTTTGAAAGCAGACCTATATCATCGGGATGATTTTGCAGTCTGCCTTTGGGAGACTAAACTGGGACCCATGCCGGTAATACACCACCACCACCGCCAAGGCTTTTCCCCGGGGCCGCCGGGCGCCCACCCAGGGGTTTTGGCGTGAAGCGCCAAAATCGTACCCAGGGGTTTTCTCGCCGACGCGTTGGCGAGAAGGTCTCATGCTCGATAACCTCCATCTTCTAGCCAACTGAAAGTCCATGCCCTCATGCGTGAAGATGCTAGACCCCATATTTTCCACCTCCCCCGCCTCGATGTTCGGCTGCTACAACGACACGCATACGCATGATGATTGCTGCGCCACCCCAGCCGCCATCAAACTCAACGCCTCCGCGGCACGCTTGTTGTGGAATCAGCGGGCATCAGGTAAGTAAAAACAATGTGTTCTTTGCCGTTTGTTCGTAATATTAACTGCCAAATCTGCTGCTCCGCTTTCGCCTGCGCCAAACCCTCTTTTCGGTCTTCCCCGGGCCATTGCACTTTGCACCGGGCCTCCTGCCACCTCGTGCGTGCTGTGGGACTCAAAACAAGTCCAGCTCGTTAAAGGCATGACGTGCGTACGCTCCTCGCATGTCCCTCAACACCAAGTTCGCCATCTCTTACCGTTTCTCCCCTCCTACCCTTTTCCGCACCCACATCGTGTCATCGTCCGTGCCGGGCCCTCTTGCTGTAGTGCACATGCAATGGAAATCAACACCAGTGCCCGACAGTGCTGTATACCACGCGCAGCTTTCCACGTTGGTCTCCCACCAATTTCTGCTGTTCCCCGCCTCCCTGTTTGTCGGTCGCCCTGCTCGCACGCTTATTGCACTCATCTGTCCTTACGCCATCCATGCTCTTGTTCAGCGGCCGATTGTATCTGGGATGCACCACTCCATATTTCCCCACCTGTAATATCTCTTCCCCTCCCGCCTGCCCTGTTTAGATTATGCTCTGTATTGTTTTATTTAGTACAGAATATATATTTTAATTTGCTTCTGATCAGGAATTTGGAACCTAGATATGCATATAAGAAATCAGAATGGCTCATGGCCCTGGTGTATCGAGGTTAGGGTCAGATTAGTCCAAGTCACGCGTAGGACCAATTTTGGTCCGGGCCCTTGGTGTGGAGTCCCCCACTGGCAAAGGCACTTAGGTAGTACTTAGCTAGCTACACTGCTTCAACCTTCGTAACTCAGGATATCAGTATCTGACTTGGCATGGCGTTGTTGCCGTTCTCTGGTCGATACATGAGTGTCTACTGTATGACTAGGAGAACGTCCAGGTGGGGTCGGGGTATGGTGTGTGTATCTTGAGAGGAAAATAGTAGATAAAAGTAATGTGTAGATTGTGTCGTGCAGGGTGTGGGGTGGGTTGAGGTGTTCCTCAGTGTCGTAACACATGTATCATGGCACACATTGAATAAGTTATAAAGAGAGGGGAAATGCATAGGAAAGAAAAAGAGAAGCGTGGTTTGTCGACGTGTGTGGAGGGGGAACGATACTTCGCTGTGCATCTAGTACTGTGAGGGAGCTTCGTAGCGGCTCGCTGTCGTCGTCGCCATCGTTGTTGGCAGGGTCGTCTTCGTTGTCGCTGGTGTCCCCCTGCATTTTGTCGGTGTTGTTGTCCTGTATGGGTTCCTCCTCATCCTCCCATCTGGCGAGCCGAGCCTCTGCTCGCTTCTCGCCTGTCTTCGTCAAGGCCCCACTCAGTGTCCGAGCGCATCGATCCCGGCTGGCGTGCCGAGGATCGGTGTAAAGGGGAGCGAACCACAATTAATATTAGTCAATTCGAGGGCCATGTTGGACACTTGTGTACATGGCCAATATTTCCGGATATGCGCACACGTCAAGTCTCGAAACACGCAGATTTCCTTATGCTAGTCTTGTGGTAAGAGATCGTTCTCAAATCCCTTCATGCTGTACATGTATACAACTGCTTTTACTTGCCTCCACCTTTGCACCTAGGCTACTTGAAAAACTGCGCGCACACCTCCGAATCCCAGCTGACGAACTGACCACTGAGAGACTGAGGTGCCCCGAGCGACAGCGCAGCAGCGACATATCCAGATTCTTCGGGTTTCACCAACGTATTCTCAGCGTGACGATCAATGAATTTTTTGTAATCATCTTCCTTCATGTGGGCTTCGCCCTGCCCTCTCACGACTGCTTGCATCTATGATGATTTTGAACATAGGATCCAGTCATACGGAGGATGGCGAGGTACGCACTTCTGTATCGACCGCACCTGGTCGAAGTGCAACGCAAACGACGTCTGGCTCTTCCTGTGCAAGAGTCCTAGAGGAATGAAACCAAAAAAATTTACCAGACAAGTCTTGACCGCCACCATGTAAGCACGAACCTGCATAAACTGTTCATCGCCGCCTTGCTCGTGTTATACGGACCCCAGCCAGCCACGTTGCCAGTCGCAGCACTAGAGCTTACGAAGACCACTCTACCTCCTAACTCACTCTTGCGCAACACAGGCAGTGTGACTCGGAGAGTGGTTACCAGGGAGAAGAAATTGACGTCAAACAATTCCTTCCATCCGTCCAAGGGGATTGAAGGGTCAGAAATCTTCCCCATGGGGGTCAAAGTTCCCGCATTGAGAATGAGCCCATCCAGATGGCTGAACCTCTTCAATGTGAGATCAACTGCATTGGACACAGCAGATGCGTCTATTCTGAACCATGATTCGATTCAATCGACTGGGCAGGAAGAAAAGCAGACGTTCACTGACACGCTGCCCTGAAAGATCAGAAGCGAATGGTTGTATGTCTTGGCGAGCTCCAGGAGTTCGGGAGTCTCGGATCGCTGGAGAGTAGCAACGTTTGCCTGAAATTCCTCGAGCAAAATCTTGGTGATTGCGAGTCCTATCCCTCTGCGACAAGAGTTTCAGTCACGTAGGGACAGTGAAACTGATCGACGGTAATGCACTTGGACGCTCCAGTGAGGAAGACCACAGGTGTACGCGACATCGTCTTGACGCTGAAGAAGGACCCGCGTGAACGTGCACGAATAACAATATTGAGGGGCAAGTGGCAGAAAGATATTTGAGCGTATTTGTGTAGATCCAAATATCGTGCCGACCAACTCCGCGCCAGCGAATCGGTTCTCCTTCCGCCTCTTTCCTCTCCCCCGTCGTCCACATCCATCTTCTCCCCAAAATTATGGCCTCCAGAGCAGCTTTCTCCCGTATTGCCCCCGCCCTCGTCAATGCTCGTGCAGCGACGCCATTCGCAACGCGTCGCGCTGTGCTCATCCGCGGATATGCCTCCGCGACTGAACACACCGTAGGTCACTCTCTACCGTTGGAAAACAGTCTGAATGATACCCAATTACATATGACTGTAGTTGACCGTTCGCGATGCCCTGAACGCGGCATTAGAGGAGGAGATGTTGCGAGACGAGAAGGTCTACATTATCGGGGAGGAAGTCGCACGCTACAACGGTGCTTACAAAGTACGCGTCCCTGTCGCGATACCGCGCAACGTCCGTATCTCATATTTCATTAGGTTACCAAGGGACTTCTGGACAAGTTTGGTGAGAAGCGAGTCGTAGATACTCCCATTACGGAGATGGGTTTTGCAGGTCTTGCCGTTGGTTCTGCGTTTGGTGGTCTGCGACCCGTGTAAGTCACCCCGGTGGATGTTGAAGTCGGTTCTCATCAAATCCGCAGTTGCGAGTTCATGACCTTCAACTTCGCCATGCAGGCCATCGACCAGATTGTCAACTCAGCCGGAAAGACACATTACATGTCTGGCGGCTACTTGCCATGTCCAATCGTTTTCCGTGGTCCGAACGGTTCGGCTGCCGGTGTTGCAGCACAGCATTCACAGGACTTCTCGGCGTGGTACGGTGCCATCCCTGGCCTGAAGGTCGTTAGCCCATGGAATTCCGAAGACTGCAAGGGTCTGCTGAAGGTACGCAACTGCGAAGGTTCGTGTGAATCGTGCTCATTCATTGTCTGCTAGGCAGCTATCCGGGACCCCAACCCGGTCGTGTTCCTCGAAAACGAGATGATGTACGGTGTCAGCTTCCCTGTATCTGCGGAGGCGATGTCGGACAACTTTGTCCTACCCATCGGCAAGTGCAAGGTCGAGCGCGAAGGCAGTGACGTCACCATTGTCGCACATAGCAAGATGGTCACTCTCAGTCTCGAGGCTGCGGACGAACTCGCGAAGGAAGGCGTCCAGGCTGAGGTCATCAACTTGCGCAGCATCCGTCCACTTGATATCGATACGATCAAGGCCTCGGTCAAGAAGACGAACAGGTGCGTGCCACGACGGCGCTATCTGCCCTGTGTCGCTTATCGGTTTGGTAGACTTCTTATCGTCGAGGGTGGCTTCCCTGCCTTCGGTGTTGGCAGTGAGATCTGCGCTCGGATCGTCGAGAGTGAGGCGTTCGACTACCTCGATGCACCGGTCGAGCGTATCACTGGTGCTGACGTCCCTACTCCCGTAAGTAGCTACCGCGTCTGCATTGAGAACACATTTTCTGACTTTGGCTTTGGCGTAGTACGCAGCCAACCTTGAGGCTTTGGCCTTCCCCGACACCCCTCTCATCGTCAAAGTGGCTAAGCGTGCATTGTACAGGAGCAACTAAGCTTCTACATATGACTCTGTAGGTAGAAGCTGTGTCTCGCTCATACTCGAATATCTTGCCGGGTTTTCTAGACTGCCTCTATGAATTGACCGCATTGGCCGAAGCTCTAAGTTCTAACCATCTAATCCTACAATTGTACAATTTGCCAGGGCTGTCCCTTTACCTGCGAACACTTTCCTTGATGGTATCTGCCACGCCGCCTACGCTAAGATTGCCTTAAGTTTGAGGCCGACTCACTTTTTGTGCCCCAGACGGTCCCGCACGCTGCAAAGCAGACTGGCGTTCCACGCCTAATTTGTGCAAGATTTCTCGGTACATGATCATCAGGGCTCCTTTCCAAGGAAGGCTCCAATACGATTTCCATTGAAGTCGGTAGCTGTGGCTTCGAGCAGGCAAAGCTGGCCGTGCTAGCCAACCTCTATATCGAGCACTTTGTGCGCTGCTGCGAGTTCTTACTCGCAGCAAAGGGTTGCACCCCTCGACTATCAAGCCATTCTTCCAGGCCATCGTTCAATAACAGGAAGGAATTCCTGAAATGGTTACTGGAGGAAGCCCCGCAAAATCATGCAACAGCAAGGGTGAAGGCCAGTTGAAGGAGTAGTTTCTCTGTGTACTGCCTCATTGTGTCTTTAAGCTCTCATCCGCGACGATTATCGCTGTGTCGTGACTGGTTGTTACGATCGGCCGTATGCTGTGGAGATGGACTTCTTAAAGGAGAAAGTCCGAGTGAATCCTGATATCCTCTCATACCTCAAAATTCCTGTCGTATTTTACCCCGAGTCCACGAACTCCGGTATATCTGGGAAGAATATCGAAGGAGACAAGGTATGTCTCTCCAAAGGTTCTGTTGAGAAAAGATGATGCTTACGGGCAGCATACTGTGAGTATGCTGCTACTGTTTGGACTGTAATAGAGCGCTTCGGAGGAGTCCGCGTTCGCGAAGGGCTTGATGGTGTAAAGGTAAATGTTCTGTACAACATCATGACCATTGGAGTCGACAAGCACGAAATGTTTGTCTATTTGTTGTTGTGGTTCGAGAAGACGGTAAGAGTAGTCCAGCCACATGGCCAAGATGATTGACTGACCTCTTGTCCCAGGAAACACCCAATCGCTATAAGACAACCGCTACTGAAGATTGGCTGCTCCGGGGTATCCAAAAGTTCGTCACGTTCAGCACTACTGACCCCGTCAATTTGCCGGTTCCATCTCCAGCCTTACATGCCGCATGTGCCCGGGTTGTCCTTCTCTCAATCGCAGGAGAGTACATTGATAAGATCTTCAGCGGATACGCGGTACTGGCTAATAACGGGTCGTCTGCCGAAGTTCAGCGATATGCGCTAGCGTCATCCCTGTCCTCGGATGTTACGGTAAATTGAGGGTGTTCTAGCCGTTGAGGTCTTAAGGTAATCTTGTCTGTCATGACCTTATCCTGCCTGTCTTCTCGGCTACTTTGTCCAAGTATACGAGATTCTCACCGCACTAGATTTGTATTTCAAGTTGTAAGGCTAGCAGTATCTCGGATTATTCCGCGCCTTTGTCCCTTCCTTTCTTTATCATGATCATTGCTGTGTACTTTGGAAACATATGACTCTTTCGATTGTTTGAAGGCGCTGGCAGGGGCTTTCTATATATCAAGAGAGCGTTACTTGCAGTCGAGATGCTGTGAAATTTCGGCGGGGGGTCGCCGTTACCCCATAGCCCACGAGTCTGCCACCATCCAATAATTTATGATACCCAACTTTGCACCGCTCGATAAATTGTTGAATAAGTTATCACAGACTGCGGAGGCGGATCCGCACAGCATTCGCGTGGGCGTCTAAGCCTTCGCAGTCGGCTAGCGTGGCTACGACGGGGCCGAGCACCCTCAGCCCGTTTGCACTGACCTCCTGTGAAGTTATGTGTTTCTGGAAGGAGAGTGTATTGACTCCGCTAAACTGGCGAGCATAGCCATTTGTCGGGAGCGTGTGGTTAGTGCCGGACGCGTAGTCGCCGCAGCTATGTGTGATCCAATTCAGTAGATGCTTCGGAGTACAGGGTGTACGACGCACCTTTCAGGGGAGTACGGACCCACGAACACACTGCCTGCGTTATCTACCGAAGCGAGGAGCCCCTTCGCGTCCTTCACGTGCAAGATTAAATGTTCCGGGGCGTAGTCGTTGGAGAACCTGATCGCGTCCTGCTCAGATTTCGTCTTCACGATGATGCTCTTCGCGATCGACTCGCGCACGATCCCGACACGCGGCAGGGCATGCGCCTGGGAGTCGACCGCGGCCTCGATCGCAGACACTTCCGCATCGGAGAGATTGACGGCGACGAGGACGACCTGAGAGTCCACGCCGTGTTCTGCCTGAGAGAGAAGATCGGCTGCGACGAAGGCAGGGTTGCACGTGCTGTCCGCGATAACCTGAGACCAGTGGTGTGAGTCGCTGCGGAAAAGAAGGCTCAAGTTACTCACCAACACTTCGGAGGGGCCTGCAGGCATGTCAATTGACACCAACGCATCGGTATCGTTCTGCACGAGCATCTTCGCAGCGGTAACCCACTGGTTGCCCGGGCCAAAGATCTTGTCGACCTTCGGAACCGTTTGCGTGCCATATGCGAGCGCCGACACCGCTTGAGCGCCACCTGCCTTGAGGATCGCGGATGCACCTACGAGGTGTGCTACATACATCACCTCAGGGGAGATACTACCATCGGTGCGCGGTGGCGTTGCAATGACGACCTCCTTGCAGCCCGCAACTTGCGCAGGTATACCGAGCATCAGCGCAGTGGAGGGAAGAATCGCAGTGCCTCCAGGCACGTACAGACCCACACGCGCGATCGGCCGCGAGAAGCGAGAGCAGAGCACGCCCGGCATCGTCTCGACGGTCATGGTGGACTGCTCCGCCTGCGCAGCATGGAACTTGTAAATGTTTGCATACGCGATGTCGATCGCTTCCTTCACGGACGCGTCGAGCTGCATCGACTCTGGAGGGAAGGGCGGAAAGAGTACGGTCGAAGACAGCTGCACCTTGTCGAACTTGGCTGTGAGCTCGAGCAGCGCGGAGTCGCCGCGGATGCGCACATCATCCACAATCGGCTTCACCTTTGATATCATCTCGTCAGACTTGAGGACAGGTCGGCGGAGCAGTTTAGCACGCTCCTCCGAGGTCGTCGAGGAGATATCAAAGGTGCGCATGCGGATGGCTGCGCTCGTACCTGCGGGTTCCTTCTCAACAATTGACGCTGGAGCAGGCTTCTGCGCAGCTATTTCATCCGAAGGCTGCGACGCCTTGACCCATTGCTTCTTCGCATTGCCGGGGCGGCGCGTAACCTTCTTCGACTTGCTGTCCAGGGACCGTTCAATGTCAGCAATGCTCACACCCGCTGCAACGCAGCGTGTGAGCGCGAAGTAGAGGAGATCGGCCGCTTCGAACGCAACTCCTTCCTTCGTTTCGGCGCGGCACAACTCGTCTGCTTCCTCCATGATTTTCGAGCTGAGAAGGTCCGGGTCCTTGAACAGCCGCTGAGTGTAAGAGCCCTCCGGCGCGGACGACAGTCTGGATTGCAGCGTCTTCTCTAGGGCAGACAATCCGCTGGTCTCCCCGAAACACGACGGGCGGCTGAGGTGACAGAAACCTGCGCCGTTCTGGATGACGCTAAACTCCAGGGCGTCGCAGTCGCAGTCGAGGCGGATACTGACGACGTCCTGCGTCGCTCCCGATGTTTCGCCCTTCCGCCAGAGGCCGTGTTTCCGCGACTGATAGACGCCCTTGCCAGTGGCGATGCTCTCCTTGATGGACTCTGTAGACGAGTAGACGAGGCCCAACGAACGGCCCCCTTCGAGGTGAGAGGCGACGACAGTAGGGAAGAGACCGTCTGGACGATCTGAAACGAGAGGGGCGAGAAAGGCATCGCCAACGTTGATGTGAGACTGCGAAGAAGGCTCCAAGGTGAGGAGAGAAGTGGGTAAGACTAGAGTTGCACCCGCAGCGAAGAAGGCGCGGATGGTGGATGGGGTAGGAGGGGTACTCGCAACGGCAGGGAGAACGTGAATGGCAGAGCCAGAGAAGAAACGCGATACGGAAGTCACGAAATCGACATCGAGGGAAGGGCTCTTGATGAGGACGCCGGAGACACCGTTGCGGACGGTGTCGGAGACAGCGCTGACGCTCCCTACGTCAAAGAGCAGTAGCAGGCGATCTGCAGGCAAGGCTTCTATAACTTCCTTTGCATAGGCGAGAGGGACGATGACCTTTTCTGCACCCCCGTCGAGCCAAGAGGTGATCTCGTCGAGGTTGGGGGGTGAGTCATGATCGAGCAAAATCAAGCGTTTGGCGTTTCCGGGAAGGGGTGTGGTGGACGCGGTGGATGCAGGAACGATGATGGGTGCTATGCGGATCAGTGCTCGCAGGAGAGCACTGTCCGCAGCAGCAGGCTCGAGCAACGGCACGAAAACCGACATGATGGACTTTCTGCCTACAGTAATGCAATATTTCTCCGATCTCATGTCATTTCCCTCAGATCTAACCGCCCATCTCGATCGACCTGCTTGAAGAACCCACATAGGTTTGGATACGTTCTGGTCGTTTGTGGCCTTGTAGTGTAGCGGTCTTATCACTCGAGATTCTGATTTGGGATGTTCTCGAAACCCAGGTTCGAGTCCTGGCAAGGCCTTACCATGTGCGACACATTATCCATTTTTGGCTGTCGTCTGTTTGATTGCTTTGTCTCCCAAAGATCATTCCTTTCAGTCTGACCTCGAGATTTACGCAGGTGTTGGAGCAGCGGTTATCCAAGGCGGGTGTCCGCTGCATGAGGCAGTTGCATTATTGCCAGTGGCATTAACTGACTCCGGTGCGAATGCGATAGTTAACCGTGCAAGGGCTTCCCTTTGTACGAGGAGAAGCTGTGACCTGCCGCAGCACCTGCGCATATGACCGAATCGAATTCTCGACGCGTCAACAATGGAAAACACGAGTGGCTTCCCTTGTAATCGATTGGACCAACTGAAAAGAATCAAGCAATCCCGCAGCCGACCTCCTACTTAAACGGCCTCGTCCCTTTTCTTCCTCCCATTTCTCTCTCACTCACTTTCATCCTCTCAATACACATCCTCCCGAATCATGCCTCCTCGCGCTGCTCGTGGTGATAGAGGCGGCCCTCCTCGAGGTGGCCCTCCTCGACGCGGCCTGCCTCAGGGTGCCGCTCCCCCTGCTGGTGGCGGCGGTCTTCCTGACACCAGTAGCCATGTTACCACCATAGGTGTGCGAAGACCTGCATTCGGCACCAGCGGCCGCAAGATCTCTGTGTGGACCAACCATTTCAAGGTTGATATCCCTGAAAGTGTCATTCAACACTATGACGGTGCGTGTTTCCAACTCATGAATCCACGTGAACATGCATCTGATACTGCATCCTTTCAGTCGGTATGTGGCGTCTTCATTTGCACGTTTGGTCGCGATGTTGACATTCTGCCCAGTCATTTCGCCCTCCGAGAAGACCCTACCTGCAAGATTGAACATGGAATTGATTGCCAAACTTCAGAACGTGGTCGCACCGGAGATATTCACCCCGCGTGCCGTATACGACGGTCGGAAGAATCTCTTTGCTGTCAGACAGCTCCCTTTTGGCGAGAGCGGAGCCCGGGAGGTGCGCCACATCTGCCCATCAACTGCTCTTCTCATCAGCTCATTCACTGTCCATAGTTCGATGTATACGTTGGTGATCCTCCATCGCAGGCCCAGCAATCAAAGCCAAAGGACGGTAAAGATCCCGCGAAAGGACCAAAACCTTACAAGATCCGACTTAAGTGGGTCGCATCTATAAATCCTGAGTACGTGGTGCCTTTTCTCCCGCGAGACTGGTCATAAACCCATGGACTATCAGAGTGCTTGCGAGGTTTCTGCAAGGGAAGCAAAGTCACGACAACGACGTCCTGACGGCCATCACTGTGCGTCTCTTCATTTCGTGCAACATTTCATATTCATGTCTTCTCCATAGGCTCTCAACGTGGTCATTCGCATGGAGCCGACGCTGAAATATCCCTTCAATGTCAGGTCCTTCTTCACGGATGCTGAAAGTCAGAACATCGGCGGGGGTATTACGTTGTGGCGCGGATACTTTCAATCCGTTCGCCCAGCTGTCGGCAAAATGCTAATTAACGTCGACATCAGCACCGCAACAATGTACAGGACGGGTAGTCTGATCGACCTCTGCCTAGAATTCTTCAACAGACAGGGTCAAGACCCAAATCTTCTTGCCCCTGCTCGTGGTCTACCTGAACGCCAACGGGTTCAATTGCAGCGATTCGTATCCGGAGTCAGAATTGTCACTCGCAATCCGAACAATCTATCGGAAGTTATGACTCGGTCTCCCCGCGTGGTAAAGAGGTTGAGCTCAGCGGGTGCCAATGCTCTAACCTTTACGCTCCGCGACACGGGGACGATGTCAGTCGAACAATACTTCAAGCGGACATATAATTATGACTTGAAGCATCCTGAGGTCATGTGCGCGGAGGTGAGGTTGTTTCTCCTGAAGGTGGTAGATTGTGGCTCAATACATCCCAACAGGTTGGTTCGGGTGCCTTGATTCCGCTCGAGCTGTGCGTGGTCCCAAAGGGTCAAATCATGCGAAAGCAGGTTCCGCCAGAGAAGACGAAGGATGTTCTTGGATTTGCCACCAAACGGCCCCAGGACCGCCTGGACAGTATCAAGAGAGGCCTCAGCGTACGTCTGCCTTTTCGCTTTGCCGCGATCTTGCACTCATTCTTCTACCACTATGTATATAGGTTTTGTCCTATGGCCAGTCCGAATATGTTAGAGTAAGTCATTTTGCACCCCATGACCAAAGCATGATCTCATGTGTATCTTAGCACTTCGGCATGCATGTCGAACCGAATGCTACGCCACTAAGCTTAACCGCGAGAGTCCTTGTCGCGCCTGCTCTCAAATATGGAGGGGGCAGCAAGTACGCTGTGATGGTACGCCCTACATATACTGTCCTCCGCAGTCACTTATCGCCACTTTTCTGCTGACAGCAACCGAAGGATGGCGCATGGAACATGTATGCTTTTACAACATATCAATAAATCTCTTGCTAAACATGCATCTAGGAATGGCCAACGTGTCTATCGACCAGCTACTGTCGACCGTTGGGCGGTTGTCGTTTATGCCACGAAAAGACAATACACGCCGGACCACGCGCAAGGGATGATCAAGGATCTGATAAGCAGCATCGTTGCCGTAGGTTAGTGCCGCGTCTGTTCAATCAGCGCTGCTTCGGCTGATGCCTCGTAGGTATGGGCGTCAACGAACGGGATCCCTTAGTTTTCTACGAGAATGCGCAAGGAAATATCGCAGACGTCAGTTCGTCCCAGAATGTGATATGATGCGCTGCTGATCGTGTTTCCTGTGCACAGCAACTGAAGGCCGCGGGACGTGCTTGCGTTCAAAAGAATAAGCAGCAACCCCCGAACATGCTCGTTGTCGTTCTTCCTGAAGGGGCAACGGACGTCTACACCGCAGTCAAGCAGTAAGTTTTCTTCGATTAGGCAACCTACTGTGTACTGATATGCTTGCAAGCTTTGGTGACGTCACAGTAAGTCTGATCCAGGAACGTATGGATTGCGTCTGACTTTTTCTGCAGCAAGGTATTGCCACGCAGTGCTTGAAAGCGAACAAGTGTATGAGAGCTTCCCCCCAATATTATGCGAACGTTTGTCTCAAGTGAGTTCTCCTTCACCGTCGCTGCAGACACGTCCCAACCGCTTGCAGGATTAATGTCAAGCTCGGTGGCATCAATACCATTCCCGATCCTCGCTCCGTTTCCATCTTGACGGACCCGGCAAACCCAACGATCGTTATGGGGTCAGTTTTAACGTTCGATTCTGTGGGATGCCTTCCGTTAATACTCTCTCCTAGTGCCGATGTTATCCATCCGGCGCCTGGAGCCGACGGACGACCCTCTTTCACTGCTCTGGTGGCGAATGTCGATTCCGACTCCGCCAAGTATGTTGCGGACTGTCGCGTGCAGACCTCTAGACAGGAGTTGATTGAGGACCTCCAGGAAATGAGCAAAGTAGGCTGGCTTGCATCTGTTGCTTTTCTCTTTCATCTGAATAACGACGGCGATTATAGCGCATGCTGAGTATGTACATGCACTATCGCAGGACCACGGAGAAGAGGGATAAGAACATCGCGCCGAGGCGTATCATTTTCTATCGCGGTAAGTCTTACACTCACCGTCGGAACCTAAACCATATACAGAGTCGACTCATCTCCGTCAACAGACGGTGTCAGCGAGGGTCAATTTAAGCAAGTATTGGACAAAGGTGCGTTTAGATGATTTTCTGATCGATTACAGTCTCTGATTGCGCGCGGTTCCGAACGTCAGAGTTACCTCTGTTGAAGGGTGAGTCTTCTGTAATTACTTGCGCGATGGTGAACTGTACTGACATCGTAGTACAGCGGCGTGCCAAGAGCTTAAGATTAACCCTACTATCACATTGGTGGTCGTCGGCAAACGTCATCACGTCCGGTTCTTCCCTCAGAATGCCGCTGATCGCGACAAGACCGGGAATTGCCCCGCTGGAACTGTCGTGGACCAGGAGGTTGTCAATCCTCTCGAGTTCGACTGGTATCTTCAGAGCCATGCTGGGTTGTTGGGTACTTCTCGCCCGGCCCACTACAGCGTCTTGTACGACGAAAACAAGTTCACGTGAGAAGGACTAGTCGCGTTGTCACCTTCCCATTCTGACTGCTGTCCCAGCCCGGATGGTTTGCAAGCACTCTCGTTCGCATTGTGCCACGTCTACGCACGTTCCACGCGCTCTGTCTCCATCCCGGCGCCCGTCTACTGTAAGTCATCGAGATTCAATTGAAGTAAGTTTCAGCTGATCGTTCGCGATCTAGATGCCGATATCGTGTGCGCACGCGCGAAGAACCACTACGACCCGAACGGTGGCTTGGACCTCTCAGAGTCCGGAACTCACACTGGCGACGCGGACAGGCAATTGCAGGCATTTAAGGCCGGATTCAAACCGCTGCACAAGAACATGGCGTTTGTAATGTATTTCTCGTAAATGAGTCGGCTTGTTAGGCTACACGATGATGGTCTCATTTCCTCTATTTGTCTGTTTGCCCTATACCACGTCACATCTTGCTGTCGCGTCGTTGCTGTACACTCTACCATGTTGTAATTTGTACATTTGTCAGTTATAGGTCAATCCATCATGATTATGCGTTGCTGATCTGCGCAAGGTACCGGCAGCTACCGTTAACGGACTTCAACGCATGTTCGAACACCTTACCTTAGCGATTGTTTCTCAACCGAATGTGAGTTTGAGGGCCCGCGTTCTGCACTACTCTAAATCTCGTCGTCACGCAGAGGCAGACTTGCAGGTAGAGGGGCTGTCAACGCGTGGCAGCCGCACTCGCACAATTTGACGCTGAACGCGAGGAGCATATGTACTCGGTCTTCAAATGCTGTCTGAGCGACAGTCACTGCGACCTTCACGATTGCGGTTTCCGGTCTGTTTCTGGCTGCTCTTCGGCGGGTGGTAACAGACTGCATGTTTGTGTGAGTTCGTGCACGCATTGGGGGCGTGGCGTGTTGTAACACGCGTCCAACAACTTGGCAAACAGTTCATATCCGGGTCGGTGGTACCAGACCTGTTCTCGCAGCCTCGCTTCTCTCTGACGTGTTTTTTTGTAGTACAAGCCCGTGGCGCAGTCATGCGCATAAAGAAACGCGTTCGGGCTTGGAGGTCCAATATCATTGTGGGCCGGGCGGCTTGGCCAACTTACGATCATATATATAAGTACGCGCCTCTGACCGTCCTCTGCGCCGTGCCCCATCATTCCAAGACTTTCTCCCCTCAGTGTCTCCAACGATGCCCTCCCGTCGCAATATGAGCTGGAGAAAGCCGGTACCCAAACTGATCCCTGATCCCCCGCCACAGTCGGCATTCTTCAGCAGGTCCACGCTGACACGTTTCTCAGCATCATACGTCAACAAGGACGTGCCTCCTGTAAGACCGTTTTCATTGCTATGTGTTGCTGAATCCTAGATCGTTCACGGATATTTACCGCCGTAGTTACCGACTGAATGGCACGAGAATGTTGAACACGCCACGGACCAGGAAAAGCGACATGCCTTGTACATTACTTCAGAAGGTGAATCGCAGCCTGATGAGGAGCCTGGTAGCCTATATGCCTCGAGTGAAAATGTCGCCACACGAGCGGCGGCAGAACTGAGTGACGTTCCGGTACGCCGAACCTCATCATATCACTGCAGTCTCTCACGTTCACTTACTTCAGTGTCACTCTGCATCAAAAGAAATTGACTACGACGTTGATGTTCCCGCATCGCCACCCTCTCATAGCATGAGAGCACATCGCTCATTGCCTCATGTACGTAACGTAGGCATGATTGATGGACGGCCTCACGATTGACGTCTTCCAGATATATCGTCCACCTACTCCGCCTCGCCCGGGAAGACATGCAAGACGTTCTGCGGAAACTCTGGAACCGCATTGCTTGGTCTCCCCTAATGTACCAAGTCACCCTGTGTGTATCGGTGCGGTTAATTGCTTTTCTTTGCTACTGAACCTGTCCCTGCTAGGTGTATCCACTTCTCAATCCATGCAACTACGATACCACTTCGAATTTCTCTGCGCTGATGTCGCCTCACATGTCATTTGAGGCCACCTATTCCCGGGAGGAATTCCCTCCCCCAGCCGGAGTCTCTGAGGTAGTCAAGAGTGGCAAATCACACAGCCGACGGTTCTCGTCTGTCGGCCTCGCGAAAGTGGATTCCGGTCCGCGGCGGTGCGGAGACACTTTCGCCAGTATTTGGGGAGACGTCAAGGCTCTGGGAGGTTACGTTCGCGTCAAAATCAATCATATGCTGAAGTCCGACAATGCGACAGCACAAACATGCTAATTTATTCATGTGAGCGGTGATGTATGTTTTGATATGCATGGACCTCTACGCAACCAGTCATGTAGCCTTTAGTAGCATCATGTATTTTTATGACATTCAAAGGTTCATGCACTCCTTTTTTACTCTCGAGAGGTGGCGCCAAAGTGACGGGGCCTGCATCCGGAAACACGTTCTCTGCGGTCATCTGTAATTAGTATTCGTGGCTCCAACCATGTACGCGCCTCTGAGCATGCACTAGGTCGCATCCTGCTACTCTTCCCTTCAGAACCCTCGACAACATCGCTGGGGCCAGTCACTACACACTGCTGCGAATGGCTGCAAGCAGTAGCCATTCTTCTGCCCGCGATGTCTACGAAGCCAGCCTATCGGGCGCCCAGGACCGCCCGTTCCTCCCCCGGTTGAGGTCAGACCCACCTATTAATCCACCCATATGTCACAGCCTACGAGAGTTTCGTGCACGCGAAACGCCCGAAGAAAAAGAGAAACGCCTGCGGAAACTGTGGAGACGGCTCCCTGAATGGAATCGCCCCCGAGGTCTAGACGATGAAGCAGTCGCAACGGCATATCCTGTGCAGGAGGGAGGTTCACTAACAGCTGAGAGTGCAAAGAGATTAGAGGAGATGTACGACGACGAACTCCTGGGTCGATGTGGTGGCCATACCGCAGGATTTCTGCATCGGAATATCTCATGGAGGGACTTTGAGAAATATGCGGATGCGAAGGAAGCTGGTGTGTTCTGCTCATACCATGTACAAGGCTACAATTGATGTGTTTGGGTGTAGAACTATGGCATATTTTTCATGACGAGCTGGATTTGGACGGCAACGGCCACCTCGATGGCGAAGAAGTCTCGTTGGCGTTGACAAAAGCTGGTGGGTCCAAGAGGATCCATTCATGACTGAACCGTGGCTATGAGCGTGCTCATTCTGTTTGCCAGGAATATCCTTGTCACCTTCTACATTGGCGGAATTCATGACATTTCTTACGTTCTCTCCGCATTCGCATGCCATCAGCTTCCCGGAATTCAGAGATTTCCTACTGTTACTGCCTCGCAAAGCCTCCCCAGCCGAAATTTTCCGATACTATGAAGTCAAGAAGTTCATGGGTGATGACGGAAGGGGAGCTGCCCGTGTAACGATGGAAGGTAATCATTGGTCTCCTTTTGAAGTATATTGCCCGATGGCCTAACTTCTAAAAGGCGATGTCACCTTGAGCGCGGAGGATATGGCCACTACAAAACCCCACCCAGCTGTTATGCGAGAAGTCGTGATTACACCCATAGACTACCCAAACCCCATTCCAGAGGAGGAAGATGACGATGATGATGACTTGATGGAGGAGGAAGAACCACAAGATCGAATCGAAATTCCAATGGCAGCCAAGTTTCTCCTTGCAGGAGGCATGGCTGGCGCTGGTAAGCGGACAAATAAATCCACGCGACATATCCGCTGAATAGAATCGTAGTGTCGCGGTCGTGTACAGCTCCCTTTGATCGTCTGAAAATCTTCCTCATCACACGTCCCCCAGACATGGGTGGTCTATCACTGAGCCCTCAGGCACCAGTTCGTGGTGTCAGAGCAATCGGTGGCGCGATTGCTCGTATCTACGCTGAAGGTGGTATTTTTGCGTTCTGGACAGGCAATGGACTCTCAGTTCTCAAGATTCTTCCTGAATCTGCTATCAAATTCTTCTCCTATGAATCATCCGTTAGTCTGTTGTACTGCTTCTAGGCCATTCACCAACGTATGTCGCCCCTAGAAACGCATGTTCGCGAAGTACTGGGACAAGGTCGATGATCCAAGAGATATCAGCGGCGTCAGTCGTTTTCTCTCCGGGGGCATTGGAGGAATAACCAGTCAACTGAGTGATTGATTTTCCTTGCCGGTCTGACGTTCTTGAATGACATGTTTCGGCAGGCATTTATCCGATAGAGACATTGAAGGCAAGCTGTCTACTTCGCGGCGATTTCGATTCCTCATATTCAGATACGGGTAGACCCAAATGATGAGCAGCGCAGGAGCACCCAAGCAGGCTTTACTGTCGACCGCCCGTCGTGTCTGGGGTTTGGGCAAATTTCGCGCATTTTATCGAGGCCTGACCGTCAGTTACATCCTATTGACAATGTCCTGTGCGTCTACTGATCTGTCAACAGATTGGTCTGATCGGTGTTTTCCCGTACGTCCGTGGGTGTGTCCTGATGATGTATCTCATTCCCTCCGTAGATATTCCGCTATCGATATGAGCACGTTTGAGGGACTCAAGTTGGCTTATCTGCGATCCACCGGCAAAGAGGAGCCTGGCGTTCTAGCTCTCTTAGCCTTTGGCAGCGTGTCCGGAAGCATCGGGGCAACAAGCGTTTATCCCATCAATCTGGTGCGGACGCGTCTGCAAGCCTCGGGATCATCTGGCCATCCTCAGCGCTATGCTGGTATCCTAGATGTCATCCAGAAAACCTACGCGCGGGATGGCTGGCGTGGCTTTTACCGCGGTCTTTTTCCCACATTAGCAAAGGTCAGAATTACCCTCGTTGCCGTAGAGGCTTACTGGACAATGGTATGTCTAGGTGGTCCCTGCAGTGTCCATCTCATACCTTGTATACGAGTCGAGCAAGAGGAGGTGAGTATCTTGTGCTGAGCTATTTGCATTACGCGGAACTCACGTTGAGAGTCCAGGTTGGGCGTATAGCTACTGTCTGTTCCGCTTTCGACGTTTGATTATTAGATGCATATGTTCTGACGATTATACCTACTATTATGTACTGTGCGGACCCTTCGTAATATCAGTACTAATGACAAGATAATTTTACAAAATGGGAAAGTGGGTGTATTGTTGAACACAACACATCGCTCGCTGTAGTCGGCGGGAGTGATAGATTCATTGATCGATCGTGGACATCAAACACCATGACGCAATCATGCACAACGCTTGAAGCTACGTTTTGCTGCTGCTGAGAAGAGATTCCTTGCACCTTGCACGATCGTTTGTGCAGACGACCCTGCGCCATGGATTACAAGCCACGATTCTACCAACCCTTTTCCCTGGAAGAGGCAGTGCGAATGGACGTTTCAGTCCTCACAGAAGGTCTTCAAACATCCTAACATGTTGTTTCTCGCCTCTGCCCTAAATGCATGCATTTCTAGAAATATCTCGCCTGCAGAATTCTATCGAGCATCTGAAGACGACACAGGAAGAGCTGAAAGAAGCTATGTCGTCTACGCCAGATCCGGAGTTCACTAAAGCCGTGGAAGAGAACGAAGTTGTCATGTACGTCGTGCATTCTCGCGTTGTCCAAATCAAGGATTCATAAAACATTCCACAGCGGCTCGCAAGAAGAGAGAATCAGTATCCTGAGGGTGGCTTTAACCGAGAAGGGTGTATTGTCTAGCAGTCATTACAACCCTGTCGTCACTACTGGCCACGCCGTGAATGGCCATACTTCACAGCAAACCGGACCAGATCATACAAACAATACCGCTCAGGCTGCAGCAAGCTTGTCTTCTCAAACAGATCCCCATTCTGATGATGGCGGTGGGATTCATCTGTAGCGATGAGAGCGACAAATGCATTATCTCTTCACGATACGGGAGCAGAAGTCTGTACCTTACTATAGCTACGTCTGTATTTCTGATAAATCATTCTCTCTGTGGTCAACCTGGTCGCTTGACTTGATTCAAAGGGGCATCGACCGTAAAAAGGGTAGATGAATTCCTCATCAGCTCCTGCGAATATGATTCACTGTACATGTAGACAGGAGCATGACATGTGGGAGCTCCGCGCACATTAAAATACAGACATGGAAAGACTGCAGCCACTACCATTCCTGGAAGAACATGGGGTGAAAACACATCAGACGTCAAGCCCCGATACTAGAACGCAGAAAGAGTAGCTGGAAAGACGAGACAAAAGTGCAATACACAGACAGAAGCTGGTGCCAAGGACCGATAGAACGCTGCGGTCAGTTGTTCAACGTCGTTTGCGAGATCGTGTCTTCATGGAGGGCTGTTCAGTAGGCTGGAAGCACAACATCAATTCCCATATTCTAAGACACCTTGAACGAGTTCGTCGCAAAGCTGCAACTGTTACCTTCTTCAATTTAGAGGTCGATTTCACTTGTTCCTCGTTAACGCGCTCCTCCGGTTTCCGTGTCGTCGCCCTCTGCAGGTAATGATGAGTTTGAAATTCAGCTCGTGTATGGGGTATAAGCCCCACCAAACGTTTCGACGGTCTCGGAATACTTCGGGCCTCTGTATCTTTCGGTGGAGAAGACATGTTGTCTCGCTTGCCAAGTTTTACTGCGGGCGACAGTCGATGAGTGGCACCATCTTCAAAATCAAGGATCTCGTCAGAGGAATCTGTGGCGAGTCGGCTAAATATGGGTTTAGGGATTGTTATCTCAGGAGAAGTAGGGACGGGTGAAACAAAAGCAGCTGCGGAAATTTTGGGAGCGGTAGATATAACCTTTGCATTTGCGACCAGGAAGCGAGTAGGCGTTACGCGGGTTGGAGCGGCCTGAGGTACAGCATTAGTGCGAATAGGCTGGGGTCGAACAGGAGCTGGAGTCGGTCTAGCAGTTGTAGTAGAATCTACGTTCGTAGACTGCAACACCAGACCATGTCAATAACCAGCTAATACAGCAGGCCACGCTTACTGGGGCGTCCCTGTCAGGCGCTTGTGGACCTGTTGCAGCTGGCGAACTACTGAGCGCAGACGCCGACATCCAAGCAGTAGGATCAATCATGGACCTATTCTCGACAACCTTGGCGTTCTCCTAACGTAACATCGTCATCGGAGAAAATATCTCAAACTTTTCAAACCTACCTGCAATTGCAGGTGCTTTGCCAGGCTCGATTCCAACATGTAGATTTTGGACCGCAAGTCTTTGATCACATTGTCCCGCTGGATCCAGCGGTCAATGTATATCGACGATGAGAAATGACGTTTGCTTACTCGTCGAAGTTCATTTCCCTTGGCGACAAGACCCTTCTCGTGAATGTCTTTCCACGTTTGCATGAGACCATTGAGGAATACTTTTTCCTCATCGGTCTATTCACCCGTCAACGTAGATTTGATAGCGAGATGAGTAAGAACGAACCAAATCTCCCTTCCTGTAGCGTATATCAATTGTCTTCGCTCTTTCCAGAAGCTTCTCCTTTGCTGTCTGCAGTGCGTCAATCTCCGACCGAAGGGTCTTGAGCTCTGCTTCATGAGCAGGAGATGGTAACTTGGCCTTCTTCAATTCTTCGCGTAGACAATGTATCTCGTCCGCATGCCCGGAGAGCTTCTCACGCAAGGATTCGGTGAGTACCTGGGACGTATCGAGTTCGCGCTCTGCTCTGCCGGCCCGTTTCTCTTCTGCTTCAAGTCTCATTCTGAACATTTCATCCTGGTGCTTTAGCTGGCCAGCGTGTTCTGTCTTCAGAGCAAGGGAGGCTTCCTCCTGCCGTTTGAGATGCTCACTCAGGTCGTCAATCTTGCTTTGCAAGTGCAACTTCTGCTGGTCCAGCGATACAATGTCACAGTTCAATTTGGCAACTGCAGTCTCGAAATCTCGCTGTTCAAGTGATCAGTTCCTCGAAGAGATTAAGAGTCAATGATGAGTACCGCAAATTTAGCTTCAGCCGCGACGAGTCGCTCCTAAGCATGGATCAGTAATATGACAGGACTGCATTTATCTTGTTTCTACCTGCAAGTCTCCGTTGGCTTCTCTCGTGAGTTTCATTGTGACCGATTGATCATCAAAACGTTCCTCGAGGACCTGCTCTCGATCAATGCGTGCAGGATGGTTTGAAATAGAGCGAAACAAATCAAACAAACCTGGCAGCGGCTATTTGCTTGATGCAATCTGGGTAACATGAACTTGAATTAGGTTTTTTTGGGCCGCACTTATGATGCTTACTTCTCGCTTCGCGCCTCTAGTTCCCTTCGTGCTTGTTCAAGCTGAGATTCAAGGGCTTCTAGCCGGACTTGTAAGGCACGACCATCAGAACTGTGTCGCTCCCTCTCCTCGAGCGCTGCTTGCTCGCGGAGCTCGCAGGCCCTGAGATCTTCCCTAAGACTCTGGCCCACAGCCTTCGCCTCCTCGAGTTGTGCTTGTACTTGTGCGGAACTGCAGCCGGATTAATAGTGCAAATAAATCGCCTTCAGGATCTCGCACCTGGATTTGAGATGGCTGATATCCTCTTCTCTTAACAGTGCGCATGCTTCGAGCGCACTGACCTTTGTATGTCGCTCATTGAGCGTCGATTGGACTGTAGAGAGTCTGTGTTTCATCAGCCAAGCGGTATGCAACGTCATGAGTCGTGGACGCACTCTTGCTGGATATCTCCCAGCGACGAGAGGCGGGCATCACGATCCTGAAGCGCATTCAGCAACCTGGCATTCCTGCATATGAAATTAGTATCTTTGTCGCTTATCCCTTCACGGGTCACGACGCGATACATACTCCTGCTGAACCTCGTGCAAAGCTTGAAGTTCAACATTCTTCTCGGCGACGAGATTCTCCAGCTGCTCCATGCTGAAAACACTATGATGTCAACAGCCCAAACAGATAAAAGCCGTCAGCTACAGACCGTTGGTTAGAAGCTGCCAGTTTTGCTTCAGCATCAGCTGCTGTCGATAGTACTTCATACATCTCTCCTTGCTGTTTCTTCAGACACTCGGCCAACTCTGTGACTTGCTGTGCTGGAAAACGTGAGACGCTTCAGAAAAGATATTACGAGGGTCACTGATAGACTTACTGGTAGTCGATACACTGCATGCAGACGCACGAAGCGCTTCTCTGTTAGCTGCCTGAGCAGCCTCCAGCTCGATAACGCGCCCCTTGGCGTCGATGAGCTCCGAGCCCACAGATTGAAGGCGATCACGGAGGAGGTCGGAGACTTGCTGAGCTAAATGAGTCACAGGCAACGTGAGAAATCAATCATAGAGAACACAGAGGAACGAGTGACAGTTTGCACTCACATTTCGTGCATTCAAGTTCCAAATTGCTGACGAGTGCCATCGTTTCTGATGTCCTGGATAGGTGCCCATCCTCGCCCAGGAGTGGCTCAATATCTAGACATACGCCTCGAAAGTTTATCGACACAACTTCAAATGACGGCACGGAAGGTCATACTCTTTATAGCTTCCGAAATGGAGACCCGTAGCTCTTGCACGTCCGGCAACGACTTCCGCACAGCAGATACAACCGCAAACGAATCGTCAGATTTCGTTTTCAGATCAGTCAGAGTTGATTGCAAATCATTCAAGCTGCATATATGCGCATTGTAAGTCGATCCCAGAGGTTCTGACATCTGACACACCTCTTAGAGCTCGACTCAAGGCTGTGCTTCGCCGCATCTTTGACGGCTTGCAGTCGTTTGAGCGCCTCATCCTTCTCGCTCTTCGCAGTTTCCAACTGGTCTTGTAAAAAGAGTATCTCCCTACGCTGTGCGAAAAGTCGTGACCATGCTTGCGAATAAACGTGGCTGACTCTACCTGTTCTTCGACTTCATACTTCGTGTTTCTCAAATCAGTTGCTCCACGCATCATTATCGACGATATGTCTTCGTCCTGTCGACCTAAGGTAGAGCTCACAACGGAAGCACTCCTGGAATGGCTAGATGGCATGAAGTTGTTGTGCATGCTACTTGGAATTGGCTTGGGCGTAACAGATGGGACAGTGTATGACAGAGAACTCGAGGCGCGGTTTGGCATATACGAAGCGTTGTCATCCTGAGGATTATTGAAGCCTAGAGTACCGTTCAATGCATGCATATAATGAGAACTGGAGGCCTCAAAGCCAACGCACCCGTGTCAAACCTGTTCGATAGGTTGTTTCCCACCGTCCTTTGTGCTGGACTTGCGGAAAGGTGCTTTCCGAGGAAAAGACGAGCATTGTTCTGCGACATTGGAGGAGATTGAGCCATTTGTGGATCACCGAGCGACGACGCTTGAGGTTTGACGGCTTCCGGTAAGGCCAAATCGCCGCTGCGAGTAGCGCACGGCAGCTGAAATTTAGTTTCGTCCGGAGGAGACTGCATCCTCTGGTGGACGACAAGCCTCCGCTGAGAGTTGGCGGATGGAGGTAGCGACGCTCCATAAGGTGCTACTTGAGTCCCACGCAAGCTATCACCAAGCTGCTTTCCTGTGGTGCTGAAAATAGGACTTTGAAGACTTGGTCGCGGAGAGGCAGCAGGTGCATCGCTCCGGAGAATTTGGCGTTTAAATTTGAACTGGCTGGAATGGTTCTGATCGTCTGCCTTCGCCATAGACAGATGAGAAAAAGAAAACAAAGTACGGGAGGTTGGAATTTGTTCCATATGTATGCGTCAGCTGGGTGACGGTGGTGGGGAAGACTCAGGCGTGTCGCGACGCGTCAGAACTGAGTCGCCCAGCGCGGTCACATGACTTCCCTGTATGTCCTCACTTCGTCTGTTCTTCCCGAGGTCTACGTAGTGCCTTGTACTTGAAAATACACCGAGGTTATACAGGGTCATTAACCAACCCAGCATTTGGCCCTGATAGACAAATCTCAGGGTTGTGGTCGGCATTGAAGCTGCACAATTACTGTATCTTCTGTCTCAGAGCGTTTTGCATTGAGCGTGAAACCGTGGGTCACCGGGTGGAAGTGTAATCAACAATATTTTACCCCAAGTACTTCAATGAGACCCATATTGTTAAGTGCATGAGATACTCCAGTGCTAGTTGCGGATTTTGTTGACGCTGCAGACTTTCTTTCTTTAGATCTTGCCCGATATGGGGAAGCACTCCGACCCGACCTCGTGGCGACCACGTTCCTTAAACCTCGCCACCGCAAACCGTCACCTCCACCGCCTCGGTCCAGATTATACTCCTCAACCACGGACCGCTGTGTCCCCTTCGTCCATGTCGCGTAAAAGCCAGTCAGTGGAGGCTGTGCAGCCTGAGTATGCAGAGGAAGAAGTCGCCAGCGGGGCAGGGGAGGGAGATGAAGTGATGGAAGACGTCGAAGAGCAGGAAGAGGGTTACAGTACGTCTGTCCTTCTGTATCCGTTCTAATTTCCCGGATACGACCCCTCGTACTCGTCTGTGCTTTGAAATTCTCCCCAGATGTTTTGACCTTGTTCTCCTTGTGCTTCCAGGCTCATCGACACCGACCTCAACGCTAACATGGATCAGCTGGTTCTGCTCCTTACCCGGGCACGAATATTTCTGCGAGGTCGCGGAGGACTTCATAGAGGATGATTTCAATCTCACCGGGCTGAACGCGATGGTACCGTTCTGGAAGGAAGCGATGGAGATGGTGCTGGATGTCGAACCAGGTGTGTGAGTCACTCTGTTACGCGCGGAACGCTGTAACCAACATTTCGCAGACGAGGATGCGGCAAAGATACCAGATGTCTCCATTGTGGAGGCATCTGCGGAACTGCTGTACGGACTTGTACACCAACGTTTTATCTTGACGCGCGCAGGACTGCAGGCAATGGTACGATGCCAGGCACATACCCCTATATTCAATTTTTTGACCCCATCACCACAGGTGGATAAGTACGAAGCGGGTGTATTTGGTTCATGTCCACGCGTCTATTGCAGTGGGTGCAACGTCGTTCCCTGTGGACGCTCTGATCTACCAGGCCTCGACACCGTGAAACTATTCTGTCCCAACTGTAGCGATATATATACCCCACCAAGTAGTCGGTTCCAAGGCGTAGACGGTAGGTTGCAAGATGTAATCTCGCGTGACTGCCAGCATACTTAATGGTTAACCCAGGTGCGTTCTTTGGGACGACATTCGCGCATCTGTTCTTCCAGAGCTACCGGGAGCTTGCACCCGCGCCATTCTGGAAGCCCCCAACATCCTCTGGATCGTCAACATCTCCCCGTTCGTCCGGTGATTCATCCAACGCGACGCAGTTCGTCAATCCCAACACTCATGGAGGTCAGAAGCGGGCTGCGGGCAAAGTTTATATCCCGAAGATATACGGATTCCGGGTCAGCGAGCGGGCAAAGAACGGCCCTCGAATGCAGTGGTTGCGACTTAGGCCGAGGAGCCCTGAAGAGCTGGATATGGTTGACTGGCGAGGTAGGTGGATAGACGAGGACGATGAGTACGATGAAGACGAGGAGGAGATTGACGAGGACAGGCCGATGGAAGACTTCGACCCGGTGAGTGTTCCCTCATGCTACTACAGCGTCGCAACAGGCGTCTGTATATTGAATCGCGTTACAGGATGCTGGGGAAGGGGAGGATGACGATGAGGAAGAAGAGGAGGAGGAAGAATCACATTCCCCGGTGAAGGGTAAGACTGCAATGCACGCCGCCGATCCCTCTGTGCGGCCGCCGACTCCAGTGCGTCCGCCACCATCCTCTGCCTCGAGTGCGACTCTGCGTACACCTCAGGATAACCAGGGATCCATCTCAATTTCTGGAGTCCCAGTCACTCGACCAGGCGCGGGAAATGCATCCAAGGTCAGGGTAGTGCGGCAGTGGACGACACGAGGGACGACCGCTCAAGTGTGCTAAAATACTCGTGGACTACTAATATCCTGCGCATACGTTGTTTATTGAGTGAGATACGCTATATCCCTCACCACACACCTACTCGTTGTATCCCTTCTGGCTTATCGGAAGTTACTTAGAAGGAGGGGTATCTGTTACTCTTGACTGCATTAGAAACGCTCAGAACAGGGACTGAAAGCGTGAGAATCTTACCCCAGTTAGAAACTGTATAGATTCAAGCCACAGTCGCATGTCACGTGTAACACGGACATTCATCTTCAGCACATCCCGCTCAAGGCCCCTCAAGACATCAAGAAAAATGGCCCGCTCCAGTGCGTATCTAAATATTGTACCTGTGTTGAGAGTCCTCTAATTACTCGCTGGATGGATTGTGTTTTGGACGTTCAGACCTCCGATATGGTCTGAACAAGGGTCACCCTACGACTCCCATCGAGAAGACTGCCCGCCCCAGCCACCGCAAGGGCATTCAATCTGCGCGAACGAAGTTTGTGCGCTCCATTGTGCGGGAGGTTGTGGGATTCTCGCCCTACGAGCGTCGGGTAATGGAGCTGCTGAGGAACTCCAAGGTGCGCACACTGACAGTATTCCATGATGTCGGTATTGACTCGTCGTGCGCTGCACTGTGATTCGTAGGATAAGAAGGCGAGGAAGCTGACGAAAAAGCGGGTATGTGTCTCGTGCGCTTCCTGTGATGCTATGGACACCCGGCTTATGCATTGTGATTGTGTAGCTTGGCACACTCCTCCGCTCAAAGCGCAAATTGGAGGAGCTCGGCAATGTCATCCAGGAGAGCAGGAGAGCAGGACACTAGAGGCTGCCTCCCGCGAGGTTATGCTTAGGTGATGCTTCTGTGCGAGAGGGCGGGCGGGTTGGTTTCGCGATGTTATGCATTCGCTGTACTCTATGCGGTATCAATACTTGACACCCAGTGAAAAACGCATATTCCAAGAACGAACCAAGACGCACCAGATCGCGGCTTGACTTGGATTATCGCAAGCGGTCGAACCAGATCTCACCTGGTCGAACACGTGCGAGACATCCTGTGATTTGACGCGTCGATCCTGTACCATGTCCCGTCTGAATTGCACTTTGCTCGACGTAAGGCCGCCATCTGTCGAATTTTGCCTGCACGCGTGTCTCGATTAGCTATATACTATATGTTGTACTTGTGCCCAGTGTACTTGCACTTATATCATCTCTTTGCACCCACGCCGAGCTCATCATGTGACAGAGACATGGACGCGTCACCGTACTCATGTCGCCACCACGTCTGCGCTCTTGTCCTCCTGCATCCAGTCGCTCTGACCTCCAGAGCACGATGCTTATTATACCGGCCGATTACTCTCACTCAAGCTCATCCAACAGCTCCATGAGAGCACCCACCCCTCGCGTACTAAAGACACCGCCGCGGGCGAAGACGATGCAGCGGTAAGCTCGAGCTTCAAGAAGCCCATCGTCAAGGCACCGCCGAAAGCGTGCACACTGCAAGCTCGAGACACCGATTTTATATGCGGCCGAAGACACCGTCGAGAAGTGGCTCAACAGCCTTCTCTGCCTCAATGTGACGGTCATGCCACGCTCGAGTGCGCACAGCTGCCCGCACCCCGCACAGTGCGAACTGTTCTACATCTCATTCCCTGTCTAATCTCGCAGCAGTTCCGGGAGAACAAGTTTGCACTGCTTTCTGGTGCACGCGTGGTGCGCATTGCGACACATCCGGACTATGTGAATGTGTGTTCGTCTTCCTGACTGTAATCCTCTGATGTGCCCCTATTGACGAGGTACGGCGACAGTTTCTGTGTCAGGCATCCAGGCACCTGAAATGTCCTTAAATTTACTTATCAGATGGTCGAGAGACCCCCTCTGGTGTACTTGCAGCGTTGCTGCTGATTACGGTAGTAAGTACTGCCTACGTGCAAGTGTGGATCATGTTATGCTAATCTTCCGATAAGAAGGCGATCCGATACTATCCACATTCGTTGAGATCCCCATGATCTTTCCATCTGCGCCTTCAATTGGGGGGCACTGACTAGCCCCTCAATCTCAAGCGGCTGGGCGCGGTACGCGTGCCGCATTCCAGGCTCCAAAGCCGAACGAAGACATCCGAGCAGTCCCGTCCGCGCGCCGCATTCGCCGATTCGCGACCCTGGCGCGCACGATAGACATGACCCGCATCGAGAAGTTGAGAAGTGGGGGGATGGGGCAAGTTAGGATGACCAGGTGAGTACAAGGATGTGGATGCGGACACGGCACGTCGACTTCTGGCGCATATACCGGGAAATCCGGGGTCAGAGGATCGATATTTGGGCGCGCGGGCGGGGGGCACATGGACCGAGCGAGGACCGAGCGCACCGAGGCGATCGTCTCGCACTGCGAGAGGTTCGTTTGCGGCGTCCAAAACCCTCCGCCCCCTGTAGCAGGCTCCGCGGTCACACATCTCTCTTCCGACGACCCCGACTAACGAGCTCGCCGGGCCTTTATGCACACTTCGAGCGCGAGAAGCCGTCTGGATGACCTCGACTATCCAGTCAGCCTGAGCGTGAACAGCTGCGCTTGCACCGACTTTGTAGTGGACCTCTCTACCTTATCTCATTCTTTATCTATGCTATGACACATATTCACTAACTCTACTTATATTACAGGTGTTGGGCAGCATCCAGGTGTGAAAACGGGGACGACGGCGAACACAGGGAGTGCGGATGTGTGCGGTTGCGCGCCAGTGCGCGGGTGCGTGCGCGGGCAGGGGGATGGGCGCATGCGTGCGTGCAGGGGTGCGTAGGTGCAGGGGTGCGTAGGTGCGAGGGCGGGGGTACGGGCAGGAGCGGGGGCGGGGGCGGGAACGGGGGCGGGGGCGCAGGCAGGGGTGGGAGCGGGGGCGGGGGTGTGAGCGGAGCAGGTCGAAGTAGATCGCGCGATGTCGCAGGAGCTCGCACGACGGCGAGGGTGCTCACACGACGTCGAGTGTAGTCACAGTGTATTAAATCACGACAATACAATTATTATACAGCAACTTAATATTCGACTAGATGCGAAATGCCTCGATTCTCCCGCTTGGCACTGTGCTAGCCTGCGACCACGTTTGATTGGGCTCGCGCAAGATCGCATATAGTCCAAATTTTCGCGGCTGGTCGCAGCTGGTCACAGCCACGACCTCGTGCGACTTGCTGCGATCTCACAATACGCGTTTTCCACTGGGCTTGACATGCACATACACTACCGGTATGAACAATGTCGGAGAAAGAGGAGTTGACGTATGGCGAGGATCGGCATGGTGAGTGCTGACTGAGGGCTGCTGAGTGTGCGGCGGGTGGGCGCCATGATGACGGAGACGGCGAGGGAGAATCGTCAGCCGTGTCAGCCGAAAGCAAGCCGCTCGGCAGATGGAGCGCGACGCGTGTTACGTAACGAATACTAGAAATGACCGTGGTCGGCCGCATTGCTCATTTCTTTCCTGCCTGTGCTCCCAGCGTGGTTCCCAGCGAAATGGCCTGTCTCGCCGCCCCGCCTCTCACCCGCTCTCGCGCGTCGTCCACAAATGTTCGCCCGCCTCTCACTCTGAGCACCCTCGGCGCCCGCCGCAGGTCGAACTCTCTCCTCGACCTCCCTCCCCCGACGCCCTCTCCCCTGCTCTCTCCATGCAACTCCCCCCACAACTCCCCCCTCGAACCGAACGCCAGTCCCCGTCTCGTTCCCCTCTCAATCCCATCATCCAAGCCGGATAGCCTCACCTCGTTTATCTCCAAGGTGCTCCAGCTCTTCGGTCATTCGCCCATGCACTCGGTCCCGTCCACCCCATCCTCCCCGCGCCATAGTCGTGCCAGCACAGATGACACTATTCTCCCCATGTCTGCCTCTCCAACGCGGTCCACCTTCGTTCAATCTTTCCCGGAAAAGAACGTTGTCACATGGGTGTGGCCTACGTCCCCATCAGTACGCCTCCTTACTTATCGCGTGCGTAATAATACGTACTCACCCTTGCTTCGGTTTTAGCAATACACACCTGTGTTGCTTGTCCTCGTTCTCTTTCCGCTGTCCACCGCACTCGTTGTCTCGTCCATGTACACACTCCCTATCACCACATTCTGGCCTGGCACCCTCCAAGACATTGCCCAGCTTGGTCGCGAGCTCAGCGGGTTCTCACAAAGTGGTCCTGCATCTATGGCGCACGTCGTCGCTGTCATCTCCGTCCTAACTATGTGGAACCATGCCTGGTCAATACCGGGCAGCGTGCTCTGGGTGCGTGCATCTCTGAATCATTGCACTATGTGATATTGACGCTATGTTGTGCAGAATGTCCTCGCCGGAGCTCTCTTCTCACCAATATACGCGACTCTTTTATTCACACTGCTGACCTCAGTGGGATCTGTGTTTGCTACGCTCCTCGCAGCTCCGCTGGCACCCTTCCTTGAGCATCTCTTCCCACGCGCTCTTGATTTCACACGAATAGCCTTGGAAGGCGACTCCCCCGGCTCCAGTACCAAAGCCAAGTCTTCAGCATGGGTCCGCCTGTCTGTACTTCGGCTAATAGGCATAGTCCCTTGGTCTGGGATTAACATCACCTGCGGTGTCTGCCGAGTGGCGATACGAGAATGCTTTCTTGGCTCGCTCATCGGCTCCCTGCCCTGGACGGCGGTGACGTGCCAAATCGGCGACATTCTCCAAACGGTTGCGTCGAATCCCTCCCCTTCCAAACAGACAGTACAGTCGCTTCTAACGTCACCTGAGGTCTTATTCAAACTCGCGTTCCTCACTATCCTTTCCCTCGCGCCAATCCTCGGTCGGAATCGCCTGCGGGAGTGGCTATCGCCGGCAGCAGCTCTCCTGGATCAGGAGATGTCGAGTGCGGCCGAGGAACGCGTTTCACGATGGGTCTGGATCAAGGAGTGGCAAGGGCGGATCCGGTTACCGTCGCGCTCCAGGGCTCAGGAGGCGTTCCGCAAAGAGTTAGAGGTGCTGACACAGGAGAAAAACCAGAGTCTCCCTCTTTGAACGGCAGCCCCACCGCATCCGCCGAACGTTACAGGCACCGTGGCATCACATAAACTATGCTTATCTGCATACGTTTCACGCATTCCGCCGCCTTGCTCTGGCATCGTATTCGCTATCGCTGCATAGACCTACGGCTTGCTCGCCGCTCCTCGTTTCCCCCGTACACTCAAACGCACTTCACACAGTCCACACAATCTCACAGCTACTTACGTCCGATACGCCATGGCCTAGAACCATGCACGCCGCTCACGACCCAATAATTCAGTACCTCGGTACTGCATGTCCACGCTATAATGCTCCACGTACGATACGACTCGCGTGCTCGCGCACATATATCCTAATTCTTGCATACGCTGTGCTTCGTATTTATGCAACATTCAAGTTCGTCGCATCTCCTTTTGTTGTTACTGCATTTCGTGTCCTGTTTGTGCTACCGTCTTTCCGGGCCCGATCCTGCAGCGGCCCTCCGCGTTCGCGGTGAGGAGCGCGCGGAGGGTGGGGTTGGTTGGTGATTCATGGAACTATACCGTCGAATCATGTAGCATACACCGCTGTTTTGTTTTCTCGAGGATTTCAATCTACCTAATGGGCACCTCGCGATCGATTGTAGTGCGCACTCAGTTCTCAACGTTCAGTACTCAGTATTAATGTCGGTGCTGTTGTCTACACTGCTAGACACTGGATCTGTAATTTTTGAGAGGAAATTGTGAACTGTGGATTTCCGGCGGAAAAAGCCAGAGAATATCCGGAGGTCAACAAGGCTTGTGGATAACCACAATTTGGAATGCTGAAATCTTCCGTTGGGTCCGCCGTGGCCTAGAGGCAGATCACATGACGTAGGGACTTAAGAGTTTGAGACAAGTGCACGGTGCGCGACACTGAAAGTATTATCACCCAGGGGGCACCATGGCACTACGAAACCCTCAATGTAAGTTCACGTTGGCTATGCAGAGGACATTATATTAATATTCCACAGTTTTTACACATTTACCGCACCGCGCCCAATGGAGGTGCGAAATATGTCCGTCGCAAGCCTTCCAATCCCTCTCGCTCGCTCGGCGCCATGAGGACACTGTTAGCCATGTCCTCCAGGTTAGGCACCGAGATTCTGAAAATCCAATGTCAAGCCCACTGGGTCTCTCGCAGTCCTACCCTCTCGTAGATGAAGACGCTCTCGACGAGCGACTCAATGAGCCATCAACTGAAGACGACGCACAGCCGTCAACATCGCAGCCGCATCACAGCCCTCCTACTTCACAGGAAGATCGCTGGCTAGGGAGTGATCCCCTTTGGCTGCCGCCCATGCTGTTTCACTCCAGTGAGTTCGATAACATCTCCACCTGCAATAACGCACCACCGGTTACGGTCCATGGTCCTGCCCTTCCCAGTGATCATCCGCACCAACTCTATGATGACTGGGGTGGCATCGTGCATCACGGTAGACCAGGCATTGAAGAAACCAAAGATGCGCAACCCCCGACGCTTGCGCAGCTTGCGAGAGAGATGGCAGGGCTTGAGAATGACGGTTTTGATGTGGAATCTACTGTGCAGTGTGATGCTGAAGGACCGCAATCCTTTGCAACATGGCAGATGGATTCTTTTCAGGAAAGCTTGCGTGAGTTCAGCTGGGGTACACTAGAGGCATGCATGCTTACTGGATACTGTAGAGCATGGTCCGCAATATATTAGAGAACTTTTTGCTGAGGAAGGATGGTGGCCATGGCAGGATAAAGAAGTAAGCAAACTTGAGTTGAAGTTGGACGAGGCTAACCGCGAAATAGCATTGCTCGCTTGATGTTCTGGGTAGCTTTCCAAGAGCAATGTTCTCCGAGCACGAATTGGAGGCCGTGAGGTGGTTCAGGACCAAGAATGGCATGCACAATCTGCCTAGTGTTAAAGAGGTTAAGCGCGGGGGTGAAAGTGTCGTTGAGATTGTGGGTGGGAACACGCAAACTCACGAGTCTGCTATGAAGAATATGTATGCCATGGCAGACTTCCGAACTGTTATTGAGCATGTAAGTCAGCTATAGTCCTTGTAATATGCAACTGTCTAACATACACAGGAATTTGCAAACCCGATGGTGCGACATCACATACACACCATGCCAGAGGACTCTGGTGATTGTTTGGGAGAATGCCGACAGGCAGCATGATGGCGCCTGGAAGCTGATGCAAATATAGCCTGTCCGATGGCATGGGGGAAAGATGGTAAACATTACTTCGTCGAAGAGGTCGCTATGGCCAACATGGACCCGTATGGAACTGTCAGCCCGGTTATGATCAAGCGCTGATGTGAGAAGGGCGGAGAGCTTTGGGCGAGCATCAATCCATTACTGCTGTCAGCAGATGGATCCAAATTTGTGGTAGATTGTCGGCAGGGAGTGAACAAGGAATTGTGTCTGGATGCATTCTTCTTATCTGCAAAAGAGTTGATGTTGCCAGAAATTCAGTGTCAGTATGGGCTCTCATCACCACAAAGCATCAAAGGTCAGTGCACACTTATCTACATCATTATGCTCAGTCTGAGAATGCATGTCATCAGGGATTCTTTCTTCCGATGATCCACGAACACCACTGGAGTCATGGGACCATCCAACGCTCAATCCATGGCGTGAACGTGCACAGGGAAAGCGGGTTTTGTCACTACCAATTTGGCTGTATTGTGACGACACATCAGGGAACACGAGTAAAAAGTGGAACAAACATAACTCACTACTGTTCACGCTTGCGGGTTTGCCACGCTCATTGGTTCACCTGATGTATAACATCCACTATCTTGCCACTTCAAACATTGCTGCACCGCTAGAAATGGCTGAAGAACTAGCAAGAGTCCTACGGTATTTGGCATCGCCAATTTATGTGCCACAAGACTGAGTATTGCATCTATAGGGAAACACGCGAGCATGGCATTGAGGTCTGGGATTGTAAATATGATGAGACAGTGCTCGTGGTTCTTTGGATCCTCGCATTTCTTGGGGATAACCCAATGTCAAGTGAATTTGCATCACACATCGGCATGAAAGGAAAATGCTTCTGCCGCACTTGTATGGTCAGAGGTGCAGATGATCAGAATCGTGAGAAGGGATCTGCGGGTGAACAAAGTAGGATAGATGACTTCATGAAGGTCAGACATTGTGACTTTATCCATTATTCCTGCTAAGCTGATTACTAATAGAGCGGGGAACCACGCTCAAAGGAAAACACCTTGGCCGATCTCGAGCAGCAATTGAGGCGTGTCCTTGGTGGTGCTCCGAGTGCAGTGGATGACATGGCGACGCAGTCAGGAACCAAGGATAAGTACTTTCACATGTTCATGGCACAGCTGCAGGACACCGTCAATACTGTGCGTGAGCATCAAAAGGGAGCTCCACCACCTCAAGGGATGACAAAATCGGAAGAGTTACGACAAACCTTGGCAGCTGTGCGTGCAGAATTGCCGGACAATTTGTTCAATCCGGTACTGTTCATTCCAGGTGAGTACTAGTGGTTAGTACACTGGTATACATAACAGCTCACCTAGATTATATAAGACTTTGATCCCAACCGGGATTCACCATTTGAGGCGCTTCATGTGGTCTTGTTAGGTGCTGTGAAGTACTTTTGGCGCGACGCAGTTCCTCGACAGACATCGGATGGTAAACAAACTTTGAAGATTCGGCTTGACAGCGCAAATGTGTCAGGACTGGGCATCTCACCACTGCGTGGTACAACCTTCGTACAGTACGCTGGGTCTTTGGTTGGACGTGACTTCCGTGCCATTCTGCAAGTGGCTCCGTCAGTGTTGCATGGACTGATACCACCTGAGGCCTATGAAGCTTGGCTTGCATTGTGTCATCTGGCCCCTCTTATCTTCCAGCCGGTACTTGAAAATCTACCAGACTACCTGGTAAGATACTAATGAAATGTATATGTGCAGTTCACTTATCTCAGCTTCATAGACACGTCTCGAGAATGCTATCACGGATTTCATGGCGGCAACAGCACTGTGGTCCACCCAATGGTTCAACAAGCCAAAATTTCACTTGTTCATTCACCTACCTTCATATATACAACGATTCGGGCCCGCAATCCTGTATGCGACAGAGGGCTTCGAGTCATACAATTTCATCATCAGACTGCGCAGTGTGCACTCAAATCGCCACGCACCAAGTCATGATATCGCCAAAGCATTCAGTTTCCTGCACGCTGTGCGACACTTGACCAGTGGAGGCTTCGTGTACGATCGATCAATGCCTGGTGCCCCTATGAGAGTTCAGGCAGGAGATGGAGTTAGAGGCCTGGCAGATGACCAAATTTTCAGGTATCTGATGGGAATGGAGGGGATGCTAGAAATGCAGGGTACAGGTTAGTGCGGTCTTGAAAATTATATTGTGATCTCACAGCAGGAATTTTGATAGCGAGGCGCCCGCGGCTGCTTAAGGATGCAAAATGTGCCTTCGTAGACACACTTACAGCTAGCGCAGGATTTAGCAGCCTCGGTGTACTTGCAACGGATGTACTGCGATGCCAGTCACTATCGTTAGCAAATAGTGATCGAGCAGCCGTGGGCACATGGGTTCTTTACCGTACCACGCCCACCTCGGACATTCAGTGCGGGCGAGTCAAAGAGATCTTATTGCGTGGGGCTGATCATGCACTCCTGGGACTCCTATTGATGGAAGGCAAAATCGGCTCTGTTTCTGTTCTACCCTATCGACTCCCATCTTTGACGCCTGTCGCTGGCTGCTATCATTTCGTCACCTTGGATGTCAGTTACTCATCAGACTGCTGCATGCTCTTCCACTGAAAAGACTTACTATAGGACATCAAGGGCACCGCTAATACCTTTCACAACTGTGCCAACCATGCTTGCCAGGTGACGAAGACGAAAGCCGTCACACAAGAACGAGTGCAAATGGCTGAAAAAGTCTCCGAATTAACTCACCAAGGCCCTGAAGATTTAGTGCTCAACCTCGCACAGCTCACCAATGCCCTAATTCTCCAAGTCTTCCAACCTCACGAGCGATATCCTGCTCTGGCACGTTCTGAACTCATTGAGCATGCGGTGGCCAATCGGACGCGCCTGAATGCAGAAGTCGAGCAGCGCAAAGCAGAGGCCCTTCAACGCAAGGAGGACAATCAGCGAAAAAGAGAGGAGAAGAAGCGTAAACGACACGAATGCCACGACTACTCATTGCGAATCTAATTACCAATGGTGAATACATGAGTGACGAAACCTGTCGATGACTCGGCACCCACGAGAGCACGAATTCGTAAGTGTGAGACGAGGTGCCGGGATGAGAAGATCCAACCACCGTATAAACTTATCGCCGTCACAACATGCTTGAAGATGATATCTGATAATGATAAAATCTGGGCGTTTATACTAGTACAAGCCGCTGCAGACGAACGAGTACCCGGAGAAGCAGTCTCCAAACGAACCGTATGCTAATTAGATACCAAGATATGCAATGGCAGGAGATCTGTCAAGGAAAGGTGGGGTCTCAGATCTGCTGCATGAAAGTGGCGGTGTCCCATTCTATGGAGTGCTTGGTCCAAGGTGTTTCCGAGAGGAAGCCATCGACAGCAACGATGACTCGCGGTCTGGACAAAAGCGCGGACCCATCTGTCAAGATGCTTGATATCTAACATCAACCGCCAGTGAGAACGACCGTCTTCCATCGGCATCCATGGGAAGGAACATCATAGGCCTTACAAATGCATCACGACAAAAGGGCCGTCGTGACCAGAGCGAGGCCTTCTGACACGACAAGAGCCGTCGAACATCACCCGTGTGCACTCTGCTGACAACGCGGGCAGGCGTCTAGGTGTACTGGCATGTAGACTGTTCACTAACATGCCCCGCCCAATACGACGGGCCCAAGATCACGAGCAGCAGTAGCTGTGCCGTGACGCAGCTGGCGACGACGTAGAGCCACGCCTTCGCGTCATCGAGCGTCGCAACTTCCGCGGCGAACGTGCTGACGGTAGTGAGGCATCCACAGTACCCATCGGACAGACCACGCAGGAGCGCACAAGCCCTCGGCGACGGGGGTGAGTGCATGCCCTGCAGAACGGTGAACATCCCGATGAGCGCGGTGCCGAGCATATTTGCGGAGAACGTCCCGAGGGGCATGAGGTGTAGTAGGGGATTGAGGCGGAGAGAGAGGAAGTAGCGCGTGAGCGTCCCGGGGAAGGAGAATAGTAGCGCGGCGGTGGCTTGGTGTCGGTAGCTCGCGGGCAGCCGGAAGTATGCGGGGTACGTCGCGGCGTAAATGAGGATAGAGAGGACGGACAGGCTATGGCGAATGGCACGCTTCGGTGGAGGAAGTGCCGGGAATATAGGCTGTATTAGGGATGCTAAGTGAGCACCGAACGACACGCAGACCAACGACAACGCTAGAGTGAACACGGTTTGCGTCAGACCGTCTATCACCTGCATGGCACCGTGACCATCAGTGGACTTGCTAGTGACATGGACCGCCTCACGACTTACATCTCGTAGCCAGTCCCTATGGAACCGCCCTTCATTGATCCATGCTTGAAAGACAGCTAGCTGCCAACCGGAGAATGTCGTGAAGGAACCACAAAACCCTGCTCATGCATGAGTTCGAGTGTACCGCACACGATCCTGATGTACGCTAACCGGTGGTTATCGCAGTGTAAAACGGTCCATAGCTACAAGGCAAAATGTCAACGTATCACACGCAGCCCAGTGAACGGAGGGGCATACAATTGGCCAAATGGATCCTTCAATGCGAGAGCAAAGCCCATAACCAGACAACCGCCGGCCTGGACCCATGCCAGAGGGAAAATGGTGTGTCCATCGAATGTGACGAGGGCCTCAAGACCAAGCCTTGCAAGTGTTCCGAACACGGAAGCTGGCATGAGGAGAGCGAGGACGGCGAAGGATAGGGGATGGTATATCTTGGAAGGGGGAAACTTGTCCTCTTCGCTCGGTGGGCGGTCGATGGAGGCGAGCGATGCTGCATCGGCTGTGGAGGTATGGCGGGCGAGATTGGAACCGACATCGCTGCGGACACTGCGGAGGCGATGGAGACCATCATGCTCCATGTCAAGACCGTCGATGGTCGGTGTCCCACTCGAGTCCAGCTTGTCTTTATCAGCCTCCTTTTCCTCGGCGGCGCGGCCAATGTCGGTCATCGGGGCGTCAGGCATGTCGCCAACCTCGCCAGCAAGACTCTGCTCGTACTCTGCTCGCAAGCGATGTCGGTGGCAGTTGTCAACAAGACTCCCGCAGGGCATACATACTTACGTAAACCAATTTTTGAGCGTTTTACCGATGGGGTTGCCGACGCGATATGACTGTGCGATGTCCTGGAATCGATACAACAGTTCACATGTCCTTACTTCTCTCTGGGTTGCTCATCTCCTCCCTCATCTTCGGCGCAGCTCTCTCAATCATGTTTTTCAAGCGTAAATGGGACCCGCGCGGCCTAGTCAGTGGTCTATGTCTCTCCTCTTCCGCTCAAGCTTACACTTTTATTTAGCATTGCTTTGTCACAGGTGGTTCAGCTGGATTGGGCCTCTCCTTGGCCGTCGCTTTGACCAAGAAGGGCGCCGACGTTTCCATCGTTGCTCGGAATGAAGACCGTCTGAGAGCAGCATTGGACCAATTGGAGGTGTGTGCGCAGTCCAGTATAGATTGCTTCTATTGCTTATAGCCTCCTTTAGGCCGTTCGGCAGACACCCAACCAGATTCTCAAGTCTTACTCCTTCTCTGTCGACGACGCTTCAAACGCTGCAGCAGCCTTGGAGGCGGCCTGCGAACCGCATGGCGGCCGCTGCCCTGACGCGATGTTCCTATGTGCTGGGAAATCTAGACCTGGCTTCTTCGTGGAGCAGGACGAAGAATCGTTGCGGCGAGGTATGGACGAAAGTTACTGGGCGCAAGCGTGGTCAGCGTTGGTATGTCTCTCACTGATATACTTCCTCCATCACTCACATTGCTGCAGGCAGCAGCCAAGAGGTTGGTCCGTCATCACGCGAAAGGAAAGATCGTATTTGTATCGTCTTTCCTCGGCTATATGTCGCTCGTAGGATATTCCACGTATTCACCAGGCAAATTCGCTATTCGAGGTAGGTCGCAAATCCCGAGCACAGCACCAGTGCTTGACACGAGATTTATCAGGTCTTGCCGAGTCTCTCCAGTCAGAACTCATGTTGTATGACGTCGACGTGCACATATGTTTCCCCGGGACCATTCGAACTCCAGGCTTCGAAGAGGAAAACAAAATCAAGCCGAAGGTCACGCTCAAGCTCGAGGAGAGTGATCCTGGGGCAGATCCAGACGTGGTTGCCGAAGGGCTTCTCCGAGGTATGTCTCTCTTTACCCACTGCGGGAACTGGTGGTCATGTATTTTCAGGCGTGCAGAAGGGTTACTTTCACATAACATACGACATCCTGGGAAACATCTTCCGAGCGTCAACATGTGGATCCTCACCACGCAACAACGCCCTAGACTTGCTGTGGGGATTCATCGGATTCGTACGTTCGCTGAGCTATATTGTTTACGATTGAACTGACAATTTGTCTAAGATTGCCTTGCCAATCTGGCGATACACCGTGGACAGCGCGGTTCGGGAACATCGCAAGGAGCACGAAGCCTACCTGGCTGATCTCGGATTTTTCACGAGTGAAACGCCGGAGGGTGCGAAACCCGTGGCTCTGAAAACTGCATCGTAATACCATACACACCATTGGATCCATTTTTATTGTACATCGGCCTATTGTTTCCCTTGCAAACGCCACGAATATCGATGCACGTATCGAGGAGGTACTCACAGCCCAGAAATGTTAGAAGGGGCGAAACTCGCATTCCATAAAACATGTAAACATCGGAAAGGCAAGTATTAGACCCTCCATCTTTTCAAGAGCACTCTTGGTCCTGCCATTTAGCAATTCAACAGCGTAAAGAAGAGCTGATTGCCTGGGTAAGAAAGGGACCGACATGTAAGATGGAGATTAGAAATAGCCATGAATGACTTGATATACGGGACTATTTAGGGCAGGCATGTGGTCGCGGGAGCCGAAATACCCGCAACCTTCAGCGGCGTGTGGACAGCTCATAAAAGACATGTCTATAGACTCATCTCTCTCACAACTGCTCCCTCCGACGGGACGTCTCTACCTACCGCAGTCGCGCTATCGTCCTGATTGGGGGCCAGTACCACTCTCGATCGTGTAAGGACAGTAGAAGCATGGCGCCCACTTCCGCGATTCCAACCTTCTACTGGATTATGTTCGGTTGCTATGAGCCAATGCTCACGACGATGGGTTTCTTGGGCGCGCTCGCAAACCCGAAGAAAGTACGTTAAATCAAGTGTGAGCGAGTTTACGCGTTGAACAAACAACCCAGATTCACGATCAACAAGCACCATGGCCCGCTGGCGGACCACCGGGCGAGATACCGCTAGCGACGCAAGTTACCATACTGCAGCTCGCCCACGTAACGCTGCTTCTCGGTTTCATCAATATCATCGTCCTCTCGGCGTGCAGGAAATATCTCTCGCCATATCCTGCATTGCAGGAGAAGATTGTCAGAGCCTTGCTCACCCCCCTTCTCCTGGGAGACTTCCTCCACATCGGTATCACGCTGTGGGCACTCGGAGACAACAGATGGGACATTGCAGGATGGGGCGGGATTCTGTGGGTCACAATAATCACGGGCTTTACTTTGATGGTTCCGAGGATAACGTGGCACATGGGAGTCGGTCGCTACGTTGACAGCAGAGACGGGTTAGCGAAGAAGTCATGACGAATATGGGAGATGGGATATATGCAGGTTCGGTCATGACATTACGATAACTCGATACCACGGCCCGCAGCTAGAAGGATCGTAATGTACTTCGTTGGTTCCGATGCTGCCGGTCGCAAAAACCTTGTTATGAAAAGTCAGCACGCATATCGTCAAGCGGGACTGCTGCGAACAAGGAGTGCGTCATATTAGATCAAGATGAAATCCCAGGAAACCTGTAACTCCGTCAGAGTTGTGATCGGTTCCCTCGCACCACTTTTCTAGTCATACGCGCTGTTCATGGAGGAAAGGTTGAACTCACCAGAGCTTCATTACAGGTAACTAGAAATGTGGAGGGTTGGATGGGACAGTTGCTGACATATTTTGTCGATATAGTGGTTTCATGAATTTATTGAGTGTGATTTTGGTAAACCACTAGGTCGTGACTGTGTCAGTCGGCGAGCTCTCCGTGCATCATACCAATCGAAAATCCAAGTCTGAACCAGACCAAAGCTAGCGGACGCAACCCAATACAGCTGAATGGTCTACAGCAAGGAAGTCAAGGACCGTAAACATGAACACAAGAATATAGGCACGTACTCCAGGGACCACTGCTGCGATGAGAATACGAGCGATGGAAAGACTCCTCAAAGCGGTCTGAACAATCTTTCTGGGTTCAACGACAACCTCCCCCTTTGCACGTCTGTCAGCTGTCCACTGTTCTACCTTCTTCTGTCTTTCTAGTGCGGTCGCACTGAGGAACCAATGCGCACTCTCCACATTTGCCAGAGTAACCAAGCCCAGCACAATAGGCAGCGTTACGGTTGGATCTGAATGCGCTAAAGATGTGAGCGTGAAGAATGATTCGGAATCCAGGACGGTCGGTGGGTGCGATATTCTTGAGAGCATCATGCTGAATCCAACGAACAACGGTAGCTGGGTCAGTGGAGGTATCACTACTGTAGGGATGGGCGAGCAGCCGTGCAACGAATTAAGCTCGGCCCTGCGAGTTTTCAACTGTCAACGTATAAGCTGATGATGAGTGAAAATTGGTACAAAGAACGAACCAAAGCTCGAGCACGCTTTTGCATCTCCTTCTTAATGGCTTCGTCTGAATCCCCGCGATAGTTACCTCTCTTCATGTCATCGATAACCTTCTGACGCATTTGAGGGGCTTCTTGTTGAAGCTGGGGGGCGACGAGGTTTTCTGCCTTCCATTGCCGATTTTTTGCCTGATATCGACGACATTCACGATAAGCAGACATACGCGAACAATTACCTACACACCCAGACAGAGAATGGGACCGTGAAGATGAGACGCGATACGACAGTCACCAGGAGAATGGTGGTCGAATAAGGTGGAAGAGATGGGGGAAGTGGCAGCGCAATAGCTAAGTCAAGGAATTGTTCCGAAAGCCCTTGCACAGCTGCAGATATGAAAGTCCGTGACGCGCGGGAGCTACATTCATGACGGATCTTGGTCGTCGGGGCAGAGTACCGGCTGGAAGACCGCAGTGCAGTCCTTGTGGCAAGCATGGACGCCGCGGTTGAACGTCACGCGCCAGCGACACCGAGGTCAATATTTACGAATTTCGAGCTCAACTACAGCAAAGATCATATCGATAGGCCCATGGTCAAAAAAGCGTGCGGAGGCGGCCTTTGGGCGGTCTGCGAAAAGAAAGCTCCCGATAGGTGGGACCTTAACTGCCTACACCCGGGCGCGAGCGGCCCAGGCGGCGTGACTTGGTGGCACCACAGTGCATGGTGGCGCCACCACCCACCGGAATTTCCGGAGCGTTTGATTTCGCAGTCCGCTCTGTGAACGGATTTTTTTGGAAGGGCCTATCGATTAGTCTCGGAACCAGACGTTCGGTGGTAGCAGGGAATCACGTGAAACTGACAGCGGAGAGCGAAAAAGAGATGCACAGCTACCACCTAGAACGTCTGGTGAAATTCGTATAGGCGGGGGGGGGGATTGTCACATTCACGTGACCTTGACGCGTCTTTCTGCACGTCAGGCGTGTCGCGCGTCGCGTCTAGAGATGTAGGTATCAGGTACAATGTCGTACACAATATATATACCCGGACCTTCTACATGGTACCCGGACTTGCTACACGCGCCTGTACCCACTATTACAGAGCAATCCAGCCCCAGAACGAAGGCCTCTCCAATGTTGATTTGCCAGCTGTAAGGGAATTTGTTATTTGCCTCTCAACCGTTCAATGAGGCGACAACGGCATGCGCGTGAGTCATACCCGCGCAATTTTGATGCCTCTTCTCGCGCAGTCTGCAGGATTCTCGCTGAATTTGCTCTCTGGTTCTTATGCGAGTCATGGGGAGTCTGCGCCGCCATCGCCGGGATTTCTCTTGAGTTTGCGTCACTTGCGGAAGTGGTTGCAGATGCGTGGGTATGGGTTGAAGCTGCAAATGAGCTAGAAGTCGAGGTAGAACTCTCAGGGCAGGACATAGAAGCAGAATATATATGAGGGGAAGGCATATCGTGATTGCTACAGACACTACACAGAAGACGCGTACTACTACACATCGCCCGTAGGACACGTCGCCCTGACGCGCTGGTCACGAAGTGTGACAATCCCCCCCCGCCTATACGAATTTCACCAGACGTTCTGTCTGCGGGCTGTGCAGGTGTTTTTCGCTCTCCGATTGGGGGCCCGCACTGACAGAACGGCTGGTTCCGAGACTACCTATCGATATGATCTTTGCTGTAACGGATGGAGCAGCATGTGCATCTTTCAGACCTACCCACAAGTGACGATACACAGACTATGTTCGCGGTGTTGCACACAACGCAAGACCCCGATACTCCGCTTCCAGTTCGGTGCTCGCCAAAAGCCAAGACTTAGACACTTCACGCTCAACCCAACAAAACATACAACGAAAGCTATCATGTGCATGCTATAGGTGTATCATAATCACATAGCGTAAGGGAAGGCCTCTGCCGCCCACACCCGTCAAGGGAGAAATCCCAGCCCGCACTCTCCACCGCACCTAGAATACCATCTTGTGAGGGAACTGTCCCTTCGACAATCCCCAACTCGACTTGAGGTACTTGCCCAGGTTCTCCGTCTTCTTGACCGCGGCGATAACTGCGCTATCAACCGCCTTCTGATCTGCTGATTTTGACTCTGGGAAAGCCTCCTTCTCCTTAGGCTTTCCTTCCGAGAAGAACTCGGCTTCCGCTGAGCGGGAACCCTTGCTGGCGGGCTTGGTGAAGTACGCGTCATTGAACTTTTCATCGACCTGTCAATAGCATTAGACCATGCAACGATCCAGAAGATATATCTATACATACCTTGAAATCACCAAGGTCGACCTTCGTCGAAGTCGAGATGACGTATGCCTGGTTGACTCGTCGAAGAGGCACGCCATTGACCTTGAACGGTCCAGTCACCAACAACAAACCGCTCTCCAACTGCTTCAGGAATACCACTCGCTTTCCCCGGAAACGACCGGCCAGTAGGATGAGGACTGTGCCTGGAGTGATGGATGAGCGGAGCCTCGCTGGCTTGGGTAACCTGCGGGTCTTCCTGGGCTGGCGAATGTCTTCGGCGGGGTAGAATCGAGGTGCCTTCGACGTAGGGATCAAACGCTTTCCGCCATTCTTCTCTCCTCCAATCTCAACCTCCTTCGTTGCAACGCCGGTTACAGATTCCTTGCTACGGGCCATCTGGAGCAGGGTAATGTCAGAGACTGCACACAATAAGGATCCCACTTCGCCAATAGATGATGCATCGGATGCACGAACGATCCATCCATCCATGTTCCTCCATGAAAATCCGCAGCAAACTCCTCCCAGCGGACGCATAGCTCCATGGCATTTCTAAGGTATCAACATATATCACGCAAAGACTCACCGAGTCGTGTCTTGAGGAAGCTGAGCTGTGTTGACACTCAGATCTGAGGAGATTGGCACTGGTGCGTATGCTTAGTCAGCAAGTACCGGACCCAAATCGGATTGGGCGTCTGTTGATGACCGTTTCTGCTCGCCAAGATGACTGTCCGTTCGACCGAAAGTCAAAGTCAGAATCGGAACTCTGTGGTCTTACGCTAAATATCATGAACTGATCTGCTGCTTATGTCGTAGACGATGATCGCTATGTTGTCTGGCTAGACATCGACAATACGCTGTACTCGGCGAGCGCGAAGATCTCGCAGGCTATGGGCGAACGAATCCATGGTCCTGAGCAACCGTTATTCTTGCAGAATACTTTTGCGTGCTCATTGCTACTTGTTGTCAGCTTACTTTGTCGGTCTTGGTCACACCGATGAGGAAGCATCGGTACTGCACCATCGCTATTACACCCAGTATGGTCTTGCTTTGCGTGGACTTGTGCGACACCATGACATCGGTGAGGTGTCGGTTGGCAACCTGTCACTGTCAGCCACTTGTATTCTCGGAGAAATCGTGCTGAACGGCACTCGCGCGCGCGATTGTTACTTGTAGATGCGTTAGACTTCGATCGTAAATGCGATGGGTCTCTTCCGCTGGAGGAAATGCTCAAGCCTGACCCCAAACTTCGGAACCTTCTGCAGGACATTGATCGCAGCAAAGCGCGTGTATGGGGTCTTACGAATGCGTATAAGACGGTCCGTTTGCCTCACTGAAAATGTAGTAGTCACAATTGAGCGATTCCTTTTGTCCTTTAGCACGCTGAGCGCGTCCTCCGCATCCTGGGTGTGGACGATCAGATAGAGGGTCTTGTGTTTTGCGACTACGCCAACTCCGATTTCTTCTGCAAGCCGGAGCCGGAGTTCTTCCATGACGTATGCTTTAGCCATCGTCGTGTATACCATAATCACTGACGTTCTCTATAGGCTTTGAAGCGAGCAAATATCATTGATACCTCGAAATGTCTCTTCATTGATGACAGCAAAACTAATGTCGAAGCTGCAAGAAAGTTGGGCTGGGGTAGATGCGTCCATTTCTGCGAACATGGTATGCAAGCTGTAGAAGGCGGGAAAGAAAAGATGATCGCCCAGGACGGTACAATTCCAGATGATGTGGTAGTCATCTCGAAACTAGAGGAGCTTCGAACGGTCTGGCCTGACATTTTCAAGGCATGACATAGACTAGTGGTAAAAGGACACTGTTAGACTCACGGCGTTGGCGCACACATGGACACAGTTTGCGACGACAGGTTGGGTCCGATTCGGCGTAAGCATTGGACGATGTCACACTGTACCCAGATAGTCCGGCATGTACGCTAAGAGTTCAATACAACATAATGGCTACAACTTGGGCAGACTCGGTGGCTTCGAGTACAACTCCGTCGTACCCGAAGAGACCTGCATCTGTAGTGAGCCATGGCGAAGAGGATTACGACCAGGACGACTTACGCGTCCTTGAACCAGGCAACGTCAGACCGTCTACGTCGTCTGTCCTATCAAGTAACATAGATGGTGGTGATGCTTTAGGACTTAGCAAGCGATTCATGTCTTCAATCTGGGATCAAAGACCAAGTGAATGAGGGCTCGTAATACAACGAGTAGTGATAGATAGATACTGACTCGGTCGTTGAACTTCACTGTCGAGGGTGTCTCTGGTTAATGTCAATGAATATCTCCTCTCCGATGGAACATGTGTAAATGGCGCACCGTCTTCATCGTCTTCAGCTATTCCCTCGATCTCCCACGGACACCGCTTGTACCGCTGGAACAAGGGGGTTCCTGGCTAGAGACCGGATATCGGTCGAGTGAACCGTCAAGCACGATAGGCGACTCACAATGTTGGAGTGGAGAATAATCTTCTTCACAAGATGCGTGGAACCAGATATGAGGAAATCTATGCCATGCTGTAGGTAGTTATAGAAATCTGGTCGTTTGACTGTTAGCTGCAGATCAAGATATAAGTCGATGCAGCGTACAGTCCGAATCTACGTCATCATCCGCGCTACTGCTTCTTGAGTGTATAGTCATTCTGTCATCTTCTTTGTAGTGTACACGAATGGGGGGACCTAGTTCGCACGTCAAATCCTGCGCTGTGCTCACACCTAACCGTATCCGGACAGGCTCCATCATTGACGGATAGAAGTGAAGTATCACGCTGTCGTGAACCTGTTGAGAGCATGTGTATTAGCAGTAGAGCTTCACGACATCCAAAAAATACCTTGACAACCGCCTGACGAACTTCGCCATCCATGGTAGTAGACTCTAGCACCTCCCCTAGCGCATCTCGCACTTCACCACTCGGACTCTTCTGAGTGACGAATACCCTTCTGACTTCCTGCATTCTATCTTCAGGTTGGGATGTAGCACCCTTCAGTCCATCACTCCTACCATCCTCCTCAAAACTGAATGAGACACCAGGGTACCGCAGATCATCGCCAGGATATGTAGGTCCAAAGGTTCGACTTACGCCGACCCTCCGAAGCACCTCCTCATAAGACGACAATGTAGAGTCTTTGTACCTTAGTATCACAGGAGGGTTGAAGTCTCGTAGTCCTCTAAGACAGATGGTATGTAGTCGTTGATGATATCCAGAGAACAACAGATCGAGGTGGGGTCGGATATGAAGCATCAGAGGAGTAGTTGGCGAGTCTGAGTCATATTTCACGTCCACTAAGGGGAATACATGTTGCATTCTACGCAAGAGGTCTAGGATATCCCAGAGCGATGATCCTGGAGAGAGTCTGAGCTTCTCTGTTAGAGCATGGGTCTAAGTGAGTACCTAGTTCAAACGGCCCAAGACCTGATCCAGGCCTGATGTCAACTTCAAGTGTAGAGAACATGCCTGATACTTCAGAAACTGGCGGAATCATGAACGGTGGACAAGCTTGTGAGCACCCAGTATACACGGTGAAGTCCTGTCAGGAGTCAAGACGAGCTGAGCTTGCCTTTTTGGGGGCTTGTGTCACGTAAACGCGATCGTGTGCGTGACAGTCGCGTGACAGGCGCGTCTCCAAACTCTTACTCTCACCTTCAGCAACTCGACCTTCCTCCTTATCACAGAACGCAGCATTTTATTGGTGCAAATAAATGTCAGACACACGACAAAGAACCATTATTAAGGTATTAATCTGCACTGTGATTTTCCTTTCCATTGACCCGTGTGGCCAGGTTTTTCGTAAATACGGCCTGTCTCTCGGACCTGAAGCACTGGAATTTGTGGAGGAACTGCTCTATCGCCACGAAATTCCGGATGAAGACGTAGAATTCTCTATTGAATGGATAGCGAAAGAGTACAATAAGCAAGATGGTAATGCATTGCACTTTTAACTTCTGGAACCAATTTGGACCATGGCCGGCAGATGCACAGATGAAAGTTTCACTGGAGGTTCTACAGAGAGTGTATGAAGCCTTCCAAAGCTCAGGGGACAGTCAAGATCAGACAGACCATGAGCTCGTGGATCCGGAAAGCCACCTTGCTTTCGTTGACGCCTTTGACATGCCTTTGTGGCATTGGTCTCCTGAGAGGAACGCGTTTGAAAGGTGTCTCTTTTATTCATGGCAAAGCAGAAGGTCTTGACGTTGACGTTTTATGCAGAACAACCGGTCCGCTCACGATGTCCGGTTCTGCAGACTCTCGTACCATGGCCATGCGCAATCGGCTCAACGTCATCAGGCAAGCGGTTCTACGAAATGAGCACTTCTCCCCATCAACATTACCATCTCGTGATCGGGAACATTTGCTCACGGTGAACTGTTACTCAACACCGAGATATACCCGACATACTGATGCTGCAAGGACAGTTGAGATCCACAAAACAGCTCCTCGGACGCGCGGGAGATCGCTTTTTGTTATTCGGAATGCTATCCCATTCGAAGGAAGGAAAACTCTGCCTCGAAGATCAGGATGGTGCTGTCGAGCTAGACTTTTCGCAATTGGTGGGTGGAATTGTCCTAGCAAACATTTTGTTTATTCAGGAGGGAACTCTCAGGACCAACCCAGCGAAGGTCTATTTACTGAGGGATGTTTTGCGCTGGTAGAGGGTGATTATACTGAGGATGCCACTTTTGTAGTGATAGCCATAGGTCATCCACCCTGTGAAAGACGAGATACAGCACGGTCAGTGAGCACGTAATTGAAGTTATCACTTGCCTGATGTTTTCTGCCAGTTCAATATATGGTCATATTGATTTCCTAGGCAAAGGTTCGACGACCTTACTGGAAGATGTAGGAGCCGGTTCCCTGTCATCTACGGTGCAACTTCTGAATCCTGGCCACAGGAACAACTTGCAGCTCGCGTATGTATGGAACTACCCGACTTGCGTTTCTTTGTTCTGTCAGATGTATGGTTGGATCACCCAGAAACCTTGTTTGGATTACGCAAGTTGTTGGACAATTGCATAGAGAATAGCTTCATACCGAAGGTGGTGATCTTATGCGGAAACTTTAGCAGTAGAGGCATACCGCAAGGTAACAGCAGGGAAGTGCGGCGATTTCAAGGTATTGGCAGTCCAAGGTATTGACATTACACGAGCTGACCGACACTGTTTCAGACAACTTCGACTCTCTAGCGGAATTGATCTCAAGTTACCCTTCAATCACTCGTACAACGCACTTCGTCTTCGTCCCAGGACCCCTGGACGTCACTGTCAATTCTGTACTGCCTCGCATGCCCCTCCTATCGGCCTTTGTATCACGTCTCAAATCTCGAATTCCCAAAGTACACTTCGCAACGAATCCGTGCCGTATTAAATTCTTCGAGCAAGAGATCGTGATATTTAGAGAGGACCTAATGTCGAAGATGCTTCGTAACCTCGTTGGGGTAAAGCCGGATGTTCGAAATGATGACCTCAAGCGTTATGTGAGTGCACGTTCAGATGACGCTCGTTAATAGGCTGATGTCTTGTGAGTAGCTCGTACAAACAATACTGGACCAAAGTCACCTTATCCCCTTGACAAATACCATCCAACCAGTATTGTCCGACTTCGACCACGCGCTTCGCCTTTATCCGTTACCGACAGCGGTGCGTCTGAATTACCGAGATGTAATTTTCTTGCTACAGTATCTGATGTCTCATGTGAAGGTCATTCTCGCGGACAAGTATGATAGATATCAGATGTCATATGAACACTGCCATGTCTTCAATCCTGGAAGCTTCGTCGGCAGCTCTTTCACATTTTCAGCCTATACCCCTTCACTCCAACAGTCCGAGGAATGGTGAGCAGAATGTTGTTACCCGATATTACGAGGATCTAACCTATCCTACTAGTATCTTGAGTATGGATGGAGAGGAGTAATTAGATAGACCATGGTCATTCTGACCGTTTCCACTTGACCGGCTCTCACTATGTCTCTCGAAATCGAGTTGCGCACACCTGTGGTTAAGGCCCTTCAGGGGAGAACAGTGCAAAAGGTTACACAGGGAATTTGTTCAGACTACAGGAACACTAAAAGAGAGAGGCAAAGTGCAGAATTCACACTACCAGATTAAATAGCAAGAAGGCTTACTGGTGCAACTGATGAGAATCGGTAGACCGTAGGCCTTGCGCTCCGCGCCAGTGTAGAAGTGTCTGAGTCATGATCCAAATCTCGATATATATTCCTCAACGTTCTCGAGGACCATGAAGTCAATTCTTCTTCCATTTGACATGTTCGTACATTATATACCACCAAACGAATAGACACGGTACACTTCTCGTAAGGTTGCATGGGCAGAGCTGGAATGGTATAATTACAGCCTGTCCTTGGCGTGGTTCTTGTCACCACCCTGTGTCCGGTATGTCCTGGTTTACCAAAGCATCTTGTGAGCCAAAGCGCCACGACTCGCTCTAGGCCATACCTCTCGCGAGAATTCGTACATCTACCCCTGCAAGGGCGGGACGTTCAAGATATAGGGTGGAGACGCCACTGCACGCGTGAGAATTTATTAATCAAGAGACTTGAGGTGATCATGAGCGTGACGGTTCAATTGCACAACGTGGAGACAGGAGGTACGGGACATTAATTTCTCATCACTGACAAATCGCTGACGAGTGAAAAAAAGTTGCTAGATGGATCACCCGGAGAAATATTAATTAATAATGCAGCACCGAAGGGAGCGGAGAACGACGACGGCAAGCTGTGTGAGGCTGTGTGCGCCTATGCGTCATGATGCGTGATCGCGCACGGGCGCTAATAAGTTAGCGCTCAGGAGGACAGCAGCATAGTTCGCCTCGCCTCTGACAGTCCACTTATCATCCTCGTTGACTTCGTGCTGAAGCTTAGCTGACCTACTAGCGTGTCATATCCCCGTTTAATTTGAATGCCCAGTTCCTCACCTCCACAATTACCGGCCCTTACGCCCGTTGAATTTACAGCGAAACACTCTGTGAGTATTCTGTGGCCAACCTGACCGGGACCACTGACGATGTCCTCACCGACTCAAACTATGCCTACAGAGCGATGTCTGTCTTTTCCCTGTTCGGTGCCCTCCTCATCGGGCAACCCGAAGACGCTTCCACCTGGACAATCTTCGTCTTATGGATCGTCCGAATTGTCTCATTGTCGCTCATATTCAGGACGTACATTGGTCCGTCTATTCTCAGCCTCATTTCAAATCGGCTGCGAGTGCGTAGTGTCAGTCTACGATCTATCCGTGGCATATATTTCCGGGCTGGAACTGGAACATTACGCGTTGACCGAGTTGGTATCTCGTATCATCGACCCTGTGCACAATCAGCAAGTCGGTTCTCGATTAAGGTGGAGGGCATGAAGCTAGAAATTACTCAGGAAGGACCAGCTGCCCCAGAATCACTTCCCTCACTGAGTTCGAACATCCCTTCGATCTCGGCACACCTCGCATCGTTTCAGCTTGCACCTCATATCTGGTCCATTACGCGGTCCGTTCTGTCTTCCCTATACACTCTCCTCGATCCATGTCTGCGTCCAGTGATTCGGAGGGCGATTGTTACAGCTCTTCGCCTCGTGATTCGGGCCCTTCCCGCTCTGACACATATCCTCGACTTCGAGTTGCATTCTGCGATAGTCACCCTCTCGACCATACCTGGTGTGGAGTTTGGCTTGGAAGATGCGAGATTTCATACGCAAGTCTCGCTATCGTCATTGGAAAGTGTGGTATATCCCGATGAAAACACCGACTACCGCAGCCAGTCCCGCCATAGGCGCTTCGCCAGCGTAGCCGACTGGAATGCGCGACTAACAGGTAGTCTGCGACGCACATGGGACCGAGCTTGGGGTGCCACCCTTGTTTCCGCATCTATCTCTTTACAGGTCAAAGGCGTCACAGGGACTGCTCGTCCTTTAGCGCTGAAGGAATTGTGTCAAGAATTCTACATGGGTTTGCTTCACTTTTTAGCCTTTCGATTTAGTCTTACTGAAATACTGCAGTGACCCAGAATTTCGTTGATATGCCCTCTGTTAATTTTGGGCTGACCGTCCGAGTGGATCCGCGTAGAGGAATAGAGCCTCATAGTGTGGAGACATCATTGGCAGTCAAAACCGTGGATATCAATGCTGACATCCTGCGAAATTTGCTGAACATCATGAAAGCGGATCGCAGTACTGAAGAGGAGGATGCTACTCGTGAAAATGGCTTATTGTCGGCCATATCCCCTCCCATTTCCTCTCGGGCAAAGTGGGCATCACCAGCGTCTCCACGCTCACCATTTATGGGGGCTTTGTCTGTGCGTTAAACAATCGTGCTCCGAGTCCTCGTCACATTAGTCACGGTTTGTCTTCAGGCATCGATGCGCTTCCGCTGGGGTGGTAAACAATTTGCAGTACGCAGATTGAAGACCAAGAGCCCAACGGTGCGCGATTTTGTCTTCGAGAATGGCGTGATCTGTCTCATACGTCAAACTTCAGTCTCAGGTGTCTCTGCTCAAGAGCATTGACTTCAGACTTTCCAAGCTCACGTTGACCCATTGTTTGCGGCGCAGTCCAACGGATGTCACTCTGACATTCAAAGCTACCATGAAGCATGTAGCTCTCAGTGCAGGTCTGAGCCATCCTGACTCAAATCCCATGCACCGGGAGTGGTTGGGCAAGAAAAGTATACCAGGCGATGAACTCAGCGCAGACGTGTACCGTCTCAATTTCTTCACAGCTGCTCTGACTCTCGACAGGGTAGGCTCTGGGGCGCTCGTGGATCACCTCCGAGTCCTTTCCGCCGGTCCCTTGCAGCTTGATACACTCGTCTCTCGGTGGCCTTTGCCTTGGCTACACGGATTAAACTTCCTGTTGGGTGATCCAAATGCCCAACTTCTGGTCACAAATGTTTCTCTTGGTACCGTTCAATGTGTAGAGCGCATGGAAGTGCTCCAAGCACTACTGAAGAGGAAGGAACCCTCGAAACCCAGGGTCGACACTGGGCCGATGTTGCCTGCCATTCTGTGCCCTGTGCCCCGTGTTGCTATCGGATTTCAAGTAGACGAGATGTGTGTTCGTTTGATATCTTCCAGTAGCAAGGGTGATGATGTCCCGTTCGCGCTGGAGCTACGATCGGATGGCTTCCTAGCATCCGCAGCATCAAACTATTCGTCTATCACTGACAATCACCAGGGCCATATTCCGCATGACAACCTCGGCCTACGCATGGGTCTCGATCTCGTCTCTGCATTGAAGCGCACCTTCGTCCGCGTACGCTTCGGTCCCGACATGGAGCAAGGACATAGCGATGCCGCGCATATTGACTATCTAGGCGAATCCTTACTTTCACTGGAAGCTGTTCAGCTTCTCGGTCATGCAAGCGCCATTGGGGACATCGGGGACGAGTCCCAAAGCGTTGCGCTAGACGTTGCTTCCATCTACACCGATCTCCAATGTTCGACAGAGGCCCTCTCTGTTGAATTATGGCAACCTGATGTCATCAGGGCTTTGTCGAGAATTGCCGCAGACCGCGGCGAGCTGCAATCCGAGACAACGCCGGCTTCTCCTCGCCGTGTCCTCGATAAACTGCCATTTGGACTGTCTGCCTCGTTTGCGATAGGACGACTGATCATCTCTGTGACTGGCCCCGATATCGCACCAGATGAAAGGCTGAACATTTCTCGAGGAGTAGTCTCGCAGACAGGCGTTTCTATCAGTTATTGCGCCGTGCGCAGCAGGCATACCGAGCAGCTCCGTGGTCTCCATGCTTACAACGACAAACGCTTACGACTGTCACTTCCAACCGAACAAGTGGTGAAGGCTATCGCGGGCACTGCTACCCCAGGAAAGAGTCACAGTTTCCGTGCTCTCGTGCAGGTGGCATTCTGGGATGCCATGCTTCGAGATGCGGTCTCTACCTGCTTTGCCGCGGACGACCCTTACTGCGTTGGAGACCAAAATGCTGATATTTCAGCAAGGGAGTTTTTGCGCATCAAACACACTAGTATTGATGTCGTCCTTTCTGGTCTCCGTCCCAATGGCTTTGCCTTCGCAGGGGTGAAGGACGATTGTTCTGTCACAGTGGGCGTATCGAATGTCCGTGGATCAATGAGTCTTGCACAAGTGTACAACTTGCTTCTTGCCGTTAAGACGTTGAATTTATTCTCCGCGAAGTCAGCCAGCACCCACTCGCATCGTCCGCCGTCTCTCCTTTCCATCCAGATCCGCTGTTCCGTGAACGAGCTTCAATTACTGTGGGAATTCCCAATTCGAACAAAACTCTTCATGCGTCTCACTGCCCTGCATTGCTTCATTCCATCCGAGGAGAAGATTGATGCGAAGTGGAGGTCTATCGTTTTCGCTACGTCTGTCCCGGTTGACCGCGACGGCATCCAGAAGGAAGAGTGGGAAGAAGTGCTGCGTCTGTCCAACTGGGATGTCCTCCTTCAACCCAAGGTCCGTCCGTTAGCTGTCTCGGTTGATGGAGACACTGGCCGTCTCAGGATCCCCTTCGATTTCGTTCTGGCCGATCTTATCCTTGACATTAACGTCACCATCAAAAGCATTAAACATCTTTCCCGGATGATTTCTGCTGGTCGGTACCACCGACCACCTGTTCCACAAGCTGAGGAAGCGAAGAATGTGCCTAACATCTCTATCGTGGTTCGCTGTTTGACTTTCGAGGCCGCGGATGAGGATTTCGAGGCACAATTGGGCCTGATATGGCGGACCGGATACGATGCTGCAATCGTCCGAAAAAGTCGTGACGATGCTTTTGAATCTAAAGTTGCAACAGTTCTTGCTTCCGGTTCTGATCATGTTCGTTCAAGCACCCAAGATATCGGCTCGGATTTCCAGTTCAGTTCTGAACGCACGGTCCCCATTGCCGAGGCTCATGATCGACTCCTTCAAGTTCATTCAGTCGCCTGGAGATCAGCGATTTTGAAAGCGAAGTTTTCACAGATGTATAAGGAAGAAGGACTTGCTAGACGCCTATCGGTTGACAGTCAAGATGCTTTAAAAGGCGATCTAGTTAATGTCAAGCTGCCAAGGCCTGTTCCTCCTCTATGCAGGCTGACTCTTGATCGCCTTTCGTTATCTATGTCGTCCCCTTCGTTTGCATCCGGTAATCTGGCCGACTTCCTATACGACTTGGGAAATGGTCTTCCTCGAGATTCACAGTTCTCCCTCCTCATACCAGTCCACCTGGACCTTTCTGTAAGGTCACTGCGATTCTCCTTCCGCGATTATCCTCTGCCTCTGCTCTATATCCCTCCGAGCTCAGTAGAAGGCATGGTTGGATTGCACTTCGGTAGCCACGTTGTGATTGCTGAAGAAATGGGCACCAAGGAGTCCGTCGAGTGGATATCCTGTGAGGTCGTGAAAGAACACAATGGTATTCATGGTGCTTCTCCATTATCCATCCTAGTTCCTAAGACCATTATGCCTGTCAAGACTTACGCTAACCCACACATCCGGGTCACTACCGACGGGGTGACTGATTTCTCGTGGGCTGTCAGTTACGGTCCTGCAATGCAGGATTTCCTCCGTGTCCTCGACACGTTGTCGCATGCTCCGCGGGATCCTTCTCCTCCCATCGGCATCTGGGACAAAGTAAGCAGAGAGTACCCGCATTCCCGCAAACAAGGAGTAATAAAATGCGCGATCCTTTTATTAGTTGAGGCTCATCTTCCACTGGCGTATCAAGGTGTCCTTCGACGAAGAAGTCCATTTCCATATGAAAGGTTCTTACTTGTCCTTCTGTTTGTTTCGTTGTACTGATCAACTGCTAGGATCTCGCGATCCCTACATGCTTGATGGGCATGGAGCAGGATTCGCCCTTTGCTGGCGTGGAGATACCAGACTCTTGATTGGGCAGCCAAACAAACAGGGCGAACTCATCCAAGTGACGAGCGACTCCATGCTTGTGGTGATTCCAAAGTAAAGTCGTGTTTTCAACGTTCCCTTTCTGTTGCCAGACTAACCTCCTGGGAGCTAGTATAGAAGACACCTACGGCAGCTCCTCCCCGGCTCGCCGGAATGCTCAGGATACTTCGGCTGCTCCTTCGAAGCCTCAGGCCAGTAAATCTCGGAAATATCGCAAGGTTTGTGCGAAGCTGAGTTCGGGTGTACGCTTTGGCGTTGGTTTTGTGCTCGAACGCGCGTGTGGTCCCGAATGCGACAGATGCACTGGTACCCCATTTCACCGCAAATGCCGAATGTTCCATTTCCTCCCTCATTACGATGTTAAGTTAGAACAGAAGTCGGTGACTCCTGAATGCAAGGTGACTAAGCCTTTTGTATCTGTCGCTCATCCACTCATTGTGTATCAGTCCAACGCAGACTCCTACAATAGATTCCGTTCCGACTTCATTCATATGTCCTTATCCCTGACTTCTGCGCTACATAACGAACAGGCTGCCAATCTTGACTCTAGCAGTATTCACTTGTCGCCCGAGACATTCGCACTTTTCTGGGCGTGGTACTCGTTGTTCGACGGCGCAATGTCTCTTCCAATACGCCAAGGGCCACGTTATGCGCGCAAGCGTCCCGTTTCACCCAAATTTGGCCAACATCTTGCCACGCTGAAGTATCGATTCTCCGTCGCTCGTTTTTTCATCTCTCATCTCTACGTCGACAATTCTCGGGATGCGTGGCTAGACGGCGTTACACCATATGTTGGAGTCAAAGCTATGATTGACCATTTCCAGGCTGACATGCACCAAAGAGACCAAGAACGTTCGCTCAATATCCCAGGAGGGGTGCAGACTGTCCATCACAAGGTCTTCAACGCCATTGAAGTGGCGATGCGAGGGCTAGAGCTGCGTACTGTGCTCGCTATCTTCTCGGAGCAGCTCAAACAATATGTTCCTGTGGATTCACCACCTCTGAGCAGCAACTACAGGACGCAGACCAACTTGACTGCTGAGGATCCCGGTTCTCTATGGCTCGACTTGGATGATTTCGATGAGATAGACAAGACACCCTCCAATTTTTATCTTCTCCCCACTGGCTCTTGCCCACGATTCACGTACTTCAAACAAGTCAAGGATGACGATCAAAGCACCTCCAATGAGTCTGTGGAGCGTAGTAAGTTTGGTACCGAGCAGACACACGTGTGCTTCCTCGGGAAAGAAAAATGTAAGTGGGAGTTAAGATTGTACACCTCGTATACTCATTGTGGCGGTGTAGCTGTTACTCAGGTACAGATGACCTTGACCTCAGACCGCATTCAGGAACTTCAGCGAAAATATGACCGACAAGCTCGACAAGGGCGTACAAATGGGAAGTCGTCGGGGAACCATCAGGTTAAGTTCTCCGAGTTTCAATATGTAGTTTGCTTACCATTTCCCCATGGTTAGGAGGATGACGCCAGTGATACACGACGAATGATAGCACTACTGGATGATTATGTCTCACATCTCTGCAAAGTCGAAGCTGCGTCAACGCACCTAGGGCCGAATGGTGGTCAAAGTTATTATATGCCTTCTGACTCAGTCTCTTCGGAGGAGTGGGCTACGTTTGATCACGTCTACCAAGTTCACTGTCCTCAAGTATTCATGGATAACACGATACGTGACGTAAGAGTGCAGTCGTCATGCAGGCCGATTTCGAGTTTGATTCCAATGTCGTACAGATTTTGATGCAGTATTATCATTGTTCTCGTTCTCGACGCGGCATTGATTATCACATGGCAACGCGGTCAGTCTCCTGTTTCTAATGCTGTCCTCCAAATCGGTTTACATACGAACATCTTTAGTGCTGTCAAATTCATACGCGATCAAGCGAAAGCGGCTCTTATCGACATCTTACAGGAACCAGAGAGCCCTAGAGGTGCTGTCTCTACTGCCTACGCTGCTGCTGTTGCTGTTCGTAAGCTCTTGATTGGCGAAGATGGACAGGATACGGCTGTTGATGTTCCAACGCGCCCAAATACTGATGATCCTGCTCGGCTTGATCCTCTTGACGGGTGGTCCGAGGGCGTCTCGCTGCGCAAGAGCCACTTCTGTCTGTTGCTCAAGCCGCAGATTGTGCTGCGCGAATGCAGTACAGACTCAGTTTGTGTGCTAGCTGCAGTGCATGGGAAATTGAAGTCTTTCGACATCATGGACGACGTGAATGCTGACGATCCTGTCAGTGGTAAGGTGATGAGCAGGTGAGTCGTAGTGTATTGATCTTTTGCGAGATGTATTCACTGTTTGCCAACCAGAAATTTCGCGTCTATAACCGGACTCCAAACGTTCTCCCCGTCAGCTGTGAACAACTCCGGGGAAGGCTGCGTCCCTTTAGAGGTCTTGATTGATCTTCGCTGCGAAAACAGTGCCTTCGATCGTCTTGTTCCTCAGACTGATGCTTCGCTCCAATACGACAAGTTCAATCGACTCCGTCTGCGTAACAATGTAACGTCTGTTGTGCGTGGCCATGAACAATCTTCCCGCGATCACTTGCAGAATCAGACTGTTAGTAACTTCCTTCTGGGTTGGTTGTACACGAAATTTACCTTCAAGAAATTTTAGGACCTCATTCGAGTGCATGTTCCACGGTTCACAGTTTCCGCCAATGATCGACACTTCCAAGCTATTTCAAGCATTGTCACTAACCTCCTGCTATTCTCTGACGTTGCCTTCAAAACGCGTTCCGACAGGCTAGAGAGAATGCTCTTCAGTTATGACTTTACAAATCTCGAATCCGCAGCAGACGTCGTGGAAAACATGCAAATGCGCTTGAGGCATGCCATGGACACACGACGAGAGGCAGGTTGGAAACTTCGAGGCACCGGCGAAGCGGGGCAAGTTGAGATGCTCAAGATTCAAGCTCATATCCTCTTGCTTGCGGAAGAGCTGAATCTTATATTCGATGGCATGAAGTTAGCACAGGACAAGCTCAACGACCACCCAGAGCAGAAATCAGCACTCCTCTTGCACGCCTCCTCGTATGAAATTTCGTGGAGAATGCTTGATAGACGCGACCAATTACTCGCGAAACTAGCTGTCCGTGACATCAATTTTTACTGGCTCAATAGGCAAGACAGCTCCGTTGTCAATGACCTGTCAGTCGGAGATCTTCAAGCGTTCGATGGTGCCGCAGACGCAGAGTGGACGGAGATACTGTGCAAACACGACGAACCAGCTACACATCCGTTGGTCAAGGTGTGTGCCGCGTCAATCATTGTGATCCTCAATATTGATTATGGGCTCGTCTAGCGCAAGTTGTTCTTACTGGCGGATTGGACGGTCTTACCCCCCGTTGGAGGCATCACTATTTACGAAGCTTTTGAACTCACATTTCATCCCATGCGGTTGCAAATCGACACTCGGATGGGGCGCAAGATCATGGAATACGTTTGGCCAGCTCGTAGAAACAGGAAGCAACTGACGGATACCCAATCCTTGACTCCCTCACCTGATACACCCTCACCTGCCACTGACATCTCGAATATCATTATCACTGCTTCTTCCCCGGCCTCCCCTAGGCGCTCTTTATCGGACATGATGCCTCGTAAAGCTATGGATGGAAACAAACTAGGGATCGCTCCTCTACGCAAGCTGGGTAGTTCAAGGTCCTTCACTGACTTGCGGAAAGCCGAGTCGGATACACTGCGAACTCCGTCGTTGCATAAGACGCGCTCTATCGAAGCTCTTGTAACGCATCCATCGTCACCTATCTCTCCCACGAAAACCCAGACTCCAAAATCCGCAGAAGATAAAGACCGAATTGCGCTGTTACGCAAGGAAATCGACGATGCTGCCGAGATGAAGACCCGTTCGTCGCAGAAGACTTTCGCGTGGGTGAGGGTGGCTAGGTATGCTCTGCATACCAGATAAATGCAACAAACGTTGACCGTTAGTTCAGTCTATATTTGGTCCTCAGCATCAGGAAAGAAGACTCGTTCCTCTGCCGCGATGCTCGTATTCGTACTCGAGACCTCGAGTATCGCAACCAGACTTGGAGTGTGGGTTCTTTTATTCCTACGTACTTCTTGTCTAACGTTCAGACAGTTCGAAGAATTGGTAGATCAGTTCATTCCTTCCGACCGGAACTGGAGGGGTTGGATCAAAATGGCATTCCAGCAACCGCTGGTTCCTGTTCTCCCAGTCGCGCGCGAAATCATCTCAAAGACCAAGTTCATCCCATCTAGAAGTCACCATCATCACGATGATCATGGCCGCATGACCACTCCGAAGTTGCGCAGCCTGAAAAGTGCAGGTCGTGAGTCAGAGGAGAAGAAACGATCGGCGGTATCCCTTCCACCGACACCGATTGTGGACCCGTCATTGTCAAGTCTCACGACGGAGCCGGAGACTATGCCTGACTCGCCCTCAGAGACTACAAAACGGCGACCCAGGGTGCTAAGTGTATTCAAGCGGAAGGGGCGTGGCGATTCGAGGTCAAGCATGGATTCTGATATCTCCACCACCGGAGTTCGTCTATGATTTCTCCATATTTGATTGTTTGCTTATGATGAGCTCGCAGACCTTTTCTGGCTGCGCACCAAGTCACCGTTCGAAAGACAATAGCAAACGTGTTGATAGTTGATGATGCATCCAGGATGACTGACCCGCCGACGACTATCTATCTTGTATATTACATAATTGCGTGAAACTCGCGGATTTTTCTGGGCAAACACACCCATATGTGGAAGGTCGAGGGTCTGCCGCGTACAATGGCGTCTGAGACTGCCTTGCATTCGTCGTTTCCGCTACGTGGTGACACAAAACTTTCCAGTGCAGCTACAAAGTGTTTATTATGTAGGCTTTGATTTTCTTATATGATGTCCTGTGCAAGATTTCTGCGGCAGTCCCCGACCTTATGACTTTATTTGCGCAAGACAAATAACGCGAAAAAACCATTATGCAACGCGTTTGTATTATCTCGAATGTGGCGCGAGCGAGATTGTGCCTCTTGCGTGCCCGCCGGTGACTTCATCTAATTTACTCAATATGTTGAATCCTCCTTTCTTGTGCCAACACCCCGCCTCCCGCTTGAGTCTCGTCTTAGTCGTAGTCCGCAATGCCGTCTGTCAGAGTCAAGAGCGGTTACACATCTTTGGAGGATCCCGACGAACGTCCACCCTCTACACGGCCACGAGATCGCTCGCTCTCCGGTATTTTCACGCCTTCGAGTCCAGTTACCCTGACTCCTCGTGATACTATTCGCTCGGAGATTCGTACTCGTCCACCATCTGCTAGCTTTCCGAATGAGGGGAAAGACTCTTCGCTATCAAGGCGCCCAAGTAAAGTTTCGCAGCATTGTCTCGCTGGTAGGAGCAGAAGAGCTCAGTCTCTGACAGTTGGAGCGCAAAGCGAGGACAATGCATTGTTATATCCGTCTGGCCCTGGAAGACGGAGATCTTCTGCCTCACAACACCGTGGCCGGTCGGATACGATATCCTTACAAGGACAGCAGGCAGATATAGTGGTACCAGCAGATGATGAAGATGGACGTATTGGCAGTGCCCTCAGCGTGTCTCATTCAGAATCATACACGGACTCTTGGTACGGCGAGCATCATCCTGACGATATTGTGGAACACCTGGATGTGATAGGTGAGTTCGTCGCGTCCTTACTCCTTTCTACTTCACTGACATTCTACCCTGAAGACCCTCAGGTTGCTACGGTATCCACTCTTACAAACGCAGCAAATGCTATAGTGATGTATGCTATACAACGTATGCTTTCTGCCTAGGTCCCTGACGTCCTACCCTACCCAGTCCTCCGTTGTCTTTCTACTCTCGGAAGCCGGTGGTGGTACTATCTCGAGCGAAGTCTACTGCGACCGATCACGAACGGGGGGAGATCCGTCATGAAGACAGCTTGGACCAGCATGTTGAAGATGTCCTCACTAAGCAAGACCAATTCAGACGGGTGATGCAGGGAGTGTGGTCTTTCGTGAAGACTCGTAGGTTTTGATTTTGTGTAAGTACACTTCGGGAATATTCACAACCGTTTCCATGACGGACCTAGCCCTAGGCGTGAGTATTCACTTCAAATACAGTACGGTATTCGATCTCATCGTTCGTCGACTTAGATCGTTACCGCAATTTATGGATTTCTTGTCGGTAAGCTTTGAATGCATCTCCGCTATGTACATGTTGGTGAAGATGATTTGCTTTCAGTATTCTGGGGAACCGGCCTCGTACTTTTCTTGGTTAAGATTATCAATCTGCATAACAGTCATACCCAAGGATTTTGGGTGGAGCTGTCTCAGCAGGTGTTGACCAGTAAGCATAGTTTATTGACACCATAATCGATGTCTCACCAATATCCGCAGGCCTTTTCTCAATTACCAGTATCGGCCTGATACCCTTTCGATTGGAGGATACCTACCGTGAATTATACTATTTGATGCTCAGTCGTGAGCGTCCAAAGCTGACCATGATGTGCGCAGGAATCTATAAAATCTGGTATTACAAGCGGCGAACAAGGCTCCTGCGCAAGAAAGCTGGTCTACCCGAATTGTATGACGTGGACGACTTACCTGATCCTATCTACGATGAGAACTACGTTCACGTTCTTTCTGAGGGGGAGCAAATTGATCTGCATTATCGTGAGTACTGTCATTTCGTGTGACCATTGTGCTCTCTCCCCACACGGCATCTTAGAACAACATAAATTTATGAAGTCGCAGACGTGGTACCGCCCTCACGGTACCCCGACTCATCGGGTAAGTTGCTTTCATCTGCGAATGTATCGTCAGCTCACAGTTCTCCCCGTAGGCATTTCCTATCAGGTAAGAGCTTTTCGTTATTTTTACAACCAGTTCACTGAACCCTGACCAGTATCGCGGTGCTGATCTGCGTGTTGAACGACTTGAACTCATTCTTTCAAGTAAGTTTTATCTCCGATTAGTACTAGCAGCTATTTCTTAATGGCAAATGCCATCTCTGCAGTGCCTCTTGAGCGCTTGTATGTGGTCGATGAATAGGTAACGCCACTCGAACGCACGTCGTGCGTCAGTCTGACAAGTCGCATAGATTTCAACGACCTGCGTGGACGACGGCCACGACTCTGCCTTTCGCATTCGTACGTTCATCGCTCAACTCCTGCGGGCCCTCGCTAACCTCTATCACTCAGCTTGCTGGAATACTCGCGGCTTTCTACATCTATTGGGGTGGACGGAAGACCAAGCGGGTCAAGGAGGTGACGGAACGGCTGCGCCTTGCGCTCTCGATGGACTCCCCGAAAGCGACCGTAGCATCGGCGGGGGTTATGTCGAGGATCCCCGAGGTTGCAGAACATGCAGAGGCTTCTACTACCGACACGTCGCCCGCGATGTTGAACCAGAAGACGCGAGCTGTGGATTTCACCGTTCAGGAAGGCCGGCAGTGGCATGAAAGGGTCTCCGGCTTGCCATCTATTTATATCACTGAGGAGATGACCATCCCAACTGCAGCAGAGCTAGCAGGCGACTGGAGATGAATCAAACGGAGGGATGTGTTGTAATGTGTTAGTTTTATTGATGTTGTTGTACTAACACAGGACCAGACTGTATCTGACTGACTGTTACACCATTCACACTTATCTAACTTACTACAACGTTAGCACACACGCATGTATTGATGCCATAGTACATATGATCCACGCAGTTGAAGGGTCTACTCTGGGATTGTTGAAATCCGCATCCACACGACTACCAACCGCAAGCCGCGTAGCTCCACCGCAACGCTGGCCTCCCGTGCCCAACGTACGGCGAGCAAGTCTACCGACCTGCGCAGCCTGCCGCGCGACCATATGGCACCACGGCCCAACACGTTTTGCCAACAACTACCCGGGGTTGAATAACTTACAGGCCGACTCGTTGAGAGCGCGCTGATAAGTTCACCGCGTACGGGCGCTGTTGAAGCGCAATTAGTGACGCATTTAAGCGTATGTCTGGCGCGCCCAGCGGGCGGCAGTGACGACATTCTTGAGCGATGCTGCGGGAGACGATCAGCAACCACAGTTGTACCACAGTGGATGTCACTTACCCTCTGTCTCCTTCCAGCCGCGAGTCTTCAGACCACAGTCCTGCAAGACAAAAGGTCAGCAAGCACGTTCACACAGAGAGGTAAAGTACATACAGGGTTGACGAAAAGGAGCGACTCGGGAAGGATCTGGAGCATAGACGCTATGCGGTCCTTGATCTCCTGCTCGCCGGGGACACGCGGTGAGTGGATGTCGTAGACACCGGGCCCAATCTGGTTCGAGTACCCGTAGTGCTTGAACGTGTTGAGCAGCTTCATGTCGCTCTTGGAGGCCTCGATGGAGATGACGTCCGCATCGAGCGCCTGGATCGACGGGAAGATGTCGTCGAAGTCGGAGTAGCAGAAGTGCGAGTGCGTTTGCAGCGCGTCGGACACGCCCGCCGTCGCGATCTTAAATGACGGCAGCGCCCAGTTTAGGTAAGGCTCCCAGTCGGCCTTACGGAGAGGCAGCTAGAGGGGCAATGCGAGATGAATAACGAGCGATATTGTAGTGATACACGGGACTCACGCCCTCACGAAGAGCGGGCTCGTCCACCTGGACAGCCTTGATGCCGGCCTTCTCGAGGTCGCCAACTTCGTCGCGGAGGGCAAGCGCAAGCTGCTTGCACTGGAGCTCACGGGAGACATCCGCACGGGGGAAGGACCAGTTGAGGATAGTGACGGGGCCAGTCAACATACCCTTCATGGGTTTGGTCGTGAGGCTCTGCGCGTAGCTGCTCCACGCGACGGTCATCGGGCCAGAACGGCGAACATCGGAGACGACGATTGGGGGACGGACGTAGCTGGCAGAAATCCATCATCAGTTAACGTCGACGCGACGTCGCATTGAATTACTTACCGAGAGCCGTAGCTCTGCACCCAACCATTCTGGGTGAAGACGAAGCCCTCGAGCTGCTCGCCGAAGTACTGCACCATGTCGTTCCGCTCCGGCTCACCGTGGACAAGGAGGTCAAGGCCGATCGACTCCTGGAAGCGTACGACGCTCTCGATCTCCTTCTTGATGAACTCGTTGTACTGCTCCACGGTGATTTCCTTCTTGTTGAGCTTCGCACGAGCGGTACGGATCTCCTTCGTTTGCTGTATCCAAATTGTTAATATATATCCTCCCACCACGAGTCGATAGGCTGCTTACCGGGAAGGAACCGATGGTAGTAGTGGGGAACTTAGGCAGGTTGAGATACTTCTGCTGCACCTCCTTGCGGACAGCAAAGGGACTCTTGCGCTCCAGCATATCAGGGGTGATAGCAGCGACGCGCTTCCGTACCGCATCGTCCGATGTACGCTCGAACTCGCGACGCTTAGCGATGGACGCGGTGTTCGCCGCGAGGGCCTCGGCTACCTTGGGGTCCTGGGAGCCGGAGAGAACAGCGGCGACGACGGCGACCTCGCTGGCCTTCTCGAGCGCGAACGAGAACCAGTCCTTCTGATCCGGCGTGAGCTTATTCTCAGCATCAAGCGTAACGGGCGTATGCAGGAGCGAAGAGGAGGTTGCGATGATGACGCGGTCAGCGCCGAGGGCATCGATCGTCTTCTGGCCGAGCTTGATTGCTGCCTGGAGGTCGGTCTTCCAGATGTTGCGGCCGGAGACAACACCGAGGGACAGGACGATGCTCGTGGGCTTAACAGCTGCGATCACCTGGTCAAGTTGACCAGGAGCGCGATCGAGGTCGATGTGGAGACCGGCGACGGGGAGCTTGGCGACGAACGTGAGGTTGGAGTCGAGGCGCCCGTAGTACGTCGTCAGCACGATCTTGGGAGAGACGGGCTCAAGTTCCACGTAGGCAGCAGAGAACCGCTTTTCCAGACCAGCAGCAGAGTCGAGGACCAACACGGGTTCATCGATCTGGACGGACTCCACGCCGGCCGCCTTGAGATCAGCAAGAAGCTGCTTGTAGACGGGGAGGAGCCTGGGGAGGAGTGTGATGGGCTCGAAACCGGCCTTCGCCTCCTTGGCAGCCTTACCGAGGGCAAGGAAGGAGAGGGGCCCAAGGACGACGGGGCGGGTGACGATGCCGATGGCCTTCGCCTCGTTGTACTCCTCGAGGGCCTTGTTGAAGTTGAGCTTGAAATCGGTGTCCTCTGCAAACTCGGGGACGACGAAGTGGTAATTGGAGTCGAACCTGACATTACGCCATCAGTACCCATCTCAGCGCTTAAAGAAGATGGCGCGATAGAAGCACAGATCGCCTGATGAAGATACTCACCACTTCTTCATCTCAGACGCAGGCACGTCGACGCCGTCCGCCTGACGACCGCGGCCCATGGCGAAATATACATCGAGCGCGGAGAGGCCATGGCCGAGGTAACGCTTGGGAATGGCGTTGAAAGCGGCGGAGTGATCGAGGACGTGATCATAGAGGGAGAAATCACCGCTGTGGACGAAGATGAGCAGAAGGCTACGCGCCTCGGGACGATAGGGTCACCTGGGGATGAGATCTACGCCTCTGGCCTTGAGGCTGGTCCAGGTAGTCTTCTTGACGTCGGCAGCAACCTTGGTTAAGGCTTCGGCAGAGATTTTGCCAGCCCAGTAGCTTTCCACGGCTTTTTTCACCTCACGGTTTGCACCTAGAGCGCGAGCAGGGTGAGTGCCGGAAAAAAAGAAAGGGTGCAGGACATACCGATACGGGGGAAACCCAAAACGCTGGAGGCGACCATGGTGAGACGAAGGCGGGTGGGGAAGAAGATGATGGAGGGAGAGATGGAACGAGCTGGGAGTGAAGACGCAATACTTTATAGATTAGGCGTGAGAAAGGACTGGGAGCGCCTGTCCCCAGTGGGAGGAAAAGAAGGCGGACCCGGGCTAATGAGTGCGGCCTTGAGTACGCTCGCCACAGTCTACGCTCGTTTACGCCATCGATTCCCAACCCATCCCCCTTCTCCAGTCTCCCGCCCAGCGCCAGTCCCCGCCAGCGCCAGTCTCCACCGCCGATCGCAGACGTTCTCGGCCCGCCGCCCGCTGTACTCCCCATTTGGAAATAGCATCCCCTTATATGGCAGGTACGTCTGGGAGACGGCGGACGCTAGAGCCCCGCCCGAGTGCGCAATGCGAATCCATCGATGGGGTCCTGCTTCTGCATCTTATCCCAGCTACGAAGCTCCCTAGGGAGTCACGGCCCAGACATCTATCGGTTGGCGGTCCGGTCTCCCACCCCTCCTCAAAAGTCCCGCTCCTCGCAATCCTACCAAACTTGCTCCCTCTCTCCACTTTACTATCTACCATGTCGACCAACCCTTCTTTCGTCCTCCGCGCAGTCGAAGATGTTGTGTACGAGGAACGTCCCATCCCCGACAGTGAGTTTCTCGTCCTCTGACCCGCCGTTCGCCTTCTGACTCCCCCTTTCCAACAGTCCTCGATGATGAGGTCTTGGTCGAGGTGAAAAAGACGGGTACGTCCTTACCGCACTTCTCCAACTAGTTCTCACTCTGATCTTGCTCGATCTAGGTATCTGCGGTTCCGACGTATGCACGACTATATGCTATCGCTGCATGAGCCGACCTCTCTCCAGGTCCACTACCTCGTTGCAGGTCGTATCGGCGACTTTATTGTCAAGGACCCAATGGTATTAGTCTTACGGAATACTGACTATATGCTCTCCATTAATTCAAATTAAACAGGTTCTCGGACACGAGTCTTCCGGCCTAATTTCGAAAGGTCATTTTCCCCATCCTGTTCATTTACTACTTTCCCTGACACCAAACTCCAGTGGGCAAGAATGTACACACCCTACAACCGGGCGATCGTGTCGCAATGGAGCCCGGCGCGACTTGCCGCGTTTGCGAAGACTGCAAGCGCGGACGGTACGAGGTACGCATACCCCTGTGGTACAAAGTCTCAAAGCCTGATTGCATTCAACTTCATACACAGCTGTGCCCTGATATTATCTTCGCCGCGACCCCGCCCTACGACGGTACCCTCGCGCGGTACTACCGTATACCCGCAGACCTCTGCTACAAGCTCCCGGCACAGCTTTCACTCGAGGACGGTGCGATGGTGCGAGATTCTGTTCCTCCTACCGTCAGTTCGCAGCAGTCTGACCTTGCCTGCAGATGGAGCCCCTCTCCGTGGCCGTGCACGCCGTCGCCAACATTGCCGGGCTGAAGACCAACCAGAGCGTGGTCGTCTTCGGCGCGGGCCCCGTCGGGCTCCTCTGCCTCGCCGTCGCGCGCGCGCTCGGCGCGTCGCGCATCATCTCGGTGGACATCGTGCCCTCGCGCCTCGAGTTCGCGAAGCAGTACGCCGCGACGGAGACGTACCTCCCGCCGAAGCCGGAGCCGAACGAGAGCAAGCTCGCGTACTCGGAGCGCAACGCGCGCACCATGAAGGAAAAGCTCGGCATCGAGGAGCGCGGCCCGAAGTCGATCGACCTCGTCGTAGACGCGAGCGGCGCGGAGGTGTCCATCCAGACCGGCATCATCGTCGCGCGGCGGGGCGGGACCTACGTTCAGGTGTGCGAGCCCCGTGCAGTGCGTTTGTCGTGTAGGTGCGTTGCTCACTAGGATCGCCCGTGGTAGGTCGGTATGGGCAGCGCTGAGATCACCATCCCGATCACGACCCTGCTGGTCAAGGAGCTGAACTTCAAGGGCTCCTTCCGCTATGGCGTACGTGGCACCCCTTCGCTCCGTGCACTTCATCCTTACACAGTTGACTATAGCCCGGCGACTACCCCCTCGCTCTCGCCCTCGTGTCGCAGGGCAAGATCGATCTCAAGCCCCTTGTCACACACAGGTACGAATATCGGCGATCCTCGCTAGCTCTCACACTCAGCTGGAGCCTTGCACAGGTACCCGTTCACAGCCGCAATCGAGGCGTTCGAGACCACCAAGGCCGGGAAAAGCGCGGACGGCAAGGGCGTCATCAAGGCGATCATCTCCGGTCCCGACGTCTCTCCCAACGACCACTAAGTACCAAGCTGGTGCTGTTCAGCCTAGAAGGAAAAAAGAGGTGTATTTGGATGTTTGAGAAGAGCTGTACGATTTTCGTGTAGAATGTGACGAGGACTTGCTTAATGCTTTGGAAGCTAGTAGTGCGGCCGAAGTGCTGTTGAAAGTGATAAGACTGAATTTCGCGGTATCCTTGCGAGTCGAGCGCGCCCGAGTCAGGTGATGGACGCGTATGGTCACGAGCGAACGCGCTTTCCTTGATTGACTGCGACGCCGATTATCTTAGGTCAGAACAATCTCTCACTCCCGTAAGTCGACCTGCAATAACTGTAACGATGCGCTTCGGCGTGCGCAACGTCTACTACCTCCGTATCTCCACATCCACCGTGATCCCGCTCTACGTGAGTAGCAAAAATCCTACACCCTCATGTTCTTCACCAGAGCTCACACCGCACATAGCTGTACCTGGATGAACGTCACGTCGAGTGGATGAGCGAGCGCGTGCTGCAGCACGTCCTCGCAGATCTGCGTCCACAGTCCGTGCTTCCCATCTACCCCTCCACCCAGCTGACGAACATTTTTGTCGCAGAATCCTGCAGAAGCTGATCGACGAAGCGGACGCGCAGCTCGGCCCCGGCGGACCCGCGAACGCAAAGCGGGCCAGCGTCGACGTGCATCGCGGCGGTACGTCACGCACGCTCGACTTCCATCCACCCGCTTATACGAGCAACTCACATCGTCCCACCAGATACATACCAATTCGGCTACTTCCTGCGGAAGATGGAGCCCCATTCCGTGCTCATCAAGGTAGGCACACAGGATTCAGTATACACGATTTGTCGCAGCGTTGGTGCTCAATTACCGTAGACGCGTCACTTCGTTCCCGCTCCGGACCCTCCCCCGCCCGCTGTCAAGGAACCGTCTAAGGCGCCGTCCCCCGAGCCGTCCACGCAAAAGCGGAGGAAACGGCCAGCAAAGAAGCCCTCTAGGGCGAAGAACACGAAGCGCCCAAAGACAAAGGGCAAACAGAGGGCGAGAGACACGGACGAGGAGGACGAGCCCATGGTGATCTCTAGTGACGACGACGAGGACCAGATCAGCGCATCCCCCAGCGTTCCTGCGCCCCCGCGGCGCTCCGCAAGGGCCCGCAAGCTCGTGGCTGGGGGATATCACGAAAACGAGGACATCAATCTCGACGAGCAGCCAGAAATTGCGGACGGTGACGGAGATGTCGAGATGGTGGTACCTAACGAGGAACCGATAGTGCGACCGATTGAGCCCGGGGATCATCCGCTGCCCTCTGGCCTGGATGACGCGAGCCTCATCACAATCGACGAAGCAGAGGACACCCCTACAGTACCGGTCAAGCACGAAGTCGCAGAACCTGCGCTCTCCGAACTGCCTCCTACAGACATTACAGTAGAATCGCCTCTAGAGATCGTTGCAGAGTTCAACACCCCCGCCATCGAGCCCGCCCTCGTGCCGGATGAGACGGACAGCAAACAAAAGCTACAGCTGCAACTCCGATACCAGGGCTTTAACATCCAAGGCCGCTGCCTCTGCGTGATCGTCGAGCCATACCCACCGATCCGCGCGCCCTCACGAGCACCGTCGTTGACCCCCATGGGGCTGGTTGGACCCCGCGCGCGCAGTATCGCTCCGCCGGACTTCGTGCCGAGCGGAGCCTCGCAGAGGGAGCGAACGCCGCTGTTCCTCCCCGAGTACGATAGAGAGCGCACCGAGACGCCTGCCCCGTCAATGTTTCCGCGCTCGCTGCCTCCTGTGCCCCTCTTTTATGAGAGTGCGCCGCGGGAGGATAGTGACGATGAGGGCGGGAGCATGTTGAGCTTCAGTCAAGTACTCAGGTCTCATCAGGCCATTACTGTGGAAGACGACGATGAGATGGATGGTTCTGTACTTTTTGGCGACGCGGACGAGAGAAAGGAAATGTGATGATAATTGTGCGACTAATGCATGGGTCCACTGTGGAGCTGAAGAGAGCGACGATAATGTGCGTGAGGTATCAGATCATGAAACCATGAGTCACCACCACTATGCTCGACCTATCTCCCGCAGAATCTCCATCTTCCTCGTCTCTGACACCTTTTTGAAACCCGCATTCACCATCTCGAAGACGCCCTGACCGCCGGAAAGTGCACGCAGCCGATTCGAATAGTCGAGCATCTGACTCAGGGGAGCAAGAGCTTGTACGGATCGCCGGAGTATCGACGACGATGACGACCTGTCGCCCGCCACAGTCACGGCGGACGGGGACAGCCAATCTGGGGGGATGTACACCCCGTCGTGAGAGTACGGTTCTGCGTCCTCCTCAGTACCCGCCGCATTGAGAGCGCCAGTTGCCATGTCAAGCACTTCGCCGCCGTGCTCAGTCAGATCCTTGATGACTTTTCCGAGTGAATCCTCTGGCACCGTGATCTTTAGGCGGATGTAAGGCTCCATGATAGGCCCCATTCCAGCGCTCTTGATGCAGTCGCGCAGGATGGCTGCGCTCGCACCAGCGAGGACGGATGACGGGATCTCTACGGGGTAGCGGAAGCTGTTAAACTTGACACGGACATGCGAGAGAGCCAGAGAAGTGTGCGGAGAAGTTGACAGCGCGTCGAAGATGCCGCGAGAGATGTTTGCCATTGGATCTTGTTGGTTAGCGAATAAGTCCGATGGGCGCATAGGCTGCCTCTTGCTGTCCAGCACAACATTACCATCCCATAGCGGATTACCCTGGTCGCCCTCATCCAAAGCTTCGACGGTGAAGCCAAACGACACGGAGACAGGCTTCCCTGCGATTTCTGTGGTCCACACCTCTTGTTTTGGCCTTGCGTCCCCAGAGCCAAGGCCCTCACGGTAGCTCACGCGACGCTTGCCCAGTTCAAATTGCACCTTCCACTCATCTTTCAGTCGGCTCTCTACGATTTCGAGATGCAATGAGCCAAGACCGTGCACCAGAAGCTGCCCTTCATGTGTCTCCATGCGGACAGATGGGTCAGTCCGTGCGAGTGATATTAGAGCATTCTGGACGGGCTCTAAATCGGCTTGCGTTTGAGGTATCACTGCTGCCGACATCACTGCCGGAGGAGGCACGATGTCGCCCAGCGATGAATTGTCCGAGGAATGTTGTGTGGAGACGAGCGTGTCACCCGTGCGAGTATGTCTGAGACCAAGAAGCACACCGACTGAGCCGAAAGGCAGCGAATCCACCTCTTCCGTCTGCGAAGCATAGAGCAGCAGGATTTTGGCGAGCTTCTCGCGCTGATTTCGTGTGGCGTTGACGATAGTGGTATGGCGTGTGAGCGTTCCTGCAGTCAGTCAGTCAGGCAGAGCCGATAACGAATGCATTGAATGTGCCTACCCGAGTATACGCGCACGAATGTCATCCATCCTTTCCGCTTGTCCCAACCTACCTTCCATGCCAACATGCGCAAGGGCGCATTAGGTACCGGGACTCTGTCAACCACATCACGCGGACTGGGGAAGAGCTCTCCGACGTAATTCATTACTAGTTCGGTGCCCACATGTTTGAAGGCAGAACCACATACCACGGGCAGGATGTCATTGCGAATGGTTGCAGCCCGAAGATGAGGCATAATCGTTGACGCAGAGATGCCGAGGTAAGGGGAAGGGTCATCGGTAGGCAGGCTGAGCAGTGCTTCCATTAGGTCTTCGGAGAACATGGAGAGATTCTCGAGTAATGCAGTGCGAGCGGGAATCAGATGCGGAAGTATGGGATGAGACAGAGGGATGATGTTGGTTCGCTTAAGATCTTCGGCATTGGAAGGAAGCGGGTAACGAGATGATTCGCCATCTTCATTCCATTTCCATACCTCCCACTCGACGAGATCCACGAGACCTTGAATACCGGGTTCACCCCGTGCATAGTCGTCGGGATTGAACGAAGCTATTGGTAAGACCAACGCCATGGGTTTGGGATGTAGCCGGTTAGAGAGAAGCGACAACAGCGAGGATGAGAATGATGCTCCTGCTCGATCAAGTTTGTTGAGGAACACCATTCTTGACCGTACACCATACCTGTCACCACAGGTGAGCTCATGAGCCATATCGGTGTTAACCCAGATGATCCTCACCTAGGTCATCGCTTACCTATCCAACTGCCTCCAGACACCCTTCGTCTGTGCCTCAACGCCCTCAACAGAGTCTAACAAGACAACCGCACCGTCAACCACGCGACTGGCACTTTCCACCTCCATGCCGAAGTCAGCGTGACCCGGGGTATCAATAAGGTTGAAGGTCCAATCTCTCCACTTCACTGGAATGCTGGCAGATTGGATGGTGATACCTCGCTCGCGCTCTGCTGGTAGAAAATCTGTTGTAGTGCTTCCGGTGTCTACTGTACCAGCGGAAGACAGGTATGAAGACTTGAGCAAGATGGACTCCGTCAAGGTAGTCTTTCCGGAATCTGGGTTTTCTGATTTAGGGACGCGATATACTTCAGGAACCTAGTCGAATTCACCTATATGGGCTACCAGAGCCATATTCCGCAACGTGGAGGTATTGTCGCGGGCAGCCGTCGCAAACCTGCGATATAGAACTGCACATTTGGTGATTAACCATAAGCCACGGCCCTGCCTGGAAGTCAAACGGCGCGACAGCATAGCCTGTGTCTGGCACAATGTTGGAGAGACAGGACCTTGCAATCGAGGAACGAACAAAGACCGTGACCGTTGACTGCAGGAGTAAATGGGCGCTTGCTGAGCGAACATGCACCCACGTGGCAAACAATATCTCTCTGTCCACCCTCTCTTATTGTGCACGAAACATGGTCCTTCCATCTATCTCCCGCCATGTCGAACGCCGTCAACGGGGATACGGACAACTTCGAACAACGCCTCCGTCAGCGTGCCGCTGCTCAATCAGATCCTCTTAGCACCACACCATCGGAACCCAGCCTCAGACCTCATGGTCGCATTCCAAACACACCATTGGCAGTGTCCTGCATCTCAGCCTTACTTGGAATACTCTTTGCTTTAGGAGCGGTCATCTTCGTCGTAGGCGTACGACAAGATTGGTCGATAGACCGGCTTGGCTTTTATATTGCTGCGTGGGCGGTCTTCCACTGGGGCGAGTTCGCTGTAACAGCAGGATGGAATCAAAACAAATGCAGCATCGATTGTGCGTACCGATCCTCCTTGCCGTTCAGTTACTCCTAATTAGTAGCCTCCGTAGCGTTCTTACTAGAGAATGGAGCGCAATATCACATTGCCCATAGCGTCGCTACCTTGGAATACCTCATTAGCTCTTACTTCTGGCCGTCATACAAGACCTATCCATTCTTCTCTCCTGCTGGTGAGGAGCTAACAGTTTGGTTTATGCCCTTGCAACTCAGTCGTTTGCAGGCATAGTTCTGGTGATCTTTGGACAGATTCTCCGTTCCGCTGCTATGATACAAGCGGGGAACAGCTTTTCGCATGTTGTGGCATACCGAAAACTAGACGACCATGTTCTCGTTACTGGAGGGATTTATGCGTGCGTTTCTTACTCGTCTAGACATCTCCATTGCAATTGATGCGTGATCCAGTTGGTTCCGCCATCCATCATATGCCGGATTCTATTACTGGGCCTTAGGCACTCAGCTGCTCCTCCAAAATCCTATCAGCTTTGTTGGTTTTGCAGTTGTGTTGTGGAGGTTCTTCTCGAATCGTATAGCGCGTGAGTATCCTTCAAACATTCCAACCAAAATTTTATTGATTCCTGTGATACTTCTCAGACGAGGAAATTTCCTTGATTCGTTTCTTCGGAGACGACTACAACAGCTATCGCAGTAGGACGGGGACCATGATTCCTTTCGTCAGCTGAAAGTAGAGCAGCGCAGTACTAACTTAAGTCTACTGTCGTGAACGGGTAGTGCTTCCGTCTCACAAGTGTGATGCTGTTGTACAAATGCAGATGCGATACGACGAATGTCATGAGATAGCCATATTGGATGTCATAATTGAGGAGAAAACATCCAACTTATGACCGACGCAATACGACCACCCAGCGAAGGGAAGGACACATAAAATAAACTGCTCATTCTTGCACAATGGTGCCCTTGTCGGAGACGTAGATACCGTCAAGGAATTTACGGATATCCTTGTTCCGTACACGGCAGACACCTTGGATAGATGCAGCTAATTGTAGGAAAGTAAGAAACTTGCAGCTATCAACCTGAATAATACGCACCTGACTGCGAAACATTCTCAATGTCATTCCCCTCGATGATCAGCTCGTCCTTCTGCGCCTTCGACTCCGCAACAGACACACCGTGCAACATGTTCACGTGCCGCACAATCTAGACAGGTCAGTGAATACCTGGCTGCTTGTGGATATCGCATTAACCAACCTTCTCCCCCAGAAAATTACGGATCTCCAACGCCATACCATCATTCTGGACGATACAATTGATAGGGAAATGCGCGTATACGGCGCGCATTTTGTACTGGAAGCCCTGTAACAGGTCTCAGCTCTGGTGAAATGCATACATTCCAGTTCATCGAATCGTACCTTCGTGACGCCAGTTATCATGTTCACAATCAAGCTCTTGATCGTCCGTAGGCATGCGACATGCTTCCGTCCGCCCTGCCATACCGCGAGAGTGACCTTGTTCGTCTTGCCCTTCAACAGCCGGATGTCCATGTCGATATGGCGGACATTTTTTGTTAGTGTACCCCGAGGGCCCTTGACCGTGATAAGACGAGATTTGACTTTGACTTCGACGCCCTCCGGGATGTCGAGCTCTTCGGTGGTCAGGACGTCCCGCATCTTCAAAAGTAAAGTGGTCAGAACCCCGGGTTACATCCGAAAGCAGTCGAGCGAATCCATATTTCTCCAACGCGATAGGCCAAATGGCATTCACCCAGCATGATCCACAATGGCTATGCGACACTCATATCGGCTTGATAGGATGGAAGACTCACTGTGAAGGCGTATCTTGAGGATGGGCTTGCGGAGGGCTGCTGAACTTTGCGTCGTACAGGAAATCTTCCCTTTCCGGTTAACTCTGGTAAACTGGGTAGGAGTCTGCCCTAATCCGGAGATCTCCGAGAAAGGCCCCAATCATTGTGCCATGTTGAAGCGGAGCTTGAACTTCCCTCAATAGTCACACGCCGTGGGGCCGACTGCCTTTCACAACTTCATCATCGACTGTCATCTTCGTGCACACTGTGCGGCCATCGTCCGTTTCGTGGCCCGTCGTGAGACGCAGTTTGAGGAAAATACGTCTGTCAAACGTTCTAGCTTCTCTTTCCTCTGGAACAGCAATCAACCCGTCCCAACATCGTTCGCGCGCCTTTTTTTCACCCGACCGTGTCATCTCGTCCATCGTTGAGCTCCGAGTGGTAGTTGGCTCTTCGCATCGTTGGACTCGATAAGTTGGCGTGTGCTATGTCTCTCTATCCTCAGAGTCAGGCGTATGGCCAGGTACTTTACCCAGGGTACGGCCAGCCCATGCTACCCCCGACTGGGTATCAGTATCCGTCGCCCGTGCAGCCCTTCTACCATGTCGATCCCAACACATTCCGTCGCGATTACATGTCGCGTTTGTCCTCACTCACCATAAATTCCAGACCGATTATACAGAACCTCTCAATGATAGCGCAAGAGCACTCCCGATTCGCCGAGATCGTTGCGCAGTGTATCGAAGCGCATATACGTCGGGTGAGTGGTCGTTTCCTTTCAACAGACTTATGCGCATACTGTCTGCATGGCTCGACTGTGCATGTGGGTACCAAGTGGATGCTTGGGAGAAGCCGACAGTAGTACATTCATGTCATGTACCTAGTTGTAGTTTCGATTTCGTTGAGCAAAGACAGGGCCTCAGCGGGTTCAAGGGGGCCTCTCGGCTTGGTGCACAGCCCAAGAGCCACTTCCAGAGCCCAAGGATCGTCTGAGAACTGCGCAGCGTTTGCGCCTTCTGCTCTTCTCTTTCTTCGTCGTGTTTGCTTCCGTGGACGGCTGACTAATCTTCTATTCTACTTTTGGTAACTGTCGTTAGGTGCCGCCTTGGATGAAGCTGCCAGCGTTCTACCTTCTGGATGCAATATCCAAGAATGTATTTGATCCTTACGCTCCGCAATTTACTCCTCTGGTCGTCAGACTATTCCTTGATACCTATGAGCAAGTTGACCAAAGCACTCGCAGCAAGATGGAAGAGATGCTACTGACTTGGCGAACTGGTGCGCCGAACGGAAGGGAGCTGTTTGGTATCGTTCCACAGGTTGCAATTGAACGTCAGATTTGGGGCGGTGATACTACTCAGAATGTTGCTGTGAGTTTTTGCGTCAACTCGTCCTCAGTTCGCAAGTATCCTGATATGCTGTGGTAGTCTACCAGTCGACATCCAATCAGCTCTGAGTCGACAATACCTACCGCTCAGGTTCTCAGTGAATTAGAGTTTGTCCTCGGGCAGAAGGAACGCGCTATGCAAGTAGACCCTTATGACAAGGTTTCACAGAATCACGTTGGCATACTTCATCAGGTAAAACACCATTATACTTATTCTTAATGTCCATAACTAATGGAGTTGTAGCTTCGCAAGTTAGTCCAGGCGGGAGTCTCGCAGGAGGAGCTCAGTCAGATACTTAATCAATTACGCACGCTAGCTTTACCTGCACCTCCTGTTCCTCAGCAGCCTGCACCGCAACCTATACCGCCGTATCAGAATCAGCAGTTATACCCACCGCCTGTGCCGCAGGCCACTTACCCTACTTCCTCAAACCCCCCACCATATCCTCCACAACAACCATACTCGAACCCACAGCCGGACATCGCGAAGCCTGAGCCAGTAGATTTCTCGAATTCTCTTTCCTCTCGGCCTCCTGCCGCTTCATCTGCACCTGCACTTCCGCCAGTGAGCAATATTGCGAACCTGTATAGTGCTCTCTTAAAGGCAGGTGTCGTTTCTGCTACTGGTACCCCTACCGGCGCTGGTGCCACAGCGAAAGCGGAAGAGGCAGCCGCGCCTGTAGATCCCGCAAAAGATGCCGCGAGGAAATATAGGAAGGCGATACTGGGGATCAAGATCAAGCTGACAAGTGCAGATATCACCCGGTATGTTTTAATAGTTCCGCGTTGTATGGCATTATCTAATAATAGCTTGCTAGTCAAAATCCACGAATCGTCCCCTTCCTATACGACAAGTTGCCTATACAATGTAAGCAATGCGGGATTCGCTTTGTGGACGGTCCGAAGGGCAAAAAGAAGATGGAGGACCACCTCGATATGCACTTCAGGCAGAACCGCAAGGCCAGTCAAGCCGTCGGCCGCGGTCACAGTCGCGGTTGGTTCATTAGTGTAGAGGTGAGTCCTCATTACTCAGAAAATGCGTTCAACGTTTTCTGACATCTTACTTTCTGTAGGATTGGGTACATGACGGCATAGTTGATATCAAAGGCAAGGGTCGTGCGGACGGCTCGCGCCTAGTAAACTCGAGTGCGGCTGCGGCTGCGGATGCTGCTAAGCGTGAGGCTGAACTACGCTCTCTCTACGTCGTTGTTCCGTCTGGTGATGAGGCGAAGTCCATCTCGTGTCCGATATGTAAGGAGCCGCTCAAGTCTGAGTTCCTCGAAGACGACGAAGAGTGGGTGTGGAGGAACGCAGTCAAGAAAGACGATAGAGTATGCCCCCCGTTTTGTCGAGTTCTGAGTTAGATGCTGATCACTTTGTGGCTCTGCAGATATTCCATGCGACGTGCCACGCCGAGGCGACGACGTCCAAGACGAACCTGGTCGCACGCTTGCGGAATGAAGCCGCGAGTCGCAGCCGATCTCGCACACCTGAGAAATCGTCCGCGCGAACAACACCTCCGAAGGTTCCTGTCCCTCTTGACGCGCCGTTGAGGAAGTCGGCGACCCCGCCCGGAAGCGGCGGCAGGAAACGTAAAGCTGAGGAGATTGATGCAACTTCGGCGCACGAGGGTGCGCAGGACGCGCCTCCGCTCAAGAAGTTGCAATTGGCGCTATGACTCTGAGCGTCGGTGTACGACATGGTGGACCAGGGACTGCGTTGATTTTTCGATTTTATTATAATATTATTCTACTATGCCTTATACTCATTGTACTACACTACACGCATTGCAATGGCATTGAGGAAGGTTATAGCTGGTGTAGCCTTCTTGTGTGACCGGGTCAGGCAAGGTTTCGCTGACGCGGCATCTTGACCCTCGCGTTGAACGTCTAGCTGCGCGTTCGCATACCGCCTCCTTTCCTCCACTTGTCATAAGAGATATCTGTTCAAGACTTCAAAATTAGCTCGGTTTAATCCTTTGGTGCGTTCTTATTTCCCCCCGTCTAACAACGGTTGTGCACAGCGATCGGTCAAACAAGATTGTGGCTACACGGCGCCACTGCGTCATTGAACGCATAGTATCTTGATCTCGAAGTAAACAAAGTGAATGCACTCGTAGAACTGACCTTGCGGATCAGGCATTACTAACCCCTCATGCAGTCAATTCAGCTCAAATGGCTACTATAATGGCTCGTTATAACCAAAACGACGACACTCTGCAGCGGATCGATGAAGTGGCTAACGAAGATGTTCGCATGAAGGTGCGTGGCGCAGTGTACCTGTATTATACTGTGAAGTTTAAAAGCCCCCAGGATGCCTTTGTCCCGGATGCGGTCTATCTGGTGGTTGACACCAATATTCTCCTCCATTACCTCGCCGTTTTGAGCAGATTTAGCGAAGACATTGAGGCACATGCATTCCCGGTCCTTATTATTGTTCCTAATGTTGTTATTTCCGAACTAGACGGGTACGTACAAATCTCATGATGATGATACTGATTAATGTATTTACTTATATCGGCCATAGGCTGAAGAAGAGAGAGGAGTTGTTATGGTTTGCGAGCACTGCGTCGACTTGGTTGCTGGAGAAAGTGAAGGGAAGAAAGTCCGTCAAAGTCCAGGCGCGACGGGAAACCTGCGATACACCAATCGCGGACTCGGACTACGCTCGCAAGAATGACCTTTTGATATACGACTGTTGTGCCTTTTTCCGAACGAAGGGCAACGTTGTCCTTCTCAGCGCAGACAAGAATCTCTGCATCACGTGTTTAGCAAACGGTATGATCTCCCGGACTCGCGGATGAGATGGCACTGAATTTCACGCTAGGTATACCGTCCGTTCGCCCTTCCATACAGAGGTGGTCCAGTCGGGAACTAGCACGCTCACTCCTGGCGGAACTGAACTACAGCCACGATGTCAGCTACTTCCGAGGGCACGAAGACGCGTCCAATTTCCGTCCATCCCGGACGCTTGACGTGCATCGTCGATTGACTGCCGCCCCCGTGCAAGAAGATGAAGATGGAATGGACATCGACGACGATGGCGCTGCCGGCGACAGTAAAGAGGACTTCATTCCCACCCACGCCCTCGATTCTCTCCACATGCAGGTCATCGACCACTTCGCGATCGTGCTGAAGGACGTCGCACTCCGCGTGCGCACCGCAACTGGAGACTTGGCTCCGCCGTCGCAGTCTCAACATGCTCCGAAATATCGACAAAAGGATTTTCGGGCATGGACTATAGGCGACTGTCTGGAATACCTGGATGCCAAGAAAAGGCTGGGGGTGTCTCGACCGTCGCTGAGGGTTTTTCTACTCAGGAGGAACGAAGATCGGGGCTGGCGCAGGGGTCAAGACTGGTCGCGGCAGGATTGGACCAACTCTCTGGAGGCGCTGGAGGACGTCGGGACGGTGTTCGAGGATGGATTTGTGCTGAACTCCTTGGCAGCATTGAGACCCGAGGTGCAAAACATCTTCAACACGCCTATGCGTCCCACTGGACTGTGAGCTGGAGGAGGTCTAGGCCAGGGGCTCCGAGGCCCGAGGGTGTACGATAATCTCAGATGACGGACCGGTGCTGGCCCGCCTGTGTACCTAACGTCTCGCGAGGAGTGCAGACTACCAACTGCAAGTGATGTACCGTGCAGTTGGCAGTCTGCACTGTTGGAGAATGGCGATGCCATGGCAGGAGATAACTAATGGCGTAAGACTGCGGGGAGACTGCTGCGGGGACGTCGCGTGCCTTAAGCGCAGTTGTGTGTTACCGTATATGGCAGAGATTTTAAGGCAATTGGGTTTGTGTCCGTAGTCGCGGTGGTCTGCGCTTGAAACCGAAAGTCATTCTCACTCAGTCTACTAGTCACTCGTTCACACACTCTCCCTTCCTTTGCTCCTTCCGCCATGTTCCGGCGAAGGACAGTACACATATTCCTAGGTCTCCTCGCTGCAGTCCTCGTCGGCACCGTCGTCGTCCTCTCCTCCATATCCTACTATCTCTCTATCGATCCTGCCGCATATCTGACAGAGCTGGAGCTCGACGCACCGTTCAATGATACCGTTCCATGGAATGCCACAGATCATGGCAAAGCAGAGCGCATACCCCGCATCCTTCACCAGACTTGGAAGTCGGAGACGTTGCCTACCAAGTGGGCCGACGTCTCCCAGGGCTGTCGTGACATGATGCCTGATTAGTGCGTCCTCTTTCTCTTATCTCCGTGTCTATTCTTTGACCATCCCATCAGTGAATACATGCTCTGGACGGATGCCAGCGCGCGAGAGTTCATTGCTGAACACTACTCCTGGTTCCTCGAGACGTTTGACGGCTACACATACCCCATTCAACGTGCTGACGCTATTCGATACTTCGTCCTCCACCACTATGGTGGTATCTACCTCGACCTCGACATCGGTTGCTTGCGTCGTCTCGATCCCCTCCTCGTCTACCCGGTCATTCTTCCCAAAACCATTCCAGTCGGCGTATCTAACGACCTCATTTTCTCCGAGAAGGGTCACCCGTTCATGGAGCAGACCATCCGTCATCTGATATCTTTCGACCACTCATGGGTCCTCAATTATCCCACAGTGATGTTCTCTACGGGGCCGATGTTCCTGTCCGCCCAGTATGGGATATACAGCTCGGCGCACCCCCCTTCCCTGGAGAAGCCCGGTGGTAATATCCGCATTCTCCCCAAGTCCCTTTACGGGAAGAACGCAAAGCCCGACGAGGCCCCTCACTCGTTCTTCTCGCACTACTACGGAAGCAGCTGGCATGCAGACGATGCCGCGTTCATCGGCTTCCTGGGCAAGTGGGGCAAGGGCCTGATGTGGGTCGGCTTGGTGGTTTTGATACTCGGGGTGATCCGGATGTTCCTCGCTCCAAGCTCGAAGCAGCGCAACTACAGCCTACGCCGCATTGGCGGCTACGATGTCATGATGCCGCGCTGGATCCAGCGCAACGGCAGGTGGCACCTGGATCTAGGCTGGTTTTCTCTCCCGGCTTCGTCAGGGACATCCACTCATCCACCCTCTCCTATTTCGCTCCCCAGCACGGACGAAGAAGTGCAGCTACTCCCCCTGCCGTTCGGACCCCGATCATCGTCCCCAGCCTCGTCCGAGACTTCGCTGCTCATCGATGGCATCTCCACTGCGCACACGTCCCACAGCCGCCCCATGCTCGACGTTGTGCGCCGCGCGGGCAGCCGCGTGATGACATCCATCTTCGGACCTTCGGGCACGGAGGAGGTTGCCGACACTCCAGCGCGTCCTCGACGTAGCCGTCGAGGCCAGGGCGTACTCTTCTTTCTTCCGGCTTTTTTCCCGCATTCCCCGCCGTCCCAGGACGTCGAAGCGCAAGGTGGGAGAAGCACGTCGCGCTCCCACAGCCGCCGCGCCTCCGTGTCTTCCACAATCCCGCCGGAAAAGCAGAGATACATGGATCTGGAGTCCGCAGGTCTCATGCCTGTATCGGATCTACCGACTCACGGCAGGATCGAGAGCTCATCGTCCTCGGAGGGCTCAACCTCTGATATCTGATAGACTGCGCGTCTCGCAGCCCCGCACACTGTAAGACGGATGTACGCGCGCTGGGTGGTGGTTCGCCTCGGGCAGGGACACCCGATCCCGATGCACGCCGGGTCACAATGCTATACATACCGCCCGCAGCCACTACATTTGCGCTTCTCTCTCTTTCATCGCGCTCCTTACGGAGTCTTTAGACTTTCGTAGGCTCGCTGCATTCGTCGATGTCAGTCTTTCCGATACCCGATGATGCAGCAGGTCCTCTGCTTGTGATTTAATCGTTGGACTTTCACCTTAGTGGGGTGATGGGTATTATCCTATGTCATAATTTAGACAGGAGCTCCCAATAAACTTACACGAACGGAGCGCATATGATGGAACTGAGAGTGCAAGAAATTACGATTTTCGTCCGTGTAAACAAACAGTGAGGGTCTAGTTTCCCCGAAAAATGCAGGTGTGACTGTACTTAGGATGCAGCGACAGTTTTGTGGGTGGCGATGCTCTTCATGGAAGCAGATAGGGCGAACATGGCCGCAGCGCTGATGGCATACGTCAATGATGGACCGAAAGTCCAGTACGAGGCGCACGCTGGCAAATGAACAAATTTAGAGCACAGTAAGTCTGCAGTGAGCGTTAAGATTCTCACCCAGTAACGGGCCTATGGCCCGTCCCAGCTGACCAGAAGAGCGGAAGCGGCCCAGCGCCTTGCCCTTCGCGAGCTCAGGGTGCTCCTCCACGGGTTTCCCGGTGTCCTCGTCGACAGCGTCGTCGCATTGCAGTGATGCGAACGATGTCAAAGAGTTGACCACCGTTGCAGAGGTGAAGGCCATGCAGACGGCGGCTCCTTGAAGTAGTCTCACCGCGGTCGTATCGCGGTCCGGAAGGGCGTGGGGGATCAGTGTCAGGAGGACGAGACCGACGGCGCAGCTGGAGACTCCGCGCCGGGCCATGACGGCCTCCCCGATCTTAGGTATGGCTCGACGAACGTACCCGCCCTGGAGGAGTGCGCTGATGATGCCAATGGAGCCGATGAGCGTACCATTCTGCTTATTGTTCCAGTCGAACACTGTGGCGTGAGTCGCTGTTCAGCACCACGTACGACTGCTTTGGACAACATACGACTCACAATCGAAGGTAAGGAACGTCAGAGTGAACTCGACGCCCGAGAAAATTCCTAAGAACAGGAAGTGCAAATTTCGCAGCGCCTTCAGCGTGCTGAGCCGTTCTTCCACGCTTCTTGATTTCGTGAGTGCGTGGCCAGTAGTACTCGGACTTTCTTCCACTTTGCTTTTCGACGGCTCGGAGACTTTCTTGGGTATCGTCGCCTGCGCGCCCTTGCCTCTGGTCTCTGGAAGCGCAACGATCAAGAAAATAGTCTCCAGAACAAGGAGTACCAAAGTAATGAACGCCGGCGTCGCATAAACGTTGAGTTCAAAGCCCGAGGCTGAGATCGAGGTCGGGAGAGGCCGTGAGGCAAAGTATGCACCGATGGGAGGACCGATGCAGAAGCATATCGCGAAAGCAATCCCTACGTGAGCCAACGCTTTCGAGCGGTTAGCGGGGGTCGTGACGTCCGACAGGATAGCACTAAGAAGAAGTGTTATCAGGAAAGTGAAAGGAGAGACATGAGTTCACCCACATGGCTAGTTGCACGTTTCCCTCACTTATCCCACCGATCACTCGGGATAGCATGTAGACAGCGAACGTGGTAGCGTTGAGCCATCTGAGAGTTGCAATGAATATGCAGTGAATGTGGACATTCAATGTACGCACACTAGTGCGGACAAGATATTTCCGATCATCGTGACAAGCAGGACACGCTTGCGCCCGTATTTGTCGCTCAAAGAACCGATGTACGGTGCTATAAACCTGCTCCAGGTGAGAGATAGTTGCTGTCGTCTAAGTGAAACCTCACCATTGCAGCGCCCTGTATGTCAAAGATAAACACGCATGAGTGGTCGTCAATTTATGTGCATTCAGTGTCACTCACGAGAACACGGAGCCCATCAAGCCGCCTGGACGTAGTCATTCGTTTTGCCCATCTTTATGTGATAGTAGCCTACTCACCCAGCAGCACAATGTCCCATCGTTGGGGGTTCGACTTGGGTTCATACAGCAGACTCCGAGCGGAAGATACGACGAATAACGTCCGTGAAAGAAAGCCTGACGGATCTGACGACTCGCGCTTTGCCACAGCCGTATCTGCTAATTAGATACTTCCGAGACTAGTAGTACGATCAGTTACTCATACCTTCGTGTACCACTCGATTATTCGAGGAAACAGAGGGAGAGGAATGGTGAATGCTGTTACAAATCCATCAGAAGTATCCGTGCGTGGAGATCGCAAGGTTTATGCCAACCGAACAGGTCCAAGACAAGGGACAAGAATACGATTCGTTCGATGTTAGCCATGGCTTGCGACGGTCAACGTCAATACAATAGTTTAGAGAGATCTAAGACAAATGCACAAAGAAGGTTTTCAGATCATGAAGAAGCAAGGCGAAGCTGAGGCAGCCGCCTGTCAGTTTACTGCGGCAGCGCAGGGCAGGGCTCAAGCCGGTCAGAAAATCTAAGATTGTCAAAAGTACACCGAGCTACAGATATACAGCGCCACAATCCTACAGCAGCTCCGCAACACGAAACGCCTTTCCGACACGAGCTCGCGGCAGCACAATGCTCAGCCAATAGTGAATGTCAGGTCTCAGTTGTCTGCACCCTCGTCTTCAGCGGTTGTCTTGTATTTTTGATCCTCGGAGGCCTGTGTCAGAGTCGACTGGAAATGAGAACTTGTCTCTGTCTTCGTGACTTCTCGTAAAGCCATTGTAGCATATGCAGCTGTCCCGAGAGTAAGATGAACCTGCAAAGCCATGAATTTGCCGTCTTCCACCGCAGCCGGGGGATCAAAGCCAAGAAGCTTATCTTCGTCAGCCTGGGCCAGTGCAACATCTGGATCCGTATATCGAAGCACAGACCAAGAAAGCTCTTTTGGTAGGTGCAAAATCTTGCGGTAAGAACCTCCGAGACTATATTCCCTGTTCGGTGGAAATCGTCAGTGGGTCTACTTCGTTAGAATTGCTGTCCTACTTCTGCTTCCGTACGAAATTGTCGGGATCCAATCCGTCAGCTCTAAGGAAATCTTTGTAGCGTTCACCTAGGGGACCACCCGGGAATGCCACATCTTTTCCGGGCAAGGGCATAATCACATCAAATATGGTGTAATTTGGGAGGTCTTCTGCGGTCAACGTTTTCACCTTAGGTGGTTCCCAAGGTTTCTTTAACCGTCTCGCGGACCGCCCGGAGGCTTTCAAGGGGTCGGTGTAAGCCCAACATATTATTAAAAAAGGAACGTACTATGAGTCTCAGTCGGCTCCTCAGCGAGAGCATCTCCTTCGATGGTATTAGTGACCAACTCTGGATCTTCTTCGCCAGCTTCAGCTTTGCTGGTGGATTCCGGCTCGAAAACCAAGTCTCCAGCTACAGGGTTCTCCGCACCATGCATCTTTATGCGTTCGGATACGATGGCGTTCCACACGTACGATTGGTATGCGTGCACGTACATGAGACGCAGATTGCGAGGTATCTATGACCGGCGTTTGATTTGTAGCATGATAAGCGCACGGATAAATCGTACCGTCGAAAGAGCACCCATGGCATTTCTGGTGTCCCCGCCTTGTTTCTTGTAGCTCTCTAATATGCAGCGCTCAGCAACGACACGCCTCGGCATGAGTTCAAGAGCTTTGTCAAGGTCTCCATCAACCAGCCAAGCATCCCGTGCTGCAACGACTTCAGGATGTTCTCCAGGCCTGTGACGCAGTATCAAGGATATGGCCCTATGCCAGTCCGACTTCAGGAGTGCGAGACCGATGGAGTGCGTAGGTATAGATGCTGTACCGAACCGTTGCATACCTGCAATGTCAACATGCATGAGACACAGACAGCCATATTTCAAAGATGTTCTAACCGTAGTAATTGATAAAGCCTTTGGTCTTAATGGTGTTCATAGCCCGATCAAGTGTTTCCATGGTGTCTACCTGTACATTCCTGAGGAACTAGTCAGCACTTGGCCTGTTCCAGTAATGTCGACCCTACCTAAGCGTAATCACGAAAGCGTTACCTTTCAACATGCCTAACTCCAAGCTGGCCTTCCGATAATTGAAATCAGCAATCCGTATGCCTCTCTCTCCCCGATGGGTCACAGCCTCTTCTTCGGTTCTTCGTCCGTTGACACCGTTGGCCAATTTCCAGATATCTTCCACGGTTTTGTTCCCTCTCTTGAGTGAAACGCGTTGCACGGTAACACCACGCTTGTCCTTTGTCCCTGCGACAGAGATGTCTTTGACGTTGACATGCAGCGACCGCGAGAGATGTGCCAGAGCATCCTGCGTATCGCGGTTCGTTTTCTGAAGAGTGAAGTGGATATAAGGAGGGAATGTGCCCCTCTCGGGACGTTCTCCGCGAGCTGGTGGCAGCAATCTCAGTGGAAAGCACAAGCACAGAAGTTTTATTGTTACCTGTCCGGCCGCCTCGCCCCCCACCGCGCCCAGTGCCTCGCCGGGACCATTTGATCACAATACGGGAACCCTCTTCACCGGCTGGAGTAGTTGTATCTGTTTCTGAGTCAAGTTTCCCCCCGAACAACTGCCGGATTGCTTGATGAAGGCCAGTGCGTATATCCTTGGACGCAATTGGCTATTGGTGTTCAGAGATCAGACGACTGTGAGCAGAGCAAAAGATAAGACAGACATCTGTCAGCACTCTGCGATGATCTTCCCGACCACCTCTGCCTCCCCCTCTGCCTCCACGACCACCGCGGCCACTTCGACCTCCACGATCTCTCCCTCGTCTGCCTCTACCGGATCTTCCTGATTCTTCTTGTTGCAGCTCCGTCGGCATTTCGACGTTTTCTGGTTTCTCCTCGTCATTGGACTGTTTTGCTTGACGTCCTCCCCAGCCGCTGTCGCTCACGAATGGCGGTTCTGGACCCTCCTGGTACAGCTCCCTCACGCGAATTATCGCTTCCTCGGAGAGGAAAGGTGACAAGGCCTTTGTGATACGCTCGGGCAATGAGTCTTGGTCTTGCGACGTCGATTCAGTTTCCCCAATATCCTCTGTCGCAGCGGCAGGAATATCCTTATTTGGCGGAATAGTCTCTTCGTCTGTAGCAACTTCTGCGGCCTCAGATTTGATCGCGCTTCCGTTTGAAACGGAGCGTGGTCCTGCAGAACTTGTGGATGCTTCTGGAGACAGAGGTTCAGTCACCTTGGCATCTGACTTCGATTTGGGCGAAGACTCGGGTTTTCCCAAGGACTTTAGATGAATAACTTGACTTTCCAAATCAACCTCGAAGACCAAGAAGTCGGTAAACCTTCATTACCATTTGGAATGAGTTATAAGCAGACTGTGAATAAAAAGGCCGACCTCTGTTTGATGATGCCTTCTATTTGAGGAACGTCGTGTCCGACGTATTCAGAGATCCCAACATCGGTTTCCATGATGCGCTGCATAGAACCATCCTCTGTATAGACTGGCGCAGGTGCGCCGAGGAACGCATGGCTCGGAGGGAGCAAGCTCTCGACGTCCGATTTTAATGCACTGGGTACTGTCTGATCTGTGGTATCCCTACTGTTGCTGGTATCCATCGGTACATCTTGAGAAACATGTTCATCTACCTTGGTCCGCTTGGGACTACGGCCCGCGTTGTCGTTGTCGTCCTCATGCTCTCTTGGACGGGTTTTCGGTGAAGCAGACATCGCCGTCGGAACGTGCGAGCAGAGATAAGATGCTTGACAGATTTTTATCTCATCAGTTATCTTCGACTCGATTTCGACTCGGAGTCCGAGTCAATGTTGGCTTGCATTCACTGTGAACGAAGAATGCCACCAGCACACCTCCAGTCATATGCTAAGAGAGCAGAGAGACACTCTAATCCTGCGGCGAAGGAGCTGTTGGAGACTATCGAGCGGAAGCGGAGCAATCTCTGCGTCAGCATAGATGTCACGAAGCAGGCTGATTTCCTCAGGATCATTGACATCGTCGGCCCATACATCTGTCTTGTGAAGGCAAATAAATCCATTAGCTTTGCATATAGATTGATTGTTCTTACGCTGAATTTCCTCTCAAGACGCATGTTGATATCATCGAGGATTTCGAGCCGACTGTCATTGACCGCCTGAAGGAGCTCAGCGAACGGGACGATTTCCTCATATTCGAGGACAGAAAATTCGCGGACATCGGTTGGTGTCCTGAAATAAGTTGTAAAGTGTTGGGCCTATGACATTCCATTCAGGTAATACCGTTGCGTTGCAGTATTCAAGCGGTGTTTACAAGATTGCAAGCTGGTCGCACATCACGAATGCACACCCCGTTCCAGGACCCTCGGTCATCGCAGGCCTATCTTCCGTTGGTCTTCCTCTTGGCAGAGGTTTACTGTTGCTCGCCGAGATGAGCACCAAAGGAAACTTAGCCACCGGCTCTTACACCGAGCAAGCCGTCCAGATGGCACGTGCGCATCGCGACTTCGTGGTAGGATTCATCGCTCAGCATCGCATGGACGGAGTCGCAGCGAGCGACAAGGGCGTCGCTGATGACGAGGATTTTCTTATACTCACACCCGGTGTCGGTCTTCATTCTCGCGGAGACAGCATGGGCCAGCAATACAGGACACCGCAGGAAGTGGTTCTGGAATCTGGGTGCGACGTGATTATCGTCGGCCGTGGTATCTACGGTAAAGGAAATGAAGTTGATGCAGAGTACGTGCAAGGACAAGCCGAGATCTACCAGAAGGAAGGATGGGCGGCTTATGAAGAGAGAATTTCTGCAGCCGAGTAATACCTACGCATCTGGTTGTGTAGTCTGTCATTAATACAACAGGAGATCTACCGATACACAATGATATACTAGTATAATTTCATGCAATCCAGTTGATGTGTTCAAGCAATCCCACTTCAGGTTTCAGACTCCTCCTCTTTCTTTCTCTCCTCCTCTTCTCGAGCCTCACGTTCCTCCGCCTCCACAACCTCTACGTCTAGTGGGAAAGTGAGTATGGCTGCAATGCCCGTGAGCTGGTTCAATTCTGATGGAGCAACCAGTAAACATATATATGGCGCTCCATGACACTTGCACGCAAGTGCACTGCACTCACGTTGACCAGATTCATGCATACTCGAGAAGATGAGGACTTCTCCGCCTTTCTGCCTAACACTCTCGACCAAGGAAACGTATTTTTTACGTAGCACAGGGTCGTTTGCCCTATATCCAGAATACCGACATTAGTTTCATCCGGAAGTTGCAACCACAGTAGTACCTAAATAACTCATCCGAGATGAGTAGTGTCCCAACGGCACCGCGATCCACGGCAAGGGAGACGTGATCTGGGCCGTACCATGCCCGCAATTCATCTGCACCCAACATCTTGAAGAATCTAATGGATCATTCCTTAGGGATAGTTATAGGCTTATGAAGAAGAAACGACTCACTTATCCAGCATGATACCTTCCCGGGCAAACTTCGTCTCCTTCAGCTGTGATGCTATCTGTGCTAGCAAGTCAATCTCAACCCACCCTGGTCAACAATGGTCAGGATCGCTCACCTCCGGGCTCTTCAAAACCTCCACCAGACTGTGGACATGGGCACTATTCACATGAACTCTGATGAATTTACTTCGTGCTGCCAACAACGCCTTATTGTTGGTTCTGTTCGCCTCTGACATGATGAAGTCAAAGACAGCATCGCGCACCCAGCCAGGAGAAGCGATAACAATAGCGCGGAGAGATGGAGCTGAGTACGGGATATGTCGGAGGAACGACGTGTAGAGCGTGGAATAAAATCGTGCTAAGCCCTGCGTTTCATCTATCACGTCAACACAAGTAGTCGAAAACAATGGTGCAAAGATTGACCTTTTCATGTGCGGAAGAACCTGTGGATATTTTTCGAGGAATGGGGACCTCGAGTCGTTGTAATACGACGGTCATATGTTCGGAGAGAAGACAGAATATAGCCGTCCCTATGATATGAAAATATTGTCAAATTGCATTTCCAGATGACCATAAGATGTGCACGACCTTCCCCGCAAACTACGGCACCAACTTCGGCCCCTCTTCCGGGCTTGCAGCTCTCTTCCACTCTACTCAGAGCTACACTGTCCCATCCACCCTCATCCTTCTCTATCCGCACATCTCGGTTGGGTTCGAGATCCAACGTATGGTATGCACCAAGTTTGACGTGAGGATTCTCTGACGTTACGCGACCCGCTATTTGCAATGACACAGTCGAATTCTGGGAATTATTCGCATTTTCAGTCGAGGATGCTGAATCCGCGGGGGCCGATGAGGAAGGTGACCAAGTAAGGCGGGTAACGGCTAGCGTTAAATTTAGGCGAACACGGTGAGATTCAGTTGATCCTGTGGCAGACACGTTCTGTACACGCCGTATGGCAGGTGCACGGACATGATCTCCCTACAGTTCGGTTGATATGAGATACGACGGGCAGGAGAACTGGAATTACTATTTACCTCCTGTATGAGGTTGTACAGATGCCACATGTCCTCATCATCTTCTGGACGCAAAGTGACATGGCCCTGTTTCCGGATGAGTTTCTTCAGAAGTAACCGAGACGGATTGAACAGACTGAGCGATCCTTGTCGATATATTTTCCAACTAGCTTCATGGTGACTGCAAATGACTCGCAGTAGAGAAGGCCTGTGTCGCAGTGTGTCACCGCAGGACTAATTCAACAGACGTCCAAAGATCTCGAGGCCAAGATTGCAATTTCGATCCAGATCGTGACAGCCAGATCCACCGACCACGTGCCTGGTTTACGACGCGTTCGTTCGAGCGATTTTGTTCCTCCTCGACCCTTCAAGTTTACTGGTTTACGTTCCAATATCGGCAACACACATTGGTCAATTTTGGGCGGATATAGGTAAGCTGCGCGTGTTATTGTCACTGCGTTCGTATTTTCTGATATTCTTGCAGGCTCAGCCATGTCAGACTTGAACCCCAAAGTCGCTGCTCTCACAGCCCGTCTGACACAACCCATTCCCTCCGGGTCTAACCGTCACGATGACGACCGTTCAGATGATGACGAGGAGGAGCTATTTGCGCAACTGGAGGCCGAGATCGAGAACGACTCTAACGTTGGGTTGCGAGAGCAAGGCATGGATCGACTGAAGCGAGAGTGAGGTGCTTTCTCTACCCTCACGATCGTCCCTGTTTCACAATATGGCGTGCTGAAACTACTGCTCACATTTTTCAGGATGGAGAAACTCAAGAGCATGAGGGAAAGCGGACACGGTCGTTATGACGAGATTACGGACGAACAAGAAGTCATTCGAACCAGCGCGTGAGTTCCTCTTTACACACTTCCCATAGTCCAGCGTCTTATCAATGCAATCAAATGACACTCAGAAGGGAACCTCGCTGTATAATTCATTTTTACCACAGCAACTTCCACCGGTGTCTGATCATGGACAAGCACCTCGCAGTATGTCGTGTCCCACCCTGATTCCATCACATCCTAAGTCCTAGATTCTTAGAAACTAGCACCTAAATATTTCGGAACGCGTTTCATTCGTGTCTTTGTCGAGAATGTGCCTTGGCTGGTAGAAAAGCTCGGTGTCAAAGTGTTGCCGTGCGTGATCTGCTTCGTTGACGGAGTTTCCAAAGATCGGTATGCTGTCTTATCGCCATCTGTTTTGATCGTATATTGACTAGTTACTTCCTCAGAGTGATTGGATTTGAAGATTTGGGAAATGGAGATCAATTCGAGACTGCAACCTTGGAATGGCGTCTCGGAACCAGCGGTAAGCCGATCTACATAGGAACACCGCTGACACACTTATCAATTCTCATGCGCAGGTGTGTTGCAGAAGGAGGACCGAAGCAGTTCAGACATTGTGTACGGTGCAAAACCAGCCTTGCGGCAGCAAATTCGTGGACAGCGGGATGACGATTCAGACTTCGACTTGGATGATTGATATATACCCATGCTTGAAGCCATCAGCCTTGCCTAAGCGCGCTTCTACAATGCAAATAAGTCATCCATATTGCACCTCGGTATATGTGATGAACTGTAGTGTTCAATATTCTCACTACAAGACGAAATTATACCAGGCGTGCAATTATTCAAGGACATGATACAACATAACGTTACAGTGGAATGCGAAGGTAAAAGCCTCGCTAGTACATACTGATGTGCGAAAAGCTTTCACTCCGTGCCAGGGTTCTTGTATCTCCTGAGGGCACGATTCCTCGCCTCTTCGTGGCTCACAAGAGGTCTCGGATATCCGAGCTTGTCTGCCAATGCAGCAGATGGCTTGTGTATGTCTAATTTCGATTAGCCATTGAGTCAGAACGCAGCAGCGAGACTTTCATAGCAGAACAGCTCACCGTCTCCTCGCACATTAGCCAGCTCCGGCACGAAGTAGCGGATGTAATCGCCAGTGGGATCTATCTGGACGATCTGTTAATCAACTGCGTTCCATAGGTTGAAAGTGCAGACAAACCTTCTTGCTTTGCAGGTAAGGATTGAATATCCTGAAGTAGGGTACGGGATCGACACCAGTGCTCGCGCTCCATTGCCAGCCGCCGTTGTTGGACGCAAGGTCACCATCGATGAGCACTTCCATGAAATGCTGCATATCGAAGCATATGAGAGATTAAGAATGTACCATCGCACGCACAGTGCCTGCTCACCCTCTCGCCGAGTCTCCAGTCTATCATCAAATCCTTCACCAAGAACATCGCCGCTATCATCCGCGCGCGATTGTGCATCCAACCCATCGTATGGGCCTGGCGCATTGCAGCATCCACTATCGGCACGCCCGTATGTCCTTCCTTCCATGCCTGCAAGTGTTCATCCGTTTCCCACCGCACTTCTGCGAATTTCTCTTGAAAGGGTCGGCCCATAGAAACACGGGGAAAGAGGGCAAGGACATGTGTGTAGAAATCTCGCCAAGCTAGCTTGTGATATGAACAACCTGCAAGAATGAGGAGAGAGATCACGTACCAATCTCTTGCACCCATCGTCCAACACCGGTCTCGTGGCTTGCATCGACCTTGTTCCCGGAAATTTCTAGCGTGGCTCGTATACACTCGCGCGCGGATATCACACCGGCAGCCAGGTACGGACTGTGATCAACATAGATCAGGACAAGCGGTGAGATACAAGGGAGAATTTTCAGCTCACCTCAAGCGACTCGTAGTGTCTGCATCCGCTTTGTCTCTCGCATCCTTATACCTTCCAATACGGGTATTCTTCGTACTCTTTTCTGGCACTTTAGCTCCATCTGCCAGTGGGTCGACCACGCCAAGCTGAGAAGTGCGCGCTTTAGAGTGAAGGAAGCGACTGAGCATCTATATAGTACTGTGAGCTAGGGCAAGGTGGCAGGATTGTGAGACAGACCTCTTTCGCGACAAGTTCACCCGCGCCCCAACAGGTGCGAATCCGCTCCTTCTCAACGATGTCATTTATCGTAAACCCTTCTATCTCCTCAGGCACAGGCACGTTAAAGAGCTTTCCGAACACCGGGTGCTGATAGATAGATTTCCCATTGGCTTCTGGACTGGGGGCACATTCCAGAGGGTCCGGGTGAGACTTGGAGGCGAGATGAGGTAACCATGCTCGCAAAAATGGAGAGTACACCTAGAGAGGAGTTAGCCTGTGAGAGTCGCGTGGCAGATGCAAATGTTTAACTGTATATCCTCTCCCGTCTTTGGTCCTCACGTCGCCAGGAGGAATAATGCACTTATCGTGCACAAACGTACACGCAACCTTGCCTCCCTTCTTTGCGAGCTCGCAGACGTTGATGTCTCGCCTGAGCTCATCAAGTTCATACTCGATATTGGCGAACAGATGCGTCGCGTTCCACTCATTCAGAAGAGATAAGATGTGCGAAGGAATAGCAGTGCGTGGGGAGTGCGTGGTCGTATATAATGGGATTTGCAAATGTTCGAGAGAAGACTGCAGGAATCATCGTATCGGTCAGAAGACAGACGTCACAAAGTCTCGGGGCAACGAACTTTGATATGCTGCAGATTGCGTATGGTAAAGTCAATTCTTCGTGCGCTTCTATCGTGTGCGATATAATCCTGAGGACTAAAGACGAAGAGGGTGAGGAGTGGAACGTTGTCCTTCTGGGCTTGCGCGGAAGCAAGTGCAAGAGCCCTGTTGTCGTTAACTGCGATGTCACAGGTCAGAGGGAGTATCATGGAAAGAAGTAGGCGCGTACTTCTGAGATCCTGCATTCTCATCCAGTATACGACAGATTCACCCTTTCCAGGCTTCTTGACGCCACGACTGACCGCATCTAACAACTTAAACAGAGGCGGGTCTTTGTCCACCTTCTCTGCAGCTTCGGCAGTCGCAATCTTAGTCGGCGAGAAGTTGGCATCACTGTATCGAGCCTTCTTGGCGGAAGGTGCTGCATACGCGATATGCGCAGAGATGTTAGAGGACATGGAATGACTATGAGATCGTTTCGACATGATGGAGGGGCAGGGGGATACGCGTGATTGGGATTAGAGAACTGTCGGGCGCGCGCATTGCTGGCTTTATACGGACGGTCCGAGACATTGACGTCGACGTCGCGATCGTGATTCCGACCTCCACTCTATCGAGCGTATCACGTGGCCGTGCTGGCAAGGGTCCACGAAATTTCAGAAAAAATCAGCCCAGCAGATGCACACATACGTTTACAGGGCATCAGATCTGGATGAAACGTGAAAAGTACGGCGGGATTCTGGACACAGTATGATCCAGGGAAACGGCAGTGCGGAGAGCACGAAACGCGCAGAATACAAAGTCTCGCAGTACCGGAAATTTACGATTGCGTCAATAGATTAACCCATGCCCAGATATCTACACACCTATATGTCGAGCGAAAGACTGCCTTCCGGAAGGTTGAGGGTGGAAACGAAACCAACCCTAACTCCCAGCGCACCGCAGGCTCCAAGATCTGCTTGAGTACAGCAGAATTTCTCGTTGCTGCTAGTGCGATCTGCGGCCCTACAGTAAGTACTGTACATCAAACCCGCGTTGAAGACTGGGGACAAGTGACGAAAGGTGACGAAACGGTTTGACGTCGAAACAAAAGGTGACGAAACGGTTTGACGTCGAAACCCGAGAGACGCCAGATCCATGAAGAGATCGCTATCGAGTATGTGTTGGGAGCATCTGAACGGTTCTGCTCAAGTTCTGCCAGTAACCGCCACCTCCGATGTCATGTACTATACTGCATCACGCTGGCTTTAGGCTCCCGTCTTCTGCGACCTTCTGACTCCAAGACAGCTGCAATTGTGGCGATTACATTTTTGTATCTCGAGGCGCTCGGATCGTCGGCTTGCCGAGTTGACTGCTGCACCTCGTGGAGCACACTCTAATATTATTATACTGTGTCTCAGACCGTGGCGTTTCTTTGCGATCATTCAAACATGTGCCATGTATCCTGCACCAATCTTTCACTCTTCCCCCATGGGCCGTCGCGCTCAAACTGTCGTTACGTCGCGTCATGATCTGCCATGGTGCGGGCGTCGACCAACAAACGTGACAGATCACCGCATGCTAGGGCAGGAAGCAGGAAATGTAATGGCCAAAGGAAGGTGGTCTCGCGTATCTCGTGTGCTTCTCCCTCAAGCCCGGGGATTTCTTCGATCCGCATGAGAATCTGATGCATATTTACGTGCGCCCAATCCGATAAATACCGGGCACTTGGGCGGATTGACCCCAGAGCCATCTCAGACTCTCCGCGCAGGGATTCCTCAAGGATATTAGTCGCCATGTCCGCTCTCAGGATGCTTGCGCCCTTGTTACTCCTGCTTGCCTCAGTCGCCAATGGCCTCCTCCGGGATGGCAAGCTTCGCGCTAACACCGCTCATCCGCCTGGTGTCCCAAAGGTGTTCCCCCGATCTGTCAATGGACCAGTGACGAGTCGAAACGGCACGCAACTGCCTCCATACGACACCGTCTATTATTTCGATCAGCTGATTGACCACACCAATCCGAGCCTCGGTACTTTCTCGCAACGATACTGGTTCACGTACGAGTTCTATGAACCTGGTACGTTCCAGGTTGTCGCTAACTCCAGTGTCTCACGCAAACGATTGTCGCGGAAAAGGTGGACCTATCATCCTGCTTACTCCCGGTGAAATCAATGCGGACGGTACTTCCAGATATCATTTTCATCATTAACTTGTTGATCGCTTGCACTTGTGAAGGCTATGAGAGTTATCTTACCAATGACACTATGAATGGGCTCATCGCGGAGCAACAGAACGGCGCGACGATTGTGTTGGAACACCGTTTCTATGGCTATTCAAACCCGTATCAGAACCTCTCTGTTCAAAGCTTGCAGGTCCACACGATCCAGCAGGCGATCGACGATCTCGTTTACTTCGCCAGTAACGCAGATTTGCCCATGCCCGGGGGAGATCACGTTACACCAACCGAGGCTCCTTGGATTCTAATCGGAGGAAGTTATTCTGGTGCACTGACCAGCTTTACTGTGGCGAAGTAAGATTCACGCAGAGTTGGGCGTAGTCTGGTCTCACTAACGAGGATATTCAATAACTAGCCAGCCCGGTGTCTTCAGAGCTGCGTATGCCTCGTCGGCCGTAGTCGAGAGTATTGTGTATGTATGCTGCTTGAGCAAATTTCGATCATTCTCAGATGTGTTCTAGTGACTACTGGGGATACTTCGAGCCCATCCGGCAATACATGCCGCAGAACTGCTCCGCAGATGTTGAAGCTGTGATCGCGTACCTGGACACGGTCTTCACAACCGGCACGACGGAGGAACAAGACGCCATGAAGACCCTATTCAACATGAGTCTGTCGCATCCCGATGACTTCACCGGGGCCTGTGAGTACCGAATTCCCGGTTGTTGGTCATATTCTGACGTTCTGTAGTGAGGAACAATCTCTGGGATTGGCAGTCGCTGCAGCCGTATGTGGGGCCTGGCGCGCAGTTCTTTGAATTCTGCGATGCATTGGAGGTCAAAGATGGCGTAAATGCACCTGCGCAGGGGTGGGGTCTTGAACACGCACTCAACGCGTGGGGAACGTACTGGGCAGACACCTACTACTATCTCAGTGAGAGAGGACTTTGTTTATCCATAGGAAGATGCTCACTGTCCTCTCTCTTCTGCAGTTTGCGGCGATTATGATGCAGAGTGCGTGATAGACACCTTCCTTGATTGAGCTTGATTGACCTTTCTCGCCTCATAGGACCTGCCTAGGATCCTACGACCCCACGCAGTCCTACTACACGGACATAGAGATCAACGACTCGGGTCGATCGTGGGAGTGGATAGTGTAGATATCTATTCCTTTAATGTTTTCCTACCGACGCTGACGTCGTATCCAGCTGCAACTATATAGGTTTCCTGCTAGACGGTGCTCCTACCGGATGGCCGAGCCTTGTTTCGCGACTTATTCAGCCGATCTACGACGAGGTGAATGATTTGATTAATATTTTACATCTCTTCGGGCGCTAACGTTGGGGGTTCAGCGTCAGTGCACATACTTTTTCCCTGAGCAGTTCCCGGTCGCGACCGCCCCCAACGTTGATGCCACGAACGCAGCTTACGATGGTTGGTTCGTGAACGTGGACAGGTTATTCTTCGCAAATGGTCAACGTACGTCTTTCATTCTCAGAAGTCCATGCCTTTGGTGTGAGACTGAAGGGTACGTTCGTTAACCTCGCAGGCGACCCATGGAGAGAAGCGACAGTTTCCGCCGATGGAACGAACTTCAAGAGCACGCAGTCGCAACGCATTGCAGTGGGGGACGGTTTCCATTGTTCTGATCTCCTCACGGCATCCGGCCAGGTGGATGCTACCATCGCTGCGGTTCAGAAGCAAGTACTGGCAGCGATGGCGGAGTGGCTGGTTGGCTATGAGCCCTCTGCGCGCTAGGTTTTGTTCTTTCAGTACCGATGGGCGAATGCAGACTCGAAGAGATAATGTGCGCGGATTGACGAATAACAATAGTTGTTCCCAATTAGATCCATCAGAGAATACCACTAAGCGAGCGTAACCATGAAAGGGAGAGAAACTACTGTGCTGAATGTGGTACCCAACGATCCTGTAGCAAGCCTCGATCCCGAAGATTTGTTGGAGCTCGGGCTTCCACCTGAAGCTCCTCCGCCTGCACTCCCAGATCCGTTTGTACCTCCCGACTGGAGCCATTGGTACCGTTATTATCTTGGGATGGCAATGCCAACTGGACTAAGAAGTTGGCGCATGTGGTATTTTTTTGGTTATGACAAAGAAACTCACCAGGGGGAAGTTAGAACCGACAACAGGCCGTGCCTCGAAAACAGTATTCACTTATCCATTGGTTGCGGAGTACCAATCGGGTGAGTGTTATCAGATCGGTGGCGAACCCCATCTGATTCCTGGACAGGTTTTTTGTGGTCTCGTACCCCGACGTGAGCGAGTAACGCACCCCACCACCGCCCTCGCTCTGACGTCTGGGGCATTTCAACCGTGACACCCCCCCTTGCTCTTATCAGCCCTAAGCGAGATTATCTGAGCCCGCGCGATCAATTGTCCTGCCTAAATCGGCAATTCCTGTATGCTTCCTCTGACTTTGGAGCCATGATATCACCGCGTACACCCACTGTTGTAGCAGTCATTCTTTGTAATTAGCATAGAAATACTATCTTGACAATTTACATGTGGTTTAATGAATTATATGAGTGATTGCGGCCGCAGAAAACATGAACTAACTGCAGACTCTACTTACTTTCCTTGGTCACTCACAGAGGTGTCTCAATCCTACTTATTCCTCTTGCGAGGAAGCTCATATTGCATCACTTTTATATTTCTGCATGATTACATGGCCTCCTCGCCAGCAATGCCCTCAAAAGTTGAGTATGAATCTCGACATCGAGTCTCTGTGCCTTCCCGAAAAGGCAGGATGATTGATGGCGAAGGCTCAGATAATCTCGCTTAGAGCTGATAAGAGCAAGGGGGGGTGTCACGGTTGAAATGCCCCAGACGTCAGAGCGAGGGCGGTGGTGGGGTGCGTTACTCGCTCACGTCGGGGTACGAGACCAGTTTTTTGCACGAATTTTTCCTGCCAGGTTTTAACCCTTGATCTGCCTTCTTTTTGTGCAATTGGCCGTGAGCTGCGGTTGAGGAGTATGAGGCTTTCGGAACGGCATTGTTTACGGATGCGTCGCTGTAGTAATACACGTCGGGATTGCGTAGTACATTAGTACGACTTCCTAACTGGGACCCATGCCGATAATACACCACCACCACCACCACCTAGAGGTAGGGAGCTGTGTCCATCTGCGGCGTAATCGATTACCTTATTGATGAATATGTCTCGGACCGTTGTGGACGTGACAAAGGCGGCCGTCCATAATTACCAGCCTGCGACAAACTGAGTCAGAAAATGGAAGCAACAGATATAACACTGACTAGTAGATGTATAGGTATCCCTGGAGACGCGTTGTCACTATGTCTTCGGATAGTAACAGGGGTATCCTACCTTGTGTCCAACTGCACACCGAAAGTGCCTATTAGATTGATGGTGATCCAGAGCAGTTAGACTTGGGTCCGTTCAATCTTACAGCCCTACTCACTCGCAGTGGTATTATAAAAGGCCGTCTCTGCGGAGCGATGAGCAGCGAGCCTTCAAATCCAGATATAAAATCGGGAAAAAAGCCTTCAAATCAACATGAATAGAGAACCAGATCAACTCACGCATGCCGTAAACCACACCAGGAATAATGTTAGTACCCAACAATTTGTCCGCGAACATATTATATGTTAGTCCCCATCTGAAAAGGTTGGGAGTCAGGCTCTCGTGAACCACCGCATTTAGACGATGATACCGACGTAGAATCATTGCCATACTGATGATAATCCGTTAGGCAAACACCTGATGAGCAGAAACCTACCTCGAGAGTGAGATGCAGACCATCGCTTGCCGTAGCAAATTTTTGCCACTGCTGGACGTACGACGCAGCGATCGACTGGAAAGTTCATGGACGGGTTGTTAGCCGGACCTCGCTGCCCAGAATGGGCATCTACGCACGCTGTAGTTAGAACTGCCAGAGATAGAGGAAACTTATGAGCGTCATCGAAGGATTACGGAGGACTTCAGTGGCTCCAGCACACTGAGGACCTATATATAAGCCTCTACCCCTTCGTGTAGTCTGTCCTACAGCGCTGACATGCTTTGAACTTACTTTTTGTATCGTAGGTACCAGTAATAGCGTTCGATTGGGGCCAGTATGTATGAAGACTCAGAAGTCCGTCTGGGTCCTTGAGGCATCGAGTACAATGCGAAGCACCGCATATGATCTGTGTATATAGCTACATTATTCACTAACGACTTCTATCAGTCCGCGTACAGGTTACAGCCTTCTCGACATGATTGATCCTCGCGCCACTACAGGTGTACCACGATGAACGGCACCTAAAGAGAGCATTTAGTTTAGGCTGCTGAGTCGGGTAGAGAGAGGCAACTTACCTCAACGTCCTCGCCCTCCTCATCAGACACCATGACTTCGACGACGAGATGCCGAACGTAAGGGGGAATAGGCTTCTTGCTGACCTGTTCGACGAGCTTGCTGAACTTCATCGGCAAACGTTCTTCGCTCTGTACACGAGTGAGCGCAAGTGACGGCTCCACGCAACACAATAAGCACCTTCTTTTTGCCAATGAATGAACTCCACAGCATACTGACGCCTTGGCTGACCATGCTGATATCGAGCTTGTGCTCCTTCCGGAACCAGTCCATGATCTCCTTGAGCGTCGGATCGTTCTTGAACTCGAAACGATCCCAAAGGGTCCATTCAGTGTTATTGAATTTGTTCTTCTTGGCCTCGATGGGTTCCGAGAAGCCGAAGAACGGTAGCGCGAGGGTGATGAAGCCATTCTTGTAACTCTCAAGTTTCTTCTTGCCGTCGATGATCTAACGAACAATTCAAGACCTAGATGATTCACTCATAGATGAGAAAACAGACCTTGTAGAGCTCCAAGCACACCAGACCAGTGATGAGCGATGTCGTCGTAGCGATAGCGGGGATGATTTTGCCCGCAATCTGCTTGGTGGTGTGACGATCTGCAGGCTGGATGTTGTAATTCATTGCTCGCAGGTTGGACGCTGCGGTGATGAAGTCGATGTGGTGGTTCGTGTCATCGTCCTTCTCGAACTCCACAGGGTTGAGACGATATCCGACCAGCGATGAAGGAGCGGGCAACCTCTTCATCAAATTGGACAGATCACTAGCATCTACAGGTGACGGTGAGTGGTCACAAAGCAGGCAAAATGGCGAATACTCACCGGCACTGGCAGCGTTGAGAACGGGCTCGTTCTCATTAATCTGGACCTGAACACCACTCCTTGGTGTGAACTCGGGCACAATGATCGAATCAGCGACCTTTTTGAACAGTGCTGGGTCCGTCTCTCCTCGTAAGCCATAGTTGAATGCATGCAAGTTTGCAGCCGCAATGATGAATTGGAGGTGAGTGGGCTATAAAAGACACAAGTCATCAGCCCATGTCATTAGGACTGAGGCGGGCACTCACGTCGCTCGAATCGAATGTCAATGGATCGGGCGCCCTCTTCGGACCACTCCAGAACGGTTGACCAGTGCTAGTAACCGCATCCTTCGGCAAGCTGAACAAGAGTTGGCGAATGGCGTTGTTGTAGCGTTCCTCAAACTGCAGTCTTGCCCAGACAATGCATTCCTCGAACGTGAGGGGCTTGTCGGTGACCAGGTACGAAACAATCTGTTCGATCTGCTCCTTCTGTTGACCGGAGTACTTGAGGTTGTTCTCCAGATAGTTTGGTTCAGATAGATACGCGTTTACAGCCTGTGCAGGTTTGACAAACAGGTTATCGAACTCCGTTCTTGACCACTGAATAAAATCACAACAACTTCAATAGTATTCCCGCTGAAAGATGCAGTATTGCGTTACCTCAATGGTATGCTGGATTGCGTTCGGGAAGTTCTTGACGGTGCATGAAGGCGTCTCCTTCTCTGGTGGGTCTTGCGAAGAGGAGTAGGACTCCGTGACATGAGGAATGACGACCTGCGTGTTTCCCTTGGTCCCCAAGGTTCCCGACTCGAGAAGAGGCTTCAGGTAGAAAACACATCGCTGATCCATGTACTGACCTGGGAAGGAGAGACGGTTAGGGGCGAGGCAGGTACGCTCATTCGCCGAGCTACTTACGAGCTCTGATGTTGTCCAATGCGTTGGTGACACCGTCAATACTTTGATAGAATGACGGTCCGTATACATCTACCCAAGCGTCAGTCTATGATCACACTGAACAGTCTTTGCAAACGTACTCTCGGTGTCCGGACCCACTGGCTCTTGCTTGCTCACGATCTTACCCTTCAAATCAGGGTTCATGTCCGCAACAGCCGCAGCAGCGACTTCGGACTTGAATTTGCCAAGATCCTTCGCTCTGAACAAGAACTGACGGTTAAGGTTGCTCTTCTCAATGGTATCAAGATCCGTGACGTGAATAACACCGTTTGGCCCTGAAGCGACACCCATCATACTCCAGTTCTTCAACATCTCACAACCAATGGCACCTGAGCCGACGAGGAACTGGCGATGATTACTTATCTGGTCCTGGAAAGTTTTTCCGAAGACAGCGATTTGAGCATCATATCGGGAGCCAAGGGGTTGACAGTCTTCCTCAGTCGGAAGAGCGTCGGGAAGAGATTCCAGAGAGTCGAAGTACAAGTGTTGCACCATCGGGTGGAACTTCGCGGATACAGCTTTCAGGACTTCTTGTGCTACGAAACCTCCAATAACAGCCACAATTGGAGACACATCGCCAGTGGCTTGGTACGCCAGCTCGGTGATTACTTTCTCATCAATCTCTGGCTCTATTTTCTTCGTAAGGGCCACAAGCGTCGCCGCATCTTCAGAATTCCGAGGACGGGGAAGTCGTTGATATTTCGCCTGGAATTCCGAAAGAGCCTGGAAACCTGCATGAAGCGTAGCAGGGCGGTCCCACTTCGCAGTGTCGGTGATAAAGAACTCTGGGGACTTGAGAGACTCTCTGAGAGGTTTCTGCCGGACTATGTCAAGAATGCTTTCAATGATGCTAATGAAACTGCTCACAAACTCGAGCAGCTTAGGCATCGTGACTTGAGTAAAGATACCGCCCCTCTGATACGCGCTCAGCTTGGATGTATCGCCAATGGCGAACGTGTAGGGACCTTTAACCGTGACCTTTCGAGGTTCGCATCCATTCAACTCAGGCATGCCCTGAACTTCGGTGAATGTGACAAAGTCGCCATCTTCTAGTCCATGACGCGTCTCATCTAGGCATGTTACAAGACCTTCCTCGTCCTGATCATGCAACATATCAGTTATGAACGAGTGCCCGTACTGATGCACGCACTTGAGAAACCTCTACGATCATTCCATTCAACGGTTGCTCCCCAGTTGGATCTACGCATGTGAATTTCGACCCAAAGTCGTTGAACACCGTACTGCGAGATAACAACCTGAGCACAATATCTTTCAAGGGTTAACAAAGTAGCGTACCCGAAGAGACCACGCGTATCAGCGGCGATGAAGTGAACGCCATTCTCGTGTGTCCAATTGTTAATTTCAAGCTGCTTTTGCAGAGTAGCGCCACACAGGACTACGACCTACGGTACCATGAGCGCGCAACCAGCCCTAGAAATCAAGCGCGACGCACTTGAAAGCCAGCAATCTGGTCTACCGATATTTCCTTGCCTGGCTGACCGCCAAGATTACGCACTGGTACATAAGCATTCAGTTCAGCGAGTCGGCGAACAGCTGCTTCTGCACGTGGCTTTCCAATATCGTCCTCGCGTAAGAAAAACTGCGAGACTGTCAGACCGTACTACGCATTTCGAGGAACGGAACCCACCTGTGTGCTGAGATCTTGCACTTGTACTGGTTCGGGATCAAAGATTGTGACAGACTTGACACCAGCTAATACAACATTCTTGGCTGTGAATGGACGTCACATCCTGCACTAACTTCCCGCACATGACCTGCGCTCACCAATTTCGACGCCCAGACCTTTCACTCCAACGATCAATACGTTGGAGGCCGCCATGCGCTTCATGGCTGACGCGAATCGATTAAAGGTCGCCGTTCAAACATTTTCCAGCGTAGCTCACCTTCATGTCCAAGCACATAGCTGAACACACGCATCAATCAGCCTGGCAGGTAAATAGAACGCGGACACCACGCTCACAGTTGACGAGAGTAGAGACCTTCGTCGATTGCGGCCTCATCTATGTCCATCGCGGATGGAAGGTTAGACGACATTGATTGTACAGAGCAGAAAAAAGAGGTGAGCTAGTTGGGGATGGAGATCGCAGAGGAGGATGAATGAACGCTCGCAGGGCAGCGGGCGGGGCAGGTCACATGTCACAGCGGTACGCGTTCCGTCACACGCGATCGGGCTGATGATCAAGCATCTTGCTATAACGTTGTCAGCACCTCCGAGTCCTGCCAGATGAAGTACGTCGCGCTCCTCAGCGGCGGAAAAGACAGCTGCTACAATTTATTGCATTGCTTCCGCAACGGACACGAACTTGTCGCTGCTGCGTCCCTCGGTCCAGAACATGGCAAAGGTTTGATTCCACATCTCGTTTAATCTTCGACTTTCTCCCATTGCATCCAGAGTAGAGGAGCTCGACTCGTATCTCTACCAGACCGTCGGACAAGATGCCATTGAATTTGTCGCGCGATCTCTCGACGTGCCTTTGTACCGGCGTGTCATATCTGGCGCAGCCTTACAACAGGGGTTGGAGTATGGAGGAAGAAATCCTGCAGAGAGCGAAGGCATCTCCGGGGACGAGACTGAAGATTTGTATGCGTTGCTGTCTACAGTAAAAGTAATGCATTAACTTGCGCTGAACTACACATTTGGCTGAAGGGGAATCATCACAGGAATCGCTCCCTGAGATTCAAGGAGTATCTGTCGGTGCAATCTTGTCAAATTATCAGCGAGTCCGAGTGGAACATGTGTAAGACACAGTGAAAGCACAGAGCTGGAGGACGCTCAAATCGCTTCACTTCAGATGCCGCCGTCTCCGTCTAACACCTCTTTGTTATCTGTGGCAGAGAGACCAAGCCGAACTTCTGTCTGAGATGATCGAGGCCGGAATGGACGCAATCCTCATCAAAGTTGCAGGTATTGGACTCACTGTGAAGCATCTCGGTAGATCTTTGGCTGAAATGCAACCGACACTTATGAAGCTCGTCTGTATGCTCTCCGAACTCTAGCACATTATGTATTGACAACACTACTCCAGAGCAACCTCTACGGGTCTCACATCTGTGGAGAGGGCGGCGAGTACGAGACCCTAACTCTGGACTGCCCAATTTTCAAGCGTCGTATCAAGCTGTAAGTGAGTCGGAAAAATGAAGAACATTCTACTTACCAAACATTTACAGGTTGGAAGTGGAGACAGTCATACATTCAGATAGCGACTTCGCAACGGTTGCATATCTTAGGGTTAAGAATGCCGTTCTCGAGTCTAAGACAGAAGCTGTCACTCCAGATCCTGCCGTCCCACCGCTTTTGTCAGAATCGTACGAGCAAATACGTGACATGGTTTCAGCTTCATTATCTTCTCAGCCTCAGCTTGCAAATGATGATATTGAACTCTCCTCAAAGGCCGAACACTGCGATAGTGGTGTGTTCAGTAAACGGTTTGGCGATTGGGTGTCGGTGACAAATGTCACAATTGCAACTCCTGGTTCTCCAACGACTCTATCCATAGAGGACGAAGTCGAACAATGTTTCCAAAAACTACAAGGTGCGACAACACTGCATATCATGTCGCAGGATCTGAAGCGACCACCCAGCCTGCCTCGAGGAATACTCCTTGAAGCTCTCAAATTGCACCAACATCAACATCTTCCTCTCTTCAATGGACCTATTCGCCCGCGTCAACGCCGTCTACGCTACGTTCTTCGGGAACAGCCCGCCCGCACGCGCATGCGTTGCTGTCGACCTTCATCCACCCACAAGGGTGAAACTCGACTGCATCGCGTACGCCGAGCGTACCCCCGCAGACCGCCAGGCCCTCCACGTGCAAGGGCTCAGCTACTGGGCGCCCGCTAATATCGGTCCCTACTCTCAGGGTATTATCGTATGTAGTTACACTACAAGGTGCGTTCGAGATGCTGATTGCGGTGGCAGGTAGACGAGCGTGTCTTCATTTCGGGACAGATCGGCCTCGTGCCTAGCAGCCTCAACCTCCCTTCCCCGCCTTCACTTGCATTGGAGACGGCACTCTCGTTCCAGCACGTCGATCGCGTTTTGTCCGCGATGAAGACCGACCGCTGGGATGGGCACGTGCAAGGTGCTATCTACTGGCTGGCTAATGCGAGTGACATACCTCATGTGCGCAAAGCTGCGGTGTCCTACATGAAGGTTGGTGTTCGCAATTCCCTGGGGTACATCACTGCGCATTGGTGACATGGCAAAACAGGATGACCATGCAACGACTCTTTTCGTGGCTGTAGCCGCATTGCCTAAGAATGCGCTAATGGAGAAGCAAGTCCTGGTGCACACCGGACGATACTTCGAATTCGACGAAGGAGAACTCGTCACACGCTCTACCTCTCCGCAGTTTGCAGATGGTAAGTCGTAGAAACCCGGATACTGATAGGCTTTTACAACATTAATCCTGTAGGCGATGTTACTGGCACCGACGGTACTTGCATGCATTGGGAAGTGTCGAAGTTTGCTGAGACAACGGCGGCGACGGCTCTCGTCTGTTGCCGTGGCACAGAAGACGGCGTATTGTCCCAACTGCGAGACATTGTACCGCTGAATGCCTTGGGGTCCCGTGCATTGTCCATCCGACTTTTCTACCGCCCATCAAGGAACATCTCCAGTAAGTCCCGATATACTTGACATCACCCGTCTGCCTTATATCTGCCTTCCAGTCTCCCAATGTCACGACTTCTTCGAGCACGCACCACTCACAGCAATTCCCTGCCGCGCAATCTCGACAAAACAAGTAAACGACTGGGATTACGCCATGTTGGCCATAGGTACCTAATGAGACATCCGAGTGCAATACAAAAACAAACGTGTGCGTCAGCTGCGCGATGACATGACCAACTACTACAGTACATGCGCTCATGATCCATGATTAGAGTGTGTGTCCCAGAACCGTGACTACGGCGAGCCCTCCTCCCTGAGCACCCGGAGCTCGGCGAGCCTCCGTCGCATCTCCTTCTCTGTGCGCGTTGGAGGTACCCTGCGCGCAATCAGGGCACCACACTGGATAGAAGGCAAAGTCAGGTCAGGCGCTGATGCTGCTCACACGAAGCGGACTCACCAAGGCACATAGTCCACCGAACCGGAGCACCCATGCGACACCATTCTTGCCATAGTATGTGGTGTGGTGTGATGGGTCATTATCCACGTCTGCGTCCACTACGCGGAAGATGACACTGGAAACCAACGCGATCTGGTAAAACATCAGTTTAATTATGACGATTATGCGAGCATATAGCATATACTACGCACAACAAACTGAGGGAATACGATGGCCAAATTATGTATCCCCAGAATGGTTCCTCCAGCCAGAGGATCAGCCTCAGGATATGGGTAAGCATTGTTCTCGTCGAAAGAGCGGCGCCGGCGGAGCAGAGGTTCGTTCTCGTCTTGAGGGATGACTCTAGGGCGCATGGCGGGTGTAGAACGTGTGCGACTGTGCGACGGCCGTCTCGTCTCTTCCCTGACGGCATCCACTCCCGGTTCGCGTTCGCGCTCTTTCAAGAACTGCAGGATGCAATTATGTCAGTAGAGACGAATCGGAGCTCGGAGATGTCACCCCACCTCCATGATGATGGCAAAAGGTACCCAGCATGCGATAGCCCAGCATATACCAACGAGACTGATTGCGATGATGGCCTTCACGCAGTTTAATGACGGAACGGTCTTAAAGCGGATGTTACATACCTGCCATACCTTCGTGATAAAGAAAGTCGAGAAGGTGATGAGAGCAAAAAGGATGAGAGCAGCCGTCCAGATGTTCCGCAGGAAGAACGGCATCCAGGGCAACTGAAGTGGCTGTCCCTTACGAGCTGCCTCGGCGCGCCATTCGCGAACGGTCGTCCTCAGACGTGCGATTTCAACATCCTCGTCTTCGTCGCCCTCGTGGGCCAGCAAGCTAGTGTCACGACGGGCAAGGTTGGGTAAAGTTGCACCAGCAGTAACCGCCACTGTACAGACCGTGTTATCGAATGAGTTATCAACAGAAGGGTAGGAATGTACCTATACTGTAGATGAGCATGGCAAACTCTCCAGTTCTAGTTGCAGTGTCATGATCTGGGTCCCGTTGCAGCTCGTATGCCATGACTTGGCCGACGTATGTTGTCCTGCAATGAATCAGCACTTAACAGTCTTCGCGGATAATACGACCATTAATAAGTACATACGAGTAAAAGAGGAAAGGGAACCTGAAAGTCGGTCAGCGACGGTGGCTGAGGTGGGACACAATTGACTCACCAACCCATGAATGCGAACAATTGGACATAGCATACACGTCGAATGGGCTTAGGCAGGGATATCATAGCAGCGTAGATATTCGCAAGGACATCTCGTAGCTTATTCCTAGAGCGAAGTGTTGGAGAAGCTCCAAACCGTTCGTAGGTGGACTCACCCCTTGTCGATACGATGCTCCTCACGCTCCTTCTCCTCTTGCGTGAAACATGTGATCCAGACGGTAAGGACAAGAATCGCCATACTGACTACGCAAAATTTGCGGAACTGATCTCCGCCCAACAAACGCAGAATTGGCATGTTAGCCAATGGGAGAAAACCTACAGACTGTAAGTCACTCGCCGCGATAGCTGAGAAGGAGGGATTCACCAAATCCATATCCAACGATGTTACCGGCATTGAGCATCTTACTATGCCAGGCATTGGCATCATTGAGTTGCCCCGAAGGGGTGACATCCAGTAATAGGTTTCGGAGCGACGCCTGCAGCGCGTTGAGGGCAAAGTCCAAGAGGTAGAATGATACGATCGCCAGTCCAATGGCAGTGTTCTGAACCTACAGCGCAAACATTTATCAAAATGCGCCAGACATGAATGCAGCGGAAAACACACTGTTTTCGTCCACTTGGGATCCCAGCTCCCAGCACCGCCGCCAAAGAGGTCGACAAAGAAAGGTGCGATGCTCTGACAATAGGCTAAGGTGATAGTGGACACACAAAGGACGAGTGTCGAGAGCACAATCCAGTACCGCCGCCGATACTTGGACGTCGAGGCGTCAGAGATCGCACCTTGAGAACGCGAGTGTCATTCGCCATTGGACGGGACCAAACAAGATTGAAACTCGCCTATCACAGGTTGTGCAACCAATCCACTGATCGGACCAGCAAGCCACACGAGGCTTGTGAGCTGCTCTGTCAGGCCGAGGGACAGTAAGAAGGGAGTACCGTAACTGTGTCCGTCGTATTTATGCATCAGACAACACGCAGAGTGCCAAACGTGTGATGCATACCCCAATTCAACGGTCCACGCAACCTGGGATCCGGCCATGGATATGCTCAAGTAGATGAGATCAAGGGTAGACATTCTCCGTGCACTTGGATCTTTCTCCTTGCCATCACTCTTCCCGTTTGCCAGATCGGACTCTCGCCCGGCTGGAACTTCCTCTTCCATCACGACGACCTCCTCCTCTTCCTCATCGTGCAAACGGAAGCGCTTCACGGTCCTGGATGGCCAAGGGATCTGTGTAGTAGGATCAGGGTCCGCATCGGCATTGGTGGGGAAGGTCATGACGGGGAGTAGTAGGGAGATACGTTGACCGATGCACTGAGACACAGGATACGACGCTGAAGGCTAAAAGCAGGGGAAAGCTCGGACTATGGGCAGGTTGGCCTTGCGGACTGCATGCAGTGGAAGGCGTACTGGATAGCGTAAATAACCCGGCATCTGCCGTGAACGCGTCGGACGCGCTCTCGCCCAGGTAAATAGTATACACGGTCCAGTGCGCATGACATCACGCTCTAAAACTATAGACGTCCTGCTGCAATGAATGTATAAGTAGCGTTCACAACTCTAGTAGAGTGTAGATACAGAGACAGCATGAAACAAAGCCTACAGACCGCATGCGTACAACCGTAACCAGACCCTCCAAGAATGATACAACTGTTCAGAATCTATTCGCACAACAACTGTCCTATCGTACCGCCGTATTCGCAGAAGCGTTTCTCCGGTGGCCGCCAGCGGCGATATGTGAATCAAGACTATTCTTGTGTGACGACAGCAAGTTGAATGGCAATCGACGTAAGTGTGACGGAATGGTAGGCGTCGCCGACCGCTCTGGATGTTCTTCCAGTGGCGGAGGCGGAAACTTGGCATACTCGCTCGGTGGACCGGTGTACGACTTTTTCGGAAGCCCATCCGACTGTCCAGGGCGAAATGATGATGGTCGGGAGGAGGATTGAGTGGGCGTCGGAAGCGCCAACGCCTCCGATGTAGGAGAAGGCGTCAGCGGGGGAGGGGTCAATTTTGCCGGGCTGGTACCCGACCGATTTCGTACGTTTTCCTGATGTGGCGAAGCGGTATTCAGAGATGCGGAGGGAGGTTGCGGGCTATGGAGCTGCGCTGCAGAGGCGGAAGGTCGTAGTCGACGCCGGGGTGCGACTGATCCGACTGCGATCAGCGTGCTCAGCGGCTTGAGGTCATCCACGGACGGACCAGGTGCTGTGACAGACTGGGCCGATCCATTCTGTGAATGCGTGTCTGTAGAAGCAGTGGTTGCACTTCCACTACGCTGGCGCATCTTGTACTTCTCCATCGCGTCCGCATCCCGTTCCCGCATGCGCGTCGCAATCGGCGACAATACTGAAGCTGGGTTCGGGTTTAGCGCGAGAGGCGAAGCGGAGTGCAGTTTCGACGGGGGAGGCACAGTGCCGGAGAAGGTGCTGGACGAGCTACCGGATGCCTGTGCGGGGAAGTGCGCGCCGGATGGCAAGGCAATGGGGAACCGTGAGGGTGATAGCGAAGATCCCAGAGACGGATTGCTTTGCGGGGACTGGCCGAGGACCTGGCTGTCATTCAAGTCACTCTCCGAGGTTGCGGTAGTGCGGCTCGTTCCTGACCCGCTACGCATTCGAACGGACCCATTCGAATATTCATACTCCCTCAGTGTAGGAGGGTGCATCTGACCTGACGCGGCACCCCACTCGGTCCCCCTCGCCGCAGCTTGCGCGAAAACGTTCCGCCTTGCCTTCTTGTTTAGTTCGAACTGCGTTCGAGCGGCATCTTGCAACGTATCTCTTGTGCTAATTCTGTTCCAACTCACGTGAGAGACCTGCGAGGACGAATGGAAGCCCATACGCACGAATATGCATAATCCGACGGAGTGAAACCCTCGTTGTTCCGGGTGGAATATTGACAACCTCGTTCAATAAGCAGTTGGACGATCTAAGACCAAGTCAGTGGTAGTGAACCTTATCAAGCTAACAGTCGCATACCTGTATGTGACCCCAGGCACTGGCACTGTAGCACAATGTTAGTGTGGCGTCCACCAAAACACGCGCGACGTTCTCACTAATGGAGTGGCGTGTTTCCATCGTTATCAGCCAAATCATAATCTGCCCCCAAATCACATAGCATCTGTCTCTGGAGGTCAGGATGGGGCACATTGAACGTGAAGGCATAGGACGGACCCGAACTAGGTCCTCATTCCCCTTCAACGCAGCCACGTGAAGAGCAGTCTTGCCTTCGATATTTGCCCAATCCAGGATGTCCGGGTATCGGTCATAGTACAACCGTGCCATCCGTAGTGTAGCGCTGAGGAAGTCAGGATCACTAGGCCCCGCCCCGTACGCAGTTGCATAGGGAGGTCTCACGTCGGCGAGAAGTATCAGGATGGTGTTATTATCCGAGTCCTTGGGGTAAAGTCGGCCATGATCGATTCTCAGTATATGGCGGATACTGACCTTGCTATATTCATGATCGTCGTGACCGCTACTCAGCAAGAACTCGAACGTCTCCTCGTGACCGAGCACCGCAGCCCAAGCCAAAGAGGTGTAACGTTTATTGGATGGGTCCGAATTTCGCATGTCGGTCCTCTTAATCAGGCGTTTGACCAGAAAGAGGTTGTTCTCTGTGCAAGCGATGAGCACTCTGACGTCAAGCGCGAGGCTATTGAAAGGTTCACCTTTGACAGCTCGCCGCAGCCTCGCAGTGGCATCCTTTTCCGCCATGACAAAGGGGGTGGGGGCAGAGGAGGGTGTGAACTGCCGGAAGAGGCTGTATGGGGAGAATTAAGGAAGACGGAAGTTGCACAGCACGAGCACTGGCGGAGCAGAGTGTCATAATAAGATACGCGTGTCACGTGCACCCGTGCCTTCTCCGCTCAAAGCCAAAGCACCACGACGACCTCGGGTTCTTTCTAACTCTGCTCACTTGATCTGCCGCCCTACAGTTGAACCGTGATTCTCATCGTTGCTTGCTTCTCGTCCCGCCAGAATGCCCAAGGTCGTTTCACGCTCCGCAGTCTCATCCTCCACGGATGGTCAGTCGAACAAGCTTCTCTCCGTTCCCGCGTGGATAGGCTGAGTTAATATTGGGCATCTTGCCACCATTCGCCAGCGCAACCAACTGCATCATCAACAGCGGCACTGCGGGTCTATTGTGGGACTCCCTGCTTGCCTTTGATCCGCTTGTAGTGCTTATAGTCTTCTTGGCACAGATTGCATTTGCGGAGAGTTCATCGTGCGTCCTTCCCGCTCCAACCGGACACACCTCGGGTTCCGTAAATGATGCGTGTCACAGCTTGTCATCGACAAAAGCCTAGCTTCCCTGCCCAAGCGCAAGACAGACGGAGCGACCATCGTCCGTACGCGGGATGATGCGCTTGGGAAGGCCAGGATCTTCAAGCTCAATGCGACACCCAAGGATCCACTCTTGGTCGAGCGGTTAGTACGCGCGTTCTTGGCGTTGATTTGTTTCTCACTACTGGTTCTACGCGTAGGGAAGGCGGTCACGAACGGCAGTATAGATTCCATTGCCCTCGATGTACCCTCCCGGTCGCCTATCAGTCAACACCGCCTCCAGCGAAGTCGGGTCCGTTCCTGTACATCATCAAGGGTGCACTGAGTCAAATTCAAGGGCAGGTGCCTCCAGATGCGTTCGATGATGATGGGTCGCGAGCATAACCAGTGTGCCACGTATGTGTGAAACCATCATATGTATTTTTGTCGCCCTTGCAAATAGTAATGAGACACCTTCTATACGCACTTGTATACTATGTATACTATGCAGCACCGTGACAAATAACCACACAACGACCGCGAACATACGGTCTTCGGCACCATCACGAAAGTCCAAAGTATCCGTTGACTGCTCGAATTAAGCCTGAACAGACATCACGGACGTCAGTAAGGAACTGAAGCCATGCAAAACAAGCCAATAGATCAAAAAGGGAAAGAATCAGATACCGTTGTAGGAGAAAATTCAAGACATCGATGCTTGACGCACGAATGTTCATACAGTGTGAATAATGTGTCATCACTGAAGGCAAATCGTCGAGAAGGTACAGAAGATGGAACTCACCCAAGGTTCACACATGAAGCACCGCTGGAAAGGACCGAGCAATCACGACTCAGCAATGAAGACGAAGAAATCCCATTACCGTCCGAAAATACCGTTCAGGTAAAGTCACTGTTGGATGCCAGCTATCAGTCCAGCGCCATATGAAGCACGATGATGCAGGAGAAACGGGAACTCAGATACCGTTGTAGAGTAAATTCATTTCATGACGCAGAGCAGCGTTCGTATGTTTGGGAATAAATTGACATCACAGAGAAGGATGACCTCTAACCACAAACTCACCTTCGACAAGTACTTAAACGCAATCATGGAGGAGACAAGACAGTTCGGCGACAGCGGAAGAAATTTGCCTGAGGAAGAAAAAAATTTGTACATGTTTGTGTTCTCCCGAAGACAAAGAGAGCCAAACAGTCGCCCACAACGCGTCCCGACGCGTCGCGTGCGCGAGTCCTTTGTTCGACTTCTTCGTCGACCTCGTCGCTCATTCATTGGCTTTCGTCGCGATTTTTGCGCTTAATTCCTCTGTTACCTAGATACGCTGTTGTGTGTGTGTGTGTTTATGTGGGTCCCTGTTTTATTTGTCCAACACTTACCTCGAAAGGCAGGAGTCGCGAATTTCTCACCGACACCGATCGGTCGCCATCTTCCTGCAATCACGCCTGCAGTCGTTACGGATGTCCTGAGGTATATAAGCCATACCGTTCTCTGCCATGAAGTCCTCATCAGCACTCACCGCTACTCAGCCAGCAAATTCGTCTGCGACGATTCAGCCTTCTCCGCTTACTACCACACAACCACTTGCACTCACTCTCATAACATCAGCGATGTCTTACTCCACCACACCCGCATTCTCCCTCTTCCCCACCGCCACCACTTTACCCAACGCGTTCAGCATGTTCGGCACATCGCAGTCCCCCCGCGAAACGTACGTGATGTACGACGACCTCTGCCATGCGCTCAGGCCCTCGGGCGGGGCCGCAGTCCCAAAGAGGAAATGCAGCTCCTTCTCTATGGGATTGAAGAAGATTTTCAGGGTGTAGAGGGTCTATTTACAGCAGGTCGTCGGCGGGCCTCTGCCCGTATTGGAATCCACCACATACGCGTCTCAGCTTCCGATCCCTCCATCCCCAACCCCCGCACTGCATGCGCATTCGCATCTCGCGCTCTTGCGACCATTGCGTCGCCGTTTCACCACAGTCCGCAACCCTGTGGCGCGCACCCTCATGCAGCGCTCGTCACGCGCCTCGCCGCCATACCGCCGCCCGGAGGCGTGAACCTCGCAGTATCCTCGCATCTTCGTTGATTATTGGCGAGGGAGGACGCATGCGGGAATTGGCGGTCGAGCAGAGATCACAGTTCACTTTTGGACTCCACTCGGACCATACTACGATAACAGCTAAAAGTAGTGCAGTAAATCACATCCGTGAACAATGTATCATCACATCACGTTCGAAACGCAGTGCTTCGAGGACCCCGGATGATATCAGTAACGTTGATATTGTACATGAGAGAGCGCATCGGGGAATATATGACCGCTCACCGAGCGCAATCTGTGGATCTGTGAATATGCAATCTGTAGATGGTTGGTGCCACACGTTGGATGGGAGGCTCGGGGCGCAGCTACCGCCGAACCAGAAGAAATGGGGTTGCGCAGAAGGAAGTTCCACACCAGTGATGTCGTCGAAATAGACACATTAAGCTGGGACCGAAGAGTGCTAGTGAGCCCGCGCAGAGGGAATCGCGCCGAACAGCAAGACGAAGATATCCACAGGAGCTCGTTTTCGCGCACCGTATACGCCTCGCCCAATCGGATTAATCATCTCGAGACAAGGCTTTGCACAAATGTTTACTGCGAGCAGAAACCCGCCCACCCTCCGTCGGTCACGCACGGGTCGATCGGTGCACAGCATCCGCCGTGCGGCAGAGTACACCGTTAGAACGCCGACGGACCACGGACGATCTAGCCGCCCTGGGCGGACTGAGGATTGTATAATCCCGCCGCAGTCCGACAAAAATGCAATAGCACTTACTCAACGCCCCCGCAGCAGGTCTCTGCAGCACCGTGAAACAGCGCACAAGTGCGGGGCTAAAATTCGATGGACTGACGGGATAACAGCAACCAATTGCAAGTGATGGACGACCGTCGACCAATTGCAAGGCCCTGCACAGAGACGCAAGCAAAAGACCGAGAGATCCACGTGCGCAGGATTCTCCGAGTTGACTGACTGCCGTTGAGTACCACCCGACGCAGGATCCTTCGGCGAGTACTTGCGCGTGGCTATCATAGGGAAGATTCACGGACACACTAGCACTGGCGATCTACCCGAGGCCGGCCAAATAAAACCCTCAATGCTGGAAATGGCACAAAGGTCTCAGAGAAGCCCTCGAAGCCCTCCTGGCTTATCTGCACTGCACAGCGTCATTGTGCAAGTGCATGATACCATCAACGCAGGTCTGTCGCCGCCGGCCGCAGCGCACGCGCTGGGGAGCTGGGGGACTCCCGCCGACGTGGGCTACCGTAAGCTTAAGGAGCAAGATTCTGGATCTTGGGAGGAAGCCCGCGACGTAAACCGCGTCGGTCATCCCCGCAGCGGTCCCCCAAATCTTGAGAGTTCTTATGCAGACATTCGTCATCAACTTCGTCCTCGGGCGGAATTAGGTCCTTGTATGGCTAGTGAGCACTGCACGCTGTTGCCGATAGTGGCCGGTGACGGGTATTAATATTCAGGACCCGGGTAAGTTAATAGCTATGGTGAATCTCTGGGCAGACGATAAACTTGAGACGCACCAGGTGCTGCGCCGCAGGCTCGGACTCCGACCCTGCCAGTAGTCAGGTGGGGATCCAGTGCGCGTCTCGAGTGCGCTCATTTGTGGTGTGGATGACACGACGCAACAGGCTTCTTCAGCGAAATGGAACGATGAGCGATACAGCGTCGCGAGACGGATCACACACCTGGGCAGCTGGTATCCTATCGGGCACGAACGCTGCTTGTTCAGAAGCGCGAATCGCCCGAGCTCGGGAGCCCCGCGCGCGCACTTCAAGACCTGTTAATTTCGCGCGTGGGCGCTCGCCGACGCTGGACAGACGAGGCGACCGTGGGAGCTGTCGAGGCCGGGATGCGCGTTGTTGAACGCGGTTCGCGGCAGAGGTTAATTCGACAGCTGTGAGAGCTCAGCGCAGGTTCTGTTCGCGAAGCCACGCGCTGCACGCCACACCGCATGTATGCGGTATCGCCGTAGACAACCACGGACGGGCGGAATCCGAACAGAAAACGCAAAGTTGAAGTGCTACCACACTGTGGGCGATTTCGCTACAGTGAACGGCGGGCGTTCTGACGGGCCGACTGAGATGGAATGGCGAGTGTTGGCATTAATTGGAGCTTGAAGGGGAAGACGGGTGCCCGTATAATGACGTGCAGATATAGAGGAATACGGTGACGCTGCATGGGTGAATTTTGGTCGAGACCGTTGAAGACAGGCCGCCGGCATGTGTGTGAAGAACCGGGATTCGGACTAGAAATTGTGGTTGGGCGTCGGCCAGGCGTACACGGGGCGGTGAGCTGTAAGTCTAGTCCTGCGGCACTAGCTTGACTCTTGCAGCGGATGACAGAGATGCGGAGAGATGAGATAAAAGAGTTGACAAAGAGAGGAGGAGCGCGCGAGAAGTGCCGACTGCGACGGGTTGCATTAAGGGAGTGGCAGGGCGTTCTGAGCAAGGTGAGCGGGTGTACGAAAATGAGGGAGGCGCTGACAGTTGAGGGGTTCTTGCGATAAATGGGACGAGTTGGAAGATCTGAGATGACAGGTGTGACGGCGGCAGGCGGGATGGAAGAAATCGCGAAGACAATCTGGCCGAGCGTTGGGTCACGTCGGCAGGCCGTGCGCTGAGGGTAGGAGCGCATAGGAGAGGCGCGGGAGCAACATCCTCCAACGATCCGCCCCGTCGCCGTCGCAAGGCGCACGACGTCGACGCGCCAGTCGCGATGAGAGGCAGCAGCGAGAGGAAGCAGGCGGATGCATGCGGACAGCGATCCCGGTTGTCGTGGATTATTTCACGCCCGAGACTGGAACCTGTGTCAGCGTATGTTTTTTGGGTTCTCGACAGGCGCCCTAGGCCTGCCCTGCGGCCCCTGCGGCCCCTGCCATTATTGGCCCTGTCCCACCCTGCGATGCAATCGGGCGACTGACGCCCTTCCTCTCTGAGCTGCCGCACGCAGCCAGCCAGTGCCACACTCGACCACCGTACAAAAGACACGCCTGCCATCTCACCATGCCTCCAGTCCTTCTCCCCCTCCCGCCATGTCCACCGCCCTCTCTCCGCCCCCGCGCACTCGCTCCCCGCAGCACGCTCCCTCCTCCTCCGTCCCGCCCCCGCCGCTCATCCCTCACAGGTCGTCCCGCAGCCGCCTCATCCCCACTCAGCTCGAGGAGCCACCCATCCCACCACGCCTCATCGGCTCTCCTCTCCTCCAGAAACTCACCGCCAGCCATGAGCCCCATGTCCTCAGCCAGAAGGTCCAGTCCGAGCTGTGGATTGACGGCGACGAGTTTGGCACTCAGAAATCTCGGGCCGAGTCTTCCTCTACCCCCTCTCCCGTCTCCCCCGCGTCCTCTCCGTCGTCCAGACGCGGTCACCGTCGCTCACCCTCCGTCGTAGCCACTTGTCGCTCGCGCTCTCATTCTCCGCCCCCCACTCCCCAATTCGACCTGCCACCCCCTCCTGTGCCACCCATCCCCCTCTCCGCACTCGCCACCCCCGGCGCCCGGCGGTCCGTCGTGCGCCCCCGCCCTTTGAACGGGAGGCAGATCGTCATCCCGGATATGGACCAGTACTCTTCGCCCACCCTATCCTCTCCTCCGAAGCACAAGAGGTGGGCTCGTCGCAAAGCTCCGTGCGTGACAAGCGTTTAGCATCTTCCGCTTTACAGGATCCCGAGGTCATTGGACATTTGATCCTCGTCCTTCACGCTGCGCCCTACATCTCGCCTCTCTTCAAGGATCATCCGCTCGCGTTCTCCCCTGCGCTCCGCGGTGGATCGGCCTCCGCTCACTCCTCGGACAAGGAGGACTCTTGCTGGCATGTGTGTGCTGCCCGTTTGGCCGCATGCCGTGTACACTCTCTGCTTATTCCCAATCGCTACCCTAGAACCTTGCTGTTCTCGCTCTCTGCTTCGCGCCTGCGTCATAATCCTGTAACTCTCGCTGGCCCCGTCGTCATCCCACTCCACGTTCGTTTTGAAATTCTCTATCTATCATCGTCCGTGCTCGACTGAACATCCCGGTCATATATCCTACGGTACCTGTACTTTACTTTCCTGTAGATAAATCTGGGCGTCCTTCGTCGATAAAGTTATTCTAATGGTACATAATTCGCTTCCGACTTCGCTCTTCGTTGTTCCGCGGCTCGTGTTCGCACTGCGGTCATTCTGTATAACTAGCATTCACAATTCATACCGTCTTACCTGGGAACCTAGTGGGGCAAGATCGTGCTAGTGCGTCTGAGACGGCGGCTGTGCGCCCCTCGCGAAGTCCGTTCATGCATGTTATCGTCCTTTAAGCTTTACCGTCCATGGCCAGTGAGTTCGCGATTTGAATGGATGCAGAGACGGGGATTTCACAGGCCCATCGTGCACGTCCTCGCCGACAGCGTGCCGTGTAGATACTACTAGTTCCCAGCCGACAGCGTGCCGTGTAGGTACTACTAGTTCCCAACGATCAGGAGTACTTGCATGCGGAGCCACGCACGTTGAACGAGCACTCGGGATCTGAGCTTCAGTTTCCTCGCAGCCTGCGAGCAACTAGCACGAGATTAGCTAGTGCGCGACCGTCTCTTCCCTGCTTATCGGCGCACATGCCGTTCCACGTCGGTAACGCGCAACCTCCGCGCCAGACTGGCAGCGCTGCGACTCGTCCAGACGCGCCCGCTGGGCCAAGTACTCATGCTAGTGATGACGCGGACGCCCGACACAAATTCAAACGCGGCACGACGAGTCGCGTCCCCGAATTCACGAGACGCAGAGACGCCCACGCATTTATATGCCCGTCGTCAGCGGCAGCCGACCTGCAGGCGAGCACAGCCGCTGGAATGAACCACGCAAATATTTCACGTTTCACTGCAGCACCCAGGGCCCGCGTGTGAAAACCGAACGCACCGGGATTCCATAGCTCTCGCGCCTGCGGGGCCCGTTCCTGCATCTGGCTGGTAGTGCGCGTGCAGTGCAGGCAGACGCAGCGGACACAGGAGCGCGCGGGCCTGATTCGTTCGTTTCGGCGCGCCTGTCGCTGGACGCAGGCGAGGCCGACTCGGAGGAATGTCAAATAAAGCGTCAGTCAGCTGTGCGAGCTTATGCGAACCGCTCACCGTGGGCGCGCAGCTGAAACGGCGACACTGCAGAGTCCGTGTTGCCCTGATGCACGATGGCGACCTCCCGGGGGAAAAAGACCGGAGAGGGCCCTGGAAATATACACGTGTGGGGATTACTGGACAGCGCATGAGAGGTAATACAGTGCAGCTAGAGTTGGGAGAGTGCTATGAAACACGAGATGCATAACACGTCTAGGTAAAAAAACTCAGGAGAATTCCGCGTCAGTCGCAGCGAAAGGGCGTTGGGCGATACATTACATTACGAAACACGATTCCAGAAAGCAGTGCGAGAGCGTGAACATGATATATGAATACAACTGCGGGTAGAAATACAAATAAGTTAGACAGTGCAGATACACGGGATTGCAGATGTGTGAAGAAATCGTCGTACCGTGTACACTAGATGGACCGTGGTTCAGAGACATCCTGTCATATATCCACTATCCAGCAAACCAGAGGACTAACCCAAACCCTGAGTCCCATTAGAGTCCCATGCGTTCCGCCAACGTCCGGTCCCCGCCGGGGTAAGCGGCGTTTCCGTTATTTGCCCCTCGGCCTCGCCGACCACCACCTCCCCCAGCGACACTTTGGGCACCACCACTGCCAGCGCTGCTGTTCGACATGTAACTTCGCCCGCCAGTCCGTCGGGAAGAGCGGTCTCTGTCGCGCTCGTGCTCTTTGTCCCTTCCACGGTCTCTATCGCGCTCCCTCGCGCGATCGCGGTCGGGCTCCGTCTCCTTCTCGCGTTCCTTGTCTTTGTCTCGACCCCGCACACGGTCACGGTCACGTTCCGGCTCAGGTGACCGTGGCCTCTTTCGCTGGTCCTCGGCAACGTCCACGTTGTTCGCGGGAGGCTTCTTGTCTGTAGATCCACGGCGCCCGCGCACATCCTTGATGGGGATGGAGTTGGCGTTGGTTGCGAATGTCTTTGTGGGAGGCGGTAAGGACACGTTAGAGCGGGCGGGTGGTGTGTGCGACTCCGACAGACGCGGCTTTTTGTGGGCCCGAGGCCCCGTGGGTAGGGGCTTCCCATTCGTTGCAGATACCAAATGTGGAGGAGCCTGGTAGACATTGCGCGGCGTCGGCGAGTGTGAGGGGGCATGGATGCTCGGAGCGTTCGCCAGACGGCCGCTCGCCATGACAGCCTCGTGAGACTTGTCCAACTCGGACCTGGGTCGCAATGAGGGGTAGTACAATACAGATAATAGAGAACACGCACGAGAGAGAGGCAATAACCTGATGTGATTCTGTGGCGGACGATTAGTGCGGCTGATCAAAGGCGCGCGTGCGGTTATCGCACCTTCGAGCGCCCCCTCCAATTTCTGTACTACCCGGCGAAGAGCGCGCACGTCTTCCTTCAGCCGTCCGGTCTCACCGGTTTTCAGGAGCTCGTAGAGCTCGTCATTCTCCTCCTGAAGTACTTTAGCGCGCTGAGTTAGAGCGGCAGTTACTGAATTGGATGTCGCCGTCGCGTTGTTCAACGGGCGATCGTTGATGTGAGGCAAGAGCAAGGACACGAGCGCAGGTGGGAGAGAAATGGGGTCGGTCGTGGAGGGCGCGGGCTGCGTCGAGAGATACTGACGCAATTGTGCGACCTCGTCCTTCAGGACGGATCGACATGAGGGGTCAACGACGAGTGGCGCACACGACACGCACCGTTAGCTCTGCGACCTGCGCATCCCGCTGCCTCAGCAGCGTCTCCAGCTCCAGTTCTCTCGCCGTGGGAAGGTCCGCCATCGTGAATCTTCAACGGACTGTCGGCCGCTCGTCGCGGTAGGAGCTGAGTACTGAGTGTCCGCGACAGCACCGCCACTCGAGATCCTGGCGAATATTCGCCACGTGGCTCGTGTGTGTCCGACGAGCTCGATCTTCGCGGCCGTCAACGTCCTGGACTTGAGGATCGCTTGTTTTGGATTTGTACGAGGTCGCCCCGCTAATTCATGCAACAAAGACCTGCTGCAGGATGGCGGATCTGATGAGCGTCAGACGTTCGAGCTCGTACTGAGCTAGAGTCGGAAATCACCGTGATCGTGCCGGCGGCGGCGCCCTGGCCTTGGAATTGACCATGATAGTAACGAAGCCGACATACTATTCGAGTGCCAGTACACTGGCATAGAATTCAGTATATCCAGCGACATTTCTGTCGTATAGAAAGGGCAAAAGCTATGGATACGCTTCTTCTAACTTCCACGCAGGTTCTGAATTGATACTACGGCCTCGGTGTGCCTTGAATAGAACGTCAGTATGACATTTTGCGTGAGTATGAACCATTGATATTTCTATACATTCACGTCAGACTCATCACCACAGATATACGGATGTTTGCGTCATAGATCGCTTCGCCAAGATCGGCCGTGTATGCGCAAATTACTCCAGGTGAGAACTGCAAAATTTCACCCCACAACATGAAGATGGCATTAACACTGCTCCGGGACGGTTCAAAGCCTGTAAGTGGTAGCAGTAGTTGAATCCTACTCGATTTTTCATGACTTAGTTAGTTCGTCAGAATGTTGCGCCGTCGATGTCCATCATCGGCACACAATACTTGCCAGTGAGTCACGAATTTGGTGTTGACTGTCGCTGACATTATGTGCTCAACCTTTGTCTCTGATTTCTCAGAGAAGAATCTCACGGGTAAAGTTAGCACTTTACTTACATCTATTAGATGGACGTCACATCAATGATCGGCTCAGATCTGAACAACAACGGCCTTATTGATCGACTTGCACCTTGCGTCTACGGTACAGAGTTCGCCGCTGTCAGCCCTGTGGTCAGTGCTGAGCTGCATTGAAATGCAGAAACTTGCGGTCCTGCGTGCTTTTCGCATCCCTCTGGCAGGTCTTGATTACTTTCTCGACCCTGGTGGTTCATACTTTCGTTCATTTTCCTTGGCCACCTGCAGACAGCGGCCATGTTGCGCTTAACCTCTGTCACGGTCTCTGTCTTCCCGCTCCTCGTACGCTGTGTCCCTTGGGATGCCCACGGGGGAGTTCATGGCAGGCGGTACGACTTCGCTATCACGGAGACTCTGATGTCGACCCTCGTGGAGACGTCGACTATGACAACCTACACTACGGTGTTCTCTACTGAATCTGTCGTCACTGCGTCCAGCACGCCATCGTCAGCATCTGGCGCTCTGCCGATCTTGATTGTCCCACCTGCACTCCTGCCCTCCGCAGTCATCGGACTGGCTCCTTCACCGTCCTCCGTCCCTACGTCGGCGTCGTCCACGGCTAACCAACTTACCCCTTCTCCAACCACGCAGCCTCTGGTAATGGCATACTATCCAGACTGGGCAGCACCGGCTTTTCCTCCAGAAAAAATCGACTTTGGCCGCTTCGATTGGATAGACTTCGCCTTCGCTGTGCCCGACCAGAAGTACAACCTTACCTGGGATGGCTCCGACGATGATCCGAGTCTACTCACTAGGTTAGTCTCTGCGGCACACAACAGTGGGAAGAAAGTCAAGCTGAGCGTTGGGGGGTGGTCTGGCAGCAAGTGTGTTTTTAAATTCTTATACGTCTGGAATCACCCCGAACTCTGTACGATATAGGTACTTCTCTACGGCTGTCTCGAACCAGAATAATCGGCAGACGCTCGTCAACAATCTTCTCGCGGCTTACCAACAGTTCAATCTCGACGGCATCGATATTGACTGGGAGTACCCGGGACAAGATGGTGCTGACGGTAACATCGTGAACCCGAATGACACGGCGAATTTCTTGTTGTTCCTGCAGCTTCTACGGACGACACTTCCGCCAACATCTAAGATCTCGGCAGCCGTGCAGACTGTGCCGTTCGCAGACACGCAGGGAAATCCTATGACAGACGTCTCCGACTTTGCCAAGGTGTTGGATTGGGTCTTGCTTATGAACTACGACTCCTGGGGCTGTAAGTACTGATATATCTTGCCGTCTGCACTCTGCTGAAAGTATCACAGCTTCTGCTACACCGGGTCCCAACGCTCCACTGAGCGATGGCTGCCACAATTCCACGCAAGGCAGTGCGAATGCGGCCGCAGCACTGAATGCATGGACGTCAGCCGGATTCCCGGCCTCCCAGCTCGTTCTCGGTGTCCCGTCCTACGGCTACATCTCGCGATCCAACGCCACCGTGCTCCGGACTCGCTCCCAATCGTGGCATTCTTTACACCGCAATCGCTTGCGACGCTCCCTCCTGGGACTGACCGAGGCGGTTGTATCAGGCCTCGAGACCGCGGCCTCCCCTGCCATACAGGCGACAAACGAGGACGGAGGGACAAACAACGGGCAGATTCAGTTCCGCGACCTCGTGAGCCAAGGCGTCCTGCAATACGCTCCGGAGGACGCGAACAACACCGCAACTGGCGCCCCCACAAGCATGCTTGTAAACGGCCGAGAAATTGACAGCCTCTACGACGGGTGGAGCGGTTTCTCTAGGTACTGGGACAACTGCTCGAGCACTCCGTTCCTGCGATCTCCGCATGCGGACCAGGTTGTCACGTACGATGATCCCCTGTCCCTGGGGCTCAAAGCGGCATTCGCGGCACAGTCTGGGATGCTCGGCGTGAATATGTTCGATGTTCATGGCGATACGGATCAGTGGGACCTGACTGACGCCCTGCGAAAAGGATTGGGACTGGGCTGACGTACCTAGCAGGACGAAGTAAAATGGGCTATGATAACTATGTGCAACTGCCCCAGGTCTTAATGTAGCCTTTTCAGCAGAGCAGAGGATGATACATTATGCATACTATATAGGTGCGGGAATCATGACGTACAAACTGCGTCGATTTTACTACAGAGAAGTTCGTGAAGGTCATAAAACTACAATGCTAGAGTCCATCTGCTCCGTGGCATCTATCTATCAAACAAATATTACGACGCAACATTCTACGTAGACCTGAATTGTCGGTAAGGAATTATACTCGATGATTACTAACAGACGCAGGTGAAAAAGCTGACGTCCGAGGGAAGGTCCTGCAGGTTCAGATGAGCGATGGGGAATAATTGAATTGGGAAGAACGCACGGAGACAATCACAGTGAGTAAAGTGGGTTGGAGAAGCAGATGGGCCTGCATCTACCATCTCAACAACTCCTTCAATCTGGACGCCTCCCGGGGCACGCTGACGCACCCTTTGGAGTGCACGGCCTTTTTGGGGAGTGGACGGAACGTTTGCCAGAAATCCTCGTACATTGCGTGTGTGTCGCGAGGAGACTGTGCCGTCGCAAAAATGCTGAACGCGCTGGGGGGTGGAGCGATCGTCGAAAATGGAATGCATGGGATTGCAGAGGCAATGCGAGGCATGGTTGGTCGTAATAATCAAGCGATGGGGTATGTTATTAGTTATGGGCTGGTCGATTTCGTCACAGACGAGGGCGTAATATAGAGAGCGAAATATTAATACAGCGCGGTGATCTAGAAAATAGCTTGATTTTCCGGATCGTCGCAGACGAGGCGAAAAATTCGTGAGTTGCGGATATCATGGACTTCATGCTAGCTGCCTATAAGTACAGTAGCTTGCAAGTGGTCCAGAACGGATGATAATATCCCAGTCTCAGAGAAAAGGTCCGCGAGATTGTTGACAAGAGCAGACTGGCGCCGCGGAGGAAAACGTTATGGTTGATGCAAATGCCGAACAATGCGAATGCGAGGACAAGAGCAACAGCCTAGCCTAAAATGGTAACCGCGCCGACGTTGTGGTCGTGTGGGAGTCGATTGATCGACTCGACGGGCTGTGCGAGCAAAGAGTACTAATTATCGCTATAGGTCATAAGAGCATCGCGCTGGTCCAAAGTCTCGTTGGCCGCTTTGTTCACGACAATGGTGACAATTTTCGGTCTTCAAATTTGACAAAGTCGGCCCGGCTCCAGGTACCTGATCTAAATCTAATGATGGTCACCGTACAGCACTTGCGTTCTGGCTGCACCTATGTATACTAGCACAGCGCGGGCCGTCGTGGCAATAGTCAGGTGCATTGAACTCACTGCCTCTCCATGAGTCTCTGGGATTGCACAGACGCACTCAGGCCTGACTTCAAGTTTCCACTGGCAGTGTCCTCTTGCGTCCTCAGGATGAATCTTCTGTGGAAGCTGCTGAGGGCCATATGATCCTCGGTCGTTCTCGATGAAAAGCTGTACCACGTGGGTTTACTTCCATCTGTCAAGTCGCATGGCGAAAGTTTAAGGCATGGCCCATGATCGCATGCATCCGTCTCGTCCTCGCCATCGGCAGCAACTGTGCGCTAACCGAACACGCATTTAGCATCAAAAGTCCATCCGGACGAGTGTCACCACGTCTGCTCTGCATTTATCCTGTGATCCCGGGTCGTGAGGACTTTGACAGCTGAATCTGACATTTCGGGGAGGAGCTGCTACTCCGTCATTGGACTTCGCAACTCCAGACCTCATGACATGATCGTTGTCATATAAATGTAACTTTTCCCGACGCTCTCATCACTTCGACCAGGTCTGAAGCGAGCCTTTGAAAAGGAGCTCACTGTCGGTAGGAACGTACATATACATTCCCTCGTTCGCCATGGCAGCACATTCACATTCATTCACGACCCTCTTGCTTCTCTTATCGTCTGTTTTCGTAGTGGCTCGTCCTCTCGTTCGGTCATCAGACGTTACATGGACTGCATCGCCTTTCAATCCAGCAGCTGTCCCACTCGCTGTACGCTCGCCCTACCTGTCTGCATGGCTTGCTCAAGGCGGAGGAACCGCGTTGAATGAAGCCTGGCCGACATTCTGGACCGGTTCTGTGAGTGCATGAAGAATATGTATTTGCGAAGAATGTCGGAACGACTCGTGGTACAGATCCTTGGATGGGCAGGATACATCAACGTTGATGGCGTGTCGTACAATTTCCTCGGTTCACCTGCCGTGGCTGGAGCACAGAAGGCCGTCCAGACGAGCTTCGAGGTACGGTCGTGGAAGTTGCGTTGGGTTTATTTACGGGAATTCCTGCCTAGTTCACTTCCACCCAGAGCAACTTCACTCTGACAGCAGGTCCGGTTGACCTTACTGTATCTTTTCTGAGTCCTGTAGAGGTAACTTCAGTGTAGGCTCTTTCAGAAACGCAGCTAATTATGCTGTAATAGCCGAATGATCTACTGAAACAGTCTCTTCCATTTTCGTATCTTGCGTTATCGGCAGCCCCGAATGACAATGACGTCCACTCTGTTCAAGTATACACAGATATCAGTGCAGAATGGGTTTCTGGAGATGATAGCCTCGTTGTTAATTGGACTACGACGGCAGGGAATATAATCACTCATCAAGTGCAATTGGAAGATCAAACGTTCTTTGGCGAAGTCTCCGATCACATCCAGCGTATGTAATTTCCGCCTAGCATAGCATGTCCAGACCAACTGACGCGGGCGCTGTAGAGGGTTCGGCCTATTACTCGACGTCTAACGTCCGTGCTTAATTGTGTTCTGAGACAATATGCTGAATGATTCCCCCAGTCCTCAGGCGTGACGTACCAGACGGGCCAAGATATCGTCGTCCGCGCGCAGTTCATCAACCACAGTACATTGACGAACACCCAGGACACGAATTTCCGCGCAGTTTCAGACATGTGGCCCGTCTTCGCGTTTGCGCACGATTTAGGCGACATCTCCGGTCCTTCCGAGTCGGTGGTGTTCTCCGTTGGTCACGCTCGGGATCCGGCGGTCGAGTATCTGATCGCGAACGACGCAGTGCAAAACAGAAGCTCTTACTTCTGGAGTGCATTTTCCACAGCTGATGATGCTGTGGGTATTTTGCTCGTCTCGCTATGTTGATGGTTAGTAACAGAAACTTCGTAACTAGATCTCGTCTTTCCTGGGAGATTACAACGCCGCATTGATACGAGCACAAGCACTTGACGCACAGATTAACTCGGACGCATCTCAAATCTCGTCGAACTATTCCGCAGTGGTTGCATTATCTGTCAGACAAACTTATGGAGGTATTGAAATCACCGTCTCCAAAAACAGCGCTGGCCAGCATAATACTTCCGATGTGATGGTATTTCTGAAAGGTAGGATCTTGCCATCTAATTCCGGCGCCATCGGCGCTGATTTACTTAATATACAGAGATCTCCAGCGACGGGGTAAGTACTCTACCTCCACATACAATAACTTGTGGTCAAGTAAGGGCCGTTTACAGAATGTGAATACTGTGGATGTAATCTTCCCAGCTTGGCCGCTGTTCCTCTACGCCGACCCTATCATAGGAAAGAATCTGCTGGTTCCTCTCTTCGCGTATCAGGAGACTGGACAGTACCCTAATGCCTTCGCTTTGCATGACATGGGTCAGTCTAACATTGTATACAGTGGATACAAGTTTCTAGGTTGGATTGACTGTGATCCTTGTAGGCTCTGTATACCCCCAGGCCTTGGGTCACAACGATGGTATGTCATAGGGTTTTATCGTTTGCATCAGTAGCACACTCTCAACTTATGCAGGTAACGACGAGCACATGCCCATTGAAGGTCTGCAGCTTGTGCAGTACACGCGGGTCTGATTCTGACACTTCTGTTTCGTACTTCAGAAAGCGGCAACATGCTTATTATGACTCTGAGCTACGCGCAGCGCACCAACGACAACTCGCTCATTACTGACTATGTGAGCCTTGGAGATCTATCTATCTCGTTTACTGAATACCACCGTTTGACGTTCAGTACAATCTCCTCGACCAATGGGCCCAATATCTCGTTACCAATACGCTCATCCCAGGGGACCAAGTCAGCACAGATGACTTTGCAGGTGCTCTCGCCAACCAGACAAACCTTGCCATTAAAGGCATCATAGCCATCAAGGCTATGTCGGAGATGGCTGCCATAGTGGGCAACACTGCCAGTAGTGCAAACTACAGTGTAAGTCTAAGACCCCATGTCAGCAATGTCTCCATCACTGACCAAGTTCCCGACGTGCAGTCCATCGCTTCGTCGTACGTCCAGCAGTGGCAGCAACTAGCTACTTCGTCTGATGGTCAACATCTAACTCTTGCTGTAAGTTCCTCCATATGCTGTACTAAAATTTGCTAACGCATCGCTACCAGTACGGAAATGATTCCACGTAAGGCTGAGCTTCCTGTGTGTTCGTATTTTCTGGTCCTCACGTCGTCTAGCTGGGGCCTTTCGTACAATATGTATGCGGACAAGCTGCTGAATACCAGCCTCATCCCCAGTTCGGTGTATGAAATGCGTATGTCGATCGATGTTGTCTCACGATTGGATCTCATTGTTTTTACAACTCAGAGACTGCCTGGTACCCTACGGTTCTGAGTGAGTACACATCTCTTCACATATGAATAATCTAACAATCTAACACACTGCGTCAGATACTTACGGCGTGCCTTTGGACACACGGTACGTGTGGTTTGCAAACGTGAGCCTGCCTAAGCAGTACTGATACTGCTCATCCAGTCACACATATACCAAGTCCGGTGCGCACCTTTCTCTCGCTCTCCGCCCATCCCTCGTACTTACATGCATGCAGATTGGCAGTTGTGGACCGCCGCTCTGGTATCTTCTACGACTGTGAGAGACACGTTCGTCGACTCCGTATACAAGTATGCTGCCGACGGTCTCAATTCGCAGCCCCTCGGGGACTGGTACGAGACCTTGAATGGCGACGTTGATGGGTTCAGAGCAAGACCTGTCGTAGGCGGTCATTTAGCTTTGGTAAGTGCAGCATCTGAAAGTCATAGGAGGGTCTTCATTGATGATGACGAATGCAGTTAGCCTTGTAATCAGTAAATCCGTATCACTATACGAGGACCATGGATGTTTATCAGACATTGTGTACTAATAACCATGGCGATCAATGCTCTGCAAGTCAAAACTTCGTAGGGATCGGCGGGCAGCCACCACCAACCTTATGATCGCTTTCTCTACATGGAAGGCTAACTGTCGCATTCGGGGCGCTTCATCAGAGCCTTTTGGGTCACACATGCACAGGAAAGTAGGCTTGCTCCTCTGTCAAGTAAAGGGAAGCATAATGGTCTCCAATTGACGAGATATACAAGCGAAGAGCGGCTCTGATGTCTCTGAGACACGGAAGGCACATGACTACCTACTGACGAAAATGGAGCACAAACGGCGGCGACGCGCGAAAGACGTCAGGTATCGGCTGAAAGAAACAACGTCAACACGCAGGGGGATGGCACGCCCGGAAGGAACGCGTGGCACCGGAGAGGTAAGTGAAACTGAGGACAAACGATACGTGTGTGAAGTTTAGGTCGTTATACGATGTTTTTGGTGGTTTGGGAATGTGTGGCGACAAACGTGAAACAACACCAAAGAGTAGAGAAGCGACGTGAAGAACATTAGAGGAACGTGAATATACCGGCTAAAATTTGTACACGAGATACCAATGCAAGCAATGATATCGGGGCAACCAGAGAAACCGTCCATGAGGCGTGATATGTGGGAGGGAGCGCTCGGCCTATAGACAACGGTGGATACCTGCCGAGCTACCTGCCTGGACGCAGGAACGGGCAGATCGTTCTCCCTCGGAACAGAGTATCGAAAGGAAGCCGAATATATACGGAGTGCGATGACAATGCTGGTGGTGGTGAGCGATGGAACCGGTAGAGGAGGCATCCCTGGACAGGATGGATATGTCGTTGGAAGACGGGAGCCACGAAATGAATCGAAACGATGATGATAAAGACATGAATGAGACAGATCCATCATAGAAACAGGCTGACGCGACTAAGAGAGTGGAAAGTGAACATCCTAGCGCTGGCGCTGAGGTATATCCGAGTGGGTGATGGATTATTACACAAGTCGGCAGCCAGAGGGCCTATAATAACGAACGATGAAGACAAGGGAGGACCGCATGTCTTCGGCGAGATTCCGCGAGCATGGTCTATATTGTTCTGAAACTCGTCTAGGTGAAAGCACACGCTCTCACACTTGCAGGGAGGTCCTCTGCTGAGATATGATAGGGGCATCGTAGCACTTGGCATAGCGAGGGTCAACATTCAGCCAGCGGCTGACCGGAACATTCGGCGGAGGATACTGGCTGTAAGAGAATCGCACTTCACTATAACCTGGCTCGTATCTGCTCTGGGAATACGAGCGGACACGTCCCTGGGACGACCCGTCAATCGCCTGATGGTAAGAAAGCGACTGTGAACGCGAATGTGTTTGTGACAACGGATAGGTGTAATCGTAGGCGATATAAGGCGCCTGAGTCTGGAAGACGGGGACACCATACGCGGACACTTGCTCCTGCTTGGAAACATAGCCTGCCATCGACCACGTCTGACGATGAGGATCGAGCACCTGATGGAATGGCAGCGGAGGTGGGGGTGGAACAGCCATGATTGGTTGTACGGCCACATACTGCGCATGCGCTCGAGTCCCGTCACGCATAATGGGCTCGTCAGCCGATGGGCTCCACTTCGCCGGAGGAGGCAGGATCCTGTCCGCTTCCATAGCCTTCTCTTGCATCTGTGAGCGACGCGTAGAGCCAGCCCCGCTGATACGACGCCTCGGAAGGTACTCCTCTCTCAACGGGCCATCCTCGTCCAGATCGATTTCCAGCACGTCGACGTCATACGGCTGCTCTACCTCCACCTTCTCCCCTCTTCTCCCTTCGATACCCACGAAGATCGGTTCAGGTGGACAGTATGTGCAGATCTTCTCATTGCAGCACTGGCAAATCGCTGGAGCCTCGGCCTGAATCAGTGTCTCAATGGCCTTGCGGATTATCGTGTGAGGGTCCATCGATGGCCGAGAGATGGGCTGAGGACAGGATGACGACGATAGGGACGCATGGTATGACAGAAGATGGGAGAGCCAATCTGACCACTGCTGGGGGGAGATGGACAGATCGTAATCGAAAAGGTCCAGCGCCAGGGACTCAAGTCTGTTCAGGGACTGCACTGGCACGTGGGAGATCGTATGCCTACACAGAGAATTAGTCAACTAGTGCTATCGGATCTCAACGACATTACTCGCCAAGTCTTGTTGGAGAAGGTGTGATCGTCTAGCCATTTGTTCGCCAGCATGCATCCCAGGAGAATCAGCCGGAAAGGGGCATACGCCTCGATGGCATCCTGGTCGAGACTCATGCGGCCCTCGCCAAGGAACTCGGCCACAAAGCGGTTAGCCACGCCATTCTGGCTCCCGAGACCTGTAGGGCCAAAGAACACAGGCAAATGCACAATATACCACAGTGCCAGATATACGGCAGACGGCTGTAGCAGCGTAGACAGAAGCATGGCATGAGTTGAACTTGCGAGATGGCTAGGCGGCATGCTCGAGTAGTGCTTGGTGTACGCGCTGTCCAAAGAGTTTAGCAACCACATATGTGAATATAGACAAGAACGCGAGACATACGTAGGCTGGTATACAGGCGGTAGACTCGTCCCCGTTGTGCAAACTTTCCAAACGTATGTGGCGATCCACTCAGACAGCGGTTCAGCAAGTCTCTTGTAAGCGGTAGTCGCGGTGGGAGTGACCACAGGCTCTGGGACTGGCACCTGTACCTGCACATGCTGCTCGGCATGTCGATAAGCTTGGCACTCGTAGCACACATCGCCACTATAATCGTCGTGGTAACCATACTGCATCTCTCTAGAGTTGTTGACGGGCTGAACAGCATCGTAAGACATCACCACATGGGCTTCAGCGACTGCCCTATCAACGAAGTCTGCGAAGGGGGTAGCTGGCCCCATAGGGCTGGACGCAGGATCATGCATATCTGCACGTTCGGGGGATATATCCTCGAAGACAGGGCTGAACGCGCCGCGTTGATAGTCCTGCTCTATATAGAGCCCACTTGAACCGCCGTCTTCACCATTGTCGCCAAGTGGTGCAGAGCGGCCGATATCGTACTGGCCATAGTCCATGGCTGAATCAGAGTCATTCTCCATAGTCAGATCTTCATACTCCTCGTTGTTCGCGGATGGGTGGGTAGGGAACTGGGGGCCGACTTCGTACGGCCAACCATGAGTGGTTGGCGAGTAGATATCCATCCTGTGATCTGGTTCAACTCCACGATCGGGGTACATGTCGATGAGGGGGGATGAGAGGGCCAAACCGGCAGTGGTGACGAGGGTAGAGACGGGCGGAATGCACGCTTGCGCAGGTGCTCCTTTACTGACCGCTGCGTTCCCCGCAACAGCCAACCCTTCCTCAAAATCCTGAGGCACACACCCCTGGAAGCGGCCGATATCCTCCTCCCAAATGCGACGAGGTTTGTTTCTTCTCCACGATGGCAAGGAACTAATCCACTCCTCGCGCGTCGCGAGAGAGGGCGGAGGGCCTCTGGGAGGCAGGGGAGGCTGAGTCAAGTGCTGAAATACCGATGGCTCGTAATCTGAGTCGATGGACCGATTGGTCTTGATCACCGGGTGAGCAGGCTGCTTCGTGTAAAGCGGGACGGGAACTGGCATCTGCAATTAAAGGAGAACAGAAAAAAGGCAGACGGGACAGCTGAGGCGCAGCAGTCGAGGCGGCTGGGAAGAGAGGAAAGGATAGAAAGAGGAGTCGTAAGGTAAGTCGTAAAGAGCTGAAACGGCAGAAGTTGGTCGACGAGAACAATGGATAGTCGGCGAGATTGTGGCAAACGCACAGCGAAGGCGTGCCTTTTGAGATGCTCGAGCGGGGGTAGACTTGACGATGGACGTGGCCACAAGGCTACCTCTACGACCAACCAGAGAATCTCCAACAAGAGCAGACGGGGATGCCCTCTCCTGTCGACGTCGTCGTTGTCGTCGGGGATGAGGAGGAAAAAACTGGCAACGATGGACCGACAGAGGAGGGACCGTCGGATCCTGGGGGGCCAAGATGGTGCTGGACAGGAGAATTTCCCTCACCCTTATCCGTCTACCGCTGCTTATGTAATATTACCGCTGCGCCTTCCCCCCCACACCAGACGCCAAAGACTCAGGCGGTGGCAGCAGGCAGCGGCAATGGTCTTTCCTCAGCTCCCATCCTCCTACATGTCTCAGGATTCCCAGTCTCATGGCCAGACGCAGGTCGGTCTCGATTCTATTACCCTCGGCCAGCTCAAGGCCATGGTTACATCCGTTCCCAAACCAAAGGCATGCGTTCCTTGTCTCCCCCGCCCCATTCCATACCCTGACACCCGCAAGGGAACAGCAAACGTATTATGACTTCCGATACGATGACGAGGACACAGTCCTCAATGAGATCGAGGAGTTCTATTCTTACGTCGAAATGCCCCAGGTCGCGGAGAATCTCAAGGCCTGGGAAGGCTCCTTCACCGGAGGTGTGTCCCCAGCGCGTCAGTCGCGTCCAGTCGCGCTCACCCCACAGCCAGAGTGGACCAAGAGCTCGTTTGCGCAGCGCAAAGCGCATATCGAGCTTCTCCTTGAAAGTTTAGAGCATCGTGACACAGAGATCCGCTTCACCAACGCCCGTAGGCTCCTTTACGTCTTACAAGGTCTGCCGTGCCGCGTCATCGCGTATCAGCCGCTGACACACGCCCTGAAGGCACCTTTGCGGAGACATCATCTGCGGAACATCAATTGCATTGGATCTTTGAGAATTGTAAGGTCGTGCGCGCTGCCAATGGCTTGAGCAACATCGTAGAAGCTATCAAAATTGCCAGTTCGAAACACGATCTCCTATGGTATCATACTACCACGCACGCTAGCTTTCACTCTGCTGATATTCAATGATGTCTGTTTCATAGCAGCCTGTCGGACTCGGACGCTTCCCACTTCAACATCTCTCCGTCGGAAAAAGCCGACTTCATGGAAGAAGTTACGACCGAGCTATCGGTGTACCTCGGTATGCTATATCACATGGTAGAAGTCTTCAAGGGCTACGATGATTTTGCCGACGAGTTGAGTAAGTAGATTGCGTATCCCTTCGTGCCGATCTTATTCGCCACTCTTGCTTACTGTTCATGTCATGCACGGTTAGTGAGTTTGGATCCTCCCTTACCGGTTTACCTATTCAATGTGGTGGCCGGGCTGCGTGACAAGAGCGCCAAAGGCTACCCAGTCAAGAAGGTGACGCACCACGCCAATCATTCATAGGTGTCATCGCTCATGGCGCCTCTAGCTGCTTCTTGTCCTCTGGAAAACCTTACTTACATGCTGCGGCGGGATACGTGAAATTGCCCGTGTGAAGCAATTGTCGCGAGAGCTTGCCGGCCTCCCACTTGTCTCAGATGAAGGTAAACATCTGCTACAAGGAGATTGATGCCTGCGCTAACACCATCCTAGCCCAACCCATCAAGGCGTCTCCTCTGGACATCGAGACATTCCGTCAAGAAATCTCCATCAAATACCCAACTTTTACGCCTCCCCCAGCCCCGGTCGACATCGTTTCCCCAGTACCCGTTCCTGCCCGTATCCGCGTAGTCACCGCCAAACTCGCCCAAGCATATTCACCTATCCCTATCCGTCACCATTATGAGCATGATGAAGTCGACATCCAGCACACAGGCCTTCCACAGAACTCGCACGGGCTCCCATTCCACGCTCAATCCAACCAGTCTTTTCGCCCCGGACCTCAGCCCGCTACTCCTGCGCCGTCCCCGCCGCCATCGCCAAAGCCCAAGAAGCAACAGTTCCAGACGGATCAGAGCCGCCCATTCCTGTTCCCCTTCTCACGTATGACGAGGTACAAGGATGCACGGCTGGTCCCGTATGCCATCGACGAGGCGGACAAGCTGTACACCCGGCACATGTACGTGAGCCTCGCGCTTTGGCAGATGTGGAAGACCAGAGAGGAGTGCATGACCGCGGAGAGTGGACTGGATGTCATGCCCGGCTCGGAAAAGATCGCGGAGCCGAAGCCCCCTCAGGTCGTGAGTGCATGTAACGTATGTATGCGCGCTGTCACTAGATGTTGTTGCAGTCTTCAGCACAGGATGAGACTTCTGAGACCCTGCCCGACATCGTGCGTCTGGACGCTATGATCGCTGAAGCAGAAGCCTCCGTGGCGAAGGCGGAGTCAAGTAACGATAGAAAGAAGGCACAGCAAAGGAAGGAAGACCTTATGCGGTTGAGAAGAGTCGAGCAGATATATGTTAGTAAACCGTATTCTGCCAAATTTTGCGCCGTTGGCTTATTATTTGCAGAGTGCCGTACTGCCTGTTCTCTCTGGCTGGGTGCTAGTACTACTCAAGTTGCTATTAGCTACGGTCTCTGCGGCCACGGCACCCCCACCATCGGCCGCGTCGGCTGGCTTTCCGCCTGGCGTCCCCTCACGTCAGTATAGCTGTCTGATTTTTTTGTTGCTCCCTCTTGACTTGCTTTCTAGCATTAGAGCCTGCTCCGATTCCATCCTTGGATGAGATCGATGTCACACGGCATCGCGAGATTACGTCGAAGGCCGTGTCTGCAATCCTGCTCTTGACACTGAAATGGTTCAAAGTATCTCGTGCGTAGAATTGCTCGGGTCCTAGTTCCACTCTCACTTTTCACATACGGTACAGATGTGATGAAGTTTCACCATCTGGGACAGTTATTGCTTGACACAAACTGCTTGTTACTGATCTTAAAGATGTTTGGTCTGCAAGAGGTGTCGGTCACGATCGTTTCCAAAGCCGATGCGCCCGAGAACAAGTAAGTACCTCCAGCCGTTCACGTAGACCAACCATTCACAATATCAGCTTCTTCCGGTATTGTCAGACGAACTTTGCACGATCCATGCCATCCAACCGACCCGAAGATAACCTGCCGAAATCCTCCCGCCAGACTGTTGTGCAGACTCATGTCCTTCCGAACGGCCTGAAGCGCGACGAGGAAGTCGACGTCCTCACTGATTACTCGTGGCGGAATTTCTTTTCGACGATCAATTTTGCCAAAATTATGCAGAAATTGTCGAAGCACCGCTCGCACCGAATCCGCATGCTCGTGCAATACAAGAGTTCCGTGAGTAAATGGATTACTGCATACGTTCACCGCATTGCACGGGCTGATGATGTCTTCTGGTCGTAGGCTGTACTCAAACGGATGCTGAAAGTGCAACATCCCATGCTGCAGCTGCATGTGCTGAAGCTGCTTAAGAGTCAAGTTCCGTTCTGCGGGCGGAAATGGCGACAATGTAAGGGCACTGGTTTGGCTGCGGTTCTCCCGACTAAATTTGGTTGTCGCAGCAAATATGCAAGTCATTACTGCAATCTATTTGAATTGCAGACCGGATCTCAGAGATGAGTGGCTCACTGGTATTGAAGTTGACGATGTTGCAGACGCACAGGTATGTAAGCTTGAGAGGCTTCTCACATTACCTTCCATATCTGACACGCACCGCAGGCGCAAGAGCAAGCGCTGCGACATCTTGTCAAATTCTGTGAGTCCCTCCTCGGCACCGTCCGCAGCTCGCCAGCTGACCAATGATATTCCATAGACAACACCAAGAGATACGGAGCCGCAGCTGCACACCAGTCTGGAACCCACAGAAGGACAGCGAGCATTTCACATCATCTGGAAGGCTTACATCCGGGGCCCGAGCTGTCTGGTATCATCCGCCCGCTCGCAACGCCGAACAACGTCGATGCGGATGTATTTCCGCCGCTGCGCGCGCAGGCACCCGATCCGTCGATCTTCCTGCCCTACGTCACCGAGGACATTGCCTTCGAGGAGGAATACGAGGAGTACCTCTCGGACCTTGGTTGGTCAGATGAGCAGTACGCCTCGCAGCAGCAGGGGCCGTTGTTCGGCGGCACTTCGGCATGGCATCGCCTGCCCGAGTTCGCGTCAGATATGGCGGATGGAATTAGTGACAGCGAGAGCATCGTATCTATCGGAGAACTCGGCGAAGAGGCGCGTTTGGACTCGGGTAGGGATGACCGAGAAGTTCCTGACGAGAATCTGAATAACTGGGAGGTGAGTCTAACCTGTTAGTGCCGATGGATGCATTCTGAATACATCATGTAGCATATGAGTCCCAAAACCATGGCTGCATTGCAGAAGTCACCGGCTCATGGTCGCCGTTCCAGTTCCGGAGGCGGTCTTCGTCCTGTGCTGCCATTTGAGCTCGATGAGAGCAGTGCGATAGACGATGAGAACGAGGAGGAAGAGCCGGAGTTGGGAATGATACCACGGGATTCGTCGGGTCCTTTCCATGCGGGGGCTGGTGTTGACGAAGTGGAATATGCTTATGGGTGAGTCAGGCTATCACTTCATCACCTGCATGAAGCGTGGAACTAATGGTGTCATCAGGGTATAGCGACTCACATGGACTGCAATGTGCAATTATTACTCTTACTGATATATACACCTTGGAATCTGCGGTGCTGACATGAATTAACACGTCAATACGCCGCCTTTGCTCTCGCTACAGCCCATGGACTGCCAGCCTCGTAAAAGTCCATGCGGTATGCATCCTTTCTCGCTCCCGACTCTGATGTTTCATCTGCATGAGAATCATCCATCCAGCCGACCGCCTTGCCGACCGCCACCGCCGTCTCGTAGGGAGTGAGCAGCGGCTTGTCGAATGCATAACCCCAGTCGATGGACAATCGAGGACATGAAGTTTGTACAAATGCCGCGATGTGCGGACTGAATAATGCCAGCTTCGCAGGTGAAAGCTCGGACAACAGGATCGGCATGTAAGGTATCTGCGTGCGAGAGGTGCTGAGCTGATGGGTGATGGCCTGGAGCTGCCGGAAGCTTCCTTGTCTCCCGAGGGTACCTAGGACCACGCCCCAGAGTAGCGTATTATTCTGGCTGCTAACGGCCATGTCGCCAATGGGAGATGGCGAGGAAGAAAACGCATCAATACTCTGCCGCGCTGTTCGCACCGCCTGATCCCGTATCGTCCGCATCTCTGTATGGTTATACCTTTCTCTCGTGAGCTTCTTGGAGTACGGATCGTAACGGAAAGCGGGTACAGATGGGTTTGCAATCATGATTGATTCGAGGTGGAAGCGACCATCGCCCAAGTAACTGTTCGTAAGTGTAAGGGAAATCAGATACCTGAGATAGTGGACAAGTCAAACAAAAACTCGTACATCAAGGCATCGACGTCCCCCAACTGTGGTGCCGTGCACCCCAGGATCTCGCCTGGAGATAGAGGCTTTGAACGTGGTATCGTAGCGTCATATTTTCCCGTCCACAATCTCGGGCGACCAACGGCGGATGTTTGCTGAACAGCGTTCGACGATCCCTCGATTATCCTTGTGGGTGCTAACTGCGGATCCACGTACTCCACGGTCAAATCATCCTTTAGCCGAGACAGTGCCGCTACAAACTGAATCGTAGAGACCAAGGCGAGGCGAGTGGGCTCGTATGAAGATAATAGACCATTCGGAGAGTCTACCCCAGTATCGTTCATTTCATGAGATGAATCGGGACCTTCGATTCGGAGATGTGTCCCTCGTGTTAATGGGTTGCCAGCAGGGATGTCCTTATCAGTTTCTTCTGAATCCAAGAGGGCCTCGTGAAAGCGTCGACGGTCGTTTGGGAAATTCAATCGGATGGTTTGCCCCAAATGGGAAGAGTCAATGGCAATCTCAACGAACACATACAAAGTCTTGATTGTTGTTTGGTCAATTGGTACTGGGGAAAATGGAAAGTATTGGAGCGCATTAACGCGAAAGACTGCCACTATGTGCTAACCAAGGCAGCTGTGTCCATAGTGGACGAGCATATCGCATCCTAAAGCTACCGCGGTGTAGTCGTCGATGCAACACGCGCCATACGTGACGTCTCCCATAATCACGGTGAGAGCATCGGTAAATCTACGAGGATGCCCAGCAAAATTCAGCTCAGATACAACGTTCAAACCGACACAAAGCATCTCCGCACCGTTCAATGATATCGGCAATGGTACATGCAAACATCTGTAAGCCTTCCGGCATCTGAAGGGCAACCATCTGGGCGTTGTTCTTCCGTACATGGTGGATGGTCTTGTGGATTTCAAAAGAATAATTGGAAGGAAGTTGTTTGATCGCGGCGTTCAATTGCACATCAGTGAGAATGTCTTCGGGGATCTGATTCGCGACAATAGACGACATGCCATGTTTCGTAGGAGTTGCATGTTTGCTACCAATGAATCGTTTACGTGGTTTGGTGGCATTGGATGCTTTGATATTCGACGACATGATTTTGTGCACTGAGATGATGTCGGCGACAAGATCAGAGTCGGCCCATGATTCTTATCTTATCTCGTGACTGCTTGGGCGCGGGGAGTAACGCATCAGCGTGACACCCTCGCTTGCTCACTGACCAACATGTCGACGAGAGGACGTTCAACTTCGCCGCACCCTCTTCATGATGGAGATGTGGACATGGAGAATGGCAGCGGGGAGGACAAATTGGATGCAAAAGTGGTCATCATCAACAACCTAACGCGAAACGTGGTCGAATCGCACCTACGGACAATATTTGGCTTTTATGGAGAAATCACCAAGCTCGACCTACCTGTCTACGGAAAATGTTCGTCTTCCCAACATCTCATCGGTTTTCTGCCTCATTCTGATTTTGTCATTAGCCGGTCAAAACAGAGGGAAGGCTGCCTTGGAGTACGCCGACCCCGCTTCTGCTCACAAAGCCGCCTCCCATATGGGCGGGGGTCAGTTGGATGGCGCCGTCTTAAAAGTCGAACTTTCAGAGCTGCCAGTTCGCTCACGCTCGCGCTCACCTCGCGTCCCCCTACGTTCTCGCTACGGTCGTGATAGACCAAGGTCGCTTTCACGATCCCCATCACGCTCACGTTCTCCACCTCGAGGATACGCGCGTAGGCCTCGCTACAATGACACTTACCGCGGCAGGCCATATGCTCGCAGAGGCCCTCCACCAAGAGATACGTATCGTCCGTATTCACGTTCACGTTCTCGCTCGCCTATCAGAAGGGGAGTAGATCGTCTAGGACCCAGGAGGCTATCTCCCAGCTATGAACGCGGTGGAACAGGCTATCGTCGTCGTTCCAGGTCTAGGACTTATTCCGTGCGCTCAAGTCGTTCGCGCACGAGGTCACTCACTCCACGTTCTCGCTCTCGTTCCTTGTCCTACTCTTCATATTCGCGATACTCGCGGAGCAGGAGCCGTTCGCGGTCGGGCAGCAGAGGAAGGAGGAGTTTCAGCCGGGACGATATTAGGGACAGTAGATCGAGGTCACCTAGAGATTAGGACTGTCGGACAGATCCTCTTTCTTGTGCTGTATATAGTCTCAAAGGCATTCCAGGGAGTGCATAACTGTATTATGCGGCATGTGTTTATACATATTGTCCATCTATCGGGCCAGGTCAATCGCTAGTGATAGAATCGTCATCTGCAAGGAATGGTCTGCTTTCACAAGTCAGTAATCAGCCGGCCGAGCAATGGAGGGGGCACGGACGTGTACTCGTAGTCGTTTCGTATTGCGTGAGACATCCATTCCTCGTCAGCTTCCTGGAGAGGAAACCCTGGTCCTCCGGCCAAACTGAGCACAACAGGGAGAAGTACAAGACCGTGGAGAGCACCTGAGACGATCAGGGTCATCCACATCCGGAAGTAGTAGATCTGTCCAAGCATCAGATTTAATCAGAGCGAAGTGACTCGAGACAAAGAACTGACTTCTAGGAACTTAGAGCGTGTCAGAGCAAGAACACACATCCCGATCAGTTTCGTGAATGTGATGCCCGATATGACCTGTGCATCATTCGTGTCATAAGTCACCTAACGACATTGAAATGTTTTGTGGAGGCTTACAGAAGGACCAACATCGACCAACGCTGTCCACATGCGTTCATCCCGCTCCTTCTGCCCAGCAGGATGGTCTACTGGTAGTCCGGAACCGGCACCCATGAATGCACGAGCGACGTGTGCACAGAACTCCACAGCAATGCCCAGTGAAATGACCAAGTTCACGAGACTGATTGCATTCAGCATGATGCCCCAAACACCCATCACTCCCATAACGCTGGTAACCGTCAGCGCAACAACGCCTGTGACAATGGTTCCTGTTCGCCATGAACCCAAAAGCAGCGCAGTGACCAGCAGCACCGCTGCCAAGCCAAGGCCCAGGATTTGTTGAGTTATGGCAACGATGTGAGCATACTGATCAAAAAAGACGTAGTGTAGCGAGTAAGGGAAGACCGACATCCCGGTTTCTTTTGACAAGTCATCAGCGATGCGATGGGCCGCAGCGAAGGAGTTGATCAAGTCCTCCTGCGACTTGAGGGGCGTATGGAATGTGCGGAAGTGAGAGGCAACAACTTCGTCGCCATCCGGAGACAGCGACAGAGCTGTTCCAAACGAGGTCTTCCCCGCAAGCGGGCAGTCCTCCGTTGTGGGTGAATTCAGCCATTGACGAAGATAGTCCATGAATTCTTCGCCCTCAGGCAGCCCATCCATAGTGATATTCCACTCCGGTTCGTGATTTGCGTAACACATTTGACACAGTCTGGGTGACTCTGAGTCCCTGCAGAACACGCCTGGGTCCCTCTTACGCACTCGACAGCATCTCTCCTTGAGAGGATCGAGCCAATTCATGAAGTCGTCTATCCAGGAAGCAGTTGGTTCAGCGATGAATGACGAATCTCGCCGCTTCCGCTCTGCCTCGAGGACATTGGCTATTGACGAGTCTTCGCAAGTCGTGAAGCGTCCGCATAGCTGCTGTTGGCCTGATCGCCGGGCAATATCAACATCGTGCACCACAAAATACACAGGGGGACCTATGTCAAGATAGGCATCCACGTTGTTGAAGTATGGTATGAGGTAGGACTCTGATGGCAGGGCCAGTCGTTGATCTACGAGGAGTTGATTTCAGTTAGATCTCAACAAGGCGATCATTTAAACTCACCAAATCCTAGATGTATGTGTTGGATCGAGATGATTGAAACAACGAAGACTCCTCCGAAGGTCAGTAGGACCACGCCTTTGACAATAGGCCGCAGCAAGAATGGAGCATAATGGCGACGAATGAACCGCGCAATAGTCCCGAGACCCCCTCCTGACGGAGGCTCATCAGGTAACGAAATTCTGGCTGGCATTCGTATGCACGGGAAACAATCAACACGGCTAGCCTATGAGAGGGATTACTCTCAGTTAAAAGGAGTCAGCCATGAGACTCACCTCGACTCGCTTCAAGTCAACTACCAATGCACTAACGAACACAGTCACTTGTAAAATCGCGTTCAATAGCACACTTCCTGCTGCATACAGGGCAAAATTCCGAACAGCAGGCATGGGCACCAGCGCGCCCAATGCAAAAGCTACAGTCTCGGTGACGGAGCTGAGCAGGATGGACGGGCCCATCTTCGCCAACGTCCTCGCGATACGTTCTTCAGCGGACAGATACAGCGGTGTGGATACGGCATCAACGGAGTCCTCAGGCGAACGTAGCGAATCGAACTGCGAGCGGCTACGCCCCTGAGTCGGCGACAACGGTGTAGTGTATCCATAGCCTGGTGGCGCCGTTGCAGCATTAGGACCATGCAGGAGATTCTGTCGGTCGAGTTCGTGCACAAGTATGAATACGTTGTCGACGCCGACGGCAAGAACAAGGAAAGGGATCACTTCCGCGATGATGAGCGTCACCTTCACTCCTACAAAGGAGAAGAATCCAATGGACGATGAGATGGAGAGAATGACGAGAGCAATGCCAAACAAGCCAAGAGTGAATTTGGATCCGACGAACAGTTTGCGAGGAAGCCGTGGAAAGAAGCTTGGAGTGTTGCGAGAGTCGATGGAAATGGTCGATGCAGAAATGTCGGGGCTCCTGAAAAGTCTGGGGAGATTGGCGGCCCAACGTGTTAGAGAATCTATGATACTGTCTTCACGGCCAAGACCAGCACCGTTGCCCAACGTGAATGACACATAGAAGAACATGGCCAGGTACGAGAGCACAACGATCTTCACGTCGGTGTTCGTGCTCTTGTTTATCTCTTCTTCGAGCGAGACACCAGTCGACCACGCGATCTCTAGTCCGGCCTCCTCAGGAATGCGCTCGCCGAGATTCTGCAGATACCCGCGCAGTGTCCGCTCCCATTCCATGGCTCGCTCCTGCTGTTCTCGATCGAGTGAATCTGAAACGACATAGGTGACCACAAGTGCCTCTGCATCCAAGAATCTGTCTGTGCTATTGCTGGCCGGGAGGCCACCTAGTACATATTGTGGTCCCAAGGGCTGCTGGAAGTCCGGAAGACATTCGACAGGTGAGTTTGCGCAAGTAAGGAGATGTGAGGCCCACGTGCCGGGGTCGTACATTGACAGATCGTTTCCAAACCATGCAGCAACAGACTGCACGACGCAGAAGCCATCAGGCCCAGCAGGTTTGAAACACACGTCTGATAGGGTATAACCGTTGGGAGACGAGCGCAATGCGCGGATCTCAGCCTCAACGTTGAACCAGTACTTCAGATGCTCCCAGGAGAGCACCGGAGGCTTGCTGTCCATAATTGAATCATTTGTGGGTGAGTCAGTTGAAAGGATCGAAGACGACGCGATGGGTGATGAGGTGACGAATATCTGCTGTGGACGGTAGAAAGGACCGAAATGCTCGTCAAAAAATTCTTTCTGCAGCTTGCTTTCGGAATCTGGAGCAACCCACAAGCGAACGGGATCGGTCTCGATATCGAACTTCTTCCAACCCAGATTAAGTAGTCCTATCAACGTGAATACCAGTGCAAACGTGAGCCATGGATATGATGCTGTGGCGAGGCCAAGACGGTAGAAGAGACGACGCAGCACATTGTTGAGACGATATTGTCGTGGTTGGACAGTCTCTATGGGATCCAATAGTGATGCACCACGACCTAAATTTCGTGATTCTGACTGTGTTCCAGTCGAGTCTTCTCCGTCAACGTACGGTGCGAGTGATGAGGCGCCGACTAGTGTACGTGCATGAGTGCGAGGGGAGACCAGATGTTCGGATGCAGCGTCGGCAGAGAGCGCCACACGTTCGTACGACTTTTCTCTGCGTTTCTTGATTGTGACTTGTAGCACGTATCCAAAGAAGAACGACGCAACTGCGAGTGAATACAAGAGGATGAGAACGAACGTCAGGCATGAGATGACGCCAACGTGGCATATTGGTTCTGCATTCGGTGGCGGGATATATGGAAGTGTCTGACAAACGTCAGGGCAATCAATGCACGTACACCGACTGGCGAGGTCATTGTCGGCGCAGTTGCGAGGAACGGTATTGAAGGGTGACATTGCCGGTGGAGAAGTAGGTGGATAATTGATTTGGAAGGGACTACCCATGGCTTTCTCGTCCCCCATGAACTTCAGAAATGCGGAATAATTCTTCGCACCTCCTCCAATGAGGTCCATGGCATAGCCATTCATGTTGCCCACCTTGATGTTCTTGCAGCTATCGTAGAATCCTTCGCCGAACTGTTCTGTCACAAAAAAATCGACAGATTTTACAGCCTCCTGATCTGTGCGAGATGTCTGGGTTGCAGTAACGTTCAGGAAGGTAGCTTGGTTTGGAGAGCATGTGAACGAGCAAAAGAAGTGACGAAAATTGTTCCGACATGCGGGACATGTCGAGATAATATTCTCTGCTGTTCCAAGGTTGTCGCGTAGGGTCTCTAGTTGGTCTGTGGTACAACATGTGGGCCCTTCTGCGTATTCAGCACCGCAGAGTGAGACGAGGAGGGTACGGTCTACATCATTCTACCGTAATGGCGTGAGAGATCAAAGTGGAATATAATTGGAGATGCAGCTCACCTCAGATGCAGGACCATCGTAAGGGCAAGGTAAAGGCTTCCCGAACACATCCTTGGACCCGCAAGAGCCACGCATAGCGCAACGTCCCTCGTCGCCGACGCGCATGCTGGACGGCACTTGCATGTCCGCCATTCTTGAAAAATCGGACGGGTTATAAGCCTTCGGTTTCGACCTTCACAAAAGCCAGTGTGGATGAAGCGTGAGGGAAGCAGACTTGCCGCGGAGCAGGCAGTTGCGCGGTGGGAGACTGTATGACGTAATTATGCACACCAACGCGTTCACACGTGATCGAGAGAGCTCATGTGGGAGAGCGCGACGCACAACGCTCTCTATCCCGTACTCCCATGTCGTACCCCACCAAGCGTCTTGCAACCAACGACGCTGTATCCGCTCAATGCGCATCCGATGAACAACCCAGAAACGGGTGCGTATAAGTCTTATACTGAGCCTCCGTCTCACGCCAATACGCGTAGCTGTCTAGCATCGACGCAGACCTCGCCATGCGTCTTCGGAATATGGCATCCAGAGTGCGGAAAAGTGAGCCTGTTAACTGTCTGTGTTGCTTATAGCGTAATTGACGCGTCTGTACCTGTCTTCTCTGGCAGCAGTTACGGAGGGTTACACCGCCTCTAGTGCTCCCGTTTCGCCGAATATCTCCTCGTCGAAGGCTAGGCTGCCATTCACCCAGTCTATTCCATTCTTGTCTGCGAGAGACACGTACCGTGACGTGTATTTGTCTCGGGCGGATGCCCCTTCGCCGTGCCCCAACAAGCGGAAGCACACCATTCTGGAGGAGGCGGAAGAGGAGTTGTCTGACGAGGACATCGATATGGTCAACGATATGGATGACGATGTCTGGACAGGAGACGCATCTCATTCCGTACCTCACTCTTCAATGTTGAACGTGAGGCCGATGAAACCTCTCAGGCCAGCCAGACTGCGTTTGACGGGCACTCGCTCACTCCCTGTCGGCATCTTTCGCTTTACCGACGATGCGAACGGCGAGAGCTCTACTATGCCGACATCACAGTATGTGGAGGAGGATTGGAGCAATCACCTTGCGCCCTCGTCTGGGCCAGCCCTGACGTGACGGATCCCATTTGACATTATTATTCGTATTCTATTCGCCCCTGGTGGACGTTGTCCTGATGTATAGTGCACGGCCGTAACATGTCACGCCCAAGGATTCCCTGGATTCCGCTGTATACTTAACATTATTTCCAACGTGGAACTGAACTTCGCTGCTTTTCCGCATCTTATTTAAGCGAACGGCAACTAGGTACCGCAAACTACGACGAGTCATCGATCGGGGCGACGATATTATTATTCAATCATATCATAGGCGAAAAACCACAACGTGATTGACCGCGAGAAATTGAAATGAAAGAGATGGTTGATGAAAAGACGATATCGCAGATGAAGTAGGTGGAAACAATGCTAAAATTGACAAGTGGTGTGCTAGTAATCGTCGATACAATGCAATGATATCGATACAGTGCGAGGAATGAAAGGGACCAACAATCTTACATAGTTCAACAATCAATATCTCAGGATTTGCCAGACACCAGACCAAATGCGAAAGAACAAAACAGATGAGGTAGACAAAAGTCAGGAGTTATGATGGGTATCGCAATATTGTCCTCATGTGTAGGAATGTCATGAGCGTTTCACCAAGCTAAGCCAATGCTCTCTCTGATCGACCCAAATCTTCCTCAGTAAGCGTGAAGAACGAGATCGCACGAGTAACTCACCGTATAGAGACACTCTCGGTCCAGCTCTGCTCTTCTTCCCATACGTTTTCCCATAGCGCCTCATCGCCCAGGTCCAGTTGTTCTTGCTCAAGACCCAGCAGCCGCAGATCTATGTCGCACGCAGAAGCAGCAGAGACGCGCGCCGATGCGCACTCGTCGTCCGTTTCTTCAGGGATAGCAAAGAGCTGAGACCCCGGCACGCGGATTTGAAGACTCGCGCCCAGTTCTCTGGCGCGTCCCCATCCCATGTTCAATGACTTCTCAGCATCATCGTAGTACCCTGTCATGATCTGATCATAGTGACCCACTTCCGCATCCAAAGTAGACGTGATGATGCGCGCGTCAGCATCGCCATCGTCCGATCCCATCATCAGTCCGAGTCCAAGCACAGCGCTGACCGCATCGACGTCTAGCTGACCGTCCCTGACGAGGTCCTCAAGCTGCCAAGTGCCAGATGTGGAACCGGACAAGCTATTTTCCATTTTGATCACAGTGCCCATAGTGGGAGTACTAACGCTTGCGGTAAACGAAGTCGAGTCAAGCACCACAGCATTGCGGAGGGGCGAGGGACCAATGGTGGGACTACAGCTCTTTCTCCTCTGCTGCTGTACGCGTTTCTGCCTGCCCAGAACATGCGGTGAAATAGAAAGAGAAGGCGGAGAAATAGCTATCTTCGGTTTGGATGTGACGTTGAGCGGGCGTGTCGTCAGCGCAAGTGGTTTGCGTTCGTTCCTTACGACGGCGACGAGCTCTAGAATATTTGGGGTCACCGGGGGCGAACGGTGCGTAGGTGACTGCAGGTATTTTACCGATGTGCACTCACCATTGGCGCCCCATTGTTCTGGGTGAGCGCCGCAGGATCGGGGGCGGTTCGGGCTGTACACTGGAGCGGGGACCGGCACGGATGGTGCTTCAAAGACGGAAAACGTGAGCGAGCTGCTGGCTTGAACCTGAGAGCTGGAGAAGGCGACGCTGAGTGAAAATTGTGCAACATCTGGGACGGAAGGCGTATTCGGAGAAGTAGGAGGTGTTTCAAATGGGGGTGCTGGTTGGGCAAATCAGATCATGTTCATCAATCCAAGAAGAGTGTGTGAACATACTGGGCGAGCTGGATCTAATTCCAGACTGATCTCCGTTAGAATTTCCGCCAGAACTTGTCGATTTCTCTTGGTGCATGCCGGGCTCCCCATACCAGGATGACAATACCGGCTCCATGATTTGCATCAAAGTTGGAGAGCGTAAGGCAGGTATATAGGCCGCAGGAGGGTGCGGAAGCATTGGAGTACAAGGAGGAGACGAGGGATGGACGGTCGCGCAGCTCGTGATGTCAAGGTGCGGCAATGGAGAAGACATGTCAAGGTAGGACGCGGAAGCAGTCCTTGAGCGTGACTGTGAGCGGTACCGGCGACACGAATTCTTCGTGCCACCGCGACTGGTGTTTGTCGAACCATCCACGGTACGGGGGTACAGGATGGCGGATATCGATGAAGGCTTTGACCCCGTGCGGGAACGGTTCCGTGCTTGACGTTCAAGTCTGTCTCTTCGGCATTTTATTCTTGTTTCCCACTCAGGCGATCCTAGAAAGCCGACCAGATACCCAGTTTGAAACGGTCTCTTCCCCAGACTAAGACCAGAAGTGGAAGAACCGGACATTGATGCCGACTTATTGTCCTGAGTGTCGCCTGCATGAATGGACTGGACTCTACGATACCATAAGTATGTGTACTTGAGTAATACAAGGACTGGAAATGGCAAGAATGCAAAAGACAGCGCGAATGAAGATATAGGTGGTGCCTGGAGGGTTGTTACTGGTAACGCGTGGGTTGAGACAGATAATGACAGTACGCAGGAGGCGAGGAGAACAAGCATCGCCAGAAACCTATGTCTTCGCAGGCACTGTGCAGCTCTAAAATCTGATGAAGTTGATTGGAGACTGGAGTCCAAGAGGTGTCGCCGCAGAATCCAACAAATTACAGTGTTGTACGCAGCACTAGTAGTACAAAACTTCTCACCCAGGTAGTGCAACAGGTCTGCGAGCAAAGCACTTCAATAAGACCAGTTGGAGCTATAAGATAGACTCAGAAGGGCCCGCAATTCTGATATCAAGGAGAAAGAAGTTCGCGAGGAATTGAAGCCAACATGATGTTGTCAAACCGATCGATCACGTGTTTGCGTTGAAGGTACCTCGAAAGGCAGGTGTTTAGATTCGCACTGCTATTCTAAACAGGGATGTGACACTATTTCATTGCACTCTCCTCCTAATGAAGATCCTCATGGTACGTTTGACCTGCTCGGTTCAGAATGAATTGGTGCATCATCACGGTGGTATCTTATGGTGCAGGGATGCCAGACAATAAAAATCGCTATGACAGACTGGTACAATTAGGTCACTCACTACGGCCAATAATCTTCATCGACGGCAATTCTGGCCCTCTTCTGTGCAGGCTGCACTCCATGTGTTATACGCATGTGCCTCTTCAGTAGGTCCTGCCGCACGAAGCTCTTCTCCTGGACGGGCGCACAGATTGGGCACGAGAACGGCTTGTTTCCGGCGTGACTGCCCTCGTGACGTTTGCACTCGTTCTTGCGGAGGAAGCGCATACCACTATATGAGAGGTAGATTCAGAGACAAGTAAACTATTTTTGGAACGAGAAACTTACCAGATCCCACAATGGAACGGACGATGTTCGACATGCGAGCCCACATGTACAAGGATATGGTCCCGTCGCTTGTTCCTCTGCGCGCAGCCGATCACGTAACACCGATAGTCCTCAATGAACTCCCCGCGTTGTGAAAGTCGTCCTGCGTAGACTTGTAACCAGGTCTTGTCTAGTTCGAAACCGGGGTTTTCGCGGCGATACTCGTCCGCACGGCGGCGCAGGTCTTCGAGCTCAATACCTTGATGAGCATTCAGAACAGGGCTTTGGAGTTGCGGCTTGGGCCGGGGCGCCTGAGCCTGGGGTATATAGATATCTGCAAGCGGCACGTGGTGGGGTTGACAAAGAGTCGGGGGATTGGGTGGTACGAAGCATATGGGCGGCGCTGCAACCTCTAGTCCGGCTGCATGGGGTGTGAATACGTTCGCTGTCATGTTTGTCGCCATCAGATTACCGGGAGATAAACTCTGTCCGACGGCGCTCCCACGACGGTCTTCTTGCTTCGTAGCAGACAAAACGGACACTATAGCGCTGATGAGCTCGTCGGGAAATTCTGCCTTAGCCACGACTTCCCCCGAACGATTGGTGGGAAGTTCTGGGCTCGGGGACGGCGGATAGCATAAATCTGCCATGTCGGAGAGCTGTGGAGAATTCACGTCTTCCGCCTTGATGTACGCGCTAGGCCCCATGATATCGGCAGGGTTGACACCTAGTACAGGACCTTGATCCCTGGCAGCAAGCTCTAGCATGTTCACGTCCGCAAACAGGCCCACGATTGGTTCTTCGGAACAGCGTGCGTCCCCGTAAAGGGGAGGAGAAGACAGAGAATCAAGTATGTCCGTCATCTGATTCTTGATGGAGCTCGTGTGAGAATTGTCGCTCAGGTTTCCTTCAGAGCTACAGAAGGACAGAGAAGGCAGAGAAGACGAGGCGAAGGGGGAATGGGCTCTGAACTCGAATGTGGGACAATCAGAGTAGGCTGCTCCTTCGTAGCTGTCTGCTAGAGGGTAAGCAGGATCCTTCCGGTTCGCATTGCTGCTGCGGTCGTCTTTCTCGACGGACTCGGGAGGTTCGAGAATGGGGGAGGAACCAATGTGACAGATATCCCTTAGCGAGAGATAGTTGGAGCCATCTGAGATGTAGTCCGACAGCGAGCCCGGCAATGGAGTGAAGTTGACTGCAGGTATGACGGGGGAAAACACTGCACCAATGGGAGTTGCGTAAAGAGGTCCTTCGTAACGAATACCCAAACCAGTAAGCCTAGATTTAGATCTGCCTGAATCATCTCTCTGAATCCAGGAGTTGAAGGTGGGGAAGCTAGACTGCGCTACGTTGGGCTGGAAGTCGAAGTCGAACCCGACAGTTTCCCCGAGAAGAGGCAGACGAAACGCTGGGGAAGGAGTACCTGCTCCAGGACTAGAGTAGGGTTCGTATTTCAGAGCTATGTTGTCTCCTATAGAGGGTTGCGTCGCCGGCGTCGCGGTCTGCTCTGTAAAAGAGTGGGCATTGGTAGTGATGTCGTTTGTGTCGGTTACAAAGCTATAGTCGTAACTGCGTTTCATGCTCGTCAATTAGTCGTTATAAGATACAGAAATAATAGGATGTGAAATCGTCCCGAGGAGATTAATAGGGATGGGTAGGGTATGAGGAGAACACACTCGAGCGCGCCGCTGACTTCAACTCGAACTGCTTCAATCACGTGATCGCGATATTCATTCACCTAAGCGCCGACGGGCTGTTTCACCTCAGATGCTTGTCTGGAAGGCTTCCTCTGTCCGGTCACTCAGCATCCCTCTCAGGTGCATATTTGGCCGACAGAATTCAACAAACTCATCCATATATGCCCCGAAAAGGCGTCCATCATTCGTAATTTACGGCGTACTCGGCGGTGGTGCTGTTGCTACAGCATACTTTTTCTGGCCGGACATTTCTCGCTCGGCACCAACGTACTCAAATGCGCTGCTCTCTCCTGTACATTTCATTCCCGTCACGGTGTCCTCTACCGTAGCATGCGCTGACCCAAACAGTCGCCTCATAACCCTGACCGTTCCTCCTCAATGTCTCCCGTCTCGCGACGAGTCCGCCGTGGGACCCGTGTGGTCCATCTTCATCAAGGACGATGATATCCAAGTGGAACGACCTTATACGCCTCTGGAGGGCATTGATAAGGAGGGCCGGATGAAGTTCTGGATCAAGAAGTACCCGAAAGGCGAGGTCGGGCGTTGGGTGCACTCGAAGAACGTGGGAGACAAAATTGAGATTAGAGGCCCACTAGTTACGTGGAAGTGGCAGGAGAATGTGTGGGACGAAGTTGTCATGGTACGTCAACGGATCTTGACCAGTTTCAACTCTGCGTTCATTTTCCACGGCGTGGACAGATTTCCGGGGGCACCGGAATAACCCCGTTTTGTCAACTGCTGTACAATACAGTCCTGCAGAACCCTTCAAACCCTCGGAGGACGCGATTTACGCTTCTCCATGGTTCATATACACCAGCCGAACTCCCTCCGCCCGCTATGCTTGAGCCTCTACTTTCGACGGCGCAAACACATCCTGACCGCTTCAAAATGTCCCTTTTCGTGAATTCTCTGGACGGCCCAAGTCACCCGTCGCTCTCGTCTTCTGCCTTCCAAGTCGGCAGAATAGACAGGGGAGCGATTGAGCATGCTCTGGGGATCGATAACGGCTTTACAGTCTGGTGGAAGGCCCTGCTCCGTATGAAGACTCCCGCGGATCGTACCAAAAAGACTCTCTTTTTGGTCTGCGGTCCGGAATCGTGAGTTCTCAGAATGTGATCTCGTCATGTACTAATTCGCTCCGCCCAGCATGATCAACAGCATTGCAGGCCCTTTCGGACGGAACTTCTCCCAAGGCTCTATCGGCGGTGTGCTCCAAACTATGGGCTATGGATCACACGAAGTATGGAAATTGTAACGCGCCTGTGTATAGACCAATTGGGTACGCCACGCCACTAGACAGACTGGGGACGAGTTTGCAAACAATAACTGCTACTATCTTCCCACTCTTACTATTGCCGATTTCAGTAGGACTGTCGCGGCGGCAAACACACACAAATTCGCGCCATTCCTACCCCCAACTTTGACCTCTGATATCTCTCGAACGGTTGGGCCGTCTTCCTTGATTCTTGCACGGTTGGACTCCCCTCATCGATGTGCAGGGCCGGGTAACGAAAAATCTGGCAATTTCCCACTAGTTCAAGTTCGCACATTTTGGCCCCCTCCGCCGCTCAGAACTCGATTTGCATGCGATGGAGACGTGGAACGGGGATAGAAATGGCTGGGCTATGTTTGGGTGGGCAGTATGGTGGGCCCCGTATGTGTTTTCTATGCAGTCTTGATGTTTTCTGTTCACTCTTACCATCCTGCCGCACCACCCCTCACCCGGCTGCACCACCTCCTTACTCTACTCAATTCTGTTGATTGTGATGGTCTGTCATGTTGAGTTAACCTTTCATACATACTATGGGATGTGGTCGACATTTCTGCATGCGTGAGATGCTCGGGCTGAATGGCATCAATGTACCTGTCTCTTCGGCTACGAACATCAACCACCTTCCTACTACAACCACTACATTTCCCATGCCACTTGCGAAACCATTCTGAAGATTTGCAGTGGGTGCTGGCATATTCTGCTTGAAGCAAATGTGGCTGGTGAACTGGTTGTGCACAAAAGACAAGCAAGGGTTTGCCGCGTCACAGGCAGCCACAACATAGATCGTGATCACATTCTCACCATGTATACTATTGCATCATGCAGAATGCACCACTCTGAACATAATTACACCAATAAAACAAGAGTCCCATGATATGTAGCAATTCCAAAGAAGTAGAGAAGGACTCGGTGGTGCGGCAGGATGGTAAGAGCGAACAGAAAACATCAAGAATGCATAGAAAACACATACGGGGCCCACCATACTGCCCACCCAAACATAGCCCAGCCATTTCTATCCCCGTTCCACGTCTCCGTCGCATGCAAATCGAGTTCTGAGCGGCGGAGGGGGCCAAAATGTGCGAACTTGAACTAGTGGGAAATTGCCAGATTTTTCATTACCCAGCCCTGCACATTGATGAGGGGAGTCCAACCGTGCAAGAATCAAGGAAGACGGCCCAGCCGTTCGAGAGATATCAGAGGTCAAAGTTGGGGGTAGGAATGGCGCGAATTTGTGTGTGTTTGCCGCCGCGACAGTCCTACTGAAAACGGCAATAATACCGGGCCTTTGGGACAAGACCCTCTGGATGGAGGGTCTTGAGTCGAGACTAAGCTGTTCCAATGGATACCCGATACTGTTGAGTGACGGTGGAATTTGCGCCCCCGGGTGATGGGACCGATGGTGTGACAAAAATTGTACCATTTTGTGACGAAGTAGCAAATGACTGGACTTCCGATTTGTCATCCGCCCCCAAGAAATCTCCAATCGGTTTATAGTCGCTCAGGCTCCTCTGAAATCTTCATCAACAACCTCGCCGTTGTTTCTCGTCGACCATGTCTCCCGCGGCGATATATGTTTCCCCTGTCGCGTCTCAGGACCAGCAGAAGGTTGCAGCGGTCCCGATCAAGGGACCTGCTCTCGCCATCGGTTCTCCTGCAACAGCGGCAGATGGCAAGTACCAGTTGCTTATTACCAGCCTCGAAGAGACCAGACGCGTTGAGAGACAGATGGTGGACAGGTTGCTGGATGGAGGTGCACGCCGTCTACTTTCGACCATGTTCTTAGCTGACTGTATACGGATCGGTGACAGCTACGACGCTCACACCTTCGAGTTTTGCCTCGGTCCATCTCTCACTCTCCCCTTCAGAGTATGATGCCATCGCACCCAGGATTTCCGAGCTCCTCGCGCAGGTGCTTACGGGTCTCGAGCCTCTAGGCACGCTGCACGTTCTCAACCTCTCCGCTGCTCTACCTAACCTTCCGTCGGAGCTCACCCTCTCTGGCTTCACGGTGTTGTCCGTTATCCCCGCGGAAGACATTTTGATTGCGCAGAAACCTGCACATTCCATCGGCACCTCGTTCTCTGCCAGAACCGCTCCTGTTTCTCTGCCTCTCCGACGGAAGATTGACTCGGAGCGTAAGGCATCTAAGAAGGCGCTATGGACTCTAAACGCACCGTCAACACCTTCCATCGATGCAGAGAGCCTCCTTACGCCCCAGGACCGTGAGCGACCGGCGACGTGCGAGCCTATGACTCCGGGGGCGCCGCGGAGGAAGAAGGCGTGCAAGAACTGCACGTGCGGTTTGGCAGAGCTGGAGGCTGACGAGCTGGCGCAGACCAAGGTTGTCTTACTAGACGGTGCGGAGAGTGGCCAGACGATGGAGGTGATGCAGAGTGAGAAGGAGCGACTGATCGCAGCTGCAGCTGGAGCTCCTAAGGCGACGAGCAGTTGCGGGAACTGCTATCTTGGAGATGCTTTCCGGTGTTCGAGCTGCCCTTACCGCGGTACGTTGCGGTTTGTGTCTCCTGAATTGCATATACTCAGTGTAGCATCCATTTCTCCAGGCTTGCCTGCCTTTAAGCCCGGAGAGAAAGTCGAGATAGATTTCGGGATGGATGACATTTAGACTGTGGATCTGTTTGCTTTCTTCGTTTGTATTGTTGTACATCCAACATGTTGACTAGCAATATTCTGTATTATTCGCCGCAGAGCGCGTTCATTCGTTGTCCAGAACTTCGACGTTCGAGTCGAGATTCCACGCGAGTCACGTGCCATCAAATTTGTTGCGAGCGCTCGACACGCGCTAAATTGAAGCAAGTAGTACTCTCATGGCAGAGGCTGCAGGAACGGTTGCATCTACCAGCACATCAAGTTCACAGTCTCCTATTTGTGTGATTTGTACGAATGACGCTGCCATTTACACCTGCCCTCGCTGCTCCGTCCGCACATGCTCTCTGTCATGCTCGACGGCTCACAAGTCTCGCGGAGAGGGCTGCACGGGGATCCGCAACAAGGCCGCGTTCCTGCCGATGAACCAATATGGTTACATGGCCCTTATGGACGACTACATGTTTCTGGAGGATATGGGCAGGAAAGTCGGAGACTGGGGCCGTGAAATTGTGCACGGCGGGTACACAACCGGCGTGGAAGGCGCGCGGCGGGGAAGAGGAGGAATGGATGGGAGGGGCAGAGGAAGGGTCAGAGGGCGCGGTAGAGGAGGATCGGGAGCACACACAAGGACGAAACGGGATGTCCTAAAGATGCAGCTCGACTTTCGGGATATTGAGATAGAGATGCTCCCGAATGGGATGGAGAGACGGACACTGAACCAGTCAACATGGGATTTCAAGTGCGCACATATATTTCACTGGTATTTTGTCTGTCTTAACCCGTCCTGCCTGCAGAAACAGAACCGCACTTCTCACCGTCGAGTTCAAGATACATTCTCCAGCAACCCCGCTAGCTCCGTCCTCTCAACCCGATCCACCCTACACACTTCTCATACACCGTAACAGCCTTGAGAAATCGCTTCTTTCGATCTTACAAACCCACGTATGCGAACGCAGCAAGTCCAAGAAGGACAAGGCTCCCCCTTCATGGGTCGCACCTCTCGTCTTCCCCGACACTGACGTACCCGACGGCTTTGTCCCACCAACTTGTGTCATGCGCACTCCAATAGACCCACTTGCCTCTCTCAGCGCTCAGTTCAATACTTCCATGCCTCGTCCGGGACATATTCTCTGCGCCGGATACTACAAGCTCGATCCATCGCAACCACTGTCGTCTGTCCTCAAACACAAGAACTTCGTGGAGTTCCCGACCGTGGAGGTGTTTGAAGATGGCGCATTCCAAGGTACGATTGTCGACGACCACGGAACAGTCCTGCGCGATACGGAGGAAGAGCGCAGGCCAAAACGACGGAAGTTGAACGTCAAGGAGGGCAGGAATGCAATCAACGGACTTCTGGGAGGATACGGGAGTGAAGAGGAGGGCACAACAGAGGAGCTTAATGTGCTGGATATGCTGGGAGGATACGCTGGAAGCGACGATGAGGGTCCGGGAGAGGATGGGCACGAGCAAGTGGACCGTGCTGGAGCATTAGCATTAAACGAGGGTTCAGCGGAGGAAGAGTTATTCGACGAGGATGCCGAGGGAGAGACAGATGACGAGGTCGAAGGAGACGCACAAAACCTGGCAGCTTTGCTCGAGCAGCTACGACACGCTGGCGCCCTGCGCGATCCCGCTGCGGACGGAGTTCTGTCACGCTTTAGTGATGCCGACGAGCAAGTTGACTGGGGAGAGTCTGACGGAGACGAGGGATGACCTTATAAGCGCTGTTCGCTTTCTCATGCATATGAATGCAGCCTTCTACACGTCCAATCGCCTGAGGTCAAGTAATCCCTTCATCAACAACTGTACCTCGAGCACGGCGTCAACGTATTTGCTCAGTGGTGTCTCCTGGGTGTTCCGCACAGGGGAAGCGGTTTTCACCTCCACCTCCCATAGGGTATCTGTGTGCGCAGATATTGGCTTCTGTGTCTTGTCATCAGCCTATTCCCAGGGTATTGAGTACATCTAATAAAACCGAGGCACCACAATCGAGGTACGACGCACATGCTCTTGCTGGAACATCTGTATCACCAGCGCACCCCGCCTGAAGACATAGCCGCGCTTGTAAATGTGGGACCGACGACTGCTCGAGCTATGAGAGATAGATGAGGGCAGACGAACAACGCTACTCACACGTATCCCAAGGCAGAAGCGAAGCTGAGTGCATCCCCGACTACTTGGCAAGTTGCCCAAGGCCGCACGGTCGTGTCTGGGTGTACCCGGGTGGACTCCGGCTTCAAGAATGAATAGAGAACCCTAAGCAGAGACGACACGCACACATCACACGCCTTTTCGTGGCGTGAGATGTGGATGGACTCACCATTTCGCATCGGGCTCGAGTAATTCCTTCTTGGCTCTCAATAGGACGGGTTCGTTACCTGTGTCGCGCTGGTGCTGCGCATCGTACGGCTCAAATACAATCTCCCGGGCATGCATCTGGTGTGCAGATTCGCTGTGAAGAGTGATCCTGTTCAGAATTGCTTCACAAAACGACGGGTAAGCTCGCGTGTCGAGCGTTCGAATCCACGGCACACCTGGTAGATCCTGAGCGAAAAACTCTCCGGAGAGCGCGACCTCGTAGAAGTGGGAAGACATGTGCTAACTACCAGAAGTTTGAAAGGATGTAGTGGATGTTGACGATGATAGTCACGTCCAGGGAAGAGTCGCACCAGAATACGCGTCGGTGAACTTACACGACGCGTCCCCGGATGTATCAAATCGAGGTCAACAACAACCGGCGTAGTATTCAACCAGGGGACGTATGTTAACGAACGGTCAACTAAGTACTAAAGGGCAGGTAACAAGGCACCAGGGTCCAAACGGAAACATAGCAAGAAAATAACGAGGCGACGGTATACACCAACCCATATACCACAAACTCAAAGAGTACCCACGAAGGACAAAATCACTGCTCTTGGGGAATCTCTCCAGGATTCGGAGGCGGCGGTGGCATACCGTGCGGCGGTACAGCTGGGACGTGTACGGCTGGCTCTCCTGGATTCAATGGTGGTGCGAGCATGGCACTGCGCACCCGGAACAGCATCATCCTGAACCACTCTTGATCTGCGCCTGCTTTTTCCTGCTCCTCTGTCAATTGCTGTAGCTGGGATAACTCTTTCAACCAAGCTGCATGCCAATTAACGTTGCCGTGCTCGTCCAACTCGAACTGTTCATCAGGCGGGAAGAGGGGTGGTGGGTACCGCATCCCGGGAGGCATCAGTTGGAATGCGGGATCAAAACTGCGAGAGAGGTTCAGTTAGACGGCACAACACACGCCACAAGGAATCACATACGGGGGATATGGCGGCGGATACGGAGGTCTGCTAGGACCAGCGTCCTCGGGACCCATAGGAGGCGGGACGAATGGTGCATTCGGGTCGTGGTAAGGAGCGTCCTGATGGTCAGACGGATGATAGTCCACGTCTTCTTCGATGGAGGACTGCTGTTTGGAGCCACCTTTCACCTTCTTCTTTCGCACTCGATGGACACCGGTGCGCGGATCGACGTTGTCGTTTACAGTCCAGTAGGAGCCCTTCCCACGATCGGTCAACGGCCGAGGCACCTTTTCGAAACATGGGTTGAGCGACAAATTGTGCCTCACAGAGTTCTGGTGGACAGCCGAGCGTCAGTCTAATGCGTGGAGGCAGACGAAAAAAAACTGAATGACGCCCAATGTGAACAGGGGGAAGCGCCAGGCATCACACTAACCTTCCAACCCGGTGGTGCGGTCCTGAAGTATGGAAACTGAGGGTGGTCATGAGCGCAATGGCTTGGCTGAGGGTGGACGTGGTGCGTACCCTTGACTCAATGGCGTAGTAAATATCCTCAAGCAACAACTTCTGATTTGGCGCGCCTTTGATCGCGTAACTGCCCAAACCACCGTGAGGACGCATCCTGTACAAGGGGTAAGCGACATACCGAATGAGTGTCGAATACGGATAAAACGGCTTGCTGCCGGGTGGGCCGTCGCGAAGCGAGTCCAAGTTGATGGGCAGGCCTCCGGTGAGGTCGTTAGCATTCTCGGGGTAGTACGAATTAACAGGGTGGAGAGGTGGAGGATGCTGTTGCATCATCTCCGGGGGAATGACTGTTTGCGGTGGCTGAGCCATTTTGAGCAGAACGTCGGGTAGGGGAAGTCGAGCGCAGTGACAGAGACCACAGAGCAAGCCAACTGGCTTATGTCATCCGTGTGAAAGTGGAGGCCGCACGGACCAGCCCTGGTCGCGGCGGTGGGAAGGGCAGACATCGTTGCAAACCGTCCAGGTAGACGTCGACGACGGCGAGGAAGATGAGGAAGATGAGTTGTGTTTGTACACCCCGTCTCGACAAAACATACTCATACAACGTCCAAATTGCAGAAAACCGATGAAAACAAATAATTGCTCCAAGCAGAAGAATACACAAACAAACTCGGTCCAAACGGTGCCATCGTCTGCTCAGCCACCCGCTCTTGAATGCTCGTGTCAACGCTCTGGATGCTTGCTTATGATACCCTTTTGGTTGTTTCTCGATGCGAAGTCTACCATGTCTGCGATCGTGTCGAGTTTGGATCTTCACTGATTTTTCCGAAGTGGCTACTAATAATATTAGGCCCAAGGTCCTCGCTGGGAGAGTGGTCTGGCCTCCTTATATATCCCGCTATTCTCTAGTCGCGTTGAACAGCTTCCTTGACGGCAGGAATCATATCGATAGGCCCCTCCAAAAAAACCCCGTTCACAGCGCGGACTGCGAAATCAAAAGCTCCGGAAACTCGGGTGGGTGGCAACACTGTGCACAGAAGTCGTGCCGCCTGGGCCGCTCGCGCCCGCAATGTCTCTGCATCCCAGCGAGATGCGAAGGTCCCGCCTATCAGGAGTTTTTTTTGCAGACCGCCCTGTGCACGACTTTTTGACCAGGGGCCTAACGATATAATCGTTGCTGGAATGTTTCTTCTATCGAGATGTCTACTCGCCCTGATTCTGGGCACAACTTTCTAAGCAAGGAAAGGGGTGAGAGGCTTGTAACTATTCCAACACTTCTGTGGGCGGGCCGATGAGAAAGTCCGGACAGTATGCTTCGAGGTTCAGCTTCTGATGTAGTTCACTAAATCGCACTTGCTTTCCTTTGGTGGGTGGAAGTTTCACTCGAAGCATATTATAATTATAAGGCAAAAATGAATACAAAGCATAGGAATATCGCGTCATGTCTGGAAAGATTCAGATTTGTGAAGAGCATATAAAGTATGATTGCGAAGGTGGTATGGATACAGATTTATTGTGCTACAGATACATGTCTAATAATTAACAAAATTTGTCCGTTACAAATAAATTATGCCGCTGCCGCGACGTTCACTTCAACGTCGCGAAGCCAACTGAGTTGTTGTCGAAGGAGAATGCACTGTACACGTTCTTCATGTAGCTGTAAAGTGTGGTCAGCATGCAGAGTGTGTGGCTATACACCGTATAACATACCTGTCACCAAGCAGCCAGACGTTGGTGCCAAGGCCCAAGTTCTGGCCGGCGAGCGCGCCAATACAGTAAGTAGAGGTGGAAGACACCTTGCCGAGGTTGAAGCTGGGCAAGTACGATAAGTCGGGTTTCGCAAAAACAAACAGCAGCACTTACTTCGCACTGCTAACGGTGAAATTCTTCCCGCCCCAGTTGAACGCCACGGTGGGCGGCGAAGCGCAGGGGTACTGGTAATATCCGTACTGCGCGTTATTGAGCGACGCGCCGGGCACACTGGCGTAGAACGCCTGCACCGCGCTCGGTGGGCCGTACATGATGGTCGTGCCAGAATCGATGATGGTCTGGAAACCCGAGTTCACAATCTTCCCGTTCACGACCGTCTTCGCATTGGTCAGTTGCCAGAATGCAGAACCATTGACGGCGTGGTACTCGGGGGCACCGGTGTAAAGAGAAGTGTCGGTGCCGCCCAGGTACAATTCGGAGCCAGTTTTGGCCAGCTTGAATCCGAAGATACCGGTGCTAACCGAGCCCTGGCTCTTGGCGTTGTTGAAAAACGGCGTCTACAAAACTGTTAGCACAATCGAGAAGTACAACGAGCGAAATAAACGTACATGACCCAAGTTCGAGAGGGCAGGGTATGCCAGGCCCAAGATACCGTCGATGGGGTCGTTCGCGAAGCTGCTCGAAAGCGTCGTCACGGGCGAAAAGTATTGACCGGTGGACTTAATGCCAGCAACGTTCACAGTCTCGGTGAAAACGGGACCCGAAACGGTCGACCCATCGCCGTATTGGATGGAGAAAGTCCCCGTCTTTTTGGAGCTAGTCGAGGACTTTGAGGATGTGTACTTGTGCTTCGAGCTGCACACGGAGCTCGTGCAGTTGGACGACGGTACCCATAGATCCGACGATCCAGCTGCAAGATGGTCGTGAGTGACGAAAACATGGAGCATAAGCGAAATGCCACTGACTGTCAAAATCAATGGTGAATGTCTGTGCGGGCGTCCCAATCGAAACAGGTCCGGCCCAGTCGAGATCATTAGACTCGTCTGTAAGAGGTTCCTTCTGACGCTTCTCGATGCCACTCGGGGAGTGGTACTCGGCTAAGGGCATAATCTTGGCACCCTCGTTAAAATTCTCGAGACCAATGTTGTTATGGACATTAATAAGGTTCTGACGATGCTTACTGCGACGAAAGTTAGAAAATGTGAACAAAAATATGCAAAACGCAGACACTTGCTTGTGTGTGCGCGTAGATTGCTGGATGGCGCGTTCGAGATCGAACACACCGTCGTCGGTAGTGAGAGAGGCGCGCTTCTCTAGTGGGATCCGGACGCCCAAACCCCGCTCAACGGGGGTTGCAGACGCCAGAAGCGCGAGGGTGGTGAAGGCGATCAATGATGCTTTGGCAAACATGGCGTTAAATTGTGAAGTTCGTAGATGTGATGAAGCGTGCAGATGTAGATGTGGAGATGTGAAAACTTTGTGAATCTCCAAATTTTGAGGGGGTTTATATAGGTCATTCATCTAAGGAGCTGCTCGGCGGGTGTGCGCTCGGGATGGCGGGTGCGGGGTCGGATGTACTTATCCGCAACGGAAGGGGAGCAGGTGTCGGATGACGGTCGACGGATGTAGCCATTGCCTTGACGCGGATGTAGAGAAAGGCGGAGCAGTCTTCTGCCTGACATCCGAGGCCCCGCAGTCTTCAAGACGAACCTTCAAAAAATACTCGGGGTGTCGATCGGCAGCACAATAGATTGCGCAGCAGGACGATCCAGTTGCCAAGAAATTTTCAGCGATAGCAAGACACAGATCTGTGACCGACCGAGGACTTGACTGGACGGCTCGAAGTGTATTAGGTGCGGCGGCGTAGGAGGCGGCAAGTCCATATTTGGTATAACCGCACCTCCCATCCGCGGCCGGCTGCCGACGCCCAAGGTCACGGTCAGGGGTAAAATTGACGACCTCTGGGAGATGATGGTTTAGAGGTAGAGCGTTCTGGTCCATTGATTAATCTTGAGACCTATTGAATCTACATAACGTATGGCAGAAGTATGGCAGTCACTCAGGCTCGCGAGGGAGAACGTCTGACGAATTGCATCACCTTGGGTATGCAACGGATCTGAGATGGCGCATACGTTGGACCCACTGTCAGACATGCAATAGACTCGGCTTCGGCTTGGATGAAAAGGACTCGACACCGACAGCCGTCCAGGCCGTTCGGAGAAGGAGGCCTAGAGGAGGAGGCGATGCACACCCCGAATTCGTGGTTCGGGAGAGTCGGATGGGATGTCTCCGGAAACACACAACCTCTTCCGCGCAAGTGTGCCTGGACCCACTTCGACAGGTAGAAAGCGGAGCATGCCGACAACGCAAGGAGCAACAGACGCGCCTGGAGCCTACGGCGGGCGGCGGGTGGCGGGCGGAAGTGCCCGGTCGCACCACGTGCTGTCCCAAATGAGGCAAGTGACGTCGGTGTTGCCATATTGAGCGACATCTGGCTCTCATGTCGACGGACGAGACGAGCGATGCGCCGCCAAGGAAAACGATCCGCCTAACGATCCCGGAGCGGTACTACATGCTGCCCGGTGCAGCAGTCATTGTGGGGACGACGGTGGGGTTGATGCGGGGGTCGCGTGCCGCGTCACTGCGATTCCTGGCGGAAAACGCGCACCGGGCACCGACGACGGTGCAGGGATGGTACTTCTACAACAAGACGAAGAACTACCGGGTGATGATGGGGGGCCTGAAGCAGGCGGGGTGGGAAGCGATGCGGTTAGGCGTGGTCGGAGCAGGGTGGGTGGTGTTTGAGGAGGGATGCAAGCGCGTCGGATGGGACGACGGAACAGAAGTTGTGGCAGGACTGGGCACAGCGGGAGTGTTTTCGGCGGTGTGTATGTGGCATGGCTTGTTTCCGAGGGTTGTGCTGACCGAGCGCGACAGACCGGCTGCCGTGGAGGACGGCGCGGCGGACGATGGTGCTGGGATTCGTGGTCGGGTCGACGCTGCGGGGACTGCGCTGGGCTCGAGGGAAGCTGGCGGCGTCGGCAGCGGGTCGAGGAGCAGCAGCGGCAGTCTAGACACAGACCGTCGACAAGTCATATATTTCTCTTGGAGCATCTGAGAATCTTCATCTCGGCGCATATACCTACCTACATTCTACCACTTCTCTCCTCATCGTCCGCCACGTCGTGCTCGCCATCATCCTCAGCGTCCCCCCCTTATTATTCCGTCTCCCGTCTAGTCTTCCGCGCCGCGACTATGCTTAAGTTCTGGCCGTCGTCTCCCGCCGACCTTACTCCCAAGGCGGGCCCCAACGGCCAGGAACGCCAGAATCCATTCGACGTCCCGCTCCATCAGCCGCAGCAGCAGCAGCAGCCCCCGTCTCCGACGACGGCGACGGCGCCATCGTACCACCACCACCTCCTCAACACGCCCCATCACTTGCTGTCTCCTTCAATCTCCGCAACGACATCCCCCGCGTCTTCCTTTGGCGATCATCTTGCGCCCAGGCCGCTTTCGCTCCAACCACATCCTCTCTCCAACCAGCCGTCTGCTCCAGCCAGCCCCGCTGCTCAACCCACCACCAGCCTCTCGCTTCATGCTCCCGTCTTCAACATGTCCCAGCCCCCGCCCCCGAAACGTTCCTCTGCAAGCAGCAATCCATTCTCTTCCAAGCATCCTTCGCCCACTCCCTCAGTGTCATCCTCAGATGGCACTACCAGTGTAGCAGGATCACATTCCTCAGGCTCTTCGTCCTCATCCGCCCCTTCCAAGGGTCAGATCCACGTCAAGCTCATCCAGGCCCGCGGCCTCAACGTGCAGTCACCCACCGCACGCCCATATGTCGTCGTCCAGTTCGAGCAGAACGAGTTCGTCAGCCGCGATCCTACCGACGAGTCCGACAAGGAGGTCAAGGGCGTCGCAATCTCTCGCAACTCCTCCTCTATCGCCCTCTCCGCCCTTGGCGCGATCAGCAACAAGGCATCCGCAGTTACCCCCGTCCGACCTTACAACGTCCGGTCGAGTGGTACTGTCACTCCCTCTGCCTCAGGCTCTTCCAAGCCTTTCGGGGGCGGTTATTACGGCGGGGCTCGCATCTCAGCACACAACCCCGTGTGGAAACACGAGGTTTCCTTGTCAGTTTTTTTCCCCGTGTCAAAAACTTTTTTCGTCGGCTGACACCCGATCCCCTCTCAGCGACGTGACCTCGGAGCAGGCTGTCATCACGTTCAACGTCTATGACCGCAACGCTGCCGACCACGGTTTTTTGGGCACAGTGCAGATCAAGCCCGTGCTGATTCATGATCACACTGTGGACCAGTGGTACAAGTGAGTGCCTTGCTTCGTTACCCATCGCGGCGGTGAACTGATTGCTGACGGACAAATGACATTCCTTCCATTCCGGCAAACGCGTCGCATATTGCCTGAATTTTCCCGCGTTCGCCTCAAATTTTCTGCTTACACTGCGCGTACACCTAGACTGCGTCCGTTCGAGAACGAGCCCGTGAGCGGGGAGATGAGAGTGCAGGTCACCTTCGAGGCCAACAAGGTTCGCCATATGATCCGGTTTTACGTATTTGACCCACTCACCAGGGCTTCCATCTCCCATCTCTAAACTTACTGCCATGCGCTACGTCATGCTACCAATCACTGACAGACGAAGCGCGCTCTCACTCCACGAGACTTTGAGTTTCTCAAGCTGATCGGCCGGGGTACTTTCGGCCGCGTGTTCCAGGTCCGCAAGAAGGACACTAAGCGCATATATGCTATGAAGGTCCTCTCCAAGCGAGAGATCATAGCAAAGAAGGAGGTCGCGCACACCATCGGCGAGCGCAAGATCCTCCAGCGCTCCCTCGAGAGCCCCTTCCTCGTCGGTCTCAAGTTCAGCTTTCAGACCGATACCGATCTCTATCTCGTCACCGACTTCAAGAGCGGCGGCGAGCTTTTTTGGCATCTCCAGCGAGAGACACGGTTCAGCGAGGACCGTGCGCGGTTTTATGTCGCCGAGCTCATCCTCGCTCTCGAGCATCTACATAAGTACGATATTGTATACCGGTGGGTGTTGTTGTCATATTATCTGATTGTGGAGGTATTCACGTATTATATGCAGCGACCTCAAGCCCGAGAACATTCTCCTCGATGCGACAGGCCACGTTGCGCTATGTGACTTTGGCCTCTCAAAGCCCGACCTGCGCTCGGATGAGCTCACGAATACATTCTGCGGTACAACCGAGTACCTTGCTCCCGAGGTGCTCCTCGACGAACATGGCTACTCCAAGATGGTGGACTTCTGGAGTCTTGGAGTGCTGCTCTTTGAGATGTGCTGTGGATGGAGCCCGTTCTACGCCGAGGACACACAACAAATGTACAAGAACATCTGTTTTGGTAAGATCAGGTTCCCGAAGGGCGTCATCAACGAGGACGGCAAGCAGTTCGTCAAGGGCGTAAGTATACGTCCGGATCATGCTCCATATATCCGTACTGACGGGGATGCAGTTGCTCAACCGCAACCCCAAGCATCGTCTCGGTGCCCAGCGAGACACCGAAGAGCTCAAGGAGCACCCCTTCTTCAAGTCGATAGACTGGAAGGCGCTCTCGCTGAAGCAGGCGACACCGCCGTTCAAGCCAAACGTCGAGTCGGACGAGTCGGTCGCGAACTTCGACCCGGAGTTCACCTCCGCTGACGTACGCGACGCTGGTGTGGACGAGATGATGGACCTCGATGAGGAGGACCCGTCCGAGGACTGGGTCGCGTTATCGCAAAGCCTGAGCAACGTGACGCACATGCCCAACGGACCCCTCGGGTCCGACCGCTCCGCACCAAGTCAGGGCATCGACATCTCGCGGAAGAAGAAGAAAGGCAAGGCTGCAGGTTCCCCCCTCACGAACAGTGTCCAGGAGAATTTCCGAGGATTCACCTACCATGGTGAGTCGGTCGTCCAACCCGTCGCAGGGACACTGCTCCACGAGGAGGAAGAGGAGGAGGACGCGGTGCAGGAGGAGGAACTCATGGAGCCGACGACGGACGACGAGGCGCATGACGAGACTCCCGCTGGGCGATATGCGCGGAAAGACCGCCAGCATGACGATCTTGACGACTTTGATGCGGATTTGCGATCACATATGTGAGAGCGCGGTAGGCGTGCGTGGCTGCCATTGTGGCATGTACGTTAATTTCTCGGAGAAGGCGGCTCGAATCTGCATCACATCGCTCGACCTACATGCATGGCCCTACATCGCATCCTATTTATCCTGCATCGCTTCCGCCGCATAACTGCGCGAACCCTCCGACATATCCTTTGCGCATAGTATCCTATCTCATCCACCTCATCTTCCAGTTCAATTGGCACAAGCTCACAGGGTTTCTACACTATGGACCGGCGTTACATCACCATTTCATCTTACCATACATTGCTATCTCCACTTCCTTCATGCAGCTCCCTCAACGGGCCTTAAATGTAATAGTCATGTCTGGGTGTTGCATCCCACTGCATACAATGATATGTCTATCGGTCATGTATAATAATCACCATGTAGTGTTTAATTGCGGAACTCAATCAGAGGTTCTTTGCTGCAAATCCGAAGTAAGTTCCGTGAAAAAGCACAATCAGTTCACACGTGACACAACTATTCGACAAGTAGCAAGGATTCTGTACATATCTACCAGTCGTTGAGACTCGTGTGACCTGGCCTGGCAAGATTTAACCCTCCGCGGAGAAGAGGGGGTAGGATCTTCCCGCCGATAATGGTTTCCTTCACAATGGCGTTGATTTCGTGCGCCGTGACACGGCCATACCACACGGAGACTCCGTGAGGAGTGTTGATCTACAGGAGGCGTACGCCGACTGAGTCGGTAAATAATACAGCGGCTAGCGAGCAGCTCACGATAACGTTCCCGGCGAATTTGTGTCCGCCGACGTGAGAGTTGCGCAGGATCAGGACGCGCTTCTCCCCGTTGCCGGCAGCCGCGAGCTTCAGCTGGCGTAGGACCTCGGCATCCTTCTCTTCTGCTGTGCCTTTGAATTCCTCGAGCGGTGGTCCTGAGAGCCACGGGTCCTCGAGCTGGGTGTGTACTTGCCATCCTTCACGCTCGAGAGCGTCCATCAGGGCTGAAGTGCCGATGATGTGAGCGAGTGCGCTTTGGGTTACGGTTGAGATGCCTCACTAAGCTCAAGAACGGGCGCAGCGAGAGCACAGCGGTTGTCTCTCTTCTTGTGTGAACCTATACAAGACTCCATCGCTTAGTCGCTCGCTTCGACATCATCAGGAGCCCACGGCACTCACACAACAATATTACACAGGCGTAAGGCAGCACCCACGTCTTCAAATGGCTGTCCTCCCCCTCGAAGCCGGGGGCAGCGCCGCTCTTCCAGAAAGCAGTCGCGCCGTCCAGGGACCTCGGCACCTCGGTCACGACCTTGTAGTCGGGAAAGACCAGCACGGTTTCTCTGCTCGCGTCGTCGCACAAGGTATAATGGCTTCCATTCAGGATGGTGACCTTCGATGTGGTCGCGGAATCGTATACGCCGGGGACCGACTTGGCGGCGTTATGGTGCGAGCGGTGCTGTTTGGGGGCGGCATCCCGAGTCTCGAGCAGATATGCGGCGAGCGTGCCATGCACTTCCGTGACCTCCTTAGGCCAGTCGCTTTTGCCCGTCGAGATTACCAGCTGCAAGACTCGGAGACATGAATCTAACCGCAATTTACCGAGGAGCAGCAACTTGAAGTACCACATACCTGCCGAGAGTAAGGCTTCACGGAGCCGAGCATCTGTGTCTCCATATCGACATCAAACCGAGGATATTCATCGTGACCTGTGCATGCACCGTCTATAAAGCACAGAAACATGCAAATACCACTCAGGATCTCACCTTCGTCGCAAGGATCGGCACAGCCTCTGCACTCAGCCTGAGAAACAGGAATCGCTGCCGCCCGCAGATCGTCGCTGGCTGGCTCCGGTGTCTGGCCGAGCATAAGGGCCTTCAGCTTCCTCAGGCTGCTCATGGCGGGGTAGAAGATGAGGGAATGGATCAATGTTATTGCATGGTTATTATAGGGCTTGAGCTTACTGGTGGAACCTTGGTCGAACGTCTATCTGGCAGCCTGGGTACACTTTTTTATCAGATAAGAAGTGACTGCGATCTCCGAACGGCCACCGACCCACATCCGCTCCGTCGCGCAAAACATCAAATTCAAAGTGCACATTGTAAACCGAGGCTCTGTGTTTACGATTACTGATTGAACGAAAGAGCAGGTTAGACGATGTCCAACAGGGATATAAGGTAAGATACAGCAGCTACTCGGCATTCGGATAAAGTTACCAATACATAGTCATTGATACAAACAACACCGCTGGGAAGGCGATTATCAAGAAGGCAGGTACAGTAAGTAATCGGCTGGGCGGCACCGCGGAATGCACAGTCGTCCTGCCGAAAGACCACGTATGCGCCAGGTCAGCGTCCAAATTCGTCAGGGACGAAGGGAGTGACAAGCTCGTATGTCTCCGCATTCCTGTCTCGAGACTTGCCTCCCATTCCGACGAAATGCTTCAGCCTCTGCCTTACGCCGAACCGCCCAATAACCTCGGCCTTAGGGCTGTCCAGCGGGTAGAAGGCGTCAATCATCTTCGCTAGTCTGCGCAATCCGGTTGAGCTCTCATGTGAGGCAGCATTCCGAGAATCGTCAAGGGCAGATGCGAGGTAGGACGCGAGACTCGGGAACGTAATGGGTAGTTGAGGATAAGGGGTATACGTGGATGGGATGGTGTAGAATTTGGACATCACTGCGTCCGCGCCGTCGCGCAGAACCGCCAAGGGCGGTGAGAGTGTGTACGAATAAGGAAGTGTTGTGGTATCGCCACTGCGATACTTCCATTGCGCGGTTGCGGGAACCGGGTGATCGATTGTCATGAAGAGGACGGTGAGCCAGTTATGCGACGTGCTATGTACCTGTAGAAATATCAATAACTCGTCACCAGGATAAACGTCAATGTACGTGCTTTCACGAATAATATTACGATGCGCAGCTTCAAGTCCGTTTCTGCCTGAGCAATGGCCTCAACAGGTGGCTCAAGTCTTGTTCGACTCAAGCTTGCCATCAACTTCAGCAGACCTCGCCAGCTAGGAGCTCGAATGTAGAGTGGACTCTGCGATCCATACGGAAGAGAAATGGTACTGGGCATGGGGCCCTCCATCGGTTCTAGGGAGGGGGTGATAGTGGGTATGCCCCGCCCAATTTCTGAATAGGTATGCGTGTCGTAAATGAGTGATCAACACGGATGGAATGCCTCAGTGACTTACGAACACCACGCAGAAGATCAGTATCAACATATTGATCATTTGGAGGGGTTTGTGCTCTGCTTGCCTGGTCAGAATCGGTACGTGACTCGTTGCCATTAAAGCTAAGATTGTCATCTGCGTGAGCAGCAGACAACGAAATATCTGGATGGTTATGATCTTCATCTCGTTTTGCCACGGCTGATCGAGTACTTTGCGAACGAAGTACTGCATTCGCGGACGTGCTTCGCGTAATCGACCCTACGAGCATCTGATCTGACTCGAGTGTAGTACGTGAAGTGGAGCGAAGAAGCGAGGAGGAGGATGGGGCAGGCAGAGACTGGGGGGAAAATGTGGGCAGAGCAGAGGGGCCTTCGTTCGAATGGGAACCTGTCGACTCGTCATCAGGAAAGCTGTCCTCTTCCGCTAACCTGCGGGCAAGTTCATCATCGTCGATGAATTGTGAAGCAGTACCGGGCGCTATCGAGTTATCGTGGACAGACAGACTGTGGTCTGTCACGTCGCGCAAGTCGAGTGGTGGCGGTATCAAAGGCCGTGCTACCGTTTCACTCTGGAGCCCATGAGCTGCTGTGGCCAACTCGGAAGAAGGCGTGCGCGGACAATCAATAGGTGAAGCAACCAGAGGCAGAGCAGGAGGGATTCCATTGACCGTATGCAGCGGCGGTAACGAGAGGTGAGACTGCTCCAGCATGAGTGATTCTTGCATAGCCTGTGCCAAGTCTTCCTCTTCCTGTTGCAACGTTCTCTGCCGCTGTATCTCCGACTCCCGAGCGGAGAGCTCCAGCACACGCCTCAACGCCCCATCTTCGTCGGCTTCCTCTGGCGACGGGAAATCTTTCGGGGGTAGAACCGGCTTGGGAGACTCGTCTGACCTAATGCGCGAGAGGCTGTTAGTCGGTCTGGGAGGTATATGCGAATACGTAGACGGTTTGGGAGGGAGCACAGGTTGAGGAGATGGAGACCGGTACAGCGTATGAGGGGGACGCTCTGGCCTATAATGCGGCGTGGAGACCGAATGGCGGAGCCGGGGAGCGACTTGTGGCTCCGGAAAAGCAAACTGCTGGATAGACTGACCGTTGTAGTGAACATTAGAGGTAGGCGCGCCGGGTCGTGGTGCATGGCGCTGATTGCCTGGAATCAAACTCGGTGGGATGGTACGCTGGTGGCGCTGAGCCGGCGGCGAACGGGCAGGAGCACCTGCATAAGGCTGGGGAATGGGTGGTGCAGGAAGATAGAAACCAGGTACTCTCGGTGGGAGTGCACCTTCGCTATAAGCATGGTCAAAGGCTGGCGGACATTGGGTAGGATACACAGGGTGCTCGCGGGGCGCTGCCATGTCAGTTCAGACACAAAGTTAGGATAATCACGGTGAGGCAGATGAGAGTTTGAACATGGAGGCCGTTGAGCCGTTGAGTCGTTTAAGGCTGAATGTGGTCAAGCAGACATGGAACGTCGAACATCCTCGACGTGTGAATCTGATTCCGCGAGCGCACCGCCCGTCGTCGGGAGCTTATGCGGCGAACATCGACAAGTTGGCGCCCGCACTGCCGCTCGCTATAACACACTTCTCGGGTTTCACACCATGCATTGCGATGCAATGCACGAGACTAACGCCAGATGATATTTAGCGACACAAATAGTTCTAGCTTACAATGCAGGATAGAGGATATGCAGAGCGATGGGATGTAGGGGTAAATGCTAATGAGGAGTGCATGATGATGTTAATGAGAGTATACGTCAGAATATGGGGTTGAGACGGAGATGGGAATGAACGAGGCACGACGTGAGCAGCGTAAAACGAGAAAAAAGAGCAAGGCCCTAGAATACTATGCACAATGGGGAGTGAACCCGCGAATCATCGAATGCTACCGCGTAGTGGTCACTTTTGAGCCCAACCCACGCCCCTGTACGGTGGACGTTTTGAATCCGAGGTGTCGCATGGCTGCAAGCAAGTCGGCTTTCTGAACTGGTTTCGCAATGTAAGCCGCAAACAGGCCGTTGGTCTCTATCACGTCAGAGCCACTGTAGGCACTGACGGCAATAATCGGGGTGTTGGTGTTCTTGTTGGCTATACATTTGATATACCGAGCAGCACCTTCGCCGTCAACTACGTTTGAAGTTTAAACACGCGAAATATCAGCCACAGAAGAGAAGAATACTCACGTATAGGCATGTGGATGTCCATGAGGATGCAATCAAATTCTGAGTAAGAACAGTCAATCCCCGTAAGGAACAGAAAAACCTATCAAGCACTTACTAATGTCGCCCATCGCGACGCTGATCGCCTCCGAACCATCCGCAACCACAACACATCGACATCCAAGCCGAATCAACAACGTCTCGATGATTTTCGCAGTGATGGGATTGTCCTCAGCCAGGAGACACGTGACACCACGATCATTCGGATCCGGTGCCCTCTTCAGGTCTATCGAAGCGACCGACGACGGAGGCGTGCTGACCTCGAAGTAATGGCCAGGTGGTTGTCCACCAAGGCCCCATGAGTCCGAGGTATAACCCTCCCCGTTCGTCGACACAGAAGCCGTCCGTAGTCGACTCGGCATGGAGTTCCGGCGGCCACCATCACCATCCAGGTGATTGAGCTTGAACCGTTCGACAGCACCATAGTCGGAAGGCTTCCGCATATGGCTCCCTACACTGCTGCCGGGAGTTGGTGGTCCACGAGATGCGGAGGACGCTATCGACGACGTAGATGTTGCCGGCGAGGGCGGATTGGTAGCAGATGGCTTGCTGACGCCTTCAATCGTTGTAATGACGCTGGACGGCTTCTTGATGCGGCCTGAGATACTCTTTCGCCTTAGGTGTGCGTCCGAAGGCTCAGAGAGTGTTTGAGCTAATGGTGCCAATTGGTCGGTCCTCAACTTCCGAATCATGTCATCGTTGGCTTGCTTCAGAACAGGTAAATTCTTAAAGCTGAAGGAGCCAAAGTCATCGTCAGAGGGGGACGATGTTGTCTCGCGACCGATGACATGAGCTGTAGGAGCCGACGCCGGTAGTGCTGCGCGCTCCAGACTGGCAGGAGGGCTGTCTGAGATGAATCCAGTGGGGGGAGCACTGTCGTCGTGGAAAAGTTGCAGGACAGCGCCGCGAGGATCAAAATAATCTGTCGACTCCGGATCGGTCACTTGCGGTATGAACGCGGCCTCGATCGTCTGGACCTTATCCCAGTCGATACCGGCGAAGAATAGATGAGCCTTCACCTCGTCAGCCCCGTTAACACCCAAGCGTTGTGTTGCATCTGTGGTCATCAGCCGCTGCATGAAATCCTTGGCTTCGTCAGAGACTTCCACGTAATCGTCGTGCCACTCGACGTGCCCAGAGAGAATATTCTCGAACACCTTCTCTGGTGTTTCATCGTGGAACGGAGGAATTCCGTAGAGGAACTCGTACGTGATGACACCCAAGGCCCACTGCGGGGATGATCAGCACAAGTACTGAAGTAGATATAAAGTACAAACCCAATCAACTGCGGCGTCGTCGCCGCGGAGACCAAGGATTGTCTCAGGAGCGAGATAATCCGGCGTGCCCACCACCTTGCCTTCGCTCGGGGGAGTTCCACTACCAGTCGTAGGATGCGAACGAAGATCATTGGTCAGTTCCGTAGCGAATGATTGCAGAGGGCTATCGGCGAGTTGCTTGCTGTTGGTCCTCCGGAGAGGATACAGACCAGACAAGGACTCCGAGCCGCTCGATTCGCCGGGATCATCTGAAAGTGGTAGATAAGGCGATGATCCAGGGCGCGGAATGGACTGTCTCCGTTGGTTGAAATACGAACCTCCCGGGTGCATGTCTGTCACGAACATCGGAGACGACGAGACGTACACTGAATCCATAGATGGTGGACGCGAGCCAGGGCTATATCTTGAACGCACGCGCAGCCCGCGGTCCGTCGCCAGAATTTGTGACTCTCGTGTCTGACGACCAAGTAGACCGATCCTACTAAGACCAAAATCAGTGAGCTTAAGGTGACCGTGCTGGTCAATGAGTAGGTTATCTGGCTTCAGGTCTCTGAGCGACTAGCTATCAGAAGAAATACCTCGAGCAAACAGGGAGCCACATACCGATGAACAATTCCACGCTGATGAAGATAGTCCAATCCAAGAGTGACTTCCGCAATATAGTTGCGCGACCACTCTTCCGGCAAGCTTCCAAGTGATTTGATCAGGGCAGCACAGTCGCCACCGTTGAGGTACTCCATGACTAGATATAAATTTTCCTTGCTTTGGAACGTGAAGTACAATTTCGCGGTGAACGGCGAGTCGGCCTGTTTCATGAGGATCATTCGCTCTGCTTTAACGTTCGTGATCTGATTCTTCGCAATCATGTCAGCTTTCTTCAGAACCTTGATTGCAAAGTAGTCGCCGGTGACTTTTTTCTTTGCAAGGAACACAGAACCAAAGGCGCCCTTGCTGATCGGCTTAATGATTTCAAAGTCCTTGATCGACGTTGGTGTCGTCCTAGACGACGGCGCGACTGACGGTAATCGAGGAGATAGTGGTATACCGGATATAGAAGTCGTTGGACTGAGGATGGGCTGCGCGGTAGAGTGTCGACGATGAGGCCTGCGCATAGGCACATCCTGAGGAGAAACCATAGGAGAGAGCGGGGGCGTGATCAGTAGCCTGGGTTCCAACCCATGAGGAGAAGGACGCGACCGGATAGTCATATGACCGTGTCCCTCGCCCAGATCCATGGGAGGGGGCATGTCCGTAGCAACAATAGGAGCTGCTGTCGCCAGAGGAGAGGAAATGGAGGACGGGGTGGAAGAGCGTGTCTGGAAAGTAGATGGATAGGCTGGAACAGGTGCCGCCGGGATCAATGGAGGGTTCAGACTGAACGAGATGCATCCATTACCAGCGACACGCTCCGCAGCGAAGGAGATCGGCGAAGCGGACGCTATTGGGGTAGGGTCTGAGGACGGCATGTGGCTGCCATGAGCATACTCAGAGGTGTTGCTCGAGCGATCATCCTCCGCCTGCTCCTCTTCCTGTCCGTCTTGATGTTCCTCTCCTCCCTCCTCTTCTTCGTCTTCCTCCGTGTCCTCCAGGGATAACGTCTGTTCAACCTTCGCCTCCCACTCGCGCCGAATCTTCTCGGAATACTTGATCGTGTTCTGCAGGCGTACCACGTTCTCGATCTTCTGCCGCATGACCCGGTCTGCGTCCTCTACGAGCTGGGTGAGCGCCCCGTCCTCGATGACAAGCTTCGACCACCGCCGGACGTGGGACATCTTATGCTCCGATGCTGGAGACAGTAGACGCTGGCGCTCAATCGGTTCCGCTGACTGATCCTCTTTGAGCGATGGCATGGACACCTCGCTAGCAACTTGCAGGATGTCCTCCAGCTGCTCCAACACCTGCCGCTGCATCTTCTTGACACTCACGCGCTTCATCTTGAGCGGCGCACGGAGTAGCTGGAGCGGTGATGGGCTTGGTGATGTCGGGGGGGTGAAGATCGGCATGCCACGATACTCCGGAACTGTCATGGGTGACGAACGGTCCATCGCGATTTGCAGCTCACGGATGGTATTGCGCAGCTCGGAAATCGAATCGTTGCACTCTCCAATCTCCGCCTCGAGCCGGTGAACCTCGCTGCACGTCTCGTTGTGCTTCTCGAAGTACCACTGCGGGACGCTACACTCACATATGCGGCACAGGATGAGGGCTGTGTTGATTGGTCGGGCAACAGGGAAGGGTGTGACAGGCTCCAAAGTCGTCCGGTGCCCGAAACCTACCTGGGCAGCTTCTGCAGAAGCCGGCTCCTCCCCAACTTCGCCCGTCTCGAGCAAGATGGATGGCGCAGCTTGCAAGTATTCCGGAGGTCCGGCCGGCTTGACGACCCACATCGAGTGTGTAGGGTGCCCATCTTCCCGATCAACCATCAACATACCCTTGCCTTCCATCGGCTGGTACAGATTCGTTGGGGTCGTGATGTCCCCTTCGGCCTCGGGAATGGCCAGCTTGAACTTCACTTCCACGGTCTGCGAGTCGTCGTCCTGCAGTCGCCGAGAAGCGTCACGGAAGACATGCCAGTCAGATGGAGCAAGCACCCTGGAAATGCGCCTTGCTATGAGCTCATCTGGGTCCGTCCTGCACAAAGTAGAGTAAGCCAAACGAACGCGACTGAGTAGCAAACAGACTCACCCAACAACATTGCGCCACGCATAATTGACCCAAATTAAATGGTCGCCGTCCATACTCAGCTCCATAACAATGTTTTGGTTCTGAGCCGTCTCGGCTTGTAGACGTAACCTCTCAGTTGCAAGCACACGCGCAGACTCCGTGTTGTCCGAAAACTTCGAGGGCAGCTTCGGATGCTCTGGTTGACCGTGTGTAGCCGCCGTGGATAAGTCCTTGGGAACCTCGTCTCGGGACCGCCGGCCCTGGCTCGACGTCTTCGACATGCGCAACTTGGCATCATCCTCCGAGAGAAGTCGGTAGGGGATGCTCTCTTGTTCAGGACGCAAAGATGGAGTGGGAGCGACGACATCTTCCTCATCCGCGGGCTTCAAGACGAACGTGAGAGGTTCCTCTTGCTCGTCATCGTTATCGTCGAAGTTCCAGAACTGTTTCTCCGCTTCCCACCACTCGACGACGCGACTGAGGCTTGCTATGGCGAGCAGCACTTGCACGTACCAGTTCCGGCCGTGCCAGTCCGGATGCTCGTCCCAAGCTTTGCCAATGTTCTGCACACGCTGCACGAGCTGTTCACAAATCTTGGGCTGCGCCGTGAGTTGGTTCAGAGACATATCCGTTACGTCCGTTGCAACGGCGATGATGTCGTAGAGCGTTGTCATAATGGGATCGACGGGGTCATCAACGAGTATGCGAGAAGAGCGACGGTTGGAAATAGAAGAATCAGCATAACTGGATCGTGGGAGTGGGGAACGCGAGCGAGATGTAGAACGTGAACTTTGGCCAGAGTGGACGGGGCGGGACGGCAAGTGAATGGTGCGAGATAGACGACGATTGGCAAGACTTTGTCCGCCCCATTGAGTTGACTGTGAGGAGACGGGGCCCTGCTTGCGCGGACTGACGTGCTCTGGAGGTGGAGTGGTAACTGCACTTGCTGGGCTGGAGGTTCCGGTGCTGGAAGTTGTATTAAGTGATTTATCCCGAGGTAACGTAGGGTGCCGACGTAAAGAATTAGGGCTAGTGGAAGATACAGATGCTGTGAGGAGCCCGGGAGAGGAAGACCAGTGGGTCAGTGTCGGTGGGCTTGAACGACCTTGATCGAGAGACGCACGTTGTCGACTATGGTTACCCTCTGGCTCTGCTTCGTAGCCACCGTCAGAACTGACCTCGTCGAACTGCAAGGCAGATCTAAGCTCAGCGGGCTGCAGTACAAAGGCCTCGCGGAGAGGCTCGTGGTCACCGAACTGTGGTTCACGATCTCGCTCACGGTCAAACTCGCGTTGCTCCCGCTCGGACTCTTGTTCGTGCTCGCCTACCCTGAGGCGCTCCTCGAAGAAGGTGGTGATGGACTGGGTAACGCGCTGAAGCTCCTTATCGCACTCCTGCTTCGCAGTTTTGAGACGACGTGTTACATGGCGCCTAACAAAGGGCATGGAGACGGTGTTGGATCCGGAGCCGAGACTGGAGACATTGCTGGTACCGGCGGTGCTGGACTGGGACTGGATTGGGGGAAGCACTGTCTCCGGGGAAAATACGAGAGGGCTGGGGGGCTGTCGACGGAGGGTGGTGGGCTCTGACATAGAAGACGAGGGGATACCGAGTGCACTCAGGCCAGGTGAGGGGGAGTGGAAGGGAGAGAGGGCCGGTGGGTGAGAGAGGACGTGTTGGTGGATGGATTCAAGGCAGCATGAGGGAGTGATAGGCAGAGATAGCGTAGAACGGCCTTGAAGGTGGTGGCTTGGATACGAGGATGAGATTCGGACCAACGTCAATAATATAATATTCTATTTCATCTCGGCTCCTCTCAATTCTCACCACTGCCGACGTCCCATCCGCCTTTCGGTACCGACATCTCTCTCCCTCCCTATTTTATTTGTCTTTTCTCCCGCTCTTTATCAGCTCAACCCGCCCATCGTTCGAATTTTCTGGAATTTGCGGCGCACCATTCGTCAAACAGCCTCCGGATTCCAGTTCCTGCCTGTGGCACAGCAGTCTCCGGGGTCCTACCTCAGAATACGCCACCTGCTCCAGCAGCTCTCTTCGACAGTCTTCGAGACTTCGACCCAGCCCTCTCCTTGGCCGTCCCACGACCGTCGGTCATCTGCTCACTTTGTTTCCTTTCATCGGTAATTCCTCATCTCTTGCGCGGCCTTCCGCCCCGTACGTAGCTCAACAACTCCCCCGCCAGGTGTCGCAGCGTCGATGTTCTCCGCCGCGAATGTATTCCGCTCTGCTGCCCGCCAGCCTCGATGGCTGAATGCTTCTCCTGCTGCGGTCATCGCGCCCAGACGCACAATAATTTCTACTCCTGAACCGGAGTCGCTGAGTGACGTGTCTGACATATTACGCTCGTCCGCGAATGCGCAAGGTACGGCCAACGAGAGTTCCGAATCTGGTGAGCTGCATCCGCGGTTGCGCGTGTATCACCGCCTCACAGACCGTATTGCGAAGGGACACCCACCCCGGTCAATCCAGAGGATGCTGTCCCTCCTCTGATTACAGGACATGAACGTTTCAAGGGTTTTCGCACAAACAAGGTGAAGTTTGTCACCCGTATACCTTGCTTGCATATTTCTGACGCACACGATATTCTCTCTAGTTTGTTAGACCAAACCAATTGAGCCGCAATGACCGCACGGCCACGCGAAGGCCTGTAAAGCCTCCTCTACTCGGTCCATCCGCAAAGGAGTCCCGTGAACTGGATATTTTTTACCAGCTTAACATCGATCCCCTCCACGAGTGCCAAAATTCGTCACTCATGAGTCATTTCGTCACAGAAATGGGCAGGATCATGCCTCGTGCGCAAACCAAACTCACGTGGAAGAACCAGCGCAAGTTGGGCAAGGCGATCCGGCGTGCAAAAATGATGGGAGTCATCCCCATCCTGAGCAAACGACCCCTTGACCTCCTGCAGCGCTGACGCCCTCGGACGGACGCGATTCAATTACTCTGCAACGTTGCGCTCCCTTGGCTGTTCGCATCCACGGATACCGCCGCTGGGGTCGAATTAGCCATAGAGTTGCCGTGGAGAGTTGACGCAGACGGTCTATGATTTCAATCTGACGGCACCACTCGGGCAGGCTGCGTCCTCGGATACCTTACGATCATTGAATATTTTATTACGTCGAACCCTTGAAGCTAATCTGGACGCCACAGTCATCAGGTCTCCCGAAACTGCCGTCATCCATGGCCCCTGTCTGGCTCGTGCCTACGATCAACGGGTAGAGCAAACCATCATATCCTCGTGTCACTGCCGTGTCGGATGCATTTGCAGTCAAATTCTACAATTCCGCAAGAAGCATGGTCCCTAGATTCTGGACCACCTGATCCCCCATCGCCCGTTCCACTTCTGCCTCCAAGTGCCGTTTTGGATCCTGTTTCCCTACGTGCCGTGTCTTCAGTTGATCGGGTGTGAGAGTCGATTCTTCTTGCACCGACTTGTTGTATGCTTCTGAGAGCGTGAGCATGGACTGAAAGAACACGGTCCAACATCAGCTCTGGACCGGTCACACGCACACGGCAGGATCGGAACATGTGCATGGGTAATTGATGCATACCTTGATGGCCTTCTCGTTGCTTTCTTTGTGCGTCTTGAAGTCGCGCAGTGTGAGCCCTTCGGTCCAATTTCGCTTATGGAGGTTCATGAGCATTGACTGCTCGAGCTCTGTCTTGCGGTACTTCACGGCGATCGAGTAGTAGTGCCGATTGAGACCGTGGATGAGTGCCTGAATCGAAGGCTTGTTAATGTGCCCGATGTTGGATGTGGTCTGTCTTGGCTCTTGGCCCTGCAGCACAGCAGCGGGATTGATCAGGCGGAACGCGTCAATGACGACCTTTCCCTTGACCGATTGAATAGGGTCGATGACGACCGCTACGGAGCGTGGGTCTAGCGACTCAAAAGACTGAATCGGTACTGTCAGAACGAGAGGTCAGGCAAAGGTCAGGTGCACGGACCTGCTGCGTGTTTATGTCGACGCTTGACAGCCAGCAGCCGAAGCCTGGATGTGAATGGTACCAGCCGACCACCATCTCTGACCTGCACTGAAATTTTTGGGAGGTGGACGTGGGAAGGGGGCGCGAAGTACTGACCTGCCTGTCTGCTTCAGCATGTCCACCATCTTCTGTTGGAAGACGTGGTCGACGGATTCGACGGAGACTGATGTTCCTGACTGCGGCATCGCGAAGACGTCGATGACCTGCACCGTGAACTCGTCCACGAATTCTCCCAGCATAAGGCCCATGACCTCCATTGGGACTCCGGCGCGCCCGTGCTTGAGCATCTGTACAAGAGGGAGTGTCAGGTATACGAACGCAAAACTTTAACATAGTCATGCGCACCTTAAGGAGAGCGAGTGAAGAGATGTGGATGACCTCTCCGCTACATAGAGCATTAAATGTGCGAAGTGGAAGCGGAGTAGAAGAGCCTCACTTGTCTGGTACGGTAGATTCCTGGCCTTGACGCCCCCCAGCTTGCGCAAGCATCTGTTCAATGTCTGTCTCCATGTCGTGTAGTGTTCACGGTAGAATGTGGCAGGAGGCGAGCAGTCGCGCTTTACAAGTACAAGTGCGTGCGCGTCGCTGACGCGTTCACCTGAGAAGGGCACGTGGCACGGTGTGTATTTGGATCTGTTGTCTAAAAGCCTTAGATCCTTACGTAATTTAGTACTCACATCCATCTTATCAGGACCAGTCCGACTCAACGGTGACAGGCCCATACCAACACACTGAATAGACTCACCGCATGTGGTCGCCTCTCGCGATGCACTGCGTTTTGCATCTTCCTAGCTTTCATGCTGATTAATAGCTTCTCATGCTTTGACGCCATTATTGATTCTGCAAGGTACGTGAGAACGAAACTTCCAACGGGACTCTAGACACCAAAGTTGTCTGCAATTCCAATCGTCTCATTAGGTAGGTACGCGGCGCATCCCGGCGCTCCACCGTGGAAGCAGCGGACGGTGAGTGCTAGGGACATAGATCCAAGCAAGTCTCCTCTGAAGCTGGCGTGAATGAAGAGCGGATGGCTCCACATGAGCCGCGTATTATGACTGCTGGATAGATCGGTTGACCGACACTAATCCACGTAGTACAGATACTACTACATCCTCCGCGCAAGATGGGGACCTTGCGGTGCAAGGGAGCGGTCTGCCAGGCTTCAAGTCGCCGTCATGCAATAGGAACGAATTTGGATGACACGCCGGTGGGGCCATCCATATTCATTTCGGAAAGCATGCAAGCTTCTCTGTGCGTCATGCTAAGAGAATTTCCGTACCTTCTGAAAGGCAAGGAGCGGTCTTACTAATCTTCCAGACGCTCCCAAGAGATACTGAAACTTGCTGAACATATCGCGCGATGCTGCATACCTTCCAGCAAGTTGATGGTGGAAAACGCGAGCTCACTGTCCTCAACAGGCCCATGCGATGATATGCAATATCTTTACATCTCTCCAGCAGAAATTTAAAAGCGACATCCTGCAAGTGCATTGCCAGACGATGGGCTAGCCCTAGGCGGTATTTGCACTGTTTCCTGCAGAAAGACTAGCTCTCCTCACCGTCGACTTACTGTGTTTGGTTTGAAGGTCTTCTCCGCTGCGACGGAGGGCGTAGATGGGGTTACAGTTGACGATGTCTGTGTGTTTCGGATCCGGAGGGTTCGTCGACTTCAATCTTGTCAGTGGCTCCCAAACGCTCGTGCATGCCAATTAGAAGGTTGTCTGCTGCTACAGTACACTATCTCATAATGCATAACATGGTAACGCATAATACCTCATAGTGCATGGGCCTTGGGCGGTACAAAACCGCACTTCACAGCCAAAATCCAATGCCATAATGCATAAAACCTCATAATGCATAGCAAAATCCGGGCACCGACGCTATGCATTATGAGATAGTGTACTGTATAGTTGGGCTATGATTTTGTAGATTCAGAGATTCAGATCCTCGTCGCTATTACGCGAAATTACCAAGTTTGGCATGTCTATGACCTGTTCCGAACTCCCATCCTTACCTAATCCTCACGGAGAATTCATACAAGACCGTCACTTGCTCAGCGCTCAGCTGTTACAATGTCGTCGGATGGTAAGTCGTCGTCTGAGAACCTTTCCGAGTCACCTATGGCCAGGCATGAATTCACGCAACAGCAGTTTATCACTGCATACCCTCCAACTCACACCCAACCCACGGACATGATCATCAACCATCCTGTGAGTAACTCTGCACGGCAAATTGCTTAGACGAAGAGCATATTCACTCAGTGCAAGCCCAGAAGACCGAGGACGTGCTCAAGAATTCGTAGAACTGCATGACCAAGTCCAAGTATATCTATTCCCCTCCGGTTCGCGCCTAGTTGACATGACATCACTAGAATAGCGTGAACTTGCTTGACTCGCTAGAAACCTTCCTGTCTACTTTTCAGAAGGACTTGTCTGCAGTGTCCGGTCAAATATCTAACCTTCAGGACCGCAGTAAAGACATTGAGAACAGGCTGAAGAGTCGCAGGGTATGCCTCTGTGAAGTCTCTACGTTTGCGATGCTCGTCTCACATGCACTGTGTAGAAAATTGAGAAGCCACTGTCAAGCCTGCTCGTGGATCTATGTATTTCTCCGCAACTGGCGACGCTGATATTGGACACCAATGTTGGCGAACCTTGGATATCGGCTATTGGTGACTTCGAGAACAAGCTGGAAGCATTGAAAGCTAGGGCAAGGGTGAAGGCAGCGAGGGACCTAGCTGAAGTGGCAGAGGGCTTGCGGATCGTGGTAAGTTATTGGTATGTTGAGTCACGGCACCACCTCACAGATCCATCAGGCAGCGACTAAGCTACGCGGCTTTTTCCTCGCTCTGCTGCACCCAGTACGGACAAGTATGACAACGAATATGCAGGTCATCCAAACTTCTGTGTTCCTTAAATACAGGCCACTATTTGGCTTCCTCCAGCACTACGCACCAAGTGTGGCGAACGAAGTACAGCGGGCTTATGTCGGTGCTTCGCGCACTTACTTCGAGACTGGTTTCCGTCGATATATCCGTAGTCTTGGGTGGTTGAAGGTAGTCCCTCTATGGTTTGCTTTCCCGACGAGCTCACCTGTGGTTTATTAGACAAGATCAGTTGAGAAAGTTGAAACGATCGTCGATGGGGTCGGAGAGTCTCTATTAGACTCTAAAACGGACGCCGAAGTCGATGTCGAGAGACTTGCTTATGCTGAGATAGATGGCCCAGGTGTCGTTCTCGCGTACATGGCCGACGACAAGTTACATGTGAGTGAAACTACTTTCGTTCCTTCCTATTCTGACCAGTGGTGCAGAAAGAACCAATTGAAGCCATTGTGCGATCCCTCTTACTTGTTCTGATGGACAACGCTACCGCCGAGTACACGTTTGTGACGTCGTTCTTCGTGTCAGAAGAGCGCCCGTCAGTCCACCAGAAAGACTCCAGTAGTTCCGTACGATCTCCCTCCGCCGTTCTGTCACCTACGAACGCCGAATTCGACGAGCTACGATCAAACGCAGGATCCGACTTGAACGCCCTTTCCAGGCGTCGGTTCAGCAGTATCAACAACGCTATGAATGTACCGCAGATGTCTGCGAAGGAGGAACAGGCGTCCTTGGCAGCAATCTGGAAGCAGATCATGGACCCTGTGTTAGAATACTGCCAGGCAAGTCTGACGCCGGTCAGTTTTCCCGCATGTACTAATTCGTCTGAACGGAGCAGACATTCATCCGCACCGTTCTCGACCCCGTTCCTCCCGTGATACCCCTTCTGACGATGATCCGTCTGACTGAAGAGGTGATTGCGGAGGTGCAGAGGCGGGACTGCAGCCCCCTTGAGTCGTTCATCTTTGGGATCAGACTGCAGATGTGGCCTGTATATCAGAAAGCGATGGCGGAACATATAGATGCGCTCAAGAAACTGGCTGAGGGTGTGACGACGGGCTACTTCCGTCGTGGAGTTGCAACGACTGATGCCGGAGTGCACACTGTGAGCATCCATTCTCGATCTACTCACTCTCAGCCGCCCATACCCATATCCCATGCAGATCTGTCAACGTTATGTCGTGCTCTTCAATTCGTTCATTGTGCTGACGGAACACGCCGAAGAGACTATGATATTCTCGAAGTGAGTGGGTGTAAATTGCCGCCTGCGCTTTGCGTCACATGCCAACTTTTTGTACCAGTCTTCTCCGCTTGCGGCAAGAATTGTCGAAGCTTATCATCACCCACACGGACAAGATTCGTAACACCGTCGATAAAGCTTCTGCCCAGGGAAAGCTATATGACGCGTTACTGCGAGGACTGAGCGTGAGTAACTGTTTACCAATTCCACGGTTGTCTCTGATGTGACTTCTGATGTGTCAGAGGGGCCCTCGTCCAACAAGCCATCCTAAAGCACAGGGCGAGATAGCTTATTGGCGTGAAAGGGAGGAGGAAGCTCGACGACGCATTGTTTCTACACATCGACAAGGATAATGGGATACCATAGCAATGTTCTCCAAAGCGACAATACGAGGATGCGAGGGTACGATTATGGTTGCTTATACATAGCGTACTAAAGCTGAAACTTCCGGGTGCAAACGTGTAGACTGTGAATATTCTGCTATGTTTTGTATGGTGGACTAAACGCAGGTGAGCTGTTCGGAAAATGAGTCAACCTCGCAGATTTAATCACAGGCGGTACTCACAGTTGTCGTGGTTTCTGTAGGGAAGGGAAGGACGACTTCAACTGTGAGGTTCCGTTTTGCTTGTTACCAATGCCGAGCTTGTTCAACATGTCGCGAACTTCTGGACCAGCCAGCTTGTTTCGTTGTGGCCGAGACCGCGTTGGTGTGAGTTTGTAAGGTGAATCACCCGGCATCATGGACGATGTATGGTCGAGAGTCGATATCGATGGTGCTGCGTTCACTAGGTTGGGATTTGAGACACTGCTGCGGCCCTCCAACGCCTCCCTCAGATCGGTGACACCCATCCCTCGTGTCGAGCGTGCAAGACTCTGCAGTGACAGATTCTCGATGTGCATAAGCGTCGGCGCCACCTTAATCAACGGGGAAAGGGCATCTTGAAGAGCATCGTAGTTGGGTCTAGTCTCCAGCGCTGCAAAATCATCGGTAACTTGGTTTGCGGAAGAATGGTAAAAATCTCACACTCTCTGAAAGCAGATTCAGCGGTCCATGGCATAGCGAGTCTGCGCAGTAAGCTTTGTTGATCCAGACCGGTAGCTTCTTGCACATTGGGGTTCGACGCCAGTGCTATTAGCAACGCTTGAGTGTCCAGGCAAGTCAACGTTCCACTACTTGATGCTTCACTCGTGAAGAGAATAGGTTTCCGTGGAAGTTCAAAAGTGCTGGGCTGCATGTCCGGGAGACTTGGCAGAAACAGTTCTGCGACGGCGGACATGTGCTTTACGGAAAATCAGTGATGTGATGTGCAAAGAAAAACAATTAGTCTACCTGTTCAGCCATCGCTACCACCTCCGAACAACTCCACACCTTGCCAATTGTTACCCATGCTTTGTCGACCACCTGCTTGACTGCTTTGAACAGCGGAAGGTTTGGCGCGGTGGTGTCACCGTCTATGCGACTTGCGCTGTCGAGTGCCAACAACATCGGAGTACCAGTCAGAAGTGCTCGCAAGGGAAGACTCTCGTGGACTGCAGTGAGTATAGCGAGCACATTGCCGTAGTCCGACAGGGTGGAAGCGGGAGGAGAGGTTGGCGACAAACGTGTCGGTACCTTCTGCAGCGCACGAAGAATAATCGAAGTTTTGCGGGAGCTCGTTGTGACGTTCGTCGAGTTTCGAATGTTGTCACGGGAGCGTGGAGATTCCCCGCTAGCACTCTCGTCTCGAGCTGCGGACGCATTTCCATCGATGTGACGTTCGGGAGATGACGAAGGAGAACCACGGTGAAAGCCAATGGCGGATGAGGTAATCAACGCATACGCATACGCATGCAGCGCATTCAGGAACCTCGTGGTAGCGTCACCGTATATCATAGCGGTCATGGTGTTTGACAGTTCTGAGTGACCTTCCTGGAGTGGTCGGAGGCGTTTGATGCCATCTGAATCCGCCTGCTCGCCCAATCTTGGGATCTCGTTCCGCAAATATGAGACGAGCGCAACGGCGTAATCAGCTCGTACGGTGTATTCATGATCGCAGAGTAAAACGAGGGTGTCATGCCATATTTCGGGTGAAATTCTTGTACGCCGGGAAGGTCGAACATGCGCCTCACGGAGAGCAGGGTTTGAGGAGGAAGGGGGATTCGGACTAGTGCTAGTCGTACGGATTTCTTTCTTGTCATCTGTCTCATTCGTGTCGGCTGCGTCATGCATATCTGCAGAATGAAGGAGGCCTAGCAGACCAGACAGTAGACACCGCACAGCTTGTACACGACCCTTTTCAAAGGTGGCCCTTCCCGGAAGTCCGTTTGTGTTGACCAACACGAGCCTACTGATCAGCTCTCCAGCAAGGTCCTGAATCTGATCGGCATAGTAAACATGTGTCCCCAGCGAGGCTATACATTCCACGAGTGGTGAGAGCAACCCGTCCTGCGGCTCAATGGAAATTCTCCGGAAGATCAGTGTGATAAGGCTTGAGATGATATCGGATGTCGACAGATTAACCAGTGGAACAGGTGAGATGAAAACAGCGGTGATCATAGCCAGTAAGGTGCTGTGGCGCGAAGTAGCCTGTGGCGCATCTTGACTTTCGATAAGACACTCCACGAGCCGTGTTGGAACTGCATACCGATACTGGTATTGGGTCCATTCCGCGCCCTTTTCCGCAAACCACTGGCAATTGTTGACTTTGCCCCAGCCTCCGGAGTCGTCTAAAAATTCCAGAGCAGCTGTCATAATTGTCGAAACCTGACTGCCGTTTGAGTGGGCCAATAATGAAGAGAGGGCACGTAGCGATGTATTCGTCACATCCCCAGAAGAAGGCCCCTTGTCACCATCTACGTGCAGATGGATAGATGCGGCGCGTCTCTCCAACGCGGGGAGTGTCTGAAACTCGTCAAGAAGTGTAGAGGTTGGTTGTTCCTTAACTTCTATCGCTCTTCTAGAAAGTTAGATAGTGGCCACGAAGCTCGTAAGCCACTCACTCAAACTCCAAAAGATTAGTATCGACTTCCAGCAGAGGTGCCAACAGTGCAGGCATCATCGTAGACACTTGGGTCTTGAACTGAGTGATTGAATGGAACAGTGCATCTGAATTTACAGCGGCCGTAAGTGCAGCTAAGCCCACAAGCCGTGTCCTAGGACCAAGTCAACAGAAGTCATAGGAAAGCACCAACGTAAAACTCGCCTGTTCCGGATCTCCGCGTCATCCGACCTTTTCGTGCCCATCGCGGAAAAGCTCTCTAGACATGCTAGATAGTCTTGCGTGACATCCCTGTCTACTCCAATGAGATGCCCGTCGGTGAACGTGGTCCAAGCAGTGAACTGAGACGGCTGAGTACAGGTTATTCCACCACTTTACAATATGTGGCATACCACATTGGCCGCTCTAGCTGCAACTTCGAGGTCCGACGATAGTGCGCAGAGTGTTATCTTCACTGCCGACATAAGAGAGGAAGTAAGCAAGGATATGTCGCGACGACATTCCGTTGCCAGTGCTTTGAAGATGTACAGTGTGATAAGTAACGTCCTATCAAGTAACGTCTCCATCAATGTGAGCGCGGAACATCACAGACGAGTAACTCACGCTCGTGCCCGAGTGTTTCCAGCTTGTGCCTTTCTGCAATCTGCCCTCGCTTTCTTCTCCAGTTCGTTGCTCAGCTTGTTTATTTTTCCAGGACGATTAGAGGCATAATACGTCAACCGTGACAGCTCTTGGGAATTGGGAAGGTACTCTTGGCCAGCGGCTAAAAGTGCAGCAGAAGGAGGATAGCACGCTGAAATGAGGTGAATGTGATTAGGAGTGAACGGGAGATGCATATGGTGGCAATCGCAGGAACAGATAATCTTGAAGGAATGAGAGTGTCCTTGCGATTGCGCGTTGAGTTGGCCTTTGAACAGGTGGATAATACAGTACAAGTGGCAACTTGAGCACTGCGCAGAAAGAATGACGGCATGCACAGTCCTGCGCGATCACGCGCGCCACATTTCCACTTTACTTAATTTGGAAGGTCTTCAAGTTCACCTCGGAATTGCACCGCACCATCCTGGAATTCATTATACGAAAATCATTCAAAGAATATGTCTATCACACAGGATGATAGCTGATTTATTGATAAAGATCCCCCCACCTTCACACATATTTAGGATCTTGAACTAGCTGTCAACCTACAACGAGAAGTTGAACCAGCTCCTAACATCTCCGTCAAACTCATGACTGTTTTGTCTTCGATAACCGAATATTCTCTCTCTGGCAGCCGCATTCCAGCCTTGATGCTATCCATTACCCATTCCGGCTTGACGACGCACATTCTTGTCTTGCTACGAGTCGTGAGTAGCTTATGCGTCTTGCATGCACTTAGTTGCTGTGAGGTAAGAATATGCGTGGCACCCGCGGCTGTATGTCTAACACAATACCATAAGTCATATGATGGATGGGGTGAATAGCACAAGTTACTAACTTGACATTGCCGCCTGCCAACGTAACAATTCTTTTCATTTCAATATCCGTTGTATCGTTCAAATATCCATTGATGTACACGGAGACATTCTGCAACACTTTGGTTTCGGAGCTGGTTGATCGTACGGGGAGCTGTTCGGCAAGTTTGCTGGTGCGTAATTCCCAATAATTCTTCTGATGTCCTCGACCATCGGAGCGCTGGTGGCCTGTTGCTGCTGAAGTGATATGATCTGTAAAATTGGCCATGGATTGTCAAATTCCATGTCAATGAGATCAAATTTGCCTGCGCACCTGAGCGTTGGTACATGTCAGAGTGAGTGATAGGATTTGATTGGTCCGTCAGTGTGTTCAGAAGATGTTTTGTGAGTGCAGACCCAGAGGTCTTAGCACCATTCTTCAATAAAGGAGCAACGATCCTGTCAAAAAGGTGAATCGATTGTCCATGCATAAGGATGCGCTAGATCTAACTTTTCGGTCCTCTTCTTGTCTTTCCACTGCTCGAACTTCCTCTCGTTTGCTTTGCTTACGCCGTATGGGTTATACTTGTATGTTGCCCGTTGCTTCTGCTTGTCGTTATCCATGCCACGACCGGTTGATGGCTTGACGACAGTAACAAACTTGTCCATGACGAAGAAATGGGATGTATTTACAGTGAAGAAGAGGATAAATTATGACCGGGGATAAACGGGGCTGGAATGTAACAGATATGTCAAAGGAGCATCATGAGAGTCCACTGTACTGCGGCGTGCCTCATCATGTTTGCTTCGCCACAGACGTGTTGTTTGGTCTTGCTTGGACCACTCTCCAACATCGGGCCGTATCAACCCGGCCACTGCAGTTTCACTGTGTCGTTTAGAAAATTATGCCCCGGTAGCTAGAGGGCAGTCTTTAGTGAGCGACCGGCACTTATTAGGACCCCCCGCAATCCCGATGCCTGAATCCCCGAAATTGGGCCCCGGCCGGACCTCCGATCTCGGACCCCCGAAAATGGTCGAAAAACCGGTACAACTTATGTGCAGAAATCCCCGAAATTGTCCCCTTTGGCCCGAGGTTCGGTGCGAAACCCCCGAAAAATGGTTCCTGGGAGAAAGTTTCCTGGAGACCCTCAACGTGGAAGGATTTTCCGGCGAAAATTCGGTTTGAACCCGGCCATTTCTCACCGCAGATGTTCGATCCCATTTTCCCCCGAAACCGGCGGGGAGGCCGGGACCTTGAGTGCGACACCCCCGAAAATGACCGTCTCCTAACCCCCGAAAATGGCCCCCGGCGGGATCGGAGCTCTAAGCGGGGGGGTCCTCACTGACTTATTCCGAACCGTCACAAAACCACTGCAGAAAGTCATGTCTGGTCTCATGGGGAAAATCTTGTCCCTTGGTTAAGGCTAGTTCTGCAGTACTAAACCGATAGGTTCAGATGGTGACTTCAGACCAATTGCTTGACGTCTGGACAATGTGTACAACCTATACCACACTTATAGTACTACAGAATGCATCCTGCGGTGGTGCAGACTATCTGAAGACTTTATGCTGCCATAACTGCGGAGTTTGACTGCACAAAGATCCGGGTGTCCGGCGGACCACATTGTCCATTCAATCTCACAACTTCCATGCTACTTAGTGTCCTCTGATCGATCCTTGGCTCAGAGAACATGAAGCTACTCAGAGGCTCGCAATGGACCTCTTGAGCACAGCGGCATCTAAACTTATCTTATTCTACGAATGAGTATTGTGCCCAGGAGTCAGATAACTGAATGAATTACCAAACGCACGGATTAATCGTGGCCGCACTCCATTTTCATCATCAGCAAAAGTGCACAATTGTTACAATAGATTCCGACGATTGTAATACTTGCCTGTACGTAGTAAGAGATTAGAACGGCATTGCAAGCCCTCGGAATATTTGGATTGTATTACAACCTCTGTAATCCTTCCCAATGTATTGCAACGCTCAGTAATATAGACAATTCATCGCAATGGCATCGCAATGTGCTGCAATGCTATGTAAGGTAGATATAGGAGTACAAAGTGCTTGTAATGTTGAGCGAATTTTTGTCAAATCACAGGAGCAACTACAAAGGGAGACCCAAAAACAGTTGATCGACTGGTTGGCACGCGCACGGCGTAAAGTCCAGAGAGCGATCTACTGAACGGTTTGGACACACCGCGCCCTCCGAGATTAGTATTGCTTCCTTTGCGGGCCACCTTCAAATCTCTACGTTCGCTGCGAGTTCTGCATTCCGTCACTGTATAGATGTGCCGGGAATACATTGATAGGATCTTGAGGCATCCGGTGCTCCACGTCAAATTTCTCAATGCCGGTAATCTACCTACCTAGCTAATTACCTACAGCTATCATACTCTAGTGGTGAAAATCCAAAGCCCTAAGCCCGTAGCGACTCTTCCCGATTTAGAAGTAAGAGCGATGACGTAGTAGCTTGTTTCTCCTTGCATACCTTAACCCTGGCATATATAATGGACGGTGAGCCCCCTCTGGCATCAAATACTCCCTCATTCCTTCTCCTTGTATCCTCCTGCTTTACTGATGACTTCAAGATATCAAGAACTCCGTAGAATTGGTTCCCGCCAACGCTGCTCCCCTCCCGCCTACGACCGACTTTTCCTGTCCTTCTGCTGCTCTCCAAAAGACCCTTCTCCAGGAGACTTCCTATGAGCTTTGCTTCCGAAGTGATGCACTCTTGCTCTTCTGCTCCTCGCATGCCTATCCGAGTATGGTAGGTGCTAAGTATCTCCGATGTACAGCCTCCCTTAACTGCCTTGACTTCATGCTTTGTGTCCATACAGGGCGCATATATTAGGCACCATCGATACACAGCGAGGAGGCGTGCGATCCCCAGAAACTGTGGGGGATATCATGAGTACATATCATTGTCTGCATGATAATGTAGCTGATGGATTCCTTTATTATAGACAGGCCCTTTGTGTGGATACCGGAGATACAAAGCCCGTTCCTCGTGGCGGTGAGTTCTTGTTACTTGTGATGTTCCGAAATGACATCATAGCTATTGCTCGGGGAAGGTGACGTTACGCAACCTCGTCCGTTCGTTCATCCCGAAGCGTCGTCTACAGCAATGCACACCCACCTTGTTGCCCAGTTGAGCCTGCATGCATCGCGCCTCTTCACCCTCTCCTCCACAGTGGCATCAAGCCGCGCATTTAGGTGCTCGATCGCATTGGCGTTGCACGCGCGGTGATACTCTAGATATGTGAGCCTGTGAGTGCCTCCGCGAATTTCCAGAGCGTGCGCTGTGGCTGAACTCTCGGATGCATCGGAGTGTAATGGCGAGTTTTGGCACCGCAGAGTTTTTCCAGAACTTTGTCGGTCTATTCAACGAACTGGGGAATGCACGCACATAGCCGGATTCTGCTGTTCAGTGGTGGAATGAGTACGTGTTCATGCCTGCGCCACCATACTGAATTATTGTGTTATAGTCAAATCCCATGAACCGAGGCCGACGAGAATGATCACGCAAACTGCCAACCAGGAATGGTCGCAACGGTCTGGCAAGAGAACTTGGTGCCACATACTACTGTCCGCCTCCATTCCAACATCACTATAGACAGTAAGTACCTCGATGTATGCATCGTGTCCTGTGACATCTTACAGCCTTCTGTGCGGACTGCCAACCTCATATTTCTCCCCTCTCGCTGTCTCTCTGGTTGTGGTTCACTGTCACTCGCTAAAGGTGCCTTCTCACCGCCTCTCACTCACTCGTATCTTTCCTGCATTCTCTCGGACTCCATGCTCACTTTCCCGTGGTTGTCTTGCTCTCCTTGTCCCAGCTTGTGATGTTCAGCTCTCGTGCTCTCTTCGGCTTTTGTGCTGTGCTCCTGCTCTCTTCGGTGTCATGTTGTTATCTCCATGGGCTCATGTGGGCTTCATGGGCTCTGTATTGATAATCACACCTGTCATATGTAATATTGTACTATGATTACTGCATTTCTCGCCCTGCCTGCAAGGAGCAAGTCTGTTTATACAGCCGTTGTAAGTCCTCCATTGGTACCGCTTACAAGAGTATCACAATGCCTTATAAAGCTCGGAATCCATTATAATAAGTCCCAAGAATTCCGTGCATTCGGAATAGATTATGTTGATTGCGAATGGATTACCGAATAATTTAAGACATTGAGAAAAGTTCGGAACCACCGTAGAGAAGTTACTATCCATTACAACTCTGCTCAATAATTTTGATCATTGTAATGGATTTTGTAGATTATAATGCTATATAACCAATGGTAACAAAAGTGCACTTTTGCTGATGATGACGGTAAGCAGCTTGATCTCTCTTTCCAACGCTTTACACTGTGACCGTATCTTTGACACATATGCATAGACCCGCGCCAGAACTCGACCAGTAGTTTGGAATCGCAGTTGAAAAACCTTTTCAAAGCTTAGGCCCGACTTGTCATCATCTCAGTTCACTTTTTTTTTTTTTCATTCCTTGTTTATAGTCCTCGAAGGTGTAGCCTTATGGTAGACTATATACAAACGGGTTCTAATCTATCATATTCCTAATCTGTCGGGTTGGTCGATCTCAGACATATGCCTTACGGCGAGGGTTTGTAAGTGATGAGTAAGTAATCATGCAGAACGGCAGCCTGTGTGTGATGCTGAATAACCGGCAATCTCCAAGTCAATGTCCAAATCCATTTCCTCCGACTTTCCTCCTGGATCCGGACTGGCCGGACTGAATCCCCCCATGTCGCAGAGCCCTTGCGCGATGTACCCCTTCCCCGGGTCCCAACCGGAGATTTTTCTCCCACGCCACGCTTCCCACACGTGCTCAGGAGAGAGTCACAAAGCGCTGACGGATGCCGGGGCAAGAGGGGGGCGAGATTTGAACTCTCGACACCGTCCTCGCAAAAATTCGAGGACCCCGTAAACTGGGGTAGGGGGGGCCACCTTCCGCATTAAGACGTGCCGATCTCCGGCACAGGCACAATGATTCCCATATTCTGCGACTGCAAACATACGTTCATCGACAATGACATTAACAGTAGTTACTTCCGAGTAGTATATAATACATAAGATAGACCTCACTCATGCCCAACCACTCTAAGCGCCGTGACATGGTTGTGACCCAACAGTTGCCCGAGAGTGATGCTATTGATTTGGGAGCAATAAGTCAAAGTCTGATACCCGATATGGTAATGGATGGTGTGGTAAGGGCCACTTATCAGCCAAATATTTACCTGCTGGATGTTGGCTCTGTTTGGTCGCCGTTCACTTTGGGTTGTTGCCAGCCTAATTTCTCTCCTACGAGGGCGAAATAAAAAAATGTGCTCCCTGGGAATATTCAAGAAGGTATTCATTAACAATCCCCAGGGAACACATTTCTGATAAAGGCTTTGTGGAAAGAGGAATTAGACGAGCAAGCACTTTCGCCCGCCATTTTGGTGTAAGCGTGACATTAGACGCCCGACGCGAGTGGTTGGATATGAGTGAGGCCTATCTTATCCATAAGATTACTTGTGTTTCTTCGCTGCACCCATTCGCACGTTGCCATCCGGTTGATACTGTCATTTCGTCGACGGGGAAGGACACTTTGACAGGAATTTTCTCTGGAGGTATACCGAGTCGCTCCTCCTCGTCGTGCGAAATTGTCATAGAGGATGGAGAGCACGCAAAGCGACACAGCACAAGAACGCGAGCGGCAAAGTCTGCGTTAAACAAATCGCGTTTAGTCACGTGCATCTGACGTATGCACATAGTTTCTTCTGAAGCACACACTGCGCGGAAATGTCCGGTTTGAGTGCACAGAAATGACTGTGTACATTACAGAACATAGATTTAAATTTAGAGTCAATTAACGTGAAGAACTTGAGGAGAGAGGTGGAAAATGGTGAGCACTGGGAGGAAAACGCGCGGGTGGCTGAAATTGGACCCCGTACACCAGTTTCCTATCCCCCTTGCAAACAGCTGGGTATCCCCGATTCAAATCTCGCCCCCCTCTTGTGCCGGGGCGTTAAATTCGTGTTGCCGGCCGATTATAATGAAACGGATTGACGGGTGGATACTCGGCAGTACTCTGGATTCCAGAGACCTGGGGCCGCCGGCGGAGGGCGGCACGATTTGCAATCGGAGCGGCTGAAGGGTTCCAGAGTGTCTAAATTGTTTTCTCTGGGGTGGGACCAAAGCTCAGTTCACTTTGGGTTTGTTCTGTCGTTGCTCAGATTGCCGCCTCAACAGTATGATCAGTGTCATGATCATCTACTGCAGTCTTCTTGATATCCACTCGATATGCATCGGCGGCGATTCACTGAACGTTGAACGTTGAACAACCGGAGGTGAAGAAGTCCGGTCACAATGATGCACGATGAATGTGATTGCATCAATTATTCAATGCATCCCTTGGAGCATTGCATGGGGTTGCTCCTTTGATTATGGAGAATGTCGCAGTTTTAGAATGTGCGTGCTCTCGTGAGAGCAGCAAAGATTGGATCCGGTGGACGGACAGCCCTTGTCAAAGTCGTTAGCCCGCCGAGCGCTGTTCTCATCTATCTTCGATCATGCTAATTCCGTCCTCGTTCAACGCTCGTACGTAACATTCGGGACTCAGACACTGGAAACACGGCACTTCAGAACAGTTGCAGCCAAGTTGCAGCAGCGCAATCGAGACATGATGAGGCTTCCATAGCCAGAGCCGAAAGATGAATCATATGTTCCTCCGAATAGCTAAGTAATGCCGATTATTTCTTTTGGATTCGCATGTCCATGCGTTTGGATGCAAAGCCTAGCGCGAAGATAACCATAAACGCGGCCGCCACCGCTAATGGTTTCTTCAAATGCGCTGACAGAGGCACCGAGTATGTCACCTGATGCTGGGATGAATACGCAGAGACCGGGTTTGAAAAGCTCATTTCACTCACGAAAATGGTCCCGGTGTGCTTGTCCGTGAGCTGCTTGTACGTGAAACTTATGGTTGGACGGCCGATGGTGTCCAGGTATGTGACGTGTGTTGCAATGTCGGTTTTCAACGCCGGGAACGGTGGGAAGTATTCGATATCACTAATCCCGCATGCATCAGCGGAGACAGGGCTCAAGGGGATGTCCACTCACGTAGCACCCTCCGGTAGGATTATTTCAACTTCGGCATCGTCGATTACCGCCCCAGGGATTATTGTCATGAGCGGTACGCCGACAATGTATTTCCCACTCTGCTGGTCCCAACCTGCATAGTCTCTCAAAGGAGAATCCCATCCGAGTGTGAAACTATAGTTCCAGCCGCCCATCAAAGGATAACGGGGGCGCAGCTCTAGAAGACTGAATTGCGTGCTCGGAGATCCTTTCTGCACAGATGGAGTAGTGCGAAGGCGGGAAGTAGAGACATTTCCGATGAGGTCGTAGTAATAGACAGAGTGGACGCCAGCCGGTAAATGAAGCATGAGACCAGTGAGCATCTGCGGCGAAGGACGACCGTAGAAACTCTGACTCTGAAATTCCAGACGAGAGAAATGTCCCTTCAGACTGTTCAGATGGCAACCATATATGTGAGTAGGTGTAGACACCGGTAGGAATAAGACGTACGTAGGTCCAGCATTGTGCAGGTGTATATTATCTTCAATATTCAGATTAGCACCCCAATGACTTATTTCGGCAGTACGTTTCAGGTTTGAGACTTCAAGCACTGGCTGATCGTAGCCATAATGAGCCGTGATTCGCCTCTGCTTTTCAGTCACAAATTCCTTCGACGAAGAAGGCACAATATTGTGATAAGGACCATAGATGATAGTCGCACTGGACCTCGTCACAGGTTCTTCAGTAGTGAACTCATCCAGGTTCTCAGGAGTAGTGTAAGAGAGTATCTGCGGCGAAGGTGATCTGAAAACACGGTCGGACTAAGTCGCGACGTCGGAATATGACAATACGCACCTCACTTTCGTCCTCTGAACCGCAGTGAAATATGGGCTCAGAACAAACAGATCAGTCTCATATTTGAGGGATTGGGGATCCTTCTGTGATGCCTGTTCCGGCCATGGAAAGGTCGCGTGTGTCTCAACAGTCTCGACCACCAAATTAGTTGTTGCATTCGTCCTCAGAGCCTTCGGGAGCTGTAAATCGTATAGGTATACACCACTGAAGACAGTTCAGTATCACCAGATGAGTTCCGCAGTGTGTATAGAAGCTTGGGAACGCACCTTTCTGCGTTGTATCCTGCCTCTTCAAGAGGTAACCCGACCGACTGGCCTTTGATCTTCGCCTCGAGCCAGCTCGTCTTCTCATGCTGGAGCTTAGCCAAAGCGAGTGTGTACACGCTGGCCTCATTCTCCAGTGCCTTCACTGCGTAAGTGGTTGTAACGTGTACAAGTGACCCAGCGAGTTCGACGGTCCGCACAACCGCGGTGTTTTCAAAGGAGTGACCGGTCGCAAGACAAGGCAATACAGAGCTCAAGAGGATGAATGAGAGACAGGACCACCACGGCTGCAACATGTTGCGTCACAATTGCTGTCTCCGAGCGTGAGGACGTGGTAGTATCCACAAATAGAACTGCGGCATGTCTTTGGCGCGTAAACAAGTACTGCCAGACAGACACGTCGACGCGTCTACAGGCGTCTACGTGAGACAGGACTCGAGTACGGATATTATATTCGTAACTACGCTACTCGAACTTGCTACCAGCATTCAAAGAACGGATGAAAGGCTGATATCCTGCTATGTAAGGTCACCAAGCCCAAGCAGGCCCAGGATTTCGCAACGGAACATCCTCCCTGACAATGCCTGCAGACACTATTCTCTTCAACTTCCTTGCACGTTCTTCAGCAAGTAACTCGGTTTTTGTCTTCCCCTCCTTGAGGACAACATGCATCCGCGAGTCCGGATGCTCCTTTATACCAAACCTACCTCGTCCCTTGATATCAATACGCTTCACGACATGGGGACCCTTCGTTACCCATGCCTCGGCTGCAGCGATGAGTGAGCAATTACTGACGTATCAACACATTACTACAACATACCAACAATGAGTTTCTTCTCGTCGAGGCCTTTCAGTTTAGCATGGTCCTTGGCTACAGCCAACATACTCTTTATCCGCTTGCTCGCTCGCTTCTCACTGAACATCATCTGCAGTACGGCCGAATCAATTGGCTTCCCAGAAATTTGTCGACCAAGCATGTTGAGCTTGCGATGGGAAATTTTGAAATTTCCGGTAGAGTATTTATGCTTCACACAAATGAGACCGCCCGCTCCTGGCTTATGAGGGAGTTGGGAGACATACCTGCGTATGCTTCTTCTTCGCCACAGGTGCTACACCACCACCACCAGCGTTTTCACCCTTCGCCGTAGGTAAGGTCTCAAACACGCTGAGCTGGCCCTTCTCAGTCTGCTCTTTCCGAGCGACGGCAATCTCCTTCGCTGTGTTCTTCCTGCGTACACTCATGGCAAGGTTGTCTCTAAGCCACTGAAATGGACTTCTGGCAGCACTAAACAGATGAATAAGATGAGGAAGCTGCTTGCACGGCTATAAACGTAGGCAATTCAGACGTACTAATATCGGACATTCCCCAGCGTAGCACATGAACTTGATGCTACGGGATGATGGAGGGGTATCGCCCTCAAAGCGGTGGAAGAAGGACCCACTATCACATATAAACTCGTGCTGAGTGAAGAGGGATTGATGCACACTTACCATATCGCAGACCTCTGCCGACGGACTGCATACTCTAACAACGTCCGTTTCGGTGAGCTGCAGAGGACAAGTCACGTCTCGCTTCTCCATTTTCCCACGTGCCAGTGCACACGTGCGCATCACGACCACGCAGTCTGCGGGTACGACACTTGAAGCTCCCTTACACTGCGCTGTTATTGCACGAACTACACCTCAATATTTCAGACACCGATTTGCAATGTTGTTTGTGGGAACGATCATTTATGTTGCTCTTCTCCTCGTCAATGCGATGGCAGTCCTCAGCGAAGACCGCTTTCTTGCCCGGAGTGTGTCTTTAACTTCCTCGTTATTTGGACGAGTACTCATTCTTCACTAAGTTGGCTGGTCATCCAGTACACCACAGACAGCGAATACGGCCTTCAGCCAACCGTATGCGCAGCCCTATGACCAAGCGGGATACCCAGGAGGACAGGACGTTGGGATGAAAGGGCGGCTAATAAACCTCATTAGTGCGGTAAGGACTGTAATGCGAAGTAAGTTGAATGCACGGGTGAATGAATCGTTTTCTAACGCGACTATGGCTGCAGTACCACTCATCGGCCTCAATATTGCGGTCATCATATACGAGTTGATCCTGGGTGGCTAAGTACATCGGGGGTCTGTGTCTGATGTCTGCGATCCTGTTTTTTCATGTTCTGCTTCAATCCTCACCACTGTTCTCAGTTCTCATCGCTGCTGTCGTCATCATCGCTATTCAACTTGTCGTACTCTTCGTTGATCTGCCGAATGAAATCGTCAGGAGTATGACCCCCCTGCAATGTTTGTGAGCAAGAGTTGGCTTCCGCATGAGCAAAGATGACTCATACCTCGCACTCCTTCCACGTTGAATCATGTATGCAGACTTGCTTGCCATTGATCACTATAGTGCAGCTCTTCCTGTGAACGTGTCACGATATCTGCTCTTCCAAATGCCAATCCTGCATACACTCACTCGATGCCCAGCTTCTGGGTTTGCCTTACGCTATCCTGTAGTAGCTGAACACCCTCCGAATCCCTGCCGCTGGTGATATTGGCGCAGGCACCTGCTCCGCTATTGTCCCAGTCGATGTGCGCAACGTTTGCGCATTGTAGTGCGGTCTCCGGCAGTCCTATCTTCTCTCTGCCTTGGAAGTTCTGGCATTGCACGAACTCCCACCACTGCTGCATAGGCGCATGCTCCATGGCACATAGTTCCTGCATGTTTCCTGCGCATTCATCTGGGCCATGCTTACAAGTAACGCCGTACTGTGGTTCCGTGGAGTTGATGCTGTATCGTTGATTGTCAAGACATCAGTATGTCTATGTCATTGGACTGCACTCACGTCCCAATGAATGTGAGGGAAAGGTCAATTCTGTCCGCTGCCTTCTTTAAGACATGGTCGAATACGGACTCGCACAACAGAGCATCTGGGCAGCGGCTCATCACTCCCAGAGTCACTGGCACCTTTGTATCCGCTGAGGCTGATTTAGCAGGAGGGGTTAAAGTTATCTGCGAGGCTCCAACGCAGCCAACTAGCAGACAGCACCAAGTTAATTTGAACAAAACGGTCATCGTATGGATCATGGTCAATGTGTGCGTCGAGTGAGGGTGGGTTCCAGAATTGCGCGATTGATGCATGCATATGGTGCGGAAGCTAACTCCAAGATCTAATCTTATCTAGTTATTTGGCAACCCAAGGGACAGGCATGGCGCACTACCCTCCCATTCCCGTCGTATGCATGGGCTGCAACAAATTAGAAACAGCTTATCGCAGTGGCCTCGGGCCCGTTCGAGACATGCCAATTGGAGTTTGCTTACACCTCGAGTTCAGCTTCTTGGTACTTAACGAGAGACATATGGATACCGAATTCTCCAACTATTACTACGACAACAACAGGGTTCACGTATTGCAAGAAGACATGGGCCGTCATCGACTTGCTTGCGCAGCGTCCCACCACTTGCGAGCTTCTGCCTCGGAGAGTGGCGGCTCAAAGTACTTACAGCGAGAACGGAATGCTAAATGAAGTGTTCATACAAGGTCATGGCTACAAACTCGGAGGAGAAACGTACCATCCAATGACCTTTTCCGAACTATCTTCTCGACTGTCAGCTCGTTATGCACTTGGTTCCGCTGCCATACCTTCAGAGCAGTTCCGCAATGTGCGCAGACTGACGCACCTTAACTTCTTCGGCGTATAGGGCACCCTGTTGACGCCGCTGAATAGCGGGATCGTCCTCCGTTTTCATCGACTGCCGCCTGTCTTCCATGGATTGATCCACGACCCCTACACAGTAGTCCACGATTTCTGTACGACGTTTCCAATTCACTTTGTCGCATCATCGTGACTGGCGGTTAGTTCTTCGATAAAACGTTGGATGTTTGAACACACAAACGAGTTCCCTCCAGACTTGAGCACATGCTTGGTCTTCCACATTCACGTTTGTCTTGCCTCCCAGCCCCAGCCTGTCTTGGTCACGATACTGGGCAGTAGTACGATTCAGTCGCATATTTATGAGGTCATCCAGCTTGCGATACTCTCTGAGGAGATCTGCCAAAGACAGAAGTTACCAAGCAAGAGCATGAGAGCTCGTCAGACCAGCTTAGACGGCATAAACGCTAAACCTTTGAACAGTGAGAGATCATGACATGTCGTTGGAGAGACGTGGACAATCTTTGGGGTCAATGAAGGTGCCTGCACTGCGAGACTACCCAACGGCGGTGATTTGGGAGGCATCGCGAGATTCGTCGGCGGCTGATGGAGTATGAGGAAGATCGCGCGCCTCTAGCTATGCAGTCGACGCCCAATTCGGCCAGGGACTCGGACATCGTGGGCGCTCCGAGCGGACTCACGTCGGTGGCTGCTCACGTTCGCGAAAAGCAATGTTACAACACTAAATCATGTCTTTGATACATATTTGAAACTTCCGAGCTACATCGACACATGATGGGACCGGCGGATATACGAAACGGCCATACTATAAGGTTCTGATATGATGTAGCTGAACACATACAGAACGTTCGCGTCAAAAGTACATTGTCAAATGACCCAGTACCACAGTAAGCAACCAAAAATCCCGATCGAACGGAAATAGACAAAAGTGGGCCATGAGTCGACGTGAATTCATGAAGCGCATACCATATCGTGGATCGCAAACCTGGAGCGGGCCATGGAGACAATCATGCAGAGGGTATCATCTCGTCGTCTTCATCCAGTTCTGAAACCTCCGGGGACGTGTCGATGGGTTCCCGCCTATTCTTCTTGCTTCTCGATGAGACATGTTGATGATCCTTCTTCATATGCCGGTGTCGTCTGGCTGGATCACTGAAGGATATTTCGCAATTAGGATAGGGGCATTTGTGCGGAGTTTCCCCAGTGCTTATCGAACAACGTCTCAGCAATAGCGAAATGAAAATCAAGGAGAACATACTGAGTGTTTATATGCGTCTGAAGGTTGCTTTTTTGTGCAAAGCCTTTGCCGCAAATATGACATATGCAAGGTCTTGAGCGACTTCAGAAACAAGTATAGAAATGATGCAGATGCAATGAGGCTCACCTAAGTTTGAAATGCTTCGATTCGATATGTCGCTTCATCAGATGCCTCTTGCCGTGATATGGGCAAGGAGACGTGCTCCCATCCTTGTTGACAAGACGCCAGGTGCATGTATACTCTTTCTCCTTGTCTGTCAATTCATTAGGAGGTTTATTGGTCGGCTTGGGAGGTCTCGCATACTTCGTCCACCCACTTCCGCCGCCTTCTATTGTGAACGTCAGCAGCAGTCATTAGAGCAAGGGAATTATATCTCGAACCAGGAGAAGACTTTCTATCCCGGCGACGGTACAGTATTGCATCAGTTGTTCCTCCTTGTGGCGCCGGTGAAGTTTCCTCGCTGCTATGTTCCGACTCGATTTCCAGGCCACCAAATGTAGTTCGCAAATCTTGGTCTGTGCACTGAGATCGAGTGGAATCACCAGCCTCGGGAGTAGAACAGATATCTCTCTGCGACGGAGATCCACTGCGTGAAGTCCTACAATGAAGAGAGTATTATTCACTAGCAGCGTAGTCAGATGATCAATACACACCTTGGATGTTTCAGAAATCTGTCCGAAGGGCTAGGAGGTGACGCCCTGAAAACAGTATCAGCAGTGGCAGCGAGTACACCACAAGACATCTCACTCAGATTCTTCGGAAGAGCTCCGCTTTCTGCTAGAAGCCCCACTATGCCATGCGGCACCACTACCATCGGAAACCTCGCTGTGATTATACCAACATCGTCAACTGATCCGGCATCGGTGTGCTATGGACAAAATCTCGTACCGAGAAATTTCGTTCAGACTTCGCTGACGCCAAGAACGCTGACGGCATGTCATACGATCTGAAGGTGGCTTGTATTCGACATACATCACCGGAAGTCGACTTGATTTACTCTGGGCCATCGGGTTGAACCGAGGCCACATATACGTCGCCGTTGGCAAGTCGAAGACCGATAAGGAAGGAGATGGTCTGGACGTAGGAGGTTGGTTGGAGGATATTATGGCGGGCAAAATTCCTTCCGAACGCGCGGGTCTACTGGTATGTGGATAATTGAGCCCCTGAGTATGTAGGGGACGAGAGAGTTTACCTTGCATGTTCCTGAGGAATATTCTCTGATACAGCTGCTCGGAGTGGTCTGCGCACGTCACAAGATAACACCGCTACCAGTAAGAGATTGCTTTCTAGATGACAATAAGCGTGAACGTACGGTAGGGACTGCATCCTATCCGCCTCCAAAGGCTCACGGATTTCTGGCATGGAGAACTGGCGCAGATTCATACAAGGATGCTCGCCCTCGCGGATAGAAGCAGATTGTGCATTCCCATGATTGCCAGTGGAACCCCAGCCACGGGGAGGCATCGGAGAAGAGTAGCTGATAAGTATTACGGTGTGGCGTAAGCAACGAAACTTCGAAGGAGGTCATGGTAGCTCGATGAATCAAGGATTCATCCATGACTCATGAGCTCTCATGCTGGAAGAACAGGGTGAAAGCAAATAAGACTCGCCACACAGATCTGTCTCCGTCCATTGGGTACCTGCGAATTGCGGAAGGCGCACAGTATCTTTGAATGTAAGCGTTGATTCTAGCTCTGCGTAGGTGAGTGAAAGTTAGTCAATGGAGGGGATGACGGTCACAATGAGGTGGAAAGGGAGGTGTTATGCAGGACCATGCCAAATGCGCGCGTCATTTATAGACTGGAGAGGGTGGGTCCATGGGTATCAAGATTACGTGGTACAAACAAGTAGAAAACATTGCGGGCGTACCGAGAGAATCCGATACGGAGCTTTAATTATCTGACACAAGGAGGGCGCCGTCGCATGGACCCACTTCGCGGGAACGCGAACCCCAGGGCCATAGGCGTAGGCGCTGATATGTAGGGCGCTCGAGGAGCATAATTTTGCAGAATAATAAAATGAATCCCATGCCGGCCAAGATAGTGGACCTACAAAGCGACCCAACACTAGCTTTTCCTATTTTAGACCGAAGGTTTGACCCAAATCGCCGGGCGCTTGCCAAATTTGTCTGATGAGGAACAAAAGCCTGAGCGCCAGATGTTTCTCGGTGGCCGGTGACGATGAGCGGCACAGACTTATTGTGCAATCGAGCCGCGATCTCACTCAGCCTAGCTGGCAGTGTTCAGCTCAGTTGCATCTTTCGTCGGCCTGGAAACTGTAAATTCCGAACCACCGGAACCTCTGTATCAGTGCGTGAGAGCGCCACATTCGTTCGTGGCAGCCGGCGCCTGTGGGCACATGCGTAGTTGTGACCAGCCTAACCATTTTCCCTTCAAACGAGAGAAGATGTGACCGTGGCTAGCCAAGCCATGATTAATGGTGCTCATTGTACTGCGATGTTTATTGCAAACAGTGCGGTTAGCTCAAGGTAAATCGGGGCCGTCGAGAACCTGAATACATTCTCTCTATGGAATCATTTCATGAATTAGTGATCAAAGGTCACTCCTAGACAGCGAGCCTCGGCCAGGACATTGATCGGGTGCGCCGCAGACGTGCTCGCTCGGTGAGTCGGTCATTCGGGCATCGGACATCCTCACATCTATGGTGCAGCACAAGAGTGGATCGTTTGATCCATGTCGAACGTGAACCCGATGCTACTGCTCGTCCTCGGGAGTTTGCAGGCAACCAGGCCGAATTCGAAGTGATGCAGTGTTCTTCATACCGAGTCACCGTATCATCCCATATCAGTGACTGGCAATGCCTTGAAATCCTTAGTGAATGACATTGGTGCGATCAGCAAGAACGTCTCTCTGAATCATATCAAGCACTGAGCGCTGGCGGCGGAACGACGTTAACGTGGAAGTCTATGATGGAGGAGCGGGAGAAGATTGTGGGTCAAATTCTTCACTAATATCAGCTCGTTTGTCACGTATCGTCAAGATCACCTTCCACCTTGATGGAGTAACCCACCAGTGAATCACAAGCTGCGAGGTGGGGTATGAGCACCGTGACCGAACTTTGCCTGCTGCTAACGGATATAAGTTCGTCCCTAGACTCGGTGAGTCAATTCTTTGTATGACACTCTGTCGTTAACGTGATGACGCGCCTCATCACGCTGAGTAACAGGAACCCCCGACAATTGGTAAATAGGCCTGATCCGGAGAGGGCAAAATGTCCACTGGGAAAAGGCCATTTTTTTCAAAATGTCCGTGAAAAATGAGGCCTTCACCCATTTTTTTGCCTACGCGTCCGCGACTCTGCCTCTCTCCGCCCTCCCCCGGCGCCGATGTCCGCGAAATGGCTCAGGCTATCCGGCAGCGAACCCCCTGATTTGTCCGTGAAAAACCAAGGATGAGGCTTTCGTACGTTCAAAATGTGCCTGTAACTGGCTCAGGGACCTTCCCCAATTGTCGGGGGTCCCCTGAGTAACTCATAGGACGCGTATCGCCTCAAGCTGATATCGGAGTCTTGGATTACAGTCGACACAGGCTCTTCAGACATTGTATGTGAACCTATGCATGGCCCCTCCAATGTGTCGACTCTCTTACATGTCTTCTATCGGAGTGTACAGGCCGAGCGACCGACAACGCCAAAGACTCATGTTTTCTGGACCCTATTCAAATATGCTCTGCTAGTTCACTTGGCATGTACATCTGGCTGCATCCGCCGAAGCTGCAGGGCGCTGTTTCAGCGTCTATCCTACTTCCTCCACTTCTCAGCCTATCAGCAGTTGTGCCTTCTGACTTCTTCGGGGTATTCCTTCCGATTTGCATCGAGGTCAAGGGCCGTGAGCTGTTCGTAAAGGGGGGGGTTGCCAGTATACTATATCACGTGCTATGGTACGTAGTCGTCTGCCGACATTTGTGAGACGCCACAGTCTGCTTTGACCATCACGTTGATAAGTGGTCTTGTATTATGAAGTTTCCGCAACGTATCTATTGACCTATTGACGGGCAGAGAGAGGATTTATTATTATTTAAACGAACAACTACACGTATGACTAAATTGTATTGATATGTAGAACTAAATGTGTATTAAGCCTCATCCAAGTGGGTAATCCTCACGGACTCGGTTCCTGCTAAAAATTTTGATGCGCACTCCCAATGTGGACGGATTTTTGGGTGTGGGAGTTCGGTCCCGTGAAGATCTGCCTGCAGAACGGGCAAACATTCCGCGGTGGTTCCGTAGTCGAACTAAAAACAGCGTCGTCACTACGCCGAGTCTCCACAGAGTGATACAAAGACGTACTGAGTGACCTGGTGCGCCTCCGCCAAGCTCCTCGTGGAAAACGACATGGGGCAAAAATCGCATGGCCAAAGTTCCAACTTAGTACTGTGGGCAAAATTCAGTAACAACAATAAACGAACATAGGATGCTGAGACATACAGCTCTGATAGATGAGTGGTTTCAACATGCTCCTTCATTGCATCCATCATCGCTGAAAATCCGCACACATGACCTGTAGCCAGTTGCCAATTACACTTGTATTGATTTCGCGGACTGTTAGGTACAAAAGTACCGGTTAGTTCCACACAATACAACCACGATGCTTTAACTCTGCAAGTTTCTAGCCGTAAGGACAGGACATCAGAACGCAGCAAAGCGGCAACTCACAGAGAGGGGTTATAGCCGATGCCATTTCAGTTGGTGAAGTAACCCGGGGAAACGATGAAAAATCAAACCTTTTGCGACCATTATACACTAGAATCCGGCACGTATGCCTTATGTTCATCCATCCTGCAGGAAAGTGATTTATACAACCCATCGATTTGGGCGTCGGCGTCCAGGAAGTGGAGTAGTGTGCAACGAGGCGCAGTGTTGACTGGAGGAAAATTTCCTAGGTATTTACGATACCTGTCAACACCGTCGTGTTTGCGCCCGGCGTCCTCTATGTCTTCAGCTGAAAGCGAGGCACTGGCTCAAGTTTGTCGCTTCGAATGTGGCACCGACTGATCAGCGGGAAACAGCCTAGTGAAAAACATATGCCAGCGCAGACAGATGAGCAAGCATGCACAGCGACAGCGCTCAGACGAGGAGTTATGTACCTCTGTGTACCCTTGAGGGTCCAGTGTTGGTGCGGCGCAAGGCTACGCCACAGCAACAAAAGCGATGACTCGACATCATTTGCCGCCTTCATTCTTCTGTAACTCGAGGCCAGTGTCAAGATGAAAAGATAATCGACGGATCTACATTCCACATGTCATACTCATAGCCTCAAGTTCGAACTGCTTGGGATATCGATGCTTCAAGATTCATTGTGTCCGCTCATCTGTAGCTCTTGCCGCTAAGGAAAAAAGAGCAACCGCTGAGAGCGACTCAAACCGCGGCAGAAGTTATGGAATGATGTGAAGCAAGAGTGGTACGCCAGCATGCCATGACTCGTTTGTGGTTCCGCGAAGATTGCGGAAGATAATCTCCGGAACATGGGGGGGCTGCATTGGGTTGCAGACATTTACCTGCTTTCCTGACCTGACCGTATGGTCTCCAATGCCGGGACTTCATGAATCCAGGTGGGCGCATTCGCGCACTGTGCTACAGAATTGGTATTACCTTTCGTGCATATCGTTTGACTATGCATTCAAGGACAACGGAAAACTCGCCTTGGGCTGTACTGGTGCGACGGAGAGCAAGCAGAAACAAACCCTGCACAAATCAAGAAGTATTTTGGCGCACCATTTCATCTAAGTACTGCTATTCGAGTGTCTCTGGGCCAAATGGATCATTGGAGGTCAGTAATAGATACTTTGACCAGGTCGCCACATTTCTGAATGCTGTGTAGTGTTGCTTGCACACACACGAAGTCTATGATATCTTATCATAAAGAAATTGAGGTCTTGAAGACAGTTCCGCTGAGCCCACGGTGAAGCCTGAAAGAAGGTTTCAAAAAAGCCTGCCAAGTTGGTTGAGAGGGATTCCGAGATTCAGATCTGAGATCGAGATCACACAAGTCCATCTAATCTTATCTATCTCAAGTCACCATCGCGGCTCACTTCAATCTTTATTTGGTCTGAAGTTACGCCGAATGTCGAGAGATCATCTCATTCTATTGATTAATAGGGCTCGACAGGCGCAGATGCACGCGCCCTCCGGCTTGTAACTGAGATTCTGGGTCCACAACGATATTGGAAGTATTCCGCAAGTACAGCATTACACCCCACGACCTCTCATTGCGAATTTTCTTTCGTCATGGAACACACGTGTGACTCAACAACGGCTGGCGTTGTAGGGTGCTTAACAATGGGATGTCGTCCGAACTCTCTGCGCGCGCCACAAATAAGAAGATAACCGAGCCTTGATGTGAAGGACGACATACAACCGGTGAGATACAACTGGATTGACGCAGAATTGTCGCGCGCAGTTGTTATTATCGCCTTCTCTTCTTCCTCGAGTAGCGTTCCGACGACCGACTTGGCATCGAGGGCGCCGAGATTTTTTGCCTCGAGTGAGCTCATCATACGGCATCCCGGGAGCGGCGGACGAAGCGCTCTCCCCGCGCATATGCGGGGCCATCACGATTCCAGTTAAATCATCCAGCCACGCCCTTCGGATGGGTCATAGACGAGATGAACAGAAGGCGGTTGGCGGTAAGAATGGTAGCCGGTCAAGCACATTGGTCTGCCAGATTGGCTTTATGAGCCCAGTGTATCATGCTGGGACACAGATAAGTCACGGTACATTGCACATAGTACACGAGAATCCACCTGCACCATGGGGGCGCTTTAAGAGTCGGTTGCAGAAGAGATAACTCACCCATGGTTTATTCCAGGACCACTGCAATGTGGACGGTTCTACCGTCAGTCGACGGCACGAAACATCCGGGAATCAGTCAACGCATTGTCGCATGAATGGCTGTCACGTCGGAGAAACTGGGCAGCAGACAGAAAGCGTGCTGGCGTCTTCCAGCGACAGTGATATTAAAACTACGGGTAAGCCGTAGAGGTGATTTCTCCGGAGACCTGCCAGTGTGCAGGCGAAAGTGATGAGCCTTCCCACCCAAGGACTAGGGGCGATGGCCGGGTTGCAGATGAGTGCGTTGTTAAAGTGGGATTAACGAACCCAAGTTGCTTCTGCGGAAATGTGGAAGAGCAGAGCACGGGAGAAGGACCGAAGAGGCGTGCCAGTAGCATGTGGCCTGTTGAAGCGTGTGGTTGTGGTTCGCAACATCGGCGCAACACCGGCGTGCAACCGGAAACGACACGGCAAGCTCGACGCGCCTGGGCGAACGACCGCCTTCGCTGGATCCTACGCCCACTACCACTCCCGCTGCTCTTACTGAGCGAGGTGCGGCAAGTCTGTATCCTTCCTTATTCCTCTCGGAAGATGGTCTGGCGCCCACGACGCTGCACAGCTCTTCTTTGCGAAATTCTGCTCTTGCTGATCTCATGCTCTGCTAACGCTCAAAACATCTCCACGAACACACAAGTTCCTCCGCTGCAGTGGATCAATATCACTGGACATCTGACGGGTTCAGCTGCACCTCCCCTCAAGGACGCATCCATAGGTTACGACGAGGATACGAGAAGCGTCGTGATCTTTGGTGGCGAATCTCAACAAGGCTTTCCTCAGTCTGAGACCTACATGTACGTGATTTTTCCATTACTTCAGCTCTGAACACCGATGGATCGGTAAATCGCTCACTTGCAGTCTTAATCTCGATACACTTGTCTGGTCACAACCCACCGGAGGCTCGACATCTCCACCCGCTAGGACCCTCGCAGTAAGCGGTGATGATTTCGCAGCGAGCTAGTGAGTATATTGTTCAAACGAGCATGCTATGTATCTAAACCACGGTGAAGCCGTCGTGGCCATGTTGTCATAGGTGGATTGGATACCAATGGCAATCCCTTGTCTGATGTGTGGGTAAGTTGCGGGATGTTTTCCGTTTCTACATTCACCACTTCAACACTTCTTTCAGGAATATAATTATGCTTATCAGTACTGGACAAATGTTTCCATGTCTCCTGGTGGTCCATCTGCACGGTACGGTGCTGTGGGAGGGATAGATGTTCGCACATTTCCCGCAACGGATCCCACGCTATCCACCCCCAACAACACCATTTATCTCGCAGGCGGCATCGATACTTCCGGCGTCTCATCTCTTTCAGATGTGTGGCGACTCAACATCTCAGGTACTTTGTCGCCTAATGTGCCTAACGGGGTTGTCGGAAGCTGGGAGCAAGTCTCGATCAGCAGTTCCAATGTACCAACGAAAGTCGGAGCGGCTGGTGCCGTTGTTTCGCAGTTAGCGGAGGACATCATTGCTGTTGGTGGTTGCACTACATCAGTTGCCTCTAGCTCTCCATGCTCTCAGGGAGACTCGTATATCATTAATACTCAGACCAGTAATGTGCAAGCACCTTCGTCCTGCCCTGCTCCTCGTTTGGATGGTACGGTGGTAGCAAATCTGAACGGAAATTCCTCAAGTTTCACTTCACAGGTCTTTCTCCTTCTCGGAACTGTTAATAGTTCGCAGTGGCAGGACGATGGGGGACTTCAGAAGGGAGAAGTGGTGAGCAACATCCTTCATGTCATCTTATACATGCTCAAGATTCTCTTGAAGGATATACTTGACACAAATACAGGCAAGCCCGAGCTTGTCGTTTCTAACGGAGTAAGAACTCAAGCCTTTCTCAGGAGCATGGGCGCGAATACTGCCAGCCGGAGATCCAGGAAGTACGGGTCAACAAGCATTCCCATCCCCTCGTGAAGGTGCTGCTGCCATTTCCTATACCCAAACGTTGGTTGGGACCCAACGTAACATCGGATCAGATACCATGGTTTTTGGTGGTCGAGATGCTTCTGGGAATTATCTCGCAGAGGTATGGATTTTGAGAGCATACAACGGATCCATCTCCCACACCAATCAAACTTGGTCCGGCTATAGCGGTGGCTCTCTGCAGACGGGCATCGGGGCTGATGGATCTGGCGTTACCGTCCAGTTCATGACACAGTGCGCCTCTTCGGTCAGTGGTCAGAGTACCCAGTCCGGTTCCCCAACGCCTACTACGCCTAATACGCCTACTATGTCGGGGTCTCCCTCTGCGACTTCGCACACCTCACCATCATCAACATCCACATACAACACGTCCGTGGTTCACAAGGCCCTCTCCGCCATTTCAGTTGTATTATGCTTTCCCGCTGTAATACTCCTCCGCCTATCGTTGCCGTCCGTCAACTCATCGCAATCTATAACCCGTCGCACTGCTCTCTTCTATTTGTCGATCACCGTTGGAGTAGCCGCATATGGTCTGGGCATCGCTGGAATGGCCACTTCCTTCTCATCCATTACCGTCGTAACTCACATGACACTGGCAAGACGTTCATCGTCATCTTCAGCAGTGCTGAAAACCGCTCATGGCAGAGCGGGTTTGGCATTCTTCGTGGGCTTTTATGGCTTAGTTCCCCTTCTGTTTGGTATCTCCGCCTATTACAAGCACATAGTTAGAAAAACAGAGATTACAGGGAAGGACCATGAAGTAGAGAGGCTCCGAGTAAATTCTTCGGAGACGGGAGAAAAACCGGAACCAGGAAACGGTCGCGTTGGCAGTCCTGACCAGTCTATGAATGGACGTCCAGATGGCTCAGATCCACGGCCGCGGGTCAGGTCCTGGAGCGGTTGGCCGGGGTTCTCAGCACGCCGTTCTAGCGACAGCGGGTTCGACAGTACTGGTGCTCCCCCTCCGCCGAAGCAGTCTTTCGAGGTTGTCAATCGGCCAGCCCGCGTTCGCCGTGCAAGTGCCAATAGCTTGGCGGCGTTCTCGGACCCTCGCATGGGGACCACGCCTAGGAACCTCAGCGATATGAGCTGGTTTGACGGGCGACGCAACGCGAACGACGTGGTAGGTTTGGTTCACTTTCAATGTTATAGTCTGTCTAACGTCTTTCTGAAGGGTGAGTTGGATGTTGCACTGGGCCATCTCAATCGCAGAGTCCACGACCCTCCTACCCCAGGAACGACTGCCATGGAAATGAGGAGCACCAGCGGTCTGATGTCGCCAACCGCTTATGCCACAGCGTTGCCTGAGATGCCACAGCCAGTCGACTGTATCTTACGTGTCCTCTTCCACGCCTTTCTACTATGTCTCACCATCATTTCGCTCGTTGCTCTCTGGTTCCACGCACCCAAGGCCACATTCATTGTCTTCCTTGTGGTAACCGTGATGTTCTACATTACTCTCCTCCTACTCGCATTTCATGGGAGGCCGAAGGAATCAATACTAACCGTAGTGGTCCATCGGCTGTTCACGACGCACCTACCTGCCGGTCCCTCCGCAGCGATACCACATCGTTTGTCTACCGATGGTTCTGAAGCAATACCCTTCCCTACGGATGTTCGCGGTCCTTACCAACACCATCACCCACCTTTCCGGACCACCATGTCCGGGCTAGACGAATATCCAACATCCGTTTCTCATGAGCATGGTACGGCGGAGTACGAGGACGACGATAATGAGGAGGACGAGGATGCCAGACAGCGCAGGATCGAGGAGGAGATGAGTCGGCGGGACGTTTCGATCGTTACCGTACCGAAGCGGAAGCTGTTCTTAACCAACCCGGAACAGAGATGACATCGGACTCTGTCGTTTTCGTGCACTTTCCATCTCTTAATTGTCTTTACCTATCATCGTCAGATCCATCACCTCCAGTGATACCACGGCATATTGGAATAACTCACATCTGTACTTTCTTAGGTAGATTTAATCGGACAGTCTACGTGCTGCTGTATTCTCTTATTGCATGCCTATTGTATTGTGGATGTAGGAGCGGTGTGGAGTGTCCATCGAGCTAGGCGGATAACTATGCGGGGAATGCTACAAACTATGCAATATCTCTAGGGAAGAAACCCAAATGAGTGAATACTAGTGCTCTCCCTCCACCGCTACGTCGTGCCTCCACCTGTCGACACGTCCAAACTTCGCTGTGTCGGGTATCGGGGGCGGTGTTGCAGTGAGTTGCGGGGGCATCATCATGGGAGGAGGTATAGGTGGTCCAAAAAATCCTGAGCTCATCATGGACGGAGCGCCAAATATCATCGACTGGTGCATTCGAGCGGCTTGCGCCTGGATCATTATCTGCTGTTGTTGAGCCATCATGTACTGCGTTCGACGCATTTGATCTGGATGGAAGGCAAGAGGCCGATCGTCGTCTGCATCTTGACTGGTAGAACCGAGAGGATTGGGAGAATTTGCAGGGAGGCGGAGGCCCAATGGCTTGTTGTCCTCGTCATCATCCTCAGCGCCTTTCTCGCTGGTATCGGGGAGGAGGCTTCCACCAAGGGAAGGAAGTTTGAGCTTCGTTTTGTCAAGCAGAGTCGACAACGGTTTCTCCTCATCGGATTCATCATCTAGGTCAGCTCGTGTCAATCGCTGAGCAGCGCGACCGATAGTTGCGACAAGAGGAATATCTTCTTCACTGCTCTCGTCATCGTTCCTGTGCGGAAGGACAAGCTTTGGTGGTTGACTCGGATACCTTGGTCCAGATCCGATGGTGCGACGAGGGTCTCTATCCTCATCGTCAGATGATCCTGCCAACCAGTCTGCCGCCTCGACATCCATCTGACTGCTCCGAGCCGCTGCAGGAAGCGGTACATCACTGGAGTCGCTATCTTCCTCCATCTCGTCCTCAGGAGGTGGTTTTGGCCGCGCCGCAGTCTTCTCAATCATTGGCAAGATGTACGCCAGCGATTCCGTCTGAGAGGGTATGTTGGACTCAGGGACGGAATCTGGAGCCGGACTGGGATCCTCCGCCGCCTCGGGCTCTCTGTGCTTTCCCTTCCTCTTCTTGCCTTTCTTTTTCCTCCTCTTGGCGTCCTCCAGCTTCGTCCGTTCCTCAGCCTCCTGCCGCTCGCGATCTTCGATCTCGCGCAACTTGGCCAGCTCTCGTTCCCACAAGGTGTCCACGCCAAATACGGAGCGCTTGTCTCCTTGATGCACGGGGAGCACGCTGAGATGCTTGCCGCGCGGCGCTCCCGGGATGTCGTTGTTAAGATCAATCAGTGGCTTCATGGTCGAATTGCGGCGTGTTAGCTCAGGTTGGGACTTGAAGGAATCCATGCGCTGAGAGATGGGGCGCTGCAGGGATTCCGGGTCAATAAGGGTACTCGACCGTTGCATCGGCGTCCGCGCCATCATGGAGGGTCTCTGATCACCGGTGAAGACACTACGGACAAATTAGACAGACAAGCATCATCGGGTGAATACAGTAAACGTACCGTCGTTTACTGTGCATGTTAGCTTTACGCGATTCAAGATCGTCGATGAGGCTCTTGCCAAAGAGTTTTCCGGCTGGCCGCTTCGATCGCTCTCCGTTGTCCATGTCCGTCATGACTGCGGCAACGGGAGGAAGAGGCTCTTCGTCTGGGTCAGGCTCGATCTGGTCACCCTCCGCAGTTGCCCGGCGGAGTGTGGTGTCGATGTCAGTGTAGGCAACGTCTCGTTGTCCATCGACCATGAGCGTATTACGGAACGTTAGCTGCGAAAGTGTCAAGCTTTGACGAGGGTTTGGAGTAAATGAATTGGAAGCGATGGGTGCTGCAGAAGATGGGTCCAACATGGACATTACAGCAGACTTCCGTGCTGTGCGAGCGCCGGGTGGGAGAGGCGGCCCATCGGTGGTCGCTTCGAACCCTTCTCGAAATTGCATCGATAAGGACGGGGTCGTTGGCGTCGTGCCTTGCAGAGGGCTGGGCATGATGAGCACCTTCGGCCGCATAAGCTCCATCCGGGAGTACAGATGCGGACGAGGGGGATGGCTACCATCGCTCGAGACAGCATCGTTGTCGAGTAGCATCTGAGTACCCACAGATCCGTTTGAGACTGTGCGTGCGCGAATCGCTTTGGGGTCAAACCTGGATGATCGACTTGGAGAGGGCGGCCTCACTGCGAATGGATTCGTCTCTTCTGGCATACCTGGAGACATAATGGTGCCCATCGTAGCATTAGACATCGTACGCTTCCGAGCAGCTTTCGGATCGAACCGTGATGCGCGGTCCGGTGAAGGGGGACGTAGCACGAACGGATTTGGCGCTTCCTCGTTGAGCATCATTCTCGAACCTAAGCTCGCCGTAGAATATGTGCGGCCGTGAGCTGGATGGTCTAAGAGAGACCCTCGAGAGGAAGGTCTGGGATATGACAATCCTTCTGGAGGAAACGGAGACATTGAACGTACGGACTCGCTTGTAGGGAATGGAATGGAATGAAGAGGCGGCGTAACGGGGAGATTCTCGATGAGAGCGTGCACGGACGCCGGGCGACGTGGAGGTAAGGAGTTTGCTGACGGCTGCATTGCAGGTAAATCTAGAGGGGATCCGATGGAATGTCGACGTACGCCGATGGGATTTGCGGAGGATTTGGCGTCCAGGAAAGCGCCACCTTCCCCGAAACTATCGAAATACCCCATACTCATAGTCCTGGCGCTAGCTCTAGGACGGCGGCCACGTTGTGCCTGTGGACCTTGGGTGGGTAACTGAGGATGAGGATTGGGAAGGGCATCAAGTTTAGCTTTACTGCGACGATTCTTGGACTCCTTGTCCTTAGGAATGAAGGCATCAAGCCCCCAAGATGTAAGATCCACTTCCATATCCTCTGCTTCCTCCTCTTCAGGAACCCCTTCGTACGTGGAGTCGCGACCAAAGGGATTCTGAAGGGCATCTACGGAGCCAGCCCGCGAACGCCTATCGCCCACCAGAGAATCGAGGCCGCCTACGCTTCCGGTTTCGCTGGGCAGAGCGACGCCCAAGTAATCTGTACTCCCGCGAGAACCGACGGGTCGACGAGGGAGGTTGGTGCGACGTAGATGGGCAAAGATAGCGCTGTCATGGGCAGACCGTTGTGCTTTGGTAGGGTCTGTGTCATCGTTATCATATTCTGCATCGAATTGAAGAGTAAAACAGCAACGTTGTATTAGTGCATGCACAATAGCGAAAACAGTGCATACTTACCAATCAATGCTGCTGCAAGCTGGAGGCGAGAGAAGGCAGCCTTGGGCTCCATGGTCCCTGCCACAACCCGAAGAGAAGAATGTGTTGTATGCGAGCCTTGGCGGTGAGAGAGCCCATGAGCCCAAGTCACCCTGTCAAGTTCTAATCTCCGGCGGCTATACTCCACGTGGAATTTCGGAGAGAATGGCACCATTAACTTTAGACTTATCCCGCCCAAATGAGGCGAAAACGTCACCAGATTGGTCTCGTGACCGCGAAGCTGGACACGTCTTGGACACGTCACTCGCGCTGTCCGCGACCACTGGGTGCATAATCACTAACCCATCTCTCGTTCTTTACATAGCGGAGACTAACCCAGCTATGTTGCGGATATTCCGCGTGCTCCTGCTGACCTTAGTATTATCTTCTATCCTGACGTTCGCCCAAAACTCAGCAGACACACCCAAGCAGAAGCACGACTATCAAGTGAGTCCGTTCAAAAGTGTATGAGCAGGCACCGTGTGGTAACAAAGTATCCGTGTATCAGAGTGATGTTGCACGTCTCCGCAAGATAGTCATCAACAGGTAGATTCGCTCAAGCTACCGTCTCCGTGCTTGTTTTTGACATCCCCATCTAGTCTTTACTCCCACAGGTACCCCGTAATGCATGAGCAATGACTTTCCACGTCTCAACTTTTACAGGGATGTCTTCTTGCGTGAATTGATTTCAAACGCGAACGATGCGCTGGAGAAGCTGCGTCTGACTTCGCTTATGGACAAGGAGGTTCTGTCTGGCGCAGAGGACTTGAACATTACCATTAAGGCGTACAAGGATGAAGATGGTGCCGGTCGTATCGTGATCACTGGTAAGTTACGACACGATGTCCACAAGTTTTGGTGTCTGATCAATGTGCTTTCAGATACCGGAATTGGAATGACCGAAGAAGAACTGATAAATAATCTCGTACGCCTATGCGATGGTTGCTGGTTGCTTGTGACAATCCTTGATGCCCGTTGCAATGCAGGGAACGCTGGCGAAGTCGGGAACGTCCGACTTTCTTGCAAGAGCTGAAAGTACCGATACGACTGGCACAGGTAACTTGATTGGTGCCTTCGGTCTTGGATTCTATAGCAGGTACCTGTATCTGCCAGGTCCGCTCTTCATGTTTCTAATAATCCACAGTTTCCTGGTTGCTGATCAGGTCTATGTCTCGTCACTTGCTGCAAAGTCTTCCAAGGATCCGGAACCAAAACAATACACCTTCAGTTCCTCGGCGGAGGAGAGTTCTTTCGATACCTATCCAGATCCACGTGGCAACACACTCGGCCGCGGAACTGAGATCACTCTTATCTTGAAGGATGAAGCTTTGGAGTATCTGGATCCCCACAAGATCACTGATCTGGTGTACGTGTCACGCGCTTTTTTTATTACGCGATCTGATGGCTTCGTGAAGTGAGAAGCACTCCTTGTTTTCCTCCGCCTTCCCTATCTATCTCTTTACTCAGAGGACTGAACAGGTTCCTGAAGAGGAAGCAAGCGAATCCGAAACTACTCAGGATGATGTCGATGAGGACGAGGCTGTCGTTGAGGACGTCAGTGAAGCCAAGGAGGAGATGCCTAAGACGAAGTCTGTAACCGTGGACGAGTGGATCCATATGAACTCGCAGCCCCCCATCTGGATGCGGTACGCTGTATCAGGATAACGACGCTGATTAGAACTCACTCTACCGTCTTCAGTGATCCCAAGACTGTTTCGGAAGAGGAGTACGAACTGTTCTACCAGGCTACCTTCAAGGACTACGAGAAGCCGTTGGCATGGCACCACTTCTCTGGGGACTCAGGCACTGGAGTGTCCTTCCGTGCGATCATCTATATTCCTTCCCGGCTGTGAGTACCGATTCACTCGTCCGTCTTCACAGCCTGAGATCTATTTAGGGACGATTCGTACTGGCAGAACCCACTTCAGAGCACTTCCAGGGACATTCGGCTCATGGTCAAGCGCGTCTTCATAACGTCGGACTTGGGAGAAGATGCTCTACCAAAGTGGGCTAACTGGGTCAAGGTCGTGGTTGATGGTAAGTTCCGTACGCCTATGTCACTTCTACCCATCGCATCTCACCCTGCGGTAATATTCATCATCTAGCTGAAGATCTTCCCCTCAACGTCTCCCGCGAGATGCTTCAGTCCACGCGTTTCCTGAAGCAAATCAGACAGATTATCCTCCGACATGTCCTCCAGATGCTCAAGCGGATACAGGATGAAGATTCTGAGAAATACGCCGAGTTGCAGAAGGTGTATGGCAACGTGTTCAAACTTGGTGCTGTGGAGGACAACCGGAACAGCGAGAAGTTGGTAGCGCTTACCAGATTCACGACCAATCAACGGAACAACACGTCGCTGGATGAGGTGCGTGCATCCTCATATTGCTGTTCTTTAAATGCTAAGACGCTTGCTTTAAAATCCAGTATGTCGAGAATAAGAAGAAGGGGCAAAAACAGGTGGGTTATGCATTTCCCGCTCTTGATCTGGTGTATAGCTAGAGTTTTGTGCAGATATTCTATCTCGCAGATATGGGGAGCTCGCCTGAGGTCCTCGCTAAGAGTGTCTTCATCGAGAAACTCCATGCTCGGGGATATGAGGTCTTCCTGCTCACCGAACCGCTGGACGAGATCTTCGTCCAAAATCTACGAGCGTACAAGTGAGCATATCGAGCACATCGTGAACGTGGCTGTTCTGATGACGCGTGATAGGAAACTTCCGTTCCAGGATGTCGCCAAGGCGGGACTGAAGTTCGGTGACGAAGGTATGACCGATGCGTCTCCTCTATGTGTCCAGGCAAGCTGAAAATTACACTTCCCAAGAGATGAGTCCAGCCGAGGAGAGAGCAGAACAGCAGGCATTGACCGAGGAGTTTCAACCTCTTCTGGATTGGTTGAAGAAGGAAGCGGGTGACATCTTTCGGGATGGTAAGCGTGTCGTGTCGCGCTCGCGTGGATCTCGTCTCATAACGAGGCATGGTCAGTCCTAATCTCCAACCGCTTGGTTGCCAGTTCATGCGCTGTCGTTGCCGACATGTACGGCTACACCGCGAACGTTGAAAGGATGATGAGTAAGCCCAACCAAGCTGATGTCCTCTCCCAATTGTCTAAAGCATCGTTCGCAGGCTCTGCACAAAAGGGCGCCAGGAGCTCTATGCATGAATTCGCAAAGAAACAAAAGGTCTTGGAAATCAACCCACGTTCACCCCTCGTCCAGGGTTTGTTACGCCGAGTACAGCAACTGCCTACGGAGGAAGACGAACGGGATCTCGAGGCAGAAGCAGAGCTACAGGAGGTAGCCTCCGTACTGATTGATGGCGCACTGGTTCGTTCGGGCTTTGGCGTTCCCGATTCAAACGAGTAGGTGACACCTTAAGTATGCTTCTCCACTGTATTGACCTTCGTCGGGTAGGTTCTTCACAAGAGTCGACCGCATTCTTCGACGATCGCTGGGTGTCTCCGAGACTGCATCTACCGATACCACCGTGAAACCAGCGCCTCCAGTTGACCCTGTTATAGTAGATGTGGAAGAGGAGCTCAAGAACGCGGAGTGGCCAGAGTACACGCCGGGTGCGTTCAGGGCGGGGAACCAGCCTGAGATGTTCCAGGTGGAAATGGAGGAGATCGATGAGGAGGGAAACCCTGTCAATCCTTCTGGTCATCATGACGAGTTGTAAGATTATCTGACGCGGACCTGAATGTCTATAGCGGATGGTGTGGCTGGCGAACTACGTGACTTGCCGCATTTGTGCGGCATGAGATCGGAGATCTGAGCAATGACCGTGACGCTTCAGTCGTCCTTCACTTCATCCTGTAGCGTTACCCTAGGCACACAAGCAGCTCTGTTTCCGATCGTCTCTGCGGGTCTTTGATACCGCCTAGCACGTTGCCGTAACGTTCTGTATATCACGAACCATCCGAAGATATGTCTGCACCTTTGGTACCCATGGCACCGCCGCCGTTACCTCTAGGTTGGACAGAACACATGAGTGAGCAAGGTAACTTTGTTCTGGCACTTTTGAGCTCACATTAGTTTAGGCCCTACTGGACAACCCTACTACTTTAATACACAAACACAAGAATCCACCTATGTCCGGCCATTACCACCGTTTCCTATGCCCGCAGCAGTGCCGCAGAAGAAGAGAAAGAAGGAGAAGCCTCTTGTGAAGACGCCTATACCCGGGACTGAGTGGTTGCGCGTCAAGACCACGGAGGGCAACATATTCTACACGCACACAGTGAAGAAGCAGAGCGTGTGGACTGTTCCGGAGGAGATCCTAGATGACGTTGAAGCGCTGGAGAAGGAGGAGGAAGAGGCACAACTGAGGGAGGAGCTGGAGGAGAAGGAGAAGGCGGAACGCGAGGCGAGGAGGGTCGAGGAGAGGGCATCGGAGATCGAGCGAATAAAGTCGGAGGTGCGTGATATGGTGGGGAAACGGAAGGCTGAAGAGGTCCCGGTGGACGAGTTCGTCATCTCGAAGAAGGCGAGGACAGACGACGCAGAGGACCAAGAGGAGGACCAAGAGGAGGACCAAGAGGAGGACCAAGAGGAGGAAAGCGAGAGTGAGGAAGAAGAAGACTGGCAGCGGGAAGCTGCAGCTCAATTGGCTGCTGAGGCGAACGAGGAACGGAAAAAACAGGAGGAGACAAAACGACAGGAAGAAGAGACCAAGCAGGCGCAAGCTCAGGCGGAGAAGAGCATACCACAGCTGAGCATGCCCGACCGGGTAGATCTCTCTGTCGACGAGGCCAAGGCTTTATTCAAGGTCAGTAGGCCACGACTCATACTCTGTTTTCTGAAGTGGTGACTAACAGCGCGTGATAATGGTGACAGACTCTTCTGCGAGAGAAGGATGTCAATCCTCTCCATCCTTGGGATATGTCTCTCCCACTGTTCATCTCTGACCCGCGTTATGTGCTCTTACCTTCAGTTTCTGCCCGACGAGAAGCATTCGATGAATATTGCCGCGACCGCGCTCGTGAGCTGCGACAATCTCAAGTTAAGAAAGATAAAGAAGTTGCGAACCCCAAAGAAGAGTTTGAGCATCTAATGCGAGATGAAGTGAAAAGTACGAGAACGAGTTGGACAGAGTGGCGCAGACAGTGGAGGAAGGACCGACGATTCTTCGGATGGGGTCGAGACGATCGGGAGCGAGAGAAGCGATTCAGAGAATATCTCAAAGAACTCGGTGAAAGTAAGTCAGGAACACTGGATTGACTGCAAACGTTGCGTGCTGACAATTGTACGACTAGAGAAACGAGCAGCTGCGCAGAAAGCAGAGGCAGATTTCTTTGCGCTGCTGAAAGAAAGTGGAATCGCGAACGCCGGTGTTGTTTGGAAAGATGTATGACTTCTACAGTATATATGCCCACCCCCGTACTGATTTTCGTGCAGGTTAAGCATAAGGTGTCTCAAGACCCACGCTATAACGCGGTTGGCTCCTCTACATTACGGGAAGAATTATTTGGCACGTTCTTGAAAGCCCATGGAGAAACTGCGCAACCTACCTCGAAGGATACAGCTAGCGATGCTACTGGTTCCCTCGAGAAGCGTACAGAGGAAGATGAGGAAGAGCGAGAGCGCAGACGACGTGAGAGGACAGAACGCGCAGTGAAGCAGCGGGAAGGACAAGTTATGGCAGATTGGAACAAGTTAGAGGCTGATATCGGTCGTTCAAAGATGGGTCTGAACAAGGAGGAGAGCGAACTGGAGTTCAGGTGCGGCGCACAAACTGTGCAACTTTCAGTATTCTGGCGCCGCTCATACGTGTTCTCCCTTGTTTGTGGTGCAGAACAATGCTAACAGACGCGGTGCGAGATCCACAGGTACGGGGCTTACTCCAAATTGTGCAGTTCACTGACTGTAGTTTCCTGTGGCATCTATTCTAGGTCACATGGGACAGTGTACTACCACAGCTGAAGACTGACCCACGTTTCCTTCGCTCAAGCCTTCCGCCGAATCAGCAACTGTATCTGTTCCGCGCACACGTTGATACCCTACACTCCAGACATCTCGCGAGCCTGCATATGTTGTTCGCGTCGCACGCCTCTTCGCTCGCCACGCCCTTCGCGAAACTGCCTGTGCCTTCGATCCTGTCCTCGCTGCCAGCCACCAAACTCGGGCTGGATGTGAACCGGCTAGAACAAGAATACGAACGATGGCAGCGGGAGAGGGCGCACCAGGCCCGACTGGCGTTCGACCAGATGCTCAATGAGAATGCGTTTATCGAGTTCTGGGGCAGACTGGGTAAGATAGGCGGCAAGGGAGTGGATGAAACTATCAAAGTCGATGATCTCGGGGAGGGGGATGCGGAGGAGGAGCAGGTCGATATGAAGGCGTTGGCAAAGACTGTCGACCTGAAGGAGATGGTCAAAGTTTTAAAGGTGAGTTGTACCCATTTATGAGTGAACGGACGAGATCATGAGGTTAACAGAACGATGCGCGATATCTCGCCTTTGACCATGTTCCTGAGCAGCGAGAGAGATGGCTGAGGGTGAGTAGGTGGACTCATTTGGAAGTGATTTCGCTAACGTCGGCTGAAAGGACTATCTGTCGCAACTCTCTGCGCCCAAATTATCTGTACATGTTTCTTAGTTCATGCTTGTCGATGTATCGCACAATCTACTCACATCCTTCATCTTGGCTGCTGGCACAACTCGGCACGTGAACCCACAAATTACTCTTCAGGAACTGCTACGAGAAAACAATGTATTTCATGCGGATAAAAACAGTGAAAGCAGAGCAATGATACACTTCATGGGTTAGCTAGTTAGTACCGGTACATGTGAGCGCTTGAGCCCTAATTACAACCTGAAGCATGCGTGCGGTAGATAATAAAGACATTGAAGGTCGTGACAAGGCTTCATGAACGTATGCAGATGAATAAAGTACTATGATCAAGCATAAAATCTAGCAGAAGGTCCATCAGCACAAGGCCACAAGAGCAAGCAAAAAGTCCACTTTTTGTTTATCTGCCATAGGAGTAAATTGAGATTGAACTTCGCTAAGCCGTTGAAGAGCGAGAAAGAAGCACGGTTCTCGAACTGTGCTTGCAGGAGGTCTTCCATCTTCACATCAGCGTTAGCTACTCGGTTGGTTATACCGAGCGCATGATTGAAGACCTCGAAGGTGAACACACCGACGCTGTTGGAAGATATAACGATATCGATCTTATCGAATTGACGAGGAGAAAATTGGTCAATTGACAGCAAGATGCCCTTCTTGTAGAAATGCTGTGCACTGTACTTGAAGGAACCGAACTGTGGGGATTTTCCTGCCTTCTGTAAATCGCGCATGTGGAAATACTGTTGCGTGAAAGGCAGAACGAATCGTCGCTTCCTGCTCCTTCTTCAGTACAAAACCTTATGGGAAATAAATGGTGTCCGCTCACCCTTTACCCCGCTGCATCGTGCTCATAGAGGTCTCCACGTAACTGTGATAGCTATTGATTTGCTCCTCAAAGTATTTTTTGCGCTCGGCGAGGTATTTCAGCGCCTCTTCCATGCTCTCTTTTTCGTGTTGTCTTTGCACGCGTCTACGATTCTTGCTACGCACATCGCCTGCGATGGCGTTGAGAATGCCTTGGTATCCGTCCATCCTCGAGATTCGACCCAATTTCTCAAGTTCAAGCAAGAAATAGATTGCATGAGCTTTGACTTCGCGGAAGGTCATTCTGGTCCAAGTCAGAGAGTATAACTGAGATATGGAAGGTAATACTCACGATCGAATGTCCTCGAGTCGGTATGCGGAATCTCCCGCTGTAGTAGATGGCATGCGCCTTTGCTGACGGTATTGCTCGCGTTCCATCTCTTCTATGATCCGATCCCAAAGTAGCTCATGCTCGTCAGTGACAGGTTGCATCAGAGACTCGACGAGATCTTTAGCAGGCTGTACGCGCAAAATGGCAAGGACGGCCCTCTTCGCTTGTACCCACAGTGCTTTCTCATCGGCACCTGGATCTGATACAAGGATGTTAGGATAGATGAAGCGTAGTGATTCTGAAACTGACCTTTAACATGCGCAAAGCGGTTAGTTAGCTGAAGCTCGATGGCGGTATCACGAGCATCGTTCAACTCTTCACTTCCAATATTGGGCACCCCTTCCAATTCAGTCAGTATGACTCTAAGGATATCGTCGCGTGCGGGAGCCTGTGTGAGATGCATCAGTGATAACGTCTCTGTATCGACAAATAGTCCTACCAAATGATCCATGTACTGTGATAGAAGAGTATGTATTGAGTAGACCTCGTTGGGCGAAATGTAGATTGCTTTTGGTTGAACGGTCGCGTCCAGAAATTCATGGGCGTGAAACTCGGTCTCAGCGTCCGGAACATTTGCGACTATATTGTCGGAGTGAGCGACGAGTGCGTGAATGATGTCACAGCATGCTGACCTTCTAGAAGCCAAGACACAATCTGTTTGATGGTCTTCCTCACATAGTCGTTCACCGGTATGAAAATGGGTGCATCATCCCCGAACTCAGCACCTGCGGTAATTTGTGTCAGCATCTTGGATATTTGAGCTAGGTTCTTTCGAGACGCAATATCAATAGTATTTGATACAATGTCGAACGTCTCCGGAGTGCTGTGAGAGGGATATTGTCAGAGGGACTTTAGGAACAACTTCGGAATCGTACATGATCGCAGGGTTAATGAATCTGTAGTAGACCAATCTTGCAATGCAGGCAGCGCAAGCTTCGTGAGAGGCTTCAGGGAATTTGTTCTAATCCTCGCATCAGAAACGATCTGATCATGTACGAATCCCTCACAAATCACTTACTCGTACAGCGGTGAGGGTTTCTCTGGCGAGGCATCGCATTCCGTATGGCATCAGCTGGATAGACTGAGTAATTGCCTTTACAAATTCCTCTGTCCACCACTGTAGAACCTGCAGATCTAGATACAAACTAGTAAGTTTCACTCTTCATTTCATGATATCGCTTACGCCGAATGTACTCCGCCCGAGTATCGGGATCATTCAGAGCTTGACGGAACGAGACATCCTTTGGTTTCGTTGAGGGTACGCCAGATCGCATCTCCTCTAGTTCGAGTCTCCCACGATAGATCTGGAGAAAGATAAATAACCAGTAACAAAATGGAATAATACAATTTACCACCACGGGGTCTGTCTCCAGATCAAGATCCTCGGAGTCCAAGATCCCACGAATAACGCTTTGGAAAGTCTCGCGGATGTACGGCATCTGCTTTGGTCGCAAGTAATGCACTGCGACGTTGATGAACATTGGATGTGCTCGCGTAATGTCTTCCACAGACAACGCATTCGACGTTTCCTCATGGATCGCAGTCTAAACCACTGCAGTCAGCGCTGGCCGCAGGATAATGATACACGAAACAGACCTGGAAGAATTTCAAAAGCAGATACTCTTCACGGCGATCTTGCCCATAGCCAAAAAGCGTCAAAACCACCCGTTCAGTGAGCCGGCGATTCTTTTCCCAGTCTTTCTCAGTTGACATTCGCGAAAAGAGTCTTGTCAAATATTCGCCTTTCGTTTGCAAGAGGTAGAAAAGTTGCTGATACAACTCCAGTTTATGCTTGGCCGACCGATCTAGTGCACTGGGCCCAGCAAAAGGATCACCATGAGCAGCGAGAACCGATGCCCTGGCAGCATGCACTGCTGCACTATCGGCACCCAATCTCCGTCGGACTTTGGTGAGCTCTTCAAAGCTCTTCACGTTCTGCACTACAAGCGCAATCTTGACGTCCAGCTCATTGACATCGTTCTCCAATGCCTGATTCTCCCTGATGCGCTTTACGACATCTTGCCGCAGCCGCTCGACCTTGATCTCCTCCTGGAAGTCCCCCTCTGAGTCGTCCAGAAGGTGCACGAAGTTCTTGATCGTGCCAACACTGACATTCGTGCCCAGTGTAAGCTGGCGGTATTGTTCGCGGGTCTCTTTAGCACGGAAGAGAGATTGGATCTGGACAATCTTGTCGAGGTTAGAGCGGTAATACTGCATCTTCGCATGGAACTTCCTTCGCTGTAGCACGCCTCGTAGCATTGCCTGCAATATCGTTGCGTGGGGATGGCTCCTTCTGAGGTGGTCACGCCATGCACGATACTCCTGACGAACGAGAGCACCACGGACGACCGCTTGGAGGCCAACGACATCCGGTTCGATGAATTCCAGGCGCTTGGCTTGTTCACGGTGTCGGTTGCGCGCCAGAGCGGCGCGAGCGAGTGCCTGGAAACCTCCGACGGACGAAACAATCTTAACCTCGGAAAGTGCCTTATGCATGGACTTGTGATGCTGCCGCGCAAGGTTAGCACGAGCACGAGCCTGCAAGCCAATCAAGGCAGGCGTCGCCTTCCTCAGACCACGAATCAGAGTGAGTAGTCGCTTGCGAGCAAGGAACGTCCGAACTGCAGCTTGGACCCTGATGACAACGTCCGTTACGTTCCCCAGCTTAACGAGCTGAGCATGGACATGACGCCGCACAATGACGCCTCTTGCATGGGCTTGTAACTTGACCACAGTCGGCACAGCTCGCTGCAAGAGTTTCAACTGCCGCGCGAGCCTCAGCCGGGCCAAGGCACCACGCGCATGTGCCTGCAAGTCGACGATGGTGTACATGATCAGCGGCGCCGCAAACGCTTTGGTGAGCTCGCGATGTGTCTTCTGAGTGATCCGCGCACGCGCTAGCGACTGCAGCTTCACAACAGAGACTCTGACACTCCGGATTGCATTCTTCAGTTTCAAGAACTTCCTGCGCTGCAGAACACCTCGCGCCTGTGCCTGGACTTTAGTTGCCCACACCTTCGAAGCTCCCACCTGTTTGAGATATGACCGCCATGCACGCCGGGCTAGCACGCCTCGCGCATGAGACTGAATGGCGAGGATCCATGGGCCTAAATTGGTACGCTCTCGGCGTTCAATTTCCAGACGCCGACGAATCAACGTTGCTCGACACTGGGCTTGCAACTTGGGGACGTATCGCTCCGCAAGCCGTAATCGTGCGTGCTGCGTTGCCTGTGCTTTCCTAGCCAAGAAGCTGCGTGCGATCGCCTGCGTCGCGACAACGCAGTCCTCGCTCTCAAGGAGGAGGCGATCGCGTCCTGAAGGGCCAGCATATATCAGTGGGAATTTCGCGGGCAGACTCAAGGATACACACGTTCATCCTCAGTCTCCTGGTCCTCTTCGGGTTCTTCGTTGATTTCCTTCGCCAGTTCTCGGCCTATGTTACCAAAATTAGGCATAGGAACGCCCGCATCCTTGAGACCTTTCTGGGTCTTCTGGAGTTGGTCGTCGGAGAAGTGCAGATGGCCAACGAGATTGCCTATCCGCTCAGCCAAACCACGACGGGCAAGTAAATGACTAGGCGAGCGATGAGTACGTATGATCGAGAAAGATACGATCACATACCTGAGCGCATGAATGCAGTAAATGACTTTCGGGAAGTTCTTCTTCTCGTAGAGATCTGTTAGCTCGAAGATGAATCCCTAGCATATAATCATAAAACCCAGTTTCCCCAAACAGTAGACAAACGAACGTACCTCAGGAAGACCAACTTGGCGTACAAATGTGAAGAAATAATTGATGTTATCTGAATGTCGGAAATCCAACTTTGGCGCCTAATAAAACAGCATGAGTCCTCGTGTTCGCGGACAAAACAAACACTCGGCACCTCGTAGATCTTCCGCACCGCCGCATCGCCCTGGAACACCCTCACGAGCTTCGCCAACACGACCCCGTTCCGCAGGCCCTCTTCCATCTCGACCACTCCGAAGCCTAACTCCTCGTCCAGACACCCCTCTATCCACTGCTGCGCCTCCCCCACATGGCACAGATACTCGTACGCCTGCAGCAGGTGCCGTTGCACGTCCGCCCACAGCCCGCGCGTCAGCCGCGATGACGGCGCGGGCGACGTCTGCGCGCTCGGCGCCTTGTCGCGCGACAGCCGCAGCCGCCCGGGGATTCCAACCACGTCGTCCGCGTTCGGCACCCCCGAGACCCCCAGTTCCCGCTCGAGTAGTTTCTCGGGCGAAGTGGGGCCCCACGTGCGGCGCTCGGAGAGTCTCTCGGGTGAGCTGGGAGCCCGGTCTCTACGCTCAGTGAGCTTATCTGGGGAGCCGGACTCCCAATCTCTTCGCTCGGCGAGTTTCTCTGGAGAGCTGGGTACCCAGCTTCTGCGCTCGGTGAGCTTCTCCGGAGAGCTCGGTGCCCAATCCCTGCGCTCTGTGAGCTTCTCTGGAGAGCTCGATGCCCAGTCTTTGCGCACCGAGCGCTTCTCGGGAGACGTAGGTTCCCAGTCTCTGTTCCTGAACTCTCTCTCTTCTCGGCGAGTGCGTATCTCCAAGGGAGGCGGCTCCTTCACGACCTTCGTCACTTCGACAGGCTCCTCCGGTGCGTCTCCGCTCGCGATCCGCGGTAAGTGGCGCCCGAGTCGGCGTCCGGCCGTGAATGACTCCCCGTACATCGACGCCTTCTTGTTCGCCATGTACGAGCTTCTGTACGGAGTGGGCGACATTGCGGAAGACACAGACGATACGTAGGAGGGCGCCGGTTTGTCGGGAGAGAGGGACGAGGCACGAGAGTATGTGGCACTCGATGGTGTTTGAGAATCATTCTTCTCTGGAGACGACGGTGTTGAAGAGAATCTCCCCGCATACAGCGAGGTTGGGCGTCGGTAGACAGGACTCGGCGACGGTGCTTCGGGGGCGGGTACTCGGGAAGGACCAGACGAGGAAGAAGTGGACTTCTCTGAAGTTCCAGACGAGCCCGTGGGGTCAGTGCTCACACTGTCTAGGGTGTTGGACCGCCGTATTCGCGAGGAAAGCGGTGAATCCGGCTCCGCCGTTGGCGTGCGCGAGAGGTACGAGGACGGCAGATGATTCGACACCGGTAAACGAATGCGTTGCGGTGTGGGCGGCCCGGACGAGTATGTAGGCGAGTCGGGGCTCTCTACCGTCACGCCTGTAGTATTGGGCGACAGGGGAGAGGCGATAATGGGTGCGGGCATTGTGTACCGCTTCGTCAGCGGAATGGGCGTGCGCTGGTGGGTAGGCGACTCGAGGCGCGCTGCAGCGTAACTGGACTCGGCGCGATCAGTAGATCTCGAGCGGGATTCTGTCGATGCTGTAGCAGACACATTTGGGAGATTCGTACGTTCTGCATGAAGATCTTCGGGTAAGGTGCGACCTTCGAGGGCTGCTTCAGCTTTGGAGCGCTCCTCCCACTTACCCCGGACGATGTCGAGGCTGCCTCCAACGCGATGCGACGGCGTCCATCTCCTCGTTGCATTGGGGGTTGATCCATTTCCGGTGGGAGAAGACAAGATGGTGTTTCTCGACTGCGTAGCGTTTCGAGTGAGAGAAGCACCGCTGGAGCGAGAGGATGTGCGCTCGAGGAGACGCGTCTGATATGCGAACGGTCCAACGGCGGGGGAGCTGGATTTGGAGTTGGTGGACGAAACGGAATCAGAGCGCTCCATTGCGAAGTTTATGTCGTGAAATCGTAAGTCGTGAGTTGATAAGGACAGTGAAAAGACAAGAGCGGAAGGGATGTATGGGAGAATAAGTGAGCATTGACCCGTCGGAGACTTCCGAGTCGAGGAAACCGTCTGTTATGGAAATGGGCCTGTAACCTTTTCGCAAAAAGTCCCTGTTGCAACTACGTTTGCTCCTGAACCTGGAAAAGTGGATGCCTAATTGCTCTATGGCGACGCCGAGCTAATTTTTCAGAGCAAAGGACGCTAGCGTTGTTCAAGCTCCTTGGGACGAAGACTCTAAAGTGCATACACCACGTGACCCATATTCACCGCGGTAATACAATGTACGTAAGTAGATCATAGTTTCCAGTAATTAATGCTTAGCTACATGCACGCAATGGCAGCACATCGAAATATCTGCGTGACAAGAGGGAGAAGCAAATAAAGTTGAAAGAGCGCGGGTGTGGTGCGAGCAAACAACGCGATCGACGCGACGCGACGAGATTGAACGCGCTTCACGATGGCATCCAACCTAGAATCCCTCGTATGCTCTCTCGTCCCGCAGGCCAGACGTGACAATAATTTAAAGCATGAACTCGTCGCACACTGCCAGGACATCCTCTCGAGGTATACCTTTCAATTGTCCTCCAGCGCGAGCAAGGGTCTCGACGAAGACTTACCACCATTCCACAGTCACATCGGTCAATCCGGAGAGACGGATATCGGCTACCTAGCAGACCTCATGCAGCGCCACCGTTCGTCCAACCTTCGCAGATGTGTGCGTTCTGCAGCTCATGCCTTTCAGTCCTGCAGTCTTCCCCCGATGGCTCCTTGACCTTGAAGTTCTCCAATCTTCTAGCACGATTACTTGACCAGGTGTGTTTTGCTCTTCCTCGACTATGCGTCGATGCTGAGAATTCTGAAGCCGGTTCTGACCAGGAAGCACGCGTCTCTCCTCTTCCTCCATTCCTTGGCTACATCCCCAAAACCATCGTCCGTTTCTCCCGCCTTTCTCCCCTCACTCGCCCCTCCTCCTCCTTCCAAGCCGTCTACCGCTCTGAACACGCCTGTAGACTCCTCGCCTACTTCACGATTACCTAGAGGCAGGTCGAAGGCCGAGATTCTGAGGGAATACCGGGGAAAAATTGGTGAGTTAAGACTTTCCGCTATTGTAGAACACTCTCAACCCCCATCGTAGGACGTCCGCACCTCCCAGAACACTTGATTCTGCGGGACACGCTGTATCTTCTTCAAGGAATCTCCGGCAAGTACGTACACTTCTCTCCCGGCGCCGATCCGGAGCAGAACGACGAACTCGTATTCACGGATGACCCGGTAAAGATACTTTTCCCGGACTCTTGCAATCACTCACTCGCCCAATGTACTCCCAGAAACTCATTATCTCCACCCCAACGCGGGCGCTGGTCCATAGACTCGCCGAGGTCGGCCACCTCTACAAGCGCGTCGACGCTTTCGTCCGCGAGCGCGAGGGCAGGCTTGGCGTCGGGATGATCGAGCAAAGTCTCTGCCACCACCTGCAGACACAGCTCACAGAGTATTACCGCCTCATCGCCGTCCTCGAGTCGCAGATGGCGCCGCACCCGGCGGCAGATGCTGCAGACGCGGATAACGCATCTGCGGCGGAGGATGGTAGTGTGCGTCAGGAGGAGAGCGGGCTGACGCTCAAACGGCTGGACGTGTGGATCGAAGACTGGAAGTTGAGGATGCGCATGATGAGTGTGTGTGTCGAGGGCGCGAGAGGTATTCAGCCAATCTTGGTCTTCCCTCTTCTTGCATGACCCGCTCACGTTGTTTCGTAGGTGCACACGGAGGCGCACTAGTGAATCTCATCCACGGTTACGCCGACAACGGCGATCCATTCGTCCGCAAGTTCACAGACCAGCTGCTGGAAGAGGTCAGTCACCGCGCGCATATTCGACAACATCAACGCTGATAGCGGCCGCCCACAGGTGTCGAAACCCTTCTTTGCGACTCTGCACAAATGGCTGTTCTCCGGCGAGCTCAACGACCCCTTCTCCGAGTTCTTCGTTGCTGTCGACCCGGAGCTCGCCCACCTGCAGTATGTGCAATCATCGTCGAACGATGGTGGCGGGGGCGGCCAATTCTCTGCAGACGGCGGCTTCGGTGGCTTCGGTGGCGATGGGGAAGACATCTCCGGCGAGCGCGAGAGCGGCCTCAAGCTCTGGGAGGCAAAGTACCAGTTCCAGCGGGACATGCTACCTGCATTTGTGGGTGAGGTCTTTGGTCGGAAGGTATGTGCTGAATTGAGTCGTCGAGATTGCGGGACTTGCATGATCGCTTTTTCTGCAGATATTTTCGACAGGAAAGAGCTTGAACTTCATTCGATACAGTTGTCATGACAGTGACTGGGTGGCGACGCGCGAGAAGCTCAGCAACACCGGCGGAAGTGAGCGAGGTCTCTGCGTAACGTTCGAAGAGAATTCCCTGACGGACGTGGCGCAGCCCTGAAATACAGTGACATCTCCGGCTTGGAACGCTCTATCGATCAGGCCTATCAGATTGCCAGTAGACGTCTGTTCGATGTCTTCTTCGAGAAGTACCGGCTATTGGACCATCTGCTTGCCTTGAAGCATTACCTGTTGCTCGGCCATGGCGACTTTGTTGAACAGTTGATGGAGAGCCTATCGTGCGTCCGAAGTCCACTTATATTCGTTACCTTCAGCTCATACATATTTCTTACTCAGTCAAAGCTTGGCCCGGCCGGCAAATACGCTCTACAGGCACAACCTGACTGCGACACTCGAATCCGCGATCCGATCCTCGAACGCGCAGAACGACCCGCCGGACGTGCTCCGGCGGCTCGACGCACGTATGCTGGAGTATTCGCACGGCGAGATTGGGTGGGACGTGTTCACGCTCGAGTACAAAGTCGACGCGCCGCTGGACACCGTGCTCGAACCCGAGGCGATCCTCCGGTACCTGAAGCTGTTCAACCATCTCTGGAAGATCAAGCGCATCGAGGGCACGCTCAGCAAGGGTTGGATGCGCATCGCGGGCGGCTCGCGCACATTCCTCCGCGTTCCAGGTGAGTTCTCCCCCTCAGTTATCGGCATGTGTGTGCGCCGCTGACGGGTGTGGCAGAGCTCGATGGCGACTGGCACCAGATCCGGATCGTCGTCGCGGAGATGATCCACTTCATACGCCAGCTGGAGGCGTACTGCCAGCTCGAGGTCATCGAGTGCTCGTGGAAGAATTTGCTCGACTTTGTGCAAAAGAAGGAGGGCGATCTCGACGCGCTCATCGAGGCGCACCGTGCCTACCTCGATCGGATGGTGAAGAAGGTCTTACTGCTCAGCCCCAAAGCCGGTCGGGAGGAGAATGTGCTCAACCAGGTCCGCGAGGTGTTCGCTATCATCTTGCAGTTTCGCGAAGCCACTGTGCGTTTCTCGTTCTCTGCGTATTACCGAATACTCATTCTTATGTAGGATGACTTCTATAACTATTGCCTGTCGGAGTCCGCCCGGAGGGACTCTGCGCTGGATGCAGAACGGGTGAGTGCCATTTCGTGGGCTGCGTCCAAAGAAAGCAGGCTGAGTTCGTGCCCATATCCAGGGCGTCTTCACTCATATAGAACGGGAGCAAAGACCGAGTACGCATGACGTGCGCGAGATTCTTAATCGCATCAGAGAATACGGGACATCGTTTTCCGAACGGGCTCAGTCGATCGTGCAGGCGCTTCAGGTGCATCCTGACCTCGACTGCCGTTTCCTGGGCATCAGGTTGTCGTTCTCCGACTTTTACAAGAGCAAGAAGGAGCAGCAGAGGTAGTGATGGGTGTTCATCTTCGGTCACGTTTGGACGTCATTGCGACGATGACATTGGATCTGTGTGCATTCATTATTGCGTCCCTCCTGTGATGGTATGATACACAGTAAGGTATACTACTGTACAACGATGATACAGGTATTAGAAATGAACTCTTATCGCTACATATCGTCACTTCTGAGAGAATCTTCCCGTTGTTTTGCTTGCGGCGAAGGCTCCCTGTACAACTTGAGCATTAGAGAACTGCAGACTACGGATACGGACCTGGGAAAGACACGGCAGTTAGTAATGTAAACAAGCGCGCTCAAAGAGCAGGTAATACTCACGACAACGCCATGGCCAGGGAAGCCCACACAGGCGAGAGCCGAGCATGGCCTGCGGGGTATATTACGCCAGCTGCAATGGGCACGGCAACGAAGTTGTAAATTGTGGCCCAGAGCTGTGAGCCGGAGGAAAAGCGTCAACAATTGTAAAACAATGCACAAGGTTGATTGTACTCACGAAGTTGAATTTTACTCGGTTGAAGACTTTCCGAGATAAATCGGTCAGAGTCAACAAACTTCGGAGATTTGATGACACCAGAATGAATGACGCAGTGGATATCGCGACATCACCTGTGGTACTATTAGCAACGACAACAAACTGAGAGAGCACCACCGCTTACTTCCCGAACCAATGGCGATTCCAACGTCAGCAGCAGCTAAGGCCTGGATGAGACATGAATGAACATAATACAGCGTCAGGGTGAAAGATACGTACAGGAGCATCGTTGATACCGTCGCCGACCATCGCGACAATGCACCGGTCGTTCAGCCTCCGCCTCCCCAAGAAGCGGCGCCAACCAGCTTGTCGTTTTTTCATACCTGCCTGCTGTAGCCACAGGATCTTCTCCGCCTGCAGAACACGTCAGCAGCAGCACATGAACTGGTACCCAGACTTGCCTTCTCGTGCGGGAGAACACCGGCGATGACGTTGGTCTCGGAAATGCCTACAGATCGAGCGACTGCCTTCGCGGTGACAATATTATCCCCCGATATCATCCAGGTTCCGATATCCTGTGAGTGCAGATGCGCAATCACGCCTTTTGCTTCTGGTCTGAGAGGATCTGCCACAGCAAAAATCGCAGACAACATGAATGGCGTCTCCCCTGCCTTCGAGTGGCGCAAGGCCAGTAGGACAACGCTCTTGCCCTCCGACTTCCAGCGATCCAAGCTATTTGCAATCTTGCCATCAATCGAGAGGCCATGCGCAGTCATCCACTCTTCATTCCCAATGATCGCCGTACTGTGAAGAGCTTCGAACAGAGCCTTGAGACCCCTGCCAGGAGTTTCTTCAAATGCTGAGCCGGTTTGGGGTAAAGCCTCATTATCAGCGCAGTATTGGCGTATAGCCAGCGCCAATGGATGCGAGCTCGCGGATTCCACTTCGGCTGCTACGCCGAGCAGGACTTCGCGGGACCAACGTGTGTCGGCGATCTCAGCATCAGTAACCCGCGGTTCACCACCTTCCGTCAGGGTGCCGGTCTTGTCAAAGACAATGGTGTCCAATTGGGCAGCCTCCTGGAATGCTTCCCCTCCGCCACGTGCCAAGATACCGAACTTCGCGGCGAGGCCAGAGCCTACTAGCAGTGCAGTGGGAGCAGCGAGGCCGATCCCACAGGGACAGGCGACTACGAAGACAGCAATGGCGAACTCGAGCGACCACACGGCTAGATAAGCGATGTCAATCAGTGCATGTATGGATATGGAAAGTGTTGTAGTACGCACTCCATCCACCCACGTCGATGTCGAGATAGTCCTGAGGAAGTGCGCCACCCAGGCCCAAACCGAGCCAGACTACCCATGTTATTATTGCAAGTAAAGTCACTACGGGAACGAAATATCCCGTGAGTAGATCGGCCACTCGTTCAATGGGCGCGCGGTGCGTTTGTCCTTCGCGGACAACCTTGACGACACGATCTAACCTGGATTAGGATGGCAGTAAGAACCAATTACGCACAGGACATGGAATATAAGTCTCACATTGTCTCACCGCCGATGGCATCTACTCTTACATCCACCATCCCTCTCGTGCTGATGGTGCCGAGGAATACCGGATCACCCGACATCTTCTTTACGAGACGCGATTCACCGGTGAGAGAGCTTTCGTCGAACGCACCCTCACCTGCCACTACAGTCCCATCAGCAGGGGGACTTGCTCCATGTTGCACTCGTACAATGTCTCCAATCTCGAGGAAGTCGACGTCTACTCGCTCGAGCTTCGTGCCGGATCTGCTTGTTGAGAAGGCCTTCTCTTGGCGGGAGGGGTCACCCTTCTCGATGTCCAAGTCGCGGTTTTCGGCGTAAGAGGAAGTCTCAGTGGACGTGACGGTAGACGCATCTTCAAAGACAAGAGCCGATGTTGGGCGCAGCTTTCCAAGGGCAGTGATCGCATCAGCCGTACGACCCTTGCTGTATGCCTCCAGGAATCGTCCTGAACCAAACTAGGTGAGTAATCAAAGCAGCTAGTGCATGGTGAACTGGGACTCACCAGCCAAAAGGAACATTGTCAGGAAGACGACGGAGTCGAAGTATGTCGTCGTGTCACCCGGGCCAGAGGACGACCTCGGGCGTGTCGCAGCCAAAGCCAAGAGCGCTATAGATGCAAAGTACGCGACCGACACACCGGTGGAAACCTATCAGTCATAACGAAGGTCAGGTAATGCTTAATAAAATGATATCTGTGTAGGAACTCACGAGTAGGTTCATGCTTCCGAATCTCACGAAACGCCGCCAAATCGGAGTTCTGCTCCCTCTTCTCCACAGGGCCCATATCTCCTTCAGGCTTCTGCGATGGAACGTGCCTGCACTATAGAACATTACAGGTGTTGCTTGGAAGAACATCGCCCATTGTGCCCTGGACACGTTTCCCGTCCACATCGGCCGCTCAAACCACATCCGCGTCTTGTTGGTCGAAGGCACCAGGCTCATGTAGACAATCCCAATTATAAACGTAGGAATGGCGACGACGACGGCAAAGATAAGGCGCTGCAGCAGGTGGAGCTGCTCGTACTGCTGCATTTGGCGTGCGCGTGCCTCCACCGTTGGCGGGTGGTGCACAGAGACAGTGAATGGCGTTCCCAAGGAAGAATTGGATACAGCTCGTGCGAGAGTCCGGAGAGTGAATGACGGCGGGTCTGGAATATAGGAGAATTGAAGGATGGGATCGGTATAGGAAGTGACGGCCTTCAGAACAACGATACGGTTCTCGAAGGACGAGAGTGCAGACATGACCTTGCCTGGGCAATGACTGTGGTGCGAAACCAGGTAAGATGCTGTGTAGTTTTACAACGAGGAGACACTTACTAGCAGAACATCCCATCGACTCGCAAGGAGACAGTGCGGGGCCCACTCGTCTCTTCGTCATTCTCGCCCTGTGTGAATTCAATGGCTTCGGTGCTAATGACCTCCGCCTCGTAGCCTGCATCTTCGATAGCCTCGACAATCCCTGCAGCAAGGTCCTTGCTGTCTACCACGGCAATGGCGGACCCTCCGAGCAGATTGACAACAACGTCGGAGACACCAGGGATCGCAGACATCACATCGGTTACGGTGTTGAAACAGGAAGCGCAGGTCATACCGCCCACAGAAAGTATGACGCGCTGAGCCCCACAGGTATCAGATGGAGATACATCCCGCGGTCCAGGGGCAACGAAGACGGGCTCCATGTTGACCACTTCCGCCTCGTAACCGGCATCCTCGATGGTCTCTACGACGGTAGGAGCAAAGTCCGATTGTTCTACAGTCACGGTGGCAGAATTCCCAAGAAGACTGACAACGACATCAGAAACCCCAGGTAGTCTAGATAAGAGCTCGGTAATGGTATTTGAGCAGGACGCGCTTGTCATGCCTCCGACGGAAAGTGTCAAATGGTGAATACCACTAGACTTCGCACCATACGAAACAGAAGCTCGATCCAAGGAAGGCGCAACAGAAACATCTTGGGAGATTTTTAGGACGGAAGGTGCCTCTAACTCTTTTCGAGTGTCGGAAGCGGCTACAAGTGTTCTCTCGCCAGAAGTAGGGCGTGTCAGAGTGATGGGTGAGCCACCTCCAACTCTGCACTGTAAGGGATACTCTTCTTGACAGAGTGAACATTGTTCAAGGTGCTTTTGTGACTTGCCGGTGATGAGAGCTGGAAGGCGAGAGAGGCTGTGGAACCGTGGCAGCTGGTCCACGGTAACGGCGGAAGTGGTAGCCATATCGAACCCAGCTTCGTTTATTGCAGCTTCAATGGCTGATTGAGACAGACCAGGATGATGCCTGACGGTGACGAGTTGGGTGACAACGGAGACGTCAATGGATGTGGGAGCCGGAGACAACGACCACAGTGCATCTTGTATAGTCTGGACACAACTGATACGGTCCGAGCTCGTGAGCAACGAGGCATTCATATACGGTCAGGACTCACCTGCTGCAGTGAAGGTTTGATACGTAAATCGTTGTGTGAACTTCTCCGCCGGACGCGGTGAAAGTTTTCGTGGGATGCTCTGAACCCATGCCGCGAGCAAGTGGGGAAGAAGTGGGAGGACGATGAGGATATGTGTTATGTCGCATGGCTTTAAACATTCGTCAGAGCGTCTGGCGAAGGGATGCTGAATATGTTTCTGTCGCTGTGCCTCGCCTAAGGAAGTTATAGGCGCCATCCACAAAATGGCGCACAATTGCCTCACCCCTCATTCCTAATCAAGCTAGTAGGTACGGCGAAAATGCCTCATCGCGAACTCACGTGACACGCGTCGTAGAGGACCCCAAACCACTCCACATGACTAACCAACCACCTTACTGGAAACAGCAGACGGGGTCCTAATTGTGGCAGATCCTGTTGAACGAGTGCATGCAAGAGTCTGCAAGCAGACTCGTGTCGTACTTCTCCAGCTTCTCCTGGCGGGGATACGGAAAGTCGTGTCTTCTCTTACACCATGAACGACGATTCAGTTGCTCCCAAAGACAGAAAGTCTCGCAGAGGTCTCTTCTATTCTCCGGAGAGATCCAGTGACATCCTCACTGGCACTAGGTCCACTACTCCTTCTCCGGACGGCTCTCGTTCCGACTTGTCTGCTGCTACCGACCACGGCAGACATCCTATTATCCTTGGTATATGTGCCATGGATATAAAAGCGCGGTCGAAGGCCATGCGAGAGATCCTTACTCGTCTAGTGGAGCGCACGCGCGGAGCTATAGAGGTAAAAGTTTTCGGCGACAAGGTCATCCTCGACGAAGGTATGCTCGCTGCGCGTATCTGCTAAAGCGATGTGTCTCACTGATGGTGCTATGACTTCAGAGGTCGAAAATTGGCCGCGCTGCGACGTCTTAATATCTTTTTTCTCAACCGATTTCCCTCTGGACAAGGCGATCTCGTATGGGAAACTTCGTAATCCCTATTGTATAAACGAACTGCACCCCCAAGCACTCCTCTGGGATCGTCGTCTCGTCGGGACTGTTCTTGACCATCTCAAAGTGCCAACTCCACGGCGTCTAGAAGTGTCCCGCGACGGCGGACCGAAGGTTGAAGAAGAACTGCGGGAAATCATGAAACGCAGAATTGGTGTGGACCTTGGTGGCTTCCGGGTCACTCCAGAGGTAATCATGAGCAAGGACGGCGACGCCATCATCATTGACGGGGAAATAATGGAAAAACCGTACGTGGAGAAGCCTGTGAGCGGGGAAGATCACAACGTGTATATCTACTTCAAGGGAGGAGGGGGCCGGATGCTGTTCCGGAAGGTATGTTGCTTGTTACTGGGCTTGTTTCTCTGGCCTTATTCTACCTTCTGACCCAGGTTGGGAACAAGTCTAGCGAGTTGGATCCGAACTTGAATTTCCCTCGAACTGACGGATCGTACATCTATGAGAAATTCGTAGATGTCGATAACTCTGAAGACATTAAAGTCTATACCGTTGGCAAAGACTACACTCACGCAGAAACGCGGAAATCTCCTTTCGTGGACGGTGTGGTCAGAAGAAACACCGAAGGGAAGGAAATTCGGTGAGATTTGAATGTTACTGCGGGATAGGTGTTATTCATACAGGTTATTCTTGGCAGCTTCATAACCCATCTTAGTGAAGAGGAGAAGATGTGGGCTGCGCAAATTAGTGAGGGATTCGGGCAAATGGTGTGCGGCTTCGACATGTTGAGGTGCGACAACGGCAGCACCAGCCAAGTGATAGATGTCAACGGCTGGAGCTTTGTCAAAGGGAATGAAGCGTACTACGGTGAGTAAATATCGTATTCATGAGACCGCGATGTCCCATCGAAGAGATCTCCACAGACAAAGCCGCCGAGATTCTTGCTTCTATATGTATTCAAGCAACCGCTTCCGTGGAGCGTCCCCTCCCTGCGGCCGAGGCGACAATTGAAGAGTCCCCCACGTGGCTGCTCAAAGCGAATGTTACCGTTTTCCGTCACGCTGATCGCACGCCCAAGCAAAAGCTCAAATTTAACTTCCCAATTGGGGAGGTGTGGACCCAACCTTTCGTGCGCCTACTCAACGGCGAAAAGGAGGAGATCATCCTCCGGGAGCGCGCACAGCTCACCCGTATCGCTACTGCGGTCGAAGAAGCGAAAAGCCTTGGTGCAGATGGCGAGAACCTCGCCAAGCTTTCACAGCTCAATTCTGCTCTTTTCAGCAAGATTGAGCTACCCGGAACGAAGGCTCAGCTTAAACCTGTTTATTCGAAGAAGCAGGCAGGCCAAGTGAGGAAGTTGACAAAGCTGACGTTGGTTTTCAAATGGGGCGGCGAGGTATGTGCTGGAAGTGCCCATTGATTGAGTTACGACTCACTTTCCCTCTCAAGTTCACACACTCTGCGAGGTACCAGTCGCGTGACCTCGGAGAGACCATGAGGAAGGACATATCTATAATGAGTACGCCCCCTTGCCTTGGCAGTTTATATTGTGAATGCAGACTAACTCGAATTTGTCTACAGACAAAGATGTTCTCAAGAATGTCAAGGTAAATAGTTTTTATCCAATCACACCAATTGTATTTGACGATTTCGCCCGCTCGCAGATCTACACCTCTTCTGAACGTCGTGTAGTTGCTTCAGCCGAAATATTTGCGGGCGCACTGTTTGATGTGCACCGCGATAGTTACCCTGCAGCTTTGTCGATACCTCCGGTCAGCAACGGCGACGCGTCTTCGCTGTCTTCCCAGGATGGTTATGAGACGAATGCCAGCAATTTCAGCAATGGCAACAACCTCCACTCCTCGACGCCGCGACGCGAGCATTCACAACCATCTGGACAAAGGCCGATTAAATTGATAGTACGGAAGGACCTATTGGACGACTCGAACGCGGCGAAAGACCTCATGGATGACGTGAAGAAGCGGCTGAAGATCCTTCTTCGACCTGGTGAGCCAGAGAAGCGTCCGGAATTGACTTGGCCGAAGAGCATGAAGAAAGAGCCTGTAGAGGTTGTGAAGGTGAGATCTGATCCGTATCGCACAGTGAGGCTCGCTGACGACTGCACACTGAAGGAGGTGATTGAGCTTCTGAACACATTCCGCGATATCATGCGGCGAAATTGGGTGACCCTGGACGTCGACAAAGTCCAGGAACGATGGTACGTTCGGTCCCGCCGTGTGCTGCTCGAATTGCTGGCTGAGAATATGCATGCTAGGTGTTGCGGAGACGAGCCGTGGCTGTTCCGTGAGCGCTGGGAGAAGCTCTTTGAGGACTTCTGCGACGTTAAGCAGGAGAAGTTCGACCCCTCGCGCGTGTCGGAGCTCTACGACACGATCAAGTACTGCGCTTTACACCATCGGACATTCCTCTTCTCCATCTTTAGCGAAAACGGGATGGCAGGTGCTCGGCCTCCACAGGACCGCCGGCTTCACGAGTTGTACGGACGCGCCAAGGCACTGTTCGACCTCGTCGCGCCGCAAGAGTACGGCATTGAGCCTGAGGAGAAGTATGTTTTGTCGTGTATGATTGTTCAATGTTGCTGATTATTTCCGCGCCTGATACAGAGAAGAGATTGGTGTACTGACCTCGCTCCCTCTCCTGCGTAACGTGGTGGAGGATCTCGAGAATGCACGGAACAACGAGGAGTGCTCTCTGACGCTTTATTTCACGAAAGAGAGCCATATCCACACATTGGTCAACCTCGTTCTGCTGTCAGGTCTACCGATTGCCAATCGTCGGATTCCCGAGTTGGACTACTGCGTATGTACCTTTCTTTCTCCTACCTGTACCCGTTCCTGATTTTACTTTTGCCCTCAATTCAAAGTCACACATAACGTATGTTAACTCCAGGTGCACCGTCACGTTCTGCATCGCTAACAAATTTGCAGGTTTGAGTTGTATGAGCGGAACCATGGCCGAGGAAAGTCAGACAAGGAATATTCGATTCGGCTCTCGCTAAGCGAGGGCGCGCATTCTTCGAATGTGCTGGACTCGGCCCTCGATGCGCGGCACTCGCTGAATGTGCAGGCACGCAAGTACGTACGAATGTCCGCTGGTATTTGCAGTGACACTGACACTTTGAATGCACAGGAAATTAACGCAGCATTTGCCGTACAGCCTCGTCATCGAGAAGCTATCGAAACACTTTGACCGGATCAGAGAGGTGAGGTTGTCTCGGGTGCTCACCTTCGAACGATGAGACTGACATGCTGCAGGACGAGGACACGGATCCAGACGAGCCGGTCGAGCTCGACGCGCTGAGCGCGCCGGTCGCCAACGACAGCTCACACGACTATCCTTGACAATCACAGCCATCGACCGTCGCGTCGTCGTCGTCGTCGCCAATAAAGACGTTGTCGTCCGACCACGTGCCGCCGTGCTCGCTCGACGGCTGTTCGTTTCTCAGTCGACTGCTGAAGCTTCGTTCGCGTTTAATCAATATCTCGCCGTTTCGCCACTCTACACCTGCGTAATTTGTCGTATCATTATGGGCGTTGGTTTTCATCTGGCGCGTAGCCGTCGCTTTGGATAGAGTATCTTACACGGTGGTTGGACCATGTCATAGACGATCTAATTTCGGGTCGTGGGTATCTTAGTAGTATTGCATTGCCGGTATATTTCTATCATGATTATATAGTTAAGAGGTAGACAGCAGAGCGGGTATCATAGTGATTTTATGTACTTACACGTCGTATATTTCTGACATAAGAAAATAGAATATTCACGAGACAAGAACTTCGCCCGCGGAACGCTCAGACGGTGTCATCCCACTCCTTCAGCCCAACCCGAGCACGGAGAGTGGCGAGCTGCTCTGGTTTGAGCTCGCGGAACTGGATGCTGTGCGTACCTTTGCCTGCCATGGAAGGGTGGTCGCGGTCGAATAGCGCGGATGCGGACTGCGAGAGCATCGACGACTGGGTGGCGAGCGCGGCAAACGATGACGTCGTGTCGTGATATCTTCAGGAAGAGAAAATCAGAGAAACACGCTACATGAGAGGACGCCGACAGGCTTACAGTCTGCAGACATATCAGCCATGGAGATGGCGGCGGGCGCAGAATTAGGGCTCACCTGTAGGCTTCCTTGTTGAGACAGTCCGCCTCTTTCACCTCGTCCAGTGCATGCTTCTTGAATGCCGCTTTTATCCAGTGCAGCACGTCAAATACGTGGTGTTCCTTTGGTCTGTGCGCTTGTTATATCGGAAGCAATCTTATAGATACGGAACGAGACTGACCTCCACGGCCGAAAGCGCGGCGCGAGGTTAAAGGTGCCACCCTGCTGAGATACGAGAGGGTGAAACACATCTGTCAGAAAGTGGACAGCGGGCGGGCGATCGGGGTACGTTGGAGGGAAGGTGAGGCGGAATTTGAGTATAGAGTCCGTGTAGTATCCTGCGCAGACGTCAAGCTATGGCCGCAGTGGGAAGACATCCCGCGACTGACCCTGGTGGACGAAGAAGACGGCGTCCCAGACGAGGAGGTTGTCGGGCGAGGGCGTGACATACATGCCGAGCGGGCAATGTCCGGCGTGGAGGAGGGCGGCATACTCGAGCGCTACGGCGGTGCGGGTGAGCGCGGGACTGGGGGCATCGGCGACGGCGGTGGTGCTTGTGGCTGAGGCAATGCGAGAGGTGGTCTTGGACCTGTTCCTTGTGGGCGAGGAAAGGTCGATTGTGGGAGAGGGGACGAGCCCGCCAATGGCAAGCATGATCGTCGGAGGAGTTCAGTAGCAGCAGTTGCCAAATGGGGCGATCAGACCTCGGCTATTACGTGAGCAGCCCGGTGAAAGGCAGGTGACCTCTCGACGTTCCGATGGGCACCGAGAGCGTCCAGGTGCTTTTTTTTGTGCGCTGCTGAGGCGCGCTGAGGATCCACGGACAAACAGCTCTCAACTTCAATTCGGATTTCGGGAGGCAGTGAATAAGATGGGAGCGCGGCCAGGCTGCTCGAACTGCCAAAGAACCGGTCCTGCCCGAGCGCATGTGCGCTGTCCCCGATGGCCCCCGCTCCTCCTCTGCGTGCAAGCCCGTTTATAACGTCTTTCCCTATTCGACGTCCATCTCCGTCGTCCTTGTCTTGCTTTCTTTCCCGCCACCGTCTGCAGTTCACCCGTCTCCCAGTCTATATATCGTCTTTCCATTAGATATACATCGTCATGAAGGTGCGTCTCCTGCTTACTCAGCGGCATCGAATTCCCACTTACCCCGCTTTCTCCCTTTTCCAGTTCGCTACCAAGGAAGAACTCGAAGCCCACCAGGCTGCCACCGTTCGAGGTGGCATCGAGGGTTTTGCCGCAGGTCTCGCACTGTCCCTCCCTGCATCTTTCTATGCACAGCGCACCTCCACCTATTACCGCGCTCTCCCCATCCAGCTCAAGGCCCTCGGCGTCGTCCTCGTGGTAGGACCTTTGTTCGCCATCCAGGCTGAGCGCCGCGGCGTCGAGTTCGACCAGTCGACATGGACGGGTGCCGGAAAGCGTGAGCTCGATCGAGAGGAAGCTGCCCAGGTTTCGCGGTGGAACACCCTCGATACCCGCCAGAAACTCTATGACTGGGCAATGCGCAACCAGTACAAGATCATCCTGGGTAGCTGGGCGGCTAGCATGGTTGTCGCTGGTGCTCTCGTGTACGGTAACAAGTGCGTCCCGTGCTCCCGTGATACCTGATCCAGTGTGATGTAATAATACACCCACCACGTATAGATATCAGACGCCTGCCCAGAAGGTCGTGCAGGCTCGTATGTGGGCGCAGGGCCTCACAGTTGGTGTGATGATCGGTGCGGGTATCCTCACCCATTCGCAGCGGGCAGAAGCTGCGAAGCACGTACGTCCGCTATCTTTGTAAGGACGGTTCCGCCGCTGATCTGTATTTCCCCATGCAGCGCGACGTCGACCACTCGTGGGCTTCGATTGTCAGCATAGAAGAGGAGGAAGAGCGAGAACGTGCGCTGGCTCAGAGCAAGCTCCGATTGCTTAACTCCACCCCCGCCCACTCACCGTAGACCGCGTTTTCCTCGACTCTTCGTGACGACTTTCACGGCATGTGTATCGGCCTGCCTTCGCACCTACCTTAGTTGCTCTTCATAACAGGATTGGGAGACTCAACGTGGACTGCAGTGTAGAGGTCACTCGTTAGCTTTACATTTTTTTATTCGTCTCTGTACTCGCAATACATACTTGTGATCTCCACTCGACTCAACTGCAGGAGAGTTTTGTACTGGCTTCCATGAAGGGTTCATAGAATATTTGCATTCACCTGAGGCTTCTGCAAGATCGATCGTAGCGAGTACCGCGATCTGAGATGTTGTCATCCCAGCCAAAGGTGTGGGTGTCAACCAATAACAGCCGTCAACCAGCCTAGCACCCACAAGCGCCTGGCGTTTGCGATGGCGGTCGGGTAAGTGGGCACTGAAAATATTCGCCCAACTCTCTCATTTTTTGCGGGCAGACAAAGCCAAAGGTGAGAAAACATACGACTGCACGCCACCGAGGAGTTTGGTGATGCTCTGACCCTGCATAATTTAAATGGTTTTGCAAATTGACGAGGCCACGGAGTTTGTTCCGCGATCTTACTTGCCTAATTGAGCATCCTAGATCGCGCCTGGTTTTCTGCTCGCGCATGCCATGTCCTCCCTAAGCAGCTCCTCAGATTCTGGCTCTGACTCTGACTCTGCCTCGTCTTCGGCGTCGAAGCGCGCACTGGAACAGGAGGATGTCGAAAGCAGCAATGAGGAAGGCGAGAGCAGCAGCGAGGACGCGAGCGATGCCGGGGAATCGTCTGCGAACTCGGAGGAGATCCCAGTCCTCTCCCATGCAGAGCAGCGGAGACAGAAGAAGAAGGAGCTGAAAGCCACTCTAACACCGGCGGACGAGCCCACACATACGAAGAAGAAAGAAAAGGTGCAAAACACCGCAGAGCTCGCGCCGTCGAAGGTCCCGAAGCGCCAGAACTCGGTGTGGGCGGGCAACCTGTCGTTCAAGACCACGCCGGAGTCGCTACGGGGCTTCTTCGACGGCGTAGGGGAGATCACGCGGGTGCACATGCCCATGAAGATGGTGAGCGGCGGGCCAGGGGACAAGGGTGCGCGGAAAGAGAATCGTGGGTCAGTACACCCCTTTGCTGCGATTATTGTCTCGAGGGATCACGCCGGACGTTCTAGGTTTGCATACGTCGACTTCGCCACCGCCGATGCTAAAGTGATCGCAATCACACTCTCTGAGAAGCCCCTTGAAGGGAGGAGGCTGCTAATAAAAGACGGCCAGTCCAGTCCAGTCTCGACGCTGCTAATAATACAAATTCTGACTTTTTTTCGACCAACAGGTGATGATTACAGTGGTCGCCCTGCCCCTCCGATTGATGCGGCCGCTGGCGCCGACGCGTCCGCTGCGAGTCGCAAGGGCTCTGGAATGTCGAAGACCGCGCAGAAAATTCTTCGCGCGCAGAAGCATCCCCCGGCGCCTACGCTCTTCCTGGGAAACCTCAGCTTCGAGACCACAGAAGCCTCCATCCGCGAGCGTTTCGCGGCACACTGGAAGCAGACGCCGCACGAGGACACAGACGACAAGGCAGGCGCGTCGGCCGCTGGCGCGTGGATCCGCGCAGTGAGGATGGGGACGTTCGAAGATAGCGGAAAGTGCAAAGGGTGGGGCTCTCGCCTTGTCCAGGCGTACGATGCGCTGACTGTTGCGCGCGGTGCGATAGGTGGGCCTTCGTCGACTTCACGAGCGCCGAGCACGCTACTGCGGCTCTCACCAACCCACGAAACCACCGCCTCCTCGGACGGGAGCTCGTGATGGAGTACGCGTCTCCCGACGCCGTCCGCCGGGGCGGGGGCAGCGCGCCTGCGGCGCAGAAAGCGCACGGACCCCACCAGACGCGCCTCGACGCGCGGGAGGCGCCGACGTTTTCGAAGCGCAAAATTCGGACAGAGGAGCCCGAGGCGGACATGGAAACCGACGGGGCACTTGAGCCGCGAGCAAGGCAGCGGCGGCGCCTGGGCCCGCAGCCTCAGATATCGGACAGGAAGCCACAGCGCGATTGGAAGCCCTCGAGGGCGAGGGTGAAACCCGGGGCGGCTTTGGCTCAGGCTAAACGTGAATCGGCCAGTATTGTGCCAAGTCAAGGACAGAAGATTGTGTTTTAGTGGAGGCCGCTCAGCACGGGACGGTACAGGCCGGTCTAGCTAGCTCTGGTCTCAGTGGTCTGATCATAACAACCTTCGTGGAATAGATGAGCAACTCCATGACGAATTAATTATGGGGCTCTGGAACCAAGCCCGTTTGATGGTGCATGTGTAAGAAAACCCACAGAAATGACTCGGATCGTCCGCCCAGCATCTCCGTGAATTTTTGCTACCATGCAATTGCCACGAAGTTGCTATGGAGAGCAGATTTGTATTGCGGTTCTGCGGTCTAGTGCTTTCGTATGTCATTCACACGACGTGCCGTGACGCGTTCGTAACATGCTATCGTGGCGTAAGCTCACAGTTATCACTGTTGCTCGGCACCTGCGACACTGAGACCATCTGGGCCCAGTGCCGCGTTCACCTGATTATACGGCGCGAAAAAAGCCGTCATTGTAATTTTGTAGGGGGTGGGTAACGGTTTCGCGCAACATGCCGCGCTGATCATGGGCCTGCTCCACTGTTCCACAGGCAGGAAGCGCTGTACTCACACACTCAAAATATCCAGAGATAAACATATGCATAACAAGAGAGGTGTACGTGTTTGTGTGTGGGGGGGTTGTAAAGAAAAAGTCAGTAAGTACGAGCAGTAAGTACGAGAGAGCGGGCAACCAATAAGGAATATGATACGAAGGTAGTAGATGTACTATAGAATGTGATGTAGTCACTCCTCCTCCTCCACAACTCCGATCTCGTACTCGCCGCACACGTCCCAGCGCGAGCCCTGCGCCGCCGCCGACACGTACTTCACGAAGTGCATCACGCCCTCGTCGCGCAGGACGAGCAGCAGTCTGTTGAAGCTCGCCTGCACCGTCAGCAGCGTGCCGGTGTCCTCTTCCTCATCCTCCGCCTCCTCATGTGCCGAGCTGCCGTCGGACATCCTGTCCGCACTCTCGCGCGAACGCTTCGCACCTTCGTTGCTATTCTCGTCCGCGCCGCCAGGGCCGTCGGCCTCAGTGGATCGCAAGTGTTTCGTGGAAGTCCGATACACGGCAGGGTCGTCCTCTTCGTCGTGGGGAGCCATGTAACACTGCAAACAATAATCAGCGCATTAATTTAGAACAACACGCGCAGCGAACTGACCTCCCAGCCGCCCCACTCGCCCGTCTGCCACGCACACGGGGCATCCTCTGCCGGTGTGCCGCGGTCGACAGCGGCATCGACATCCTTGTTCTCCCGGCCAGATGTCTGCGGCGTCAGGCCGAGGACGACGTCGAGGCGGGTGTCCTTCGCCTCGCTCGTCGCCAGCGTGTAGTCAAGACCGGGCCTGAAGCGGCGAGCCTCAACCGCGTAGCGCAGCGGGAGCAGGCGCGAGACTGCGGCGAGCCACGCGCGAAACGGCGCGCTGGGGAACAGGCGCGTCTCGAGCTCGTGCACGATCTCGTCGGTCGACTGCCCGAGCCAGCGCGGGTCCGTCGCGCGGGCCATGCGCGGCGCGCTCGGGTCCTCCGGGCGCTGCACGCAGTACCGCCACTTGTGCGGCGGGCCGCGCGCTGTCCACGCGCCGTCGGTGCCCGCGACGTGCGGGGGGATGCGCGTCGCGCGGCCCGGCCCAAGCCCGTCCTGCGCGTCGCGCTCGCTCAGGCCGTGCTCGAGCTTCTCGGCGAGCGGGGCGCAGAGGAAGGAGTGCAGCTCGAGGCTGGACTCGTCGATGAAGCGCGAGGCGAGCGCCTTCATCGTGCGCGCCTGGAGGTACACGGGGTTGAGAAACTCTGAGAGAAAAGAAGCGTCCGCCGCCGAGAGCGCGTCGTCCGGGAGTGGCGCGGGCACCGCGGCCGGGTATGTGGAAAATTCGGTGGACGTGGAGGTCTGAAGGGGGGAGCACGTGAGTGAGGTGGTCGCGTGCGGTGGTGGTGGTGTCGGTGGTGGTGGAGGGGCGACTTACCAGCTGCTCGCGCGAGCTCTTCACTGCCGGCGCGCTCTCTGGCTGGTAGCCTTCCTCCCCTGGCTGTGCCGAGTGGAACCAGCCGCTAATGCTGAGGCGCTGGCGACCGTCCTCTGCCTCGCCGACGACGACCTCCTCGACGGAGTGGAAGCTCTTGCCCGGCTGGACCTCGAAGAATATGAACTGGTTCCATGAGGGGGGTATACTCTTGGCGGGGATAGGCTCTGGCTCGGGGATGCCCTCTGGACCGAGCTTGGTGGGGTAGAGTTCGAGGGCGCCGCCCCAGTCACTCTCCCAGCCGCGGTAGTTGGGGAGGGGCATGTAGAGGATGTAGGAGACGCGACGGGTGCCGATGACGTCGTCGTGGGTGAGCAGGTGGCAGGACTTGCTGTAGGAGACGACGGACATGTCCTGCTTGGTGCCGGAGAGGGGCCCACAGCCGGTGACTGCGCGGAGGAAGTTGCGGAACTGGGCAGAGTAGAGGGCGTCGCGGAGCGTGAGAAGGTGAGGGAGGAGCGCGATCTGTGCGTCGGAGAGGAAGGAGAGGGATGCGAGATCGCCAGTCTGCTTGACCTGGGAGTGGGAGGGGGGGTGAGGTCAGCGTGCGGGTAGGGCGGGATCGCGGCGGAACATGATCATAAAACATGCCTTGTAAATATCAGTCTCTTTTTCGGAAAATTGGAGCTCAGTGAGAGCCTCATCCTTGACACCCTTGAGAAGCTCTTCCTGGAAGAGCTTCTCTACGAGGACATGCTTGAAAGGGACGCTGGAGACGTACTCGTTGTGGAGACGATAGATGTTGGCAGGGGCGAAGAGGCCCGGTGAAAAGTGCTCTGAAACGTCAGAAGACGAGGAGGAATGGGAGATCTTGAGACGCTTGAGGAGGACGGGCTCTGGGTCCGGGGAGGGAGAGCGGTCATGGCTCATGCCCATTAGCGGTGAAGCTGGCGTATGCGCGGAGTGCCAACCAGAAGACGCGATGGAGAGAAGCCAGAGCGAAAAAAAGGGAGGAGAGATATAAGTACGGGCGGGAGGAGGCGCGGGTTCCAGACCAGACGAGATGAAGCTGGAGTACCGCGACAAGCGCCCGTCCCATGTTCACACTGTCACAATCGAGGCCTGCACCCATCCCTTGGCGCGCACCTACCCGTGCTGCTGCTGCTCCTCGTCGCTCCCGGCATTTCGCGCTCCCTGATGCGCCTCTGATCGAACGATCGGCTCTATCGTCCCCGCCCCCGCCCCCGCCCTCTCCTCTCAGGCACACCCAGCCACAGATCACTACACCATCTGCTTCCGGCCTGCGGTAATTTAATCGAAATTACAGTACACTATCTCATAATGCATAGCGTCGGTGCCCGGATTTTGCTATGCATTATGAGGTTTCATGCATTATGGCATTGGATTTTGGCTGTGAAGTGCGGTTTTGTACCGCCCAAGGCCTATGCACTATGAGGTATTATGCATTACCATGTTATGCATTATGAGATAGTGTAAGTACTGTAACTGCAACGACTCTGATGGAGCTATTGAAGTTGGTGACGTGTTCCCCATTCAGATTCCCTCTTGCATCCTCCACTAATGCAACTACTCGAGACTTTTGCCTCCTGTGCTTCCACGATCGGATGTATTTGTGAACAGAAAGAATCATGTCTGAATCTGCACTACGAATTTTCTCGGGGTGACTATTAGTCCAAGAGTCATGATGGTCGACTCGAGGATCTCTATGCCGTCCTACTAAGCGCCCGCACTTCAACGTGCTAATATAATAAATATCCTGCATTTCGCTCGTGAGGTTTTTTCCCCTCAGTACTATTATTGACCCGGATATTCCAAACGGTGCAGTAGTGCCAAATCTCTGCGAATTTGTCCTTGGACTTACTTCAAAAAATGGAACAAGTATTATATTGATATTATTATCTTGATGTTGCATATCTGTGGGTGGATGCCGTGCGGAGATCCAAGTCGGCAGCGTGACCACCCGTGACAAAGTGCAATATCGAGTGTCCCCACAGGCTCCTAAAACCAGCCGTCGCTATAGCGTTCTCGCTCCTTTATCCTACGTTTATGTTTTAGGAGATCATGTGACAAATGTTTTATGAGACTTACCTGATTGAGCGAAACTTACTGTAAAAGGATAGCCGAACAAGAGGAGGAGAACGCTATAGGACGGCTGGCCAAACTGGTCATCCGAGGATACGCCGAGCGCGCACACCCAGCATTTCTCGCAGGAAATCTCGAATAAACCCTAGCATGGGTCTTGTTTTCTGCGACTCCATCAACCCAAATTTGGCGTTCGCGTAGCTCCCCGTCGCGCACTCCTACAGCATTGCAAAGACATGAAAGCTATACAGTGTACTGTGTGTTTCTCTCATTGTGACTTGTTGGAAATTAACCGGAATGCTCTGGTTGTCGGGATGTATGTAAGTACACATCAGATAATTAAGTGCTAGGTAGTGCAACAGCATCAGCTTGAACTTGGGACTGTAGGTTGTGGGTGCCCTGTTCCTGTGGATTAGACAACTCAGTGATCTATCAATTTGGAGTAGTGCTCTCCCCAAATCAACAACATCGCACCTTGCATTCTGCGACGCTGCACGACGGGGAGCTACGCGAACGCCAAATTTGGGTTGATGGAGTCGCAGAAAACAAGACCCATGCTAGGGTTTATTCGAAATTTCCTGCGAGAAATGCTGGGTGTGCGCGCTCGGCGTATCCTCGGATGACCAGTTTGGCCAGCCGTCCTATAGCGTTCTCCTCCTCTTGTTCGGCTATCCTTTTACAGTAAGTTTCGCTCAATCAGGTAAGTCTCATAAAACATTTGTCACATGATCTCCTAAAACATAAACGTAGGATAAAGGAGCGAGAACGCTATAGCGACGGCTGGTTTTAGGAGCCTGGTGTCCCCAGCGCTCTGCAGCACGCTGAGGAATGAGCTCAAATGAATGGAATTGCATTACTGTAATGATTGCACCTGCATTAGTGGGCCACTAATATATATGTGGGTCCAACGAACAGCTTGCAATGGCCAGAGGGCTAATGAGACGCGCATCGACGCGCGATTTTATCGCGTCGTTACTTCACGCGCGGCACTTCACGACCACAACAGACCAATATTTGCGACTCGTCTTCCCGAACAGAAGACGAACAATACTTCCACCCGCCAGTACCACACGTCCTCGGGGTATCGTGCGGCGTACAACAGACTAGTTGCATTCAGCAGAGATTAGGTACATTCGTGACAGTAGTAAGACCGCATCCGCGCCGCGGCCAGGCCGCGGACGACCGCTGTCAGGGCGAGCCAGCAGACCAAGCCCGCAGCCACACTACGGCGCACCCAGAGCGGAAAAAAAGGAGGAAAAAAATACAGAAAGAGTACGGTGTAAATGCTCAGGTCGCGGAGAGATCATGCGGTGGGACTTGAAGGAAGGAGGGACGCGCTGATAGGTAGAAGGGTTTAAGACACAAAGCGGAGTATAAATATTCCAGTCTGCAAACCGAGGCTCCCCAGAAAAAATTGAGATGCACTACGCAGGCCCAGATATCTTATTGAAGAAGGTTACACGATGAACACGCTGATCTGCAGGGAGCGACGCGGGTGCTCCACGGCCAGCTCACGCCAGGCTCTCTAGCTCCGTCTTCTCATCCGTGGACGCGGTCCCGCTGTCCTGCCGTAACACCGATGCAGTACTGCGACTATGGCGGTGCGAATGCGAGTGCGGGTGAGAATGTGAGTACGAATAAGAGCGCGAATGCCTGTGCGACCGGGGTGACGTCGGGGAGGAAATCCACGCCTCTGTCGCGTTCATCTTCCGCGCGTCTGCCTCCGACATACCACCGACGGGTACGGGCGCGTACACGACGATGTCTTCCGACGGGCTTGTGCCCGACGGCACATTGTTATTGAAGTTGAACGAGCCGGATGACGGGGAGGTAGGTGTGGGGAGGAGATATATGCGGTGAAGCGAGTCTGTTGAGATCGGACGGAGGCTCGTGTGCGACTTCGCGCTGGTGAAGATATCGCGGACGAGATGGTGATAGAGCTTCGATATTGCGATGACCATATGCAGCTGCTCGAACATCAGTCTCAGTGGGAACACGCGAAGGGGTGGTTACTCACCCGTATGACGATGAGAATGAACATCATTCCCATGACTGCCAGCACAGCGCGCTCGAACCAGAGCTCGCAATTCTCAAGTGTAAGCCCCATCTCAGACAGGTCACGTATGAGCTCCGGATGGCGGGAGATTTCCTCGCACACGGATGTGCGCACATAGGGGCGGCTGAACGACGCATAACTGAGGAAGAGCGTACCCGCTGTCGTGAAGACAAAGTCGCCGATGGAGTAGTCGCGGTAGAATCGTACAAAGGAGGGTGAGTTCTGCAACGCGCAACACATCAGGGGGCAGGAGAAGAAACTGGGGTCAGGAGACGGACCTTGGCCAGGCCTATGAGACCGGCGCAGCACGCGGCGGCAGCAGCAGCAAAATATGCGGAGAGAAGAGCCCAGATGATCTTGACACTGTCTACCCTCCAGACATCAGCCTTGGCCTCCCATTCCGACTCGGACTCCCATCCCAACGAGCGCCAGAGGGCGAGGAGACGCACAGCCACAACAAAGTTGCAGAGGGTGCCGATGAGGGCGGCGGCGAGCGATGCGTACCTGTGCGAGGAGAGGAGTCTGAGCATGGAGTGTGGTGGAGAGAGGAGATGGCAATGGGGCGAGGGTTTGGGCACGGACATAGACGTAACAAGGAAGAGCGCTCCGGGCGCTGCTGATTCATGGAGATGACGATCATGCTTACCTTTCTAAGCGACGCGTCATGCACGACTGGCAGGTGGACGAGTAGGCCTCGATGAAGTGGCGGCGGCGGGAGAGGCGGGGAGACAAGGAGGGGAGAACGACTTATGTAGCGTGAGGGCGGAAGACAAGAAGGAGAATAGGGGAAGATCACACTCGTACGAGTGTCGCCAGTCATTCGAGCTGTATCAGCGCTCCCGGCCTGCTTTCGGCATGGCATGCGTCTTCCTTGCTTTCGGACCCGAGTTCCTCCTCCTCCTGACTCGCAGTCAATGTTTACATGCAATTAATACTAGACGGCTCCCCTTCCTCTTAAGCTTTACCCTCTGCATTTTGCTGAATTCGTCGCCCCGCCAGTTCGCTGTTTCAACGACATCATGCCGGCATGTCGGCACTTCCGACGCGTACTATCTACGGTGAACTTTTTTTGTGATATTCCTGGAGACGTAGTCCACGCATTGTTTTCCGCTTCATACCTCAGTTGCGACGCGACACCTCCGTCGTGATGAACAACATAACAGCTGCGCCCCGAAACACGTTACTAACCGCCGGACCCGATGACTGGTCGACATCAGTCAGCGTGCGGGTTTCGTCGGACGCCCACGAAGTAACTGCTCTCTGTACTACGCCTGCTACTATCCGCCGAGCGTATCTCGATATTACCCGATGCATTGCGGGAATTGTCAGCGCGGGTCAGGAATCACCGGCTGCCGCGCTCTCGCGGAAGTTTCGCCATGCGATGGACGCGGCAGGCGGGGATGGTGCGGACAGGTGCGGACGCGTTAGACGACACGAGCATTCGCGTTTTCCACGTCGGGACTCTGTCTGTTGCACTTGTAATGAAAACGCACGTGCTAGTTAGTCCTTTCGTACAAATGTACCAGCCAGTGAAAGTCGCGTCCAAGTTCGAGAACTCTGCTGCTGTCGTCTATTGCAAGTACGAGCCCGCCCACTATAGTCTGCCTACGCTGGACCCTTGGGCGAGTTCTCAGCAATGATGTCCCGCCACGAATGGTCGGGTTCCTGTCCTCGAACACCGCCAGACTCGGCATACTGGAATACGATACATGCACGCGACTACGCACCAAGTGTCGCACGCCGTTATCATCGGTCTGCTTGTGGTGTCGCGCATGCGTGAGCACGCCAGCTGCAATCAAAATGCCGACCGTCAATCCCTGTGCCCACATACGTGCCTGCACGACCTGATTTGCCCCCAGCGGCAGTATCAGCACAGTCAACTCAGCCCACGATGCTGCGCGACTTACCTTCTGCGGCATCGACTGGTAGCTAACCCCCCGCGCATCAGTATCCGTTTATGAGTAGACGCGTTGAAACACGCTCACGGGTCACGCATGATCCAGCCAAATGCGCCGACCATCGTCGCCGTCCACGCGCCCGCGATGATCCCGTATTCATGCCTTGCGGCGACATCACGGATCTTCTGGCCGAGCGTCAGCGACTCCCAGCGCTGCTGCAGGCGCGCGTTCACTGTGTCTATCTCTTGCTTCCCAACGCCAGTCCTGCATACGAGGAAAAATCATACATCCAATGTGACTTCAAAGAGTAAGGTAGCCCACGCACCAATGCTCCTTCTCAAACTTCAGACCAGCGTGGTCCGCAGAGATGACGAAGGCTGGCACGGCGACGAGGATGACGCCGAACGTCTTGATTGACGGTGGGAGCGCGCGGTAGTACGACCAACGCCTGTGCAGGAGGTACGACGCGGGGAGCGCGAATGCGAGCCCGCCCGCAAGCCCCTTCGCACCGCCTGCGATCGTCGCGCGCTGCTGTGCATCCTGCTCTTCTCTCGTGATGACCTGCAAAGATGCGGTCAATGTGACCGCTTGTACAGGTGCCACTCCTTGTGCACCTTCATTTTTTGAGTTGCTCTGACTTGAAGATCGTGAACTTGGCTATGCTGTTATATACAGGAGGGTCGGGGGATAAGGCAAGGAGACTGCATGCATGTGCACCACTATGGAGAAGCGGCCCCAGCCGGATAATGTGTGAAGGCGCGCAGACGTCATGCCCACGTAGTGCACTCGACGTCGAACAACTTCATCGGATAGCACTTCTTTCCTGCGAACCTCGTCGATGTTCGGAATCGGAGCCGCAGCCAGGCTGAAATGGTTGCTTATTGGATGCTAAAGCTGTATGCATACGTTCGCAGTCTGGAGCACAAGATTTAAATAATCGCAATAAAAAATACTTCAATGAAAACACAGGCGGAGAGTTGGCTATACTTAGCACCATGTGGGTTTCCCAGCACGTGATCGCGACGCGTCCTGCGGACAAGCCTAGACCCGTAGTCGCAAGTACCGTGCCAGAGTTAGGGTGAGTACATACTGGAAGCATAGGAAATTTTCATCTGCCCACGATGATGAGGAAGACAGTCTGATGCTATCACAAGGAAGTTTGGATAAATGGCTGAGGTCAGACTATGGTGTCGGACTTAGGACTCCAGCTTCGTTATTGCTCTAGTCCTCAAGGATACAGACAAGAAACGAGGTCAAAGCATCGTGCAGACAAAAAAGCATGGAAGATGCGGTGCAGCAGCAATGATCATGAGGTGGAAGGAATTACAACCTGGCCGGCCGTTGCCGCGTCCAATGAGTTCACGTGGACACACCGGTACCTACCCCGCAACGTTCGCCCCGGCCTGCTATAAGTAACATGGGCGCACTCGCACGCACATCTCATAGCTCTTCTTCGAGCCGCCATGTCGCCCGTAGCCGCCTCCAAAAGCGCTATCCGCCGCCTCATCAATGCCGCTCAGCACACCGCGTGCCCGTGCCATGGCTGCCGCGCAGGGGGCTCGCATAACCCCATGCATGCGATCAGCCAGGTGAGAAAGTTCGCTAGCCCCGTGGACGCTCCCCCTGTTGAAAAGGAGTACGCGTTCGAGGTGGGTCGTTGGACTCGGCATGCAGAATGGGTCTCATGCTCATCGAGTGCGTAGGTTGCTGCATCTAACCTGAGGTTCGGTGAGGGTGTGACGCGCGAAGTCGGCATGGACCTGAAGAACATGAAAGCTCGCAAGGTACCGGTCCATCAACTGTCCCAGCTGTATCTTTCGCTGATTCACGCTCGTCTTCAGGTTGCCGTCTTCACAGACCCGATCATCGCCAAACTCCCGCCAGCCAAGATGGTAAGCACCCGCGCGTCGTCCATCCCGCTCACTTCACACTGGCTCCCGTAGGCCATTGCGTCTCTGGAAGCACAGATCGATCTGCCCTTTGAGGTTTACGACCGCGTGGTGTGCGAGCCCACCGAAGCCAGCTGGCGGGACGCGATAGCATGGTCGCGGCAACATGACTGCAGTCATTTTCTAGCGTAAGTCACTTCATAGACGTTCATGTGTCTGACCGAAATTTGACATGATCACAGCGTTGGAGGTGGCAGTGTCATGGACACGGCGAAGGCTGCGAATTTGTGCGTATCTCAGAAGCTCAAAATCTGCCTTGAGGTGAAGTAACCTTGGACCAGGTTCACAGTGTACAAAGATGCCGATCTGTTTGACTTCATAAATGCTCCTATTGGCAAGGGTCTTCCGATTGACAGACAGCTCAGACCACTCATCGCAGGTACGCAGCTGCATTTCGCGGAAGTATAAGTATGTTTGACTGATACATTCTCTCTTCGTTAGTCCCAACGACTGCAGGTACTGGCTCTGAGACGACGGGTACAGCGATTCTCGATATCACCTCTATGTCGTTCAAGACCGGTATCGCAAACCGTGCCATGAAGCCTGCCTTGGGTATTGTGGATACGCTCAACACGCGTACATGTTCAAGAGGCCGGTCCGCGCCATAGATTATGTCCTTTCCATGCTAATATGGTTTCGTAGAATTGCACATCAGCACCGGACTTGATGTCCTCTTCCACAGCTTGGAGAGTTACACTGCTATCCCGTTAGTTTGTTGCCAGCGCATACTATGACTGATACTAAGCAAGAGCATTTGGCAGCTATAATGAGCGCACGCCTCGGCCCTCCAACCCCATCCTCCGTCCGGCCTACCAGGGCAGTAATCCTGTCGCCGACATTTTCTCCATGTGGGCGCTACATACCACAGTCAAGAACCTGCCACGAATCTCGAAGAACTTGGACGACCACGAGGCTATGAGGCAGATGATGTGAGTCAATACTGAGTTCCACGGTAGGTCTGCGTTGATTTCAATTGTACAGGCTCGCGGCTTCCTTCGCTGGTATCGGTTTCGGAAATGCTGGCGTGCACTTATGCCACGGAATCAGCTATCCTGTAAGTGACACTTGTCTTGTGAAGTGTAGAGAACCTGTAGGATCGATGTACGTCCATAGATCTCTGGCTTGAACAAGCAGGGCCCGAAGTACAAATTTACGGGTTACAACGTCGACCATCCCATCATTCCTCATGGTATCAGGTAAGTTCGAGTATAGGTGAACCATGTCTTGACCTCGCACTGAATTCTACCCCGCTTTGAAGTGTCGCACTCCCTGCTCCGGCCGTCTTCCAGTTCACCGCGCCATCCTCCCCCTCACGACACCGCGAAGCGCTCGCCATCTTCCACGGTACGACGCCATCCGACCCCACCATCTCTGCCATTCCTGACGTCGAGATCGGCGCACATCTGTACGAGGCCATCGCGCGCTTCCTCGACAACCTCGGCGTTCCTCGCGGGCTTAAGGCGGTCGGATACACCAAGGCAGATGTAGGCAAGCTGGTCGACGGGACGATCCCTCAGAGACGCGTGTTGGATCTTGCGCCGGGTATTGGTGATGTCGCTGGTGCAGATGGCCGAGAGCACTTGACGAGGATCATCGAAAACTCTTTCGAATATTAGGCTTAACAATGGTCATGCTTCCTGTTGTGGATGTACCAATGACTTTCGAATGGATCTCTGGATGGTAGTGTGCATACTTGTCTAACTCTGAGTGGTGTCGACTGTCGGCGGGACGTCTGCGAGTCCGAATTGTCAAACTGGATGCCTTCCCGTAGGCCCAGCCGTTTAGAGACGTTCTAAAGCTGAATTTCGTCTGTGAACAAAGTGAGACCTTTCTAAACCTTACAAGAGAATCGCTTCGCACTATGCGCTCCGCGATTCGTTCATTTGGGTCAAATTTGGGTAGCATAGATGGAAAGCAGAATGTTTTACAAATTACTAATCAAACTAAAATTATAGTAGTGATTTGTTGCAAACTATGTAACTATGTTTCTCGTTGTAGTTGTAGGGTGTCATGCGCATTGGGAACGCAAGTCATTGCTGAATAAAGTTGGCCGTGTGAGAACAGATATCGACGAACGTCGAGAATGAGTTTTTGAACAGTAAGGTGGTGGCATAGCATAGGGCGAGATGTGACATAGCAATGACGTCGACGATGTGTTGAAGCGGCGCGAGCGGGAAAGGAAGAGAATGCGCAGTGTTTTTGAACAGTAAGGTGGTGGCATAGCATAGGGCGAGATGTGACGTAGCGATGACGTCGACGATGTGTTGAAGCGGCGCAAGCGGGAAAGGAAGAGAATGCGCAGTGGAGGAGCAAAGATGGAGACGGAGTGAACTGAGAGCGAATCGGGGGCAGAAATGACGGACGGTGGAAATTTTAAAGATAGTTAGGTATCTGGAAGGGGGGGTCGACCTAGTCTCGGAACCAGACGTTCGGTGGTAGCAGGGAATCACGTGAAACTGACAGCGGAGAGCGAAAAAGAGATGCACAGCTACCACCTACACGCCCGTTTTGCGAAGTGCTGAAATTCAGCTAAAATGTGTCACGTTGCCAGGGCGGCCTGCCAAGGTTGTGGGAGCCGACTCGACAGCTGATTCCAAGAGTGAAATCGTATAAGGACTGTTGGAAATGGCCGGAAAAGAGGCAATCCGAGGGCATCCGAGGGATGCGCCACAGCGGAGATTAATTACATAATGTGGCCATTATATAAAAGGATATCTATATTTGGAGCAATGAGAGCTCCGCAGCCACATCTTCGTCCCGATCCTTTACCTCGCGTCCGGTCCGATTCTCTCAGATTAAATTCCTCGCTTCCCAAAAGGGCTACGAGCCCCCGCATTTTCTAACAGGTTATGAGCCCCGAGACGATTGCAATCCTCGGACATAGGCTCTTCTCTGAATATATAGCTGAGTCCTTGACCCCTATTCACCAAAAGGCTGATATACTGCATTGCACAACAAGTAATAGGAGATCTCAGCAGTCCTATGTATGATTTAGGACTACTGAGGAAAAATAATATTGTTTTGTGCCTAAAGACTTCGCCGGATAATGATTCGGCAGACGCGGTCAAAAGAGCTGCGCAGAGAAGCGTTGGGAGGCCAAGCGCGCCTAAATAGGAGCGTGCGAGAATGAGATGCGCTCTTGCTGTCCTAAGAGGCAGAACTGCGGTAAATGCGAGTGCTAAGACCTGGAGCTCAGAGCCTAGAGTGCAAGACCAGAGACTGAGAGTCCATAGAGAGACCACAGTCCCGAGTCAAAGACTCAGAGCCAGAGATGAGAGGCCAAACTCGAAAACCCGAGGCGCGAGATGTGTCATTGAGATAAGATTAGATGAGGATGCAAAGCGCCTTGGGAACGCAGAGCGCCTAAAGCAGATAAGCGAGATAAGATAAGATGATGCGCATGCATACTGCGCACATCAGCATGGTGAGCCTCGAGGAATATGGCACGTGCAAAGATGCACGGAAGCTGTGACGCGATGTGCGTTAGTGGTGAGAGATGCACTTGCAATGCGTGGACCCCCGAGCCATAGCCAGAAGACATTTTCGAGCCCCAAGCTCAGGAAGCAGACTCTGTATCACCGGAGAAAAGCTGAGGCCATAGCCGATGATTAGATCTGGCAGGCAAGGCAGAGCGGGATGCGGAGACTGGGGCCTATAAACACAAATGTAAGGCCCAACAATATATATTTCTACGGGCCAAAAACAGTGTGAAGCTGTATGCAGTACTGTACTTAACGGAGTACAGAATAAAATCAACCGGTATAATGGGTATATCACCGGAAAGAAGCCAAAGCTGATCGTGAGCAAAGGCACTAAATTTAGATGGTCGAGAGTATCGAAAGGGCAATCTACAGTAATTGCTCAGTAGCCGGCCAATGAGAGTGAGATGAGTGTGACTGCGCTGCACTCGCCATTCCAGAAAGAAAGCCGTAGAATGTCTAAATTGAACACTACTCGATTGAATGTGCCTATGAGCACAATTAAAGATGCTACCCTCAAATACAATATTAGCATCCAGGGCTACAAAAATATATTGGTAAGCTACATGGATGGAGTGAAATGTAGGGCGCATGAATGCGTCAAGACCACCTAGCCGGGCTCCCTGCAAACCAATGGACAGACGTGTCACATGGTAAGGAGAAGCCCGATGTCCCCAAACTAGGCGGAACTGCAGACGTGCAGCGCCAGGGGGAGAGAAAATGAAAAATTCCAGACCCCTCGCCAATTAGCATGGCAGACGTGCATGCATGGGAAGGAGATCTGAAGTCCCATAAAACTCAAAGCGACTGCAGACATGCAGTGCGAGGGGAAATCAGGGGGAGCATATTAGCACCGGGTCCACTACCAAGCAACGTGACAGACGTGCCGCGTGCGGAGATGAGTCCCGAAGTCTCCAAACTAGGCTGAACTGCAGACGTGCAGTGCCAGGGGGAAGAAAAGGAAATTGCCGGATCCCATACCAACCAATACTGCAGACGTGCAATATGGGGATGAGAGATCCGAAGCCCTAAAACCTCGGCAGCCATAGACGTGTGGCGCGAGGGGGAGCTAGGGAATTCCGCACCACAGTCAACTGCCACATCAAATCCGCGCAGCGCAGATGGGATGATGATCCCGAAGAACGCGAAGAAGGTGGGACTGATGCACACAAAAAAGGAAAGGCCCACAGACAGAAAAGTCGGTAAAATCTACCGAATGATCTGGATGCCAAGAAGGACGATCCGGAGAACGCGCGCCAACAGAAGCGCGCATATGAGCTAAAAATGCTCAGAATTGAAAAAATGAAAAATCGCACTCTGGCTAGTAGCGAGTGTTATTTGGTGTTGGGGGAACCCTCACCAGATTCCGACAGCGGGCTTTTCCCACTGGGTTTTTTCCCGCGAGGTTTTAACTGCTGGTCTACCCCTACCAGAAGGTAGGATGGTCGGGAGTGTGTATCTGAGGACCATCAGACGGCGATATTAATCGCATGCGATCCTCAAAATATTTATTGTCCTATCCCGGAAAGAAAAACAATCCCTAAGCCAAGGCATCAGAAGCAAATAAATATGCTCGAATGCCCGTCGGCTTGAGGGGGAGTGTTGGAAATGGCCGGAAAAGAGGTAATCCGAGGGCATCCGAGGGATGCGCCACAGCGGAGATTAATTACATAATGTGGCCATTATATAAAAGGATATCTATATTTGGAGCAATGAGAGCTCCGCAGCCACATCTTCATCCCGATCCTTTACCTCACGTCCAGTCCGATTCTCTCAGATTAAATTCCTCACTTCCCAAAAGGGCTACGAGCCCCCGCATTTTCTAACAAGGACCCCTGACAATTGGCCAAGATGCCTGATCTAGAGGGGCCAAAAATGTCCGTTAGGAAAGTGAGATTTTTGACCCGAAATGTCCGCAAAAAATGAGGCATCACCCCCAATTTTTCGGCCCATGTCCGCATTTTACCTCAGGCATGGCATCACGTTCGACCCCAAAAAAGGGAATTTTGGGCGCTTCCAGGACGGCGGCGAAGCCGCCGCCCCTTCCGCCCTCCTTCGAGGCGTCTCGACAAACATTTGTCCGGTCCCGGATCAGCTCCCCCAGGTTCAGCCTTCCGATGTCCGCGAAATGGCTCAGGCTATATGGTAGTCAACCCCTTGATTTGTCCGTGAAAAACCAGGCATGAGGCTCTCGAAAGTCCAAATTTTGTCCGAAATCGGCTCAGGGATCCTCCCCAATTGTCAGGGGTCCTATCGTATATCCGTCAAGGCTTGCACAAGAGCTATCTGGTGCAGATCTGACCGAATGAGCTCCCAATCATATCCGCTCCGCTACCTTTTCCATCTGGTTCAGATAGGTCCCTCCAACCTGGCTCCGTAGCCCGTCTACTGTCCGGGAGTACAGATGGATCCAGCTGGACAGTCTGACTGGGAGCAGCTTAGCTGCAGCTGGTCTCGAGACTGCTCATTCGACCGTTACAACCTTCCAAGCTGTCTGCTTGCCAGGTCGCACAATTCCGTCAAAAGCCAGCTACCCATAGCCTGGCGACATGGGCCCGACACTGCAGGGTGCTATTGCGCAGCGCCCTGTCAGACGTTGTTGTGGTCCGGGATTTGTGACTCGGATATTGATCATGCACCGGATAACGGTCGAAAGTGCAGGACAGACATGTATTATTACTGCAGTGGTTGCTATTAGTTGCTACTACAATGGATCAAATAAACGAGAGGTATACAATGACTAGAGTGATTGTAGAACGTCATGTACAAAATGAGTGTAGGTCAAGTTGTCAAAAATCATACCAGAAGGGGAGTCACCGGCAAATACTCTGGTGAAGCAAAAGAATAGTAAACCTAATAGTCATCTTCATCGTCGACAAATGTTCCAGAAGCGGCCCTGTTCGCAATGTTCTGTGTACAGCTGATGTCGGCGGCGGCGGCCCCATCCTGGCCCGGAATGATCGTCCGACCGTACTTCCCTTGATCGTCTTTCAGAATCTGCGTGAAAACACTTGAGTAGAATGAGTGATAGTCCGAACAGTAGAACAGAAAGGGAACAGACTTGGTCATCTTCGCCGGCTCCGCAGCATAACGCTCTCAAACAATTGATAGCTGCGCATCAACGAAAGCCCAGTATCCGCCGGTGGGTTCCAACTGAGGATTCTTGATCATCTCTAGAAGTAATTTGCGCTATCGAGAGTCATTCATACGTCAGAACCTCTGAATCAACCATAGCAATGTTACGCACCAGAAAGGCAACCCGCGCACACATCTCGAGGCTTATGATGACGTGGGTAGCAGCATGTTTGGCCGCGAGGGCTTTGCAGAGCTCGACAACGTCGAGTTGCACGGGATCAGGTGTTTTCTTTTTCGGAGCCTTTGACACAGTGCCCATCTGCTCACCGTGAGCCTCCGACAATCCTTCGGGACCCAGGGAGAGTGTGATCTAGCAAAGCTTCAACTTTCTGAGAGTAAGCACACAGGTTGAGGACGTACCACCTCCTTAAGCTCTGCACGCCGATCCGTGAGACGAGTCTGGACTCTCTTGACCACAATATCAAATTTGTACTTGTCCCCTTTAACTTCCTTGGTGAAGCCCCATAAAGGATGCTTCTCAAGAATACCCTAGCGTTGCCGGGAACTTGAATAAATAGTGGTCAAAGTCGCACAAGTGGACTGAACATACCATGACCAGCTTGATGGGACCAAGCGGAGCAGTGTTCTTGGCCAGATAGAATGGCAATACCGGCGAGAGGAGTAATGCGAAGGTATAGTGGTCGATCTTATCCTAAGAAATGCATTGTCAACTGACGAGACGTCGGTGAAGGTCGCCAAACTTACCTTCAACGTTCTCGGAAGATCCCATTGGGCATCAGCAGGCTGGATTGCTTCAAGGTGCTCCTCAATCTTCAACATGTGAGCGCATGTCCACATAGCCCGCTCAGCCGGTGAGAGCTAAATAATAATCTAAGATAAGAATCTCACAAGAACATGACAGCCAACACGACAAACCTTCGACACTCGGTCGAGTTCCTTCTCACCTGCTGGTCTCAGACGAACACGACGCGCTGCCAAAGAAGCAAACTGGGTCAGATCTTCGGCAGGCCGTTTTGAGCTGGTCCTCAATGTTGCCGCTGTTGTTGGAGAGGTAGAGTTTTCCCTGGATGATGAGACCAGGGATGGTGAAGTTTGACCGCTGGCAGAAGAATCCACGTCAGCTGAAAGCTCCAAATTTGTTGGCACAGGACTTCCAGGAGCTGATTGCGGTGGAGAGGAGGGACGAACTTCGAAACAAAGAGACATCAGAGGAGTGGAAACAGAAACACGGAGAGAAGAAGAAGGAAGAAATGAAGGACAAAAAAGAGGTGAAAATGTGCTTTTCTCGCTGACGTAGTCACGTGAAGACTGACTGCTCCTCAGCATTGCCCACTCGGTCAAGTCTATCTGCAAAATGGCTCCAGTCAGAGGATCTTGGAGAGATGCAGGTATGCAACTCACTGGTTCTGAGAGCATCTCAATTTAATCCAAATTTATAGGAATTTTTGAGACAGTTCCAGGAGAGACTGCCCACCTGCGATGCATTCCGTGCTCGAACACATATCGCGGAGCCACCCTGATCCTGAAAGGCGGGATTTCTAGCCATCTAAATACCAGCAAGCATAAGAGCGCCACCATCGAGACAGAGATGGCACACACCTTGTCAAATGTACCTGGTCCAGCACCTCTGCCGGCCCCTCTCGCTGAGCAAGTCCCTCCAGCGATGTTACTTCTGGCAGAGTATTTTATGGATGTTGACAATGAGGATGTGTCTTATGTGGATGGGAAGAACACAAGTGATCCAGTCATGGAGGCTTACATGGACGATGATAGTGGGTATGTTGATTATGACGGAAATGCAATTGCATTTTCTGCAGGTACCACAAATGTGTTAGCCCACGACATGCATCACCTTGAACAACAGCTCGAGAACTTACAGAATGGTGAAGATGTTCACCTCAGACTGGGTGATATGGTATCGGTGATGGCGGAAGGTGAGGAGCATGGAGAGACAGATGCAATAGTCCCGGATATTATTGCAGCTATGCGCTCCATGGGTACGAGGTGCAGCCCTGATCTACGATATCCGATGTACTCACATCTGCTGACAGGCATTGAGGACTCCGATAATGAAGATGACATTGAAGACATGTTCTGTAAAGAGGTACCAATGAGAATGGATGGAGACTGGAAACCCTATGGATCCAAAACGGTAAGAGAGTGCTTGATATCACTTCCTTATGGAGGAATTTCGCTGAGAGCTGAATAATTGTTCAGATGTTCATGCTGGACCTTCTTGATAACCTTCCGCGACTGCGACTCTTAGACGACCATATGAAGACATTCATTTGGATTATGAAGGAGTGCGGAACGCCCAATGTTCCATCCTTTTCTGCACTGCGAAAGAAGCAAGCCGAACTAGCGCACGAAGTCAATGTTGAGACAAAGCAACATGAATCGTCACAATCGAATCTTTTCTATGCGAACGTGCCATCAGCAACGGTGAAATTGGTAAGCCAATGCTCTGAGTGTTACAATGTGGCCATGGTGATCTGAGAGGCTCACCATATATCTGATTAGGACTTCGCCAACCCACTTGTATGGCCACACATTCAAGTCTATCCTGAAGTTGGATGCTCTGTATCAGAATTCTATCACGGAGAGAAATGGCAGTACATTAAGGAAGATGAACTAGATCTCAACCAGCTTATGTGGGCGGACTGGATAAACACACCTCATAGGCATTTTTACATCAAAGAACTTGCAGAAGTCCGAGACGGTCGACTTGTGATTCCGTTGAGATGGGTGGTGGACAATAAGATTGAATGCTTTGACGGTTACGTGGTCCAGTATAATTCAATGGTGAGCTCAGGATTGTATTCTAAATGTACTGCGGTGCAAGCTTACTGGTGACGGGTCAGTGCGACTTGTTCGAAATACAAGATAAGGACCTTATTCGTCTGCAAGCGACCGAATTATCCGCCAACTATTTTGATCTGAAGACGCGTGGCTGTAGCTTCAAGTTCCCAGGTTTGAACGTTCTGTTGATTATATCTGGACAGTTCTGAATTGGTCTGCAGACTTCGCTCCCAAATGGGTACATGAGATGCCACACCCGGTGCGTGGTGTCACAAATGGCCGACCAACATTCACCATACGCATGATGTGCTGAAGTGACGACGTATCTGGAAATAAGACAAAACAGTTCAATCCCCACACAAACATATATCTCGCAAACATCAATCTTCTGCATCAGAAACTGCAACAAGAATATTTCGTCAAGTTCTGCTCGACGTCACAGCATGCCTCGTCATCGGAGCAGATGGATGCTGTCCTCACTGACACGTGAGTCTACAATTGCAGTACGCTAGTATGATGCTCATATAGCGGGACTCTTGTAGCGGTGAAGATCGCTGGCATACTGCATATGATTGTCATCTGGAACAGGAGATCTTGTTCCGTGTCATCATTCATGTCTTACCGGCAGATAACCCACAGCAATCTGAGCATTGCTCTCATATTGGCGAGAACGGAAATTACTCGTGTCGTTGTTGCATGGCTGGAGGCACGGCGGAGGAGCGAGAAAGTGATATAGGCTATGAGAAAATGTTCTCGGTGAGAAGTTTTTCAAATGTGGAGACATGGCAGATACTAATGTTGCAACATACTATTGCTGGTGGCTTTTGTAGCCCGATAATCCTCGGCGTACTCATGCGAGAATAGTTGAAGAAATTCGGCAACAACTCTTTGCTGCCGGACTTGGCGTACAGGACAACATCGACGAGATGCAGACACGAAGTGGGATCAAGGATAAGACTGCGCAACATTGGATCGAAATCGTTATAGCAAGAGCACGTACCATGCAGGCCGCTCGCCTCTCTAATCCTATTACCAAGGATGCACGGCTAAAGAATCCCTGATTGACTGGAGACAACCGCAAAGCTGTTAAGGCAGAAATAAAGCACGAGATTCAGCTTGAGTGTCACGAGTGGCTTGTTATGCAGCCCCCATCTCGTTACAATGCACTTCCAGAGGACTCGCGTTCGTATTTTCACAACTGTGTGACACTTGTTGGCCCAATCTGACACGACGATTAGCGCTTCATGATGGTAATGCCACACGACCTGGCGACCACTTCAATGTCCTCTTCTCGTGTCCGCGGACTCTCGATCCTCCCATCGACACACCTGGAGAGATCCTTCACACCTATCTGCTCGGTGAGACGAAGTATGTCTGGCACAAAACAACGAGTGAATGGGACAAGAAGAAGGACAGCACATTCGCAATTAGACTTCGAGCGTCATCCGTAGATGGTCTGCTTCTCTCGCCTGTTCGAAGTGACTACATCGTGCAGTACAAAAACTCTCTGGTCGGAAGACATTTCAAGATCCTGCAGCAAGTTGGTGCCTTTCATCTGTATGGCGGTATGTGCCCAGATCTTGTTCTTGATCTTTGGAAGGCAAGTGGAGAGCTCGGCGCAATGCTCTGGTACCATAGCATATGTAACATGGAAGAGTATTTGGTGTGTAGTTCTGTGGCAGATACTTCATCTGGACACTTTACTGTGTCATACTAATTCAACTTCATGCAGGCTGACCTCGAAATACTCATCGCCAATGTCCTCGACATTTGGGCGCTGATCGATCCAAACCGCATCCTTATGAAAACGAAGCTCCATGTGTTGCCGCATCTTATCAAAGACATTCGACGCTTTGGACCTGCAGTCCTCTACTCGACAGAGATCTTCGAGTGCTGGAACGCAATCTTTCGATTCTGCAGCATTCTCTCAAACCACCAAGCACCAAGCCGTGACATCGCTATCACTCTAGCCGGTATGGAGCGGTTCAAGCATCAGGTCAGCGGCGGATGGTGGCGCGATACAGATGGCCAATACATCCGCGCCGGAGAAAAGGTGTGTAGTTTCTTACAGTTGAATCCAGCCTTGCAGCGTCGACTTGGATGGGTCCATCCGGAGATGATGGTTGCTGGTGAGTTCTGACCTGTGATTCTTTGATCTTTATTTCTTGTTCTCATATTGCACACAGGCACAGTCAAGCTAGAATCAGAGGCCAAATGGGCTTCCTCAACTTGGTGTGACATTTCCGGAACACCTGGAATCCTCCTGCCACCCGGCATCAATATCCCTTCTGCTGATGGCCAGGACCACGAGAGCGATGAGACAAGGCTCTGGAGTCACTGCCGTTACCTCGTATCACAATCCAAGGATATATGTAAAGCAGGGTCTTGGGTGTTTTATCGAGAACTCCCTTCCAATGTATGTTATTGCTTATTTCATTCTATCAGCGATATTTCTGATGTTATGCTGCAAGTCCATTGCTGCGGGGAGAATTTGGAAAATCGTTACCCCCACGGTCGGTCACTCTCCCGTGGTGATCATCGAACCATTCAACATTTCCGGCGAACGTGATCCCTTCCTGGGCATGCCAGTTCTGACGCGTGGTGATGATGCTCCATGTTTAGTCACACCGAAGGCAAGTGCTTTGCTGTCTAGCCATTATTATAACTACTGATTGCTAACAACAGGATGTGCTATTCATCTTCAATGCTCAGCATGACTGCCGGATGACTAGCTGCTCACCTACCGGGACTCAGCATGTCGTGCAAGAACGATCGACAACAGCGCGGACCGAAGCAGTGATCGCGCACACCACTGCTGAACGATTTCTTCTCAATATGTACGCAATCCACAATGCGGCGTTGATTCGACAAACCCTTCCGCGATCTCTCACACGACCAATATCTTACCTTGACAACCGGTATATGAAGCATCGCGAGATTGCTGCAGGACTTCGTGAATCGGGCCCCATAAAACGCGCGCAGACAGCAGCGAAGGCGGCAGACACGCGGGCTTGCAAAAAGTTAGCCCAAGAAGCGAAAGTGTCTGCCATTCAGCCTGCAGCCACCGATCCGTCGAACGGTATGTATTTCTGTCCATCTTCGAAGTGCTAGACTAACAAATAACATGAATGTGGATGCCGTGCCAGCTCAGCCCGGGCCCTCGTACTAGTAGTGTAGACGAGAATAATATTCCTAGGTGCTACATAGTGCATATAGTCTCAGACACCGAGAGAGCATAGAGGCCGGGCATAATAGACTTCATTACTTGATTTACACCTGGCTGATGAGCCAGAACTAGCGGGGAGGTGATGACCGGATGTGATATGCCATCAGAGAAGGGTGGTATCTGCCCATTCGCCAGCTTGCTGAGGATGCTGCAGTGGTCTGCAACGATCAGCTGGGAGGGAGCCGGGATACCTACTTCTTCAACAAGTCGCTAGGCCTCGTGTACAGCCGATCGTGGCTGATGGGAGACTGATGGGAGCAAGCCCTAGGTGGCCTGACTGCTCAGATGGGAGACAGGTAGGGCGGCGGCTGTCCGACAGCCTTCTTCAGGCCAGGGACGGTGTGCGAGATAGCACGCATTTCAGGTTGTCACGGCCACATTGCTAACAGATGTTGCAGCTCCGACTATCATGCGTCTCACCAGCACTGGTACATATGATTGTCTAATGTCCCGTGCATCTCAAGGAAGGTTGGGCGTGTAGAACGTCTGGTGAAATTCGTATAGGCGGGGGGGGGGGATTGTCACACTTCGTGACCAGCGCGTCAGGGCGACGTGTCCTACGGGCGATGTGTAGTAGTACGCGTCTTCTGTGTAGTGTCTGTAGCAATCACGATATGCCTTCCCCTCATATATATTCTGCTTCTATGTCCTGCCCTGAGAGTTCTACCTCGACTTCTAGCTCATTTGCAGCTTCAACCCATACCCATGCATCTGCAACCACTTTTGCAAGTAACGCAAACTCAAGAGAAATCCCGGCGATGGCGGCGCAGACTCCCCATGACTCGCATAAGAACCAGAGAGCAAATTCAGCGAGAATCCTGCAAACTGCGCGAGAAGAGGCATCCAAATTGCGCGGGTATGACTCACGCGCATGCCGTTGTCGCCTCATTGAACGGTTCAGAGAGGCAAATAACAAATTCCCTTACAGCTGGCAAATCAACATTGGAGAGGCCTTCGTTCTGGGGCTGGATTGCTCTGTAATAGCAGGTACAGGCGCGTGTAGCAAGTCCGGGTACCATGTAGAAGGTCCGGGTATATATATTGTGTACGACATTGTACCTGATACCTACATCTCTAGACACGACGCGCGACACGCCTGACGTGCAGAAAGACGCATCAAGGTCACGTGAATGTGACAATCCCCCCCCCTGCCTATATGAATTTCACCAGACGTTCTGTCTGCGGGCTGTGCAGGTGTTTTTCGCTCTCCGATTGGGGGCCCGCACTGACAGAACGGCTGGTTCCGAGACTAGGGTCGACCCCCCTTCCAGTAGTCTCGCAAGCCAGACGTATATGCTCCATTCCTCGGCTCCGCTTCGGAGGCTGCCGAGTACCAACGTCGGACATCGAAAAAACCACTGCAGCCAGCACAGCATAACAGGTTGGGGTTATCTACACCCGCTGCACCGAAAGTCACCAGACATTATAGCACGGAGGCTGCAGTGGTTTTTTCGATCTCCGACATATTGGTTTTTCGGGTGCATCCGTGTGTCAACGTCTGGAATCGAGACTACCCTTCCAGATTCTAAACGTCTCCCTAAACTATATTTTCGACCTCCGCACCTTCGCAACCCCCATCATCGCCTATATTTGGTGTTATGCATCACTTACATCATCTTGCCGTTGAAGGGACGCAGAGTGCGCTGAGGTGGGAATCACATCCGGGAAGCGGTCTCACATTTTGGAGATACTACAGGGTGCTACACAAACCGACCCCTAGTCCGACATCAGTTGGAAGCTGGTTATCAGAGGAGGGCACACTACGAGCCCGAACGCTACTTCCAATTCCTCGACTGTGATCCGCAACCGTCTCAAAGTACCATCTGCCAGCTCGCGTCTACCAGTGATTCCACGCATGACATCATACAGTTCGCGGGCCGCGTTGCGCAATGTCTCAACCCGAAGGCGCAAGGTTCCTGATGGCGATAAAAAGCTGAGGAACACGACTTCAGGAAAATAGGGACAGGACGACCGCGCACCAATGTCAGAGAGACCATCCGGTGGGTGGCCTAAACCAAAGTCCTCGCGGACAGCAGGGTCATCATACAGAACGCGGGCAGTCAAACCATGAGGAATGACCGCAGGAAGGTGATCCACAATTCGGGGTATCATCCGATAACCACCTTCTACAGTGCGAGCTGTTGCCAGGTGTATTTCCACCTGGGCCAGGACAGGGATATCGCACAGAAGGGGTAGGATGATCCCCACGCTGGCCGCTTCAGACTGGGCTTGGACCATAAGGACCTCAGGGACATGTGAGGGTCAGACAGCAAAGGATCATATGCTCGTGGGGGCCTCACCAGCAGGACGTGCATCCGGACCGCCCATGCTTTCCACAGGATTGGATCGAAGGGCTCGGTAAAGATCTCAATGCGAAGAAGAGCTTCTGCGAGGGTGTATTTGCGAAGGATGACGCTGGCATCCATGGATGGGAGATTGAGTTTAGGATGGGAGATGCCTCCGAGACGGACGGGTCCTTATTAGGCACTCGGGCAGGTTCGGTGATGGAAGGTCCCTCAGAATGAGTAGGAGCGTGAGGGGACGGGATTGCGAGATATGGCGTGATGGGCAGTGATTCAGCGGAGCGATTGTTAAGCAGATGCGGGCAGTATCGGGAGGGCAGGAAAGGTCAGAACTAGTTAAGTATGATGGCAGGGAAAAAGGGGAGGAGGAGAACCCACCGTCCCGGAAGGTACGCTTGCGAAAAGACTCGTTTCCCATTCCCATCCCATCCAGTTAGTGCGTCTTTGGGCAGTCTTGCATTTTGTGCATTTTCTGGGCAGTCTTGCGTTTCTGCATTTTAGCGTTCTCCTTAGGGCAGTGCGATTTTAGTCCGACGCGTTGTCCAGCGATCATTGCGACTACAGAGATTTTCCTAGCTACGCTTTCGGGCCACCCACCTCATACCTCTGGAATAGACTCTTCTCCCTCGTTGCATCTCAGACCCCACGCGGACTTGATTCCGCTCGTACTCCACCTTTCCGGCTTGCGACGGAACACCAATCACGTCACTGTTCATCCTCCGAGCGTCTAGAACTTGATTTAGTGATCATGGTCTCACGTCGTTACTGTTAGAAATCGCGCCTTAGTTCCCAAATAGGAAGGTAGTGATGGCGGGTCAAGATGCATCGGGGCGCGTGATTACGCGTCCTAAAATAGATTTCTGTATATATACAGTTCTAGACGCTCCACTTTATATAAGCAAATTTCCTTCTTTGTCTTTCTTTGTAATCATGCCCTCGACTTGTCTGCCCTTGGGTGCTCCCCAATTTCTGGAGCTTTAGAAATTTGGGCGCTACTTTCCAACACTCCCCCTCAAGCTGATGGGCATCCCGAGCTTCTTTGTGAGCTTCTCGTGCCTCGGCTTAGGGAGCGACTTTGTTAGGATATCCGCTATTATGTCCTCCGTGGGACAGTAATGGATATCAATATATTTATCTCTCAATTTCTCGCGCACATAATGATGCTTTACATCAAAATGTTTTGATTTCACGTGGAATTGGGGATCACGTGCGATTGAGATCACCACCGTATTATCCTCGAATAAAATCGTAGGATCTTGTTGCTCGAAACCTATTTCTTTGAATAGTGTTCGGAGCCACATGGCTTATTTTGCCGCTTCAGTAGATGCCATGTATTCGGCTTCCGTGGTGGATGATGCGGCCGTGGTTTGCTTCTTTGAGCTCCACGTGATCGTGCCATTTCCTAATTTGAATAAATATCTCGAGATTGATTTGCGATCTCGGATATCGTTCGCATAGTCTGCATCTGAGTAGCCCACAAATATGGATTGATCTTCGGGCTTGACATCTGCAATTGGCCCGTAGATTATTCCAAGTTCTCGCGTTCCGGATAGATAGCGGAGGACACATTTAGCAGCAGTCCAATGAGCCATTCCGGGATTGGCAGTAAATGAGCTAAGCCGTTGCATGGCGTGAGCAATGTCTGGTCTCATGGCAATTGCCACGTACATCAGTGATCCGACGAGCGATGCATATCCGTTGTCTCGGTCGCATTTGTCATCAGTTTCGGGTTCTTCTTTTTCAAGCACTGTATTTGGATCAAGAGGCATCCTGACCGTTGTCGACTCGGGGTACGCACTGGCCTTGGCCGGAGGAGCTTTTGACTCCCAGTCAAGTGAGTGGTACTTCGCTGTGGTTCACCGGGCGTGGCAAACGGGAAAGTACGCCGGGCTATCACAGTTGTTCGGTGATATCAAATTTATGATAATGGGTTAGGGACGCCTGAGCTATACGTGTGATTTGTTGTCTGAAGTCGGGATGGTAGTCTGTACAATACAGATGGGGGAATGTAGAGGGGGATGCCTAGCAACCATGTGCAAGGGCTTGCATTCTGTCTTCTTATACGATGCTGAGTCTTCTGTGTTCTCTTATCCATGTGCCTACAACTGTGTGCAGGGCTTACTGAGTCTTCGTTGTCTTCTTA